CCACCACCCTTTTAATCATGGACCGGGCGGGCGCATTCGGATGTACACCTGTCAGCGACTAGTTTCCCAAGCCATTTAGACTTGGGTTCTTCTAGGGTGATTTTATTACGGAGTGTGCTCGCCTGCATCTCTCGGTTGCCCCAATCTCCTGCATGAGTTTGTCCGCCTTGCCCACTCCCCCCCTTTTTTTCTGGTTTCTTAGGGTCTTTGCCCCTGGACCAATTTTGTAAAGTCGGCGCCCAGTCTAAATGACTCCCAAAGATCGACAGGTCAAAGCTTCGGGATATTGTTCAAAATTGATTCAGGAGGTGTGTACGGAGTATGAGATTTGGATTCCGGCTGGTGGGACAGAATCCTGATCGAAGGCTGCCTTGATATTACGCGGGTGGTACAGTCTCGGTTCTGGCCCCTTTTACTGTATGGACATATACAGGAGGTTGGGTGTGTATTGATTTAGAAGCTCGAGTTTCAGTTTGTTTGAATGGGGGTTCGGAGGTAGCTGGGCACAAGTAAGATTGGCATGCATGATTATTTCCATGGAATCCTCAAGTCTTACCTATGTTGGCTAGTGTATACTCCCCAGGTTGCCCCAGATGCAGTCCCGGATGCCGTTGGGTCGAGGCGTGTTGAAACTTGATCGGCGCAGTGTATGACCCCTAAAATAATCAATTTCAAGGGGAAAGCACTGTAGAAATTACTATTTTTGGTGAGCGGATCGCCTACATAGTATGGGCGGTAGTCCAGGTACAGTGAATCCCTGGCATGTCATGATGTGGACTCCGACCAGTCGATCCTCCGAAATTCATTCGGCCTTGCAAATTGACCGAGGGCGATTTGTCCTGCATTTCTGGCTCAAAGTGGATCGTCCCCTTGCGTGGGTTTGCGTCGCACAGAATTCTCGGTTTCTTCCAGTCTCATACGAGGTGATGGGTAGAATTGCTTGGGCAACTGGAGAATCAAAGAGAGAGAAAGAAACAAAAAAAAATCGAATTGAATCCGCATTCTTCGAGTGTTTGGGAGCATATCTATCTACATCTACAACGGAGTCTATGGGCATGCAGGGTATATGTAGCAGGCCGAGTACGGATCACTTTCCTCGAATGCATCACACATTGAGAAACGGTCGAGTCGCATCGAGCTCATTTCCTGTCTAGGGAAGTGGCAGACATTCTACCCTTGGGGAGGACCTTACAGAGTACACTCACTCAGTCACTTGTAAGGGAGGAAAAGCAAGGAGAGGCCCCGCAAAACCGCCGAGTCACATTGATAGGGCAAGGAGACGGGAATTTCTGGTTCCCCTTGCCATAGAAATTGACTCTCTGGAGTGACGTGCATGACTTCTGTCAAGCCAGGCTATTAAATCGTCAATAGTCAATACAATAGCAGAGAGAGAGAGACATCCTCCAAACCTTATTGAAGCGAATCCAGTGCGTCGCCCGTGTATCACCGGTGCGTATGTGGGGGGAAATTGATTGGAAAAGATGATCCCCGAAAAAAGAAAGGAGAATAGTCAAATAGTCTCATCCTTACGCGAGATCATTTCATCCGAGCCGTGTCGACGCGTTGAGATACACGCGATAGGCAATCACGATATTTTCCTCCCAAAGAAGGGAAAAAAGGGGGGGAACAACAACGTGGGCCAAAATTGGTTCTGGGTCCCGCGATAGAGAAACCTGGTTTGCGACTTTGAATCCCCACATGGACTTTCCGGAGAGAGAACCAAGGAGAGGCTCGGGAAACCATGGGGCAGAGAAGCCAAGCGCAAATCCCACAGCTCAGCTGGCAATGGTCGCGATGAAGTCAAGGGCACCTTAGTCTGACGGGGGGGGTATCTGCTCTGGGCCAGTTAGGGACCACAGACCCTGCGACGCGACCGTCGCGGGCGTTTTTTGGCTCGAGGGGGAAGCGCAGCCAAGCGATGACGAGCCAACAAGATTGCAGTGGGAAACAGATAGTCCCTGGTACGCGAGTCGATCGGAGTGAGCTTTTTTTGGGGCCGGTTATGAAGGTGCCATACATGTACTTGTACCTAGGTATCTACTGTATCTACTGTAGGTACAATGCTCTACATGTTTCAAGATGAGAAGATCTGGGCCGTACAAAGTACTGTATATTGTAGGTACGTACAATTCAAAGGGATAAAAAATCAAATGGATCCGGCGATCTCTCCACCAAGTGCTGTATTTGGTGATTTTCGAGAACCTCGTCGCTAGTGCTGGCAAAATGACTGGGTCGCGGCATACAGTCGAAAACACAAACTGGGTCTGGTCTTGAATAGGGAGGCAATACATGGACATGAGATGCTACAAAGATAGATACTCCCTAAGTATATACTGTAGATAGAATCATCCGCTCTTCCGACTTGCACCTCCCCTAGACTACACAGCTACAGCGACCAAGATCTCTCTGAGAGAGACCCACCTATACGTGTAGAGCGATGGGTAAAGTACCCAGTCAGAATATGGCCCCGTTTCCATTCCTGTAAGAGCAAGGGCCGCTCAGACCTCAGGCAGGATATTCCTGGAGAGGTGAGCGGGAAGTTGGGAGACAGGATAGCCAGGAATACCCTACAGCTTATCCTAGAACCACTCCAACCTTGTTGCTCTCATGTCCTACACCTACAAAATACATCAAAATGTACAATTGCCCATGGCCCTGGGAAAGTTAGGGTAAGGCTCCACCCATTATACCCGAATCGGTGCGAGTGGAGAGGCCAGGTACGAACGTAACTTACCACCTCCTTTAAGTATAATGTTATAATGTACACAGGTAGAGACAGAAATGCAGTTTCAAGCAGATTTGCAATGTCTGGTTTGAAACCTTCTGTCTGGTCTGTCTGAACTCTACGCATCGTCCTTGCAGAGCCCTAGTTGTGACGTGAAATTACACCTCCCCCTCGTGAGGGATACACGTCCGAAGCCGTGAGCCTGCGTAATACTGTATGTACCTTCAATACTGCAATACCAACCTCCCTCAGCCTCTGGAAATACACGGTACCCGCCGAGAGGGTATCTCCGTGTCTTTTGTCTCAGCTTCCTGAACCTCTTCCTTTTCTTTTCTTCTTCTCCCACACCCGCCTGGAGTGAGAAAGTGAAAAACCCTCCTCCTTGTACCTCCCTTCTCTTCTTCTTCACCCTACCCTTTTTTTTTCTTCTTCCCTTTTTTTCCCTTTCCTCCCCTTGCCAATCTTGTGGAGAGATCGTGGAGAGTCTGGTCGTTTGGCTGAATTGAAAGTGGCATTCCAGCAACTTCCAATCAGCTTGCAATTAGCTCTCCTTGTCGAGTCGGATTTTTCCCTTCGATCTTGACATTCCTCCCCTTTCGACGTTTGTTAGCTCAAACGGCGAAACCCTTCGTCCTGTCCGCCGGTGCCCTCCTGATCCTCCGGACCCCCCGACGATCACACCCTGATCCAGCTCCTGCCGGTTAGACGAGCGACAGCGTGGGAACCTCGATTCATCTTTTGGATGATAGAGACATACTCTGTGTTGTCGGGATTGTATTGATTCTGGGCGTCATTTGGGTGAGTGGAGAAAAAAAAATCCCTTTTCATGGGGGGAGTATGGGTCGACATCGAAACCACCCCAAAGGATATACAGACGAAGCATTGTTGGGTTCCTGTTCTAGAGGACGCACTGGAATTATCGCGGCAATATGCCCATGCTCCATGGATGCGGGTGGATGGTGGGCCAACGGGGTTGGTTTATGTGGTTTTGATATCACCGTATCCCCCCCAGAGCGCAGACTTGTCAAGAGCCCAGAAGCCCTATCACTTGTGATCAAAGCAATGGATAAGCCAAGCCCTGGATATGGTTGTCAAAATTCACCCTGAGGGAGGCATGGTTTTGGGGAGACAGAACATGAGGGAAAAAAATATGCCATCCTCGACTGGCATGGAATGCACCAGTCCACAAACTGGATGTTTTGTCTTCCTAGGGCCTGGCTTGCTGTTCAATTTGAATGGTGTCCCTCGTCCTCTCGTTGGCGGGAAGGGTCAAATCCAGGGGGTTCAGCGAAGATCTTATACAGTTGCTAGGCATACGGGGCGACGATCCATGGGCATTGCATACCTCGCAAACAGGCAGTTTCTCAGCAATTGATCATGAACATCGTGCCACTGACACAACGCTGGTTTCTCTAGGATTTGTTTCCTGTCGACTTCGGTACTATTCCACCATTTTTTATGTGTGGATAACCCCAAGTCGTTGAACGACCGTCCCATCTTCGACCTCGTGAATCAATCGACCGGATATCATCCAGTCACACGTTAATTCGTGCAGAGTACGTGTCGGATCATTCTTGTTGCATGTTCCCTTTTCCCCCCTGACGATCGTGAAGCCCCCCCCTACATAGGGTTATCCTGTGCCTGCACTCCACATTCCGCAGCAGACTCCGGCCCTAGGGGTGAAGACGTTGACTCGGGCTTCATCTCTTGGACTGGCATCCTACAGAATCCTAATTCAACGGATCATTCCTGTGTTCGTGCCTAGCCTAGATGCCAGTCTCGCCGTCACGGTAAGGGTTGCATTGTGCCCTCTGCCCGAAGGCTCTTTATCTGGGTTAGTATTTACTCCTGTGGAGAGGCCGTCACCCTGCTGTCCAGGCACTTGATATCAGATGCTTCTGCTTCCCACTTGCCTCTTCACACTCTTTTCTCACATCTGCCTTCGTTCCCTCTTGCTTTAATCTTAATTCTTAATCACTTGACGCCGGCCTTCTCGCTAATACTCTAATTTCTCTTCACAGCTCTCGCCTTGGAAGACTTCTACCCCGGAAATCCGGCCTGTCTTCACTTCCAGCATTCAAGACTATCGTCTCGACGCTGGCCCACTCCTTAATAGTTCCAACTACTTTCCAGTCATTCATTTCCACCTACTAATTCAACGACTGTCACTCTCTTCACTCCGTCGTTGCCTGATAGATCCAGTTCTTCAGGTTTCACTCATTGCGATATCTCAGCAAAGCTAATCACCTTACCCGTCGACTCGAGTCCCTCGACAATGGATTACCACCGCAACTACCGACCCTGCTCGTCCTTCTTTGTGGAAGAGGAGTTTCCATTCGCTTCTCGGATCCGGGCTGAACAACAAGCCAAGCAAGAGCATGACAAGCTTGTGGCGCGTGAGCGGCAATATGCTATTGCCGATCAGCTGTCCCGGCTCGCCAGCGACGAGCTTCGGGACGACGTCCTGAGCCACATGCTCGAGATGGATGTGAGTTTGTCCCAACTGGGCATGTTATGTCTTGTGCTGACCCCCATGATAGAGCCAAACGTTGCCAGACGTTGAGTCCATCGACATCCAGACCGAGATCCAGTGGTTCATGCGCCCCTATCTCCTTGACTTCTTGATCGAGGCGCACACTGCATTCCAACTCCTGCCCTCGACACTGTTCTTGGCGATCAATCTCTTGGACCGCTACTGTTCCAAGCGGGTAGTGTACAAGCGACACTACCAGCTGGTGGGCTGTGCCGCGCTCCTTATTGCCGCCAAGTACAACGACAAGAAGGATCGGGTTCCTACCGTCAAGGAGCTGAAGTCCATGTGCTGCTCTCTCTACGATGACGACATGTTCATCCAGATGGAGTGGCATGTGCTGCAGACCCTGGGATGGACCGTTGGACACCCCACCGTAGATGCCTTCCTGCAGGTCGCCGTCCTGGACGAGGTCTATGATCCGGAGATAGAGCACATGGCGCTCTACATTTTGGAGATTGCCCTCTTTCACCGGGACTTCGTCTCCAAGCAGTCCTGTGAGCTTGCCCGGGCCGCGTTGGCACTGTCGCGTTGCATTCTCAACCGACCTCAGCCGCGCCATACCCACTGGGCCTCGCAGTATGACTCGATGACCCTGGTGGGCCTGTCTCAACAGCTCCACCAGCCGTCGACGGTCGTTGCGCGCAAGTACGCCTCTGCTCACTACTCGCGGGTCTCCAAAATCCTGGAGCACTTCCTCAACCGCCAGGCTTCGCTGGTCAACTACGCCCGTTGCACTCCGCCGGTCGAGACTCCTGTGGAGTCGAAGCCCTACAACGGAGAAATGGGTCTCGCAACCCCACAGAAGTCCCAGCAGTTGACGGCCGTTCCTCACGGCTACCTCACGCCACCCATCACTCCCGAGAATGAGGCTCTGGTGCACGCCCATGCGATGAACCACGAAATGGCCCGAGTGCCAACTGTCAATGTCTGCTCACCGTCGCCCGCACCATCTTCTGAGATGCAGTACATGGCCGCCGATGCCTACCAGCAACAGGAGGCCATGTATATGGCTCAACAGCAGTCGCTTCAGCAATACCCTGTCCCGGTTCACATGGGTCTTGAACAGACCTATGCGGGCGGGCTGTGAGAAGTGACTGCGGAAGCCAAGGGCGGTCTCCCACAAAAGCGTTTTGGTACCTTGCACATATCATCGATGCGCGTCTTTTGTCTTGCACCGGATAGACTCAGTTGAAGGAGCGTCTGCTTTGGCGTTTGACCCGCTAATCCGCCCTAATCCTCACCTACATTTACACGTTGTCGACCTGCTATCATCACTCGACTCGACCTGACTATCATTCAATCATCTCCACGCTTTGCATTCGGCTTCGGTCCCCCGGAGCCGCCCCCCCTTTTATTCTTTTTTCTTCTCTGTTTCCAAAAATTGCATACCCATTTCCTTTCTTGTGGCCATCTCATACTCATATGGGGGGTCACCAGTTGCATTTTGTCTCATTTTCCATCTAGCATTGCAAGCGCGAGCCATATTGATTTTGCCATTCCAGACTGCATTTTGCCACTACCCCCTGTCACAAGTTTTTACCTTCATGTTCATGTCAAGGACGGTTGGAAAAGTTGTCCTTGCTCTTTGTTAACTTGCTGCGCGCCCGTTGGCGCTGCGCCTTTGCATCACCCACTACACCCCCGACGATCTTTTGCAGCTTGACTGCCTCGAATTCCCACCCCAACCCCCAATCCCCAATCCCCCTTACCCTACACATGCACATTTCCCCTCAGAAAAGAAAAGCCTTTAATGTGTCTCAATCTCCTGCCTGTCTCCTCTTGCTCTTTTCCTTCTGTTTTCAGTTTTATATATGTGTGAAAGAGGAGACATGGCTCCATTCAGGTCAAAAGATCTAGATGGGATCCGGAGGTCACAAAAAAAGCAAAAAAAACGCGAGAAAACCCGGAAAAAAGACATCTACTACATGCTCTCCTGGGGGATGTTCAATTTCACCGAGACCTGAGATTGGAACATTTTTCTCTCCCCATTTCCCCTTTCCCCCTTACCCCAACTTTTGTGTATCTAGTCCACCGAGTTCTCGTCTTCGTTTCTTAAAGGCGAGGCGAGGACGCTTTCTTTCTTTCTGTGTGGATTTCAAGATTGGAGCAGATTTGTGCCGTGAATGGCCCATCAATGATATCCCATTTCAGTGGATTTTTTTGTCACTTTGTAGAGCTAGAGTCTTACCTTGGGGTTTTCGTGGATATTTCGATAGTTCGGGTTTGATTCGTAGTGTGTCGATATAGTGGTTGATGACCTGCTGTAGAGTAGATAGCATATCTTGGTTTCACGACTGCAAATATATTTACGTGGTAGACTAGTCTCTGTTCCGCTCTTACAATTGTTCGTCAGATGAATTGAACATGTATATGTTTCTTTTTTCTTTTTTTTCAATCCACGGAATCTGTATCCATAGCATCATTAATGATACACTCTATATATATATCTCTCTGTTAGTAAGTAGGTAGACAACACACATCAATTAATAATCTCGCTTTGCAATATCCCAGAACCCAAGGCCACGCTATGCATTGCAATAAAGAAAAGAAAAGAAAAGAGGTGAGAGTCGAGGACACAATCGGCCAGGGAATGTAGTCGAGACACTAGAAGTGCCCGAGTATAGGAGAGAGAGGATGGTGGAGAAAGCAACAAAAGTAACCCGCAAAAACGCCAAAACCAAACCACCAGCACCGAAGCCATAATGACAATAATAGTAGTAATACAAGGGGGGGAGGGAAGGGAAGAACAGGGACAAGAGGAGAGTCAATCCTTTTCCTCTTCTGTCCCCCCTCAAAGGGAAAGAGAGAGAGATGTTTCCCCAAGGACACCCCAAAAATCCAAGGATAAGGCAGAAATTCCAGCAGAAACCGGGGGGAGCAGCAGGAGAAAAGATCCAGCCATGGACACGTCTCCCAGTTGTCATGTCACGATGAAGGCAAGAAAGGAAGAAAGGGGCAAAAGGGGCAGAGATCATCGATGGAGGGCCTTTTTCCCGCCCAACTCCAGAAAGGCCAAAAAAAGGGGTGAGAGATACACGGAGAAAGAGAGAAAAACACAGATGGGTCTATTGGTGCATCGACCGAATTCATGAATGCCAACGTTGATCATCGCCTCACTTTTTTTTTTTTTTTTTTTTTTTTTGGGAGAGGATCATCGGTCTCGATTTGGCTGGTGTTGCTGCTGGCTTGCCCCCAGGAAAACCCCAGGATCCCTGGCATAATGGGGACGTGGAATATGGGGAAATTGGGGATTATTTCCAGCGTTGTTTGTCCCAGTCGGACGGCCGAGTCTCGTCGTAGGTCTGGCCGCCTTTGTTGTGGATGATGACGGGGGGTTTGCGGACGGGATTGGCTGTAAGAGGAGAAATGCATGAGTTGGATGACGCAGGACTGGTGGTAGGGAACACATACGGCGGATATCTGGGACTATGAGTTGGTCACCGCTACTGGCTTTGCTGGCCAGGGTGGAATTGGAGTCGTTGACTTTGTGTGGCATATTCCGGTATTCCGGTATGGAGATATTAGAAATAAGGATAATAATAACAAGAGGAAGTAATAATAATAAGAAATAGTGTAGAAAGGGAATATAGAATAGAAGAAGATATAGAGTGGATATAGGGCAATAGAGAATAGGCAATAGTGATCAGCTCAGTGTTGAACGAGCAGGATATCGTCAAGCTAAATAGCCATCGTCACCTGAAGATCTGGATAAAGTGAGCGGGCCAGACTTTCTTTTTGTAGATCTCCGGGGAGAGCTCGAGAGAGAGAGAGAGCTCGGAATGGATCACCCCTGACGTAGTCGATGGGTTCTAGGTACTGGACACTATTACTTCGCGCTATACTACATAAGGCACTGTATACTATACTGCTTTATGTATACTGCTACTAAATGACCCCTGATTGGCCCCTCAAAACAGGGCAGCCACTCAGCGCGCGCCAGATGGACTGGTTACCCGCGAGGTACCATCGACTCAAGCCCAAATTGCCCGTCTCCCGCAAGTCTCCCGCAGGTACCAACACAGGGGAGTCCTCAGGCCCCACCCAATAATGATGAGTCAGCCATTCCACCAAAAATAGCTCTAGTTTGTCTGGAAAAGGTTCATTCTGATGATTCCTCTCTCGGAATCCCTCCAGCTCCCCTACGACACACAGACTAGGAGATTCCAACCTCCACACCGCCAACTGCCAACTGGGGCATCCGGGCATGTCTCCACAATTTGCGGTGATGCGCGCAAAACAGAAAAAAAAAAAAGGGGAAGCTTCACCGCCAGTGGGGACCGGTCCCACAATGGTCCAGAATCTGAGATTCTTCGATGTTGAGCTCGCTTTTGCTGGTCTGAGGGCTTCATGCCAGTCGATCCTGATCTTTCCCCCCCCCGTTGCGCGTCAAAAAGGCCTCGCCAATGGTGGGAAATGATCGGTCTTGCCGCCTCATCCGCCGGTTCTCGATTCCTTTTCCCGCACTGATTTCTTTTTTTGTATAGCTTTTGTGCTATGCAATGATGCTGCCAGGGAACCCGGTTCCCATGACAATCGGTTTTTGATTTGCCTTTCCTCCCTTCCCCTTCCCTTCGGAGATGACTCGCAAAGTCTCGGCCCTCCCCCGATAGAGACAAATGCATCGCCAGGTCATCGCTTGGGAGCCACCGTGGCTGCGTCATCGTCCCAGACCGGCCTCAGACTCTCCTGTCTTCCTGCCAGTGTGGCTGGGGGGATGACAGACCCTCTCTATCTCCCTTTCCCTCTTTTCCAGTTGTATACTGCCCACTCCGCATTAGGTATACTCTCCCATAGGTTACCTAGGTATCAATTATCATTACATATACACACGTGCCTGAATCAGGTCTTGATCAGCAACCTCCTTCTTCTCAGCGTCCACCGCTCTCCCGCTTCATTCGCGCCTCCCATCCATTCATACTCCGTCTGATGCCCAACGTACGTCGCCCGGAAGCCGGTTGCTGGGAGACCATCGACATGGTCGTCGTGTGAAACGTGGATACCGACTGCACGCCCCGGGCAGCAGACTCCTGTTTCACCTCGCCCGAGCCGGTATCCGCCTTGGCAGGGGCAGGAGGATGGGATTCGTGGGACGCCTGCGTCATCGACATCATCCGCGCGGATTTCATCGCTGGTCGGGCCGGGGTCGTCAGCCACGTGTAGCTGTTGGGATCGGTAGGCTCCAGTGACGGCCGCGTGGGCTGGATTGGTCGGGCCTGAGGGCGGTGCGAGGACAGTGGCGCAGGGACGGTGCTGTTCGCTGCTGGACGCATGTATTGTGATGCTGCGAATTCATTGTTGTGTCGGAGTGCTTGTGGCTGCGGCCGCTGTGCTGCGACGGGCTCGCGCTTTTGTGGCGGGCCTCCGGATCCCCGAAGAAGTTCGAGATGCTGGCCTGGGTGAGCCCATCTTTGCGGCTGGCGGTGCTAGACTGTTTCGGTTGCCTGGCAGCCTCGGTCTCTGCGGTCGACGGCGAGGCTGACTCGGCCGGTGGATCGGTGCTGGTAGTGATGTAGTGTCGCGCGGATTGAAACCCAGAGAGCGTTGTAGGGACGGTAAACTGCGACGGATTGCTCATGGTATACCCCGTCGACGAGACAAACGTTGTAGTGCTTGGTCCCTGGTTGGTGTCCGGGCGTCGTCGTTTGGGATACGGCTCGTTTGGCGCGTCGTTGAGCGACTCCCACTTCGTGGCCGCATCGCGCTGTTCCTCGCCCTCGGCGGTCCAGTGGTCGTCCAGCGTCGACGGCAGCGAGCTGAGTGCCTTAAGCATGTCTTCTTCAGACGGCCGCGGTCGGCGTAAAATATCGGCAATTGCGTAGACCACCTTTTCATGCAATCGAGGCCCCGTGGGACGAAATCGTGTTTTGGTCACTTTGCCCGGGAGAAATGGTGTTAGGCTGGTGGACGAGTCCTCGCCTTCTCCTATTCGCGGCTGCCGGAGAGGAAGACTCAGGTATAACAGGGCTTGCGCTCTTGTCATCGCAACATACAGCAGCCGTCTTTCTTCGTCTACCACCTCTGCTCGTGAGTGAGGTATAATGCCGTTGTAGACGGCCGGAACAAAGACGACAGGCCACTCTAAACCCTTGGCAGCGTGAATAGTGGAAATAGTCACTTTCTCAAGGGCTTTTTCACCCTCTTGGCCTTCCTCCTGGGTGGTAAGATCCGTGGCCAAAGCCACATTTGCCAGGAACCGAGACAGTGCCTCTTCACCAGCATGGGATTGTTGCTGTTCCACACCCTCGATATCAGGCAGTTCATCTTGCTCGCTGTTATCTTCATCGTTGGCAGCAGCTTCATTGGCCTGCCCCATCAACTCCTTGACGTTCGCCCAGCGACCGTCCTCGTCTAGGGGGTACGTTCGAATCAGATACTCCTGAAACGAGAGGCTTTCTGTGATATGCTCAAGGAGGATGCGCGGGGCAGACGCATCGCAACAATCCTGCAACTTTTGCCTCGAGGCCTCGATGAGTTTGACCAAAGAGCAGAGTCCCAGCTCTGCTGCCTTCTGCAACTTCTTTTCTGTGGACCGACAGCCTTGGATAACGTCTTTGATAAATGTCCACAAGGGCACACTGTACTTCTCCGCACCGCCAGTCAACTGCTTGATGGTCTCGTCGCCGATGCGCCGCGGCGGAACATTAATAATGCTAAGCAATGCGTCTGTATGGCCCGTGTGGCTCACAACCCGCAAATAGTTCAGCAGGGTCTTGACTTCTGTGCGGTCAAAGAACTTCCGGCCTCCTACCATATTGTATGGTATACCAGCCCTCCCAAACGCGGTCTCAATACGCGTCGACAGCGAAGCGGACCGAAGCAGAACCGCGAAATCGGACATACGCAATAGACTCCCAGTCATGGCGACGAGCCGTTTAATCTCAAGTACCATCCATTGCGCCTCGGCATTCGCTGTAGGAAGCTTCCTCAGTACAGGAAGAGTGCCATAAGAGTGAGTCGGCTGCAATTTCTTCGCCGGCCGAGTCGTATCCTGCTCGATGACTTCCTGAGCCGAAGTCAAGATCGAGCCCGAAGAGCGGTAATTGTCCTCGAGAAGCACGACCGAGGTATTAGAATAGCGGCGCTGCATGCGCCTGAGGTTCTGGATCTCCGCCGAGCGGAACCCATAGATGCTCTGGTCGGGATCGCCGACGATGGTGATGCGTCTGTTCTTGGCGGCAAGCAGGTTCATCAGGTCATACTGGATGACGTTGGTGTCCTGGAATTCATCGACCAGCACAGCCTGGACGTTGGACACGCATTCCGGGTGCTCGCGGAGGAGATCGCCGCACCGCAGGAGCAAATCGTCGTAGTCCAGGAGATTCGAGGCGGCCAACGCGGATTCGTACTCGCGGTAGATGTCCACTAGTTCCAGCTCCTCGGCCTTGACTCGCTCGGCCAGTGCGTCGGGACTGAGGCCGTGGGCCTTGTGCCGGGAGATGCGTCCTTGGGCTGCTCTGATTTCCATGCCAGAGTTTAGCCGCTTGATGATTCTCTACAGTGTGTATTAGCCAAGACACAACCACCATCCCAACAAATATACACTGTGAAGAAGCTTCAAACTTACTCGGAGGATAGCTCGGCTATCATCCGAGTCCGCGATTCCGAATCCTCTGCGGAGACCGATCAGATACCCATACTTGACCAGGTACCGACGACAAATGGAGTGGAAAGTGCCTAGGATCAATCGCGACTGCAACCGTTGGCCGATCAGCTTGCCGAGGCGCTCGCGCATCTCCCGGCTCGCCTTGATCGTAAACGTGCAGCAAATGACATCTTGCGGCTGATAGCCATGGTGGGAGAGCAGGTACGCGACGCGCGCGGTCAAGGTCTTGGTCTTGCCGGACCCTGGCGGGGCAAGCACCTGCAGAATTGGGGCGGGCGAGGTGACTGCTTGATGCTGGGCTGGATTAAGGCCATCGAGAATGGGATCCATGACATGTTGAGTGCCGTTTCGGGTGGAGGCACATCGCGTATCGAGGGGGAACGCGCCAAACACGGTGTCATGTGACTAGTCGTCGAACAAGTGTTAACTGTTAAGGCACATTTATTTACTGTTTTTGAGAAATAAAATCACTGAATGCATACGCGTGTTCGTGTAGATGATTGATTTAAACATCATGACATTATGGAAAGTATGGTGTTCACTGCGAGCGCAGCCGTTGTAACCCAGAGGGTATGTAACCATATCTTCAAAAGCACGTCGCAGGACATCTCCCAGACCGAGAAGCGCTAAAATAAACCAAAACAAAATAAGAAAACAAAAAATCAGCATGGGTATCACGCCATATATGACTTGCCAATAAATGCAGCACAGTAAACCGACTTCTCTTGCCACCCTGACGCCCACGACAGGCTCACGTTCGGGTAAAGATACCCAGCGGCAGACTCATGGCCACTTCGTAGTTGGGCACATTGACTGCTTCAGCGATTTGCAGGTCTCCAGCAATACTGGCCAGAATATAAGCTTCGCTTCGACTAAGCCCCTTAGTCGACACCAGCCATTGGATGAGATTCCGAGTGGCGCTCTTCGCCGCGTCGAACAAGTCCGGTGAGACACCTAGTACGCCATAGGTTCCCAGATCCGGGAGGGGGTTGGGGATCTGCGCCTGCGGGGGTGTCTGGTATTGAGGAGTTGTGACCCACGGCTGATTCTTGCAAACTTCGAACCGGAGGGTAGCACGGATGGGTGTTTCGATGGCAGTGCCACAGACTTCGCCATGACCCTGGGCAGCATGACCGTCACCGCAGCTGAAGAGGGCACCGGCTGTTTGGACAGGGAGATAAACGATGGATCCCACACCGAGTTCGCGGCAGTCCATGTTGCCACCGGCGTGGGTGGGCGGAACGGTTGAGAGTTCGGCGTCAGAGGCAGGAGCCAGGCCCATGCAGCCGAGGAAAGGTCGCAATGGGATACGCATGTCCTTGAACTGGGCATATCCCTTCTCATGATCGAGTGACCAGATCTTGATCTCTGGGGTTGGGAACTCGTCCGCCAGCAGACCAAACCCCGGGATGATGGCGGACCACCCCCAATTAGCAACCTCCAGCTTCAGCACTTCCACCTTGAGGGCATCGCCCGGCTGTGCATCTCGTACAAAGATCGGGCCGAAGACAGGGTTGGCCAGGCCGAGATCTAACGACGCGATGGCCGAAGCGTCCGACTGCGGACCGAGTTGGCCATTGCTGCTATCGACCGCATCGAAGGTGACAGTCTCACCAGACGAGACAGTCAACTTGGGAGTGATGTGTTTTGACCACTTAACATGGCCACAGTCCCTCCCAACATGGAAATTACTCCAGCCCGCAGCCATGTTGCAAGGATGGGAGGGTTTAGGACGAGTCTCGATTTGAATCATTTACGAAGAAAACAAGAAGGAAGTGAAGAAAGTAAATGGAAGAAGAGAACCGTGGTTGACTGTGGGAAAAAAAAAAAGGGGAACCAGAATTCGGAGGGGGGGGAGGAGGTGGGATTTTGGAGGGACTTGAGAGAGAACCCGTCAGAACAAGATCCTCTTCAGCATTGACCGTTCTGGAAGGTGGTTAGGGCCCGAGTCTGAGACGATTCTGCTCCACTTGCAATGTTCGCCTTCCAAACGTGGCTTGACAGATTCTCATAGTAGATTGTGTTTGAATCGCAGAGACGATTCTTTTATGGTAGAGTCCACTGGAAGTAAGCGGGCACTTGAGACTCGTTTTTTTCCATGGAGATATTCTTGGCGTGGACCCAGTGATTCCGGCAAAAACAACCTTTGCTTCTAGAATGTAATAGGTATAATGGATATCCATGCATAGTATGTAGTGTGTAGTATGTATAGTATATTAAGATATGAACGAACTATAACTGTAGACTATACGGTCGCAGATAGAATCCTGAACAGGCAGGTGGAACAATATCGAATCCGTTTGATTCTCCGAGGAACTATTTCTTCTTTTTCTTTATAAAATTGGATCCAAAAAACGCTCAACCACCTTCTTTTTCCGGTAAGGACGAACTCCAGTCGACACGCATACGGTGGACCAAGGGATTCCTGCTGACTCACCACTTAACTACCTACCCAGCACGGCAGGTCCTAAGGCTTAAATGTGGCAATCTTTGCGCACTGTGCACCTGTTCGGACTTATCTCTCTTCCAGGATCACGACCCCTGGCCATCCAGCAAGGCAACAATGCATGAAGCGTTGTCGCTCCGAGGCTGACTGGCGCTGCTGGTGGCGACCTCCTGGGCGATGTCGCTGGCTCGCATCCCCCGCATCGACAGTTTCATCATGTGTTGCACCAACGTTGCGTCGTCTGTGTGGTCGCTCACTCCGTCCGATACGATGACTAGCAGGTACCGCTGTTTGGTATCGAGGGTTCGTCGCGTGGTAAATGGCTCGTTGGATAAGAAATCCCCGCGGGCTTCTGACGGCGTGGACGAAGACGAGGCGCGCCGAGTGCGGGGCGTGGTGTTTTCGTTGTCGACCGTATTAACCGGGTTTTTATACTGCAGGTCGCCCAGAGCGCGCGACATGTTGAGAGACCCTGTTCGAGCCAGCATTCTTAGTATATCCCAGAGACATTGCGCGAAACCAACTTACCGAGCCGAGGCGTTCCGTTCTGGGTGTTGACTGTGCCGCCGGCTCCTTCGATGCGGGATCGCTCGCTGGGGACTTCGGGCTTATGAGCCTTGGTGAGACGTCGCTAGATGGCTGTTAGCAATCGCCCGTGGTTCCATCTACTATGGAAGGAAAGGGTAATGCGTACGACATGATAGGGATGCTCCGTCTTGGGATCGCGCTCCGCCAGGATGACGTGCGAGTCGCCCAGATTGGACACGACCAGCTCGCCCTTGGTGAGATTCACAAAACACAATGCCACAGTCGACCCGGATATGGCGGGCTCAACTGTCTCGTGCTTGAAGCTTTCAAGCAGCACGTTGTCCTCGTCGGCCAGAGCTGCCTTGATAGCTGCGGCGTAGTCTCCTCGGTCGAACTCGGGATGCTTGGTGAGCAGAAAGTGCAGGTTTTGACTGGCATGGTCTGACACCAGGCCGGAGCCACTTGCGAAATGACCTCAGACTCTGAAGCCGCTAGAGACACACTGACAAGGGGTATGCTTACTGTCCATCATAAATCGCAAAGAATGCAAGCTTGTCATTCGTCTGCGATGGAAACTGGTCTGGTAGGATGACGGTGCACCGGTCTTCCTGGAATTGCCTACCTCCTTGTGCCTATCTCACAGCGATGATCAGTGCCGTGGCTAGGAAAACGGGCCGCTGGACTTACTTGACCTGCTCCGGCATCGAAGAGCAGGACAGCATCGGACGTGGACATGAGCGTGTTCCGGAACATTTGATCCCTCAGGGCTCTGTGAGCCACAACCATCTTTGAGCAAGTCGCAGTTGACCTTACTCGGCCAGCAGCCATCAAGGTGATTGTGGTGATGGTGTACTGACATCACGAAGGCCTTTGCCTTTGGCCCTGACGCCTCTCAAACCAGCCGTCATTTCTAACCCGTGTCAATTTATTGAGTGTCTATTTCACTTACACAGCGTCTCAGTGAATGCAAGGAAAGGCCGATAAGCTCAGTAAGATCGTAGGCATAGCCCTGGGGCTGCTCGTGGCCTCGAACCATGCTTTGACAAATCAACTTCATATTCTGAAAATGCATACATATATCCATCTTGACTTGGTCCCTTGCACGGAAAAAGAATCGGCACTTCGTCGATCCCCCGAACCACGCACGGGCCACCCCTACGAATCTGCCGCTCAATCAAGCCATTTTGTCCTTCGACTCACATCAGCGCCACCATATTCAGTCTGGCATGGGGTGGGTAGGTGTTGGAACCATCATTGCAACCGCGGGCTACGCCCTCTACCACTATCCTCCTCGCAGCTGGACCAAGTCAGGCTCGCCCACCCCTCCGGAACCCATCTCCGACGAGACACCTCCCTCCCCCGCGAATGAGCTTGCCCCGGCAAAGCATGGCGCAGACCCTCCCACCCCTCCATCGATAGATACAGAGAAAGACGAGGCTCAGACCACGCCCAAGGCGTTGGCGTCAAGCGCCCCACCCCTGGTCCTGGCGGTGCCCGCGCTGAACTTGGCCGAAGAAAAAGACACAAGCGACGACTCCCCTCCCAGCCGAGTCGCAGCAGAACAATCATCCCGCCAGCAGAGAATGATTGGACCGGCACAGAAACCAGCGCCGTCGCCATCCCTTGCAACCGCACCAATCCCCCCACCGCAACAGCCCTCGTCGGCGCCTCCTCCGTCCTCCGCACGCTCATCTTCCCTGATGCCCCCGCCACCAGTTCCGCGCCTCCGTCCCACGGCACAATCCAATGGAGCCTCCCCAACAGGCCAGCTCCAGCCGCCACGCCCCAGCGCCGGCAGCTCACTGCGTCCGCCGCCCTCCGCCGCCTCGGGGCTGCGCGTGCCGCCCAGCAGCAGCAGTCAACTGAGCAGCAGCACGCTAGCCCCAACAGCAGTCAAGAAACCGTCAGCGAGCTCGCGCAAAGTCATCCTCGGACCGGGATACTCGCCACTAGACTGGGCAGCGCGCGCAGCCAAGCCGAACAACATGCTGCGCGGCGCGGGGCTCCCACCAGGCCTGCTGCGCGTGACGCCGTCCATGCTGAAGACGCAGAACGGGCGCAAGGGCCGCGACGCCTGGACCTCGTATCTTGGGAAGGTCTACAATATCTCGCCCTATGCGCCGTATCATCCCGGCGGCAAGGGTGAGCTTCTCCGTGGCGCGGGCAAGGACTCGGCGCAGCTGTTCCAGGAGATTCATCCCTGGGTGAACTGGGATGGGATTCTCTCGGAGTGTCTGGTTGGGATATTGGTTTCGGAGAACGATGCACTTGCGGAGAACAATGCTCTGGATGCGATGGATTGAGAGCGTTGCTGTTTCGGTCTGTGCATTGTATTTCTATACATATGGTTGGCCGCCGGGCCTTGTATATCTGGATCAGATGAGATACCCTTGCACTTGAATAAATAGAATCATCAAGATCCATCAAGAATCATGTCTGAATTTAGCTATACACTCGGAGAGCATCGTTATACAACACCCCCAGATAACACATTTACAGCTCATCCTTCTCCACCCCCTCAATCTCCACTAACTCCGTCTCAAACACCAGCGTTGCACCCCCGGGGATCGGACCAATGCCGCGGTCGCCGTACCCATACTCGGGTGGGATAGTCAGGGTGCGCTTCTCGCCGATGCACATGTCCAGCAGACCCTGGTCCCATCTGTAGAGGAATTAGCAGTTAATCCATGGATATAACGAACAATTTCATTTCCCCCTTCAGAGATGCAGGCTCATCTTCGAAACAACACAAAGAGAGAGAGGACCCTTGAAGAGAGAAAAGAGAAAAGAGAAAAGAAAAGAAAGAAACGAACCCCTTAATCACCCGCCCAGTCCCCAGCGTAAACGTAAGCGGCGCATTGCGGCTATAGCTTGAGTCGAACTGCGAGCCGTCTGCCTGCAGCGTGCCACGGTAGTGCATGGCGATGTTGTCGCCGTTGGTGGTCTTGCGCGTGCATTCGACCTTGTGTGTGGTTTCGATGCCCAGCTCGGCAGCGGCGGCGAAGGAGGTGAGGGTGAGGGCGAGGAGGGAGGTGAGACGCATTTTAAGGGAATTGCAGGTTTATCGGGGTTGGAGATAGTGTTGGTTGGAGAGTTGAGAAGAGGAGAAGGAAAAGGACAAGGTAGAGCTTGGTGGGATAGCTTGACGCTGTGTGGAGGGTGCGGTGGGTGTGGGTCTCCCCGGACTCAGCATCAACTCTACAGTACTCTTTACTCCCCTCGGTACAGGGCTTGGATGGAGTCGCTACTAACAGGCTGTACTTGTTGCTTATGTCTATGTTTTATTCTTTTCTTTTCACTTGGAAAATATGCTCGGAACTACTTCGATCTCAAGAGGCACGCTCCGGCCAATTCACCAGAGTACAGCTCCTTATCGTTGTCGGAATGACCAGCACTTCGGTAGATTGAAGAAAAATCGAAACCATTGAAGATGAGTCTAGATACACACCCGATAACACCATAAGAAAAAGAAACACAACGCCGATATGTGCAAGATGCCAGCCCACCAGCCGGTAGCCGGACCCATGGGTATCGCAAATGCATATCACATAACCGTAGGTTTGGGAAAAGGAAAGACACACCAAACATTATATAGGGCCAGGCCCTGCATTCGTGTTTCTTCTTTTTCTTTTCTTCTTATTTTCTCCATCGCAGACACAGCTCATGCCCATTTGCCGAGCAAGGCCATGAGCGCAGCCCCGAGACACAGCAGGAAGAACGCCGTCAGGACGTCGCGAATGGGCGCTTTGCGCATGGAGTTACTGAACATGAACTCGTGGGCCATTAGCTCAACCAGAGCCGTGTAGATGAGGATACCCGCAGAAATAGAGTCGAACACGCCGTTGACAACCAAGGTGGTGCGGCCGGTTGGCGGGTAGCTTTGGCGAACTCCCAGACCGATGGCGATGGCGATGGGAGTGGACAGGCCATAGGCCAGACCCAGTAGGTACGGGGTGTGGCGCTTGGACCGAGGCCAGGGGATTAGGGCGAGGCGGGAGCCCAGACCCAGGCCTTCGAAGGTCTGGTGGAAGACAAGGACAATGTAGAGGGTGGTGAACTCATCGCCCGAGACGGCGAGCGTGAGGCCGATAAAAACCGAGTGGAAAATAATACCGAACTCCAGAATGAAAATAGACGTCAGCTGGGCCGCGTAGTCCTCAATCGCCCGAATGCCTTTCTCCGAGTCGTCGGGGTCGTGGTGCTCTCGCGAGTGGCCCAGGTGGTCTTCGCCGGGCATGTGGCTCTTGTTTTCAGTGACGGTGTCGACCACAGGTTCGGCGGTGTCGACATGGGAATGGGTGTGGCCCTCTTCGTCATGCAAATGGCCCTGTCCGAAGTGGGAGAACCGCATGACCATCAGCTCGACGAAGAACAGCACGACAATCGTCATCAGGACGATGCCCTCGACCCAGCTGTACTCCGTGATCGGGCCAGTCAGGCATTCATTTTTCAATGCCTCCTCGGCTGGCGCGAGGAGATGGATGAAAGCCGTGGCGATGATTACTCCAGACCCGAAGTACTTGGCAATGAAGAAAATCCAAGCCGGAGCACCGCTGCGGGTAGCAAAGCGCCGGGCAAAGACTGGGAAGATAGCCCCGAACAGCGAGCCGACCATAATGACGAAGATGGACGAGATCCGCAGACCCATGCGGCCGTCAAACTCGTTGCCGGACTCACAGGCATCGCCTGCTCGTTTGAAGAGGGTAGGGGATGACTCCATATCTACGAGTGTTCCCTGGCTGTCACACAAGATGGTCAAGGAATAAAAAGGCGCCCGCTCTGGAAGTGAAACCCTGACAAGATTCACGGACTGATCTTATAGGATCAGAGGTAGAGCCCCTGGAGAACAAGTGTAAAGAGTCAGACGAACAACCCCAGTCGGCACGTGGGAGGAAGAAAGGGTTAATAAATTGACGTGGAAAAGAATCCCTGAAGACTGGGCACTCTCTGAGTGGGCGCTTGCCGCGCTGACCGCAACCCCCAAGGTCCTCGACGGTGGAGATGGTCCAATGGCTCGCGCAGAAGACAACCGGGTTGGCCTGTCGGAGAAGAAACTCTGAGGCAGACTATGCGTATACTTTCGGCCACGAACGCACCCACAGGACTGCCCCTCTGGACACACGTTCAACAGTCGGTCAAAGCGATCATGGAGGGGTCCGTCGATGCCGCTGAGCCCGTAGGCTAGGTAATGCACTGGAGTTGAGTACCTTGAGAGCAAGGCTGGAAGGGTTCACCAGCGACAGTGAAAAAAAGAGAAAATGAAAAAAGGGAATCAAAGGACTGCAAAATGAAAAGCGGAAGATCCGAACCAGATCAAAATCAAATCTGTCATGGTGTACCACAGCCCGAAGGGGGGCAGGGTGGGATCCATGGGGACCTTGGAGGTTCGAAGACGTCAAGCGGGAGTGTGCGCTGAGAGGGTAGGTACCAGGTACTTGGGTACCCATAGATATTTTGGTTGGGATAGAAGTACCTAGTACCCGATTTCCCGAAGTAACGGCGGATGAGGACCTTGGGGACGCGGTCAGGTCTTTTTCCGGTTGCGATGGTTGGCCGTCACGTGGACCCGGCCTGGGCTTGCGATGTGTGGAGAGAGATTGAGAGATCTTCATTTAGTGTCATTGTTATCTGGAGAGATCATCAAAGAATCTCAGATGTAATAGACATCGAGCTGGTGTAGGGCTACAAGGGATCCTACTCAGGCATCCAATCAGCAGGGGCAGGACCTGGCCTTGGCGTGAGGTCATTTGCGGGAGCTTCACTTCACCTCTGACCCCATGGCGCCCATCCGACGGTATCTGCGCGTGAGCAAGTTCTCGGTGCTGGAGTGTCGAATCTACCTGGATAACCCATCTGATTCACGGTGGCTCCTGAATCCTCGCGATCCCGTCCTCCCGCGCGTGTTCGCCGCGATCCGACCACTGGTCCTGCCCAAGTTGCGGGAAGAGAACGAGCGACTCTTTGCGCGCAAGAAAAGCAAGCCCGTCAAGGATGTCATTGCTGAGGGTATGAGTGCTTTTCTTTTCTTAGTTAGTCCCCTACAAAAAGTATTGTGCTGACACCCTAGGGCCGGTACAGACGAGTTCGAGGTGGCCATCTTCCTCCGCGAAACCCGCACTCGCCATTCGCTGCTCACGCGAAGCAAGACATTCCACAAACCAGACAACCCAGACATCAACGCAGAAGGAAACTCGGGGCCATCGACCGACCCAACTGGCTCCGCAGACGCGGGGATCCTAGTCGAAAGTGATGGCGAGCCCGATCTCGATCTGCACGATATTCCGGAGGCAGCTGCAGATGCCACAACACCAGAAAACACCGATCAGCCCAATCGGAGAAAAAGGAAAACAGCCCAGGCAGGTCCAGCCGAGGAGGACTCCGGTGATGAGAAAAAGCTCCGCTTCAGCACCCAGTATGAGAGCTTCAATATTTGTGGATGGGTGCTATGTTTGTTAGTGACTCGCAAGGGCGACCGAACTCGGCCAGCCCTCGCAACATCAGAACTGAGTCGGCAGCCACTAATGGAGGAATGGATTTCCACCCAGGCTCAAGCATCTCTGGATGAGGATTGAAGAACTCCTTGGGTGATCCCCAGTGTCCATGCTGGGGCGGTAGCCTGAAGATCAGCTCGGGGTCATCATGTGGCTGGCTGGAGTCATACTCGGTGCCAAGCTTTCTCAACGGCGAACGGTGGACAGCCGTGGCGTGATCAGTCACTGTGGCACATGAAGAAATTGCAGGGCTGCATATGGCCTGCCCCTGCCCTTGCCATCATCTACGAGTGTACAAGGCAGGGGTTGAGAATAGGGGCCCCTGGTCACAGAAAGTTCTACTTCGATGTGTCACGCGATACTTTCAAGCTTCTCATCCAGGCTTCTATGACTTGACTACAGAAACATGTCCCTTCGGGCTGCTGCAGTGCTTGTACCTATGCATACATTTACAGTGTAACGCAGTCATCGGGGTGTAATTAGGGTTGGGGGCGCCATCCAATGCCTGGACATGTTTCGCAACTCGGTGATCATTTCCCCGCCTGACCCTGACCCTGATCCCGGACACTCTGGTCTGCCAGAGTCGTTGAGATGGAAATGGTGACCCGGACCTGGTCACCTCAGCAGATTTGGGACGCATATGCATGACCGTCATTATGAGACATGATGATGTCGACTTTGGCCTGGTAGTCTGAACCCAAAAGAGCCTCAGTTGACCTCGGTTGCGTTCAGAATTCTCGAAACAGACGAGAACATTAGCATAATAATTGTTTTCTCTCTTTCCGAAACATATTGCAATTTCATCCAGATACCTCAGTGGAGTCACCATGTGGTTTGACCTCAGACCTCGGCTTCCAGCAAGGCTCATGAGTAGAGTGGATACTTGCTCAAAACCCGGTTTTCTCTCGCCCCCCTTACTATAGACATCCGGTGACTTGAGGTCCAGTGTGCTGGGTAGCGGGAGAAAAGTCCTGGCCAGTGAGGACCAAATACAGTATAGCCCTAGAGTAGAAGGCCTGATAGCCCCAGAGAATCTGACGAAACAACAAAGGGAAAAAAAAAAATAGAAAGAGAGAAAAAAAGAAAGAGAACATCCCCAAGCCGATCGCGCCACGTGCGGTCAACCAGAAATCCGATCGCTCGTTCCTGAAATCCTGAATCCTGCGCGACTCCTTTGGACAAAAAATCCGACTGCCCCTGGAAAGAAAAGAAAAAAAACTCCACTGTTTTCCCCAACGGTGCGGAACCGGGGTGGAGCCCAGGGATTCCTTTTTGGAACGTGTTTATTCAAGTTCGTAGAGTTTTTTTTTTCCCTTCATTTTTCTCCCTTGGCCCCTCCGGCTCACTTTTCTTGTCTGTTCTCTTTTGCTCCACTTGGATGCGCATCCTCGTATGGATGGGCGGCGTTGGCGACATCCGCTTGAGCCGCGTTGAATCTATTCTTTCCTGAGATGCTGTCATTGCGGGAAAAGAAAAAGAAAGAAAAAAGCATATCCCGGTAGGAAGTCCCCGAAAGCACGGCCGTACGGGGTGCATTAGAGATGACGCAGTCTGACATAGGACAGGGGGGGTCATGTGGTAGTCATAGTATTCTTGCAATTTTGTTTATTTTTATTATTATTGTTTACTGATTATTCTTTTATTAAATTCGTCATTCCGGCCGAGAACTAAAATAAGATATAATCATAGAAGGAAATATAGTATATATATATATATTTTTTTTTAAAAAAAAAAAAAACAGGGAGCCTTGTACAAACAGCACGTTCCGCCTGCGAGGACATCCCCGATTTGGAGATTCTAGGGTTACTGGGCTACTCGACATGACTCCTTCACTTTGCCCCTACTACCTAGGAAAGAAATTGATCTGCTAAGCACGCAATGAGACCGCCACCGGCTTTTTTCTTCAACACAAATCTATTGACTATCCATTGATTAATTTATGAAACAAGGTTATGTATATGGCCCAGTGATAGACAGGATCAGCCCTGGGAAGCAACTCGGACGCGACATATTATTGCATGCATCCCGCACCAAATGACGATGGACAATGCGAGGCGATCCTACGGCGGAAGGGAACCGGACATGTACTCCGTGGGACTCAAAAATGACACCATTAAACTTTGCTCGGATGTTATCCGTCGTAAATATCCTAAGAAATGATCATAATAATAATCCATACAATGCACTACTAGACTACAATCCAAGATACTATGTTTAGTTCTTTGGGACGGGTACGACCCACGGTCCGACTCGACAGGGGTGAGACTGTCAACCTTGCCCTTTTTTTTTCTTTCTTTAGTTTGGCCCCTGAGACCGTACCACCCCCGCGGGCCGTTATCTGAACGGTTGAAGGCAGATGCATATTTGGGAAGGACATGACCTGTCACATTGGAGTGGTCAGTGTACCAGACAGGGGTCTTCTGTTCTTATTTTCATACTTTCATATTTATTTATTGATTTCTTTCTTTCTTTCTTCTTGAACCTCACTAGACATCGCCCTCGGCTATCATAAGATATCATAAACACCAATCCCGTTCGGCCCTAATCCCGATCCTGTGGCAAAGAACAAAATTGGGTAAACAATATATGTAAATATTATTATTATAATTGCGGAGTATTTTCAAGCGATCTACAAACCCACACGTGTGCTCATCCTACCCCTAGTCAATGTTGAGTCACCGATACGCACCCATCTTGTTGGGTCCAATCCTCAGGATTTGGCTAATATTATCATGGAGGGTTGCACGGGCTCCCCCATTTTTTTTTTTTTTGCCCACACCGCATCGAGGAACCATCCTGATGGAGCCCAGTGGGGCTACGGGAGATTATCCTTTTGCCTGGTGTCTCGCGTGGTTTCATGGGAACCAAGTAAAGGGGTGAAACCTACGTAATATATTTTTATATTCATCTCTTCATATGTAGATGTAGGTATGTATGTACATTTGTATGTACCGAAAGGGAAATCCGAGGTAATTGCCCTGATTTTATTCTCTCTCTCACTATATAGAATGTAGTCATAATTTCAAATCAACGTATAATCTTAATCTAATTTTAAGACAAATTTGATTCCCACCCAGTTTCTCTCTCTCTCTCCCCCCACTAGTGGTTCACAACGGGAATACCGGTGCAGGAATTTCCAAGTGGAGCCCCCCGTGGTCCTTCTAGAAAAAAAAGGAAATTTTCCATTGGATTGCCAGTTGGGGCTGCATTATTCATCCCGGTCCCCAAAGGGTGGTGTTTTTCCCGAGAGTCAATCGCAATTAATTCCTTATTCTTCCTATTTTCCTACGTCAGATCAGGTGGAGACTCAGCCTCCTGTTCATGGCAGGGATGTTCGATGGAGGGGGGAAGGGCACAAGCTAAGGGAATTAGCTCCTGGGTGACGGTTGACCCGGGAAAAAGGTTGGGGAGAGCAAATCCCAGTATAAAAATGCTCTGTGCTCCTGGTCTTGTTTTTTTCTTTTCTTTTCTTTTCTTTTCTTTGTTTTGTATCTATCACGTTGAGCGGTTTCTGGCCTGTTACCAACTTGCTTCGTCTATTGCACTCTATATCTTGTGCTATCTACAAACCTTACAACCACCACTCTTCTACTTTTCTACTACTCTACTACTCTCCTACAATGCCTTCCGTCGGTGGCTCCTCTTCTCAGTTCCCCCCGTGCCCCGGTCCCCCTCCCAAGGGCCCTCTCCCTCCGTTGCCGAAATAAACATACTCCCCAAACGAACGTGATGAACCACGGCGCACTCCGCTCTTGTTACAGAATGCGCTCACGACTCTGGGGACGTCCCTCGGCATGGATATAACGAACGGCAACTCCTTCTCTCGAATTCAACCTGGTTTCGGCTCCTGATGATAACCGATTTCTTTGTGATTGGACTTGACCATTCTAATCGCCACACACTCCTAAGCGACACTCTTGAAACCACCCCGGCCCACACACCCCGGCGTCTCGCGACAAAGAAAATAGCAACGAAAAGACAAGGATGTTAGCCTGTCCTGCTTTGTTGCGACTTGCGCATGCGCATGCAAAAGAAAGAGAAAAGAGTGGGGAGTGTGGGATCCACTGGTTTCAAAGGGGCGTCTTTGGGCGCAACTTGCTTTCTACTTCTGACACTATCTACTCGTTCGCTACTTCGGGACTCAGCGCCGGCGCTACAATGTCCCCGAATCTTGCATTTTCTAGCCTTCTTTTTCTTTTTCTTTTTCTTTTTCTGTCTCTTGTCTCATTTCACTTCTGTCGCGACATCATCTCGGCCGTGCGGGGTGTTCAGTTTCATCTGCGCTTCTCTCGATCTTGCAGGTTTTTGACGCGCAGATGCGGAGTCCCTTATACTCCCTCATTCTTCGCACGACTGGATAATGTGTCTTGATTGACTTGATCTTGCATACCCCTGGTCTCAGTTGTGGTTGTTTTACCCTCTCCTTGTTCACTTTCTGAATGCCTTGTAATTTTTGTTTCATCTTCTTTTTCTCTCGTTGATGTTTTGATTTTCGAATCTGATCCGACGGCCTGTACTATAGACTTAATATACCCAACACAGCAATTTATCTTTCTTTGATTTTGGATACGATTTTGCTCTTTCTTTGACACTGGCTGTTCTGCATAAGTTAGACTATCCAGACTATAGCAGGAAGATATCCAAAAAAGTGAAACATTGCCCATTCGGTTTCACGACTTCCTGGCGCCCGTCGCCCAGTCCACCATCCCAACTAGCAGGGATGTTGGGGATGTGGCAGTGAGTCTGACGCCGGCATTCCTCGTTTCTTGTTGATTTTTCAATCATTATTAATTTTTTTTGTGATTCCTAAGTATTTATTTTCTTTACTTATTCTGGGATTATCAACAGTAACACCGACACAATTCAATCGGCTATATACCCAGTCTGGGCATGAGGCACAGGATCATCAAGTGCATGGCGCAGTTTCATCGCATGCACCGACACCAAGATTTGATTGGGATAGAGTGGATGGACTCTACCGAGTACATACAGTAGTGTCTAGTAGTGTGAATACACACACACACACACACACACACACACACACCTGTATTCAACAACACAACAACACTCACCATAATAATAGAAATATAATAATCCATAATCTCATGGCTAAATGGCCACCCAAGCAGAAGGATGCGCAAATCGTGTCCGTGCGAAATATTCCCTCGGCGAGGTTGGCCTGACCGCAATACGAAGTTACGAAGTATATAACTTGTCGGTAAGCTGGGGCCGGTTGTCCAGGTCGTTGAGAATTGTACTTTACAGGCTGGGGAGAGGAAAGAGTCTCGGCTTTTTCCCTCTTAGGTATGGGATCAGCGTACAATCAGACCTCAACTCTCTCAAGAGATTAGGCACGTTGGCTCGCGCGCTGTGACTCAGAACCGGCATCTCGCCGGTCAGCTCAAGAGGCTCTGGTGTTGTGGTTGGGTATATTATGGCGGCTAACCTGTTTGGACGCAGTCAAATGACCTACCTGTATCAGTAGCAGTTATGTTCTGTACCTTCTTGATCCAGGTGCCAGTAGACTAAGCTCGTAAGGTTCGGGGTGGCTCGGATCCTGCCCGGCGGATTGACCCCAGGTGTCTGTGCTCGACAGCTGAGGAATTCTCCAGGGCTGTGTCTTGCTGAGTGCGGGTTGGCTGTTGGAAGATCTTGGCCACGTGTGCGTGGGTGAGATGGGGCCATGACTTTCCTTTCCCCTGGATGTTGCTAAGATCGTGGGTTTGTCTAAGTGTACAGAATGAGGGGATTGGTCTTCTTTCCAATCGAAGGTTGGCCGGTATCATGTCTAGACAGATAAAACCAACCCAGCTAATCTGGCGCTATTGAAGTAATTTTTCTTTTTTTTTCTTTCCCCTTTCTACTTGAATTTAGGGCTGGAAACACCGATAGGAAACAGCGAGACCATGGATGTTATCCCCGCACGTGTTTAGTATCCATCTATGAATGTATGTAGATGCCCACATCCTATCTACACACCCCAGCTGAAACCACTGTATTTTCCAGTACCTGAAGTAGCAATACTCCCAGATGGAAACGTTTATCTGATTCCGCCCCAGGATTGAAAGACGCATCCAGAGCTTTTAATAGATTAGCCTCTTGGATGCTTTTTCCGGTCAATACCTGGACCATGCTTTGGCCCCTTTTATTTTTGATTTCTTAGAGGGAAATCTGCCGAAGTATCAATCTAGCCTCTTCTCAAGTAAGTTAATCCCCTTGCAGCACTGAGCGTCGGGGGATGCGCCGAAGTAGAAGCCCTGCCGATAAATGTGAAACGGGGTCACAAACCAGGGCTGTCGACACCATGGATAGTTTCAGCTATAGCAATCATAGCCCAAGAGCATAATCAGAATCCCAGAACAAGCCCTGGTATCTGCATACCTGACAAGTAGGGAGGAGGTAAACACTCAAGTACCATCTATAGATAGCCACCACGTGATCCGCCCTCCCAACTCGCCCACGATCGCCCTTCTCTCTGCACGCGCAAGCCACCATGGTGCTGCAACTTCATGTGTGGGGGCCAGCCTTTGCTCTGCCTTCAATCGATGCCCAATGCCTTGCGACCATTGCATATTGCTCTTTGGTGCTTCCCAAGGGCTCATGGGAACTCATCCCCAGCAGCGATCTCTCCGTGTCCCCTACCGGTGAGTGACGTGACGCCCGCTCCGGGGACCATCAACACAACCACAACCCCAAACAAAGAAGAAAGAAGAGTTGTACTGATGCTTTTTGGTTAATCTATAGGTGAGCTACCTGCCCTCCAAAATGGAACAGTCTGGGTGAGCCGGTTCCGCAATATCGTCGACTATCTCCGCCAATACTCGGAGGGAGCATGGGATCTGGATCGGGAGCTCGATGCGCCGGAGCGCGCTGACAATCTCGCGTATGAGATACCCCAGCACATTATTTTTTTTCCCTTTCCACAGAGACCAGTGATGCTCAACTTCCTATAGCTTTGCCTCCTTCGTCGAGTCCCGCGGACAGCCCCTCATCGACTTGTCGCTGTACGTCACCAGCCAGAACTACTATGGCAACACCTCGCCCGCTTACGGCGCCTTCCTCCAATGGCCGAACCAATGGATTCTCCCGCCGAAGCTGCACAGCGCCGCCAAGGCCCGCACCGAACACCTGGGCGTCTCGTCGCTGGACCTGCAAGCCATGGAGGAGCAGCGGCAGCGCGAGCACTCGGCCGCTGTGGCTGCGGGTCAGATCCCCAAGAACTTCATTCAACGGCCCCGTGACACCGTGTCTAGTCTGCTCGGGCGCACCGCGCAGCAGAACCAGTTCCGGCTCGAGGCCTTGACTAGCGAGTTCTTCGAGCCCCTCGAGGCGATGCTAGGCCGCAAGCAATACCTGCTGGGCGCGGACGAAGACAGCCAGCCCCGCAGTCTGGACTGTATTGTGCTCGGGTATCTGTCGCTGGCGCTTGTCCCCGAGCTCTCCTTCCCGTGGCTGCGGGATGCGATGCACTCAAGGCTCCGCGGCTAGTGACATACACGGAGCGCGTTCGGCGGCAGTGTTTCGGTGAGCCCGCCCCATCTGAAGCCGGCCATACCTTCCCGGCACTGCCGTGGCGCAGTGCCGAGCGCATCTCTGTCGCCGCGGTCGGGACCACGCTCCTCGGCACGCTGGCCGACTCCACCCCGTTCCTGCGCGAGGTACGTCGCAACAACCGCCTCAAACAGGTAGCCGAGTCACCCGACTCGGGGCTGTCGGGCACGGAAAAGAAAGCTGTTTCTATGTACGCCGACGCTAGCAAAAGGGACATGTACGTGTCCATTGCGACGGTCGTGGCCGGGGCCGCGGCGCTCGTGGGCTACATGGTACATGTGGGATTGCTCAGCGTGCAGACAGGCGCGGGCGTCGAGGAAGAAGAAGAAGACAACGGGGCCGTCGAGAGCTTCGATTCTGCCTTTGACCCGGGTTCCGTGGGAGACTTCCTGGGCAACACGAGAGGATTAGTATGAATGAATCCCATCTCCCCGACGGTCCCCGATGGGCTTTATTGCGTTATTGAACCCTTGTTGTTCTTTTCGAAGACGGGCTCCCTTTGTTTGACCTATTATTCCAGGCGTGTGAGCGAACATTGTACGATAGCTTTTGCATTCGATGTATTTTGTCGGGCCTCTTTGTTTTACTCGCTTCTCTTTCGAGTGTATCTCATCGGTCTACCCATGGATACTAACCCCCTCTTGTAAGTGTAACTGCCACTGCCATGGCTAGTACTAATTAGATTTTGGGTTATAGCAGGAGATCAGCAGATTCCCCAGACATGGCATACAGTATCCATTGATCTAGGTCCACATCGTGGATATAGAAAGTATCCATGGATCCATTGAGGAACCACCCTCAAATCTACTTTGTACTTCTCCACTGTAAACCATAAACCAAGTAACCAAGTAACTAACTATGTAGGTATGCCAAGTAGTCCAAGCATACCTTGGACTAGGTTTACCAGGTACAATGAAAGATTCAATCCATTCATCCATTCAGTACCACAAAGAAACCAGACAAGAACAAAGATAGAAAAGAAAAGTCTCCCCCCACACATTCGAAACATCATGACACAGCGCAAAACCTCAACTATCCAACCAACTAATCGGCTCAGATGACTCGAATAAATGTTATGAGTCATGCAATCAATCCCCCCTTCGAATTGGCACCCAGCGTGAGCCTTGCGCCAAAGAAAAAAGAAAATAAAATAGCACCCGCGCCACACTTAGCGACGAACAAGTGGGTTCACTGGGATAACTTCCCACTTTCTATTTTCATCTCTCTATATTTCATTTGTTAGTTGGATATTTGGGGGTGTGGGGGGAAAAAAGGATGTGTGTTGTATGTAACCATACAATTGATTATTGTTGGCCCCCAGCAGGAAACCTTGGAAAGGGGGCCCCGTGAAGGGAAGAGAAAAAAAACAGAGGATTAATTAGACAGTTTTTGTACAATACCTAGCTTTGGAAGGGGGTAAGACAGAGAACAAATTGGGGCCGAAGACGGGGACAAAAAATCCCGCGGGAAGAATAGGTGGAAAACATAAAGAAAAACACAGATTTCTGTATACAAGAAAAACGCGAAAGAAATGAGAAACATGAATGGCCCCATCGGCTCAGATCTGTGGCTTGGTATCTAGACCTAATTAGGGCAATGTTGGATGCCTTGCATGGGTTCTTACGGCCCCCCTATGCATTTAAGAGGTTGGGGCCATAGTCTTCTTTGTGCTCTATCAAGGATAGACAAGAACCGTATTCATACTCAAACAATAGTATCTACATTAGAGGGCTTGTTTTTACTGTACTGTTGGACGGATATGAACGGACAATTCAAAAGGTATATGTACAGAGAATCAGGATGAGAAAAGAGACACAAATCATGACCTCGACGACATGGATGCATCCCCATCAGATCAAAGAAGAGATAAGAGATAATAATAAAAAAAGAAAAGCTCTCGACTGATGAGCATGTGGGCAGGACTCTTGCTCAACTTGAGATGGCCCTGTCGAAAATGGTTCAGACATGGAAGAAAATAAAAGCAACCTGCTTGCACACACGCCAAAGTAGGATAGTGACTTGAACCATTTGTGTAAGAAGAGAGAAGAATCAAGATCACACGAAAAGGGAAAAAAAGAATAACCTGAGAAATAAGTGTTTACTCCATGTAGTCGAGGTTAACAATCAGACGGAGCGGGCCGGCCGGGACAGAGACAGCGTCGTGGTCGGAATGCTTGTTTGCCTCGTTGTAGGCCTTGACCATCTTCGACATATCTTTGCCGATGATGGAGCAGTTGTCTCCCGAGGTTTCACAGATCTTCATGCCAGAAATGGGCATGCTGGCGTTCTGGGCAGTGATGCAGGAAACATCCCAGCCGGAGTAACCGTTATTCTCACTGCTCATGTCGACCTCACCCCAGGTGACGGCGTACTGGCCAAATTGGTTGGTGGGCAGGGTCGCAGACGAGGAAGCATCCCGGGCCTGGTTCTTAAGCGGGGCAGCACCCCAGCCACCTTGGGTGTTGTCGTCAAAAGCCACAAACTTCTCCTCGCCCTTGCCCAGCGTGAACTTCAAGGCAGAGTGCGGGGTGAACGACGCGGTCTGATAGTCCTCGGTGAACGAATTCCAGAAGTTGACAATCCAGGGCTCGGAATCGCTGCCGACGAATTTGACGACATGCTTGTACTGGTGGGCCTTGGACTTGGACACCTGGATGATGTTGCTGCCCCAGGGGATGCCAAGGTTACCGACCCAGTCCCACGGATTGTCGCCCTTTTTGAGCTTCTTGCTGGTGCCGCCGAAGCCCAAACGGGAGTACTGGCCGTCCTTGGGGATGACAGTCCAGGAGGTGCCATCACCCGAGTCGTCCGAGTCGCTGCCCGAGTTGTCGCTGGCGGGAGTCGGGATGACACTGGACAAGACATCGCTGGAGGTAGGCTGAGGAGCAGGTTGCTGAGTCTGAGTCTGGGCCGCGTTGGCGGTTTCCGGCTGGTTCACACCACCAGCCCACTTGTTGATCCAGGAAACCAGCTTGCCGCCCATGTTAACGGTCACCATGTCACCAACATCACGCTTGGCCATTTCGAGATCCACTTCAGGAGCCTGGGTAGTGGAGGGACCCTCGACTTCGACCTCGGGGGCATTGGGGTGAGCATGACGGCGCTCGTGGCCGTGCATACGGGCGACGGCCGACCCAGCGGTCAAGGCCGTCACCAAGAACATCGAGTTAGGGAGATGCATTTTGAGGAACAAAACAGAGTTGAAGGAGTGACAGGCGAGCGTTGAGAAGAGAAAAAGAAACGCTCTAAAGAAATCAAAAAAGAGTGTGTGGGAGACGAGTGGATTAAAGGGGAAAACAGAGAGTAGATGGGGCCGACTAAATAACAACGAACCAGCCTGAAATCAGGGGCTGCCAAGGTCTGATTGGTTGGACTGGGCGGTTCCTGGGGGAGTCCAGGCCTGGCAAATGATACGGTACAGTATGGTAATTTTGGTTAGGTACAGGATGTATACCCCGATGTACATCATCTTCATCTTTATTTTCCTGGGCACTTGGGCACTTTGACAGGGGAAATGAGTCCCTGGGCAGGCTACAACTCATCAAAGTACCATCTCTATAGATATGGTGACGTCCTCATTCCAATGTCAACCACGTGTATCAATAATGCGGAATGCTGACGAGAGATAAATTACAGGTGCCCAAGGATGTACTGTATTGTATCGTGTGACTCGGGGGGGTTATCACTCCAATCGGGGGGCCACAATCCCCCCTGTGTGTTTTGTGTTCTTCTCTTTCTTGTAGCCGCCAACTGTCTCTCGTTTGGACGCGTCAAGATGGGGATGAGAATCTCCAATCCATGTTTATGATTATTTATTTACTGACCAGCTTATGTAGGTACCTATCCACAGATATCCAACCAAGGTACATTCAAATGACCTGTACACACATAAGGTGCGCCGGGGCCCCTGCGCCAGGTACCAGGCACGTCCTATCCTCACATCCGGCTCCACCGAGGTGACGAATCCATGGCGTACCGGTTCCATCGGGTCTCCGCTGGATTCCAGCCCTTCATATGGAGTGCCAGGCCTCCACAGAAAAATCTGTCGACTTGCCACCCTGGGACTCGGTGGCTGAATGTCTTGGGTCTCTGGCCATTCCTTTCAGTCTTGATCGGACCAAGAGTTAACGAGACAGACAGACAAGATAATAATGTCCTGTTTTTACCCCTGGCAGCACATCCAGCGCATCCAATGCATCCAACGGGTCCACGGCGGAACCGTCCCTTGGTTCAAGTTACGATCTGCACCGCTGCCCCTGGCAGCAAATAATGGCAACCGTGGTACCGTCTATCATGACCTTAGACCGGGTGTCATCGTGATTCCGTTTGTTTATAAATTCTGGAGCATTCTGCTAATTCTGCCAATGTCTCCTTCGAATCCGATACTGTGGTTCTAAGAGTGTTTGAAGGGCAGTGGAGACGCTACTGATTCCAGACGCGGGATCTTCAGCCGTGGCAGACCCTTTTTTTAAGATGGTCCCTTGGCTTTTTTTACCTTCGTAGGTCCACGCCGCCCTCGAAGGCTGCGCCCCCAGCCTCCGCATCCAGTCGGAGGCTGTCGTCGAGACCACAGACCCGGAACAGCATCTGGGGCGTGAGCTCTGAATCCAAGCCCGGTAGGCCGTCACGTTTCAGTTTCTTCAGTGCCTCCCGCATAGCGGTGAGTGCCGGGCCCAGCGTCGCGAACGGGAAAATAATAAGACGGAAGCCCATCTCGCGTGCCTCGGCAGCCGAAAGGGAGGGCGTGGCACCGTGCTCGACCATATTCAGGATCAGGGGCCAGGGCGCCAAGTCACGCACTACCTGGCGCGCCATGTCGCGTGACGAAATCCCTTCTAGGAATCCAACGTCTGCGCCGGCGTCTCGCGCTGCTCGCAGTCGCGCTAGGCTCTCTGCGTAGCCGTGGGATTGCAGCGCATCTGTCCTCGCGATCACCACAATGTCGCTTTCTAGCCGCTGCCGCGCCTGCACTGCAGCCCGGATCCGGGTCGTGAATGTGGCTTGGTCGACTAGCAGCTTGCCGGACAGGTGCCCGCACCGCTTTGTCTGCACCTGGTCCTCGATGTGGAAGCCGGCCACGCCGGCCCGCGCATACTGCTCTGTCGTGCGTGCCACCATGATCGGGCCTCCGTAGCCCGTATCCGCGTCGGCGATGAGCGGTTTCGTGGGCGCCAGGTTTGCCAACATTTCGGCGTTGGCTCGCATGTCGTTCAGCGTGCAGATTCCCAGGTCTGCTTGCCCATGGACCGACGCGGCGGTACCTGCTCCTGTCTTAGTCGGGGTGTCAGCTCTCCCCCTTTCTAGACAGCCAGCCGCGACACGCTTACCATATACAGCGCATCGAATCCAGCTTCTAGCGCTACTCGCGCAGAAAGTCCATCATACACCCCAGGTGCGGCAATGAACGCATTTGGGTCTTCTAAGGACCGTCGCAGGCTAGTTGCTGCCGAGGCGAGAGGCATTGTGACAGTCGTGGATATTAAATGGGTTGCTGGCTATTGGGTGGCGTTGTATAGTGCACACACTCTCTTGCACACTACGGGATAACCAGCCGAGTCGTGGTCACTTGGCCTTGGGGAGAAGGCCAATTTTATACGACTGTGTCTCCACGTGTGTGTGACTCTGGGTCTTCGTCTCTTCCCCACCCTATCGACGCTCTGCTCGATCGGTTCGATGATGCGCACCCCCCAGGCCGATACCGGGTCCGATTATGTCATCACCTACATTATTCATGCATGCGTTCATACACTCGCAGTTGGACAACTCAATCTCTATAGATCACTTGGAAGTGTTGCGGTGAAGAGTTGAGATCGGCGAGTTAGCTGGGGGTTGTACATGGAAGACCCAGGTACGGCGGTGGGACGAGTAGATCAGCGTAGTTGGACCGGTGTAGGGTGCAGTGCAGATTCTGCTCCGTACAACCTGCCCGGCAGTCGAGGCACGGCGATGCACACCTCGGCAGTACGGCAGAGACAGTGAATATTTTTATAATGGCTATAGCTATCCAACCGTGAATATGATCGCCAACTGGGTATGTCTATTCGAAAACCTTGGGATAGTTGCCTGAGGAAGTTCAACGCCCTGCGAGTTTCCCGGGAGAATCAGACTATTCTCACACCAACGACAGTGACCAAGGCGTTTCTCAGAGTCCATGGCGTTATCGATGTCGGATACCTCGTGGGTGCCTTGCTTATCGTGGGACCACTGACGTCGCGCGGTATACTCCCAAGTGCCAAACCCGGCCATGAGCCTCTTAGTCAGCGGCAAACGTGGAACTCCGATCGAAAGACTTCGACTTGACGTTGTCTTTGGTCCTAAAAATGAGCGGCGTCTTCCATTATTTGTCTTAATCCCCGTCCCAATCCCCGAACCTCTCTTCCTCACCTCTCGATGGCTCGCTCCTCCGTCGTTCAAGAGTACGCGCCGCCGTCGACGCCGACCCTCAGCCTCGACCACAAAGTCACGCTCGAGCGCCAAAACCATGCGGTGCCGCGGCCGCAGGGCTACCGCGTGTCATGGCACGCCAACCCGGCCGTCGAGCCGCACCACTTCGGACAGTCGCACCCGATGAAACCGTGGCGGCTCACCCTCACAAAACAACTGGTGATGGCGTATGGGATGCACCACGCGATGGACCTCTACCTGGCGCGGGCGGCGACATACGAAGAGCTGGCTGACTTCCACGAAGAGGACTACTTGGATTTCCTGCGCCAGGTAATGCCCGGTGACATGGACAGGGCGGAGCAAAGTGATAATGTGGTCCGGTTTAACTTCGGCGATGACTGTCCCATCTTCGACGGGCTCTACAACTACTGCGCGCTGTATGCGGGCGGCACGGTCGATGCTGCGCGCAAGCTCTGCAATAATCAGTCAGAAATCGCGATCAATTGGTCCGGCGGGCTGCACCACGCCAAGAAGGCCGAGGCCAGCGGGTTCTGCTATGTCAACGATATTGTGCTGGGCATCCTGCAGCTGCTGCGGCACCACCCGCGGGTCATGTACATCGACATCGACGTGCACCATGGCGACGGCGTCGAGCAAGCCTTCTGGTCCACGGACCGCGTGTTGACCGTCTCCTTCCACAAATATGACAAAGATAACTTCTTCCCCGGCACCGGTGCCCTGGACGACACAGGGCCGACGCACCCGCTGAACCCGGGCGCGCACCACTCGATCAACGTGCCGCTCAACGACGGCATCGACGACGACTCATACATCCAGCTGTACCACGAGGTCATCGGCGCCTGCGTCGCCACCTACCAGCCCGGCGCCATCGTGCTGCAGTGCGGCGCCGACAGCCTGGGCTGCGACCGGCTGGGCTGCTTCAATCTCAACGTGCGCGCCCACGGCGCCTGCGTCGCCTTCACCAAGACCTTCGGCCTTCCCCTGCTGGTCGTGGGCGGCGGCGGCTACACGCCGCGCAACGTCTCCCGAGCCTGGGCCCACGAAACTTCAATCCTCCTCGACGCCGACCATATCCTCAACCCCACCATCCCGGACTCGGTCGGCTTCCGCAACCACTTCGGTCCCGACTTCACTCTGTTCCCGCCGCTGTCCGAGTTGCGCAGGCTCGAGAACCGCAACCCGCGCTCCTACCTCGCCGGCCTCGTCGAGGCCGTCCACGAACAGCTCCGCTATATCCAGGGCGCCCCCAGCGTGCAGATGAGCTTTATACCTCCCGATATCCTGGGTCTGCGCGAGGACACCGAGAAGGAAATTGAGGAGCAGACTGCCCTCCTGGAAGAAGAGCGCGAGGAGCGCCAAGGTGGTGGCTCCGCTGTTTCTGCTACTGCCGCCGTCAGCATTGAGTCTGCTCTCCCCGGCTCGGCGGGTGCTATCCCGCGTCCGAATCGTCGTCGTGATCTCGAACGTGGGGCCGGGTACAATGGCGAACTGTTCCCGTGAGTTTGATATAGGGCATTTCCAGGCGAGGCGCATACTTGAGAAGAAAAAAGAAATTTGATTCGGTTTTCGGGCGTTGTGGATTCATGGGTAGCTGGGCTGGCTGGTGTTGCATTTCGCTTTTCTGGGGGAGTTACAGGTCTTCTTTCTTTCTTTCTTTCTTTGTTTTTTTTTTCATGCTGTGTCCATCTATCATTTTCATTTGAGATATCCCCGTTTGTACAGTATTCAGGCAGAGAAAGAAACATGAGAGCAGTGGTTCAGTGAAGTCAGGCCGCCGCAGCATACAATTAAGATTATCAGAAAGCAATCTTGGCCATCGTAGATTTTAATCTTTCGATTTACAAAAAGATACCAGTTCCCAAGGAGGAAGAAGAATGACAAAAGTAAAGCCAAGAGTTCGATGGACTTAAAAACCCTTTTGAGACAATAATGAGGCTAAAAAGAAGCAACATGAAGATTGCCCAGTGAATATATACCTGTTGACTACGTACCCTCTTGCCTTTCCGCTCTCTTCCTCTCTCCTGAGTATCCTGAGCTCCTTTGATGGGTGCTTGTATGTCAATTGAAATCATTTCATTTCTTTAAATTGGCCAAATCCCCCCTTTCTTTTTGTAAGTTTGCATTTTGCATTTTGCATTTTTTTGGTCATTTTGGTGTGAGGCTGTCATCGAGAATATCCACAAGTCAAATCGGGTATCCAGCAAAGGGGTGTGGCATCTTGGCCGCGGGAAAATCGCTTGTGTTGAACATCAAGAGGAGGCGGAAGCGGATGGAGGGGGGTCGTGCTGGGTAGTCTGCGCAGGTTGACTACGTCGTCTGGCGGGATCTGCCAGGGGGAGGTAATGAGGGAGGTGAGTGTAGTTGATGTCGAACAAGGGCTCAGAGAGAGCAAGGAACGTGGAAGCGGGCGTGGATGGGAAAAGGAGAAGATCCAGTCGAAGAGAAAGTTCTTTTGAAAGGGGGTTAGTTTTCCCTTTCGTTTTCATTCTCTTGTTTCTTCTCCTCCGCATCCACAAACTTCTCCACGTTGGACGTTTCCGTGTCCTTCCGTTCCACGGCGGCTTGATCTGCTCCAGTCTCGGTCCCTGTGGATGAGCCTGCTGCCTAAGCGGCATTAGCGGTCGTGTGCTGAGTCTGGGATGCCGGGTCCGCGGATTTGGCACGCTGAGAACTATGCGGCGGGATTTGAAACTGAGATGACTTTTTCTGACCTTGGACGATTGGCGCGATGGACTGGATCTGTTTTGTGGCCAGCTGGGGGTCATGCGATGCACTGCAATATCAAACCGAATCAGCGCAGGGGGATCATTGATATGGACTGGGAATATGGGAGCGGGGAAAAAGACTCACACTTGAGCACTGATGATCCAGTCGAGATCTTCCTCGCCCTCATCTGGGCCATTGGGCCCGCCTTGGACGGGGCGGAATAGTCGCGGCCGCCACTCGACGCCCTCGTCGGCCCGCTTGGCGGCCTCGTCGCGTTGGCGGTCTTCGATCTTGGTCTTTTCGTCGGTAGCAAGCTCGTGGTTCCGCGTGTTGATTGCCTTCACCGTATCCTGCCACAGCCGCTGGGATTCCCGCTCGCCCTGCTCTGCAATCGGACGGGTCAAGGGCTTCGCATGTTTCGCGCGGGTCGCATCGAACAAAAGCTCATTCTGGTGCGTCTGGTTTGAGGGGAGAGTCAGAATTCGCAGCAAAAATGGAGGCGCACAGGCATCTGACGTACATGGACATCTTTCAGATGCATTTCTCCATTCCATAATCCCGACAGTTCGTATAATACCTCGCCAGTCTTCTCGTTCTTGATTGTGCCACCGATGGCATTATAGGTACCAGAGAAATAACCCTTAGTCTTGAACTCGATATCGGCGATGAGATCATTCTCGGGACAGCGTACGTAGCTGTGATCGCCGAGCTCATACTTCATCTTCCCAAAGAGGATACCGCGAGCGTACATATTGGGTTGGGTCAAGATGCTGCAGAGGGAAAGGATGTTAGCGATAACCATTCGGACTTCCATCCTTGAGGTTGCAGTCAGAAACGACGTACTATCGTTCGCCTTTCTCCTTGTCCTGGCCGCGGTTCAGCAGCCGCAGAATTGCAATGCCCTCCATCAAGCTAGCAGCCGAGTTACCCAGGAACTTGCTGCGGGGCTTCAGCGTGCCGTCGATACGGATATGGTGTTCCGGAGCCATGAAGAAATAGCTGGATTTTGGCGGATGGTGCGAGGTCTGTTCGGAGATGTAGTACGCGCGCGTTCCGTCGGGATAGTCCCAGTAGCAGGTAAAAGTCTCTCCGAGGATGGGATTCAGCGGCTTTTTCACTCCCCCTAACGATCAAAGGAATGTCAGAGTTGCAACCCCTTTTTCTCTCTTTCCTTCTCTCCATGCGACAAGCCCAGATAGACAACGTACGGTGGTTTGATGTGCCATCCACTCAGATAGAACTTAATTACCGAGACAAACCGTTCGAGCGGATCATCGATCGTAGACATGGGGAGGAGGGTGTCGGGATGTGCCATAAAGCTAGAACAAAAAGAAAACCCCAGGGTTAGTATGTCGGAATTCCCATGCGGTCTTCTGGGGGGTTCCTGGAGTGGGGATCTCTGAGAGAGGGAGTATGAGGGCATGGCGACGCACTTGGTGATCCGCTCCAGCATTGACCGGGGCTCGAGGATGAAGGTCGGCAAGACGACGCGACTCAAGTCGGCGCCGGGCCGCAGCTGCGAGATGATGTGCGAGAGAACTGGCCCATGGCTAGTCAGTTGCTTGTGGAAGGTGTAGGTGTGGATGGGACGAAAACGCAGAACACACCATTTCCCTGATCGGCCTCGACGGTCTCGTCTTCCCCGCTGGCGGCGGAGTCTTCCAAGGACGATCGGCCTGGGTTTTCGGGGTCAGCGGACATGGTGTTTTTTTTTTTTTTTGGCGGTAGATTGATGGAAGGGAAAGATCCAACTCACTGGCCCACGAAGCACGGCGGAGATGCGGGACCGGCATGGCTGCGTTCGGAAGCCCAACCCTGGCTACCTCAGGACGAATTCCGGAAACTCGAGTCCTTAGAATGGCATTTATTGGGGGGGAAATCAGGAATTAAAGAAATGGCAAGCAGCTCAAGTAAAAAGGAGACGCCTGAAATTTCCAAAAAAACAAAAATAATAATAATGATAAATAGGGCGTGGTGAAACCGTGTTCTACAATGCCCAACAGCAGCCAGGCACGTAAAACAAAAAGACGAAAAGAAGAAAAAGAACCCGACAAAAAAAAAAAAAAAAAAACCAAGAAATCCAGGAATTTTAAAGCAGAAATGCTTAGCCCAACCGGGGACCCGGTGACGTCGTGGTTCTTGGAGAGGCTCCGTGAATCTCCCAACTATATCACACCCGAGGTATGAAATTCGATGGATTCAAGATGCATTGAAACTACTCTGATGCCAAATCTGCACGACCTTCATCCCCCATCCACTTCCTACCCAACCTCCCAACGCTCGGAGGATCGTCGCGGGCGATGAGGGGCACGGCTTGGCAGTGGGGGAGATGTCAAGACAAAATACGCAGGTCGCTAATCTCCTCTGCAGAAGCAGTGGAATGCAGCAGGGGCAGACCCGATCCACTTTACAGGGGGGTATCGAGAAGAAGAAGAAGAAAAAAAAAAAGGTCTCCCTCTGCGACTATTAGGGGATATCATACCCGCTCGATCAGTGGCACGTCTCCATGAGTGATCTCCCTCACAAATGCCATATCTGGCCGATGGAGCATGACGTGGAAGTGTTCGACCGCGTGGACGGACTTGAGGGACTTCCAGTTCTTGAACCAAATCACCTGTACATCGTCAGCATCCAATCTCTAATCCCCACCAGAATTCCCCGAATCCAAACCTGTTCAGGCGGCACCCGCGAGCAAAACGTGCGCTGCACATACTCCTCGATGGCTTCGCGGGCGCGTGCGGTCAGGTCATCCGTGGCCGGGTCGTCCTCCAGCTCGAACTTGGTCCACACCACCAGGTGGATGATGTCGGTGTCGACCCCGTACGGCCAGTCATTGTAGAGGATGCGAATGTCCTCTACGCCGGGTCAGCTCTCGCAGATAATGGGAGGGGGGAAAGGGCTCACGCCATACCGTTGAACTCAAACGGGCGCCCCTTGGGCTGGAGGTCCTCTGGATTGCCATCGCCCCAGCGCAGCCTCTCCTTAACCACGAATCGCATCACCGACTCATACTGGGCCTTGATGTGCGCTGTGTATTCCAGATACTTGCGCAGGTCAGTCGGCACGCGCTGGAACCGATCGATCCGGTTTGTCCCTATAATACCCACCCAGAATTCCCACCCCTCCGGTCAGTCCCCTTTCCTTGATTGTCCCATAGGAAGGAATCGCTCCACTCAACGGATGATCTCCTTCACTTCCTCCCATCCCTGTCGTGTATAGAGCTCGTCCGGGGTCGACAGGCAGCGGATGTTTTTCAGGGGTTGGTCGCGGAGAAAGCTGGGGCATTCGGCCGGCCATTGCGACCGGGGTACGTTGACCAGCCAGTATGGGAGAGTCTCAGAGAAGAGGTGGTGATCGTGTAGAAAGCGTGCTGGAGTATCTGCGTCGGCCTCGGTCCGTTTCTCGTCGAGCGTGGCTATCGTCGCCGCTGGAGTCGACGCCCCCATAGAATGAGGCATTGAGGCCCCAACACGCTGCGGTTTCGCTGGCGTGGAAGAAATTGCGGGGAGTGGATGAGAGAAGAGAGGAAAGAAAGAAAGCTCACGTCGCCCTGCAGTAGTGTTGAAAGGAATGAAGTGGACAGACCCAAGGGCTGGTCTATGCCGATCATCGGGCTATCCGCAATCCACCCGGAACTGGGGCACTGTTACTTCATACTTGCCAGAAATACAGGGGACCTTGGAATACCTTGATACAGATCATCATTCGTAACCAGTGGATATTCTAGCTGTTCGTTAAGAAAGTCGAAAGGCATTGCGGCTATTCACCGGCCAACCTCTTGACCACTGCGTCATCGGCGCGGATGACTGACACCCCGGCGGCGCCCAACTCCTCCTTGGTCTTCTCCCAGCTCGCAGGTACAACACACTTGGTGCCCTCTTCAACAACCCAGCTCCTGAACCCAGCCTTAACAGCATCGACAGCTGTGCATTTAACACAATAATCGCCCGCCAGCCCCACAACGAAGACATCCGTGACGCGCTTGGCCGCGAGCACGGCGGCGATGGCAAGGTTGACCGACTGCGCCGTGACAGCCGGGTCGCGGTTCCCAAACGCGTCCGCAAAGGCAGAGTACATCTCGACCTGCGAGTGTCTGCCTTTGTGGACGAAGGTGTCGATGCGACGGATGTCGATCTCGGGAATGATCGCGGCGCCGGGGCTGTCGGCGACACAGTGAACGGGCCAGAGCTGCTGGGGCTTGGTTTCTGCAGACTTGCCTGGGGCTGGGTTCTGCACCGCAACCATCGACTCGAAGGGCCGGTTGTTGGGGGCTGGGTGGTTCGTCGCGAACGAGATGTGGTCCGCGGGGTGGTAGTCTTGGGTTGCGATGCGCGCTACGAATCCCGGCTGGGAGAGGAGGGAGTTGATCACTGGGGCTATGCTGCGGCCATCTTGCACGGCGAGGGACCCGTTCTATGTTTCCTCGTCGGCCGAGTGTAATTAGTACGGTGGGGAAGACTGGCAAGACATTGGACTCACAGGCGGGCAAAAGTCTTCTTGCATGTCGACCACGATTAGAGCGGGCACGAAGGAGCCATCTGAGTCCATGACTGACAGGTATTGGAATGGTAGAATAGCACGGTATTAGAATGGGGGGAAAGAGTAAAAGAGAGTGCTTTTATCTCTCATAGCTAACTACCTAGCTGGGTAAGGTGACCCAGGGATGACTCAGCAGGCCACTAAAAGCGTGTGAAACGTCAAAACTCGGCTTTTTCCTCTTCGCAAAAGGGCTCCGGCCCATCGGCAACTGAACACCTCTCATCTGTCGCTGGATAATGACCTCTCGTTGCAAGGTATGTGATAAGTGTATTTGTATAGATATATATATATATACATCCCATTCCATCCCTCTTTACCCTCGCCCTTACCTGATGAACCACATTATTGGAGCTGTCTGAGCTTCCCATGCGGACAAACTCAACTATACGCTTTTCATCTTTCTGAACGTCGACTATTACTTTTCGAAGGGCGCATTGCTTCTTGGTTTTATTCAATTGCTCTTGGTGACCAGTTGCTAACGAGCCCCAGTTCACAGGAGATTGTAAACCCATCTTCAAGCCCCCGTGAATATCCCTCCTTTCCCCAGTAGAAGCAAGAACCAAAAGAAGACCACAAAACAGGATGGCGTATGATCCACGCCGGGTAAACACCGGGAGCACACCTCCCCAACAACCACCACCACCCCCGCCGCCGCCGCCCGAGGCAACAGCAACACCCACCGGGATGGCCGAAGCACCCACCAGCGAAGCCAGCAGCAGCAACCCGTACAAGCTGAAGTTCTGCACGGTGTGCGCATCCAACAACAACCGGTCAATGGAAGCACACCTGCGCCTCTCGACCGCCGCAACAGGATTCCCCGTGATCTCATTCGGGACAGGGTCCCTGGTCCGACTGCCGGGCCCCTCGATCACACAACCAAACGTGTACAGCTTCAACACAACCTCGTACAACCAGATGTACGAGGAGCTGCACAGCAAGGACGAGCGGCTGTACCGCAGCAACGGCATCCTCAACATGCTGGACCGCAACCGCGGCCTGAAATGGGGGCCCGAGCGCTTCCAGGACTGGGTGCCCGGCATGCCGCGCGTCGACCATCTCTCCAAGGGCGACAAGGGCGCCGTGGGGACCGAGGCCGGGGTCGTCGATGTGATTATTACGTGTGAGGAGCGCTGCTGGGATGCTGTTGTCGATGATCTTATGAATAAGGGCGCTGCTCTTAATCACCCTGTTCACGTCTTCAATGTCGATATCAAGGATAACCATGAGGAGGCTCTGCTTGGCGGCAAGGCCATCCTTGATCTTGCTACTCGTCTCAATGATGCTGCTGTTGCGGAGCGCGATGTTCATGGCCCCGAGGGCTGGGAGAATGGCGCCGGTGCCGCGCGCCAGAGCTTCGATGAGAGTGTTCCCACTATCTTGGCGGAGTGGCAGGAGAAATATCCTCATCTGCCTGCTTTGTGGACGTTGGCCTGGTTGTAACTGTGGTCTCTTTTCTTTCTTTTTCTTTTTCTGTATTGTGTCTTGTGATATCCTCAATAGGCAGACTCTTGCCTGTATTGTGAACGGAGGCGCTTTCTCTTGTCTCTTGGGTGTCTCTGTTCCTTGTGCACGAATAATACAAGCATTTAGCCGTGCCTCAACACTCGAATGAGGCCAGTCGATGGCCATGGTATTGTATACCTCTTAAAAAGGGCTACGTAGACTCAGAGATCTTAAGCAGTATAAATTGCATTCAAACCAAAACGAATGGGGTATCATCAACTCGAAAAACGCCAGTGCAAGGAACAAAACTATCGTAACGTATGAAGTATATGCTCTATTCAGAGGAGCAACTGCATCACTCATCCTTGGGCAGCAAAACATCCCGCCTCTCCCGATACCACCTCTCGAGACAGGCCCTCCGCTGAGCCTGGGTCATGCCCTCGACGACGAGCGCAAAATCGGTGGCATCCGCATACCCAAACCAGCGTGCCATGCTACAAAACTGGCGGCGCATCACGTCGGGCGGTGGATGGTATCGAAACCGAACGGGGTGGCCATCCAGACCCCGGAACAACGTGGGAGCCCCCATGGTGGGGGGCGGGGTTCGAGGGGACGCAAAAGGGTCTTCGTCGTCTGCGTGAAGGCCTTGCGAGGGCTCGAAGACCTGGAGATCGGCCGCGGAGTCATCTGGAGCGAGCTGGGCGCGACGGCTCAATCGCTCTTCTACTCGAGAGGAGCCGATGACCTCGTTGTTGAGGTGGGTATATTCAACGCCGGCGCCGGCGAGAATCGCCTGCACTGGGTCGTGCCCACGAGGGGTCGGATGATGGGATTTAACATCAGGTTTCGGGCCGTCCTCATCGCCGCGTATCATAGCGGCCAGCTGGTTCATAGCCTCATCGTCGGCCTTGATAGGTCTCTCACCATCGCCTTCAAAGTTGTCTTCTTCAACGTCGATATCCATGACCTGCACCCCGGCTCGACTCTCGGCGACGTTGGTTTTGTTGACGATATCGCGCAGAACAATGTTATCGTTCTGGTATGAGAACAGGTTTTGTAGACCAAAGATCTCGCCCTTTTGGTCTTTCTTTTCTTGCACGCCTCGGAAATACCGGCGCTCAGAGCTGGCATTATACCCAATATTTGCCTGTTGTTGCTTGTAGATCTGGCGGGCGTATACAATCTCCTCAATCGTGCCAGCGGATATCAACCGGAAAACCTCCACGTCGCGATGTTGTCCAATACGGTATGCCCGATCCTGGGCCTGAAGGTCGTGAGACGGGTTCCAGTTAGGGTCGACGATCACCACCTTGTTTGCCGAAGTGATGTTCAGCCCGACACCACCGGCTTTGGTGGAGATGAGAAACACAAACTGTCGGGGGTCTGAGTTGAACTCGTCCACGACCTGCGCGCGGTCTTCATAGCGCATTGACCCATCCAGGTAGCTGACGTTATAGCTCGTGTGCTTGAATAGCATCTGCAACATCTTCAGTAGTCGCACGCTATGCGAAAACACAAGGACTTTGTCTCCGTTCGCATGCCACCACTTGAGTAGCTTCCGTAGCACCTTCCACTTGCCACAAAACTCGGGATTCGCGAAATTGATAATCGAGTCTCGCGTGCGGTATAGATTCTCCCACTGCTCAGGCATTGTAATCTCCAGCATTTCCTTGTCCTTTTCCTGCTTTTCCCGAGGATCATTGCCCTGCGGAATCAAGATGGCTAGGTGGTTACTGAGCTTTTGCAGCACAGTAATAGTAGGGAAGACATAGGCCTGCCATGGCTCCCCCTTACTAGGAATCAGTCTGTAGCAGCACCAACCCCTCTTCTTCCCTGACCCACAACCGCACCGTTCCGTCGAGCTTTTGATGCATTCAACAATATCGCTGTCCAAGAAGGTCTCGTAGGCCTCTGCCTGGGTCTCGGTCAAAGGACAGAAGACGACACGGTCACTCTTTTTGGGCAGCTGATCTGCAATCAAAGTCTTCATGCGGCGCAAGAAAAACTGGGGCAGAAGGTTTTCGACCAGCTTTTTGGCTGTTTTCCGGGCTCTGCTGAGTTCACTTTGGGTCGCATCGTGCGACTGACCGATCTTCAGCGGCTCTGAGATTTGCGCCTTCCAGGTTGTCACTGGACCGAGGATTCCAGGATTCGTCCAATTGAGCAGAGTCCACAGCTCTTCGTACTTGTTTTGGATCGCGGTGCCAGTCAAGCCAATTCGACACAGGGCGTTGATTTCGTTCATTGACTTGGTCGTTTCGGATTTGCGCTCTTTGACTTTGTGGCATTCGTCGGCAATCACACAGTCCCACTCAACCATATTCACCGAATCTTTATTTTGCACGTAGGTGTTGTAGGTTGTGATCAGAATCTCCACCCTTCCCGACCTGGCGGCGTGGAGGGCGAGCTCCTTGCTGTCGCCGTGGTAAACATCGACATGCCACCAACCCCAACGGGCGAATTCGGCCTTCCAATTTAAGATCAGAGTCCCGGGGCACACGATCAAGGTGCGCGGATACCACGCATCAGTCTCGAGCCTGCGCATCTTGCGCATCCGTTTAGCGTCTCGCTCGTCGCCGGTTTTCCCGTAGGCGGCTGCGAGAAAGGCAATCACCTGGATTGTTTTTCCAAGGCCCATGTCGTCTCCCAGGACTCCACCTTTCTGGTAGACAAACAGCTCATGCAGGAAAGCCACTCCCTCCACCTGATATTGGCGTAGCCATTGCGCAATCGGGGCGGGGATCAAACCAAGAGAATATGGAAGCGTGATATCCTGATACGCGCGGGTGGGTTGCCTGTCTGGAAATGCAGGCCTTTCTTGAAGATGCTCAAGACGTTCGTCGTCGGAGAATTCCACGCCGTCGTAGGAGGGTGGTACCTTCAGCCCGTGCACGCGCAAGTGTTCTTTCTTCCGGTCAAACTGGACTCGGCGGCGCTTTAGATAGTCGGGGAGCGTATGTTCCATCAACTCGTCTTCCGAGGATACGTCGCCATATTGCCTCCGCGGCCTCTTGACTCGGGGCGTAGGTCGCTCCTGTTTCACCCGACCAACAATAACCTCCTCTTTCGGGACTTTCTCCTTGCGAGTCGAGGCCGCGCTCTGTCTGCGCTTGAGTGACTTCCGCTCCTTAAACTTCTTGTATGCCGCCGCGCCATCATTAAAGTCTTCATCGTCGGTGTCCTCTTGTTCCTTCACTGGGGTCTTCAACTCAAGAGGCGAAATAGTATGGGCAGACTCGGTTTTGAGAGGAGTGGATAGCGGGTGATTCGCGTCGCGGGAATCTCTGCCTGGATTTGGAGACGTAAGCTGCATGCCATGCGCGTGTTCAGGTGCATCCATCCTTACTGGGACGAGCGACGGGGTTTATATAGCGTGTTGATTCCAGGTCGTCATCATCCGAGTCGATTGCGATGACTTCCGCAGCTGGATTATAATTCCCCATGGCGGTCACATCGCCGTGGGCAAGCGGAGTGGCAGCTCAAGTGGTGGGGGAGTCGCGAAGGCGGAGTTGGAGATGTCATTCCGATCGACGAGAAAAAGTTGCCCACTTTTCCCTCGTCACCGTCACCGTCACCGCTACGCCTTGGATTGCTGGCCTCGATTGATTCAGGCGTTGGTTGTGTCCTCTTGATGCGACCAAGCTAAGTGAGTTGTGGATTCTTTTTTATGCTGTTTGGTCATATTCAATTGAGTCGAATTCTGACCTTCTTGGCAGCGCGAACAAGAGCTTGACGATCGCATTTTGACTATTCCACATCCTTTGCTCTCCTAGTTTTTCTCCTCTTCTTTCTTTTTCTTCTTCTGCCTCGAAGCACATCAGAATACTCTACAAAATGCCGCTCGATACCTCAACGACGTATCCTCTGACGCGGCTGCGCCTGGATGGCCGCCGGTGGAACGAACTGCGTCTTCTACAAGCCCAGATTTCAACGAATCCCGCCAGCTCCGGCTCCTCATACCTATCAATGGGTAACACAGCAATCATGTGTTCTGTTCATGGACCGGCGGAGGGGCGTCGCGGAGAGGGCAGCGGTTCGGCAGGAAGTTCGGGCGCCGTCGTCGACGTGGACGTCAACGTCGCAGGGTTCGCCGGAGTGGACCGAAAGAGAAGAGCCGGTGGCAGCGACAGGTAATGCGCTCTTGTTTTACTGCAAAGTTTCACACAGACATGGACACGAAACTCACCCGATGCCTTGCTACAGAAAATCCACGCGAATCGCCACAACACTTCGGTCTGCCTTCCAGTCGCATCTCCACACCTACCTCTACCCACACAGTACGATCAGCATTCACGTCTCGGTGTTATCCGCCGATGGATCTCTGCTGGCGGCGGCCATCAACGCATGTACATTGGCCCTGGTGGACGCCGGTATTCCCATGCCCGGGTTACTCTGTGGATGTACAGCCGGAATGAGTGGAAGCGCATCTACACCACGAGACCCGCGACACGACGAACTCGATCCGCTGCTGGACCTGTCACTGCCCGAAGAACAAGAACTGCCCTCGCTGACAGTGGGGACTACTACATTAGTGCCCGTGGGCGAGGACCACATGGACGATGAGGAGGGTGAGACCAAGGTGGTGGTGCTGACAATGGACTCCAAGCTTCACTGTACATACATGGACACGATGCTGGCAGTGGGAGTGGACGGGTGCAACCAGATCCGGGAGTTGTTGGAGGGAGTGGTCAAGGGGAAATAGATCCTGAGGCACTTGATAGAAATAGAACCCGATTAATCAGGCACAATCTGCTCAATTCCCCTCGACGCTAAAACTGTTAGGGCCAAAATCTGCTCACTCCACCAGATACGCTTCCTTGTAGCATGGATTATTTATTATTATTATTGTTATTATATGATCTGTTGATTTCTCTCTTCTTGTTTTCTCTGTGATGCTTTCCACAAATTCTCCCTTTTCCTCTCTGCTCATCTCCCACCTGAAGATTTTCTTGGGTTGATCATCGCACGCAATCCTGCGATTTGCCTCCGAAACTCCACTCGCCCGAGCTGACCCTCCAACCATGGACGACTCCATGGGCACCATGAGCATGTCCATGCCCACGTCCACCGCCTCGTCTGCCATGCACACCGGTATGTCTGGGATGGATATGGGTGGCATGGATATGGGCGGGGGCTCCAGTTGCCAGATTTCGGTAAGTCAATCATCAGATCTTTCACAAAAAGAAAAGAAAAGAAAGGGGGAAAAGGACTGAGCTAATTATATTGACTGAGTAGATGCTGTGGAATTGGAACACAATTGATGCATGTATGCACTACCACAAATACTCTCTCTACATCGCCCTCTTTAACCTATACACATACTAACCCCGCAACAGGCTTCCTCTCCACCTCCTGGCACATCCGCTCCCGCGGCATGTTCGCCGGGTCCTGCATCGGGGTGATCTGTCTAGTCCTCTGTCTGGAGTTCCTGCGCCGAGTGAGCAGAGAATACGATGCCTTCATCGTGCGCCGGGCCCGGCTGCGCAGATTGTACATGTCCGGCTCGCCACCAGCCCGGGGCAGTCCCAGCGGGTATACGACAGGAGAACAGCCAGGCCCCGGTGACAGTACCCAGGGACCCAAGACTACCACCACCACCAATAGTAGTTGTGTCCCCGGAAGAGTCAACAGTGTCAAGGGTGGTTGCTGTGACGGGCCCGATCTCACCTCGTCTGCATCCTCGATCGTCAAAGAAGATGTCATCACCCCGGCTCCAGAGCCAGGCTCCGATGATAAGGGGTTGAATCGAATTACGTCGACGGCTGCGGGTGCCTTTTCCGCACAGAACACACCCACTACTCCCACTGCTCCTCCTGCTGCTGCTGTTGCTTCTTCTCCACGCTTTGCTTCGGACCCCGCCACCCTGGAACCCTACCGTGCTTCGCCGGTCGAGCAGACGGTGCGGGCACTGCTGCACATGCTCCAGTTTGCGGTGGCATATTTTGTTATGCTGCTGGCCATGTATTTCAATGGGTATATCATCATCTGCATCTTTATCGGGGCGTTCTTAGGAGCATTTATCTTTTCATGGGAGCCGGTGTCTTTAGGGAAGGGGTGAGTATTTTTTTTTTCTTTCCTTTCTCCCACTCCTTTGAATAAATCATACAAGATATGCTAACAAGGTGTTGTCATAGAAATGATGCACTGGAAGTGACCAAGTGTTGTGGCTAGCTCGTTCTGTCTGTTCTTTTCCAAGCAAGGATATCCCAATATGCATTGCCATTGCTTTCTATCTCTGTTTCTATGTCTATTTTATACTTTCCATTCGTGTTACGTCAAGACACTGGATTGCTGGGACAGTCTATCCCATGAGATATCAAAAAGCCAATACTGAAATCCCTCTTACTGAATTACTGAATCTTTCACTTTTATGTATTTGCCTCCTGGCTACAACTCTGCTGCTAACTAATGCTATTTCCTATAACCACCCCCCCCCAACTTTATCATTCACAATACAAAATATCTATCTAAGATGCCATAACTATGTTGGGGATCTTGGCTACGCCATGACCCGGACACGTATATGGCGGGGAACGCGGGTTGACATCATGAAATCTAAAATCCCTCAGAGATGGCTACTTCCAATAGTAGCTGTAGCTAAGAACGTGCTAGTGCTAAGATCCATGCCCTATCAACCTGCAGCTGGAGAGCGTGCTGGCATGCTCCGCGTATCTGTAATCCTGAAGCTCAGCTCAAATCTAGGGTTTGCAGCGAAACCCTCGTTGTTTTATAAAAGCGTTCTCTCACTCCCTTCCAATCCCTCCTCTGTCCCTATCCATATCGTAGCGCATGAATGTGCATTGAATATCTCCACCCCTGAACTATTGTTTTCATTTCCTGACCCCCTGCCCGTTTTATGCTCACTTTGAATTCACTCCAGTTGCTTTGGGTTTCGAAAAACAGCAAGATGGCGATGCAGAACTGGCCCAACGGACTTGTGCTTCCATCGGGGGTTTTCCTACTCTCTTTCGTCCTTGCAATTTCCGTCATTTTGGTGACCGTGACTGCTCTAGTCATTACCTCGAAACGGCTGGTCAATGTGAGTGCCATCCTTCCCCACCTCCCCTTCCCCTGCTCGTTCTCTCTGTGCTTTTTGTCCTGTCAGTCCAGGATACAGGATATAAACACAGCACACAACACTAGCGGCTACCTTGTTGACTTCCTTTTGCCATCCAACTCGCAGGACCGCGTTCCCTTTGCAGCAGGACAAAACCCTTTCGCGATTCTATACCAACACTACCGGTTCGTCATCGACGGGCCCGGCCTGATCAACAAGGGCTATGTCCGTTTTAAGCAGGGCTTGTTCGAGATCCCACGCACGTTCCGCTTTGGACAGGTTATCCTGTGCAAGCCGGAGCTGATTGAGGGATTGAGAACCACGCGCAGCGCGGTGGCCTCGCCTGAGCCATGGATTGATCAGGTGAAATGCCCCCCCACCGTGCATCTTGTCCCGTTGATAAACTATAGATGAACGGTTCCAGCTGACGTTATCCAACATTCAAAACATCTCTAGCTCTTGCAAATTTCTCATGTCATGCCGGGCTACTTTCCCAAGGGCGGGGGGTGGCCGGCCATTGCAAAGACCACGCCGGGCGTCATCCGCGGAACGGTGTATAAGGAACTGGATCGGTACATACCCTCGATGGACCAGGCCATTCTCTCTCAATTTCACACTTTGCAGTTTAATGATGACGGTGAGTCCTTGATCAATATATATTCCCTTGCTGTATTAATGCTCATGCTCTTGGGGGCAGAATGCAGTGTGGGCTGCTTCGATTTCGCATACTCCATTGTTGCGCGCAGTGGTAGCTTTGCCATGGTCGGCTCGCAGCTCTCGCAGAACGAAGAATATCTCAAGGCCGTCAAGGACCATATTCTTGGAATGATCATGACTACTCGCGTGCAGTTCCTGGTCCCTGATTGCTTGAAGCGGTAAGTCTTGTCTGTACTTATCGCTGCTAGCACCTACTTGGGGTCTAGGGCTAGGTATGTCTTGGATGACCATGCAACTAACTTCGCCAACCAAACAATGGCAGGTACATTGGGGGATTTATCAGTCATCTCGCTACCCTTGGTACCCGCTGGGATATGCACGCCTCGCGCAAGATCCTACTCAAGCACTTCAATGCTCGCGCGGCCGAGTACCGTGACGAGATGGCTAGTGAAGAGTTAAATCACCAGCCTCGTCCCGAGGACATGCACAAACCGGTAGGCCTTGCTTGGCTTTTATCCTATCATTTGACAAAATCCCAGTATGAATATTAACCATCTCGACTGGGGGCTATAGGTCGAGATCTTCCGCTGGCTATATGAAAGCTCCGTTCTCCGCCAGCGATGGAGCTACTCCGAGGTGATTGGCGAGATGCTGCTGCTGCAATTTGCATTCATCTATACCACAGCCTATGTGAGTATTCTGTCCAAAGCGCAGAGCTCCCTCATTACAGACCAAGGTGGCTCATCATTCCCCCGGATAACTAGGGTCTTTACGGTGCACTGGCCGAACTCGCGCGGCGCCCCGAGTACATAACACCCCTGCGCGAGGAGGTCGAGACAATCCTCACAGAGCTAGGGCCCACAGTGGCCGCGTGCGACAGGATGATCCTACTGGATAGTTTCTTAAAAGAGTGCCAGCGGCTGCACCCCCCTGCAGCCGGTATGTTCATCTGACCCTCTCTCCACTTCAGTCCTCGCTGGACCCCCCTCGGGATTTGCGCGTGGCTAACCTGGTGCTAATGCAGTCTCTGCCCACCGGGTCTGTGTCACGCCCCTGCAACTTTCCAACGGTGAGTGGGGTGCTGTTCCTTTGGCCTCTCTTCTTATCACATCCACACCGCTAGATCTGTATCTGATCCATGGATTTATTTGTTTTCCTATTTCAGTGCTGACATCAGGTACCGGGCGAGTCTCGGTGGATGATAGGTATTACCCTCAAGCCCGGAACTCACGTCGGCGTTCCAAGTGGTGTGATCCAGCGCTCGAGCGAGTACTACGAGAACCCCGAAGCCTTTGATGGGTTCCGGTTCGTCAAACGAGCGGCCGCCGGAGCCAAGGACTCGCGGTTCGTCGATCTGAGCCCGGAGTATCTAGTCTTTGGAATGGGGGTGCATGCCTGGTACGTATTATTCTTTATTTCATTGCTTTTCTTTTTCTTGCCTTCCCCTTCTTCTTACTTGATTTCTTCGATTCCCTTGATTTCATTGGTCTGAGTGGGATATTTGGGATATTTTCTTTTTCTTTCAGTTTCAACCGGATCCACCATCGGCTGACTCGCTCGTGTTTGCCCCAAACCGCAGTCCCGGCCGCTGGATGGCAAGCGCCCTAATGAAGCTGGTCTTCGCCCACATCCTGACTCGGTGGAACGTGTTTCTGCCGGGGTCCTCGCAGGGTCCGGTGACGGGATCGCTTTCATTCGAGGAGTTTTACGTGCCGAATTTCGGACTGAAGATTGGGTTGCGTCGGCGGAAGTAATGGCCACTTCGGGGGGGGGGGTTGGAGAATCAAAATTGCATAAAGCCCTAGGATAAGATGGAGGAAGCATTGGAGGAGAGGTTTTATTGGAACAAGCGCATCGAAATCAATCAAATTGTCACTGTGTTTGGTGGATTAGTTCAATGGCTCTGGTACTGTGGTAGATTATTGATTGATTAGTAGGAAGGGTCACTAGACATCTATTAGGCTGTTTGATTGAATGAGAGCTTAAGTGAGGGGTTGCCATCTAGGCATAAGTATAAATATTATGTACTAGAATCCGAGTTGGTTATGCCTATATTTGGTCGTACACAACAATGTATCATACAGAATAAATATATAGGAACTACAGTAGTTTTTGATATTCAGTATTATGAAGCCTCGGTGGCTCCCATTTCATCGAAAACAGGATAATGACCGCGGGAAGCAAACAAGAGCTCAACCTTCGTACAAGACCGGCCTCGAGTTTCTGAAAGCTCATAGACTTCATGTGGAGTCCTACCGACACCCGATTTCTGCTTGAACTGTTATCAAATAGTAAAACTAAATGTGCATCAACCTACTTTTATGTTTGCACTGTTTTTTTTTTTTTTTTTTTTTTTTTCTCAGTCCCATGGGATATCTCATGAGGCTCTCACCGGACCTGCTGAGCTCTATTTATTCAGGGGGTACTTAGCGCCAACCGCCATCCCATCTTGATTCCTCTCACTTCTCTCAATACGTCCCCATCCAACTCTTTCCGTGGATCTAAAGAAGAGATATCACCACCCATGGGGGCCAATTTCCAAGAGGACGCTTATCACTCTGATGTCTCTGGTATGGTCCATATATCAAGATCTGTGGTTGAGCTAGGATTACAGGGAAGAGGGGGGGGGGCTTCTTTCCTCACTTCACTCTTGTGTGCTAACACAGCCCCACAAACAGAGGGCGAGGATATTCCGTTCGACGCTCACTTGCCCTTTCACTCGATCAACGAGGGATCATCGAGCGAATATGAGGAAGAAAGTCCTTCCAAAAAAGCCCCTTCTAAGATGCCATCGAGCTCCGACAAAGGTGACTTCTAGCTAGCACTTGAGCTCGAACGACGTGAGCTGACATCCAATAGCAGATGTATTCCCAGACTCTCTAGATGAGCACTTGAACCCACTCACTCAGTTTTTCACCTCGGATCTCGACAAGGAGATCCTCGCGTCCATCCCCAAGGATGCTCCCAATGTTAACTGGTGCCGCCGCACAAAGCCTTCCGGGAAGGTCAAGGTGTTTGCAAAAGGTGTGGAGAGTGGTGAAACAGCCCGCGCAGCTGCAGCAGACCGATTCGGTCGACAACCTCCCTCTGGTCACAACTGTCGGCGGTGCCAGTCTGGTGGCGCCAGTCCCTTTGCCCGGTGCAAAGTTGCAGTGACTGTGTCGGGCCAACTGCTGTTCAAGGGCAATTGTCTGAGCTGCGCCTTCCACGGTCTTCAGTGCAGCAATAGTAAGTGGCTTATTCTGAGCTCCTCCGGATTTGGTTCTAATGGCCTTGTCCTCAGCTCTCCTCAATGAACTCCCAAAGTGGATACAGAAATACGTTGCCGAGTTCAATGGTGTTCTGCAGAAGCGCAAACGCGTGAGTGGCTTGATAAACCTCCCTTTCCTACCTAAGGGGCTCAGACTAACATAAATAAATATAGGGAAAATCATTGACGACCCCCAAGCCCGACACGAAGAAGCTGAAAGCTACCGATAGTGGCACCGCCGATGCTTCACTTCTCTCCAACTCTATTCTTACCCCTATTCAGCCGGGCTCGAAACGCCCGCCTGTGGACCTTGAGTTGTACCACTCCCCCACGGAACACGAGGCCCACCGCGATGACCTAGTGAAGGCTCGCGATACCCACCAGAAGATCCTAGATGTCTGCAAGAGGGCTCAGTGGGATGCCTACAAATTCGAAAAGCGCATTCGACAGCTTGAGGCCCAGACAGCAAAGAGCCCGATTCAAAATGCGTGGGATGAATCGGACCAGGAGATCGAGTGAAATATCCAGAGAGGTATTCTGGTCTAGCACGTTTCCCTTTAAGCAAAGGTCGATACTCATTTCTTTAACCTTTCATTGCACTAGCAGTCACAAAAAAGAAAGCACTATATTATACACAAATCCAGAGGAATCACTCTTCTACCCCATGGCGACCAGCCTCCCAATATACTGCTTTACCAAGACTATTTTGGCTACTGGGCGCGTAAAGCAGCCAGTCTTCACTTGCTCCTGTCTGCTGTCACTGTCGTCGTAATCATAGTCCGACGCAAACCCCATCGTAAAATTGATCTCCTCCGGGCAAACAGCCTTATTTTCGGGAATATCCCTACGTCTCTTCCAATTGCGCTCCGTGTTGGTAACATAGCCCCTTTCCCAGAGCTTTCCGTACTGTTCCTGTGCTTCGCCGTGGGTGCGCACGCGCAGGATATCATATAGACTAGCCCGAGTCATAGCCGCATCTCGGTCAATGGCAGATTCCCCCTCGACTTGGTGGGTATTGACCCCCAAAGCATGAAATTTATTGCCCCATGCCTCGTGTTCAGCCGGGGTCAGAAAGATAGTGATCTTTCGGGGAGATACTGAGCGAATGAGGAGATATGCGAGGGCGTCTGAGTCTACTCCGTAGGGGAGTGGGCCAATCACGAAGTTATAGTTGCGGGAGATGGCGTGGTCAATCCGGAGTGTATAGTAGGTGTGGAAATAAGCTTGGTTGGAGCCTGTATCGTGGGGCCCGGAGATAAAAACGGCATTGGATCTCCCAGGGCTTTGCGGCACATCTTCTCTTTGATTTTGTGGGGGATTCATCGATACAGACTTGGTGGAATCACATTGCAAAGGGGGTTTTTTTTTTTTTGTTAGAAAGGAAGTGGGTGGAGGTGGAGGGGGGCTAATTATATTTTAAAATTGGCCCCCTCTTTCCCCCTCCACGAACCCTCCCCAAGTAACAGTGTATAAGAGGCCAGTTTCGGTATATAATATGTCGTATTTCGTATATTCATAGATAATATATAGTCTCTGTCAATATTGGACAGGTTTTTCTATGAGACTTTTACATGGACTAGTATACATACATTCATTACATCTCATCCCGTCAAGGCCTCCAGTTCGTAATAGAATCTTCGACTCGACCACCGGGGTATCGGTCCACACAAGACATACGACAAGATTTCCACCATTTCTGGACTCAAGCACGGAAACTTTTCCTCGAGAATGCCCTTGATATCCTCTGGAAGAAGCCACTCATGCCCATTTCTAGGGTTTATGAAGGACCTCCAGATTGCTTCAAGGGCCAGCCGGTTGCGAAGACCGGGAACCGACATTCTCAGCCACGTCATGCCCATCGCAAAGACATCGATCTTTTCGGTATATTCGGTTAACTTGAGGAACTCTAGACTCAATCTATTAGCACAAGCCCATGGGTCAAGATGACGGCATCCTCAGAGAAACGCAATCTTACCCGGGGCTCTATACCCAGCGGTACCTCCCCTGAAGTCGTTAGATTTGGCGCCCTGGGCCATTTGGATGGCGAAGTCAAAGTCCGCGATCTTGGGCTCATTGCCGTCGAGAAGGATATTGCCGTCTTTGATATCGCGATGCCAAATCCCCTTCTCGTGGAGGTTCATCAACCCACTTGTGGCTTTCATGATGGCCTTGTCGATCTTCGATTGATCCCAGGAAGGGTCGAGCATTTTGTCGGTCAAATCACCCCCGGACGCTCTAGGCATGACCATATATGCGAACTGGGGTTTTTTTTTGTCGAAGATCACCCATCGATCGATCACTTTGAGCACATTGCGGTCGTTGATCGACATCTGCAATTTGGCCCCGGTCATCACGCGGCCGAACTTTTCATTGGATTTCTTGACGGCGACAGTCTCTGATTCCCCACTGGTGCTCTTGGATTTGTAGAGCTGAGCCATGTACACAGTTCCAAAACCTCCCTGGCCCAGTTTTCGATCCCAGTCCATCACCACTGTCCACTGCTCCCCTTTCTTGTGGTCCCAGTAGATCTTGCGCCCGGACAAGCTCCTGAGGGCCATTTTGCCTTCAGGCGTGTCCCTGGGAATCGGGAGTTCGGCAGCAGGGTGGGCGTCGAGATATTCTTTGTATCTCTTTCCAATCTCCCATGGCGCTCGAGGGGCCAAAGATGAAAAAGAATCAGCGACTGCATCAGTATCCTGTAAGGGCCGAGCTGTCTGCCCAGAGAGAACTTCATAGCCTCGCTCGTCCAGCGATGCACGATCAAAGGGGTTTCTGGTGGGCGCTGAGCTGATCAACGGGATCAGAAACGCATTGAGGCTCAGCAGAGCCGGCACGAGGCGGTTGAGAAACCGCATGGCCCAGTGTGTCACTCGCGGATTTTCTAGAAATCAGAGTGAATAAAAAAAAAATAAATAAAAATAAAAATAAACCCCGTTTTTTTCGGCGGCCCAGCCCGAGTATTTTAAATCCATGAAAATCTTGCAGCTAATGACACCCCACCGGCGTATAAATAGATCTGGGAGTTGGGGGACTGGCTTGGCCCTGCTTAGACTAACTATGAAAGTGCTAGAAGGATTGCCTCCAATTGAGCTTTGTGGAGGGTTTTCTCCACATATAATTAGGTCACCAAGATCATGGGCGTGTTAGAAGGATCAAAATTCCACTCTCTCACTCCCAAACTTACAGGGGCCAAATGCCACTCATCTATACTTGAGCACCTGTTGTTGCGTCTGTGGTCTCTCTTTCTACCATGTTACCAAATTGATATACTTTTGAAGGTCTGGCCGGTTTGAGTAACAGAACCAAGGGTATTTCCTCTTAAGAGTATAACAACAACAATCCCTTGGTCAAATCATTCAATTTGGGGCAACTATATCCACGTGATGATGTCGATCCTCATTTCTATTTTTTATTTCTTGGTGGGTGGTTGCCCTTCCACTAATTTGCTCTCCAGGGACTTTTGACCAGCCGGTCCCCAACAAAGGATCATTATCTGCGACACAGGATTTTTCGCAGTGCAGATCACTGCGGTTGGTACGGGTGGTGAGGCCGATGAGTCCGATCAAGTTCTCGAGGCATGGTTTGCCGAAGGGTCGGATGACTCGGCCCTGGTGATGATATTCCGGCGCGACCTCGACACAGAGCCATGGGCCGGGGATCCCGACACCGATGATTGGTTGTCCAACAGCTACTGCATCACCCTCGGATCTGGCGAAACGATCTACGGAGGACTGAAGCAAGTTCTTTCTCGGGAACCCGGGCAACTTTCGACTTTGCCGACCGCGTGGCCGCCATCCTCCATATAGAGCCACCACTTGTTGATTTCAAGGCGTCCGAGCAGGACCTGCGGTTCTTTCAGGAAATGCTGGTCAAAGTGGTGACTTGGGGCGTTCCCAGTCCGATTCCTCAACTGATTGGATTCAACTAAGCTTTCTGTCAGGAAGGTTTCTTTGCTCTGCAACCTCCACGGCGGTCGGATGGCTTGCTCTTCGACAATTGGCCTTGCGGCTATTCGGGCATTGAGTTGCGCTAGGCTGTGCTGGAGCCTCAGGGTGGTTTGCTGCGTCTATGATCACCGGCTGGCCATCCTACATACGCGCCCTTCTACTTCCGCAGCTTCCTTATTGGATCTTACTGCTTAGGCTCACTCTGTATTCAACTGTGTTTTAAGGTAGGTATATACGCCCTAAAAATCACTACTATTGGGGCTCTTAGATGGCAAGCAGATTTCTTTATGGAATAGTAGTACCAGATATTCTAGTGTTAAACTAAACCCAGAAGTATACTGCCTCAATCCATGCTCAGCCAGTGGAGGATACAGCACGTGTTGCATGGCACGCGTGGGGACGATAAGCGATAAGAGACCCATGCTGTCATCAACATCGTGACATCTCTCACCTCCACAATACTCTCTCCCTCTCCCCCTCTTTCTCCACGACATGGCCGCTTCAACCCTTCCCCGTCCCCGCCTCATTACCCACAAACGCGCCCTCATACCCACTCCCCACGTCCCCAAAGTGGTCAACCCTAGCGCCCTCCCCGCCGAGACGCGCCTCAACCAACACCCAATAGTGGACGCTCACCAAACACCCCCCAATAATAAAGATTCAGATGCACCCCAAGACTCCGACGAAGACCTTGACCCACCACTCCGCACAGAACTCTCCCTCGCCATACCTCCGCAACCCTTCCTCGACCCCCCGACCTGGGAAGCAATGCTCAAGCGAGGTGTGCATGCAGACCAAACGCAATCGGCGGATTCAGAAGGGGGAACAAGATCTCGGGAAGAGGAGGGAGGTGCAGAAGAGGAGAGTAATCGAGATGTCGGCTCAGACTCGGAAATTCGAGAGTCGGCGGACCAGCGGAGACGTCGACGGGAGCGCGAGGCTGAGTATGGGTCCATGGCGATCCGCGGACGGTCGAGTATACGCGGGCGAGGGAGGTCGAGGACTCGAGGGGGGGTATTGGGGTGGGCAGTATTGAACTCCTGAGTTGTAATATGAAACCATTAAGACTAATGAACACATATTATATATAGATCTGTTGTTGTAGGATTATGTTTGGGAGATATATATCTTCATTAAGACTACATGGGGCCGGTCTATCCCACAACGCCAGCCTTGTCAGCTCTTGGCGGATTATATATTGCGGGAGAGGGGGGTAATCCTAGATAGGTCAGGCCCTAGAGGTAGATCTACGTGGACCTCCCTTAAGTTCTTTATGCTTACAAGTGCTATCGTGACTTCCAAAGGTCTCGCCTTCAGAAAATTACTATCCCATCTAGCGTGGCCTAGGGCTGGTGCCTTTCTCTAGTAGCAAGCAATTGTTCTTCGGCCAAGTGGGTGAGAATGGATGAGGATGTGTATCTAGGGCCATGGTACGTACCATAAGTAGGATATACCCCTGTCACCCGATAATGCAATCAGTCGGGCTTACAAGGGCATTTGAAATACTGGCGAATGACCCTACGTCTAGCGCAAGGAATCCATAAATCAGCAAACGCAATATTTCCAATCGGACATGCTTAAGCGAGACTAGACGTAGCTATAGTGAATCAATACTTGGCCTCCACCTAGGACTTGAGGACTTGACAACGGAGGCAAAGCACATGAAGACGCAAGGCTTATGGTACATGCGAAACCAAGAAAACCAAAAAGACCAAACATGCAGTCATCGTGTTTCATAGAAATCGTGGATCTCATAGCAGAAAAACAACCCATAAAACGCAAAAAAAAAAAAAAAAATCAAAAAGGCAAAGAAGGGGGGGAGGATAAGACTCCCAGATGCATCATCGTAAATATCGTCAAGGCTGGGCTCGTGAAACATATCCAGTGAAAAGAAGAAGAAAATGTCAGCATAACATGGCATGTACGTGAGAAAAAGCAAAGCAAGAAAAATCAAAATCGTCAAATCATTTCGCGACCACTCCGTTGGTCGCGCTGGAGGCCACGTAGACAGGCCCACCAATACTCTGCTTGAGGGTTGCCCGCCGAGCTGCTCGCTTTCTCTCATCCCGTCTTTGGCGGAAACGTCGTAGACGGTTCCGCACATTGCGCAGTGGCATCGACCGCAGCCGCAGTCCCCACCGCGAGAGAGCCCAGTAGCGATTCTGGTACAGCGGGGAACCGGTGCGGAGAATGCCTCGGTCAACCAGACTACTGCAGCTGGCATTGTGATGTACGGACGAGGGCATCGCATCGAACAAGCGCTTCATCTCTGGACTGCGACGGGCCAGGGAAGGAGGGCCATTAAAGACAATCCGTTGTTGTGGCATGCCCAGTGAGTTGTTGACCACCAGTGATTCGTTGGGGTTGCGAGCATCTGATTGTGCGGGCGGATTTCTTTTCGGGGGCGACCCCGGCACATCATCCCAGAATCCACGCGGACGCCAGAACGGGTGCAGCCGACTGTCCATCTCAATTCCGGCCTTGCGGTTCTTCGCTGATTTCATAGACAAAGATCGTGCCATGGAATTGAACGAGTCCGAGCGGGGCCGAGCGCTCCAGGTGCGGCGAACGGAGTCCCATCGACGACTCAGAAGCCCATTGCCCTCTGAGCCTTGGGTTGTGTTTTCCTCCTTGGGAAGTGGCGGTAGGGGCTTGTGAATAGGAGGCTGAGGGGGAGGACGAGGGTTTTTCAATGGAGAGTCCACGCTGATAGTGGCAGCTCGAACGGGCATGTCTGGAGTTCGAGGGTTGGCTCGCGCGCGTAGTTCTTTCCGAAGTGCCTGGAGAGCATTCGCTTCGGACTGCACTCGCTGTTCAACCAGAAGCAAAGACCGGTTGTTGTGTGCGAACAAGCTTACAGCAGTCGCTTCATGGATTTCTATCGGTCCGGGAGAAGACGAAGGGATCGACGCCTGCGTATAAGGCAACGAGGGGGGACGAAGCGTGGCCATATCATCGGAACTCAGCGCCTGCACGTTGGGGGACTCCCGCAAGCCATATCCATTTGGACCCAATACATTATGGCGAGGGGGCGACACAGGTTGCTGGTTTTGGTGTTGTTGCATTTCATGATCAATGGCCAAGTTGTGGCTATGGAGGCTTTCCGATGTAAGGGACGGGGCACGAGAGTTGTTTCGACTGGTCGGCGCAGAGAGCGAGGAGCTTCGAGGTGGGACGACGGGTCGAGTCAAGGGGCGGCTCCTCGCATCTGGCTGGGATCGTGCAGATACCGAATCCGACATGGTTCGCTTTCTCTGCTGCCGAGGACGCTCGACCGGGCCTGTTCGTGCCGTCGGGGGCTGTCGACTTGAACGCTGCGAACCAGGTTTAGAAGATGCATAGCTGTTGGGGCCTGACCTCAAGGAGGAGCGCCGTTCGGGGATGACCACCACGGGAATGCTGTCAATGTGGGACTGTGGCACACTCGTGGTTTTGGAAGAGAACGACACATCCGAGGACACGCTTTGGCGATCTTGGTCAGAGATGCGAAGAGCCTTGTGAATCAGGCGATGTTGAAATTCGGGGTTGGACCCAGTCGATGTGCGGTCCGACGTCGGGATCGGAGAGCTGGCAGAACGCAGAGACGTCTTCTTTTCGGTGTGCCGGAGCATTCGCTGAGCCCGTTTTGGGGAGTCGATAATCATAGCCTCGACAGTAGAGGTCGAAGAAATGCCCGATAGTGGGCGATCGTGGGGATTGTTCTGCAAAGGGCCATCTCCCGATGGCCAGCCGATCTCGTCGCGGAACTGCTCTATAGACGGAGTAGCACTAAGCTCATGCGAGTCATGAACCCGGTCGCGCAAGGTCTTTTCGCGCATCAAAGAGTTATCCAAATGCTGCACGTTGAGCGCATCCCCATCCAGCTCCGCTTTGCGACCTGATCGATTGGGCATCTGCACGGACTTTCGCTTTCCTACCAGAGGCGTAGGAGATTGCTCAAGATGATTTGTGGCCCACTCTCCATCGAAGGACTCAAACCCCGTATCGTACTCTGTCTCACTCAGTTGCAGAGATGCGGAGAGCGGCGATTCCTTTGTTATCGCAGGCTTCGAGCGAGACGTATTGCGCGAGTGCGATTGGAATGTTTGTCTTCGATTATTAGTCGTGCGTGGCATCTGAGACGAACGGATGGGAGTGTCCAAATCTCCGTCCGACGAGAAGCCCTCATACGCCGTCTGAAACGAGTCGGCCCGCGAGGACGAGGAAGGGTGTATAAGCTGGTTCAAAACAGGACGCTTTGCCAAAGTCGTTCGAGGCGGCGTGACATCGGGAGTAGGGGGTTTGGAGGGGCGGCGAGGGGTCAGCATGCCCGTGGTCTGATTATCGGAGAAAGAAGAGGCCATCTTGCGCGGCGTCGGGTCGTCGCCGGCGAGTTCATTCTGGCCGGCATCGGGAGGGGTCAAGGGAGGGGCCGGCGCCGCAGTGACAATAGCATTCGGATCCGCGGAGGCCGGTTGGGCGAGCTCGATGCTGGGGACACCATTCCTCCGCGGGAGAGTCTTGTGGGACCTGAGTAGTGGTCGTTCGAGGGTGCGCGAGTCTACCGCTGCACTCATCACTTCGACGCCCGACATCTCGGCGGCCGGCAGAACCAAAAACACGCAACCAAATATGTCAGGATCGGTGGGAGATTACGATGGAGGTGAAACGGGACACCATGGCACTTTTGAATGGATCGAGGTGAGAGATCGCATCGCAAGCAAACATCAAAGAGCAATCACAAGATTAAAGCCCCATGCAGAAGCGCCTTTGTTTCGGTCGGATGCAAGGGAGCCGATCGGGGACGGTCAAGATGCATCCGCCACAGCCGATCAGGGGCTTTGGTATGGACATATGCACCTCCAGGCTATGGAGGCATTGCCTATCTGAGAGTCTTTTATGACTGCTCCGCTGCCCAGGTGTCTCCACGGGTAAATGTCAGCACAGTCAGCCGGGTCACGTGTAGCCAATGCTCTGTCAGCCGTGGTAGCCTGAGGTTACCCAGATAACCCTAGATCCATGGATGTATAGACCGGCCCTGCCTCATGGAAATAAATAAAATAAAATGGGAAAAAAAAAGTAATCGGCACAGGAGTGGGGGTCATTTGAGTAAAGGCATGGGACAGGCCGAGTATGCGAGGAGTTTTATGAAGCAGAAATAAGCTGTGCATTTACATAGATCTCTATCGATTGTCTCACTTATACAGGGACTATAGCAGCAGGGTTTTATGAAATATGAAAAATAAGAGTTCAAGTGACCTCCGCAATAGACACATCCGAGGCAATGTGCGGTCACACAACATCATTTACTTGCGACAGTTGTAAGTCTAACTTTTACTAGGTCAAGATATCCCAGATTCCTCGTCGTGGATGGCTCAAACACGCGCAATATTTGCATGTACAATTAAAGGGGGAGATTGCCGAGGACAGAGTTAATCCATGAAAGCCTCAAAGATATACATTAATCGACTGGAAAGCCAAGAATTGCGCATCCGGTACATATTGCCTATGCCAGGATATGCGACCCATCTGCATAGCATATTGTGGTAATCTTGGAAGAGTGGAGAGCGGGTAAAATAGGCGAGCATCATAATTCGACTCATTTCCCATGTTCGAGGGAAACCACCGCTTCATTACCCTCTCCCTCGTAAAGTCCAGGAAGAGAAGACATCTCCAAGACGCAGTGGACGAATGTCATTCCCGAATCTCCTTCATATTGAGATCCATACTCATCTAGTATTTATATGGTACAATCAAATTGATTCTAATTAACACAATCTCATTTATATTAATTTTTCGTAATTATTCTGCCATGTGGGGGGGGGGGGGGGGGGCAGTTTCAATTTTAAACCGTGTTCCTGGTTTTCTGCAATTTCGTAGGCATAAAAACGCCAGGAATAAGATTATTCTTGATATACTAGTGAGACTATACTATTCCTACTATGTCAAGAGGTCCAATCAACCAAGAATCTGGTACGGATGCGGGAGCGATGATGACCTATGACGATATCCGAACTCCACTGGCACCACGGTTGAGCGAAGGGGGCGGGAGCAGGCCTTTTTTTTTTTGGTGACCGAGGCTGTTGAGACAGAACCTTTGGAATATGGGATATATGTCCACCCAGTAATCCGAGAAAAGAACAAGGCAGGGCATTTGTTGCTTCCAAGGATGGGCGTAAACCGGGCAGGACTTCATATAAAGCCGTTGGCAAACGGGCGGAGCGTCAGTGGCGGGATGACGCCAGCGTCTCCAGGCGAACAGGATTGTCGCGGCCAACCCGCAGAATTCATGACATCGCCCAGAGTTCCATAGGCTTTTCTTCACTTTCCCCCTCCATCTTCCCCCCCCCTTTTTTTCTTTCTTTTCCTCTTTCCCCTATCTTCCCTTTCTTCCATTTGTCCTTCAGATCTTGCGGCTCTCGGTATTCCTTGGGATCTGCCCCTCCTTATGAAATCCCTGCGATCGTCTGACATCCCCATTGTGTTATCTTGATTGCCTCTCTCTCTCTCCCGCTGTCTCTTTCTTTCTTTTCTTCTCTCTGCCCCACCATGAGTACAATACAAAATATCAAGAACTTCATTCGGCACGGCAAACAGGCCCGACTTGTCACACCCCACGCCGAACCCACAACTGACGTTTCCACGATCCACGCCGAACAACAACGCCAACCCCACGGCCAGTTTTCCCCAGATCTGGGCGCTTACCATACCGGAGATATTCGCGGGAATGGTCAATCCGAATCTCAGAAGTCATCTGACGCACAGGTTCGGCGCGATCGCTCCGTCGAAATTGAACGATTGGTGGCAGAGGAGAAAGTGAGCCGGTCGAAAATGCCTAAATACCCCGGTCTGGAGCGGTGGATCCTGCTGGAGAAGATGGGCGATGGCGCATTCAGCAACGTCTATCGTGCCCGGGATGCCACGACAGAATACGGCGAGGTGGCTATCAAGGTCGTCCGAAAATTCGAAATGAACAGCAATCAGGTAAGCTTGCTTTTTCCTTGATGCTTCTGCGCGATTCCCCCTCTTCCCTGGCGGCTACGTGGTTTGATGCGATTGCGATCTTTCGCCAATATCTACTTTGTAGTCTGATCCTCTTCAACCCCACGTCAAAAACGTGCCCAAGGCTGCCGAGGTGCGCAAAAAAAAAATCTTTTAGTCTGCGCGCCAGCAGTTCTTTTGCACCTGTGACCTTGCATACTCTTTGGATCCTGATCTGCGATCTTATCTATGATCGTTGCTGACTCCAGTTTTTTCTCCAGCGAGCAAACATCCTCAAAGAAGTTCAAATTATGCGCAATTTGGACCACCCCAACATCACCAAGTTAATCGAGTTCTCTGAATCACGCCAATACTACTATATCGTGCTAGAGCTCTGCCCTGGAGGCGAGCTGTTCCATCAGATCGTGCGATTGACATATTTCAGCGAGGATCTTAGTCGACACGTGATTACTCAGGTAGCCAATGCGATTGAATACCTTCATGAAACATCCGGCGTCGTTCACCGGTTCGTGTTATCCCTGGTTTCAAACCACTAATTTCAGCTGACCGAGGCCACAGTGATATCAAACCCGAAAACATCTTGTTCTACCCATCACCTTTCATTCCAAGCAAAACCCCTAAACCCCAGCAGCCAGGGGATGAAGACAAGGAAGACGAGGGGGAGTTTACACCCGGAGTCGGCTCTGGTGGCATCGGCAAAATCAAGATTGCCGATTTTGGCTTGTCCAAGGTGATCTGGGACAGCCAAACCATGACCCCTTGCGGCACCGTTGGGTATACGGCCCCCGAAATAGTCAAGGATGAACGCTATTCCAAGAGTGTAGACATGTGGGCCATGGGCTGTGTTCTCTACACGCTTCTCTGTGGCTTCCCCCCGTTCTACGACGAGAGTATTCAGGTACTCACCGAGAAGGTGGCGCGTGGCCAATATACCTTCCTGTCACCCTGGTGGGATGACATCTCGAAATCGGCCCAGGATCTGATCTCGCACCTCTTGACGGTCGATCCAGAGAAACGCTTCACTATCAAGGAGTTTCTTGCACACCCGTGGATTCGACAAACCAATGAGGAGACCACTCCCGCTGCTGATGCACCACCTCTAGCGACGCCCTCTGTCGCGGCCCGCCAAAATGGTACGCCACAGATGGACCCGGTCGGCGCCGACCAGGCCCCGTATCAGCCCGTTAGTAGCCGAATCCCCGACCAGCCGTCCACCGTATCGGAACGTCGCATGGACTTCCGCTCCCCGGGTGCGTTCAACCTCCGCGAGGTATTTGACGTTGGCTATGCCGTCCATCGACAGGAAGAAGAAGGCAAACGGCACAAGAACGTACGGCAAGGATTCCAGTCGGTACTTGGTTCGCTCAACGAAGGCTATGATGACGAGCCCGAGTACCACTCGCGGATCGACGCAAGTCGCGGCCAACCACCGCTCAAGGTCGCCAAGTCCAGCACACAGGGCTCTGGCGAAATGGCTGGCATGGAAGCAAAGCTCCGGTCCACGAACCTCGGAGCCCAAAGCAGTGCCGCCCAAGCACGGCAAGCCCACCGCCAGCCTCGACAGCAGGGGTATGGGCAACACGATGCTACAGTCGCCGCTGCAGCCAAGAACAGCATTGCTCGCGAAGCCAATCGACCTTTCGAGCTTAGCCTGGACAATGCCACCTTGCTGGAAAAGCGCGGCCGTCGCAATCAGCCGGTAGCATGAAAGACCAACGCGAGGCGTTTTGTTTTTTTGAGACGAGCGATATGTTGCATGACTGTGTTTATGATTTTTGTTGTGTTGGTCTTATATGTCTTTAACCTTCCCGATTCTCCAGAAAGATGAAATGATCTGGATAAGTTGGGTTTCTCGTTTCGTTCCGTTTTCTTTTCTTTTCTTTTTGTTTCTCATGGGATTCTCTTTCTTGTCTTTTTTTTCCTTTTTTCCCTCTCTTTTTGATGATATGCGTTATGCATGATGCTACCTAGTTTACAAGGCCGGGATTGGGAAGGGCGAGTGGTTCTCTTTTTTCTTTTCTTTTCTTCGTGTATGTGTTGGCCGTTTTTCGAAGCGTTTACGGATCATTCGTGACAACTCGGATAGGGAGTTTGTGTCTTCAGGGATTACCAAACCTCGCCAAGGGCTTTCCTTCTTCTTCTTCTTTTCTTCTTATGCCTTTGAGGCCAAAAATCACCATTGCTTACATTTCTGGCTGGTCCTGACCGCAGTGGAATGGTTTGACTTCCCTACTGTTCTTGACCTTCCGCCCTTGAGATATTTCCTTCCCAATTTCGTTTCTCTGGATTGTAGCTTCAGTTTTTAAAACTGCCCTTGCCCCTGGTTTGTTGGCGCTTGGGTTCCTTTTTCTTCGTTTTTTCTCCTTTCTTTTGGCAATTGAGAGAGTTGATAGAGCTAAGTAGGTATGTAGAGGTCCCTTGCCTAAATTTGCTGTAGACTATGCTTAATTTCTGCTTTATGGTTGGATCAAAGGAATGCAACATCTATTTCGAATAGCAGCACACTTTAAATTGTATTCGAGAAACGGCGACCACAGATTGGAAACAGGATCCTGTAGACATATATCATTTTAGAGAACTTCCTACAATATAGAATCGGTAGCATGATCTGATGGGGGTCTACGGGTTATCACCAAGCTACAGGCCAAAGAGGAAAAATAAAGAAAGAGGATTTTGGGGTATCAGAAGAATCTCATTCAGACAACATGATGGTGGTATCTAGCATCAACGTATATATATGTTCATCACTGAGTCGGGGAAGCAGAAAAGCGGGCGAATAAAAAGCGATATAACCCTTTCAAAGGGGAAAAAAGAAACGGAAAACAACGGTGGAGTTCGCGATTCACTCCTCACAGTGAAAGACAGGCTCCGGGCATGGTCTGTCATATATCAATCTCCTCTTGAACTCTCGAGAAACTCGAGGTTTTCAGGGGTAGAAAGGTGAAGAGTGAAAGTAGGGAAGATGGGGAGGGGGGTAGAGGGAGGGATGTATAGCAAGCATCATGTATATCCCCGTATATGTATACACTCAAGACAACAGGCAACAGGCAACAAAGCAAGACTGCAAAAAAAAAATCAAGTCATTACAGAGTCTGCTTGCCCCGAGTCTCAATGGGGAGGAAGACCATAGCCAGGAAGGCAGCCAGGATCAGACCACCGGAGGCATAGATGGGGGCCTCGGGGGTAGCATCGCCGGCATAGATAGCGACCAGCGGGGCACAGAGACCGGCAATACGGTTGAGACAGCTACCGATACCGGTGCCGGTGCCGCGGACGGGGGCAGGGAAGACCTCGGGGGTGTAAGCGTAGAGGACACCGTACATGATGTTCTGGAAGAAGGCCTCGATACAGGTGCAGGCGAGCTGGACGTTGGCATTGGTGGAGGCAGTGAAGCAGAAGACCAGCACGCCGGTGATCATCGTCGCAATGGCCATGGTGCCCTTGCGGCCAATGTACTTGATCTCGACAGTGTAGCAGGCCAGGATCGAGCCCGGCAGGCCGACGATCGACGAGATGGCGTAGTTGCGGTACACGGTGTAGGTCGAGTTCTCCGAGCCGCCGGCCTTGGAGAGGTACTGCGGCAGGAACGCGTTGAAGAGCGGGTAGCCCATGCCGATGGTTGCCCAGCAGAACCACAGGATGACGGTCGTGAAGCCCAGGCGCTTGGTGGCGAAGAGGGGCCCGATGCGATCCAGAGAGAACTTGGAGAAGAATCGCTTGATGATCTCGTTGTAGCTGAGGGCCTCCTTCTCGCGGTGCTCCGGGATCCCGCCGATCTCGTTGAGGATCTCGGTCGTCAGCCACGTTTGCGTCCGGTTCTTGTACGCGATGCCGTGCACCGACGCGACGGCCTCGTCCTGGCGGCCGCGGGACAGCAGGAACTTGGGCGACTCGTAGAGGTGGAAGAAGAAGAACCGCAGCACGAACATCACAAAGGTGATGGCACCCAGAGTGAGAACCAGGTAGCGCCAGCCCATGTTGTCTTCCTTAAGGCAGACCGGGGCATTTTCAGCACAGCTCCAGCGGGGGATGTAAGCCCAAGCGAGCAGACTAAAACCGATGATTAGCGGCTATCCGGGGCCATTTCGAGCATTGCTTCCACAAAGAAATCACACTCACCTGCCAATCAGTTGACCAACAGGCCACCAAACACTCAACATGGTCAACATATTCCCAGAAGCGAATGGCAAGAACTCAAGGAACAGAGCACCATCAACGGGCAGGTTACCACCCACACCGAGACCCAGGCAGGAGTACAGACCACAGACACTGGGATCAACGATTAGCAAGCCCCACCAGCTTTCAAACGGTAAGAAATACGCACCCAACCCAGGTAGGGCCACCACCTGCCGCCAGACCAAAGACACCGGCCAGGAACAGGGTAGTGTTAAAAGCCAAGCGCCGTCCAATAACATCCGAGGCAATACCCCAGAACGAAGCACCGATACAGAGACCCAGGAACAGAGCGCAAGTAGTGAAACGCACATGCGACGATGAGACGCCGAATTCAGCAGCTAAAGGAGTCAGGGTTAGGGCAACACCCTAAATTTTGTCAGTAATGTCCACGGCACCGTATTCCTTTCAACGCTGCTTCTTACCTGAAGCCAAAGGCTAGAGAAGAAAAAGAAATGTTAACCAGGCACACTTTGGACAGATATATCGAGGATCGCTTACTTGTCTGCCGTCCAGCCAAAACCACACAGGGCAAACAGTTCCCACTGGTACCGACCCATCCCGATATCCTGGATGGCACGGTTGATCACCTTTGCCTTGCCTGTAAGATAAAACCAATTAGATATCACACTCGAAATAGCCAATTGCATAGGGGTTGTCCGCTGAGGGCAGGGTTGCGTTTGGCAAATTTCCACAGGACCAGAAGGCAACATACGATCATAAACCGAGTCACGGCCTGACGTCGAGACATCAGCATCGACTTCAGCACGGAGCTGCTCCAGAGTCAAGACACTGCTATCCGGCTGAGAGCCCGTGTGCGAGGCAGCGGCACCGTTCTCCGCCGAGGGAGCACGGTCCAAGGTCTTGAGAGGCGTGTCATCGGGGGAAACCTTCTTCTCCTCGGTCCCCGGGTAAGCAGGCGGGTTCTCAGAAGAAGGAGCCAGTGGGATGACGACTCCCGGAAAATTCTGGCGGTCCCTTTTGAACGGGTTGAACTTGGCGAGACCCATGGTGGTGAATTAAAAAAAAAAAAAAAAAAAAAAAAAAAAAAAAAAAACTGGGTCAATGTATATGTATGTTTGTATAGAGGATTGCGGGGGTGGGTCAACAAGTCGCGTGGGAAAGGATCAACACGTTTCCGGTGGGGGTTTGCTGCTATCTGCCGGTGAAGTCCGTTTCAAAACATTCGAGGGGCCGTTGCTGGGGGGCGAGATAGAATCCGAGTCCGAGGGTAGGGTAGGTCGACCGGTTAGGGCAAATCTACAAAGTGGCGCAATCGAACGGGAGATGCAATCAGGGTCCTAGAGTCGTTGGCCGGGGGGAAAGCGCAAAGTGCCTTGGTTCGTAGAACAAATCGTAGAATTTCGCGGTTGGAAAAGTGCTGCTATCGTGATCTTCGTGGGCTAGAAATAGCTATGGACGAAATGTTGTTGTAGTCGCTGTGGAGAAGAGGATTGGGGTCGCCAGGGTGGTGGAATATCGCTGGCTACTGAAGAGCGGATTTGGCGTAGAAAGTGCCTGTGCTGAGGCGTTTCGTTGCTGGAACCAATTCTTTTTTTGTCTTTGTTTTCTTCCAGGAGAGGGAAGATGAGAGTGGTAGATAACCAGGAAGCACCTGGGTGAAAAAGAGGGCGAGGAAAGCTGGGAGTATAGCTATACCTCTAGTGGTGAAGAGGGTAGAAGGGTAAGGGGACAGAAGGGAAAAGATAGAGGGAAAAAGACGGGATAAATGGAACGCTATATACAAGATCCCAAGGACAGAATCACCTTTTTTTTTTTTTTTTTTTTATTACGAGTCCTCTGGAATATGCGGCAAGGCCCCCATGGTAAAGCGGGACTTGCGAATATCGCGCGAATGGCAAAGCAACGACGCTAAGACCCATTCGGCTGCGGCCAGTCCCGAGTAGGAATAGCGGTAATTTTGGTACAGTGGATCGGGGCAACTGGGGGGCCATTGGTACTCGGCATTACAGGGAGACATTGTACGAAGATCGAAGATAGAGAATAAACAGAAAAGAAAGAAAAAATATATATACATGAAGAAAAGAAAAGAACATGTATAGGATGGACCCTTGCAAAGAAACCTCAACAAGCATCGCCCTAGGGTATCTCTATGTGCGATCCATGCTCAGGGCTTGAGCCTCCCGCTTTTAGCCGGCGCCCCAGGAGCGCCATCTTCCCTCAATCCAGTTTGTATCGTTTAGTTCGCAACGGAATAGACTGGGGGGATTTTTGCCGCAAGACCACTTCTGGCACTGAGTACTCGACAAGAAAAGAAAAGAAAAAAGCCGCATCCGTCCACGTGCCCGGGTATCGACGTCACCCTCTTTTTTTCCTTTTCTTCTCTTCTGTTTCTTTTCCTCTTCTTTTCTAGCGTTTTTTCGAGGAGATGTCTATCTTGTCGATTTTAGGACTTCTGTACCTTCCCCCAGTTCATGCACCATGACACCATCCCCTCATGACCTTCTGTCTCCCCTCCAAAATGTTAGTGAAGCTTCCGTGTTTCATCTCTCCCTCGGCTTCGCCCCCCATCGTCACCGGGAGAGTCTTGGCAGAGGCGCATCCCTTCCGCTTTCAGAGCGGTTGTGAGGGGATCCACAGTCATCATCCTCGCTCTGGGACCACGACGAATCACGGCTGTCAGAGACGGGGTAATCTGAGCGACCACGGGCTGATAAATTACCATCCCTACTTCTGGACGGCGTGGTAGGGCCTCCCAACGCTACATGATTTTCTTGAAGGGTTTGCCTCCCCCCTCCTTGGCAAAAATACGGTATGGAAAAAGGCATGGAGAACAAGTCTTCGGCTCCGACGCTCGTATTATGCATTACTCTTCGTCTCTCGGCACCGCAAAAAAAGAAGGTCCATTGAAAGTGGCCTCGGTTGTCGTGCAGACATGCGAATACACAATATATACATACTGATTGTCATGTGGAGGACGTCAAACCCCTGACAGCCAAAGGAAGCACTGTCTATCTCTCACTCTCCACTCGGGCATATTGGCACTTCCTCTATCTGCCTGTACAATCTATGTGCACTTGTAGATACCCACCGTCCCTGATTATTATGTACAGTAGTGTGTGGGCAAGATACATCCTCGATAACCCTGCATCTTGGCACGGGCTTGCCGGTTGCATTCCGATCGCGTGGGCTTCTACTTGCTTAGGGCTCGTGTTTACAGTATGCGACCGCGTATCACCCATGGCCCCTATGTACAGTAAGAACTAGGAGACTGATACAGTAGCAAATAGCCCCCCTCTTAGAACCTGAGCTGAAAAGCTGCAGGATTGCACACTTGGGTATGTTCAGTTCTCGGCGTATTCCTAGTATTCGTAAGATTCGATGCGACACTGCACAGATAGATTTCCTCCTTGGGGAAAGGATTGTCCTCCTCCCCCCCTTAGTCGCTGCACATGAAATCCCAGTACTGATGGACTAGTATCTAGAAGAAAAAAAAAAAAAAAAAAGTATCGACTGACTTTCCATCGTGATGTGATTGATGGAGGTGTCTTGATCGGTGCACTCCACTCTGCCGGGGCACGCTACGGTTGTTAGTGTGCTGGGCAATCGCGAGGTCTGGGAGAGAGTTTCCTGCGTCGATGCTTGGACCGTGCATTCAAGGATGGGCATATGTTAGATGACTATGTAGGAATCATCCGTGAGACCCAGACTCTTGTTTCTTGCTGAATTAATCATTCTTTACTCCCGTTCTCGAAGGTTATACTCGGCGGGGACATGTACCGTAGATCTATATTGATACATACATGTAGTGTATAGTGTACTGGAGATGTATACAGCCCCTGCTCGATTTACATGTTGACGCTAGTATTCAGCTTCCAATATCACCAGAGAACAAGCTTGACAATCTCTAAAACAATCTCCAATACATCCCCCCCCCCCCCCAAATACACATCCCCAAACAACCCCGCATAACAGCGCCTCATTAACCGCAGCATTCTGAAAATCCCGCGGGTGATCGACTCGGCAGTGACCCCGTAAGTCGGTAGATTGCTTGGCATGCAAGATGAGGGTATTTCATCCGGGATGATGTTTATCTGCTGCCCTGACTCAAACCCAAAAAAGATAGTTCTATTAGACTTTCCCACGGGAAAGTGCTATATTCTCTCTGTGTTACTTGGCATCTTGGATATCTGATACGGTCTATATCCAGTCGATAAACCAAATAGCCCTGTCTGCGTGAAACGATACTGAAAATGGTAAACAGGTCCCGGTGGCGGTGTTATCACCCCCGATAATGGCGCCCTTCCTATCGCCCTATCTACCCCCTTAAATGATTTAATGACGCACCACGGGATGACTAGGATGTTAGTGGTGTTTCCCGCGGGAAAATACATTGTATTCTAGATATTGATTGAGGTCGGGAAAGGGGGGTTGCCAAGATTCCTCAAGATGATATGATGATGACAAGCTACAGGTATGTATGATGCTCCCCGCAGAAATGCGGTCTGGCTCGAATTGGGTTTGCTGCTAGCCAATCTCTAATTGTAGGTTTATGAGTTGTCTCTGTCTCTATACATGAGTGCAAGATCAGTCTCTGCGCCGCCGAACATAGATCACCGTCGAACAGAAATGATCATCCGCTCCAAACTCGAACATCTCATAACCCTCCATCATGGCCCTGACCCGAGGGGAGCACGGATCGGTTCTATATAAAAGACACTCCCATTAGTAAATGGCATCGCCAGTCCAATCAATAAGAGAGAGAAAAAGAGAGAGAGAGAGAGAGAGAATCTTACACCATCGTCTTCCCTCTAACATCAGTCACCGTGATCGACTTGCTCCCAAATCACCACCGCCGGCCGAGCGATGTCTGCGACGATTTCCTTGACCGGTACGTTGGGCCCACACGAGAACAGAATCGATCGTTCACCCACCTTGAGCCAGGCACTCGGGTCATCGATGACCTCGATCCCGTGCTCGCCGAGAACAGCCTTGTCAACGGGTTTGTAGTCCAAGTCCTGAGCGTAGCAGTGAAAAGTCTTCTGTCAAGTTTGCAGCCACTCTTGCAGAGTCAGCACTAACGCATGTTGAAAGCTAGAGCGGTTGCAATGGTCCCTTGAGATGGCTGCCAGAGCGACAGCAACAATCTTGTTGATCTCATGTCCCCTGGTTGACTTGTTCAGGACTTGTACAACTCTTTTGCACATATCCTCTTTCTGCCAGGTTTGGATCTGCTGTTGAAGTACTTGGTGGGAGAGTCATGGCTCGGAAGGGAAGAGTCTTGGACCAGCTCTTTGGTGCCTAGTATTCCCTGCTGCGAGTTCTGGCATATTGGCAGGCTACAACGAGGAGCCCGATTTTCAGGGTCATAGCTACTGTCGTCCAACATCCAGAGAAGGTGCTTGAGATTTGCACGACAGCGGTAATGTATTTCAGGTTCCTGGCTGCTTGATATCAGCATCGAGATCTATTAGAAGGAGCAATCAGTCACTTTATACATGAGAAATTCCTCGAACATATCATTATCATCATCATTTTTATTGTCGTCGTCGTCATCATCATCGGATTTCCAAATTGGGTGCTTGAAAGACTCGCCGGTCGTAAGGGTATATACCATCGTTGTGCCTGCCACGTCCCTGATAAAGACTTGATCTCCGCGACCGGGGAAACGTTGAAGCTGCTCATGGATAGCACGAATCCCATATTTGGTGAAGAATGGTTTTCCCGAATCATACAGCTGGTCGATGCGCCATCGCCTCCTCGGTATTCAGTGGCGCATCAGGAGGAACGCCGTCATGCCAGCGCCATGGACAGTATGCGGACACTCTATCCATTAGTGTGCGAGAATAGGAACACAGTTCACATATACTTTGGAGCAGTGATATTTTCTGCCTTCTTGTAGACTGGGTGTTCAAATCAACAAAGTTGTTGACATACGCGAAGAGGGACACTGACAGGGGTAGAACACCTCCTCACTACTTAGCTCTCCTTACTAGTATTGGCGCATCAACAAAACACACAGAACATAATACTATAACAAACAGTACATGAAACGAATAAAATAGAGCAGATTTATATCACTGGAATATATACAAGAAAGTTGTCAGTCTCGAGAATAAATATGTGGTCATTTATTTTATATCTAGGCATATGAGAGGTTGATTCCGCCGAGAGCAATCCACAGGTCCTCATTTTGCACTCAACAATTCCCACTACAGCCATGAGACATCATCTCTCACAACGAGTCCACCCGACGAAGCAGCCACTCGAGATGCCGATACGCCACGCGCGGCTGATACTGAGGCTGCATGTGGCCACTCATAAAGGTCTCCACCCACATCAGGCCACGCTCATAGTGCTGGATCCCCATCACGCCCTGGGGCCCATCGAGACCAGACTGGTTGTTCGCCTTGAAGACCTCCTGGTACATGAGGTCCGGCATGGAGATATGGATCGGGGCATGCGGGCGGGTCTCGAAGCCGAGATGACCATTCCAGGTCATGTTCTGGATAGCGAGGAGGGTGCCATTAGTGATGATGACCATATCATAGTCGCCGTTGCCGATCAGCACGCGGTTTGTGGCCTCGATGACCTGTGGCAGGACGTGCTCGATCGGGTTGGCGCTGATGTCGCCTTCGTGCTCGGGCCCGGCGCTGCCGCCCACGAACACGGGGTCGTTGGAGCACTCGCTCCAGGTGGCGTTGGGGGCGTGGAGGGCCTTTTTCACGTCTGCACGGTCGAAGTAGACTGTTGATCCGGTGGCTTGGTAGTCGAGTGCGGTTGGGAACGCGAGCACGTCCCACAGGAGCGGGCACATCTGGTTGATCTCGTATAGGTCGAAGCAGGGGTTGATGTTGAAGATCTCGTTGTTGATCATGTCGAATACGTCGCATTTGGCTTGTGATGTGGTGTTGAAGGACTTGTGTGGTTGCACCCCGGAGGCGGGGAATGTCAGGTACTCGTCGAGGAAGTCTGCGTATCCGCATGATTTGTGGAGTCTCTCGAGCTCGGCCATAAAGGTCTTGTTGAAATTGAACAGGTTGGAATTCTGCTGCACAAACGGGACGGCTGGGACTTCTTCCTGGATGTAGTCGAATTGCCCGATGCATGGATCGTAGGCCAGGGCGCCTGTTCAGTGTCAGTTTCTTCCCTTCTCTTTAGGGATAAGAAGGGGTATATTCAGTAGCTCACCATCCAAGTCAAAATACTCTTTATTTTTCTCGTCCAGCATCGCAGCCGAGATGTACGGCACATAGCGTCCAGCATAAGACTCGCCCGTGACATAGATCTTAAAGTTCTTGATGCCAAAGATTTTCTGAAAATTCTTAAAGAACTTGACAAAATCTTGTGCCGTTTCTTCTTGTGATTTGGCCGTCGGAGTGCCCGTGGAGTAGCCCGTTCCCACAGGCTGATCAACCCTGAAAGAATATCAACGTCAGAACTAACCCACTCCCGAGGTGCACTGGGCAAACTCCTCACCATAACACGTTGGTCAGATTAACCCAAGAATAAGGATTCTCCACCGGGGCAAAAGTGCCAGGCTGCCACAGAAAACGGCCAGTCTCCTGCAGGAAACTCTCCATCGAACTACAGCCAGGCCCGCCATTAAGCCAGATGGTGATCTCGTCGACGGGCTTGCCGATAGTAGGCTGAAAAATGAAAAACAGGTTCCTCGAGCTATTGCTTGTGTCAATAGGGACAAGGCCGGAGTACATCTCGCCGATGTCAAAGGGCACATCGGGCAAGGATTGCACCCGGTATGCTAATGGATTTGTTAATGTACACTCGTCGCCGTGCAGAGATAGTAATGGTGAGGTTGTGAGTTACTCACGCTTGGTCTTGTCATTTAAAAAGCGAAAGTCCTCCGTGGAATGAGACGATTTCTTCTGCGATGCCTCTACTGCTCGTTTGGCCTGCTCGAGGGGCGCTCGGGCTCGCTCTGCAAAGCGTCCATGTTTGGCCGCCGAGACTGCATCTGACCCTAGAGACAGGGCTACCAACGCAGGTGTGAGGATGGACATAAGCAACATCCTGTGGTTAGGGGAAATTAAAACAAAAGAAGGAGGAAGGTAATCAAGTAAAAGGATTTGGCTAAGATAAATGGATGGCCACTGATTATATATCTTGGTCGAAGCAAAATCGCAGCTCCGCAATTCAGGGGGGTCCTGAGAATGAAAGAGCAGCTTCTCCTCACCAAGCTCACTAGCACGGAGCTAAGCAATGCTTCTTCTGCGCCTCCACTGCCTGTGCACGGGGACTACTACTGCAGGTGGTATCGGCAGGGCGGGGCAGGCCATCACACCACCCCCAAAAACGGAAAATCGCCAGAGAATCCTGCAAGTTGGAATCGATCTGCATCGCAATTTTTTGCCTGCTGATATTGGAACCATTTCCAGCAATATTGTTGTATGTGGATAGCCCCCCCTCCGAGAGATAGAGGTTGAGGGGGTTTGAGTGGCGCGGGGAGCAAAAGTTAGGGCTTCCGGATGAGCGACGGATTTCCGTCTGGACTGCTATCTTCCACTTTTCGACTATCATCTGAACCCTTGAAGATCAGTTGACCATTCCCTCCTGATCGGCATTCAATCACCGGGAAAATAAATTGGTAGAATATATTATTCTTGGAAGGATTGCCGCGTATAAGAGGAGCTTATTTCTGTGATATCGATGGCTCGACAGGACAACTGCTTTGGATGGATCCACATTGACATTGCTACATACCAATGCATCGAGTGGGACCGAGGTGTCAGATTCCTATTGATTTTTTTTTTTTTTTTGATCTTTTCTCAAAACAAGAACAAAAGTAACCATGGAATCAGATTAAAAAAAAAGACTGAAGAATAAAAGACAGCAAAAAATGGACAGCAAAAACTGGACTCGCGGGGAATCGAACCCCGGACCACCCCCATGCTAAGGGGGTATTATACCACTAAACCACAAGCCCAATTATGTGGTGGAAGTCCGAGAAAAGTGCTACAACCGCTAAACCACAATTAAGGGCCACTGCACTGGATACTACCTGGGAAGATTGTCCTGATTTTCCAGGCCCGAACCCCGAACTCCCGGCGTCCGAGTCTGGACCCATTGCACTTGCAGGACTTTCCTCTGCTTGGCACGCTTTTCTCTCTTTATTGATCTACTATCTCACTGGTTCTTGTTCGCCTGTTGATGACTGACATCTGACACGAGTAATGAATTCAACCACCACAGACTCCTGTCTTAATGCCCAGGGTTGGGCCAGCACATCCATGGATGCTTGGCTGTTTCCACAATGTGCTGGTCAATCCTGCCGACTCCACCCCATCCACCGCTGCCAATGGTCTCCCGCTCCGACTTTTCTTTATTCTCTATAGGGTTTAGAGTGACCCTCAGGATCTCCAAAGCCAATGGGGACAATTCCTCGTGAGGGCACAATTTTTGCTCTTGACTAACAGGGGACTGGATGACTCTGGGTTTTGATTGCTAATATCACCCCCTCCGCAAACATAAGAACTCCCCGGGTTCCTCCCCCCGCTCATCAGATTTGCGGACCCAACTGAAACCACACTCGACCTCACAGACAGATATCCACAAATCCTAGCGGTGTATCCCGCGTAGAATGTCCACCAGTGCCAGGCTAGCCAGCACATCCGATGCAGCTGGTGACCATGGACTCGAGCCAATTCGCAGTGCTCCCCAGGACACTGTGACTTCCACCGAAAAGGATGCACCCATCAACGATCCAGAAAAGGCCGATACGGATGTCACTGATCCTGAGAAGCATGCCCAGGTGGGGATGAGCTGCCAGCTCTCAGAGCAGGAACAGCCCACTCCCGACGAATCTGCCCTCTATCGAGCGGCATCCACGATAGCCCCATCTCATGCTTCTGCCCCCAGGGACCCGGTCAGCCGGGTAACGACCGACGCAGAAGGCAACACCTATCCTGAAGGTGGACTCCAAGCATGGCTGGTGGTGCTGGGCAGCTTCCTCGGCCTTTTTGGTTCGCTGGGGCTGGTCAACACCATTGGCACTTTCCAAGCATATATCGAGAATCACCAGCTGAAGGAATACAGCTCCGGAAGCATAGGTTGGATCTTCGGTATGTTCGCCTTCCTCACCTTCTTCTGTGGTGTGCAGGTCGGCCCAATCTTCGACGCGCGCGGACCACGCCTCCTCGTTCTGGCAGGTTCGATCTGCGAGATGGCCATGATAATTCTTGTCGGGTTCTGCACCAAATACTGGCACTTTATGTTGGTCATTGGCGTGCTGGGCGGCGTCGGAGCGTCCCTCATTTTCACCCCGGCCATCTCGGCCATCGGGCATTTCTTCCTCGAAAAGCGCGGTGTCGCAACCGGTATCGCGGCCACTGGCGGCTCGGTTGGGGGCATTGCATTCCCGCTCATTATGCAAAGCCTCTTTCCCAAAATCGGGTTTGCATGGGCAACCCGGGTGGTGGCCTTGATCTGTCTTGTGGCGCTATCGCTGGCCAATCTTCTAATCAGATCTCGCCTGCCGAAGAAGCCCTTTTCCAAGGAGAATGTGCTGCCAGACTTTCGCATCTTCCGCGAGCCTCGATTCGCGCTCACTACAGCGAGCGTCTTCTTCATCGAGTGGGGTCTATTTATCCCGATCAGCTATATCTCGTCTTACGCCCTTTCCCACGGCTTCAACACGGAGCTATCATATCAGATTGTGGCCATCCTGAATGTGGGATCATTCTTTGGGCGATGGCTGCCAGGATTCTTTGCGGATTTCCTGGGTCGGTTCAACACACTCATCGCCACCGTAGCCCTCTGCCTGCTGTGCAATGCATGCTTGTGGCTTCCGGCCGGAAGTAGCCTGGCCTTGCTTGTGATCTATGCCCTCCTTTTCGGCTTTTCCAGCGGCAGCAACATCAGCCTGACGCCCGTGTGCGTCGGTCAGCTCTGCAAGACCGAGAACTATGGTCGCTATTACGCCACTGCCTACACCATCGTGAGCTTCGGGTGAGTTGTTTTCTCTTTTTCCTCTGATGTCATGCACACCCCAAACTGACATACTCTCGCCACCTAGCACGCTTACCGGCATTCCGATCGCTGGTGAGATCCTGTCGCGCTGCAATGGAGAATACTGGGGTCTTATTGCTTTCACGACTGTCTGCTATGCTGCTGGTCTGGCCTGCTGCACGGCCGTGAAAGTCATTCAAGTTGGCTGGCGTCATCCCATGGCTATTTTCTAGACGCCCAACCATGCAGGGATTGGTAGGGCCGAACACCCCAAAAACACATTCTCGATACGACATGACGACCCAAAAGACTAAACTACAAAAGTTGAATTCCCTGATTCATTGCGACGGATTGGCTTTCGGGTGTTCTCTTGTTACTTTCTATTGATTACAGTGATGCATTGCGACGACGAGACGAACCGTGCATTTGGATTTTGCCTGCGCCTGAGCTAGCATTGGTGTTAATTAGATGCCACTAATATCACTTTTTTTTTTTAATTGAAACCCGGTCACCAACAGCTCAACTCAGGACGATTTCCCATATATTGCATTTCCGATACTATCGAGATCCAGCTGGACCTGATCTCCTTGCAACCCACTCCTCGGATTACGTCTCCGAGGTACACCGGCCAGCTCAAGCCGATTTGCACGCTTGCCGCAGTATAAGTCCTCTTACAACAGAATCGTTCTTTATTGAGAGACTTGACTACGAGAAGGGTCCTTTCAAAGAATACTTTCTGGGATGCGCCTCTCTATATACATCTGGCCCATGCATGCGCAGCTCACCACCAACTTAGGGCTCCGACACCGCGCATATGATTTCCGCCAAATCCACCCACCAAAACAATCTCCCGCAGATCTATGTAACTATCCAGTCACAATGATGGGGGGGAAGATGCCTCAGCCTATTCATAATTCTCAGCCAACCCTGAACAACATGAATCCATGGATTCTCTTCCCCCCCTCCGATTATTTCCCATAGGGCGGCCGAAAACCCTGGCCCTGTCATCCAACATGCGTCTCCCGGTTCTTGCGGGTGGTCGTTCCTGGGTTCCGTCCAAACCCTCCCAAACCCAAACCCAAGAAAAAGGCATTCCAAGTTGACTTCAGTTCCGACTCCCAATCGGGGTTTCGATGACATCGAGTGGCCATCATCACCGTGCAAAGATTTCTGACATACGAGGAGAGAGCTTTTTCTTTTTCTTCTTCTTCTTCTCTCTCTCTCTCTCTTTCTCTTTTGTTGTTCGTCTCTCTCTTTCTCCAGCAGCTTGAACTTTTGTTGTTTTTGGATTTGTTCTCCTCATCCGGGTCTGACCAACAAACCGAAAGAGCGAAGAAAAAGAAGCAAAGAATTACACAGAACCCAGCTTGCATTCTCGCCCTCGATCTCGAGAGACATCAATATCAACACATCGACTGACCCGCATAGAAAGAGTACGCAAAGGGTCGTTCGACGAGCGCTTTTGACTCGCTCAGCACGATGTACTCGAAAAACTGCCTGGTCTTGCTGGCCGCCTCCTGGGCGCTCTTGCAGAGCGTCCGAGCCGTGCCCTCGGGCGAGGTCGAGTCGGCTCGCCGTGAAGAACTCGAGAAACGTTCGAACTTGGAAGAACGCGGGAATTTGAACCCCACGCTTCTTATGTCGCTGCTTACGCAGGCTGCTACTACCCCTACTGCTGGCGGCCCGGGCCAGCAGCCTACTCAGCCGGGTGGTGGTGGTCCCTCGCCTGGTGGTGGTGCCCCCTCACCCGGTGGTGGTGCCCCCTCACCCGGTGGTGGTGCCCCCTCACCCGGTGGTGGTGCCCCCTCACCCGGTGGTGGTGCTCCCTCGCCTGGCGGAGGAGCTCCCAGTGGTGGTGCTCCTGGCGGTGGTGCTCCTGGCGGTGGTGCTCCTGGCGGTGGTGCTCCTGGCGGTGGTGCTCCTGGCGGTGGTGCTCCTGGCGGTGGTGCTCCTGGCGGTGGTGCTCCTGGCGGTGGTGCTCCTGGCGGTGGTGCTCCTGGCGGTGGTGCTCCTGGCGGTGGTGCTCCTGGCGGTGGTGCTCCTGGCGGTGGTGCTCCTGGTGGTGGTGCTCCTGGCGGCAATGGCAAACCATCCGGAGCATCTTCTTCCCCCACCTCGAGTCCAACCGGTTCTGTATCCTGTCCATCTCTTCCACCTACGTCTGTCGTGGTTACCCAGACAATCCCCCCGTCCACGATTCCAGCCTCGACAATCTCGGCGTCCACTTTCTCCGCGACAGTGCTCTGCCCTAACGTGGTTGTCACCTCGACTGTCACCGTAAGCAACTGTCCTGCCGGTACTACTTCGGGCCCGGGAGGGGCTGGAGGAGCCGGAGGAGCACCCGGTGCCAGTCGCAGTGCCACTGGTGCCGGTGCTGGAGCTGGATCATCTACATCTCACCCGGCGAGCAGCTCTGCGAGCCCCTCATCTACAGTGAGCTCGGCGGGCGGAACTGGAGCCGGAGCATCTGCATCGGGCATCGCACCTGGAGGTGGCTCAGCCTCGGCCGAAGCCTCATCGGCCAGCGGTACACCAGCCACCAGCAGCCCAGGAGCCGGTACCAGCGCATCGGCATCGGCATCAGCATCAGGTATCTCACCCGGCGGTAACTCCAGCGCCATTATTTCGTCGCCATCCAGCCGATCCACCAGCGCTGCCACCTCGACGCCACTGATTCCCGCCGGCGGCGGTGCCAGTAGAGCATCGTCGCTCAGCACCGTGACCGGCTCGACGACAGTCACAGGCACAACCACAGCAATAGCCACGGTAACAGGAACGACAAACACAGCCGCCGCCCCGGTCAGCACGCCTCTCACGCTCCTAACTCTGGCGACGACGAGCGCAGCAGCGGGCACCGGCGGCTCGACCCCCTCGGCCGGCATCACGACGCCCGCACGCCCATCTATCTCTCCCGGTATAGCTCGACGAGGTATCGTGGGGAACATGACAGCGATCTTCACTAACACAACTAGTGTTACCACGAATGCGACGAGTACGCTGAACCTCACCAGCTTTGTGCCGCCCTCGGGACCGGCTCCTGCTGTTGCTATTCGGTTCCCGAGGGGTCGGAATCGGTATTGAAGAAACAAAAAAAAAAAAAGAAAATAACTTGGAAACCGATTGAATGTTGAGGTTTTGGGAATGGTATTTATTTGCTGATGGGCAATGCTACTGGGTGGTTTCTTCACCAGAGGCAAAAAAAAGAGAGAAGAGAGAGAGGGGGGAGTCTAATAAAAGGATGGAATGGAGTTCTTCAAAAGGTGACTGGCTCTCGGCAGGTAATATTTGGTTTATTTATTTATTCTTGTTTTCCTTTTCCTTTTCCTTTTCCTTTTCTTTTCTTTTCTTTTTTTTTTTTTTGCTGGGATTGTGAGGAAGTCATTACAGGCAAGACAAGACAAGACAAGAAATCACTTGGATTGCTTTTGGAGACTTCCCTCGATGCTGCTCTCGGCTGTGTGTGCTATATAGACGAGAATTGTTGCTCACAACACCTCCAGCCCTACATAGACTGTTATTGATTCACTTTAATTCTGATTCATTCTCCTCTGTTGTAAAAAAGAACGACAAGCACTCCATCCATCCTGGATCACTCTCTGCCAATGTATTGATTGCTATCACCTACTCAAGTAATCAGCGCAACGTAGAAAAATCTTGCATTTGCCTCGATGTGGGAATAATGGCTATGGAATAAAAAAACATAACCAGCTCATGCATATGAGAACGGCAGAGAGAATAACGATGAGAAGCAAACAGAGTCGCGAAAATATCAGCGGCTCTCTCGCGCCTGGTATGGCCAATGAGTTGAAAAAAAGAGTAACTAAGTACAATACAGAAACCGAAGCAGAAACAGATGAAGATGAAGATGAAGATAAAAAGGCAAGAGGCTAGATAGCAGGAAACACAAGAGGAAAAGAAAAGAATAAATTCAGACCGGGCAGAATTCAAGCTCCGGGACAATTGGAAACTCCCCCTTCAGTCGCCCACTTGACATCCTGAAGACCAGACGAACCCCTATCAATAAAATGCGCCAAACACCACACCCCCAGGGAAAAACACAGTACAAACGAATGCGAGAGTCGAAGAGAAGATGTGGGGGGGTTGCAAATATAAGAGAGGTAGTGTGTGGGTGGGTATGAGGTGAATAGAGAGAAAACAAATGTGAAACAAAAAGGCAGACAGGATATAAATGAGGGAGGGTTCCTCAAAGACTCATATAGACAGGGTATCAACGGCCACATCGAAACCATTTGACATATTTGCATGGCGAAGGAAATGATAAATTCATGGCATTGCGAGCGAACTCTTCAGGTGCTGTTGGATCGCAGCAGAGACTGTTTGAAGAGACAGGACAATTAGCCGATCGGCTCAGGGATGTGGTTCCATTCGAGAACATACGCGCTAACGTACCCGGTCGTCAATCATCTCCTCGTCCTTGTCTTCTGCGGGACTGACGACACTGCCACGGCCAATGGGTCCCGAAGTGGTGATGGCCCGGGTATCCATGCCAGGCCGCGGCGGTGTGGGCAGCGGCTGCTGCTGCTTTTGGGGTCGCTGCTGCTGGTTCTGGTTATCAGAGGAGACAGAGGAGTGGATGGGGTGCATTTCCCCGCTACTCGAAATCCTCGACTCCTTGCTCTTCTCCAGCAGTGAGCCACCAAGAGTCGCGCATTTCAGGATGGTCTGCATCATCTGGTTCTGCTTCAGTGGCTTGGACAGATATTCGTCCATCTGAGCCTGGATACACTTCTCACGGTCACCCAGCATGGCGTGAGCCGTAAGCGCAATTATTGGTGTTCGCTGGAGGCCGCTCTCGCGCTCATACTCGCGAATCTTGCCCGTGGCTTCAAATCCACCCATGACCGGCATTTGAACGTCCATCAGAATCACATCGTAGCGGCGTTTCTTCACTGCTTCCAAGGCCTCCAGGCCATTGCCGACAACAAAGACGTTGTGGTTGTGCTTCTGGAGAATCTTCATCGCCAGCTGTTGGTTGACGTCGTTATCCTCTGCAAGAAGAATGTCGAAGGAACGGGAGTTGTCGGTGGTGATGGGTGTCGAACGACCTTCTAAGGCCGGAAGCATACCGTTACCGAGATCGATTGGCTGGCATGGTGTAGTCATGTACGAGCTGATACCGAGATCCAGAGCTGATTTCAAGCTCACGCAGACCAGAGGACAGACGAGCACGATGGGGATGTACTTGAATTCGTCAAATGTTCGCAGGATCCGAGCCGTGTCGACCGAGTCCACGATAATGACATCGTATGCGTGACCCGACTCCTTTCCTGATGGATCTTGGATTTCAGGTGGTGGGACATGCTCTTCGTTGCGCACCACCAGCGGCTCGAGCTCAATCTTCTTGAGCATCTTCATCACATTGGATGCTTGAACCCCGTTCTGGCCCTTGTCGATGAACAGCACCCTATGGTTCCTGTAGGGCAATAGCTGAGAGGAAATGACCTTCAAGGATTGATCCGCAAGCTTTACCACACAGGTGAAGTGGAATGTGCTTCCGTGGCCATATTCAGAGGTAACCCAGACATCACCACCCATCAGGTTCACAAGGCGCTTAGAAATCGAAAGACCCAATCCCGTGCCACCAAACCTACGGGTGGTTGAGCCATCGGCTTGCTGGAAAGTGTCGAAGATCAAATCGAGCTTATCTTCCTCAATTCCAATACCGGTGTCAGAGACGGAAAACTCAAAGGCGTACTCGTTGGTCGTGCATTGCTCCCGATCGGACTTGCGAATAGTGAGTTTAACCTCACCATGTTCCGTGAACTTGATGGCGTTGCCGACCAAGTTGAGGATGATCTGGCGTAGACGGAATGGATCGCCAATGACATAGTCCGGAACGGTGTTGTCCACCTGGTAGGTCAGGCTGAGGAACTTCTCATTCGCCTTCACGGCCAATGTCTTGAGAGCATTGAAGACGGTGCCCCGGACTGTAAATGGGATGCTCTCGATCACCATACGGTTCGCCTCGATCTTGGAGATATCAAGAATGTCGTCGATGATCGTCAACAAGCTGTTTGCCAGGTTGTGCACAACGTTCAGCATTTCTCGGGTGTATGGCTTCAGATCATCCGTATCCAACGTCAATTGCGTCATTCCGATGATACCGTTCATTGGGGTTCGGATCTCGTGGGACATATTGGCCAGGAACTCGGATTTGGTGCGGTTAGCAAGTTCGGCGGCTTCCCTGGCAGCAGTGTTTCGTTGAATACTGTCTCTCAGGTTCGACACCATTTTGTTGATCTTGCGTTTTAACTCGTCCATCTCACCAGACGCGTTGACCGTAATGAGTTTGGTGAAATCTCCGTCGGTGGCGGCATCCGTGATTTCGCCAAATGCACGGACTTGGGACGTTAAGTTTTCGGCCATGGTGTTCACGTCCTCGGTGATCTCCTTCCATGTCCCTGCAATGCCTTCCACGTTGGCTTGTCCACCCATTTTGCCATCGACGCCGACATCGCGGGCGACCTTCTTCAGTTCCATGGCAAACTTGGCCAGTCGACCAACCATGTGATTGATGGTCACCTTGAGCGTCAAGATCTCTCCCTGGGCATGCACCTCAATCTTCTTGCTGAGGTCACCCTTGGCAATGGCCTGGGTGACATCGGAGATACTCCGCACCTGAGACGTCAAATTTTGCGCCATGGTGTTCACATTGTCGGTTAAATCCTTCCATTTTCCTTCAACGTTGTCCACCTTCGCTTGACCTCCCAGCGTTCCGTCTGTGCCGACTTCACGGGCCACCTTACTGACTTCAAAGGCGAAGGTATTCAGCCGGTCCACCATGCCGTTGATAGTGCTCTTGAGGTCCAAGATTTCACCCTGGACGTTGGCGGTGACCTTCTTGGTCAAATCACCCTTGGCGACAGCGGTGGTGACATCAGCGATCTCACGCACCTGGGTGGTCAGGTTGTTGGCCATCCGGTTCACATTCTCAGTCAGATCCTTCCAAGTGCCCTCAACATCATTTACCGTGGCCTGGCCTCCCAGGACACCGTCGGTACCGACCTCTTTAGCAATCTTGGTCACTTCCTGTGCGAATTGCCGTAGTTGGTCCACCATGGAATTGATAATGTTCTTCAGCTCTGCAATTTCTCCCCTGCAGTTGGCTTGCACTTTCTGCGTCAGATCACCCTTTGCTACAGCCTTCGTGACCGTAGCGATATCTCGCACCTGGGTGGTTAGATTGTTGGCCATTGCGTTGACATTAACCGTCAGTTCGTTCCACATGCCCTGGACACCCTCGATTTGGGCTTGTCCGCCGAGTACACCTTCCGTACCGACATCACGCGCGACTCGTGTTACTTCTGTTGCAAATGTCCGGAGTTGGTCCACCATGGTGTTGATCGTCTGTTGCAGTTCCAAGATTTCACCCTGGGCACGGCTCTCAATCTTTTGGCTGAGATCTCCGTGCGCCACGGCCGTGGTAACGGCCGCAATCTCTCGCACTTGATCCGTCAGGTTCTTGGCCATAATATTCACGTTTTCCGTAAGTTCCTTCCAGATACCATGGACACCGGTGATCTGAGCCTGCCCTCCGAGTATTCCCTCAGTACCGACCTCGCGAGCGACACGAGATACCTCGCTACCGAAAACTTGCAGTTGGTCCATCATGGTGTTGATCGTGCGTTTGAAAGTGGCGATTTCGGGGTCCATCTCCAGGGGGTGAATTTGGACTTTCATGGACAGGTCACCATTAGCAACCTGGGTGATGATTCCGCCGATTTCCCGTAGAGCTTTTTGGAAAGCCTCGTTGGCCTGCTGGTGCTTGCGTAATTCGCGTTCGAGAAGGACAACATCCTCGTTTTCGACCTTGGTGAGAGCACGGCGAGTGTGCTCTTCCTGTTTTTGCAATTCATCGCGGACCTGGGCGATGATGTCCTTCTGAAAACTGATCTCCTCGGCCTGCTTCTGTACATGATTGCGGAGGTAACTGATGTCCTCCTCGCGCACGACGCGGGTGCGGGACCCACCCTCCTCTTCATCGTCGGTTTCGTCCTCGTCAATGTCTCCTGCGGGGTGGGGTTCATTCGAGCCCGAGGGGGTCTGCTGTCGCCGATCGGGTTGATTCAATTTTTGCTGCTGTGTGAGGCAATAAGAAGAGTCAGAACCTTGACCGGACGACAAGCGAGAGAGCCCAAAGGTCCACAAGAAATCAGGGTCCTTCTCGTTGGATCCGACAGCAGACAGGGTGGTCTGCTGGGGGTGGTCGGGGAACTGGTGGTGACTGACAGCTTGGAATTCCAGATGGTGCACGCGGCGCACCAAGGCCTCCAGCTCGGCTTCGAAGGCGGCCTTTGCGGGACTGGGTTCTCCGGGAAGCTTGGCTGATTTTGTACCGTTGGCAGTAGGGAGTTGAAAGTTGAATGGGGGCGATGAAGAGCCGGGGGTTGGCTCCTCTCTCGCCAGATTCTGCAGGACAGCCGTCGCGGCCGCGAGAGTCTCGTCCGCGCCAGCCATCATGCCCTGTACCGATCAGCAGGTGAACATAGGATGGAATAATGAAGGTAGTTCAGAGGGGATGAAAATGATAGGAGTCAAAAAAGGTGTGGTGGGAGGGGAGGAATGAGGGAGAGATAGGAATGGGGAAAAGGGAGACTAGTGCCGAATGGTGGACGAACTCCTTGGGAGCCAGACAAAAGAAAGAAAGAAAATGAAGAAAACCACGCACCGGAGAGTCAGGATGACACGAAAGATTTCAAGGATATTTTAAGGCGACATGGAGATATAAATTGAGAAATGGAAGAAAAGACCCGAGTCAATCGGGGACAGTTGAAAGGGAATCCTGAGGGAGCCGAGAGAGGAGACGAAGGGGGGAGCGACCGGTGTTATGTAAGCCGGTTTTTTTGCGGGGGTAAAAAAAAGAAAAAAAAAAAAGAAAAAAAAAGAGATAAATGGAAAAGCAATGAGAATAAAAAATTGGAGAATAAAAAGGAGAATGATGAAAAAGCAGAAGACGAGAAGAGAGAGAGAAGATCAGGGGGGAAGATGTGCGAGAGACAGCAGAAGGGGGAGAGAGAATTTCGAAAGGGGCGGTGATGCGCTTCTTTTTTTTTTTTTTCTGATATCGCTACAAACTCGATGTGATCGGGCATTCGCTTCACTCTAGAGGGCTTGACAAGAGACAAATTCCAGTTGATTACTGCCCAGGAGTTCGAGATAGATGACCTATAGGCAACTATGTATATAGAGTACCCTAGGCTACTCTGGGATACTATAGATTGGCATAGATTAGTATAGGTTACTATAGTTACTATGGGTAAAAAAAGTACTTGGTGCAGACGGGTATAGACTTCGCCGTGGAGCTGTTTCATCTCCCTTGGTCCGCGTCTATCAAATCAACCATTTGAACCAAGCTGAAAAGCGTGATGATCGGCCCTGGAGCGATGATCCACAGTTCAACGTTGTTCTGTGTGTCGAATAGACTTGAATTCGAAATTCCTACTGGGCAGTTTGCAAAGAGAGAGAAAGAGAAAGAAAAAAGAAAAAGAAAAAGCAAATCTCAAACATTCGAGTGGATGTTGACTCCAGTTGAGCTTCGTCTGCGCCAGCCAGCGTGGGCCCACGAGGTTCGTTGTTTCTCCGCGTGTGCCACTGTTCCATACTCGCTTAATAAATCGAATAAATTTCAATTAAGAACCTTCACAGTTCATAGATCCATGGATTGATCCAAGAATCCCTTGATTTATGTTGACTTTGGTACTTCAAATGTGTGCTAAGAATACTAGAAAGATGGAAAAAGTAGGGTTCGCCTTGTCACAGGATATTGTCCCCCACTTGATACTACTCGACTTCATGTATATAATATGAACATAATATATATTATTATTATTATATAAAAGATGTACTACATCAATCTCTCTCTATTTTCCTACTATTTTATATTCACATATTTACCACTTGACCCTCATATTATTTACTTGAAATCCTGCGATGGCGGGGTGAAACGACACAAGTGGCCGCTGTGCCCCGCCGGATCAAAAGATTGGCGGGATGGTGACTCGGCCATGAGCACCACCGTGCGAAGAATTCTTTAACCCCCCTCCCCATCCTGCAGGAAACGGCCGCAGCCATGGCGTCCGACCTGACGAATCCGATTCTGGACGCCTTATCTGCGTCCGAAACTATCCTCTCCAACGAAGCCTTCCCCTCCACCCCCTCATCGACCGTCAAAAGTGCGCTGGACCGCCTGGGCTCGCGGCAGATGCTGGAATATGAAACCCGCGAGAAGGAAGTGATTACTCTGACGGCCGAAGGTCAGGAGATCGCCGCCAATGGCAGCCACGAGGCCAAGGTTTTCGCGGCTGTGGTGGCCGCCATGGACGGGTTGAAGATCAAAGAATTGCCCGAGATCGTGGGGAAAGACAACGCCAAAGTGGGACAAGGGAATGCGTTCAAGCGCGGCTGGATTAAGAAGGACAACGATCTGCTGCGGGCCACCCAGGACTCGATTGTCGATGAGACGCGGGAGCTGCTGCTGACGCTGCAGCGAACAGGAGCCCTGGACGACGGCAAGGCAATCACAGACCTCAAGCGGAGGAAGCTGATCACTCCGAGCAAAGAGATCACTTACAAGATCTCCAAGGGGCCCAAGTTTGCGCGGGAATTCGTTAAGGAGGAGACCGACCTTACGGCCGAGATGCTCACCAACGGCTCGTGGAAGACGGCCCAATTGAAGCCGTACAACTTCAACGCCAAGGGTGCCCCAACCCCGGCGGGCGCACTGCACCCGCTGAACAAGGTGCGGCAGGAGTTCCGTAACATCTTCTTCGAGATGGGCTTCGAGGAGATGCCAACCAACCGCTTCGTCGAGACGGGCTTCTGGAACTTCGACGCACTGTTCGTGCCGCAGCAACACCCGGCCCGTGACCTCCAAGATACATTTTATATCTCCGACCCGCCCACGGCAGACCCCCCGCGCGAAGATCCTCTGAATGACCCGCATCGGCCAGCATCAACCCAGACGGGTTCGCAAACGACCAAGGAACAGCCGCTCGACTACCAGAAGTACTGGGACAACGTGCGCGAAACCCACGAGAACGGCAAATTCGGCTCGATTGGCTACCGCTACCCCTGGAGCGCGGACGAGTCGCTGCGACTGGTGCTTCGCACGCACACGACCTCCGTCTCGACCTACGTGCTGCACAAGCTGGCCGCCAACCCGCGGCCGGCCCGCTTCTTCAGTATCGACCGCGTGTTCCGAAACGAGGCCGTCGATGCCACCCACCTGGCTGAGTTCCACCAAGTTGAGGGTGTCATCGCCGACTTCGGCTTGACCCTCGGTGGTCTGATTGGATTTATGGAGGTCTTCTTTGCCAAGATGGGCATCCACCAGCTGCGCTTCAAGCCCGCCTACAACCCCTACACCGAGCCCAGTATGGAGATCTTCGGCTACCACGATGGCCTGGGCAAGTGGGTGGAGATTGGCAACAGCGGCATGTTCCGGCCGGAGATGCTGGAGTCCATGGGTCTGCCCAAGGACATGAGAGTCTACGGGTTCGGTCTGAGTCTGGAGAGACCTACTATGATCAAGTACATATTGTTCCATGTTTTGGAGTTTTTTCAGATCGCTAATGTCTTTCTCTCTCTTTTTCTTTTTAGGTACGCCGTGAGCAACATCCGTGAGCTCCTCGGCCACAAGGTCGACCTCCACTTCATTGAAACCAATCCCGCCGTCCGACTGGAGAAGGATTAAGCGGTTTTCTTCCTTTTTCGTTGGGTGTGGCTGGCACAGGGTATCTATAGAGAAGAAAAATTTCCTTTGTGTGTTTGTGGGTGTGCTTGCTTGTAGAGGCTTAGGGCACCGAACGAGTTTACGTGGAAGATAACGAATTGCATCACTACGGGGTTTCCCTGGTAATTGAAGTCATTATGTAGGATATGGTGTAGCCCGTTGTATTCGAGTTCTCTAGGTTTGATATGACAAGATTCTAAGCACTTCAGACCACATTGCGTCGTTGGATTACTGCTAGTCATAAGAATCAAATGAGGAATATACAGGATAGCGTATGCAGATGGCTGTGTAAACAATGCAACGCAATAGAACAGGGAATAAGAAGACCAAAAAAAAAAAAATCAGAGAAATGATAGATAGACGGGCTTATACCAACGGGCAGCCGTCTAATGTGTCCCATCTTTCAAAAGCCCCAGCTCCTCCTCATTCAGAGATCCAGAGTCATCCCAGTTCTCGTAATGATCCAGTTCTCTATAAGCAAATTTCTGTGCCTTGTGACCCATCCGCCAGAAACAGGACCGGATATTGCGACGATAGACAACCAGCGCCGAGACAACGGAGTTAGTCAAGAACCCAGCGGCGAAGAACACGACCATCCAGTTCAAAGACTGCGTGATCTTCTGCCGCAGGCTGCTAGCAGACGGGGGCCGGGAAAGGGCTTCGGGGTTATCGGGCTGCGGGGCCGTAGCATTGGCCGGCCAATACTCCGGCGGCGAGGTACGCACGTCGAGACTCGAGCCCAGCACATTCTGGTTGGCGTCAAGTGCCTCGACCGACACCCAGTCCATGTATCCCGGGGCCGTGAACGAGGTCTCGAAGCCGTGTTTGGGGACAGTGCCGATCTCCCTCTTCCATGCCTGGGCGGTGGCGCGCGCGTAGAAGCGCCAGTGCGCGACGTCCGTGGCGCCGTTCCAGCTGACGTGGAAGACGGTCGAGAGCTTGGACCCGTTGACGCCGTGACACGAGGATACCAGCGTCGGCGGGTCGAGCGGGCGGCCGGTCCAGGGGAGCTTGAAGGAGCGGTATGTGCCGTAGCGGTCAGAGGCGAAGCTGGCGTTCATGAGCAGCGTACCGCCGGGCGTGTGCTCGCTGATCATGCCGGCCCAGCTCCAGCCCATGAAGATGTTGCTGTTGGGCAGGGTCTGCATGTTCCCGCGGTAGTCGGTGCATCCGCCGTCCGGGCGCGGGTACTCGGCGAGGAGCGTGGCGTTCATGGTTGTGAGATCCAGCTTAATGTACATGCCGGTCGACGTGGGCTTCTCGGTGGAGAAGGTGTCGGCGCCGTTGTTCATCACCGACAGGATCATCTCCGAGTCGCTGGTCGACATGAACTGCGCATCGTGCTGGCGCGAGAAATGGAAGTCCTGATGGAAGTCACTCTTCTTGCCGCCGAGCCGCCAGAGGATCCTGCCGTCCTCGTGCGAGATCAAATAAACCGCGTCGGTGTGCCGGCCGGAGATCAGGAAGTCGCCGTTGCTGTTGCGGTCTATCGAGTTCATGTGGAGGTAGTCGCTCGAGGGATTTTCCTCATTCATATCCGTCGTATATGATTCCTCGATCGAGATGTCGTACGAGTACCAATCCATCATTTGTTCTCCGGTATTCATGTCGATTTCGACGAAGCCGCTGAAGTCTATATCCATCGTCTTGTCAGGCCCGCCGAAATCCTTTAGATTGGTCGACTGTGTTCGATATTGCGTGATCAGAGCCCATGGATTTTCTTTCACTTTGAACTCATGCGTGTCGAGTCCTGGGGCTGGTCGATCGAGCTGGTGCACCTTTTGATATTGCTCGTCGTACGTGAGTATATACCCCGGAGCGGTATCGCTATCTCCCTCGGCGCGGGGGATTTGCCATGCTAGCAGGGGTTTATTGCCTAGATTGGTGAAGACCTTGAAGTCCATTGCGTTCCGGTTGCCCCAGAGGGCAGCGCCACTCCACACCAGTTCCTGTGCATCGCCGTTAGAAGGAATTCATTTTCATTTCTTTCTTGGCATCAATACGTGGCGAGGGGGGTCAGGTCATACCCCATCCTGGTCGTATATGTACGGCCCGATCTGATATGGCATCCACTGGTTCGTGCCCTTCTCGCCGTGAAAGTTCCAGTACGGTGCCACAAACCAATACCCCGGGGCCACGGCAGATCGATTGTAATAGTCGACGTTCCACTTTAGTGCCCGATGCCCAGGGAGCTAGAGGGAGACAAGGCCGCGTTAGTGCGTGGGCTGCAGAAAATAAAGCAATCACGTCAGAAGCACCCACGGTGACATATTCGATGAGATCGTCATCTCGAAACGGCTCAAGCGCCGTTGCGCTAGACAGGAACAATAAAGCCAAGAATGCCCAGGCAATCATCTTGTCGAGGCGAAGCGACGAAGGTCAACCGCGAAGAGGAAAAGTCAAAGGAGAAGAGAGAGAAAGAAAGAGAGAGAGAGAGAGAGAGGCATCCATCCAAGGTGAGATGGATGAGAGCCAACTGCGGCGCAGATAATATCCGGCTGTTCCTGCAGGACTTCGTCTCTATAATTTTTGACTTGCCCCTTTAACGTCTACCTTCTCCCCTCTCCAACGTGGACAATTGCCTGGGTAATCGGAACTGCAGTTCCCCCACGGAGAGAGAATTCTTTTCAATGACCCGTGAGCGCGGGATCATCGGCTGTTAGCCCTTTTGTCGCCCCTGACGCTGTCCACTGGGTTGGGGCGAGTTCATCATCTTCGGGGGGTGCCAAGGCCCTAATAATTCAGGAGCCATTTCCCATCCGCCCCGCTGCTAGGGCTACAGAAATTTACTCTGCAGATGGATCTGTCTGAAACAGACGTGGTATTGATGAGTATATATTATATGTGTACTCGCTATTCCATGGCTTATTTTGAGATAATCGAAAGGCTTCATATCCATGCATTCATATCCGAGCAGGAAGATGACCTTAGTCATGCTACGCGCATTGCCGGGATTCGGCATGCGTAGACATATACACGCGTGGCCCCAAGAGTCGCCCTATGTGGTTAGTTCTCGGGCTAGCACGAGTAGACTGCCGGCGCTTGGACCAGCAAAATTATCCAGAAGGATTTGGTTTTTTCTTGGAGTGTTTAAAATAGTGAGACTATACGCACGTCCTTCATAAACACCAGGGCAAGAGTGATCCATATGCCTGATTGATTCGTTGGGAAATGGCCCCGAAACAACATCCGACAGCTGAAATAAGACTGTGATCTTCATGCGTTCATTTGCTGCAGGGCTGACAGGAAAAAAACTGTTGGAGTAGATAGTCTGTATCCTTACGTGTACTACACAATATGGGGGCCAAGTTCAAAACACCAAGAATCTCTCGGCTTGGTTTTACGTTGTCGAGTCATTCTACAGTTAGCGTGTCCAAAAAGAGATCACGGTGACATGTTTCTCTTTTTGTCTCTGGCTGTCTACAGTCATGTCCCACCCGTATCTGTGCCCCAGCGCATGGATCTCTGCAGCAGTGGCTCTTCAGAAGGCGGGGTTTGGAAAGACATAATCTTCGGCGGATGGATATGCTTGTCTACCTCTTCGCTCATGGGGATGTAGACATCAGAGACCCAGACCGGAGTTCGGTGGGGTTCTCGAGTCTACAAGGGTGAGGAGGCCTTAATGTGCCGATCATGCAGAGAAATGGAACAAGAACAGAAAAGCAAAAAGCAGAAGAGCAGAAACGTAACATGTATCAAAGCAGCCGGGGGGCAGTTGTGGATTTTCGGCATTCCATTTTTTTTCCTTGGGTTTGTCGCTGGCAGGTTGCTGTTCAACAGCCACGATGTTGCCTGCCCTCTCGAGCCCAAACAGTTGTTCTCTATCGCAGAAAAAAGGTAGACCCCGAATGAGCTTTCCAGGGAGCAAGAATATTGAGCAGGCGGTATTCGTCGAGAAGACCGGACCATTAAGTCGTCGATTCCATTCATTTCGATAGATAGGACAGTAGGAAAAACAGTGTTTCTCTCAAAGGAGAAGCAAAAAAAAGGTCACAAGGAACATGACTATCCCTTCGCCTTTTTTTTTTTTTTCCCAAACCAACTCCCCGAACGTGGACCATCGAGCCACAGTTCGTCTATCTGCAAAAAAAAAAAAAAAAACAAAGCATGGTTAATTGACTATACATTATGCGGGTTGAGGACGACCCAGAAAATGACACCGACTTACCATCAAATCAACCCGTCAACACCGCGTGAAACCCCATGCCAACGATTTACCGCTTAGCGGCTGGCGCTCCACACGTTCTTGAGGTAGCCGTCGCGCTGAGTCAGACGGTTGAGCGAGTCATCGCCCTCGCCGCGGGCACGGATGAAACCGCACAGGGCGTAGGTCTGGTTCTCGCCGGTGTAGCGGCCGTTCTCATCGACCTTGCCGATGGAGAGCTGCACCGAGGCGTGGTCGTTGGCCTTGATGATGCGGTTGGTGGCGCTGCACTTGCGGGGCACGTAGCTGTACGAGGAGGTAGACCATGTTAGTTGAGTTCCCAGATATTGGTATCATCATTTTTCCTTTTCCCTTCCCCTCTTCTCCCCTCATGCCCTGGAATCCCGACCGGTTGCTTCGTGACCATATGCATTAAACTGCATTGATTTTTTTTCCCCTTCTAATATCGTCGCTTTCATTTTCCCGCTCCAGGCATTCCATTTCGGGTCACGCTGCGGAAGCCGAAGCGAGATCGCGGGTTGTGCGGGCAACCAAAGGGACACAGGGCACAGGGTACTTGGGCGTGGGAGCGGAATAGTAAGGAGCAAAGCACGTACAGATCGACGATCTCTCCCTTTTCGTTCTCCATTTTGGCGGGTGTGGTGTAGAGGGTTTCGACGGGCGACGGTGAGGTTTGGAGGTGGAGGGTTTTCCTGTTCATAAAATCCGCGGGCTCAAATGGTTTGTGTGGGTCATGTGACATTTTGTCGAGGGCTCAGGCCGTGGCCGAGAGAGTGGGGCGTGGCGTTAACACTTTTCCTCTATTTTGCCGTGGCATTAAGATACAACAGAAATCAAGGTCACCTCGTATGTACATGGGCGCTTGCTTTCATTCGCAATGGTTATATATAAAATATACACCCTATAGATTACTCCGAGCTCGTTCTTCCTCCATCACATCCTTCTTCCACCCCACCGCGACCTCCCTCGCACTCCCCTTTCTAAACCGTACCAGAACCACTCTCTCCGACTCACCCCGGCGATCTGACCCCTTCAGCTCAGGCCCGGCATCGTCCAAAGCCAAGACAGTCCGTCCATCCTCCGTCATTTGAAGCATTTTTGGTGAAATACATTTATGCGTCCAAGGTGGAGATCCCGAATGTATAAACTCGACAAGTGCTGCACGCCGTTTCTGTATTTCTTCCACAGATGCATCCAAGTGAGGCTCTTGGTCGAGAAATCCCGACACAAGATGTAAAAGAAGGAACTGCGGCGGGAAAAGAATGATCTCCCCGCTTTGGGCGCGGCGCAGCCACTCCGAGGCAGAAAGAAATCGAGCCTCCGTGACCTCGATACCGCCGTCACTGGTGGGGATTTGCAGGTGTTCGCGTTCGCCTTGTGTAGGCAGCTCGTCCAAGAGCTTTTTATCCACGTGGAGGGGCAAAGGCATGAAATAGATATACATCTGGGTGGTATACCGCTTGGGGACGTTGGTCGGGGTTACCCAACGAGTAAACGGAATCAATTGATCTTGTTCGAGTATTAGCCAGTCTGTGCATAATGTCGGAGAAATAGAAGAATAACCATACCTATATCTGGCTCAGCGGCTGCATGCTGCTGCTTCAGCCACTCAGCAAACGTAATCTGATTCTGATGAATGAGCCGTCGGCCCTGTTCCCTGGTTTCTTCATCGACAGGGAGCGTTTTCCCGGAACTTCCATCTTTGGCTAGCAGAATGCCGCTCTCCTCGAAAAGCTCTCGGATGGCAGCATGACGATAGCAGAAAGCATCGTCGTGGCGCGTTTGATCTTCGGGTGGAGGGCACGAGCCATCCTGACTCGAGAGATTGCCGCCCGGGAAAACATGGGCCGATGCGAAAGAGCTGGAGGTCTGCACGCGATGGAGTAGAAGGATCTCGTTTTGTGGAGAGACGAGGATTACACTAAAGGCATTGAATCAGTGATGCTCATTTGTATATTGTTTGCATTCGGTGCATTCGCGATGACCATGCGTCTGGGATGATGTTACATCTGGTCTGTCGCAGGGCACGTAGCTCACCTCGAACTGGGCCGGGGCACAGCGGGCTGCTTCTTTTGAGCATCGCTCCCTTTTGTGCCAGGCATCTTGTGAGTGGGATTTGATGCAGCTGAGTAATATCTAATTGGGGTTCGGTGGCAGTTGAAAGACCAAGGCCGGCAATTCCGAAAAGACAAACAATGGGCTCGTGCCAGAGCTGAATGTCGTAGATCCAACACGCGTGTCAATCCGCAGAGCGTGTCAGAGACGATGGCGGACATGTCAAAAGAGTGAATCTATGTCGAATCAAAGACCCGAGGAGCCTAGGTTATCTCCCTGTACCCCGCGACGGGCTTAGCCTGATTGGGGTAAGCCGAACATGTGCTTTTTTTCAAGCTTCTCTTCACCTCATATTCTTACTGACATACTGACATACAAGATACTTGACGCAAGCCCTACATTACTCAATACTTTCTGCTCTAAGTGCTGAGAAAAGATATGCTCATTAAGTCGAAACGGCGTTAACTCCTTGAATCGTAAACTCCTACCCTATCATATACCCCATTTTTTATTTTCAAGGCCACGTATCATCGTGTGGACCTCCCAGACATATTCACAGCGGGAAGCCCAGCGTTTCAAGAGGCTTGGATCTTACGAGTAAAGCTTCTTGTCGTAGCTGTGCAGACCGTGGACGTTGCCTTCAGTCTGGGCGCTGGCGCTTCTCATTTCAAAGCGCACAGTGCCCTTGTTGACGCCGTCGTGCAGCAGCTCGAGGCTCTTGACACCAATGTCCTGCAGCGAGTGCTGGACACCGGCAACGAGGTAGGGGATGAACTTGGTGACGGAGCCGCGGTCGAGGACGGAGCCGGCGACACCCTGGGCGACCAGGACGCGGTCCTTCTCGGAGAAGTAGCGAGCAGTACCGGCGTTGCTGGCCTTGCTGTCCTTGCCATCGCCGCCGGCCTTCTTGTCCTCCATGGCTGCGATACTGCCCATGCCACGGTACGCCTTGACGAGCTGACCCTCGTTGCTGACAAAGTATTCACCAGGCGACTCAGTGGTACCGGCCAGAAGACCTCCCATCATGACGGTGCTAGCACCCATAGCAAGGCCCTTAACGATATGACCAACGTTCTGGACACCACCGTCAGCGACGCACGGAACACCGAAGCGGGCAGCGAAAGAAGAAACGCTGCGGACGGCGGCAGCCTGGGGACGGCCGACAGCCATGACCTCCTGGGTGATACAAGCACTGCCGCTGCCCATGCCAATTCTCAGGCCATCGGCACCGGCAGCAATCAAAGAAGCCGCCTGTTCCCGAGTGACGACATTACCAGCGATCACGTCAATCTCGGGGAAGGTCTTCTTGATATACTTGATCATCTCGATCTGGTACATGCTGTTACCCTGGCTGCTGTCCAGGATGACAATATCCAAGCCAGCCTCCACAAGAAGTTTGAGGCGAGTCTTGTCCTCTTCACGGGTGCCAATGGCAGCCGAGCAAATCAATTGCTTGGAGTCGGGGAGCTTGGAGGCCAGAGGGTAGTGGAGGTTCTTCATCAAGTCGGAGCGAGAAAGGAGGGAGACAATGTTTCCGTTCTGGTCAACGATAGGCAGCTTGCCCTTCTTCGATTGGCGAAGGACGTCATTAGCTTCTGCCAAAGTAGTGCCAGCGGGGGCTGTGACAAGGTCTGTGGCCATGATGGCAGTCACAGGGTCGTTAAGCTGGTGGTGGAATTGGATGTCACGAGAAGTGACCATGCCAATAAGTTTGGAGCGAAGAGTGCCGTTTTCTGTCATGAATGACTCGAAATTAGCATTCTGACTGCAGCGATGACTGAGTGTCCAAGAGGGGTATGGTATGAAGATAAGAGTTTAAAACCCAGAGTGCTCAGATAAAATCTGTTTCTCTACAGCGCAACTCTCGTTGCTCCAGTGGAACGAAAGTTATATAAAGAAAGAAGGAAATCATCATGCAAGGAGTGGGTGGTGTTAAGTAAAGTAGAAGCATTCGACTTACCAGTGACAGGGAAACCACCGAAGCCCCACTTGGCCTTCAACTCCTTGGCCTCGCCGACGGTGGCCTGGGGAGAGAGAACAACGGGATCCAAGATGAAGCCATTCTCATAGCGCTTCACCTTGCGGACCATCTCCGCCTGGTCCTCGGCGGAGCAGTTGTGGTGGATAACACCAAGTCCACCGAGCAGGGCCATGTGGATAGCCATGTTGTGCTCGGTGACGGTGTCCATAGGCGACGACAGAAGGGGCGCCCTCAGAGTGATGCGCTTCGTCACCGGGGTGTCCAGAGAAACATCGGAAGCAGGGAAGCCTATGCTCTCAAGGTTAGCTAAGATGCCTGGTGATCAAGCGAAATTCGGCTTACCGATGTAGCCGGGCAGGACCAGGAAGTCATTGTAGGTCAATGCACCGTGCTTGTCCGAGTCCAGCAGAGTATCCACATCCAGACCATCACGGGTGGTGTAGGTCTCCAAGACCTCCAAGGCCTTGGTGTAGTCCTGGATTTCAGCCTTCATGGCGGAGCCAAGTGCGGCGTCACCGTTGGAAATAGGCATGGTATTTTTGAAGGAAAGGATCCCTGAGGACAGAGAGGAAACAGAGCACGTAAAGAGAAAAAAAATAATCAACAGAAGGGAAACAATCTGCTGATGGAGAAAGACGTGCTTTCCCAAGGAAGAGAAAGAAAAGAAAAAAGTTTGAGCGAAAAATTGCTTCCTTTTTTTTCTGCGTGCACGGGCTGCCCTTGGCCCAATGTGGCTTAGTGTACCAGTCGTTGCATAGAGCTGTCCGGTGATTGGCTGATAAACGAGATTCCTGCGGGCGGTGAGATAATCCTGCTTATCTAAGATGATCTTCGACTTATTAGGTAATGCGGGGCGATAACCTTGGAAAAAAGATCCATACATCTATGCCCAGCTGGGTGGGATGGGTTACTGTTTTTACAAATATAGTCCTGGAAAGCTTTGAAATCTTAGCTTTCCTATTTGTGTAAATATTTTAAGTGAGCTTGGCAGCGAGGTTAGCAGTTTCTCTACGTGTATGGTCTTTCTTGGGAATGTTATCTGGACACCATTACCTCCTATCAATACCAACCATCCATTTTTAACCCAAACAAATCAGTCATCAACTTGGTACCAATCCAGGAATTGTGTTTGTTGTTCACGCTGGCGGTTAGCAGTGCAACTCCTTCAGCCCAGCTGCCGGCATAAAGTCCCGCTAGCCATGACGACAGGATGATGGTCAAAAGCAACCACCCAAATAAAGCCTATACACGGCCACATATTTCTCGAAGCGGGGATCATAAGTATCTTGACTAGAACAAATCTAAGTTCTTGCTTCTTATTTTAGTTTCCTTGACCTTGCAACATGGCATCTCCTATGGGGGAGCACGGTACCTTCAAGGCCCCGCCGGGGGCACAAAGTCAACAAAAGCCAGGGTGAGAACATGGCTCTCTTTCTGTCTCCATCTCATCTATTAATTCCAAATAGCTAATCAAGTTTCCTGCAGCCTAGAAAGCAAGATGGCACCAGCGAGCGAGTCGACCAAACTGGAAGCAGAAGGCCAATTTGTCGAATATGTCGGCTCAGGCAAGCTCAAGGATAAAAAGGTCCTCGTCACAGGTGGAGAGTGCGTGTTCAAAATCAAACCAAGTATGCATTGATTAACCGTGACCCAGCTCTGGGATTGGACGATCCGTGGCCGTTCTGATGGCAAGAGAAGGGGCTGATATCAGTATTGCCTTTCTTCCCGGGGAGACAGAGGATGCAGAATGTGTCAAGACAATGGTCGAAAAGGAAGGCAGATCTTGTCTTCTCATACCAGGAGATTTGAGGGATCGCAATGCGTGCCGTTGTACAGTGGAGGAACATGTAAAGAAGTCAGTTTCCAGAGGCTGTTCCGAGTACCGACAAATGAAGGCATTGACATTCATCCCAGGTTTGGCAAAATCAACGTGCTTGTCAACAATGCATCAAAACAGTACATGTATAAGGAGTTTGTGGACACCGACCTGGACAAAACCGAGGACATTTTCAAGGCCAATATCATCCAGATGATAGCAGTCACGAAATTTGCTCTTGCACACATGTCTCGGGGAGACTGGTTTGTTGTATAGTCCCCGAATTTTGCAGGTCAACATGCACTGATGATCCGGCTGCAGTATCATTAACACCTCTTCCGTCGTGGCCTTGCGTGGCTCAGCCACCATGGTTGATTATGCCGCGACCAAGGGTGCTATTGTCAGCTTCACCCGGTCCCTGGCAGCACAATTGATCCCCAAAGGCATTCGGGTCAATGCGGTGGCGTGAGTTCTATTCCTGATGTGCATATCTCGTATAAACTGACGAATGACCACCGTGCTGCGTCACAGCCCTGGCGCCATCTATACGCCGATTCAAGCCGACACTCGAGAAGCCAAGCAAATGGAAGGGTGGGGACAAAAGGCAGGCCTTGGCCGACCAGGCGAACCGAGCGAGGTTGCAACAAGCTTCGTGTTCTTGGCGAGCCCGGACGCAGCTCTGTACTGTAAGTGGATCACCCAAGTATGAGATCGATAAGTTTTTCTCTGACTATCTCTGACTATTCTTCTTGATAGACGGGCAGGTTATGCATTGTTATCCACTAGGCGACTAACAACCCAAGAGGAAGAAAGGAAAAAGAAAGGAAAAGGGAAGAGAAGCTGACATTGCTAGATTGGAATGCAACTGGGTAGTAATAGACAATTAGTACAAGAGCCATGGCTTTGCCCCATACAGAGCTTTATCCCATCCATCTTCATTCTGCCAGATCGCAATGCTTTCGACCTCGTCAATGCCTAGCTTAAGTCCGTTGTAAAGATGCTTGATTTTTTTTTTTTGATTAGCCGAAGACTCTCTACTAGAAACGGTAGAACAATACCCCCACTCACCGGGAATAGTCCCTCTCCAGGCCGCGGACCGCAGACTTTGCCATCGGGAGACTCCCAACGGATATCAGGAATCACGCGGGCATACTCGATGCGCAACACATACACAATCGGTTCCCCAGCAAAAAAGGCTTTTATTGTGTTTGGGACTTGATGAGCTGTGGAAAGGTGGATGAATCCCGAACTCTGGTCCAGGTCGCTGACTGGGAGTCGCTCCGGGAGTGGTTCGCGGACCGGCGCGGTGGAGGGGATGATCTTGTAGATGTAGCGGGGCTGGGAGCTAAGTGGGTTCATGATGGGTGTGCAGAAGAAAAAGAAAAAGAAAGGAACAACCGTGGAAGAATCGAAGGAAGAGACCGAGTGGGTCAAGATGTCAGCAGGGTCGAGGAAAAATAGCGACGGATGTCATAATTGATTGTTGTAAATGGCGGGGTTCGGCAACTTGTCATCGCACATCACGGGGCCTCTAGGCTTGGAGGATATATATATTGTGCGGGTTGATAATTGTATTTCTTTTGAATCATATTTTTGTGAGATACGATGTAAATTGCATTTTGAATAAAATGTGGAATTTTATAAAAATAGAATTCAGAGACTGTATATATTGACTGACAAGTAGTTAAAAAGGTAATCACAAGAAAACCCTATTGAGACGCCTGCAGAAGCCAAGCTCTTTGACCCAAACGTTGAACTCTTCTTTCTCACCTGACCTGTACACCATAGAGATCATCCTCGCCACGTAGATTGATCACACTCAACCTTAATTTTTAGTCAAATAGATGGCAATCGGATCGTCGCTCAGGACTACGAGACAAACACTCAAACCTGCCAAATCGATGCCCACCCATGCCAAGACTGCATACACCCATGGCAACTTGCTCTGATACATCAGATTTTGTCAGGGCAGAAGAATGCCAACACTTGTTCGGCTTATCTACGCAGGTATCCAGATGAATTTATTTTGAGCAAGTAGCTTTGCCAGGATCAATGAATGTATACAGCAGTAGCTTACATCTTGATCTAAAGGGCGACAAACGTCACGTGACCGGGATCGAACGATGTGGGGGTCACCTGATGGCGCTATCCCTGATCGGGAGATTTGTTTTGGCCCTGTCCCAGTTTGGGTTGGGGAATCCCGGTCGCACCTTCCCCCCACCGTCAACAAGAATTCCGTCCGAGCCGTGCGACTCACATTCTCCCTCCCCTGCGCGTCTGTCGGCCCAGCCTTTTTATGTGTCTAGATCCAGTCTCTTAACCCCGTCACGTTTTGAGAGCAATGCGAGCTCTCCCTTGATTACGCATTCCGTCGACAACACCGCCTGGGCACGTTCGAAGAAAAAAAAGGTCTTCGCGCTACAGGCTCAACCCGAACACCCCACTTCTGCTATTGAAGCAGGGATGCGGTCCATCGCGCATGAGTGTCTTTCATCGATTTTCGCATTCGTGTCGCGACGCTAATAGTGATGTCAACCCAATTCTCGTCGCTCAAGCGGGCTCAGACGGATCTCCCAGAGCAGTCAGTGAGCCCGATGCGACAAGGGTCAACGGCATCTACCAACTCGTCCATTTACTCTGCGTCCAGCTCGTTTGTACCGAGTCGAACGAGTACAGTCTCCTCGAATTCATCGATACCGTGTAACTTGGGCCACCACCGAGGGAAAAGCGAAGCAAGTACCATGGTGGGCTCAATGACCGCCGCTGTGAAAAAAACTGAACGCGAAAGTTGGACAAACGCCGGCACCGCATATAACAACATTCGTCGGTCTCTGCGGCCACTGCAACAAGCGCCCAATATCCCTCCTTCCGCGAAGCCCAGCGCGTTTCGGCACTCGCGGAGTCAGACGATTGATGAATCGCAGAACCGGAAGGACTACCGTCCAAGCACCCCGGAGTCGCGCCATGCTCACTTCCAAGAAAATGAATCTCCTCGTCACAAAGCAGTTGGCTTCGAGCCTCAGACCCCTCCTCCCGCTTCGCCTCACCACTGGTCCCCCAACCCGGCATCCTCTCGTCCTTCTTCACCCCAAAAGACGCTCTCCAACAGTCCTCACCCTCCACAACTCACTACCGCGCTATCTGCGCCGGAACTCGAAACCTTCCAGAAATCATCCACGCGTCACCTGAGGACCCTCTCCAAGATCGCGCAGTCTGGGGAAAACGAGGAGTTTCAGTTTGGAACGACCACGCCTACTGTGGTAGGCTTGCAAGGGCGCCGACGTCTGAAGCGTGCCGATTCAGTGGCTGGAAGAAATGGTGCAGTGTCCCCTCAAAAGCCGAGTACATCCTCATGGGCCGCAGGAAACTGGATGGACCAACAACGCCAGTTCCTGCAAGCGTACGAGTACCTGTGTCACATTGGAGAAGCCAAAGAGTGGATTGAGGAGGTGATCCAGACACAAATCCCGCCGATCGTTCAGCTGGAGGAAGCTCTCCGAGATGGTGTTACGCTTGCTGAGGTCGTGCAAGCCATGTATCCGGACCGTACACTTCGCATTTTCCGCAACCCCAAGCTTCAGTACCGCCATTCAGACAATATCGCTGTGTTCTTCCGTTTTCTAGACGAAATCGAGCTGCCGGAACTGTTCCGATTCGAACTCATTGATTTGTATGAGAAGAAGAATCTTCCCAAGGTCATCCACTGCATCCACGCACTATCCTGGTTGCTTTTCAAGAATGGTCTCTTGGACTTCCGCATGGGCAACTTGGTTGGCCAGCTCGAATTCGAGCACCATGAGCTCGAGAAAACCCAGAAAGGACTGGATAAATCGGGGGTTAGCATGCCTAGTTTTGCAGGGATGGCTGCGAACTTTGGTGCAGAACCGGAGCCGGAGCCGGAGCCAGTTGAAACCGAAGAGGAACGAATCGACCGCGAGTTGCACGAACACGAAGCTTCCATCAGTGACTTCCAGGCTCAAATTCGAGGAGCGATGCTGCGCCTGAAGCTCGGCTCTACGATGAATGATCTTTGGGACTTTGAGCCTTTCTTGATTGATTTGCAGGCGCGGCTGCGTGGGGATTGGGCCCGACAGATTAGCCAGTACCGACTCAGCATGCGTCAGTTCGCGGTCAACTTGCAGGCGATCAGTCGGGGATTTATTGTCCGTCATCGCCAGCAGGGAGAGAAGCAATCACGCAAAGCTCAAGAGTATGACATTCTCAAATTGCAAAGCCTAATCCGTGGTTCCCGAGCCCGTGCACAAGGAAGCAGACTGCAAACCCGCGTGCGGTGTGAAGAATCTGGCATCAAGCAGTTCCAAGCTGCCATCAGGGGTGCGTTGCAGCGAAAGAACATTTCCGACCAACACGAGGAGACTCGATGTGCCGAACAGGATATCGCAGCGCTGCAAGCCGTCCTCCGTGGTGCCTTGCAAAGGAAGCAAATGAGTGCGCAGTCCCTTGAAGTGGAGCAATCCAGTGCCCCCGTCAAGTCACTGCAGGCAGTGATCCGAGGGACACTTCGCCGCCAGCAGTTGGCTCAAATGAAGGCCTCCCTTCACAGTGAAGCCACCAAGATCACCTCCATTCAATCAAACGCCAGGGCACTGGTAGCACGGAAGCGCCATTCGCAGTTCCTTGCCGCCCTTGCAGAAACCCAGAGCGAATGCACTGCATTGCAAGCTATAGTTCGGGGCGCTACAATCAGAAAAGACAACACTGCTCTCCGCACCGAGCTGGCACAGCACCAAACATCGGTGATCGACTTACAGGGCATCCTCAGGGGACAAGCTCAAAGGCAATTCCTGGATTCACAGCGGCGCTCGCTGGCCAAGGAAGAAGCTAGCATTTTGGAATTGCAATCCAGAGCAAGGGCTGTCATCCAGCGAAACCAGCGGGCTGCTGAGCGAAAATCCCTGGAGAAGGAAGAGCCTGCCATCATCGAGCTCCAGGCGCTGGCTCGCGCCGCGGTTTCGCGAATTCAAGTGGGCGGTATTCTCACTGATCTGGAAGACAATGAGGAGGAAATTGCTCAACTCCAAGCTCTGGCCAGGGCCATGATCGCACGGGTCGAAGTTGGCCAGATGCTGTCTGATCTCGAAGCGGAAGAAGATATTGTCACCGACCTTCAATCACGCATCCGAGGACAAATCATCCGCAACCGCTTTGAGGAACGGCGCCGCCACTACAACGAGAACATGGAGAAGGTCATCAAAGCCCAGAGTGTTATACGAGGCCGGATCCAGGGCCAGGCTTACAAGAGCTTGACAAGCGGGAAGAACCCGCCTGTCGGAACTGTCAAGGGCTTTGTGCACCTCCTCAACGACAGCGACTTTGACTTTGACGAGGAAATCGAATTTGAGCGACTGAGGAAGGTTGTTGTTCAGCAAGTACGACAAAATGAGCTCGCTGAGCAGTACATCAGCCAGCTGGACATCAAGATCGCCCTTCTGGTCAAGAACAAGATCACTCTCGATGAAGTTGTCAAGCACCAAAAGCACTTTGGAGGCCACATTGGCAACCTGCTGTCCAACACTGAGATTTCTTCCAAGGACCCATATGATCTCAAGGCTCTGAACAAAACCTCAAGGAAGAAGTTGGACCAGTATCAGGTGTTTTTCTTCCTCCTTCAGACTCAATCACAGTACCTGGCTCGGCTCTTCCGGCGGTTACGCGAACTCAACACCTCAGACAAGGAATACGAGAGGATCAGGCACCTGATGATGGGGCTGTTCGGATACTCGCAGAAGAGACGTGAAGAGTACTACCTCATCAAACTTCTAGCACGCTCGGCAAAGGAAGACATCGATAGCTTCGCATCGCTTCCTGAATACCTGCGCTGTACCTCTTTCTGGAACAAACTCTTTGGTTCATATGCGAAATCACCGCGGGATCGCAAATTCTTGCGTGATGTCTTGGGAACCGTGGTTCGCGAGTCCATCATTGACAACCCCGAGCTTGATCTGGAAAGCGACCCGATTCAAATCTACCGCTCCGCCATCAACAACGAGGAGCTTCGCACCGGTCAGCGAAGCCGCCGTCAACCCGATCTCCCTAGAGAAGAAGCAATCAGAGATCCCGAAACGAGGGAAACCTTCATCCAGCACTTGCAAGATCTTCGCGACATCGCTGATCAATTCTTCTTGGGCTTTGAGAATTTCTTGTACCGTATGCCTTTTGGGATCAGATACCTCGCCCAGCAGATGTATCAATATCTTCTGGAGCAGTTTTCGAGCGAGGACCCCGGTTATATTCTTCAGACAGTTGGCCACTGGGTGTGGAAGAACTATTTCCAGCCTGCCGTGTTGGAACCGGAGAAATATGGAGTGGTCGATCGGGGTCTGACCCAAGAACAGAAGCGGAACCTCGGGGAGATATCCAAAGTCGTTGCGCAAGTCGCTTCTGGAAGGCTCTTTGGAACCGAGAACGTCTACTTGCAACCTCTGAATAGCTACATCGGGGAGTCGATCCAACGCTTAGGGCGTATTTGGGGTCAGAGTAAGTTACTTTTGCTGTTTGTTTTCGTCTTGAATGAGTCGTGATCAGCACAGCTAATTCTTTCCCAGTGATCTCGATCCAAGACGCGGAGTCCTATTTCGACATCGACGAGTTTAACGATCTTTACGCCAAGGCCAAACCCACTCTGTATATCAAAATGTCCGACATCTTCTCAATCCACCAACTCGTGGCCTCGGAAATCAGTTACATGTGTCCACATCCAGACGACTTCCTCAAGGAGCTTGTGCGTGAACTGGGCAACGTCAAGAGCAACGAAAACGAATTGATGAGTGTCAACTCCGCCGAAGTCAACCTCACATTAAACCCGAAGCTGGCTCAAGTCGAGGGTAAGAGATCCTAACAGACTACCTTGAACCTAACAAAGGCTAATAAGAAAAACAGATCCGGAAGCAGATGTCAAGGCGTTGTTTATGGAAACGAAGCGATGTATCCTTTACATCATCCGAGTTCAGAGCGGTGCCAACCTAATGGACATTATGGTCAAACCACCAACCGAGGAGGATGAAGAACGGTGGCAAACACTGGTTACCAAGGAGCTTACCACTAACAACGCTCGTCGAGGTGCCTACTCTGAGGCCAGCACCCTGATCGATATCGGATCGATGGACTATGCCGAGCTCAAACACACTGCCCTCGAAAACATTGTTCGCCTTGAGCAAACAGGCAAAATCACTCGCCACAACCACTACCAAGATCTCTTGAACGCCATTGCCATCGATATTCGCACCAAACATCGACGCAGAATCCAGCGCGAACGAGAACTGGAGGGCTCCCGACTGACTTCCGGTCGATTGAGCGACCAAGCCATCTACCTCGACCAACAGCTCAAGACTTACAACGACTACATCGAGCAGGCCATGATCACTCTGCAGAACAAGAAAGGAAAGAAACGTTTCTTGATGCCATTCACTAAGCAGTGGGATCACCAGCGAGAACTCCAAAAGTCAGGCAAGGTATTCAAGTTTGGGTCCTACAAGTACTCCGCTCGCACCCTGGCCGACCGCGGAGTCCTGGTGTCTTGGAAGGGCTACACAGAACGACAATGGGAACGGGTTGACTTGACCATTTCCAGCAACGAAGTCGGGGTGTTCACCATCGACGGCAGCAGCGGCAACATGATGATTCCCGGCGCCAACGCGCAAGTGCCGCTGGACGATTTGTTGCAGGCTCAATTCAACAACCTGCAATTCATGGACTTTTTCGACGGACATATGCGGGTCAATGTCAACCTCTTCTTGCATTTGATCATGAAGAAGTTCTATAATGAATGAGCTCTTCTCATACTTATGGACTTGATGAGGGATGAACCGGGTTTGCATGTTCATGGACATTGTTACTTTTCTTTTTCCTGTGTTTTGTCTTTGATACCTAGGTACTTTTCTTATTCCTTTTTTATCTTCGAGTTTGACAGCGATTGCGCCTTGGTTTTACACGGGCATCCGAATGTATGTACACAATATGATCATTGACTTGTCCCCTTGAGGGATCTATAAGTGGAATTCCTATCTGTACCTGGCACCCTCAAAAGAGTAGCAGCTTCAATAGAAAAGTAGTGTCTCCATCCATACTGGAAGTACCACATGTAGGCTTCTCCAAATTCTCCACCAAGCTAGAGGATCCGGGGCTTGTTTTCAACATCTCGCCTATGATGAATCGTGACGGAATCCGAGGATCAGTCAACTATGCAGGGCTGAACTCTTGAAGCAACCAGGAAATTCTTGAAAATCGAGACAACCTATCCAGTGCAAGCACACTGGTTGTCCAATGAATCAAATATGCCGCGAAGAACACTGGATACTCTGTCACCGGAGCTTGTGTTCCTGATATTCAGCTATCTATCGCCCGTTGATGCTTCTTGCCTGGCTTTATGCAGCCACCATCTCATGGCTCCTCTGGTTTCAACGAAGTTCTCAGAAAAACCTTTTCTGGCGTCCGTACAAGACGACCAAGCGAAAAAGAAACTACGCATCGATCTCTTGACCAGGCTTGCTCGTCATCTATCACAGGATTACCTCTACTACGCCTGCTTGCGACTTCACCTTTGGCGACATGTCGACTTGCCATCACCAAACTTCAAGCTCCGGGGCAGTTTCAAATCTATCAAGTACTCATGGCTCTACTCTAATTATGGGAGCTCATATGTGCCCGTCTTCCACTAACTCGCTTCACCAGTTCCATTTTGTCCATCTCCATCTTGCCATGAGGAGATTCTACTTCGGCCCGTCCTTAGGTATTTCTGCAGAGTCGCTACTGTATACCGAAGGCGCTCCAGTGAAAGAATGTCTAAAAAAGAGTTCTGGGCCTCTCATCGGATGGGCCTGATGTCCATTGAAGCCCGGGTCTGTGCCTGCGCATGCAAATTCTCGCGGTAGCAAAGCGGCAAAGCGTGCGGCAGATTTACCAGGAAAAGGATGCCCTTGGACTCTGCGGGCACATCGGATCTCACGCGAGCACCTTCTCCAACATCATAAGGTCGCTTATTAAAGCATATTGCCAACATGAGCAAGAAGGCATTGGCAAGATTTTGCGTCAAGGAAGATGTGACCGCTGCAACACATCCTGGAAGCTGGAACTACGCGAAGTCGACCAAGAGGATATCTGCTTGTTTCTGACACAGTGGAGGGATTTAGGGCCAGGCTTGGACCCGGAAGATAACCGGTGGGGAACGCAATAAGACTGGGCCCGTGAGAGGACATTGAAATCCAGGGAGATGGTGGATGATCCGCGCAGGCGATTCGAGATGATCTCGAATGAGTCCGGGTCTGCGTCTTCCCAAGCGTTGTCGGAAGAGAATATGTTTCTCCGGAACGTGTCTCTTGCGAGGACAGCGATATCGAACTGTCATGACCCAAATGGAATGGTTGGTGGTATCTTCGAGGGACAGAAGACGAGGTCAAGCATTCCTTTTGTACTGTCATCTAGCCAGAAATAGACTGAGATTGAATAAGCCGTTAACCCTCGCGCCTCACTTTTATTATGTTTAAAAGGCGATGTTGTCTAGTTAATGCATTCGGATAGATCGCCGTGATCCTACTCTATTTGATACCCTGTTACATACCTTTTTTACCGACCTTTGGAATAATCCTTTTATTCGGTTTCTTTTTCTTCTCTTTCTTCACTAGAATGTTTGCCTCTGTGCCTTGAGCTATCAGGTGGCCGTCACCTATTCTTATATTCTAAAATATACAATACTCTTTTGGGTTGCCTTGCTGCCTCACCCCCAGCCCCTTATTCCTCCTCTCTCTCTCTTCTCTTCCTTCTCTTCTCTTCTTCTTCCTTCATCCTTCGCGCCCCCCACTGTTGCTGTTCTGTCTGCGTCCTCCAAGACGCTTGAGCTCCAGCAGTGCCGGACGCCAGAATTTCTGATTCAAGCCAAGTGAAGGTCACCACCACGCACCATCATGACAGCCCTCGGGCCAATTGGTGGTGAAGTCGTTGGTTTATCTCAAAGTTTTTGGATCGAACAATCGCGCAATTCACTGAATAATCCTGATTTGGCAACTGGACTCTCTTCCGTCTCCAAAGGAGATAGGAGTCTATGGGAGAAGGCCTGACCACTCTGGAGACGTCTCTCGAGGCTATTCGGAGTGTTCTCGCTGTGCCGGTTCTAAGCAGGAAAGGAGAATACCCACAACCCTGGAGTCTTCTGGAGACGGTAGCGGGCCTTCGGGTCCATAAGTCTACTTAGGGACCGTTGATTCAGAAGGGCCCCGTGAACCTGCTGCGTCTAGGTTATTCTACCTGGGCGTGTGGACAACCGGGGGCATTCCTAGATAAATTCTGTATTTTGCTCATTCTACGCCAGTCCTTCACACGCCCCAGTCAATCATAAAGCTTGGGGCAGCGGTCAGTTTCATCCAAGTTACATGTCCTCTGACTGACATTATTGGTAGTCTCGGTCAAACGCTCTTCTGTTCTTCCCAATTTTCACCACGCAAGAAGATCATTGCCAACAACCCACACCTCTTCGTCTTCCTCTCACGCCTTCTTCGTGCATTCGGTCGATACATCAGCCACAAGTCCAAGCTCAGCCTCGTGGGCAGTAGTAGCGGTCATCAATGCTGACATTCTGGAGCACTGAACCCCGGAGAGTGCTTCAACCTATCAGTTCCCTTCAAGCATGGTCCCTGGGAGAGAAAACGAGAGCACCAACAAAGGAGAAGCACTCCCGATTCGTTTCGCTGGAATTGGTCGGCCAGGCCTCGCGTTTGGCTTTGGGGCCATGGTATTCCAGCTGCTGCCATCAATGAGGTAGCTTAGGTTCACTCTGGCCAGCATCAAGCTTACCAGCCATGATCTGAGGCCTGCGCCACTGAATTATTGGTGAACAAATCGTCATATTTTCCTGGTATAGAGCCGTTTTTGGACTCTAGTAGACTCTCGGGCTTTGAATTCTACTCGCTGTAAGGCCAGATATCATTTCTTTCAGGTCCAACTTACACCTGTGGACACCCGTGGACTTCATCTACTTCCCTTCCTTTGGGGGACTTCTCTGTATACTATTAGCATGATATTCCATAAAATATCAAAATAAAGCCAACAAAAAGTTGAGACACTCTTTTCCCGATGGATTTTTTTTTCGTAAATAATCAGCGTATTGCTGGAGCATCTACCCCATACACTTAGCAATTGATTGCTGAAGTCTCGGGACTGCGGTGTGCTGCCCGGTCAGGGGCAGCCACGTGACTCTCGGAAGCCAGCGCCAGCTGGAATTCATCGTCCCCTCCATTGAGTTGATCCCTGGCCCCCGGTGATCTTCCATTGTTTTTTCTCCGTTGAAAACCCAATCACCTGTCTCCTTGCTAGGTGTCCCATTTTAGCACGCTTTCTGCCAAACCTCCTGCCTGCTTCCGATTGACAAGCCCCTCTCCATGGACTTCAACAACCTCAGGGATCAGGTCAGCAACCTGACTCTATACGATCTCAAGGCGGGTGTCCGCAAAGTGCAGAATGGTGCGTGAGACCTGCTATGCCTCCATCGTATTCCAATTGAAAGCCACATATCTTGTCGTTGTCGCAATATTCCTCGAAGTTAACCCGACCGCTTCCTTCTAGCTGTGATGAATTATACCGAGATGGAATCCAAGGTCCGTTCCCATACCACCGTCGCACCAACGACGGAAACAACACACGAAATTCTCGGCCCGCGTGGCTTTGAAATCATTACACGGCAGCTCGGCTGATGATGAGTAGGTTCGGGAAGCCACAAACAACGATCCTTGGGGTGCGTCGACGACGTTGATGCAGGAGATTGCCAACGGAACGCATAGCTAGTCAGTCGAGGCTTGACTCTTGTCCTTCTGACATACTCCGTGTACTAACCATCGCTGCAGCCAACTGCTCAATGAGATCATGCCCATGATTTACAAGCGGTTCACCGACAAGAGCGCGGAGGAGTGGCGACAGATCTACAAGGTACAACCGCATGCGAGTTACGCGCAAATCTTTTCCGGGGGCTAATTTTGTCTTTATTCTGGATCTACAGAGTCTTCAGCTTCTCGAATTCCTTGTCAAGAACGGATCAGAACGGGTTGTCGACGACGCAAGATCGCACATGTCGCTGATGCGAATGCTCCGACAATTCCACTACATCGACATGAATGGGAAAGACCAGGGTATTAATGTGCGCAACCGGTCGTCGGAGTTGGTGAAGCTGTTGGGCGATGTGGACACAATTCGCGCGGAGAGGAAAAAGGCCCGGGCCAACCGCAACAAGTTCGGCGGCTTCGAAGGTGGCATCAACGTCGGAAGCGGAATGTCCAGCTCCAGCCGTTATGGAGGCTTTGGCAGTGATAGCATGGGATATGGCGGATACAGTGGCGGTGTCTTTGGTGACGGCGGAGGGTTCGGCGGCGCGTCCTCCGAATTCCAGGACACCGGACGACGGCCCAACCGGTTCGACGAGTATGACGAGTACGATGAAGGAGATGCCAGCCCCCCGCGCTCGCGCGAACCCGCAGCCCGCTTGAACCGGGAGCCGAAGCCCCAGCCGAAGCCAGAGCCTGTCGCGGATCTCTTTGACTTTGGGGACGATGAACCTGCCGCTACCACGGCGCCTTCCTCCACTGCCGCCGGCAAGCAGCCCGCGGGTAGTGCCCTCAATATGCTGGACCCCACACCGGCCGACGATGATGACTTTGATGACTTCCAATCTGCAACCCCGGCTACACAACCACCCACACAAGCAGCATCGTCGAACCAATTCTCGATTGCGCCGCCAGCATCTACCGCTAGCACGACTGCTAGCACGCAGTTCGTTGCGCCGCAACCTGTTTCGGCTTCGCAGGGAGCCAACATCAATGGTTTGGTTGGTTTCACATCGATGACCCCGACCCCGACATCCAGCTCGATTGCTTCGCCCGTGTCGCAGACCGCTCCCGCGCAGCAAAATCCTATGGTCCCGAAGCCCTCAGGCTTCTCGGCGGCCACGCCCAACTACTTCACCTCCGTCTCCAACACCCAGCCGGTGTCATCGCACGGTGCCACTTCTTCCATCTCTTCCACGGCTGCTCCCGCGGCCCCCGCTGCCAGCAAGCCCGCTGCTGCGCCGACCAAGGCTTCCGGGGACGCTTTCGGCTCGCTCTGGTCCACCGCTAGTGCCAGCGCCGGTATTCAGAAGTCGAACTCCCAATCAAACAAGGGACCCAACCTTGCCAGCATGGCCAAGGAAAAGGCCAGCGCGGGTATCTGGGGTGCCCCTGCTCCCTCCAGCGGCGTCTCCCCGGCCCCGTCTCAGGTTCAGCCCCAGCAGAAGCAGGGCGGGCAGACCGGCAGCTCGGGTCTTGATGACTTGCTCGGCTAAGCTCTCCTTCCTCCTTCACTCTGCCTCTTTCTCCCCCCCCCCTCTGTCTCTCTCTTCCTCGGTCTCCATTTTCGAGGTATTCCCGTCAAAGCTGTTGGCTTGACTGAGCATTTTGTTGGATGTATTCCTCCCGAGGACAGACATCTCCTCTTCCATGTATTGTGCGCGTTTATTCTGGGGCGATGCCTCGCATTTCCATGGATTCAGACTTGTCTACCTTTCTTTCAAGTTCTTCTCTTTTCTCTTTTTTTGTCTTTCTATTCTACTCGCCCAATCTTGTTTGATCCCCTCCTCTCATCTTTTTCTTTCTGTCTAGGAATGGCTGTGCTGGTTTAGCAGAGCAATTTGGAAACAAAATTTCCTTGTTTCTTTCTTCTTTCTCTTTGGGACCTTGCTCTACATTATATATCATATATCCCTTGTCTAGGTGGAGTGAGAATGCCTTAAAACGATACTTGTTTAGCATAACCGCTCAAGACACCTTTCTCTACCTCAACTATTTATTTAATGATACATATGGACATGAGTCTGAATGTCTCTTAGTAGGCATTATGCTGATGCTAATTGAATGCTAGAAGAACGCCTCCGCGCTGAAGGAAGCTAGATACATGTGAGGACGGGGAGGGGAAGACAAATACGTGCATGGGCGTTGTGGAAATGGACATCAGAAGAAATATAGAAAGAAAACTAAGAGAGAAAAAAAAGTAGAGAAGAGGAGAGAAGGAAAAAAAAGATAAGATAATAAAACTCTTGAGTTGGGGGGTAGGCAAGATGATGGGGAGGAGAGATATGTGGGCTCCAAAGAGGAAGAGATTGATGCTTCAACTTCGTTCCTTGGGAATAAAACTCTGCCAAAGTCAGGGAGGAAGAGACATGGATTTCGCATTCATAACGAGATGTGGGGATTGAATGTAAGTCACAGAAGTTAGATCAAAGAAGAATGGTTGAAAGGGGTATCTGTATCGTTTCATCACAGAGCTTTTAAGGAGGAAGAGGGGAGGGTGTTAGGTTCGGTCAATGGCATGGGAGGAAGCAATAGAGAAAGAAGTCAACCATGGAGACTAGTTCAAAGTCACTAGTTTTGGAAGAACGTCGCGTTCCTCTCTGCTCGAGACGACGGGGGTGGTTTGCGTTTTAAAGCGAGTGGGAGACTTGGAGGGCTTGAGGGGTCGAGGGGTTGGATCTTCTGTCGTAGTTGATAGGTCAAGCGAATGGCATCGGCCAGTCAAGAAGGCAAATGCCTCCTACGGTCTCTTTTGGACAAGGCACAGCACAGGTGGCAAGACATTGCGGGTGTGCTTCGCCTTTGAGAGCCTCCTGGCCCCACGCTATAGAGAGAAGAGACAAAGGCCGCAGGCTTGGATGACTGGCTCCAAGATGGCATGGGTGGAACGAATGAGCCGCACGCAAGAGGAACCGTGTCGGGGAGCTGGCTGGATCAAATGAAGTCATATGTAGCTCGAGGCCACAGCTGCTTCAGGTCTTAGCCAGCATGTTCGAACGGTTTCCACCGGCCGTCTTGCTCTTAGAGACCTCAGTCTCGGATGAAGCATCCGGGCCTTGGATTTGAATAGTGACAGGCGTGTCGCCGTTCGCGCCCTTGTTGCCGTCGTGAGCCGAGGAATTGTCACTCCTTTCATTCTGAGCAGGCAGAGATACTGGGCCGGACTCGCTGAAATCGGTGCCATTTCCAGTCACATCGGAAGTCGTCTCGTCGTTCAGAGAAGTCAGCCCTCCTTCGATGTCGCGCAAAAGCCGCACAAACTCTTCCGGCACGAGTCCGTTTTCTCCCGTCTTTGGATCTTCCGCGACCAACCAGCCTTGGCCATGTCGGTACGAGACGTAGATCACTTGGCCCTCGGTGAGGGGAAGCTCATTCTCGTGCTCCCGAGTGAAATCAAAAAGTGCAACGGCCTTTCCATTCATCTCTTCGTCCGGGCAGCCGACCGCGAATTGAAAGTCACTTGCGTATCGGTCATCGCCAGCGGTTTCATCATCCGAAGTGAAGCCGGGGTCGTGCTCGTAGCCCTGCTGGGGACCAGGTCCACCGTATCCCGCGTACGAGTACCGCCCTTCATGGGCCGGATACGTGACGTACTCTCCACCTGGCCCATCGTCTCCCGAGTCACCATCGTTCACATAATATGTCTCGCTGCCATCAGCATGCAGACCCACGAACGTTCCGCGGTCTTCGTTTCGGGAAATCTGGTCGGTCCTCGTCAAGCCATGGTTGTCGGTCGTTCCGTTTAAGTCAACAACACTAGCCTTTTTGCGATGACGGGCCGTGGTCATTACCGGGCTATGCAGGTCCTCGTCCTCGCTATACGGAGGACCGTCTCCAAAGGACATCGCTGGCAGTTGCTGCTGATGGCCATAGTTCGTGTCGGTATTCCATCCAGAGGCCCATGGGCCCCGTGAAGTATCCCACGACGTCGGCGGGTCAGACAAGCGTCGGTGCTCGCTCGCAGGCGACGACACGCCGGAGGCGCGAGGAGGTGGAGGCCCATAGTGGAGATGATGAGTCGATGGATAGGCGAAGTCTCGCACGAGAGCATACGGAAGACTGGAGTGAAAAACGGGAAACACGTGCGAGCCTGGACGCGATCGGTTCTGGGATGCGAAGGACACGTTCGAATATGTGGACAGGCGGTCCTTCACGTTGGTCGACGACCGTTTCAACCCTTGATCTGTCACGAGGGGCGGCAGAACCGACAACGTGTTTTGTGTAGACGTCGGAGAGGACATCATGGTGAACTGGGATACAGGCAGGTCGACCCAAAGTTGGCGGGTCGAGATCGGGAAGTGTCACTTTGGGTCTCAGCAGGCTAAACGTGGGGTGTTCATCGGTCGCAGCGTTGGCAGCTCTAGTTGCGCATTGCAATTGACAGCGCACCGACAATACCCAAGTCACAATCGGGGGGCAAAGAAAGCCCTGTGGGATTTGTGGGCACCCACAGTTCACCAAAGGAAGGGGAGTTGTGTGTTGCTGGTGGAGTCGAACGGAATTCGAACGAAATGGCAGGTTGTACCGAGTACTCCGTTGACTTCGATTCTGAAAAGATCAAATGCCAGTTCCCGACTTCCAACCCGACAAATTTCTTCTATTACCGGGCTCCAGGACTAGGACCCGCAGACGAATGGGTGGATGGGGCGACCGGCAAACAAACACGATGAGGGGGGGGGGCTCGAGTGGAGTGGCCGATCTGAGGCGCCGGAATGTGAGCGACTTCCAACGAACAGACCTCAAATTGAAATCGGGCACACTATGTGATCAGGTCGGTGAGACAAGACCGGAAGACTGGTCACGGTTTGCCGAGCTGGGTGTAAAGGGGGAGATCGAGGTGGTTGAGATTGTCCCGCGATCTCGAGGATAAGAATGCTAAATATAGCCGAGACTGCAGAAAAGCGATTGTCAGATCGAGGGGTACCGCAGAACCCACTTATGACCAAATCACAACACGATGGGAATGAAGCACACAGCAATCACCAAGGAGGGTTTGTGTGTTTTCAGGGACTTGGGGGAGGGGAGGGCAGCAAACGCTCGGAGATTGCCATACCTTGTCTCTGAGGCCGAATTTCTAGTAAGGATCAACGGGCGCAGCTCGCCTAGGGAAGAGTGGGGGGATGCGGTCCGCCGATCGGGCTTGCCGAGAGATACGCAAAACACACAAGGAGACAAAAACAAAGCCAGTGCGCCAGATAATCAAACACCCAACTTCTGTCGAGACAGACATGGATGCCGCTGTGTGAAATGCGAATCGGCGATGCGATTAGCTCATCAGGTCACGTGAGTTAGCGTGTTTCAGATTTGGTTTCGGCGATTCCCAATTGGGAAGTCACGGCTCTCCCCTAAACAACCGCCTACAATACTGTAGGCACCCGATCCTTTGTTTCCTCGTCTGCTTCACTCTCATCTACTTAAAAAAAGAAAAAGAAAAAAACCTCACACAGCATGCACCGTATTGGCATTGTGATTGACAGAAAAAAAATTTGACATTGACTATATGGACTACATTCAAGGTCCTAATGGACGGAGGCCGACTATTTTCCAGTGGGCTGGCAACCGTCATGCACGGTCCTCACCACGGTCTTCAAAGTCGTCACCGTGGTGGTTCGGATGGCAGCCATCGGGGTCGAAACTGAAGGCGCAGAGGAAGTCATGGATGAGATACTAGACCTCGTCTGCGCCAGCTCCGCGAACTGTGCATAGATCGCGGCATTGTTGATATCCTGGTCGCTGGCATAGCCACCTGCCACCTTCACGCGGTTGGCGGCGGTGTCCACCACGTCCACATCCATACACGTTGTGTAGATCTCCTTTTTGCCCTGGGGGTAGCTTGGATCGGCACCTGGGGCAGTGGGCCAGTCCCACACCCAGTAGAGGGTGTATGGCTTGCCGGCCGGGGCGATGGCAGGCAGTCGAATATCTTGCTGGCACCAGAGGTCCGCGCCCATCAGCTGGTTGGCCGTGTGGGGGTACTTTTCCTGGCGATGCACGGAGATATTGCTCGGGTTGATTTGGTAGCACTGGCCATCGTCGAAGTTCTGTTTGGAGAGAAGTATCCCTCGTTTATCCCCTCCGGTGCCCTTTCGGTTCCAGACGCCGTGGATGTCCAGGAGGTTCTCGTCTGTCTTTGGCTTCGTCGTCCCGTAGACATACACGGTGCCCCGGTTCGGTGGTTTGCCGGGCTGGTTCTGGGGTAGAGTGACATGGCCATTCTCCTGGAAGCGAAGTGCGATTGCAGCGCCAGCGCTGGCCTTGAGTCGCGGGCTCCCGTCGGTCTGGGTTTGTTTTTGTTGTGTGTCCTTGCACATTTTGTCGGTGGGGAGAATCTGCGTCACGTTGGCTCTTGAGCCTGGCGGGATCAGATAGGTCATGGTGGTGTCGCTGAACCCCGAATCGGTACGACGGTGATTGCCTCGCGCATATCCTGGGGCTCCGATGAAAGTCCCATTTGGTGCAATGACTGTGAGCTCTTCTACCCATGAGTGGGCATCGGCTGAGGCGATGAAGAGGGCGAGAAGCACCCTCAAAATTCCGTGGAGAATCATAATGGCAAGTTCGGGAGGGTCTTTTGGAATATGAAGAACAAGATGTGCATTCTCATGGGTTTTGTTTTGACTCCGGCCCGCGGTGTCGAGGTCGAGTTATTCTCTAGTGAAGGGGGGGTTCGCTTCACTTGTAGACCGAGAGGGGACGTGTTTTTTTTATTGAGGACAGAAGATAAGCATTGTTGGCGTTGCCTAGTTCCAAAGGAGCGTAAAGAAAGGTTTTCTTTGTTGTGTGGCTCAAAGGCAGGAAATCAGATGAAATCCATTCACTTCAAACAGTGCTGATACTTGGGCGTCAAAGAAACTGTGTCAGTCTTTCACCCCCAAGGCAGCGATAGAGAGAACACAAAGAAGATTAGGCTACAAAGACCCTGTTTTTCTTGGGGACCAGCCACACATATAGGAGGCAGAAAAAGCCTTGTCAAGAGTCGTCGCGCGTAGTGAGGGCTCCAAACAAACCTGATACCGACTGGAGCCAGGGCCGGCGCCAGGGCTCAAACAAGACATCTCTGGATTATAGCTGTTAATAGACTTGTCCTACAATCTGCGACAATAGTGAAGATTTCTCAACTAGGGTAGACCCCCAAGAGAGAATAAAATGGTTGGGTGAGGTTGCAAGTTGTAGAACGCGATGCCGAGGGTCGGGGATATTTTTATTCCTCATAACCAAACTCGCACCTCCTGGCGCGTAGCTCCGGTGGGATTTGCAGATCGCTCGATCTCAGGGGAGCTGCAGATGTTGCGCATCTGCAAGTAAATCGGGCTGGTGGGCGCGGCTATTGGCTGAGCGACACCCCTGGCGCTTCGCCTGAAGACTCCAGGATTACAGAGAGAAAAAAAAAAAGATCTAAAGAAGCCAAATGGTCTTAGTTTCTTTGACAAGTCTCGGGAGAGACAGGGGTCTTGGGCTTCTGATCTCATACATTCTGTCATTGAAACTTACCCTGGGCCCACGTGCTTTGGGGATGCCCTAAAGTTGTCGGTCTTTGTTTCGGTCCTAAGAGCCTCGATCGCTTGGGCCCAAGATACCCTGGCTTTGGCTGATTGGTAATATTTGATTTCATTTGCGAGGGATCCTATTAGTCTTGAAAAATAGGGTGCCATTGCGGGGTTGGGCGGACAGTTGCTCTTTCAGTAGGGTGAAAGATCCGCAAGCCACTGAGATCGAGGCCGTCTGCAACAAGTCGTCATAGTCTAGTCTTAATATTCCCATCTACCTTCCAGAGGGTTTCATATCGGATCTTATGTGCGAAGATGGTCTAACAAGAGGCGGATAATTCTAGTCCCTGATTGAGATATCCTCCAAGACCATGGCTGACGTTCTCTATTCCAATGCAGTTCCTCGATGGCCTTGGGCTTTCGAGATATATTACCTTGAAGGCTCTCTCTTCGAACTACACTGTCCCCTATGTGTTTGTTCGCAAAGATGCAGGGTCTTCGGTGGTGTTGCCCAATATTTGCGGTAGAGCCCCCGGGGTCGGACCCTATTACGCAACACCAAAAAAAAGGCATGCCCTATAGGATTCACTGTTACGCCCCGAAGTAGAGTTAGTGCAACAAAGAGCAGGAAAATGGGGGATCATGCTCTGGTACAAAGGATTTTTGTTTGGGTTTCCTATTGGCTTAGAATAGGATGGTCTCATGGGATGACGTATAGATCTGAATGATTGTCTTTGTGTTGGCATTCATTCTACCATCCTGCGAACTGATGTATTTTATTTACTCTTTTGAATGAAATTGTGAGGGGTTCGAGGGAGATCAGCGTTTCCTAGCTATGCCGTACAACCCCATTCTGCATAGATAGACCACGTAGAGGGGGTTGACTACTGAAATAGGCCCAATGCATTCAATGTCACAGGGAATCCAGGTAAGAAATGGCTTGGATGACACTGCAGACGTGTTTTTGGCTTTGGGATATTCTTCTTGGTTTGTCTCGTATGGACCATCGGGAGTTCTCCGTCCATCTTTAGTCGCACTATGGACGCAGAGCTTGAGTTATCTGACTTCTCCATTTGCTCCACTGATGTGGGTTTTGCAGTCAGTTGCATTAGCGGGGAATGTTGATCGTTCTTATTTCTGCGTTCTCAAAATCAACCTGAACTTGAATTTTGTTCTTATTCTTGTAGAATGTCTGGTTTTGAGCCAGGACCGGGAATTGTGTTGGGGGCTGTACGAACCTTGGGAAACCGCTCTTTTGATTACAAGGGCCATGGGAGGGCTCAACAGTGTGAAGCCCTGCGCGCATCGCCACATTCTCGAAATTCTGCAGAATCATGCCGTGTGTTCGCCCAGCCCTGGGGGACTTGGGTAGGACAAGCAGGCAATTAGGGAACCGTGCATTTCTCTCTCTCTTTTTTTTTTTGCCACCAGAGTGCCCCAGGAGAGAGACAGGGCGAGGTCAAGTCATTGTAGGGCGACTTTTCTCCAAGCGAGAAACTAAGTCTGGATCGGGAAGCATTCATCGTGCTATTGTTCTGTTTTCTCCAGTTCATGCCCCGTTTGACGTGCCAGATATACCCTGTGGGTTTAAATACTCTTCTTTTCTTGACTCCCCAATATTATTTAATCTCGTGAATCCTTTTTGTCTCGTTTTCGAGATTGTCAGATCGGGAGTTTCCAGAACCTCCCCACTGCCGTGCCTTGGCGTCGGCGATACTTAATTCCACCGAGTATTTTGTGCTCAGGGGGATCCCCAATTTTTAGTCGCGAATTGTCCCTGCTGCTCTGCTTTGTCTCTTGCTTTTCCCCAGGCCCTCTTCCTCTTCCACTTGGGTTTGGTGAGTGGCTCTCTAAAGAAAAAAAAAAATCTCAGTGCTCGTGGGAACTGCAGTCCGTGAAACCACCTCGTGAGCCACATGCGGCTCTCAATCTAGGAACTGCACGAGAGCTTTCCTTTCGGCCTTGGTCGACACCGAATCCCGGTTATTCTCACAGGCTCTGGTCCCCTGTGGACCATTTCTACCCCTCCGTCCCCCAAACGCCTTCAACAGACGTCCCTACACACCGCCTCTGTGACGACCCGCGTTATGGCCTCGTTTGTCTCCAAGAGACTCCGCTCAACGGAGGAGAATCAGGATGTTGAGCCAAGCTGGATTCGACGCCAGGTCACCTGTGGCCTGCAGTCTATTTCTCGCCGGGCCTGTGTGCACCCAATCCACACAATTGTTGTGATTGCCCTTCTTGCCAGTACCACCTACGTCGGGCTGCTGGAGGGTAGCTTGCTGGATACAGCCCGTACTCCACGGAATCTGGCGGGCCAGGTGGATACAGACACTCTCCTTCAAGGAGGCCGGAATTTGCGACTGGGAGAGTCGACTTCGTGGAAGTGGCAGGCAGAGGATGCCTGGGCGGACTCGAATGTGAGAATTTTTCCTTTCCTTTTTCTTTTTCTCCCCCGACATTGATCTCACAACCCATGGAATAGCAGGTTGGAAAGCCCGTCGCTCAGCACTTGGCCTTGACCACCTTCATTTTCCCCGACTCCACCTCCAAGTCGGCCTCGACTGCGCCCGCGGCCGACGATGTCCCCGTCCCTGCCAATGTCTCCGCCAAATCAGTCCCGCACACCCCCAACTTTTTCTCGCCTTTCTCGCATGATTCCTCCCTCGCATATACCGTTCCCTTTGACCAGGTACCGGAGTTCTTGAAGGCGGTCCAGGAAATCCCAGACCCGTCTGCGGAAGAGGAGGAGCCCAAGAAATGGATTATGAAGGCTGCCCGTGGACCCGCGCATGGATCCAGCAGAGCCTTCAAGGTTTGGCTTACGGATGCGTGGAGCTCCTTTGTGGATCTCATCAAACACGCGGAAACCATCGACATTGTGATCATGGCTCTCGGGTACATTTCGATGCACCTGAGCTTCGTCTCGCTTTTCTTCTCGATGAGACGGCTCGGCTCGAATTTCTGGCTGGCTACCACGGTGCTGTTTTCTGGATCCTTTGCCTTCTTGTTTGGCCTGCTGGTGACCACCAAACTCGGTGTGCCCATCAACCTGCTTCTGCTCTCCGAAGGCCTGCCGTTCCTGGTGGTTACTATTGGCTTTGAGAAGCCGATTATGTTCACTCGGGCGGTCCTGAGCGCTTCGGTGGACAACCGGCGGCCGCGTCCGGGTGCTGCTCCCCGGCCTCTTGCCTCGAGCACCCCACGCTCCATCCAGGATTCCATTGCCACTGCCATCAAGGACCAGGGATTCGAGATTGTTCAGCATTACTGTATTGAGATCGGTTTGCTGGCTATGGGTGCTGCCTCCGGCGTGCAAGGAGGTCTTCAGCAGTTCTGTTTCCTCGCTGCTTGGATCCTGTTCTTCGACTGTGTCCTTCTCTTCACCTTCTACACCACCATTCTCTGCATCAAGCTGGAGATCACCCGCATCAAGCGCCATGTGGCGCTGCGCAAGGCCTTGGAAGAGGATGGCATCACCCACAGTGTGGCTGAAAATGTCGCCTCGAACAACGACTGGCCCAGTGCAGGATCGGACAGCAACGATATGGATACCAGCGTCTTTGGACGAAAGATCAAGTCGAGCAGCGTGCGTCGGTTCAAGATCTTCATGGTTGGCGGTCTGATCTTGATTAACATCGTCAACCTGTCGGCCATTCCCTTCCGGAACCCCGGTAGCGGTGCTCTGCTCTCCCGTTTCTCCAACGTCATGGCGCCTACTCCTATCGATCCATTCAAGGTGGCAGAGAATGGGTTGGACACTGTCTATGTGTCTGCCAAGAGCCAGAAGCAGGAGACCGTGGTGACGATCATCCCGCCTATCAAGTACAAGTTGGAATACCCTTCCGTCTACTACGGTTCGCCCGAGGAGTCCCGGTCGTTCGACATTGAATACACCGACCAGCTTCTGGACGCTGTTGGTGGCAAGGTCCTCGAGAGTCTGCTCAAGAGCGTGGAAGACCCCATCATCAGCAAGTGGATCATCGCAGCTTTGACGCTCAGCATCATCCTCAACGGCTATCTCTTTAACGCCGCTCGCTGGAGTATCAAGGAACCCGAGGCTCCTCCTGCCGCCCCCAAGGAGCCGGTGCCTGCACCGAAGGTCTACCCGAAGTTTGAACCCAATGAGCAGGAATCGAAGCGGACAGCCGAGGAATGCGAGCTGATTTTGAAGGACAAGCGCGCGCCTACGCTCACTGACGAAGAACTGGTCAATCTGTCTCTTCGCGGAAAGCTTCCCGGCTATGCCCTGGAGAAGACCATGGAAGATGAGACTTTGATGAGCCGCGTCGATGCCTTCACCCGCGCCGTGAAAATCCGCAGAGCCGTGATCTCACGGACCCCGGCCACTTCCGCCACCACGAGCTCCTTGGAAGCATCCAAGCTCCCGTACAAGGATTATAACTATGGTCTGGTTCACGGCGCCTGCTGTGAAAACGTCATTGGGTACCTGCCCCTCCCTCTCGGTGTTGCTGGCCCGTTGAAGATCGATGGCCAGAACTACTTCATTCCCATGGCTACCACGGAAGGTGTGTTGGTGGCGAGCACAAGTCGTGGCTCAAAGGCCATCAACGCTGGTGGTGGTGCAATTACTGTTCTCACGGGCGATGGCATGACCCGCGGTCCTTGCGTGAACTTCCCGACTTTGGCTCGGGCTGCTGCTGCCAAGGTCTGGATTGATTCGGAGGAAGGTTCGAGTATCATTACTGCGGCCTTTAACTCGACCAGCCGCTTTGCCCGCCTCCAAAACCTCAAGACTGCCCTCGCCGGCACCTACCTCTACATCCGCTTCAAGACAACGACTGGTGATGCCATGGGTATGAACATGATCTCCAAGGGTTGCGAGAAGGCGCTGAACGTCATGTCCACCGAGTGTGGCTTCGACGACATGGCCATCATTTCACTTTCGGGCAACTTCTGCACGGACAAGAAGTCCGCTGCGATCAACTGGACCGACGGTCGAGGCAAGTCCGTTGTGGCAGAGGCCATCATTCCTGGCGATGTCGTCAAGAATGTTCTGAAGAGCGATGTCAACGCCCTCGTGGAGCTGAACATCAGCAAGAACTTGATCGGGAGTGCTATGGCCGGCAGCATGGGCGGGTTCAACGCACACGCTTCCAACATCGTGTCTGCCATCTTCCTGGCCACTGGCCAGGATCCTGCCCAGAATGTCGAGAGCAGCAGCTGTATCACGACCATGAAGAAGTAAGTTGTTTTCTCCCTCCATTGATTCTCTATATTCCGGGCCCAAGGATGCTGACGGATCACCCAGTTCCAACGGCAATCTCCAGATTTCCGTATCAATGCCTTCAATCGAAGTGGGCACCATCGGCGGTGGCACTATCCTTGAAGCACAGTCGGCTATGCTGGACATGCTCGGTGTCCGTGGCTCTCACCCCACCACCCCTGGAGAGAACGCCCGACAACTGTCTCGGATCATTGCTGCCTCTGTTCTTGCCGGTGAGCTCAGTCTGTGTGCTGCACTCGCCGCCGGTCATCTTGTCCGAGCACACATGGCCCACAACCGCAGCGCAGCTCCCACCCGGTCCGCGACTCCTGTGTCGGCTGCTGTGGGCGCTGCACGTGGACTGGCCATGTCATCCAAGTAGAAAGAAAACGAAGACGACACAATCATCGGACGCACCTCGATTGTCCTGCTCGGTTTATGACTCTTGTACACCCCTCATGACCCGTGTACCCTCCCGATATCATCTCAGTCTGATTGCACGACCCTCTTTTACTGTTGGTGTGCATGTTTAGGCTTCTGTCTCTCTTTACCTGCATCACACAAACCCGATCACTGGTTGCCAGACATGATCCGTCATGATCTGTCATGGTGGCAACTGGGACAGTGACAGGCTCCCTTGAGACCATCCAAAATCCCAGAGCGATGCTCTTCTACATTCCGTACTTAAATGTTTTATTTCAGCATAGATGTGCCAGCCATGAAATGTGTATTTTTGTGTTTTGAGGCAATTTTCGGGAGATACTTCTCAGGTACTTCTTGCATAGTGGCCCGACGGGCGTTCCTGTGAGTACCATGTGGTCACTGGGAATATTACCAGCAGGTACCGGTACCAGCCACACTGGGGGCCGAAGGTCTAGACGGGGCGACTCCTGAACGGGCTTTTGTATGAAATTACACAGTTTTGCAATTACACACCTTTGCAATCTCTTCATAGGCACTCGGATATAAGAGATGATTTCTAAAGAACTTTCTATGAGTATATCTCGAGTACATTTTAAAAATGTCTGGTTATGTTAGTATTCTTTTATCTGCGCGTCGAATCCCCAGGATCAGCCCCTGTGTGGCTCGTGTCCCTTGCCCAGGGGATAGTCTAGTATTCCTGTTACCATACTAACCACCCTTTTTTTTTTTTTTTTTCCTGTTCTTTTTTGACAGATCAAAAAAGATCCTAGGAATGCTCACCCGCACGAGATGGCTGTGAAATGTAGATCTGAGAGAGCACGTAGACTTTCGGCTTCTCCTGGAAGATCCAAAATTCCTGGGCGCTTTCTAGTCCTTTGTGTGACCGTGTTGTGGTACTTCCAGGTACACCTTGCACTGCACCCACTCAGTCGGTAAGGAAGTACCGGCGGGTACAGCCGTACAGGCGTAAGGGAACTCCGGAGTGTCTGGAAACTAAATCTCACACTGTTCATTATTTCTCCCTTTTGCGATTCAATATTCTTCTGTCCTGCCCACCCCTTTCATCTGTCCAGTCCTTCACTCCTTTGGACTTGGATCCCTTGGGAGAGAACCTGCTGTCGTTTGTTCTCCCCATTCTCCTTCCGACTTTCCCCATCCCGTGACCGACCGGGCCCTTCCTTCGGCTCTCTCCCTCGTTTCACAAAGCCGGTGAATGATACTGGGAACTCGTGGCGGTGTGAACAACAGTGGGTGTTTTTCCATCTGACGGCCTGGACAATACCTCCCCTTGAGAGCGATCACCGATCCTACCCCAGTTCGAGGCGTCGAAATTCCCCCCCATTCCGGCCCTGATGAATGGCCATTCCGGAGCCATGTCGCCTGTCTCTGTCGATGGCAGCGACTGGTCTGGGATCAACCAGTACCAGAAATCTGACCCGCCCTTCTCCCCGACCTTTTCATCCCGAGGCAATCTTGCCACACCCCCGACCTCCGGTTCCCCCAGCGCACCCTTGAGCCCGAATCTCGCAGCGCCCACCGGCAGCGGGAACCCATCGCCGCCGAGCTCGGTGGCCGCCCGGTCCAGCGTGGGTACGCTGGCCGAGCGCCCCCGCGAGGGCCATGGCCGGCGACACCGACAGATGGAGGAAATCCTGTCGCAGCACTACGCTGCCCTGAGACGATTCCTGAACGCCGCCTATCGGGACGACCGGGCAAATGGCAAATCGAACAAAGCCCGCGACAAGCTGCTGCGGCTGTCGCCCACCCAGTTCCACGAACTCAGTACCGATGTCTACGACGAGTTGATCCGCCGCCAGCAGGCCATGCCGCCTCCCGGGCGGCCGCCTCGCCCCGATGTGCCCCCGTTTCTTCCGCCGCGCGACGACTTCCACGAGAAACGCAACCAGGCTCGCCAGAAACTCGCCTCGCTGCAACATGGCCGTTTCCGAGATTTGGCAACCGATGTCTTTTGTGAACTTGAGCGACGCTTCCCGCACTTTGCTAGCCGAGACTATCGCGGTCGGCCGCCGCCCAACATGCCCCCCGGTGCTCGTCGTTCGCAGTCCCGGGGGCCTCCCCCTCGCATGGGCCGAGGCTACCCATCGGGTGGCCCGCCGGGTAGTCCGTTTCCTCCACGCCATGGCTCGATGGGAGGCCCTCCATCAGCGAATGGAGACGGGCCACTTCCTCGGTCTTTCCAGAGCAATACGATGGTTCCGAATAAGAGTACGATGGTCGAGGATAGCGATGATATGGGACCGGAAGACGACGATGATGCCCGAAGTGATGCTTTTGCTTTGGACGCTGTTCTGAGCAGACGAGGCACCACAACGACGCTGGGTGACAATGACCGAAAATTGCTGTCGGAAAGCCAGTCACAAGTTTCAGTGCTGCAGGAGAAGGTCGACAAGTTAGAAGAATTGGTTCGTTCCAAGGATGAGGAGCTGTCCCAATCTCGAGACTCGGACCACTCTGGGGTAAGCCTTTTGTTTTTGAACGAGTTGCCAGGGCCAATCTTCATGGAGCTGACTGTTTCAATAGGTCAGCCATGCTGAACGCGAGGAGTGGGATGACCTGCGGCAGGAGTTGGAGAGTAAGGTATCCAAGGCCGAGGACTTGAACAGCTCGCTCCAGCTCGAACTCGATAGAGTTCGGGCAGAGCAGGACACCATGGAACGGGATCTTCGCAGCCAGATCGATAGTATCTCCGGAAGCTCCGGCGATGCGGATTTACAAGCTCGCCACGCGCATCTGGAGAGCAAACACCGAAGCTTGCAGGTCGAGTTGCAGCAGCAGCAGCAGGTGACTGATGAGGTTCGCCGGGAAGCGTCCGCTTTCCTCATGGAAATGAAGACCCTCACTGCGCAGAGTCATTCTAACTGGGAACGCGAAGAGCAACTCTCGGGTGACATTCAACGACTCGAGGCCGAGGTCAATGAGTGGAAGCATCGCTACGCCAAGGCGAAGGCGCAGGTACGGCATCTGCGCACCTCATCCGGTGGCATTGCCGACTCCCGGCCCGATGCAAGTGTCTTGGCCAAGGAGCATGAGCTGGTGCAGGTTGACGGGCTGGTCAAGGATATCCATGTGACCAAGTTCCAGATGTCGGTGGACGAGCTGCTCCGAGTTGCGCGGTTTGAGGAATCGCCCTCGGTGTTCCAGCAGATCAAGTTCGTCGTTCTGGCAGTCCGCCATATTCTTCAGGACGTCGACCAAGCCCCGGCTCCCCAAGATGGCTCGGCCGCCCTGCGCACCAAGGCCAAGGATCAGGTATCGACCACAGCGAACAATGTCCTCGTTGCTGCTCGCAATTTTGCCAGCTCCAGTGGCCTCTCCCCAGTTTCCTTGCTGGACGCGGCGGCTTCGCATCTTTGCACTGCCGTCGTGGGACTGGTTCGGGTGGTGAAAATTCAAGCATCGCCTGCGCATGAGTTGGAAGATGACGATGTGGACGTGTCGCACATGAATGTCCCCGACTACTTCAGCACAAGTGCCAGCCAACGGCGCTACAGCAACCACTCCGTGTACAGCGCCATGAGCATTCCGGACCAGACCAATCTCCCCGAGAGGCAGAATGGCGTGCCTAATGGTATGGATTATGGTTATGGAGCTCCGCGAGGAGACCATGAGCTCCAAGAACTCAAGGTAAGTCTCGATGATGTATTCGCCCATTTCTTGAATAGCCCGCTGATATTCTTGTCATTAGTACTACGTTGAAGATCAAACCGACGGCATGGTCCAATCCATCCAGGCTTTGGTTGCTAGTATCCGGGCCGAGCAGGGATTGAACACCGTCCAGACCCATGTTTCTGCCATCTCCGACGTGGTTGCCAACGTGGTCTCGTCCACAGAACATCTGATCCACGAACGCAGTGGAGATGTGGCTCTGCGCGAGCGCTCCGAGCCTGTGGTCCAGGCGCTGGATCAATGTCGCGGCCGGCTGATGGCTGCTGCTGCCGATGGCCAGGACGCTACCAGTCCTGACCAGGAGCGCGAAGTCACCAACAAACTGCCGCCGATTGCGTTTGAGATTGCTCGACAGACCAAGGAGCTTGTCCAACGCCTGGAGCCTACTGACGATGAAGATGACTTCCGGTAATGACCTGGATTTCTTCTTATTTTCTTATTTCGATTTTTTTTTTCTTTTCATCTACTTTTGATCCTTCTTATGGTTGAGGCCATTTCCTTCGGCATTGTTCATATCCCTGCCTCGTGCATTGTTCTTTTTGTTTCTTTATACCTCCCCCCTTTTTTTGCGGCTTATGAGCGACTGTCATCCGTGGCAACGAACGGACCATGTTGAAATGATGTCCTGACTGCTTCTTCCATCCTCTTTCTTTCTTTTTTTTCCTTCTACTTCTCCCATTTATTTTAGCCCTTTACTTTATGCCCCTTATTCGTTGTATTTTTATTGTATTGCACTCCCCGATTTTCTTCGGTGTCTTTGTTGATTTTCTGTTCTCCGCATCTCGGCGTCAGCTCTTGCATCGTGACCCGTGCATACGAAATGGTACCCGGTTCTTTTCACTTGACATTGCAACGACCACTCGTATATCTACCTAAATTAGTCCCCCGTACTTTGATCCTGTATATCTGTAGCCCGGAAGGGATTTGCCGGGCTCTTACGTAATCCTAGGAGCTCTCGTCGCGTTTCTGCTGAAGCTTCATTTTTCTTCCCTTGCTGTCTCTGTCTGTATCCAGCACCGTCTAACTCCATTGATGTGAGTATATCATATGCTGGATGGCTGCCTTAGGGCTGGTGTTTGTCACCTGTTGATTCCATATCACCCATCGGTTTTGTGCTTCCCAGGAAAACTGGCGTCTTTGCCCCCTGGACAACAGCATGACAGCCCGAGGCACCCAAACTGCACCCCTGATCCCAAGCACCCACCGCAGCAGCTAACCCGCATTTAGCCCGGCATCCGAGTTCACCCGCTCCGCCCTGCCCCTCACCATGTTCTGCCGCCTCAAGACAATAACCCCACCTTCTTCCCTCTTCTCTTCTTCTCTCTTCAATTGCACTTCTTTCCATCCCGTTGCCCATCGATCTTTCGCATCTTCCGCAGCCATGTCCAACACCAAGGCTTTCTTCGACGTCCAGTACGCCCCTGTGGGCTCCAGTGCCCGTAAGTACTAGTTTTTGCTTGATGGCATTGCAATGTTTTGGAGGGGAGTTGTGCCCCTCCAAGGTGTTCCCTTCCCCCCTCCCCCCCCCCTTACCACATCACCCGCTTCCCCAGTTGGGATTTCCATCCCTCAATTCCATCCATCATCCATCCAGGATGATGAGGTGCTCCCTTGCAATCCATGTCAATTCTTTTCTAGCACTTGTATACTTGGTATACTGACTTCATCTTTAGCCAAGACCGCCCGCATCAACTTCAACCTCTACGAGGCTGATGTCCCCAAGACGGCCAAGAACTTCCGTGAGCTCTGCAAGAAGCCCAAGGGCGAGGGCTACAAGGGCTCTGGTTTCCACCGCGTCATCCCCCAATTCATGCTCCAGGGTGGTGACTTCACCCGCCACAACGTGAGTTTTTTTTTTTTTCTTCTTTCTCCCCATCTTGTTGCTTTGTGTCCTCTTGGGTCTTGGGAATAGTGGCTAATTTCTTTTTCATTTCTTTTCGGAATAGGGCACTGGTGGTCGCTCCATCTACGGCGAGAAGTTCCCTGACGAGAACTTCAAGTTCAAGCACGAGCGCCCTGGTCTCCTCTCCATGGCCAACGCTGGTCCCAACACGTAAGATTTTGTTTTTTCTCGTCCAACTATTTTTGGGTCTTGTACTGATTCTATTTTTTCTGCAGCAACGGCTCCCAGTTCTTCATCACCACCGTTGTCACCTCGTGGCTCGACGGCAAGCACGTCGTCTTCGGTGAGGTTGCCGACGCCGAGTCCATGCAGGTCGTCAAGGAGATCGAGGCTCTGGGCAGCTCCTCCGGTGCCGTCCGCTCCTCTGTCAAGCCCACCATTGTCGACTCCGGTGAGCTGTAAACTACTCGACCGTGCAAGTATGGTTGGGGGTTCTTTGGAGGCAGAAATCTCTCTTGAAGCTTAGGACCTTGCCTATGATCATGGGGCATCGCCGACTAGTTTCCGGTGGCATTCCCTTTTGCGTGGTGTAATCTAGACTGTTTACCGTGCTAGTTATGTGCAAGCCCCTTGTGGCAGGGCATTGAGAGTTTCATTCTTTCTGGAGTTTTATATATGTAGTGAGAAGGCCTATTCTGCAACTGCAGCCTCCCTGTAGAGTTTCCATGGGTTGGCGGCCACACTGGGTAGGACTGGGTAGGTAACTAGTCAACAGACCAGAGATCAAAAAAACTTTTTCTCCGAATGACAATGGTAATAGCATTGTGGTAGGGGGGAATCATGATACTTGGAGCTACGCCGTGGTGACGGGGAAACGGCAAGGGTGATTTCATGCGACATGGCATTGAAGAGAACAAGACACAAGTCATATAAGAAAGGCGTCAGGTACATAAAATCGACACAGGAATAAACCAGAACTAAGACCAAACTCCTGTAGGTATCAGTGATCGAACCCCGAAAATGATATAATGATACAAGCAGACATGTCCGCAAACTAAGGAACACCCGCAAGTGAACCGGTGAGAACGCCAACGTAGCGGTATAAAATCAGTCAGGTTTATGCAATGCCCTGGGACTCCATGCCACCCATCGTCGAATATGAGTAAGGCAGATCCACCAAGCCGTCAAGAAGCCAGTTTAGTGGATCGAAAACTTCGTAGTTGGGCTCCATAAATCCACTTGGGAGTCCACTGACCCCGTTCGTGGATCCTTGGACCCCAAGGCTGGCTTGCGACAACATGGGAGCTGGCGCAAGGCTTGGGTCGCCGCCAGAGATGCCGGGTGTAGAGGAGGCGGTGCGAATGGGACCAACAGATGAGGCAGCAGATGAATCGGCCGTTGAGTCTGGATTTGTAGGGTTCTTCAAATAGGCTGCACGACATCAGCATACCAAAGCCAGCTTGCATACTTCAAGGAAATGATATACTGATGATATACTGACCTTCAATGTTTCGTCCCTTGGTCCGCGCATCCTCGCGCCATCGCCACACCGAGTCAAACAGCAGAGACATGCTCATCCGACAGCGGACTTTGAGTCTCAAGGAGTCATCTACATCAGTGTGGGTGGAAGAACGTTGTGGCGCCCCGCCTAGTCTCCACATCTGCGCCAGCACCTCGGCCAGTCTCTCAGGCAGGTCGTTACTCGACACAGAAACTCCCCGAATGGCCCAGATGGTTCGATTAAACAAGTGTTTGGTGTACTCCATGTCGATATGGGCTGCGAAGAAGCCCTTGCACAGCTTGAGAAGCGTGCAGCCCGCCGCAACCATCATCTGGTAGATATAGTATGGGGTGTAGGAGAGGACGGGCCCAACCTCAGTTTCTAGGTTCATGGCAACTTCAAGGAAGGACGTGGTCGCCACATAGAGAGATAAAACACGCTCCCGATAATCCTTCGCATTTGGATCGTCAAAGAAAGCTGAGAGGTGTAAATGCAGATTGGAAGCATGGAGATATAGATCGGTGATGCCTGATCCCATAATCAATATTATGCAACTAGAAGACAAGACCCAAAAACTTACAGTCATTCTGTGCCTTGAATTGTTCCTCGAGCTCATCGAAGTCCCGTGACAAAAACGATATCATCGCAAACCTTTCCTGATCTCCGGTTAACCCAACAGGATCTCGTCGGTTCGTGTAAAGCGCTCGGGTGATCTTGTCACAAAACTTCTCGATTTCGAGCCTGGGTTTGATATCTCCTGGTAGCTTGAGATTTGGATCTAACGAGTCGCTGGAGGACAGAGTCCAATCATATAGCGTCGATGGTGGCTGACCATAGCCAGTTGAAACACTAGAGAGAATGAGACAAGCTTTTCGGCTTTTCAGATCACCACATACCGTTGCGCAACTATGTTGCAAATAGCCCACGTCCGGACCTTGTCTTTAAGCTCATCCTCAATGAGCTCCACCCGAAATTTGCTGAAGTCCTGGGAATGGGATGGGCGATGAAGACCCAGCTGCATAGCTACCTGTACCATCATTCCACACAGCATGAACGTGGGATCGGTGGAGGTGCTGCTCGTGGGGAAGGGCCAAGAGCACAGCAGACAGAGCGCCTTGACGACATGATAACTTTGGGGAATGTCCGCTAGAGTACTCCACACCAGTCGAGTCACAGGACCAGCAAGAGAGTTCAACAAAGTCGAATCGCTTTGGTAGCGTCGGGCGCCAACGCTGATGATCGTCCAGAACAGCAATGGCGAGATATTATAATATTCCTCTGGGGGCTGCTTCCGGTCGAGAAACGGGAGGAATGGGTGATAATAAGTGAAGAACCTGGCGCAATTGTTAGTTTGACAAAACCCATGCGAGGTAAAATTCCCTTACAGGTTGAACAACTCGATGACTTTCTCCGGCACCACCATGACATCCTCAATGCGCTTGACCTGTGCTCCTCCATTGCGCATATAGTTGGAGCCGTCGAAGCCCGAGCGCAAATCCAATAGCGAAGCAACCGCTTCCTGGGAGCCCATGTACTGATCTGCGGACATGGCCGATGGGGTCTGATAGACAGCAGGGCTGACCTGATTTGAATCCTGCTTGGGCGTGTCGACCGGCTGTTGCTGTTGCTGTTGCTGTTGAGGCACCCCCGGGCCGGAGGAAGCAATTTGCTTCCTGAGCTCAATGATTTCACGCTCCATCTCGGCATTCCGACTGCGCTTCCCGACGCGTTTAAAATTGGACTCAATTTTGCAATCGAGCTTCAGTCGACGGCACCGCGAACAATCGGACCAGGGATCTTGAATGACGTCGCATCGGAGCTGTTGCGGGCGTGAGTTGGCGAAGCCGATCGGTTCAACCTTGACTGATCGGTGCACTCACCTTCTGCTGTCGACACTCATTACAGGCACGCTTCACCGGCTGTCGCCTCCTATCCTCTCGCGCATCATTATCATCGGCATCTTCGATGCTCCCCGGCGAACTATCCATGCCCGCAATGGTGACATTGCGCTTGCGACCCGATACAGCCTCGGACGCGGCAGCTGAGACAGGCGTATGGTTGACACCCGCCATTACGGGGCTGGTGGCCCCAGACGCATTCTCGTTCCTTGCGCTTGGATCCAGAGCTTGAGTCGGACTACCGCCGATTCCGCTCGATCGCCGCAGAGAAGCCAGCCTGGTTGATGTTAGGATTGAGGGCCACAAGAGGTTGCAGTCGGGTAATGGGAGGTCGAGATTGTTTCTTGAGCAGTACGGTAATTCTCTGGTGATTTCCGGTGGTCGCTTTAGTTTACCGGCAGTCCTCTCATCCGCGGATCCGCTGCAGACTTGGACTTGGATCTTGTTCCGTCCTCGACGATGATGCGGTGAGTCAGCAGAGGGGCAACCTTGGAAAGTCACATGGTATGCATCACGTGTCACACGTGACAATTTATTTGCTACGTTGTTTCTTTCGTGGGCAGCGAAGTATCCTCTTTGAGTGTTTGACGGAGTTATCCAGGTGCTGCAAATAGTCAAAATGCTTGATCTGTTCCAGAAAATGCCTTGGAACATTCTCGACGGATAAACTCCGTTATGCGAGCCCCCCTATGAGCCCTATGAGGTCATGATCGTCCCCGAGAGACCAATAACTCCTTAAGGCAACCAGCCGAGGCAGTGCCTGCGCCCGACTTCGCCATGCACGCAAGCTGGACCAATGTTGTGCGCTGTATGGTTTTGGATCCCCTGGGTTTTTCATGCGCGCTTATCCACTCGTAGCCGCCCGTGTTCGCTCTCAGCCCCAAACCATGGTCATCCTCGCGTGCGGCTCCCCATGATTTGTTCCTAGAAGCTTAACTTGGGGCCTTACCGGGCACTGGGTGTGTTGGATATTCGCCACATATCGCCCGAGAGGGTGCTGGGAACCCTGAAAGAGTGCCAGCCGCTTAGATGGGCCATGGAATTGGATCTCATCTGGTGAGGCCCTGTCGACGTCAGATCCGCTATAAAAAGCACTTGGCCCCGCGCCATCTTTTGCGTGTGTATCCACTTTCTGTTTTCTGTTAGGGGCCTTACTTTCCCCAGATCAGATTTAAAATCCTTCCCGAAGCACCTGGGAATTCTTCCTGAGATTTTGTCACTTCTACGCAATCATGGGTTTGTCCACAGACGAAAAGCCCAAACAACCTCCGGCTAAGCCCGAGGCCGAGAGCAGCGCACGACCACCTTCCTACGGCGAGCACGAAGTGCGTCCGCTCGAGCTGCCCCTACTGAACCTCTCTAAACCCAAGACCGGGGTTTGTATGATTACGAGCGACCAGTGTGTCGCACACCTCAAGTTCCTGGCTGTCCTGGCAGACCTACGCGACACAATATCCAGCGCTGACGGCCTCTTCGGTATTTATGACTCCGAGGCCGACCGCTACCCATACTCAACCGATGAGGCCCGAGTCCGCATTCGCGAGAAGCGATGGGCCGTGTATACGGCACGCGCGGTCGACCGGTACACCGAATGGTGGTTTAAGTGCTTGCCGATGTCAAGACCCTTGGCCACCATCAGCGACTTGACACATCCATCGTACACAACTGTCACAAACTGCGAGACTATGATTTTGTGGGACGAGAAAAACATGCCCCCCATCGGTAAGTGAAAGGTGTGGCCGTTGAATGGGCCCTCTCTCCCGAGACTGATTATTTGGCTGTAGATATTCTGATGGTCTGGCATTCTCACATGCTCAATCCAAGAAGCTTCCTCGAAGACTGCATCCGCTATGGCAAGATGAGTACCTGGAAAACTGGGTTTCCCTTCGAGGCCGTGGATCGGTGTATCAACAACCACACGCTGGAGTACACGGTCAGCGGTGAAGCGATGCGGCTGTTCGCGCAGCAGATAAACCTTCAATGGGACAACCTGTACGACCCACCAACCAAGGAAATTGCGTGCCCGCGCTGTCGGGTGGTGAATTCCGTACCATGGACGAAAGGTGACATCGGGGCCTCTGTCGCAACCGCCTTCAAGGAAGGGACCGGTTATGCCGACCACTCATTTCTGGCTATTTGCACGAAATGTCACCTTTCAATCGATCATGGCCGACTCAAAGTGGAGAAATTCCGCAGAGACGTCGGGGCGGTGTTGCGAGACCAACACCCGATGCCGGGATCATTCTATAACATCAATGGTGTCCCCGAGGGAATGCCTGTAACGGCAAACCAGCTCAATCACCGGCACATGATGTATCCTACCCGATTTATCCAAGCCGCTGGAGATGACTTGTACAAATTCACGGACCCTCGTTTGGATTGGTGCCAGGACATGAGCCACTTGCGCAAGCAGCTTGAAGCCAATCTAAAGGACAAGAAAGTGATCGCGGCGGCGAACGAGGGCTCGATTCGGCTTAACATGCGACCGGGACAGAAGGTGCATTTCCGGCGCATGATGTCGCGGTACTGGGACAATCTGGGACCGTTCGCGCTCGACCTCGTGGGCGCGGTGATTCGGCAGGGGGTTTTCGTTCAAAAGATGGACAACATTGACTGGCTCCACTCGCCGACCGTCATGGATACTGCGAACCGCATAGTCGACAAGTACCGGGTCTTCTTCCGCATCATGATGGAGAACCCACGCCACATGGCTGTGCCTACCCTCGATGTCGATCTGGGCTGGCACACGCACCAGCTCATGCCGTCGTACTACTATGAACGCAGCACGGCGCAGCCCAGCACGGGCGGCACGTACATCTTCATCGATCACGACGACAAGGTCGATGAGAACAAGCTCTCCGATGGTTTCGAATGGACCAGCAAGATGTACCGCCGGATGACGGACGGCGGCATCTACAGCGAGTGCACGTGCTGGTATTGTGAGGCGACCCGTGTCCCAGACCTGTACGACCGGATATTCAGCGTGGGCTCGGCCTCGCGCGCCCGCAACGCCGCCGAGGCCCTGCACGATCGGCCGGATATTTCATCAGACCCAGACAAGAACCCGCACATCTCCGCGCATAACGCCATCCGCCCGGTGCAGAGGTACGTCGGAGACGGAAGGATCGGAAGCATCCAGCGAATCCGCCTGAACAAGAACTACGAGAAACTCGCCCGGCGGGCTGAGAAGCGCGGCCGTCAACGCTCCGACTCCAAGTCGACCAGAGATGGCGGGGTTGAGCCCAACTATGCCATGCCGATTGCGTTTGGCTATGCCATGGCCGTGCCCTACTACGGGCCTTACATGGCCGATCCTTGTGTCAGCGCTGATGCCTACGCCACTAACCCGGGCTGTATGAACGTCGCCCCCGGCGGCGCCGGCAACTGCTGCTCTGGAACTTGCGGGGGCGGGGTTGCTGCGGGCTCCTGTGGTGGCGTAGGATCCGGGGCTGCGTGTGCCGCTGGATGTAGTGGTGGATCTGGCGGAGGGTGCGCTGGAGGGGGATGTGGCAGTGGAGGATGCGGAGGTGGCGGTGGTGGAGGTGGCTGTGGTAAGTGCCATGAATACTCCCTGACTCATTCTATGAGGCATACTGACTCTGAGCTTTTGATATAGGTGGTGGTGGTGGCGGTGGCTGTTAATTCATCTACTGCTTGCCGCTTGTTTTAATACGACGACTTCTGAGAACAATATTCTTATTGCTGGAGGGCTTGCTTACATCTTTCTAATTCTAGACATGTCTACTTATTGGCTGATGTTTATTCTGGGATTGTTTCTGTTTTTAGCTTTATCTCTTTTAGGTTAAAGCCAAGACCATAGCTTTTGCTTAGCACGATAAGCTTTTCACGCACAGCCCTAAAAATTAAGGGTCTTAGCTAAGGCTATTCCTGTAAGATAAGCTATGAATCCCAGGGTATCACCTCTAAAACGGCCTGGGATCCACCGCGCATGATCATTCCGAGGGCAAATGGATTCTGTTTCCTTGCATTGTAACCACTAAGGACTCGTGATAGCGCAACACCCACAAGAGCGTCCCTACGGTAGTCTATACAGCAAAGTCTTTAGTATGAGCTAGAGGATATATTTCATAATTGCATAGAAATCGCAAAACAAATCAATATAAGCATCAAGTCTAGTACAGTCGATATATTAATAGCAGAAAGAAATAAAGAAAAAAGAACAAGAAACCCCAGTATCCGCTCTCAGAACGCAGGTATAAATCATAGAACCCCTGCATAACAAGTATAAGCATCATTCTTCACCCAAATAATTGGAACAAAGTAGGATCAAGTACTCACAGTAACGCCCTTGATCTATCTCTATCTTGAAGCCCCTGGCCCCGCCGCCTGGGCCTGGTAAGCCGGAGCAGGCACCGATGACTGGCTGGGCTGGTTGACCATTACAGGGCGCGGGCCTTGTTCCTCGGAATTGTCCTTTTTGCTCTTGCCTATCGTGCTGGAGGCGAGGAGTCCCATCAGACACATTTTGGCTTTTTGTGTGGCGGGTTGAATTTGAAAAGGAGAAAGGATTGGTTGGTGGAGTAGGTGGGTAGATAGGAGGTAGGACAGAGAGAGAGAGAGGGCCTGGTGAAGATCAAGCGTTGTGGGAAAATTGAAGAAAGCTCTGAAGAATGGAAGGGGCTTGATGGCAATTAAAAATAAAACTAGTGAGATGAGGGGGATTCACTCAAGCTTTTTATACTTGGGGGATCCTCTTGTGCCCCCACGAGAGTTAACCCAACTAAGCAAACGTTATCTACCTCCTATTTACCGTGTTGGGTATGCTCGACGGGGTCGGCATAGCCTCGTCCTTCGAAAAAGGGAGAAAGCCTTTGCCGATCTCGTTAGGCCCCAGCCCAGTGAGGCTGCACTAGCTGTATAGGGGCAAAAAAAAGCTTCATACCCCTCAACTGTCAGCCACGTTCCACTGGTCACCGCCGCATTCCTCAATTTTAATCTATGTTGACCGGCACATGGGGAATAGTGGCTGTGGGTGAATTTTAAGAATGGGGGCCAAGCAACAGGGCGATCCAGTGTTTATAACCCTATTGGGTTTAGACTGTCCTTTTCTATATCGTAGACTTGGCATTTATACTTTCCATGTTCGGTATAGCGTACTCGATAAGTATAGTTCTCACGGTTGACATGAATAACGGGTTGACCATTACGTGAGTTTTAAAACCTTTTAACCGTTTGTGGCTTCAATTGCCTATAAAAGTCCGCTCAAGAACGCGAGTGGTTTTTTTTTTTCTTCATCTTTCAGCATCATTTCTCCAAGACACCACCGCTTCACAATAAGAATCCAGCCCTGAACTTGCAAGATGTCAGAGGGTCAAGTTGGTGGGGTTTCCAATTCCTTACTTACGGGAGGGTCATACTAATCTGCATTAGTTCCGGGGAGTCTCTATGTCTATGCCCCCCAATAAGGGGGTCCCCATTTTCTTCATAGCTGCATTTGCGGTCTCAGCAGTCGGTCATATTTGGCAATGCTTGTGAGTCAATTAGCGAACTTTTTGAATATATATGATAAATTTAATAACTCATCTGATAATTCTTGACAGCCAACACAAAGCGTGGAAAATGATCGGACTGCACTCGCTCTGTGCGGTAATGTTTACAGTCGGCTTCGCACTGCGGGAGTACAGTTCCTACCACTACCTCGACCAAGGAAATGCCTTGATCATCTATATCATGAGCCAAGTGTTCATCAACATCTGCCCGTGGGTTCTATGTGCTCAAAACATTGATGGATTGGTGATACTAACCCAATGTGATTTGAAATAGTCCGCTTCTGGAACTCTCCAACTACCACGTCCTCGGTCGGATGTTTTCTTACTTGCCGCACCTCGCCCCCATCCCTCCCAGCCGAGTCCTGGGCATCTTCGGCGCGTTGATGGGTCTGGTTGAAGCCCTGAATTCCCTCGGGGTAGCTTTCTCCAGTAACCCGAAAGGCAATGAACAAACATTAGGGAAAGCGTTGACCCTGGTTGCACTGTCGATCCAGCTCTGCGTGATCCTTAGCTTCCTAACGATGGCAACGATCTTCCACCGACGGTGCTCCAAGGCGCCGATCCCTCGCCAGCGGGGCGTCCCAACTTTGATGTTCACGTTGTACATCAGCATGGTTCTGATCCTGATCCGCTGCATCTATCGTATGGTGGAGCATGCAGGCAACTCCACCGTGAATCTGGACAGCCCGAAGGAACTGCAGAGCCTGAGCCCCATTTATCTGTATGAGTGGTACTTCTATGTCTTCGAGGCCGCGCTCATGCTCTTGAACTCGTGGCTGTGGAATGTGTGGCATCCGGGCCGCTTTCTCCCACAGGACTCGACTGTCTTTTTGGGAACTGATGGCCAGACTGAGTGGGCAGACCCATCGAAAAAACAGGCGGGTTTGGCCCAGGTCGGATACATGGTCATGCAGTGGTTGACCTTTGGGCTGTGGGGGCAGTTTTTCGGGCCCCAAACGAGGGCGAACGCGGAGCTAGGCAAGGAGGATTCAGGAGACCGGGTCTGATGGCAAACTACGATATGCTTTTTTAGTTGATTTCCATTTCTTCAGGGTTTATTTTAGACAATTGGGAGTGATGTGGGTCTTGATATATACGCCGCAGCGAACCATAGACATGCTCGTACTTTAAAATAAAATCCTTCAGCAGTGACCTAGGGACGAAATAGGAAGTCTATACGACAAAAATAGGGTTAAGCTTCATCGACGACCACAGATAACTATTGCGACTTTGGGGACACCCTTTGTCAGCCGTGTGGGGGCCGGGAATCCTCCTGGGCACCGAGGCTGCGGATCAGCCGTGAGACCTTATTTTTGCCTTCGATCCCCTTTGCATATACTGTACATCTATCACACAATCAACTCAAGACAATCATGGAAGGTCGAAAGCGCCATTGTTGGGAGTGTCTTCGGCGCTCCTTGGTTTGTGACTTCACTCATCCCGGCTGCCAGCGTTGTTCAACGGCCGGCATAGATTGTCCAGGATACAAGCAAACACACCAAGTTCGGTTGAAATGGCTCGAGCCGGGGAGAGTCAAATCTCGCAATCGAAGGCCGAACAAAAGCAAAGAAACCCCGAACGACACAAAGGACTTAATCGCTGCCAAGGGAGTTCCCACGAAAGTCCCACGCTTCGAAATGAAGAATGACTACGAGGCACTGATTCAGTCGGCCCAATACTGTAAGTCAAGCCCCATCAAGCAGTTGTCTTCACCTTGACTCGTGGTTTTTTCTCTCTTTGACTTTGGGACCAGATAACTCCAGCATGTTTCCAGATCTAGTGCCGGCGCTGGATCTAGGTCGAAATGAGAACGTCTACTCAATGTCACCAGAGGTCTTTTCCGCGATGGTTGGCTTTCCTGATCATGTCCGGTTAGGAATGGTCTGCACGACCCTCAGCCATTGCATCAATCGATCGAGGGGCGGTGACTCACAGTCCACTGCCCTGACCAAGACCTTTTATCGCTATCGCGGTCTGATTATCCGTTCTCTCTGCGACGATATTAATGTGGAACACAAGCGCACGAGCCCACTAGTCATCGCGGGCATGTTGAACCTTCTGCTGGCAGATGTGAGTGGATCCTTGTTCTCTCCCCGATATATATTCATGTCAATTATCCAGCCATACTAAACTATCTATTTTTGCTAGGCACATCAAGGAGTCTCACCACATTGGCGATACCATCTCGAGGGCGCCCAGAAATTAATCATGCTGCGCGGTGGCATGCGTTCGCTGGTCGAATCCACAGGCGTAGCGCCACTGCTGCGTTGCTTCGTGCTGTATGTGATGATTTAAAAATATTGCTGATTCCAGCAAAGCATTCAAGATAAGAACTGACCACTGCTCACAGCATTGCCGTCATCGGGGATACTTCATCACCAGCATACAACCTAGCCATGTCCACTCTACACATGGAAGAACTGGAATTTATGGTAGAAAGATTTGGCGGCGAAGGCTTTGCCTTCTTAACGTTCCCGGCACCCCTATTCGCCGAGATCATGAAGATCAACCTCCTCCGCGCACAAGCTTCAAAACTCGGTCCCAACGCCGCAGAAGACTTCGCCCCGGAGGCATACGACATCCTGAACCGGGTCTTCACCTTCTCATCAGAGCAATGGGCCGCGTTCGAGCCACCATCAACAAGGGAAACCTGGATAATGCTAGGAAACCTACACCAGGCTGCCGTCGTAGTATACTGCATCTCGTCCCTGCAGAGTCTGTCGATTCTCCCCTCGAATTCCGTGCTGAGAGGCAGCCGGCTCAGCCATGGCCAGCTGCTGCAGAAGCTGCTCTGCCAGGCATTGCCGATGCTAAGTGTCAAGCGGTTTATGATATGGCCACTGGTAGTGCTCGGCGTCGAGGCCGTGAATGGCGGCGTGCCAATGCGGAATTTTGTGCGGAAGCAGCTCGAGGACCTCGGTCGCCACATGGCTACGTGTGTCCCGCTGACGGCGAAGGATGTCCTGGAGAGATTCTGGGCGTCTGGTGAGACGCGCTGGGATGCTTGCTTTGACAAACCTTATGTTTTCTCTTCGCAGATTGCGGTTAATGTTGGTCAGCTGCGCTGATCAGACTGGGCCTTGGGATTGGTGCTTTTCTGGGAGTTTGGTTGGGAGGAATAGGTTCGGTCGATCTTTTGTATATCTTGTATTCATAGCCCGTGTGTCCGTTTTTATTTGAATACTACTTGTATTGATAACTTTTAGCACCTGTGTACAGTGGGCTTCAGAACAAACTAACAGATTTCATTTCCTCGCTATAGTTGATGATTTGATTCCTAGGGATTCTAGCAAAAGTTCACATAATAGCATCATCTCCAAGGTGCCAGCCAATATAGTTTCTGTTAATGATTGGAGATGTGCAACCTAGGAAAGGTATGTCGCAGCTGTATCGTCTCTCTCACCTTGGCAGTGGCAAGTTAGAATATAGCGCACCCATTCTTCAAGCCATATTTGCGGTATTGTTAAGGATGGTTCTTGTGATACTCAATCCCGGACCTCCGTGTGCCACTATATGCCTTGGTATTCATCTATAGGCTCTTTATCCTCGTGTATCTACAACTAAACGGTAAACCATCTAGGGATTGCGGAGAAAGGGTCTGATAAGAGAGCACGGATGACACCACTCGTTGACGAGGAATCGGACATTGTATGAAAGTCACCCTTTTGGAGTAGTATCTCCAACAGCTTTCTGATTGTTTGCGTGGTGAAACTCGTGGATCATCTAATCCTGCCGTTGGAAGGGATTGGCCAGGATGTGACGGGAATATTATTACTGTGTTGGTATGGGTCTTCTTTTTCTTTTCCTTCCATCATTGTCCCTCCTCATAGTGGATGGAATGTCCTGCGCTTCTGTTCATCTCCTAATATCTAATAGGCGTCTCCGAGGCCCCGACCAAGCCTACCGGGACAGAGATCTGCAGATGGGCTCCGACACCCACCCAGCCGGGTTCTGTCTGCACATGCATTGAATGGCATCTCAAAGGCCAGCTTTGAGAAGTGGAATCCGCATGCGGGTGGCGATTGCACGACTCTGTGGAAGGATTACTATGTTCGTGTGGCGGCGTAGTCGATAAATATAGTGAGGTACGAGGTAGGTGTTAGTTTTCATTGAACAGATGATCTATGTTCAATTGAGATTATCAGACCAAGCTGTTGTTTATCAGTCTTGTCGAGGCTGAGGTTCCAGCTGTATGTCTCCTACAGATCTTATCCAAGGAACATACTGCGTGTAACCTGGCTTCTGAATGACCTAGTTTGATTGTGTTTAATTTCGTAATATAATCCCACCTTTCCACTTCCTCTTGTCAAGGTCTTCATACAAAAGCACAGAGGATCAAATTTCCGGATCAAAGCGAGTAGATATAGCCTAGCAATTTCCAGGAAACCACTTAGTACCAGTGGGCCTCTGCTACGGTTAGCCAAGTATATCACACTTCATCGTGGAACTAACATACCCCGACAAGCAACTTTGCTGTTGCTATTATCTTCGGCATTGGTGGAAGGTCGACGAAGATGGATTCATATCACACATCAAGCCGAGTGGGCATTCCGAGGGCCGGTTGCAAGATTGAGCCAGCGCAGGAACTGAAAAGAGGGCCCAGAGAAGAAACAGAAAATGAGTCATAACCTGGAATATGTGCATACTGGCAGTAGTAGGGGTGTGGCCTCGAATATCTTATAAAAGAAAAGGATCGGAGTACTTAATGCTGATCTCTGAGAATTGGCTTGCTATTTATCCAATGCCCAAGTTCTTCGCCAGGCAAAGAAATCAGTGTTCCTTTCCAAACGGCGCTGGAGTTTGTTGGCAGCTTGATACCTTGCTCTGGTCCCACCTGGTGCAACAGACGATGCTCCGCAATTCCCCAGGCTGTTTCATTGGATACAAACGGTCTATATTGTGTCTGGGACTGGCCTAGTACAACCATAAGCTCAAACAGAGCTTTTCAACGGAATTGCTCGACATGGCCTTGGGAGTTGAGGTGGTACGGGCTGAGTTTAAAATCATTGATTCTATTCGCATCTGGCGGAATCTCTCGACTAAGGCGATGGTTTTGGGAAATCGTGCAACCTCGCCCCATGGACGGTAGATTGGTGCATGACCAGGGTTTTAGGCTAATTGAGAGGAAATCCATGGATGATGCTGAAAGCGATCGGCGCCATCCTGGTAATTCTATCGTGGGTGAGAAGCATGATTTTGTACCTAGCAAACATGGACATCCGCATAACGCCAATCACGCCTGAGAAGTAAGACCTATTCTTCGGTATAGAGCCAAAGTCTCATGGGAATAGTGGCCGCGGGCGTTAATGTACTATCGGGTTGTCATAGCGATATTGGAAATGGCAGCACTCGCAGCCAACCGGGAAATATCGAGGCTCGGTGCGTGGAGGTACTCGCTCAACTGTCAGATTCACTGGCTGAGCCCGAAAGACGTCCTTAAATGTCTCCCGATCTTTGAAGGTGGCGTGAAGTATATATGGCTCCACAAATTGCACTGTCTGAACAGTGACTCTCTCCAGATTGGGCAGGTCCCTGCGCAAAACTGCTCTATGGACCAACGAAAGAGGACCCAAATCAGGCTGTGGCCCTTCTCTGTAGCTGTAGAAGACTAGATGCTTGATACTCGATGGAAGGAGGGGATCAGGCCCCTTAACTCCTTGCAACGTTATGCGGATCGATAATGAATTTCTCCAATACCGAAAACTCACGGAAGTCCAGCGGTCCATCTTTGTGTGGATCACAGAGATACAGATCTAGCTCCAGCGAGAGGAGCGAGTGGGCCTGTTGTTTTATGGCATCCACATACTCCGAAAAAGAGAGAGGCAGAAAGAGAGAGAGAGAGAGAGAGAGAGAAAGAAGTTATATGGACGGTCTTCTCTGGCCTACTAGATCATCTTCGCATGATGTATGCTTCTAGATCAGTCCTGCAAAGACACATTCTTAAGCAGTCAACCCATCAAAGTTGCCAAGTCGATGAAACATCAGAATATGTAGCGTGGATATCATTCGAAATATTTTTGACCAATCTAACCTGACAAATGGAACACGTCGACGGCTCGCTGGATATCAGACATCAGGCCGATGAAACACATTGGTTGCTTTTGAAACACCAGAAAATAGACCCAACTCCATAACTGCAGGAAGTGTATCGTATCTGTGGAAATATGGAACGAAGAAAAGAAGAGAAAACACCCGAGAAGCCAATGAAGAAGACATTTAGTCGATATCCATTTCCTCCTGGGTGCCGCCATCGACCAAAACCTTGGCCTTCTTCTTCTGGCGGAGTCGCTCCTCGCCATGGACTCTGTTGGCCGTCTTGCTCTGCTCGGCGACCATCGGGCGACCCTCCTCCCGTTCCCGCAGCTCCTTGCGGATAAGATGCTCGCCCTCGGCGACCACCTTGCGGTCCTCCTCGCGCTGGCGGTCGCGGGCCAGCTTGCCCGCCAGCCGGCGCTTCGTGAACACCCGCTCGCGGCGCTGTCGGATCTCCTCCACTCTCTCCATGGCATTGACGGTGGCGGCCACCAGGTTGCGGTCGTACTTGACGGGGACGTTGCGCTTCTTGGCGAACTGGGACAGCACCAGCGACGAGTCCACGATCATCTCCTTGCCGCGGGCGGCGCGGTGGCTCTTGGTCCACTTCAGCTTGCGGGGCTGGCGCTTCATCTTGAAGTTCTTGTGGCACTTGGACCGGCAGAATCTGAATTGCCGCGAGTCATTGCGGACAAACGTGATGCCCTTCCCAGGAAAGGCCGGGCGCGAACAAAAGTGGCAAGTTTCCACACTGTGAGAGATGAAAATATCAGCCTGGCCGAAATCACTCTCAGGTTTATCTAGTAAAGGCTTTGGAATACTTACCGCATGGTTGCTGTGTGGTTGGTGATGTTTGGTGCAAGAAACTTTTTTTTTGAAGCTTCGGCGAGGGACGTGGAGCGGCCCACGCTAAACTCGATCGGGGCGGCGCTGACTTTTTATCCCGAACACCCTCCTCTTCCTCTCGACACCTCATCCTCCCCCAGTCTTCTCTATCAATATGGTGACGACTCTTGTTGCTGGTCTTGGTGTGGCTACTGCGGCCTTCTTGGTAAGTCGATGAAAATTCATATTTGTTTTCCAACGACTAATTTGGTTCAGGGTCGCGCTGGTCTAGTCGCCTATCGCCGCTCCAAGGGTGGCGTCAACGCTGCCGGAAAAGCATTCTACAAGGGGTTCGTGGGAATCAAGTCGAGATTGATGTTTCTGTGGGGTATTGGCTGACCAGATGCTCAGTGGATTTGAACCGCGCATGAACCGCCGCGAAGCCTCCCTAATCCTGGAACTTCCGTATGTGTTTTGATGGGAACCGTTGCGTACACTCGAGCAACACTGACGGGAAACAGTGAACGAACGTTGAACAAGGACAAGGTGCGCAAGAAGCACCGCCAGCTCATGCTGCTCAACCACCCCGATCGTGGCGGCAGCCCGTACTTGGCCACCAAGATCAACGAAGCGAAGGAGTTCCTCGACAAACATACCTAGGCCTCCCTCCATCGGATCCGACTATTTCTCGATTATAATCTGCGATGGCGAGCCGAATGCGGATGTGAGCCCGGGAGATTCTTTCTTTCTTTCGGGCTCTCGTGTAAGATTGGCCATAATTTGGGTGCATAGCGTGGCGTTGGTTGTTATTTACAAGCGTCGACCAACACACTGAAATACTGTGTGTTCTTCGACGCTTGGGTGTATTTGATGCACTATTCCTTGTATATCCTGACGAGATCGCCGCTCTTCATTGAATGTACTAAGTACTATTACCTCTCTCTCCCCTGTCGTAGTCGTGAAGGCACTAGAGTAGAGCGTGGACTGCCGTTCTCTCCGCCTGGCACTGCAAAAGCAAGTGCGTCAACTTTGACCCCATCATGAGTGGAGCAAAAGTCAAATCCACCAAGTCCACAGGCCATACAGTTATTCAGCGGAAGATGAAGGGATTCGGGTTCCGCGGACGAACTCGACCGATGCTTGGCCCGGTGGTCGGAGTTGGACGATCCCGTTGATGTCAAACCCTGACTCTCAAGGCAGCAGATTTATGGTCTACTCGAAGATTCCTGAACTTCTCCAAAAACAAGCCTCCAAGATCCACAGGTATAGTTGGGGCGTCTTACTAAACTTCGAGTCAGATTTGAACTGATCCCGGATGCGTCATCCACTTTCCCGCCTTCTTGAGCCTTCCCCTCCGATCAGCCTCAGGGGGAGCTACGGAAAATTCCCCAGTCCGACACCCCGCAGTCGATTATTTGACGCCACCTTAGGTGGTTAGAAGAGAAAAGGAACAAAAAAGAAGCAGACGAAAGCACACATCTGGAACAAAATGGACGGCTTGGGGGACGGTGACGGCATGGGCTTCGACATGCAGCCCATGATGATGAACCAGCAACCACAGCTGTTCGGCGCCTATCCCCAAGACAGTGCGCAGATGGGCATGTCAACGGAGTCTCTGTACCCCGACGACTCATTGGCCGCGGGGGAGGATGCCAACGATGCGAAAAGGCGGAGAATTGCTCGCGTAAGGGATGCCGCAAACATTCTAGCGATCAAGGTAGCTGATAGAGTATTTCTGGTCCAGGCCTGCGATATGTGTCGGAAGAAGAAAATCAAGTGCGACGGCAAAATGCCCAAGTGTTCGCACTGCATCAACTACAAGACGGATTGTGTCTTCACGCAAGTCGAGAAGAAACGAAATCCTCCCAAAGGGTAAGTAGCAACCCCGCGATCTGCGATCACCGGCGAATCCGACTCTCTGACTGGAGCCTTGCAGAGCGAAATATATCGAGGGATTGGAAAACCGACTCGGGCGCATGGAGTCGCTCTTGCGACTGTCCGGTCTTTTGTCGGAAGATGATGGCGGGAAGACAGACCTGAGGACACTAGAGAAACGACTGGCGGATCGAACGAACACTCTTCAGGCGGCCCAGAATGCAAATAAATTGTCCCAGAAAGCCCAGCAGACCCAGCAGACCCCGACATCCCACCATACCACCCCCCGCATGGATTCCTACTCGAGTCCCCGGACGGCCGCCGCATCGCCCGAGTCACAAAAGGAGTCTGAGGGCGAGGTGGAGGCATTGTCAGATATGATGTGCTCCTTGGTGACGAACAATTGTGGCGAGACACGGTATATTGGTAGGTCCTTTCCGCGTGGCGATCATTGTGACACATTCCTGGGAATATGTTAACATCAGCCAGGTTCTTCGTCCGGTTTCTCCATCTTCTCCCCCAAGGGCATCCAGTGGGTCAACGAAAAAACAGGCGACACCTCCTTCCAGGACATGATCTCATCGTCATACGTGGACGATAACAAATGGATGTACTGGAAGCCGGAGATATTTAGCGACATCTTCGCGCGGCGCGTCTTCAAACCACTTCCTCCCAAGGAGGAAGCGCTTTCCCTCTTCAAGGACTTCTTTGAAAACTTCAATTGCATGTTCCCGCTGTTTCACGAGGCAACCTTCATGCACTTGGTCGAGCGCCAGTACTCGCGCGATCCATACGAAGGCTCTGGCTGGTGGGCGAGTATCAACGTCGTCCTGGCCATATCTCACCGGCTCCGCGTGATGAGTAACCTGGTACCTCATGAAGAGGACAAGAAGGCATGGCTGTATTTGAAAAACGCCATGGGGGTGTTGACTGAGCTTACAATGCGAAACACGGATCTGCTAAGTGTTCAGGCATTGCTGGGCATGGTGAGTCTACTGCATGTTGCTTGAAGCTTTTTCGTTCTAATGAGTCTCTAGTCCCTCTTCCTTCAGGGCACGCCGAACCCCCAGCCTGCTTTTTTCCTGGTCGCCGCGGCCATTCGACTCTCCCATAGCATCGGCCTGCACAAGCGCGGTTCCGGGTTTGGTCTCAACCCAGTCGAAGTTGAACAACGGAAAAGAGTCTTTTGGATTGCCTATTGTCTTGACAAAGAGTATGTGGTGACATATTTATACTTCGGGTGGTTGGTCACTGCTAACTCTTGTGTAGCATCTGTCTTCGATCTGGCCGTCCACCAGTCCAGGACGACGACGATATGAATGTCGAGCTGCCCAGTGAAGACCCGCCCGACAACGTTGGAAACGTACCGCTTTCGGATGGAAAAAGCAAGTTCAATCTGTTCCGGTCCCTATGTGAATTCGCCACCATCGAGAGCAGAGTGTACAAGCGACTCTACTCCGCCAAAGCCTCGAAACAATCTGATGGGGAATTGCTCAACACCATCGGTGAACTCGACAAGGACCTGGAAGATTGGAAAGACAGCATTCCCAGCGATTTTCGGCCCGAGTACGAAATCCAAGCCTCCCATACCCCACTCATTATTCACGTCGTCGTCCTCCACTTCGCATACTATAACTGTTTGACCACAATTCACCGAATGTCCGTACATCATGGATACTGGACCAGCCGTCTGTCAAATTACGCCATACAAGGCCTGAATGCACGGCCATTGAACCCCCGGGTTTTCTTGTCGGCTGTGCTTTGTGTTACTGCTGCAAGGGCGTCGATCAACTTGATTAAATACATCCCCCAGGGAGACTTTGCCTGCGTCTGGTAAGTGGCTCGAATATCCAATTCTTTCGTACAGACTTCTAACTACAACCCAACAGGTTGATTCTCTACTATCCAGTCTCGGCATTGGTCACCCTCTTTGCCAACATTCTTCAGAACCCGAACGATGCTCGGGCTCGTTCAGATGTGAAGCTGATGAATGTGGTGGTCAACTTCCTCTCCACCCTGGTCTCAGACGAGTCCAATGGGAGCATCAAACGAATGCTTGGTCTATGCGGCGAGTTCGAAAGAATCGCTAAGGTCGTCTTGGACAAGGCCGAGAAAGAGTCACATTCGCGGAAAAAGCGCAAGAATGCACCGGAAGACCCCCAAGCGCAAGCAGCAACCAGGGAGAAACCCGATGTTTCAAAATCTACCAAACAATCACAAGCACCACCTATCTCTGGATCTTTCTCGCCTTCCATGTTTCCCAATAATCCTACTACTGCACCGTCGCTTGTTACGCCCAAGGCTTTTGGCGCAGATCCCACAATTCCGCCAACCAGTGGTATCCCGAACGATCTTCCGAGCAACATACCCGCCATGTCTGGCTTGGGACAGGATTTCCAGGAGATGCTGAGTCCCGACCAGCTGACAAATGCCGGATTCCCCGATCAAGCTTCTTATGGGGCTGCGAGTCCAAGCATGGCCTCGTTCCAGCAACCATTTGTTCCCCAGGATCTGTGGCAAATGCCCATGACAATTGAGTGGGACTGGGCAGATATGTCAACCAATTTTCCTGTCTTCGAGGCTGGTGCCGGCTCCGGTGGTCCTCCTGAGCAGTGATCGTGGGCGAAGACTGTTACGAGGAGTTACCGGAAATGGGACTGGCGCGGATTTATTGTTATTACTTTTCAAAAAAGGTTGGGGCGACACATTTTCTGCTCTCCCCGAACATCTCTCCACTTCATGTATATTGAAGCACTCTTCTCCTATTTGTTATCCTTCTTCCTGCCTCGGTAAAGATCCGACCAGGAGAATGGATTTTGATCTGATGCAGCGATGGGCGCAAGGGTATTTGTTTGAATACGATAGTCTCCACACCCCAATCAAGTAGAGTCAAATTACCATAATTACAATGTCCTTGAAGCAATTTTTTAGTAGCTATAGAAGTGTATTCATTGCATGGAATCCATCGCCTTCGTTGTTGTTCTGCTGACTCAGCCACGGATCGGCGAAAAATTGGAACCGATGCGAACTCACCGCAGGCAACACTCCCAGCTGCAGCTCCTCCAGAGCTTCCATCCGCTCCATCCCACCCCTCTCTACAATCTCGATGGATTGTGTCGTCCATCCCCACTGAAATCGATTGATTACCTTTCCCCTCTCCATCCTCCCAGCCCTCTGGGGCTCCCCATCCTCGACCATGGCCACCTTGCTCCGACGGCCAGGCAATCTTGCTCGATACTCGAGGAGAGCCACAGAATGTATTGGCCGCACAGCACCGACACCGGTGCGTCCACAGCCATCGAGAATCTCATCCCTTTTCGCTTCGCATCGCCTCAGAACCTATGCCACCCACGGTCCCGGCGACCCGAAACCCCCGAACAACAATCACAAGCCCCAACCCGGCGGGAATGGCAATGGCAACGACTCTGGCAAGGGCGGGCCCAATAAGGAAGAACCCAAGGAGCCCGAATCTGTCCTGACCGAGACGGAGCAGAAGCAGCTGGATGCGTTCATCAAACACTTGGAGGAGACCCTGCCGCCGACCTCGCACCCGAGTCTCCATGAATTGCGGCGGTCAATGATGAGGGACGGACTCCCGCCCGAAGTCAAGCCCTTTGTCGAGAGAAATGGCAACATATCTTTGATGGACTACCTCCGCATGGCGCGGTTTATGTTGAAGTACACCAACATGCAAGCCAACAAAGAAGCCGAGAATGACCTGGCTCGCTTCATGAAGAAATCCAGGGAGGAGTCGAAAGTGGAGCAAGATCAAGAACAGAAGAAACAACGTGGGGAAGAAGAACAAAATCGACCGAAAGACAAGAACCAGAAGCAGAAGCAAAAGCCTCCGTCGCCCGGCCCCCGCGTCCTTGAGTTCCGATTCGACCCCGGCTCATTCCTGGTCACCGCGTTTGTTACATATTACATCTACCGCAGCTTTTCCCCCGAGAGGGCAGTGGCAGGGAAATAACCTGGCAGGAGTTCCGGGCGAATTACCTCGACAAGGGCCTCGTGGAGAAGTTGACTGTCTCCAACCGCACCCGTGTCCGTGTCGACATTAATCGCGAGGAAGCCGCCCAGACCGACTCGATGGGACAGCCCATCTCTTACGTATATTTCAACATTGGATCTGTCAAGGTTTTCGAGAGCAAGCTCGAGCAAGCCCAAGACGAATTGGAAATTCCGACGGCGGAACGGATCCCGGTTACCTACACCGACGAAGTGCCCTGGGGAAGTGCGATCATGTCCTTTGCCCCCACGCTGATCTTGATGGCCGGTGCCTTCTGGCTCACGCGACGTGCCGGTGGCGGGGGAGGTGGCCAGAGCGGTATTTTTGGCATCGGCAAGAGTCGTGCCAAGCGCTTTAACCATGAGACCGATATCAAGACCAAGTTCTCTGACGTCGCAGGCATGGATGAGGCCAAGGTAGAGATTATGGAATTCGTCAGCTTCCTCCAGCAGCCCGAACGGTTCCAGAAGCTCGGTGCAAAAATCCCGCGCGGTGCCATTCTCTCCGGTCCCCCCGGCACTGGTAAGACGCTACTCGCCAAGGCCACTGCCGGTGAATCTGGTGTGCCTTTCTTCAGTGTCAGCGGTTCCGAGTTCGTAGAGATGTTCGTCGGTGTCGGCCCCTCCCGTGTCCGTGATCTGTTCAGCAACGCCCGGAAGAATACCCCCTGTATTATCTTCATTGACGAAATCGATGCCATTGGCAAGTCCCGAGCAAAGCAGGGCTTCGGTGGTGGAAATGATGAGCGCGAAAGTACTCTCAACCAAATCCTTACCGAGATGGACGGTTTCAACACGTCGGAACAAGTGGTCGTTCTGGCCGGTACCAACCGAGCAGATGTGCTCGACAAGGCCCTCATGCGTCCCGGGCGATTCGACCGGCATATCGCCATCGACCGGCCCACTATGGACGGTCGCAAGCAGATCTTCCGCGTTCACTTGAAGAAGATTGTCACCGACGAGGACCTGGAGTACCTGGAAGGCCGACTTGCTGCCCTGACCCCTGGTTTTGCTGGTGCAGACATTGCGAATTGTGTGAACGAGGCGGCACTTGTTGGTAAGTTGTTAATCAACCCCTGCGGTTTTGTTTTGCGGTTCTGCTAACACGTCCAAACAGCTGCTCGTGACAATGCGGACAAGGTTGTCATGAGGCACTTCGAGCAGGCCATTGAGCGTGTGATTGGCGGTCTGGAGAAGAAGTCCCTTGTGCTGTCCCCCGAAGAGAAGCGAACCGTCGCCTACCACGAGGCTGGCCATGCTATCTGTGGCTGGTACTTCCGGTGGGCGGATCCGTTGCTTAAGGTCTCGATCATCCCGCGTGGACAGGGTGCGCTGGGCTATGCTCAATACCTGCCCGCCGGCGGCGACACGTACCTCATGAACGTCAACCAGCTGATGGACCGCATGGCAATGACACTGGGTGGTCGGGTCAGCGAGGAGCTGCACTTCGACACGGTGACCAGCGGAGCTAGCGATGACTTTAACAAGGTCACGCGCATGGCCACCGCCATGGTGACCAAGTTCGGTATGTCGCCCAAGCTGGGATACATCTACTACGAGGAGGACTCGCAGCAGCAGCTCCACAAGCCCTTCTCCGAGGACACTGCCCGCGACATCGACGTCGAGGTGCGCCGCATTGTCCAAGAAGCCAATAAGCAGTGCCGCGACCTCCTGACCGAGAAGCGGAAGGAAATCGGCGTCGTCGCCGAAGAGCTCCTGTCCAAGGAGGTTCTCGGCCGTGACGACCTGGTTCGTCTGCTCGGCCCCCGCCCTTGGCCTGAGTCTGGCGAGTTCGCCAAGTACTTCGACGGCAGGGCCGGTCAGACTGTCGCTCCTCCCGAGCCTCAGCAGAACTCTGAGGAGACCTCCGGCAAGGATGGACGTGATGAGACACCGTTCCCGTCATAAATATCGGGGTGACTCACATGCCCTTGTTGTAAGGATGCTGCGTGGGGTTCGTTTGGTTGAAGATGATATCACCTGTGGTGTTTTATTTTTATTTTTATTTTCTTTTTCATCTCTTTTTTTTGTATTTATGGATTGCATCACCTTTTCTCTTTATGTCTCTTTTTTCTCCCCTCTCATCATCCTCTATCCCCTTTCTCCTCTACTACAAAACTCACACCTTTCTTCTTTCCCCTCCTATCTGTCGTGCTAAATATGAAGATCTTGATTTTCGATTTCTTTTTCTTTTGTGTTCTCCCCTCCCCGTCGGCCTCCGTTTGGATGTCCATGTACTACTTGAGTCCAGAGTGTATAATAGGCAATGTTTTTTGAAAGCCACGGTTCCTGGTTACAGTAGTTGGCTCTGTTCCTTTCGTAGCGAGTAAAGTGGTCGTCCTAGGACTTGCTTCTCGGTAATCCCCCTCCTCTCTCATTGATATATCTCGATGTCTTGCGCTTTGTCTGCCCAACTATCCGGCTGCATGCGAGTATGCACACAGAATATAGAAAAAACAATACCATCCGCGAAGCGGAGTTATATATATACCCCATCATCAAAGCCCTGGCCATCCCTTTTACCCATCAATCATCTTTCTCTCTGATTTCAAAAGGACCCCCAAGTTCACGACATGGCCAAGACCAAGACCCGCCAGGCATTAGATAAAGGATGCAATGTCATCAAAAGAGATCAAAGCAAGACTCCTGCTACTACCACTACTACTTCCCAGGAACCAATTTCTTCTCCTGGCTCCAATGTCAAACAACACCAGCCCATCTAGCGATATCTTCGAATACTATTGCGATTCACTGGTGAAGGTGCCCCGCGAGTGGGTAGACCTCGACGAATATCCAAATGAACGGGGTTTGGGGGTGATGGACGAGCACCCGAGAGCGCTGGATACAATCGCCCCAAAGCAGAGGGAATGGGTGGTTCCTGCGCTGCGGGCGTTTGATCCGCGGTACTGGGAGCCAGTCGATAGAGTTCTTCCTCGGAGTCTTCAGATTGTGCCACCACCGTGGTATAGTAGGGGGTCATGCAATCGAGATCAGTCGCGACAACGACCGCTTCTCGGATATGATGACGATGGTGAAGGAGGAGGCGGCTCGCGCAGGACAACAGATCCATCATACCGCATGACAGAAGCGTATCTTCGACAACTGCCGCCGGATAAAGTGCAGCGGTTCTATAGGGCGGAATCGGTCCCGGAGGTGCTGATCGGGCCTGAGAACTACCACGCGTGGACAGACGACATGTGCGACAAACTCTCGCACTGCGATGCCTGGCAGATCATAGTCGCCGACCTGCCCCCCGTACCAGCGCATAGCGACTTTCACACGCGATGGGTGCAGCTCAACCGCAAGGGGTGGATGCTGATCATCGCGAACGTGTCACGCAGAATCCGGCGCGAGCTGTGTGCGTCGTGGCCGTGGAATGTGCACGGCGCCTGGTACCATCTACAGCAGATGTGTGGGAGTCCCAGGGCGCTGATGCGGCGGTCTCTCAAGGGCGTGGGCGAATCCAGTATGAGGAGTGCGAGTCGCTGGAGGAGTATATCGACGAAATGGCGCGGTGTATTCGGGCAATTGAGTGCAATCGTCGCAGGCGAGAAGATAACGAGTGGCTGTGGTGCCAGTTTATTCTCGCTGGCCTAGGTACGGGATGGGACTCGTGGGTTGCGGACGGGGTGCGCAGGATTGAGGAAGACAAAGGTAATGATGCTGTGATCAGCGAATTTGCTCGGCTGTTTCCTCTTCTCAGGGCGGAAGAGGCGCGCCGCTTGCGAGCTTCTCGTTTTCTGGCATGGGATTGCGACTGAGAAAGCTGTATGCGAGAAGTCAGACATTGTCTGTGTCAGTATCTTGCTTTCGAGCGCAGACCTACAGTGACTTGATTCTGAGAAGACAGCTTGTTTCCAATCTCGGAGCGAATTGGCGGCATTCTGTTGTTGAGTTAAAATAGCAATAGCATTGTACATATAAACAGAGAAGACAGCGACATGGTCTTTCAAGATGTGGTAGATGTTGCGGAAGACGCGTCCCAAAACCCGCCCATTTGATATAGCAATTATATAAACCCCTCTTCTCTTAGATATTATCCTCCACTCTCATCTTATTTGCTCTTCTTTCCCTCGGCATCGGGCTGCTCAGTCGGCAGGGCAGCCTTCTTCTTGCCAGCACCCTTGGTGACCTTGGCTTCGGCCGACAGGCGGGGAAGGAATCTTCCCACACGAGCCTGGTACTCGCTGTACTCGGAGTATTTGCCGGCGGTGATCGACTCAGTAAGACGCGTGCTTCCCTGGAAGATCAGGAGGTAGCCCACGACACCCAGACCGGCCCACTGGACGTAGGTCTCGGTGCGGTAGCAGGTCCACAGATATAGGGTCAGCCATACGGCCTGCTCGGCGACAAAGTTGGGGTGGCGGGACCACGCCCAGAGACCGCTGACCACAAAGCCGCGCTCAAGATCCTCGAAAGAAAACTGGTCCTTGTACTGTTCGGAGATGCGCGCTTGGTCCAGGTACTCGCGTTTAGCAGCCTGGAAGTTCCACTGCTGCTGGTCGGCAAGGTATTCGATGATGAGAAAGAAGAATACGGCGCGGGAAAAGGCCAAGTCGGGAAGACCAAAGGTCTCGGCCCCCTGGTTGTAGGCGACAACGACAAAAACATAGGTCGGCGCGGTGATGAGGAGCAGTAGCAGCGACTGGGCAGCGGCAATGAAGGAAAAGTTGAAGATTGTAAAGAGGAAGGTGCTGTTGACCTTCGAGCGCACTATCTGCCAGCGGTAGTCCTCCGAGCCAATCTGGTAGCCCCCTTTGCGCCAATAGTTGAAAGTCAAGCGAACCTGTTTCAGTTATTCTGATTAGCGCATGGAAACACAGGCGCATTCGGGTGATATGGGCGCTCTTACGCTCCACAGAACGGTGACAACAGCGATACTGTCCAGTGTCTGGGTCCGCAGTCCGACCAGGCGCGCCCAAGCAGCGAAATGCACGTTGTACACAGCGGGCAAAATGCTCCAGAAGCGGTCCACTTGCGAATAGTTGCGGTTGATCTCGGCCGCCAAAAAGAACAGCACAGCGAAACATGCGCCAAGCGCAAGCGCCGACACGAGCGGGTTGGTGGCGATGTAGACGGCCTTCAAGCTCGCCACGTCCCTACCAGCTTCGCGCAAACTGGCGGGGAGCCATTGCAGCTGGGCCAGGTAGGGCAGAACAGTCAACTTGAAGGAGGTACAGTCCACCAGGGACTCAACACGAGGCAAAGGGAGGGACGCCATATTCGCAGAAGCGCAACTAGTCGCAAAGGAGAGGCTCAAAGCGCGAAGGCGAAAGCGAAGGCGAAGGAGTTGGGAGTTGTGTTTGGATTACCTCATCGGGTATGGTGCCTCAGGCACTCAGCGCGTCTTGTCGGATCCACCTGTCGCGTCTGAATTGCCGCAACGGGTGTGTGATCGACACAATTTCCTTCTCATGGATGCTGGGTGAATATCGATGAGCTCGTCATGGCTCGCAAGATCCTCTGCGTGGCCGAGAAGCCCGCCATTGCCCGCGCTGTGGCAACGCACCTGTCGGGCGGTTCGATGCAGACAGTGAGTGCTGCCCGAGATCTAGATGGAACCGCGCTAACCTGGATGAGTAGCACTCGATCCGTGGCAACCAATTTGTGAAGAACTACGAGTTTGACTTCAACTTTGGTGGGATTTGGGGCAGCTGCTCCGTGACCATGACGAGCGTGGTTGGTCACCTCACTGGCTTGGACTTTGAACGCCAGTATAAAGGCTGGCTCTCTTGTCCTCCCGGATCCCTGTTTGAAGCACCTGTTCATGAGTCTGTCGATAATGTGCGGGTGATCCCACGTCTTTATTGACTTCGCAGTTGCTAATTTCTTTATCAGGACAAGCTCCCGATTGCAGAGAATATCAAGAACCAAGCCCGCTACAGCAAGGCTTTGTTTATCTGGACAGACTGTGATCGAGAAGGAGAGCACATCGGCTCCGAGGTTCGTCACCAGGCAAGATCAGGGAATTCTCGCATTGAGGTCAAGCGGGCCAAGTTCAGCAACACAGAAAGAGCGTAAGTAGGCCTCGGCAATGGTTTCGAGTATACTGAACGCTCACCTAAACAGTCACGTTCTCCGTGCGGCGCGAGAGCCGATTGAACTCGATGAATACCAGGCCAATGCTGTAGCTGCCCGGATTGAACTGGATCTTCGAATCGGAGCCGCATTCACGCGCCTGCAGACTCTCCAGCTGCAGGCCGTGGTAGCGGCGCTGAAAGAACGAGTCATCAGTTATGGTAAGCTCCCACAAGTTGTTTCGTATAAACGCCACAAACCTCATTCAATTGCAGGATCCTGTCAGTTCCCGACTTTGGGCTTTGTGGTCGACCGATACCTGAGGGTGCAGAACTTCAAGCCAGAGACTTTCTGGAGCATCAAGGTCATGTTGAATCGCGAAGGGAAGAAAGTCAACTTTCTATGGAAGCGAGTCCACCTATTTGATCGGGCAGCAGTTACAATGATGCTCGAGCGATGCCTGCTTGCCAAACAGACCAAAGTCACCAAAGTCAACCAGAAGCCAACAAGCAAATGGCGGCCTCTGCCTTTGACTACTGTGGATCTGCAAATGATGGGCAGTCGATTCCTCCGCTTAGACAGTCAGACAATCATGAAGGTAGGGAGATTTTCTGCTCCCGCATGATCTGTTCGCTAACCATGAAAAGGTGGCGGAGGCGCTCTATACAAAGGGTTACATCAGTTACCCGCGAACAGAGACAGATCAGTTTGATAAAGCAATTGACCTCAAGAAGTTGGTAGAGAAGCAACTCCCAGACAACTCCTGGGGGCAGTACGCGCAAGGGTAAGTTATTAGCAGAACAAGCCACATCCATTTCTGCGGCTAACCATACCAGTCTTCTCGACGGTAACTTCAGGACACCTCGAGCTGGCCGTCACAATGATAAAGCACATCCGCCCATTCATCCCGTGTGCTGGGTGTCTCCAAATTCCCTAGCAGCAAACGAGAGAAAAGTATATGAATTCGTGGTTCGTCGGTTCCTCGCCTGCTGCTCCGACGATGCGAAAGGCCAGAGCACCGAGATTGAAATCCAGTATGGCGAGGAGATGTTCCACGCCAACGGCCTGATTGTGCTGGAACGAAACTATCTGGATGTGTATGTCTACGACAAGTGGGAAAGTAGCCAGCAGCTCCCGAAATTCGAACGAGGCGAACTCTTTGAGCCCACCGAGGCCAATATCAGCGAGGGCAAGACGGCTGCACCGAACTATCTGACGGAACCCGAGCTCATTGGGCTCATGGATGCTAATGGGATTGGCACAGATGCTACCATGGCAGAGCACATTGCCAAAATCAAGGAACGTGAGTATGTCGCAACACGCGCACGAGGCAGCGGCCGCAGCGCAGTGCAGGAACTCATCCCGACCCGGCTGGGTGTTGCACTCGTGGAGGGCTACGACAATGTGGTCTCGGGTCTCCCCAACAGTGTCTCCCTTAGCAAGCCGTTCCTGCGCAAAGAGATGGAGTTGCGGATGATGGAGATTTGTTCGGGTACAAAAACCCGACAGGATGTTGTACAGGAGAGTTTGGACATGTATCGAGACGTCTTTATCCATACACAGAGACGCATCGAGATGTTGAAGGCCGCCTGTCGAAAATACCTGATTGAAGAAGCCGCATCATGATCACCCATTCTGTGTCTACTCAGGAACATGCTCTTTGTTCTACAAAGTGCTTGAGTGGAAACAGACCAGAGACATGCCCCATATGTTCAATCAGGCCCATTATCTATTCTAGGGGTCTTAACAAGACCCTGGAAAAGACGGAAAAATTCGAAAAAAAAAAGAAAAAGAAAACTAAAATACAGTGAAGGCATCCTTTCAGCCCAATCTCAACGCCCTCACAAACTCACAAACTCTCTCCCAACAAGCCCTTTCCAAGCCCTCCCTACTCCCGCCCCGCCCACTTGCTCCCGTCAAGACCGGGCCGTGGGGTATCCCTGTCAGCCCTGGTCCTCGACTCAACGATCTCGGTGGCGATAGCCGTCGCAAGGGCGTTGGTCACAGCCGCAGGGAAGTCCCTGAGGACAGCCGCAAGGTCTATCCACACCTGAAGATTCTGGTGAAGATTGTCGCGGATCTGGTCGAAATGCTGGACCAAGCGCGAGTCGAAATTGCCAAGTTCAGAAGAGACGTGAGACAAGATGACGGACGTGACGTCGGTCACGAGCCGTTGCTGCAGCTCGAACAAGCCATTCCCAGCCTGGGCAAGCTGGAAAGCACAGTCGTGCAGGTGCTCCAGACGGCGGAAGATAGCGTCATTGAACGCATCTTGTCTGACAATGAAGTCCAAAAGCTCCCTCCGCAACAGGCGAGTATCTTGCGTCCTGTCAGACCGTCCCGTGACATCCTTGACCAGCACGGCCAGGATGGCGACCAGGAGGACTAGCACCGCGTTTTCGAAGACCGCGTCTTCGGACTTCTTCCCCTCGGCGCGGGGCTTTCTGACCGGACGGTAATCGCTCAGCGGCGCAGTCGGCAGAACGGGGGGCATGACTGTTGTTGGCTGGTCTGGGCAGGTTGCTGTTTCTGGCGTGAAGATGAAGCTGACGTTGCGGCTAGCGATGTAGGCCGCCATTGCTTGCTCGCGGGCGTTGTCGGGGGTTGATTCCTGTGAGGCCAACTCAACAGGAGCCTTGCCCAGGACATAAGGGTAGATCTGGTCGAGTGTGTGGATGGTGCTCGCCAACTGGAAGGACCCGATGGCGCGGTCCCAAAACGGTCGCGATGGCTGAATCGCGGTGAATGGGACCTCTCCGTAGAGGCCCCAGAGGTTGGTGGTGACAAAAAGGAGGACGAGGGCGGCGAACTCCATAGTGGAATAGTTGAAAAAGAGATGAAAGGTGGATGATGGGATCATCCGCTTAGGGAGGGTGATATATATGCCATACTTGGTGAATGCTGTATTGAGGCTGTGAATAGCTATTGACTGCGTCAATAAAGCAGATGATGAATAGGATAGTAAATCCTCTATTAAATAGTTTGTTAAGTAGTATACTGAATTATTTAGTGCGTGAAACAATGCCTTTCCTAGCTATGCATAGAATCAAACATGATAGATCAATGTATGTCGTTTTCTCTTTGCAGCAGCAAACATAGCGGATAATATAGTTTGCCGATACAGTGCTGCATGCACCCTAGTCATAATTAGCCCAGAATTAACCTAGAAGGAATTAAGAAGTAGGCAAGAATGAAATACGAATGTTCAGTGTTACCTGTTTGTATACTAAGAGCTTTGATGTCTTGAGTGCTGCTGTGTCCCGATTCCCAAACAAGGAGAAAGTGACACCATATAGAATTTGATCCTTTGGCAGCTATTTTGACTCAGGATATACATGGCCTGACTCTCTCAGTTTGGTCTAAGTAGGCGTGCAGATCAAAGTTGGTTGTATTCCCAGGCCTTTAGCAGGACCGGAGCGCTCCGAGAGCGAGCCGTATGAAAAAGTCCTGTCAGTCCCCCAGTGGATCCCCTCGGTCTATTCCGCTGCTTAAATGTCGAAGAAACTAACAGAAGTGTTTCCTAGCCCACTGGCTCCACTGCTGCTTTCCTCACACTCTGGATGGCTCCGAGCTGTGGAGTACCCCGGATTTCACCATCGTGGATGAATAGGAACTATAAAAAAAGTGTATTGAAGGAGTGTCCAGTGAGATGCTAATCTGTATCAACTAAGGAGTTTACTAATCTATTTTCTGCTTCAGAATCCTCACTTCCAGTGATTAGCATGTCCAACCATTCTGTCTATCTCAAGTCCCTTCCCTTATGGCTGGACCACAGTCTCGCAGAATGGGCGTGGGTTTCGGTGACAGCATTGGCAGCTCTCTCCGGACACTTCAACAGAATAATGTTCACGGCTCCCTGGGAAAGTGATGTGTCAAATGCTGCCCTGGCAAAGACGTATGGCTTTACAGTCGCCCCCTTCAATAGATCAGACAGACCCATGCTAATTGAAACATGGTGATAGGTTATCCCGAGTCAACACAACCGACTTTGTCGCCTATGACCCCAAATTCTTCAACATCATTGGACCTAGCGCCACAATCGAGCATGTACAGAAATTAGCCCACCAGTACCATGAGGCTCCCTACTTCATCCCTCGACCCGGCAGCTCTTCTTCGTGGAGTGAGGACCACCTGGCGGGGATAATGGCACGCATCGCTGGCAGTATCTTTTGGATGTCGATTCCAACAAGCTGAAGAAGATTGTCCCGGACCCGCCCACCGTCAACGCGCATGGCTGTGTGCACTACGACGGGAAGCTGCACGTCGTCACGGATGGTAGCCGAGACAACGAGACGGGAGCGTTGGTGCAGATTGATCCACACTCCCTCAAGAAGAAGGTCTTGCTCAATAATTTCTTCGTCCAGCCCTTTGCGGGCTTCAATGACCAGGAGATGGATCGCGCAGGCAACTTCTGGCTCACGGACTCCAGGTCGGCTGCAGATGGATTCGAGACAGCTTATGTTGTCATGAAGCGGTTTTGGTTGACGATGACGATTATCATGATTTAGGGACGAGAGGTTGTCGACCTTGTCCCGCCTACCAATCCCTCGATTTATTTCGTCGAAGCTCACACTATGCGCGCCAAAGTCGTATGGACCACGACTGGCAATGCCAACGGTGTCGCCGTCGTCCCAGATAGCCGTACCATCTATGTCCCCGACACAGGAGTATCGAAATTCCGACCCTCAAAGAAGAATCCATACGGGAACCGTCAGCTAAGGGCCTTCACGGTCTCGAAGTCCGGCTCGGTACTCCCAAACCAGCGGATACTGGGGAGCCCCATTTCGTACTTTTACGATGGAATCCGCGCATCACGAGAGGAATGGTTGTTTGCGGGATCCGGAAATGCCGTCGATGTCATTGACCCCGAGACCGGGCTTATTTTGGGATCCATCGGCGTTGGAGGAGGCGAGAATGTGGCGGCTAGTGTGGCCTTTGGTCGTAATGAGCTGTGGATTGTCGGGAGAGGGGGGGGGGGCGTGTGGCACGATAAGAACTTGAAGGCACGGTTGCAGCGCGACTGGTGATTGTGTCTATTTGCTCGGAGACATTTCAAGTGGTCTTTTTGTGGCGTACTTGTTTCTGGCGGCGTATATCACCCAGCACCACCGTTCATGCCATGGATCTCTCGAGCATATCAAACTACGCCAAAAAGTTCGTCGGTAGGGAGGAATCCGCCTCCAAAGACATAGGGTCCAACATAGAACCAGCTAAAGCATCCGAGGATAATCCGTGGTCCTCAGGATGGCTGAAAAGACCCTCTGGTGCAGGCTGTTGGCGTCCTTGTGTGATGGCAGCTCGCTCCATAAGAGACGAGATAGGTCTCAGCATCATTCCACCCTTCTGAAATTCCTTCTTCTTCCACAGGGCATAAGCCTGGTCCATGACTATCCAAGCTTTGTCAGTATCCACAGACCTCGGACGAATGCAGAGCTCCGACAAAACGAACACAGCCGCGTGCCATTGCATGTATGCCTCGAACAGCCACCCCCATTTCGTTGTTTTGTCGTTGGTCTCCAGCAGATACGCAAATTCGACCACTTCAGTGGCCGTCTGGAACAACTGGTCTCGCTTGGGCGATCCTGGAGCCAGCTCCTCCGTGTTCAGCCAGGGGAGGTGAGCCACCAACCATGATCTGGCGTGGGCTAAACGTGCAACTGTTGCAGCCACCCACTGGAGTGGCACTGATACATCGCAAAACTTGAGATGCTGTTCCTGCAGCCGGCGGCAAAGCTGGCCAAGAAGATGCAAATTTTCTTGCAGAGGGCACGCCTCGGGACCTACGCCAGATTTGTTGCTGAGAATACGACGGTGAGCCACTGAAATCTCACATCGGATCAAGCAAAAGGTCATTTCCGTAAAGTCGTTATACTCGGTAGGCGTTTCGGCAGTATCGGGTGCGATATCCGCGTCGTTGATGTTCAACGGGAATCTGACGTCATAGCTTTTCTCCTGGATCTGGCTGTTGATAGCTTGGTATTCGGATGTTTGAAAATCGAGAATGACAATATACCACCACAACCGCCGGCGCATTTCAGTGTCGAAGGGACTGAGCCCGAAATTTGTCCCGTCGCGATGCAGTCCCAGGCCCTGGGCTAGCCGGTGCACAGCAGCGGTCATCGTCCAGACAAACTCCAAGTCTCCTGGTGAGCGGAGAACGATCAAGAAAAGAACTGCAGCTTGGAGAACGGTAAAGTCTCGGGTTTGCAGGAAGCCTGCGCGCGTCAAAGCTTGCTGGGTAGCGAAGCGAAAGCGCTGGACGATGGTCGAATGATCTTCTCCGAAGTGGTCCTGGCACTGCTGTGGTTTCATGCTGGTGACAGCTGCTAAGTACACTGCAAAGACGAGCGCCTCGGATTTCTTATCGAGATGCCCGGCGTTGGTCGAGGCTTTGCAGATCAGCTTGCGTAGTGTGGGTTTGTGGAAGAGCATGGCCATGGGCGCCACATTCTCTTCGTAGGCGGTCCACAACAGCTCGCTATTGATTCGGCTGGGATGATAATCTTCCAGGGAGTGCAGACCTGACGAGTATCCAAAAAGAAAGAAATTGCCGCTCTCCAAATACTCAGGCTCCGACTCCTCTTGTGCGCGTTCTCCTGGATGTTCTGTGTCTAACAGATCCTGGAGTTCTTTGACTTGATCGCCGAGGCTGACCAGGGCCTCGTGCGTGACATATCGACTGGACCTTCGACCGATAATCAACCTCCCACGCCCGCTGTGTGTATGCCTCTCTGGGACCGGAGGAAGGTCAAGGTTGGCGACCTCGTCATTTTCCGGTACATGGGAAGCAACGGGTTCTCCGGTCTCTCGACTCGGTAATTCAGTAGCGTGAGATCGGTCACCGAGGTCTTGGATTTCTTCCTCGAGATGTTTCAATCGGCTCACTAGCTCGGCCTTCAGCGGGCGCTTCCTTCGTCTTGGGGCACGACCCGGGCCGGGGAAGACGCACTCCACTCCCAGCTTGAGGCAAGCCTCGCACGGCTGGGTTTTGCTACACCGGATTTTCTTCCGGTTGCATGTATGACAGCTGCGTGCACTGGGGCCGGGCTCTCTCCCTGGGCCTGCCGGTTGGTCCATGTCGATTGAGCTGCTGCTCCACAATATAATCGGCTCTCGAACAGTCCTAGTCGTAACTCTCCGGGGCTAAAATCATGCCGATGTTTAAGTAGTCGAAGTGACATGCTCTCTTCTCGGGCTTGAAATAGAAGCCGAAACCGACTAACGTTAATCAGCGGGTGGGTCGGTGTATCCACTGTGGGTCTGAACCCTAGATATTGCCTCTATTTCAGTCGATTTCGATAGAATCTCTTGTCGAAAATGAAGAGGCAGGGGTTTGTCAGAAGGAGGATTTCGGAATGCGAGAGACAATACCGAGGTGCATTCATAATTCCATGTGCCACGCAGCTGGTCCTAGAATCAATATAAGTATAGGGTCCCTTGTTATTTCGATCATTCCTTTTGTTGGAATTAAGATCTAACCATTGAATACCAATTGAATTTCGAAATGTCCAAGCTAATCACTGTTTCGCACTTCGACCAGAAAGCCAAGGTCGAGCTATATATCCGAGATCTGGGGGCGCCGGTCACATTTGTGTTGCCGGGGTATTTCATGACCAACTATGCTGCGGTTGGACTTTTGCGCAAGGGCGACGGCGGTATTTACACACTGGCGTATCCAGTGGGCGATGACACCGAATTTCCCCTTGTAGATATATCGCTTGATATGGGTAAGGAGACAGTGCCTGGGTTATTGGAATGGATCCATGGGTTTGGGTGGGCCACAGGAAAAATACGTTGCAGCGTCAAGCTCCGGTCGAGAGTTCTGGGGGGCCGGATCCTAGCTCCAGCTGATTATGATACTCCGCAGCGGATTCTTGCGGGATTTGAGGTCACTGGGAAACAAGCTAGATTTGTGCGGCCCGATTCTGACACCTTAAGAGCTTCATTCCGGGCGCTATGGGGATGGAAATGCTCGAGAACCGTCTCTTCATTGCAGACCCTGGGTACTATAATGGCCAGAGTCTGAAGGAGAGTCATGATCTGCTGGCGGAGGCGGGATTCCAAAGCACCAGCTGGCGGGAGTATCTGGAAGAAAACAAGACCAGCTTTGCTTGGAGGTTGCTCCAGGACCCGTGGGTTTTGGCTAGAAGCATAATTTAATCTGGTCCCTGGGCAGGCATCGCACATGAGAGTTGGTGAAAACCACGGCTCGTCGAATTTGGGGCACGTAGTATAGGTACTTCCTTTCTTTTTTCTTAGACAATTCATATTTGATCCTCCTAACTTCTATTTTAGTGGCATGTCCTGCGCCATCGAAGGGGTTTCTTTTGGGCTGTTTCCTTCCCAACACGCAATATAATATCCCAATATAAAACTCACTCGCTGGTTAATTTAGAAATTAGACTTCTATCAGCCTTTAAAGCCATTCCTCCCTCGTCCATTCACCATGCATCGTTACACTGCGAGTCAGCCCTAAAGGATTCACTCCCCGAGTCATGGAGATTGTCTGGCCAATACTACCACTACGCCTATCACAGCAGCTTACGCGCCAATCATTCAGGTTTTCTATCGACGGTCGAAGTCTCCGGAAGGGTTAATTTAGCGGCTGATGTAGATACTCTGGATAATGGGTTTATGCAACTGGTTATTAACTTATAATCTTGCGCGCATAACTACTGATTCCTCAAGTCGATATAAACACATCCTTTGAGTCAATAAAGGTGCTGCTGCATGGTCAGCAAGATCAGCAAAATGTGTCATAAATAAATGAACCCTAATAATAAGGTTATCCTACTTTGATTTCTGCTGCTAATTTATCAAAACTCTATATACTCTCTTTCTTCAGAATTCAGGCTATGCTTTGCAATTCTTTCCAGAATCGTTACTATCCAATCTATAGTTCGTGGTTCTTTGGTCAGAAATCTGCTTTTTGTATTTCACACTACATCGAGCTATCTCATATTCAAGACAGTCAGAGGAGGTGGGGGCCCATGTATTCCCAGGATTGAGCCAGGATCTCTCTCACTCCTTTCCGTAGTATTGGACCCTTCATGTCCCGCTGAGGGCTGCAGTTCTTTGGAAGGGTAATATAGTAAGGATACTAGAGAATGACTCGTTTGGCCTGCTCTTGAGCCGTCTAGTAAATAGCTAAATAGCAATGGATGGTATAAAATGAAAGGAGAACTGTCTCGTCGCTTTCATGGGTGCAGTGGCTGGTCCTAATAATCGTCTCAAAAATTATGCATCGTCTGCTTCTTGCCCTTTTTTCTTGCATTGTATGGCGCGTGTCTGGCCGCCGGCAGCCCTGCTCCCGCCTCGGTCGGAGACTTGTACATGATCTTTTTATAATGATAATGTCAAGTCTTCTCAGAAAGCCGATTACGCCAATGACTTGAAAACAAGAATCTCCCCGAGAATTCCACGGAGGCAGTGGTGTTGAACAAGGAAATCTTTGCTCTCTCGGCAATCCTCACCAAGTCTCAAGTGAGCAAGTGGAACACAGAAGTGGTTAGCTACTCTTAGTTTACTGATTTCTCTTTCAAAGAGCAACCGAGTACTAATATCGAGGGTTTTGATTTCTTTCTAGATCGACTCTATCGAGTTGGATGAAGGCGAACTTGACCTCGACGACTATACCCCCGATAACTCGACGATTCAGGCGCGCGATCAATACTACGATGGATTTGGCAAAGACCCAAAACCGGCCCATTTTCCCGAGATGGTGTTTCTCTCACAACCGGAAGGGGTGAGTCTCACCGAATGTAAGGGTTCCATCTTTCGAAAGTACGGCTGGCAAAGGCGTGGATGTATATGTGCACGATTCTGGGATCAATCAAGGCCACGTCGAATTCTCCAACCCCGACCCAAACGAATGCAAGGAGTTTCCCCGTAAGGGCAATATCGAGACACTGTATCCCCAGGCCAGCCGGTACGGGAAGGTCTTCAATTGCATAGGGCCCTCTGAAGACAAGATTGGACATGGAACTTGTATGGCGGACAAGGTCATCGGCACCCTGTATGGGAGCGCGAAAAGTGCCAACCTCATCATGGTACCGTGGGAAGTAAGCATTAGGGAGAGTTCTGAAATATTCGGAAGGAGGGAGGCCATGTCGATGTGTCTCGGGGGCTTGACAGCAATAATTGAGCGCATCAAAAAACGACAGCAGCATAAAAATTCCCTCCCGCCGGTGGTCGTTATGAGTACGGCCAAATGGTTGATGAAAAGAAAGAAAAAGTGTTTCTGGCGAAATGGCGCGAACTAATTCGCCAGCTCGACGAGCTCGACGCGACTATGTTCGCGGCAGCTGGGAACGATGGGGAGACTGAAGGACGCGCCGAAGTCGATGAGTATCCAGCTCCTTCGCCAAAGAATTCAAGAGTGTGATCCCCGTGGGTTCCGTGAATATTCAAGGACAAAAATAGAAGTCGTCGCAAGGAAGGCCGCTGGTGAAATTGTATGCCCCGGGACGAGTCGAACAAGCCGGATCCATGCGCTGTGCAGGCAAGGGTGGATCTCACCAATTCCAAAAGGCCTCGGGCACTTCGATCTCAACCGCAGTTGCTGCTAGCATTGCAGCCGTCAATATCGGTCAAGACCCAAAAATTCGTCAAGGTTGGGTGGCTGAGAACGTGGCAAACTGGCTGTATGATGAAACGTCATAAGTGCGGGAAAAAGGCAATGTACCGTCGATATGGAACGGGGAATTCCCTGAAATCTGCTAGGGTTTCCTGTATTCCGGTGTTCTATTCGTGAAGTGTGTAGACAAGTCATGTACAAATGCATCTGAAAGGTCGACTCAACCGATTTGCAGCCTCAATATCGCAGACAATCTCACATAGAGCAGTTCAAATAAACCTGAATAATTCCTTTCGGGAAATCGGGAGGCGTCAGTTTGGCGGGGCATCCCGCAAGCCACTTGACGCTGCTGGCTCCTCGCTGGATCCGTTCTCAGCCGGCCCCTGGACGTACGCTTAGACAAGTTTCAGCATCCTTCGTCAGCGGCGCAAGTCCACGAGTGTCATGCAAAAAGGAACCTAATCCCCTCAGCCCATGGATGAAAGGCGAGTCCGCCATAAAAGCCGCTTGAAAAAAAAAAAGGGTGATGTAACCGGACCTTCTTCCCCACGCGTGATGGGCCGATCCAAGGTCGATCATTTCCTGGATGCTCCGTATTTCTTGGGTTTGCTTAGCTCAACTGGACAGAACTGCAAGACTCCCTGGCCACCGGTGATCCGGGTCCTGTTTTCCATCGAGACTCTCGATGTCATTGGTGTTCATCTCGCGTGGTGGTCCACCCTTGCGATGGACTCCACCCCTCTCTCTCCAGACTTGACCCACCCCCGTGGGGTGCATCTCCGCGTTGGGCAAATGCCCGATGACAGGGCAGCACGCCCCCCATCCGGCCTGTCCACGGCTCTGCTATGTCACTCCGGCTCGTTCGGCTGTCTCCCAGTGGCTCGATAGCTGCCTCGTGACTCCGATGGCGAGGAGACGCCCTTGATGTCTGAATAGAGTATGGTCGTTCTCCATGTTACATGGGCGGCCTATATGACATGGCCATTGCCTGGGTCAAAGTTAGCTTCATACCACGTAAGATGGCAGGCTGGGGAGTGGTTGTCGAGTCCGGGGAAACAAAGACAAAAAAATGGCTTCGCACACATAAAAGGACTCAGACATCCCACTGGTTGTCCTCCCCCACTCCGCAATTCTTCTGAGACTGGTGTAAGCAGTTTTGCGAATCAGCTCATTTCGAGGGAAATAGATTCAACGCGGGAATCATCGCCTGGTTCTATCTCATCTTTGCTGTCCTCATCCTCACCCACTGCATTAAAATCGAAATTCGAGTCCAATATGAAGGAGGCAGAGATCATGGATCCGGGAATGGAGAACATGGTGGGCAAAGAGGAGAGCCCACCCAGCTACGCCCATACCGAGAAGAAGCCGACCGATCTTCCTGACCCCGAGGGCCGTGAAGCAGGCAACTTGAGTGCGATCTTTGAAAACCCTCTGGCTGGAATTCCTCGCGCGCAGCTTTTTGCTGATGTCGAAGAGTTCTGTACCAAGTTTGGTCTGATGGACGATGTTGAGATCTTCAAGAAGGGTGCTCTAATCTCGCAGGATCCTGCCTCTGCAACGAGTCTTCCCGAGTTGACTGAGGATGAACGGGAGGCTGTGATGCGCGAGCATACCCATCGATGGTCACAGCCCTGGCAGTTGTATTTTTTGGCGGGTAAGTATGGAACAAATGTGTTGGTGGCTTATCGTAACGTCTCACATCGACATAGCAATGTGCTCTCTTGCCGCCGCCGTCCAGGGCATGGATGAAACCGTCAACAACGGGGCCCAGGCTATTTATCTAAAAGTGAGTTCTTTTTCTCCTGGGACGTTATATCAATGATACTAAAATTCCAATTACTAGCAACTCAATATCACCTCGGACAACATCATTGGCCTTGTTGTCGGTGCGCCATACTTGTGCTGTGCCTTAATCGGCTGCTGGCTGACCGAGCCTTTGAACCGATACTTTGCCCGCCGCGGCACAATTTTCATTTCCTGTTTTATTGCAGCAGTTGCCTCGGTGTGGGAAGGTGTTTGCAACTCATGGGTCAACCTCTTCATCGCGCGCTTCGTGCTCGGACTAGGAATTGGAACCAAATCCTCCACAGTCCCCGTATATGCCGCCGAATGCTCTCCTGCACCAATCCGGGGTGCCCTCGTGATGATGTGGCAGACATGGACCGCCTTTGGTATTATGCTGGGCAACATCATGGGAGTGGCCTTCATGGACCTGCCCCCGAACCTGAGCTGGCGCCTCATGCTGGGCTCTACCGTCGTCCTCCCTCTGGTCGTCTGTGCACAGGTGTATATCTGTCCCGAGTCTCCACGATGGCTGATCCAGCACAATAAGATCAAAAAGGCCTATACCAACTTCAAGATCCTGCGGCCTACCGAGCTCCAAGCTGCCAGAGACCTGTACTACGCCTACGTGGGCGTGGAACTGGAGCGCAAGGTCAACACCGGCAAGAACTTCTTCACCATGCTCCTCGAACTCTTTACAGTTCCTCGCAACCGTCGTGCTACTCTGGCAACCTGGATCGTAATGTTCATGCAGCAGTTCTGTGGCGTGAATGTCATTGCATATTACTCAACCACCATCTTCGAGCAGTCCGGATACGGGCTGAAGAATGCACTTTTGGCCTCGATGGGAACAGGTATTCTCAACTGGGTGTTCGCACTGCCTGCATTTTTCACAATCGACACCTGGGGGCGGCGCAACCTGTTACTGTCGACGTTCCCGCTACTGTCCCTCACGCTGTTCTGGGCCGGCTTCTCCTTCTGGATAGACGATACCAAAAAGCGAGTCGCCATGGTCACCACGGGCATGTATTTGTTCGAGGTGTTCTACTCACCTGGTGAAGGCCCCGTCCCCTTTACATACTCCGCCGAAGCCTTTCCACTGCACGTGCGGGAGGTCGGCATGTCCTGGGCTACTGCGACATGCTGGTGCTTTAATTTCCTCTTGTCGTTTACTTGGACCCACCTCGTCCGTGCGTTTAAGCCGCAGGGTGCTTTTAGTTGGTATGCAGCTTGGTGTCTGATGGGTTGGATTATGGTACTTTTGTTCGTGCCGGAGACGAAAGGTAAATCTTTGCCCTTTACGAAAACCTCGCTATCCTAGTCTGTCATTGCTAATATAGTAACTCCACTTTCTATAGCCCTGACTCTGGAGGAACTCGACCAAGTCTTTTCCGTGTCCACACGGAAGCATGCTGCGTATCAGATCAGAAACGCCATCTGGCACTTCCGCGTCTGGATTCTTCGCCAGAAACTGGAGCCTCTTCCAAACTTTTACAAAGGCGCAGAACGTCTTGCTGAAGTTGGCGATGCAGCGGAGAAGTAGACTCCCTTTCTATATTTCTTCCCGGTAGCTACTGGCTATGTCCTGATAGTATTGTTTTCCCTAGTCTTGTTTTGATCCCTTGATCTTTTTCATGCCTTTCCTTTCCAAAGAAGTGGATTTAGTTGCTTAGTACGGGCTGAAGGGCCGGGTATACCCCACTGCCTTTTGTTATTGTTGGATCTTCTAGTGGCTCTGGTTTGAGTGGCGGGAAGAATCGTTGATGACACTGCGATTTTGCATAGCAAGATCTTCTGATATAATCTTCAACCGATATTAGTTAGATATATCTACCAAGTAGCTGTACCAACGAATGCAATATCTCTTATATCATCGGACTTGCTATAGTCAAAGCCAACGCAGAATACACCAAATATTTCAATTTGTGAGGGAGAACAAGATGTACGTATGCTAACTGCCAATACCCCTAGATACCCAAATTCGTGCCAATACCCACCCTCTGGGTACTGTTCACTGGAGTCTCTTGCTCAGAACGGCCCCATAGTAGACCGTAGCGATCAGGCTGACCATGTTGACCAGACTGGAGATGCCATGCACGCGCCCGAACTTCTTGTTCAGAGCCAGCATCTCCTTCGAGTGCGGCCCAGCATCATAGCTCTTCTTCCCATCGCGGGTTTCTGTAGCAGTCAGGCTCTGGCACTTGTCTTGTACACATCGAACCCGATGATAATGAAGCAGGATATTTATGCTTATCAAGAGAGGACTAAGAAGAACAGAAACATACCTTGATGCTTGCGCTCGCGCATGACGTTAGTCGTCAAGGGACGCAGCACAAACAAGTTGACCAGCCCGGTCACCGCCACCGTGGCCATGGGCAACAAGGTGCTGCAGCAGTTCTCAGGTGCTGTTAAACCCGACAGCCCCAGTGCCTGTCCGCCTCTGCTGGCGGTCAGTCCGACTACCACGGGTAGCGCGGTCTGCATCGAGAAGTAGATGGGGAAGATGGCGGTCTGCAGACTGGCAAACTGGGGCCGCGGCAGGGCGCGGAAAGCGATTATGCCCCCGACAAAGGACTACAGTTGAGTCAGACACCATTGATTCCGATATTATTCCCGGCAAACCTGGGCTAGAAGGAGACTTAACACTTACTTGAAAGACCTGCGTACCCAGCAGGGTGCCATAGCTACCGAAGGGTTAGTGATCCCGGTGGTATAAGACCATAAGGCCGGATGCAGGTATAATTGGCAACACACCTCAGGATATGATAGGGGCGAGGATCGGTCATGGTGGCTACCCTCTTAAAAAAATAGTGTGGAGGTGGAGTTGTGTGATCGAGCCCAAGTTGGCCTGAAATGGAGTGGAGAGGGTGGTATTGCCACGGTCTATGTCATATACAATGGTACTATTGCCAGTTGCTCCTTCCACTCCAGCATGTATGCACACGCACCTTCCCGTTAAGTCACCCATGATGTCATGTGCCGGCGCGTTTGGGCACTAACCAAAAATGGCAATATCACGCGTCTGCCTGTCGGACGGTGCCAACTTCGACCTCGTCTTGTTCAAACCCCACGGAAACCTCGCTATGGCTGAAAAGGAGGCGACTGTTTACATTGTGGATGTGGCAAGATCCATGGGTGAGTGCCGGAATGGCCGCTCAATCACGGATCTTCAGTGGGCCATGCAGTATGTCTGGGACCGAATCACCACAACAGTATGTGGCCTTGCAAGCGACGAGCTATTCGCGAGAGCTAATAATGATGAGAATCAGGTTGCAACGGGACGGAAAACTGCCACTGTGGGCGTGGTGGGACTCCGCACCGATGGTAGGAACCGCAATGGTCGCGTACTACGCGTGTAGTCTGACGTGGAGACATGCCAGGTACATCGAATGAGCTCGAGAGTGACCTCAACTTTTCGAACATCTCGGTTCTTTTTGAGATTGGACAGTATGCGCTACATCTACATCCATTATTGGGAGTGGATTGCCGGTCTGATACTAGTCCAGGATGCTCATGCCGGATATTCGAAAGTTGCGAGAATCAATCAAACCCAGCCAGACGAATAGAGGCGACGGTATGAGACATATTCCCTTACCATGACTTTAACTCTAACGGTGAACTAGTCATCTCGTCTATTGTCATTGCTATTCAGATGATCATCACCTACTGCAAGAAACTCAAATACAAGCGCAAGATCATATTGGTGACTAATGGCACTGGGCTGGCGAACAACGAAGGCCTCGACCAGATCCAGGAAAAGCTCAAGGAAGACAACATTGAGCTGGTGGTTATGTACGTCCCTCGTGGGCGCATCCATTCCCCGGGAATATGCTGATTGTCTACAGCGGAGCTGATTTCGACGACCCCGAGTACGGAGTGAAAGAGGAGGACAAAGATCCCATCAAGGTGATTCAAATGCCATGCTGTTTTGCTCGTCACAATATTGATGCTGCGACTACAGGCTAGCAACGAAACCCTTCTCCGTGACTTTGTTGAGGGGTGCGATGGTGTCTACGGAACCCTGGAGCAAGCCGTTGCAGAGCTGAATATTCCTCGTATCAAAATGACCAAGAGCCAGCCATCTTTCAAAGGATTTCTTCAACTCGGTAATCCAAATGAGTATGAAACAGCCCTCCGCATACCGGTCGAACGATACTTCCGAACCTACGTTGCCAAGCCGCCGTCAGCAAGCTCGTTCGTCCTGCGCTCCGACACTGCACCGGGACAAGAAGATTCTGGGACTTCAGCGACGGTGACGGCACCGGGAGAGTCTCAAGCACCTGGCGAAGGCGACACTCTTACCGTCGTACGAACATCGCGAACTTATCAGGTCAAGGACGAGTCTGCACCAGGAGGCAAGGTAGATGTTGAACGAGATGACCTCGCGAAAGGGTATGAGTACGGACGGACAGCAGTGCACATCAGTCAGACTGATGAAAACATCACCACCCTGGAGACATTTGCGGGTCTAGAACTCGTTGGGTTTGTGCGGAGTGACAAAGTGCGTTGGATACCCAGTCTGGCCGTCTGTTGATAGCACCGCTAATCCTGTTGACCAGTATGATCGATACCTGCACATGTCCAACACCAATCTGATTATCCCACAACGCGCCAACGACAAGGCCTCGCTGGCCTTGTCCTCTTTCATCCACGCTTTATTTGAATTGGAGTCCTATGCGGTCGCTCGATTAGTGATTAAAGAAGCCAAGCCCCCGCTAATCGTGCTGCTGGCTCCTTCCATTGAGCCCGACTACGAATGTCTGGTCGAAGTTCAACTTCCTTATGCCGAGGATGTACGGTCATATCGGTTCCCGCCCTTGGACAAGGTGGTAACAATCTCCGGCAAGGTGGTTACTGAACACCGCAATCTCCCAAGTGACAGCTTGCAGGACTCAATGAATAAATACGTTGACAGCATGGAGCTGGAATACAAGGACGAGGACGGGTAAGGGAACACGTTGACTATTTATACGGGGATCAAGGCTGATTTAACAAACCAGAGAGCTCGTTTCTGGGCTTCCAATTGAGGAGTCTTTCTCTCCACTGCTGCACCGGATCGAGTCAGCCGTGCGTTACCGCGCCGTTTATCCCAACGAACCAGTTCTCGAGCCATCAGAACGACTCACAAAATTCGCCCATCCCTCAGCGGAGGTAGTCAAAAAAGCTCAGCAACACTTGGATGCACTGATCTCCACAGCCGAGGTCAAGAAAGGTAAACCAATTCTATGTTGGAACAACCCTTAAAGCCTCCCAGACCAACTAACTAACATCTTACTCGGATTCCAGTCCCCCCAAAGGCCAAAGGCCGCAAACGCCAACGCGAACCCGAAAAACCACTCTCAGGTCTGGACGTCGACGCCCTCCTCACCCAAGAACCCAAGCGCGCCAAGATCTCCGCCGAAAACGCCATCCCCGAATTCAAGCAGATGCTCTCGCACGCCGAGAGCGTCGACACGATCCACGACGCCGTGCAGCAGATGGCGGGGATTGTCGAGTCGCAGATCCGGCATAGTCTCGGCGACGCCAACTACGACCGCGTCATTGAGGCGCTGGGCACGATACGCGAGGAGCTCGTTGATTATGAGGAGCCTGCGTCGTATAATGATTTGCTGCGGCGCTTGAAAGATAAGATCTTGCGTGAGGAGTTCGGCGGCGATCGGCGCGAGTTGTGGTGGCTTGTGCGGAAAAATCGGCTCGGTCTTATTGATCGGGGGGTGTCGGAGCAGTCTGAGGTTCCGGAGGATGAAGCGAAAGAGGTGCGTTGGTTATGTTTTATTAGTTTGGGGTTTTTGAATTGTGGGTTTGGTGCTAACTTCTGGATCTTTAAAGTTCTTGGCTGCTCACTGAATGGCTGGAGGTACGCCGTCACTGTGTGCTTCGGCCTTATTAGGAATCGATTCGGATGAGGAAAGTTGCTTTGTGGTTCACGATATGAGTGGCTTTGTCGATCTGGAACGAGATCATTGTTGATTGAGAGCACGAGTCTCTGACTCTTCTGACTATCGCTGATGTGCAATAAACCCATAACTCCAAAATTGCATGCCAACTCAACTGCTGAAATGAAAATGGGAATAGAACAAAAGCCCGGTCTATAAAGCAGCCTCGTAGGCAAAAGAGGGAAAGAAATATGCGACGCATAAACAAATCAAGAGATCTTATTGACCCTCTTCTTCCCAACATCGAGCTTTGCTTTCAACCTAAATGGAAAGTTAGCAGCCGACCAAGACGGATATAATAAGAAAATAGAGTGAAGGGGCAGAAGAAAAATATAGAATACATACCGATCCGTATCTTCATCGGCCAGCTTCAGCAACTCATTCTGCACCTCCAACTCCTCGTTGATGGCCGTACCCAATTCCTTCTGGCGAGTAATAATCTTCATAAGTTCGTCAACGCTCATATCCTGATCCTGCATAGTCTGGCGCTGCAGCTGAAGCACGCCCTCATTATCAAGCTCGCGCGTGCGTTCCGTTTCCTTGCCGAGGACTCTACCAGAGCGCGCAGGGGTTCTCCGTCCACCACTAGCAGCATCGCCATTCCCATTCCCAAGCCCAGGCCGAAGCAGAGCCTCTTTATCCTGGATAGAGGCCACGGCATGGTCAAGCCGGGTCTTGGCAGCCATAGCATGCAACAGGTCCTCCAGACCATCCTTTTCCTTGCGGGCATTGATGAGCAGATCCTTCCGGCGACGGAGCTCGCCATCGCCCAGCGTCGACAAGGATTGCGCAGACGCAGAATTTGAGTCCCCGCGCCCGAGATTCTTCAGGCCGTCGTCCAGGGCGGCGATCATGGTCCCCGCGCGCACGAGACAGCTCTTTGCCTGCGCGGAGCTCTCATGCTGTTTCTGTGGCGTTGTTTCTTGGTCGCGACGCGAGAGCTGCAGGCGCGCGTCGTGGAGGTGCGCCTTCATGTCGCGGTAGTGGTCGAGCCATAGCGTGGGGTCGGAGATGGGCGCGTTGGAGGCGTTGCCTGGGTCGGTGATGGCGGCGTGGAGGCGGGCGGAGGTGGTGTTGGTGTTGGCTGTGCCGTTGGAGGAAGCCGAGCCTGAGACCGCTGCCGTCGGGAGGTTCAGGAATGCGCGCCAGGCGGACGAGGTGCGCCAGCGGCCGTCGCTGGCGTCGTTGATCGCGCGCAGGTACTGCTCTAGACCGCGGCGCCGCTCTTCGCGGAATCGCTCGTTGGAAACGGTTTTGGCGAACCAGGATTTTGGTGGAAGGGGGACCGGTGGGGGTGCGTTGGTTTGGCTGGTCAGTGTCGTGTGGAAGGCGGAGAAGTCAGAGTAGCGCTTGGAGACGGTGAAGGAGCGCAGCGGCAGCCGGAGGGTAATGTGGTAGACGGTGTGTGGGGGTGAGGTAGGTGAGAGTGAGGTAGATGGAATGGCGATTTCAACGGTCGGTGCCATGATTCCCGCATCGAAGACTACAAGGTCAAGGCGAAAGTGACGGTGAAGATGAGAGTCAAGATGGGCATGACGCAAGATCCGCAGGCAGACAGCTCCAGGGGACGGTGGGTCTACCCGCGTGCCCTTGGGACTTCCCATGACATACAATCCACGAATATCCACGAATTCCGATAGTCAGGACTTATTTCCTCTATCCGTGTTTGATCGTGAGTCATCAACATGGAGATGATTTGCTCTAAACATGACCCAAGTCCCATCCCAGATCCAACATTATATACATCAACACTTTCGCCGGGGGTTTGCAAGGACACTGAACTTCTTCTTCACGTCCTCGGGGTCGGTCTTAGACACCACCTCGAGATTGAAGTGGGTTGTCAATTTCCTACACCCCCATTTATTCTCCTCCGTGCATGGGTCTCGATAGATGTTATCCCATCCCGGCGGCTTTCGGCCCCAGGTGGTGATCCTTCCGCCCTCCTTGGTCACGTCTGCGGTGTCCTTGTTATAGTCATAGAAGAGTCCGATAGTATTCGGCTCTCCACAAGAAGCCTCCGTTCGGTGTCGCTGGCCGCCCTCCTCCCGCTGGCACTCCTCGAGGCCGTCGATCAACGGCTGCGGTGCATTCGCCCATGTATCATCATACTTGTACCAATACCCCTTGTCCTTCTTGATCGACGAAGCAAGGTAGATCCTCTTTCCAATGGCCAGGGCAGTCATCACGCCGGGCCGCTTGTCTTTGCCGATTCCGTCACTATTGGCCTTTTCGAACATTTGGTCGTAGGCGTCCTTGCAAATGCCATTGATTGTCTTGTTTTCGAAACTTTTGGTGTCCTCTTCGAATTCGATGATGGAGCTGTAGCTGATGCCCTTGTTCTCTTCGTCGAGCTTGTCTCGGGTCAGACCGAGGCTCTCAATTGCCAATACCTGGATGCAGATGCATAGCAACAGGAATAGCGAGGCAAATGACTTGAGATTGGGGACCATGGCTGCGACCTAGGACAAGATAGAGGTCCGTATAGGTTGGAAGAAAGACTTGGCCAGTTGCTACTAACGAGTCAGTTAGGGTTCATACCCATCTGGTCTGGGAACATACTGAAAATAGGAAGAATCGGATCGGCTCAATGAGCCTGCTGGATTGGAAGGAAAGGAGAGCTCTATTCAGAAAAAAAGAGACCATCCTTTTCCCAGTTCCACCAGCAACTATATATACTCCATGCCCAGACTCCAGATATTCGAGATCTTCAAAATAGAATTGGCCTTGGATCTCGCCGTAAATCACGGCATGGGCGCTTTGACCGCGAATCCATTGGATGCCGCGAAATGATCCTGGGGGTTGTGTGGGAGACAAATCGCCTATACCAAGAGATCAGGCGTACTATGTGCAATCTAGGAATCTAAGAATAGCACGGTCCATGCGAGTTCCTCGGGGCCAAGCGAGATTAGCGGCCAAGCCGCCGATCTCAGCGCAGGGAATGACTACTTTGGGTTAAATACACCCCTTGGACCTCGCAAGAGAACCACTTCGATCTCGTTTGGCGATGCCAAGTCCAAGTTAGGTCTCCCATCACCAAGTCCCGGATCAGACCCTGATCTCGGTCTTCCGTTTTCACCCTTTCTTTTTTTCTTTTCTTTTTTTACTGTTACATTTCTATTCTATCTTTGGACTATGCCCGTCTACCTGCCAGACGAGTTGTGGGACCGCATCGTCCAGCATCTTCCGTCGGCCTCCCTAGCCTCGCTTCGTGGGACTTGCAGGCGATTCTCCATATTGGCAGAGCCCCATCTTTACGAGAAGATCAGCTTCGTCGAACGGAAAGATGGGGGAATCCCAGACCAGATCTCACGCCTGTATTTGTTTCTCCGCAGTATTGCCAGTCGTCCGGAGCGTGCAGGCGCTATCAAATACTTCCAATTCCACCAACACAAGAGACAACCTTCCAATGGCCAGCCCTTGTGGGATGAAGATTCATTCCAACAAAGATTCACGAGCCATGAAATCGGTTTGATAGACAACTGGATCCAAACCGCCAATGTCGCCCCCAAAGAAGACCTACACCAAAAATTAAAACGGGGCTCAGTCGATGCCATTGTCGCCCTTCTTCTATCTTGCTTCCATCACTGCAGTGAGTTGGACCTCCGTCTTACTCGCCAGGACCGGACCTTCGTCCGAGCCATACTGCGCTCAACACAACGGCCAGCTACATTGAAGCGGGTGTCTGTGGGAGCCAATGAAGCATGGGAAGAGACATGCAGTCTCTCTTTCTCTGATGATGTGGCACATCTCTTTGAGATCCCTGTCATCCAGTTTCTCAAGATCACCTGCGTCCAAACAACCGCCCCGAACGTTTGGCCAGGAACCCAGCCCGTTGCACTCACATTGACTACCCTGGTTCTTGACGAGGGCTTTGTGACAGATTCCCATCTCTTCCATATCCTGGCAGCAACGCCAAATCTCAAGACTCTCGACTGTCGCTTAGCCTACGATGCTAACACAAGGGAATCCTGCGACTGTGCAAGGCTGCAGTCTGCTCTGGAGAAGGTTAAGCCATCGCTCGAGAACCTGAGAATCGCTATTGAGTTCTGGATCTCGGGGAATATGGCTATTGAGGCATACCAGGGAGGAGACTATGGCATCATCGGACGAGTCAAGTCATTGAAAGAGTTTAACCTCAAGTGAGATATACCCACCCTCTTGAAAACTCATCCTATATACCATCCCATCTGATGGCTCTTTACTAACTCCAGTTGTTTTTCTATTAAACAGAAACCTGGAATTCCCATTCGTCCTTCTACAGGGCTGGTTCCCCGACCAAGCACCCCCTATCCAAACAGTTGTCCCCAATACGCTCGAGACGCTGTGTATCCGAGACGACATGGCCGCCTTCGAAGACTATGTCTGGACTATCCCCGAGATGACAGAAAAAATGATCGACTACCTCCTGGGGCTTCCATCCCTGAAGGAGTTTACGTTCAAACCATTTAGTCTGGACATCGAGTTCGGCAATCCCTACGATAACCGCCTACGACTATCGGCGAGCGTAGCGGGCATTGGCTGTTTTATTGTTAACTATGCTTTTGAGAAGGGTGAGGTTGAGGATCCGTGGTATCCTCAGTTTGTAGTGTAACGATTATCCAGGAACACCATGGGCCAATTTTAATCGCCTTTTTCTCTTGATTCTAGCTACTCCAGACATGCGCTACCCGCCTTTGGGAGTCTACCAAGGTACAATAGATCCATGTCGAGACAAGGTATAGAAAACCAAGGTTGCAGGTATGCATCTTAGATGGGAGTGGGATTTCATGATTAGCAATAGATATTCTACAGCCATGCCTCGCGCGCATCCAGCAGATCCCGCTGCCCATAGAACTCGCCCGCCACTGTGACAATCATATCCAGCATGGCCCGACTCTGCTGCGCCGTGTCCTCACTCTCGTCCTCGTCTTCATGCCCATCCCCGGGATCGGCCACATCCGGATCAGCGCTGTCCTGCAGCTGCGCCTGCAATCGTGCCTTCGCAGCCTCAAGCTCAGCAGGCTGATTCAGCGCCGCATCGGGCATCTCCGAGCCCGGTTCCTCAGGTTGCAGGGGTTCTACCGACTCAATATCCCCCTCTGCCTGGCCAACACCAGCCGCTTGGGTACTTTCTCCTGGATCCGAATCAGACAATTCCGCCTCCATCTCCGCCGCACGAGTAGATTCCGCCTCGCGCATCTTCTGCGAGATCGTCAGGGCGCGTTTCCCCAGATCTCGAATGTCGCCAACCTCCTCGGTAGCCAGTTCGCCGACATCGCGGCACTTGCCCAGCAAGCCCCACGCCCAGGCGCCCGTCCGACGCACACGCGCTGCACTCCCACTGCGCACGTTATCCGATATTGTCCGCGCCAGGATCTTCAGCACCCCCAAGACGCTGTCCAGGTCCATGCACGCCAGCTGGACCATCTGCGGGTCCTCGGTGAGCAGAAGGTGGCGCCACTCCTTGCGGGCGCCGGCGTGGTTTCGGGGGAGACTTATTGGATGGGCGTCGTCGAGGGCGGCGATGGCGGATGCGGGGGGAGAGCATCGCAGGGTAGAGCGGAGGAGTAGGAATCGATGGTGGAGGAGATTGTAGTATGAGGACTGTGCATCTGGGTAGAGTTGTTTCGTTGCGTCGCGGGCATGCGCGGTCGCGGAATCGCTGGTCTTGTCTGTCGGGGCGATGTACGCTTCGTCTGCGAAGAACCCCGTCGTCAAGGGTTTCCGGCGCGGGCCAGCTGCACTCGGCTCTACCTGTGGATCGGTGGTCGGGGTCGCGATCTCCTTGGTAGGGACCGGTGCGGCGAACAGTGAAGGTAGCGCGTTGGCTTCGGATCTATGGTTTCAATCCAGCAAAAGGTCAGGTCCAGGCCGAAGTCACGACACACACGCGCGAGCAGGGCTGGGGAGAAGTCGGCGACATTTAGCAAAAGGGGAAAAGGAGAAGAGTGCGACCGAAAGCTGCAATTCAACTTACCGGACCATGCGCAGGTACTCCAGCCCATCCTCTGCGGGCCCGTAAAACAGCTCGTCGCTTGCATCGTCCAGACCTGGGAATGCGCTCTTCTGCCCGTAAAGGGGGTCGTTGCGAGGTCGCTCGTAGGATGTCACCTCCGACTGGTCATCGCTGTCATCGTAGGAGATTCGCGGCCGTTTTGCAGCTGAGCCAGGCATGGATGATGGCCTCTTTTCAGCCATGGCGAGGATTGGGGGAGATGCAGAAAGGGAAAAAATGACGGAGCTTGGGGGTGCTATCTTATCAGCTCCGCTCGATGAACGCGACAGAACTATGGGCAGGACAGGATCAGTGAATTGTCATGAAATTCCTGTATATTGTACAAATTTCTTTTAGCCCTCTGGATAATATTCTAGGAAATAGTCAGAAAGTGTATCGACAATAGGCTTCTACATGGATAGTAGCAGGCATTGCCATAAGAGTTGAAAAAGTGGAAGTATGGCGCAAGCTTGTAGGTGCTACCTAATTCTTCTAAGGGAGAATCTTGAGCATCAGGTTTTTTCACTAATATATGGCCAATCCCATACTAACATACACACAAATCATGCCTCTTGCCCACCCATTCTACAGAGCCAGGAATCGCTTCAAAATAAACAAGATGCTTAGTGGGTCTCGCACAGACCAAGAGATTAAATGCCAAGACATCTCGAAGTATACCGAGTCAAAAAAAAAAGTGATTTCTTAGCAAAGTGAACAGATGAGGGACAAACGGCGTCACTATCATCAACACCAGACGAATAGTCTAGCTAGAAGTCAGCCCGGGTCACCTGCCAAAGATTGTGCCTGGGGTGACCGAAATAGGCTGGCCGTCTGGGTCGAAATTAGTCCTACCCTAATGACGGGTCTACTGGTAAAGGTCTATTTCATAAGCCTCTGGTGAACTTTTTGTTATTTTGATTCTTTTTATTTTATCTTATTTTATCTTATTTTATCTTATATCTTATTTTTTAGAAAATGATATTGTTTTAAATCATTTTATTTTCTTTGATGCTATTCCAAGTTCGGTTCAATGCATGGCTCTCCTGTGTTTGATCTAGATGACACGAGTTCGAATCCTGATACCACCTTAATTCCTATCATATTTTTCCTCCTGGGCCATTATAACTCTTCTGCCCAGATGCAATACATAATAAGTACAAGTCCTATGGTGCGCTGCCACCTCTGGACGTTTATAGCTCAATCAATCGTTCAATGCATGTATACTTTTTTTTTCTAGTCAAGCTAAATACAAGCTCACGGACGCAGCCGCTGTGGGTCTCGGGGGAAGAGCGACGTCAAACGCACATTGGGCAGACCCAGGAAGAACATGACGATACGGTTCAAGCCCAAGCCACCACCGGCATGCGGCGGACAGCCCTGACGGAAAGCGTTCAGGTAGTCTTCGAAGCCTTCCTGGTCCGGGTTCAGGCCCTTAGTCCGCATCGAGGCCTGCAGCTCAGCGATGTCGTGGATACGCTGGGCACCCGACATAATCTCCTCGCCGCGCATGAAGAAGTCATACGAGTTGGAGAATCGCGGGTCCTTGGGGTCCGCCTTGGTGTAGAAGGGGCGCACCGCCATGGGGAACTTGTCCAGTACGTAGAAGTCGGTGTCGTACTTGTCGCGGATGATCTGGCCCAGCTGCTTCTCCATCGCCGTCGAGAAGTCGTTCTCGAATCGCTCCTGCTCCGACACATCCACGCCCGCCTCCTTCAGCAGCGCCACTCCGTCCATGTAGTTCAGGCGCAGGGCTTTGCCGTCCTTGGGCAGCTTGAAGTCGCCGGCCTTGGGGTAGGATTTCTGGATCGTGGCGATCTGCGGGGCGTATCGCTCCTTGAGCTGCGACAGGATGAATACCAAAAGGTCCTCGGCGAACTCCAGCACCTCGTGGTAGTGGCTGCGGAAGGTCTTTTCGAAATCGAGACCGGCGAACTATCGAGCAGGTTAGTATGTTCCCCATTCATATGAAGAACCAACTCGCGCATCATACCTCGGTCAAGTGGCGGTGGGTGTTGCTGTCCTCGGCGCGGAACACGGGTGCAATCTCGAACACGTTGTCCATATCACCAGCGATACACATCTGCTTGTAGAGCTGCGGGCTCTGGGCCAAGAAGGCGTTGCGCTTGAAGTACTTGACCTCGAAGACGTTGCTGCCGCCTTCGGTGGCTGCGCCCACCAGCTTGGGAGTGAAGATCCACCGCGAGCCACTCTTCAGCATGTATTCGGCAAACAGCTCCGAGACACCGCTGGAGATCCACGTGATAGCCTGGCTGGTCTCCGTCTGCAGATCGAGGACCCGATTGTCGAGACGAGTCTTCAGCGTGACGATGGGCGCACCCTCGGCGTCGACCTGAGGACCCTCCTCCGTGGTCTCGGGAGGCGGACGCTCGGCATCCTTGACCTGCATGGGCAGCTGCTGGGCAGCCTCGGAGATCATATACACCTTGCGGATGTGGATTTCGAGGTGGCTGAGTGTCGCAGACGAGATGGGGATTTCGGGCTTCTTGACGATACCGGTGACTTGGATGATGGAGTTGACGTTGAGCCCACCAGTATACTTGATCATCTGTCGCGAGATGGGCTCAGCAGCCGCAATGACCGCCTGCACCTTTTGTCCCTGCTGGCGCAGCATCAAGAACGCCAGCTTGGCGCTCTGCACGCGCGCATTGTCCACACGGGCGACAACTGTCACCTCCTTCTCGTAGTGGTTGTCCGACAGCTCTTTGAAATGCGTCGAGGCAATAACGTCCTCGGATTCGGGGATTGGACCGTACAGATCCTTGGCCGTGTCATTGGCATCCTGTGCGGCGGCCTGGGCCTTTTCCTGTGCCGCCCGCGCCGCCGCCTTCTCTGCTTTGGCCTTATCCTTGGCCGCCTTCTTCAGCGCATTCTTGCTTGCGCTCTTGCTGTCTCCGCCCTCCGCGGGTGCGGCGTCTTTCGTTTCCTCGGGCTTGGGCCGGTGGGGCAATTCAGAGTCCGCCATGGTGCTGTCGTGGATTCTATTAGCAGAAAATAGGTAGCAAACCGTAAGGAACACAATTCTACCTTCAAGACACTCTTGTATTTGATATGCGCGACCAAAACAAAGCGATGAGGAAACCTACCCTTGGCCAGTGAGTCAATCGATGAGCCATCCCCGCCGACGCTGCCCTAAGCCCTAAGAGGGGATGTCACATGACAAAAATAAAAAGAAAAAGAAAGTTGACCAGACTTGGATTCGAACCCTGAACCCCCCAGATTTCAGGCATTCCGGCTCATGCCTCGCCGATCAAAAATGCTCAAGATTTGACCAACCAAAAAGGGCCGAGGCATAATTGAATCGCCATTTGAGGGTGTATCACTTGTACCTATGCACATCCTGAGATCATCCACCCATCGCCATGTTTATGTATGTTTTCCAACATGCGGTAATTATGCCGGCCACTTCGAAGACTTCAACGCCCACTCCACTGCCTTTTGCACATTATCTGCAACTGTTTGAGGCATCCAAGCTGGCTCCCCGCCGCTATAAACTCCAGTCCGCACCAAAATTGAGTGCCAGTTGCTGCCAACCTCGCTACGGTAGGAATTTGCGCCCCGGATATCTGACTCTGGGTTGTCCCCGACCATATATACCCTCTGCAACGGCGGGAGATCTGTAGCATCGCCAAAAGTGGTTGCACGGTTGCGAAGCAGCTGTCGCTCTGCAAACTCGTAAGTTCCTTGGTAGGGTTTCCCAATCACGGTTTTCTTCAATTCAATGCCTTTGCTGGGACCGCCTGTCGTCGCCGCCCAGACACCCTCCAATCCCTCGCGGAACCCGCCCTGGCCAAGCCGGGGCAAGGGATAGGCGGCGGCCCACCACAGATCCGGGTTGGAGAAGTACAGAGGGGGCTGTCCATCCTGCTGGTACCCGTGATTAGGAAGGTCAGTCCGCCCATTCTTCTCTGATAGTGTCCCCATGTGTCCTTGGGAGGACAGCAGGAGATCCATGACGACCTGGGTATCCAAGGCCCAGTCCCGAGGATCATTGAATACGAAGACCGCGTCGACCTTGAGGCCTTTTGTTGGGTCGGTCGGGTCAACAGGTTTGGGCAGAGGCCTGGCAAAGGTCTCATAGTAGTTGTTGAAGTTTTTCGAGAACGGCCAGATTGACGGATTGGCCATGAAGACATCGCCGGGGGTAATGACGTTCTTGAACCCGTACCTGTAGTTTTCTTTAGCAACGAATGCCAGAAGGGGAACCCTGGCAAGCTGTGCCAACATACTGTTCCGCGACACGTCGGCAATTATCCCCATCGCCCCCGACCACCATAATGCACTTGTTTTCTAGCGAACTCGCCTCATCGGCGCCTTTGACTAGCTCCGCGAAAGGCGAATGGCTCTGGACAATGACAGATGGATCCAATGGCACCTGCAATTTGTTGCTGATCTCTGCGACGCGCTCGGTTTCGTGTTTCCCGCCTCCATTGGTGAGCAGGATGAATGGAATGCCGTGGTCTTTCAGGAGGGCTAGGGAGTCAGCGGCACCGGGTATTGGTTTGGAAGATCGCAGGAGGACACCGTCAATACTAAATCGGTTAGATTAGAGCTAACAGCTTTGCGTTGAAGTCATACATCAACGTCACTCACTCGAAGGCAAATGCGAAGTTCGGGATCCGAGAAGTGGCTGTATGGATGGAGTGGCGGGGAATGTCGCGATAATATGATGTGCGCTGCAGCAGTCTAAGCGACTGCCATAAATTTGGCGACCTCATCGCGACAGAAGTAGGTGAAGGGGAGTGGTTGATTTGCGAGGGGTCGAGGATGGCCTCGGCGGTTATGACGGGGAGCTGACACCTTAGGCACTCATCAACATCTTTAGCCTCGCCTTCAGCATCTCGCCTTCAACTCCGCAAAGTTCGTCCTCCAACACTTTTCTTCCGCTTCACATCGGATTTCACGGTTTCCCACCAGATTATGGCCGTGGGCCATTTTGCCCACCATGCCATCAGCACGTGAGATATATATTCCCACGGAGGTCCTTATCTTCATAGCACAAGCTATCGACCAAGATACAGAGCACTACCTAGAACAGCAGGGAAATCTCTACAATTTTTGCTTGGTTTCTCGACAATGGTACTCGGCAGGTATAGCATTCCTATACCGCTTCCCTCATCTCCATGCCGGCGATAGCTTCGCCAAATTCACCAACACAGTGTGCCCACCTGTCAAAACCAAGAGCAAAAACGATTTAGGGTCCCTAGTGCATGTGCTACATCTCCATCTCTTGACTTATCACTCTTCGAAGAGTCTCACGGCGCGCTTACTCAATCGCGTACGGATGAACTTGGCTATTTTCACCGCGCCAAAGATCTCATTTGCGTAAGTTGATCTAGTTCGTTGAGATCAATGCGGAAAGTCTCGTTATTGACTATATTTCAGTGTTAATAGCCTGTCCGCGCTATCTAAATGCCGAAATCTTGTTGTTCTCGACCTGTCGCTCGTGATGACTCCAATTGAGTTTTCAAAGATCAAGAAAGCTATCAGCCATCTTGATAAGCTGGAGTGCCTACGTCTTCCGGTGTCAACTCATTTGACCAACCCGGATGTAGCTTCAGAGTGGCCAAATACTCTGTCACGTCTTGAGGTCGGCGGCACATTTGACCTTGATGCGATGCCATCATTCTCCTGGCCGCCAGCCCTTATGTCGATTCATTTCCAGGGGTGTCACGATCTGAACACCCCAGTTTTGGAGGCTATCCTTCAAAACCCTCAGCTAGCTGCCAGTCTCAAGCATCTCATCATCCACCGCGCAAATAGATTTATTCTCAAAGACTTTGAAACCGACATCATTTACCGGCTACCGAATTTGATTTCTCTGAAAATTCCGGTGGACTTGCTGGAATACCTTCTGATTCTCCCACCTCCGGATTTCCTCCCGCCTTTGCCTCTCATGGAACTGGAGCTCACAGCTCAATATTATGGGGGCCCAATCGAAATCAACATTTCAGAAGCATTGCTGCACGCTCTGTCGCATAACCTTCCTAGGCTCTGTGCGCTTGGGTTGTCTTCTGAATCCTTCCCACTGTTCCAAGATCACCACGACAAGATCGATGAGCTCGTATGGAAGCATGCCGATAAGTGTCCCGATGAGGCCTTGGATGATCTGGAGGATCTGGGTATCTACATGCTCCATAGGGAGCCGATATAGTTGTCCGAGGAGGTGGACTGAACGAGATGCCATGGTTTTTCTTTTCAATCTGTATGTTAGCGTTGTTTTCATATCGAGGAGAGTCAATTACGAATGATACCTGCCATGACAAAAGCATCCTCCAACGTTAATACTGAAAGTCTTAAATAAAGAAACAAGTTGCTCTTGTCCTTTTTCCCTAGTCTTCATTTCTGAGAACCGGACTAGATGGCACTTGGGATCAAGGGATGGATTCAAGATATAAATGGCAGCATTGAATACATCAAGTCAGAACAAAATGAGTTGAATAAATAATAAAATAAACATAAGAAATTCAAAAAGCAAGAAGAGAAGAAGAGAAAACAGAGAGGAAAAAAAGAAAAAAAAAAGGTACCCGACGATAGCGTCAATTCATCGATTTTTTACCCTGTAAATCTTACCAGCTTGCAGCTAGTAGCATTTACACATAACTGACATAATTACCTTTCTTGGCCTCTTTTCTAATGTTTTCTTCATTGATTTTGAGTTCAAGTGTTACTTTCGTAGTTGAAGCAACAGTACAGAATGTAGTAGTCACGTGGATACGTTAGGGCTAAATCCGAACGACATAACATCAACCTCAATAAATCCAAGACAAGACAAGACAGAAAAAGGGAAATTTTAATGTGAATCGTCGCATCTATTAACCAATGAAAAAGTGCCATGGAAAAATCGGAAGAGAGAGAGGAAGGAAAGAAACGACAGGGTAAGGAGCTCATGTCTACAAGTGCTACAATTTGATATCGAAAGACCAAAAAAATCAAGAAACAGAAGCAATCACAGCAGCAGCAACGCCTTCCTCCTCGGCCCTGACGGTGAGTTTGATAGCAACGCCATTCCGGCTCGAGTACGCCATTTTGACAAGAGACGCGACACGGCCGCCGAACACGGTCTTGCCGAACAGCTTGAGCGTGTGCGTGCTGGTGCTGAGGGCGACGTCGGTGCCCTCGAGGGGTTGCAGGGACAATGCGGAGATGAGTTGCTCCGTGGCATCTGGACCAGAATTAGTATATGAGAAAAAGAGCAGGGAAAGGAAGTAGACAAGGGATCATTTTGTACATACCGGAAATGCCCTTTGCGTTGCCGAGCTGCAGGGTCTCGCTCTCTTCGTCGCCGTTGGCCCCAGTCTGTTCCCAGATATGGTCGAAGCTGCCGGCAAACGTGGGGATGACATAGTCACTGCCTGTGAGCTCGAGGTCCTCAACCTGGTACTCGTCCTCGTAGCCGCTCTCTTCGGGCTCGCCTGTCGTAGGGTCGATCTCTTTGCTGGTGAACTTGAGGTTGTTGGTAAACGAGGTGACCGGGACGCTGTTCTCGCCGCCAAGCTTCTTGAACGCAACATACACGGCACCCGGCTCGTTAGGCGAGAGCTTGGGGGCCGGGATGATGAAGTCATCCTCCAGCAAATCATCCTCTGCCGGCGTTGCCACCACGGTGACATTCTCCAAGACAGTATCCGGGAGCGTGTTCTTAATATCATATTGCACAACGATGTGTTCCTTGAAGATGTGCTTGACGGCCGTAACGACATACTCGGTCTCGCTCTCGGAGAGCTCGACCGGCACCGAGGACTTGAGCAAAGTACCGTATTCCTTGAGATCGGGGTGCTGCATAAGCTGCTCGGCGTATTTCTGGGTGGCGGCAGCCGTAGCCGCTTCGGCCACGCCATTCGCTTTGCCCTTGGAGGGGGCGGTCGACGGAGCCTTGAGGGTGGGGGTGGCCGTGGTGAGCTTCTTGGTCCTCTCTTCGGCCAGAGCCTGCTCTTGGGTAACCACGGGAACAGTAGAAACGTCGAAGGCGGCCGCAAAAGTCTGTTTGTCATTCGACGTCACGTACATGACGAGCTGGTGTTCAAAGGTTGAAAGAGAGTACATGGAGTCTACGCCAGTCAGTAATCAAATCCATCAGTCATCAGGATGTATGCAAACTTACCGTTCTTGATGAAAGCGCCTGCGGCTTCATCCTCCTCGCCCATCAGCCGCAAATTAAGAGCGGCACGATCCCGCACCTCATCGTCGGTGTCATCAAGACAGCGGCTGAGGAGCACCTGGACACTCGACTTGACCTCGGGGTCCTTCTGGCCAACACCAAACTTGGCCAATGCAGTAACAGCAGCGGCACGGACAATGGCGTTCTCCAAAACGACACGATTGTAAATATAGCGGATGTACTTGGTGGGGTGGGATGTCTTGGGGCCCTCGGCACCGAGCAAGTACAAGACCCGGACGGAGAGCTTGGTGAACTCGCAGTCCTCGATAAACTCACAGAGATGGGCAAGAGCTGTAAAATATGAGGGTCAGTCCCAGGTTCATACAACACAACCAAAAGCAAGACAACACCTACCGTCTTCCTTGCTTTCAGGAACAAACTTGATCAGATCAAACATGCTCTCCACAACAGTGCGCTTGAACTCGTAGCCACCCTCGTCCCGCAGGATGCCGCTCAGGAACGTGAGCATGCCAGCCTGCTTGCTGGGGAATTTCAGGCACAAAGTGCGGATAGCCTCGACAATAGTAACCTTGAACTCGTCGGTAATATCGGCCATGAAGCCCGAGATCTGCTTCATCAGACGGTCAACGCTAGCTTCATTGCCGGTCTTGAGCAGCGTGGTGATGGCAAACGTAGCGATGGAGCGGTTGGAGTTGGAGATGAGCGACTCGATATCGGGGTTGCACACGTTGACGACATGCGGTTTGAACGAGGCGAAATTGTGGAGGATTCGGATGGCCGCGAACTTGGTGATGGACCGCGGAGAGGACAGGAACAGCTGCAAGACATGGACGGCCTGCGAAGCCTCGGCATCGGTGACATCGCGCAGGTCGCAAATGGCCTTGGCAGCCTCGAAATTGACCATCTCGTGCTTGTGACGGAGCCAGCCATCCAGCATCTGCACCATGGGTTTGCGGAGACCGGGGTCTTCCTCGGCCAACTTGGCCGCCAGTCGCACCAAGAGAATAAGCGCTGCCGGACTCTTGACCACTCCCGCCGCTCCGTACTGCTGCACCATCTTGACCAACGCCATGCGGTCGTGCGAGCGCATCTGATACAAAAGACCAATCGCGTGGTATTGGGTCATGTAGTTCGACTGGGAGATGGCGTGGGTCTGCGAGCTAGACGAGAAGCCAAGGAATCCGGTCGATTGTTTCGCAGACGAGGCAGCCTCCTGGGTTTCGCTCTGCCATCTCCGGACCACGTCGCGCGCAATGGGAAGGAGGTGGTACGAAGAGACCAAGGCTGCGGAGGACACCGAGGGGGTCTTGTCGACAATGGCGGTCTTGATGAGTCGCTCGATACCCTGCACCGTAGAGGCCTTTTCATCGTGTCAGCATATTTCTGATCGCCTTATAGCGCAATCACCCAGCAAACCCAGCACATACATCAATAATCCGACAGAGTGCTCGGATAGCATTGGCCCGGTACAAAACATCGCTCCCGACCGCGGTATCCTTCATGATAATGCTAGTCGACATGATCACATCCTCAGCAGTACCAGCCAGCTCCTTCAAGATGAGGTAGACCATCTGTCGCAACGAGGGGTCCTTGTTCTGGAACAACTTAGAGATGCCGAAGAAGAGAGTGGTGGCTTCGTTTGTGGGGAACTGCTCTCCGGTGAAAACGAGGACCGCGATCTTGGTCAATAATGTGCGGCATGTTCGCGGCGAGATGGGAGAGGAATTGAACAGTCGGGCTAGGAGGGAAACACTCGGTCAGTATGGACAATTGATCCGGGGGGTAATCCACACTGAGGCCCCAGGGGGGAGAATGGATTGCACACCATCTTGGAACACGGAGGTCCGATCAAGCTTGATCATGACCTGATCCGCATCTTCGTCTTTTTTCATGTAGCTCATATTGCCCAGCTGCTGGGATTACACCAGCAGAGCGTGTTCGCAATCTCGGGGTGGAATATGGGTGGGTTCAATTGGGACACAGTTGCACACAGGGGGGGGGGGGGGGGCGAAGAAGGCAATTACTGCATTGGCGTAGCTCACCCACCAAGGAGAAGCGAAGCGGGTAGAACGGGGGACGAGAATGATTCGAGAGAAGATGGGGAACCCTCAAGCTCGATGTTTATGGAGTTAAGTTGAAGGTGGCCTTCCGTGTGAGCAGCCACAGTGGCGCCCCCACCAAACACTGCAAACAGGTGGCAGTATGGGGGGGCAGAGTGTGGCCTCGCCACGAAGTTCATGAGTTGTGACGTCTCTTCATACTCTGATCTGATTCTCTTAGTTCATCATGGAGGTCCAAGTCAATGAAAATGAGGACACCGAATGGTAGGTCTACAGCCTGCGCGCATCCAAACCTCGGGGTTACAAGGTAACCCATCTGCCTGGGAACGCACTCTGACCTTGTTATTTCGAGTGATTGTACAGGAACGACATTCTTCGCCAACATGGCATCATCCCGGAGAAGCCCAAAGACATGGAACCCATTATCCAAGAAGCTCTAGTCGAAGCAGAGCTCAAGGCCCATGAGAACCGACTCGAAGACAAGGACCTGGACGAGCTGGACGCACTAGAGGACGAGGAGGACGAGGAGTTCTTGCAGCAATACCGGTGAGCTTTGCACAAAGTCAAGCAGGGGGGACGGTCGCTCTGTGGTGTGTAATACAGACATGCTGATGTTGCGGCTGAACAGAAAAAAGCGCATGGCAGAGCTCTCGACACTCCAGCAAACCAGCCTCTTCAACCAAGTGTACCCGCTTCAGAAAGTCGATTATGCTCGAGAGGTGACAGATGCGTCGAACAACGCCTTTGTGCTGGTCAACCTGACCTCGCAGGGCGCCAATGTCGAGTCACGAGTCCTGACAGAGCTCTGGCGCCAATTAGCGGCGAAATTCGGAGACATCAAGTTCTGCGAGATCCGCGCCGACATGTGCATTGAGGGATATCCGGAGAAGAACACACCCACGATTCTAGTGTACAAGGACACCGAGATTCGGAGGCAATTGGTCACCCTGCGCGAGTTGAATGGCCCGCGGACCAAGGTTGAAGGTAAGTTGTGCAGTAAACAGTGACATCACAAGGGACGCAAGCACTGATCTGGTGAATAGATATCGAACGACTGCTTATAGACCTCGGGGCCTTGAAGGAGAGCGACGTGCGACTCAAGAAGCGCGCCGACTCGGTAGATTACCGGACGACCGGTGACGACGAGCTCAAGGTTGAAGACTATGATGACGACTGGGATTGATTCTTTGCCTCTTGAAAATAATGCGACACATAATGATCACGGCGTGCATGTACATTATGGAATTACCGGCCAATAAAAATGGAACAGAAAAGGAATTGCGCGTTGGTCTCGTTTTGAATGGGACTCCTGGTGAAGAGGAGATATTGACTTGTACATCGCAACGCCAGTGTCTCAGTTGATATACAAGCATTCCCATCAGGCATTCATAGGCACCCTTGTAGAAGTATTTAAATAGGCACTGCTATTATTGCTTAAGCTCCCGTGTTCAAGAATTCAATTCAAATGGCCCGCTGAATCCAACACAGAGCTCAAGGCCAAGGAATATGTATCAACCAAACCGTATTCACAGATATCCCAACGAACGGCAGCCGAATCAACAATAGCCAGTCCATCCCAAAATGCCAGCGCCCAAGTACTCCAGATCATCATCGTAACAAGCTTAGAAAACACGACACAAAAAGAGATAATGAGAGGGAGGCGAGAGAAAGAGACAGCAATCAGTCCCAGATCTCAGATCAATTCATCACGCCCCGCCGCAGCACTCGCCTCAATGGCCTGGCGCACCTGGTTCTCCTTAAATGCAGGGCCCTGCCCATTGCACTGCGCCATGCCCTTGAGCCGCTCGGTCACATCGCCGATATCGACGCGGCCTTGCTTGAACAAATCATGACCCTGGATCAAATCCCACGTTGCGCCAGAATCCAAGAGCTTCTCGCCGGTGACCTGGCACACTGTGACGCGATGGTGCGGACTCGCCGAGGCATTCGACCCCTCAGGCGCAAGTTTGGAGGTAAAGTCTGTCGGGGAGTACTCCATCGGGCCGGTGATGGCGGGTTCAGTGCGCTCAGGGGCGCTGCCGTTCTTATTGTTCTGGTTGAGGGTTTGTGATGTGGCGCGCAGGACTTCGTTTTCTGTGGCATATCGGGCGAGCTCGCGTTTCAGCCGTTCGTTGTCGGCTTGCAGGGTGCTGGACTGTGTTTCGAGGTTGGCGACTTTGTCTTCTAGGTCGCGCATATGGCGCTCTTTGCGCTCTCGGAATGCTCGCTGACTATAAAAATGAGGTCAGTGTCAGTGAGGAGGCTTCGGCAAATAAGAAACTGAAGAAGATGCACATACGCGGCTCGATTTTGCGCCTTTCGCTTGGTGTGCGACGGCGTCCCCGAGTCCTTCTCTTCGCTGCTACTTCGTCCCACGCCGGGATCAGCGATCTGAGTTCCATCGCCATCAAGCGACGTTGGATCTGTCGACAGGTTATGGGCAGCCTCGCTGCTAGACGCGGAACGTTTGGTGTACGAGTCAGGCGGTGAATGCGGTGGCGGGACCAAGGACGAGGAGGGGTTGAGACGAAACGACGGATCGAAGGCCGGAAAGTTCTGATCGTAGTTGTTCTGTGACGAGCGATTAGATGACTTTGGTTCCAGCGATCGTGACAATTTCCCCCCCAAACTACGAAAGAAATCCGGGGAGGGAATGGTGGAAGCGCACCAGAGGAAAAGAGTCGGGGAGGGCGTCGGCTTGCGCCTGCGATTGTTGGTCTGGGGTAGGCAGCCCGTAGAGCGAGAAGGGCTGTGACTGGGGAGCATTGTAGTAGGAGTAGTCCATTTCGGTTTCTCAGACGCGCAGAAGAGTCGAGGGAGTTAGGAGATGACAGCGGCAGAGTTGGGGGGGTTCCCCAAGGGTTCTGCATGGAAACTGGTCGGGGCGTACTTCCGCCACAACACGATTTTACGTGGTTCCCCAGGTTTTGCAGCTTTGCTTCACCTCCACTTTCTCTACATACGCCCATATCCGAGTCAGTAGAATTCTGCCAGGCCAAGAATCGGCGATATGACAATTGGTGGGGAAATATTGTATAGAATGGTCATATGCTAAGCTCTTCTACCCAAGGATTTTCCATTTTTATTATACATCTCTCTCATAATTCAATTTTTTATATTTTATCTATTTATTCCTATCATTATTATCACTCTCATTTTATCATGGCTCCCGCATAGAATTGTCAGCCGATGCAGAATTATGGAAATTATGAGGGCATTTGCTGTTTGGGTATAGACAAGACACATCCATGGATAGAACGTTGGAATATATCAGCCTATTTCTCCATAGCATTTTAGCTGGAAATACCCTTCGAATAATCTTCCAGAATAATGTCCAAGTCTATCCAAAAGGCCACAAGTACCGAGGAAAATTAGGCGACTCCACGAAGCTAGAGGATCTGCAAGAGACATATGCACGCTAAATGCAGGGCCTCTACAAACGTTAGGCTACACTTCTGCGAGGCAACAAATCTAGCATCTCTAGGGCTGTATCTCAATAATTGAAACTGTTTATGTGGCCAGAAACAAAACAGCTGTCATCTCCTGAAAGAAAAAAAAAAAAAAGGGCCTGGCTACTGCACGGTAGATTGTGGATATCTCGCTAGTCGAGGATGCGAGTAAGCTATGAAAGAACAGGACTAGATTGGTTCGAAAGAATGGTTTGCCTATAGCCCGGTCGTTAAAGGGGCACGAGGCTACTGTAAACGCCGTTCAGGGTAAACGAGAAGTATGTCTCCAGGACTATAGAAATCCCAATAAACACCGTGGCTTTGTTCACAGTGTTTTCTTGAGCTATAAATTCCGACACTTACTACACTTACTCCTTTTTTTCTTGACTTTTATTTGTTGAGTCCTTTCGCTTGGCCCACAATCTCCTTCCGGGCTAGTTCCCCCATATTCGGGGGTTATCTCAACAATTCCCCCTGATTGTATTATTTTTTTTTCTCTTGTGGATCCCAAACGGCTTCTTTTCAACGGTTCTGTTGGACAACCAAGCGGGTCCCAGGAATCCGAGACCTTCGAAAGGAATCAGCCAGGCTGTTATATTGGCCCATGGCTAAGTCTGTCCACGGAATGGGGGCCGTTACCGTGTACTCTCTCGGTCTCTAGGGCTCCATAATTGTCCATAATTAGGATCCTCCAGGAACCAATCACTCGGGCATGCGACTCATAAGAAATAAAATTTCTACGAGTCCCTGCCTTGTTTTTTTTCTTTTTCTTTTTCTTGTCTGTTGTTCTATTTTGGATTATTTTTGTTGGTTGCAAGTATAAACCATTGCATTGCAGATATGGCATCAACAACTCAGATAGTAGAAGAACCCGTGACATGCCAATTGGAAGGCAAAGTCGAGGTATTTCTCCATTATTACCCTTAAGAAAAAAAAAAAAAAATCTCAATCTCTGCGGATGCTAACCTGACCCAAGCCCCAAAATGTCTCCTATGGATTCTTGAGACAAAAAATCCCAGCGCACTGCTTTGAGCGATCCTCAATCACCTCCTTTGCATACCTGCTCCGTGATTGTGTCTACGCCTCTGCACTCGTGTGGCTGGCCCTCAAGATTGACCTCCTGCCCACCTCATGGCTGCGCGCCGGTGCCTGGATCCTCTATGGCTTTGTCCAAGGCTGCGTCGGCACCGGGATGTGGATCATCGGCCACGAATGCGGCCACGGCGCCTTCTCTGAATTCCCTGTTCTCAACGATGTCGTTGGCTGGGCGGTGCACTCGATTCTGATGGTGCCGTTCTTTTCGTGGAAGATCACCCATGCCCGCCATCATCGCTACCATGGCCACATCGATAAAGATGTGGTCTTTGTTCCTCCGACGGAACAGGAAGTTCAGGACCAGAAACCTGGTCTCCTTGGGAAGGTTGTCGAGCTGGTTGAAGAGACGCCTCTCTATCATGCGGTCACTTTACTCTCGCATCAGCTTTTTGGTTGGCAACTATATATGTTGACCAATGTCAGCGCCGGGAATAAAAGCCTGCCGCCCAAGGGGACTGGCATCCAGAAGTTTAGGAACAGCCATCTTGATCCCTTGGGCTCATTGTTCAACAACTCGCAAGCCCACCTCGTGGCAATTTCTGATATGGGTCTTTTGCTCGTTGGAAGTGCACTCTACTACCTGGCTACCCAGATAGGCGCCTGGAAGGTTGCACTGCTGTATGCCGTGCCCTATTTCTGGGTCCACCACTGGCTAGGTAAGATCTTCTCTTCTCTTCTTCTCTTCTTGTCTTGTCTTCTTCTTTCCATTGAATAAATTCTAACATCCAAAAGTCGCCATCACCTACCTCCACCACACACACCCCTCAGTACCCCACTACAACGAAAAAGCCTGGACCTTCGTCAAAGGCGCGCTGTGCACAGTCGACCGTAGATTCGGGTTCATCGGCCGCCACTTCTTCCACGAAATCATCGACTACCACGTCGTGCACCACCTCTTTCCGCGGATCCCCTTCTACCACGCCGAAGAGGCCACCGCCGCCATTGTGCCTTACCTGGGCGACCAGTACCGTCTCGACGAGGGGATGTATCTGAAGTCGCTGGTTGACACGTTTACAACCTGCAAGGTTGTGTCGAATGCGGATTCGGAGGGGGCGTTGCATTGGAAGTTTTCGCAGAGTGCGGGGAAGAAACAGGAGTAGATTGCTGTTTCTTTCTTTATTTTATTCATCTGCTAGAGAGTCGTCGGTTGGCTTTCCTTGCATGATTAGAGGACGGGTTGGGGAATAGAATAGAAGGTGGAGTCCGTGAGAAGGGAAATATTAGATAATAATATGCATAGATGTATAGATATTTCGATTATTTCATTTATTTCTTACTCTCCAATGTGGATGGAGCTCGAGATAATGATTACCCTCTCTGATTGCATTCTCAGGAGCCTACATGTACACACTTGACAGAAAGAAGAACTCGAGCTTGATGTCGGAAGTGGTAGCCATATTGATACTCCCGCTCACAGATCAACGCTAACTCTTCCACAAGCCTACTCGAAAAGGAAATCCAAGGCACTAGAATTTCCAGGTGGAGCAGCATCTGGTCCGTGTATGGAACGGCCAGAACGTCAATGATCTCATCCACAGCGTTGCGGACGGGGTCAAAAAAAAAAAGCAATGGGAAAAATGAGACTTGATATTAAGAAAAGAAAAGAAGCTAGAAGACAGCGGTGAGTCCGCTGGTCGGGACTGCCGGATTAGATAGGCTTCCATAGTACCTTCGAAGCCCCGGGATAAGACTCTCTTTCGAGTCTGCCATTGGGAAAAGAAAAGTCAAGCAGGTTGAGCATGTTCGGGGAAAGAGAACTAAACACAGAAAATAAACGACGCAGATCGACGCAAAACCACCCCGGAAGCGACCCTAACCATTGTCCGTCGCCAACCACCACAAATGAGGGCTGTTCCCGAGCGTCAACCACCGCAGGAAATACCAAACAGAGTTCCCGCCGGGGCAAGAACCCAAATAGCCTGCGCGTAATATCCCCCGAAGAAAATCATCCCCCGCACCTCCGTCCCCATACTTCCATTGCGCGACCCCGTCTGTCGATCTCTCCTCGTCCCCGGAACGTGTAGAAGTGCAGTAAGACTTGTGAATCGATCAAGACAGAAAAAAACATGGGGGCAAGGGGGCAGGGCAAAAAGCAAAACGAAAAAAAGAAAAAAACAATTTGAGGTGAGAGAAGGGGCAATGTAAATGATGGGCAGCGCATCTGATTATGCGTTCGAGGATCTCCGGCCTCGGCAATTGAACAATCAGAGACGATGAAGTTCTGGTTCTAGGCCGAGGCCAGTCATTTGCATCTCCTTCAGTCTTCTCTTCTGGTCACTTGCGATGCTCGTTGAGTGGAGTAGGTACCAGGCCGCAATAAAAACCGGAGGGGAAAGACATAAGAATAGCCACAACATCAAGAGCGTTTCGAGACTGAGTGATCGGCTGCCCCGAAAAAACCGGGTACAAGGAAAACCGAAAAACAAGAAAACAGTCGGCAAAGTCATCATATGCTCAATGCGAAGAAACTCCTAGAGAATCCTCGCAAGTTTGACAAGCGGGCAGACGATGAGCAATGACGGATCGAAACGGCTGAAGTCGAAATAAAATCGAAAACGGGATAGAAGGGCTGACAGAGATTGCAGAACGAGAGAGATCCAAGGAGAAAAAAGAAATCCGAGACTGTTGAGAGCGCAGGTTGCGTTCACAGCGAGAACATCAACGGGATTTCTAAGAGGTCGACTAGGGTGTTAACACACCAGGGGCCAAGAACCGAATCGTCAGTCCAAAGCCTCCCAGACGTGCTACACAATTAGTACCACTGAGCCCCCGTCCCATCGTCCCGCTTCGAACGGCCACCAGAAGGTCCATAAGAACCCAAAGCAGCACCCTTCGAGGCAGAACGCAGCCTAACGCCGAAGACTATGCGATTAGTCAGATTCAGAACCAAAGGGTCCTCCTCCACGCCAGCGTCACAAAAGAACACATTAAACGCAGAAGGAAAATAAAAGGGGTTCCCTACACGGAACCAGGTTTTCATGTACTCACATCCTGTCACTCCCTCCCACGGCACGGTTGGTGTCCGGAGTGTTGTCGAGGGTGCCGCGGTCGATGACCTTACGACGCTGGCCAGAGATAGCGCCAGGCTTGGCAGCTCCGCTGGGGCCCATGGCACCAGCGGCCACTCCTTGACGGCGCTGCTGGTCATCCACATCCTTGTCTTTCTTGTTGGCATCCACAATCATGGCAGCGTTCTTCTGGTACTTGTAGACGGTCCAATCGAAGACGTAGTCGTACTGGAAGGATTCGCGGACAAAGAGGTCACGGAAAATCTTGCGCAGGTAGGAGTAGTCGGGCTTGTCATCAAAGCGCAGCGAACGGGTGTAGTTGAGATATATGGCGAACTCATTGGGGAAACCACGGCACAGAACTTCAGTGGGGGTGGTCATCTTCTTTTCCATGATACGGTCGTACTTCTGCTTTTTCGTAGCAGCCTTCAAACCCTGCCAGGGTAGAGAGCCGCGGCAGAAGTAGAGCATAACATATCCGAGAGACTCCATGTCATCACGGCGAGATTGCTCAACACCAAGGTGAGTGTTGATACTGGCATACCGAGCAGTTCCCGTGAGGTTTTTGTTCTCACGGTAAGGGATGTGGAAGTGGGTCTTGGGGTCACGGTATTTCTTTGCCAGACCGAAATCGATCACGTTGACCTGGTTGCCACGCTTGCCAATACCCATCAGGAAGTTGTCGGGCTTGATGTCACGGTGGATGAACGACTTGGCGTGGATGTACTCAATCCGCGAAATGAGCTGGTCGGCCAGCAAGAGAACGGTCTTGAGTGAGAACTTGCGGTTGCAGAAGTTGAAGAGGTCCTCCAAGCTGGGACCCAGGAGGTCGATAACCATGGCATTGTAGTCACATTCAGTACCGAACCAGCGCACGAACGGAATACCGACACCACCGGCGAGGGACTTGTAAACACGGGCTTCATATTCCAGCTGGGGGTGCTTGGCCTTGACACTCTCGAGCTTAATAGCAATCTCTTCACCGGAGATGATGTTGGTGCCTAGGAGATGAATGAGCACAGGGATCACACGTGATAGAGACACGACAGTACGAACCGAGATAGATGTCACCGAAGCTACCACTTCCGATTTTGCGGCCGATGCGGTACTTATTGCCGACGCGCAGATCCTGTTCCATGATGTCAGCAAAACGCGACCTTGTAATCCAGCTTGGGTGTCGGCGTTGGGCGTGTGGGTAGAGGCATTTCGTATCGAGGGGCAAGTGAAGAAAACTAACACTGACCATGGTCGTCATCTTGGATCGGGTAGAGTGGCACAGCGATTAGCCGTGCAAAAGAGCTCGGAAAACTATGGAACCGAACTTGTCAGGATGATTTCACGATTTATGTTGGATAAGAAACGAGAAGCTCAAATCCGATAAAAAAAGCAAAAGACGAGGAGAGACAAAGAGGAACGCGTGAAAGAAGAAAGAAGAGAAGTGGAAGAGGATGGAAGAGGGGGTGTCACCGCTGAGTCTCAGCCCCAGGCAAATGACGAGGCTGGTTCAGGCTGAACACCCCATTCAGTTGGCCACACAGGCAACAGGAAATTCCTCAGTGAAAGAAAGCAATAGGCAACCAAGACAGGAACAGAAAAACGAAAATCGAGAGATGTTGAGTGGTGCTTCAGGAAAGGAGAGCCTACCTGGGATAGATCAAAATGGTGATGTGGATTACCGACCGTAGTTCAAGGCCCGATCGGAGAAGCTCGAAAGGGGGATGGAGGGAGGTCCGGACAAGACAAGTCCGAGAATCCGAAGCAAAAGGCTCGAATTCAGGAAATCAGAGAGCTGAAAAAGAGAGAGAGAGAACGTCAAGGGCAAAAGCCTTGATAACGGCGAGAGGGTGAGGGAGAGAAAGGAGAGAAGAGCGAGGGGGCAGGAGTCGGTGAGGTGTATTATTCTGCTAGCGAAGTGGCTGTTACCTGCAGGGTACCGGGCACCGCTCAGAAACACAGTGACGCCCGAGGTACCTGGCTGGTCACCGCGTGATTGGGCTCGGTATGGTAAGAATGGTAATGTTGGGCTGCAACTCTACGTTCTTTGATTGCAATTTGAAAGGAGTTACAAATTGATTGAGATAATAAATTTGGGAGTTTCTATGGACTTTGCTAGGTAGTTTTGCTAGAAATGCTGGGTTGAAGGCGCATGGATGGTATCGGACTGCCACGGAAGAGGCAAATGCCAACCGCCTTCTTAGGGCTGATGCGGAAGATCCAAGACATGCGGGATTTTCTCATGCAAAATGCCCATGCCTCTTCGCCCCCAATTCGGGCCAAAAAGTGAAAGATGAAATCTTTGGATGTGATTTGAATTATTTTCTGGTTTTCTTTGAAGGATAGAATTGAATATCTTCTGGACAGCAGGCAGCGAGCGTAATTTTAGTATCTATCACATTTTAGGACTGGAAAAGCAAACTTTCTACACACACCTTGGCTTGCAGATCCAGCATCAAGGCGCAGGTCAAAGCAAACACTTTCAGAAAACAACGATGATTTCTGGCTATAGGTAGATGGGAAATCCAAGCGGAATGTGCTAATGGTACAACCAGAGTCCAATGAACATCGGGAAACCGGGGTATAAAAGTGCAATGAACAGGACAGAGAAACAAAGAGCCGAGACAAGCGAAAAAAGAAACGGGCAAGACACAACCAGCAACAGAAATGAGGTTCGAGATCAACAAAAGGGAAACCGGCCCCTCATAGATCTGTAAAACAGCAGAGGCCATCATACAAAGATCATGCTTCAAAAAAAGATACAAAAGACAAAAAAGAAAAATAAAACAGAATGGCAAAAAGAATGAGGTGGTGCAGAATAAATGGGCAGAAGCGCTCAGGTGGGAAAAATAGACATAGCTCGGGGCAACATGGTCGTGAAGATTTCAAGACGCAGGCTTCTCAGATGACATTCGCGGAATTCTCCAATGGCTTAGTCTTTCCAGCCGCTCCAGCGCGTTCTTCCTCATCCAGTCTGCGCCGCCACTCTGCCAGGCTGTCGCTCATGAGAGCAGGCCCATCGCTAGTGTCTTTGGTCGGAGTTCGTTCTAGATCCAGCTGGCTGCTGAGGCGATAATTGCGGTTGGTGCTTTCCCAGTGGCTACGCAGGGCCTCCAACTCGTTGGCAAGCGAGTCCAAGGCCATGGAGCCACGATTATCAGGGAAAGAGGAGTCCTGGGAGATATTGCTGTCGGCGCGGGCACGACCACTGCCGCCGCCACTGCCACCGCCAATCGTATTGCTTGAAGCGTTGCTGTGTGTGCGCGTGATGCCATTGAGACCGTTGCCATGTTGAGATTGGCGGCGATAGTGGCCGACAGATGCCTCAACCTGCTCCAGAAGCATGTTGACTTTCTGCTCGGCGTCCGAAGAGCGACTCTCGAGCAGGGTGTTTTCTTGCTTGAGCGACTCCAATTCGGAACGGTTCTGCTCTGCAGCAGTGAGAAGGTCCTGCTTGACACTCTCATGCTCGGTTCGCAGATGTTCCTTCTCAGCTTGGGCGGCAACGAGCTCCTCCTTGAGCTGCGTGAGCTGCCCCTCAAGCTGGGTAATCGAGGACGAGGTTGCTTGTTGGAGGTCCGACATGGACTGTTGCAGCTGAGAACGCTCAGTCTCCCACTCAGCCGGAACTTCAGACTCTTGGCTGGTAGAACGCTCCAGGCTCTTCTGAGCCGCATCCAACTCGGACTGTACCTTGGCATTTTGGGTCTTGTAGCGACTCAACTCATCCTTCATTCGCTTCAGCATCTTCTCGGTACCTTTCACGTAATGCACTGCCGACTGGTAATCGTTCTCGAGCTGCTCTAGTTTCTCTCGGAACGCCCGATCAGCTTCCTGCTCACGGGTTTCGAACATAGTCTTCAGATCGTCGTGCGCCTTCATACTGGCCGACAGTTGCTGCTCCAACTCGCGCAACCGGCCCTGCTCTGGAGTGCCGAACCGTGATCCAGGGGATTCAAGGTGGGGTGATCGTCGACTGTCCGTGTTGATACCGCGCTCGCCAAGAAGATCCTTCAGGGCAGCATGCTGGATAGCCAGAGCACCCGCCTCCCGCTGGTGGCCCTCAATCTGGGTCTTCAGGTCCCGGTTCTCGGCGACAGCGGACTGGGTCTCCTTCATGGCAGTCTGGAGCTGTCGCCGCAATTGCAACCCTTCTCGACTAGCCTGCTCCTGGTACGCCTCCAAACCAGCAATTCGCTCCTCGGCGCGCCGGAGTTTGTCTGCAGCTGCGTCGGCAGCCGCCTGATTTGCCTTGGCGAGGGTGCTGGAACGTTCGATCTGGGACTCCAAGGCCGCAACACGCTGGTCAGCGCGGGACCGGATTGAGGTGTCCAAGTCTGCAGACGATGCGCGTTCAAGCCCGGCTACAAAGGCCAATTTGTGAGTCTCGGCCTCCTTGGCATGAGTCTCCGACAACTCCTCCGCATCGCGCAGACGACGGCTGACATTCTCCAACTCTGTAGTTCTTTCTTCGTGTTCAGAGCGCAGTTGCAAAAGCTTTCTCTCCAATCCCTCACGACGTTCTCGCTCCTCGTCCAACTGCTTTTCGACAAGGGCTGCCTTCGCGGCTGAAGCAGCAACCGCCTCCTTCAGATTGCCAAAGTTGGAACCAAAGTCCTTCAACCGAGTCGACGAGCTTTCAACTTGGTTGACCAGCTCCTCCTTGTCAAGAGTAAGCTGCTCCAGGGAAGCCTCGGCCTCCGCACGCAACAATGCCTCTTCTCTAGCGGAAGCTTGAGCATTGTGGAGATCGGTTCGTAAGCTCTCCGCCTCCAGCGTGTTGTTTTGCATCTCAAGCTCAGCTAGGCGTTTACGGGTGGCTTCATTGGTCTCCTCAGCCAATTCCTTAGCTTGTTTCTCTTGGGAGAGCTCAGCAGACAGGACATCAAGCTTGGCCTTGAGCTCAGACTGGGAGGCGAGAGCGAGCGCAAGGCGACGGCCCATGTCAGTGGGGCGCTCGGTAGCACTATCGTCACCGTCCCGGGCACTTTCGGGCTGTGGAGTGCCCCGCTGGCTACCGCCGTGGGCAGCAAGCTTAGCCCGCGAATAAGCGGCTTCGTTCACTGCGACATCGCGTTGATGTTCCACTTCTGCGACCCGCTTCGATGCAATAGATGCCTGTCGATCCACGGTGGCCTGCATTTTGGCCAATTCTGCCCTCATGGAAAGGAATGCTTCGATCAAAGGTCGATCCTCATCATTCAACGAATCATTGGTGCGGTCATCCAAGGCGGGACTACTTGACGGATTCGGAACGTAGCCACCCTTTTTTGCCAAAGCTAGCTCTGACGCATACCAAGCGTTTCGGGCCTTGGCGGCTTCCAGCTCCTTGATCAAAGCCTCTTGGTGAGGTGTCAACCGCGGAGAACGGGGCTCGTCACCGACATTCTTGGAATTGCGGAAACTTCGAGACTCAATTGACCCGTCGATACTGGCTTGTCGACCCAGAACCGATTCTTCGGCGCTATCCATGGAGCCACGCTGCCGGTGTTGACGCAATGATCGTTGCCGGCCGGGGGTACTGATGAGCGGAGCAGCCTCGCCGGTTTCCATTGCCTTAGCCGACATCTTCTGTGGCTGTTGCTGAGTCGGAGTTCGACGGCCAGCTGATCCCGGCCCCTGGACTTCCTGTGAAGGTTCTTTGGCAACGGGTGATTCGGCACCCCGGTCGACATTTGCGGCGCGAACATCTACTGTCGGCACGAATCCACGATCAGTCTTGGTAGGGGTCTTGCTGCGGGGGTTCATGGCAGGCTGAGGGCCGTTGCCTCGAGGACCAGGGGACGGGGCTTGGCCCGGAGGAGGCGGACCAGAGGGCGCTTGTGCAATCGACGCTCGTGGGAGTCGAGAGCCAGGTCCCAGGTTTGGGTTAGGGCCATATTCTCCGGGTCTTGTTCCAGCCACTTGGCTCATGCTTTCCCGAGACGGTCCGCGTCGCGTTTGTTGCTCTGTAGGGGTTTGCGCCTCTCGGGATGTCCTTCCAGACGCAGGGCCTTGCTTCTCAAGGCTGACTTTTCTGCCAGCTGGAGTAGGGCCTCGCTCGCTCGGTTGAGAATCATTCGGGTACCGAATCTTGCCTGTGTCGAGAATGTATGCCATGCTCAACTCTGGCGGGTCCCTGGGCGCTGAGCTGGGTTCACCCGCCATGACGATGATCTGCTTCCCAAAGGCAGTCATGCTGTGTCCCGATCGCGGAGATGGCGCCGGACCCATGTTCTGGAACGAATACCAGCGACGCGAGGAGATCCGGAAGGCCGACAGATCTCCCAAATCCACCCCTTCATCGGTCCGGCCACCGAACACATACATCACGTCGTTGACCAGAGCGGCGGCATGGCCCTCCCGTGGTGTCGGAATGAACCCCACGCAATCCATTTCGGTCCAGGCGTTGGCTCGGGGATCGTACGACCAGACATCGTTGAACCATTGAACCCCGTTCGTTCCACCGAAACTAAGGTAATTGTCAGCGGCTGCCATTCCATAGTATAAGCGTCGAGGCAGGGTCATTACAGGAATAATTTGTCACTGAAGCTGACGATGGTGTGGTTGGTTCTCGCCGGAGGAATTTGGCCTGCCGGAGGGCCACCATCGTGGCTGTTTTTGATAAGATGCTCCCACTTGTTAGCAGGGTTCTGCAGCTGGTTCAAGTCAAATGCCACGAGGTCATTGAAGAAAAAACCCTCCACCTGACCCCCAAACACATAAAGCTTCGATCCCAAGATGTTCAATGTATGGCCGTAGCGTCCGGCCGGGCGAGATCCGGGGGGATGGCGCGAGACCATTGGCGGGAGGCTGAAAGGATGAAAATGATTAGAAACCAAAAAAGAAGACCCAGAAGAGATGGAAATGGTCACGCACAGGTGTTCAGAAGATACAGAGTGTCGTCCAGAGCATCGTTCTCGTCGATTTTGGTGTCACCGCCGAAGACAATGAATGCATTCCCCACCAGCAAGCTGGCATGGCCGACTCGGGGGCCGGGGCCTTCGGAAACCGTCGCAACCTGGAAGCAAGACAAGCTACCTCCACTACTCTCAATCATCCACAGGTCTCCCTTGACCGTTGACCCGTCAATGAGGCCACCCATCATGTAAATATCACCCTCCTTTGAGGCCACCGAATTAATGGCGGCTCCATATCGGGGGAAAGGGTTCGTTTGGGGTGACGAGAAATTCATACGACGTTGCGACCACGGGTAAAGCGACGAATTCGGGCTCGAGGGAGGGGCACCATTTGGAGGCTGCTGGGGTCGTTGGATCTGTAAGTACGATCAGTGTCAGCGGCCCGATCATTTCCCCATATCCGATAGCGACCACAAAGAAAGAGAAAAAGCAACCCACCTGAGATTCTGATTCGGCCCTCTGTCGCATCCGCACAGGATCCGGGCTTGTCGGGCTCGTGGCTGAGTGCAGAGAATTGTTGTAGCTACCGCTGGGCGTGGGTGTCTGCGAAATCGGACCATCGCCCTTGACACCATTTACGGTGGCCCCCGTGGATGGGGCACCTTCCGAGGTATGAACATTTCTGGTCGCCGGAGGGAGCGCATTGCCCTGTTGGTTTTTCTTCGATTTAAAAAAGAAGGCCATCGTTATTATGTAGTCGTAATCGGTCGTTCCCGGCGCAGAAAGAGTCAAAAAATCAACAATCAAAAATTTGGCGGAGTCGGACTGCGCTGGCCGAAGCAGTCTTCCTCCGACACCCGCACGAGTATTAAAGGAGCGATCTCGAGGGGGGGAGTGAGATGTGGATAGAGAGAGATAATAAGGGGGGGAGGTGTTTTTCAGAAGATGTGGAGTCGGAACCAGGAACCACTGGGAACCATCGAATGTCCCATCCACACACGAGTGTGCCCGAAAAAAAAAAAAAAAAGTGGCCAGGGGGGTGAGAGTGAGGGTTCCTAAGCAACTCCCACCTGAGCGAGGTTGAGCATGAGTGAATTGGCCAAAGAGAAAAGATGAAGCCAAAGAAATGATGTGAAGGGGAAGAAAAAAAAAACAAGAAAGCGAAGGCCCAACTAAACTCGAAGAGATCAGGGGGTTGACGGGAATCTTTCGTGCTTTCATTCCCCAATTCCCAGCCCCCAATCCTGGGGCGGATTCCATACAATTGGCATCTGAATACTGGCATTGGTCTTTTCTTTTCTTCAATTCTCTGTTTATTTTCTTCCTACAAACTCGGACCACAGCGGGTATACTACCCTATCCTCTCCCAGGGATATTCAATATCACACCCATAATTAGGGCTATGGAGCCCCAACGGTCTTCCAGAAACCCTAAGATTGAAGACTAACAAAACTAACAAATGCTAGAATGCTAGAATGCTATAATTATGGATTAATGCCGGGCTATCCAGTCCTTCGCGGTCTTTTTTATTTTTGCTCCAATGGTGCATTCCCCCCGATGTCCACACGATCCACACCCCACAACGTGCAGGGAACTTATCGACCTTGTGGCGGTGACACTTCTCTGCCGTGATTTCTGGCTCCACTGAGGAAATAAAAAAAGAAAAAGAAAGGGGGGGAATGTGGTGTTCAACCCATCACATACATATCTTCACCCGTCCACTGGAGGCATGATGGATCCTCAAGAAAGGGGCTGGGACATCCTGCCTATCAGAAGAATTCGGGGATGATCACTGAGTCCCTGAGCGTCCGCCAGTCCGGTTCTCGGTTACGGCATGCCCGGGCTAGGGATGCCCTTTCAACGCTCTGACTGTTATTGCTCCTGCGCTATGATGCATGAATTGTACATAGAGAAGTGGATCTGTCGGAACTTGTGTTGTGATATAATGAGATGTTTCTGCACAATCTGATTTCTTGTTATGTATCAATGGGCTTGGTGTCTTTACCCAGTGAGACTTTGGATGTATCATGTCCATCATGATTTCCAGATGCCGTGTCTTAGACACTGTCTTTGGTAGCTCTATCTCAGCACACTGGATGTCTTGTTGTCTCTTATAGCACTTGGTCTTGTCCAAGACTGGGGGCTCTCTTATACCTATAGGGTTTAGAGGGTATATCTAAATTCGATAATAAAATCCTGTTGGAAACATGACTATATATAGGTATATATATATATATATATATATATATATGCATAAATGAGAAGTATATAAAATTTTAGATGGATATATTAGTTTGTATTAAGATGCCAATATACTTGTGAAATCGGAGTACTGGGGTGGCGTACCCCGAAGCTGTGTACTTCGTACTGTTTGTAGCACCGAGGTAGTAGTGAGCTCGCAACCTAAAGTAAACCACCTATTTTGTTCATGCTGAAGTACGTGAAGATAAAGAGTAAAGGATTATTCACAGACTATGACCTAGTATTTGAATATTTGAATATTTATGTTATATAGAAATATCGCTATAGACCTTCTCCTGGTCCAAGTTCTGCCCAGGTCGGGCTGGGTGAGTCAGCAAATGGGGGAAACGGTCGGGCGCACCGATAATCCGCCTGGACGCAACGGGAGCCTCACTTTTGCGACGGCAAGTTCATCTGCTCCAAAAGCTCCCCTCGAAAGTGCTGTCAGAAACTTTTCGGCGGTGAGATACTGTCAACAGCACGCTGCACGAGGTCTCCACTCCTCCGGATCTTGTCCCAGTCCATTTCATCATTTTAATCTCTCTCTCTGCTCTCCAGTCGACCATCTCGGGATCTGAGCACCTGCGACATCACCAGCCCATAACGAATGCTTGCCAGCTTCGGGATCGCCTCTCCACCTTCGGTGACCATCGAAATTCCCCTTCTTGCGTAATACAATGAGCGAATATACAACATGAGGGATCCTGCCGCAGATATGGAACAAAATCCCCAGCAACCAACGGCCAATGGGTCAACTGAACCCCGCCGAAACGCGAACAAATCAGTTCGAGTCGCGTTTGGCCCTGATCTGGAAACCGCCATTCCCACCCGCGATCGATCGCCGGTTCCCATGACTGGCCATCACCGTTCATTCACAACGGTCGAGCAAAAACAGCCATCGCTTGCGCCATCCGGACGTCCGACAAGCTCTTCTGGTGGAGATAATAATGCAGCTATCGCGGAGTCTCCGCCGCGTCGACCATCCCCGCGCCGATCAGAGAGCAGCCGACCAGCGATGCTCAAGAGAGCCAAAAGTGACTATGGCCCGAGCCGAGTGACCTTCGATAAGCCTTTCGCCGCTGACGAAGAGGAAGACTTTGCCATGCGACACGGATGGCAGGAGGAATACACTTCCAGCGAGTATCTCAAGATTCTCCACTCGGTGAGAACACCTTTGGCTGTCTGAGTTGCGTGCCTGGGAGCTTACAGATCTTGAACTTAGAACTTTTACATGTACTTCACAGAGAAACGTCATGAAACAAACGGTGTCCCTAGAGACCCAGTGGGGAGCTGGCCTAGCCAGGACTGGCGCATGAAGGACCGATTGAAGACTGTGTCCGCAGCCTTGGCTATCTGTTTGAACATTGGGGTTGACCCCCCGATGTGGTCAAGACCAACCCGACCTCGAAGCTTGAATGCTGGGTTGATCCAACTTCCACTACGGGCGGCGGCCAGAACAAGATCATGGAGCAAATCGGGAAGAAGCTGCAAGAACAGTATGAGACCCTGAGTCTACGGACAAGGTACAAGCAGTACCTAGATCCGTCTGTAGATGAAACCAAGAAATTCTGCATCTCATTGCGCCGGAATGCCAAAGACGAGCGCGTGTTGCTTCACTACAACGGTCACGGGGTTCCATTGCCCACTCAGTCGGGTGAGATTTGGGTCTTCAACAAGAACTACACGCAGTATATCCCGGTGCCGCTCTACGATCTGCAGTCCTGGCTCGCGGGGCCAAGTCTTTTTGTCTTCGACGTCTCACACGCAGGGAATATTGTTCAGAATTTCCATACGTTCGTGGAAAAACATGAGAAAGAAAACCTCGAAGTGAAGAAGCGAGATCCAAACGCCATTGTGCAGAACTATGGTGACTGTATCCTTCTGGCAGCGTGCCAAAAAACCGAGTCCCTTCCGACCAATCCTGATCTTCCCGCCGATCTCTTCACCTGCTGTTTGACTACTCCCATTGATATTGCGCTGCGGTTCTTTATCCTGCAGAATCCGCTACGGACAGACATCTCCGTGGATGATTTCCGAGTACCTGGTCGCTTGCAGGATCGACGCAGTCCTCTGGGAGAGTTGAACTGGATCTTCACTGCCATCACCGATACCATTGCCTGGAATACCTTGCCTCGGGCATTGTTCAAGAAGCTCTTCCGACAGGATTTAATGGTGGCCGCCTTGTTTCGCAACTTCCTCCTCAGCGAGCGCATCATGCGCACGTACAAATGCCACCCAATTTCTTCGCCCAAGCTTCCGGAGACTCACCATCACCCACTGTGGAAGAGTTGGGATCTTGCAGTGGAGATGGTACTGTCGCAGCTCCCTGCTCTCATTGACCACGAGGAAGGTCGTCGTCAGTATGAGTACCAGCACTCTACTTTCTTCGCTGAACAGCTTACTGCCTTTGAGGTTTACCTGTCATCTGGTCCCACCGAGAAGAACCCTCCAGATCAACTACCCATTGTCCTGCAGGTTCTTCTCAGTCAGGCACACCGATTGCGGGCGTTGATTCTGCTGAGCAAATTCCTCGACCTGGGGCCGTGGGCTGTCCATCTTGCTCTGAGCATTGGAATCTTCCCCTACGTTGTGAAACTACTGCAGTCAGCTGCCCAGGAGTTGAAACCCGTCATGGTCTTCATCTGGGCAAGAATCATGGCAGTTGATCACACCGTTCAAAACGACTTGTTGAAAGACAACGGCATTCACTATTTCATTTCAATCCTCAACCCTTCATCACCAATTCCCGTGGGAAATGCCAGCGAACACCGAGCCATGTGTGCCTTTATTGTTTCCATATTCTGCAAAAACTATCCCCAGGGCCAAAATGTGTGTCTGTCCGGGGAGCTCTTCGATTCGTGTCTGAGGCATCTGGGTGATGTGGAGAATCCCCTGCTGCGACAGTGGTCCTGCCTATGCCTCAGCATGCTGTGGTCTGATTTCCCGGAGGCCAAATGGATGGGAATCCGATGCGCCGCCCCTGCGAGACTCTGCGAATTGAACTTTGATCCCGTCCCCGAAGTTCGTACCGCGATGTTGCATGCCGTGACCACGTTTTTGGGTATTCCGGACCTGACGGATCAAGTCGCACAGATCGAGGAGTCGTTGGCTCTGGCAGTCTTGCCCATGTCGGCGGATGGAAGTATCATCGTAAGAAAGGAGCTCCTTGTTTTCTTCTCAACCTTTGTCAAACGCCACCAGAACAAGTTTTTGGTCGCTGCGTATGAAGAACTTCAGGAAGAAAAGCGATCTCTCCTTCATCGCTTCGAGAGCGAAACGTCACAGACAAGTCATCCAGAGGGACAGGAGGACTCGAAATCGCATCAGTTGTCTCGCAACACCACCTTCGGGACCATCTGGAAGCAGCTTTTGATTCTTTCCGTTGATCCCCACCCAGACATCGCTCAAGATGCCGGTGTCATCGTCGACTACATCCACCTCGCTCTCTTGGAATCCCCCATGGCTCCTCTTACTGACAAGATCAGAAATGAAATCCTCGAACTCACAGGCCACACGTCACAAACATTGCAAGTATACGAGCGGGCTGAACCGAAGAAATCAGCACCGCCAACACCCCCGTCCTCAGCAGCTGCACCCCCCAAGTCAGAAGGATATCTGTCGCTTGGTTTCCGGCGCACTGCCAGTGTGGCGGCCTCCCTCAAGAACCTTGCATTTGGCAACTCGGCATCCGGTGACCAGTGGTTAGAAAGCTCGAACCCCCCCTCGCCTTCGAAGAGTCGAATGCCCATTACCCCACGCGGCCGTGCTCCTCCAGAATGGACACGACCACCTGAAGTGAACGACCATGTTGCTCCTGCAACCTCATATCACCAAGCTCCAACTCCTACCTCCCGCAATTTTCAACCTAGGGACCCTGACGTGGCACCGATCATTCCCTTGAAGAGCAGGTTCCTGGACTGGTCCACAGAGGTAATCTCGGTTCCCCTTTCCAAAATGACAAAGTCATGCGACGACATATTGGGACATTTGCTCACCCCTGGAAAGTATTTCCGAGAACCGCAGATGAAACCGAACGAGCCCGATGAGCCTGGAAGCTCGGACTACAACGAACGTCTCTGGAGACGCGGTCGCAATGAGAAGATCATCACGGAAACCCAGCCACTGAAAGGAAAGGCGGGCACAAGTCGCTGGGACAATTCAGCAACACTGCTGTCGAATAATAGTCAACCCCTCAAAATGTGCTTCCATCAATTTGAGGATCATATTGCCGTTGCGGATGATCGGGATACCATCAGGTAAGTGAAATAAATTCTAGATATATGACATGTCTCCTGACTTTGTTTTTTTCCTCCAGGATTTGGGATTGGCAGGCTCATAAACGTCTCAACCAATTCTCGAATGGCAATCCAGCCGGGTCGAAAATCAATGAAGTTCGGTACATCAATGAAGATGATCAGGCACTGCTGATGACTGGATCCTCCGACGGTGTTCTCAAGCTCTTCCGTCATTACGAGTCTGTCCAGGATATTGAGGTTGTCACAGCTTTCCGCGCATTGCCTGAACTTATCCCGAGCAATCGGAATGCGGGCCTTGTGTTTGACTGGCAGCAGGGTCAAGGCAAAGCATTAGTTGCAGGTGATGTGAAGGTGATCCGAGTCTGGAACGCGGCCACTGAAGTCTGCACCAACGTGAGTTATATCGCCAAAATCTGATAAGCTTTGTGGTTTTGCTCGTTGCTTACCATGACATCCTTATATAGGATATCCCCGCCCGATCTGGCTCCTGCATCACGTCGTTGACCTCGGATCAGGTCGCTGGTAACATCTTTGTCGCAGGTTTTGGCGATGGAGCGGTCCGAGTGTTTGACCAGCGCCTGAAACCCACCACGTCCATGGTTAAGGTCTGGCGTGAGCACAAGCAGTGGATCACCAATGTCCATATGCAGCGCGGTGGCCTGCGAGAACTAGTCTCGGGCAGTCGCAATGGCGAGGTCCGACTGTGGGATCTTCGCATGGATGACCCGATTTCCACAATTTATGCCACCAAAGATACCCTGCGGACATTGAGCATGCACGAACATGCTCCTGTTTTCAGCATGTAAGTCTCATTTTCACTCATTTTTGTTCTTGTTGGGCTTGCAGCTAACCTGAAATGCAGGGGCACCAACCGCCACGAGGTCAAGACCTTCAACGTCGATGGTAGCTACCTTTCCACCTTTGAGCCCTACTCGAGCTTCCTTCATCACAACCGTTCTTCCCCTATTGCCAGCACTACCTTCCACCCGCACCGCACTATGCTTGCTTGCGCTGCATTGAATGACCACCATGTCAATATTGTGCACTGCTAGACTGGGTGTGAACTCGGAATGCTGGTAATGGTTTCTTCTTCAATACCCCCTTTTTCTTTTCAGTCTCCTGTGGGGAGCATCTTTGTTTCCATCCTTTCTGTGATTTGCATCTTTGCACAACGGGCAATTCCATATGGCGTCTTGGCGAATGACTTGGCCAATCATCCATGGCTTTCTTTCTTTTCTTTTTCTGTTGCTGTCACCCCTTTGACTGTCTGATTCTCCCTTTCTGTGATCTCTTGCTGATTTCCTTTGCTATTTTCTGCGTTGGGGGGAAGAGATCCATCTTCGGTGTTCGCCAGGCAGAGTGATATAGGGAACTACGATGGGACTGGGATGTAATTTGCTTCCTATCATTGTGGTCATAGGCTTAATGCCTTTGTTTCTAATGCCTTTACTTCTTGTCAATGACTTTGACATCAGTTCAGTCATTCATGTTCATTCAAATCATTTATCATTAGTTGTTGTACACTCATACACTCATAGGGTTACCCCCTCCCCCCCCCCTCCTTCCCTTCTCTCTCTTCCTCCGAAATGAAACTCCAGCATGTTCAGGTCCTCTGGTATGTACTAGACTAAAAGAAAAAGGAAAGCAGAAGACTGAACGCCGCAGCAGCCGTGGCCATCAATCACACGGTGTATCCGTACGAAAGGCTAAGCGTGTCGCACGTCCAGATATTGTGGCGGAACGGATTCCAGATCATCGGAGTTTGCTGCTCGTCCGCGGAGTAGTATGACCGACTAGTCTGGTCGGGAGACGCATCCTGCCACAGTTCGCGATTCACCACGGTGCTGATACCGGACAGGAGGATCGAGTCTGTGGATCCACCCGCCGAGTGCTGCGATCCGGGTTGTCTGGGCTCCTTGGGATAGGTTTGAACGGGGGCTGAGGTCGAGGAGGAAGTGTTGGTCGGGTTGGTCGGGTAGAGGTGGCTGAACTCCTGCGGGCTTGTGATCTGCTGCTGCATTCTGGTCTCTCTGGCTTCATTCAAGCTCAGAGCCTCGACTGCCGGAAGTGTATTCGCGTACACGTTCTGTGCGGCGGTGGTTTGGTTGTTGTTGTTGTCGGATCTGGGAGATACTCTCAAGAGGTCCCGCAGATAATGCACCATCTCATCCCGTTCCCTTTGTGCCTGGGTCTCTTGTTCCGCGGGGCTTGCCCTGTACTGAACCATCGACAAGGATGAGGGGGTCGTCTGCGTGCTGATGGGCACTTCTGCCGGCACAAAAGGGCGGGCCATGGCCATGCTGATCGAGACTTGGGTCGGCACGAATGGGGGCGCCGTGGCTGTAATCATCGATGCTTGTGCAGGCATGAAAGTGGTAGCAATGGCTGTAGTTATAGCCCATTGGTTCTCAGTGTTTGCGGTGCCGATTTGTCGGGTCGACGTAGGCTGTGCCTGGGTGGTAAGATTACCACTGTTACTGCTAGCCCCAAAGTCCCATTTGGAGGTTTGGGTGCTCTGTGTCGGGTTGAAGTAGGAGGAGGTGGTAGGGGGGTGGAAAGAGGAGGAGCCGTGGTAGGCTTCGTCACTCTGGCATAACGGGATACCCCAGACTTGCGAGGACGAGGACGGGGTTTGACGCCAGACCTCAGTGTCCGATGCTGCACAGGCCCAGCCACACCCTGAAGAAAAGGGTTGAATATTGGAGCAGTCGTCTTGTCTGTTTGTTGGTTTCTCGGACCAGTGGGAATTGAAGGAAGAGAGACACGAGGCTCGAATGATGGTGCGGTAGGGTTCACCGTGCCAGAGGTCTCAGCTGGCTGGATGGGCGAGATGACCTGGGCTTGGTTGATAGCCTGGTTGGCTTGTCCCGTGGAAGTCATAGTCTGGGCAAGCTGGTTGGTCTGCACCATGCCTTGTGGCCCATGAACAGGCTGGGTCGGAGGCCCGTGAAGAGGGTTGGCTGAGAAGTATCTCATCGGTGACATACTTCCATTGGGAGGGACGCCCATGCTGTGCTGCTGCGACATCGCAGGATATCCGGGGTAACCACCGTAACCACCGTAGCTACCGTAGCTGCCATAGCCCCCGTAACCCCCATAGGCACCGTAGCCACCATACCCACCATACCCATTGTTAGGGTAGAACGGCCCTGGGTGAGACTGGTAGGGCTGAAAGACGGGACCTGGCGCGGGCGGGTAAAGGTGAGGGTTAGGGTAGGCGGGCGGGTGAGGGTATGCCGACTGCCACATGCCGGGGTAATAGCCCTGGTACGGGGCCATGCCCACCGGCATGCTCGGCGGCACCTGCTGCCCAGGCCCGGCCATCGCAGGAGCCCCGCGGCCTCCACCCATTGGGTTGGGAGAGACCCAACCGGACGCGAACTGCGCGGCGGTAGTCGACAAGACTGAGTTTCCCGTCATGGTCACAGAGCTTTCATACAACTGTGACAGAAAGATAGAAGTGAATAAAGGTAAGGTGAGGCGATGAAGAAGTGACAAGGTAGGACAAATAACAGAAAATCGGATGGAAGGGGATCAGAAAAAGAAGAAGTTGAAAAGCTTCAAGTAGTGATCTGTGCGTTCTCTTCGAAATCCAGTAGATCAACAATAGGCAGGAGAGAATAAGCGAGATTTCATGATCGGGGTGAAACGGTCGTGCCTCAGTGCGTGGGATCAACAGTTACCAGATACGGAATAGCGAGGTTTTCTGCCTTGGTTGATTGATTCATCTCCAGATGCATCCTAGCGGCAAAGGCAGGGAGAGCCAGATCACGAGCCGAATGATTAAGAACAGACAGATTCGACAATATCTGCTCCTGGATCGCCCAGCGCCGAGGACACTGAAGATGCCGCCGCCTCTGACGCCTTCTTTGTCTACTGTTCACGCCCCTTCTAGACATGGCCAGCAGCTAGGGCAAAGTTGTACTTAGGAGAATGTTCCCTAGCCCTTGAATATAAAGAGAGTCACTTGAACAAGGCTACTGATATCAATATCAAAGCCCTTTGTTAGCAGAAGAGATGACCAGCTAAGATCACATTAAGCTCACACCACAAGATAAACCAATTGTTCTATCGATAAGACGCGAACAATATACAAATCGCTTCTGGGACGAAAACAAATGCGAGACCAAGACCAAGGCCGACGATTAAATCTCACGTGGTATTGGCGTAGTGAGGCTTTTTGGTTACTCATTTCTTGCACTACACAGCAGAATACTCATTTATTTGTTAAACATTCTTAGGCAGAGATGAGAGGGCCAGACAAGTGTGTTAAGCCTAATAAAAAGAGGTTGTAAGAAGTTAGGGCTATGCGATTTAGGAGAGACCGTGAAGAGGACAAGGGCAACAAGGCAAATATTTCAGAAGACCTTGAATAAGACACCTTATACAGTGTTTACCAACTTCCCTTGTACATAGAAAGCCAATGAAGAGTAAGATGTGCATACCAATACTACATATCCATTGATCTAGGGGAGCACTTAGATTGAAGCCAAAGGCTGGCATGGAACATGCATGATAAAACCCACAACCGGAGAATGTCATATGAAAACTTGACAAATTGGCCCATCTCATAAGAGAACCTGACTATTTTTCTGGCAAAGGGATTTTTCTTGAGGTCTGTAGTTGTTCGGCGAGATTAGTCAGTAACTCGATATGCCGACCAGGTTCGGGGCATGGGAAATATAGAAACCGGATCCCCCAGAAAGCCGAAATCTCAGCACAGACATAAGGGAAATACATCAATAGAGCCAAAAGTTTAATACCAAAGATTCATGTCATTCGTAATTCCTAGGGGAAAAGATAAAGACACAAAAGAAAAGTCGTCACCCGAGCGTTAAAGATACATTTCGAATGGATACAATGTCATTCAATTTTCCAACAACTTAGTACTGTCGCTGGTGGCTGGCAGTGTTTTTGGTGTCAGAGCTGTCGACGCGAGGGTCCAGCTTGTTCAGAATGTCAGACTTGTGGGGTCCAGAGGTCTTGGTGTTGCCAGTTCCGGCAGGCTGATTGTAGCTGCTGCTACCTGCTGCATTCCCCCCAAAGCCCGGCTGCTGAGCATTGCTGTGGAGTCCAGTGTCCTGAGGGCCAGTGTTGGTCGAGCGCGTGTTGTATCCCTGTGTACCACCACCATAGGCCATGCCACCAGTAGTACCGCCAGGAGTACCGTAGGTCGAACCATAGCTGCCGGTCGCTCCGGTGGGAGCAGTGTGGCTTGAAACAGTATTGTCGGCGCCGCCACCGGTGTGGTGAGAACCGGTCAGTCCGCCGTGGGTTCCACGGTTGTCTGGGCCCTGGGTCAGCATGTGTCATAATTTATTCATGGAGAGTTTGTTGACTTACCAAGGTCACTATCGATGCGAGGATCCGCCTTGTTTGCGAGCTTGGAGTCATGCGGGCCGGCATTGATGTTGCCGGAACCGTAGCCAGTTGTGTCAGATCCATAGGTGTTCGAGCCGGCACCGTAGGTTCCAGTGCCAGTGCTGGAGCCATAAGTGCCACGAGTATCTATAGATTTGGGTTAGATGCTGCGTGATATCTTTCAATCAACAGTAAACCACTCACCAAGGCCACTGCCAGGGATGTTGCTCGAGCCGTGACCAGTAGTACCGGATCCGTAAGTGTTGGAGCCAGCACCGTACTGCGCGTCGCCGGTGCTTGCGCCGTGGGTTCCGCGGTTGTCTATATCGAGGTCAGACCCGTTAGTCTACATTGGTTAGAAATTGATGGAGTGTCCGATGCTTACCAAAGTCGCTGTCAACGCGAGGGTCTAGCTTGTTGGCCAGCTTCGAGTCATGGGGACCAGCGTTGATGTTGGTCGAGCCGCCAGCGACACCAGATCCATAGGTGTTGTGGCTAGCACCGTGAGTTACAGGCACAGGTCCAGAGCCAACATCAATCGGGCCCTTCTTGGAATCGTGGTAGGTGCCAGAGCCATAGTTGTCGGCGGGAACGGTGGATTCGTGGGAAGAAGGCTTTGTCTCGGAATGATGGCCTGTAATGGCGTCCTTGACTTTGTGTGCAATGTTCGACATGATGGATACAAAATAGAAAAATGTTAGGTGGAGAAGGTGGCTGAGAAATATGAGGTTCTTGGGTAAAGAAGAAGTTCAAGTGTTGCTTAAGGGGTTTATATATGGTCTCCAGCCCATTGTTTGCCATGATATGTTTGCCAGATGGCGCTGAAAGGCCTGAGTGACGTCATAACGTGGGGATCTCCAGACAACAAGCATCCACCTATTTGGATTAGCAGCCCAGGGCTGTCATTTCCCACGGGTCGACATGACGTACCAGTGGAACAAGGAGATGAGATATCCCCTGAGCGAGAAGTACGAAGACCACACATGTCATCGCCCAGCCAGAACGCCACTGGACAATATAAATCTGCCACGCTGAGAGGCTAGAGAGCGTCGTGTGGATTTCATGGTTTCATCATCTTGTCTTGTTTTACCAAGTTGTGTTGCCAATCCCCGTCCGGCCTGGCAAATACATACTTCCACCCTTGGACCACGCAATCCAATGGCTTGATGTGCTGATCGAGATATCGGCAGAATTGGCTGGGAACCCTAGCTGGCTGCAAGGAATTTCTCGAACTGGTTGTGCGAGAGGGTCCCACGTCGATCAACTCTATACGTCATGTCAGCCCCGCTGGGTGGATCTTGCTTGATCGCCGATCCTCGATCCTCCCCGGAAGTGCACCGTCAGAAAAAGAAAAATCAAGAATCTGATTATCATGGCCACCCTGGTCAGATTGCATGCTGGATCTAGCCGGCTTGATGCGTTTAGGGCTGCACATACACAAGAGTCGGTTACGCGGCTGCCTAGTGGCATGATGCCATGGTCGGCAGCCAAGGCCATGTTAGACGCCGCAAAATTCGATGTTTTGGCTGGACGTCACTCCGGGCGAGAGGCCTTCAATCTCTGTGGTAGACAGGAACCAGGGTACTTCCGTAGATACCACCAGGCACATATGAAGGAAAGTACCGGCCTGGGAAAGCCCTGGGGACGAGATAATTCACTAGGAAGATCAGGTGATCTCAGGCGCCAAGGCCACGGCGCAGGCCTTATGCCTCAGGCATAAGAATATCATGACGCCGATAGTGGTTTACGTAATCCTTCATGAGCTCACCCTTCTCCACTTTCAAGGTAACTTCTCAAGTCTCTCCCCCTCTCATCCTCCCTTATCCGTCTCTTTGGGCTAGGTCTGCGCGTGGGTGGTTGTCTTCGGCTTTTCTCGCCCGACCAGCCGCAGTGCTGCTAATTTTTCTCGATGAGTGGTCACCTGCTTGCTTGCCGCCGACCGTTAGATTGGTCATAGAGATAACCCCCCCATCTGTCACTGTGCGACGACGGGATCGGCTGACATCGTCCCTCGTTCCCTTCGCCCAGCTTGATCCCCCTCACTTGGATCTCCCATTTCAACAATCTGGTTTGTTTTCGCGCGAATACTCTGCCAAAAAAAATGCGCACCCCACGCCTGATACTCGTCCTCTTCTGTCTCGTCTTCTTTCCTATTTGCCTTACCTTCTTCTCCGCACTTTCTTCACCGCGAGTGGCAGCTCCAAGTGCGCTGGATAGTCGGACCTCTGGGCTGCATGCCCTTTTCTCGTTCAATATACCTTCCTCGCTTTTTCCGCCCTCAGCTATTATCAGTCTGACCGATGATAACTCGACCTTCTTCCTGGCTCGTCCTGCGGCGTTTGGTCCATTGTTACCATCAAAAGGCTTGAGTGGTCCTTTGTGGATCGGCAGCGGTTTCAGCGAGGGAATTTTGACTACTGGTGTGGAAGGGGAACTAGGTTGCTCAGATATCCCCGGCTGGGGTGAGGGCATCAGTCACAGGAAACGGGATAAGGCATCCAGGGGTGCCGAGCAAAGTTCCGGCAAATCCGGGAGTAGCACAGCGAACGAGCCGGCGAGCCCGCAATCCCGTTCCCGGTCGGCGTCGCAGGTTGACGCCGTCCTGCAGAACGACAAAGATGGTGCGACGACTCCGTCGTTGAACGACGGCACCGACGATCACTTGCACCACCCGCTCCCCGAGTCTGCTGTTGCTGATACCGAATCAACTCAGAAGCACGGAGACTATACTCAGAAGAAACCCTCCGCACATGCCGACATCCAGTCGTTGCAAGAAGCCGCGGAAATTCGGGGTAAAGTGGTACTACTGAGTCGAGGTGGCTGTGGGTTTCTGGAGAAAGTCAAGTGGGCCCAGCGCCGAGGGGGTGTTGCATTGATCGTCGGCGACGACACTCGCGGCGGGAATCTGGTCACTATGTATGCGCGGGGCGATACATCAAATGTGACCATCCCGGCTCTGTTTACATCTCTCACAACTGCCCATCTTCTTTCGTCGTTGGTGCCGGGGCATACCGGGGATACGGCTGACTTGGGCGATGTCTTGAAATCCTCCCAAGCGAAGCTCGCGAGCCAGAGTAATTTCGAAACACAACGGGTGGCGACGAAGGACTCAACCTCGACATTATCCTCCAATCGCCATTCGACCACGAAACGGCCTACAGCCTTTGAGAAGTCAGGGGTGGATTCTTCCGCGCACTTGGTTCGCTCTTCGGGCTATGCAGCCGGGAAAAGAATTTGGGGCGCTTTGAAGACAGTCGACGTCCACCCAGCAGTGGCAAAATTGATTGGATGCCCTTGGATTCACAGGATAATAAACCGTCTGCGCAGACATTGAAAGGGTCCGTAGATAGTCGTCGGAACCCGGGCGACACATCGGACGGCCACTCATCCGGTGTCTCCCCCGACCCCGTCGACGGTGATGGGTTCGTTATCGGGGTCCATGACTGGAGAGACCCAGATTTCATTTCGCCTAAAAGCAGCACAACTTCCACAACCGGTACCACGACGACTGGCAAGGATGACTCCAAGACATCTGGCTCATATCGAGATGCCAACCCTAAATCCAACATGTTACAGGGTGGCAGCATCACTCCTGGAAGCGGCGAGTATCAAAGCATCGACAAATCTAGCGGCAAGGTCCATGACGCAAGTGGGAAAATGTCCGAAAAGGAGTCTTCGACATCCAACGGAGGGTCCAAATCCTCTAGCAAGGGTTGGTTTTCAAGCCACTTTGGCTGGGGGCATGACACAAAACAGGAAGCTCAGCCTTCTTCCTCGCCTTCTCCAAGCAACACAGCCACAAGCCACAAAACCCCGGATGCTCTTCACTCGTCCAGTCGAGCAAACGCCGAAGCGACTGAGCACGAGGGGCTCTGGGTCACGCTGACGCCTACCAGCATGTCTACGAGTCCCTTTTTTGATACTCTTCTGGTACTCGTTGTCAGTCCGTTGCTGACACTGTCGGTGGTCTATGCTCTTTTGTTGCTTCGGTCTCGAATCCGACGTCGTCGGTGGCGTGCCCCGAAATCAGTTGTGGAGCGTCTTCCTGTCCGGACATACCACACGATCTCAAGCACATCCTCGTCCTCTTCGAATTCAACACGGCCCTCCAGCCGCGGCGCGCTGTCGCCGACCTCTCCACTTCTTGGCAGCGAACCTCACCCCAGCGCCTCCCGGTCAAATCGCAGACGATCACAGACAATCTTTGGAACTATGCTGGACTCGTCTGGGCCGCCCAAGGAGGAAAAGTCAACTAGTGTGCAATCAGGCTCTACTTTGTGGCGACGCAAGTACACCAGTCGACAAGTGGAATGTGTCGTCTGCCTCGAAGAATATGTTGATGGACAAAGCCGGGTGATGAGCTTGCCATGTGGTCACGAGTTCCATGCGGAATGCATGTAAGTGGCGCCATACAAAACAGCCATCGATGCTCTAATTTACTAACTTTTATGCCAGCACCCCTTGGCTGACAACCCGGCGACGAACGTGTCCAATCTGCAAAGGCGATGTAGTCCGGTCGATGGCCCATTACCATGCTGATGACTCTCACACTCAAGACGAGCAAGTAATTGATCGTGCTCATTCACCTGGGTCACGAGCCGGCGCATCTTCAGCGCCAGTTCTCATTACGGGTGTGGGCGATGATGAAGGTGACACGGAGCAACAAGCAGGCCTTCTTGATGACCACGCGACTTCGGCGCCACAGTCGACCTGGAGAAACCTGTCTTCTCTCAGCTTCTCGGCTCTGAGTGGCGACACCATTTGGCATCAGGCACGTGCAGATCGGAACCGCTGACCTCAATAACTTCACTTGATTTCCATTTTTCTTCTCTGCCGAGAGGAATCACTCTTTAAAGCATGTCGTATTAGCGATCGTTTGACTTGAATTTTCTTTGACCTTTCAGGGCGTTGGGTGGATTGGGTGGAGTACACACCGGAGTGCTAGGCCGAACGCATCTGCGTTGCGAAGCGGCTGGGATATACCGCGGGTTAATTGTCCTTTGTTGGGACATTCGAATAAATACCATTGCTAAGGGACTGCCAGTCCCGTCTGATAGTAACGGGCTTTCCACCTAAAAAGATCTATCTTCATTCAACTATCTCCTCAACCAGAGTCTCTCAGCAACACAGTCCTATCACGCCTTTGCATCAATACCAACACTCGCCGCAACATCTCCAAACACCTCCAGCGCCCGCACACACTGGTCCCGCACCACTTCGACCCGCGAGATCATATCACCACCCATGGGCAGAAACAGCTCCGTCTCCCGTCCCGCGCCACCACCTTCGCCCACGGCCACCTCATAGATCGCCTTGGCCGCCTTGAGTCTGTCACCATTAGCTGGGAAATTGCCACTGCTAATAGCATCCATCATGCGCGCCGCCATGGACCCCTGATACACGTCTGGCAGAGGGTTACGCGCCAGCGCCGAGGCATTCCCGATATTGGTGTTGAAGGTGCCGAGCCAGACCGTCAGGACGCGGATATTGAAGGGGGCGACTTCTTTCGCGAGGACGCGCGAGGAGCCTGAAGCCATAATCGATGATGTCAGCGAGCATTCCTGTAATCACGTCGCCAGAAAAGAAGTGATGATATGGGAAAACTTACCATCCAGCGCAGCCTTAGCCCCCGCATAAGCTCCCATACTCTCCTTCCCATCCAACGCAGCCCCCGAACTAATATTAACAACAAGACCAAACCGCCTTTCCCGCATCGCAGGCAAGACTGCACGAATCAGCCGACTCGGCCCGAAATACATCGTCTCCATCGGTGCCCGTAGCTCCTCATCCGTGAACTGCTCCATGGCCCCGAACAGGATCGCGCCCGCGTTGTTAACCAGCACGTCGATGTTCTCACCCGCTGCCTCGAGTTTGTGGATCAGCGCGGGCCCCGATGTCGTGTTGTCGACGTCCAGCGCGTGCCATTCGCCGCCATGCTCCTCGATTTCGCGGACTAGCTCGGGCGTGCGGGAGGGTTGGCGTGAGGTCGCGATCACTTTGTGGCCATCTGCTTGGATTTGGCGTGTTATGGCTAGGCCGAGGCCGGAGGAGCTGCCGGTTATCAGCCAGGTTAGGGGGCGGTTTGGGGGTTTGAAGGTTGGTGTCGACATTGTTGGGATTGGATTTGAGGTTGATTGGAATTGGAAATGATATCGCTGTTGATTTGTTGAATTCTTCTGTGTTTGTATATTCTCTATTCATGGGAATAGCAGTGGTGCTTTATATATTTGCATTACCGTCGCTATACTCTTGTCTCCGTTGGAGAAGCTGGACTTAGGGCTACGGAGTTAATGTGGGGCGCGGGCGCGGGCTGGTGGGTTGGGGTCAGTGTTGATATGAGAGATCCACGAGATGAATTAACTCCGGCATTTCAGTTGGAGTTCTGCATGGTCTCAATTTTATTTGATTATAGTTGGAGTTCTGCGTGTCTTTTTTTTTTTGCTTTTAACTCCGTTGGAGTATTGCATCCCCAGTGTATGTTGTCATGCCTACTCATATCGAACAAACAAATCGCAAATCGCAAATCCCATGCCTCGACCCATATGTCATATGTGTAGCTAAGTATTCACTTCTCCCTATAAACATACAATTCTATACAATACAGACAGCCAGGCCATCCACCTAATCAATATCAATCTCAATCTCAATCTCCCATCCACGGATCCTAAGACCCCAGCACACAGTGCACACTACACCCAAAGCGACGGAACGGCAAAGGCCGCAGTTTCTCGCCCGAGGAACGAGGCCCCTTCATCCCGTTCTCGCATGGAGAGCAGTCCCACCACTCCAGCCATTCCGTACGCGGGATCACATACTCCTGACCGCACACCGAGCAGGGCTGGCCGCCGGCGATGCGCACCTCTCTCGCCTGTCGCAGCAACGGAACCACCATGGCTGGATACTCGGCCAGCTCGGCGTCGGAGACGTGCTCGAGGTAGGGCAGCTTGCTCACGGCACGAAGGGCGATCTCGCGAAATGATGGGGCGCTTGTTGCACCGGAGGATTCTGCGGGTGTCTTTATCGTGCTCGGGGACAGGTTGTCGCTTGTCGGATTACCTTCCATATTCAGCCATTTTGTCGGCCCCGTGGCAATGTGGATGGGAGCCCAGGCCTCGGCGGGCGGAGATCCCTCGTACTCGCGGAACTGGAGCGGGTCTTGTGATGGTTTGTCGCTCTTCGACTCGGAGCGATGGCTCCACGCTGCGATCTGGGCTTCTTCAATCGCCAGAAATGAGTTGGGACGCGCGGTCAGATGCTTGAGTTCCCCCTGCTGCACGAGCCACAACAGTTCCCATGGAAGATAGCTCAGCCGGTTGACGGAGACATTCAAAACTTGCAACGCCGTCAGTCTACGGATAGTCGGCGAAATCTCGGTGAGCTTGTTGTTGCGCACACTCAGGACCTTGAGGTCGGCCAGCTCAAAGAGTTCGTGGTGCAGCAGCGAGAGGGAGTTGTTGGGGAGGAAGATGCGAAGGAAAGGCTGCAGAGACGTAAACACATTTTCTGATACCGGGGCCTCGCCCACGGTGGGAAGCTTGGTCAGATGCTGCAAGGGTTGCAGCAGGCCAGAGGGGATGGTCCTCAGATGCAAGTTCCTGTGCGGGTTTGAGTGGTCAGCACAGCTCCACATTCCAATGCACCCCAGATACTCCCAGAGAGACAAGACACATACCCCAGATCGATGCTATCCTGACCCTTCTCCAGACAATCGGCAACTACAGTTCGTGCGAGCCGGTGCTCAGCCGGCTCCTCGGGCCGTTTAAACGCCGTCTTCGATTGCGCCGGCAGAGACGCAGGAGCAGCCGCCGACTTGGCAGTAGCGCGCAGATTCAGCGCAGTCTTCAACAGATCCTCGCCCCAGGCCGAGCCATCCTCAGATGACAGAAACGATTCGGCCGCGGACTCGTCACTACCCATCCACACGCCGCTATCGACATGGCGCTTCTCCTTGAAATCGGCACGCTTGCGCTTCGGATCAATGACTTGCTCCCCCCACCAGGTACCGCGATACCGCCGCTTTCTGCCCGCACCCGTCGACACCGGTGCGTGGTAGTTTTCTACTCCCGAGGCTGGGATGTCATCGCTGGAAAAGAGCGGGGGTTCACTGGACGGCTGGCTGGACCGGTCATCGAAGCGCGACAGGCGGCGTGATTTGTGGAATGATGAAGCTACGGACCCAGAGCCTGTGCCCGCGTGGCTTGTTGCATGCGCTGGGGACCGGTGGCGGATCCGCCGCGGCGGAGGGAGTGGGATCTCGCCGTCCATTGCGCGCGCGTAATTGGGGAGGATTGGGTAGCCGGATGAATATATTGCGGGTCTCTGTCGCACAGCTCAGAACCATTCACTTCTGCGCTTTCGCCTGTTTCATTCGAGGCAAGAAGTGGAAAAGGGGAGAGCGGGGGGCGTTGTTGCGAGCGCACTTGCGACGCGTTGTGGAGACCCGCGATGGAGACCTACCCGGGTGTCAACAAGCGCGCGAATTCAGGCCAATAAATCCTTGCGAGGAAGTCTCCAGATAGATAATTGCGGTTGCTGGTGCAATTCGTCGAATTCACCGGAGATGAACACATTCAAGTGCAAAGATAAGATGGAATGCTTCGGAGCACGCGAGCGTGCACGGCCGTCAGTCGACCCCGGAGACCTCGGCGTGTCTGATCCACCTGAATGCTGGATCGGCGCGATCTTCACTACGTTAATGCTACTCACTACACATTTTGTTCTCACATCCGAAAAAAAAGGAATCAATGGATTCATCTCCAGCAGGCGATTGCCCTTAGCAGGTTGAGTCGAGGAATTTGTCCGTTCTCCCCGAAAAGCAGGACATTCGTCCTGAGAGCCAGGCAACCACCCACGAAATAGATATGAACAGAAGAAGGTAAAAAATGGGATGGAAGAAGAAAAAAGACAACATCAACTCATGTCAATCCACATGATCGTGAAATAAAAAGGGGGTATTCGAAGTACGTAAAGCCGTTTCCTCTCCGAATGGGGTTCTCCAGCTAACCAAGAGGAATATGAAGATAAAAAAGGTGGGAAAAAAAAGAAAAGAAGTAGAGTGTGATCACTCAAAAAAAAGACATTACCAACCCCGGCTCTGCTGGAGATGAACGGCAGAAGAGAAGAGAGGTGGCAGCCACAGCATGTCCAAGCGGAGAATTGTTGGCGATGCTTTGCAGTCCACGGACAAGCTGGGGTCTGCCGCCGATGCTCCTCGGTGAATCGCGTCCGCGATTGCGATTAAAGGGCTGCTCCCATAATCAGCGCGAAGGACCCCGCGACAATGGCCACCGGCAGGCCAGCACCAACGTTGGCTGCGCCGTTGTGGGTAGGGGCCGCCGCCTGAGTCGTCGAGGACGTCGAGGCGGAGGCAGTGGGAGTGATCCGGACCAGAGGAGTCGAGGATGCCGGCACGGTGGCCATGCTCGAGCTGGGGGTCGGGGTCACCGAGTTGACGCGCACCAGCGTCATGGTGAGGGTGGTGGTCGAAGTCGACGTGGTGGTGTCTTCCACGGCCGCGGCCAGCTGGGAAGCCGCCAGGCAGGCGATGGAGGTAACAATGGCGCTGAACTTCATTTTACCGGAAGTGGTAAAGTTGTTTTCTGGTGCAGAGAAAGAATAAGATTGAAGTCGCGCGCAACCAGGTCACTCAAAGTGAACTGCGATGGAATCGAATTGGGGTATCAGAGTCCGGCAATGAAACAGGGCCAATGCGGTCTTGAATTGGATCCGGCGCGGAAGAATAAAAAGACACGATGCGATCGCGTTGGTTGTTTCGCACAGATTCTACTGACGAGACAAGAGGTAGGCTTTGAGCGCAAAGAGAATATAGAGCGTCAAAGAATGGAAAGGTAAAGAGCGTGGGAGAGCACTGCTCAGGGCAAGATAATGAATGACTGGAACGAATGACTTGGGGTGAAAATGAGAGTCTTCAAGGCGCCGATAGAAGGGAGGAAAAGAGGGTTGGCAGGGAGCGGCCAGTTCTAAATAGCCAGGCACGAGTTGTGTGCCTGGCAACCTGGGGAAGTCCTGGAGCCTTGTGGCCTGAAAAAATATTTTTATTTGTTTTTTTATTGTTATTATTATTACTTATTTCATTAATTTTTGGGTGCCTCACTGGCTCTCTTATTGGACGTGGGGAACACGCGAATTTGGTACTATTCGGAATGGGCCCAATCCAGGGCCAAACTATGGAGTTCGCGCAATTAAACAGCCCTAACTAAAGGCTTGCCAAGGGATTCTGGGGGCGCTCAGGAGCAGGAACACGAACAGGGTCCCTTTTTTTTTTCTTTTCTTTTTTTTCTCGCACAGACTCCGGGTACGCCAGGGACACTTAGGTGCAAGATCCTGACCTATGTCTCGGGTAGTGATGCGCTTCGACGGTGGACGGGTCTATCAATGACGATCTCCCATGCATTGACCAATATCCAGGTCTGGAACAATAAACAGTAAAATGGACAATTCTCCTTCACATGAGCAATTCGGAATTCGGGGGCCCTGGGCATACAAGAAGAATCTCGCCCCCATCCTATATTAGCGTGGTTATTATTAGTTCCTTGTTTTCTCTATGTATAGATGCCACCCGGCAGCTGAAACACTTCAGGTCTCCGAAAGCGCCTGAGGTCCCAAGATGAAGATTGTCGCTGGGCATACATGCGAATCAACGCACCTGTACTGATACTGCGAGTACAGAGTTCACCCGAGGCCAACTCGATCCCCTTTCACTCAACTCACCTGTGCAAACCCCCCTGGCGTCCCAGGATGCAGGAATGGACAGCTCGGATGCCCTGGCGTGAATTGGTATGACTCGACCCTTTGGCCCTTCGATTCCTCCAGGGCCTCAGCCTGATGACCAAACGGTTCTTCCGGGTCCGTCGGGCGCTGCGTGGTGTATTTGCAGTGGGGCTGGGAGTAAGCGGGATCTCGTAGGGCATACCAGACACATGGACAAAGGGACGGGGGCGTAAGCCCGAGGTAATCTCGCTGGGAGGATTTGTCTCATTTTGCCTCGCTCGGTTGCTGCCCGAACCCACCAAACTCGGATTTTCCCCCGTTATGAGCGGGTCATGCGAAATTATGGGGGGGGGCTTTTCCACTGCCGACTGGGGCTCTTGCCCCTGTGCCTGACGAGAACCATGGATCCACTTGTGATGAGGATCGGCCCCTTCGCTTACTTGGAGGGAGGCTAGCGCATTGGCCTCGGGGGTATGAGAGGTTCGAGAACACATGATTGATCTCCTTCACCGTCTCTCCCCTTGCAGAACCGAGCTCGAGTTGACGCGGTTTTGAACTTGCGACGTTTCTGCAAAGACGTTGTGCTTTTGTTTTTGTGGGGTCGCTCCCACCGAGCAAGGATGAGTCTCTACAGACTGTGTCGTCCAGCCGAGGCACACCGTTAAGATCGGGATGATTGAATGGGTCCACAAGGAGGCTTGATGGTCATGTGATATATGAGTATTGGCATACCTAGGTATCCGTATAGTCCAAAGCAATAGTCGATGGGCTCGCTCCATTCACATATATGCGACTATAGTGTCAACTTGTCCGCTAGATGAGCTATGTACTGCTTTAGATCCTGGGTCGACCTCCATCTGACGGCACATTAGGTCCCATGACAAAAGCCTATCTGTGGTTGAGTATGTAACATAATTAGCTTTTTGCATTAATGAAAACAGGACTTTGCCATAAGTTCTTTAGTGTGTTCTAATGTATATCGTGAACAGGATGACACGACATGCTAATATTTGCTAGGTTCGCAATCAGCAGTAGCTTCTTGGTTATATCTTTAAAGGAGAACTGAAACACAGAGTCTTCCTTATGATCAACAATTTCTATAACTCACTCTCTGCCTTGCCTTGCCTATAACTATTTACGAAAAAAAGATATACGGTCCATATATACATTTACAACCGGACAATGGAACGATCAAGTTTATCCAGTGAAAGTGTACCGAAGAAAGAATATAATAATTTCAAACTAGCCAGTTCATCTTTAGGTCATTTGAGATTGGGCATAATCAAAATGGTGTCCAGGCTATCAAGGACACTGTGGAGCTCTCTATAACTATATGATAGTGTGAGGATGAGTGGCGTCTTTGGCATAGTCAATAAAAATATTATTACAAGAGACATCCATTGATTATTCAGTATTCCTGAAAACAATATGTAAAACAAGCTCTGATTTACTTTTTATTTAGTTTTTTTTTTTTTTTTTTTTTTTTTTTTTTTTCCCTTGAGATTGCCCCAAACAAAATACCAAAATGGTCCCAGACGGTACTTTGAGAATGAGAAAATCAAGTTACGTTCTTTTTGAAGGGGTGAATTGCTTGTATATATATACTCAGTGGGTCTCTTCCAGATCCACTTGAAAGCTCCGCCTATCTGCAGCACTTGTACCTAATAGATCACGCACTAAATTTGGGTCTTCACTAGATACTTCTTGAGGCAATACTGACTACTTATTAGATACATGAATAACCGATAGTCCGAAGGTGGAATATAGGGACGTGAAACAAGAGATACAAAACCACTTCGAAAGATGCATACGATTGAGCCTTTATTGATCATTGTAAGCCCGCCATATGTGATTGCGTATCGTATAAGGATTGTAGTTATTTGGGACCGACTGATACTCCGTCCCTTCTTACATAAATAGACTCCTACTGGCTATGATATTACGAAGCTATATGCTTGTGTATGCAAAAGTTTTCTGGTATATATGAACTTCATAGGAGACTCTGGCAGAGCCAATTCTAATGAATTAATAGGCTAGATCTTATTTAATATATGAGCGGGGAGAAATACCAGAAACGGAGTCTAATATAGATGCGCTTTACGCCTATCCACATATATATGCTTTCAGTCTCATAGCACATGGCCTTTGTATTACAGCTTCCATATACAGGTAGCCACCCAAAGAGGATAATGGTTTCGACCTTCACTATGGTAAGTTAACTTCAGAAAAAAAGAGGGACCACAATAACGCCTAGAATTGCTGGCACGGCCAGGAGAGACATTGGCCCTAAACCCACTTCAGGTACTGGGAGCATATTTACATCGCACCGAGGTAGCCAGTGCCTCTCCACCCTGTCCGCTCCAACCATCCCGAGATGGCTTACCAGTCCTGGCCTGTAGAGACCAAAGCAAACGCTACTCAAAATATAGAGAGTGAGATTATATCGTACAAAGGCCGTCCCCTAGATTGGTCATGTCGCATGTCCCTCGAACATTGCGCCTGAAAACAGTCAGGAAGGTTTATTGGCGCATCGGTCGTAGAGGGCTCTGTCGGGGCAGCATCAACGGGGGTCCGCGGGCCCGGAGCCAGGCGTCGTTGTGAGGTCCTTCAGTGCGAATAACACTACCGATGGACATGAACAGTCTGTTGCAAAAGCAGAAAAGAGCTCCTCGTTAGCCTATATACAATCAAAGACCAATTGCGGGTGATTGAGGGAGGTGTTCTAAGAACCTCAAAATACAGGGAATATTGCATACCCGAAAGTTGCGCCGGATCCCACCATGTACTTGCCCAGAGTCCGCATGACACCATTGGGGCCAGCGCCGTATTGGAAGATAGTCACCGTTCCTTTACATCTGATCAGCTTGTAATCTATGGGCAGACCCAAGACTCGGATATTCCACATACCAATGATGAAGCCCATGATTCCACCCACAGCTAGAAGAAAGGGTATCGTATCAGTAGAAGCTCAAGGTAAGTGCTGCCTGGTGATCACATACTAGACCCCATCATAGCTCCCATTTTCACTGTATTTTGTCAGCGCATCTCCCATCGAAATTGAAAACGAAGCTAAAAACCCCAGCTGCATGGTACAACTGATCGCGGAAGTGACTAGGAAGCAGAACATACTCTTGTCAAAGGTCGAGGGGCCACTGGGGCCACCACCTGGGGCTGGACCAGCAACAACGGGCATATTGAATAGAAGATTGAGCAATGGATTGCGAGAGAACAGGAGGTAGTGGCTAACAGCTCACAACTTGGGGAAGCTCAGCAAGGCGTGCAATGGCGAGAGAAACACGGCGCTTTTTCCGACCCGTCTCCGCTTTTGATCACGTGATGACACAACCACACGTGCAACCAGAGCACGTGACCATTGGCCTGGGGCGTCAAGGGAGAGGACTGGCCGATCCTCCTCTCCTTTGGCGATTTCCCCATGGCGACCATCTACGACCTTTGACCCTCTTCTTGAATCATCGCTGTTTGGGCGGTCTCAAGCCTGTGCCAAGGCGGTAGTCCCGTCTTGTGCTTCCTTCATTGTCCTTGGACGGTAGGAGATTGGTCGCTGGTCACTGTTCGGCAACACCTCACACGCCTCCTTGGCCAAGGGCACTTACGACTACGCCACCAACGAAACGGTTAATATCCTGGTCTGGTCTAGAGGTGAGTTGGAAATTTTATGGGTTCTGTGGTGGTTTTAGGGGCGACTCGAGTTGAACTCGACCTCACGAGCCACTAGATTATTTGGCAGCGACCGAATAACGCTAACGCGCCCGTTCTGAGTTAGTTAGCCGATCAAACATAACAACCACCCTGCGCGCATCGAGTCTTGTTTGAACACTCTACACGATCAATCCAACAATCAACCACCAATAAAGACGATTCATTATATTTCTAGCGTCCATTCCCTGGTGGAACCTATTTCATCAATTCGCGACCGTCGAACGGGCAGCATCTAAACACATCGCTACGTCGAGTTTCCTCCGGCATCCTTCTCCATGACTGCTGTGGCATCTCCACCTAGCGTACAATCGGGGTCTCGCTTGGGATGGTATGATTCTGGTGACGGAGGACAAGGAGCCCTGTCTTCAGTAAACGCGGACGAGGTGTCCCGGATGTTTATGCCCCGGAAGCACGTTCAAAGATCCAACTCTTCTTCCTCCCTGACGTCGCCCTCCGTTCCGAGCGTGACTGCCACCCCACAGGATACTCATGTTGGTCAGAGTTCCAGCGATTCAGGCACTTGGTCATCAAAGAAGAAGCCTTCGAGGAATCTCTGGCCTAGCTCGAAGTCCGAACCGGTCTCTGGGGTAACGAATACACGGTCCCAGGCCGTGCCTGCATTTTCACCGGGGCCAACGGCGTCGTCAACCATGTCTGCTATCCATCAGCCTTCGTCCATCGTCCCGTCACAACACATGATTCAACCCTCCCAGCAAAATGGCGCCCGTGCGCCGAACGGGCAGTCTGCAGATCCACCTGCAATTCTATCCCTTGTCCCAGTCAATGGCACTTTTGAGAAAAAACAAATAAACGTGCCATTTTACCCCGAGCTCTTACGGATTGGCCGTCAGACAAATGCCAAAACAGTCCCCACGCCCGTCAATGGGTTTTTTGACTCCAAGGTTCTCTCCCGGCAGCATGCCGAGGTGTGGGCTGATAAGAGTGGAAAGATTTGGATTCGGGATGTCAAGTCGTCTAATGGTACATTTGTGAATGGCCATCGATTGTCTCCTGAAAATCGCGAGTCAGAGCCGAACGAGTTACGCGAAAATGACACTTTAGAACTTGGAATCGATATTGTCAGCGAGGATCAGAATACTATCGTCCACCATAAGGTGTCGGCGAAGGTGGAGCATGCTGGCATTTACGGGACTACTCCCAGCATCCTCGATCTCAACTTCGGTGATCTTGACCCTGCCTCCGGGGGCGGCCTGCTGCCTTCGCCTTTAAGCCAGCCCCTGTCCCATTTACGTGGACGAGCAGGCAGCAATGCCAGCAACCGGAGCGCACAGAGTGCTGCCAGCAACCAACTCAACGCCATGCACCAGCAACGACAAATGAACTATTGGAATTCTCCCATTTCGATTGAGCAGGTGGTGAAGAGGCTCACGGTATGAATACTCCGTGTCGTGCTTGATGTCCTGGTGAACTAACTGGTCAACAGGGCGAATTGAAGCAGGCAAAACAACAATCCCAAGACCTTCGCCAGACCGATGAATTTTTGACAACGATTATGAAGCCGGGTTACGCTGAAAAAGAGAAGCCCATCAAACCGTCTCCCCTAGACAACAGCGCTCATCGTCAAATGAACGGCCGTCCAAAAATGCCCCGCGTCGACTCCTTTTCTAGATTCTCTGATCCTCCCGCCCCGCCTCCTCAGCAACCTCTCCCAGAGAAACCAGATGCTCCGCCGCGAAGTGGCTCAGATGCCTTTTCTCCTTTGAAGCGTATTGAAACCGAAAAGTCAAAGTCGACAGCGACAGGATCACCTGTCTCGCGCGACTCAAGTCAGATCCTATCCCTGATCGAGGCACTATCGTCTGCGAAGCGAGAGATTGATACCCAAGGAGCCCGTGTTCAGGAGCTGGAAACTCTTTTGCGCCAGGAACGCGCGGCTCGTGAATGGGCAGAACAAAAGGCCCAGAAATTAGAGATGGGCTCTGCCTTGGAAAATGGCGACATCAAGACCGATGAGACGGTCGATGTACCCTCAGAGCCCGAACCGGAGATAAAGCTGGAGCACCGCGACTCGGAGACAGCCGCGAAACCGAACGGCTCTATCTTGCCATCCGAGGCTTCCAAACCTGTCGACGCCAGTCAGGATTCCTCGGCAGAGATCAAGACCACGCAACTCCAACGCCGTTTGGAAAGCATGATGGAGGAAATGGAGGAGATGAGACAGCAAATGGCCTCATTCAAAGAGCGAGCAGTCAAGGCTGAGGACGAGTCCGCACGGTCTCGAACTTCGTTGGCAGAAATGATTGAAACCCTGCGCCAGGAGCGTGCCGAGAAGGCATCGGTAGCAATCGCAAGCACCAAGTCCGAGACACAGAGCCATGAAGCGACGAAAATCTCTCCTGGAAATTCGGTGTCAAGCGATGATCGAACGGTACAATTCAAGAAACAGAGCCCCCGGATACAGTGCCTTGATCCTGTATCCTCATCTCAAAGTAAGGACTTGGATCCTGCAGCTACGGCATTTGCCGCACAACGTCACCGACACAGGCTTCTGGAAGAGGCAAGCCCCTATGCATCCATGTTTGGTGTGGTGCTTCTAGGGGTTGGCTTAATGGCCTACCTCAACGGGTGGCAAAAGCTGGACAAATAAACGAAGTTTGGCTTCGCGTGTTCTGTCTCTGACCTTGGGCATTGATGATCCCCCAAAGCCCGTGACCCATTAGGCCCATCATAATTTCTTTATATGGATACCCACACTCCTCTTTCTTTCTGACGATTCGATTTCTTGTATCCTGGGCTTGGGCGTACAGCCAGTCACTCGAGTCCTTTGGGTTTTGGTGTTTTCATGGCCATTCCATTGCATCCTCTTTGCATGACTTGACCTTCTCTCTTGTCTTTGTGCCACCAGATTTTATTTTCTTTTCCTTCGATTCCAGCTTGCGCCAGTTACGACTTCCTGGCGACCATTTTGGTCTTTTTATTTTTCTCTTTGGGCCACTGCCTCGTTTATCTATTGTTTCACACGCTGCGAAATTTGTCTCTGTATCCCGAGCCTTATCGGCCTAGTTCTCACAGTCTTTTCTCTTTTCTCATTTTGTTTCTTTTTCTTTTTCTTCCCAGTGTTTTGCTTTTTTACCCGCCGTTTCTTGTCTCCATTTGGGACTTGGCGTCGTTTTCTCTCTTTTGTTTGTACATGATGGGGGAAATAAGGGAATGTTCATGACTCGCAGCCTCTCGTTGATACACATTGCGGTTCGATGGGGAGTTTTCAAATATCATCTTTCAGCCTCAGCATGATCATGTTAGCGCTGGTTTCCCTGGACGTATTCAAGCTATTTTGACTATGTTTTACCCTTGACTTTTGTTCTATTGACGAATATTGTTGTAACTCATTGCCCTCTCTGTAATGGCATGGGAGCTTCGGGAGTTACCGTCCTGCCCCAAGATTATACAGTACGAAGACAGCTTGGCTTTCAAACTACTGTATTTTTCCATGCAGTTGCTCATGCTACAAATCTACACAGCGTCCTCTATTCCGTTGAGTTAAGCATCCTTGGTTTATGTAGATTTGCTGACGACAGATATTGATATTCCCTCGTCTACTCAGGATGTCTTAATTTGATAAGACGGGGCAGTGAATCGTTCTGTTCCCCCACATATAAGATCCCCAGTCAAGGGCGATGGGGTATCAAGCATTTTCTGGGGAGTGTCTGTGGCCGACAAAGTGTTCTCGGGGAACTATACCAGGGCAGAGGCGGGGAGTTCGATCTCCGAGAGAACATGACCAGGGACAGTGGACCGAAATGTTGCTTGCCCGGTTGCAATAACCCTCGCTCTCTCGTCACTCACAGCTGCAATGCGATTATTCTTGCATGTTCGCTGGCGATCCTGGGCCCGACGTATGCAAGTAAGCATGGAGTTGGGGGTGGTTAGGCTATGCTGATCTTCGCGCCTCCTTCCCATAACTGAGGGGCGGGTTTGGTGAACTGTCTGCCTGTCGATAAAAATCGAGGTTGTTCCGGTGACTCGTGGATTCGTGTTCCGATGTTTCCTTTACCTTCTCGAGGCAATTCACTTGAGGCTCACGGCTACTTCGACCATTTTGATCCAGCGCGTCCGCGTCTCGGGCAATTCGACCTCATCTGGCGACACAGCAGCCTGACGCTTCCTCTTCTTCGAGGCCGACTTGGAACCTGGAGGCTGTGTTGACGCAGACCCAGTCTCATTTACCTCAGCAGGCTGGGATGTAGAGCCAGAATCCTTCTGAGGCTGGTTCTCTTGTCGCTGACGCACCTGCATCTCGTGCTGTTTCTTGCCCTCGTCTTCAACCACGTCATCCACAACAAGCACACTCCCCGTCGTCACCCGCACCACATACTCGGCGCCCTTCTCTTCGAACCATTTGCCCACATTCAACGCCTTCTCGATCGCGCGCCCAGTCGCCTTCACAAACACCTCCTCGCGCTTCTCGGAGACACTCGCCAGCTCCGCAAGCTTCTGCTTGTCGGTCAAGCGCGTGTCCTCGAGACTGATCCCCGCGGTGGCGCGCTTCTCAGCTCGGCGAAGTAGCTTTTGGACGCGCTTCACGGCGCTCATGAACGGCGTGTTGCTCGAGACGTAGACGATCTTCGGTGCCGAGGCTCCGGCGTAGGGCGATGCAACGGGCGCATGAGAGATTGGCCGCTTCTCGACCTTGGCGTCTGTAGACCCGCGATTGGTTAGTGCTTCTTGTTTTTGCTGCGGCCATGTTGCATTCCCGCGTTGGCCGAATCTGCTTGTCCAGGTGTGAGGAGAGGAGCTGCGTACATTTCGGAAGCTTGACAAGACCCTGGTTCTTCTTTTCAAACTGGAGCTTTCGCTCCAGCGGCCCTTTGCCCATTTTGAAATAATCACCCGTCGCTGCGATGGTATTTGGAGTTCGGCTGAGGATGCGATGCTCGGTGATCATCTTCTTTTTCTGCCGGGCGGCGTGCGATGGAGGTTTGCAAGCGAACTGGTTATGTGCTTGTCTTGTGTAGTGTGTGGCTGCAGACATTTCAGTATATAATGAATATCTGCTGAGGTAGAAATATGGATTGGAATTTGTTGATTTGTCCCCCTGGGAATTTTCGCTGACTATGCCTAGAGCCATGTAAATATAATCTTCAGCAAGTTATTCAACATCAAGGACGGTTTTTGTATGATTCAACCTCCCATCAATCTATTTAGAGTTCTTCTTTTCATGATTAATTGCCCTGTTTCAGAATCATTCCATAAGGGCTCTTCTCAACAGTTGACTTGGTCGGGATTCGATAACTGTGCAAACTATGGCAAAATTGTGGGGAGACTTGATTATAGTTACTGCTTGACCGAGAGGTGAAATTACTCATCTTTGAAAGCTGGGAAGAGTGGAGATATATTCATGGAAGCCTTTTAAGCTAATGGAGCGCTCTTGTAGAAATGCCTCGGAACGAATGACAGAAGATGCTGCGGGACAAACTGTCAGCATCCATGTAGAAAACCATTCGTCATTCTTCAGGTCTTGAGCCGAGGGTGTTTCCCTAGGATCTAGCTTCATGATCCTAAGAATGAACTCTTTGTCCTTTTTTGACAACTCCTTCTCAGAAATGTGTGTAAATGGTCGTTGCTTTCCCTTGAGCCCTCTCATAATACCCATCAACACATTCAAAGTGGCGGAAGGTGCGATAACTTGGTAAGCGATAGGGAAGGGACCAAAGTATTGACTTTGCTTTTCGACAATTTTCATTTCATAGTCCTGAAGGCCGGCTGGGACATCAGGCTTGAAAAGGAAGAAATCACCCCCGTAAAGCAGAGTGATAAGCTGCAATAGTAGTTAGCGATGCTGATACAAGTGTGGAGTTAAATATAGATACCATTGTTCCAAATGACCATATATCAGTCGAGGTGCGCCAGCCGATTCCAAGCTGAGCCTCGGGACTGCGCCAAATTGGGGCTCCAATCATATACCCGTCTTTTGCATACTCGGATGCTGCTGGGACAGTACTCCCGCAATCTGCAAGCTGTACGTCTGTGAAACGGACCCCATTGTTTTCGGGCCCATAGTTCACGAGAACGTTGTCTGGCTTGACGTCTGTTTCCTCGAGTCAGACTAGACTGTCTGTATGTATGCTATTGCACAACAAGAAGACTAACCGGTGTGTACGAATCCTTCTTGGTGCAACACATTCAACGCCTGAAGGACTCCCTTGGAGACATATTTGATTTCATCTTTGCTGAGCCTTTCAGACACAGACGCGTGTAGAAGGTGGTCTTCGAGGTATTTCAAGACAATGGCGGGTGTATCGTTTGGTTCAACGATCTCATCAAGCAGAGGACGTAAAAATGGAGTGTGATCCTGGAACCTTTGAAGGACGTCTCGCTCATTATTTATGCGGAAATGTCGACCACTTTTGACAATAACTGGTGCACCCGTTTGTTCATGATAATAGAGGGGATGTCACTTTTCTGATTACCCGTCGGAGCATATGAGGGAACATCTGACACATTCCATACGCTTCAATCTCTCGAAAATGGACGTCGGAGAGAGAGAGAGAAATGTTACTTTGGTCGTTTTCATTCTCCTGTATGCGTAAGAGCGGCAATAGCACTTTACTTCCAGGGTCCTCTTGTGTGAGACGCCTGATGTTTTTCTTGAATAGTTCTTTCTTGGTAGTTCGGTGGAACGTTGCAGGGGATAATGACTTCAATTTCAGATAGTCTTGCTCGATATGTGTTCGAATTTTAAAAAAGCAATTAGCCTTGTCCAGCATCTCCTTGTTTCGCTCACTTTCTGTGTCGAGTCCAAAGCAAATCGCTTCATGGTTTGAAAACACATAGGGTAAATGTTCTGTTTGCATTTTGACTTGAGGGAAAATAGTAACAGGGTCGAGAGGGGAATTGAAGGCAGCAACTGGCGCTTAACCAGATTTGTAAAGTGGCTCGACGAGCAAAACCCTAAGATGCAGACACTTACTCCTAAGCCCACTGCTGCTTAAAACTTTTAATTATAATTATCCATGACTCTAAGTTCAATTATTCAAGATAGATTATTGTCGATCTGTGTGTTTGGTCGATGACCCATTAACCAAGGGTCAACGTTGCACTCCTATAGCCAATTAACCATAAGACTAATCCTATTTTGAAATAAGCATCACCCCGCAGTGCCAAGATGAAGCTGCTGATAGACCCTCGTGGAAATTGTGGTCAGTTTAGACTGTGGTACTTATATTATGCATCTATCCAGAGCATGAAGAACCCTTTTGGTCTCGTGGCACTTACTAGCATGTATTCCTTTTGTTACTACTGCTTTACAATGCGACGGCTGTTTTGGGGATATGGGAGAAACATTGACAGCGGAGAAGAGAAGAGAAGTCGAGCACTAGATTGGGATAAAAAGAAATGGAAGCAAATAGTTGTTTTATGATGGTAGAAGATAATGCTATGACGCTGTGTATATTATAGGGAAAGGGGAAAGACGGTGAACAATGGAGTGGCAGGCTCTTCAAGCATATCTTGTCCCAACATTTATTTTGAGCTATCATCTTTAGCGATGCTATTCTACTTTGAATAAATCAGGACGTCGATGATCTCGTGTATCAGCCCCGAAAGCGAAAAGGCAGTGCAGGGCTACTGAGGGTACCCACTAATGCACGGGATGGATTGATTATCTGGCAGTACCAAATCCTGTATCGCATAGGCCATGAGAGGACCACAACACCTACTGGCATAGATGTAAACGTAATGCAATATACAATTTGCTAGCATCATTGCTTTGAGCCCACGAGTAAGTAGTAGAGACATGATTGGCTTCAAGTGTGGAGGCCACGTCAAGTGGGGGCACCTTAAATATATGTGGCTCCAATCAAGCAGTGGGGAAGTATATAAGGAACCTTTCAAGGGTTTGAAACTGCTTTCCTCGCCATTCTCACCCCTTCCCTGTCCCAACCAGTTCGCCTATGTATGAGACAATGGCTGTGCCATTTGCAAAACCTACTTCGTTCAACTGACCTGTTAATCAAGTTTGGAAGAGATTGCAAATTAGCCAAGGTGGTGTAGTGAAAACACGGTGTGGTTGTCGGTCCCTCGTCTTCCCCAGGTTCGAGCCTCATGCTCATTGAGGGCAGCGTGGATCCAGGTTCAAGTCCTGGCATTGGTTGTATTTTTTTTCTTCTTTTCTATCTCTTCTTGTTCTTGTTCTTGTTTTTATTTGTTTTGAAGACGACCATTACGATCAACTTTCTAGAGGACCTGGCTTTTGGACCCACAGAATAGGTCTTTAGCCTATTTCATTATGAGACGCTAGTATATTCTTTCTCTGCTTGTAGCTTGTTGATGTCAAGCCAATCTCAACCTGCCCAGCCGAGCTGTAGTATAGAATCGCTAGGCTTACGGTTCTGTAAGATAGAATTTGAATCAAGAAGCAGTTGATTGTGGAATAAAAAACGGTCTAGAATCTCAATGTCTTTTGATCTTGAACCGGTTTAATTGATCTAAACCAACAAAAGGAAACCGAATAGATGCACAAAAAGCAGGAGATACAATAGTCTCAGTGCTGCGATGTTAAACATGACGCCCACATGGATTTTAAAGTTACAGATATGATGTCCTCGAGGAGAGTTGCTGAGGATGCTCTCAAAGGGAGCTCTTGATAGGGAATTTGAAGTCTTGGGCTGTTTCTTGTTGTTAATACTCAAACTCCCTAAAAAGGAATTTTAGGAACCTTACGCTTAGCCAATTGCAGCTTGGACATCTCGCGAGGGCCTGACTCTCCCTCCTCGAGTCCATTGCAGTCTTTGCCTTTTTCGACGCCTCGCCATTTCCAGATGGGAGTGAACCGGTCCGGAACTCGTTCGAGTTGGTTCTTGACATACTGCAAAAGCACAGTAATTAGCGTGTTTAATTTCCAAGTCGGGAATATAGTTGAAGACCAAACCTTTCCAAGAATTGGAAGGAATTTGAACCCATGGCCACTAAAGTGCTGGGATCAGTATAAAATCCACGAAAATCCAGATCAAGCACTTACGAGCCACCGCTGCAGATGAATAGGGAGTCCGAGTACCCAGGTACATAGTCGATGACGAACTACTCCGAGTTAGCATTGTGAAGAACGAGTGTGGATGTATGCTGCCATTTGCACTTACCTCGTTGTCGATACTGTCCGTGTACCAGCACAGCTTGAATGGTATGTCAATCAAACGTTCTCTATCAAAGCATGCGTTGTGATATGGATAAACCAACCCGGCTGTCGGTGAACCCGATTTCAGTCAACTCAGGGAACAATCCGCCGATCACACGCTTCATGAGCTGGAGTCCGTACAGAGGTACCGTGTTAATGGGCTCTGCGCTGTATTTTGTGCGAGGAGTTGAAATGCGCCTGGAAAGTTAACACAATCGTCAATAGGCGCTTCAAATATCCTATTTGGTACAACGTACATGTTATCTTGTCTCGGGTGATCTTGGAAGTTGGTGAACTGTTGCAAGAGAAAAGGTTAGTATAAAACTAGACAAGAGAGACATCATTCCTACCTTTCGCGCACGGAATCCAAACTTCAACCTCCCCTCCTTGGTAATCGGAAAGCCACCTCCTTCGTAGGCACTATGATAAAATGGTTATTTGGTGTCCGACAATGATGAGGAATCAACAACTTACGCTTCACCCTCGCCTTCCAAGAATCGCCAGATGGGGAAGTTGTCTGGGTGGAATCTTTTGCGGAGGTCTTGCCGGTCCTCTGGGATGTCGACAAACATCACGGTTCCCATTGTGGCCTCAACGGAGCGACTGGCCTCCGGAATCACTGATGATGTCCAAGGCCCACCTGCAAATACAAGGTCAGCATTTTTCAACTTAATTCGAGAATAAGTGTACTCACAGGCGACAACGACAAGGTCCGCCAAGTGACTGAGACCATCGCGGGTTCGGATGCCCGCCACCCGCTTGCTCGAGCCAGACTTGCTGACAATCAACTGATCCAGTTCACCCTGGGGCTGCCCCAAGACGAACTTGACACCGGCCTTTTCGCACAAATGCCGGGCATATACACAGGCCTGGGTGAAAAGTCAGCAGCCATTGTGAAGACGATAGTTTACTGATCTTACCTTGTCTGCGAGATTGACTCCGGAGCCTGCATCGAGGAATCCGTTCGTGCGACCACCCCTGAACTTGTCAAAGAGGTGGTATTTCTTCTCCCACTCGGGACCAAGCGCCTTGGCGCGCTGTTCATCCTTTGCGCTGCCCTAAGACGAGTGTTAATCCATGCCAAGCTTATATCATTTTGGGGGCTATTTCTGCTGAGCCGCACCTTGATGAACTGCAGATCGCGGAATTTAGGTGCCGTCTCCTCCATGACACGCAGGGTTTCAACATAGCGGTCGACCATCTCCGGGCCATCGGCCATGTGGTACACACCGCACATCTTAAGCAATTCATCCTCAGGAGTCAGAGGCTGAGGGAGATCCGATGGTCGGCTCTCTTTGATGGCTTTGTTCCATTCCATCCAGATATCTCTGGCCTCTTGGGCCAGGTCTTGAGAGCTAAAGATGTGGTCAATGCTTGGTTCAAAGAACTATATAATAAGGTTTCGAGATAGTATAACTTACTGCTCCCGTGTTCCATAGGTTGCGCGAAAGATCTTGTTGATGTCCGCAGATGCACCATCGCATCCATCAGCGGGATTATAGTGATTCTTTTCAAAGGGACAGCGGTCGAAGATGGTTACATTCTTGTAACCACCACGGGCGAGCCACAGAGCGGTACTCAGCCCAAACACGCCGCCGCCGACGATGATCACGCGAGAATCAGGAGTAGACATTTTGTGTGCAAAAAGTAGCTTGTCTCAACACGTCTGCGAGAAATCGAACTGTACCCTATACCGATGCATTCTATGTCTTTTTAAATTTGGTGAGAGTCGACGGGATTGCCGTCGTCGGATGTGGGGGAGGAGAGCGCGGGACTTCCGTCAGGCTATCTTATCGCAGCGGCACTTCCGGTATCTTCGTATCTTCGTCTTTCGCTTCTCGGTGACCCAAGTCTGTGGAGTTTCATCCCCACAATTTGACGATACGCCAGTTCCACCAATAATACCCGATAGCTTGGCCTTAATCATGGAAGGTAGCTTTGATATCTATCTCCGCACCCTCACGAAGCCCCGGGGTTGCCGCCAGCCCGAAACGAGTTATAAGAACCCAATCCAGGGGCCGTGGTAGCCGCTCGTGCGTATTGTTTTTGTTTGGCAACTGCCTCTGGTGTTTTTTCCTTTGGACTCGATTCGATTTCTACTCAAGCAAACTCTGCTGGACTGTGCGTCAAAATGGGCGTCGGAGACCTGCTCGCCAGGACTACCCTGGCGGACTGGAACAGAAAGATCAAAGCTGCCCCGCGTGAGGTGATTTTCAGTCGCCGTTTACTTTTGACAGCTTTGATGTACGCGACTGCCGCTGTTCCTTTGAGTAAGTTCAATACCCACAGCCGCCGCTCATCCCAACCCCCTATTGACCCCGTCGTCCACAGCATGGGACCAAGGCTCGACATCCACCATCTCCGCTCTACCGAGTTTTGTGGAACATTTCGGCATCAGCTCTAAATCCGGTGCCGGCTCAACGAGGAATTTTGTCTCTCTCGTCTATATTGGCGAGGCAATAGGAGCTGCTTTGTCATTTTTCATCAATGACAAGGTCGGCCGTCTGTGGTCTTACCGCATCTACGTCTTTGTGTGGATCATCGGGCAAATCGTGGCCATATGTAGTCCCGGATCATCGGGGCTGTATGGCGCTCGAATCATCTCGGGCTTGGGAATCGGAGCCCTGAGTGTGACGGGCACCGTCTCCATTGTGGAAATTGCCCCCGCCGAAATCCGTGGGCTGCTGGCATCTTGGTACACGGTGTGCATGACCATCGCGCTGATGGCGTCTACCTTCTGCGTGTACGGGGTCGAGCTTCACATGGGAGCCAGCCACCTGCAATACCAGGTGGTATGGTTCGCCCCGTGCATTTTCATGTTTCTATGGATTGTCGCCAGCTTTTTCCTCTGTGAATCTCCCCGCTGGCTGATTCTGACGGGCCGAGACCAAAGGGCCGTAGACACTCTCGTCGCGCTGCGACGCCTGCCAGCCGATCATCCCCGGATTCAAGAGGAAATGCAGAGCATCCAAGAATCAATCAAGGCAGAGACTGAAGGCCGTGATGTCAATGACAAGTCACCTTTCCAAATCGTCAGCATTGCAAAGGAGACCTTCACAGAACCGTCCAACCTCCGCCGCGTCCAGCAGGCTATTGTCATGTACGCCCTGCCACAGTTTTCTGGCGGCAACTCCGTCACCAATTACTTCATTCCCATTTTGCAGGTCGCTGGCATTTCCGGGAGTTCCACTCACAATCTCTTTATCAATGGCATGTACAACCTAGCCAAATTCTTCTTCAGTTTGTTTACGTCGTTTCTCTTCATCGATGCCCTGGGGCGTCGAAACTCGCTTTTCGTTGGCGTTACCCTGCAAATGCTTTCCGACATTTATCTTGCAGCATATATCAAAGTTGAACACGATAGTGGTGTGCCCCCGTCTGCAGGGAAAGCAGGATTGGCAGCCTTGTTTGTTCACGCTCTTGGTTATACCGTTGGTAAGTCTACATTGAACCGAAGTCGCGGGGGTAGTGCTCTGTCTAACATTGATATACAGGACTTCTCACTCTGCCATATGTTTTCGGTGGGGAGTTGTGGCCGAACCGCATCCGGTCCTTTGGCGCCGCATTGTCCCAGACGTTTCACTGGCTCTTTCACTACGCCATGTCTTTTGCCCTGCCCTCGCTTCTAAAACGAGCTGACGACTGGGGCGCATTTGTTTTCTTCGCTGCTTGGTGTGCCGGCGGTCTTCTCTATATATACCTCCTGGTACCCGAAATTGCCGGGCTCAGTGTGGAAGAGATCGATGGCATTTTCAAGGGGCCATGGATTGTCGTCGGTCGGCGATTCAGGTCTCGAGAAGATGATTCCCTTCTCGAGGGCCAGAACCTGACGCAAAATCCGTAAGATGATCTTCGAGATTTCAATACATGTGTGCACATTTAAGCTGACTCGTAATGCTAGGGAAGAGACCAACGCCAAATCCCTTGAGACCCCGGAGTCCCCTCCGAAGAAAGGTGCCAAGGGAGGAACAGTGACGATTGATTAGGTGTTTTGAATACAACCACACATCATTTATGTATTGCAATGAACCTTGAATAGGGAAGCGACATAGTCATTCAACATATATTTAGCGAGGAAATGTCTGATTTAGTGTTTTGGATCTTGGAATTCATTATTCATCGAAATTGTTAAAAATGAACTCGCTCTATAGAGATAGTATAATGGAAATGCCGCAGAGCAATTGCCTCATTCCGACTTTTTTTACTCCGAACCCCGCGAGGCTCCAATTTCGATCGTCCGGCACTTATGACCGACGTTCCCCATATTCCCCCATATCACACGTGGAGGCCCTCGTATTAGCAGGCGTCGATCGATCCTGCAGGATTTGCCATATACTATAAACGGACAAAACGCGGGGAGCGGCAATTCCGCGCAGCGCCTCTCGGTCCCCCTTCTAGCCAGAAATTGAGTCATTGTCGTTTAGATCTCTTACTCGTAAGCCTTTGCCTCTTATCTAATAATGTCTTTGTTTTCTATCTTTAATTTTCAAGGGGGTTGATTCTGATAATAAATTGTTCATATTTGCCTCATACAAAGATCCTGCAAGATTTGGTTTTTTAGGGTTTTGTTACAACAGGGTTTCGGGCGATCTTTCGATAGCGTCGCCCATTATAATTTATATAATACTGGTTCGCTTGTGAAACGATTAGATCTATCAACGCATGTTCAAATGCCTACAATAGTATCTCGATTTCCTATCTACAAGATCAAGGCGAACGAAGGTACCAAGATTACCGTGATCAAACTTGGTTCTTAATCGAAGTAGCATTTCTCATTTATAGATTTGCAGTTTGCCCCAAGCGTTCATCGCTGTACTTCCCAAAATCAAATCTACGAACATGAAGGCCCGCCTAATGAATTCTTGACATATACCATACCCAAGGACACTTCCAAAGAGGGTAACTTCCCCCACCCGGTTATAGACGATATCCATGGATAGTGTGTGTTCTTCTTAGAAAGCAAAAAGCTCTTTAAGTGTCAAGCTTCCTAGCCTAGCTACATACCTGCAATCCATTTGATATGGACCTCAAAAATAGGGAGATAAACTAAATGCGTCAAGTCTAGACTGGATATAGAAAGTATCTCACATGTTGGGGAGCATGGCAGTTTTTGGGAATATGCCATTATACTGATCGCGTAGTATTCAAGTGCCACCTAGTTGATTTTGAGGAGTAGAGTGCTCTTGATCAATACCACCTTTCTAATTAACCCGCTCATATTCAAAGACAGGAATGATCGAATAGGACCACTAACCAGGGTTAAAGGCGACAACACAGAATCGCAACGGTAGGAAATGTATCTTTTGTGTTTACCAGCAGCGCTTCGCCTGATTCTGCGAGCTCTATTGAAACATTTGGGTGATCTAATCATTGGTTAATTCTGTAACCAAGAACCCTTTTGCTCTATAGTCTATACCTCGCTAGTCTATGGGCAAGAGAATCTATCAAAAACGGCCGCTCTTTGCTGACAGTCGTTGACTGGCCACAAACCTCCGTATACGTCGTCACGTTGCCTAAGGTTGATGATGAAGCCAGTCGCAATCACAGGTTTCTACCGAGGGAAGCTATGAGCTATTTACCCATGAGCTACGATTGTCTCTAACCATGCTGATCAGTGGGGTTTGGCCCTATATCGGATGCCCCGTGACGCTAGAATCTGTATATTCGATCCTAGTGGGTCTGATAGCGGCCAAGACGAGACTTTCCGTGGTGTTCACATGCTGCCTGGCTCTCCGACGTGGTAGACGTGCATCGATCGACAGATCCCGCCCCCACAGTTCTACTCTCAACTCAGCTGGCTGTGGTTTATTGTTCAGTTTTCCACCATGCTTCTGAGAAGTTTTCTAACAAATAAGAGCGTGGTTTTCGCTAGTGATAGCTCCATTGATCTTCTCTTGCTATAATTCCACTTCTCACTGGCAGACCACCTGGTCCTAGACTATTGATTCGACTACCATATAGGTTACTCTATATTCATATGTGGAGAAGTGATGAGATCACTCTATACTCAAAGATATGTATCACGTTTAGGTTTTCTGCTCAAGTCAATCTTAGCTTCATCCTCGTGATTATCCGAATAGTTAGTCTCTAATATCTTTTATTAAATACGATGTTTTCTTGCTTGTTTGAATAGTTTAGGTTGCTGATTGAAGATGAAGAAGAGATTCTTATCTTTTATGTGTTCTATGCACGGTGTGTCTAAATGATCTTCCCTTATTACGAAGGATCTAGCCACCTTATGCAACCAAGCCACACAATCACGCCGCTATTCAAGATCATCGATCCAGTAATCTTGCTTTAAACTATATACCATAATAAACCTTAAGGTTTCGCCTACTGGGTACGGTTTCCTTCTCCGAGTTCCGGCAGAATTAGTATGCTATGGTTGTGAAGATCTATAGCGTCATACCTGGAAGTGATGATTTACTCAATACAATGACCCTTGGAGTATCCCCGCTGATATTAAAGCCGATGAGGTGGATGATAGAACTTGCTCAAACATAAATAGAGGCTTTTGGTCTACCCTATCTTGGATTCTTGTCAGTGAACCTACCAGTTTTATTGATATTCATACTTTTCCAATTGCCTTCACACGATCCCAATCAACTCGCCCCTAAAGACGTATGTTCTGCAATGATGTCCGCAGTCGCACCCGAAGGCGAATATATTCTCCTTCACAAAGCACTCAAAACATCGTATTTCGATCCCACCAACATGCAACAAATTCTACGGGAACTTGTTGGTCGGTACAACGATATATATGACGGAAATTATAGGTTGAGCAAGCTTGACCTTTTTCCTACTCAGAGAGGCGAGATGCAGACCCTTAACCTGATACGCTGGCTCTACAAAAGTTCTTGAACGAAACGGCCGACTTTGTGAACAAGTGTTTTTCCGACTGGAGAAAGAGGGAGATCTGGGTAACCTGACCGGCAAAGGATTGGGAAGATTTGAACAAGCCAGGATTGAAGCATCAAGATTCAAGGAAAGACGGAGGTCCGAACTTCGACTACCGTGAAGATCAGACACCTATCCCAGAGTGGACATCAGCACACGACCAGCAGCTGGAGGCGTTGGCTAGGGCCAGAAAGGCTACTCGGCTCAATTGAACGATTTCCTATTGGTGATAGGTGGGCATGGAAGCTTTCGGCATTTGAGGATACATGCCAGAATTTATTGTATGTGGTAAACCCTTCATATAACTAATGGATGTAGATGTCGATTCTGCTGGCTTAATTGCCGAAAGCACCGAATAATTCTAGTAGCAAGAAAACTCGGGGCAAGACTACGGGAGAAGTATCCTTTGAGCATATAGCTCCCTATCTAAGGTAAATCTCCCTTTTAAGGTCCTCTCGAGATCTTCACTGGGAGGATGACTAACCGTGCTGGAATCGTCGACGGGTCTACCGAGCGGTGGGCGGTCAAGCGGCTTGGAGTCGTAGAAAGGCCGTCTCTAACCCTAAATCGGCCATTTTCGTCAATTTTCAAAGTCTTCAGGGATTCTGGGTGGACATTTCTGGGGAATATCAACACTCCAGGGGCAAGCCTCAAGTGCAGGTGGGTTCTCCTACCGATCAATGGTCTATTTGCCACAATCATTCGTGATATCAGCATCGGATAACCGTAGATAAACGAATTAAGTGGTCCAAGCTTCCCCCGCTCACCTGACTTGAACCACACTTTCTCTCAAAGTCAACCATTTCCGTCTCAACCCTTTCATCTCGTCACTGCAAGAACGCGAGCAGAAAAGATGGAGGGGCCACCGTCGATGGGGCCCATAACACCGGCCAAGGAACCGAGCCTGCCTGATCAACCCCAGAATCGGCAGGCCCATGTTGGTATCCACCGACGAAGCACCAATGCTTGTGGGTATCTATCCCCTGGAACGTGGAGCATCTTCGAATCTAATCTGATGAATTAAGGCCGACGTTGCAAACGAAGGAAGATCAAGTGTTTTTATAATAGCGAAAATAGTCACAGGTAAGCGGCATCCATTCTCTATCGAGCGTTGCTAAAATAGATCTAGTAAATGTGTTGCATGTTCGAAGTCTTGCTCTGGTAGGGCACTGGGTCGCTAACCCAGCTGATATCGCTGCTAATGTATACTGCAGAGTGCCAGTTTGATGTTCCTCCTGATGGTGTGCTCAGGGGCCATGCGTACGTTCCTGCACATGTCGCCTTTAGAACCATCGTTAACTATTTTGCCCAGATATGTTGCAACTCTTGAAGCACGAATCCAGAGTCTAGAAAGGCAATTACGCGCAAAGAACTCGGTTCAATCGACTTTGACCCCAGGCACAACTTGTTCAGACCCCAATGATCATGAGGGAGACGCGCCTGCTCTGAGTTTCTTTAACCAGGGGACTGAAGAATCCATCAACGGAGCCCGTCAGGATGAACCACTATTATCACAGGCAAATTTGCATCAGGAAAATGTAACATCTCTACTGCCCTATGGTTGATTTTTTTTACCACTTAACAGGCTACTAACACGCAGTCTTAGAATTCCCGAGAAACTGCATCTTGTCATGGTTCAACACCACAACGACAATTAACAGGGGCCCTTATGGGGCCCACACATGGGAGGAAAGCATTGAGCTCTGAAATTACAGCCTTGGAAATGCTCCAGGGCAGGCCATTTATCTCTGACATCGAAGGAGACGATCTCCCTACCCTTCCGCCTAGCAACCAAGCGAGGCAGCTTGTGGATACAGCTTACTTCTACACCCAAGCACGTTATTGTATAACCGACTGGGTTCAGCTACGTGAATGGCACCGAGATCGCGAGGCCATTGCATACACATCTACCCAAGGCCCAGTCGAATCACAAACAGGTAAATTTTACTTTATGCAACCGGAGCGATCGAACACAGCTGATTCTCAGCCAGGGGCCTTTTTCATTTGGATAATCTACGGCATTGGGGCCCGTTTGGTTCAGACCCCCGAGAATTCATCAGAGGTAAGTAATCAATATCTGGTCCTCCCGTGGGAAAATGTACCTAACTGTCACAGGCATATTTCGCTCGCGCTCGACTTTACCTCCCTGCTGTGATGGGGTTACAAAACTTGACTACAGTGCAGGCTCTTCTTAGTCTTGTACAGTATTACTTCCGAGCGCCAACCGAATCTCCAATATGGGATATCGTAGGAGCTGCCTTGCGGCTGTGTGTCAGGCGGAGATACCATCGCAAGACTACGAGCTCTCCCAATGCCAAAGGCCTAGATCCATACACAATTGAGCTTCAGAAACGGTTTTTCTGGTGTGCATATTGTTTTGATCGGTTCGTGCCTCCAATTTTCATTCCTATTTGGTCTCCCTTACATGATGCATTTTTAACCTTGAATTTATAGATGTCTCGCGATTTTAACCAAACTCCCTTTCGGAATTAGCGATTCAGACATCGACGTGGAGGTATTTTGTCATCTTTCAAGACTGCCTTTTTGCCTGCTAACTATCTTGAAGATACCCGTTGATATCGACGATACTTGTACAGATCAGGAGAAGATTCTTGACCTTCAAATGAGGCAGGCTGCTGGAGATACGATTTATGGAAAGGGGACGATTACAACGGTATTTCTTTCAACCTTTTTTCCCCTTTGCCTAATAATGAAGGAGCAAAATTAACTTCTAAGACTAGATGACTGCGGCTTTACATCATTTACAATCATACAGGATCAGATCGAGGATATTGTGAGAAATACCATTGAATGTCGTCTTGTATAAATGACTGACGAGCTCTAGAACAAATTTCACTGGGCCGCATGCTCAAGTCCCTTCGTTGACCGAGGTGGAAGAGCTTCTCTCTGAACTGGGACAATGGAGACAACAAGCACCCCAAAAACAAGATTCGAGAACCTTCCCCCTCCAAAACCCCGACCGAGTCCAAACAACATACCTCCAGGCGGCTTCCCTCTTGATTCGGCCCATTTTGACGGGCAATGCAGTGGATCCCGATGTAATCCGGCTGTGTGTTGAGTTCGCGGCCGAGGCATGTGAAGTAAGTGTGACTTACGTTTTTTCTCTGGACAGAAATTATACTGACACTGTCCCAGAGTGCAAAAGCCGTGAGCCTAAATCCACAAACACTCCCAGAACGTATCAGCGTGTACCATTGTTTCTATTGCGGCATTGCACTCTTGCAATGTTTGACAATCAAGCCGACGGCGTTAAGCCCGAGACGCTCCCACCAAGCAATCAGCGCATGCTTGAGTGCATTAGCCGTCTACACGCGAGTCTTGCCTTCGGTTGCACCGTTTCTTCAGCTCTTCGAGGATGTATCCAATCTTTTTGTCCGCAATGACCATGGGTCCGAAATCCACCCCACTTCGAAAGTGCGTCATGTGTTGAACAGGATCGTGTCCAGTGATCCATCCGAGGTATCAGGGTATGTAGAAGTCGACGATCCACCTTATAAGATACTAACCAGGATTCACAGAATTTTGCAATCTTTGTCTCATCAAGACAGCCAGCAGGTTACGTCGGCGCCAACTCCCGAGCCTTTGGAAATGGAACCAACGGTATGCCATATCCCTTCATTCCCGTGTCCACCCACCATTCTAATCTCTCTTAGACAATTCAATACGATTCTATCCTGGGTGGCCAGTCTTCGGTGGTGCTTGGCGCCGGGGATTCGATGTTCCCACTCGGGATGCCTCTGGACATCTCCCCCTTGTATGCACCCGACACGGACCTAACGGGTCTGTGGACAGGGTCATGGTTGGACCCGTCATCAACAGAATTTTCCCAAATATCCGCTGGAGACATGATGGAATGAATTGGGAGAACTTTCACGAGAGACGTATATTTACTGTGAACTATAGACAATTTTACGAGAACTTTTTTAATATTATATATTATGATACCAGCGGCAGTAGAGCTGCAACTTTCGGCTCAATTGCCAATTCGGCCATAGCTGTATGTGGACTATTATGGGTTGGTGGTCATGCAATGTTGACTGATTAAGGCTGATCAATTACAATTACCAAGCTCTTAGAAATGATGTTGCGCGGACGAGATTTCGGACGGGCGAATAGTGTCCGGACGGGTGAAATCTATAGAGTATATAACAAATTTCGAGGTCAATAAGGGATTCAAAATAGTCTCCAAATATCTCATCCGTTTTGTTCAGCTCAAAGGCGAAATTTATTTTAGCTTTCACTTTCAAGACGCAAGCAAGTCTCGATAATGGCCGCCACAAGCAAGCTCGCAAACCAAAACATCCTGCTCATCGGGGGGACCTCGGGCATCGGCTTTGCCGTCGCCAAACAAGCCCTGGCAGAAGGCGCAAACATCGTCATCAGCTCGTCCTCAGCAGAGCGAGTATCCAACGCCGTCGCCCGGCTAAGCACCGACAACGCAGCGCGCGCATCCGCAGTACGCAGCTACGTCGCAGATCTCTCGAACAGAGACAAGCTCGAGGAGACGATCGAGAACCTACTCAAATTCGCAGCGGAGCCCTCACCGATCGACCACGTCGTCTTCACAGCCGGGGACGTGCCGCCGTTGGTCCCTCTAGCTGAGGCGTCCTTCGACGACTTCGAAGCCTTCCTGACTGTGCGCCTCTTCGGCGCTATGGCGTTGGGAAAGTATGCGCCCAAGTATATGGCACCAGGAAAATGCTCGTCTATTACCTTGACTACGGGTTCGCAGACCAAAAAGCCGCTGTTTTGGATGCCGCCCGCGGCTGGTGGTGCTGTAGAAGGGTTGATGAAGGGGTTGGCGGTTACGTTGTCGCCGATGCGGGTGAATGTTGTTTCGCCGGGCTTTGTGTTGACTGAAATACTGGACAAGATACCCAAGGGGTTGTTTGATGGGAAGGTTGAGAGCTCCAAGGAGAGGTTGTTGACAAAGGATGTTGGTAGTCCCGAGGATACGGCTGAGGCGTATTTGTATTTGATGAAGGATTACTTTGCGACGGGGTCGATTGTGGCTACGAATGGGGGAGAGTGGTTGGTCTGATGTCTTAGAAAGAAGATATAGGGTAGAAACTTCAGAGCGATATATTCAATCTTTCTTCTATCCGTACGCTTGTTGAATATTCAAGTTGGATAGATATCAAGTATCCAAGCTTCGTATGTTCTATTTAAATCATCCAGAGCCCATTGTATCAGCTCTTTTCACCATACGAATTAAACAATGCACCGTTTACAGTGAATGTGCAGGGATTGTGATCCTGCTGTATACCCCAGTTCGTACCAATATGGGCTTTTGCGGTAGGTACAAACTGCTCTGAAATACATACTTCATTTCAAATCACCAGCTTCTTTCTTTCGGCTCAGCTCGGTTTCAAAAATCTAGGCTGCTAGCGAAGAAAAAAAAAAAAAAAACCGGGCCGAGTAATCATGTCTTTAGTTTTCGAGTCAGTAATGCACTCAGCCAGACAGTTTATTCTACCGCAAATCGCACGGGATGTTTGTTCTCTTGCCCTAAATAGGACATATGTAGACACGCGATGAGGCTCCTGGTGACAGTCGGCATTCACCAGTGCCTGTGCTTTTAACACGAATTGAGTTTTTTTTTTCTCCTCTTATACGATTAAACCAACAAACGACAGTTTTCGGCCTCGCACAAGCCTCCGTCTTACTCAGAACGTGGGTGGAACTGGAGGCTCTAATGCGGCCCCTACGCGGGACAGCTGGCCCGGATCCACTTTGCTCGCGCAATCATCCCGTTCATTCACACGGTTTGTTGATCTTGGGAACTTGGGTTGCCGAGGCCCACCAATAATTTACCGTTCGCCGGCTCCTGTGGGTCATCGGGGCACACACTCAACTTATATCCCGGGTTCTTTTCCTGGATTAAGCTGCTCGATACTTTGAACACTCATGGAAAAGCAGCTAGGAAAGAGAATTCCAAGAATAATCAAGGCGGGAAGTAATATCCCTCGAGTATCGGGTCGGGGCTGCAGTGGAGTGGGCTCAAGCCGACGCATTGACTGGGACTTTTGGAGCACGATCCTTCAGCTGATTTTTAGAGAAGGTTATTTCACATGGCGCTGCACTAATGTTGGTCAATGCGATTGGGGCCCTTCAATTGCCAGTTAGGGTTAAATGTTGGGCTATCAGTGGGGGAATCTAACTCGGATGGAGTATAGTAGGTACGTTTTTGTAAGGCAGAAAGGATCGACACGGCAAAGAGAAAAAGAAAAAAAATGGGAAATGGGAAGAGGAAAATGAGGAGATTTCGCATCCCTAAAAAGAGGGTCTCATCCCACGCCAGAAGGTCTTGCCTGCATCGTTCCTGTGTCTCCTCGTGCTCAACTCCTCCCCCTCCCCCCACGCGTATATCGCGAGGTTTGCCTGTCAACATCAAAGATGGGCGAAGGCATCACATCGATGGGGCGGTATGCCCTCGCGATTTCGCTGTTGCCACTGGCGCAGGCTCTCACCTTCTCCTCGTTGACACCTACCGGCTTCGCTGGCATCGCCCCGGAGACATCCCAAGCTCCTCAACCCACGGCATCATTTGACGATAATACATTCCATGATATCGTCCGTCGTGACTCTTCCGCTGCTGGAAACCAAAGTAGTTTTACCTCATACACCACGCTCCTAGCGCCGGCCAGTCTCTGTGGCTGGATCAGCGACCATCAACATAATAACTCATACTACGGTAATCATTCACATATCATCAATGAAAACCTCAACGTGAGAAATCAGGAATTCTAATGTCAGGTTAGGCCGCCCTGTGCCATGCAAGGACAACGATGCCTGCTTCTTCCACGCCCCCAACGAAAATTGGCCCGGCATGCTGGGCTGTTGCACCAACTCGGACAAAACTAAGTGTGACTTCTACTCGGCCTGCCACGATGCCCCTGAGATCAAGGCCACTCCGTCGATCACCGCAACGAGTGATCCTCTGGCTCTGACCTGCACGGATGGACCCACCACGCGCTGCATGTCATGGAGCTTCCCCAACGCCGACGTAACGGGCTATGCCTGTGACCTCAAACCATACACCATCTCCGCCGCTACCCAGTTCCTCCAGTCGACCACCAGGAGCGGACAATCGGCAACCTACTACACCGCAGCACCCGTGTCTTTCGCCGCCGATGATCTGATTTCCACCCTTGCGGCAGGAGGAACCGGCTACGCCAAAAACAAGAATGGCGGCGGCGATGACTCTAAATCCGGGGGAGGCACGAACGTGGGCGCCATTGTTGGAGGTGTTGTCGGCGGCATCGTCGGTCTCGCCGCCATTGCCGCCGCCGTCTTCGTGTTCTGGCTGCTGCACCGCAAGAAGCAGAAGAAGGCTCAGGCCGCTGCCGACGCCCAGGCTGCTCAGCCACAGCCGGGCCATGGAAGCCTTCCCCCGGGCCCGGAGTCTGTCACCTCGCCCATGTCTCCGTCGTACGGTCCTTCGTCTAACTGGGGAGGCTCGGCCGCCCAGCCCTCCGAAGTTGACGGAGCCAGCATTCGAAGTGGCCCTGATGCGTATGCCAAAGTGCAGCCCTTCGGCCGTGAAGTCGGACAAGGAGGACCCCGTGAGATTGGTGACTCAAAGCCTCGCGAGATGGCTGGTGACTCGATGCCCTTTATTGCGGAGCTGCCCACGAGTGCGCAACCCGAGGCGCCCACGAAAACTGACTGATCTTGATCTCTGTCATGGATGTCTGTGTTCCATTGGGATTCATATGCGTTGGCGCATCTGAGTCTTGGATTTTGCATATCTAGAGGGAGCTCTCTTGTCTTTTTGCCCGTCTTTTTATAGCTCTTAGTCGCTATTCTCTGCTGTGTACAGTCTGCTGGCTTTATTTGATAATATCCATTTAATATCTGGCGTCGTTGACGATGTATAGAAATGAAGATACGTTGATTTTGACTTGGAAGAAATGATATAGATATTACTTTCATCTAAAACATCAAGCTTCAAGTAAACAGCACGTCCCAACTCGGCCCAGCTGTGTCAATTGCCGTTATAATGATGGAACCCCGAATTCCACTGCACTCATCATTTTGGATGACTTTCATCCATTTCATTTTTACTCGTGGAAGTCGTAGGCTGCGATGGACCCTTCAGCTTGAAATCGCACTTGTCATTCCAATGCCGGTTCTGTCAAAGACTTGTGGTCAGATTTTCAATCGTTCATAATTAAAAAACGCTTTAAGAGATCCTTACTATGGCGTATAGTCCGTAGTTCTCTGGGTTGCGAACGCTGGTTTCTGAACATTTCTGTCCAAGCATATGGCATTCGTATGGATCGTAGACCTCGTCATCCTCCAGGTAAATGGATCCCAGGCTAAGATGTTAATGTCAGTCCAAGTACACATTGAGAAAAGGATGCACTTAGTGAGAGTCTGCTCTTACTTGGATTGTTTCATCGCTTTATCTCCAATGTGAGGACAGTGTCTAATGGGGCCAGAGGAATAGTTAGTTAGCGTATACCCATAGGCCTCTTGCAGTCGGGGGCACATCTCACATGAGCTCATGCAGCAAGGTTTCGAGCAGATTAGCCGCCAGTCTCTCAGTCACTTGCCGAGGCTGGATCTGAGAGCACTCGGTCCATTGGTGCTGGAGATAGTAATCCATCAACTCTTCGCAGAAGTGAATGATACAATCATCCTTGCCCATGGCCGAACGACTGACAACGCTCGACAGTTCCGATTCACTGAGCTTGCTAAAGGGTTGCGTGTATGCCAGCGTGCCCTGCAGCCCCGAGCATTGCTTGGCGTAATCGTTGCTCATTATCCAGATCTTGGGGGAGTCTTTGGGCGCGGGAGGCGAAGCGTTCGGGTCAACTGCCTGCCACATGAACCCGAAGACGTGCTGCACCTCGAGCAGATATTGTGGGTTGAACCATAGCTCGAAGATGTCGTTGGGATCTGGCTTGTCGACCAGATTCAGTAGATCGACCAGCTGCTTCCACATATCCTCGAACTGCTTGAACTTGGATGAAGTCTTTTGGTAGCCGTCGTAGTAGAAGACCTCGCCTTTGGTGTATTTCGAGGGGACCGGGGGAGGATCATTTTGAGGGGAGGGGGAGGCTCGGGCCACAATTTCGTTCGTAGGCTCACTGTAGTATTGTTTAGTATGGGGAGCGCATATGCAATGTTGTCCCAAGGAAATACTCACTTGGTATATAGCACTCGGGATGTCACGAGAGGGACCAGCAATGCCTCCAAGAAGAAAAGAACTCGCATGATGAAGTCTGCGGCGTGAGGACAGCTCAGAATAGAATGCCGTGGTACAAGCAACAGTCGCTCGGAACAAGCCCTTTCTCGATCAAATGGGACTGTTCCGCAATATTATACTGGACTACATTGTTGGGGGCCAATAGTCCCTGTCAGGGGAATTACAGTACTGCTCGCCGGCTCATAATTCTGTAGTTTAGCTTAATTATGCTTGACTCTCCCTCGTCTTTGTTTTGAAGGCTGTCTGGCACCAAACAGTATTTCAAGCTCACTGGGGTGCTTGAGAACGTGAAAGCTTGGATCGGAGTCTATCTCTTTCAAATCCACGCGGCTCGGTGCGAATTGCAAGAGATTCGGCTAGTCAGCGGTACAAGAATATCCTAGTACCGCGTAAAATGAAACTAGAGGCTCTCTGTATTGTTTGGTAGCAGTCCTATACCGGGTTGAGGATAGCGGACTGAAATTTTTCCAATTTACACTTCGGCCCTCGATCGTACTTAACACTTTCTGTGTGGGGGCCAAACCATGGACGTGGCTATGCCACAGAATAAAAGGGCCAATGTAGAGATGTTAGGGACAGATTGAGACAAGAAAAAGAAAACAGCCACAGTCAACACTACACTATGTGTGTTTATACCCATCTTGTTCCGACTATAAGCTTCTTCAGGGTTCGAAGCGAAGGATGCTCAAGGCCCCTTTGTAGAGTAAAGATCGGCCAATACGCTAACTGACTCGAAAGTCGAAAATAATCCGGTTATTGATATTTTTGTATGCGCAAATGCCTCTCATCCTCTTTTTCTTTTTTCTCATTTTTCTTTTCTTTTCTGGTTAAGTGTGAACACTATCTTCTGTTCATCGGCCACTATATGCGACCTAAAACGTCCTATTAGTTACGCGAGAGTAGGTCACGGATATAGTCTTTAATTTATAAAGGCACTAATTCTTGAAGACAGAATTAGTCTATAGGGTTATTTATTTCGCCCGCTTTTTACTTCGGATTGGATCAATTCTTGTTTCAGCGCAACTCTGCAACCCTAAAGCTTAGGCCGGAGGGAAACGGACGAGCTTTAGTTTGCATAATTATAGGAGACTAGTATGGTGAAATAATGCTGATTTATAAATCTATCAAGCCAGAACAGCTACCCCTGACCCTCTTTTCTGTTCACCTCTGTCTTACCTTTAGTTTTCACGAGTGGCAATTGAGTCACCATATCTGTACATCTGGCGTACCAAAGTGGTCAAGCTTCGTCTATTTTGATAAATCACTAAATGGATATTAATGAAAGAAAAACCCGCGGACAGCCCTTGTAGCATTCAACTTATCCGACTGCTGAGTTAGATACTTTGATGCAGCTCAGGGGTTGCTATCTGCCGAAGCCTCCTGACTCTCTTTTCCTTCTGTTCTCGCGTTCATCTCCCCGAAAAGTACCACGCGTGGCGCGATGCATCGTTGAACCGCAAGTGCAATTTGCAAATGGCGATCCTTTTCACTTTTTCTCTTTCAAACTCGACACAGAATAAAACACCCGGCATACTTCATTCCAGTCCCGGACTTTTTGCTCCTCCCAGCCCTTCTGACGAAGCCCTGTGCTGTGGAATCCCATGAATTTTTCAATGCAGATAAAATATTCAGAACAGTCTGTGTCTGTCCACTGCTGTTCCTGGAAAGAGTTGTATTGTAGAAGAGAGGATATGTAGGTATAGTACAAGGCGATGATGTATAACCCTGTGAAATGGAAATTCAGTTAAAGTTCAACATTATCTTATTAAGCTCTACTACTTATGATACCCAGCCACTGATATAATAGGTAACTGGTGAAATCATATTTCCCTAATACTCAGATTTTGTGTATCTAAGTAAAAATTGGGTAGAAGCCACTTGAGAAACTCACAAGTGAAAGACATCTACCTAGTATTAGTGCCCTAGAACAATAATGCCAGAGGCATATAAGTATTGTCATTGATAAGTTTTTACAGTAACTTACTATCTGAGGCTTTTAAACAACCACAGCTAGATAGAGCTACAGTCTACCTAGCAGCGCTCAACGTAGATAGTAGGACAAGAGAGCTCTTGATTATGTCTAGTAGGGTTAAGAAATATGCTTGTCCAGTAGCAGTTTGCGCCCTCGTTGGACTTGATCACCCTCGAAGTCTACCTCAACGACTAGCCAAAATCCTGCCACTGGAAACCAGGCCCTGCTCATCTCAGAGCAGCAACAAGACGAATACGACGCGCGACGCATCATCTGTGGACTACGTACGGCTCCTAGCAGGCAATCAGCATGATGCCCCTCCTGGCATCGACACGCTCGATCCCGCCAGAAATCCCATCTCCAAGCACCAGGGGCCCCTGAGCTCCGTATCGCAGGTCGACTTCGACGCCCAGACGCGACCAAGCTTCTCGGCGAGCTAGCTGCCGACGGCGCAGATGCCGCCGAAGCCGGTTGTCAAACATTGGGGCGAGGACGAGATCACGAGCGCTGCTTTTTCTTTGTCTAGCACCCTTACGGGCCTCTCTCGGATCAAGGAGAAGCGGGTCACGAACTCCTGAACGGGCGAGTTGCTTGAATGGCGATGAGATCCGCAGTGGCTTGTTTTCTACCTGTGGAAGTATTCGGGCGAACACGGTGGTTGCTGAATTAGTTTAATCGATTGATCAGAATGGTGATGTGTGAGGTATCTTATTTTTTCGATGTTTGTCGACCTCCCCCCCCCTTTTTTTTTTTTTCTGAACTCGCTTCTGTCGATGGTTTTGCCGAGGTATGTCCACCGAATTATAGCCTCCTGTCGATCCACTCGAAGGTTGAGGGGGATATTTATGATGGACATTAAGGGATGCATTCTAGCCTAAGTTCAGCCACGATATTCCTAAATTGGCTCCGAAGATATGTAGTTCAAGACGATACTTCAGGAGAGAATATGCCATTTCAGGGATAAACAAGGATCGATATGACATAGTCATAGCAAAGATAGTGAAATCACCAGATCCAAAAGGGACAAAACCAGGATAAACCCAGGATTTCCCCAGTTCCCCCCTCGTTTCACCAAGCAAATTAAACCCTCCCAAGAGGCTGGTTGCCGGACTCGCGGATGATGCCATGATCGCCCGCGGACTCTGGGCGCTGGATCACCTTTTTTTTTGATTCTTTTCAGTTGACATTCCTCCTGAAAGACTGTGACGGGGTCCACTGGAGTCCACGAGCCAAGGATCGGCCGCATCCTCTTGTCAGAACGGAAGATCCCAAGTGTCTGGAACTCGTGATCGTCGCTGGGCTCGAGCTGAACTCGACCCACGATGGAGGTGTTCCACTCCACACACGAGAGCCCCAGAGAAAAAAAAATTGTTTAGCGAGGAGTCGAGGATTCGAGTCAGAGTGGGAATCGGGATGGGGGGATCTGATTTGCTTATGGATGTTTTACATGGGGAAAAAAAAAGAAAAAGCAAACACACGATAGATCATTCCGCGTGGATGAGGCAAAGAAACCCCAAGTTGAGCGTGGGTCTTGCCAAGGGATGCCTTGACAGCTTCGGAGATGGGTACTTGTTTACTTGTTTATTTGGTTAGGACATGAGGTGTGTCTATTTTCTATTCTATAATAGTAGTAGTAGTAGTAGTAGTAGTACTATTATTATTATTATCAAGGATTCACATCAATTTTCAGTCAGAAAAAGAAAAAAAAAAGACTTATCCAACGGTTGTCTTCCGACCCGACATAGCGGTATTAGTGTGTCCATGGAGGAGCCGGGCGATGGCTGTGATTTGGCTGTTCGCCCCAGGGGCCGCTTGCGCGTTCTAAGAGGCTCCACAGATCGAACACAGGCACAGTGGCATTTTTATTCGCTGGTGTGTTGATGTCATGCTCCCACAGAAACGCCAAGGTTGACATTTACTTATCCATAGATAACTTTTGTAACTCTTCGGTGAAGATCCCGAGGGGCATCTATGGATATCTCTCAAGGGGGATGTTTGTTTACATCCCCAATTAGGCAAACATAGGAAGAACAAACCCTAGAAATGAGGGTTTAATCTTGGAGTCTATAATTTCCTAAGCAGATATTTGTGCGATTCCTGTACAACATCTCGGAATAAAGTCCAATCATCACCGACTAGGGCAGTAATTACACGGGGGCCAAGTGGGACACCCGGAAGGGCGGGAAACCAACGGCTGTCTTTTCCTGTGCCTGAGGGGTGCCTGAGTGGAGCCCTAATAAACAGGCGAAACTGCGAGCCGGCCAGTCGGTGCTGGTCCAGACACTCGGCTCTGAGTGTCTTTTTCTATCCCCCTCTCTCCCTCTACCTTTCTATCTTTCTATCGTTCTATCTCTTCATTACTCTCTCTACATTCCTTCGCTGTGTCTACTGTGTCTACTGTGTCTATTCCAAAGTAGACTGCACACTCTTTCTCTATTAGCCTTTTGTTTTTTTAGACCTGTCTCTCTTGCCTTGCATACAGATCGTGTGCGAGATCTACAGGAATATCTCACAATCCCTTCCACCTACGCCACTTTCTTTTCTTTTTTTTTCTTGTCTGATCCCTCAAGTGAATGGCTAGGGTTACATACATCTGATCTCCTCATATTCTGTGCCTATTTCCCTCTTTTCTTATTTTTGCCTGGAACGTCACACACGCCCTTCCGTAGCGTGGTTTGATTTCCAGCGAAGCTCGATCACGCGCTTATCGTTTTGATAACCATCTCTGTTTACGCTCCCACTCTTTTTTCTTCTCCAAACCCTACATTTTCCCAGGCCCCGGCTATTCCAGGCTTCGGCAACTTCAGGCTTCGGTAATTGCAGGCCCCGACTTCTCATCATGTCTCTCCATGAGTCGCTCGAGGCCCCCGATGGTTCTGCCTTGACCTGGATCCTCGACCACTGCGCTCGCTACCCCGGATCGTATGAAATTCCTCTCCGAACTATGTATGCCATCAACAGCAACCCCGCAAAACCCGTGACTGGCAACCGTGCACCCGATATGTTCATCCGCAATTCCACTTCCACCAAGTCATCTCGCTCGTCGCAGGATGATTCATTCGACTCAGCCACCGACCTGCGAGCGCAATTGACCCACCAAATCTCTCGCCTGCCCTCGCAGCCATGCTCGCTTCCTCCCTCTTTCATCACTTCTTTCCTGCGCCGCTGCTTCACTCTGGAGCTCGAGAAGGTTGATTTCCCCCAGGCTCTGACCGCGCTGGATTACCTGAAGGATCTGGAGACCCGCTGGAAGAAGGAAATGGCTGCCGCTCTGCAGCGATTGAACATCCGACCGGAGGATGCCAACCAAAAGGAACTGGCACGCAAATATCCCGGTGTGATGAAGTGGATCGATATGATCCACCTCAAGGGGCGTCGTCTGGAGGTCCTGTACACCCAGGTCTATATTGGCTTGCGCCGATTCGTAAGTTATGCGAAATCCAAATACGCCGTGTGACTGAGACTAACAATGCTCTTCTCACAGTGCCTCATCAACGAAATGATGTTGGATCCCTACAACAAGGCCAACTGCATTGCCCTGCTCAACACCTTGTTCCCGCCCATCACTGAAGCCACTGTCGCTCCGACTCCTCAATTGACTCCTCGCCTTCTCCGGGCACAGCGCGATGGTTTCTTCAGCTACATCACGGCAGTGGAGACCCGGGGCAAGGATGTTCTGTTCCCCATCCTCCGCCAGGGTGCGCCCGAGGGTGACATGTCTTCGTGGCCGTTGATTCATGATGTAATGAGCCGGTACCTGGCCTTGGCCAACGACATCATCGACGAGTGTGTGCTGGTCAATGAACCCATCCCTCAGGAGAAGGATGCCTCGCACCACAGCCACAAGGGCCGCAAGGTGGACTCGGGCATTAGCTTTGGTTCGACCGGCACCGACCGAACTAGCTCTGAGGATGTGGCTGAAAAGCCCCTGCCCCAGTTCCCCGCCCCCAAGAGTGGTTGGGCCAAGGGTGGTTCGGCCCTGGAACGTCTGGCCCGTGAGATCCGCAAGCTGGGTGATGGCGCCAAATCCAAGAACCTCAAGAAGATGAAGTCCACTCCTGTTCTGCAGCGACCGGGTAGCCACCACAGCTACACTGAGAGCTCGTTCTTTGAAATTGATGAGCAGAAGCGCCGCCGCTTGATCGGAGAGGCTACCAGCCGCAAGAACTCGCAGTCTCAGGGTTCCACCGCTGGTTCCCAGTAGACTCTGGTCTCCTACGTCCTGAGTCTCTTTGACTCCATTGCCATCTCGACTGACTGGCTCGTTCCTTACCCAATGCCAGGGGCGGGCAGCAAATGAGTGCCTCACTTTTCTTTTTCTTGTCCCCCTGCAAACACTCCTTTTATCTTGCACTGTCTTCTTGAGCGGCTGCTCACATGGGTTTCGTTTCATTGTTTCATTGCTCCATTTCCCTGGCGTCTATTACTGAAAAGTCTATCCGGGTTGCACATGGTTTGATTATCTTGTCTTCTCGGCGCATGCGGCGCAAGGATCAAAAGCTGCATCTGAACGGGGAGAGGCAAAAGTTTTTTTATGGCGCGGGGGTCGCCTTTCCTTTTTTTAACGATTTACGGGTTTACGATTTCACATTAGCCAGGGGTTCAATTTAACAGGGTTTTATCCAAAGTGCTATTTTGTAGACTGTAGCAAAGCCATCTACTCATCCTGCCATCTGCAGTATATCCATCGATGTAAACACAATCCTCGGAGGCTGCGCAAGTTGCCGCACCGCCCGCCGTAGAAAGCGATAAGATAGTGAACCATCCAAGTGTCCAGAACGCGATCAATCCGCAATCCCACTTCTTGCTACAGAGCGTTGGCTCCTTTGGCCCGTGATGCTTGTTGCTCTATCTTCAATCTGGCCTTTTGCACAATAGCGACACCACCGCCGTACATAGATCTGCGCCCACTCCGCCCGGGGGCTGACCCCCTATATACACCTGTACCCTATACACGTCCCCGACTCTGACAATCTATTGCAGCAGCATGAGACCTGCTGTAGGATCTGCCATCTCATGGTGGCAATACGCTGCCCTTGGGGTCCTGCTCCCCGGCTGGTTGGTAACGGCTAGCCCGGCTGTTAACGTGGCCCTTCAAGCCTCCTTTGACTCGGCCCCGTACCTCGTGGAGCTTCTGTACGTTGATTGCTAGCCCAGCATTGCTCTATAGCTGCATGGATTTGAATTGTATTTGACTTTGCAGAGTTGTATGTGTTGATCAATGCTGATAAATATTTCCAGGGAATCCGCCGCCGAAGAAAACTCCACCTCCTACTTTCCTTTACTTGACCGCATTGCTGACGGTGCATTCGAGGATGCTGGAACTGAAAAAGAGCTCTATGACCGCTTCTTGCAGGTTGTCTCTGATGATGGCCATCTTCGCACCCCCGAAGCCCTGTCGTCCTTTAAGCTGTCGCTTGCTGTTCGGTCGTCGGCTCCTCGGATCGAAGCCCACTATCAGTTCTATAATACTTCTGTCCAGCAGTCGCTGATGGCTGCTCAGGATGCAGCATGTCCGGTCTGGGTTCATTTTGACGGCAAGCAGTATTGCTCTGCAGCCATGGAGCGCCCACAGCAGGACGTCCTGGGTGAAATGTGGGTAGAGCCTCTGACCGTTAGATATCTAGGTTGATGACTGACTTTGAGGCTTTTCTTTGACACAGGGAACCAAGGGAATTGCCGTTTGATCAAGTGCTGGGTGATACATCGCTCCCACCAGCCTTCCTCTACGCCGATGTTTCTTCGCCCATGTTCAAGGATTTCCACGAGACATTGAGCTACTTGGCAAAGCAGGGCCAGATCTCGTACCGTGTGCGCTACCGCCCCCCTCAGCACTGGACGTCTCGTCCTTTGTTCGTGTCCGGATATGGGGTCGAGCTCGCACTCAAACGCACCGATTATATCGTCATTGATGACCGAGATGCGGAGCAACGCGAAGACAAGAATGCCAAGGACCGCGCTCCCACCGACCCAGAGGAGCTGAAAGAGGAAGCTCCCGATGACCTGCGCCCTCTTGCTGCTTCCGAAGTCACTAAGCTGGGCTTGAGCTCTGCGGGTTATGTCATGGATAACGCGGACCCGCTGGACACTCTGGTCAAGCTGACGCAGAATTTCCCCAAGTATTCCTCAATGGTGGCCGCGCACAATGCATCGGAGGAGTTGCAGGCGGAAATTCGCGCCAATCGTGGGAGGAAGCTTCCCCCGGGTTACAATGGGATGTGGGTCAACGGTCTCCAGATCGATTCTCGGGAGACCGATGCTTTCTCTCTCTTGGACCTCTTGCGTCGGGAGAGAAAGCTTATCGAAAAGTTCCGGGGCCTGGGTATCTCTGCCCAGGAAGCTGTGAAGATTCTATCGCACCAGATCATTGGCGAGGCTCGGATCCAGGAGGACTCGCAGCGCTTTGACTACCGCGATCACCTGGAAGGTGGCCAGGTCATTATCTGGCTGAATGATATAGAGAATGACCCTGTGTATGAGTCGTGGTCTAGTGACCTTGAGAGGGTATGTGTTTTCCACGGTTCTCTTGGGGTTGTCTTATTGGGCATTTGCTAATTTCTTTTCTTCTAGTTTTCCTTCGCCTTTCCGGGACAGTTGCCTCCAGTGAAACGGGATCTGCATAATGTCATCGTGCCTGTTGATTTGTCCAAACCCGAGGATATGATGGTGGTGTCTCGACAGATCTATACTATCATCCAGCGAATGATCCCTGTGAGATTCGGCTTGGTACCCACCACCTCATCGCCCGAGTCCATTGCACAACTCAAAGTTGCGCACTATCTCCATGAGACCTATGGACTAGCATCGCTTGTGCAATATTTGCAAGAGGTAAGGGAAATTATGAGCTGTTTTTATTTCCATCGGCTAACGTGTGCTCTCTACAGGCTGCTTCAAGTTCCAAGTCTTCACTCCCCGATAAATCTGGTTTCCTCTCTGCGACAAACGAGCGGGAGCCCCTTACCGATAAGGAAGCCATTCCTCTGGAAGAAGTGCTGAAGAGTGAAAAATACCATGCGCGGGTTCCCACTACAACTGCTTACCAACGCCGGTTAAGTCTCACCGGCGAAACACCCCATTCCTTGGTCAATGGCGTTCCCGTTGCCCGTGGGGACTCCTGGATCCAAGATCTGAGCATGCAAATCGGCAGCGACTTGAAATTGGTTCAGCACGGCATCGCAGAAAATCTCTTCGAGGAGGATGCCTGGCTTCCCGAATTCTTCCTGGCTGGTGCTTTCGAGAGGCACAACACCCTCATCATGCCCGAAGACCCCTCGAACGTCCGCATAGTCGATCTCGCTAGTGTCTTTGGGTCTGATGACATCCTGAACAATATTCCTCGGGTTGCATCGGACCAGAGCGTTTTGGATAGCGCCCATGTGATAGTGGTGGGCGACTTTGAGACAGAGGAGGGACTCAAATTGCTCTCCGATGCTCTCGCCTTGCGCAAGGAGCACGGCGAGGTCGATCTTCTTTTCCTGCATAATCCTTCTGCCTCAGATGATGGCAGACGTCCCTCGGAGCATCTTGTTGGGATCCATCGTTCACTCCTGAAGGGCGAGGATATTGATCAGATTTTGGCTCATATCGGCGCCGCCGATAACAACGGGGACCAGGTCTCAGAAGAGGAGATTCAAGAGCTCTCAACAATTCAGGAGCTGCAACAGCGACTCGCTGCACAGCTTGGATTTGGGCCTGGTGTCGAAGGTCTTGTTGCGAACGGCAGAGCCGTCGGCCCTATTGAAAAGGACTCTACCTTGAGCGTGGAGGATCTGAATCAGCTTGTCGCTTACGAACGCATCAAACGCATCGATGTTGCTGCCCTGGTTGTCAAGAACCTCGGACTAGAGTCCAAGCTCTCCAAGCCTCTGGATCTCGCGAAGCTCAGTTCGCTTGTTGCGCTTTCGATGATTTCCGACGTCCCCGAGGGTATTTTTGACAATACCCCCGACTACAGAATCGATGTGTCTGAAAGGTGGCACACAAAGCACTCCGTGATTACCGTCTCCAACTCCGAGGACCCAGCAATTAACGTCGTTGCCATTCTCGACCCGGCGTCCGAAATCGCCCAGAAGTGGCTGCCAGTTCTCAAGGTTATGTCTGAACTGGCAGGCGTGCAGCTGAAGATTCTCTTGAACCCCAAGGAGGCAATCAAGGAACTGCCCATCAAGAGATTCTACCGCTATGTGCTTGAATCAGAGCCATCGTTCAATGGCGATGGGTCCCTGTCACGGCCCCAGGCCTCGTTCTCCGGCGTCCCCGTTGAGGCACTCCTCACTCTGGGCATGGACGTGCCCTCGCCATGGCTCGTAGCGCCGAAGGAGTCGGTCCATGATCTCGACAATATCAAGCTAAACTCTCTGAAGACGGAATCCAATGTTGACGCCATCTACGCGCTCGAGCACATTCTGATTGAGGGTCACTCGCGTGATGTGACAACTAAAGGGCCCCCGCGAGGCGTGCAGCTGGTCCTGGGTACCGAGAACCACCCCGAATACGCGGATACCATCATCATGGCCAACATCGGCTACTTCCAGTTTAAGGCGCAGCCGGGTCTGTGGCAGATCAACCTCAAGCCTGGCAGTAGCGAGAAGGTTTTCAATATCGACAGTGTTGGCGGTCTTGGGTATCAGCCGCAGCCTGGCGACGACAATGCAGAGGTCGCTCTGCTGTCGTTCCAGGGCCGCACTCTTTTCCCGCGTCTCTCCCGGAAACCCGGCCACGAGGAGGATGATGTGCTTGAGGAAGGACCGGAACGTGGTACAACCATGGACTACGTTTCAAAGGGACTGAACTTTGCCTCGGGTGTGCTCTCCAGCGTGGGACTCAACACCAAGGCAGGAGGCGAGCAGCACGCAGACATCAACATCTTCTCCGTCGCCAGTGGGCACCTCTACGAGCGCATGCTGAACATCATGATGGTGTCCGTGATGCGGCACACAAAGCACACCGTCAAGTTCTGGTTCATCGAGCAATTCCTCTCGCCATCCTTCCGCGCCTTCTTGCCCCAACTCGCTGCCGAATACGGCTTCTCATACGAGATGGTCACCTACAAGTGGCCGCACTGGCTGCGCTCCCAGCGCGAGAAGCAGCGCGAGATCTGGGGATACAAGATCCTCTTCCTGGACGTGCTCTTCCCACTCTCCCTGGACAAGGTGATCTTCGTCGACGCCGACCAGATCGTCCGCACAGACCTGTACGACCTGGTCACGCACGACCTCGAAGGCGCGCCCTACGGCTTCACACCCATGGGCGACTCGCGCGTCGAAATGGAGGGCTTCCGCTTCTGGAAACAGGGCTACTGGAAAGACTTCCTGCGCGGCCACCCCTACCACATCTCCGCGCTATATGTCGTCGACCTCACGCGCTTCCGCGCCCTCGCTGCGGGTGACCGCCTCCGGGGCCAGTACCAGATGCTCTCTGCCGACCCCCACAGCCTCAGCAACCTCGATCAGGATCTGCCCAACCATATGCAGCACAACATCCCCATCCACAGTCTGCCGCAGGAGTGGCTGTGGTGCGAGACCTGGTGTGCTGATGCGGATCTTGCCTCCGCGCGCACTATCGATCTCTGTAATAACCCGCAGACGAAGGAGCCGAAGCTCGCTCGGGCTCGTCGCCAGGTCCCCGAATGGACTGTTTATGATGATGAGATTGCGGCTTTGGCGAAGCGTGTGGCTCGTGAGCAGGAGGTGCGCTTTGTGCAGTCTGGGGAGGATCCTGAGGGTCAGGGTGAAGAGGTTCAGGAACCTGTTACGGAGACGGAAGAGAAGGAAGAGACGCAGGAGACGGAGCATGACCGCAAAGATGAGCTATAGTGTCCTCTCTTAGGTGTTTAACTTGTTTTATTTTTATTTTTATTTTTATATCTTTATATATAGAATTGATTGAGTCTTGTTTTGTCTTTGGTATACGAGGAACAGGAAAGGGATCGACAGGTGCAGTGCGGCTCAAATAAACTAACCCCACAGTCCATCTGTTGATTAATGGATGTAATGCATCTTACTTCAATTGGCTGCTAGAACTACCTTCCAGTAGAAAAGACTAATGAGGCTCGGTTCCCTCCCACCTTCAATTCATCCAAACTGAAAAGCCTACAAGAAGGTACAATTATATTAACATCTTACTACAGCCCCAGTCAAGGGTGCTAGCGGGTATCCTGATAGTCTATGCACAACCACACCTCCGAGCCAAAAGCCTCACCATCGTAGTTACAACAGGCCTACGCACCCAGGTTAAACAATCTCGACTATACATCGCCAGTCGATTGCCGCGCAGCCTTCTTGGACTTGCGTTTCTTCTTCTTGGGAGACTGCGCGGCTTCAGGCTCCGCTTGTTCGCTTTTGCGGCGCTTATTCTCCTTGTCCTTCTTCTTCTGCTTCTTCCTTTCCTTCTTGTCCTTCCTAGGGATCTCGGTCTCGACGGCGACACTGGCAAGGTCGTTGTCGGAAGCTTCTTGAGTGATTTGGGACTCCTGTGTGGACTTGCACTTTTCCTTCGATTTCTTTGTTTTCATCTCTGGTGTGTCCTGCGCTTGGCCTTCATTTTCTCTTTGCTCCGCTTCGGCTCGCGCTCTTTGTTTCGCCTCCTTCTTCTTTCGCTTCTTCTCCCTTTTCTGCTTTCGGGCCAAAGAAGATGGGTCATCGGGCTCGACTTCGGGTTCGGTCTCAGAGTGCTTGCGCTTCTTGGACTTGGTGGCGGTCTTGGTTTTCTCGTTTTCTACGGGAGATGTCCGCTCTTCGTCTTTCTTGCGCTTCTCACTGCGTGGCGTGACAACATCGCTCGTCGCCTGCGGCGTAGAGGGGGCCGGGAAAGATGTCGGGCTTTCACCGGCGGCCGTAGGCTCGGCCACCTCAGACTCGCTCTCAGCTGCGTCGTCCGATTCATGGTCCTGTGCCACGCCGTTCTGAGACACGGGCGAGGGTTCTTCCTCAGGGTCATTCTCTCCCTCGGCGGGCGAATGCGTCATGGACTGCTGCTCGGCTACAGGGCCGTGCCTGGGGGCTGACGGCGGGGTTACGGGGATATTCGATCCGCCCTCATCGCTGTCATCACTGTCATCGTCTTCAACGAATTCATTGCTTTTGCCGTTGGACGCATACCGCACGTTCCACCGTGCATTCTTCTTCGCAGCCGCGGCCGGGTCAAAGACCGCATCGGGGTTTCCCGAGGCTCGATCCTTCATAACATTTCTCCGGATCTTGCGCCATTTATCGGCGCATTGCTGCCGAGACCGGACGTGATTCATGGCAGTGCTCGCGGCGCCCCATGGAATAAGCTTTTCATCCATCGCATAAAGGTCTTTGCCAGCATCCGGGATATTGAGCGTGCTATGGCTCACCCACGTTGCCTGCATGAACTCCAGGAGTTCTCGCAGCTCTGCTTCGGACCACGCCCCGCGTCTCATTGTGTCCCGGTGCTCGAGCCGGTTCTTCCACCGCTGGGTCACATCGTCATCGCTGCGCCCAATCATTTTGGCAACAAGCGCCCACTTCGGCCCGTGCTTCTCAAACAGCGCGATGAGCTCCTTGTCTTGCTCTTCCGTCCACTCGTGCGGCTTCTGTCCCGATTCCTGGAAGTGCCGCCGCATGAACCGGTAAACAGAGCGCCGGTCACGATCAGGCAGAATGGCATAGATCCTGTTCCAGAACTCCGTCTTGGTGATGACGTCGGCAGGACCTGGGAATTCGCCTACGTTGGCACGTTCAGAGTGCTGGACCATCTCGTCGAAAATCGCCCCGGGGACTTTATTGACGGTGCAAAATCGAAGTTTGAAGTCCTCCAGCTTAGCAACTTCTTCTGGGACGAAAAATCCCACCTTCAGATTGTTCTTTCCGCCGGGTCTTGATCCTCTGATCTTCTTCTCCTTACCGCCACGGGCCGGCGCACCTTTGGGTTGGGAGTCGGGTGTTGGTCCTGCATCGACTGGTTGGGAAGCGGGAGGAGTAGTAGGTACAGCTTTCTCATCTACTTCGGTGGGTGACTTGGAAGGCTTCTCAGATGAAGTTTCCTTTGGTTGCGACGCAGCGGGCTGTTCCCATCCATTGGGCGAAACTTCGGTGACTTCATTTTTCGAAATTTGCAAAGAACCCTTAACATTTATAGGCCCCGCGTCTTCTTCCACATGGTTCTCGGACGCTTGATGCTTCTTCCTTTTCTTCTTGTGCTCTGGTTCCGACGGCCTTTTGCGCTTCCCAGACGATGGCAGATCGACATGCTGAGACGGAGTCGCTTCGCCATTTCCCGCATCAGTTGCAGACGCCACTGCTTTGGGTTTGGACGATCGCGACTTTTTCTTTTTTCCGTCCTTGGCGGGTTGATGATAAGGTATCTCAGGAACTTGAAAAGGTCAATATCGAATCGCATGCCAGGACGACGAAATACAAGAAAACTCACGCATATCATCAGACATATCGTCTAGGCCGGTTGGCTGGGACGAATTTTGACCCATGGGGACCGCGGGGACGAGTGTAAGAATGAAGAGCCATGCGACGAAATTGTTTGCGTCGATATGCACGGTCCGGCAGAACAAGCTACCGCTATTGTCACCGCCTCCCTCTACAGGCCACAAAATCAACCAGTACACGATTTGACGATGAAAAGTTCGCGTTCATTACAGTGTTCATTATGGTACATTGTAAGGGAATTGCTCCAAATTGAGCATTAGCCCTCTTGTAATCACCCCAGGTTCATCTCTCGTAGAACCTTCGACACCAGCTTCCTCTGGTCGGTCGTGTTCAGGTTACGCTCATCGGTGCCCTGCAAACAACGCCCAATGGCGACGGTCGCCTTGACTGCGCTATCGCCGGCATTGGAGCAGTCCAACCAGACCTTTCCATTTCGTCCAACCGCAATCTCAAACCCTCCAATGCTCTCCAGTTTCTTCCCCAGCTCCGCGAGCACCACCAGTCCTTCGACGGCATCGTTCTCCTCCGCAGAAGACGAGCTTGCGCGGATCAACCGAGCTGCCATGCCCGTGGAGACATCATAGACCATACCCCCGACCAGCGGGCCCAGCCCGCCTGGTTCTGCCTTGCCTGTCGCCGGGTTGACACAGGTGAGCTCAACCTCGGCGCCGGCACCGACACCAACGGACAGGACTCGTGCATAAACCAGCTCGCCCTGTTTCAACATTGGCCTTGTCTTCTTCGTCGCACCCTCAAATGATAGCTGGCCCAGTAGTGCTTGTGCTGTATGCGGGGTGACAACGCAGTGGAAATAATCAGCACTGGAGTGGTGAATCTGAGCAATGATGAGGTCGTTGTTGGTGGGAATATATCGGCGGTTTGCTGAGGGCATCAGCGATACTGTATTGCGCTTGGCATCGGTTGCCAGTAGACCGGCTTGAGTGGCCGTCAGGACATGGTTGGATGCGGGTGTTGATGATGACTGTGATAGCAGTCGGAGGCCGGGTCCTAGCTTAAGAGGGTTGGAGCTGGTAGCTGGTAACTGGCCCTCTGGGACCTCGTCACCAGGAAGCAGAATGAGGGGCGTTGCCATGATTTCTGGATGGTGAGGTGAGTGTAGTTTTTGGCCGGGGAAAATGCGAAGAAAACGTTCTTATCATATCGACACGTGACAATTAAACCCTCAATATACAGCACTGCTGCTCAGATGGACCCGGCTTAGAATTATTTCACTGCTAGAAAATAGCTTCAATTTAATTTTTATTTTTTCCCCTTGATAGCAACGTAATTGAATCTGAATATAGTTACATTTAGGTTGTTTCACAAAAAATCCCCCTCAAGACCATGCTCTCACCAGCTCCTCACAGGAATCCGCACGGGGTATGCTCCCTCCTGACTGGCGTCTTCGCAATTTGGCTACCCATGAAGATCTTCTCAACTTTCTAAAGAGGATACATCTAGAAAAGTCGAGATTGTCTACTCTCGATTGTCTCCCACGCGACATCAGGAGTTCAAGTCTCTCTACTGGAGACCGCAGTGCCGCCTGCTTCCGATTCCTCCCCTTCAACTTCAACACGCTCTTTTTGAATTCTTATTTGATGGATGGGAAGGGTTGGAATCTCTGAGGATTCATGGAGGTCAGCGAGCCCCTGCCTTTCCACGTTCAGTAGAACCTCTGCCGTCCCCTGTAGACCGTCCAAATCTGGAAAATGTCGAGGTATGCTTTAAGCCTGATGCTTGGGGGTAATATTAGATCTATTTAGCACTACTAGTCCTCGTGGCTGGCTCGATTTTAAATAATGTTCAACATTTCAAATTCCAATACAGATTTTTGTTTCTGAGTTCCTGACAATGACGGTAGAAAACGGGAGAAACACAGCAAGAATGGAGTGGCGAAGCAAGAATAAGACTTTGGCTTCGATAATCGCCTCTCGGGGGGCTTGGAATGTTCAGAAGACATCTGACTTCTGGGTCCTGCACCGTGCTCCGGTCCTCACTTGTCGAGTTTTAACTCAATCGATATCTATTTTATCTCGGCTCTTGTGTCAGTTGGTTGAACTTCAGGTATTCGAGGCTTGGCCCTTCCTTTAGCCTGACGGGAACCAACGAAATTTGATCCTTCTACCTCGATTCCTTCGTCCCTTGTTCAGCGTCCCGGTTGAAATGAGACGTGTGCATCATGTACGCTGCGCGAAAGGAAACGGCAACACTTGGACCGCGTGGCTATGGGTGCTGATGCTTCAAGGATGGAATATACGTGTCTGGTCTCGTGTATCCCCATCCCTGCTGCATGACATCTAGATTGGCGGCGTAGTGTTTTTGATAGTTCAGATTCGGTTATGCTTGGTCACCCTTGAGGCCAAGTATCGCGTTGGTCTTTCTAGCTTCTTATTCCCCTCACTTCTGCCTAGATATGACCGTTTGCTGCGGCAATAGGCGAGTAGTGACTTACAATCGATTGGCCATCGAGAGCCGCTGAGCCGATGCTGCCTGCTCTGACTAGGGTTGATCACCACCACGGTTCCTGTCAAAACTACTGGCGAAGAGAAAGAGGTAGAGAAAGAAGAGCCTCAAAGTACATTTGACACCAGATGCAATGTACTACAGTATTTAGAAAGTTCTCCTAAACATATATAATCTCATGGATGCTCGAATCGAAGGCTCATAGCATCCAACTTCCTCCAGAGTTCAGATATCCTCCATTCATTCAAATATTCCACCTAGAAAGCTCGTCCATCAAATTTATCGATATGCCTGACAACACCGCGGAAGCTCGGCAGGCCGTGACCAAGAAAATCGCGTCCACTGGTTCCAACACGATGAATCGGGTGGTTGCGGCCGGCGAGTCCTCTAAAAGGAGGCGCCTGGGAACTCGGACCGCAACAAATGCGGCGGAATCAACCACGAAAACGGGGAGCAGCACGAACAAGGCGTCTAATCAAACCACGGTTGGTGGACCTCAATACCCCACGGAAGCAATGATTTGCTAACGATAAACACGGCGGCAAGCGTTGATGCTCGGCGTCCTGAAATCTCATTTACATGACTACTCCAACTTGGGTCGGATGTGGTTGTTTCGAGAATATCGTGCGATTTGCTTTGATGGAGAGTTGGTAAGGATTGTTGGGTTATGTAGTTATTGTTTACGTTCGAATATGGTTTACACTCAATTCGAAATTTGTTCTGTACTGTACTGCATCATACCATTATACACATAAAGTGCCAGCCACTGTAGGTGGGAGTTTGGCGGTCAGTAAGTATTCAAAACATATTACTGTAATATAAAGACAAAAGAGCCGCATTTCCCTTTTCTCCAAGTTAGTTTCACCCCCTCAAACCACTCTTCCTCGTTGCCTTTCGTTCTACGCCATCTATTTTTCTCGGGTCTTGTTTCATTGATTGTTGCTCTCTATTTAGAAGTCTTTCAGCATCATGGAATACAACAAATGTCTCGACCATATTCACCAGGCTGAAGAAAACATCTGGGTTGATTGTATCAACACATACCAAGTCAACGGGCGTTTTTGCGAGTGGATCACCAGCTTACATCCCAAGAAACTCCTCTGTTGCTTAGATGGAGGCTTCATGAACGGCTCATATAATCTCTGCCAAAAGTTTCTATTCGAAGACGGCACTTCATGGATACTTCGATTTCCTCGGCCCGTGAATGTGCGCTATGACTATGCCGACGAGAAGGTAGCTATGGAAGTGGAGGCTCTGAAGCTTATTCGAGAGCAGACAACCATCCCTGTTCCAGAGGTCAAGGAATGGGGTCTCGCTGACGAGAACCCTTTTGGCCTGGGTCCATTTATAATAATGGACTTTATCGAGGGAGTGCGTCTCCGCGACATGTTGACCGACGAGGGAGGGCTGCTCAAAAAGGATGTACCCGAAACCGTTATAGAGACTACATACAGGCAGATGGTCAATATTTTGCTTCAGCTTTGGAAGATCGACTTTGAGCACATTGGCAGCTTACCTACCCCGAAGACGCAATATCCCGCGCCTATACGCCCACTCACCTGGAAAGCTCACGAGATTCTGCAGACCGGCGGACCTAATACTTTCGGTATAGTGGCTCCTAAGATAAAGAAACTCTTCACTTAGTTTATATCTGCTAATTATATGTTCAGGTGATCGAACCCAAGGATTTTCGACTACTAGTGAATACTTTCAGAATACCATTGAACAAGACCGGCAGCAACTTCGACACCAACCGAACTCTGTTACCGGTGATTTGAATGCAGAAAATAGATATGCTTCCTTGGAGATCTTAAAGTCTTTGATCCCGCAATTCGTCAACCCTCAATACGACCAAGGCCCCTCTAAACTTATTTGCGATGATTTTGGTCTAGCCAATATCATAGTGAGAAGCCCAGATGATCTCACGATTGTTGGAGTGATAGACCTCGAGTGGGTCTACGCCGGGCCCGCTCAGCTATTTGGCTCAGCGCCGTGGTGGCTTCTCTACGATCGGCCCCTGAACGAAGACTGGGATGTTCAAGGTGGTCAATTTCCCGAACCCATCGAACGCTATGCCAAGTGTCTGCAGATTTTCAAACGTGTTCTGGCAGAGGAGGAGTCGAAATTACTCGGACACCCAAGCGGGCTCTCCGAGCTTGTGCAGTGGTCGGAGACCTCGGGGGCTATGTGGTTCCACATGCTTGCGTCTGGTGGGTTTTTTGACACGTTCACTGCTCCCTGTAGAAAGTTAGAGGAACAGTTTGGCTTTCAGCAGTGGAGAGACCGTGTTGATGAAATGGGAGAGACGGAAGAAGTGAAAACATTTGTGGCTCAGAAGGTGCGCGAGTTGGAGCTCTATGATGAGGACGTCGAAAAGGTGGAGCAGCTCAAAGCACAAATGGATAGCGGGGAAATATCGAGGGAAGAATTCGTGGCTGCTGCCTCTGCTGTGCCAGCCACAGAAGGTATTGTCACCAAAACACAATGGCTGCATCAGTTGGGTGTTGGCCCATAGTTGTGGTTTTTATCCCCGTGGATGTTGAGAATTCGAGCATGATTATGACTCGAAGTCGAAATGTGCTTCTGGTGATAAAACGGTGATTCCCGGAAACGTCTCACTGGGTTGTTTAGTACACATCAGAAACAGGATGGTCCACAGGAGGTGATCGACTAGATTGGCCTCATAGAAGCGGCACCCTCAAGCCTCAGGCACCAAGGCTGTGAAATTTTGCACCGCCACATCGATTATCGATAAGCCACCAGCCACAATGAAAATCCAAAAGATTTTTCGATTTCCCCCTCCAAGCGTTTAATCTATTTCCCAATTCCTTGGCTCCCCTGACTCTCTCTTCACGTTCTGTGACGTGAGACTCGCCATTCTTTTTTTGATTCCAGAAATCCTCTTTCAAGCTCGAAATGGGTGACGCGGCCAACGGTGTGACCGCTGAGGCGGAGCGATTTGCTATCGGTATCTCGTTTGGCAACTCGTCCAGCTCGATTGCTCGCATTTCGCCGGTATGCCTGAGAAGCAATCCTCAATGATAGGCCAGTGACTGATATACTTGCAGGAGGGTAAAGCAGAGGTCATCGCCAACGAGGAAGGAGGTACGCCATGTCTCAACATGTGGCAGATAAACCCAAGTATTAATTAGATCTTCCAGACCGTCAAATCCCCAGCGTTCTTTCGTATATCGAAGGCGAAGAGTACCACGGCACGCAGGCCAAGGCCCAGCTTATCCGGAACTCCAACAACACTGTCGCATACTTCCGAGACTACCTGGGCAAGAACTTCAAGTCCATCGACCCGACCCCATGCCACCAATCCGCCCACCCCCAGCAGAGCGATTCGACCGTGGCCTTCTCCATCCGTGACACCACCAGCGAGACCCCCAACTCCGTTACTGTCTCTGAGATCACCACCCGCCACCTTCGTCGTCTGAAGAAGTCCGCCGAGGAATTCCTTGGCAAGAATGTCAACGCCGCCGTCATCACCGTCCCCACCGACTTCACCGACGCCCAGCGTGAAGCCCTCGTCGCCTCGGCCAAGGAGGCCGGCATCGAAGTGCTCCAGCTCATCCACGAGCCCGTCGCCGCTGTCATGGCCTACGACGCTCGCCCGGAGGCGACTGTGACGGACAAGCTGGTCGTGGTGGCTGACCTGGGTGGTACCCGGTCGGATGTGGCCGTGGTTGCCAGCCGCGGCGGCATGTACACGATTCTGGCTACTGCTCATGACTACGAGCTTGGTGGTGCCACCCTGGACCAGATCATTATTGATCACTTTGCCAAGGAGTTCATCAAGAAGCACAAGACCGACCCCCGTGAGAACGCGCGCGGCCTGGCCAAGCTCAAGCTGGAGGGTGAGGCTACCCGCAAGGCCCTAAGCCTGGGAACGAACGCTCAGCTGAGCATTGAGAGTCTGGCGGATGGCGTCGACTTTGGCTCCACCGTCAACCGCACGCGGTTCGAGCTGCTGTCGGGCAAGGTGTTTGGCCAGTTTACCGGCCTGATCGAGCAGGTGGTGAAGAAGGCTGACCTGGATGTCCTGGACATTGACGAAGTATGATATGACCCTTTTTTTTTTTTTTGCGTCATGTCTGTTATTTTATCTCAGTTCTAATATCTTCCTTTAGGTTATCTTCTCTGGCGGTACCTCGCACACCCCCAAGATCGCCCAACTGGCCCGCAACATCTTCCCTGAGAAGACCAACATTCTGGCCCCCGGCACCTCGACCTCGGCCATCAACCCCTCGGAGCTGTCGTCCCGTGGTGCCGCCTTCCAGGCGTCCCTGGTGCAAGAGTTCGACCGCGAGGACATCGAGCAGTCCATCCACCCCATGGTGACAGTCACCCCTCACCTGAGCAAGGCCATCGGTGTGCAGTTCTCTGCCGGCGCCGATGTCTCCTTTCAGCCCCTCCTCGGTGCCGAGACCGCCCTACCCGCGCGCCGCATCGCGCAATACTTCGCCCCCAAAGAGGGCGGCGATGTCCTGGTCCGCGTGTGCGAGGGTACCCGCGAGATCAAGGTCACCAAGCCCGAGCCCAAGGAGAAGCCCGCCAAGACCGAGGAGAACGAGGACTCCGATTTCGATTCTGACGAGGACGAGGAAGAGGACATCCGCGAGGTTGTCTGGCATACCGAGAAGCCTGTCGCCGAGCTTGCTGTCAAGGGCACCAAGCCTGTCGGCAAGGTCGAGGTTATGGTTCATGTCAACCAAGACCTGGGTCTGCAGATTGCCGTGCGCGAGGTTGGTGGCCAGAATGCCGTCCGTGGTGCCATCAACGGCTCTGCGTAAACCAACCCCGAAACCAAAATCCCAAAAAAAGAGGCAATTCCGAAAAAAATACAAGAACCTGATCCTCGTGATGGTGTGATGATGCATATATGATACATAGAGACTGCTTTTTTTTTCTTTATCTCATTCCATTTTCTTTACATATACATCTCGTTGGAGTCCGTTCTGTTCTTTTCTTCCACTCTCGATAGACTCTGTCCATGGGGATTTGCCAATGACGACTGGTTCCCTTGTTGTGTTGCCTGTGGTATTCTTCAACTTGTGGCCTGGCTCTGGTTCTCGTGCCTGATAGTCCGATAGATAATATTACTCTACAGAGTGTGGTTGAAGATTCAAGACAACAATAAGAATTAGATTAAATATACAACTCATTAGGTAAAAAAACAAGAAAAAAAAAACTGCAGCACAAAACACCGGATCCAAATGGCACCAGACCAAGATTAATCAAAACATGAATTCGTCAACTAATACATCAAAACTTGCATCTTAACATCAGGGATAGTCCAGTGCCGGACACCATATTAGCGCCGCGGAGGGCCTAACGTTGTCTCGACAGGACTCTGGAGATAGCGATCGTGGACAGTTCGTAACAACATGTAGCGAACGGGGGTGAGGGATAATTGTTTCGCGCTCGAGGTCAGCATGACCCGGGCGTAGATCGAGCAAGACCAAGACCAAAGCAAAAGAAAGATTATCGTGAACAGACTCAACCAAAAAAGAAAAAGAAAAACAACTTTCACGGATATCGACGATCAACGCAAGGGAAGAAGTCGTGTACGGCACCGAACCCGTGAATTTTGCTTGCTGATGGCGAGCATAGTCCACAAGTTTCTTCATTGTCGGCAAGTTGGCTTTTGTTTGTGGTTCAAGCTGCCTAAGCATGCTCCCACTTAGGCGTATTCCTTCTTCTGGCTTCTCACGCTGTTTGAGCGCTGCGAGGAGAAGAATCCACGGCGGCGCTGCTCGCGTCCACTGTAGCCGCCATCTTTCCGTCCGACGGCTCCTCCGAGGCAGTACATGAGACACGAGAGGAACAGGCATGCCGAAGCAGTCCACATGAAGGCAAAGGCCTTGACACCCAGGTGAGCGGACTGACCGTTGCGGTTGAAAGCGTCGCGGCCCTGGACATAGACAGCACTAAAGACAATGTTAGCATTTGTCACCTGTTGTTCTTTTCGTTCTTTCTCGGGTACATATAAGAGAACGTACGTCATGAGACAAGTGGTGATAACCTGGAAGGTCAAGGCGAGCCAAGACAAGAACCCAGAGATGTAGCCGCCAATACGCGTGCACATAGCCAGCAGACCCGTGAAGAGCGAGATCACGGCGAAAAACAGGCCGATGATGATGAACGGGAACATGAACCGCGAGGTCAGGAAATAGTGCTTAGTTCTGTAGACACAGTGTTAGAGGAATCATTGACCACGATAGCCATGTCAAAGAAGCCAACCTACCCAATAAACTCGGGCGGCACGTTCGTAGTCGTGTCAAAGGTGCGGTGGCTCGGCGGGTCGAACGGGAAGTCGGGGTGCGAGCTGCCGCAGTCATTCTTGCCGTTGGCCGTCACGCTACAGAGCTGCCAGAAGGTCCAACGAGAAACTGCAGGGGCTCCTGGAATATTGCCGGTGTCGGCTTGCAGGAAGTAGATGATGTTCAGCGGGGTGGAGTTTCGCGCACCACCCAGGAGGGTGAGAAAGATCAAGAGAATCGAGGCGGCCATGAAAAACAGGCCCAAGAAGCCCAATGTCGCTCCTGGAGAGGGAGTTGCGTTAGCATGGAGACATGATCTACATAGTGGATAAGGAATCCTTACTGCTGAAGCCCATAGTGAATAGTCCCTGGAGAGAAGTCGGGGTAGGTGGACTTGGTGTGTTGTTGAGGGGATTCGGGGTATATCTTCACGCCGAGTGGTGTTTCTGACAGAGGTTGAAGGTGGGATGTCCGGGGCAGCGGGGGGAACCAATTGATAAACCTGGAAGAGAAGAGAGAGAGCAAAAAAAAAGAAAAAAAAAAAACTTGCAAGCTGCAAAGTTGCCGGCGTATCCGCGGCGTGAGCTCATGGTGAGGGAGACTCACATAGATCGCGGCATCACGTCATTGTCCACCTGTTCTCGGTTAGCGCACACTCTAACTGCGCGCTAAACCCAACGGCGTTAGTCGCCCCGAGGTCCATGACGAAGCGAACTTCAAGACGTTGCGGTGCCTGTGGGCCGTGACGTGCACGTTCAACTCGCTTTCTGCCTGTTCTTCTGTGCTTCATTTTTTTCGGCTTCCTTGCTCGTCTCATTTGTCCCACCATGGCGACGTGGGCCTATCCCCCACTGCGAGACCAGTCGACCCGTGAGGCCGACATCGCGCTGGTACGTTGAGAAAAAAAAAAAAAAAAAAAAGAGGGAAAATAAGGGTCCCCTTACTGGTGATCCCCCGCAGTCTCTCGTTGGCTATGTGCCAGGATCGGGATGGGTGATCTGCAATGATATACACACCGATACCAATTCCTTTTTGCCTTAGGCCCGAGAATTAGAGTGGCTCTTGCACTCACTCCAAGAGTCATTGGTGTCCCTGAAGGAGGGCCTGCAAGAGTGTGCTGCCCTCCTGGCGCCTCAGGAACCTGGGTCAACCTTGGTCCTATCGTCACTACGATCGGAAAATGTGAAGGGGTTCGTCACCCGAGTCGGCACCCAAGTAGTCAAGGGGGTACGTATCCTTCCGAGACACCCTGCAAACTGGACGCGATGTATGCGTGCGTGTGTGTGGTCTAAGTGGCTCAATTTGTCTTTCTTCATGATGTCTAGGATATTCAGCTTCGTCTGAGCTCACTCCCGCCGCCACGGGGTGCCCCCAGCACCCGGCTCAGCTTGTCCCAATCCCCCGACGCCCCCAGCCTAGTGCTACCGCAGCTGGTCTCGGTTCGCAACTTGGTGAATCAAAGCCTGGACATTGTGGACGTGAGCGCCTGGACGGGCGATCCCCTCAATGCCACCTTTATCTTTAGCCAGCTGCATCTCCTGCATGAGACCATCCGCGAGGCACGGCAGATGCTCAAGGGGGAATCGGATGATGTGCGCGGCAACTGGTGGGAGACCAGTGCTACCGAAAATGTGCGTATTGACATGAGTCGTGGGAAGTATAAAATCCTGACCTTGATGCTCCACAGATGTTTGATCCTCCGCTACCACCTCATCTCTCATTCCATCTGTCCATTGCAGACTCGGCGCTGGTTCTTCTGTTGCGTACCCTGGAGAGTAACAACCAGACTGCCACGCCGACTGCCTTCGCTACTGACATCTCCTTGACCGGGTTCTCCCTGCGAGATCGCCTGTTTGGTACCCGGACCCGTGCGCATGATGAGACCAACGATGTGTTTAAATGGTATGGGGAAGAGGTCCATGTCAAGGAGAAGGTCCGAGTAGAAAGCCAGGATCCTAGTCTGATGGCTGTCATGGCGAAGCTGACAGCTCTGGAACACGAAGTGATGCGCTGGGTGGCAGCGCTCCGGGTCCTCATGGGCAGCGATGATACAGAGAGTGAGTCCTAGAGGTCTGGGTATGTGTTGCTGTTACCCATATGTCCTATTATCTCGACGGAGAATGCCTAAACATTTATAGTTCTCTAATATATGCATGGATACCTCTTGGTGCGATAAATTGTGCGCTCAAGAAACCCTCCCAGAGAGTCTCGATAGTTAAATTGTACAAATTTACTGTATATCAGTGAGTAGTAAATAGTAAACAATGTCATATTCAAGAAAAAAAAAATATATCAAAATCAAAGAATCGCAAGCATCGCTGGAACGGGGCGCCAGCCAATGAGAGCCACGCAGTTTGTGATAGGCACAGGGACGTCTTGGCGGTGATTTTCTGGTTTCCGCGGCTTTTTGCAGTGGCAGTTTTCTTTCTTTTCTTTCCCCTTCTCTCATTCTTCAAGGCTCCTTCAAACGCCGAGGATGTTATCTAGACCCTCGGCATCTAGGGCCACTTGCCCATCCTCGCGCGATTTGCTACGCACCTTTGCCGCTCGTTCAGGATCGCGACAGCTCTGCGGAGCTGCGAATTGGGGACGATTAAACCAAAGCCGCAGCATTGCGCGACGCCCATCCCCTCCAGTTGCCTCAAACAGCCTATCTCGCGAAACCAGCATCCTCAAACATGTGTCACCGCAACGGCACCCCGGACACAGAGCCTCGTCCACCGCAGCGGCTCCCGACTCGCCGGAACCTCCTAACTCGCCTCAACCCATTGAGATTGATACTCTCCGCGCTATCGTCGATCGAATCAGCAATAATGAGGCGGAAATTATTGAGCTGCTCTATGATTTGGATATGATTGAGGTTCCAGAAGAGGATATGGAAATCATGGATCTGGTCGCCCAGCGAGACGAACACGGCCCGCAGTCGTGGGTGAATCTCATACGACAGCGATTCGGGGACAAGGTGCCTGAAGGGTTGTTGAATGGGGAGGAGATTCAACTGTATACTCGACTATACGGTGAACCTATCATCCAAGAGGAAGAATTTGAACCTACCGAGCTTGAGGAAGAGGAAGAGGATTTTTCTGATCAGTTACTTCGCGAGGACGGGGATGGAGGATGGGAGGAGGTGGAGTATCAACAGGATCCTGAGGCCGAAGCCGAAGATGACATCCCGGTCGTCTACGATATGGAAAATGGCCCGCAGGAGAAGGAAACGATTGCAATGCAGCGCACCAGAGAGGTGGCCGAGCAGTTGGGCGGCGATATCATGCTGGAGCAGTTTCAGAACGAGGCAGTTCCGGAGTCTGCTCCGCGTTTCCATCCATTGACTCTCGAGAGCAAGTTTCGGACAGACCCTAGCACGATCCACCTGCCGAAGAACACCGTGACTGGTCCCATCTCGATTATTTTGTCCGAGTTTTCCAATCGGCATATCTCTGAGACGGCTCACCGTGTGTTCGGTGGACCCGGGCTACCCCATTCTACCACGACAGCGCCACCGCGTGCGCAATTGCGTCAGCTCCCCATTCCCCTTCATGTGTCGCAGCACCACATGGGCGAAATGGAGGCCAACGCTTACATTGCGGCCTTGTACCCCGGAATCTATGCATCGGTCCTCAGCGTTCTGGTCGAAATTCGTAAGCGCTTGGGGACAGACTGGATTCGCCGTCTTATCTCGCAAGAGGGCGGGCCGAATGTTCTCGACGCCGGTGGCGGTGGTGCCGGCATTCTGGCCTGGCGAGAGGTGCTTCGTGCGGAGTGGGAGCTCATGGTCCCCGATCACCCCAAGGGGGCACCTATTCCCATGGGACGATCGACGGTGTTGACTGGGTCGGAGGCTCTGCGACTGCGCACCAGTGCCATGCTGGATAATACCAGTTTTCTCCCGCGCTTACCAGATTACGTTCATGTGCGCGAGAAACCAACTTTGGACGATTCGCGAACCCCAGCGAAGCGCAAACAGTACGATGTCATCATCGCACCGCACTCTCTGCTAGGGTTCAGCGAGGAGTACGAACGTAAGGAGTACGTCCAGAATCTGTGGTCACTTCTCAACCCCAACGGGGGCGTTTTAATTTTGCTTGAGAAAGGCCGCCAAAAGGGGTTTGAGGCCATTTCTGGTGCCCGCGAGATGCTGCTGAAGCGTCATATCGCAAGCCCCGGCTCCACCGAATACGACAACTTCCTCGAGTCGCCCGACATGCAAGAGACTGTGGAGAAGGAGCCTGGCATGATCATTGCTCCTTGCACCAACCACTCGACTTGTCCGATGCACAACCCCGCCGGACCGACCAAGGGCCGTCGTGATTACTGCCACTTCGAGCAGCGGTACATCCGCCCGCCCTTCCTGCAGCGCATCATGGGCGCCAAGGACCGCAATCACGAAGACCTTAAATTCAGCTACCTCGCCGTGCAGCGCGGCGTAGACCTGCGCCAGGAACGTGGCGTTCGCCAGGATACCACCGCAACAGACGCTGCATTTGAGGGCTTCGAGCATTCAGCCGAATCCACCCCAGCGGACCCCTCTTCCTCATCATCCTCTGCCCCAGCTTTCCACCCGCTCGCCCTGCCGCGCGCCGTCTACGCACCCATGAAGCGCCGCGGCCACGTCATCTTCGACTTGTGCACCCCAGCCGGCAAAATCGAGCGCTGGACCGTCCCGCGCTCTTTCAGCCGCCAGGCCTACCGCGACGCCCGCAAAGCCAATTGGGGCGACCTGTGGGCCCTCGGCGCAAAGACGCGCATCCCGCGCAACCTGAACCTAGGCGACAAGCACGGCGAGGGCAAAAAGGAGCGTCTGGCCCGGCGCGCAGCCCAGCAGGCTGCAACGCGCGAAGCCAATGCGGACGGTGAATTCGACGAGATGGACCTCGAGAAAGAGGATGAGTTGGAGCAGGATTTCGAGGACGATCAGCCTGAGCGTTCGCAGAACCCCGGCGCCGCTGCCTGCAAGAAGGGTCTGAATGTCCCCAGCTGGAAGAAGCAGCTCGATAAGAAGCGGGCTCGGCAGGCTATGAAGAGAGAGTCGGCTGTTGGGGCTTTTTGAGTTGGACTATTGCTTTTTTGGCTTTTGTCCAGGCATTCATTGGCGTATCTGTTTGGGGTTTTCGGGCTCTCGTGGTTAAAATCTGTACTATCACATATCCTTGACATCTGGCATTGGGATTGGCTGGACCAGGATGTCTTGTATAATATTGTATCATTTTTGCACTCCACTACAGCTGTAAATACAGGCTTTTCACTCTTCACTTGTGTTCAGTTGTTCAAGTAGCTCGACACGTCGGAGTCTTGCACGAACTGGTCACAGTGACTGCCTCCGAGAATGCCCCTAAATCTTGCAGCTGTGCGGCATATTAAGACGGGTTGGGGATTGCCAGGTGGTATATGACGACCCGGCGTGTGTGGCTTATTTCGCACCATGAGACACGGTGCTTCCCGACTGATTTGGTGTAAGGTCCGGGCAAATGCCTCGAGAAACGTAATGGTGCTTGCCCAAGGGGCCCCCAGAGAACGACCCAACTAGGTATGTCTGGTAGCCCTTTCCCTGGCGTTGCGTAGTCTGAGGGCTAAACACCGGATGTGTCGTGAGATCTCGGGTGGAAGTTGTTGAAATAGACGCCGATGAAGGAATCACACGAATTGCGGATCCATGAAAACCGCAGATCAATCCAATCCATTTCATGGGATGAGATCAAGGCCGTTCAACGCACTTGAATACGACCTCATGACCGCTCACTGCGCCGCCATGCTCTTCCTCAACTGTCTCTCTCTCTGCGTGCTCTGCAGTTCCAGACGCTCAACAGCATACTTCAACCGCTCTTTCTTCTGGACTAGTCGTCTGAGCTCCGCGGCGTTGGCCGACGAGCCACCACCCGACCCCGCCAGACGGCCCCGCAACGCGTTGCTCTGGCTTTGAGCGCGGGTCGCCGAGGACCGGGCGTCCGAGTTGGATGACAGTCGGCCTTCTTGGAGGTCACATTTAGCCTTTAGGCCCTGTTCGCGACGGGCGAGTTTCTCGACGTGGTTCGAGGCGAGAGACAGGAGATGAGCGATGCTGGGTGTGATTTCATCGAGAAGGGATTGCTGCGCTTCGCGAAGGGTTGGTTCAGGGAGGAGCTCAAAGTGCTGTTGTGATAATTGGTGTGTTAGCATTCAAAATCTTCAGAAGTCGTAGGCGACACTGAGATGGGCCGGTATCCGTACCCGTGTTGTTTGGAGGACTTTGCATAGGCGGGGGAAGTCGTTGACGCCCGAGTCGAGGGTGTTGATGGAGTTATCGAGCAGCTGCAGCGATGACTGCAGCGAGGATACGGATGAGGAGAGTGAGGCCGCCATGATGTGTGAAACAAGACAGCGTGGGTAGAAGAACACTGCAATATGACTCGTAGAGCTACAGAAGGTATCGGAACGGGTCGGGCGATAAAAGCGGCATGGAATATCTAAAGCGGCGAGGCCCGGCAAACCTCCAAACCTCCCGTCTCCTCTTCCGTCCTCCTGCACCACCTCCTCCCCCCTCAACGAATCCACCTCGCTTTCGCTCTCTCTTCACAATGTCGCTCCTCGGAAAGAAGTTTCCCGGCTCTCTGGGTATGTCGCTCTTTTTTTTGGGGCCCCGTTCCCGAGGCCCCAGGTCGGGGCTTAACAGTGCGCGAGACTGACGCATTCACCTATCTACAGCCAAGCCGTTGACTCCCTTCTTCGCTGCCGGTATGCACACCCTCGATTTCAATTTTTCGCCCATGATCCGATATGTCGATCAAGACAACATATGACCCCCAATTCCCGGTCATCGCATGTCCGGGGCACGTGGTGGAACTATCCTCTGACAACTCTCCCTTTTCAGGTCTCATCGTGCTGTACGGCGTCAACTCGGCCCAGAACGCTCTGTCGAACAGTGAGTTACTTCTCATCCTTTATTCATCGATCATCCCAACCGATTTTCGGATCGGCCACATCGGGAACCCGTGCAATGACCGCAATAATCGCCGACTTCCGGTAACGTTGACTAACGTTTTTCGCTCTCGTTATAGCCGCCGAGTACAAGAACGACCCTCGCAACCCCAACGCCAAGTCTGGTAACGCCGGCCACTAAATTCAATTGATGCATGAGGATTTGAAGATGCCACTTCGGATGGTGTGAGGCGCCAAGCGGATCGAGGCCGTCGCAATGTCTATGTGTGCATGGGGATACGGCCTAGGGCCTTGAAATTTGCGCATTTTGTGTTGACGTCTGCGGGCAGTTTGCCCCTGTCCAAGCATATAGATTATACCCTGTCAGGGTAACTTGGATCAATTTCACAAGCTGTACCACTACCATCAACACTCGGATCTTGCGTAGTGCTATTTCTCTTGCACGGTGGCTGTCTAATTATTGCACAGACTAAATGACCCACTGCCTTGAGCTATTTTGAACTTGGAGCTTTAAGAATAGATACTGTACCGCCGGCACCGACTGCGGCCGTGTTGCGCAAGACCCTCGATATTGAGTCGAATGTGCACGCATAAACCCTCAGATACCTTGAAACGGTCATTCATGCAGTTAAATTCTCAAAATTCGAAGGAATACTTCGAAAATCATTTTAGAATGGCGTATCCACGAGAAGCATCAAGTGAAATCTCACGGTGCACGCTAAACCCGATTGGGACCCCTTTTCTCTCCGCCTCGACATCATTTTTCCACCGAACAGCCATCTTCCCCCCCAATTCCACCGCTTCTACTGCGAAACCCGTCAAGATGGTCAAAATGGCAGGGATGTTTCGGCCCAGGCGGCTTGACCTTTCTGGATTCATCAACACCCGAGTTATTCGGGATCACAACAAGCGCATGGCCATCGAGCAGACCGAACCCGAACGGTACGAAAAACCCCTACCACGCCAGGACTGGCTTGCCGAGAGAATTATTCCTCTAGGCAGGGAATGCCATAATGGCTCAAGAGAATGAGCTCCTTGGGTTCATCGTCACTGACCATATCCTTTTCGTGTGTTCCAGCCAAGCGCTCCGCTACATGATCCGCAATACCAGTCTCCCCCAGCGAGTCCGCGCCCAGGCTCAGCTCCAGCTGTCGCAAATGCACCCCTACACTCGCCCAACCCAAGTCAAGAACCGATGTGTGGCCTCGGGCCATGGTCGTAGTATTGTCCGGGCATTCAGACTCAACCGAGTAAGTGGTCGGCCTTTGACTATGGCCTCGTTCTCGCGGTCTTGGTGCAGATCAGATATCGCTAACATAGCCGTGCTCTGTCTTTTAGTTCCAATTCCGTATGCAGGCTATTGCTGGAGAACTCCCGGGTGTGCAGAAGGCAAGCTGGTAAAGATTCAAAGTGGAAGGAGATAGACAAGGTCCGATCAGATATTGGGGAATCCCGGCGTTGAGTGCTTTTTTTTTTTTTTTTTTTTTTTTTTCTATGGATATGAAGCCTTGTATAGTATGCCCAATTTCATTGAACGTTTCCCCTATTCTACGACTCTTTCACCGCGATTGCTTCAGATTGCCGCCCAAATTGTTATGCACCTGGCTCGTTTGGTTTGGCAAAGAGAATACCTTCTTGATCTCATCGCTACCTACAGCCTGCCTGCTCTGTCTGCTCTCTCTCTCTCTCAATGCACCAACCAGCCCACGAAAGCTGCCTAGTCTTCGTTATCAACAGTACTTCTTTCACTTGGTTTACTCGCATCTCACTCTCACTATTTCCTTCCTTTCACGTCACTGAACCGTCTATCGCCGAAGAGCAAGAGTTTACCTTTATCATTTCGAGCTACCACAATGTTCACCTATCGCGAATGTGATCTGCCCGATGACCCTGTGTTTCCAACTGATCTGACGAAGCTCGGGTGAGATATCTATGACTCTATGCTACAGAGCATGTCCCTTACGGAATGAAAACAGGTACTTCATCAACGACAATGATCAGATTCGCATGATCTCCGACCCCGAGCTGGGCTTCCAGTACAAGATCAACCGAAACGATCGTTTCAACGTGAAGCAGCGCGAAGCATTCAACGGTAAAATGGCTTGTCTTCTTGAGGAATACCATTGAACCTAACTAACGGAATTTATGGCAGAATGTATTCGCAAGATCGTGTTTGAACGCATCACTGCTGCGGGCCTTGGTGTCCTGCGCCTGCCACTCGGTGCCATGCAGAACGACGCCCATGTGCCCATCCTCGTGTCCGACAATCTGCACAAGGCTTCTCGTTTCGTCGTGTACTTTGGTGAACCCAACCAAGATCTGGGGATCTGGAGCAACCGTGCAATCGGGTCCGATGGCATCCAGGTCGGGTGCATGGTCGAGTTCGCGCAGGCTGTGCTTGGCGAGGACAGACATCCCACTGGCACCGCCCTCATCCTGGCAAACTCGGGTCAGTTGGTCTGGTACTGCGCCGGGGGCAAGGCTATGACACAGGAGAGCTGGCTTGCGCTGAATCTTTCTTCGGCCGTGGACAGCCTGCCGTCCCAAACCAACCGGAACAAGATCTTGGGCAACCTCAATGCGTTCCAGCACGTCCAATACATCTTCGAATGGATCCTGTCTCCACGCCTCCGCCAGGGCACCACCGTTGATGTGATCGCCATGTCTGAAGGTGGTTTGTCTGCCATGCATTACCTGAAGAAGCATTGTAAGTGCTTGACCAAGTTCCTCGTTTATTCGATTAGCCCTAACCCCATATCTCCAGGGTCTCTCTGGCGCAACCACATCTCCGGCATGTGTGTGGGTAGCCCGATCCAGACTGTACTCTTCGACCTCGACAAGACCGAACTTTCCAACCCCGATTCCTTCACTGCATTCGTCTCCCGGCGCTGCCGTGGGTACCTCGTGGGCCCCAACGTGCTTGGAACCCCCGAAGCTGGCTATGTCGAGCACGGCTGCAACTGCTATGCTTCTGGTGAGGATTCCTTTACTGAATGCATCATGCCCAAGGCCTGGCGCCACATGCTGTCTTGGCTGGACAAGCTTCAGGTCGATCCGTCCTACCAGGAACAGCCAAGACTTCTTCTGGGCGATATGGATGCAGGTATCCAACAGCCTCTTGAGCGGATGGTGTCCATGAGCAACGCCGAGACTGACATTGATGAGGAGGTCTTGCGGAATACCGATCCAAGTGAACTTGGTGGTGATATCGTTGTCACTGAGGCTATGAGCGGTTCTCGGGATATCCAGAAGAAGCGAGATTACAACGACAAGGTCCTGGAATGGGCACAGGGTCTCGCGGAGGAGGACAAGGAAAATTAGAATGCCGAAGGAGAGAAAGAAGGAGGCAGTTCAGAGCATGGCCCGTATCGAGGAAGGAGACCGCAGTTCTTAACATAGATTGAAATTCAGCAACTGGGGGGCATGCTTGATTAGCTAATTTATGACTAGTTTTTTTTTTTTTTTTTTCCTTTGGTGTCTCTGATTCATTTTCTCCATTTTCGATTGTGTTTTCGCTATTTGGGAGACGAGAAGCAGGCTGGGTTGGCGTTGCTTTCAATGCTCGTTCCCATGTTCTAAGCTGGGAAGAATATAACGAAAAACAATCAATTATGAGCTATCTTCCATACTGATTTCGGCATTGCCGAAGTTTTTGAGTCGCCGAAAGCAGTGCTCAAGAAATATGATAAAGACCATTAAAGTCAACTCTCAACTGGTGCTTTTATTTCAAGCTACGCGTCGCTAGCTAGAAGGCTAAGGAAAATGAGAATATGAGCTAATGAGTAGACAATAGATAGATATATAATGGCCAGACAGAAGATATTAATCAGACAAGAAAATTAAACATAGTGAAAACACACAAAGAGCATGAAAGAGCTAGTAGCTGTTAAGAGAGAAATCCCTTCCAAAGCCACCTTAAATATCCCAGTGCATATCCCATATAAGCAGAGCTAACAAGAAAAGAAGAAGAAAATACACAGATAAAACGAGACAAGACACATAGAAGCAGGTGAAACAAACAAACAAGGTATCCGAACGGCTGAATCAACCTGGTAATGACTCGGGAGCCAAATGCTCAAGTACCCAAGGCATATTCGCCATTTGCAGATCAATTAAAAAAATTGGATCTGGGAGCTCTATTGTTAGGCTTTTGGGGCTTGTCATTCTCCGTGTTCCCTTGACCAGAAAAGATTGTAGAGTTCTGGCCAAATAACCCCGGAAATGGGTTGTTGGAAGGAGCTGTAGGAGTAGACAAGTTTGGTGTTAGCTGAGTTTTCGGAGCCTCGCTAGAGATTGAACAGGGCTGTTTTGTTCCATTTGCTGGAGTTTGGGGTGCATCTATGAATACATCAGCAGACACTTTCCATAATATTAGAAACCTCAGCACTTACCTTTAGGTGGACCATCTTCTGTCTTGCGTGCAGAACTGGGGGCCTGGGATGGGAAGCTGGGGTATGCTCCTGAGCGATATACTTGTCAGGGCCTTGTTTTGATCGATTGTTCACCTTAGAGTGGGGAGTTTCTTACCCGAATTTGGAGGATTCTGCAACGATGGGCCCTTTGTGCTGCAGCCATTCAGGGTTTGTCTTGCTTTTTGGAGCTTTTCGAGTTCATCGCTGAGGCGTTTCCGATTTTTCTGAAAATCCAAGGGCTCTGCTGCGAGCTTTCGAACCTGCTCATCATCCATATCACGAACAGTCTGCCTGGTGAATATTTTCTCCAGGGGGCAGAGAAGACAGTTCTCTACTGCGAGGATAGCGACATTATCCATGTAAGTCTCAATTGCGGTCTAAAAAGCAAGATGACCGGTTAGAGCTGCCTGAACCAGGTGGTCTGTTGAGAATAATGTGTCTCTACCTCGTAGTACGCTTGCATCTGAAAAACAATGTCCGCTGCTGCAAATTCATCGCTAGATGGGTGTAACCCAGAGACCACTCGTTCCAGATCGTGGATATCGAAGGTCTTTTTCGTTGCCAGGAAAATTTCAGAAAAGCCGAGATTTTTCTTCAAGATTGCAAGTTGTCTGTTCTTCCTGAATTCCTGGAGCCTGGAGAAAAATGCCTTCCCCCCGGTCAGTGGAGGACCTCTTTTGAAGTAAGAAGTCAATTCGCTTAGCTTTTCCTCCAAAGATACCTTCATCTTATTTAATTCCGGGGACACGAGGCGCGCCATGAGCAAGCGGTAGGTGTGGTCATCCGTCAGATAGTGCAGAAGTTGTTGGACAAAGCGCGCAACCATATCCCACGCCTTGGACAAATGAGCCCGAGCAATTTTTTCCCAAGGCTCACTCTGGTCCTGGAACAGGATCTTCACTGCCAGCTGGTTTGCGTTACCTGGTAGTTCAACCCCTCGATGGTCGCGAGCGCACACTTTCATTTCCTCCTCGAGGGACTGCAGGGAGATGTACTGGGGTGTCCAATCATCCATGTACGGGTTGTATCTCTCCTGCTTGACATCTTCGGTAGGCGGGGATTGACCTTCATGGATGGTTCTCCGGCTTCCGCGAATACACATCGCTCCAGTGAAACAATCATTCATGTCACGAATGTCTGCGCGCAGCCGACCAAAAGGAAATACCCTTTCACTTTTTTCTTGGTCGTTGAGTCCCAAGAAAGGACTTTTTTCGTCATACCAACCATTGAGGGCCTGGTATGTGATACCCTCGAAGTCGATGCTGATATCGAGAAGAAATTGACGTTGGTCCTTGAGGGCTTCTCGCGGCGGGCCCATTTTTGCCAGGGCCTGCTCCGCACGAAGAATCTTTTCATGGATGTCCGCAGTAAGCCCGGGGAGATTGCGACGGACATGACCGAGTAGGATGGTGCTGAGGCGGCGCCTCAGACTTTCAATTCCAACTTGTTCTCGGGGCAGAGAAGCCCATCGTCCCTGTTCAAAAAATTCTTTCTCTTGAGCATCTCGCACACTATCAGAAACGTTGCGCGTCTCAAAGGATCGGTTGCGCAGCCCATGCCAGCCGAGTTGCAGCTTGACCTTTTCGTTTTTGAGGTATTGCAGGTAATTCTCTTGCTCCTCCGACCCAGCCTCGAGGATATCAGGCTGCGTGACAACACCCAAGACCCTCTCATACTTTGGATCAAAAGAGTCCGCGAGGTTCACGACCTTCTGGATATGATAGTCCATTCTGGCACTGATGACAGCCAGAATGATACTCCGCGAACTCCTCATGTACTTCTCGGTTAGGCTCTGCACCATCTTCATCCCCTGCGCGCTTTGCTCGTTGCTGCTGGAGTAGTACAAGCCCGGGAGGTCGACCAGGGTGAGCTCTGGCTTTTCAGGGCCCGAGATCTCGACTTTGAGCACATCGTCACTGAAGCCGAAGTTGGAGGGAGTCGAGCTGGAAAGTCCCATGCATTCGTTGGCTTGGTCGATCAGCGTGGGAAGATCTCCGCTGGAGGAAAAGGACTCAGAGGTGAAGCCCCGGAGCTTCTGTCGCTCTTGCTCGTCGGTTCGTGAATCCCCCGGCTCAATAGAGACTTTGATCCTGGTCTGAGGGCTTCGACGAAGAGCAACTTCGGTTGCAAAACGAGTGCAGATGTTGCTCTTGGTCGGAAAGCGCACTCGGGAAATAGCTTCCAGTACGGAGCTTTTTCCACTGGACTGATTGCCGCAGACAATGATCTGAGGCAGCTCCACGAGGCCTCCAACGCCAATGGCGCGCAGCTCATCAATCTTGTCGAGTAGCTCAGACTGCTGGGATTGCAGCTGATTCATGGCATTTTCATCCAGTGATGGTGGTGACATGGTTGTATACTTGTTCCGGTGATTGAAGCAAATAGGATTGAATAGGATTCAGAGAATTGGTAAGAGGCACGGAGAGAAACATAGAAAGGAGAAATCTTTTATAGCTTGGGAATAGATACACAGAGCATACGTATCTAAGGATCAAAAAGGGATGTTCATGGCAAGTACTTCACGAGGCATCCATTCTGGCCCCCATATCAACATCCCTGTACGGCGCGGTTCGAGTGCATTAGTCCCATGTCCCTTTTGTTCGTGATCGAGTCCCAAATAACGAATTGACTCAAGTTATCAATTAAACAAGTTAAATTGTTGTACTGTTTTGACATCGAAAAGTTCCATCAATGCCATATTTTGGTTATGAGGTATTGAAAGCGCAATGAGTCTTGTGGTCATATTGCAACCTACTAGACAGTTTTCAAAAGAAGAATACCTGGAGCATGTTCACTTTCCCCTGCATGGCCCCTCAGCAAGCGAAGATCCCAGCCGGGCTTAACGCGCTCACATGGTGCCGGGTGTTTCATACCCCGGACCGTACGCTGATCCTCTTATACTAGTGCAGAATGGCGCTGCAGGGGGGTTAGATTCGGTGTTCAGCTATAGAATCTTCAGTTCTTATTGGCTTCGGGATCACGGCGACGATCGGAAAGGCGGCACTAGGAAATGAAAGGATTGTTCAAAGGTGAAACTTGGCATACTAAAGAACTAAAGCTGAGGCTCCCGAGGAACTAATCAAGCCGTGGGTACTTCAGACTGTGGCATACGGCCCCAGCAGAATATTGCTGGGGGGTCTTTTGCAAATTAAACATGAGTCTCTTTATCTCGTCATTTTGAAGATCTTAATCTTCAGACCCTGATGGTTTTCACTAGTATCCTTGTCGATGGGGGCCAGTTCAGGGTAGAATTGGGCAAGAGATGAAGACATAGTCTAGGCTATTGAAGGTCTCTCTGACGTGGCTGGACTAATTCCCATGTTTTGAACCAGGATGTGCTTGAACACGTCAAGTTCAGCAATAGAAAAAACAGACCGCAGTGATGCTGCCTGCTGATATATAAGAACTGTTTTATGTGAAAGTTGTTTTTGTCTCTTAAAGGTCTGCCACCACTCCTTCACCGTTGTCAATTCGGGAAGCTATAGTGAAATTATGAAAAAGACAGCTTGCTTTGGAGCCCATAGGATACTATCATCTAGGCCTCAACCCTACATCGAACGAGCATACACATTCAGTCACTCTATCTTAGATTGCCGAACTCCCTTTATCTTTCTGGCTGCAGTATCTATTTGATATTCATCTTTCTTTCCTTTATATTTTTTTCACTGCCATATCCCGTCCCAGCACTGTAGAACATACCACCTCGGGCTGTGCAGCAAAACGATAACGGGGGTTTATAGTGGCAGTGTGCCACGACTGGCGTATCTATATCATTCTCTTCATGGCTTTTTATAATGGCTTTCATGGTTTTATCCTTAATCCTTTATTCTCTATTTAGTTACTTTCTGCCTTTAGACTCCAAAGGGGCCAGGCAGGGGCTGCACATCTCGTAGCCCTGAATTCTGTCTTGTATTCCATGAATGTACTTCCATGGCATTTCAACTGGAAATCAACTCTCCTCGAGCACTCCAAAGAGAGAGGAAGTTCTTTGGTTATTTCTATTCTTAGACATTACATCTGGCACAATACTGGACCTTCTGGACAAAACTGTTTTTTAAGGTGAGTATAGTCTTCACGGGTGCCTCATTCTCGGCATGCTATCCGTCCAATTTTTGTCTTGGCTTCTTCTCTTATGCAGAAGGGAAGGACAGTCCTCTCTAACTTATATGTTGTTTTATTTCATTTGACTTTTGTTTCCATGGGTATTTCAAGGCGACGGGTAGCTTTGGCAGGCTTTCAAAGGATGTGATTGAACAGGAAGCAGAACTCCTCGCGTCTCATAGCAGGGCCCATCGAGCTTCTTTTTTGTGGTAAATACGATATGATCCCATTTGCTGTTCCATGTCAGTCAATTTCAAGGTAGAGTAGTTAACAATCGCTGGGTTGCGCTCTAGAGTGCGGGAGTCCGTTGTTTTGGGGTCTCCCACATGAGACGGGGGATCTCCCTTCCTAGATGAAGCGTGAGCATCAAGAAACACTCGCCATCGTAGAACGTCACATTAAGCATCTGCGGGATGCTGATCGTCCAGGGATGGCGCAATCAGACCTACGATGGGCTTGTGTTGCCAGACCAGACTGACCCCGCAAGCACCCTTCACCTCGTCACTTTCAATGTTCATCTTTCATCCCTCATCATCCCTCATCTTCATCCTCCCGAGTTCGATTTACTCGATCAATATTACTCGATCAAACCAGTCCTTACTCGATGAAATGCTCCCCTTCGATGTCGGAATCCGCCGATCACAGGGAAAAGAAAATATGCGAGGGGCCGAGGGGGCGTGGCCACAAGCGATTGCCGGCAAAGTCGGAAAAAAAACCCCGGCGAAAAGGCGTCGTTTCGATCGAGTAAAAAAAAAAAGCAGATTTCGGGGGGATGGACAGTTTTGATCGAGTAAACGTGCTGATAAAGAAACAGTCCCTCCAATTGATAAGCGCAGGGAGATGCCCGAGACACTGCAGAACCCGCAGCATCGGAGGTGCCCGATGGGCCTGGATCCCACTTTGTCCGACCAGCTACCCGCCTGGCGCTGTGCCCGCTCCCTTTTGGCCTCTGGACAGAATTTGCGCGTGAACCATGGTTCATTCCCGCAAGAAAATTACCATTTTGACAACGCCTTTGACAAGAGGCCCTGGGAGTAAGTAGCCTTGGGAGGGCACATGTCACTGGGAATCTGCAACGTGCAGAAGGAATCGGAGAGGCTGATCAGAGAGACGCCCCCGCTCAGTTGTCCCCGATAGGGCAAGGGTGAAGGTATTCGCTCGTGGTCATGAGAACTCGCATCTGCACGCCTGTGACTGGCTCTCTGCCGACTGCTTAGCCACCCATTTGCCAATCATCGAGTAATCGCAACTCCGAGGCGTGAAAACTGTGACCGCAAGGACATGCCTCCTCTCTCGGCGCGGGTATTGAGTGGGACAGTGGGTATACCCTCAGTTGTCTGGTCCCGTTTTCTTTCTCCGCTGGTGGTCCATCCCCCCAAAAAATTTTCCCCGGGTGGCTGTTTATTTATATCCCCCCCAGTCCCAGCCCTTATCTTTGCCCTTTTCTTTTTTTTCACTCCACCAGATAAGCCCTTTTTTGCCCCTCTCTTATCTCCATTGATCCAATCTATTGGTTGCCTTATCTGCTATATTCCCTTATATTCTTCCACTTTTTTTTTCCCTTCAGCACTTCACTCCCCATTTTCACAACCCGCTGTTGCCGTCTGGTCTGATTGAGTTATCCCAAGTCTACTGGGAGATCCGGAAGAAGAGGCTTGCAAACAAAGAAGAGCAAGCCCCCCAGAGTAGCTACCATGGCCACAGCTAACATCCCCGCGATTGCCGTGGTGGCTTCATCACGAGCCGTCATCTCCGGCCGTTTGACCTCTGCTACGGTGGTGATCTCTCGGACTACGGGCAAGATCACTGCCGTCTTCGACTCGGTGATTCCCGCATCGGAATTCCCCACCGGCACACCCTATACCGACTACTCGCCCCACGTCCTGCTGCCCGGCTTGGTCGATGCTCACGTTCACCTGAATGAGCCCGGCCGTACCGAATGGGAAGGCTTTTACACCGGCACCCAGGCCGCTGCCTTCGGTGGCGTTACCACCGTGATCGACATGCCCCTCAATGCCATTCCACCCACCACCACGGTAGCAGGACTGAAAGAAAAAGTCCAGGCTGCCCAGGGCAAGTGCTGGGTAGATGTCGGCTTCTATGGCGGTATCATTCCCGGCAATGCCCACGAACTCAAGAACCTCGTCCACGAAGGTGTCCGAGGCTTCAAAGGGTTCTTAATTGACAGTGGCGTAAGTGATCACATCATTTGTGCTCATTCTCTCATCATACTAACACCGAGCTTTACAGGTGGAGGAGTTCCCTGCTGTTAGCTCTGACGATATCCAAAAGGCTATGGCTGAACTGGCAGATGAGCCCACCACACTCATGTTCCATGCTGAGATGGTGCCCCCGATCACCGCCTCGGTGGGAGATGAGATCCAAAAGTCTGACCCCCCAGCCGCACCCACTGGCCCTCTTGAGGCGTACTCGACCTTCCTGGCGTCGAGGCCCTCGTCGTTTGAGACCTGTGCCATCGAACGGATCCTGTCCATGGCCCATTTGGCCCCCAACCTTCCCCTGCATATTGTCCACCTCTCCGCCATGGAGGCCATTCCCCTGCTGCGGGAGGCGCGTGCACATGGAGTCAAGGTCACCGCCGAGACCTGCTTCCACTACCTGTCGCTGGCGGCCGAGGAGGTGCGTGACGGCGACACTCGTCACAAGTGCTGTCCGCCCATCCGGTCCCAGCTGAACCAAGATGGGTTGTGGGAGGAGCTGGAGAAACACACCGGCAACGGCGTCATCAAGACCGTTGTATCGGACCACTCCCCCTGCACCCCAGACCTCAAGCAGCTCCCGTCCCACGTGCCAGGCCACTGCAGCGGCGGGGAGGGTGAGGAAGAAAGCGGCAACTTCTTCTCCGCATGGGGCGGCATTTCTTCCGTCGGCTTAGGGTTGCCCATCCTTTGGACCGAACTCAGCCGCCGCAAGGGCCTGACGCCTGCGCCGGACGACCAGAACACCAAGACGGCACTGCAAGACGTCGTTCGTCTCTGCTGTGCCAACACCGCCGCCCAGGTCGGCCTGCAGTCGCACAAGGGCGACTTGGTCGTGGGCTTCGATGCCGACATCTGCGTCTTCGACGACACCGCCGAGTGGGTCGTCGAGCCTAGCACCATGCTCTTCCGCAACAAGTGTTCCCCCTACCAGGGCCGCACTCTGCGCGGCATGGTCCGTGAGACCTGGCTGCGCGGTGAACGCATCTACAACCGTGACCAGGGCTTCGCCGATAAAAACCCCGCCGGCAAATTGCTCCTCGAGAAACGGGTTTGATACCCCATTCCTCTTCCTCTTCTTTTTTCCTTCCTCCTTTTTCCTTTGTCTCCGTCTTGGGACAAGTTGACCATGGCAGCCGGCCACTCCCTTTCTTCAACATCTTCTTTCAGCCCGTGACGTGAGGCCACGAGCCCCGATTGACGAGCACTAATGATGAACCCGCACAGCATCCATACCCGTTAGATTAATGACAGCGTGTTGTAGTTTAGCTATAGAATATGAAAAGCATATTTTATATTTTACAGTCATTTCCAGCTTCTTTCGCTTTCCTGGCCAAAGACTGTATATTGAAATAGATCTTCTCCATCATATCAAGAATCTTCCGTAATAGACTTCTCCCACTTCTCCCTCACCCGCCTTCGCATCCCCCCATTAACCCCCTTCCCCCAAATTTCTTCTTTCTGATCCGCAAGCTCCACCTGCCCCTCAGACTCAACTGTCCCAACAACTGTCTTCCGCTCCTGAATCTTCCGTTCCTTCACTCGGGCCTTCTCCACTTTCCCCAAGTACGCGCCATACAAGAACGCCTCAGCAATAGCGACGGCCAGCGCTGCAAACAGCGACAACAGCACGCGCACCGCCTCCGACGCACCCTGTCCCTGCTGCCCGGCCGAGGCACGAGCCCGCGACTCTTCTGTCTGCAGCCCCGTCCACGCGGCGAACGTTTCGGCGATGATCCCGGGCGTTGCGAATGTCGTCAGCGCCCAGTACACGCTGAACCCGGTGATGATTACCGACAGAAAGATGTTCAGCACCAGCGATGGGGTCAGTGTTTCTTCGCTGACAATTTCTCCTTCTGTAGATGAGAACGTGTGGGGGTCGGCGTGGTCTGGGGTCGGCGTGTAGGTTGGGTTGAGGAGGCGCTGGTAGGCGGCTTGTTCGGATAGGGCGAGGAGACGCGCTTTGGAAGCGAGATATTCGGGGCTCTGGTGGATGTCTATCAGTATTGGGGATAACTGGGGCTTCCAGCGATAGAGGTTATAGAAGTAGTGGAAAAATCGCATTCACGTACCGGTTCGGGTTTCTTGGGCGGCGGCGGCACATACACTGTCGTGCCGCGGAGGAGGGAGGCTAGGACGGTAGGACTGCCGGGTGTGAGGTTTGTGTCGGTGTATTCTGTGTTGTTTTGGAGGTGCCTTGAGAGTCGCAACAGGGATTCATGGGTGATCGGTCCATGCAGCTCCAGCGACGCCGGGAGCTCGAGCTCATCACGGCGCGAGGCCGGGACAGCCTCAAGGGCGGCGAGGATGCCGTCGGTGGTGACGAGGAGGACCATTGCAAATGTAATTGAAATGGGTGGAAATATCGTTACGCTTCCCGTCGCATCATATCCATCCCAACTTCCAGTCTCTCCTGGTAGTGAGGAATGTCTAGGAATGCACACCTTCGTTGACGGTGGTCGGAGGTGACCGGGGGGTCCACTCTCCCAGCGTCCTCTCCCCACATCGTCATCTTTTCTTTCGACTCTCTCTCCCTCGTCCTGCGCAGCCATGGCCGACTCAAATTCCAAGAGGTACGTTACTCTTGCTGGAAGGCATTGATTCCTTCGGCTATTTTCTGTTGATCTGCTTGTCTTCCCAATTCCTCTTTTTTCATCGATCTCTTCAACCCCCCCCCACCGTGTTTCTTCTCAACTAACCCCTCCACCAGCACAGTAACGACACAAACCAACCCGCGCGGGATCCCCGTTGCCCCCTTCATCGACGATGTCAAGGACTATGTGTCGTCCCGCGCCGAGGTCGAACCGACGCTGCGCTCCTTCCAGGAGATGATCTCCAAGTACCAGTTCATGGAGGTTAACACCCAGCGCCGCGGCCAAGGACTGCGCGAGAAGATCCCCGATATTGAGAAGACGTTGGAGATGGTTCGATTCTTGAAATTACGCAAGGGGGTACGCATTCTGTCGTCATTGCCGACTATATCGCCTTTCGTCCTATTATTGTCACCATCGCTACGATCACAACACATCAATGCTAACTCAACTCGTGTGTTCTCTCCAGTCCAACCCAGACTCCGAGCTCGAAACAAACTTCGAGCTTAATGATACCCTCTACGCCCGGGCGTCTATCTCCCCCGCTGACACCGAGGAGGTGTACCTCTGGCTCGGCGCCAATGTCATGCTGGCATACCCGCTGACCGAGGCGGAGACGATGCTCGATGACAAGTTGAGCGCGGCCCAGTCGAGCTTGAAAAACTGCGAGGAAGACTTGGAATTCTTGCGCGAGCAGATTACGGTATATCCTTGCTTTATTTCCATTTCAAATCACCCTTTGTGGATTATTTCCAAGGGCTCATAAGGAATGCCGGACCGTTGCTGACAACTTTTTATCATTATAGACACTGGAGGTCGCTACGGCACGGGTGTATAACTGGGATGTTGTGCAGAGACGAAAAGAAAAGGCCGAGGGGAAAGGTGACGACGATGAGGACAAGAAGGGGTCGGGAGGCTAAGGGGATGGGCGTGGATGAGATTTACGATTCGATTTCATGAAGCAAAATAGAAAGTGATTACCCCTTCAGTCTGTTCGAGCATCAACCGGCTATATCGTTCTCCCTACGGACACGCGGGCATGGGTGATATAGAAAGCCCTACATACCAGCTCGCGTCCCCGCCATTGCCTGTGCCGTTAGTATCTCGGCCCACCGCAAATCAATTCCTCGAATATTGTCACCAAGCGAGCATTTCAAGACTGTATGTATCCCACGTGACTGTTCGTGACAACGTACTCATCTCTTGTCATTCGCGGGAGACGCGCCTCCCACAAAGTTGAGCTGCCCTTGTCCCTTTGGCGTGTACTTGCTGTGCAGAAACAGCGCCCCAGGTCAGCGAGGGACTGTCCAACTTGGAATGGCGGAGCAGGTTGACGTGGCAAGCGTCAGTTTCTCGAGGCTGGATGATGCCCTGGGTGCCGTCCACATCCAGGAAACAAACATCCCCACCAAAGCCCACGAGAGAGAACCACATTTTGGGGATTGCTGCCGCAGCGGTGATACTGAGTCCTATGTTTGTATCGCAGAAACTGGGCCCACTAAATACCCCTGCGAAGACAAGTGCTGCGACGACAACTTTGCTGGTGCTGAAAGCTTCAACAATGTCTTTTCTTCGATAGGTACCTGCTGCAATTCTCAGCGGTCAGAGCCCCCTGTTGCAACCAACAACGATCCTGCCGTCACTGACTGCTGTCGAGGCAAGCCTTCACCCTGCTGCGATGAGTCTTGTCTCGACCGTCTGGCTCTCCGTGAATGTGCAGCGGCATCAAGGCCAGCCTGTATCGACAAGACTACAAAGAGTAAGTGGCTCGGCTACGACTTAATTATTCGCGTTTTCTGATATCCGAAACCCAGATGCTTCCAGTTGCTGCTCTTCGTCAATCTCCCCAGACACGACAGGGTCGAGAGGCCATGCATGCGATAGCCATCGGCGCTCTATTCGGGAGGAGTATAGTGCCAAGCTACAGGCCCTTGGGTTTATTTGTCGTGCTCTTCTTGCGCTTGGGAAGGAATCTGCTGTGAACCCCGGAATCGCAACTCAGGGGATCAAAGAAAGTGTTCTCGAAGGCCATCGCAGATGTCTCTCTCGCGTGCATCTGTTGACTCTTGCTGCGCCAGCGGAATCTCTACGAGGAAGTCGCCTGCACGGAAAAGAGTGCGGTCTCCGAGACCTAGCAGCCCTTCTAACGCAAAGGGCACTACTGGGAAGGATTGCCTCAGTAGCTCCTGCTGCAGACCCACAGGGGTTGTCTCTATTGACTCGTCCAACAAGGCCTCCTGTACCTCTGAGAATCCATCTTGGTCTACAATCGCCGAAACTGGAGGCGGTTGTTGCTCCAGGAAGCCGGCTCCATTTACGGGGAAGAAGCAAGGTTTGCTGCGGAAGGGTGCGACCTGGAGAATCAAGCCTACGGCTTGGAGCATGTTGTTCTATCTATTTCTGGCATGATCTCTGACAGGTGTTCGGGGGTTGAAGACGAACTTGATCTTATCACGGGCCGAGCTGGACGTTGATCTCAACTTGACCATCGTTGACCATGTCATGAAACACCTGGAGCGTACCATCGAATTCAAGTGTGAAAAGATCACAAGCGGATCTATCCTTGACATCGTCGTTTCTGGGGATGCTTCTGCGCTCGTGAATCGAACTTGGGCTGAAGGAGTCCTTGACATGTCTCTAATAAATCAAGATACTGTTCGGGTCATTTTGGATCCGGAGGTAATTGGCGCTCGAGATCTTCTGGAGAAGCATTGGAGCCAATCTGCAAGACTCGCTCTACCCTGTGAGGATCCTGCCCTCGCAGCTGGAAGCAAGCATGTGCATCATGTCGGGTACATGACTCTTTATATTCAAGTCCGCCAATGCCCTTGAAGTTGCTCATAGGACATCTCATGTGGTCTTTGATAAGACGGATACCCTTACTCAGGGCAGGATGAGTGTGGTCGCTGAGCACTGGCTTGTGGATACCGATACTGCAATGCCTCTTCTCCTAGGCTTGATTGGCGACAGTCGTCATCCGGTGTCCCTAGCAGTGAGCAATCACTTGAAAAACAAGGGCATCGTGGCTACCACTGTGGCTGACATTAAAACGCTGACCGGCCGAGGCATAGAATCCGAAGGAACCAGTCAAACCTTGCGAGCCGGGAATTCTCATTGGGGTCTCAGGGCTATACTGTGTTTTGTTTCATGCAAGATAGGTCAGTGTCATGCCAGTTATTGCGGCTGCGGTGATGTTGCGATGGTGCAGGCTCTAGCTTCGAGGGCTTCTAAGAAAGACAAAACATCTTAGTGATTCTTGGCTCAGGCGGAATGTGGATGAGGGTAGTGCTGGTCAACTCGGCTTTTTTTCTTCTTTTCTTTTCACTTCTTGTTGTCGCCTTGAATGCCTCGTTGTGGCTTGATGTTTTCAACAAACATTATCAGAGAGGGTGGCATACTCTTTAACTTCCAATCTATCTTTCTATACCCATAAGGGCCCGACTGGTTCAAGCGGCTCTAGAGCTTATATCCGTTGCTGCAAACATGGTCAATACCCAGTAAAGCAATTTCGTTAGTAGCCCCTAGCTAGGGCTAGAATCAATTGAATAATCATATCTCAGCAAAACAACAGATCATCCAACATCAGGAGCAACCTACCCCAATTACACCTTCAAGATGCATCGCCATGTCATGATGAGCCGTCGCAAGAATATCTTTGTGTGTAGAGGATGGCACCAGCCAAGGTTGAGGATTTCCGTGGATAAGCACGCCTTCATGCTCATCGATTGTGCTATTCTTCCGCATCCTTAGTTTGACCATACCATGGACCATCCAACGGACAATGGTGGTATTCAAATGGCGTAGGCATGGGCGTCCATTTCTAGGGGTTGGGTGTGGTCAATCTTCAATATGATCTCGATGCGGGCCAGTTGTGGAAGCTGGTCAGATGCAATGACGTCTCAGTATTACTTGGCTTCTCTCAGAGAGCACTAGGGGAAGCTGGAGAAAGCAGAACTGCTGGGAGAAAAGAGCGCAGAAGAGAGAATCAAATTGTCTGGAGGAGAGAAGAGAAGCTATCTGTTGCCTACACTCTGCTTCTCATCAAAATATTTTTTCCTTGATTGTTTCCCCACTGTCTAGATATCTCCCCAAACCAGTATATGTGGTTGAATCACAAATTTTCAACAGAACAGTCGGTGTGGTAAGAGCCTAAGATTCGAATTCTTCAAAGTAGTGTCGGATGCAGTCGATCAATGCGGAGCATTGCCGATCTTGTGTCTCGCGGTTCCTGCAGAGCCGCAATCAAGTCGACCAGATGAAGATTTCCAAGTCATCCTGGGTAGCACAACCTACCAGTCAGTCATGGGAACCCTGATGCTTGATATTCTATGGGCACCATCAGTACCCCCACGGTACATTCTGGTACTTACAGTCCCCGAGATATGCAGCATGGGGGGTGGGTAGCCCCAGGTACCTTGGAAGGATTAGGTAATGGCATCACCTGATGGCGCATCACATGTGCCTCACTTTGGTATCGCGCGTGCTGTGAGTTGTTTCATTCTTAAGTGTGTTGTCTTTTGCCCCCTTTGCCTTGTCTTTGCTCCCTTTGATCTATCCATAAAGTGCATGGATGGCGGTGTGATGTGACAACTGCCTGGTAGATCTATCGATAAACCCGGCGTCCAAGCTCCAACGCCTTATCGGCCTAGACTCTGCAAGAGCACAACCGTCCGTGGGCTATCATCCCCGGTGGTCTTCTGATAGTCTGCATATTGACATGACCTGGTCATTTGTAGTGCAGTGTTCATCTGTCTTAACGACATTCCAGAGTGGCCCTTCCGGGTCGTCATAGTCCTACCAGCTCCGAGCTGTCACCTGGCTCGAGCCATTTAACTTCGCGACCGGTTTATCCCCCCACATCTCAGCAACTTGCTCATCGGCATCCTGGACCTACAACAGTTCATTGATTATATTTTCTCCAAGGATGAGACCGTTGCGAGATGATTCCAAACGCCGAGGGGACCGGAGGCTGAGCTCCAGCATGAAAGCCACTTCAGCCCACCGTTTCTCAGATCGGGTGCCAGATCGCTTCAAGGATGGGGACGATTCTCAGATGGATTTCACCGCACCCCCACGGGGTATGGGCTCTCGGGATGGCAATGTGCACTACATGCAGCAGTCCCTCTTCTCCATGATTGCCGCCGTCGGCTCCAAGTCGGATTTCCGGGCCCGATTTGATGAATCGAGTGATAGTGATGGAGAGACTGAGGCCCATCCGCGGAAAGAGCCTTCCTCAGCAGCAGTATCATCTCCGACCCGTTCCCCATCATCCGATCGACCACAACCGAGCGAGAAATCAGCAACGAAACCGCAGGGTGATACCGAAGACAGAGGCCGTCACCACCGAAGGACGATATCAGACAATAAAATTCTGCGGAAACCATCCCGACCGAGCTCCCAGAACAGAACTGATGACCCTTCCGCACAGAGCGAGTCGACTCTCGCGATTCCCCCTCTAAGGCGCACCCGCAGCGCGACGCCGCGGGCAGCTCCTGTCCTGAGTCGCATGGTGGAGGCACAGACCCACTTCGATATATCTGCCCCGGAGCGATCGCCGTCTAAATCTCAGGAACCGATCGAAGACCGGCCACAATCTTCAGCATCCGCGCTCTCCACACGGCTGATGGAGATGTTCGGGTTCGAGACACCTGAGAAGGTCTTGGTCGAGTACGCTTGCTCATTACTGCAGAGCATGCTCCTCCAGGGCTATATGTACGTGACCGAAGGGCATATCTGCTTCTACGCCTACCTTCCAAAGAAGTCGAATATAGCGATCAAGTCGGGCTACCTCTCCAAGCGCGGTCGCCAAAACCCTAAATATACTCGCTATTGGTTTGCGTTGAAAGGCGATGTCCTTTCGTATTATGCAGACTCTTCCAATCTGTACTTTCCTAGCGGCCACGTCGATCTTCGATACGGCATCTCCGCAACGCTCGCGGACCCGAAAGGCAAAGGCGAAGCCAAGGATTTCCAAGTCACCACCGACCAACGGACTTACTTCTTTCGAGCGGAAAGTGCCACAAGCGCCAAGGAATGGGTGAAGGCTCTTCAGAAAGTCATCTTCCGGACACACAACGAAGGCGACAGCGTCAAGGTGTCTTTCCCCATTAAAAACGTCATTGACTTGGAGGAGAGCCCCATGGTCGACTTCGCCGAGACATTTAAGATTCGAGTTGTCGATAGTGGCGAAACCTTTGCTGTTGATGAGGTAACGTTTACACTCCCAGAGTCATGGGGCTTTTGCTGACGGATGCCACAGTATTTCTTTTCATTTTTCAATTCGGGAAAAGACGCCTTCGACTATCTGAAAGACTTGGTGAATACTACATATTCAAAGAATGTGTCAAAAGAGACATCGGACCAGCGCGATTCGCAAGTTCAAGCTAAGCCAGACCAGACTGATCGAACGAGACTGACGGTCAGCAGTGGACTACCCTTCGGGAAGAGGGAGGAACATCTGCCTCGCAGGCCGGGCGCAGGTGTTGGCAATGGGCATCAAGGTTCATCCGATTCATTTGAGGAGCAAGGAACCGAGTCTTCGCCCGTTGTGCATTCCATGACAGACACGACTGAATCCGCAAGTCAAATACTGAACCGAAGTGATGTCTTTCAGTCTCCTACGATACACACCTGGCGTAGACATTCATCCGACGAAGGGCAGGTCAGCCGTCGACGCTCTGATGATACAGCCCGTTCTGCATCCGCGCGACTGGATACTTCTGCTGGTCCGAGCCAGTTGGATATGGCTGTAGGTGGCATGGATGGGAACGCAGAGAACATATGCTTTGCTTCCGGTCAGTCTGACCAGATAACGCCGGACCCGTCGAAGTTCCATTCGGCTGCCTCGCTGAATGAACTTGTCAAGGCAGGATCATATCCCCTCCAGCGCGCTGCAGGATTTGCAGACTACCTGAGAAGTCGATCAAAACAGATGAGCAGCTTGTTGGCAACCGAATCAATGGGTTATATAGAGAAGGTGTCTGGCATGTGGACTGGGGGTCAGAAGCACTACGGGGAGGCCGAGGGCGTGTTGGCTGAAGGCCAAAACGTGGATCCCGAGGACAAGGAAGGCGGCTTTAATTATGGTGATCGCTTCCGCGCCCATTTCGCCCTTCCGTCAAGGGAGAGGCTGCAAGCGACATATTACGCCTATTTACACCGCGTGTTGCCCCTCTACGGCAAGATTTACATCAGCCAAAGGAAGCTCTGTTTTCGCAGTCTCATTCCTGGCACGCGCACCAAGATGATTCTTCCGCTGAAAGATATGGAGAATGTTGAGAAGGAGAAAGGCTTTCGGTTTGGCTACCATGGACTTGTGGTGATCATCCGCGGCCATGAAGAGCTTTTCTTCGAGTTCAATACGTCGGATTCCCGGGACGACTGTGCTGTGACGTTGCATCAGAACCTTGAATCGGTCAAGTTTTTGGTGGGATCTGGATTGTTGGCGGAAGAGGAGCGAGAGGAAGTCGAGGCGGCCAAGGCCGAGCATCGCATGCTGCAAGAAGCTAGAATGGACCAGCCCGAAGAGTATGATTCTCGCCCAACGCTCAACGAGGACTCTTCCGAGATTCATCCGTTTTTTGATGATCCTCGTGCTTCGATCATCAACTTCAAACCTGCTGAACCTTTGAGGATTGCTTGTCTGACCATCGGCTCCCGGGGCGATGTACAGCCGTATATTGCTCTGTGCAAGGGGCTACTTGCGGAGGGCCACAAACCAAAGATTGCCACGCACGCCGAATTTGAGCCGTGGATCCGAAAGCATGGGATCGACTTTGCACCTGTGGAAGGAGACCCTGCAGAGCTGATGCGTATTTGCGTTGAGAATGGCATGTTTACCTTTTCCTTCTTGAAAGAAGCATCATTGAAGTTCAGAGGTTGGATTGATGAACTTTTATCCTCGGCATGGACCAGTTGTCAGGACAGTGATCTGCTCATCGAATCGCCCAGTGCTATGGCCGGCATCCATATTGCGGAGGCGCTTCGGATTCCTTACTTCCGCGGCTTCACCATGCCCTGGACGAGGACGCGGGCATATCCGCATGCATTTGCAGTCCCAGAACATCGAATGGGCGGGGCGTACAACTATATCACGTACGTCATGTTCGACAACGTTTTTTGGAAAGCGATTGCCGGACAGGTCAACCGATGGCGCAACAACGAGCTGGGATTGAAGGCTACTGCTTTGGACAAAATGCAACAGAACAAGGTCCCATTCTTATATAATTACTCGCCCTCCGTGGTGCCCCCTCCTCTCGACTACCCGGATTGGATCCGCATCACCGGCTACTGGTTTTTGAGCGAGGGTTCGGATTGGACCCCACCGGCTGAGCTGTCAGACTTCATTGAACGAGCCCGAAAAGATGGCAAAAAGATTGTGTATATTGGGTTTGGATCAATCGTGGTTTCGGACCCGTCAGCCCTCACGCGGACCGTCATTGAATCTGTCCGGAAAGCCGACGTGCGCTGCATCCTCTCAAAGGGATGGTCCGACAGGCTCGGTGACCCTGCCAGTACCAAGTCTGAAATCCCTCTGCCACCAGAGATCTACCAGATTCAAGCCGCACCCCACGATTGGCTGTTCTCCCAAATTGACGCTGCCGCCCATCATGGTGGGGCGGGAACCACCGGTGCCAGCTTGCGTGCCGGTGTGCCCACTATTGTCAAGCCATTCTTTGGTGACCAGTTTTTCTTCGGTGGCCGGGTCGAGGATTTGGGCGTGGGCATCTGCATGAAGAAACTGAATGTCAGTGTGTTCTCGCGCGCACTCTGGGAGGCCACGCACAGCGAGCGGATGATCATCAAGGCCCGCAACCTGGGTGTGCAGATCCGGAATGTGAGTGATCCGGACCTCTCCCATGGAATATGTTCATTTGTACTGATATATCAATTCTCCTTAATAGGAAGACGGCGTGGCTACCGCAATCCAAGCTCTTTACCGCGACCTCGAATACGCCAAGACGCTTGCCCGACAACGCTCAATCGCCTCGTCCACGCCGTTCTCGCCGACCCCTTCGGCCAAGGTCTCGCCGGATGAGGGTGACGAAGATCTAGACGATATCGAGGAATGGACCTTTATAGGTGACGAGACGGACATCGACATCTCGAAACGGATGCGCGATCGAGCTGCCTCTGATGCTGACCAGCTCGCCATGAACATGTTCTCATGATCCAGTGCCTCTGTGGGCCAACGCTCTCTCATAGAATAATTGTCTTTTTTGGTTTTGGCTTTCGTGCTTAATTTGTCTGCTTTTCGTTCTATACCTGACTGCGAGGGATTCATGAATCACGACTTTTTGCATTCTTTTGAGTTTCTAGTGTTTTCTCTTCTTATGATTGCACGAATGAATTGCCCCATGGGCTTTGTTGAGTCTTAAATACTTCAATGTGTCTTTCGAGGAGATACCTGCCTTTGATATGCAAAGGTAACCCAATCACCTTTTCTACCTCACCAGATCGCGTGCTTTGTGGTCTAGTAGGAGATAATCGTACATTAGTCAAGATTTACTTGTCTTGGTCATTGGAATCCCACGATGGATCAACACCCCAAAGCCTAGTGTTGACGGGAATTGAGGTTTATTTACTGGGGGCAAAAGCTCCAAGGACACCGATGATGGCACAATGTACATGGCATGTATTCCGAATGTCGTAGAGGTGATAATATAAGAAAAGAAAAAAAAGAAAAAATCCAAACGCCAACTCATGCCTTTGCGGACTTTTTCCGCTTCTTTTCTTCAGGGTCCTTGTGGGACTTTTTGGACTTTTTGTGTGTCTTCTCGTCTGGTGCATCTTCATTCTCCTGTGACGAGTGCTTCTTCGACTTCTTCCGGGGCAGCGCAGTCCCCTGAGCAGCGTCCCCCTCGGTGTGGTGATATTTTCGCTTTCGCTCCTCGCGATCTCCCTTGGGGACCTTGAACGAGGGCTCCTCGGTTTCAGATTCTGAGCTGGAACCGATCGTCTCCGGTGCATCGGGTAGACTTCCGACAGGCCGGAAGCGCATCTTCAAGTTCTTTGGCTGAGCTCTGTGTGGCTTGACCTCGTCGCGGAGGGCTGCTACTGCGGCGTCCACGTTTTCAGATGTCCCCGGGAACCCAATCAGCTCCTGGACATGATAACTAGGGATATGGTCGGCCGCGCTGCGATATGTCTGTGTAGACTCGTCATACACGAGCAACGCTTTTTCTTGGGTTTCGCCCTCGGTGAGCGTCTCTGCCGGGATTCCGTAGCTCACTCCTTCGTGTGTGAGGATCGGCTGGCCTTGCATGATCTTGGCCATCGACACCTCTTTGACCTTTGACAACGGGAGGAAAGACGGGGCCGTGATGTGGAAGACTTGCTTGCCGCGGAGATTGGAAATAAGAGAAGAAGAGCCCGAGGATGGCGCGGGCTGTTTCTTTGCGGACTTGAAGCCCGACGGTGGCTTATATGGTTGTGGGCCGGGGATCGAGACTCTGTAAACGAGGCGCACGACGTTAGTATTTCGTCGCGGGGCCGACGTAAGGACGGAGTGGCACACTCTTACTTTTTAGCTGGCGGATTTTCCTTTAAGCTGGTCTCCTCGCTTGATTCCCCGTCGCTAGAGCTGTCCGATCCACTGTCCGACCCTGAGCTAGTTCCATCGTCACTTTCGACCTGCGCTTTCGATTTTGCCTTCGCCAGCTGTTTCTGCTTGGTCGCGGGTTCCGGCGAGGCCGACCGGCCGGAGCTGCTGTCGCTCTCCAAGGGAGGTGTCGGGGCCATGATTGTGTAAGGCCAGTCTCTCTCACTGGCGATTCAACGGGTGCTTCTTCACAGTGATGCCGAGGGTTCGGTTACACCCACACTGCGCGGGTCTAAATGGGCCGGAGGATCTTGACTATTTCTTCGGCACAATTGTTGCAGACTATCTTCGCAGAGAGGGACTGCGCAAGATAAAATAGAAGGGCGAGGTGCTGTGCTGGGGTGTTGGAGGAAGAGCCGATCTTTTTTTTTTTTGCTCCGCGGGAGCACGGACCAACAGCCAACTTTTTTCTTATCGCATCAACCCGAGCTTCCATGAGACCTCAATGGGAATGATGAAGCGAAAGGCTGAAAAGCAAGCTGCTGGTATGCTCAATGTCTTCGACACTTATTCTTTGTGTGATTCTTACCATTATCTCCAGCCCCTGTCAGCGCTGTCGCGGCGCGCAAAGCTCGGCAACAACAAGCGCAGACGGTGACCGCGCCGAAAAATGCTCCGGCAGTTGAGCCGGCCGGCGAACCGCCGTCGAAAAAGCCGCGACGGTCTCTAGAGGGATACGAGACGGCCGAAACGAACGGCGAAGGCCGCCGTGTCCCGCAAACCCCGGCAGCAAAGAAGCAAAATAATGAGCCATTGCTGGCGGGGACAGCGACGAAGCGACAAACGAGAACCGCACGGTCCAGTAAACCTGAGACGCAATCTCGAGTACAGGATATCTGCGAAAACCCCGAGGACGAAGAGTCGGAAGTGTACACTGCTGAAGGCGTGGGTGAGATGAACGAGGATGATGTCGCATCAATTGCTGGAGATGCGGATGGCTATGAATCACCCGCGGAGCCAGCGATAGAGCTTCAGAACTTTCCTCTGTCTAAAATCCGGCTGAGCAAGAGTAATATTGTCTACAGTGATGATAGTACTCTTTGCATCCGCATCAAAGAAAAGACGGTATGCAATTGCCGCTTCTAGTCTCGAGAGCCACGCTAACTAGCTTCAGAACCTCGCGGTGCTGGGCCAATACGATCTCTGGGTCAAAAAGGGCCTTGTTAGTTTGATGGGAGCCAAATTGCACCCATCGTCCCGGTTGTTTAGGGTGTATGCGCCATCGACCCACTCTCTGCCGGTTATCAAATGCGTCTCTGGTGTGGATGGCGAGGCAGAAATCGAGTTGAAGTCCTGCAGCAGTGGTATTTCACGTCTTCGAGACCTCAACCTGTTGTATCAGAAGGTTTGGAATGGTGGAAACACCGCTGCCGATAAAATCTCTCTGAAGGGGGCTCTCAAGAACTCTCGGCGGACGTTCTCGGTGGTATGGAATCATACTCTTTTGGGCGGAAACTCGAAATCCAAAGCTGACTATTTTGGCAGCTCTATACATCGGCAGATGACACCTTGAAGAGACACCTTCGGCCGCTCCATCTCGACAAGAAATGGAGTTCCTCGATGAAAGCCCTATCAATGCGGCAAGGACGACTTCGAGCTCTGGTCTGCGGCCCCAAAGCCTCTGGGAAATCTACGTTCAGTCGCTATCTGCTCAACCATGTTCTCAGTCCGGCTCCCGAGACGGAAAATGGGTACACTAACGCCGACGGCGTCGCTTTCCTGGACCTGGATCCAGGGCAACCAGAGTTTGCTCCTATGGGCCAGGTATACCTGGCCCATCTACGCTCTCCCTTTTTCGGGCCACCATTCACGCATCCATCCCTGGATGATTCGCCCGATGGCGAAATGGTGCGAGCCCACCATATTGGTGCGACCTCGCCAAAGGAAGACCCTGATCACTATGCCCTAGCCACTATGGACCTAATGGACCAATATCGCGCGCTGCTGGCGAGGTATCCTCAGTGCCCGTTGATTGTCAATTATCCAGGCTGGATCTTCGGGCAGGGGTTAGAGGTGGCTACGTGGCTGGTGAAATGCCTCGGTCTATCCGATGTGGTTTATATGAGCGAGAAGGGCCCTGCAGAGGTCGTGGAACCGCTAGGCCTCGCAGCCCATGAAGCTGGAGTCACCATGACAATCCTGCCGTCACAGCCCACCGATTTTGTGAGCCGGTCGAGTGCTCAATTGCGTTCGATGCAAATACAGTCGTATTTCCACATGTCGCGTCCGACAGGTCTCAGCACCCCTCTCTGGCTGGAGACGCCTCTGTCTCTTTCAAGACCAATTACGGTGGACTATGCCGGTGCGCGACAGGGCATTTTGGGGATCATGGTGATGGGTTCCCAGATCAATCTCGACCTCCTACGAGAAGTTCTCGAGGGGGCTATTGTTGGAGTAGTCGCTGTAGAGTCACCTCATGTGATTGCAGGCGCAGTATCAAATGGGGCCTCCGGAGGCGATGACGAAGAAAATGAGCCTGTCTCAGGCGTGGACGTTGACATGAACTTGGATGAGCGAGCAATAGCTGGATCTAGCACCATGTCTATTGCCGACAGCGTTACCCGGACACCACACGAAGATCTGCCCTACCTCTTCATCGGATCCGGGAGCTGCACGCCACTGGACCCCAAAGCATCCCACTGTCTTGGTCTAGCTCTCATTCGCTCAGTGAACCCCAGCTCGCACCAGCTTGAACTCTCCACGCCTATTCCCCATTCGCAGCTGAGCGAGTCTCTCAAGAGCGGTTATGGTATCGTGCTGGTCCGCGGCCAGTTGGATAACCCGAACTGGGCCATCAGTGAAGAATATCACGCCGCCCGCGCTGCGGAGAGGCGCTATCAGCAGTCTGTAACCCAGACGAGGAAGGGCGGAGATGCGGGTAGCGAAAAGAAAGGCGGCGATCTTGAACAGCACAACCAGACTCTTGCACTCCTGCGGGAGAGAGTCCGGCGGGCGAGTAGCGTGCCGTGGATGACGGTCGTCGAAGACAACAGTCGTCGACAGCGTGAGGCTGCGGCGCGGCGCGAGAAGTCGCTGTGGAAGCTCAGGAAGAAGGCCTACCCCGGCAGCGAGAGCGAGACGGATTGTTAGCTTCCGATACTATCAATGCTCGACTGAATATATCCATGCATGGTTTCTTTATAATCAAAATAGAATATTGACCGAGATCCCCCAACCATCAAGACCAACCCAACGCAAAGCACTGCCTGGGATCTATCCCAAACGTGCTTTTAACAGGCAGGAAATATCATAAAAAAAAATCCAATCAAAGCTCGGTCTTTCCCCAATTGGACGAAGAGCCAGCATGCATCTGCTCGCCTTCCTTCTGCCACGCCTGGAACATAAGCGTCGCCACATTACGGCCCATCAGCGCACTAGTCTCCATAGTCGAGATAAAGCTTTCGATCCCACTGGTATACCAAATACCCGGAGCCAAGACGGTGTCTTCGAACGTCACCCGCGGATACAACAGAGGATAAGGGTTCCAAATCTTCTCGTGGAACCAGGTGACGTCGCTCTTAGGAAGATCCCCGATAGTGGCATTAGGGTTTATCGTACCATCGTAGGAGTCCAGCCCGAGAATCTGGGCAATGAACTCGGCCGATGGCCGTTCGGGAGAGAAGATCTTGTACACGTATTGCTGCTGCCCTTGTTCCTCGTTGTCTTTGGTGACGGGTCGGCTCACGGTGCGGAGGGTGCTGATGCTCCAGAAACGGGCAGGGCCCACGCCTGCTGGGTTTGAGCCCAGATCCAGACCCTCCGGGAGTGTTGTTAGGATGGTTTCAGGGACGTGGGCATTAGAGTCGTTTAGACCGAAGAATCGTGATGATATTCGGTGTGGAGAAGCGAGGAGCGTGACGTGCAGCTTGACATATGGGATCTCATCTGGCGTTTGCGGAAGTGGAGGGGAGATAGAGATGTCCGAGTACTGCAGAGGACCGGCAACAACCACTTCGTCGAAGACGGCTTGCTCCGATGGCTGTGCGAAGTTGATCTTCCTACTGGGTTCCGTTGTGATGCGCACAGTGCCGTCCTCATTACGCTGGATCGCTGTGACGCTGGTGTTTAGTCTGATATCTGCCCTCGAGGCTCGGAGAGCGCCATCAAAGATCTGCCAGTTGCCGCCCTCTATGGAGACAGCCCCATCCGTGGCCATACACACCATCGACTCCAGACCATGGATCAGCGGTAAATTCTGTCCATAGTTGACTCTGGTACTCGCTTGGATTATTTCCCTAGCGAACAACGACGAGATCTGGTTACCCTGGAGAAAATCATCACCCGAGGATGCGGTAGTATTCAGCAGATCCGCCGCAGCGGCCGCCTCAGACAGCGAACGGAAGGGGAAAAAAGGCGCGTTATAAAGCCGTAGAAACCGCCCTACGACGCTCTTCACCAGGTTCTGGGTGCGCAGAGGCGCCAGCCCATACCGCCAGAAGAGCCGAGCGATGTTCCACCAGTTATAGGTGTTTTTCAATGAGAATACGAACTGGGATCCATCCCAGATCCCAATGCTCTCGGCGGCTTCCTTGGGTCGCGTGTGATCTGCTGCACGGACTGTAAGGCCGAGGTCGCGCGAGGCGTTAACCAGGTTGACGTTGACCTGGACAAAGATGGAAGCGCCTAGCTCAACGGGGAGGGCTGGGTCGTCGAATGCATTCACGGTGGTCGAGCGACCCCCAATATATGAAGCCCGCTCGTATACAGTGATATTGACTGGAATGCCGGACTCATCTGCGTGCTTGCGCAGCTGGTATGCTGTAAACGAGCCTCCGGCGCCGGCTCCTACATTATAGATTAGCTTACCCATGGCTTGTATTTGAACTGTCTTCTTTGGTTCGTACCTATCACTGCCACACGTTTAGGAGCAACATCTGTAGCCGATTGCAATGGGTGCTGCTCTATCCCATCGGCAATCGAAACGAGAAGCAATGTCGCTATCGAGTACAAAAGCCAGAGCGGGCTTCTTGATATAAACACCGACATTGTTGGGACTAGGCCGGTATCAGCCAAATCCAGGTGTTGCTAGGTAGTTTAGCCGCCGAATATAGTAGCATAAGCCACGGAATATTGAGAGAAAATACAAAATATCGGCAGAGCACGCCAGATACGAGAACAAGTGAAGAGGCAGCGGTGATGATGCCATGTCACATGCCAGGTCACATTACATCTCTAATACCATATATATTACCACTACATCCATTTCTGGCTAGTGTGTTACCGTATCGCTTATCGCCATTTTTTTGTTCGAACGGAGGGGCTCGTCGCTCTTGACTGTTGCGCAACAAATCTCAATTACACTTGTTCTGCGAGGAACGAGTGCCCGTCATGGACCCCTACGACAGTGACTCCAGTATAGAAGACGGGGATTTCACCGAGACCGGAGTTCTCTTGGGCTATGCCGCCGAAGAAGTTATCGAAGACACAATCAGCCATCTGGGAGGCTGGCCGGTAGGTTCTACAATACAGTACTCGAGAAAGAGTAAAGCAGTGATGCTGACAATGGCTACTAGAAATGGCTCGACGACGCAAGTCCTCCCCCCGGCGACTTCGCCAACTGCAAAGTCTGCAACAGCCCAATGCTCCTCCTCCTAGAACTGCACGGTGACCTTCCTGAACACTTCCCCGCCGACGAACGACGGCTGTACCTCTTCGGATGCCCGCGCAAGCCCTGCAACCGCAAGCCCGGCAGTGTGCGGGCGTATCGTGCAACCCGCAAGGTCAACGTGGAAAGCGGTTCGCAGCAGAAGCAAGCCGAGAAAAACGAAGCAGCCGCGGAACAACCTCAATCAAGCGCACCACAGCCCCCAAGCAGGACCTAGGCGCCAGCCTGTTCGGAGCCACATCCTTGACAAGCAATGTATCCTCGAACCCGAACCCGTTCTCCTCATCGAGCACCAGCTCGACTGCAAACAACCCATTCGCGACACCTGCACCGGCCACACCCTCCACTCAGCAGCCCTCCACAACCACATCAGCCAACGCGCTCGCCGAAACCTTTGCCGACAAAGTTCGCGTGTCGTCCCCGCCGTCCTCGGCACAACCACCAACAAACACCCGCGGCACCAAGCCCGCCCCCGAGTCCGTGGACTCCGCGCCAACGCCGTGGCCAGCGCAGTCCGAGTTCCCGACCCCGTACCAGCATTTCTACCTCGACGCCGAATATGAGACCCTGTCACGGCCATCGACACCCACAGTCCCCGAGAACGTGCAAATGGAGCCCATGGACGAGAGCGGCAGTGGCGCCGAACTCAAAGACACCTTCGAGTCTGAGCTAGACAAGGCCTTTATGAAGTTCTCCACGCGCCTCGCCCACAACCCGGAGCAAGTCCTGCGGTACGAGTTCCGGGGTGCTCCGCTCCTGTACTCTCATACCGATGTTGTCGGCAAGCGTCTGCATGTGGACCATGCTGCTGGCGGTGCTCATGTCACAATTACAGCTTCTGCGGGCAGTATCCCGCGCTGCGAGTACTGTGGCAGCGAGCGTGTCTTTGAAATGCAGCTTGCGCCGCATGCTATCAGTGTCCTTGAGGATGGTCGCGAGGGCGTCGGTCTTGGCAAGGATGATGCTGGTATGGAATGGGGCACGATTATCTTGGGCGTTTGTGCCCGCGACTGTGCGCCGCAGGAGCTGGGGCAGACGGGCTGGCGTGAGGAATGGGCAGGTGTGCAGTGGGAAGAGACGCGGTAGATGCTGTGTCTTGTTTGGGGTTTCTTCATAGATATGCATTGATCTTGTAGCTAGACAGTTCTTGGACAAAAAGGTGTAGAGATGGTCGTGGTTCGATGACAGTCGGTATATATTAGAATATCGAATATGGAATATGGTCCAATTGGCCATTGGATATTTCTCTTTTCTATTGCAGCAGGCCGACCCTCGGTCAGACCGAGTAGCCTGGCATTGGTTTCAATTGATATGAACACGGCATCTCTGGCGCATCCTTTGTTTTCTCATCCGGCTTCTGCGACGGAGAAAGGAATAGAAAAGGAAAAAGGAAAAAGAATAAAGACAAAAATCTCAATCCAATACAAACAGGTAGAATGAAACTCGAAAAAAGAAAACGCCAGATGCGCCAGATTCCGACTCATCAGCGAGCCTCCTCCATGCGAAATCTATCACCGTTCGTTACAGATCGGGGATTCATGAACTCATGCCATGAGCAAAGAAAGGGGGTGGGTATGTTTTGTTTTCTTGAGAAGAGAAAAGAAGGGGACAAAAACGAAGGAACTCATGCAGGTTGCTCGAAGCCGCGACGAATAACGCGACCGAACATCTCAACGCCCACATGCTCACTCTTCACCTCGCTGCGAGCCTCATTCTCCTTGTTGGTGGGGACACGGACAACAGCACCATCAACCTTCCAGCCACAGACATCCGAGACAAACTTGTCAAGTGCCTCACGGCCGCGCAGATCAAGCCACTGCTCGAGGGAGTCGGCCGAGATAGAGCGGTAGGCCTTGCCGACCTCCACGGCGATGCGGATGCGGACGAGCTCCTCGAAGCCCGCGACGTCGGCCGTCAGGTCGGCGTACAGGTCGTCAGAGTTGAGCGTCGACCAGAACTGCGCGTACTGGGCGGACTCGAGCAAGGTCGACAGTCGGGCGAGCTTCTGCACGGACTCGACGAAGTCCGAGGTCTGCGATGCAGCCTGGGCCTCGCTTGTGGTGGGGAAGGGCTGCGTGTGGGCGGGGAGCAAGGCGAGGCACAGCGAGAAGGCCGGGGAGGGGAACACGGTTAGAGCCTTGGCCAGGACGTTGGTCACCGTCTCGGCTTGGAGGAGGTGCGGGTTGAACTGGTAGCTTGAGGGAGAGTCAGTGTCAAATCATATAGAGCGACTCGGTTTTCGTATTTGGGAAGGAAGGTTCTAGGTCCTACAATGCCAGCCAGGCATTGTTCCTTTTCAGAAAGTTCAAAGTTCTCAACATCCCCATAGAAATGGGTTGTCAGGTAATAGGAAACGTGTATAAAAAAAGGTTGTTCATCATATAAAAGACACCTGAACCAAGAAAGAGCAAAGTCGCATTAAAAATTAAACAGACTGCGACTTACAGCTTCAGCAGTGCCAGGTTGGCATAACAGTCAAAGGTGCGGTCCTCGCACTGCTGGACCACGTAGTCCTGGAACACCGTGGTGGTCTCGGGATTGTACCGGTCGAGGCCATTGAGAATGGCATCAATGTGGGCTGGCCGGGTCTCACACTTGTCGAAGGCGACCATCTTGGAGGATTTGGGGAGATGGAGGGGGGCTTTGTTCTCTTGGAGGGACTTTTTGGGGATTTTTGATTGTGGCCCGGCGGATTAACCCGAGGGGGTAGTTTCTCCGGCCGTGCTACATACTTTCAGGAACTTTCTTCGATGCCTCATTATGGCCATAGTTGATTCTTGATAATTACTGGATCAGTTCCTTCTTTTTACTCTACTATATCTAGTTAAATCAAAGTCACAAGTGAAAACACGGAGCGTGTTCGGTTGCAAATAATACATAGAATACATGTCTCTTGATGCCTCATTGGGATCGTTATAGAAATCACAACCCAGCGCCATCTCGAGAGAATCAAGGTCAATCAGAAGCTGTCACAGATTGACCGTGGATCACGGGGCTCCGAGCAGAGAAATCCAGCCGGGCATCCACGAGAAGAAAGAAAATCACATCACCGAGAACCAGGTGTCTCAACGAAAATGCGACCATAGACCAAAGAAGAAAACGCCGGTCCGTGTCTGTATGACGCCATAAGCCTATGCCCAGTTACCCATCTCGCAGAAAAAGTCGGCTTGATATGCAAAAACAAGAAAGCAGACAAAGCCAGAGAAAACAGCTCGAAGGTCGAGGAACGCGGAAATTAAAAGAGGAAAGAAACAGGTGCCTGTGACAGAAGGGAGGCGGGTATCGAAGATAATAGGAGGGAGGCGAAGGAAGAATTATGCCACGGCCGAGCGGCGCGGGGCAATGGGGATGGCCTTGGGGCTGGAGATGTCGAGCTTCGACATGTCGAGGTCGTTCTCGTCCAACTTGGACGGGCGACGCTTGGACTGGTCCGTCGCGGTGGACACGAGCACCGGCTGCGCAGCACTGGAGTTTGCCTCGTCGCCCACTGTGCTGCAGACGAAGCGTTCCTCGGAGATCGGGATCCCGCCAAACATTGAGCCGAGCTGCTGCAGGAGCGCGACGAAGTGGGCGTGGATTTCGGTAAAGATGTATTCGTTGCCCACGATCTCGGCCAGGTTGCGCGCGCGGATCTGTCCGAGCCGGCGCGGCTGGCCATCGGGGTCCATAGCACGGCCCGTGAGGAACGACGAAACTGGAGTGTATTGGCGTCCAGGCTTGTTCACGGAGGTGTTGTTCTGTTCCTCACGTCGCTTTTCATCTTCCTGGAAACGCTCAGCCGCAGCGACAATGCCCGATGCGATGCGACCGAATGCGCGCCAGATGATGGGGCAGGCTCGGAACGCTCGACCGGCATCCTTGCCAGCCAGGGCCACCAGGGCATAGCTGCGACGCTTGCCGCGTGCCATAGGGTCCGGGAGACGGAAAATGTATGCGATCGTGTAGCCCGCGACCGAGTCGCCGAAGCACAGCGGGCCGGACGACAGGCCTCGGGGCAGGAGCTCGCAGCTCAGGGTGCGAATGGAGGAGCGGCGAAGGAGGGCGTAATCGGCGGGGTTGGGAGGCCCGCGGAGAGAAAGGTAGGTCAGGATATGGGTGTGGCAGGACGCATCAGATGCGACCGAGGAGGAAAGCGAATCCGGCGGAGAGGCGTGGGGGTGAGGATCGGGAGTGTCGTCATCCATCTCCGAGTGGCTATTCCCGCACGAATAGACCACTTCGCGCGATCGGAGCACGGGGCTGCCATTGTTGCCCTTGCCGTCGCGATTGCCCGAGGCGCCCGATGGCAGCTGCTTGCTCACACCTTCAGGCAGAGACAGACTACAGCTGGCGCACGTGTCACCCTCGGGAACGGTCACCCGAGGCGACTTGTCATCGGGCGAAGCCGGTTGGCCCTTGAGGAAATACGGGTGATCTTCGATCTTGGGGGAGGTACGCTCGGTGGGGTTTTCGTGATCGGATCCGGGGGAGGTTGCATGAGAGGAGAGTCCGGGAGAGGGTTCCAAGTCCGGGTGGCACTGGGTGCAGGAGAATGGGAGAACCTGCGAGCAGATGATCGAGGTGGGACCATGCACTTCGCAGAAGTGCGTCAAGGAGAGCTGGAAGAAGTCAGTCATGGAAATGAAAAAAAAAAAAAAAAGAGCGATGAGGACTCACAATGAAATCCATGGCAGGACTCGGGGAATTTAATGTCTCGACATATCCCTCAGCGCATGGTTGCGATGCATCATGAGTCGAGAGAGTAAAAGACAATGACGCAGGGATGTAGACTGGTATGTTCCAGGTCCACGGAGATGGAGAGAGAAAAGAAAGGGAGGGCAAGGCATATAAAGCCGGAGAGATGTGGAGCCGATGTGATAGAGAGAGAGAGAGAGAGAGAGAAGGGGGCGCCACCAAGTTACATTGATTGCCCACAGTGGAGTCTCTCGCGCGACAACCTTCTCTCATGGAACAATCGAAGGTTGGCAATGCTCCACCGGGTTATTTTCATTTGATTTACTCTGCAATCGTAGGCTGTTATTCTTCTAGCGATACTAGATATACTCTTTTATTCTCATTCTCATTCTTATACTCATTCTTATACTACCTCCGTATACCTAGGTAGAGGTATAGATATCAGGAAATCGTAACTCACATTCCTGGGCCCTTACATGTGAAAGGGATTCTCCCGTTCTCATCGGCTGCAAACCGGCGCCCAATCATTGGGGTTTTTTTATTCTTTATTCTTACCAGGCTACGACAGCTAATCGAGGGAAAGGTAATTGGGAACGGGTAATCCTCGCCCTCCGATTTGCGGCCTCTTCCCTAGATCCAGCCCTGTATTGTAGCAGTATATACATAGGCAAAAAGGGATTATTTTAGAAACTCCTCCACTTCCGGCCCCTTTCTCAATTGGAGTTCCTTTTGGCCCCAAAATCCCGAGCTTCCTCCAGGAATTGTTGGAGAAAAAGGGCCCTGGGGGCGCGGGGCTGGATCTGGAAGAAAAGAAGAATATGATTACTATCAATAACAATAATATAATTATGACTGTATCTGCCTCCACCCACCGGGATATATGCTTGTCCCATCTTCGGGGCTAAGGGATTTGCCCCGATCATCGGAGGGATCGCATCTCACCAGCGTCATCTATCCAGTCGCCTGGTTCGATCCTTCAGGGTTTTTTGTTTCATGATTTTAACGATGACTCTTTGCGCTTTTTCTCTCCATTCACCCGGTGCACACGGCAGCGATCCTGGATCCCTGCTTCCCCTATTCCCGGATCCCCAACAGTGGCCAATGTGGCCATCCGGTGAATCTCCGGCTGGGGATAGAATAGCATGAGGCATTTTACTTTGTCATTCTCTCCATCGGGTATGAAGAATCTGCCATCCATGGATCTCGCCAGCCACATTGGCAGAGAGACGCGGCAAACATCCGAGCGGGTCCCCGATGAGATTTTTCGCCACGGGAGAACGATCTTGTGCCGACTTTCTATATTTGCTTACTCCTAAGTCCGAAGTTGTACTTGGATTTTTGTCCTTTCACCCACAGAATACTCAATCTACTGCAGTACAATTCATGCCCGGAGCGAGATCATATCGTATTCCCACGTGGAGACTGTCTCACACCGCGTCCCATCGTCGAACGGCCAGGGTTCGACAGTCAATCTCGACTAAGGCAAACCCCCTCGACGATCCTTCGCTCGGGCGGAGCCACCCTGTACCCAAATCCATTCGAACGCGTGGAAATCGACCCGCTTCTTTCTCGTGCTTCCATGCGGTGGAGACCGTTGCGAACTCTGTATACTGTCTCGGCACACCGGTGGAGGTCCCGCATTAATAATAGTGGACTCGAGGTAGATTCCGTGGAGTTTCCGCCGGGCGTTGAGATGCTTGGTCCAAGTCATCAGCTCGTCTGGAACGGACTTGCACCCGGCCCCAATGTCAAGACCGGTGTTCGCTTCAAATTTCAAACCAGGCGGGTATGGGGAGGCTGTACAAATGGCCCCGGGCTAGAATCAGCAAACTCCCGTAGTTTTTTGATCTCACAAGAGAACATATTCTCCCTGGTGTAGTTCCCATGGATTCGGCCCACTGGTCATAGGCGTCATCTGTATATCGCGGAGAATTTCTCTTGAATGGCAGTGGCGATCCATGAACGAGCAGCCTGAGATGCTTGCAACGTAACCGAGGTCACTTGTGTTGCCTCGCATTGTAGTCGATACAGTCAGCAGGCTCCTGCGGTGTCTCGCCGTTTCTCATCGACGGTCGTCTTTGGGGATAGGCAAATTCAACATCGACAGCATATTCCCTGCCGGCCCCGAGGTACCCGCCTGGCCCTGGAGACTCTCCAGCAGATTCTTGGCGAGGTTGATATTCACGTTCTCATCCTCATTCTCCAGGTCGTCAACCAGACCAGAGGTCTCAGCCGTCTTTTCTTTAGAGGTGCCTTCTTTTTCGGACAACTGTTGCTGGCGCCGGTGCAGATCGAGAACACCGGTGCCCCGTAGTTCGGCCTCCATTTGTCGGGTCAGATCCTGAATCTGTTCCGTGTCGTCCTCTTCCAGTTTCGAGTCCAGTTCTTCTACGCGATTGCGAATAGGCGCTGTGCGGGACGAATCCTGGCCAGATGCAGATGGCATGCCCATCATCTCCTTCATCATCCGAGAAAATTCTTCCTCGTCGAAAGATGCATCTTTATCTTCCCCGTCGCTACTAACCTCCTCGTCATCCTCCTCATCGACGTCGGAGTCTGATCCAAAGTCATCGATAAAGTCGGCTCCGTCGACACCAGCGGAATTATCGTTCAAGAACTCTTCAAATCGAGCCACAATCCGCTGCAGATTTGCTTGGGCGCCAGCGTCGCCAAAGCTGCCGGCCTCGGTTCCCCTCGCCTGGCCTTTCCCTTTGAGTTCTCGGTCGAGATCTTCAAAGTTGATGTCGAGCCACTTCTCGTCGTCTTCTCGCTTGTCCCACGTCTTGTCGATCTCCTCGTTCGTGGGGAGCTTCTCATCCCCAGTGTCCACATCCTCGAGCAACAGTTTCATTTCCCGGACCGAGGCTTTGTCTTGGTTTTGAGGATCGTAGAGCAGCATTTCGAACCCACATGCCAGCTTCATACCCGTTTCCGCGCGGGTATATGCTTCTTGGTCATCGGTTGATGGCAAATTACCAATCCAAGTGCTTGGAACAGGGAAATCTTGGCTTTTCAGTTGTGCATATCCGACCCTAGTAAAGCGAACACTGACGGTGACCAAGTCATCTGGCTGAAACACGAGCCCGGAAGCGTCCTTTGCACGGAGTGGTCGTAGGGCAATCGGATCACGGATGTAGAATGCCTCTACAGAGGGAGAAATATAAGCTGGCTTTTGGTGAAGAAGAAAAGCCACCTTACGGGGAATTGTCACGATGGCGGAGTGCAGATTCTCGTTGATCTGCCGAGGGTAGTTGCGCAGTCGGTAGAAGGCCTCTTCCTGGATGATTGAGGAGTGCAGGAGCCGGCCTGGCTCTTCTTGGATGACCTTTCGTGCTTCCTGGAGAGTTATTTTCTCGGTGACCGTTCTCTTCGTCTCCTGCTTGGGCTTGATGATTCGGAGCTCTCCTTGATGAATCCACACCTAGTAATTAGAGCTGGATTCAGCATGACGATTTCATCACAACCAAAAGACAATCCACTAATCATTGCTTACCCTGTTTTCTGCGACATCTGGTTCCAACCATGCTGGGAGTGTCCCCGCAGCTTCAATGAGAAGAAACTCGCCATCGCTGTCCCCCACTTTCACCCAAATGTCTTCATGTCGCTTGGTCAATTCACGGAGGATGTACACAATCAACCATTCGTCTTCGATCGAGTCGCCGTAGTTCGTGTGTCCCTGTAGCGAAGTGATACCTAGAAGTCCGACGCAATCAGTATTAGCGGGAGATAATAGACAGCTGGAAAAATCGAATGACCATACCATCTTCCTTGCTAATCTCCAAGCGAAAGGCCTCCCGCTGCCAAATGTAGTCTTTAAGCAGGTCTTTAGTCAGATCTGCTGCCGTGCGTTGAACCTCGAGCAATCGCGCCCGTGTTTCGGCAGCTTCATCGATAACGGCGGGGGCGGGGGAAGGAATGTGATAAACGGAGTACTCAACCGAGTCATCTGGGAGCTGTGGTTTCGGGATAGGATGAAAGGTGGACCTAAACCAAGCGATATCCTCCTCGGTAGCCATGATTGCAGGTCGGAAGTCGAGCAGAGAAATGACTTCATGCATTCTTCGCCGCAAAAAAAAGCGAGTCGCGACCCACCCGTGACTTAGGCACTAAGCCCAATCAAGCTAGATATCAACAGTCGCTGACATAATACGGTTGATGCGCACCCAAAACACTCGCGGACACTTCAGATTGCCAGTCCTTTACACTCGTGTTTGGTTGCTGACGGCGATGGTCGCGTGTTGAATGGTTTTGGTTTGCATTGCTTGGCTTCCCTGGCACAATGGCGTTCCCCTACATCGACACGCCGCGAACTGAAATCGACGGGAACGCGACCTACCTGACCAACGGCTTTCGCAGCGTGGGGCGAACACACCTGTCTGCCCTCGATTCCGTGGAAAACTCGTTCCATACTCCATCCAAGGATAACGATGTGATCAAGGGTTTCGATGATGGGCGGAAACGCGCGTCGGGGAGCTTCAAGCTCGGCACCCCACGCGCAGCTTCGGGGCCCAAGTCAACGAGGAGCGCGTTGAGGCATCTTCCGGCCGCTGGCCCTGCCAAGGGAGAGTTTACTCCCATGATGAAGAGCGCGACGAAGAACAATTATCTGAAGAACATGTCCGCGGCTCGTGGGACAAGCGACCCCAAGACCCCAGGCTATTTGAGGGAGGGCCACCGGAGCAGCGCCCATACGCCTGGTCTCCCTGCCATGGATATGTCCGATATATACGAGGCAGATGCGACGGCGGACCAAGCGACTCCAGTGCCGCAAGTGGCCAGTAGCAGTGCACAAAGTACACCACTCCCGGCTCTTCCAGGACGCGATGGAGGGATATTAGGCGACGGACAGAATATTATGACGCTAAAAGAGCAAGAGCGGGTATGTTTACCATTCATTCATTTTGAGATTCTATTTACTGGGGGTCGTTCATGGATCGTACTGACTTTACAAAGATCATCGACAGGCTTGATAAAGATAACTGGAACTTGAAACTCAAAATCCATTATCTGGAGGAGCAGTTAGACAAAGCGGGCCCAGAATACAACAACGCAGCGCTCAAAGAGAACACAGAGCTCAAAGTCCTGCGATTGACGATGCAACGCGATATCTCCCGGTACAAGAAAAGTCTCCTGCAAGCCGAACGCGACCTCGAAGATTACCGTCAACAGCTCATGGATATGCGAGACAAGATCCGAAAGCGGCAAACGGATGAGACGGTGCAACGAGAGATGGAGCTGATGCGCGAGGAAATCGAATCGAGAGACATCCAACTCAGGGAACTTCGCGAGGAATTGAGACAAACCAAAGACCAACAATCTCAGGAGATGGATAAACTTCGGGATGATGTCGAGGACTTGGAAGCGACGGTCAGAGAGAAGGACCGGACCATCGAGGAACGCGACGAGGAGCTCGAGGACTTGCGAGAACATGGCGGCAAAGACAACGATGCGGTTTCGGAGCTCCAAGGCGAACTAGAACGTGCCAAGGAGCAGATGCAAGAGCTTCAAGACAGCCTCGACCAGGCCAAGTCAGACGCCAGGGAAGCAGCCGATGCCGCACACCAAGCCATTGAGGAGAAGAGCCGTGCCGACGAAGACCTGAGAGAACTACAGGACGAGATGTCGAATAAGTCCTTTACTACGAAGGGGCTCAGCCGACAACTGGAGGAGAAGTCCGATAAACTCGAGGATGAGCTGCGCGAACTACGACAAGAAAACGATGCGCTCACGGCAGAAGTCGAGAGTAAATCCGAATACGTGGCTCGCTTGGAAGACCGTTGTCAGAGCATCGAGCAAGATTTGAATGGCGATGCCCGCAAATTGGTTGAAGACCTTGAACACACCAGGCGTGAACGAGACCAAGCCCAAGAGGAACGTGAGAGGGTTTCTGCTCAATTACAGGAAGCCCTTGACGAAATCCAGCGGAGAACCGAAGAAAAACAGCTCCTCCAGACTCGACACAGCGCACTGACAGGCGAATCGGGAGGGTTGCAAAATGAACTCGACCGAGCGCAGTCCAGGATTCGCGAACTCCAGCAGGCGGTTGAAGAGGCCACGCATCGCGCACAGGACGATGCTCAAACCACCCACTGGAAGCACCGGGCCGAACTTGACCGTCTCCAAGAAGAAATGGAATCCCTTCAGCACGAGATCGAGGACAAGGAAGGCCACTTTGCACTCGAGCAAGATATGTGGGAGAGTACCAAGCGAACCCTGCAGTCACAAAAAGAACGAGCAGAAGAGCAAGCCGCGGGCTTCAAGCGAACCATCGACAGGCTTCACCAAGCAGAACATAGCCTTTCTGGGAAAGAATTTAAGCTTCAAGAGGCCATTGAAAGCGAAAAGCAACGTTATTCGCATGAGGAAGCAATCTTAAACCGCCAGATCAAAGAGTTAAACGATGATCTTGCAAACCAGAGAGTTACTCTCAACGAGCAGCGCAGCGAACTACTTACGGCAAAAGAGGAGCTTAGAATGTCTCGACGTGGAGAAGATGCCCTCAGAGAGAGGACGCAAGCCCTCGAAGACGAGGTGGTTGTTTTGCAATCAAGCTTGGCGGATGAGCAAGAATATGCCAAGGGCCGGCAACAAAAAGGTTCGCCTGATTTGGAGAACCAACTGCACAAAGCGATTGCGGACCGGCAAACGCTCCGTGATCAGCTTGCTAATGCCCATGTTGAGCTACATGACCTGCGAACCTCGGCAGCCGAGATTGAGTCCGAGCGCGATGAGCTTCAGGCTCAGCTCGATCGGGCCCCCAACGCAGACAACACCACTCGGTTTGACCACGAGAAACTCGAGCTCCGCAAGACAACCACGAGACTCGAAAATGAACTGAAGCGCCTACGAGACGACAAGTCTGCCCTCATGGAGGCTAAGGAGACCCTCGAAAAGCAGCTTGGCTCTGAAATTGAGCGTGCCACAGCAGAGGAGGGCCGACTTTCCTCTGAAATTGACCGTCTTCAGGACAAGGTGCTCGCGGGCTCTGGTGGCCGAGATCGAGAACTGACCACGGCAAAGAGCAAAGTGCAGCGTCTGGAACGACGTGTTCAAGAGCTAGAAGCTCTCCTTGAGCAGCAGCCTCCAGGAGACACGGAGCACTCGAGCGCACATGCAGACCTTTCTTTGCTTCGACACAGCTTAGACGAGGCCCGCAAACGTGAGAGAACTCTCGTTCAACGCGAAGCCGAACAAAAAAGTTCTGCGCGCAACTTCAAGTCACGAGTCGCAGAGCTGGAGAGGGACCTCCATGACGCCTTGATGAACAAATTCGATTCGAAGTCACCTCAGAACTCCCCCTCTGACAAGCTTCATGAGGAGCTACGAAGCTTGCGGAAGCAACTCTCGGACGCACACCGCTCCCTCAAGGAGGTCAAATCCAAAAACCGCGACCTGGAACGCGCTGCGATGCGGGAGGAAGACCAGAGAGACCTCCACGAGCTGCTCAAGTCGTCAACCATCGAAGCGGAAGCACTGGCCCTCAAGGTCTCAGAACGTGATGCAAGGCTGAACGAAATGAAGACTCAAGTACGCCGAATCCGTGAAGAACGGGCTTTCTGCGTCCGTAAAGCCGAAACAGCCACCAAGGAGCTCGAGGCACTTCAGCAGCGCTACGACGAATCCCTTGAAAAGGTCTCCCAGGGCAAATCATCTAGCAAGACCAAGCACGAGAAAGAGATGCGCGGGCTCGGCAAGGAAATCATCTGGCTCCGTGCGCGCCTCCACCGGGAGGAGAAGTTCCGTCGCGATCTGGCATGGAGCAAGGGCCTGATGGAACTGGGCGAACGCGTCCGGGTGGCATGGTTCGTATTTTTTTTCTGTTTCAAGTCCTCTGTCCTTCCATTCAGCTTTTTCGGCTAACATGACTCGATCTACAGCAACGAGGCCGATCTCCGCATGATCACCGAGATGAGTGTCCAGGCCCGCGACCGCACGCCAGCCCGCACTCCGCGCCGGAAACTGAGATCTGCTGTCTCGATGGTGATCGCGGCTGTCCGCATGCAGAGGATGGGCCAGGACTGGAAACGGACCAAGAAGCTGGGCGAGGGCCTGAAACGGGCTAAGAGCGAAATGCTGAAGCGCCGCGACAGCTCGAGCAAGGGCCTGCTTGGTCAGTAAACTTCGTTCGTTTCCAAGGTTCTTCTTCGTCCGTGGCTCTTCTCTCTCCCTTTCTTTTTATGATGCCTGTCTATGTCTACATGTCTATGTTTCTTGCTTCTTCTTTCTTCTCCTGTTCTCTCTTCCAGCGTCGACTCCTCTTGTCACGAGATTCCCCTCTATGTCTTGCTAGTATACTGGTGCTCTTTTGTTGATGCCCTGTCATTCCTTGGGCGTTGAATTTCTGGGTTTGTCCTTTGTCTTTTGTCATGATGAAACGGGGTTGGAGCCATTTGAGCATGCACAGGTAGATAGTCATTCTGGTGCCGAATTCAACGATCCGAATAGTTTCCTATTTTTGTGCCTTGCCCCTATCGCCTCACTCCTTAGGCTGGGTTTCAATATCTTGTTCAAACGGAACGTATATACTCTCAGCATGAGACAAGTTGTCGACGAAAAGCAAGACTCAAAGTCAGAACTTTATACTCCGAAACCCCCGATGATAGATATCGATTCGAAGCACTAGACTGAATCTATTTCAGGAATATTTTGGTTTTCTACTGGATTCAGAGTATAAATGATAAAGAAACTCGGAGTCTAAAGGATCATAATTGTGACATATATTGACCAAAAAGACCCGAACTGGAATGGAAGAAAACCATCGATAGTAGAAATGCGGGAGACATATGCACCACTGAGCCCTCTCTTTTTTATCAAGAAAAGAAATAAACCACGAGAGTAGGTAGACACAGAAAAAAAAGAGATTCTTTGCTCAATCAACGCCTCGCCATTTGCCAAAACAGGTAGCTGTAAAACGCTCTGAAAAAAAAAAAAAAAACAACTCTTCACAAGACAACCAACCCCCGAACCAAAAACTCACAGAAACCCCGGAAATGATGAGCCAATAATGAGTGACCAGAACGCAGGAGGGAGGCGGACAAGACAGTATGCGATATAGGATCTACAGAAAAGAAGACATTCCAATTCGAGTGCCCCACTGCCCTTATTGATCCAGCATGAAGAAGGGATGGTAAAGCAAAAACCGTCCCACGGTGGGTAGGAAACGACTCCGGGTTGCGGGGGTCTAGACGTACAAGAAACAGATCGACTGCGGGAGAGGATCATGCTCCTTCGCTGCCAAACTCGGCGGTCCACTCGGAATTCCTCTTGAGGTCTTCCTGACTGACCGTAGGCCTGGAGTTCCGAACGGCCTTGATGAAGTCCTTGAGGACGAGCGGCGGCTCGAGGAGCTGTTCTGCTTCGACGCTGAGCCAGGTCATCTCCATTGCACCGGCATCCCCTGGTGAACACGGGGTGAGTTTCTCTGCACCATCAACCACCAACTAAAACGAAATCGAGTTAGTGAACTGATACACTGCTCACCCTCAAAGGTATAACCAAGTAAAGGGAACTCGACAAACCTTCTTATAGTGTGTTGCTGTTTGGATCTTGCGGATTGGCTGCATCAATGCATCTTGAACGGCGATGCTGATATCGCTACCAGAGTAGCCCTCGCTCATATCGGCCAGGGTGCGGTAGTCCGCTTGGGTCATCTGGCATGGTGTTGAGCCAACGGCCAGCATGAACATCTTCATGCGTGCGTTGGGGTCGGGTAGACTGATGTGAACTCTTCGCTGGAACCGTCGCCGAATGGCAGCATCGAGTTGCCAAGGAATATTGGTTGCTCCCAGAATTAAGACACCTTTTGAGTCTTTACCTACACCATCCATCTGAACAAGCAATTCGGTTTTGATTCGCCGTGATGCCTCGGATTCGCCCTCGCCACGAGGCCCGCATAGCGCGTCAACCTCGTCAATGAAGATGATTGCTGGCTTGTTTTCACGAGCCATATTGAAGAGCTGCTTAACGAGTCTGGGGGTGCATGTTAGTAAATCACCAAAAACACTTGAGATTTATGTTTTCTCCCACCTTTCACTCTCACCCATCCACTTGGACACCAGGTCACTGCTGCTGACGCTGAAGAATGTGCTGTTCGCTTCTGTAGCCACGGCCTTGGCAAGATAAGACTTTCCTGTACCCGGGGGCCCGTAGAGCAAAATCCCCTTCCAAGGTTGCCGCTTGCCGGTAAAAAGATGCGGGAACTTGATGGGGAGAATGACGGCCTCCTTCAATGCCTCCTTCGCGCTCTCTAAGCCTGCAACATCTTCCCATTGAACGTTTGGCTTGTCCGACAAGATGGCTCCCTGTAGCGCTGACCGGAGTTTCTTCGAGTCCGCATCTTCGCCATTGTTGTCGTCGTCCTCTTTCCTGTTCCGCCGACGCGTTGTTAGCACTTCGTGATTTGCCAAACATTCCCACTTGCTAACCCAGAGAAACCCCTCTTGGGTTTACACAGATAAAGCGAGACGGAAAATGTGACCGAAGGGGAACAAAGCATACCCTCCTTTCCCACTGCCCTGCGCCAACTTGCCGTTCGCGCCCAGGGCGCTTGGTTTTTGTCGATTATCCGCCGAGGCCAGGTGGTTCTTGAGCTTTTCCGCGCGGTCCATATACTCGCCGGTCTTTGCGCGGATCATCTCTTTCGATCGAGGGTTCTTCTCCCATTTCAGGGCCAGCATGAACAACTCCAATGCGGAGTAGTACATCTGATAAGCCTTCTCGTACTCGCCCTCATTGTCGTTCTCGATCGCCTTCTTGACGGTGTCAATCGCCCGCCCCAGGAAGTCGGTATTACTCATGCTGGCAATGGGCCGCGGTAGTTGCTAGGGGAAGTCGGGTGGTGGTGAGGGAGTGGCAAGTCGAGCGCGGAGGGCGAGATAAAGCGGGGAGAGAGGGGGGAGCAAAGGGACTCGCGGGATGCGGGCGATGCGGGTCAAGTAAAAGGGACAGCAATTAGAGAGAAAGATGAGGAATGAAGATGCGAGAGACCAAGAAAGATACAGGCGTGCAGCTAAACAAAAACACAACCAGAGTTGGGTGGGAGGGTGGAATTGGAGGGGAAAGGGAGCGAGGTGACGGAAGTTGATTTTCCCTTCTCCCACCTCACCTTCAGCCTTCGCCATGGACGCCCAGAAGCAGCTCCAAGCCCTTTCGGACGAGTTTCAGCAGCTACAGACTGGTTTGTCTACACTACAGATGTTTTTTTTTTGTTCGTGGGCGAAAATCGCTAACCTGTGGTTATTTGCATGTAGAGCTCGAGGGCCTCGTTGACGCCCGCCAGAAACTCGAATCGCAGCAGCAGGAAAACCAAGGCGTGCAAAGCGAATTTGCCCAGCTGGAGGATTCTGCCCCTGTCTACAAGCTTGTGGGTCCGGTTCTATTGAAGCAAGACAAGTCCGAGGCCGTCATGGCCGTCAACGGTCGATTGGAGTTCATTGAGAAGGAAATGTTCGTTGCCCCCGCCGTGTCCTCACGGAAATCCCTACTAAAACATAGTCTGCAGCAAGCGAATTGAAGGCGAGATCCAGGCTGGCCAGGACAAGAGCGAGAAGAAGCGCGCCGAGGTAATGACCGATGCAGTCCTCCCCACCATGACCCTATTCTAATCTTTCTCCCGCTTAGATGATCCAATTCCAAACCCAGGCTCAACAGCAAGTAGCAGCGGCTTCCGCCTCGGCATAAGAGGAATCAGCAATCTGTGCATGAAAAGAAATGACCGTATTAGGTTTCAGCCGATGAGATCACGGCTGGGATGCGCCCAGATGCCTGTGGGAAATGATTTGGAATGAGTGGCCACTATGTGTGACGGGTCATTAACGAGCTTGTCATTTGCGCAAGAGTCCGAAAAGAATCAAAGAAGACACTATCGAGCGCTGGCTCACCCTCGGGATCTGAGCAGATAAAACGATATGTGCGGATCCCAGACATCACACGGCACATGGATCTGGCAAAATCTCGGATGACATTATACCCTTGATATTCCTAGATGGAGTACTAGTGAAAGTGGCCAATTGATCGTGACTATTTCTATCATCCATAAAGTTTCATTGCTGGTCCCCGACACCTCTATATTTCTCTCAACACTGCAACACCGAATGTATCGTTCAGGGCCCGTTCATTGATTCATAACCAAGCGCATATGTGCAAATTTCTCAGCAAATTCTTATCTACGCCTTTACCAGCAGACTAGCGCCAGACATCTCTTCGGGCTGCTCAATGCCCATGGCAGCGAGAATGGTGGGCGCAACGTCACCCAGGATACCATCCTTCTTGAGGCTCCAGCCCGCAGGGGCATTGGCCATGACGAGGGGAACCTTGTTGGTGGTGTGCGAGGTTTTGGGAGTGCCCTTCTCGTTGATCATCTCTTCGGCGTTTCTGTCAAGGTTGGTCAGCGGCAGGCCCAGGACGTGAGACATTGAACCTCAAATAAACTTACCCATGGTCGGCCGTGATGAACAGAGTGTAGTTGTTCTTCTTGCAGGCCTCATAGATTTCGCCAATGGCCTTATCGGTGGCAGCCACGCCCTGGATGGCAGCCTCGTACACACCAGTGTGGCCAACCATGTCGGGCGGGGCGAAGTTGTTCATGACAAAGTCGAACTTGCCTTCGCCAAGGCGCTCGGCCATCTTGACACCCACAGCAGCAGCGCTCATCTTAGGGTCAAGGTCGTAAGTAGCCACCCGAGGCGAAGGGATCATGTCGCGGACTTCGCCAGGGAACTGCTTCTCAATGCCACCGTTGAAGAAGAAAGTAACGTGTGCGTACTTCTCGGTCTCCGCGATGTGGCACTGCTGGAGGCTCTTCTTGCCCAGCCACTCGGCCAGTACGTTACCCATGTGCTGCGGCGGGAAGGCAACAGGGAAGGTGTAGTCGGTCTTATACTGGGTCATCGTGGTGATAGAGATGTCCTTGGGGTAGGGGAAGTCCGGTCTCGGGGAGCGGTCGTAGTCACCTAAAAGCTGGGTGATCTCACGGACACGGTCCGAACGGTAGTTGAAAAAGAAGAGGGTATCGCCATCTGCAAGAAAAAAGTATTAGCGGGGAAGCTTTCGTGGTTCAGCAGGTTGACCTACCCTGCACCCGGCGGTCCTTGCCGCCAACGATGATGGGCTTCAGGAATTCATCGTTCTCCTTCTTCTCGTAGCGTTCCTTGATGGTCTGGACGGGGTCCGAGCTGTCCTCGCCCTCGCCAGTAACCAGACCCTTGAGGCCAACCTCGACACGCTCCCAGCGTTTGTCACGGTCCATGATGTAGTAGCGACCCACGACCGTAGCAATCTTACCCACACCGAGCTCCTTAGTCTTTTCGAGCAGCTTCTCCATGTACGTGACAGCACTCTTGGGATCAGTGTCACGGCCATCACCGAAGAAGTGGATGAAGACCTCGGGGACCTGCATTTCCTTGGCGACCTGGAGCAGCGCGAACAGGTGGACGATGTTGGAGTGAACACCGCCATCAGACACCAGACCCAGCAGGTGAAGTCGGCCATTGCCTTCCTTGGCCCGCGTGAAAGCCTTGGCGATGTTTTCAACCTTGTTCAGCTCGCCCTTCTTGAGGGTCTGGTCAATGCGGACGCTGTCCTGCCAGACCACACGGCCGGCGCCAATGTTCAGGTGACCGACCTCACTGTTGCCCATGAGACCTTCGGGAAGGCCCACAGCGAGAGACGAGGCATCCAATTCAGAGAAGCCCTGAGCAGTCTTGGAGTTAGGGTCGGCGAAGTCGGACATGTACGGGGTCGAGGCCGCGGCGATGGCATCACCCTGGGGCGGGGACTGGGGGCCTGGAATACCCCAGCCATCGATGACAACTGCAGAATGGCGTTAGCCTGGGTGGTTCGGGGACCTGGGTGGCAGCCGATCATACTCAAAGCGACTTTCTGGTCGACCGTGGCCATGGTGGGGGTATGAGTGCCGTAATCACACCTGTAACATCATAACATGGATCAATTACTGATCCAAAGAGTGGATTCCTTGTATGGGACAGTCTGCTTACCTATGGACAGATGGTGAGAGGAGGAAAAGAGAAGAGGAGGGAGAAGACCAGAAGGGCGAAAAAGGGCCCGGTGAACGTGGAGGAGGGGCAGCCCGGTGTCGCTTTTGGTTCTGTTGCCCCGACGTCACCGGGCGTTCCGACTCTTCCCTAAACATTTCTCCTCCTCGGCATCTGCAATTGTCGAGCCCTCTCTCCCTCGGCATCGTGATTTATCTGGGTCTACCATGGCTTCTCGGTCTCCAGCAGCTGTCACTCCATTCAAATCTTCGGCCGCGCCCGAGTCGCCCTCGAAAGACGCGACCACCGCATCATCACAAACAGTGCCCTTCCCTCCACCCCAGACCTTTGAGATCATTCCACCATTACATGGAATTCTTGTTCGCCTTCTCTCTCAAAAAAGAACCTCAGATGGGGCAGGTGGTCCCCCTGGGGTCACAGGAGCCCCAGACACGTCTGGCGCGCCTGCGCAATCACAAACTCAGCAGCCATCAACAGCTGTCCCAGGGGGTGAGAACAACGGCAATGCCCCATCATCACAGGCTGTGCCAGAGGTAGCTGTCCTCGACTCCACTGCCCATCCGCCGCTCGATGTCAAAGATCTCCCGACAGAAACCAGCTCCGTCAAGATTCGGATTTCAAAAGCCCGTACCGTAGTGGAAGGGCTACCCGATGTGCATCGATCTGTGGCGGAGCAACAGAAGGAGATCGATGGGCTTGAGGACCGTGTGGCCCGTCTGCACTCCGTCATCTCGGACTTTGGGGCGCGGGCAGGGATGAACCACGAGGATAGCACGAAGATGGTGGAATACTGAGGCTGTATGCCCCGTGGCTCGTACCTATTCTGGGACTAATCAGTCCAGCAATTCCTCTGGACTTCTTTTCTTTTTGGTGTTTGCGACAGGAAATACCCGGATCTCTTATTATTTCAGCGAATTTTTTTTCCATTTTAGGGGCGCATCCTTGATACGAAGCATTGCAGGACTGCATGGACAATCTATTTTTTCAGTAGTAGAATATACACTGTGCATTCAATTGTACTTGAGCTTAGCATTGAAGCAAATCCAGTGAGCCCGGCAGAGCCTTACCCACCGTCCGTTTTTGGGTCTCCGATATCGTCTCTCCGAAGAAAAAAAAGTAGTGCCTGAGGCAGCCGAAGATCCCTCTCCGCCCCTCCCCCCCCCCCCTCATTTCTTTCGCTTTTTTTTTCACTCTAATTTCCCATCCTCAATCCTCCCCATATTATTTCTGCTCTTCGAAATATCTCTTCAGGAGACAGAACTTATCCGTCATCATGGCTTACGCTCTCTCCGACGCCCACCGGGACGTGAGTATCCCAATCTGCTATTGGGATCTAGATCGTTGACTCATGCCTCGCAGCAAATGCACAAGTCTCTCAAGGAGACTGACCCCGAGATCGCGCAGGTCATGGTATGTTGATTCTCTTTGGAATTGATCCAATTGCATCCAATGTGTTGCAAAATGTAATCGAACACGACAGTACTGACTCTTGCTGTCATGCAGGAACAAGAGATCCAGCGCCAGCGTGAATCGGTCGTCCTGATCGCCTCGGAGAACTTCACCTCCCACGCTGTCTTCGATGCCCTTGGTTCTCCCATGTCCAACAAGTACTCTGAGGGTTACCCCGGTGCCCGTTACTACGGTGGCAACCAGCACATCGACACCATTGAGATCACCTGCCAGCAGCGTGCCCTCAAGGCCTTCAACCTGGACCCTGCCAAGTGGGGTGTCAACGTTCAGTGCCTGAGTGGTAGCCCAGCCAACTTGCAGGTCTATCAGGCCCTCATGCGCCCCCATGACCGTCTGATGGGCTTGGACCTTCCCCACGGTGGTCACTTGAGCCACGGCTACCAGACCCCCTCCAAGAAGTAAGCTTAGCTTGGTTGAAACTTCAGTTTCAATTTTTGCTGACGAACTCTCCAGGATCTCTGCAGTCTCGACCTACTTCGAGACCTTCCCTTACCGTGTCAACCTGGAGACCGGCATCATTGACTACGACACCCTCGAGGCCAACGCTGAGCTCTACCGCCCCAAGTGCCTTGTTGCCGGTACCTCCGCTTACTGCCGTCTGATCGACTACAAGCGCATGCGCCAGATCGCTGACAAGGTCGGTGCCTACCTCATTGTTGACATGGCCCACATCTCGGGTCTGATTGCCTCTGGTGTCATTCCCTCTCCGTTCGAGTACGCCGATGTGGTGACCACCACCACTCACAAGTCTCTCCGTGGCCCCCGTGGTGCCATGATCTTCTTCCGCAAGGGTGTGCGCAGCACCGACAAGACCGGCAAGGAGATCCTGTATGACCTGGAGGGTCCCATCAACTTCTCGGTCTTCCCCGGTCACCAGGGTGGCCCCCACAACCACACCATCACTGCTTTGGCCGTCGCTCTCAAGCAGGCCGCCTCGCCCGAGTTCAAGCAGTACCAGGAGTTGGTCATCAAGAACGCCAAGGCGCTGGAGAACGAGTTCAAGGCTCTGGGCCACAAGCTCGTCTCGGACGGCACGGACAGCCACATGGTCCTCCTGGACCTCCGCCCCAAGAGTCTGGACGGTGCTCGTGTTGAGGCTGTTCTGGAGCAGATCAACATTGCCTGCAACAAGAACTCCATCCCCGGTGACAAGTCCGCCCTCACTCCCTGCGGTATCCGCATTGGTGCGCCGGCTATGACCACCCGTGGCATGGGTGAGGAGGAGTTCAAGCGCATCGCTCGCTACATCGACCAGAGCATCAACATCTGCAAGAGCGTGCAGGCCGAGCTGCCCAAGGAGGCCAACCGTCTCAAGGACTTCAAGGCTAAGGTTGCCTCCGAGTCTGTCCCTGAGATCCTTGCCCTCCGCAAGGAGATTGCCGAATGGGCCAGCACCTTCCCTCTGCCCGTCTAAATGCCGCCTACAGGCTAAGACGAAGAGGGAGAGAAAGATCTAATTCGGATCGAGTTCAACATCATTGCGTACGAAAAGAAAATATCACACGGTGCGTTTCACGGGGTTATATACCGGACTGCTTTTTCAACCTGACGCGAGTCATCTGGGACACGGGAATTTTGTTGCATCGAGCACTGATTTTTTTTTTGGCTTTGAAACCTCACGCGCTTCTTCAACAGCGACGGGGGATTTTGTTTGTTCAAGGGGAAAAGTTCAACAACTGGCGTCCTTTTCTGTCCATATTTGTTTGTCCATATTATGAATCTTCTCCATGACCGAGTTTCTTCCAACAGTATAGCTGTCTGCTTCAGGGTATAGGGGGCACCCAATACTTACTAGGAAGCGTATCCACAGTGCCCACACAAGGTACCCGGCGCCTTCCCATTTAGGTAGGTAGGACTTACATAACCCAGTTCTTATCTCAGAGCCACGTGATGCCACCGGTCTCCCCTCCTCCGCGCGGGCACTTGCTTCTCGCTCGCTCGCTCTCCCTGTGTTTTGCTCGTTTCGTCCGCTGCTGCCCCCGGTTTGTCCTCAGGTCTTTCCAGCACTACCCCGAGCCTCTCCCCTGACAGCGTTATTCTTGGATCTGTTTCAGTCGTGATAAGGGAGGATCCTATCTTATCGCCCCCGGACCCTTGCGGAGATCGCCTTGTGAACCCCAGACTCGTGGTTGTTCCCAAGGATCTGAAAGTGGTGCAGCAGTGCAGACCTGAAAGACAACGGGAAGAACGGTGAGCAGCGAGCAGAAGATATACCCTCGCCGACATGGCGAGTGCAGCCCAGTGCTATTATTGCTTCGAGTGCCTGTCCGCCTCCTTTGAGGGCCGCGAGCCCGCCAGCTTGGCAGCCGTAGAAGCGCTGTGGGAACAGCATGAGCAAACTAAGAAGCTTGTGAGCCTGGAGGACCAGAAGAGGAATGAGACTGTACCTACGCAGGGAGGGAGAGCCGGAGATGCTTGCAGGGAGTCTGTAAATGACGACGAGGACGAGGAAACTCCTGTCCAGCAGTCGTCCCAGACATCGAGTAGTCGACCCAAGGGCTTGAAACTGCCGAGTTTCAGTCGTCTTCAAGGCCAGTGCTCGTCCAATTCGTCCAGCGCAGCCACTACGCCGTCTGCCATATCTAATACATCGACCAACTCGCTGCATTCGGGTTCTTCTATCGTCACCACGCCGGCCACACAACCGGAGACGCCTGGTTTGCGGGAGCAAAAAGCGGAACAGCGGTATCCGCTGTTTGTGACGTGGAATACGGTGTCCCAGGGCGGAAGCAAGTCTCTGCGTGGGTGCATCGGCACGTTCGATGGGCAGGAGCTCTCAGGCGGGTTGAAATCCTATGCCCTGACCTCGTATGTTTCTTTCCCTTTCCAGTTCAGGGCCAAGCTAATTTCGTTGTTGAATACAGGGCCTTTGACGACACCCGCTTCTCCCCAATCCCTAAATCCCTTCTTCCCTCGCTTTCATGCTCCCTAACTCTTCTAGGCTCTTTTGAGCCCTGCACCAATGCCATGGACTGGGTTCTCGGAACCCACGGACTCCGCATTTCCTTCATCCACAACGGCCGCCGCTACGGGGCCACCTACCTGCCCGACGTCCCCGTCGAACAGGGCTGGACGAAAGAAGAAACGGTCGAGAGCCTCATGCGTAAAGCCGGGTGGGATGGCGGCGCTGGCAGCGTTGCGCGGAGACTGCTGCGTGGTACAACCGGCAGGAGCTCCAGCGCCACCAAGCCCTGGGATCAGGTCTCTGAATTCCGCACTGTCAAGTACCAGGGCCTCAAGGCGAGTGCCGACTTTGCGCAATGGCAAGAATGGCGGGCCTGGGTCCTCTCTTTAGACGATGGTCGGGAGATCATGGGTGCGGCCTGATCGTGTCCTTCCTGGCCATGATTATGACGACTGATGCTCTGTTTTTATTCTTTTATTCTTCTTCTTTTATCGGCTATTCTCTTTTCGGAACCGGGGATTAATACCGTTTCTGGGTGGCTGGCTATGGCGCACCATTACTTGAGGGTTGAACTACAATTCAACTATAACAAAGACAATCCAACCTCAGTGAAAGAAATCAGTCCTCTCTGAAAAACCAAGCATTCATCTCTCATGAGAGTAAAATAGGCAAAAAGCCCAAAGTAGCCAAAAGGAGCGACCCCGATTGGGATATAACCAGCTATAACAACGAGACCACACTTGATATCCAACATGGAAACCAGAAAGCTAAAGAAAAAAAAGGGCTTACATGGCAAGAGATTATTTCGCATGACGGCCGCGGCTCCACAGCCCAGTCACCATCTCCTTAACTTTGCGCTCCTGCTCACGGATCTGCTCCTCGGTCTGGCCGCGGGCATTTCCACGACTATCCATCTGTATGGGACGAGCAGGGGCAGCTGCAGCCGGAGGGGGATTGTTTTCCTGTGCGGCGGCTTCCGCAGGGGCAGGAGGAGCATGGTGTTCCTCCTCGACGACCTCGTCGCCATTGACGCGCTCCGGCTTGGGATCAATGCTCAAAGCGCCGTCCATCATGAAGCCGCCGCCCTCGCGCAGCTTGTTGATGGCGCGCACGGTGTCGATGGCGCGGTGCAGGACGCGGCGAGCGTTGAAGTTCTTCCTGACGGTGGGCAGCAGGTCCTCGTTGGTGCGGGTCTGCGTCGTGTCGTGCGGCGGGTTGACCCATGGGTGTTGCAGGGCCTGGTGCGCGGTCATGCGGACTTGCGGGTCGGTGGCGAGGCAGCGGTTGATGAAGTTGCGCGCCTCTTGTGATACGCCGCGCCAGTACTCCAGCGGCGTGAATGAATAGTCCGCCGCCAGGATCGCCTGCATCTCTTCCAGGTTCGAGTCGCGGTCGAATGGTGTGTACCCGCACAGAAGGAAGTAAGTGATGACGCCGATCGCCCAGATATCACTGGAAGCAGAGGGTCAGCTATCACAACAAGGGGATTATATTCCAATCCACATAAATAGGCAGTCGACATACACTGGCTTGCCGTGCCCGCTCTTCTTAAAGATCTCCGGCGCCATGTACCCCGGAGTTCCGCATGTCGTGGTAAGGACATGAAACTGCTCCTCGTCCATAATCCTTGACAGACCGAAATCGGCAATCAGAAGATCCGCATTGTCCTCCGGGGTGCGGAACAGCAGGTTCTCAGGCTTCAAGTCACGGTGTACAATATCATGGTCATGGAGATAAGCCACGGCAGAGAGTACCGCCCGAACGAGATCCGCGGCATCGGACTCGAAGTAACTGCCTTTTCGGCAGATACGGTCAAAGAGCTCCCCACCCAAGGCGAGATCAGTAACCAGATACACTGTACGCGGCGGGGTCAGTGGCAAGTCCGTCTGGCGGTCATGGAGCAAAACGCACGGTTGTTCTGAGTTTCAAAGTAATCGACCAGCGTGAGGATGTTCTGGTGGCCTACGGACACCCGTCTCAGCACTGCTATCTCGTTGCGGACCTGTAAAAACACACCGGGAGATGGCCGTTAGCGTCCTCGTTCGCGGCTATCGCCATGGCCTTTACAATCCCCCTAAGAACAAGGGCATACCATGTGCTCGCGCCCGGCCATCAGGCGCTTGTTGATCACCTTGGCCGCATAGTAGCGAGCGGTGTCGATGTGCACGCACTCCTTCACGACCGAGTACGAGCCCGCTCCCAGCGTTTTTCCTGTCTTGTATCGGCACGGCTCCACCGGTCTCTGACTGCTCGTAGATTGCGACGCCATGTTTGGATCCAAGGCAAGTGCGCGAAGTGTATAATGCGGTGTGCGGTGTGGGATCGAGTGGGACGAACGGTGCACGAGGGATCACTCGCAGTAGGGCTGAGTGCAATATCAAAGGATCAAGCGATCGGTATATACGGCGTTAAATATGTACCTGTGGCCATGCCGAAGACAGAAAGAAAGAGTCAGCCTCATTCGAGCATAGCCCATCTCGGCCCCGCCCAGGTACGACAAGGCAAAACTGATAGCCGGGCGGCAAGGTGGAACTTGCTTGGTATCCAACTGCGGGGGGTCGATGTTCTCCCAGTTGGTGGGTGATGTGGTTGTTTGGTGTGGACTGAGTCTGACCGCAACTGCGGGGCGCTACGAGGGGGATTTGCGGGCAAAGCGAGAGGAGTGGAAGGGAACAACACTTGGGGTGTAACCAGCACAGATCACATGGAAAAGAAGAAGAGAAGGAAATACGTGGAATTTAGGCTCAGCGCTGGTGTTATCGCGGGGATCGACGAGGGATCGTCGTCGACATGCTATTTACACGCAAACCCGCCGGTTGGCGCCAGACTCCCAGAAAACACCCCAGAAAACACTCCCCTAGACACAACAATGCATAAAAGACACGCAATGCAGGTAATTGCAACAAGAAAAATTCTTAAATTCGGGCCAGCACATCCCCGACGATATTCTCGAGCAGCTGTAGGCCATGGAACTTGGCTGCACTCTCCAGCACTCGTAGTTTCTTCTCCGCCTCCTTGAGATCGACGGTCGCAACCCAGGTGCCGCTGCACGAGCAATGCTCCATGAAGTCACTGACCTTAAGGCCACCGCACTTGGAACATTTCAGATCCTGCGTCTGCCATTCAACCACCAGGCCATGCACTTGACCAATAAGGAACTCCTCCTGCGCCAAACGATCGTATTCAGTCTCGCAGAAGGGGCAGCGCCACGGCTTGGGTGTTTTGCTAGTGTCTGAGCCGGGATCTGGGAGCACGTCTTCGTCTCGGCAGAGATCAAGGTCTCGGATCAGGCAGCAGGCATTGCAGGTCAGTTCAGGCAGTTTCAGACTGGCACTGGGGTTCTCGAATCGGCCCTCCTTGCTGAATTCGCGCACCTCGAACAGGGCTAGCAGTTCTCGGCGCAGTAATCGTGATTCCAGTGTCGTGGTCTTGGAAAGACTCAGCACTTGCATGAGAAGCTTCACCAGCTCCAGCGCTGGGTTGCGTTTATCGTCCTTGGGATTAACCAGCACCCCCGGCAAAACGGGGAAGGTGTAGTCAGAGACGAGCTCCGGGTGGAGCATCTCATCTCGCTGCCGTCGGATCAGACCTGAGATCTGCTTCTTTAATGGCTTGGAGAACCGGTCTGCGAGCACCGCAGTGATCTCATCATTGTCGCCTTCGCCGCCACGCAGGGGAATCTGCGTGAGACGGGGCGTCAACGAAAGATCTCTGTCTGGAAGATCGGGCCGTTTCAAGCTGTGCATCAGCTCAATGTACTCGACCACCCAGTCGTGGAAGATCGTTTGCATTGGCATCGGTAGGAACCGACTCAGCTGCCAATGCATGACGGTTTCAAGCTCTTGGTGGTCGGCCTCGATGACTTCCCGGCAGCCCCTGCCACCGTAATTATATTCGTCATACCACACAAGGTAGTCCCAATACTCTTTGATCTCCAGGTCGATGAAATGGAAGGATGGGTTGGCCCGGATCGACTTCAGGACATATTGGCTGTAGGCATAAGCGTTCCCAACCTCCGTCTTTGTCGTCTGAAGCAGGAGCCGCGTCGAGCTGGCAAATATGACATTCGACCCAACACGTCTAAACTCCGCCATAAGCCTTTGGAAGGACTTCCGTGACAGTAATCGCACATAATTGTGAAGAGAACGGTCATAGAGACACGACACGGGGCTCTCCACCCATCGAATCAAGTGCTGGACCATGATATCGGCCATGCTGTTGCCGGCACATGCCTCCGTCCACCAGTGTTTGACCATCTCTCTCAAAACGACGGCACCGGCGGATGCAAATGCTTTCTCGGAGTAGAGAACACCCGTATCTTCCGCTCCATCTCCGGAGGGTGCTAGAAGCGTATCGCTCCCCTCCATTTCGTTGATGATGGATGAAGTGAGAATTGTGTTGATGGCGAGGTTGCGAACATCCAACTCGATGCACACCGTCGAATATGCACTCGGCGCATTCACTGATGGCATGTTGACCTTCTCTAACGGACCGACAATGTCATCCTTTTCGTATCCCGCGTGGTCTGGCCGAGGTCCCCCGGACCACCACAAAACCACATTGCTTTGTTGGAGCCGTCTTGCATACGACATATCGATGAGATAACGCGGGTCGTCGTTCTCCAAGTTGCAAAGAGGGACGTCGCCATACCGTGCAAGCAGAGTCAAGTGTTGGATCCATGCAGCCAAATACAGGTAGTGTGTAACGAGGCGCTTTGCGATGAACGACTGCCAACCAAGAGGGGGGAGATCCATATCTGATACTTCGGGCTTCACGGACAAAATCGGATACTCTTTCAAGATCGGGATGTCGTGGCACAGGCGGTCTTTTTGTTGGGATTGGATGACGAGAATGGCAGGCTGACTTTCATCGCTGCGAAGCTTCCGGGCCAAATCACCCACTTCGAGGTGAGCCTTTCTTCGAGTCATCACCTGGGTAGTCTTGAAATGGATCTTTTCTTGGTATTCGAATGCATTCTGCGACTCGTCGCCAGCCGTGGCCTGCAGCTTTCGTGTAAGGAGCTCAGAGTAGACCTTGTCAACGTTCGGAAGACCCTGAACATCCCTCGTACGGTTGAGAATGACGATATGTGCCTCACTCTTTGTTGTTGAGAAGAGGGCAAAGACCTGTCGATCACCAGAGACAACATGGTACAGGTAGTGGTATGCCAGAGACGAATCCATCAGATATGGCTTGTCAGACGAAGTATGGAGCAACGATGAGAGGTCAAACCCTCGTTCCAACCCTTCTCCGAGAACACCACGCTGCTCTTCGTCAAAGGTACAGTGGCTTCCAAGCTTGAGCACGGCGCGAACACTTAAAGGGATATGTCGCTCGTAAACACCCTCGACGCTAGGATGCTGAAAGAGGACATCCATCTTGTCGGTCTCTTCTAGAAACTTGTCCTCAGACAAAGACATCTTGAAGAGGTGAACCGAGGGGTGGCCATTGGGCAGAGTGTGGTTGACCTTCTCGACTTCGCAGTCCGGCACCTCAATATCAGGAAGTGAATCTCGCTTCATATTCACAAAGAACTGCCTCGGAACCTTGACATTCAGAGCGTGGATCTTCTGGTCAATTAATACAAAAGCTCGCACAATCCCTGGCCGACCTGTTTCACAAAGCTGCAGAACCTGCCAAGTACTGATGTACAACATCTGTGCTTGGTTGCGGAAGAAGTTACTCAAGGAGTCTGACGCAGCGTTTGGTCGTTCGCCGAACAGCTGGCGGCGGCGAACCCGTGCTTGTTTCTGGATCTTCCACTTTTGCTTCTGGTACTTCAGGAAACCTTGATAGTCTTTTGAAATGGATGGCATGATCGCGGGGAGACTGGCAAACGGGTCAAGTGCTGTTTTCGGTGCACTCTCGGGGTGCTTTCTCTTTTGAGACACCTTGTTGTTGGGGGATGATTTGAGCTTCTGAGTCGAGCTCGCAATGACTTCATCCATGTCGCCAGCATGCTGGACACGGTGGTCCAAGATGTTGGTGGATATTGAAGATAGCGGCGCCTTGTCCCATTTTCCAAACATGTCCGTCATCTTCTTCTGCCGGAACTTATCATCCTTCGAGTTGATGCGTCGCTGTAACCAATCTGGGTGCGCAACCCGGGGCACGGGGTTGCGAAGTTTCTGAAGTGCAGCTGGAATGGTGATCAGCTTCTGCACTACCGACCCTAGACGCTCCAGGTAGTAGTCCCAATCGATGACAGTCCGAGGATCCATGTCAGCCGGGTCATCCTTCAACCATTTGCGCAAAAAGAACCGCTTGACATTTTCTTCCGCTGAGAAAATAGTCACTGGAATGGCTCTTTCGGTGACAGGAGTGTTTCTCGGTCTGGATGAGATGATGTATTTGCAGTTGAGACCCTTGTCCTTGACCATCTGCTCGCCCAAGAACTCTGCCAGGCGCCTGGCAGTGGTAATGGAGGTTGACTTTTGGTTTCCATATTCCTCAAGGGTCTTCGTCATACTCCGATTCTCCGAAATGAGATCGATCAGCTCCTCGTCGGCTAGGGTGGCGCCATGCTCATAAAGCACATCCAGCCACCGGTCTGCCACTCGAGCCACGGCGGCATATGTCTCGGCCAAATTGGTGCCTTCCAAGAAGAACTTGAAGATTTGAGTCTGGAAGATTTTGATCAATTTCAGCTCTCCTCTTCGCTTGACTTCAAATCCCTTGAGTTCAGCCAGAGATCCGTCGTGGTTAAAAACCGCATATCGTTTCTTGAGGTTCTTGTCTTCTTCCTTGGACGTTGGGAGAATCATTGCCCTGTAGGGCCCGTCGACTTCAAAGAAAATAGAGTTCTCGCTGTGTGTCTCATACTTGAAGGTGGACTGGTCGACAAGTGCCTGGTACTGGTGATTTGTGTACTTTCCGTGGACGAGGTGGTTGAGCATGACACAAGGGTACGAGATCCCCAGCTTCTTTCCATTCTTCAAGGTGAAAGAGAAGTTTTCGGGAAATGTGCCGGGAAGCATACACCAGATACCATCAGTGTCCAGTTCCAGGGGACGGCCAATACGATCAACAAGCTCTCTTGCCATTTGGATAATGTGGGCGCCTGTCAGACAGGTGACGCCAGCCATTTCCATCGAATACCAACGAGAGCCCTTTCGCATCACGTAACCATAGAAACTGTTGAGAATGACCTTGTGTGCAAGTTGCAGGGAATCGAAAAGGACGATCATCTTCTTTGCCTCGTCGATCTCAGCCGCCGAAGCGCCGGATGATTGCAGCGAATCAGTCTTGTTTTTCCAGACCTTCTGCTTGCCCTTGAAATCATATCTTCGATCACGAAAACTGCGGACAGTATCGACATAGAAGGGATTCTCTCGTTGGCAGATGATAGCCTCTCGCTCCATCGTCTTGCTGTCGTGAATCTTGTGGTAGATCTTTTTGCTGTAATCTTGCAGCCGCTTCTTCACCACTCCGGCCTGTTCTTCAATGCTCAAATCACCAAATGACCGCATCGGACCAGTCTTGGTTCGGCTTGGAAAGCGTTCGTTGGTCGTTGCACGTCGGATCATGTTGTACTCATCGCGCTTTGCTGGCAGGAATTCACCTCGCCAGGCCCAGGGCATCCGCCTGTCACAAGTTTTGCCGGGTCGATTGAAGTCGCAGGCGGCACAGTTCGACTCTTCAATCATCGAGTCTGGCTGCAATCGATTGGTGATCATGATGTTGGGATACATGGAAGCGACATCCAAGTGGTAGATGAATGGCACCTCATCCCGGTTCGGGTTGTTCCTCAGATCAAGCAGAAGTTTTGCAATCTGCCCTTTGACCTCTTCGTAGTTCGCAACGTCGTCGAGGGATTTCTTTTCTTCGACCTCAATGCTGAACTTGAGAGCGTGGTCCAAGTCTCTGAGAAGCTCATCGATCGCAGTGGGATCAACAGAGAAAGGGACAGGGATGTCGCTTCGAAAGACACCAGCCTCAATACTTTCCACGTGTCCACCCACGTAGGTTTCTGACTCAAGGAGATGACCTTCGTAAAACGCCTCCGTTGGATCCTTGTGTTTGTTGGGCAGAATTATGTCGTGCTCATACGCTTGCACCATGAGCAGCATCTCACACAAGGTTCCGGTTCCCTTTCGCAATGTGTCGTCTGGGTTGAGGGGAATGATCGTACAAAGCGAGAAGATGAAGGGATGGACATATTTCATGTACAGGTAATATGTGGCGACGGCGTCAGAAACAGAGTACTCAGCCAGAGTCTGGGGCCGCTCGCTCGCGTATGGTGTCATCAGCTCGGGGTCAAGCTCATCTGGGTCGTAGCCAAGCTTTGCAACAGTCACGGCTTTCAAACCACGACTTCCTTGAGGAAGATAACTGTCACGGTTGACCCATGCGAAACAATCCATGTGGACACAATTGCCGCTTTGGTAGATGTCCTCGCTGTTCTTCCTAAAGCCGATCTCCAAGTACATGTCGATTCCCTGAACACTGGCTCTTGCCTCGACAAACGGCCAATCGAAGAAGTCACCGTTGTATGTGGCAATGACGGTGGGTTTGGCGATCTTGATGTGTTCAAAGAACCGTTCCAGCACTGCTCTCTCATCAGGTTCGTTGAAGATCACAAAAGGACCATTGTACTCCGGTTTGGGGGTGTACTCGAAATCGCTGATGTCCTCAGACACAATCTCTCGGTTGGTGATCAGAAACCCTTGCCCATCAATCATATACGAGATCATCATGATCTGATCAATCACAGCATCTGGAAACTTGAGAGGTAGTTTCGTGGTCTCAATATCAAACGCAAGAACGACAGGATCGGCTCGCTGAAGTCGTTCTTCAAGGCAGGTCAAAGATATCACGCCATGCTTTGCCTTGACGTCGTACCACTTCCCAATGCGAATGTCTGTGAGGTGTCAGCCTGAAATTCTCGCCCGCAAGAGTAGAACCACAGACCCTTATCAATTGACACTCGAACATGGTATGGGACGTCGTATTCTCTAATATCAACAATAAAATCACTCGCTTGCATGTTGCCATTAGGTCGTTGCTCATTAATTATTTCGTCATCAAAAAGATCGAAGCCAGCAGTCGTACTGTTCGGGGACCGGATTAGCCACGATTTATCTCTGTTCAAACCAAAGCTTTTGAGCACCAACCTGGTAACCTCGGCGTAGGTGTCCATCAGATTCGCATTCTTCTTGTTCTTCTCTGCTAAAGGCAGAAGTGTCCTTCGGACCTCAAGGAGGTCGCTCACGTTGGCGAAACTCAGTTTGATAAAAGTCCTCCGGTGACCGAGAAGGTGGTTCGGAAGATTCAGGTCTTCCTTCTCTAGTCGCGTAAATTTCTTGATAGAGCCCTCGAACGACCGCCGACACCATTCTTCCACCTCAATTTCGTTGTTTTTCTTGACCGCAATGAGGAAGTATGGGTCATATTCCACCGTCGCCTTGAAGCTCCCTCCGTCATCTTGGAGAAAGTAGTAGTCGACACCGGCACGACCACCGGGTACATTGGGGTCCTCTATGCTCGTGCTATGCATGTTGATGAGCCACCCAGTCCTCGTCTCGCCGGACTCAAACCGCGGGAAACCGAGGTTTTCATCGATGCTGTTGGTCAATCGAATGGCCTCGAATTTCTCATCTTGGGAGGTTGCTTCGGTGGACCGTAGGGAGGCGAATTCGACCGTTTTTGTTCGTCGTGGCTTTGCGGAGGAAGTGTTGGATCGGAACTTGTTCCCGTACTTGCTGGGTTTGCGGGAAGGCATTGCGACAATGTCGCCGAAGCGTTTTCAAGGTACTTCAGCTGAAAGGGCGGGCACTGGGTAGACCATGAAATGCGCAATGTGTGGAAGGAAAGAAAGAGAGTAATTGGGTCAACCAGGCTCTGAGAATGAACGGGATATTTGATCCTGGCTCTGGGGATAGCGTTGCTTAGAGGGACCAGCAATGGCCTGCAGCATCTCTCTAATCGAGTCAATCGGATTTCCGACGCGTTCGCGTCGGCGCGTCGACGGGGTTAGTCAGCCCTTTCGGAATAACTATCTTTTTTAGGACCGCGCGGATGATTAGCTTTTCCGAGTTCAATGATCGTCTTTGGTCGTGAGAGATTAACGCCAGTATATCCTCAACCAAAATGGCAGACGATTCACAAGACCCCATGTCTCCCCAGGAGGCTGGTAATTCCACAGCCAACACCCCATCAACCGCCCCAAACCAGTCCAAACATCAACTCTCTCAATCGCAAGTTGGGAAGCTATGGGATGCCTTCGGAAACCCCGAAGAGCCTGTGAATGTGCTGGCGAATGCGACATACAAGCCCCCAGGCAAAAGTTCAAAGGATGTGTCATACTCTGAGGTTGTTGGATCGATGTCTCTCTCAGAGGTGTCGTCATTTTACAAAGCACCATGTGCGCGCGAGTCGCTGATGACTGGCATCGGTGTGGGGTTCGGAATTGGTGGAATTCGAGGCATATTCGGAGGTATAAAGTTCCCTTGTGGTTGAAGAAGAAGAAGCAGCGAAATATTGAGCATTGGAGACTAATATGTGCACTTAGGGCTACCGTCATTATGGTCTGCAGGCAACTGGGCCGTGGGTGTCTTCGCCATCACATCTTTGGCCGCGTACGAATTCTGCCGCAGACGCCGAATCGAAGAGCTGGACGGCATGAAGCAAGCAGTCGAATTAATGCAAGCGCTTAAATTCAAGAAACAGCAGGAGAAAGAGAAGGTTGCGGAGGAGGCCATGCGGGCACGCGTGGCGGAAGAAAAGAAGAGTTGGACGAAGCTCTCCAACTACAAGTTCTGGTAGCTTTCATTCCTCAATTCGGGAGTCTTGGAGTTGATGGGTGTGTATCCAAAACTGTATATTGCGATCCAAGGATCGACATCATATCATAAAGTCGTCTCTGTATTATAGCTCTCTCCCCAGAGTCCATATATCATCAAGCATATTACCAAAATACCACAAGTCCTGCTCCTAGACACCCAAATTGTCATCACAGGAAAAACACCGAATAAGACTGCTGTTCTGGGAATCGTAACGTGTATGTGTCTGGCTTATACGTCAAATTTGACTCGTTTTTGAAGCGCGCCCTTGTCAATGCTGCGCGTATTGTCCAAGCCGACACCTTCCCCCTCTTTTCTCTTCGCTTCTCACGGGCCTCCCGAGCTTCGCGGGTCTTCCACTCGGCGACTTGCTTCTGTCGTTTTTGAGACCTCGCCCAAGCAATCGTCGCGGTAGGTTTAAATCCAACCCCGTTAATTCCGTAGCCGTCATCAGTTGGGTCTGTGGGGTTGTGACCCGTTATCTCAGAATCATGCCAAGTAAGAGGATCCTCTGACGGGGTGTCTGTAAGAGGTGGTGAAGGTCGTGTCTTGCGTATCTTGGACGGTGATGTGAGAGTCTGCTGCTTGCGAGAGGGCGGTGCGGCCTTTCTCTTTGAAGGAGACGTATTCAAGGCAGTCGTATGGTCATTAGGGCCTTTCGCGGGCGGCTCAGAGGACAGGGCGTGACTTTCATTATTGGACTCGGTACTGAGGGTCGGTGCACCCTCAGCCATGATCTCGGAGTCGCGGCAAGGGTCAGCGACACATCGCTTTTGTGAGGGCAGGGCCACTCGTTGACGCTGGAAATCGCTGGTCGAGAGACCTGAGTCGGAGAGAAGCTCTCCACGAATGGCTAATTCTCCAAAACGCCCAGCCACCGCCGCGCGAGGACTATGTCGCCCCACTTCGTCCTCGCGAAGTCGAGCTTCCTGGAAGCTAACGATCGAGACTGTGGATGTTGGCGATGCTGATGAGCTGTAGCAGTCTGATTCGGAAGACTCTCGCTTGCGCTTGGGCGAGAAATATGGCGGTCGACTCGGGTTCATCGCGCTGAAAGCGGACGTAGTGTGGGCGTCACAACGGACCAACCCTCCGTATCTCATTCAGAAAATGGGGTTAGCACCGCTCACCGAAGACATGGAGGCCTTCATGGTTCTGTAGTCCGCATCGAGCGGAGATCATCGTAGGGAGGGGGTGTTCTCATCGGACTTCGGCCTTGCAGCATCGGATTGTGGGGTAAGGGAAGTAAGTTCCTGTAGCAGACTCGTCACTATACTACAGGCACCACAGGCGACCTCAGTCATTTACTTGATATACTCCAATATTTACAGAAAAGAAAGGCACGCGAAGCAATGAGCTACAGCCAGTTTTAGCAAATATGGTCTGGATTGAATAATTTACAAATCCCCAAGCCCACTGAGTCGTGAAGAACAGCATAGAAAAAGAGATAAACCCAACGCCATGACAAGACTCCCAGTCCCAAGAAACAAGGCGTCTATGCCTTCTGCTTCTTCTTCGAAGGCTCCGCATCCGTGTCATGCTTGCGCTTCTTCTTCTTGTCCGACTCGCCCTCGCCGGCGTCCGACTTTCTCTTCTTCTTCTTCTCGCTCTTGTCGCTCTTGTCGGCCTTCTCCTTCTTTTCTTTCTTGTCCTTTTTGTCCTTCTTCTCCTTCTTCTCCTTCTTTTCCACCTTAGCATCGGCGTCCGCCATTTCCTCGTCGCTTTGGTCAGCATCAACATCCAAATCGGCCAGCACGGCATCCATGGCAGATTTCTGTAGTTCATTGATTAGCGACGATTCCTCGGTGTCAAAAGCCTCTGGGCATTGGTTTGCAACTTACCATAGCGGTCTCGTTCTTGGTAGGGGCGGCACCAGAAACGTAGAACTCCAGGCGCTCCTCAACCTGGTTCTTCAAAGCCTCTCCGAACTTGGTCGACGGGGCCTCAGAGAAGTTGTCAATGCGAGAGGCAATGGAGCACTTGTTGGCAAGGAAACGCGAGATTCTTCCCTTGTTCTTAGGGCCAGCCCGCCCGATGAAAGACGAGTGGTACAGCAGACCGTACTTGGGGGTGTTTCCCTTGGTCTTCAGGGCACGGAAGAGAGCCTTCTCAGCGCCGAGAATCTGGACCGTAGACGCAGGGTACTTGGACAAGTTGGTCAGACTGCCAGCGTGGGAGATCAGGCGAGCTCCAACAACTTCTCCGATCAGAGCGGCAAGATTGGGTGCGACGACGCTCATCTTGGCCACCAAGTAGGAGTAGAGCGACTTGCGGTACTTGGACAAGCTGACTACTCGCTCAGCAAAAGAGATGACGTTCTCCATATCTGCCTCAGAGATCTCCTGACCCATGCTGTGCTTGGCGGCATCGATGATGCTTTGAGCGACGCCCTCGTCATCCTCGACGAGCGCAGCGACATCGTGCAGGCTCTCGTCGGTCAGTGACTTCTTATCCTTCACAAAGAGTGCAATCTGGGCATAGCGCTGGTTGTCGGACACAATCTTGACCAACTCAGGGAAGTGCCACGAGTACCATTCGCGCACACGCATGGAGAAGGTGTTGATGGCCTTGTCAAGCTGATCCAAGATAGCGATCGCCTGGATGATGTGATTGTCATCGCGCTGGACCGAGAACTTGACCTTGGCGCGAGAGTAAGCGTGACCAAGACCGAGCTGCGCCGTGTCCATATCTCCCTCGCGCAGTTGCTTCAGCAGCTTGCCGGCATGCAGGCGGATACCACGGAGCAGGTCCTGGACGACTTCGCTGGTGTCGCCGGTCTCGCAATCCACGAAGGGGAAGGCTGACTTGATGCTTCCCGCCAAAGCCTTGTCGGCGAGACCCAGAACCACCTTCTTCTTCTTGCTCGGTTTGGGAAGGTTGAGATCCAGGAAAGAAACCAGGGTTTCGGATGCAACACCTTCCGAGACGTCGTTGATTTCACCGAGGGCCTGCTTGTTGTTTCTGTGTCTCCGTCAGCGAATGATCAAAGGTAGATGGAGAGCCAGGAAGAAACTTCATCGGAGTGTGAAACATACTCAAAGGGCAAGAAACTCGAGAGTTCGACCATCTTGCCAAACTTAGCAAGATCATTGACACCATCCTGGACTTCTTTCAAACGATTGCCCACAGAGTCTCCCTGGTGGGCGACTTTGAAAAGCGAGTAGCCCATGGGGCCCTCGAAGAGAAGGAAGTCGGCCATTGCGCAGAGTCTGGGGCCAAAAAATTGCAAAATCGGCCAAACGAGGACTTGCAACACCAACTCAGTACACTCGAAAGTGCAGTTCAGTGGATTGCGGGTGGGTGGGAATGGGCTGGAGATTGGCAAAAGTCGAGAAATCGGTAGCTCTTTTTTTTTCGCCGCTAGTGCGAATCGGTCAATGTGGGCTTTTTGCCAAAATCTCGCTCACCGCATTCGAGCCAACGCGGGCCTCATCTCTCTCTTGGTTGACCCCTCTCTCATACCCATTTAAATTACATTTTCTCTTTGGGTTTTGATCTTGGTCATTCATTATCGCAGAGATGTCTGCAACCCAACTGCTTAACCCGAAGGCCGAGTCGAGGGTATGCACTTATCACCCCGATGGCCCCTCAGTGGTATGCCCGCACAACTGACATTTCATGCAGCGTCGGGGAGAGGCCTTGAAGGTGAACATCAGTGCCGGAGAAGGTCTCCAGGATGTTCTCAAGTCAAACCTGGGTCCTTCGGGAACCCTGAAGATGTGAGTCCATGATTATGTACCCATATGCAATCGACATGGTCCTAACAGAACTTAGGCTCGTGGACGGCTCAGGCGGAGTATGCAACAGGCCCCTTATCCTCGCCAATAATTCAGACCACGATTTCTAATGCGGAGGAACTACAACAGATCAAATTGACGAAGGATGGAAATGTTTTGCTGCGAGAGATGGTATGTCCGGTCCCCAGAGCTTCAAAAAAATCCAGCAAAAGCTAACATTTGGCAGCAAATTCAAAACCCCACGGCTGTAAGACGATATTCGCCTCGAGAATCCCCCATATCTTGCTGATCTCAAGACAAGGTCATGATTGCCCGCGCGGCCACGGCACAAGACGACATCACCGGTGATGGGACAACGTCGGTGGTGCTGTTGGTGGGAGAGCTCCTGAAGCAGGCGGATCGACACATTTCGGAGGGGTTGCACCCCCGGGTGATCACCGATGGGTATGAGATTGGGAAAACTGAAGCACTGAAGGTATTTATGGATTGCAAAGTTAAAGAGTCAAAGATCGACTGGAATCTAACGCATCGTAAAGTTCCTCGACCAGTTCAAGCTCGAACGCACCATTGACCGCGAGCTGCTGCTCTCTGTTGCCCGCACATCCCTCTCCACGAAGCTGAACAATGCTCTCGCTGAGAAGCTCACCCCTGACATTGTCGATGCCGTGCTCGCCATCCACCGGGCCCCTGAGAAGCCGGATTTGCACATGGTCGAGATCATGACGATGCAGCACCGGACATCATCGGACACGCAGTTGATCCGGGGTCTGGCCTTGGATCACGGCGCCAGGCACCCCGACATGCCGAAACGGGTGGAGAACGCTTTCATTTTGACATTGAATGTTAGTCTGGAATACGAGAAGTCCGAGATCAACTCCGGCTTCTACTACTCCAGTGCTGAGCAGAGAGACAAGCTGGTGGAGAGCGAGCGCAAGTTTGTCGATGCGAAGCTGCAGAAGATTGTGGATCTGAAGAAGCAGGTTTGTGGCAATGACCCGAAAAAGGGATTTGTTGTCATCAACCAGAAGGGTATCGATCCCCTCAGCTTGGACGTTCTTGTTAAGAATGGCATCTTTGCTCTTCGGAGAGCCAAGCGGAGAAACATGGAGCGTCTCCAGCTGGTGTGCGGCGGTATCGCGCAGAACAGCGTGGACGACATGACGCCTGACGTGCTCGGGTGGGCCGGTCTGGTCTACGAACACCAGCTGGGTGAAGAGAAGTTCACTTTTGTTGAAGAGGTCAAGGATCCGAAGTCCGTCACTATCCTTATCAAGGGACCCAACCAGCACACTATCGCCCAGGTCAAGGAGGCTGTCCGTGATGGCCTGCGCTCTGTCTACAACACCATTGTCGATGGCTGCGTCATCCCTGGTGCTGGAGCATTCCAAATGGCTTGTGCTACCCACCTGAAGTCTGAAAACTTCCGCAAAACTGTCAAGGGCAAGGCCAAGTGGGGCGTTGACGCTTTCGCTGACGCGCTTCTGGTCATTCCCAAGACCCTCGCCGCCAACTCGGGCCACGACATCCAAGATTCCCTGGCTACTATCCAGGATGAGCACGACAATGGTAACAGTGCCGGTCTGGACCTGGTTACGGGCGAGCCTATGGACCCGGTGCAGGAGGGTGTTTTCGACTCTTACCGTGTCCTGCGCAACTGCATTGCCTCCAGCACGGGTATCGCAGCAAACCTCCTTCTGTGTGACGAGCTGCTGAAGGCCCGGCAGATGGGTAAGCAGGGTGGCCCTGCTGGTATGGACGAGTAATGCGCTGTTCGTTTATGAAGTCAGGCATATCATGGAAAGGCTTAGAAGGATCACGGACTGGGGCATTTTTTAGATGCCGAAGCCCTATCAATCCAAAAAAGAAAATTCACGCAGCACAAAGCTATTGTTTGACGATTTCCAATAATAATAAAGTAGAATCTTGTAAACTTTTATTGTCATTGCCATCGTTAGGGTTCAAGTAAACTATCGTACATCAAAGAAAATCAAAAGATCAGTCCTCCGACGATGCGGTGCTCTGGCCCTCCGAGAGAGCCCTAAGAGACCAGTCGCCCACAAAGCCCTCTTCCCTTACCGGGTCATCCAGCGACAGATTGTGGGATTTAGCCCATTCCCACACATCCGACTTGCGAATGATCATCGTTGGACCCTGGTTGAGATGGTGATCCCCAGAAAGGCGGCTCAATTTGCGTTTCTTCGGGGAGGTTTCCGGTGCAACAACGCCCATGCTCTTGATAGCAGTAATCACGTCTTCGGTCAACATTCCCGTCCCCCGGCCAATTTCCTCGACCGTCATGTGTTCGCGTGCCGGTCTTTTGCGCGAGGCTTTCGAGAGAGTCGCGGGTTTCAGTAGACCAGGTTCAGCGAGGTTATCACCATACTTGTCGCGCAGCAAGTATCGCGCGATACGCTCCGCCCAGAATCGGTTATAACTCTTCTGGCCTAGATCACTGAGGGGCTTCTCCGGTCCACCGATGTATCCACCTTCGACGTCCCAGCCGCTGAGCTTGTAGCTGACACCCATCAGCAACTTCCCCAGTTGTTTGTGCTGGTATGGTGGGAAGACTAGAATGCAGGCGAGATTGTTCGCATCCCAGGACAGCTTTTCTTTGGAGAAGAATCCGAGCACATGGTAGTTGTCCGGGTTGTCGGGATCGGTAAAGGTGAGAATGTAGTAGAGGAAGGTTGCGACATCGAAGAAGACCGTTTTGTGGTCGAGGAAGAGCTTGGCAAAGAGAGAGAGGTTCTGTCCGAAAAGTTTGTGCCCCTGGCCGTCGACCTCCCATACCGCATATCCGCCATTGTCGTAAACCTTGGTACCGGGCGGCGTCGTGCGATGCTCGCAGGCGCGGGTGTGCGCCGCGAAGGCAGCTCCGTCACAGGAATACCGAAAGCACCAGCGGCAAACGTATAGACATTCCGTGTCCTTGGCGACGAGGTCTTCCGGGTAAATAGACTGGTACCAAGGCTTGAATAGCAAATCTCCTAGTACGACATTCTTGACGTTGCGATCTACTGGGGTCTGCAGGCGAGACGAGGCTTTGTTCGCCATAGATGTGAGGGTCTTATTCGCTAGGTTTCGAGTGTGCTGTTGTAATGTGTATCTGCCAGTGAACCGGCCATTGGCATGACGGTGCAAACGAGAGCTGTCGTAAGTCGAGGTAGTTGAAGCGAAGGAGGAATGGTCGCGCCGTCATTAGGAAGGGAATTTATGTTAAAAATAAGGTGGGGGTTTTGAAACCCGCTATCCATCCATTGAAAGAATCAATGGTGATTGTTGAATCGCATCGATCCCATTCAAGCATTAAAGCATCGATTGAAGAATCCCAAGATTCTGCCATCTGAGTCAGCCCTCTCACCTGATCGAGCGGGGAGAGCTTCGGAGGCGCGGAGTATCCTGTTGCCTGGGACGTCATCTTCCTCTTCCTGCTTTTCCTGATAGTCCTGCTCATCCTGGATGCATCCTTGCTTTTCAAAGGGATATCCGGGCTCTGATTGTGACAGGCAGCAACATATAAGTCCCATTTCTTTTATATCCGGCTGATCCCATACGGAAGGCACCCCAATCTCAAGACGCTGTGATCTTCGAATTACGAGTTTCATCCGTGTAACGCTCGGCTTGCTTGGGTCAGTAAGGACGCTGTGGTTAAGCTTCACGGTCGCGATGCTGCAGCCCTTCGAGATTAGAGACCTACACGGGCCCGAGAAACCCTCGGCATCTCGTCCTGTTCCTCGCCGGGGGTTGGTGCAGATATCTGCCGCCGATTATGATGATCTAGCAGTAAACCATCCTCGGGCGAGACTCACTTATGTGGATGTGGATGAAGAGGATGATGAGGGCGACACCATCACCGTGAGATCATAACTACAGACGAAAGTGTCCATTTTCATTCTTTTCTAACAGATCTCGTTAGGTCGGTTCGTCTCTCGAGCTTTCTCAGCGCCTTGACGAGCCTGTAGATGCTGGCACCCGGCTTGGATCCATTGATTTATCTCTGGATGAACCGGCTCCGATGCACATCTTTGACATTCGTCGATCAAACTCGGTGACCGAGCTGTGGAAACGATTCGAGTATGGGGAGAAGACACCGCATCTCGATGACCTGAAAAACAGTGACCCCGGGGCTGCGACGAAGTTTGCGGTTGATACTAAGGAAGAAGATGGCCCCGCACCGGCTAATGTATCTGCTACTGCCGCTCCCGGAGATGACTCTCAGCCCCTTCTAGCAGCATTTGAGGCCGAGTTAGCCGGTATCTTAGATGCTGCTGAGCCTTCGGAACACAGAGCACCACGGCCGGAATCGCCACCAGTGGTCGAACCATCAATGAGAACCCCCCACCCCATTGAGGCTCTTGCTGCCCAGGTCCTGCACCATCTGGTCAATGGGGCCAGCTTGGTCCAATCTGAGTTGAGCTCGAGGCTGCCAGAATTGCAGCGCCAACTGCACCATGTCCAACGATCCGTCCCTGAGAATGTGGGTATGTCTCTGCAAACATTGCTTGCCACTCTCGAGGCTCATATAAGAACCGCTCTTCACAATCTTCCCGATAATGGAAGACAATTTGCGGAAGAGGCGATAAATGCAGGAAGGCCCGTTGCTGAGAACGCTGCGGACAATTTTCGCGTGATGGCATCTGAGTTAAACGAAGTAGGCCGAACGTTATTTGCTGCATTCGAAAGCGAGTTTGGGCGATCTGCGTCAAGTGGATCCGCTACGGCCTCATCAGGACCTAACACAAGTCCTCCTGGGCCGGCTCCCGAGGTTACGACAAGTAATAATGGTCCTGCAGCATCAGGCATGGGAGAAGCACCCACTGTGGCCGTGCCGGCAAGGGAGAACGAACCCAAGGCTTCAGATCAATTGAAGCTGCCAAATCCTGAACCCAGCACTCAGCACCCTATGTCATCGAGTTCTGAGAATGCTGGCCAAAGTGCTCAAAGTCAAACACATCCCAGCAACAACTTGGGTGCTTCGGGTCATTCTGGATTCCCTTATAACTTCCCTTATCATCGTCCTCACTATATCCATTCACATCCATCTCAGCCTCCCTTTGCATCTGCATGCCCACAGCCAATGCCTCGCTGGGCTCCTCCCCCATCCTGGACACCATTCCAGCCCTATCCACCGCCATCTTACCCCAATACTTTCCAAGCTTACCGACCCCCACCTCCGCCTCCACCACCATCTTTTGATCCATCAGCGCTTTTTGGGTGGCCTCATCTAGCTCCAGGTCGGCGCTTCCATGCTTCGCGGCATCCTACGAACCCCAGCTCACGGAATACCAATGAAGCCTCTGCAGCACCAACAGCCAATGCTCCGTCAAGGAACACCAACACTCAAACTGGTTCATCTGCAAATAAGACTTTGTTTATTGGAAATGTCGGGTTCAATGTTACTGAGAAGATGATTCAGGAAGTCTTTGCTTCCAAGGGGTTCATTGTCAAGGTGGATCTCCCCTTGGACGCTGCATCAGGCAAGCATGCAGGCTTTGGTTATCTTCATTTCCCTTCGATTCATCCAGCTATGGCAGCAATGGAAGCACTGCAGGGTGCTCACATTGATGGTCATTCGATCAACATCGAATTCAGTGACCATTCCCCGATTGAAAGCATACAAACCTCGCAAAGCTCACAAAATAATGGCAGCTCGAGCGTTGGCGGAACCCAGCAGAGCATTTCACTCAACGGGTCCGACAAGACCGGTATTGCCACCACTCGCCAGGGACCTACACCAGGGAACCAAAGCTCCTCCATCTCGGCTGGGGCGGAACAACCTTCCTCGAATGGGCACATCTCTCAACAAGAGCACAGTAGTTCCAATGGACGTAGAAAGTCCGTTACTTTCCAGGAGCCCAATTCGACCGCAACTACTACGAAGGTTGAAGGTAGGGATGCGAGCGTTAAGCCTGGCAATGCACAGACTGGTTCAACTGCATTGCTTGACTCGATCACGGATGATCCTGCATTTGCCGCGCGCTTTCCCTCCCTCCTGCCCAGCGACAGCCCGCAGCGCCATGCCACTGGTTCCGGACAAGAAAAGCCTGCGGGTCTGAGTCCAGAATTAGAGATGGCTCGATTTCCGCCCGTGTCTCAATTGGAAGCCCAGCTCCTTGCCCAACGACAGGGCCGTGCAACTGGACCTGAGGCAGCAAATGAGCAAGAGCAATATCACGAAAGATCTTCCATCCACAGTATTCCTTCGCATCCAGCCCCGCAAGCTTTCCCTCAAAGATCTCGAACTGTCTCCGGTGCGCATGGAGTGCATGATCTAGAGCATCGCCCGGGTGTTTCGCGATCGATCAACTACGGCAGGCAACATTCTAAAGGCGACGCCGGACATGGTCTTCGTCGTGCAAATACCATGGTGTTTGCGCGCCCAGGAGTCAATCAGCCCGGCTCCTTTGACCGTCTGCCTTCGGAGGATTCTCACGGGACGAGGTTGAGGCGCCGAGCAAGTGAACGTCACTGCCTTCGGCCACATCACGCTTCGGAAACGGATACTTGGGCGCGACTAGACCGAAGAGAGCGCACTCGCAATTTACATCCTGAGAGAATTCCCGGGAGTTTCCCGGGTGGGGAAACCTCCCAAAATCAGGCTCCTATCTCGCATGGTGTCTGCAACAGTAAGAAGCAAGAGGATAAGATGGATAGTTGTGTCTCTGCCCTGGTTGGCATGGGATACGGAACCGAACGGGACGGTGGGCACTCCAGGATGGCAGTGTATGCGGCCGCAGCGGATGGAAGTCTCCCGGATGCTATTGAGATGATTGAAGATGAAAGAAAGGTGTATGCGAGACATGGTCGGCAGTGAGACATTACGCTTGGCCTGCTTGTTTTCGGGTTTTTGCAGTTCCCAGTCATTCTTTCAATTCCCCTAAGCTTAAGGATTTGGCGTTCTTCGGTTGTTTTTATATGAACACTCTTTCCAAGGGTCCCTTTTCTAAGCTAAATAATCTTCACTCAAGAGATAATGTCCTTAATTGGTTCGTCTACGATGTCTCGCAGAATATATATGTCGAACAGCTTGTAGCTAGAGCTTATAAGGTAAAACTCCATCCATGGACCAGCAGTAAATTTTTAAACTCGAGATGAACACGTATCAAACGAAAAAAAGCGAACGAGAGAAAACAAGTAAAAATAAAATAAAATAAAATATTGAAATCATAATGATAGACCGACAGAAAAGGGCGTATACATCGGGCGGGTGGTTGATCGGCCACGCCGAGGTTTTTCCAGTCCCGACACAACTTGCGGACCTCTTTCCAACCACTCCCGCAATGCAGACATGGCGACGAGGCTTTGCCACGTCGGTCGCCAGACTCAACCATAGCTCAATTACAAGATCTCGTCCATCTATTCTACGGTGCGCGCAGATCCTCCAGGCCAGCAGAAAGGATGGTCCTTGCAGTTTGGAAGAGCAAGAGATCAAGGTGAATGGCTTCATTCGCTCGGTCCGGAAACAGAAGCGGTTTGCTTTTGCGGAAATCTCTGATGGCTCCACTGTAGAGCCCTTGCAAGCAATTTTGAAGCCAGCGCAGGCTTCCGAGTACGTTTCCATTGCAAGCTATGCGACACACCGGATTCTGCATGAAAGTCAATTGAGCCTAACTCGAGCGCTTTTCTTCCAGTCTGTCCACAGGAACTGCCGTGCAGGTATCGGGGATATGGAAAGCTTGTCCGCCGGGAAAAGAGCAGAGCCACGAGCTCCAAACGACCGACGTGACCGTTGTCGGCGCATCGGACTCAGAGGTGGGTTTCGCGATCTCGTCCGCCAATGCAAAATAAAACAGTCCATCTAACCGGCAAACCATGACTACAGACGTTTCCGATTCAGAAGAAATACCATAGTCCCGATTTCCTGCGTCAGATCCCCCATCTCCGCATCCGCACACCCTTCAACTCGCTTCTCTCGCGGTTCCGGTCCGAGTGCCTATTCCAGCTGGGCATCGTCTTTCACTCGCTCCCTGATGGCGCATTTACGCAGGTGCAGCCCCCGATTATCACATCTTCCGATTGTGAAGGGGCTGGCGAAACGTTCACCTTGGTACCACGCGGCGACGCGGCTGGATCCAGTGCCGACACCGAGCATTTCTTCCGGGCGCCCAAATATCTTACTGTATCGTCGCAGCTTCACCTCGAAGCGTATGCGGCTGAGCTAGGAAATGTGTGGACCCTGGCACCCGTGTTTCGCGCAGAGAAGAGCGACACTCCCCGCCATCTCAGCGAGTTCTACATGCTCGAGGCCGAGGTCAATTTCATGTCTGACCTCGACGCCCTCACGGGTTTAGTGGAACACATGCTGCGCGACCTGACGCGTCGATTGTACCATACTACTGTTGGGCAGGAGATCTTGTCTGCAAAGCGGTCCGGAGAGTCCGGGAAAGAGGACGGTGTAGAAGAGTCAGGCCTCTCTCTGCAGCAGAGGTGGTCTGACCTGATGGATGGGCCCAAATGGCACCGGGTTACCTACACCCAAGCAGTGGAAATGCTCCAGCGAGCAGTCGCCGAGGATGGCGCCTCCTTCGAGCACGCTCCCACCTGGACCGGGGGGCTACAGCTCGAGCACGAAAAGTACATCGTGGAGGTACTACACCAGGGCCGCCCAGTCTTTGTGACAGACTACCCGAAATTCATCAAGCCGTTCTACATGGCCCCGTCTGGCAGCTCCGGCACTACAGAAGGCAGTGATAAATTCGGCGAGACAGTGGCCTGCTTCGACCTGCTTCTCCCAGAGATCAGCGAAGTCGCGGGCGGCTCCCTGCGCGAGCACCGTCTGCCCGAGATTATCCAAAACATGCGCGACCACGGCCTGATCAAGCCCCGCGTGCTCTCTGACTCCGAGGCTGCAGCCCCGAGTGAGCCCTTATACCCCCATCTCTCCCCGACAGAGGATCTCAGCCATCTGCAGTGGTACGCAGACCTGCGACGCTGGGGCTCGGCACCGCACGGCGGCTTTGGGCTTGGGTTCGACCGGTTTCTGGGGTACTTGGCCGGCGTATCGAGTGTGCGAGATGTGGTTTCGTTCCCGAGATATTTCGGTCGGGCGGACTGCTAAGAATGGCGGGTGAGTTCGAGTCTTGTGTCTGCGTGGACGATGTATATATACAAGATGATAGTGAAGTGTATGATACCTAGGTCAATGATATTCATTATTGACAATGGCTCTGTTTTTTTTTTCTTTCCCTTCCTTTCCTTAAGGCAGGTGTGTCCTAGACCTCAGAATGCCAGGCCCTCCACCAGAGGATCAGATCTCAAATGAGAAAGATTCCATACCTAATTAGAAACTAGCTATTAATAGTGCACGTACATCTACAGCTCTTAGCTGCTCGCCTAACTAATTAATCTACTATCCAACCATTATCTTAAACATATCACGCGATTCCAACCTTGGATAAAAGAGACCATGCAGAGCACCAGAATAGAAACCTGCGTATAAGGCCGCCGGCATAGAAAGAGTAAGCCTCCCTGCGTAAATATTGCCCCAAACAAGAAAGATCACCCTCTCTATCTCTCTCTGCCCCGTCTCAATTGCAGTTGGGCTATACACACATACACACAAACATGCCAAGTTTGAATGTATTCTATTCCACGATTATTTGGAACTAATCCAAGCCCCAAGTCCCAAGCCCCCCGCGGCCCCAGGGCACTGGGCTCCTCCAGCGCCCCCTTTGCAAAGACCGGGCAATCATCATCCTTTGGGGAAGGCTACCTGCCTACTAGGGTTGAGCATTATCTCTGGATGGAGAAGTAAGTCCATGGATTACAGGAATGAGTATCCAGTGGAGATGTACCTGCTTATGTAGTAGCGTATATGCATGTCAGGACAGTAAAAAAAGAAGGAATGATAATGATGATTACGGCAGATATACAAAAGGAATATAATCTGCAATGATCATCCCTCGTATATTATTTAAGGTAAAAAGAAGGAACGGGGCGGGGCGGGGGAGGTCATGTCGTAGCACTAGTTTATTATTATTATTATTGTTATCATTGTTTATGTATATCATATTGCTGTTGTTGTTGGCGTTGTTATTTCCAAGCTGCCATTGTTGGTGTTGGGGACGGGCTGTCACACCCCTTCTATGCTTATGTTGTAGGAAGTATCTCTACCCGTCTTCGGATTTGAGCGAAGAGAAGATCAACAATGAATCTTCAAGCTTCCTATCTGAGGCAGGGTAAACTGCTCATCCAAGCAATGCAGATGCATGGCGTGACCAGGGAATCAATCAAGGATTGGGGCGGGAACAGGATCAAGAGGGAAGAGGGACCGCCCCGAACTCAGTCAGCTTTGAGGGATTATTGGATCTATCTACATAATTAGGCAATAAAGAACAAGGGCGCAAGAAGGGGAGGAGGAGAGGGGTAGGAATTGACCAGCGGACCGAATAAGCTAAGAAAACCGCAGGGGCGAAAGGATTAAGGATGAGTGAGAAAGAGGAGGGGGAAGCTCTTGTTAGCCTCTCGTTAATAGAACAGCCCTGCGACTTGGTGGTTTAGTGTTAAGGGCTGCCCCCGGGGCCGTGAATATTCGCCGGCGTCGATCTTTTTTTCTTTTGTCTCTATATGGCATGAGATCGGTGGATATCCCACAACATACACACTAATATACTTTGCCCATAAGATAATATCTATAATAATATACCTCAGTCGTCGCTATGGGTAATTCGAGAATAAGCACGCTACAGGATCCCACGCAAGGCCAAGCATTCGAGTGCCCACTATGTAGGCGTCCACAATCATATTAAAAAAAAAAAAAAAAAAAAAAAAAAAGAAAACCGGGGCGCGAGTCAGCCTAAAAGGCACATTAATGCTCCTGGGGGTAAACAAGAATACCGGGAAAAAGAAAGAGTTGAAAATTAATTACCAGGCTACAGAATGACCGCGGCAAGCAAAAAAAAATGACAAGAAAAAACGTGGTGCATGGGTCTTGACTGGCTCTTTCGATACTTTAAATTTGGATTGCGGAGCTCGCTCACAGATCCCGAGCGCTAATCATAATGAATGTAGAGGGTTGTAGAGTGTATGTAATGTGTATACACTCCTACTGTACATGCAATATACAATATACAATATGTGTACAGTCATTACATATCCGCAGTAGTGTGGCAGGGGGTGCTAAAAAGGAAGTGAGTGGGTTTCGTAGGATCCACATCTTTCTTGGCGATTGATTCGTGGGCTTCTACCGAGAGTCAGGGAGAAAGAAAGAAAGAAAGAAAAAGCCTAGCGTGTGCTCGGATCGGCAATGCCCGAAGACTATAATGAAAGTAAAAGGCACTCAACCAGAAGAAGGATTCCTCGGGAATCGGTCGGGATGACATTGTTGGCGCTAGATGAAGGCAAATTACTTTTCGTAAGGGCTCCGGGGGGGCCCTTCGGGTTTTGACTATGAAGACAGCCTCACGATAGGCTCGCGCACAGACAGGCGCTAAATCCTCAGGGGCCAACCACAACACTCGGATCAACAGGCCAAGAGGCCCCAACCTTACCGGGGTTAAGCATAAGCCCAAAAAAGATTGTTCGGCCAGCGTCCGAGGTGCGAGTCACAGGCGGGAATATTCCTGTCTGAGGTGTCACATTGGATGAAATATGTACATGGTGGACATGGATAGTCAATAATATAGCTAGTCACATTGGGAATTTATGACTTATGATTGATTATTATATGTCCATGTCTCATGTCTCATTCTTTTCGCCTTCGACTATTTCCAACGCGATCCATCAAAGGAAGAGGAACCGGGGGGAAGGGACTTGAATTCAAGCGAATTATTGCCGACGCGGAACCTTTTTTTTTTAAGCTCTGATTCATATAAAACCCGATCACCGACAATTTCGATATTTACTGGCATCCACTACGTAAAAGAATAGAAACAGAAAAAAAGAGAAAAAAAAACTCCACATGGCACTCTCATTCTACGGCTCCCAAGGGCAAACCGAGGGAGCCTTAGGCGCCCTGACATTTGCCACTTCGCAAGAGCTTAAGCCCAACCCAACTGGGGCTGGGGGGCCAGTGTTGGCCCCTCTAGTCTTGGCCGAGCCAAGATTTGAGGGGCAAGTAGGGCGACAGGCAGCAAGATAACTCTAGTTTCCTTGGATGCATAGACTCTATGACTAACAGCCATGGAACCTAGTATGTATAGTACATGAATACAACTTAAGGTGTGGAAAGTATTAGTTTTTTAAAAAAAAAAGGGGTGGGGGGATCACACACACCCTGACGATCTTCTAACCCCAAAAAAGGGATGCAACAAGACAAAGCAAAAAAAAGGAAAAAGAAAAGAATCATTAAAGCCAAACGCTATAAGAACCAGTTTTAAAGATTATTCAAGACCCACGATCCGAGCACATTCCCTATTCATCCAAGCGGCAAGTATACTCCGTAAGGACTGCTTAATTATGCTAATGGAGATAAGCTCGTGCGACGTTTCACAGAATTCAGGCTTGGCAACCTTTCTTTTATTATTCTTTTTTGGTAATAGATTAAACTATAAAGGGTAATTCTCCTGTTATGCATGACAATACAGAACGTCTGGCAACCATATCGGAAGTTAAGTTGATCGCAAATGCCTGGGGCCGATGCAAGGGCACGTCATCGGCCCCAAGGGCCCCGGGGCTGTCAGCATGCGCATTCGTGGATTATGTATGTACATGGTTACATAGTATGTATACATAAATAATATCTATTGTACGCGCAAGTACATACCTAGAGGGGTAGCAAGTGTGGCAAGAACCAAGACCCCATCGGCTTCTTCCAGGGCGCATAAGGCCAATAATCTGATTAACGTCTCCAATCGAGTCAGGAGTAAGGCTACAGGGACTATTACGAGTCGGAGATTATGCGTTGATCAGGTGTAGTTTTTTCTTTTTCTTTCTTTCCTTCATTTCCTTTTCCCTTCTTCCTCTTATTACTACACTACTACTACTTCTACTACCACCACTATCGATAGTGTACCCATAATTATAGCATCAATACGTCGAGAAATCACCGTGCAGAATCATAAAACGGCTAACCCGCGTCGGTTTGGCCCGCAAGGGCAATGACTCTTGCAAAGCGGGTAATATATAATATAGTACAGTTAGCCGGTGGAGCCGCGACTCAGTCCAGACCCACTCGGCAGGATGCAAAGGAAGTCCTTCGGATGATCGGAAGGCAAACTGATTGGGAATTTGGATGTAGTCGACCTGGCGAACCGTGGAAATATGTGAGATCCTTGTTCCTCCCGAGGCCCTTGGAGCCTTGTCCCTTGATCGGCCTTTCCGGATATACCGAGCAGAAAATGAGAATAAAATAAAAGATACGAAAGAAAGAAAGAATAACACAGTACAAGGCAATGGGATTATTCTGCATTCCAATCGAGTAATAACTTCGCAAAAATCCTGCAAGAATCTCACCAACAGAACTGGGGCCGGGCTGACGATGGATTTGGCACATGGTGCAATTTGGGGTGATTGATCTTATGCTTATTCTTTGATTTTGGTACACTAACTGTACAGAGGTAATAGGATCGCCAAGAATGTTTACCATGATCAGCAACCTGGTGGTTCGCCTGACCAGTAGCCTTATTCTCCTCGGCCTCCCATTAGCTCTTAGGCACAAGGCACTAGCTTGCTTCTGATGTATGTGGGAGGGGAATGCATACATGAGTCGAATGATCATCGCTATGCGCCCGGTCCTTTTCTTTTTCTTTTCTTTCTTTTTACATGGATTTCCTTGAATAAATCCACGACACAGTACGTACGACCTTGCACACCCCGTCGACCTGGTAGATGGGAAAAAAACCGAATCACCATGCGACTGTCACACAGACAAAAGATAAATTATAGGACGATGGGATATATACTTTTGACCCAGGATCAGCGGGGAATATCACTACTCGTCTGGGGCAGTAGCATGCAATCTTGCTATCCGCAGCACCGAATCCGGTCGGAAAAGGAAAACCAAGAAAATAAGCCAAGATCAACCAGCCCCCCGAACCTAATATATTAATTTGCTTACTACAGTATTGTTATGATTCTCGGTATTCTTCTTTCACAGCCTGATGCAACGGCGATGCGCTTGAACGGATCGTCAGTCCTCCGTGCGCAAGATCATCGAGTCAAAAACACAACACTAACACTAACACTAACACTAACACTAACAGTGACAATCAAAAGAAGCGGGCTCGCAAGCGCGGTTGACTGGACCATGAATCATGAATCATGGGCGAAGTAAATCACCAACTGACAGGCCTTCCACGCAAGCCTGGTCAAAGTCCAGCTATTGGCTCTTGATGTCAACATATGTACAAAGTATATGTATTTTGACCGAGGCTTACTGCACGAGTCACCGTGCACACTCGGGCAAACTAACCTTATCGCCCGAGTCAAGCTGGCAGCCCCAATGGTCCCAAGCTATAATCAATACTATTGATTCTTGAGTCGCATGCGGAGAAACCGAGTCTCACCAATAAACTTACTGTGTATATCATATCCGAATAGCATATGTTGGTTGTACCAATCAATCTTACGGGTGTTTGGGGTTTTTGTTATTTAGCTTTTGTGCATCAGGGATACTTGATGTGGATCTTGCCAGTCTTTTATGCTTACTCTCACTCTATTCTATAATTCCGTATTTCTATTTCTATTTCTTAATTTCTTATTGTCTCCTCCCCGAAGATCCGTCAAGCTTTGCGGTCAGCGCAGGCTAAATCGAAACTGCCGCGTCACTAGATACGATTACGAGTCACGAGAGGCCACTGTGGCTTTTTCGGCGTTTTCGGCCTCCCCCCCCCCCCCCCCCCCTCTCTCTCTATTGACGTTCAGCCTTGGAAGTGTGTGGTTGGCAGCCTTATTGACTATCCTCGCACCACTTTCCTCTCCTAGGCAAGTCGCTCGCACAAGGCCACTACGGAGTTAATAATCCTCCGTTGGGTGTGGATACGAAGAGTCAGGTTCCATGGTTTGTAATCGTGAGTACTAAATCCTATGTAGTGGACACCAATTTTTTTTCCTTTCCTTTTTCTTTGACTCTATAAACTGGAGACTAGTCATTGACGAGCCGACACGTTTCTGACTGTACAACGTCCGAGGGTCTGTGTAATGTTGTCGACCCACCATTTCAAATAAGTATACGTTGAATGAAATAAATCAAGATAGAACTTAAAAGATGAAAATAAAAATAAAAATAAAGAATAGAACGATTCTTATCCATGTACTGGTATACAGAATACCCGGGTATACAGTAATCTCGAAAGGACCAGGGTGGATGCGGGCGCTCTAAGCGAGCATAAAGTTCACCTCGTGTTGGATTAAGCTTAAGCTTTGGGGGCACTTTTTTTTTACTTCTTCCAGTTTGGAATGATTTTACGAAACATGGGGGGCGATCCTGGTAATGCCCGAGATTTTTATTTTTATTTTTATTTTTATTTTCTTCGATAATCAATAATAATCCCTGGTTAAAATAGTGTTGGATTATCATGCGACACTACTAATAATATCTGAGGGCCTTGCCAAGGGATGAGCCAAGCCCTGGCGAATAACCTTACCTGTGTACACTGCCCGCGCGTAAAACCACTCCAGCACAGCCAAGCAACTCAGCCATGGACCTGAAGTGATAATACGGCGAGCTGTGACGATCACGTAACTCTGATTTCCGACAAAAATAAACATTAAAATCAGATTGGAAAAAAGAAAACTAGTGATCGTTGTGTCTGTTTTTAGACTATCTAGTACATGTACATATATAGCATGGCCCCCTAGGGGGCGATCGGCGAGATATTATAACCCGAATAAGGTCTGTAAAGTAATCCTTGAATCTTACTTGGCCTAGGAAATTCCCACCTGCCATGCTCCAGCGCCACAGCTGGTTCCAAGGTTCCCATGCACAAAGAGTCATGCAAAACCCAGTGGATTTCAAAAACCTTTCATCGGCATTACTTTCTTTTTTCTTTCTTTGGTAAGAGAGTGGATCATCTGCATCTTTCAACCTTGCCCCACGTAACTCTGTTTCTTTAATGCGAGGTAATAATAATGATATGCTACTATTGGTATCCACATATTAATACAGTTCAAAATATTATTATTTTATTTTGAAAATAATACATATTATTATAATTTATTTTTTTTTACCCATTTTCTCCACAAGAAGCTCGGCGTTAAACAGGCTGCGTCCGATCGTCGCTTGGATCGCTTGGCTCCGTCCCTTTGGCCTCCGGTTCCCTTATTTAACCTTCTTTTTATGATTCTTCATTAGCTTTGAAACACGACGCTTTTGTGCTTAAAAGACGCCTCTCTCCCGCTGATCCAGACTGATTCCTTTCTTTCTCTCTCTCTCTCTCTCTCTCTTTCTTCTTCCCCCTTCCCCCTTTGATTCTTCCTGGAATCTCGCCGAGACAAGCCTAGAGGGCCTGAGCCATTCCTTTCAACCTTGTGGGGTCCAAAGGTGAGCCCCCCTCCCCACCCAACACCCTCTCTCATCTTCCTTTTGGTCCTGCGCTTCCTTGTTGCTCCTGTCGGCATCCTGTCTTTTTTCTCCAACCGTGGCCCCACCCCAAATCTCTGCACGGCCTTTCTCTCTCTTTCAGTCTTGTCTTCTTTGGGAAAAGAGAAAAATCGAAAAAAAGAAGAGAAAAAGAAAAAAGAATTTTGGCTTCTAACCCCGGCGTAAAACAAGGCCCAGCCGTACCCCATAGTCACTGACTCGGATGCTGATTATATGTTTCCCTGGAACCCTATTCCCTCTCAATCTACTTCTTCCTTGCTTTTACTCTTTGCCCTTGCCCTTTTTTTTTCTTTTCTTCTTCCACTTCTCTCTCTCTCTCTTCCTCTTATTAATAATCTCCAGATCTTATCTGACTCAGGTCCATCCCCCACACCTGGGTCATCAGTTGATTTGAGATGGAGACCTACTACGGCCACATCCGCACGCCGGCGGACGCTATCATCCTCTTCGAAGCATGTCGCATCGGTCTGCTCCCACGAGTGCAACGACGACTGTCAGAAAAAGAGCGTCAGTCCATTCGATCTGGGTCGGTGTTCGTGTGGGACGAGCGCGAAGCTGGCATGAGACGATGGACCGATGGGAAATCATGGAGTGCCAGCCGTGTCTCTGGCAGCTTTCTGACTTACCGGGAAATGGAGGGCAAGCGCGGCGGGAGCAACGTCTCCCAAAATGCCTCGCGGGGTGGCAAGACGCCTGAAAGCCGTGGGAGCGATGAGGACCGGGCCGACGGCACTGACGAGGGTCCGGATGGGTATCGCTACAAGCCCGATGGCCTGATGAAGCAGTCATTCAGTATCACCACCTCGGCGGGTCAGCACTTGCATCTGATCAGCTACTACTCTCGCTCTCACCCCTCTGCTGCCAATCTGCAGCAACCTACTACCGATCCCGCACTGCGACATGTCCGGCCTCAGAAGGGTCTCTACCCCGAGTCTACTGTCAATGACCAGCAAAACTTGCCCGTTGTGACTCGCGGCCCTATGGCCGGAGCTACTTATTCTATCACGCCCCACCCCATGAATGGGTTCTCGCGTGCCACCCATGCCCCTTCCTACACACCCTCCTACGCCTGGCCGCCTACCCCGCTGCCAACACCACCGACAGTGGCCGTTCCGTACGGCGCTGCTTACCTCCCGGCAGTCTCTGCGACCAATAGGCATCCTCCTCACTATGCTCAACATCCTCACCACACCCCGCCCCACCAGCCACCACACCATGGCTTGCCGCCGCCGCCCCATGGGCTACCGGTGGCATATGAACGACCTCCCCCTCCCGAATCATCCATCCCACCCCCAGGCCCACCGTCAGCACACCCAGCTTACCCAGGCCGGTCGCCGCGCATGATTCACGAGCCGCCACATGAGCAGCAACGAAGCCCACCGGGTTACGGCAAACCTCACCCAGATCCGCGCCTGGCCTCACCCCGAGTGCCGCCCTCGGGCGCCCCTCAGAACAACGGGCTTGCTCCCAGCCCCCACATGCTGAAGCAAACTCCCCCAACCTCCCTTAAGTCGCTCGGCCCGATCGGCACGCCGCCCAAGCTCGCCGACCCGGCATCTGCGGGCAACACTGTCCCCAGCATCGGCACCCTCATGAACGGGACTTCGTTGGCTCCGCTGTCCTCGATCACCACCACTGCTGGTCCTGCCTCTAGCCCGAAGGGCGCCCCCGCCGGCTCGCCCGATGGACCCCGCGATATCCCCAATGAAAAGATTGGGTTCGCCGGCGAAGACATGAGAGCGCTGCGCCAGCTTGACCGTGTCTTTACGGCATAGATGTGATTTCTTCGATCTCAAGAGCCTCGATCTAAAAAAACAACAACAACAGAGAGATATGGGAGATATGATACACCTCAGCTCTGTTTGTGTGTTGTGTTGTGTGTTTTTTTTTCTTCTCCCTTGTTTGATTAGATTCTTATGTGTGGGATTCATTTCTATTTCTATGGTGTTTGTGTTCATGGTGAAAGGGGTCAGGGAGGGCAGGCGTTTCCCAACGTGATATCCTTCTGCTTTTTATGTGCTCATTTTTAGCATCTTTGCATGGATTGGGGCGATCTGCATTTTTTTTTTCATTTTATTTCTCATGTCTTATGTGTGATCCGTCATGCTTTTCATACATACATTGTGCATTGGGACCGGGTCTACAACGGATGGGATACGGTTCTGGTTTGAATAGTCAATTGATAGGCTTATGCTTATTACAACCCTTCTACTCTTTATCCATAAATAGATTACTATAATTTTTGAATGTAATCAAGTTCTCCTTCTCTGGATATTGATATAGTCCTAAATTGTAAACATCATCATCTATGGTAACCAGAGCTCCTCCAGTCCGATTCCACCATGGTATTCTCACTCCAGTTCGTGCCACTCGAGGCCCTGGCGTTATCAGACACACTCATCCCCTTTTTCCCGCCCACCGCGGGCATTCCTTCATAGTCCCGGGCTCTGGCCCGCCGCCGTTGAATGTTTTCCACTAAAGTTTTGCCTCGCGAAGAAAACGCACTCGGCGCCGAGCTTATTCCCTTGTCAATCGCCTCGTGGCCGTGGGTAGTGGCCAAGCGATGGGGCGTGAGTCCCGACTCTGTGGACAAGTCGGGGGACGCTCCCTGTTCCAGGAGGAGTTTGACAACCCCCTCGTGGCCATTCATTGCGGCCAGTTCCAGTGGTGATGGCGCGTGTGTGGTCGTGGCCTCGGCATCGGCCCCATGGCCGCATAGCAGGCTGACAACCTTCAGGTGGCCATTCCGCGCTGCCCGCCCCAGTGGCGTGAGATAATTTGCCTCGTTCTCTTCTCCTTCTTCTTGATATTGCTGATATTGCGTGGCTATACTCAAGTCCAGAGCACAGAACCGCGAAATCGATTCGGTCGTCTCATTTCTCAGACGCAGATCCGCTACACGGGGGAAGAGCTGGCGTGGCAGCTTGGTTGGGAAGTGGTCTGATTTGTTGTCCGGGTTGAGGATTGATGTTTTCTGGAGCAGCTTTTGGAACCGTTTGTGTTCGCGGTTTGGGTGTGCTTGGATCATTACTGTTGCCCATCGCTCGAAGCCCTTGGCTGTGAGGCTGGGGATGTCTGGGCGCACTTCGAGTCGCTCGTCTTGTACTAGGTGGTGCTGCGCTTGGATGCTGCGGAAGAGTCTGGAGATTTGGGAGGTGCGGTCATCGAAGATGTCTATATGGGAGGAGAAGAGAAAGTTAGCCCGTTCTAAGCGGAGTCTATATAGCACAACACACCTTGCCATGGATAGGGATCCCCGGGAACTTGAGTCTCGCGGTAGAATCTCTGCAGTTTGTCTGGGGTCACCACAAAACTGTCTGCTGGTAGGTAATTCTCGATCTGTGTAGCGGGAGGTTTCATTAGTCCTTTTGGATCCAGCCGCAATCATACCCAGAAAGAAAGAGAGAGTGAGAGATCCATACCAAATGAAGCGCAACACCGCGCAAGAACTGGCTGAGTCTTTGTGTTGGCTTGCCTCGCTTAAACAGTTCCCCCCACCCTTTCAGTGCTTCTACTTCTTCTGCATCTGGAGAGCTGTGATTGTTATCGGCAGCCGGGTCGGGATAGCGCCATGAGACCAGCGGCGTCCAGTCAGCATTGGGACTGAGAGACTCGGTATCAGCACCTTTCAGCAACAGAGTCAACACTATCTCCTCGTATCCACGGTCTGCAGCCAGAGACAGGGCGCTCCAGCCCTCGGAGTTGCGAGCGTTCAGACTATCCGGACTCATGTTATGGATGATTCTCTGGAGAAGTTGGGGCGCATTCCATTTGACGGCCTCCCAGAACACCAGGGGGTGTTCCAGTGATGGTAACTGCGCGTTGGGGAAGCGTTCCCGGATCTCGTGGAAGGCGACGCTGGCCGGCAGGGCGTAGGAGATGTCTTTAGCGTCCATGCCAGCCACAATTACGCCAAAGATCGATTCACTGTTGGCGTCCACCACCCACGACCCACAGTCCCCCGGAGCTGATTATAACAAAGATCAGAACATCAAATCCTCTCTTGGTGGTTATGATACTAATCGAAAGATACCACTCACCTGATTCCATCCGCACAGCCCAAACGTCTCGAAGCCCGAAGCGTGGATCGAACAACCCGCATATCGTTTCAGAGGCCTTGGTTTGCACTGGTGACTTCGTCCCCATGGCTGCCCAGAGCTGCCCCCTTGGGAAGTCTGACGCAACCTTGGAAGGGAAGACGACCTTTTGATCAAGGACGACGAGATTGACTAATAATCGCTTGTCCGTCTCGAGCTCGAGCAACGCCCAGTCCGCGTGGCTTGAGTAGTAGTCCGGACGATGTTCTTGTGGAATCGAACCCAGACGACTTGGTTCGAAATGATTCGGCACAAACGCCGTGTCCAGCTCCAGAGTCAAGTTCTCTTCCGAATCAGACTCACTGGCGGCATCGGACCCGTCGCTTTCATCGTCGCTCAGGTTGCTGGTGTCTTCGTCGGTGGTCTCATCCTGGTAGGTGTCGAGGAGGAAAGGATGAGCCACGGTGACGCCGTAGCATTTCCCATCCAGGATGATGGTGCCGCCAATCGAGGCGAATTTGGTTGGTACTTTTTGATTCTCGCTTCCAACTCCAAACAGGGTCCCACATATATGAGGGGTGCCGGCCAGTTCTTTGGTCAACGCGGTGGCCATGTTCAATGAGATCTTGCTCTCATACCCATAGACGCGGAACCCCCATCTAGAGAGCTCGTCCTGCTCTTCGATCAACTTCACTGCTTGCTTGGTGACTCTTTTGCTCACGCAGATTATCACTGCTGCCGGGTGCGCTGACTGCCATTCTCGGCCGACCATCCAGCAGGCGACGGTGTACAGCGCTTGTTTCTTCACCTTGCGATAAATCGCTTTGGAATTGTCCTTGAGCAGCGGCTTGATGATGGTCGGATAGACTGTGGTGTTCCACACATCTCGGACTTGCCCTGCTGGCTCCCACGCCAGCTGGTCATTAAATTTGCGGCTGTACGTGGCATCAATGGATGCTGTTCGTTCGTCGGCACTCAGCTTGTCCCAGAAGGTGGTACTGGACGGTTGCGATCCCCAGTCTGTGAACCTGCTGAGCTGGGTCTGGGTCTGGATCTGCGCCATGTTTGTGGCGGGAGCCAAGTTGTGGCTCTCTCTCTCTCTCTCTCTCTGTTCTCCCCCGGATCCGATGCTCGATTTTTCAACCGAGCCACAGCCCCTCTCTTGCTGTCAGCTCCTACAACGCATCACTTAGTCAGGAGCTGCAGATCGAATGGCCGAATAAGAGCCTTAAGCAGGACTCAGACTATACTGTCTCAGGAAGCCCGAGCGATGATCCCCATCACAGCCCGGCTGAGGGATTTCTCGGTGGATGACTGACAGCGCTGAGTGCGGTGCTTCAAAATAATTCTATTATCCTTCCCTCCAAGGTGCCCTCGTTACCGCCTTGAAACAGCATGCATGCTCCGGGGTTCTCTTATTTGGCGCAAGTGAACATCCACGAGCCACCAAGCGACGAAAACAACCGAATCCTCAAAACCGAACTGCTCCCAGCACTATGGAACCTACCGCCCAAGAACCCTGCCGAGGCCTCCGACGCGTTCCTGGAGTACTACATGAACCAGCGCATAGTGATTGAGGCCCACGGGCTTAATATCAAGACCCACCAAGATCTCATGGACCTGACCAACTGCGTCAAGTCGAATGCCCATTTGACTAGAACCAGGCTGGTTGCGCACCTCGACGAGCACTGTGGATGGGCGGGGCCTGCCATCCATGCTATTGAGGTGGTTTTGCGCATCTGGCTGTTTATCTCTATTGACGACTGGGATCCCACCCAAACGCTTGAGCAATACCTTCGTGCTAGTTTTCCCAGTACCGAGGACTTTCCTTCTAATACGCCATCGTTTCCACTGGGGTTTAATGGTTTCAGCCTCAAGGAAATCGGCGGCTTTGATATTGCCTGGACGGAATGTCTCCATGATCATCTGTCTTTCGCCATAGATGGCACACAGAAACAACTCAAGATCTTCCATCTCTCGTCTTTTTTGCAAGGATACCGCCATAGCCGTGACCGGTACGTCTGGACTGCCTAGTCAATAGTTTCCGGTGTACCTTTTTTTAAGAAAAGCTACTGTGCCATGAGTTATGAGATATCCCACTAATTTCCCACCCTCTACTAATCTATTGATAGCGAAATCCTCCCACCAGCATTCTTCGAAGAAACCGCCCGTACCATCTCCCTCCTCTTCCCAACCTCCAACCTCAAATGCCAACGCTGGGTCCGCAAAGCCCGCACGCAACAGGACCTCGACCTCGACCCGGGGTTCCTGCCCGCGACCTCACGCGACCTCTCACAGTTTCCCTATTGGGGCCGGCAGCTACTCGAGCTGCGCGACGAGTACGACCGCACGGAACCGACGACGGTGCGGCAGTGGGTGATTGATAAACGGAAGCCCAACCAGCGGTATACGTTCTGGATTGCGGTGGTTGCGCTGTTTCTGGCACTGGTTTTTGGGCTGATTCAGTCGGTGACGGGGATTATTCAGGCTATTAAGAGTTGACCCTCCCCCAGTGCCCAGGTGGGCCTGCTTGGCTTATTACAGTACAGTAGTTTGTTTATATGGTGATATGGGGGGTGCATGGGCAATTTTGGGCGATGAAATCATTGGATATTATTTACTCTGGGGGCAGAGAGATCATCCATGTATTCATGGCCTTGTCTAGACGTTTCTGACAAAATGTTGGGGTTGTTTCACCTGCATCAACAGGGGTATATACATACCTGGGTAGCGAGTATGATCCATGTCGGATGATGATTATCATGACTATCCATGCTGGCTATTCGTATTAGTATAATTATGATTATTACTCGTAATATTATTATCATTATAATAGAATAATAAATACAGGTGGCCGGACACTCCGCGGCAATCTCCCACGGGCGATCTCCGCAGCGCGACGATCGGGAGAAACGGGGTCTCGGCTAAGTTGCTTCTGACCGAGTCAGGGATGTTCCGTTTTTGCTTGTATGATTACGCGTTATGGCTCTGACGGCTCATTCTCGTTCTCCGCGGACTCAGGAACCAGTTATGCCATTTGCCTGTGCATCCCCTGTTTCTTGTTGTTCCCAGTTATTATGTTGTATTGTTATTGTTATAGTGTTGGTTTCCCCACTATACCGGGAGGAACCTTGGCTCGGGACCAGCCGAGTTCCATCCATGGATGCTTCGCAAAATGAGAGATAGAGAAAAGAGGATTCCACAATACAATGCACAGAAAGAAATAAAAGGAAAAAGAATAAAAAGCTGACTCGGTATGGGGCAACCTGCGGGACATGCAACCTCGCCCCACACCCTTCTAGCCCTTCAGTAAGTCAAAGTCAATATGAAAAAATATGAAAAATAGGAGAAATAGGAGGAATAGGAATGGAGAGAACTTATAACCCTAAAAACAAACCAGAACGAAAAAAGCAATAAAACACCTCGACATATACACCAGAGACCAAAGCTCAGACTCTAACCTCTCATCCTCTGGTCAGCCGGGGGGCTCAGCTGATCCAAAAAAAAGGCGCAAAAAGCCTAAAAGGGGGGCTTTAGAACCCCTCAGAGAAAGATGGGGAGGTTTTCTCTTTCCTTGTTGGTCGTTCGGTAGATCCACATTCTTGGGGAGAGAGAACAGTGAGAAAGGCCCAAGCCCTAACTTTTGACCAGAAATGGTCGAGTGACAGCCTTCTTCTCCAGGAAATTGCCCTCTCTTTTGATTTTATGTATTTATTATGACTATTACTACTGTTATTATTATCCATTTCTATGACCATTCTCATGCTGATCCCCCCCCCCTGCATTGGCCCTCATAGGCTCCTCCCGGTCCACGTATGCCCTGAACCTGGTCGATTCCCTGCAGCGGATGTCCGTGCTGGTTGCACCGAGGAGATTTGGCCCACTTCTTTTTACCCCAGATTGAAAGAAAACAAACAAAAAAAAAATGAAACACATCCCAATTTCCCTGGACCCCGGGGAGGAAAAGGAGCGAGATCTGGTGGAGAACGGACTCTCCCGCGCTGGACCGAGACGAACCAGAAAGAGAGAGAGAGAAATAGTGAAAAGAGACAGGGGACAAACTCGACTCCCGACCTGCCGCGTTATTTTCCCCCAAAATTGATCCAAAAGTGCGGGGGAGAAGAAATGCATGCTTCTCCGTGGTCGGCGCTGCAAGTGATATGCAACGAATCACTCCCTCGTTTTTATAATGGTTGATAATTAGAATTATAACCATAATCAGAGCAAGCCCCGTACCACCCAGATCGACCTGAACCAGCTTGGACAATGATCATCGGTATGTCCAGGCGAAGACATCGTATTTGCTGTGGAGCCCAAGAAGAAGCGGGTTTTCTCTCGACGATCCATAGACAAGGCAAACCCATTTTTTACCAATAACATCGTCAATCTAACTTTCATTCGCACTGCCCTCGGGTCCTGTTCTTTGCTTTTTCATTTCTTCATTTCTTCACTGCAAATCAGGGCCTTCCTTGGCGTTTCCCCATACAAAAGGTGTAAGCTGGATGAGAAACGGAGAATGGCATTAGTGATGACCTCACGTTTCTATTATTCACGTATATTCACGTATTTCTGGTGGATTATGGAGATTATGGTAGACATTAAATACCTATCCTCTCCACTTGGCTCTCTCTTCCCCTCTCTTTCTCTCGCTCTACTTGGGCCCTTGTTCTTTTTATTATTCCTATTATTTCAGTCTGTTAGCTTATTCTTCTGTTTCATTACTCCTGTGGATCAAAGCACCTTCACGCTAATTACCTCGTTGCCCGCCCCGCCCCATATATACCATCTTCATTCCCGTCCTTCTCCCCCCTCTTCCCCCATCTTCCCCATCTTCAAGCGTCAGCCCGAGCACCTGGCTTTAGATCAGGTGCCCACCTCTCTCTGACGGCCCATGTTCAATGTTGTCCATGCAGAATCCCCCCTCGGCGCGTCCAGAATATAGAGACTCCGGTCTGGCAGGTCACACGGGGAACCCATCGGAGATCCCCCGCGCGGCCGAGATCGACGGTTCTCTCGCCAGAGCCAGCACCTCCAGTACCAGCACCGGCGCCAGCCCCGATGACACATCGACCGACTCGCCCGACGGGAATGGCGCGCCGTCGGAGAGGTCGCCCGACCTGGAGATCCATCTCAAACTCTTCCACCGATCGCAAGCCGCCGACCCTGCCTCGCTCATCGGCGACCCCCGCGCCCAGTTGATGGGCGACGCCATGCCCGATGTGCCGCACAAGGTCGAGGAGTTGGAGGACGAGGACCCGGATCTACAAAGCATCAAATATGTGGGGACCGACAATGACGCGGGTGCTTCCGTCGCCGTTCCACGGAAACGTGGCCGCCCACGCAAACACCCGCTGCCCGTTCCAGGGGGGCAGGCCAAGGTCACTAAAGGTCGCTCCAAGACGGGTTGTATTACCTGTCGTCGTCGGAAGAAGAAATGCGATGAGACAAAGCCTGCGTAAGTTCTGACACTGACCAGAGAGAATGAGAGGGGGGATTGCGTGTCTAACCCGCAGCAGGTGTCTCAACTGTCAGAAGAATGCGGTGGTCTGCGAAGGCTACCCGCCCAAGGAAATTTGGAAAAGTGGGAGGCAGAAGCTGGCCGATGGTAGGATTTTTCTTTTCTTTTCTTTTCTTTTTTTTTTCCTTTTTCTTTGTTGGCATCCTGACCCACATCGCTGACACCCTCGCTCCAGCAGTTCGAGGCCACTCCCTTGCTGCTGTGCCGCGCAATCTGCCCCTCCTCATCGACGGCATCGAAACCGACATCGACCGACGCTTCCTCGATCACTTTGTGTACGGCTTTAGCCGGGTCTTGACTCTCATCAACGATGACTCGAACCCGTTCAAAGAGATCCTTCTCCCCATGGCCACCCAACATCGCGGGCTGATGCATTCGCTCATGTGTTTGTCCGGGTCGCATTTGTCGGGACTAGATCCAGAGCCTCAGCTGAAGGAACGCAAATACTTCCACTTCCACCGCGCGATCCAGGACCTCAAGGACAACATCAACGCCTCGTCGTCGCAGGGTGCAGAGCAGGAGCAACAGCTACTGGTGGAGGACCCGATCATCGCATCGACCATCGCGCTCAGCCTGAACACAATCTGCGAGGGCGAGACCAACGGCGAATACCGCCCGCATATGGATGCCGCCCGGTATCTGCTGGTGTCTCAGCAGCCCCGCAACGAAAAATTCCGCCAGTTCATTGTCGAATTCTTCCAGTACCACGACGTCTCGAACTCGCTCACTTCACTCGACCGCCGCCCCGCTCTCCTCCACGGGGGCTGCATCTCCCCGACTTTGTGCCGGGCGCACAGGCAGGGATGTTCCTGGGGGTGTTTGACGGCCTGTTCAACTATATCTCCGAGGTGACACAACTGCGCGACCGGATCCGCCAGCGGTTCAACGAGGGCTACGAGCCTGCGGTGGATTACCAGACCCTGAGCGAGGCCGTCTCGATCGACACTGCCATCCGCACCTGGGAAACCTCGCACGAGCCCGACACCCCCAACTGGTGCCTGGCTCAACTGTACCGACAGTCAACCTGGGCGTACTTATACCGCACCATCCGGCCGTCGCGGCCGAGCGACAAGATCTCCCAGGTCGTCGACGATGGCCTGGCGTACCTGGACCAGCTGCCGCAGGATGCCGGCGCATATAGTATTGTCCTCATGCCGCTCTTCCTACTCGGATGCTCGGCGTTTGTGCCCGAGCAGCGCGAGCGCATCCAGAAGGGCTTCGACTCCCTCAAGGCCTATTCCAACTTGCGCAACATCGAACCCGCTTTCCAGGTGGTTGCGCGGGTCTGGGAGATCATGGATACCAAGATCGAGGACAGTTGGGATTGGGAGAAGATCATCCGTGACATGAACATGGATTTTCTCATCACTTGAATGTCTGAATGTCCTCGCCCTTTTCTCTTTTCCATTCTCACTCGCCTTTTGATACCCTTTTATTCTTTTTTTTTTATTCTTTTCTTTTGTTCTTATGCCTATATCTTCTTGGATGATTATTGTTCTCGCCAGCGAATGTCTCTTTTCTTTTTCTCGCTATTTCCAAGGGTGTTTTGTGATTCCCTTGTTTTCATCTTTGATCCCGAATGTGTGATGCGGAGCATAATGACCATTCCTCCGACAGGGGTTGTACTATGCGGCGTTTTTTTTCTTCTTTTTTCTGTTTCTGCTTGATTATGTCTTGTGCACTTGAAGAAGAGAGGGAGCGAGCGGGTCGAGCGTCGGTGTTTTCTTGCTGGTGCCCATGCAAGGAGTATGTTGCCGCATACCTCCCCCACCTCCCATGGCTGATGCATACTGTACAGGATGGTGGGTTGCAAGGTCAGGAGTGGTTTTCCACTTTAAAAAAAAAAGGGTTGAGTTGGTGTTTTCTTGATGGATGGAATGACTGGTGTTTTTGTGTTTCGCATGGCGGAAGGATGGGGTGTTGACGTTGTATATATCCCTTATTTTTATTGCATATCTGAATGTGGAAGCCAGTGGAACTGTATAGTATTCGATCTGATCTATGGACTACATAGTATTGTATTATCTACATTATGCCTCCATCCATGGATGTATACAATACGTAGATACGTAGGTAGGCTCCTGCCTAATTGGGAACTAACGGCTCGGTTGTGTAAGCGAACACGTGCCTCAGGCCCCCCCGGAATACCTGCCATCCGAGCCAATCAGCGGCTAACGGATACTTAGTATAGTCTGGGGCAGATTGGGGCCTGGGGCGCCATGGATCGCTTTGCCTTGACGGTTCTCCTTACATTCAAAAGGATGCCAATTGCATCACTGTCGATCTCTGCACTTTTCATGTTTTTTTTTTTTTTTTTTTTTTTAAAGTGCTTTGTTGAGTCCCGGGGTTCGCTGGTTTAGGTGACCTCAATCGTGCCGAGCGTGATCATCATCTGCGGCAAATTTTGGTTCTCGGCTCTTTGTTGAGGTTGGAGATTCCACAGTCTCAGATTGGAACCTTTCGTTCTTTTCTGCCCGGCCGCAGGATCAGTTCAGGGAAATGACGTGGAGAAGTTGTTGATGACGGCCGCTCGACCATGGAGGAGAAGGACGAGATCATCACCGAGCTAAACGTCCAGAAGGATGAGGGATTGCATGGGGCGCTACAGGATTCTGCGTACAACCTCACTTTTCGTGCAGTCAATCCCGTGGATGTCGGTGTGAGCAACCTATCTCTGGAGATAGACACCACGCCCCCCGATATGGGAGACGTCGCCGGCGCAGCTCTGGCGGCGCATTAGCAGGCACCACAAGCACCAGCACGAGAACCGACTCAAGAGCGTGCTCGATGGCGTCGACGCCGCAATGCCCAGCGGCAGCCTGACAGCCATCATCGGGAGCAGTGGGTCGGGCAAAACCTCACTGCTGAACCTAATGGCGGGCCGCATAGGGCTCTCGCGCGCCAGGGTGGCCGGTGCGACGACCTTCAACGCCGACCCCAACATCGAGCGCATCAGGAGCGCATATGTCATGCAAGAGGACGTCCTCATCCCCACCCTGACCGTGCGCGAGACCTTGCGGTACTCGGCCGACCTGCGCCTGCCGCCGCCGACGACTCGCGCCGAGCGCCACGCTATCGTCGAGCAGGTGATTCTCGAGCTCGGCCTGAAGGAGTGTGCCGACACGCGCATCGGTAGCACCGCCCACAAGGGCTGCAGCGGCGGCGAGAAGCGCCGCACGAGTATTGGCGTGCAGCTGCTGGCGAACCCGTCTGTCCTCTTTTGCGACGAACCTACTACGGGCCTGGATGCTACTAGTGCCTTTCAGATTATCCGGACATTGAAGCGGCTCGCTCAGGATGGCCGGACGGTTATTGTCTCGATTCATGCGCCGCGCTCGGAGATCTGGAGTCTTTTTGATAATGTGATTCTTCTGGCTCGCGGCTCTGCGCTGTATAGCGGGCCGGTTAGTGGATCGTTGCCGTATTTTGAAGAGTGCGGCCATGTGCTGCCTCCGTTTGTTAATCCGGCCGAATTCCTGATTGATTTGGCTGCCATCGACAACCGGACTGAGGTGCTGGAGGCTGCCTCTCACGTTCGTGTGGACCATCTTCGTCAGACGTGGCGTTCTAAGCAGTCTGCGGTGCACAGTGAGGATGGCAAAGAGAAAAAGCCCGACCCCAGACCGGTGGCGGATAGAGAAGAGACGGTGGTGACTAAACAGGTGTCGTTTCGTCGCCAGTTCCGCGTCTTGACCTCGCGCACCTTCAAGACCACCATCCGGGACCCGATGGGCGTGGCCGGGAGCCTGCTCGAAGCCATTGGAATGGCTGTGATCAACGGATGGATCTTTCTGCAGCTCGACGAGAGCCTCGCAGGGATTCGCTCGCGACAGGGCAGCCTGTACACAGCCAGCAGTTTGAATGGATATCTGATCTTGTTGTTTGAGACTTACCGACTAACCATCGACATCCAACTGTTCGATCGTGAGCGCAACGAGGGCGTCGTCAGTGTGCCCGCGTTTCTGCTGAGCCGACGCGCAGCACGACTCCCGCTCGAGGATCTCCCCGTTCCGCTGTTGTTTTCGATCATCTACTACTTTATGGTGGGCTATCGTCTGGATGCGGACCAGTTCTTCATCTTTTTTGCCCTCACGCTGCTCACGCACTATATCGCCGTTACCTTTGCGGCAGTCTCCATCGGCATCGCGCGCAGTTTCCCAGGTGCCAGTTTAGTTGGCAATCTGTCCTTCACCTTGCAGTCCTTTGCGTGCGGCTACTTCGTTCAGGCCAATCAGATCCCGGTGTATGTCAGATGGCTGAAATGGTGTGCCTACACGTTCTATATCTTTGGTTCACTGTGTGCCAATGAGTTTATAGGTCCCCGTGGCTCTGAAATGGGTCAATTCTATTCTTGCCCCGATTCCGACGACCCGCTTGACCCGGCCTGCAAGCAGTACACAGGGCGGTATATCATGGACAGTTTGGGCATGCCGTCTAACTGGATCTGGCGGCCAATTGTGGTTCTGGTGGCTTTTGTTATTGGGCATTATCTACTGGCGGGCCTGTTGCTGCAATACAATCGCTTTCCCATGGACATAGCGCAGGCCCGGAAATCAGACGGGGACCCTTCTGCGGGCAAGGCCAAGCTCGCAATCCGTCCGGCCGAGGAGGTGCGCCGGGTGGCTATATCGCTGGATCAGTATGCACTGGAGATTCGCAAGCGGCGACTTCCCTGGCGAAGTCCACAGATCCTCCAGATTCTACGACCCATCTCCGTGGAGTTCCAGCCAGGTCAGCTCAACATTATCATGGGCCCGTCCGGTAGCGGCAAGACATCGCTTCTGAACTCCATTGCGCAACGACTGCACGGGTCGATGGGGACGCAGTACCGGGTGCATGGCAACATGCTATACAATGGAGCAGTGCCGTCCGAGAGCGTCATCCGCTCCGTGACTTCTTTTGTCACGCAGGATGACGACGCGCTGATGCCCTCATTGACCGTGCGCGAGAGCCTGAAATTCGCAGCGGGGCTGCGGCTGCCGACGTGGATGTCACGCGAAGAGAAGAACCGCCGCGCCGAAGAGATTCTCCATAAGATGGGACTGAAAGAGTGTGCGGACAACCTAATCGGGAGTGAACTGATCAAGGGGATTAGCGGCGGCGAGAAACGTCGTGTGACGATCGCAATCCAGATCCTCACGGACCCGAAGGTGCTGCTACTGGATGAGCCGACATCAGGCCTGGACGCGTTCACGGCCATGTCCATCATCGAAGTGCTGCAGGGCCTTGCGGCCGAGGGACGCACATTGATCATGACCATCCACCAATCGCGCTCGGATCTGTTTAGCCATTTCTCCCAGGTGCTACTACTCGCCCGCGGCGGCTACCCAGTCTACGCAGGGAAGGGTGAGCAGATGCTGCCGCACTTTGCATCGCAGGGCCACGACTGCCCACAGACAACCAACCCGGCAGATTTCGTGCTAGATCTGATCACCGTGGACCTGCAGCAGGCGGACCGCGAGGCCGTCACGCGCGAGCGTGTCCGATACCTTATATCGTGCTGGTCGGAGGCCTCGCCGGATCTCGGGCGTACGACGTCGCAGATCGCCACGCCCGCCGAGCTGGGGAGTCTGCGCCGCCAGATGCTGCCGTTCCGCGTGACTTTCCCGCTGGTGCTGCACCGCTCGACGATTAACTTCTGGCGGCAGCCGCCGCTGGTTATGGCGCGGTCAATGCAGATTGTCGGGATTGGGATTATAATGGCGCTATTCTTTGCACCGCTGAAGAATGACTATGCCGCCGTGCAATCGCGCATGGGGTTTATCCAAGAGTTTGCGGCGCTGTATTTTGTCGGTAGGTGATTACCTATATCGGGGGTGGGGGAGCCTTTCTTCATCCATACTGTTTCGTCACTTTCTATTTGTTTCGTTGCTAGAGAAGGTAACTGACTTGGGACTGGTTTAGGCATGCTCCAAAACATCGCCATCTACCCCGGCGAACGAGACGTCTTCTACCGCGAAGAAGCAGACAACTGCTACTCCGCCGAAACCTTCATGCTAGCCTACACAACCATCGAAGTCCCCTTCGAGATCGGCTCAGCCCTAATATTCGGAGCGCTAGCCGCCTTCGCAGACAACCTCAAGCGCAGCGCCCAGATGTTCCTGATTAGCGCCTTCAACTGCTTCTGCATCATCAGCTGCGGCGAGTCAGTGGGGATCATGTTCTGCACGCTGTTCTCGCACGTCGGCTTCGCCGTCAACATCACGTCGACGCTGCTGTCCATCTCCACGATCCTGGGCGGCGTCATGAGCCTGGATATCAACGATGTGCTGCAGGGTATCAACCACCTCTCGCCTATCAAGTATGCCATTGCCAACCTGGCCCCCTTTGCGATGCACGGCCAGCGGTTTGGGTGTGAGCCTGCTCAGCGCCTGGCGGATGGCCGCTGTCCGCTGGATTCGGGGGAGCAGGTGCTTGAGTTGTATAATCTGGATAAGGATGGGCCCATGAATGTGATGGCGCTCGGTGTGTGCACGGTTGTTTATCGGGTTGTTGCTTATGCGTTGCTGAAGGCGATGCGCTCACATCGGGTTATGGAGCGGTGGCGGGAGTGGCGGCGGGCGAGGCAAAAGGGTTAGTAGGATTCTAGCTGGTGAGGGATCTTTTACTGGAATTTTGATATCTATTTGATATTTTCTTTTGCTCTTTATCTGCGAGGATATATCCTATCTTTGTTGGTGCTATGCAATATCTCGTGCTTGATTGCGTGTCTGACACCTAGAGTCATTTGTCCTCCTACCATTTATAGTAGGTGGATAAGGCTAAGCTATCTCCATGTATACGTAGTAGGCATCATCTCTATAGTACCGAGGTAATAAAAGCAAATGGAGGCGCATCTGCCGAATATCCATCCGTAGACTTATACCTCCAACCCAACCCAACATACCTAACTAGCCAACCAACCAAGGAACAAAACGTGGACCATTCCAATGAAAAAAAAAAAAAAAAGCCAAGGCTCATTAGCGCCCGGATACCGTTGGAGGCCGTTGGAGAAACAAGATCAAACAAGAAAGAAAAAGAGAAGGAATCCAATTCTTACTGCCTTTTCCCGTTAATTGGATACTTTCAGTGAGGGGGACAAGAAGTCGGCATTTAGCCGAGTTGCGCGAACAACGCTCATTGGACGAGCCAGATGTTCCTGGCTGGTTCGCTGGGGCGGTTAATAGGAACAAGTAGGGACCTTTTGAATTTGTGGTTTTTGTGGATACTATCATTGGCTCGTTCGGAGGTGTGTGTGAAATCTTTGGATTTAGGACTCCTATAACCATGGATCAAGGGATGTTATCTACAGTATGTCTGCCCACAGGAGCAGTATAACATTCTATAGTAGAGAAGCCCAAGTAAAAGAGCTAATCCCCTATAACAAATTATAATGATAATAGGCAAATATATTATTCATGTCTCAGCCCTCCACCCCGCCTCGACACGCAAACCTGTAACGCCAGCTGAGACACAGACGACACAGTCCGAGGCAGATGCAGTGGATCCCTCGAGGGTTAAAACAAAGCCAAAACCAAAACCAAAGAATATGATTGAGCGAACAAAAGAAAAAGAAGAAAGAAAATCAGTGGAACCAGGCACTCACTTTTTCTCTCATCGTCAAAAGGAAGCATCCGACTGGTGGAGGATCGACCACTATGAAACGAACGACTGATATCCCCGAGGGTGGCCCCCACATGCGACCGCTAATCGCTAATCATCGATTCCTTGTTCCGATAGCCTGATTTTTCTCCTCCGGTCAATTACCGCCAATCTAGTCTAGATTGCAGCCCATTCGGTGGTTTTTTATTTTCTTGTTCAAGTCCTGGCGCGCGGTTCCACTGAGGCTTGAAGGAGGGAGGGGCAATCCACTGTTTAAATTTTTTTTCTTTCTTACTTGCGAGGGTGAGACTGTCAGGCTTCAGGGGTGTTGGGGGTTCCCTGCAGTGTGATCTCTGCACTTCAGGAGGCCGAAGTGGATGTGGATACAGTATGTAGTTATGACCAGTCCATCGTGGCTGGTCTATACTTCAAATCTATAGATCAACCATTATGATATGAATCAAGTATTTCGAATTTCAGTGCTCGTTCACTCTGTCCATTCACTGTACAGAGTTACTCTTCCCCATGAAACTCCGAGAGTGTTCTATCTTCCCACTCCCATATCCATACATCCTGGGGGTATTTTCCAAAAGGTCCAAAAAAAAAAAAATCAAAAAAAGTTCAAAAAGGCAAAAAAGTCACGACTCGTGATGACAGCTTGCCTCACAATGGGAGAAAAGACATGTCAAATCAACCGAACATGCAGAGAAAGAAAGTATTCACCAAACAGGTCACATCTCCAAAGGAAACAGGGTCACCAACTAGGGTGAAAAGAAGTAAAACACAAGAATGGAATCAAGAGGATCACCCGAAGAATTCAAAAAGAAAGAAAACACGGGTGAGACGAAAAGAATGGTGAAGAGAATCAAAAATGTTCAGAAGAAAAGAAGGCACGGGTCAACCGCGCAATAGAAGAAATCGACACCCTTGCAAAAGAGTGAAGACGAGTGTAACCTTTTTTTTGTTTTCTTTACTGGGCCGGCTGACCAGCAGGCTGAATCCAAGGTTGAGCACTCGGCTGCACAGTCGGCTGCGCAGTCTGCTGGCCACCAGGCAGTCCGGTCGTCTGGCTACCATTACCGGACTGGCCAATGGTCATAGTCAAGCCCGTGTTGAGCGGGCAGCCGTGGGTAGCATGGTCATCGTTCCAGACATTGTAAGCGCCCTCGCAGTGGCTGTTACCAGCAGCGCAGTTCACCTCGGGGCACGAGCCAGGAATAATGCTAGAGGGCTTGACGTTGTAGCCGAGCTGGGTGAACTTGGAGCCCCCGGTTTTCATGTTGATGCAGGACAGGTCCCAGAAGATCTGCTCGGCAGTCGGGGTGTACTCGAACTGGAGCACGTCATCCTGGCTGGGCTCGGTGGCCAGCTTGATAGAGACGCCGCCGGAGGCCAGGGTCCTATAGTTCTCCACGTAGGTGCCGCCGTGGGCCGAGAGCGTGATCATCTTGGCCGGTTCTTTTGATGTGGTGTCGACTGACCAGGCGTAGATGTCCTGGTTGAGATTGTTGATGATGAGGACGCCGTTGGAGGGGGCTGCGGCGGTGCGTCTCTCCAGCATGCCCGAGGGCAGGGCTGAGGCCATAGTGGCCAAGGCAGTAGCCAAGCCAAGAGATTTGGAGAACATCATTTTGAATGAGAGGTGGCGTGGGAAAAAAAGAAAAAAGAAGACTTCAAGAAGAATGGGGCTTTTATAGAAAGAGAGAAAGAGAGTCTGATCGACAGACAAAGGAAAGAAGTCGAGAGTCGATCTCGATTTAAAGGAAGGTCAGAAAAAGGAGAATGGGAAATGAACGTTGGTAGTTGTGTCTAACAACTAGCAAGAATAGGGAAAGACTGGTAAGCAAAAGGATCACCTGGGGGTTAGTGGAAGGGGCCTTTTTATATCTTTTTGGGGCCGATGGCCCCAAAGCCCCCCCGGATACCAACCGATCACAAAAAAACGTGCCACCTTAGCCATGCAGGCCCCGATCCATGGATGTGCCAGGAACAGTGGGGGGCGTTGCCAAACCCAAACAGCCTGGTGGGTCACCGGAAGAAGGAGAATCCCAGTGGGCCCTGCCCAGCGTCTCGCTCCATGTTGCATTTGGGGGCTTGTTTCAGTTCGGTGAGTTCGAGACCCGATCGACTAGGCTTGGGAGATTGATCTGACTACTGGACTGACAGGAGCAAATGGAGGATTCCGTCATAGCCTTGGCGAGAGATTCCTCATTTTGATTTCCTAAAGAATCCATGTCAGATTAGGGTTCCAAGGGGTCAGCTGTGCCTGGTGGTTTGTGGTGTGCCTGGTGATTTATCTATACTACACTGACGTGGTAATATCATCTCCCCATCCAAAAAGATATGTGGCATTAACGCGTCCCCACGTCATCCTCTCCATTGCGACCCGCGGTTCTCCGAGAAGAAGAAAAAACCCCCCTAAATTTCCCCTAAATTTCCCTAATAGACCCCTCTCACCATGGAACCATTCCCGACAACATGGCTGCACAGACATCTTCATCTTAGCCACCACCCGGGGACCATGGACAGCGACGCCGACAGGTAGAGATGGTCACTAGCGAGACCAGTCAATAGTCTACGTAGCAAATTGACCGCATAATAGACAAGTTACATATGTGCCCCGATTGGATTGTCATTTGCGCCAACCCAGGAAAACACCTTCCGCCGATACATCATCATTCTCGCCGCTCTTCTTCTGGTTGCCAATCTGACTGGTGACCTCTGCGGCCCGGGTACAGAGTACAATGTCGCCGTCACCCGGTGAGAGCCTGGAAGCCTCCGGTGGACACGTCCCTCAGATTGTGTCGGATTGTCGGATCTTGTCCAGCGCACTCTAGGCATCACCAGTTGAAATTCCATGCGTGTGACAGGTCAGTCTTGCAAACTCTGTGCCTGATCAGCAAGAAAAAAAGAAAAAGCAACGAAAAAACACCGCAAGTTCAGAGCCAATACATTGCTTTGTGCAGAATCTGCTGTTCTCCACAGTCGCCAGCTCGGTGCCACTGACGATGACGGGTCGCTGGGTACCTGACGATCGAAGGAAAAAAAGGCAAAAAAGAGTGTGTGGCGGTAATTCTTTCTTCTTCTTCTTTTTTTTTTCAAACTTTTTTTTTTTTTCATGTGTATGACTTTTGTGATTCTTGGATAATAAAACTCATGATTGGTACAGCAAATTCTACATATTTTATTATTTACCCTGCAGTTTGCCCTTGCTATGGAAGCCGTGTCACATCTCCTATTATAAGCTACAAATTAAACCCTGCAGATATGCCCTACATCCGATCACCCCCGATTTAAGGCCTCTTTTAGCCTGAGACGGTGCCTGCGTCGTTCCGGCAATAGGACGCCTGCATTGCGACTAACCGCTGCTTAAAATTCAGGAGTGGGGCACCTCTTGTGCCCGATGACTCTAGTATGTAGGTGTGCACAGACAATGAAGTGGATATCGACCAACGGTGCAGTTGAGCCCGGGCTCACCGAACGCCCTCTATGTAGGTACCTAACCGGTGTTCTTTCCCTTACTGTAAACACTGCTGATGTATGTACCTACCTAACCTTAGCAGGTATGTATAGGTGGATATTACAATCCATGAAATCCGCACTCTTCCAGAACTTCTAGACCGCTGGTTCAGGTCTGTTCGTCCTGGATATGTCCACTTGGTGCATCCCAGCTCCACTCAATATATCGCCATGTGGACCAAACAGAAAAAAGAGAGGATGTGCCACACAAGATTCAAATGACATACTATCCTGGTATATACACAGAAAGAATTCTCCGATGTCTCACACCCTATTCTTTGGTTCGGTTTGAATTTTTGTTTCTCTCTTCTTTTTTTCCCTCTGCGCTGATCCGCTGTGGGTTCCACATCTCCCTCCCTCCCATCTCTCACAGCCACTGATATCGCATTCTCTTCCTTCCGGACGAACAGTCTGGACCTGCAGGCCCAGGCTGTTCACCCAAATTTCACCCAGGTAAGGGACCAGGGATCATTGGAGACACTGGTGGATATGTTCAACAGAAGAAGAAAAAAAAAAGGGTCCATGCTCCCAGCTCAATTAAATTACCAATATGGGGCCCGCATGGCCGACAAACTAGCCAAGGTGCTGTCACTCGTAGACTCATCCTTCTTGCGGTGACCGGCCAGTTCCAGGTTGATCTGGCGGTGGATGTGCACCAGCCAATCCACATAGCTCTGGGCCTCGTTGTTCCGGTCCTCCAGGAGCAGTCGGGCAAACTCGTACTCAGCACCGTCCAGGCCCTGACGGGCCAGCTGGATCGTCACAGCCTTGGACCCACGCACCGTGGAAAAGTACTGTAGTAGATTCCGCACCTGGGCATTCAGGTGTGTGTCCAGCACCGGCAGTGACGACGTGTTGGGGTTGAGGCCCTGGAGTGAGTCATGGCCGGGCCCAAATAAGTCCTCCAGCAGGTTGGGCGAGACTTGCGAATGGATCCACAGCAAAACGGTCTGCCCGTTGTCAATCAACCAGACACCGCCTTCTTCGACCTTGGAGAAGCTGGCCCGCAGTGCCGGCGGAACTTGGAGCTGTCCGTGCTCGTTGGGGAACCCATCCTCTGGTTGCATGTTGTGGATAGGTATGATGCGTGGGTACAGATAGAGAGACAACTCGGTGCAGCCGAAGGAACGAATCATGCGCGTTTCATATACTCGTCGGTCTGATGCTTCGTTGCCACCTGTGAGAGATAATGAGCTGGGCACTTGTAGCGAGGGCAAGTGACATCCATCTCTTACCTTTGAATGCTCTACACTTCACCAAGGCGAGCATGTACATTGAGAATTCCTTCAGGTTCTCTGGCAACACCAACTGACCAGGCGGATGCGACCCGGAGAAGATCTTACGGTATCCGCTGAAGATGTCCACCGTCTTCTCGGAGATGCTGGCACGGATGTCCTTGAGCGTCTTGTCGAGTGTCTTAGATGCAGCTGTGATGAAATGAGCAACCGTGATAGTACTTTTCCCTGGGAAATCAACTTACCCTCTTTGGCGATGACCGCCACCACGGCATCCTGGTCCACGCCCTTCATGGTGTCCATGGCACCTTCGTTCACCGCCGCAACAATGTTGATACACCGGACTCGCCGTTGGCCGTCCGCAGAAGTGTACAGCAGAGCAGCCTGGAAATGTGCGTCCAGTTTGGGATCGAGCTTTCCATCGTAGCTAAACAGCACTCCAATGGCCTTGTCCGCGTCGAAGCCGCCAATCTCCAGATCGGCGCCAAGCGCATGCTGGACGAAGTTTCCATGGTAGGAAGATACCTGGAGGCCGTTGGAGCATCGGACTTTCATCAACGTCTGGTACCCCGTCTCTCGAGTGACAGCATGGCTCAACTCCCGTCGCACCTTCAGGATATCGCGCGGTGCATGGAAGTTAGGATAAAAGAAGGTTTCACCACCAGTAAGACTCGAGACGTGGCCTGGGTATGAAATTAGGACCGCTCAACGCGAAAAGCACATCCCCACGCGCAAACATACCGATAGTTGCCACATCCATATAAACGCCACCGGGGAGGCAACGAAGAGATCCACGCCCACTCCCGCCTCGGCCAACTTGCTGGCCGTCTTCTTCCAGGCGGCATTTTCCGTAGTAAATAACTTTCGCTCGGCGTCTGTCCCGTGAATCTTGGGGTCTTCCCGCATCGATAATTGTCCAGGGCCCCAGATGGGCAGGCTGGATACCGCGGCCACAATCTTCCCACCGGTTGCCTGGAGTGCGGAAAGGGCCGCATCCAGCGAGGGCAGCAGCGCCGGTTCGGGGTTCTTAATATGAGAGAAAATACTGGGTATTTGACTCAGCAGCGATGTGATAATCGACCTAGTACGCAGGATTAGCAACTTGGGAGAGAAACACAGAGCCGATCATCACATACTTCGATTCGTACGGGTCTACAAACAGACCCTCGCTCAATGGAACAAATGGTTCGTCCAAGTCGGTCATCACCATCATCTGAGCCTGGTCCAGTGTTGCCTATCACTACTGTCAGTAAAAGATATCTCATCACGCAGCAGAATGGGGACACGTACGGAAAGGTTGTAGAATTGCACCTCCTTGTCATATGTGACAATTCCCACCTTGGACCCTGCGGGGAGCCTCCGTGATGTGGTTTCATCACCCTCCACATCGCCTGACGCCTCACGGTCCTCTCCGTAAAGAGCATCCGCGATACCCTCACAGACACCTTTAAGGAACCCTCGATGAACCGACTCCCGGCTAACATCGATCACAAACAATGTCTGCAGTCCTACCGGCTCCTTGTTCCAATATTCCTTGGGAACCAAAAACTCGACCGTCCCCATCATCAACTCCGGCCGTTGCATGCGATCCACACGCGCCCCAGTCGGGTCCAATGGTGCAAAGTATTCGGGCGGCGTATCGTTGGGGAAGGTGCACATATTACAAACAAATTTGCTGCCGCCCGAGCGGAAGGACATGAAGGGGTTGATATACGTTCGACATCGGCGGCATCGTGGGGGCCCCACATCCCCGAAATCTAGCACGGGAATCGGTTGCTCGCCCGCATCCAATGTAGCGAGGGGTTGCAAGACCATGCCCAGGGGCAGACCGGTGGAGGTAAGGAAATCAGAGGTAGTGGGGATATTGTTCAGCGTCAGGCGGGCGTATTTGGGAGATGAGTTGCCCTGGTCCTGAGCCACAAATGGGATTGCTGCCGGCGGGGGAAGGTGTCGGTCCATCGTTGGGTAGACATGGTTGAAATAGTATTGTGCGGGCACGTCACGCGATTTCGGGATGCTGGGAATCTGCTCAGGATCAACCCGGCCTTGGGTAGGGACAGCGCCTGCACCACCGGGCATGCCAGGCTGGGATGTCATCGCGGGGACAGGTTGCCCCGGCTGGGGGACCGCCGCCGGAGAGATAGGACGCGGGGCCTCGTTCAACCCGGTGTTCAGGAACTGCGAGTTCGGCTGGACACCTCCCGGGGCCACTGCATTGTTGAATCCTTGCGCTGGCGGCACAGCACCGGCACCGGCCCCAATGTCATGGTGGGCATGACGGTGCTTCTTTCGATGGGACCGGGCCCCCGCATCGGCTGCGATCCCCAGGCCACTCATCTGAGAAGCTAGCCCTGCCATTCCCGGGTCTCCTGGCATGCCCATCGGGGCCTGTGGCGCTGCATTGTATGCGACATCGGGGCTCGGCGCGAGGTTCGACTGTTGAGGGGAAGCGTAGGCGGGCCACTGATTCGGTGACTGGTTGGGATAGGCCGCACCAGGTTGCGGTGGTGCAGCACCTGGGGGATATCCAGGCGGATATTGTTGAGGAGGAGCCTGCTGGGCTATGCGATGAGGATTCGACGGGTCTTCAGCACCCTGGCCCATAGCATGATACATGGAAGGGTCGGCCATGGTGGATCATAAGATCATAACGGGGAAGGAAGAGGCGCGGAAAGAAGGGACAGGGATATCACCCAAATTAGCTCATGCCGGAGCAATTGGCCACAGAACACGAGACGAGAGAGCTGGAATTGGACCCCTCGGTGTTGACGATATACCGGATTGACCACCTCGCCCGCTCGGATTTACGTCGCTCCGAGAGGCTTCACGTGGTTCCGTATGAAAATCCATGGTACCTGAGTGTACTTGTTTGCCATAGCGGTTTAGTGTTATTGTTGTGGTACCTCCGAGTACCATGTCGCTCTACGTGGGATACACAACGACAGTGTAAATAAAGGCTTGTCATAGACCGATTCGATGGAAATATAAATATCCCGACCATCCAAAAAGCCCACCGCCATTCCCTGTTCCCAAGAACGGGATCCATGTTGAGGCGAGACTAGTTCAAGCCAAGCTTGGGGTCTTTTCCGATAAGAGCGTCCTATGCGGCCCTTCCACCTGTCCACCCCCCTGCACCGCGCTTCTCCCACTGGGAAACCAGTGATGAGCCCCCGGTCGATAATATTGCCAGTGTCTCCGAGTCGAACACGCTAGTTGCTGATTGGACACTCGGTAATAATCACGCAACCTTGCCGATGGTCGTCCCGGTGGAAGCTCCGGCTGTTCATCTCACCGTCTCTTTTCCCGACTCCAAATGGATTAGGGGCCTTTAGCCCCTCCATCTGCTGTCTTCGCAATAGATATAACTCAAGTAGTACAGAAGAAGTAAGTGTGGGAAATGATCTCTTTCTTCTGTTACATTATCTTTTTTCCCCTTCCCTTGTTCACATCCTCCCATACTTAATGTGACATCTCGATCACAATGGACCTGACTGTAAAACCGCCAGATCCCGATCATAAGTCCAAGGACGGCAGGTCCCAAGACGGAGGTCCTCCGATGGCGACAATCCACGACGATGACGAGCTGCTGCTGGCTCGCATCGGTTATAAACAGGTACATACACTTACCTTTTCTGAAGAAAGGGCCATGGGCATGGAGTTAGCAACTAACTCGGTGAACACCAGGAACTGCGGCGCGAATTCTCGAAATGGTCAACCGTTTCATATGCCATCTCCATTCTGGGAGTTTTAGGCTCCGTCCCGGCGACATTTGGTGCGCCTCTTGCAGCCGGTGGCCCGGCCACGGCCGTCTGGTGCTGGCTGATCGGCTCGTGCATGGCCATGTGCATTGGAAGCTCCGTGGCAGAGCTAGTATCTGCGTATCCCACGGCGGGGGGTATGTATTTTGTCACCAAGCATGTCGTGCCCGCCGACCAGGTCCCGATCTTCTCATGGATCCAAGGATGGTGCAACCTCCTAGGCCAGACAGCCGGCGTGTCCAGTGTCGCATACACAGTCAGCCAGATGCTGCTGGCCTGTGTCAGTATGAATTCAGATCTTGTTGATGGCAAGTACTCGTATTCACCGTATGGCTCTTTTGCCCAGATCCTTTTTTTTATTTTGATTTGAAGCTCATGCGTTACCAGAAATGCCCTGCAAACGGTGCTCGTGTCTATTGGCATGCTGTGTGTTATTGGATTCATTTGCTCGTTGACGACCAAAACCTTGCATCGAATTATTCTCTGGTTTGCTCCTATCAACAGTATGCATCGGTCTTGCTTCCTCATATGATTTCGTGCTCTAACGTCGAACCAGTTTTGGCTACCATTTGCATCTGTGCTGCGCTCCTTTACTACACTCCGGACAAGCAGCCTGCTTCTTGGGTCTTCACCAATGTCACAGATGGCTCGGGATGGGGCTCAAAAGTCTTCTCCTTCTTCCTGGGATTCTTGTCCGTTGCATGGACGATGACTGATTATGATGGGACAACCCAGTAAGCTCTTTGCCTGCTTATTCGCTTCTGATGTTTGTCTCACAACATGATTTGTAGCATGTCCGAAGAGACCCATGATGCTGCCATACGGGGCCCTGTCGCAATCCAAACAGCTGTCCTGGTCTCTGGCGTGTTTGGGTGGATGCTGACGGTCTCGATGTGCTTTTGCCTGACCGACCTCGATGAGATTTTGAACAGTCCAACGGGCCTTCCTGCAGCACAGATCTTCCTCAATGCCGGCGGGAAACGAGGCGGTACGGCCATGTGGGCATTTGCGATTCTAGTGCAGTTTTTCACTGGCTGCTCGGCTATGCTGGCTGACACAAGAATGGCGTATGCTTTTGCCAGAGACAATGCACTCCCATTCTCAGGGTAAGGCATCATCCCAGCATTGTGAGACTTGATAGCCATATCATGCTAATGCTCGCTTTTATCGGCATGCAGGATTCTGTGCAAAGTGAACCCTCACACCCATACCCCGGTCAATGCCGTCTGGTTCGTGGTTCTTTTTAGTATTTGTTTAAACTGTATTGCCATCGGCTCCACCCAGACAGCTACAGCCATCTTTAATATCACCGCCCCGGCACTCGATTTGTCCTATGTTTCAGTCATCCTGGCGCATCAGCTCTACAAATCCAAGGTCAAGTTCATCGAGGGGCCCTTCACGCTCGGGAGATGGGGCACGCCCATTAACTGCATTGCGGTGACTTGGGTGTTGTTCATCAGCACTATTCTCTTCTTCCCGCCGCAGATTCCTGTGACTGCGGCCAACATGTAAAGCGGCCCTTTTCTATAATTCATTGAGACGTGGGAGGGTATTCTGACAAATCTCCACTAGGAATTATGCCATCTGCGTTGCAGCCTTCATTGCTGTGTTTGCGTTGATCTGGTGGTGGGTCGCGGCTCGAGGGTAAGACCAGCACCTATACACTCTCTCATCTACAGCCTGGTGTGCAAAAAATACTAACAATGTTTTCCCTCTTTGAATTAGAAAATATACCGGGCCACAGACCAACGATATCATTCGAGAGATTCCCACGGAAGACGACGGCCATGACAGCGAGAGCCGTGATAGCGAAGAGCCCGATGAAGTCACCGTTTAGAGCAGCTCGTCAGCTCTTCCACTTTGTCGATTGACCCGTGAGCGCGTTAGACTACTATAGAACGGACGGGACTCGGAATTTTGTGCGGGGGAATAAAAACTACTGGTTAGTAGTATTTCGTGGCTTTGGGTTGGACTTGGGGGCCTGATATACAACACTAGACAAATAGACAGGGCCCGGGAAGACAGCACAGCACTATAGATTGTTTTGTTGATTCGCAGTAATGGATTGGGCATACTTCGGATCTTCCTCCAGTTATCCCAGAAAATGAAAATGATAAAAAAAGAATATCCGAGCTGATCCCAAGCTCTGAGCACAGCATGGCACGGGCCCCGCTGATAAGCCGGTGATCCATTTGCTTGTTTGCGCCATCGTTCCTGATTATGAAGCTATCTAAGCTCATTTGTAACCCGCTTGGGCTGCCCTTTGTTTTGATTGATAATGTTTACTAAACAGCCATAAGAAGCTATGGAGACATCTATACAATGTCGTCATATTTATATATGCAGAAATGCAAAGACAATTGCTTCCAAATGTATCTTCTCTTTCTTTGGATTATCTAGAATACACAGGCCACTTCTTGTTAGCTCAGTCATGACTATCAGCATCCTTCTCCTCGGCGCATCCGGCTATATCGGCGGCTCGACGCTCGCCACACTGCTGGAAAGACATCCAACCTGGAATGTCACGGCGCTCGCACGAAACGAAGACCAAGCGTCCAAGATCCAGGCGGCATTCCCCAGCACAAAGCTGTCCACAGTCCTCGGCTCCCTCGACACACCTGACATATTAGCAACCGAAGCCGCGAAGGCATCGATCACCCTGCAACTAGCCAACGGCGACCACGACGCCGGAACCAACGCGCTCCTATCGGCAGTGCGTTCGGCAGCCACCCTGGAGTCCTGCAAGTACTACATCCACCTGTCAGGAGCAGCGACCGTGCTTGACTTCTCGCTCGCGCCGGGCCTTGCGCCGGGTAGGTCGTGGAACGACACCTCGGACCTGCCGGCGATCCTCTCATTGCCCTCGACCCAGATCCACGCTGCCACCGAGCAGCGCATTGTGGCAACCGGTACCGAACACGCAGCCAACGGTCTTCGCACTGCGATCGTCAGCCCGCCAGCCGTGGTAGGCGTGGGAAGCGGGCCGCTCAAGAAGGGAGCGAACTACCACATCAACATGACGATGCAACGGAAACGGGCGTTCGTCGTTGAACAAGGCCAGAACGTGTGGGAGATGGTGCATGTGAAGGATACTGCGGGTGCCATCGTCGCCTTGGTCGAGGCGGCCTATGGCGAGTTGCAGGACCGCGCCTACAACCCTGCTGCTGCTACGGCGGCGCCTTCCAGGGCCGATTGGAATGACCAGGGGTACTATTTCTTGACGTCTGGATGGGTATCTCCGGATAAAGTCTCGTATGTTCGGGCCATTGTGTCACGGCTGAGAGAAAAACGAATTCCGCTGGAGGATGGCTTGGACCATCTCACTGCTGATGAGGTCACTGCCTTGCATCCGTTTGGGCAGATTATATTTGGGAGTAGCTTGAGAATTCATGGTGAGAGAATCCGTGAGAGACTGGGCTGGGAAAGCGCTTTCACGAAGTGGGAGGGAGCTCTGGAAGAGGAAGTGAATGCTGAAATTGCTCGAGTGGCTCGAGGAGAGAAGCTGGGGGTTGGTTTTGGGCATGATTGATAGGTTGACATGAGGATTTCGTTTTAATATTTGCCAATGTTGTTTATTGTTTGGAAGTCGTCTTGTGTGTGAATCATGAATTTATACACAGGGGGAAAAAAAGAAGGTACAAGTACATGCATGCCATGCGAATGCCCTCAACTACCTGCCACCACGGCCAAACCTTCGTAGATCTTCTTCTTGACTGCAAGAAAGCTCCCCGCTCCACGGCCCAATGCGGGCTGGTTGGTCGCCGACTGCGCCGTGGCCTCAATCTCGATCTTGCCCGTGCCCGACTTGCGGATTGCCACACATTTATCAATCAGCAGCGTACCCTCGCCACGGAATTCTGCAGTGTGACCGGCGGCTTGCATCAGCTTGCGAAGATCTGCCAAACGCAAGTCGCCGACGTGAAGTGGCCGAGCCATAGACCGGGTGCCTGCCGCTAGACTGACAGGGAGGGTGTCAATTAAGGGGAGAACGTCGGGTTTGTCAGTGGACTTGATGTCACTGCCATTTGACGTTGGTGCGACGGCGGTGGAGGCGGCTTCATCTTTCAGGAGCTTCATCTTCTTGCCTGCTGTTTCACCATCCTCGTCCTCGACAGCAGGCTTTGGTCCTCGCAGCTGGGCGGTCAAAGCGACGACGCCCAAATTGCGGACATGCTGCCAGTTTAGACGTCGGACGAGGGCGTTGCTCAGCTTGACCATCCAGGCGTTGGTATCGACGCTTGCGTCGACAAGCTCGCCATTGGCAGGCGTGAAGACGATCGCAGACGCGTCTGCGGCAGGAGCAGAGGCATCAATTCCGGGTTTGGCCGCTAGTAGCTTTTTGCATTCGGTGGCTAATGCCAATGTCTCTTCCTTCAGTCCGCCAACAAGGATCAATTTCTGAGGCTGGATGAGCGGGATCAACATCTCCAAGCTGCGCTTGTCGTGCATGCCCGTGAAGTCGACGAACGCAATTCGAGCGTTAATCGTGATGGTCTCCTTGTTATACACAGCCTTTGCCGGTCCTTCGAACCCTTGGGTGTTTGCTTCATCGTCTGAGGATGCCGCGACGTCGGCACCTTCAGCATCTGAGGCAATGCTCAGGTCATCGGCTGCGTTTGAATCCAGTCTTTGGCCGTCCCGGGTCAGCTGCTGACGTTTACGTCCCACTGCACCACCAGATGATCGACGCCCACTAGGCCCAACAGTCTCATCCCAAAGCCGCTTTTGACCCAACTTAGTCTGCGCGTCGGACCGCCGTTGCTGCATGTCGATCTCTTCGCGCTCCTCTGCTCGCAGATATTCTTCAGGGCGAATGAATTCTCCGTATTCGTCTCCTTTCTTCCTTGGGGCCACGTAGGGGAACATGCGCTCGCGGCCTTTCTTTCCACGAACATCATAGTCGTACACATTTTTACGCCGAAGGAGGATGTTGATTCCCAGATCCTGGTCGCTGAGCGCAAGCTTGTTCCGGTTAGCGTGGGCGAGTGATGTCGAAAAGTTCAACGCTCGACCCTGCTGCTCCGATTCTGAATCCTCGGAAGATGTTGAACTGGACCTGTCGTCGAGAGCATCCGCTGCAGTCTCGAGGTTTTCCTGGCCTCGAGTCTGAGACGTATCTTCAAGTTGACGTTTGGTCGCGAGATACTGTTGGTAAAGCAGCTGCTCCCCGGCTTCAAGGGGTGCTCGGTGCACGTCCGACCACGTCAAGTCGCGTCCGCCACTGTGGACTTGTTCGATCAACTCCCCATCTGACCCCTTCTCGAGGGCCACACCGTCCTGTCGCTCTTCGTACCACTGCCAGATGATGCCACCAAGGGTCATTTCGTCGGGTGTTTCCTCCACGGCCGCTTCTGTCTTTTCTTTGCGGAAAGACTCCGTCAATAACAGCAGATTATTGGGCCCACTGGCCACCTGGCGTAAAGACTCCTTGGAGAAGCCCCAAGCCAACGAAGTATCGGAAGCAAGAATAACTTTGGGTCCTTGGTCTGCCAGAAGCTTCTCAAGTCGCTTTTGGCGCTCAATAGTCCTGAGATGCTTGAAGGTAAACGGTCCAACGCCCTTGCTCGCGTTCTTGTCCTGGCCCTGCCCGCCTGGTCTTTGACCAGCCGTTGCATCGACCCCCTCAGCAGCTTCAAATTCGCGAACAATGTTCTCGTCCATCCATTCCAGCATACTTCGAGCCAATCTCATGGTCGTGTTGACCTTTCTGCCGGCCAGGTATAACCCGGCACCCTGAAGCACATCCTCCTTGTCACCAGTCGCAGCATCTCGCCAAGCATGCTCTAATGCATATGCTAACTCCAAGACGCGTGCGCTAGTATCCGTCGGGATGAGAACGGTACCGCCTTTCGCGAGACTACTCCGTATCATGTCGAGCAAGAGATCATCTCGTTTTTTGCGACCTCCCGAGGGAGCAAATTTGTCGCCGCCTTTGCTACTGCAGATTAAGGCCGTGGGTTTCCGCAGTTGTTCAATAACCTCTGTTCCGCTGGCCCCCGAGCCGCCAAACCATGAAGCACCTGCCACGACGCTCTCACGGGCCTGGTTCCAATCCACGGCGTAGACAATAGACTCCATCCCGTGCTGAATGTGCCATATTGTTCCACCGACGGTGTGTCCAGCATTGTAGGCGGTAAGTGTCAGGTCATTCAGCGGTGGCGAAAACGGAGAGGGCACCGGTTGGTGTGGTTGCGAATATTTGAGCGGCTGGATGATAGAGAAGTAGCGAGCTATTTCCTCTGTTGTCGGCGGTTGAAGAAGAATCCGTCCCGTGCTGCCAGCAGCTTCAGCGTCTCCCCGCAGTCCGCCAACCGAGCCTACCGCAGATGCCGTTGAAGACGCGCCAGGCTCTGAAATCGACGCTTGAGGTAGGAATGTCGCAGCAAGTGGCGCGGAACCATAGAGATCCTGCAAAAGTGTACGGCCAAGGGCGATAACGGGACTCGTCGCATAGATAGGGATTTGAGTAAAGAGGGGGAATGTTTTGCAACAATGGACAAAGGCACCGATATGCGCCGGCGTCGCATGTGTCAAAAGAATGAGGGAGAGTGTAGGAATATGTCTATTGTAAGAAAGGAGATTAGCTCAAGTTGTGTGAGCGCTAAGCAAACCGCCAATTGCAAACTCACTTCTCCAACTCCGCCAAGTCGACGGTGTCAAACGTATCGTCCCAACCGACATCCACCAGAATATTGATCCCTCCATCCAGCTCCAAGATTGACTGCGACGCCCTCGATGAAGAGGACTGTGCGCCCAGCAGAGGGGTGAAGGTAAACATCTTGAACGTCTGCTGTCACTTGCGGCCAAATTGGGAGCCGCTCGTTCAGCAGGATTGGGGGTTCGCGTAACAGAAAGGACAGGCCTAATCCGGTCAAAAATTAAGATTGTCGTTCAGAAAGAAGGTGGGTTCATTGTCGCATTATCATATACGGCGGTCCGAAGCCGACACAAGTGACCGAAGGAGCGTGAGAAGGGCAGATCGTCGCGCGAGATACAACTGCCGTTGCTGGTAGTGTTTGTTATGTTTGTATTGTCAGGTGACCGGTAAGTATACAGCTATCTTTCTTTCTTTTCTCAACCGATGTTAACAATGATGATCATAGTCATTCTCAAGAGATATACTTTTCTAGTTTTCCAGATATATAACTTTTTGGTAAGAGAAGCAAAATTCAAAGCAAAGGTCTCCTTCCCGCCGGAAGGACTCTCGAAGAATTAAAGCCCTAGGACCTCATATCTCGGCTCAAACAATGAGTCCCCCTTATTGGCACAGGATCTCTTTTGTCTAATAAGGAAATTCTTCATTTTAGAATAAGCATCTGCTTTATATTAATTCAGTAACTATACCGTTGGTTTTAAGTGGAGCCAGCAGCTATAGTATTCGTCCCATGCTAATAGAAATCATGCCCGAATATAGAACGCAGAATTCATTTTAATAGCAGATACTAAAAACACAAAATAATGGTAAATGTCTAGAGAAAAAAAAAATTAAAGCAAGAGCATACCCCAAAGACCAAGACAGCTCAGCCCAGTCTGAATCAAGCATAAACAGCACGAGATATCTGATCTCAACCACTCTGTCTCAGACCCCTCAACCCAAGACCCGTGTTGGAGTGCTAAACCCAAGCATTCGAGCCTTGACTTGAGCTGCAACAGTTGGCAGTACCTTGGACCCTGCCCACGACCTAACCTAGCAAACGGCGTTGGGTTGTGGGAAGTAAGCCGGGATAGTATCCACATCGTTGCAAGCAGCTTTGCAGTCGTCCCAGTACTTTTTCTCGACTGTAGGATCGAACTTGTTCCTCTTTTTTCTTCTCTCTCCCCAATCTTCTGCCCTCCAGCCTGACCTTCGGTGGTCCCTTGGCGACTCTCGAAAGAAGCATAATCTTCCAAGGATTCGATAATCGTTGTCTCGGCGCCTATCATGCAAAGTTCTCAAGTTAGCACAACTCTCTCTCCATACAGACCAAACACCCATATGATTCCACCCAGAATGATTGGATTGGTATGTGACATGCAAGGGGTTACAGGGAAGAATGTCAGCAAGAGCCCCCGACTCTGAGGTTCTCCATGACTCGACAACCAACCAAAAGCCATGCATGACATCCTCCAAGGAAGCAAGAGAGGACTTGGAGGCTGACATTGACACATTCCTAATTACATCACCGGATCACCTTGAAGGAATACAGGAAGAGGCACAGGAACATGCTGAGCACCAGAACAATAACGCTGTACCAGACACATTTGTACTCACCGATGCGGCCGATTTTGCCTCCATCTTCTAGCGGCAGGGGCGAGAGCCGGCCCGAGGTGGGAATGTCTTGCATTCTTTCCGGGTCATATTCGTTGACCCGGTGTTGTTTTCTGCTCTCTTCCAATCGACGAAGCTCTGCGGACTGTGTGCGGCATATGTATGCTGTATTTTCCGGAGTGATCTGGGAGCTCGGGGGTCCCAACGTCCCTTTCATGTGGTGGAATACCTTCGCGGCGAGGGTGTGCATGTTCGAGGGCCGGGTTTGGAGACCCGGCCGCATGGTCATCGACGGCCGCTTGTAGTTGTTGAGATAGTACATGGCCTGGCCGATGCGTGTGGGAGCGTTCACAATACAGTGCATGCCTCTCGTTTCTCCAAAGTAACATGTCGTTGGCGCAGCTGGGAGAGGCGGCAGTGGATCTTTCATGTTCTTCGCGATCGAGGCAAGTGGACTGTCAAGGATGGCGGAACGGAACTGGTCCCGAGTGAATAAATCCTTGAGGGCATCTTCGAGATGCCGGAACGCGTACTCGTACAATTGGTCTTGAGCCAGCTGGTTCCAGCCTGATGCCGGGCCTGCATCAAATGTCCAAACCAGACCCCCAAGCCCTGTGTCTGCGTCAAGGGCCTGGGGTGGTTTCCCCCTGGACATAGCCTGTCGGGATAGCTGGCCCAGCCTGAGATTGGTCCACCTCATCTGAGAGGTTCTCCCCCCGTGACGGAGAAATCCTGTCTCGCGTGACGAGCCAACGAGGCTGAGGAGTATCGTCCCCGAACGAAATCTTGGGCCAGTGAAGTACATCAAGCTCGCATGAAGAATGGTCCTTCGGGTTCTGATGCCCCGCACGAAAATCCTCATCAGTCGGCTTGAGCTCCAGTGGAGGCTTCAGAAATCCAAGATCACGGGATGAGCTGCGAAGGTTGAGTTCTTGCGGCTTGCTGAAATTTGGCACCGCTGCCTTGGAAGGCCGTTTCAGTTGCCCCGAAACAGCACCTGGATGGTTGCCCTGCGACGTCTTGGCCTTTTTGGCCAGTGAGGGCTCTGTCTCCAAACTTTCAGAATTGCGCTTCCTCCCCATTTGCTTCTGACGCGGTGCCGCCATAGTGCCTAGTGGTATGTGTTGGATATCTAGTGAGCATCCACTTTATATGTCAGCCATAGGTAAGAAGATGAAGCAAATTCTCCACCTGGATTACTCACAATGGATTAGGATATGGATGTATCAAGCTGGTATGTCAAGAGATAGCTCGTTCTCAAGATGTAGTGGAAGAGCGAGGATGTGTCTTTGTATTAATAGAATTTCCAGCTATCAACTCAACTGTCCAAACACATCAGTTTCAAGTGGGGACACATACCCGAAACAAAGACCTCAGGCCTAGAAAACACGGTTTCTTTATTTAGCAGGCGAGCCTTTGAATCAAAAGGTGACTGTTGATTTGGTGATTGGTGACAAAGAGTGTTTCGCGTCGCATTCCACTTGGCTTTCCAGCTCAATGTCCCAGCCGGCAGCGCTGCAAGAGACTAGATGCGTGAGATTTGTGCCTTCAGTAACAGAGTCTTGAAACAAAGGAATAAACAGGTCTCATCCACAAATAATGTAGAGGAATTGTGACACGAAGAGGCGCAAACTAAACCATAACCAACAAGGGAGGGTTCGCAGAGAGACAGCGTATCACTGCAACGAAATCTTCGTTTTGGAGCGAATACTCCGAGAAGGTCAGCTGCAGCATATTACAGCAAGAAAGCATGACTATATTGAGCCAAGAGACAAGACGCTTCGCGCCTCGAGCTCAGATGACTGCTCGGAAGTGGAAAATTTGTGGCGTGGATTGGCGAACCCGTGGGAGCTTTTTTTTTTTTTGTTTTTGTTTTTTTGTGACTAAGCCCTTCAGCACCCTTGAGCAGTGCACAGATACTCGTGATGACTTTCTATTCAGTAGGATCGACGCATTTCCCCGGATGAAAAGGGAATGGCCTAAGGGGGACGAGCGGAGCGATTAGGGCTACGGGAGTGGACACCCGTGCCTCGAGTGAAAGCAACGATGAACCATGAACCATGCTTGTAAACATTCAACAAAGACCATTTTTCCATTAATATCGAGACTAATTCCAAGGTTCATTGAGCAACATCATCTACCAAGACCACGAGTCCTCTCCCACCTGCAAGGAAGAGGCCACGGGCCTCTTCCCCCAGTCTCGCAAGAGCATGGACAAAGACAGGGTGCATTCCCCGGAGGATTCTTCGAGCTCTCGGCACCGATTCCCGATCAAAAGACCAAAAAGAACAAAACGAGCTGGAGAAAATCAAGCCGGGGTTGTCTGTGCGGCCATGTCGGTAGCAAAGGAGTTGTTGAATTGGGTAATTAGCTCACTTCTCTGGAATGTGGGCATGTGACTCTACTGGCGTGATGATCTTATATGGAGGAATTAGGCTGAAGTCTAGAGGAATTATTTCGAAAACAAATACTAGAATTTATACATTGAACAATGAATTCGGTTTGGTCGATGGTAGGCTAGGGTTGCTGATGGCCGCTAGGGTTCTGCTATGAACAAAGAGGTCCAGTTCAAAGCCCCACGCAGGATTTAGTGGCCCCGAAATAGTAGCAAGCCACCAGGGAGAGGGAGAGGAAGAGTCAATGCAATAAAACAAAGAAAAGATTGAAACAACGTGCACAGGCCGCTCGTGGTGCCCTGATGACAGACCTCCCACATTCCCGAAGATCTCGAAGAGACCGCGCGAGGATCACCGATATCACTATACTCCGTGTGGTGAACTCTACAAAATCATCGAGCAAATCTTAAGAATAGGGAGAAAGGAAAAACAGATGAACAGGAATTGTGTCCAGGATTCAACATAGAACTAATTCTGGACAGGCTCAGCTACAAACAATACTGGAATGTGTCCGCCCTTCTTCTTTCGAATTATTCCACCATGCAACAGAACCGTCGCCCTTGGGTCTGTGTATGACCCCAAAGCTGAATATTTTGTTTGCTTGTTCATCCGCAATGACGCGAGATGCGAAAACAAGAAAAAGAAAAGCTAAGGTAAGGCTCGCTGCCATTATGCTAGCACCTATTGCCAGTACCGAGGCTCGTCGAAGACGTGGTATCGGTGACCACGCACTCCCTGGCCACGGAACAGAGCAGGGAACCGGCGTCCAGCGGGGACCATTTCCTCGGGGATGCGCATTTCGTTCTCGGGCTCGGGCTCGCCGATGACGAATTTGCCAACCTATAGATCACCGAATGGTTAGATGCTGAACAATGCAAATCAAGTCAAGTGTTGCCAACCGACACACGAAACTCAAACTTACCTGGATTTCCGTATCTGTGATGGTGTCGCGACTGATTCTGGCATAGCCGGTCCGCTTGACATTCTTGTAGAGAACGTACTCACACCAGCGGTCCCAGTCGGTGGGGTCGATATCCTTCATTCCACTCACGTCGCTGACGTAGGTGTTGTAGTTGCCTTCGAGAGGCTTGGTGACCAGGTAGCTGAGCAGAATCAGGGGCCGCGGGGAATTACCCATTAATTTCGACAGATACTCGGACTGGAGGCGACGGTCCTCGGGGTCTTCTTCCTGGCCGGAGTGAAAGACGACCACATCGACCAACTCGCCGTACATGTCGAGAGTGGCATGGATGGCGGGGGCCAGCTCGCCGACGGGCGAGGGGAGGAGATGGTGGGTGGACTTGACGATGGGGAACTTGGACAGCAGTCCAGCGCCCCAGGTGTGCTTGTTGGGACCGGGGCCAAAGTCCGCGTAGTAGCCGAGGTCCTCAGCAATGAATTGGGTGATATCTTTGTTGCCCATGATGATGCGTTGGTTGTCGGATTCGAGGAAGCCGATGACATCCAGCTCGAGCTCGGCGATGACATCGCGCATGCGGCGCTCCGACGACCACATGTTGTTGTCCAGTCCGAAGTGGACAGTCCAGATACCGGCCGTCACAACCTTGTCATCCTTGTGATAGGGCGTGTAGTCGTTGGTCGGGAAGCGCAGGTAGGCCACCGAGATGGAAAGCAGCTGCAGCGCAGCAAGGACATAAACATAGTACGACCGTTGCCTCTTGCTATTGGGGCTAATGGGCTTGTTGCGGGAACGAGTCGAGTTCGACGTGGCGGCCGAAAAGACACCCGCACCAATGGCAAGCATGGTTGTGATCATGACCCAATCCGTGTGCTCGCGAACCAGCGGTCCGCCCGGCACAAACGCATAGGCGACAACCCAGACGTGGAAGAGAGTGAAGAAAACATAGACGAAGAAACCAAGACCGAAAGTCGTCGCAGGCGAATGACGGACACAAGAGGTCACCAAGACCGGGGCGACGGCCATGATGTAAAACGCAAAGGTAAGGGCGCCATAGTATCCGGTCCAGTGGTGGTAGCAAGTGAGAAGAGTAGCTCCAATGGCGCCGATACCAAAGGCAGTCCAGCTTCCGGCCACCGCAGGGTGGAACACACCGTACACCAGGCCGGCACCCATGACGAAGATTGTCACGGCACCATGGGGTACGGCAATGGGACCGCGCACAGGGTATCCATCCCACACCCATGAAATCATGGTGCTGGAATCAGTCAACAGCGAAACGATCGCGAAGACCAAACCCCCGAACCCAAAGGCAGCCAGGACCGACGAGCCCTTCTTGGCGCTCGCGGGCAAATAGTCGCCGCCGCTGGTAGTCGAGCCTCGTTGGGACCTCAAGACGGCGAAGATCGCGATAAAAAGCCCGAGCTTGTTCCAGCCGCCATTCTCAGCGTGAACAATAGGCCAGAGCGGGTTGTTGGTCTTGCATGCAAACTTGGCAACAACGGACATGATCAAACCAATTCCCCATGCCATGATACGAGTCTCCAGACGGGGTGTGTTCGCCCTCTCGGCAAAGAAGCCGGCAGTCCACGCGGCACAGGTGGTAAAAAGAGCAAAGCTCGTCACGAAGAGGCGGTTGGCAGGGTCTTGGAACCTATAAGCAAGCAAGCCAACCACCGAGAGCAGGTGAAGCAGTCGCAAGTTTTTCACGGCAGCATATCTCAAGGACGGGATGGCGAAGAGCAAAGGAGAAGTGCAAGCCGTGATGGCGACCTCGTAACCAGAGATACCCATATGCCACAGAGGGAAGTCTGTTGCTGTTAGACAAGGGCTGACGTAGGGAACAGATAGACCACTTACACCAAACAAGCACAGGAAGAGCGGTCACAATAGTCCAGAAGACAAACTAGCCATCCATCGTCAGCCATGATGAAGATAGATATTGGAGACCAGGATCAAAAGCTTACCCCATTATAGACATCAGCAGCGGCATCGATGATCTCAGTCCAGAAGAAGCCCTCGCCGAACGTGTTGCCCACAGGTTTGCCCTTCCTACTTACGTGGTTAACCTCGGGGACATGGGTGGCTTTTTATGGGATTGTACACACTCTTTTTCGAGGACAGAGTCCGCAGTCGTCTTCAACTGCCTGATGGGAGATATTTTAGACAATGCTTCGTTTTCATATCCAATAAAATTGTTTGTTCTCGGCATTATACATTTGCGATGGGTAGTGTCATTTCGGAAGCCATTGTACATACCCTCTGCTGACGCCCTTGACATCCCTGATGACGAGTTCGAAGCTCTCAAAGTCGAGGGCGGTGATGGCATCGAAGCCCACGTCAAACAAAATCAGGGACCACTCGAAGAAGGCGTATTTGGTGTAGGCTGGAAAAAAGCGACAGGTCAGAAACCTAGGAATGACAAATAGAATGGCTCAATGTGTATCAGGACTTACCACCAGCGACCTTGTGCACCTTGTGCTGAATGAAGAAGTAGATCAATGGCACCAAGGTTCCAAAAAACAAGCTGGCCATGATCTTGCGGTACTTGACGGCACGGCGGTTGTTCGGGCTGAGCGCAAGGCAGCCCAGAGTCCAGGGCAAAGTCGCGACCAGATACGAGATCATAAAGATGTCATGCCAGTCGTGGTCATCGGTCGAGGTGACATATGTCCAGCCACCGCACGTCAAGGTCCGAAAGATACCGACGCCCGCAACCACCTTGGGCAGGCTGGAGTTGGGGCGCGCAGTGAGAATGTACCACAGGAACACCAGCGCGAAGCGAGGACCGGAAGTGATCGCAATAAACACCTGGAAGAAGGATCGTTCGGGGTATCGATCGCCGATTGTAGCGGACACGGAGGGGAACCATTCGTCGGGGTAGCCGTAGTGTTCATTTTGCACGATCTTGTGGTAATGCAGGGCGACTCCGACCATCAACGCGCTGAGGAACGCCGCATAGGCAAAGGCTGTATGGGCCCATGATATCCATTTACCGCTCACCTGCAAAAAAAAGGCCCTGTCAGCCCCAGATCTAGAAATGATGTCGCGTGTGGAGAGGCACTTACGGCGACCACGGCATCTCCATCCTTGTACCTGGGTGCCATGGCGCAGAGGCACACAAAATCCCCGCGGTTATATAGAGACCGAGGAATTGAAAAGAGCGACGAGAACAAGGGGGAAATAGAAAAGAAAAGAAAAGAGCGTGTGACAATGTAGACAGCAACGGCCCCTGAGGAAAACAACGTTCGGATCGTCCGGTGCTCCAGAGTGTCCTTTGGACTAGCCGTATGTGGTTAGCCTCGGGCCCTGATCGGTGCTTTTTTTTTGATGTTGCGGGATGCCGCTTTTTTTCTTCTTTGCAACACGCAACCATGTCCGCCGCAACAGACAAAGCTCGATTTTATCTCGAGCAGTCGGTGCCAGAGCTCAAAGAATATGAGCGTAAGAATATTTTTACCAAGGTACGCCCGGGGATCTTGCGCCCGGTGAGTAACATGCTGATGAGCTCTAGGACGAAATCACCTCGATTGTCAAGAAACGATCCGATTTTGAGCACAAACTCAATGCGCGCGGGGCTCAGCCTGCTGATTTCGTGCGCTATGCCGAGTACGAAATGAATCTCGATATTCTGCGGAAGAAGCGAGTAAAGCGACTCGGGATCCGGTCTGCAGGGTACAGCGGACAGCGACGAATTTTCTTCATCCTCGACCGAGCCACCCGCAAATTCCACGGCGACCTCAATCTATGGGTTCAATATATCGAATATGCTCGAAAACAGAAAGCGCACAAAAAGTTGACCATGATCTTTACCGATGCTCTTCGGTTACACCCCACGAGTGCGGAGCTATGGGTTTACGCTGCCAAATATGTATTGGATGACCATGCGGATATGACACAAGCGCGGAGTTATATGCAGCGCGGGCTGCGGTTTTGCAAAAGCGCAAGGACGCTATGGATCCAATATGCGAAGTTGGAACTGATCTACATTGCGAAGTTGGTCGGTCGCCAACGGATCCTGGGCTTGGATGCGGAGGCCCAACAGCCCAACGTGGCTCAGGATGGAGGATTCGATGCCGACGCCGACATGATTTCGTTGCCACAAATCACCGGAGAAGACGTCAACCCGAGTGTGGGAGAGGATGGAGAGGTGGATCAGGGTGCATTGCAGGCCCTCAACTCCACGCCGGCCTTGAGTGGTGCGATTCCGCTGGCCATTTTCGATGCCGCCATGAAACACTTCAACAACGACGATCGGTTTGGACTGGAGTTCTACAAGATGGCATGGGAGTTCCAGGATGTGCCATGTCTGCGCAAGATCCTCGGACATGTGGTGGAGGCCATGCAGGCAAACAAGCCGGCCAGCCCCCGGATGCAGATCTGCTATATCAGGTTCCCCACTGCTGGGGTCCATACCACATCGGCCGAGTTCCCACGGGCGTTGGGGAGCTCCCTCGCTCGATTGAAGGAGTCCCATCTGAGCAGCGATCTTGCACGCGAGGTTGTGGATTGGTTGCAACCCATCGGGCAAACCGAGGGATTGGATCCTTCCTTGCAGAAGGTCATTGCAGCCACCATTCGCAGTGCCGACCGAGCATAATCAAAAATGTAGCATTAGTGTACTGGCGAGAGGCGTTGGGAGGTCAATTTCAAATCCCAGACTAAGGGCCCACGGGCAAGGTGTCTGATCAATCATCGTATTTAGTCCTCCGACTGCTTTTCTTACTGCTGTGTAGTTTCTTGGACTTGAGTCGAGCTTCGTTTGAAGCACGCTTCCTAGGTTGTTGTTAGACCGATTTGATACCCCAAATAGCAGGCAGTAGCAGGGAATATCAAGGTAAGGAAGCTTACAGGTTCTGTACATGCTTTCTCTGCTCCTCGGACGTCTCCCCTGGAATGACCTGTTTTGCCGAGCTTTCCAGGATCTGGTAAAACTTCTCAAAGCAGGCCTCCACATTGTTGGACTGCTTCCGTTCCCCATCAGACTGGATGATCAGACTCTGGGACCGATCGGTCATATAGCGCGAAGCTCGCAGCTCAGAGTGGAGGAGACGGGGCACCAGTGGCAGAAGGGAATTCAATGGTACTTTCAACGTGGCTTTGGAGTTGACCCTGTCATGCCGTCAGCATTCCCACAACCCTCCAAGAGAGGGGGCACTGACTTGTTCACATTCTGCCCGCCCGGGCCACTAGAGCGACTAAAGGAGACCTCGCAGATATGGCGGGGGAGGGTCTTGGAGCTAAGGGTTGCAAGCCAATCCCTTGCCCGTTGGACATCTGTAATGTCGCCATCACTGCGAGATGCAAAGCGCCTGAATGGGGTTAGACAGGATCGAAACATGATCCTCATGTATCTTTATGTATCTTCATGTATGTTATGATACAACCAGGGACAAGTAAAGGAAAGAGAAGGAAGTGGAGCTAAGGAGAGAGAGAGCTGTGACTAATTAAATTGGCAGAGTCACGCAGGTGTGGCCTGGCCCCGATTTGGAGCCTGAGGATCAAGCACTCCATTGGCGGAAACTATGGGTTTTTACTGTGGTCTGGACAAGGTTTACCGCGCAAGTACCCCTAGTTACTATGCAAAATCCTGCACCAGCTCATGTACTTCGCCCGTACCCTGCAGACTCTAGGTTAGGCAAATGCAACCAGAATCTTCTTCTCCCAAACGTGTTCCCTTTGCCCCCTCCCTATCTTCCTTCTCCCTTCTTTCTTTCCCCCAACTCTTCTTTTTCTTTAGGTGTAAAAAAAAAAGGTCTTCATCTCTTCATCTCTTCATCTCTTTCCTCCCTGGCTTAGGGCTCACCGCCCGCCAAAAAACCAAAAAGCTGGCCAAGTGCTATTTTTTCTCAAGATCGCCCCACCTTAGCTTGCGATTGCGAAAATTCATCTGACACCGGCCCTCTTTTATCCTTCCGTTACCCTCTTCACTACCCCCTGATTTACTGCTTTCTCTCTTTTTTCTTGTCCGTTGTAGATGAATCGCCCTCCTCCTCTCAGTCTACATGACGCGCAGTCCTGATGAAGCTCTTCACTTCCGCGGAAAGACCCTGACTCCGGAAAGCCCTCGTCCGTTACACATCCCGGAGCCAGCCAATATCCCTGTTCTGGAGAATCAAATGGACCCTGTTTTCAACGATACGTCGACCTATGAACGCTCGGAGTACCAAGCCCCGCAGACTGAGGATGATAGATGGTCGCGGGTGCTTCCCAAGGATGGTCAGGAACCAGGACAGCAGGTCCGGGACTCAGGTAGCTTTCAGGGCTCTCAGCCGATGGACCGGGCTTCACACAATGATATGACTGTTTCTGCGGACTTTATATCTGGGCCTGCTTCCGGGGACAGCTCGGGTGATGCAAACCGCCTTGCTCCCCCAAATCCCCATGGCTCCCATGCACCTCCCGTGGCTCCGGTTACTCAGAATGCCACGGAGATAGAAAATGCCAGCAACGAACAGTCGGGGGGTTCGGGTCGCCTAGATATCGAGAAGGATGATCCAGGCTCTAACACAGGCGTCAATTTCCAGACTCTTCTGGATAACCTCTCTCACCATCCCACTGCATCGACGTCGGCCACTGCAGCGGGCCCTAATCTAGCAGAAAACTCGTCTTTCCATCAAGCACCTCCGGACGAATCTCTCCAACCCCAGGGCCTCCCTAACCGGCCTCTGCCCCAAGACCCTTCTCTCCCTCCCTACGCCCCGCTTGATGGTGGTTATGAGCTTCCCCCTGCTCCCGACAGCTCTGCTGCCCCTATACCCTCCACCTATACACCAACGCCCAGTAACCACCAATCCTTTGCTCCCTCCTTGCCCTCGGCTGCCCCAGGCACTGCGACAGGTGCCAGCAGTCTGCCCCCGCCCCCTGTTGCCAGCTTCCAGCACACTGCAGAATCTCAATCCTCTTCCCAAGAACCGCCCAACCAGACAGCCTCCAACAAAGGCCGTGTCGAGAAGCAGGCCCGTCCGGTCAAGGGAACGGACGATGATTCACCCTGGGCCCCTGAAGTTCAAAGAAAATACGATGAGTTTCTCCACAATGAGAGAATATATGTGACCGAGGGTCTCTGGGATCGATTCCCAATGGGGTCGAGGTTGTTTGTTGGTCAGTATCACACTTGGTCCCCTGCCAACCCATGCCTATTATTATTATTATTATTATTATTATTATTATTATTTTCTTATCTGACTCTCGCTTTCACCCAGGCAACCTCCCCACCGAAAGAGTGACCAAGAGAGACATGTTCCATATCTTCCACCAGTATGGCAAACTGGCCCAAATCTCGATCAAGCAGGCCTATGGGTTTATACAATTCCTCGAAGCGGGTTCTTGTCATGCAGCACTTCAGGCCGAGCAGGGAGCTTTAGTGCGAGGCAGGAAAATACGTGCGTGCTCGAGTTGACCATTTTGATAAACTGTCTACTAACTTTTTCATAGATCTTGAAATTTCGAAACCCCAACGCCCAACCAGGCCCGCTCCGCCAGAGCCTGTTCGTGCCCCTCCACCTCGTCGCTCGCGGTCGCCGGAGTTTAGTCGTGGTGGCCCCGCCCGAAGCAATGTTCGAGCACCGGGTGATCGTTATGACCGGTCGTATGAGCCACCCCGACTGCCGTTCAGTGATTTCCGGGACGAGCCCTCGCTTCGCCGACGCGACGATTATCGACCTCCGCGATCGCCTTCACCCCGACCTTTCCGTGGCAGAGATGGGTACCGATCGCGGGACAGGACCCCAGAGAGATTTGATCGTCGGGACCGAAGGCGTTCTCGTTCTCCTCGCTCCCCGCGCTCCCCGTACGCTCGGGACCGTCGGTATCGCAGCCCAAGTCCCAGACCCCGTGGTGTTTACGAAGGGGAGGCAGAGTTACCCGTGCCAAGACGTACCCCACGAGAAGTGCCAGAAGTACAGATTCTCGTTCTGGAAGAAATCGACAGGTTGGTCTTTATAATGGAACTTTTTGGTCCGTGATAGCAGAACTGACTCGTTCTAGGAACTTCGTCCTCCATGTCGAGAACGCCTTTCGCAACCGCGGCTTGCGGGTAGATGTCCTGGTGCTTGGTCCGCGGATCCCTCTTGGTGCGGCAGTTCATCGCCAATTCGTCGAAGGGGTTCTTGCGGTTGTTCGACTTTCACGGCCCAATCAGTTTTCCAGGAAGATTCCCCTTCAGATCTTTGATCGAACTGCGGGCCCGGAAAACGTTCGCTTCAGTGGTGAGTACTAGATTCAGGGTATTTTGTGGTCATTACCTGCTAACCCACGATCCTCAGATTACCCCGAGGTTGATCCCAGTATTGCCGCCGAGGTCATGTTCCACCAAGCTCAGGCCATGCAGCGAGGTGGTCCCCCGGCGACCTTTGCCCCCAATCCTGCGTTCGGGGTTGCCTCAGTGCCGGCTCTGCCGGTTCCTCAGCCCGCGCTCCCCGGGCTCACCAACCCTCCCAACATTGCCAACCTCATCAGCTCTCTGGACGGCCCCAGTCTTCAATCCCTGCTGTCGGCACTCCAGCGGCCTCCCCAGCCCCAATCGCAGCCTGTGTCGGCTACGCAATCCCCCTTTTCTTCTCCCAACCCACCTCCACCCGCTGATCTCGCCACGCTTCTAACCAATGCAACTCGGCCACCTCCGGTCTCGGCAAACCCCCAGCCACCCCTCCCTCCACCGTTCAGCCTGCAGCCTCCAGCTGCACCCGTTGTCTCGGACCCCAACCTGCTTTCGCTTCTCGCCAAGGGTCTCGGGGGACAACAGCCGCAGGGCCAGGCACCCGGTGGTCCTCAGGTCCAGAACATCATGAACCACTTGGCCAAGTGGAAGCAATGATTCTACGACTCTCTTCTCTCTGTGATTGTCTTCATCCATTTCATTCCCGGAGTGTGAATATTGTTTTCTTATCTTGTTTTTCCTTTATTTTTTTATTTTTTATTTTTTGAATTTGGGAGCACGGCGTTATAGCAATCCCCTTTGTGGGGTTCGACGGCTTGATTCGTTTTTCCCCGTTTCGTGCTGGCAACGATCCAGCATCAGCAACAGCAGGCGTTTAGTGTTTCCTCAGGGCTTTCCTTGGGCACCAAGATGTTAGATTCTGTGGTAACAGGTGGTGTTCAGGTCGGGGTCTCTTTTTTCAACTCATCTCAATCGTGTACGTTCGAGGTCTTCTTGCTCGATCAGTGAGCAGGGTGGAGATAATATGAACAGGCCTTGTCCTTGAGGCACAGAGTGTTCTCCAGAATCTATGGTTATACGAGAAGCAAGGTTATTGACATAGCCATTCCATGAAAGTACTCCATGAAGATAGTGATGCCCTCGTCTCATATTCGTCAGAGGCTAAGCCTCAAGAATAGCTCACATCGCACTGAATCTCTTCTCTCAGAGATTCTCTCTCATAAAATCCTAGTCCGGCTTTTTCGATCGGTGAGATCGGTGGTACGTAAACGACCCGGGCGAGATCTCGTGCAGTTTCCGGTGCATAGTAAATCTCCCACCGCACCCTCTTCATCCTGACGAGCCTGCCACTTTCTCCAGTCTTCATCATCCAGGTATTCACGCCGGAACTTGCAATTGGCGAAACTCGAGGTCCGCGGTATCGCCTGAGTCAAATTTGGCGGTGAATGGCGGTGCATAGCCGTCTTGGATGAATGGTTTGAATACTTTGGTGATTGTGGCCTCTGCTGTCTGTCCATCATGCGGGGTGCTGAGATGGAGTGTGAGGGTGTTGCCGACTGCATATGGGCATCTGTGCCTGTTAGTATATCATCTCATACACAACAGATGACTCGATTACTTGGCCTCTATATCATAAACTGCCCTGCTCCTATCCATTTCGTTTTCGGGTGATTACTAGCCACTTTCTGAGCGAAGGCAAGATTGATGAAGGACAGAAGAAGCAGGCCTGGAGTGGGGCAGTTCGAGGGCACGATACAGCACAGCCAAGTATCTCAAACGTCGTTGAATTAGAGACTCCGACGTAGAAAGGTCATCACAAACATGATCAGAGTGGATATGCTACATTAAGTATTGTACAAGCGGCCAAGCCATGATTCTTATTTCGAGTTCCATCCTTGCGACTTCAACTCGCTCACCTTGGCCGCATCCTCCTTCTTGATCCGCTCAATCGTCTTATCCCGGTTATATTCCATCACGCGCTTCTCCTTGAAATATTTCACCTAAACGGAGATGTCAGAAGAATATACAATATTGGGCATCAGACAGACTGCAGGTGGAAACTTACCCAAGTCTGCGAACATGCCGCCTCAAACTCCTCAACCTCTTTCCCGCACTTGCGCCGCGCTTCCTTGTCGTCCTTGACAGAGTCCACGATGTTGTTGCGGTCGAGACAGCTGAAAAACAGATCGCGGCCTTCCCAGCAGCGCGCGCGACTTGATCGGTCCGGGGCGATGCGGCCGCCGTCGGAGGCTTTGTCGGGGGATGGACTGCCGGACCAGGGGAGCCAGCCCATTGTGAATGGTTTGATAGTAGAGGGGGAGACTGCTGAAAGGTTGTATTATGAGATGTTGTCGCCAGACACAAGACGTGGATTCGGCGGATTTCAAAGTTGTTCGGAGCAGTTGACGGAGTCGCGAAAGCTGCGGGACCCGCCAAGACCGATCCTCCAACGCTGGCCCGTTTGCCTCATCCTCCCTTGTCATATTACTCCTCTCGTTCTCCAACACCCAGGCGTATCGACTTGGATTTCGCGGTCAGCCTAAGCTCCAGACTTTCTCTCTGTCTTCTATTCGACCACCTCCCTTTCTTCGCTCTTTCTTTGTCACCCCGTCGACGTCGCATGTTACCCACGCACGCGCACACCCTGGCCTTCTCAGCCTGGACTTGAGCGGCTCGAACCCACCCCCCGCTCTCCTAGGATCGCAAGGGAGGGGAAACCCCGTCCTTCTAGTTGATGCCCCCGCGCCGGCGTGCTCCAGCGGGGGCGCGCTCCGACCTCCCGCCGCTGAAAATCATCCGCAAGATCCTCTTGCTCCAGGTCGTCTACTATGTCTGCGCCACGGTGCTGATCCTTTTCACGACCGTGGTTTATGGTGCGCCCTTCTCGCTGGACCTGATTTTTGGCTGGGACTCTCTGCGAGGCGACACGACTATTGGGTGGATGCTGGGACTGGTCTGGATGTTGAATTGCTTCATCAGGTGAGTTGTGCCAGGAGTCTTTAACAAAGAGGAAGGGGAAGAGGACGAGGATTGCTTGAGAGGAAAATGAAACGACGATGCTGACCGTAAATTCCCTCTGCCAGCGTGATCTTCCTCCTGCTCTTCGTGTCCCGCTCGAAACTCGTCCCCGATTTTGCCCTGACCATCCACTTCCTCCACCTCATCGCCACCGTCCTCTATACTCACTCACTGCCCACGAACCTGCTCTGGTGGGGCCTCCAGTTCGCCAGTGCCGCCCTAATGACCTTCCTGGGCATGTGGGCCTGCCAGTGGCGCGAACTCAAGCCCATCGCTTTCGGCGGCCTCGGCGGAGGTAGTAGCCAAGCTGGTCCTTCTTCCCAACCAGGTACCAATGAGCAAGACTTGGGTTTCGGCCGTGGCCGAGGCCGGGAACGCGGTCTCTACAGTGGAGGCGAGTACGAGATGGATGCGATGAAGGCGACGGGCGAGCGTGCTGTATAAAATGTTCCCCTCCACACACCATTTCCATTTGAGGGGTCTTGGATATTTCTTTTTTTGGGGATCATTTCATTTCATTCTTGATGTCCCGGGTCTCTGAGTGGGGCCTTTTATCTCTTCTACTTTTTTGTATACCCTGCCATGGCTGCATCTGTATAGATGGCGTTTGTTTGTCGAGGAATGAGATTCCCGTTTTCGTTTGTTGGTTCGCATGTACTTGGTCATTGGTATATTCTACTTGTCTTGGACACTATCTTGATCTTGGTCTACGAAGAAACTCCCCAACTCCCTTGGTCAATAGTTCGACTGTTCAACCCGCCAGGCCCATTCATATAATACCGGAACTGAGAACTGCTTGTGGTTATCGTAAATTATAAGCAGTAACAGTTAAAACTAGCAATGTTCACTATATAGGCCTGTCCATTTCAAAACTCAGGATCGTCAAATATCATATAAATAGCAACTGATTCGCCCCAAACTCTACTGGAGAACTCTTCCATTAGTCTCCCCAACTACCAGATCAAACTCGGGCTGGAACTCGGTATAAAAGTTATGCTGTATCCTGTCAGTACAACCACCAAATATCAGCACAATATCACCCAGGCACTGTACTCACAGGGTTCTGAGCAGCCGCCGCAGTGTAGGACGCGGCCTCGTTGCTGATAATCCTCTTAGGCACACCATTGGCCGCAGCAGCCTCGGCGAGGAGCTGGGAGTGGCACGCATTCTCCAGCATGGAGTAGAGTATGGCCGCCTCGTCGACGGTGTGGCCAACAGTCAGAAGACTAGACAAACATACATGTTAGTCATAAAGGAGATTCCCAGAAAAGAAAAAAAAAAGGGGAGGGGGGAAGTGATGGTCTAGCTTACCCATGGTTCTGGAGAATGCACGCAATGTTGTCCTTGCCCAGCGCCGCGGCAATCTGCTTCCCTTCTTCCGCGGAGAGGACGATGCCGCCGTGATCTTCGTAGACACCCAGTCGACCATGGAAGTTGCATGCATCTGTAACCACCCAGATATTCATCAGCCTGCAAAGTCACAGCGATCTCCAGAGGGTGGTAACCTTGGTAATGTCATACCTTGGGTAATCATCTCAATCGGCTTCCCAAAGGCACTCCACGTCTTGCCGTAGATACCGTGGGTGTGCGCCGCAGCCATGACATCCGGACGAGCCTTATGAATCTCCGAATGAATAAAAAAGCCCGCCTCATTGACGGGCATCTGGGCCCCGCCTTCCGTAACGTATCCCTCGTGGTCGACGAGGACCAGATCGGATGCTTTGATGGTCGAGAAATGCCTGGCGAACGGGTTCATCCAGAAGTGATCTTTCAGCACGGGGTCTAGACATGTCCTGTCAGATGAAAATCAAGAGGTCCAAAGGACGAGAGAAGAGAAGGTGCTTCATTGCGTACCTCGCATCGAAATATGCCCCGAAACACCCTCGCCATAGCCCAGCTTGCCAAAGTAGCGGAAAGCGGCGGCCATGTGCTCCTTCATCCACTGTCGCTTCTGGTGCGGGTCTGAAAATGTCGGGATGCCGGGCAGCTTCAGTGTCCCATTTCTGTTGCCCCGCGCGAGGGACTGGAATTTCTCATCGGTGGCTGCGGGTGGGATCTGCTGCTCGCCGGCCAGGCGCACTGACTGTTCGGTCTGCTGGGTGGTTGTGGTTGTGGAGGTCGACATATTGGAGGGAATCAAGGTGGAGAGGGTTTAGTATGTGCCCAAATATTGAGTATTTGAAAAGATCCTTTGATTATAGATTGAGTAGATCTTTTTTGTCGATGTATGTCGATGACCACAGTTGATACTGGACTAAACCAAGGGCGGTTATCTTGCCTCTTATCTCCACCAAACCCCGCCGTGTCGTCGGAAGGCGCGTGTCTTCAATGCGGACAATCTTCCGCCAGACATCGACTCCACGCATGGAGATCCACTTTTTGTAAAGCAGGGATGTTGATTTGTAGAACTCAGTTGAATCAGCAGACACAGTATGGCTGATTCTCTTTTATCTTCTATGTATTTGAAATTGATATTTGTAAAACAGACTCTCATAAAGCGTTCGACCTCATACATCCTACGGGGGCCATCGATGATGACTAACCACACGTGACCAGTTATCAGCCATGTGGGATTTGCCTATCGCCAAGAAGCTCCCAGCAACCACCGTCGGGCCCTTGAACATACTCTTCTCGAGTCAGCTATCGGGCACTTGCGGTATGAATATCTTCGGGCTTTGGGTGTGAAATCTATTGAGCCAATTGCTGGAGAATTCTCAAGCCTTTCGAACAGGCCACATGTTTCCAAGTGTCCACGTCAAAAGTGGTTGCTAGTTCCGAGAACCCTGTGGCGCGCTTTTCTTGTTGGATACTCTGAACTGCTCGAGTGAACTGTACCCAAACTTGAGCATTGGAAGTATTCTGCAGAATGGCGGAGGGTGAGCCATCCTACATAGACTATGAGGCCTTCCTAGACCCGGAGTTCTCTCCGGCGTCATTCGCCAATTCCCTGGTGCTGAGCACCAACAATGCCACAGACACACCGCTGGATTTATCAACACCGCTATCACGAGTGCTATTTGATCTCCAGGAAATCGACACCCACATCCATACGTTGACGACTAAGTCGGCTCTCCCGCTGCTCGCACACACACAAGATCAGACTGCGTCGGCGGAACGCATTCTCAAGGAAGCCGGGACGCAAGTCACCTCCGTGACGCAAGGATATGAACGGTTAGAGAAGGAAGTGGTGCGCAAATGGGAAGCGGCCGAAGAGGCGCGAATCGCCGCCGAGAAGTCACTCGCAACAGTTCGGCTCGCACGGGCGACGGCACGCTGTCTGACGCTGGGCCGGCAGCTGGAGAGCCAGGTCGCCGAAATCACGGGCCGAGGTGCAGCAGGACAGGCTGCGTTGGCAAATCCGGAGGGAACGGTATCCACAACGGGCAAGGACGGGTTCCGAGCTCTGGAACGAGCTGCATACACGATTCTGAATCTGCGGCAGATGTTCTTGGCGTCAGCCGAGGGCGACGAGGGCTACGGCTTGGACCGAGTCAAGGTCATCCGCACTCTTCGCCAGGAATTTGTGATCCCCGCCGAGAATATGGTCAAGGCACGAGCCCAGCAGACTATCAATCGCTTCTCCATATCGTCCACTTCCAACGCTACTTCAAATGGCCAGTCTGCCATGTCGTCTGGCTATAAGCAAGCTCGGGATGCCCGAGCGCGACTGGCCACAGCTGCCACTACTTTATATTTACTCTCGCCCATGTCTCCCGGGCCTGTGACCACGGCCGAGTACAAGCCTGAGCTTCTCCTCTCGACATTACAGGGGTACATGCACACCGCGATCATGACCTCGGTCAATGCCCTCGCCCGGGCATTGACCCAGCTACCAACCATGGAACGGACTCTCGACGACGTCTCTGGCCGATGCCAGGATATTGTTGCGTTAGAGGCTATCCTTCGAAACCTGCGAACACCCACACACCCTCTGCTGGCACCCCCCGTCCCCGAGGACCAGCCTGCTCCCGATGGGGCGTCATCGGCAGCAGCCTCGACCAAGGCGAATCTCCTCCAGCCCCTCCTCCAAGCCCTGGACACGACGTCATCGCTAGCGTCCTATTACTGGCGCTCGCTCGCCTCCCCTCTCAAGGCGCGCGTCCAGGAGATCCTAAGCCGGGGCGGCATGTCGGCCCGCGCGCTGCGATCCAGCCGTGACCGGCTCCGGACCGAGATCAAGGATTGCGTGCTTCGTGGTTCGCAGGGGTCTGCCACGGACGCAGGCACTGCTAGGGCCTGGGAAATGGAAGCTGCGGTGATGGTGAGCGCGGTGGTTGGTCCACTGGGGCGGTAAACGGGCACATAGACACCGACTTTCTATATATTGAAGATGGTCTCTTAGAAGGAAGAACCTGTAATTTGCAATGCAAATACCCCCTCTTTCTTATCTCCATGATCATCCTGATCAGCATCATCATCATCACCTCATCGGATCCGCTATCGGATCCGTCCTCGTCCATGGTCCATCTCCCCTCTTTTACTTCGGTATCGGTCCCTGCTATTCAGGTACCCGGGGATGTCCCATTCCCATGGAGACTTCTGGAAGAACCAGACCGAGGTCCCTCCAGCGAGGTACCTGGCTGGAGGGACCTGGTAACCTTGGGACATGAGTGTGTCACACTAAACTACCGGGCAAGTCTCGACTACAGTCAGATACGTTCAAAAATAATCATAACACTAAATAAATAAAAAATAATATAAAAATAACAGGCACCGGTAGGAAACACAGAAAATCTCCGAGATCCGGAGAATTCCTATGGAAGATCAGATGACTCACTGTGCGACGCATCGGGTGGATCGTGGACTGGGGATTCTAGGGACGCTGGGGCCTTTGGTGGTGCACGACATGAGGGGCTGGATGGGTGTTGTTGGGCCGTGAGGGATCACATGGCTGGTTGGTACTTGGCGTTGGACTGGTTTGAGAGTTGGGATGTAGATTATTTATCTTTCATAGTCTCACATCATGGATAGTATACCTAGGTAAATAGATCTATTTACTGTTTATATAGGTATAGATCCACTCTCTTCATCGAGGGCGCCCTGATCTAGTGTATAATAAATTCTGTATAGCATAGGCAAAGACATAATGATAATATATTATTTCTTTATTTTAGCACATAGCCTAGTCGTACGTGGCCCAGGTACGCACCTCCTTGCGACACGCCAGGTACATGGATCATGGAACAAGGCCAGGATTGGTGGGGTTGACATGAAAGCATACACACACACATAATACTTGGTGTAAAGAGGTACACGTAAGTATGTAAGTATTGTAGTGTACTCGAGACACGCTCGGACCACAAGTCGACGACGTCAGAGAGGGGCACTATCGATAAGCCCCTTCTGGTACCTGGCCACTACCCTTCTCCATCGCCGTGGTGGCGCCCTGCAGTTTGTACCTACAGGTACCCGTCTTCGATCTTGTCTATCTGTCTATCTGTCTATCTGTCTATTTGGTACTCTCCCTCTGTCTCTTTTTCTTTCTGTCGATATGTCGATCATGTCCCGGCTATGTGTTGCCCTTTCTACCTCATCGGATCCACCGAGAACGATCCAACCGTCTCTTTTTTTTTCCCTTGTTCTTTTTCGAATCGGGAATATCTGAAGTCCCTGCGACATGGATCACGATACTCCGCCAATCAAGCCAGTCGATGAATGATTCTGGGACATAGATGAGGTGGAGAGTATACTCAGTATATGTGGGGGTCAAAAGTAAGCACACCATCTCATGGAGAAGAGCAACTCTAGACGAGTCCAAATATTTAAAGTACTCGAGTACCATGGGGCATCATCGTACAGTCATGCTTTGTACCATCCGTGGGGAAAGATGGATTTTGCAATGGCCGTTTGCAGAGAGAGAGAAAAAAAAGAATGCAAAAAGTAAAGAGTGCACGACGCACTGTTCGGCTCCAGCCGGAAGAGTTTCAGAGTTTCGGAGGACTGGATTGTATCTTGTATCTACACTATACATAACTACTACATACAAAGTGTATAGAGTATACGGAGATTTTCTCGGACCATTGGGAACTCTCTGACCCTGCGTAACGAAATATACAAAGTACATAAGACGGAGCCTCTCGTATGCAAGGGGAGTCTCCCAGTCTATCTTACCTACACTGTAGGTAGATCATACAATACGAAGTCGAGACTTTGGGGATCCACCAAGTTCCAAGGTCTGGCGAAGGTGGTGAACGTCAAGGACTCTCTCCAGCAGTTCGCTGGGTCCATGGAACATGAATCATCTCTCCCCTGGTGCCTTTGGAATCATTCTCCCTGAGTCTCCGTGAAACACTCAATGATTCGCATCGGTCCCCCCCGGAAAGTCTCCAGTTCTCAAGGTTCCTGACCGTAAGCCCTCTCTTTCTTTTGCCCCTAGACCTCTCGTCGCCACCATTTTCTCTTTTCTATTCTTCTCTCTATCAACGGTGTTTCTTCTGTTCTTTCTTTCTTTTCCTCCCTCTGCCTCTCCCTCTCTATCCTGTTCCACGCACTGAATCCTGTTCGCGTGGAAGAGATGCTCGCGATCAGCTAGTTCCTTTTCTTTTCTTCCTCACATCGTCCCCTTGCGTCGCGCCAAATCCTACATTCCACTTGGCCCCTCTTCCCTCCCTTGGGAGAGTTGTGCGTGCCGAGTCCATCGGAATCGTACGTGTCGAAGATCTCTTTTTTACTGATCGTTTCTTCTTTTTTTTTTATTTGCTTTGCTTTGCTACCACCCAGCCACACCCTTTCTTTTTCTTTTTCTTTTTTTTTTTCTCACTGTGTATTTGGTTTCCCTCGGTCAACTGTAGTTGCTGGGTCTGCGCAAATGTTGACAGTCAGTCTTGCCATCAGACTCCGCGTCTCGCTGCCCTTCGAGATCTCCGACGTAGCCCTCCGGTTCCTGGACGTATCGACAGAGAATCCTATAGTTCTGGATCCGTGAACCATCCAGCCGATCGGCCCAGTTTTGCGACCGCTGGTGGGTAGGGGAAAAGCCGCCGATTTGGGCCCCCCACACATACACAGGGATATTGACATCACCATCACCTCCACCTCTTACGTCGCCATCATGGCCGCCTTCCTCCCTGTAAACAACTCGGCCACCACAGAGGACCACCCCATGGACGGAGCGGCTACTCCCCGTGCACATCCCAACGGGGTGCCGGTCACGTCGGAAGGCTCTTCCACAACGGAGCACCGCCCGGAACCCGGTAGTGAGCGCCCATCCCGGGTGTCTGCACGTGCCAGGACCCCGTCCGCGTCCGACGACCCGATGCACGGCGATTCCGAAGGCGAGCAGGAAGGATCAGACCATGACACGGAGCCGGGAAGCAACGCACCGCCATCGAAAAAGAAGAAAGGCCAGCGCTTCTTCTGCACCGATTTCCCCCCTTGCAACCTGAGTTTCACCCGGAGCGAACATCTGGCCCGCCACATCAGAAAACACACGGGCGAGCGACCCTTCCAGTGTCACTGCTCGCGGCGCTTCTCTCGACTCGACAACTTGCGACAGCATGCGCAGACTGTGCATGTCAACGAAGATATCCCCGGTGATTCGCTGGCGGCGACGGGCACGCGCTTCCAACGCCAGGTCCGTACGGATCGCGTCCGGCCGCCGGGTCGCGCACGCGCAGGAACAGGAGGCAGCCAGGGTGGTCATAGCCGTGGTCACAGCAGGAACTTGTCAGCCTCGAGTATCGCATCCACCACCTCGACCTTCAGCCAACCCCAGGAATTTCGACGCCGACCGCCCCCGCTGATCATGGCCAACGATCCCACTGCTCGTGCTCGGCTACCGATCGATCCGATGGGAGAACCTCCGAGCACGCCGCCAGGCCAGATCCGTGGAATGCCCGGTCCGTCGGTCGCGGGCTCACCATATACACCATCGACTGTTTTCTCTGCCGGGCCGGGCGGCAGTCCTCAATACGCCTCGCCCATGTCCTCGGCATCGCATGGGTTCTGGGAGGGTAAAACTGCCGCCCGTCGGCTATCCGTCCCTACCAGCACCAACCCTTTCCTCGCTCAGCACGGCCATGCATACCCTCCGGTGTATGGAAACCCTCCCGCAGGCGCACCCTATCACAACACCAGCGGCGTTTTTGCAAGTCCTACGAGTACCCATTACTCGGTGTCCCGGGACGAGGGCAACCTGACCGCGGCCGAGGCAGAGATGCGGAGAAGAACGTGGCATCCCTCATCATACAACACGCTTGCTCGACCGGCAACCAGCGGTCTTAACCATTACCACACACCCGACACGATCCCGCCATCGTTTGGTGGAAGCGGTTCGACGGAGCAACCACCCCGGCTCCCTGGAATTGAAAGTTTCGACAAAGTCGTCTCCCGACCCCTAACTCCTCCCACCCGGAAATCAAGCCCGATGCAGATCGACAACCATCATCGCCCACTGCCGCCACCAAACCATGGGTTTGGGTCTGGCTTCATCTACTCTCAGCCGGCGGTGCGTCCACCGCCGCCCGTCTCCGGGCCGGGCCATCGCCGTGGCCATGTGTCCTGGGACATGTCTTTGCATACCAACCTGACCGGGCTTGATATCCGGGACCGGCGGTCTTCACGGGACGCATCACAGTGGAGCCAGCAGACCATCGCCGAGCTCCAGAACGTCTCGTCGCGGCCGTCGTCCTCCTACCAGCCCACATTCGGTCCCACGGCCGAGAAAAGCCCCGAACAACAACACCGGGGTCATGCTCACAGCAATTCTTCGGGCAGCCGGCCAGCCCGGACATCGCCCGAAGACTCCAGCAGTAGCGAGGGCGTAAACACGCCCTCGACGGCGTCAGTCGAGTACCATCCGGCGATCGTGCACAGCAGCGGATATGTGGAATCGAACGACACCTCCCTGCCATCCGACCGCCCTCCCTCGGTAGGAAATCCTCCTCGCGCAGACGGCTATCGGCCCGGTTGCTAATGCCGTCATAGATCTGTGGTCGTCGCCCTTCTCGCTCGGACGGCGACCGAGCTCACGCCGATCAGGAGCCCCGGTCCGGTGTCTTTCCCGACTCCTCCGCCCGAAACTCCGGCATGGGCCGGCTGGAGGCACTGGTGGCTGTGGCCACGAGTGAGAATAAGGGGGCAGCCAAGTTGTTCCTGTAGATTGTTTTGGATGTGGCCCCAGGGAGGTTGGGGGCCTTTCCTATAACTTGTTCCCTCGGTTTCTTTCTTTCTTTCTTTCTTTCTTTCTTTTTCATCTCGCCATGGTCTGGGATCCATGGTTTTTTTTTCTTTTCTTCCCGTTATAACTCGACATTCTTTTCTGTCTTGCTTCATTATCCCATGTGTTCATCCCATGTTTGTGGGATAATGACACTTGGAGATGATCTGGCTTTTGTTTCTCTCGGGGATCAGCATGTCTTGGTTTGGCAGCGCAGCCCTTGATGAATTGATGATCTGACGACTGATACATGACTGAGGCCCGTCCCACTCCATCCTTCTCTTTGTGTTCGGGAGTATGTGTTGGTCTTGTCTTGGAATTTTCTATCTCTTCGTTGTTTCTTGTTTCTTGTTTCACGGTTGGGGTCAAGGTTTTCGGTTCTTGCATGTCCTGGCGTTCGTTCAGGCGCGTATATGGATTGGAATCGTGTGTGGACATCCGCTTGCCTTGGGATTAGATCTGTCTTTCTCTCTCCCTTCCCCCTCTCACACATTCTTTTTGATCCTCTCTGTGTTTGCCATAACCTCGGTACTCTCCATCTCTCCACTGTCGATCCAGTTCCGTTGTGTTTTACTATATTCTTTTCTTTTTTCTTTGGGGGGTCATGTCGATTACGGGCGATGGGGTTTGGACTCATGATTTAAATGACTGGAACTGGAATGCTATACCATCTCACTACTTGACCCACCTCTGGTATACTCTTTGATATAGTATACTACAGTAGGCCAAATATTGTACTCCACTCTCTAGGCCACTCTACATAACTAATTCCCAGTCCGGGCTTACATACCATTGCCTTCTCACCTTGTTCTCCTTATCTGATCGACGGGCTTTATACCCCAAGAAGTATATTCCTGACCCCCTTTTCAGCGGTCTGGTTGTATGTATGCACAGTCTACTGTACGGGTTAGAAGTAATCAAACTCCCCTTATCTATTCCTAGTATCATACCCCCTAGGATAAAGTATTATTTTCAATATTCCTTGTAAATAGGGTAAATAGCCCAACAACCTCCATAAGAAAACAGGAGATATATTGTTCCGAAATGATCATTATAAGGTATCTATACCGATTTAGGAAAAAGAGACGCCAAGCCCACGCTAAGGCCATCTTTGTGGGGACAGAACAACGAGAAGCATCCAATATGATCCGTAATCCATAGACATACACGCCAGCGGGTAGTGGATATGAGTGTGATTCCTTTTCAAATTGAACCAGGAACGGGGCGATGCGGGGGGGCCAGCTTCCAAGACACAGGACTATCAGTTCCCCCAGCTCCTGAATTCGCCCCCAATCGTTATTATTATATTCAGGAGTTCAGGAATCCAGAAATATACGAATCCAAGGAGTGTGTGTACACGCAAATGACTATTTAAAGGGTCCCTCTGTTCCCAGTTCCATAGGAGAATATAATTCAATATCCATTCGAAAAGAAAAGAAAAAGAAAACAAAAAACCATCCTCTTAGTTCCATTTAATTCAGGATGCAGTTCAATCTCGTCCTCGCGGTCCTTGCTTCTGCAGGCATTCTTGCCGTCGCCCAAGGTGAAGATGGTATGTAAAACCCTTTTCTATCTCTCTCTCTCTCTCTCTCTCTCTCTTCTTTTCCAAGGTCCCTAGGTGAGATATTCTAACCCAATTTCTTTTCGGATCTATTAGACCAACCGAAAAATTCGGGCTGCTTCTCGAGCGGAGCCACCCACGGCAGCAACTACAACTGGGCGAGCTGCAACCCGCAGGACGGCGGAAAGAGCGGGACCATCTTTGGCGGCGACCCGGACCCGAAGAACTGGTGCTATGTGAAATCGTCTGATAAAGACGGTCTGCCCGCGTTGTGCGGTCAACACCTGGATGATAACGCGACTTGTTTGACCAAGGACGATGACTCGGACCTTGGTGGCTGCGGACCGAGTGGAAGTTAAATAGTGGGGGGAGAGGATCTCGGGAGGTTTCCCATGGATTTTACTATGTGGCTACACTCCTTGACTACCTATATATCATTGGAACAATTCTGGATTCGATAGCGTTATATATGAACACTTTAACGTAATCCATAAACGAGTGGCCTATAAAAGTGAGTGGCCCACTATAATAGATATTTTAAATACAAATCGCTATATATTCGCTACAACGCCTTTATATATAAAAGAAAACCTAATCATATCGTTTTAGGTACTGCAATCTTCGATGCCCCAATTCGCGGTAGTTACTATGACGAGGAAGTGTTTACTGAGAGGCTTACGAAGCTTGTTGGCTTAGGTCTATTAGAGTAGTTAATTTAGCTTTAAAGGCTTAGTTCGACGTCGATATTAGTTTACGAGCTTCTTAAATCGATAGACTTTACTCTCTACTTATTTACTTATTAGGTCTAGCTCATTTTTACTTTTATTTTTTATTAGCTACGCGTAAATCCTTATTTTTTTAAGCGAGGATTATAGCGCTATATATCGCTAGCTAGTAGCCTTTAATAAATTAGTTTAAAGCTACGCTAGTTAGATTTAATAGGCTATAAGAATAATACTTTAATAAAGTTTTAATCGATAAAGCTTAGTATTATAGCTATCTTAGATTTTAATGCGTTTTTAGTATAAATTAGCTATTATAATGAAAAGGGTCCACAGAAATAGCAAAGCATGAAGTAGCTAGCTATTGCTAAGGCTAGATTAGCGGACACTATAATATAGTACTCTCTAGATCAGGTTCTAGATTAATATCCTTTAATAATAAATTATACAGATCGATAAGATTTGTTCTAACTTTAGGGTCGAATTATCTAGAATTAGAGGTAGTACTAGTTTATCTTTAGCACTACAATAATTATAGTAAAAGATATATATTATATCTCGGCTAATTAGTGGTAGTAATAGAGATATACTATACTCTAAAACAATTTATAGTTTCCTTTATCTAGGACCGAAGCACTAGCAATTTTATAGAATATCGCTGCAGTTTATATTGTTTAGCGAATATATAGTCGATAATATCGACCTATGCACAAGTATCGAGGTTAGCAATAATATACTTATTTCGGACCTAAACTAGGACTATAAATATTAGGCAATCTCCACTATTTAAAGGAGAGCTAGAGTTGTGGATTTTACTTCGACTCGGAGTTATTTTTCGAATCAAATCTATCTTAGACAATTTTTTTGGACTTAGGCCGATCCTTTAGTTAGCTTGTTATTCGGGGCCAAATCAGGTTCTTTTCGAGGATTTTTAGAGTAGGTAGCAATATATCTAGGTTGCTAATATTTGTAGTAGATAATATCCTTATTTTTGGACTTGCCCTAGAAGAAGCTAGTAGTAGTGTGATATGAGGTCAAGTTTGTAGGGAGAAACTGTCCATTGACAACGAATACTCAGACGAGGAGAGAAAGGAAGAGGAAGAAGAAGGAATGAAGCTCCCCATCGCGATGTATGCTGACGGTTCTGCCCACCTATGCCGCTTCGGATATCTGCAGAAATCCGCTATGCCACATCCTTTTCTCCAATACTCGTTACAGCTAGTACTAGAATTGGGACTGGAAGGCTTCGAGGTATTATCATGGTTGTTTCGGTTGGATTTTTGGTTGTCTCTCTTCGAATAATCAGATTTTTGCTTCTTGCTATAATATTAGTTGTTATTAGTATAGGATTGCTTATATAGAGGTATTATATAGCGTTTTGCTCTAACTAGGAGATATACTCAAGGAGTACATAAAGTATATCTTGAATTGCCGATTATAGTTTAGGACTATTTCCTACTTAACTCACTCTCGGATCGGAATCAGGGTCAGAGGTCACTCGTTTAGTTTAGGCACAAGGTATCTACAATTCGGTATTGAAAGCAGAGCCGCTATAGTAAACCCGACGTATAGATATTTCTTTAGTTCTCATAGGTAGCTAAACCGAAGTTTCAGAATTGTTAAAGCAGTCTATTGTCGGAGGACAAGTCCATTAACTAGGCATAAGAAGAGATTCCGAAGAGAAAAGGCAATAAAAAGAAGGTAATCTAGTATTGAACTAAGACTAAAGCTTGGCTCCTAAGGAACCAAGAGAAAAGAGATTCAATATATAAAAGAGGCATCTAGATCGGGACCGATTTGTTACTCATCCGATCTGATATAATATATGGAGCCGGGGGGATCTGATAGATAAAATAGGATCCTGAGGCTAGACAGGCGTCGCATAGGATTATCTCTAATTTAGCCCAAGATTGCTCCCAGATTGTCCTATCTATGTAGCAGCTGAATCCCCGCGCGTAAATATTCTAAATGATATCCCGAGAAGCCTGAGGCCCCTTATCAGGAAGCCACCAGAATACTCTGGAATCGGTCCTCGTGATAGGGTGATACTTCTCTTGGAATACTACGAGCCTCAAGTATAGTCCGCAACCGTACCAATGCCGCTTAGGGCCATAGATGGACTCGGGTCTCTAGGGTACTTGCAAGGTGTAACAGTTAGGGCGCCGATCAAGTCAGTCACTTAGGGATCAGAGATCACTAAGTAAGCTCCCAAGATCGTTGATGCTTTGGCTTTATGGCCGAGACTGTGAATGATACACAAGTAAAAATGGTGCGATTGATCACGAAGAACTAAGTACATGTGTAAAGGAGTGTCTTCATATATCCAGTTCTTCCTATCTTGCTATATCCTATAGTCCTACTTCTGGTATACTCGCTGTAGACCAAAAGTAGTCCCACTTGTATTCCATTAGTAGACCGTTCTTTGGCACTGCATTGTGGTCTACCTTTGGTCACATGGTTGTTCCCAATCTGGTAGAGGCAGTGTACATGGTGCGAGTACATGGAGTGCAACTAGGTACCGGATTTCCTTTGGTCGAGTGGTTCTGCCAGTCACATGCTCTGATATTTTGCTCAGGGTCAGTGATCATGAATTCATTGGCTCTCGGTTGCTCATCGGTGAGTTGGTGGTTGCAGGGGTCGTAACATTTAGGCAACTTAGTGAACTTCTGTGAGTCTCCCAGCAACGATTGTGTCGACCAGAACCGTTCTTATCTTTAGCTTAAACGGAAAGGTCCTATGCGATGGAAGTCAGATAGTATCAACCCCATCAGATATGAATCCTAGGCAATATGCTAACCTTACTACTAAATTAAGCACTTGATGAAGGTCACCTTAGAGGATATAACCTTTGCATTCGCATGGATATATAGGAAAACCTAATAAGCTAGGGAAAACCTATATAAAGGTAATCCCAGAATATAACATAAGCAAATCCCTCAATCTAAACCTTTAAAACCCCACTTAAGTAACCTGCATCATGCCTTTCATCCACCCTAGGCTAGCTCGCACTCAATCACGCTTTCCACTCCCTTGCCGGAGCTCCAGATTTTAACAATCTTCAGACCCACTCTCCTCTCAACCAAATCGTACCATGCCTTATTGGTCCGCTGTTCGGAAGAGAATAGGGTCAGCATCAACATATCAAGTCCAGTAGTCTCCCAGTGAGCCCCAATCTGCGGCACGACGAATTCATTGATTAGTAGTCTACTATACCCAGGCTTCATGGCCTCTTTTACTCGCGTGAGTATGGTTTCACAGACATCGTCCGACCAATTGTGCAGAGTTGAGTGTATATAATAGGCTCTAGCACCTATAGATATAATAAGTAAAATTGGGTTAAAATGAAACTGCGGGAGGGAAAAGGAGGAGAGGGGCACAACTCTACCTTTAATAGGCTGTTCATTATGGAAGTCATATTCCATACGGACGATAGCTGGATCAAGATCTTTGATTTGGCGAATCATCATAGGCAAGTCTTGGAGGATCAACTTCCCGGGAGCATCGGGATAACGGCTATGGAACCTGGCCAAGTCATGACCGACATTGCCCCCTATGTCCACAAGGAAAGGCGCATCCGGGCTAGGATTGGCATCATTGATGAGTCTCTCCTTCACGGGGTAGACAGCAGGGTCCATCCAAAGCGGACGACCCACACCGTAGCCACCAAGGTAGTCATTCAGGTGTGTGCCATATCCCGAATCCTGCACCCAGTTGAATATGTGCTTGTTGGTACCATAGGCATACATGAGAGAGGTGTCCTTTGGGTCAAGAGGATTTACCCAGCCCCGCTTCCGGGAGAATTCGTGGAATTTCAAGGTACCTGCGCCGGTGCATGCGGTGCTATTTTGCGACGGGACATATGAGTGACAATTCCATAACCTTTCGGAAATCAGGGTTGGATCTAATGTGCACTTACAGACCAAGATATCCATGTCCAATCTGAGGAAGGCTCAGGCATCTGGTATAATTTGTGGGTCGGTATTCATCCTCGCCGACCTCGACGAGGAGCCCCATAGCACCAAGGTGTCGCATTAAACGACCTGGAATCCTGTTAGCTGTGGTGTTGAGACGGAACCATTGAATACTCACTCAGGAGCCTAGCATCCACCCCAAGGCTCATGGCCAAGTCGACAACCTTCTGGGTTTTATCGCCGTTCTGGGCCATCAACACCCATAGTCCCGAGTCCACGCCAAACCCTACAGCAGCGATCGCACCCATCTGTCATGTCAACTTATTTTGTTCAACTCGCCAGCCTATCGGATACTCACTTGTCCCCAGCAGTGATCAACCATCGTCTCTCGTGGGGTCTGTACAGCTTGAACCAAAGCACGACACTTGACCAGTACATCTTTGCGGTCCTCGTCAGTTCCTTTAGTTAGACTGTTGACGCTTTCTGTGATATCTTTCAGCAAGATGGGGACCTGCTCAATTCTATTTGGTCGCGCGGCGCTAGAAAGATCGACGGGACGTGAAGTGTCATCTTTGCTCTCGGTTGCCATTATATGAACAATAAAAATTGGAGGTGTTGTCGGAAGAAAAGCAAGGAAATGTTGAACAGTTGTGTTTATATATGTGCCTTTTGCATGAGCCAGTGCACCAGGAAATTGATTTAGCGATGAGGTAGTCGAAGGTCTATTTAACTCCTTGGGGCTATCCTATCTTGCTAAGCGGACAAGTGAGCAATACTTGAAAGTCACCTCCACTTCACCTATTGCGGTATCTTGTGTGACCCTAAAGTTTTGTTTGACACATCTCTGTCCTTGTACCCGTAATACCACTGCTGATCAGTTTTGGATTATGTACGGCGAAGTATATGAAGTATGTTCGAAGGAGAATTAAATGCGAAATCCGAAGGAACACGGTTAAAACCGGACTAATAGAAATAAACTTTACTGGTCTCTTTTGTTCTCAAATGATACTTTGCTAGGTGCATCGATTTCATTGCCACATGCCACATGCTCTACTCACGAATCCGAATATGCCACCTATGGTTTGATGCGATGCTCTGTGCTTGATGGCTACGTCATTTGTGAGGCGGGGTAGATATAACTTCGTGTCAGTTAACATCACAGTAATGATGAGATGCAGATAGATCTTTTCTAGGAAATAATCGACATATATAAAAAGCGAGTATTCATGGTAATATGTAGACATATACTCGCTAGGATATAACGAAACATGTGATAAAAGGCAGTGGCAGACCTTCCTATTGAGGGTGGAAGATGATCATTTGTATACCTAGTCCAGCCTGCCTTGCATGATTGCCGCTATGCAAAGAGTGCTATTAGGCCCCTTCGGACCTAGAAGCACATTATGTTACATGAGATTTAGGCCTAAGTGTACCTGCACCTCTACCCCATATCGAAAGCGATCCGAAATAACTATCAATCCCCGCTTATCGTAGCCTTGGGAAATCTACTCAGCACGGATCATCGGATACTAATATCACAAGCAAAATGTTGGAATCGCTACAACCAAGTCAGGCTACTTTGTTCGTCTTTAGTGTTCACAACTCTGTGCTTAACGGTGTTCACTTGGCAAATATGATACAAGGATGTGCTAAGATTAGTAGGCTCAGTATTCCATTAGAGATCTAAACCGAGAAGCGATCCTCTTGGAGGGTGCTACCGAGGAAACGGCGCGGAAAGACTGGAAGAGAGAGATGGATGAGGAAGAGAGCTATGAAAGCTATCTATAACTATGGATGGGCCAAGGCGGTGGCAGAGCAGAACGACCTGCCGGGTCATGCCTGCCAACAGATTCTCTTCATCTGAATTGCTCAATCTCGGTTCAGCCATCAATCATGGCAGTCTCTCGTTCTGGTTCTGAATATTACGAGAGCAACATTCCATTTGAGTGAATTCCGAAAAATCAATCATATCCATGAAGCCATGAGTGAATCAATACTGTGATGTGAGCTCCTCCTAGGACGTTAGAAACTATACATCAATGGCCAAACAGTCACCCAGTCGGTTCTTCCTTTCCTCCAGCCCCCACACCATGCCACTTATGAAAAACATTGCCTGGATCAAACTTCTTCTTCACATCCCTCAGTCTCTCCCAATTTATACCATATGCTTCGTCTGGCCTTAGCGGCTCATTCACCATATTGATATACCGTCCAACTGGCGCTTGCTTGGAGTTACCTCCCCCATCATGCCCCGAGCGGTTGTATCCATTCAAATAGCGTATGTTTGTGCAAAGTTTCGAGTTGAATTGTCGAACTATATTATCGAGTCCTGGGTCTTCCCACCCAAAGAAAGGCACAGCATCGTAGTACTCCCCGCGATTCGCGTACGCGGTAGCGTCTTGGGGTATTTCGCGCAACTTGTACGTAGGAAAAAGCTCGATTGCCATCACGCAGACCTTTACGTCAGGATAAAGATCGTGAAAAGTCCATATGGCATCCGCGATCTGTTGCAGGGATTCTGTTTGAAGGGGCATAGTGATATTGGCGGAGCCTTGGAGGCGGCGAAGGCCGTATTCGGACATTGGGTTTTGTAAAGTGTTCACCTGCGCGATAGACATCATGCCCATGCAGTCCACGATAGGTCCGATGCTAAGCAGCTCTGCAAAGTATATCTTTGCTTCCTCTTCCGGCCCATGATAAAGGGGAATAGCAGAGAGGATACGGGTCGCCCCATCCAATGTGTGTCCCACACCTATAGTCAAGCAGTGGCCCTCTCGGCCATTCCGATTGTGAAAGTCATTTGCAAATGCCACCAGCTTGGGTAGCTTGCTGTGCTCAAACATGAGAGTGCCACTCCAGACCTTCCCTTGCTTATTGACACGGGATGTGAAGCGTGTGACGACTCCAAATTGTGCTCCAGCTCCGCGAATCGCCCAGAAGAGATCTGGATTTTGTGTTTCAGATGCTTCAAGAATGGAGCCATCGGCCGTGACTATCTGAGCTGATAGGAGGTTGTCAATAGTGAGCCCATGTTTTGCGGTCAGCCACCCGTGTCCGCCCCCGAGAATAAGCCCCCCGACGCCCGTGTGGTTTACTGCGCCTCCAACTGTGGCCAGGCCACGGGCCTCCAGAGCACTATCCACGTCTCCCCAAAGGCAGCCGCCATCAAAAGACACGGTCATGCTGTTTTCGTTGATCTCGACTTTCCGCATATTGCCAAGGTGGATGACCATGCCTTCCGACGACGACGTTCCGCTCGTCGAGTGGCCTCCGCCACAGACGGTCAGGGGGAGATTGCTTGAGACGGCAAACTTTACAGCTGCAGAGACTTCGATAGCAGAAATAGGTTTAACAACGACCGCCTGGTAGACTAGTTAGTAACGCACGATCCCGGCTACCCTCCGGAGGATATCAAGGGTTTAGGGCAGACAGACGGGTTGAACTTCAACAGCCACATTCCATCTTCTCACACTAACGACGTAGCCATCATCGCCTGGAACTAGTACCTCTCCTTCCGATATAGCCTCCCGTAGTTCGTCACAGTTGAAACTATACATAATTCTTGATTATAAAGTCCAGTAATGAATTTGTTTTGTCAACACTGGGGATCTCTCTGCACGAGGCGGGACAATAGTAGGCGGGACAGTAGTAGGCGGGACAGTAGTAGGCGGGACAGTAGTAGGCGGGACAGTAGTAGGCGGGACAATAGTATACATTTGTATGCCTTTGGCTAAGTCTACGCAATAGAACAGATCCCATGGCAGACGGAGCATGCTTGATGTCATTTCCGTGAATGGACTAATGTAGGATAATACCATCATGCATCATCAAGCACAAAATAAAGTTTGGCCGGGTGAACTAAGACCTCCAAGATTGTTATATGTGTGTACTATATTCGACCATAGTTGCATATCTGGTGGTGTGAGGCTTATTTACATCGACAATTAGTTGACCGTTTAGTCTCTAGGCATCTTCTTCACCCCCCCCTCCCCCTCTATTAGAGACTGACGTCATATATAGGCATCTCTGAAGAATACCAATATACAAGAGAGACGTCTACGTAGACTGTATCGTCTCTCAGGCCACGTAAGCGCGACCTCACTTCTTGTAAGGATTTAATGACATGTGTCACCTCCTCTTTAGTTTCTGGGGTGTCTTCCATCTTTTGGAGATCGACATTACCACACTGGGCATTGGGTACATCTCTGAAGGATGGCAATACGGAATGGCCTCTGTGCATACTGCACAAGACCGTATTTGGATTTCTTGTGGTGTGAACCCTTGATGGTATAATTGAGGGCTTCATTTTTTGCTGACCTTATAAACTCCATCAAAGGTAACAAACTCTTATATTCGGTCAGAATAAAAGAACAATTGAATACCAACAAGAGCCCTCACATAATTTACAACTGTGATCCCCAGCAGCCATGGCACAGGTGTCAGAGCAACACGGCCGTCGAGTTCCCGAACCAGTAGGAGCTATGACAGCGACGCAGGAAGATATCGATATAATCTGGTCGTGGAACAAACTCTGTCCGGAACCGATTGAGCGCTGCTTCCACAATGTTTTCTATGAAAGGGCCCAAAAGCAGCCATACTCTGTGGCTATCTGTGCCTGGGATGGTCAATTATTCTATAAAGAACTGAATCAGCTCTCCACAAAGTTGGCACATCGCCTCATCGAGCTGGGAGCTGGCAGCGGCATGGTGATCCCTCTCTGCTTTGAGAAATCGATGTGGACGACTGTTGCCATGCTTGGAGTGCTCAAGTCTGGTGCGGGATTCGTGATGCTTGACGCCTCACTTCCGGAGCAGCGTCTCCAGACTATTGTGCGACAAATCGAAGCAACAATGATTGTTTCTTCCGTCTCGACCCGCTCCCTCAGTGCGCGATTGGGCCTGGAAGTGGTTTCCATAAACGACCAGTTCTTTACAGGCCTAGATGTCGAGGTAGATCGGCTGCCAGCAGTATCTGATGACCCGTCGTCAATCATGTACCTTGCTTTTACATCGGGCAGTACAGGAACACCGAAAGGAGCAATCATCACACATAACAACTTCGTGTCGGCTCTTTATCATCAGGCGCACCATCTTCAATTTACCACGGAATCCAGGACCTATGACTTTTCCTCGTACTCCTTTGATGCATCAATCAGCAATACCTTTAACACTCTCGCGGCAGGGGGTTGCTTATGTGTACCAACTGAGCAAGATCGTATCGACAGGCTCGCGCAGAGCATAACAGCTCTACGAGCCAACGTTACTTTTCTCACGCCTTCTGTCTCTCAGCTACTGGACCCTAAGGATACACCTACATTACGGACTCTCATCCTTGGTGGTGAAACGTTGCCTCTCACTGAAGTTAAACGTTGGTGGGGTAGAGTACGTCTCGTCCATGTGTACGGGCCATCTGAATGCACCCCATACAGCCTCCTCAACAGCGGCGACGCACCTAGTCCACTCGATGCTATCCGGATTGGGAAAGGAGCTGGTATGGTGACATGGGTTGTTGACCCAGAAGATCACAATCGTTTACTTCCGATTGGATATACTGGTGAGCTGCTGCTCGAAGGACCACTTGTTGGCAAAGGTTACTGGAACGATGAAGAGAAGACAGTGAGTGCATTCATTCAAGGGCCATCGTGGCTCCGGAGAGGAGACCCAGATAGGGTAGGACGGCAGGAACGACGCCTTTACAAAACAGGAGATCTTGTCATGTACAACGAGGATGGAAGCTTGACATATGTCGGGCGCAAAGATACCCAGGTAAAGATTCACGGACAGCGAGCCGAGCTTGGAGAGGTCGAGCACCGTATACAAGTGTTTATGCCGGAGACTCGAGTCGTTGTCGATACCATTATCTCGGGAGGAGAAACCCCAAGCCCAGTATTGGCGGCCTTCATCCAGATGGGCCACAGTTCGCCCAGGCCCACAGATGCAGAACCTGATATCGAAATATTTGACAAGCCTATCGGAATTGAAGAGGCCCTGGCGGCATATCTTCCACGTTACATGATTCCGGCTGTGTTCTTTTCTGTGCCAAATCTGCCTATGACGGCGGCAGCAAAACTTGATCGAAGGAGGTTACGCGATCTCGGGACATCCTGTTTCCAGCATTTCAGAGAAATGAACAGACCGGAAGCCGCACCGGCGCAGCAATCGCGCGTTGGAACAGAATTGCAGGAGATCTTGGGCCGAGTGCTTGGTATTAGTCCGGCACTAATGCGACCAGACGATAATTTCTTCCGGCTCGGGGGAGATTCAATCGCAGCAATGCAAGCTGTGGCGGAGGCTTACAAGGCAGGCATCAAAGTCACGGTGGCAGACATCTTTCAACACCCGATTCTTGGTGCTCTATCTAGCCAGGATTATCCAGCAGTGAACGAAACTCCGGAATTGATTTCGCCGTTTTCTCTTCTCGGAGACAAAATTGATTTAACTGCGCTGGTTGACAACGTTGCTACTCGATATGAGCTGGGCTCTGTGGCTATAGAGGATGCATATCCTTGTACTGCCTTGCAAGAAGGTCTTCTGTCCTTGTCAGTGAAATACCCAGGTGATTATGTGATTCAACGGGTCCAAGAAGTGCATTCATTTGTTACAACACGCGACTTCTGTCAGGCATGGGAGACATTGGTGCGGGATACAGCAATTCTGCGTACAAGGATCGTGGAAACAAGCACTGCTGGTCTCTTGCAGTTGGTCTTGAAGGAGGGAATTCAGTGGATTCAGCGAACAGATTTGAATGGGTATCTGGAAGAAGACAGGCAGAAGCCAATGAAGCCTGGGCAACCTCTTGCACGCTATGCACTTATCAACGACAATACAAGCATGCGTCGGTGGTTCGTGTGGACGCTGCATCATTCGCTGTACGACGGCTGGTCCCTGCCGCTCATGAATGATATGGTGAATCGAGTGTACCAGGGCATTCCAATCAGCCCAGCAAAACACGAGTTCAAACTGTTCATCAAGTATGTTACTGAACTGGACAACCAAAAGATGGTTGAATACTGGGCCAATGCTCTTGCGGACTGTGACTGTACTCCGTTCCCGGCCCTTCCGTCGTCTGTACTGCAGCCAGTAGCAGACAGCGCAATAACCCACCAAATACCGTGGCTCGACAGACGGTCGCGGGAGGTCACTACCGCAACGTTTGTGCGTACCGCCTGGGCATTGCTTGCAAGCTGTATGACAAACTCAGACAATGTCATGTTTGGTATCACTACGTCAGGGCGCACTGCACCTGTTGAGGGTATCAACGAGGTGGTAGGGCCAACAATCGCAACAGTACCATTGTACGCGAAGATAAGACGGCCCCAAAAGGTCTCGGAGTACCTGGAAATCATGCAGCAACAAGCAACGGACATGATTCCCTTCGAGCAGTTTGGCTTACACCGAATCGCCAAAACATGCCCCGGGGCTCAGCAAGCGTGCAAGTTTCAGACACTTCTCATCATCCAGCCAGAAGAAGGTTCTCGAGCCGAAGACGCGCTCGGAGAATGGAAAGACAATTATGGACTGGAGTGGGCCAATACATTCGCACTTGTGGTTGAGGTGCAAATTGGAATGAGGAGGGTGAGCGCTACCTTCGACTCGAACGTCATAAAGCCGTGGGTTGTGCAGGTTTTGCTAGAAGAGCTTGAATTTGTGATGCAGCAACTCAACGACGCAAGCGAAGAGCAGACCCTAGCCGATATCAATTTGGTCACACCGCAGATGCTTGAGCGAATATGGGGTTGGAATCGTACCGTTCCATTACCGGTGAAAGCGCCTATTCATCATCTGATTCAGAGATGGACGCAGAATTGCCCGACAGCAACGGCTATAAGTTCCTGGGATGGAGAGCTCACATATGGCGAGCTCGACCGACTTGCGACGGCGATAGCGGCCCATCTCGTCGAATCCGGGATTTGTTCGCACCTCCTAGGACCGCACATGCTGGTGCCACTATGCTTTGAGAAGTCCAAGTGGACATTAGTATCCATTCTTGGCGTCCTGAAGGCCGGTGCAGGCTTCGTGTTGCTCGATCCTTCGCTTCCTGAACCCCGACTACAATCAATATTCCAAAAAGTCGGCTCCAAGCTGTTGTTATCTTCTGAGCACAATATGGATCTAAGCCTCAGGCTATCGGGGATGGTAGTGCAGATTGGTCCAGATCTATTGCATCTCTGGAGTAGTCTCTCGAGGCAACCGATAACCACGACACCCTGCCAGCCACTCCCGTCGTCGAGGGCAATGTATGCAGTGTTTACTTCTGGCACTACTGGGGAACCGAAGGGAGTCTTGGTGTCGCATGAGAACTTTTCTTCGGCTGTACACTATCAGTTGGAGCTCCTAGGCTTCTCCAGAGAATCGAGGGTCTTGGATTTCGCATCATATGCTTTTGATGCTGCCATCCACAATGCTATCGCCACGCTCGCTGCGGGGGGATGTCTGTGCATTCCCTCCGAACAAGCACGCAAGGGTGATGTTGGCAACATGGTGGCTACCATGAAGCCTACACTTGCCAATCTAACTCCAACGGTCGCACGTCTACTTGATCCAAAAATGATGCCCGACCTCAGGACATTGATTCTACTTGGTGAACCAGTCACAATCCGAGACGCTGAGCGATGGCTATCGCACAAAGTTCGCCTCATCAACACCTACGGACCGGCTGAATGCACGCCAATTAGCACAATCAACGCCCAGTCTGATACCAGCCCCGAGAAGGCCATCCAGATAGGAAAGGGCGTGGGCTTGGTAACGTGGATTGTGAACGCAGGAGATCCGAATCGCTTGTTACCACCAGGATGCACCGGGGAGCTACTCCTCGAAGGGCCACTTGTCGGTAATGGATATATAAAGGAACCACAAAGGACCGCGGAAGCATTCATTCAAGATCCTGAATGGCTCCTGAAAGGCTCGAATGGTCAACCTGGGCGCCATGGCCGCCTATACAAGACAGGCGATCTGGTGCAGTATAATGAAGATGGGTCCCTGACATTTATGGGCCGCCAAGATAGCCAAGTCAAGATCAAAGGACAGCGGTTCGAGCTCGCGGAGGTTGAGCATCATCTTTTGAATTGCTTATCGGTAAAGGTGAGCCAGGTCGCGGCCGAAGTCGTCATGCCCGAGGGCGAGAATGCACATAGACCGGTGTTGGTTGCCTTCATCCAGGCAGCTGACGTTGGCGTGGAGGTCAACGACAGGGTGGGTGTTGCTGCTGGGAGATACCCCATGGCTGCTGATATCAAGAGAAAGTTGGGACATCATTTGCCAAGCTACATGGTGCCAACAGCATACTTTTCTGTGCCAGATCTGCCCCTGACTGCCACGGGGAAGACAAACCGGAAACGGCTTCAAGAAATTGGCCGGGAGCTGCTCTTGTCTAGTGCATCTGAACAATCTCTTGAGGATGAAACCTTTTGTGGTGGACCAATATCGGAGACCGAGAAGCCAGCATACGCACTGGCTCAGAAAGTATATGCCATGCGTCTTTCATGGGCTCGGAAAGATCTGTCCGAAGGAAAAGACGGGCCACAGAGCCGAGGCTCTGAACTAAACGACGTGCTATTACACTCATTTGGCCTCGACTCGGTGAATATGATGGAACTCACGTCGTTCATCTCACAGAATTTCCATGTTCAAATAGGTATGCAGTACCTAATGGACAACGCAACCAGTATACGCGGCCTCGCTCAACATATAGTCGACTCGAAGGCAAACGGCACTGAGATACATCCTAACGGACACCTCATAACTCGTCCCTTGACCCAAATCGATCTCATGGCTGAGATTAACCGACATGACGCAAGGGTTCTGGCAGCCCATCAGAGATTCGCAAGCTACGATAATATATCGAGCAGTGACCCGCTAATGGGCAGCGATAAGGAGGCCTTGAATGTACTCTTGACCGGCGCTAATGGCTTTGTCGGCACCCAGATCCTCCGCCAGCTCCTCGAACATCGCCGCGTCAGTCGCGTCATTTGCCTTGTACGCGGCGAGACGGATGACACAGCTAGGCGTCGCACCATTGATAGCGCCGTGAAAGCGCTCTGGTGGACTGACTACCATGCGGAGAAGCTCGAGGTCTGGAAAGGCGACCTCTCACTCCCTAGTCTCGGCCTTAGCCCGGTGCGCTGGGGCTCCCTGACCAGCGGTCAAGAGGCCAATATAATCATCCACAATGGCGCCACAGTGCACTGGACAAAAAGCTATAAAACCCTGGAGGCCGCCAATGTTGGCTCGACCATTCAACTGTTACTCCTCGCCCTGCAGACCCCTTGCATGCGGTTCCTCTATGTAACAGGCGGGCGACCGTGGGGTCCCGACGAAGAACTCGATGTGGTCAAAGAGCTCTCCGTGGCCGATGCAATTCCATACAGTCAGACTAAACTTGTTGCCGAAATCGTGGTCAAGCGCGCCGCGCGCCGCAGCTCATGCGAAAGGAACCGTTTTGCTATCCTCAACCCGGGCTGGGTTATTGGTACGCCGACGGAGGGGTTCTCCAATGCCGATGACTATATATGGCGTCTGGCGAAGACATGCATCAGAATAGGGGCGTACAACGCAGCCGAGGCGGACGGATGCCTCTCTGTATCCGATGCCACGACCACAGCGACAGCAATAATTGATGCGGCACTGGGCACGAAGACGGACATAGCGCCCGAGGAGCACACTGTGGATGGAATGCTATGGAGCGAGTTCTGGGCTATTCTCGGTAACCTGGGTTACAACCTCGAGGCTAAGAACATGACCGAGTGGCTGGCTCTCGTGCGTGCTGATATTGAAGCTGCACGAGAAAAGCACCCCCTGTGGCCACTGGCACACATGATTGAGGGCTTGCAGAACGATGAGCGAGTAGCAGGACGACTGCGGGAGAAGCGTGGTAGCACGTCCTTGCGGTTGAAATTGGCTGTCCACAGGTCTGCCCAGTTCCTTATGCGAATTGGGATTTTACCCGCGCCTGCCCTATAAGGCTTGCCGCAGTATAAACCAAATCGGCTAAGAGTTGATACTGTGGAAAAGTGATGGCGTTCCTTTCAAACTGCTACAGTACATGGTATATTGATTTGCCCTCGGATATAGGTCGCCATTGACTGACTCTTGCTCTTCCACTGTACTCCTGATCTCTAAGTGACTAACTTGATCGGTGCCCTAACTATTACACCTTGCAAGTACCCTAAAGACCCGAGTCTATATAAGGCCCCGCACGGCATTGGTATAGTTGCGGATCATACTTGAGGCTCGTAGTACTCCAAGAGAAGTATCACCCTGTTATAAGGACCGATTTCAGAGCATTCTAAATGCTTACAAATATCACTTTGGGATAGTTTTCGGAATGTTTGCATATAAGGTTTAGCTTATGTATATCTGGGGACGATCTAGGAGCAATCTTAAACTGATATAATAAAATATTAGTAAAGTTGCGGCATAATAACCCTTAATCTATTAGTCGAAGAAGCATTTTCAATCACTTCTTTAAAGAGGTAAATACGGATATTAAGGAGAAAGACCTAAACACGTTCGCTGAGATCAAGCTAAATAGCCGATAGGTAAACAAGTAGGCCTAGTTAGCAAGGATATCATGTTAATAGACAAACATTAAATCAAGAATATCGTCAAGATCGCCTTCAACGTTGCTTCAAGTGATAGCGCCAAGCGGTCCGCAAGTCACGTTCGGATGGCTCTCACCACGAACCAATATAAGGTCTCCTTTCAGGAATCCTTAGGATTCGACGACAAATTGTACGAAGCTTAAATGGTATCGCATGATCTGGCTGACCTCGAAGCACACGAATAAACTTGGTTTGTTGAGTTGGAACTTTCGATCCCTAGGTACCTCTCAACTGTTCTCTCTGTAGTATGCATTCTGGCGTATATTCAAGCTAGCTAGCTCAATCTGGGGGTCCTTGGTATACTTCTAATTTTTCACCCCCGCATGACGTCTACCCCACAGTTTCCCCCAACTGCTAACTGCTAGGAGGAATACTTACCTACATCCCTGGATATTCTCCAACGTCCAGAATCAGACAGATTCAAGAATTCTGAAAGTCAATTTATTCTCTAAATATACAATACCGTAAAAATGTATATCACATGAGACGAGTGAGGCCGTGGTTCAAGAAACCGACCGATGACTTGCAGGTGACGTCGATGGGGACCCGCCCTGCTTTGCTCTGAGCTCATAGAAGTTTACTTACACCCACAGAAAAGAGAGCACTTGGCGAGCTTGCTGATGATATAATAGGTATTTTCTTGACCGTATAGATATGGCCTGGTCGTGGTTTAATGTATACTTCTAGATGGAGTGTTAGAGCATAGTACAATCTCAATAAATGTAGAAAGAATTCCAGCCAAACGCCAGGAGATTGTAAGATGCAAGAATTAAACGAAGGAAAAGAATAAGAGGAAAACGGGTTTCTCATGCTCGCCGAGTCGAGTCCGAGCACAAGACGTCATCGGTGACTTACTCTTCCCCAACTACCTTTCTTAAACTCCCCTTTCAATCCCTGCTTGATTTGTTTTATTCTTCTTTCTATATTGCTACTGCCACTGCATACCTCAATCAAACTCAACAACCCAACTTCTTGTGCTTCACCATGTCGAAGAATCGCACCGGCCTCTACCTGGGCCTGGCTGCTGCCGGCGCCGGCGGATACTACATGTACCGGGCGGGCGGCAATGTCGGTAAAGCGAAGAAAGAAATGAAGTGTATGTTTTGCTTCTTCTCTCTTTTCTTTTCCTTGATGTTTCTGTTTCTGGCGATCATCTCATCTGACTATCTACCTGCATGTAGTCGACGCCGAAAAAGCCCGTGAGAAATTGCCCCATGGCAACGAGGCTGTGACCAAGGGCGAGGACGTGGGCAAGGAAGCGGGTGCTGCTGTTGATGAAGCTGTAAGTGGATTTTCATCTCTATGAGATCCTGCTACCATGCAAACTAACTCCTCTGTTTATAGATCAACAATGCCCGCACCAAAACCAAGCTCGATGAGCGTATCCCTGAAATCACCCAGGATGGCAAGAATAAGATCGATGAATTTCGCCAGGACACCAGGAACAAGATCAATGCTGGCGTCGACAAGGTTGATCGCACCGTCGAGCAAAAGGCCGCTGATGCTAAGGGTACGGTGTCTGGCTGGCTTGGAGGCAGGAAATAGGCGATTCAAGCCTGGCGGCTTTCTTTTCCTCTAGTCTTCCGGGCAGCGGCTTGATTCTTCCGTTTGGTTCCTTGATGTTGGCGCTTTGCGAGTTCTGTGGGTCTTTCTGATAATTTATCTTGATACGGAAAGAAATTATGGCATTGTCATTTCGGTTGTTCTGAGTAGTATAGTATGCCTCTTGGAGTGTCAGTCTCGGGATTCTATGAACATAGTACATAGTAGGCTGGGTGACACCCACAGCAATCTAACCACAAGCAAGTCGATATCCCGAGCATTCCAATGCCAGTCCATTACCGCAGTGACGAACATGCCAACCCCACTGGCACTTAACCAATGCTAGATCTCTTTTTTCTTTTTCTTTTTCTTTTTCTTCCCATCTTCTTTCTTTTTATTTTAAATCCGTGGTCATTAATATTGATACTGTCAACTGTTGAAACTCGACGCGCCAATTAATCCCAATCGGGTTAGACGTTTCTCAACGCGAACGCGTTCTCAACGCGACTCGCCTGCCAAAGTTCTCCTTCGTGAGATCCACCCATTGAACCTTCCTCCATTTACTTGTTCCATGATAATCTCGGTATCTCTTACCTTCACTATACTTCCAAGGTTCCTCTCAATTCCTCAGTCGCCATTTCCTCGCGATCTCCCTCGATCCACCTCTTAAACTGCAGCCGCCATGCCGCGTACCAGACAGAGCGGCCTTGCCCACGCCCAGCCGGCCATCCAGGGCTTTGCCAGGGCAACCAAGGCTGGAGTCACATCGCAGCTTCCCTCCAAAAACGCGTCTCTTCCTGTTTCCCCGTCCAAGAAGAGAAAGCTGCAGGAAATCGAGAACGTGGAAGGCGCGGATAACCGATCGACCCTCGAAGAAGCCGAGACGCCCTCGAAAACCCTGCGTCTGAACCAATTGTCTGTGTCCTCCCCACGCAGCGGCCACTATGCTTCGCCGAAACGAACCCCGAGTCGCCGGAACCGTGTGTCCGCCACCAAGAAAATCGATGAGGCGCCCTCTACCCCTGCAACCCCTTCCAAGCAGCGCACCCTGAATTTCCCCAAAACCACTCCCGTACGCGAAGGGCCCAACATCCTTGAACGGCCATCATGCTTCACGGAATTTCTGGATTTGCATTCCTCCTTTGTCCAGGCCCTGTCCATCCACGCAACCCACAATGGCTCAAACACCCCTGCGGATCTCCGAGAGTTCTTGACTAGCATCACCCGGATCTGGAAGAAGCGCAAGGTGCAGGCGAAGGACTTGCAGCGGCTCGTGTGGGTTTGGGACCAGAGCCTGATGGCCCGGCAGGTGTCGTACCGGCTGGCAAATTACGGACTCGGCAAGATCTGTCTGGAACGCACGGTGCAAACTGAAGAACAGCCCGCCACGTTGCAGGAGTCATTTGAGCAGTCTCTGGACTTGCAGTGGGAGAAGGCACAGGAGTCGCTCGATGGTGTTAATGCAGAAGACCGGTCGACTTTCTTCGTGGAGACGCTGGGTCTCGCCTCCATCCACGAGTCGCTCACTCCGTTCTCGTCATTCCAGAAGGGCCAGCAGCGTCTGCAGGATTTGAGGGGTGGCATTATCCGTCTCAAAACTGAGAAAATGCGCTCCGAGATGGAGGAGACTGTGGCCAAGCCCCTCGCTGCCCCGACCAACCGCCGCCAAGGACTCCTGGACCGTATCAAGCACAAGGAGCTGCGCCAGTCCAAGCTGCCTCCTCCACCGTCGAAAAAGGAGCTTACCCGTCGCTCGGCTGCAGACCGTGTTGAGGAAGTCGCCGGTATCCTGGCTCTGTTGCGCCCCGCAGGGTATGTGGGCACCGGCATCAAGGCGATGCTCGCCGCACAGCGCAAGCCGTTCAAGATCGAGACCATGGTCCAGCTGGTCCGCGATTCCGTCCGCAGCCCCATTCCCGCGGAAGAAGCCGAGATGTGCCTGGAAATCCTGGCTGAAGCCACCGTCGCCGGACACTGGATCAACATCGTCACCGTCAACCAGATGCGCTCCGTGGTGCTCAAGTCTTGCAAGGATGTCTCAGCCAAGGAAATCGGGACCAGAGTTGCCGGTCTCAAGGCCGAGTGGGACAAGTCTGGTTCCTGTGTACAGTCTCCGTTGTTTACGAGCCTGTGAAGGATAAACAGGAATTTGTTGGATTTTGTTGACATTGTTGGAGTTTTTCTTTCTTTTGTTTTTGGAGTTTCCATGTTCGATACCTCCCCGCAGAGCCGGTCTGCTCGCGGCTTTGCATCAGCGCTTGATACCCTGTACCTCAGCTTCCATGTTGATTAGCCTTTAGCTCTAGTACCTTAGCCACTACCTGTCTCTGGACAATACAATAATAATATTATCAAGAATTGATTGTTTTATTAAATGCCATCTTTCAATGCTTTGCCTGGGACAAATGCTCATATAAGTCCAATAGGCATCAAGGGTACAGATCTAGTCCACCCCCACAGCGGTGCACAGACAAACATTCAGGAATACGAGTATTCTTCTCGCATCTCCGACACGATGGTTGCAGCCGTATGTGCAAACTCAGCCTCGAGCCACGGTTTACACTCCCAATCCACCCAGTCCTCAAACCCAGCCGGGTCCCTCCACCGAAGAAGCGGCGAAACCTACTGACCGACAAAGAAGTTGATACTGAGCGCCACCTCGTCATCAGGTCGGCGATTGAACAGAGCATGACAGAAGTCGATAAACACGACGTGAGGCGTCTGCCCGTCCTCATTCGGCGTGCTGAGAATCATATTGCGGGGACAGCAGTCGCGGAGAAAAATATCCTTGAAGTAGATGAGACTTTCCAGCTCAATCACGTCTTTCATGATCTGCTGTCGCACTTGCTGGAATGAGGAGGAGGAGAAGAGGCGCGCGGATTCGACGCTTTGCATGTCTGTTCCTGCGATTTGTTCGACTAGGATCATGCGTACGCTCCGGACGGGGACTGGCTGGGTAGTATCTTTGGACTGGTGAGCGTGGGAGATGGGGATATCGAGAGAATAGGAGCCGTAATACCGAGGGATGCGGTCACCTTGGAGCTCGGAGAGATGGTGGTATGAGCGAACCTCGTGTGTGTAGTTTTGGTTCATGGCTAGAAAGGGATTTATGTAGTACTCGGCGTCGTCGTAATAGAGAGGATCGTAAACCTTGGCCACTAGTAGTTTTGTATCCAGTGCAGGAGAAGACCTTCTTGGAAATATCGTCTTTGATAAGGAAGGCTGTCCAGAATGAGATGTTTCTCGCAATTCTTGGACTGTGAGCAGCTGCGAATTGCAGCAATCTCCGACCCTGAGTAGATCGGTAATCTCGAGCTCGATGGTATCTGGGCCCATTTTGCCGGGCAGTGGGGGGTGTTGCAAGCACCGTTCTGTCGGAATCATTCTATCTCGTCGAAATCATTCTTCGCATATTTGCAACAACCGCTTTTCACTAGTGTCGGAGCTGGTGCCTCACGGGATAGCACGGTAAGCCCCCAGCCTCGGGTATAAGAGACTGGGGGTTTCGAAGGCGACCTCGACATCATGGCTGCTGTCGAGCTAGAACACCAGCTTGGACGATCATAGATCAGAACCCTCGAAATTTGAATGTCACCAAAGAAGGTTATGGAGTAAGTCTAGAACTTGAAGTGTATGTATTATGTAGCATTCCAACTCTGTCGAATATTCGAGGTATGCTAGGGAAGACTGAGCTGATATGGAAACAAAACGTCGACTACTCAACATGGATAATATAGACCCACGGGAAATCACCTTTAAACGCGTCGCGTCCCACGTGACCGCGTTGCCACACCGCGTCGCATCGCACTCCCAAGGTTCTCATCGAGCTCCCTGTGCATCTCTTTTTTTTTTTTTTTTGCAGACCAACCGGCATCATGTCTTCCCGGCCAGATTTGAAGGTATCTCATCATCTGAATTGCGTTGCATCTCCCCCCCCAAACAATCACTAATCAATGGACTCTGACAATAGGTCGACGACGAAGTCGGTTTCATTCGCTTTTACCGTTCACTCCCCACATCCGACAACAATGAGACCGTTCGAGTGTTTGACCGGGGTGAATTCTACTCGGCCCACGGTTCTGATGCCGAGTTCATTGCCCGCACCGTGTACAAGACGACTGCGGTGCTCCGCAACCTGGGCCGCAGCGAGACAGGCGGCCTGCCGTCTGTCACCATGAGCGTGACGGTATTCCGAAACTTCCTGCGCGAGGCTCTCTTCCGCCTCAGCAAGCGCGTCGAGGTCTGGGGGTCCGGCGGTACAGGCAAGGGGAACTGGAAACTCGTCAAGCAGGCCAGTCCCGGGAACCTACAGGATGTGGAAGAGGAGCTGGGCAGCGTCGGAGCATTGTCCATGGACTCGGCGCCGATTATCCTGTCGGTGAAGATCTCTGCTCGGGCGACGGAGGCGCGTAGTGTCGGGGTGTGCTTTGCGGACGCGAGCGTGCGCGAGCTGGGTGTTAGCGAGTTCCTCGACAACGACATCTACTCCAACTTCGAATCACTGGTTATACAGCTTGGTGTCAAGGAGTGTTTGGTGCAGATGGATTCCACGCGGAAGGATGTCGAGCTGGGCAAGATCCGCGCGATTGCCGACAGTTGCGGAATCGCCATCTCCGAGCGGCCTGTGGCGGACTTTGGAGTGCGTGATATCGAACAGGACTTGTCCCGACTACTGCGGGATGAACGATCGGCAGGCACTCTGCCTCAGACAGAGCTGAAGCTAGCCATGGGCTCGGCGGCGGCCTTGATCAAGTACCTCGGCGTGATGACCGATTCCACCAACTTTGGTCAGTATCAACTCTACCAGCATGACCTGTCTCAGTACATGAAGCTGGATTCTTCGGCGCTGCGTGCGTTGAACCTTATGCCCGGCCCGCGGGACGGGTCCAAGAGCATGAGCCTGTTTGGTCTGCTGAATCACTGCAAAACACCCGTTGGCAGTCGGTTGCTGGCGCAATGGCTGAAGCAGCCGCTGATGGATCTGGCCGCCATTGAGCAGCGACAGCAGTTAGTCGAGGCATTTGTGGTCAACACGGAGCTGCGTCAGAGCATGCAGGAGGAGCATCTGCGCGCCATTCCGGACCTGTACCGGCTGGCCAAACGTTTCCAGCGGAAACAGGCCAACCTGGAGGATGTTGTTCGTGTATACCAGGTCGCGATCCGTCTGCCTGGATTTGTCAGTGCGCTCGGGGATGTGATGGATGAGCAGTACCAGACGCCGCTGGAGGCGGAATATACGTCGAAGCTCCGTGGCTATTCCGATAGCTTGGCCAAGCTCGAGGAGATGGTTGAGACGACGGTGGATCTCGACGCCTTGGAAAACCACGAGTTCATTATCAAGCCCGAGTTTGATGATAGCCTTCGGGTCATTCGAAAGAAGCTGGACAAGTTACGGTACGACATGGACATGGAACACCGCCGGGTTGCGCGGGACTTGAATCAGGACATGGAGAAGAAGCTCTTTCTGGAAAACCACCGAGTACATGGCTGGTGCTTCCGCCTGACCCGTACCGAGGCCGGTTGTATTCGCAACAAGAAAGAGTATCAAGAATGCTCCACCCAGAAGAACGGAGTGTACTTTACCACGTCAACGATGCAGTCTCTCCGCCGAGAGCATGACCAACTGTCCTCCAACTATAACCGCACCCAGACCGGGCTTGTTACCGAAGTTGTCAACGTCGCCGCCTCGTACTGCCCCGTTCTGGAACAGCTCGCCGGCGTTCTGGCGCACCTCGATGTGATTGTCAGCTTTGCTCATGCATCGGTCCATTCTCCCTCGGGGTATGTCCGTCCGAAGATGCATCCCCGAGGAACCGGAAATACCGTGCTTAAGGAAGCGCGCCACCCGTGCATGGAGATGCAAGACGACATCTCGTTTATCACCAACGATGTCTCCTTGGTGCGCGACGAGTCGTCATTCCTTGTCATCACCGGTCCCAACATGGGCGGCAAGTCTACCTACATCCGCCAGATCGGTGTGATCGCGCTCATGGCCCAAACGGGCTGTTTTGTGCCCTGCACCGAGGCCGAGCTGACCATCTTTGACTGCATCCTTGCGCGAGTGGGTGCCAGTGACTCGCAACTCAAGGGCGTGTCGACATTCATGGCGGAGATGCTGGAGACGGCCAACATCCTCAAGTCCGCCACCTCGGAGTCGTTGATCATAATTGACGAACTCGGGCGTGGTACCAGCACCTACGATGGATTCGGTCTAGCTTGGGCCATCTCGGAACACATTGTAACCGAGATCCGCTGCTTCGGCCTCTTCGCCACGCACTTCCACGAGCTGACCGCTCTGGCCGACCGCTACCCGAAATCCGTACAGAACCTGCACGTCGTGGCATTCATCGGTGACGGGACCGAGCCCGATCCAGATGCTGAAGCCGACTTCCAGAAGAAGCGACAGGTCACCCTTCTCTACCGCGTGGAGCCCGGTATTTGCGACCAGTCATTTGGGATTCACGTCGCCGAATTAGTGCGCTTCCCCGACAAGGTCGTCAACATGGCCCGTCAGAAAGCTGAGGAGCTGGAGGATTTTACGTCGGCGACTGCTGAGAATGCTGATAAACAAGCACCTGCGCCCTCTATGGACAAGTACTCCCAAGAGGAGGTCGAGGAAGGCAGTACGCTCCTCAAGGAGATGCTGCTGAAGTGGAAGGCGGAGATCGAAGGCAAGGACCTGACATCGGAGCAAAAGCGGCAGCTTATGCGTGAACTGGTTCAGGCCGATGGCAAATTGCAGGCCAACAAAGTGTTTCAAGGGATTCAGGCTTTATAAGGAATTCATGGGATCGGCGTTCACGGAGGGCACGGTTTGAACAGGATTGATTTCGGGGACCATGTCCGAATTTTTTGTGCTCCAGCCAAAATATCTTATCAATGATACAACAATTGATCTTATTTCAGTACAAAAGCTCTCTATGTATAGAAATTATATCTCTATTTGACCCAGGTGCTTGTATGGTTTACATAGGTCAGGCACAGTCACGTGGGCTACCTTAAATGGGGATTTGTGATAGCTGCGAGCAGGCACCCGCAGACCGCTCCAGCTTTCGATGACTTTTTCTTCGCTTCATTCGTTTGAGATTGCAGTCGAATATTCCACATTTCGAATTCCAAGTTAGCGACCGCCTATTTCTGTCGAGAAACACCCTCATCCTCATCCAGCTATGCGCGTCAATTAACCGCGGTCCGCTGGAACCACCTTGATTCATGCACCCCTTTTCCATCCTCACCCTTGGGATCTTCGTTGCGGGTTATATCACCGCCAGGTGGGACCTTGTCACGCGTCTATACGAATTGGCTATCTTCGCGTGGGATCACGGCGTCGTGGTATGTTTCCTTGGAGTTGGGATCTTGCATCACCCCTCCGCCACACCAACTCGCTCTCTCGACGCGTGTCACCTCCGCTTCTGTGCTGACACCAGTAACTTAGACACGAACTGCTAAAGGATTCCTTTTCTTGTCCGTCTTCTTCTTCCTCTTGGTGCTGCCCATCAACCATTTTGCGACGCGCGAGGGCCAATTGGTGAGCCCACCCCCAAACCCGACACGGTCCCCGGACTAGGAGACCTACGTTGAGAATTGGAGATTTTCTGCAGACATCTGTGCTGATTACCTGTGGGATATAATTAGCACCCGCGCCACGTGAATCTGGGCGTCTCCGCGCGGGAACAATTGCGTCGTCGAGGTTCGTTCTGAGATCCCGGTGGAGGATGACAACATGCTCATGAGCGATGGGTTGTTGCGGGTATTTTGGCCATATGATCTCCCGCGGTCTTCGGCGCCAGGTGTGATTGTCGGGTGGCGGAACTCGGAGCTTGATCTGTTCGTGCTCACGGTACTGGAAGATGTCGAGGTGGGTGGACTCCGTTCTAGCATGTCTGATAATCTGGGATAAAAACTGAGTGAAATTTGGTTTGTTTCAGCCCCGAAATGTCGACAATGCACTCCGCGCGGGGATTCTCTTTCGAAACAGCCCGCACCCGATTGTGCGCATCTTCGGCCTCTGTGGACGGTCTCAGATGCATGTTCTCGGCTCGACCAATCCTCTGGAACCTCCAAGATCGTTCAATCCCTCTCATCTCCATGTGACTACGCATCCGCCATCCAAGGCACCCCGCATATTCTGTCCGCCAGAGGCGAATCTGTCTGTTCAGGTAATCATGTTTCAGCGGCCGCACCCGACACGCATGGAGTATATGTCTCTGGACCCGATTTCCCTTGCGTTGGGAGATAAAGCGACAACGGCAGAGATATGGGACCCAATGTCAGACAAGATTGAGTCAGAAGAAGAGAGGGAGAAGGCCCGGTCCCAAGTCCTTGTTGAGAAACTCAAGCTCCACACGGTGGTCAAGCACATACCGTCGCAGAAAGAACAAGCTCTCCCCTTGATCGTCAACCAAGTCAACTGTGCCTATGAGATGGGACAGCTCATGCACAAGAACAGCCACCTTATCGGTATCCGTGCAAAGAGAAGTATGAGTGTCGGGGAACGTGTGGTGGAATCTGCTACGACCTTGTGGGGTCTTTTTGTCCTCTGCGTCTCCTACGTTTTTGGGGGTGGATTTGGCCGATTGTCACCCGAATCTTTGTCATTGGGCTCGTGGGTCACCGATCAGTCGCTGAGCTCGTCTTGCAGTTTCTCGAGTGGCGCGCTCGACCCGACGCGGCTGCTCTCAAGGATATTTCGGCAACTGCCCAGCAAGTTGATATCCGGCTGCAACAGTTTTGTTACTGGCCGATTCAATATGTTAAGCTTCGCCAGAGAAAAGATAACTGGGAGAGTGTGACTACCAGCCACCCGGACTACATTCGATTCTATAACAGTCTGTGGCTCGTCGCCAACGACGTTATTATCGGGATTGCTCTTGGATCCTACATCATTGACAATGCCCACTGGGTGGCTTCTCAGATCAACACGATTCTCACTGGATGGACTGTGGAAGGCTTGCAGCGCACGATTTCATGGCTCATGGACTGGCCCGCTGGTCTGAAACTGAACAATGAGCTCGCAGCATTCCTAGGTGACCTGTTCCTCTGGGTCATCGAGAACTGGGCAGGTAAGCTGTCTGTATCCATGGAGGGGTTGTCTAGATACTGACTGGGATACAGCCTGCATTGCCAATCTCCAACCCTACCTTCCTAACATCATCTATATCGTCGGGTGTTCGAGCTTCGCAGGAGCCAGCATGCCGATCGCACTTTTCTCCGACCTTCTTTCCATCCTGACCGTGCATATTTACTCCTTCTACATTGCCTCCGCCCGCATCTTCAACTGGCAGCTTACCATAATTATCTCTCTGTTTCATCTGTTCCGCGGCAAGAAGCGGAACGTCCTCCGCAACCGAATAGACTCATGCGATTACGACCTCGACCAGCTATTGCTGGGCACTATCCTTTTCACCGTCCTCTTCTTTCTCCTCCCCACTGTCGTCGTCTTCTACTTGACCTTTGCCTCAGCCCGGATGTTGATCATTTCCATGAAGGCGACATTTGACACCTGTCTGGCGTTCCTGAACCACTTTCCGCTGTTTGCACTCATGCTACGCGTGAAGGACTCGCGCCGGCTACCCGGGGGCATCCGGTTCGATCTTCGAGATTACCCTGACAAGTACTCGGCCCACACGGACTCCATTGCCCGGGTCTCCTACATTCATCTCGAGGTTGGTTCTGCAAAATTTACAAACTCGTAAGTCATTCATGCTGATTTATATCGCTCCAGTCAATCCCTCTCCCGCTACGGGCAATGTTCGACCAGTATTTCCAGCTGGGCCACCGCCTCCGCAAACACTATTTGTCTCCGCGGGTCATCTTCTGTCTTGTCACCGGCCGCTTCGTGCCCCCCATCCATCGCCGCAACTTGTATAGCATGCAGTACAGCATGCTGCCAGCTCGCCGGGCCGGCATGGCCGAGGTGTGGGCGCTGCTGACCCAGCCCAAAAAGAGTGGTGGCAGCGGTGGCAGTGCGAGCTCCATGGTGGGAGGCATGGGCACTTTGGGGGGTCCGTTGCTGAAGGTTCCACCGAGTTTCGGCCAGGGCGATGCTCGAAGACGTGGTCATCGCTGACGCCAGGTACCAGGACTGGCACCTGAGTATATACTTTATATCTAATTTTTATTGTCTGGAGGCTTTGTTATCGTTGTCTTTGTTGTAGTGCCTGAAGCCTGTTGGTATCAGTTCAGTAACTTCCTATAAGCTTGGCTAATATCCCAGTACTTCTAAAGGAATGTTTGGGAATGAGAACACTCTTGGCCTGTAGATCGAGTCTCGCACATAGCATTTATCTTATTGGGAAAGGGAACGGCCAAACTGAAATGAATAGTGGACCTGGTTATGTCGGCCAGGATTACTACTTTGACAGCAAACACGCATCCCCCATTCTTAATGATTTCTACTATATCCATGGAAATCCCCTCACTGTTTGCTTCTTCGATGGCTAAAGCATCATGTGATCTGTGGTATATAGGCATTGTTTCCAGCTCTCCCGGGCAAACATCCTCTTCTTCCTTCTTGTTCTCTCCTGGGCCTCCTTTCTACGATTATCCTCCTTCTTTTTGCGTTGTATTTTTGATATATCTTCTACTTTCTTGATCCACACTGCTATATGCCTTCCTCTCATCGTTCTCTACCTTGTTTTCTTTCTATCACCCTTGAGGCACCTGAAATGATCCGTCACAATCGCACGCGTCAACGTACTTGGTCGAATGGACCCCAGCACAGTCCTTCCAAGGACACCATGTCTTGAATGTTCGTATCCAGGCGACAAGAGAAAAGAGATGTTTGTGTTAACTAGCCCTACAGCTACAAGTGGACAGTATTTCCGAAGTCAAAACTTGGATAATCCTGTCGATAAAACACAATCCAGTGGACTTGTGACAGAGCTCACAGGGGAAGCGGTGGATCTTCATATTTACTCCTGCGAGTGCTTTTGGCAGCTTCCATGCGTTCCTCCAGTCTATTAGAGCCCCTTCTTCAACGTCTTACAAGTTTGAAACACAACCTCGACTCACAACCCATGGAGATTCGAGATTTTTGCTATCTATCTTACAAGTGATAACCTCTTCTCCCGGAAAAAGATCTTCGGCTGGTCACTCAGTTGAGTACCTGGAGGATTATCGCCTTCTTAATCACAAGCTGGTCGATATCAACACCTACTCTACTATGTCTCGGGACGATACCTACAAATGATCTGGGACAAATCACCCTTCCTTGCATTAAGTTGTTTCTCGAACACAACAAGCTAGTCAGCACGATGTCAACGACGACCATCGGGGTTTGCTCAACCTCCACTGAATCAGACCTGATGGAGCTCTACCAGATCAGTCTCTGGGGGTTATTTCGAAGAGAGTACATCCTCTGAAGGAAACACCCAGAAGAGCACTGAATCCTGTTGAAACCCAAAACATGAGATATTCTCCCCATCTAATACAGCAAGGAAAACGATTACAACTTCAATGTCTACTGGACGAGGAGATGTCAGAGTCTCAGGTCTTCGCCTGCCACATGGGTCGACCACCCTCTCTATTGTGCGCCGGACTGTCCTGCCATGGTATGTTGCCATCAAAAATGACCATTAACAATTGGATATTTTGGGATGAGGCACATGGAGCGAAATGGTTAGCGCGTATCGCGACTGCCTCCCTGTGGAAGCAACGCCTTTGAGACTGACAAGCAAACGGGATGGACAAATCCAGTCTCTTTCTCTGCTGCCATGCAACGGAAAGGACTCATTTCCGCTTCTAATGCATTGGCGGGGTGCGCCAGGTGGGATTCATACCACGTCTAAGAGCTGGACACCGTGCTCGGAGGAAGCGGCGATGCCGCAGCAAACCACTTAAAAAGGTGGCGAGACCATATATTCTCTCGCTTTCTCTGATGCTTCGGCCGAACGGTGAAAGCAAAAAAGGAATGCGTTGGAAGGGATTCTTTCTTTCAAGAAATCGACTATATACGTCAGAGTCCGGAAAATTATGGCGGTAGCGAGGGCGCGGATGATCATAGCTGAAATGGCGCGTTCTCGTCGCTCAATGCAAACCAGAGGCTGTTTCGACCCGTCCCTTGCCGCAAACCAGCCAAAGACAACGAAGCCGCTCATTATACAGCCCCAAGAACTTCGGAGCCAATCTGAAATGCCGGATGCTTAGCCAACCGCAGTGAACTATGGCTGCTACAAAAGACCATGGAGGGGGCAGCGGAAATTCCAGCGCACTGAGCTATATCATATAGTCGCAGGTTAATGCCGACTTTTCCGATATGCCGACGAGGCGGAAATCCAGACTCGAAAGCATGTCTATACTCGCAGCATGAGTTGCAGCATGATCCCTGATAACAGCACACGCCTACAATCCTTGGGGGGCATTGCAGAGACCTTCAAATGAGTGGAGCTGCCATGGACCCAAACATTTGGGGCAACATTCCATGTTCAGCAATGATCACTTGCAACCCCGGCTTAAGCCAGGGTCAAATGATGACCAGCTGCTGTCTGTCAACTTCCGAGCGTGAACAAAAGAGGGACTACAGGACACTTGCCAACTCGCTTTTGTGGATTCGATCTCGAGCGATTAGTGCTAGGCAGTTTCTGAATCTCCTATGGGCCTCCCTCTCATCTCACAAGCCTTGATCCGATCTGAAGAGGAAAAAGCATATGCCCTTAGTTATCTCAAAGCAGCATAGTTTTCTTGTCCCCGTTACAGACTCGGTAGATGGTCTGGGGGGAAGAAAAATTTCAAAGAGGTCTTTGATACTGGCATCACGACTGTTGGACAAGCACAGAGGGTGTGTTATTTTGGGTTCTCTTTGAAAGAGATGTAAACCTACATCTTCCTGACTTGGCCCAAGTGATATATCAAGTACAGGACCGACAGCGACACATCGTGTGGTCTGTCTTACCCTATAGAGTTACAGAGCATAAGTTCGATGAGAAAATGAGAAAACCATTAAAGACATGAAAATAAATTGATGAAAACAAAACTGAGAAGCAATGAAAAATGTATAAGAATATTCAAGGATAGGTGTCGTAACCGATCAAAAGGTCGGAATCAACCTAGAGTGCCTGGATAGAATGATTTGAGAGAAGATTGAGGAACCACACTTTTGTTTCCTTGGATAGAGAATATAGATTAGTATAAAGATATGGTAAGTACACAACGCTTTTGAAATGCCCAAGAATTCCAAAACGCCTACCCATCTCGATCTGCATGGGAAATGCATGCCAGCGCTAAAAAAGAAAAAATGGCGCCACTCATCCGCAGAGGTGAGATATCTCGGGATATATTTTCAATACTAGAGCCCGTCAAGACTTCCTCAGAAACTCTGCGTCAGTCTCACTGCTGCTCTTGCGGGCATCGTCTAGCATCGAGTCAATGCCCTTTTCCTTGAGGATTTTCTACACCATATAGAATAACTCCTTGTTAGTCATGTTGGTCCCAGATATGAGAAGAAAGATAGATACAACTCACGTTTAGACACGACTTGTACTTGGTGAAGAGTGCCTCGCAGTCATTCGAGGTGGTGTTGCCACGCAGATATTCTGGACTATGAGTCAGCGCCAACTGCTGGTAACAAGTCATGAAAAGCTTAGAGACTTACTCTCACTGTACCACTTGAGGAAACAGGTGTCATATTTCCTATATCCATGCCATGTCAGTGGTTGTGGCCGCGTAGAATCCGAGAGGCGATGGGCGTACTCTTTGATCTCGTTGCACTCGGGGGCGATTGAAGCAGCCATTTTGAATAAAAGACTCTCTCTCAAGAGTTCTAGATGCAATCCTGGTATGTTCTGAGAAAGACTAGTCCAACCCCAAGGGAAGATTTTCTGGCAGAGAGTGAAACAAACGAGACAAGTGGTTCTGAGATCCGCGGGCCATACAAACCCCCGGCCCGTTGGGGTAGGCGGTCAGAACGGTTGGCCGGTTCTCCACCCACTTTTTTCTGCGCGATTCTTGCGATTCTTTTTCTTCTGTTCGAAGCTCTGCCAATATGGAATCTGCAGAGTTTGCGCCCTTCCAGGACAAATTGACGTCTACCCTGGTGCAGGTGACACGCACCGTGGGTCAGCTCTCCTCGGAAGACCTGAACTTTCACCGTTCCTCCAGCACCGAGTTCTCCGAGTCTCTCGATGAGCAGAGCGAACGGGTCCTGGCTTTGACTACGGCTGTGCTCAAGGCTGCTACTGCTGGCACCGATGTCAAAGCCCCAGAGATCAGCAATGAGGAATTGATCGAAGATAATTGGCGGGGCGTGGTGGATGTGATTGATTCGCTGTTGGAGAAGGCCGATGCTTGCTTGGATGAATTCACCGGAGTGATCAAGAAACTCAGTCCGTCGCAGGAGGAGCAGGCACCCGTGGTGAAGAAGACACCCAAATTTCCCACCGTCTATGACTATGGTCCCTCCAAGATCCCCAAGCCGCAATTGCTGTTCGAGCGCAAACCCGACAACACCGGCACGAGCTCCTTCCGACCTCTTCTCAGAACCAAGCCTCATGCTATTGTGCCGCTGGAGGAGTCGTTGCAGAAGCAACAGGCGGATGGTGGCCACGCTCACCCCTATGAAGCCGAGATCCGTGCCGCCCGGTACCCGAAATCGGTCTACAAGGTCTCACCGCCGATCGACTACAAGCCTTTTGACTCTACTACGGCTACGTTTGTGGATACATTAGATGGTGTTAAGGAGATGTTGGGGGAGCTAAAGTTGGCTAAGGAGATCGCGATTGATTTGGAGCATCACGATGTGCACTCCTACCACGGCCTTGTCTCGTTGATGCAAATCAGCACTCGCGACAAGGACTGGGTCGTCGATACACTGAAGCCGTGGCGAGAAGAATTGCAGATGCTGAACGAGGTGTTTGCCGATCCGCGGATCCTCAAAGCCCTTCACGGATCCACCATGGATATCATTTGGTTGCAGCGTGATCTGGGCCTGTATGTGGTCGGGCTGTTCGACACGTTTCATGCAGCTTCCGCACTGGGTTACCCAAAGCGGAGCTTGAAATATCTGCTGGCTAAGTTTGTCAACTTTGAAGCCGACAAGCGGTATCAGATGGCCGATTGGCGAGTCCGTCCGCTTCCATCTGGCATGTTCGACTACGCACGATCCGACACGCATTATCTCCTTTATATCTACGATCATCTACGTAACGACCTAATTCAAACATCGACGCCCACAGAGAGCCACATTGATTACGTTCAGGAGCGCTCAAAAAACGAGGCGCTGCAGCGGCATGAACGTCCTGTATATGACGCCGAAAATGGTTATGGCCCGGGAGGCTGGTATGACCTGCTGTCACGGAATTCGGGGACTCTCAGCCGAGAACAGTTCGCTGTTTTCAAGGCTGTCCACCAGTGGCGGGACGAGGTTGCACGAGCCGAAGATGAGGGCTGGCAATGCGTATTCCCCAAGCACGTCCTCTACAGACTGGCCCAGACGATGCCTCTTGATCTGGGGACCCTCTTTCGAACTCTGTCACCCGTGACCCCCATCACCAAGGAGCGGGCCCCGGAACTCTTGGATGTCATCAAAAACGCAAAGATTGCCGGTGCTACCGGCCCCGAATGGCGCGACGTGGCGCCACCGCCCAAGATCATTGCAAAGGATCCGCTGGCCGTCGACGCGGAGGATGTTGACTTCCCTGTCGCCGAGCGCTACGAGACCTCCCAATTCTGGGGAGATGTCCTCGAAGCACAGGAAGCGCCTGTGCCGCCGTCATACTCGCTGGCTGCATCAGCAGAAGCTTTGCGGCTTTCCCTCCCCTTGCCACGCATGCCATCAACCGTCTCTGAGGCTCGGGCAAAGCTCGGCACCGCAGCAAACAACAAGCCTGCACCGGCTCCCGCACCGGCTCCTATCTCTGCCCCGGCACCTACAGCCCCTCCAGTGGAAGATAAAGATACCAAACAAGTTTTCACTGTGAAAGAGCTTGGCGGTCCACGCAAACGCAAAGTCACCCCAGCAGGCCCATCAGAGCAAGCGCTGTCAACATCCGATGCCGTGGACGACACAAGTAACAATTTCAACTCCGAGGCTGCCGAAAAGCAGCACAAGAAAGCACGCAAAGAAAAGAAGACCAAGAAGGCCGCCCCGTCCGGCACTCAGCCTGAACCCGAGGCAGCTCCGTTCGACTATGGTACCGCCGACTCAGTACTCCATGCGCCCTCTGCCACCTCAAGTACCAAGCCACGCAAACGGCCGTTCAACCCGTATGCCAAGGCGTTGGATGCTCCCTCGGGGTTGGGCAAGACGAAACGAGAAACGGGGGCAAGTCTCTTACGTTCCGCAAGTAAGGGGAGAGACTGCTAGTTTTGGATGCTTTGGGATTCTTCTTTTGGTTCTTGCGCTGCAAAAAGCATGTTTTTGGTTGGGGGATTGGATGATTTGGTTCTTGTTTCTTTGCAAGCATAGCGATACCCGTGCGTCTGAGGCCCTGGGATTTCATTTGATGTATGTTGTACCATATGCCACCTCTTTTGGTAGACATCGACTGTAGTCTAAAAAAGCTTGATTGCAGCTGCACTTCTATATTCTTCGCGTTCACTAGAGTATTACTAGAGTAATTTGTATGCTGGGGTATACCAGCATAAATGGAATCATTAGGGCTAGGTGGATTAATTCTCAGCTGGGCTGAGGAAATATGCTATCATAGAAAAGACTACTTCGCCATGTTCACTACAGTCTAGATCACCACTAACTTGATCTTGATATATCGAGAGCTCAGATGTGTATGAACTTAAGAGTACAAGCCAAGACCTGAACTAGTGGCTTTCCTCTATGCCAAGAAAGACGAAGAGAAAGTCAAGCATTAAAGAGACAAATAAGGGAGTTATCACTAACTCTTAGCTTCATTTCCAAGTGTATAACCCCATAAGCCGAAGTGCGGGCGGGCAGTTATGATCTTGCAACGTCGTAAGAGAGAGAGAGAGAGAGAGAGAGAGAGAGAGAGAGCGGATATCAAGCGGAGAACAAAAAAAGACATACGGATAAGTGGCGGGTCGGATATCTAAACTGATTTCCTATAAAAACACAAGAAGCAAACCGTCAACGCCAAGAATCAGTCCCAGCATTTATAATTAGGAAAGAAGCCGTGCCATGCTCGTAACCCCAGATCAGCTCTCCCCCGCCTCTCTCGCTCTCTCCATTCTCCGAATCGCGGGGAAAGAAGACCTCATGGCTGCGAGAAAGTCTTGGCCCTCCACCACCGACATCGAATGAGAAGCATCTTCTCCATGAGCTAGCCTGTAATTAACCTGTGGCTAACCTGGTAGACAGCCGAGCTTGTCGCTCAGGGCCCTCTTTTTCCGAATGTCTGCTCGGTTGGGGCTCTTCTCCGCATTGCGCGAGGGTTCACTATATAGACATGATCTGACGCACCCTGCACATGCAACTTTGCTTCTTCGTCGTTTTCGTGTTCCTTTTCTCGACTCTGCTCTGCTCTGCACAGGAGACAAACTTGCAAACTAGTGTGCAGTTCGCCAATCATGTCTCAGCTTCCGCCAGCCGATGACAAGTATACCAAGTCGGACCATGTGGAGGACTGCAACAATGTGACTATCATCGATGATTTCCAGGTGCTTGGGCTGGCGGCCGATGATGCAAACTTCTATCGCGAGTTCTCGGCGGAGAGAAGGAAGAAGGTATTGCGGAAGGTAAGGGAACAAGCAGATACTCTCGGTCTCAGCATTGATGTTGGAAGAGCAAGAAAGAAACTTACATTCCTTCAGGTTGATATACGACTTGTCCCCATGTTATCCATTCTATACCTCGTCTCTCACCTAGACCGAGCCAATATCGGGAATGCAAAGATCGCGGGACTCACAGATGATTTGGGTCTAAGTGGAATCCAATACAACATCGCACTGAGTCTTTTCTTCATTCCATATGTCCTGCTCGGTGGGTTCCTTGCGTGCTTCAACTTGCTTTGATGCATCCAACTAACTCGGTCAAACCAGAGGTGCCGAGTAACATGCTGCTCAAGAACTTCGCCCGGCCGTCGGTCTACCTGGGAATTCTTGTTATCTGCTGGGGAATCATCATGACCCTGACGGGAGTAGTACAGAACTTCGGCGGACTACTGGCCGTGCGCATTTTGCTGGGAATCTTTGAGTGCGTCCATTCACTCTCTACTCCTTTGAACAAGTTATTCTCATACTAATCCATGAAATATAGGGCTGGCTTCTTCCCAGGTGCCGTGTTTTTGTGCTCCTTTTGGTATATGCCCCGAGACCTGGCCACCCGCATAGCTGTCTTCTACTGCGCCAGCGCCCTGTCGGGAGCATTCTCTGGCCTGCTAGCTGCTGGAATCGCCAAGATGGATGGCATCGGCGGCTACCACGGCTGGCGGTGGATTTTCTTGCTCGAGGGTCTGGCCACGGTTGTCCTAGGCGTGCTATGTTTCTTCCTTTTGATCGATGCGCCCCGGTTCTCTGGGAAGTGGTTGGATCCAGAGGAGATCCGCTACTTGGAACTGCAGCATGTTATCAAGGAGGGAGGTGCGTTCAAGGATGAGAAGAAGAAGACTTCGTGGAAGGATGTTCGGGCTGTGATGTTGAACTGGAGGATGTATTTGCTGGCTTATATTCTGCTGTGCCAGTCTGCCTGTTCTTATGGTAGTCCCCCCTTCCCAAATCCCTTCTTTTCTCTTTGTCTTTCTCCATGCTAATTTTCTAATTTTCTAGGAACCAAATTCACTCTTCCGACAATCACCCGAGGCATGGGCTTCCAAAACACAAACGCCCAGCTAATGACAGTCCCGCCCTACGTAGCGGGCGCCATCTCGGCCATCTTCTTCTCAAAACTCTCAGACCGGTTCTACTGGCGCATGCCATTTGTAGTAGCCCCGCTGCTCCTCGTCGTGATCGGCTACGCAATCATCATCGGACTACACGGCGAGCTAGAAGCGAACCTCGGACCGGGCTTCTTCGCCATCATCCTCACCTGCATGGGCATCTACCCGACACACCCGGCCACAACGTCATGGACTATGAACAACCTGGCGCCGTCGAGCCGGCGCGCCATCGGCAGCGCGTTCAATATCTGCGTGGGCAATATCGGCGGCATCATCGGGAGCTATATGTACCTTGATCGTGAGGACCCGACCTATCCGACGGGCTTCGGCTTGTCTCTGGCCTTTGGGGGCTCGGCGCTGCTGGCGGCTGTTGTGCTGGAGGTTTCGTTTATGTGGGCGAATCGGCGCAAGGATGCGTTGAGTGAGGTTGATGTTCGGGAGAGGTATAGTGATGAGCAGTTGTTGGAGATGGGGGATGAGTCGCCTCTTTTCAAGTATACGTTGTGATGTATGCAGATGGATGTGTTTGCTGAAGCGAGCAGACAAGTGAATCTATGATATGGTATTGGCATGACTCATGAATGCATATACTGTACGATCAGCTCGAGTGTAGACTAACTATTCTAATTTTTGGTGATTAATCCTAGTACACTGTACTGACTCGGGTAGTAAATCATGAGGTATTTACTGGATGCGAGGGCCATGTCGATCTATGAACGGTTGCACAGGTGTGGAGAAGAATTGAGATCGACCTGGGCGATGCCATGGTGGACACCCTCGGTTAGGTTTTTAGCACGACTAGCTATGGCCATTATCTGATAATGTTGACGCTTCTTCTATGTCGGTGGATTGTAGTACACCCGTATATCCTTGACATCCTCGTCTTGGTATAGGGCTAGCCAGTGAAGTATCAAAGTACTATAAACCCACCAGCGATGTCAATCGACATTATGACTCCCGCATGGACCATCTCAAAGGTTGATTCAAAAGGCAAATCCACTTCGACGGGATCTGCTCGACCTGCAGGACCCAAAAGAGGTAGAGGCCACAGCCGATCTCGCTCGGACCAACACCGGGTTGGGGGGGCAGGGGCGATCCTCTTTTTTTTTTTTTCTCTATGTGGCACTTCTGTAGGCACCCGACGGGAGGAATATCCCTCAGACTCTTAGACTAGTAAGCGTACATCCAGGTACATACGGGAATCCCCCGCGGGACAGGGGCAAAAAAAACAGACGTGCAACTGATCTGCGACGGCACTTGGCGCGTTTCATGAATTATGGTTGCATATGGCCCGTGTGGGATGATCATGGCTTTTGATTGATTTATAATAGTAATAACAATATAATTTATTATGATTATTTTACGTGAAGGGTATCTCGATGTTGCATCCTGCGCCACGCCCGAGAATGTGCATGGGGGGTCCACCGCATGGGTTTGATGGGTGCACAGCATAGGGGCGATCAGGGGTTTGAACACTAACAGAGGGACATGCAAGTGTCCCTGTGCATTAAGCGTTCCCTCATTTCCTGTGGAGGGAACTCTCTCGAGTCTCCATCCCGAGTCCCACCGGCTCCACTCTGGTGCGCCTTTACCCCTGAGTTGAGTGAGCACTGACCAGGGAAATGGAGAAGGTTGCGGGCATAAACCAAGACAAAAACAAGAAGAAAAAGCAAAGAGAGACCAGTTTGCCCTGGGTATTATTTCCCCCGCATCGAGGCAAACTTTGAGAGAACTCTGTTGAGAGAGATATACTTTGTGAATATCGTGAATATCATGAATATCATGAGTCGTCTTCATTTCCTTTGACTTCTGGGATCTTCCGAGTCGATCCCATGCTGCAGATGTCGGGAAGGTCACGTCTGAGACATTCTGATAGTGGATGTCATTGACTGCAACCCACCTGGACAGACACAAAGGAATGAGGTCAGGGCTGAGATTCGGGGAGGGGACAAGGTGATAAGCAAACATCCATGGATGGTTTCCCGCAGAATCCCCGAATCAACCTGACACCTCTCTGTGAGGAGAGTCCATATCCCTGATATATCCCTGAGATGGGCACATGGACGTCTCGTGGACCACAAGGCAACCCTGTGTACTTCGGATGCAGTACCGATGCCCCTGCAGAGAGACCAAGACATACTCTTTTTAGGGAGGGTTGGTATGTACGTGTCACACGCCGTTCTGACGTCAAGAAAGAAAAGAAAAAAACAAAAGAAATTGAGAAAAAAAAAATCTCCAAGTCCGAGTCCTCCCCACTTTAGTTTCCTAGGGACCGTGAACAAGGGAACCTTGGGAAATCCGGGAGATACAGTGGCAAATCCCAGGGGTAGCCAGGCACCTGGATAGAGAAGAAATGGAATAAGAAAAAGAAAAGAAGAGGGAACACATCGAGAGATAGAAAGATAAAGAATAGAGAAAGAGAAAGATAATGCAGAAGAGAGAGAGAGAGAGAGAGAGAAATAATCTGCCTCCCTTGCATGCTCCGCCCTAACACAATTAATAGTCTGCCCCCCTCCTCGATCCTTCACTCTTACTCTTATTCTTCTACTCTACTCGTCTACTTGTATCTTTCGATTCCTTTTTCTTATTTGTCTTCTTCTGTTCTTGCGCTCTCTCTCTCTCTCTCTCTCTCTCCATTCCACCGAATTGCATCCTCTTCCCTCGAATACTCTATCTCCCCATCGATAAGCTACGCCGGTCAGGGGTTCTCGGGAATTCCTGTGAAAATTCCCGTCACATTCTCTTTTCGCGACTAGTCGCCATCGAGTCCTCGGTGCGCTCGGCATAATTTGCCTTGACGTGATTAGCGTCCCACACAATGTCCGTTGCGACGATGCTCCAACCTGCATCCAGAGCATCCAGAGCATCTTCGTCTTCCTCGTCCTCGTTTCAGCCCATCGCACGTCAGAACACCATGTCGTCCCACGATACTCGGTCGCTTCGCCAGTCGAAGCGCATGTCGGTCACTGCGCTCTACCTGTCCATGTCCGCAAAGGACAGGGATTTGGAGATTTCAGATGACTTGGCTCGCGGTACGTGCGGATGTATCTCCCGCTCGTGTCACTCCTACTGACTCCTCCGCCAGCGCAAAAACACCTGCGGGAATTGAAGTCGAAGATCTCTTCGCAATCCAAGAAGAATTTCGTTCTGGAGAAAGATGTGCGATACCTCGACTCGCGGATAGCATTGCTTATCCAGAACCGCATGGCCTTGGAAGAAGTAAGGAACTCTTTTTTCTCTCCCTTTTTCTTGATTCCACAACTCCCCCACTTCATCCAACTCACATGTTTTCTCTAGCAAAATGAGGTGGCCAGCCATCTCGACGACACAGCGGACCCCCAGGAGGGGTTCTTCCCCAATGACGAGCGAACCCAGAAATACGGCAACCTTCTGTTCTTGCTGCAGTCGGAACCTCGCCACATCGCTCATCTCTGCCGACTGGTGTCTATGGCCGAGATCGATTCGCTCCTGCAGACCGTCATGTTCACCATCTACGGAAACCAGTACGAAAGTCGCGAAGAGCATCTCCTGCTCACCATGTTCCAGTCCGTCCTCACCTACCAGTTCGATAATACCCCCGAATACTCGTCCCTGCTGCGCCAAAACACCCCCGTCTCTCGAATGATGACCACCTACACGCGCCGTGGTCCCGGCCAGAGTTACTTGAAACAGGTCTTGGCCGATCGCATCAACTCTTTGATTGAATTGCGGGACGTTGATCTCGAGATCAACCCCCTGAAGGTTTATGAGAGCATGGTGAAGCAGATCGAGGAGGAAACTGGCTCGCTGCCGGATTATTTGGCCCGGTCGGTGACGGCCGAAGATGCCGCCGACAATGCGCAGGTGCAGGCCATTATCGCTCCGCGCCTCAAAATGCTGACGGACATTGCGAATGGATTCATCACCACCATCATCGATTCGGTGGATGAGGCTCCGTACGGTATCCGATGGATCTGCAAGCAGATTCGCAGTCTGTCGCGTCGCAAGTACCCGGACGCCCAGGACCAGACCATCTGTACCCTGATCGGCGGGTTCTTTTTCCTGCGCTTCATCAACCCTGCCATTGTCACCCCGCGATCCTACATGCTGATCGATGCCACACCAACCGACAAGCCCCGCCGGACTCTGACGCTCATTGCGAAGATGCTGCAGAACCTGGCCAACAAGCCCTCCTACGCCAAGGAGCCTTACATGGAGAGCCTGCAGCCATTTATACAGCAGAACAAAGGGCGGGTCAACAAGTTCCTGCTCGACCTGTGCGAAGTGCAGGATTTCTATGAGAGTCTGGAAATGGACAACTACGTGGCTCTGTCGAAGCGCGACCTTGAGCTGCAAATCACCCTCAATGAGATGTACGCCACGCACTCCCTTCTCGAGAAGCACTCCGCGGCGCTGGCCCAGGATCAGTACTCGCACCTCTCTATGCTGCTGCAGGAACTGGGCAGCGCCCCGCCACAGGTGCCTCGGAAAGAGAATCGGACCATCACGGTGCCCCTGTTCAGCCGATGGGAGACAGCCCTGGATGACTTGACGGCCGCGCTGGACATCACCCAGGAGGAGGTGTTCTTCATGGAGGCCAAGTCGACTTTCGTCCAGATTCTCCGGTCTCTGCCCCCCAACTCCTCGGTCGCTCGTCGGCCACTGCGACTGGATCGCATCGCCGAAGCTGCCGCCACTCTGAAGAATGATGCTGTCATGGTGCGGAAGGGCATCCGGACGATGGAACTGCTGAGTCAACTGCAGGACCTGGGGGTGATTGACCGCTCCGACGAATTTAGCCTCCTTCGGGACGAAGTGGAGCAAGAGTTGGTGCACCTCGGCTCGCTGAAGGAGAAGGTGTTGGATGAAACGCGGAAGTTGGAGGAGGTCTTTTCCACCATCCGTGATCATAACGCCTATCTGGTGGGCCAGCTGGAAACCTACAAATCCTATCTTCACAATGTTCGCAGTCAATCCGAGGGCAAGTCGCGGAAGCAGCAAAAGCACCAGGAACTTGGCCCGTACAAGTTCACCCATCAACAATTGGAGAAGGAAGGCGTCATTCGACGCAGCAACGTGCCCGAGAACCGACGGGCCAACATCTACTTCATGTTCAAGAGCCCGTTGCCGGGGACTTTCGTCATCAGTCTCCATTACAAGGGTGAGTGTCACGATGGAATCAGCGTAAACACACATCACTAACGCCTTTTTCTCATAGGACGCGCTCGTGGATTGTTGGAACTCGATCTCAAGCTCGATGATCTCCTGGAGATGCAGAAGGATAACCTCGAAGACCTGGACCTGGAGTATGTCCAGTTCAATGTCACCAAGGTGCTGGCGCTCCTGAACAAACGATTTGCACGAAAGAAGGGCTGGTAAAGGTGGATTGCTCTTCAACCCCTTGATGATGATGCGAGACCCAGCCGAAGTGGTCCTGCTCACGCCTTTCTATCCGCCATGTTTGGCATTCGATGAGGCGCGTAGTCTTTTGATGACCATATGTGCACCGATATATCTGCCATATTACCTTGCCATCCCCGAAGCCACGAGCCACATCGTACGCAATGGCTTCGATCATTTGATCTATCTATTTGCTACGGACGGGCGATGTGCGCTGTGTGAATGTTGCTGACCCATGAACATACCCTCTGGAGGATGAGTTAGAGCCTCTCCCGCTGGATCGGGAGTGCCGAATGATCCCTGGTTTTTTTTATATTTTTTTTTATATTTTTTTTTTATATTTTTTTTATATTTTTTGATTTTTTGATTTTGGATGTTTCTTTTGTTTTGTTGTGGTTTCTTTTGCAAGGCTTATACCCAGCGCATTGCTTTTTTCTGGTTTTTTTTTTCTTCATGTGTTTTGGACCCTGCGTCCTGTAATCCTATCTCTGGCACTTGTTTTTCCACGAGCCTTTCGAGGCCTCCATGCGCTGTGTATCATAATGCGTGCTTGTGTGCGGTTGAATTGAATACCCGTCTGCCTTGGCCTCTACTGGGATGGATCAGGAGTAGAGGCGGCACCTGTCTCAGTACAGCCACCCTTCGCTTAGCCTGTCGAACTTTTCGGGGGCCTGAATTTGGCCTAATTGCAAGAATAAATCTGCCCTCGAGTGTTATTGTTATCATTCAAGTGCTGGGCTGTTTCACCTTTAAAATCCCATTAATAATTTGCGGCCGAGTATTTTGACTGCGCAGTGGCCACAACTTTCGTTCCCCTCCGCCTTCCCCTTCTTCACCCAACTGCCAACCTGCAAGATTTCCCACCCTCTCTTTCCCCGAACCTCGACTTCGCATCCTTTCATCATGGCGACCGAGCAGCAGTTGTCCACCGACTCCAAGTACGATCAGTACGACTTCCCCACCACCGCCCCCGAGTCGCAGCCTGGCCACCCGGGCCACACGACACCGGAGCAGGATGCGAAGGTGCACCAGTTCCGCGCCGAGCTGGAGCAGCTCGGTTACACCGACCGATTGGACACTCTGACTCTGCTGCGGTTCCTGCGGGCTCGCAAGTTCGATGTCGAGGCGGCCAAGACTATGTGCGTCTCCCAATGCGTATTTTGCCTTTGGAGGCACAATTTGCCCCACGGGGAGGATTTTACTTTCGTGTTTACACATTTTCATTGATCATCTATCTGGTCTAACATTCCCTTCTTGTTTGCTTCTGTATAGGTTCACGACGACAGAGAAGTGGCGCAAGGAGTTTGGCACGAACGACTTGGCCCGTACCTTCGACTACAAAGAGAAGGAACAAGTCTTCCAATATTACCCGCAGTACTATCACAAGACCGACAAGGTGAGTAATGGAGGCGTGTGACGAGAGTATTTTGCTTGGAGAGAAACTAATCACGGCGTAAATCCGCAACAGGATGGACGCCCCGTCTACATTGAGAAGATGGGTAAGATCGACCTCAACGCCATGTACAAGATCACCACCGGTGAGCGGATGCTGCAGAACCTCGTGACCGAGTATGAGAAGCTGTCGGACCCTCGGTTGCCCGCGTGCTCGCGCAAGGCCGGTAAGCTGCTGGAGACGTGCTGCTCGATTATGGACCTGAAGGGTGTCGGCATCACCAGCGTTCCCTCCGTGTATGGCTACGTCAAGCAGGCCTCCGACATCTCGCAGAACTACTACCCGGAGCGTCTGGGCAAGCTGTACCTCATCAACGCGCCCTGGGGCTTCAGCAGCGTGTTCAGCGTCGTCAAGGGTTTCCTGGACCCTGTTACTGTCAACAAGATCCACGTCCTCGGCAGCGGATACCAGAAGGAGCTGTTGTCTCAGGTCCCCGCTGAGAACCTCCCCGCCGAGTTCGGTGGCAGCTGCAACTGCGAAGGTGGCTGTGAGTTCTCCGACATGGGCCCCTGGCTGGAGCCCGAGTGGGCGCGTCCCCCCAAGTGGGCCGCCCCCAAGGAAGACAAGGAGGCCGACAACACGGTCCAGAACGAGGATCCTGGTTACGAGAAGAAGGATACCGAGGGCCAAGATGGTGCCGAGACCACCGCATAAAGACATTCTTGAGCCCTTTCGTCTCATTTCCCTTTTTTTCTCTTCAATTCTGGCACATCCTCTCGCCAATCTCACACAATCCCCCTTGCATATGGAGACACAGAAAACCGGATAAGGAGTTCTGGGGGATCCTTATCAGTGCACGATCTCGTTGACTTGAAAAATACACCCCCTCTTGGTCTACTCGTTCCTTCAGCAATGAATGAACCCTATCCCCCATCTTGGCCTCCCATTTCTTCTTCCCCTTGGCAGACCAGAACCGCTCTCTGGGAGTTTCAACACGTCCTCGCCGACCCTCCTATCCACAGCTGTGGACTCCTTGCCCCCCTTTCACTGGCTTTTTTGATTGTTGTGTTTGTGTTCGGATCTAGATATCATGAAGTGCATGCTTTTCTGTTCGTGCGCTGGCCTGTTGGAACCTACGCGGCGAGTGCCGTTCTCGATATAGAAGAAACAGGACAGAATAGAATTTAAGGCAAAAAGCAGTGAGCTTGGGGTGTGGTTGACGATAGAAGATGGAGTTGTATACACTGGGCAGATCTCGATAGCTCGACAGTTGCACTAAGTTCTGTTCGCGGGCAAATCGAGTCCGCTCTGTCGCTCTGTGTGCATTTGCAATGTAGCCAATCGTAAATATTATGGTGTTCCAATCAGCATGACAGCTTGTGGTCTGAGATGCCCGTAAAGGACCCGACAAAGAAACAAAAAAAAACGATGGTATCATGATCACCCGAGCAAGCCCTGGGCACCGAAAACGCCTCCCACAGTAAATCCAAAGAGAAACAGAAAACAAAATGAAAATGAAAGGAAAGAGGCAAGAATGCAGCCCAGCCCAACTATCACATATTCTCTACCACTTCCGCAGCACGCCCTGCCCGCTCGGCCTTGCCCACCGTCGTCGCCAAGGCATAGCCATCGGCGCCGGCCTCAGCATCGTCCTCGCCCTGAAGCCGCAGCAACGTCCGCAACGCACTTTCGTACGCATCTGCCATATCGCCGCTGCGCCAGCGCTCCGTCTCCTGCTCCGTGCCGAGCGGCACTTGCAGCGTCCACGCAGGGTCGGGCCGGTTGCGGCGTCGACGGGACGGGGCGTGTTTGGGCTGTTTCGCCGCTGACTCGGACTGATGCTGTGTTCCCTCGTCGACATCCATGTTCTCTGTGTCGGTGTTTTCGGTGTTTCTTTGAGCGGTCTGCTCCGCGCGAGCTCCGTCCTCGGATTCATCCATGGCTTCGTTGGCATTGTTGTTTAGGTCGTGATCATCGTCGGCGTCTTGCTCGGCCTCGTTCTCTTGTTCTTGTTCGTCATTTTCCTCGTTAATCAGCTGGTTCAGTTGTGCCGCGTGCTCTTTTGCTGCGCGATGTGGCGCGTCTCGTCGTAGTTGCGCGACTGTTGTGGTCAGCGACTCCAGTTGCGCGTAGAGCGCTGTTACGCGCGAGGCGAGCTCCGTGTCGTATGCTTCGTACTCGACTGTCTCGGGTGCGGTGAAGGAGGCTGGAAACTGGAATTGCGGGGACGAGGAGTCGATGCCGTTGATGCTGATTGAGGAGGAGGCGGTTGTGAAGGTTTGGTTTATGTACTGTTGTGGTGGGACTGCTGTTAGCTTCATTTTTTCTTTTTTGCCTCCTCTTGGTTGGGAATCTTCCATTTCGGAAGCCCTGCTCGTATAAAACATACCTCGTCCACTAGCTCCCGCACGCGCTCGCGCATTGGGTCCGGCGTCTCATTGTCCGTCGCGGAAGGGGGCAGGTGCAGGTCGAGTTTGCTGCGCGAACGAGCCAATGTGTTGGCGTAGAGATAGGTGAGGTCAGCTGGCGACTGCAGCTCAATCTTGCGGTAGTGCGCGGCCATGGCGGTGGTGGGGAGGAGAAAGATTGTTGTGGGATTTTGACGCGTCGACGGTGAGGTTCTGAAGGCCTTGGCGGCACCCCCGCAAACGATGTCATCGCCGGGTTACATTTTGGCTTCCGAGATTTCTCCCTCCTTGCAAGTATCACATACCCTCTCTTTTTTTCATTACTTTCTTCTCCCTCGACTCAGTCTCCTGCACTACCTCATCTACTGTGCGAGGATGCGATTCCCCTCGAGATAATGCCAGTGACTCCACGCTCTCATTGATTACCTACGCCCTGAGCAGCCGTCAAAGAACGGCCGGTTTAAACTACCTCCTCTCACCCCTTACATGCTTCCAGAACGACCATGGATTCTCCTGCCAGTATCTCCCTCGTGGACAACACCGTTCCCTCACAACAGCCCGCCGAGGAGCCATTCCGACGGGTCTCTACTATCGATCGGCAAGGAAGTCTTTCCAAACACCTGAGCCGCGCCTCAGTGCAGAGTCAGCTGGCAAAACGCAAATACGCCAAATGGCAGCCCGACCGACTCGGCGTGCCGGCCGACCCCAGCACCTCGCTGAGCAGAGATTCATCGCGCGTGCGGGGGTCGATATCCGCCACAAGCTCCGACGGACGATCCACACAACAAGGAATCGAGGAAAGAGATAGAGACACAGGTGCGACAGACCCCAGCTTGTCTCGCGTCGCCAGTGACAACGGCAACACCGCGGCTCGGTCGACCAACCCAAAGCGCCCGGCCAATGGCTCCGACGACACCACCCTGCTCACGGAGCTGGACATCCTCTACGAGAACCAGCGTGGCTGGTTTTTCTTCGGCGTCCCGCTGTACTCGCACGGCTCGCTACTCAACTTCGACCCGAGCGCCTGGATGACCCAGGACAAACGCGCGAGCCCCGTCAATATCACCAACGCCCAGGTGCCGGACCCCAGCTGGGAGTGGGCCTGGCGCACCTGGTATGTGGACATGTCCGGTGACGTCGACGAGCAGGGCTGGCAATACTCTTTCTCGTTTGCCTCGTCGGAATGGCACGGCACGCATCCGTGGTTCCATTCGTTTGTGCGTCGCAGACGCTGGGTGCGACTTCGGACAAAAGCTCCTGAACGGCGGCTTCGTGGCCGCTCTGGCTTTGAGAAGGCGCATATGCTAACTAAGGACTACTTTACTATCCATTCTTCGCGCGTGCGCAGTCGCGAGCAGAGCACTGTGGGTTTGTCGCGCGTCGAATCTGGGTTTTTGAATCGCATGAGTCAAAAGGTCGATGAGGAGGCGCCGCTCGAGGAAATCGGCGATATCCCGGCTTTGATGTTTGCCTTGAAGCATACCTCGATTGATCGCGAGAAGATTGATGCCCTGAGGAAATTTGTCCGTGAAGGAGGTGACGAGCTTTACTATCTGGACGAGAGGGTAAGCCAACTAGCTCTCTTGGTTGATTTTTTGTTTTACTAACTGGGCTTGTGGTGCTAGATCCCCGACGTCATGTCCATGTTTCTTTTCCAGGCATCTCGCTGGCAGTTTGTGACCTATCTTGTTGGAGTTATCCATGAGCTCTCAGAAGTTGCATCGGAATCAGATGGCAAGAATGCCGACGCCATGCAGCGCAAGAAAGATAATCTTGTCCGTGCCGTCGAAACGGCCCGGCGCCATGTCACCGGGCCGGATGTCTTCAGTGATTCCCACGGAGAATCGGTCACAGCACTGCTCGATCTGACCCCTGTGTCCCAGCATGATGCATTACTATCGCGGCGACCGGGTAGCACCCCTGAGCAACCGTCGATGCAGAAATGGAAAGGGATCAAGGGAATTCCCCAGGCGGCGGAGGTTGGTCGCGAAGGCCACATTTATTAATGTCTTTCCGATGTATTGTATATAATAGTTTAGTCGCAGCCGAGTCACTGCAATTTTTCCTTGTATCATTTCTACAATGCCATTCTTTTTTTTGAATCTTTTTCACTTGTGTAATTGTGTATACCTCGTTTCCATCCAACCCGTGAAGCTCCCAGGGACCCACCGCCTGCCGTTCCGGCGCAGCGTGCAAAAACCCTCCCCAACTCCGACAACGAAAAAAAATACCATCCTCTCTCACCCTCATCACCGCTTCTTCCCCCTTCTCCCGTTCTCATCCATGCCTCGGATGCTGTTGCAGCATCATCCTCTATGTTCTCGTGTGGCCGCCCGTGTCTAAGAAGGCGTTTGTCTGCCGTCCTGGACACCGTCGCGGCTGGCCCCGATGAACCTCTACTGTTCCTCTACCCGCGCTGGGCCGCGCCGGCTCTGCGGCAACGCCGACAGATCACTTCATTGAAGTCTACCACAGCTCCCTCGGGGACGTGTCAGACCCCTGATCTTCCTTTCCCTGCCGCAGCGCGCCCCTGTGCTTCGTTGCCGTTCCGCTCGTCGAACCGATGGATGTCCTCTGGTGCTACGGGTCACTCCCCCAGCATCACGCAGTTACATTCACCACGAGAAGCTAAAGTTGGTTTTCAATTTGAGGGGGATATCAACGAGGGGGGTATCGAGACGTCGGGCTACGATGCTGGGGATTCGTCTGTTACTGGGCACAATCAGTCGGAGGGCTCTTCTGTCGATGATCCATTGTCGGTGGTAGAGAGGAGGAGAACCGCACGCAGAGAAAATAGACGGCCCGAAGACACAGAACATGAGAGTCCCTCTCGAAAAAATTCAGTCCAAAAGATGTCCGTTCCGGATCGGAAGAAGCTCCGGTATCGAGAGTTTCAAGCAAAGCGAGAATTTCAAACGCAAAGGGGTCCAGGACGGTCGAAGCAAAATTGCAATGAAACATGGAGGGATATGCAGTCTCTACTGGAGAGTGTGCAGAAGGATCCTCGCAACGGAAGCAAAAAGCCCTCCAAGTACAAGGAGATGCACGTCCCAGAAGAAACCGTCGCTTTGCTTGCTGGAGTGACGGACATGACTATGAACGAGAATATCTGGCAAGTCCCCATTCATAATGGCTGCCGCGTGCACGTCCTCGATGCGCAGCAGGGCGATGGTCGGAATCGAAAGGTGATTCTGTCGGGCTCGGAACGCGTCGTGGAGGTGGTCGCGGACCGCATCATGCGTGCGCAGAATCTTCAAAGCGTTGGAGATCCTCTGGTCGAGATTGGCAAATCGCCCGTGCCTGTGTATGGCTCGTTGACTGCCATGGCACGCAGAAACATCCCAGCGCCGGTGATCCGTGGAGTATGGAACTGGTCTGACGACTGGGCGAATCCCATGCGGTTAGAAAATGTCCTCGCTGCTCGCCCGCCCCTCACCAGCGTGAGGGGATTCAACGAATACGTCGAGGATCTTGTGAGCGCAGGGAAATTGAAATACCAACTCAAGGCCCGGGATCGAACGGATGACAACAATTCTCGCACTCACACCACTCCCCACACTCATCAAGATATCGCCCGACAACTCGTGGCACTGTTTAAACAGGACGTGAACCACAAATACTTCTCCACCGCGGCGATGAACCACGCGCTGGCCTTTCTCTGTGACCACGAACTGCTTCAGGCCGCCCGGACCGTGTTTCTACTGGCAGAACATCTTGCAACCACAGACACCTATAATATCTTGCTGCGCTGTGCGGCGCGACGCCAAGATATCAAGGGATTTCGTGGGCTCCTGTATTCGATGTCTCGAGCGCATTTTCGTCCAAACGCTCATACGTGGCTTTCGTTACTCTCGGCTCTAGTGACTCCAAGTGACAAAGCCAAACTCATCACACATATGGCGCGCAATGGCTACATCTCAGAGATCAACACGATCCGGAGTGTGCTTCAGCAAACGATTCACGATTCTCTCCTCGTGCATTTGGAAAGCGGCCAGGATATTGACTCATTCATCCATCTGATGACCAACACCTGGGGTGCCAATTGGCTCAGCTCCTCGCTGATCAGTCAGATGTTCAATGTGACCGTTCGGTTGAAGGACTTCTCCGCCACGGACCGGCTGATGCGAATCTGTATGGAGCACGGTCTTGCCGTGGATAGCACTTCCCTCACCCATATTTTGCGCCTCTTCCGCGCGGACATCTTCTCGGCTTTGAAATACACCTTCCAATTCATGAACCGGCCTCTGTTCCGCCTCGCCCCCGAGACCTGGGAGAAACTGTTTTTGGTCGCCTATAAGGGCCGCCACTACAACATCTGCCGGGTGCTGTGGCGGTATGCGTGCATGGGCAACGCCGTGAGCTATAAAATGAAACAGTCCGTCCTAAGCTCTCTAACCCGCAACACCCCCCGGAAGAAGGGCTCCGACATCTCCACTATCTGGAGCCTCAGTGCTGGGAAAGTCATTGTCGGTCTTGACCTGCACCACGAGACCTACACGATCAAAGACTCCATTCTCGAGGGTCTGCCAGCCGAATTCCGTGACAAGCCCCTTCTTTATCTGTCCTCTGGATTCATGCCCCAGGGTGAGAATAGAGACCGTCAGCTCCGTCTCGCGGCGGATCTGGTGCTTCGCGATGTCGAGCTCGGCGCTTCGCAGTATAAGCCCATGCATTCGCTGCCCATCATGCTGGAAGCTGCCGCTCTCCTGGACCTCGAGTGGCATGGGAAACCGTGGCCGTTGCCGTGGATGATGCAAAATGCGATCCAGGTTCCGATCATTCCCCGCTAGCCTTCTGGTGTTTTGTTGTTTCTGCCATTCTGCTTGTGTGTCTTCTAGCGTGCTGCATGGGGTATCATCTCTGAGCGGGACTGGTGTTTATCTCTGGTGGTGTTTTGTATCTACTTCCATCCCCTGTATCATTGTACATCTGTATACTATCGGATCATATAGACATCTATAGACCATCTCACTCGACTTGCATAAGACCTGATTTTTGCCCGTAAGGAACAAGTATAAACCGAGTAGATCATAATACTTTAGAAGCAGCACTAGTACCCAGCTGTCTCAAAACTCGGTCGATTTTCGTCTCCATGTATCTATGGATGCCACGCAGACGCCAACTCCAATGAGACCATGCAAATCTATCTTGTGTTCTGGTCATTTCCCATTAAATTATCATGGCACATCACGCTAACAACCTAGCAACTTTGTCCTCAGCGCAACAAGGGAAAGATGGATTAGGGGTCTTCCCCTTCCTTCCACTCCTCATAGCTCTATATCAACGGCCTCCATTCTCCTGCATAAGACCAAGTGGACCGGTGGATACAGGCGGAGGAGGTCCGTAGGGATCGAATGAGGACCGGATTGAGCCGACACCCTCTTTGAGGTAGAGCACGAGCCGGTAGGCGGAGTTGCCATTCAAGTAGTATCGATGCAGCCGCTTGCTGCGCAGGAAGCCCAGACGCTCGTACAGCTTCATGGCGGCAGTGTTGGTGATTTCAGTTTCGAGGACGATCTGGTCACAAAAGAGCAAGAGACAAAAAAATCAATATATGTCCCAGAACCACACCCACCAACCCCTCCATAAACATTCACATACCTCGTCAGCATCGCGCTCGATCATCGCATCGATAGCCATGCGCACCAGCTTCGTGGCGATCCCGCGGCCCCGGTACTCCTCGCGCACGGCCAGCATGGCGATATACCCCCTCAGTGGGCCGGAGCGGTGCGGCTCCAGCTTCGACACCACCACGCCGACCATCTCGTCCTGGTCGTCCATGGCCAGGAAGCACAGGTCGCCCCATTGGTACAGGAAATAGCGGTAGACGTAGATGCTGTATGGCTCGGACAGATCCTTGGAGATCAGCTGGCGCATTGCGGCGACGTACTCGTTCTCGCGCGCGCTGTCGTACCGCTCGTAGCGGAGGGAGGGGGCATCGTGGCTCATTCCGGGACCATGGGGGGAGGAGAAGATAGGTATAGAATTGGTTATCTCCCCGGTTGGCAGTCGTGGTGGCCAGTAATCATACAGTAGAAAATAATAAAGCAGTGGGGAAGTGAGGGAGAACCTTGTCCGAAGTTGATGAACGATGAGAGCGATTGCCATGTGATGCCGATCCCGTGAGTGCCCTGGTTTTGCCTCCTTCGGAGCCCTCTCTCTCAATCCCCTCAATTCAACTACCTTCAAGTCTGAGTGCTCGTCCTTTCTCACTCCTCCTCCTTCTCCCCTTTCTCTTCCTGGCGGCCATTCGTTATGCTCCGCCGCCGCACGGCCAAGGACGTCCCGCCTTCCGACTCGTCCCACAACCGTGCGTCTCGGCATACTGAAGAGGACCGCCTCCGCGCCGAGTTTGGTGACGCGAAAGTCAAGCAGCTAGTCATCAAGCCCCGGAGCAAACGTCGCAATGGGTTGATCTTCGCGTTGGGCGGCCTGTTTGGCATCTTTATCGCCCTGTTTTTCGCCAACCAGCAGGAGGTCATCAGCCTGGACTCGCTCATGGACTTGAACCTCGACTCGTTGATTGACGCTATTCCGCAAGGCATTGTACGAGATGCGAAGGAGTTCTCGGTATGTTGGTTCCCGGGTGTGACCTGCTGTTCTCTTCTTCCTGCTTTTTCCGTCCAGTCTACTGACTTGCCATGGGGACCGCCAGCAACACGAACGCGATGCCGTCAGCTACGATTCATTCTCCGTTGGACTCCATCTTCAGTCCCAGGGCGTTGAGGCCAAACACCCCGTCGTGATGATCCCCGGCGTGATTTCTACCGGTCTGGAGAGCTGGGGCACCGGGGCCAGCTCGCGGCAATACTTCCGGCGGCGGCTATGGGGTAGTTGGAGCATGATGCGTGCGCTGGTGATGGACAAGGCGGAGTGGAAGAACCATGTTATGCTTGACCGCGAGACTGGCCTGGATCCGCCAGGGATCAAGCTCCGCGCAGCGCAAGGCTTCGACGCCACCGACTTCTTCATCACAGGTTACTGGATTTGGAACAAGATTCTGGAGAATCTGGCGACGATCGGCTATGATCCAACTAATGCATTCACTGCCGCGTACGACTGGCGGCTGTCATATCTCAATCTGGAGATTCGAGACAAGTATTTTAGTCGTCTTAAGTCTTATATTGAGACTGCGGTGCAGGTACAAGGCGAGAAAATCACGCTGGCTTCGCATAGCATGGGCTCGCAGGTTGTGCTGTACTTCTTCAAATGGGTGGAAAGCGAGGAACATGGTAACGGCGGGAAGGACTGGGTCAATCGGCACATCGACTCATGGGTTAATATTAGTGGCTGCATGCTCGGCGCCGTCAAGGGGTTGACGGCCGTCTTGTCCGGGGAGATGCGCGACACGGCGCAGCTGAACGCGTTTGCCGTTTATGGGCTGGAGAAGTTCCTCTCTAAAGAGGAGCGCGCTGAGATCTTCCGCGCCATGCCCGGAATTTCTAGCATGCTGCCCAAGGGCGGCGAGGCCGTCTGGGGCAATTCCACCTGGGCACCGGACGACCAGCCGGGCCAGTCTATGACCTTTGGGAACCTATTGAACTTCCACGAGACCAACTCCTCGTGGACGCGGCGCAACTTGACCACGTCTGAAAGCCTGCAGTACCTGCTGAATCAGAGCGAGGACTGGTACCGCACGCAGGTGCTGAACAGTTACTCGCACGGGGTGGCACATACGGCACGCGAGGTCGAGGCCAACGAAAAAGACCCGCGCAAGTGGCTCAACCCGCTGGAGGCGCGCCTGCCGCTCGCCCCGGACATGAAGATTTACTGTTTCTATGGGGTTGGCAAACCTACTGAACGCAGCTATTTCTACCAACAGGAACTCGACCCGCTGGTCAATCTGAATGTCAGCATCGACACCACCGTCACCAACAATGACGGCGTCGACCACGGCGTGGTCATGGGCGAGGGTGACGGCACGGTGAATCTACTGAGCACCGGGTACATGTGCGCCAAGGGCTGGCATATCAAGCGCTACAACCCGGCGGGCGCCAAGATCAAGGTCTTTGAGATGCCGCACGAGCCGGACCGGTTCTCGCCGCGCGGCGGGCCCAACACTGGTATGTGGCAGTCTGGCTAGTGCCGTTTATTTCTCTAATTATGTGTTTTTGGTTGATATTAACTTGATTTGGCTAGGTGACCACGTCGACATCCTCGGCCGCGCCTCGCTCAACGACCTCATTCTCCGCGTCGCCGGTGGCAAAGGCGACCAGATCGAGGAGACGTTTGTCTCCAACATCCGCGAGTATGCGGACCGTGTACAGATCTTTGAAGAATAGACGTTTCCTCGCTGTGTTCTAGACTTGTCCTTTTCCGCTTGATACTCCCCATTGCCTTGTGTCTGTGACAGACGAGGTGCTGTGTAAGTCTGATTTTTGTATATTCTTTCGTTTCTTTTTGGGTGGGCGCTTGTACGAGTATTGGTAGGGATGGAGTTATTGCTGGTACCCTCGGTGGCTCTGTGCACTGCTTTTGATGTAACCCAAGTCACTTTTGAGTAGATCCGGTGTTCGTCACAATATCAAAACGAGACGTGCGGATTCTACTAAATGCTTTTTGGTCCCAAATTTATGGCCTTACAAAGACCTACAAATGAAAAAAAGGACCACAATAGCCATTCTACGAGCAACTAGGTACAAAATAGAAAGATCTCGGCCCTCTACTCATCTTTGATCTACCCATTTGAGGATATAATATACTATTTAAGCTGGTTGTCTTGCAGCTCTATAGTCTTCCAATCCAAATCAACTCAAACAAACTTTCAACCCCTTCAATAGCCACATCCGTCTATCCACCATGAAATTCTATCTCGCCGTCGCCATCTGTGTTGCCATGGGCACTAGTGCCATTGCTACGGAAAGTACGAATGACTCGAGGGCACGGCTACAGCCCAGGGATACAGCCACTCCGCCCAAACAGGGGCAGAAGACCCACGCACCGCCCAAAAACCGATCCCGCGTGATCGACACGGCGCAGAATAGCGCAGGGATGCAGGCCGGACGGGCTGTGGACTGATCTGCGCTGTCGGAGAGCGGAGAAAAGAAAAAGAGGAGTTCGGGATCGTCCAAGTTCCGAGCCGGGCAGTCTCACCGTCTCATGTGAACACTATACATACATACATGTTGTCCGTGGGATACTGTACATCTTTGGGAATTATTCGATACCACAGTAGAGAATTGGAGATGTACTGTACAATTCTTCATAATTCATGCTAGGGACTAAGAATACTAACAATATCGACCGCATCGTCCCCGAAGTAACGATAAGCACAACCACCCCCCAAGATATTTCCATAGGTAAGTGTTCGGTGCTGTGGCAGAGTCGGATGCTGTTCAGTCCCCGATAGCCAGAAGCGAAGAGACCGGCGAGTGGCCCAAGGCGAGAGACGGTTCTCCGTCCAACCGGTCCGCTCGCCTCGGCCGCCGGTGATAGCTGTTGCTGATCCCCCTCAATACAGAGTCCAGCACGCCCACACGATTTCTCTCAAATGCCAACGCCGCGATTCACCTGCCAGCGGCAAAGACACCAAACGAAGGTCGGTCCCGATGGACAGTCGCTCGACAACGTCCTTCCCTCCTCTCTTTCTATGTGCCAATGCAAAAAAAAATGTCTCGAGAAGAATATAAAAAACACCAGGTATCCAGAGAAACCCCTCTGGAAATGCACAGCGAGTGTAGTGCAAGCGATTTGGCGCCGAATTTTTTTGGTTCCCCGTGAACCTCCAGTCCAAAACGCCAAGGATGAGCGATCGACACGAATAAACAAGTTTGTGCAGCTGGACGAGCCGGAAGCGAAAGAAAACAAAAGCTGGCTCGCCCAGTTAAAAAGGTCGTAGCGAAAGACATAGGTCAGAATCGAAAAGTCGAAAAAAAAGGATCGCCCGGAGACGTCCGAAAGTGTACAAGCGAAGGATTCCAACGGTAGAGCGGGGAATTGATCCCAGGCAGGTCGGGTTCCAATCCCCCGCCACCGGTATTAATATTATAGACGGAGACGTCATCCCAACGCGGGATGACGGGGCATGTACAGCCAGAAAGGAAAAAAGTGCCTTCGGCGCAAGGGGAAAAGCCCGCGAGCCGGATGTTTCCAAACAGCGGATTAAAAAACCGTAGGTGTCGAAAATGGCTCGATGCAGATAAAAGTCCCAAGATGTCGTCAAGTATAAGAACGCCGTTCCCCGAAAGAACAAAAAACTGGTAGATGCAACCATGGACAGGGGGTTTGTAGTATGTGTACGTCGCAGGCATGACTGTTTAGCGTCCAGCCTCGAGGTCGTGACCCGAATGGTTCGAGGTCAAGGTCTCGCTCTCCCACGTGTAGTGGTCATCCACGGGGCTGAGTGAGCCCGAAGATACGGAGGAGGAAGAGCCCACGGTCCACTCGTCGCTGTCCAAGTTGAAATCGCCATCCAAACTGGCGAGGTCATAACCAAACTCGCGCGAGGTGTCACCGATCTCGACGTAGTCATAGTCCCAGCGGAAGTGCTTGTCGAGTTGCATGCGAGGCAGGAATCGGGTCTTGGCAAAGTAGAAAGCCACCGTGGCCAGCAGACCACCGCAGACCAGGTCCACGGCATAGTGGTGAGAAAGATACATGGTGGCCCACCACATCCATAGGGTGTAGGTAACCCAGAGGAACTTGAGACGCGGGAAGACATGGCTCATGAACAGAGCTGCCAGCGTAGAATCGGCGGCATGGAGCGAGGGGAACGCCCCAAAGACCACGGGCGACTGGTGGAAGCCCGAAGTGTACAGGTCGATTCCAAGCAGCTTGTCGATGCGAGCCAGACCGGCGGGATTTCCGGGCATCGAGTAGTCGGCCGGGGCGAGGCCGTACAGATTCTCATACCATGGAGGCGAGCAGGGAAACGCCAACTGGATGGTGACGGCCATCATGCTGATATATCCAAGGGACCGCGCATAGAGCGGGGTGGTGCCTGGCGGCCCGAAGATGAATAGGATAAGAGAGACGACAAAGGGAGCCCCATAATGGCAGAGCCCATATGGTATCCATGCCAACACATCGAGAGCCACGTTTTGGTGAGCGGATAAGATGTTGCTAATGTTGGCACCGTACAAGATATTTTCCATAGCCGGCAACACCCGCACCCAGATGGAAGGCCGCCAATCGCTGGGAACGAACCTGTTTGAGTTAGTAAGGTCACGAGTCACAACTGCCTCCCCTAAAACTAGGTCAAATAGGGGAAGAGTACGTACTGGCACGCGTAGAAGAAGATTAACCAGCCAGCAATCGGCAGAAAGGGCAGAAAGAATTGGCGGGTGATAGGCAGGAGTAGGGAGAAGAGGAGCATGGTAGCAATGGCGGTCTTCGCAAGCGGACCGGGGGATTGAATGACGGTCAAAGAGAAGATGCCGACGATCAACAGCAACAGATACTGGAAGTCATACAAGGTCCATCGGTGGGCCTGTAAGGATCGGAGGGTGTCGACGGGCGAGAACGAGGTCTGTAGGGTCGAGATGGACGAGGTGGGCGATAATCGACTCCGCAACTTGGACCGGATCTTGCGGCGCATGCGATGAGGCACAAGAAGCTGGAATGATCGCCATGGCACCTGGATCTGAAGCTTCCCGAACTGGTTCTGTGTGCGGTCCTTCCATGACGGAAAGGAGGCGGTCATCATCGCGGCGAGTCTCCTTCTCCCAGGAGACTCTGGATCACACTCGACTCTGTTGAGGGCGCGGGGCGGAAAGAGGGAGGGAGCGGAATGCCGCGGGATGGGACGGAAGGAATTTCACACCACACGGAAAGGGAGAGGAGGGGGGAGAGGGGGGAAAGTATCAAGGTCGACCCGATCTCATGAAGAACCGATAGGGGAGAGAGAGGAAGGATAGCGAGGGGCGGGAATCCAGGTCACGTTGGCAAGGGTTCCGGTCTGATGCAAGGTTAGGACAGCAAGGGCGCGACCGAAAGAGCCTTCCAAGGAACGAGAAGATGAAGAGAGAATAAGAAAAAGAAAAAGAAAAAAAAATTCACGGCAGGACATGGGAGAGAAGGGGAAGAAAAGAAGGATTTCGGGGGTGGTGGCCGTGGAGTATTGGTATTACAGTAAGATTACGAATATTACCGAGTCCATAGCGTCACTAAGCCGGTTTGGGGTGATGCTGGAGTCATCTCGATCCCACTGTGCTTCGTTTATACTTGGGTTAGAGATGATCTTTTTTCCTGTCAGAGCCGATGAAACCTCGTCTATCTTTGGTATAGCCCTTTGCTATTTCTCTTTATTATCGACTCTGGTCCTGGTCCTGGTCCTGGACTTTCCTCGAAAATACAGATCGAAGTGGACCAGCCCAAATTGCATGATGCTCAAGCGGATGCGGCGGAACACCACGGAACCCGATCGGACAAGACTTGATGCACGCCCAAGCACAACTCGGAGATTGCGGCGTTGCGACCCCGACTGAGAAATCGAGCAGTTCCGAGACCCAAGCTCAGCGGAAGAAAATGAACCTGTACTTCAGGACCTTCCTATGTTATGCTATATTGTACAATGTAAGTACATAAAAGTCGAGAGTCATGCAGTATGCGGTTCCTACATACTTACATACATGCCTGTTTATAATATTCCAATACACAGCCTGCATTACTTACTGTCCATGGATAGTTATTGTTCTCAAGGCTGAGCGTGACACACTTCCTTTCTTAGCATCGACTTCATACATACATAACGAACATAACTTCTAATTAAAAATTAGAAAAAAGGGTCGAGGGGGAAATAGGACCCACCGTGTGTATCGGTTGGGACACCAATTTTCCACGCTGTGGCCGATTGGCCCGCACGACTCCCCCCTTTCGGCCCCAGCGTTCAGGCGCGGTATTCAAAAACCCTGCGATCTTCAGGCCCAATTTTGTGTATTGTATTATTCCTTCACCCTCCTCCTTACTGCGCTTCGCTTCCAGTTCATCGCTTCTCTACAACTCCTGATCTGCGCTCCGTCGTCCTGGTGATTGGTTTCTATTCAGAAAGCAGGTTCAATCAACAACCCTAGTCACCTAGTCATGTCTCGATGCGATCGTGTCGTTGGACATGTCAAGGTTAAACACAGCCCGGACGACACGGCTGAGCCACCCCATCTACTGCCTGTTCTCGCATCAACCTAATCTTGTATGTAAATGGTGAGTTATTTCCATCTTCATTACTGCCTATGTTACTGCCGAGAAAGGTGGATTGCCAGACTCGACACTACTGGACACTATTGCGCCTGGTTGGCGTTGGGCCCGGCGCGTAGATGAGGATGTGCAGGCTCTCGCATCTAGTGTCTCAGAGGGTTGTTACCAGCTACCGAATTCGCCTCCATCAGACACTCCCACAAAATACGGGGAAAGAGAAACTATTGCTGTTAAGCTGTCAGGTTCATACTGATATTGATATTGATATTGATATTGATATTGATATGATATTAATTTCTCATAATATCTAACCCTGGTACCCGCGGCCCCCCGAGTTTCAGAATCGCACGTCGCGCGACCACGGCCAATCAGGGCGCCAAAGGTTCCCCTGTGCCAGTAAATACTCTTGTAGAATATACAGGATACAGGATACAGTATGTATAGTATGTATACATGTAGCATGTCATACGTTGAATTGAATTTAATTCTCCGATATCTGGTGACTATCAAGGAAGCTATCGTACTCGTATCTCGGCTCGGTTGCCTGGTACGTGGCAAGTATACCACCCACACTATATACTGCTAGTTACTAGCTACATATGCCAATTCTATTAATTCACATCATGATGAATGGACTGTAGTCTGCGCCACATTCTCCATGCCAATGAGGTCAGCCTACATAAATGCACACGAGAAAACATCCAATACTGTGGGGAGACACGCCCGTGCCTCCCCACGATGGGTTGGAGCTGCGGCTTACGATCAAGTCTTACTTATATATGACTAGACAGCGCATTTTAGGTAGTGTAATGAACGAATAATGAACTTTTAAATACAAAATGAAAAAAGAAAGAAAGAAACCAGATCAGCCCCCAAATGTCCTTACTGTCTATATTACTCCTTGCGGATATATGCACCGCCCTTGGCATGGACATGGACACAGCCTAGTGTCCTGGAATGGGAGCCCTTGATGATATTCACGGTACAGTATTATCCATGGGTGTACTGTATGATCGACCTCCGGGCTGCGGGTTGTCGATCATAAGAAAACAGGCCCTGTTTGAAAGCATTGCTGGTCTATTACGATAGGTTTTAACTTGACACCTCGGTGCATACACATACACAGCATATCTGGGATGAGCTGTGCTACTCGAGGCAGGGGTAATTTGTGTTTGTGTACCCCGCACTCATCTATGTAGTCCTTGCAGTGGGCCGGTTGGGAGGGAATGAGAGGGAGAGAGACAGCATGTACACCGCTCGATTCAAGTTCATAGAAATGGCATCAAAACTAAGTATGTAGATAACGACCAAAATACTGGAAAATTAAATAAAAAAACACTTATCTTACCAACGGTTTTGTGCTGAAAATAGATCCGGGGTAAACAGGCATTGCGTGGCCCCTCGGGGGGTTATTCCATGAGGGCAATGACGCAATTCTCTATGGGATCTTATCCCAGTGTTATTCTTAGATCGTGCTTACGGTCCAAGATACCAGATTAATGTTTAGCGTATCCTCTATACTATTTCCTGTCTAGGTTATTGCCTAGGTAGGGCTAGAATGCCATGCCATCCATGGATAGGACTGCATCGGCTTATCTATACCCATCCTACTGCCATCTGCTGCGATGCGATCTATAGACTCCCAGACTGACCAAACACCGATTTATTCCCCTGTAGAAACAAGTTAAGCCTCCTGAAATGCTTATGACCATGTGCCCTCGATCCCATGCACCAGACATGTTCGAGATCCAGAAAAAAAAAGAAAAACACCAACGCCAGCCCGTGCATGTCATCATCGTGGTCGAAAAGTGCGCCATGAACCACGCCAGAAAAGAAGAACCGAAAGGGATAGAATACATCAAAAGAGACATTATTCATGTTTCCCGTCATCCGATCTCTGCGCCAACACCTGGAATCCTTTAACCAACCCCATCGCAGACCCGGCCGCCACACCTCCCACCAGCACCATCTGCAGACCGCCAACAAGGCCCTTGCGGACATTGCGACGGCCTGTCCAGCCGCTCACGAAACAGGTCTTGCCATACCCAAACAGAAACAAGGCAACGACCATGGTGGCGATGGACCAGCGCAGGGCGAGGAAGGCATCGGTCGGTCCGACAAAGAAGTACGGCACCAGGGGCACGAATCCGCCGATGAAGTAACCCAGTGCAATAGTCAAGGCACAGATGACGGCGCGCGAGTCTGAGGGTTCGGGGAGCGTGTGGTGGAAGTTCATGAGGAAGGACGGGAGCATGGGCGACGACGACAGGTGGGTGGTGAGCTGGCTGACCAGCTCCGAGGGCAGATCGTACGGCTCGAAGATATCGGAGATGGTAGTTGTGACCGAGGCCGGGTCGGTCACCATCTGGTCCTGGGTTTCCCTTAATGTGGCTTTGTAGGATTCCCTGGGGGGATAGTCAGCGGTCTGCCTCATATCTGTGGATAGCTGTGCTATTTCTCTTTCTTTCTTACTCTTCGCTCTTTGCACCCAGGTATCCACCCAGTCCCATTGAAATGGCCCCCGCGATGAGCTCGGCCATTCCACCAAAGACAACCACCTTGGTGTCGCCCAGGGCAGACAACCCGGCCGTGAGAGCAAACGGCACCGTCATGCCGTCTGACAGACCGATAATAGCGTCGGAAACTGTTCGGCCATCGACGAAGCGCCACGTCTTCCGCTCGTCATTCTTCTGGGTTGTCGTGCCAGCTTCGATATCTGGTCGCATGTGCAGATGGGGATCTTTCTCGTCCGAGGGACTGGAGTCCGACAAGCGCGAGTAGTTGGACAAAAGTCCGCTGATTGACGTGATAGACATGGTGATTTTTGGACAGCGAAGAGAAGAATATGCAAGTGAGGGCTGAACCAGTTGAATTCCCGAACGAGAGCTCTCGACAGCTGGGTTGCTGAGTCTTTGTTCACCTCAAGGGAGATGGGAGGGGAGATCTCGGAGGGCGATTGTACGACAGAAAGGAGAAAAAAAGTCAAAGGGTACACAAAATCCACAGAAGGGCGACCAAGCATTTAAGCCATCGGGCACAATGCCACCTGCCTGTACCCGCAAGCTTTTCGATCGGAAATGGTGATGAGATGCAGTCGCCCCACAAAATCCTGTGGATCGCGGCCTATGGAGAGCAGCAGGCCGACAACGTGTAGTTGCAAGGGCCTTCCCTTGCTGGGTGCACGTGCCTTGCTGATTCGAGACGGTCTGGTCAGGTGGACCATAATGCTTAACAGTTCCAGCCAATCACAATGAAGGGATTGTCAGACCCTCCCCTCCATTCGATAGACAAAAGAGAAACCTGAGGCACGGGGCAAGGAGAGCAAGGGTTTCAAGCGGGGCAAATGACGGATCCCATGGATTTGTACAGTAGCTGGCTTTGAGCACCTGGGCGGGTCTGGCTTTGCTGATTTGTGGTTTGGTTTATGGATCAAGTTGGTTTTCGAATGTGACTAGCATGCAGTGGACGAGTCCACACTGTTGATATATGCAATTTCGATAAGCAAACACTCTGAGGTATTTATTTATATGAGATTTTTTAACAAGGACCGTACTTCCAGGTCAGGATGAATATAGGAGAAGTAGATAAACCATACAGTCTATTCTATCTATTTCTCAGGGTAACAAGTCCGATGCAAGCATGACGTCGCACGACTCAGGCCAGGGGATATAGAGACAGAGTTGAAACAGAATAAACTCGCTACGCAAGGGAAGGCAGTCTAGGAGGATCTAGGAGGAACAGAAAAAGAAAAGAAAAGCGGGTCTGCAATAGACTACCTCGACTACCTTCGAGACTCGACGTTGATCGTATAGATCGTATAGATCAACCACGCTCAATGCACATCGGACTTTAATGCAGCAGGAACCAAGTTAAATCGCAAGCACGGGCCCCTTGAAGAGTCAAGTGGGACCATCATACCGGTCGCAAAACGAGATGAAAGTCACCAGATCACGTCCGGTGGGATCCCGGGGTATAGAGAACATTATCGTACATCGAGGCCCATCACTCATAACACGTCGCCCAAAGCACGGTAATTTGGGAACAAAATGGCAGAAACATGCAAATAGTAAAAGATGAAACAAAGTAAACAGATCAAAAGTATGATGCAAGAATCTCGATAGATCGCATGGCCAAAAGTGAGGGGTCATATTCGACCTCTCTCTCAACTAGTTTCCATAGATCTCATTTTATAAAAAGATGTTCCACGGTTGGTATTCGTTTCGTCCGCAGGACCTTCCCGGCTTTAATGGGAATGTCTAGAGCATTGGTCAAGTCAGCACGGCAAGAACTTTCCAAAGCTGGAATATCCCAGCAACAAAAAGGAAGAACCTACGGCTTGCGCTTCTCAGCACCACTCTGTTGACTCGAGGAGCCCGCCATATCCCAGAAACGACTCTTATAAGCGGGAAAAGACGTATGGTTCCACATGTTGACCAGAACACTAAAACAGCAAACGTTAGCATGAGCTCAACCCAGATACTGGGATGATTGTGGGGTGAGACTCACCTCTGGCTCCGATCCTTGTACTCCTCATCTCGAATCTCCTTCACCTCGACCTTCATACCATCCTTGGTGAAGACGACATTCTTGCGCTCCATCTTCTCGCGCGTGCTCTTGCTCACACCCTGGACAATCGAGTAGGCGACGTAGCCAACAGCGGCGAGCACGCCAACGAGGACGAGAAGGATGATGAGGGGGACGAGGCTGCTGACGGCCATGGCGGAAAGAGGGAGGGCGTCGGTGGTGGCTTTGTGTTGGTTGAGTGGGGGCGGAGGAGTTGGTGGAAGTTGGAGTCGAGAAAGAATCAAGGGTGGCTGTGCACGTAGAAGTACCTCGCTTGAAGAGATCACTTGCCGATGGTCGCAAGGAATGTGTGACAGGGACGACTGTCGAGGGCCAAGGACTGTGTCGTGTGTGCGCAGGCTTGGGTGGTCTGGGCAGGGCTGCTGCCTAGAGGAATCCAGTGCCAAGCAAACTAAATGAGTACTTCCTCCTGATATGCAGGAATAAGGAGAGACCGAGAGAAGAGAAAGGGATTGGGATGAAACATTCCGAAAGGAATCAGGGGTCAGGGGACTAGACTTGGACATGTAACGGTTCGGCGCCCGGCAGTGACGATGATTGGACTGGGACGGTTTGGTTATGTGTGTGGCTGGTGAGGCGGGGTTGAGCCATAACTGTGTCAGCCACAATTTGTTCAGCCACAGCTTATGTAAATGTTGTGGGCCACTTTCTTCAGGCATAATTTAGAATCTCGATCTTCCCAGGTTATCCATGGATGCTTCTTATGGGTGATGAACCAGTGATAAACAAAAAAAAAAAAGTATGGATCAAAATCCTGCCAATCAAAATTTTCTCACACTCTATGCCTAGACTGCCGAGTGTTTAGTGCTTGATAGTTCTGTGCACTGTAGTATGGCGATCGTAAGCGGACGATCTCAACTGCGTCATCATGATAGCATCCAACCTTGAGAACCTTGAGAACTCCTCGGGCGGTGAACTCCCTTGGTGTGGGTGGTCTGGGGAAAGCTCTCCTCCTTTTCCTGCCTTTTATCTGTCTACACACCCACCCTACACCCCTCTCTAGCCTCGGCATTGAGCTCCCAGACTTCTTGCATTTTTGTTGCAACTTCACCCTAACAATGTGCGACATGCCGTTCTTCCCGATCTTCCCGATCTGTTTCCAATGTGGCACTGACCAGAATCCCTGTCACTGTAAGGTGGTCGGGCCGACGCTGGGTAAGTGGTGCCTACCAAGATATATAACAAATGAATACATGACCTAACTCGAATACCTTGGGGCTATCAGGGTTCTGTTGTACCATCGTGGCTGCAGTAAGTGTCCCAAGTCTACCACCTACTTATAAAAAGAGCTACCCATGGATGTTAATCTCTCTTCCAGGTCATCTGCTGGCCCGCCTCTATCTTCTGTGGCTGCAACTGCACCAAGACCGGGAAGGAGTATGTCGTAGCCCATTCTCCCCTGTCTCTCCTCGGAAAACAATAATCATCATAATGATAACCTGGCTAACAACTTCAATAGTATGCTGGGATACCCCGTCAAACTAAACGGACAAGTCAGCAATGCCATACCCTTCTGACGGGCAGAGATTATTGAGCGACGGAAGACGATAATGGATAAATGAATGGCTTGGCTGGCTTGAAATCCCGCTCCTTTCGGGTTGTGGTCTTTGGGGAGCCTTGGGCGAATGAATACACCGATGGTTTTTCCTTGTACAGTTCGGGGGTTTTTTTTCTATGATATAGTCACCTATCTATCGAGTGATTTTATTTTTATTTACTTTGTATAATAGCTAAGGTTCAGCACCGAACACTAATAAGGGTAAATTACCTTAGCGGAACGCTGTTAGATCTAGTAGCGGTGTTAATGTAGGCTCTTCCGGACCTTCGTCGCTAAATAACACTATAGCGTCCGATAAGCCTAAGGTGATTTCCCCGGAGTTGCGGGAGCTCCTCCGTAAGAATATCCTATAGAAACGTCAACAGACGTTATGATATTACTGGTGCTGTGCAGAGTCTGGTGAAAGACTCATCATTCTTATGGCTTGATCCTATGGCCACCTGATTGGTTTCGGTTCATGATTTTATGAATTTGTTGTATATCATTTTTTTATTCCACTTTTCCTTTTTCCTTTTACTGTTTTTATTCATGGCTAGTTGGAGGGAACTCATTGGAAGTAATTAGGGATCTGATCTTGGGCGTTTCTGTCTGGCATTTTTTTCTATCGTGCTAAATGTCCACTCTCGCTAAACTAGAGTCATGTTTACATATATTAAATCTCAAACTGAGCCTGGTTTCAGCATTCCATAGTGTTCCCAATGACCGACCTCATTTCCCAACTAAAGTGATCACTAAATTCAGCAGCAGTGAAGCGTTGATACCTCTCTAAACATAGAGACCGCGCGAAAACATTGCGCATTCCTTCGGTCATTTCTCTTTGGAGATCTCCCTGCCTTTCCAGCCAGGTTAAATATCTCACGATGCTTTCTGGATCGTGAAGTTGGATTATGTCTTTCCATTCATCCACAAAGTCGTCGTAGGAGAGTTGGTAGAGATATATTGCTCGTAGGGCTAACATTGCCAGTGAAAACACATCTGAAGCATGTGTAGAATATCGAATATTCTGATGCTCAATGCGCTTCAAATAAAACCATTCTGTTCGAGATTTGTTAGAATTTGAATAGTTAAGGATCAAGAGAACATGGGTACCTGGTGAGCCATATCCTGATATGCCTAGGCGGTCTGTTGCTGTTGCAGCAGTACCAACAGTATCAAAATCAATCCACTGCATGGTCATATAACCCAGCTCGTCTATCCATAACATTGCATTTCGTGCTCGAATATTGCCATGATAGTAGCCCTCTGCATGGAGGAGCTTCAGCCCTTCTGACAATTGTGCTATGGCCACCACTCGGAGTTTGTCGTTAATTTGGTTTGAAAGAATCATCCTTCGGAACTCTGTCTTAGGTGATCGAAAGGGTAGCATAAGCCAGTTTGGCTTGCTGATATCCCTACCCTGGACCACTAAGATCGCTTTCACAGGCATGATGTATTTGATGTGTCTTGCGAGTTCAGCTTGAATCAACCCCCCACGAATTAAATCCTCCTCATGTGAGTTCTTCATAGCCACAGTCTCCGGACGCTGACGGGGATCTTCGAGATCTTGAAGCTTTGCACGATAAACTTTGATTGGATCGGTGCGGCCTGCAACCACGCGGTCTTCCGTCACGGTGTAGTGTGAAAATCGCAATTGAAAAGGTGATGAGACGATGAGTTGAGCTGATTGGGGTCGAACATTCGAGTCTGATGGTCCAGCCCGGCGTTGAAAATCGGACGAGGCCCGTTCGGCACGCTGGGGCTTGAGTGACAAGCTCACAGGGGAAAAGGAATTCGCTGGGTGAAGACTCGGAGCACATTCGACGCAGAAAAGCCAGATAGCTATGATTATACACCAGTACAGCCATCCGTTGAATTGCATTTTCGACTTCACGCTCTTAAGGCGGATTGGAGGTCAGAGAAGAGCAAGACACGAGACATAGGGAATACAATGAAAATTGGGCTAGGTAATATCTCAGGTAAAAAAATTGATCCTTGATATGCCACTCCTATTAGACTAGCGCGGCCCCTGAACAAGACAATTACGCGCCCGACTCGCCCGACTTGCCCGACCTAACCCAAGGTGTACCTACGGATAGTCTGCGCCATAACACACCATAACCCATCGTGGGGCTCCAAGGAAGCCCCAATTGCGTGTGTGGGCGCTAGATTGGCTATCTGTATCTCTCTCGGGCTCGGCGCGTATCTATACAATAATATGAAGGGTGAGTTACCTTTTTTTTATCCTTTCAATGTTTTTCCCCCTTATATCTTAATTCATACTAACTTCTCTTCCCTTAGTAACAGTCATAGGCAACAAATCACCTATAACCCCGACTTACTCCGTAGCATATTGAAACAGCCACTCGGGGTATAAGACACTACACAACAGTATCTCAACGCAGACGGATTAGAGATTCAGAGTCATTAAACGAGAATAGTAAATGAAAAAAACAAAAAGGCTTGCTGGAACACAATGCGACAGACTGCAGATGAGGTATCCAGGTCGAACAGAAGAAACATGGAAGAAAAAAAAAAGCAGAAACAAACCCAACAAGAAAAGGAAAATCTTCCACCTGCTATACTCACGGTCTAAAAGGATGAACGTTGAGCTTCGCTCCAACCAAACTATCTACTTGAGCTTCTCCTTGAGCTTGCTGAAGAATCCACTCAGACGCTTCTTCTTCTTCTCCTCTTTAGCGCTGCCCTGAGCTTCGGACTTTTGCGCGATGGCGGCAGCATTCTCGGTACTGGCAGACTGTTCGGCGGTCGTCGCGGTCGAGGTTTCGGCTGTCGGTGCAGATGCCACACCGGTGGTCACGGTCGGACCGGTGGCCTCGGCGGACGAGTCGCCCTCGGTAGGGGCCTGGATCTGCTCCTTGCCCACACCCGACACAGCGGTCTTGGGCTCAGTGGCAGGGGCAGAGGTGGGCGCAGAGGTGGGTGCAGCACGACCCGGAGGAGGAGTCGAGGTCGGCGACACGTCCACCGAATCCACGCCGAGGTTGGTAGTGCCTCTCGGGGCGGTGGCTGAGGTGGCCGCCGTGGTGGTGGGAGCCGGGGCTCCCAAGGACTCGTTCACATCCACCTTCCGTTGAAGCTCCTGTTCCACCTCCTTCTTCTCGCCGACAGCCTCCTTGTTGGTGGTGGCTTCGGGGGCTTTATGGGCCTCGGCGATCGACTCTTGCACCACCTGCGGAACTTCGGAAACGGGCTTGTCGCCGTTTGTTTGTTTCTCCTTCTGGGACTCCAGCGGTACTCCGGCAGCCAACGCAGCCGTGGTCGAGGTGGGTGCCGCCGACTGGATGGTGTATCCCGGATCCGTCATCGCGGCCTGCTGTGCCGGGCCACCGACGTGCTGGTTGTGCTCGAGGTCCGTCGCCGCCGCTCGTTGCGCGGGCCCGCCGATCGGGAGACTGGATTCAGGGATGGTATTCTTGGAGACCGGGGGCAGGTTGAAAGCGCTGGGGCCGGCGGTATCAGGAGTGTTCTGGACGCCAGCACTGCCCAGAGGCACGCTGTCGCCCTTTTCATACGACTCCCTGTCCAGCTTCACACTCGACTCGACGGTGTTGCCATGGATCGTGCTGGCATCGGGGACCTTCTCCCCTGGGTTCAGCTTGATCGGATTCCCGTAGCCACCCGAGACCGGGATCGGATTCACGGACAGCGTCTGTTCGGATTCCTGTCCCGGCGTCTCGGGGAAGGTACCGGGCAGGCTGCCATTTGCCTCTTCTTTGGGAACGTTGGCCGCCAGGGCGGCGGCGGTGGAATCGGGGGTCACGCCAGACATGGTTGCGAGACCGTGAGCACCAGAGTCTGTCTGGGTCTTGATCTCCTCGGGCAGTAGCACGTTGTTGATGTTGTTGTGTTCGTCGTTCTCCTCACGTACCCGACTATCCGTGGTCCAGGTGCCGTCCACGACAAACTTGTGCAAGAGTCACGTCAGCGATGGGGCTGCTTTATAGTTAAAGAGGGGGGAAAGCGGGACAGGGTGGGTGACGTCAGTTCAAGGCGTCATGGAGAGAGCTGAGGGGTGCCTAGTCCTGCCTCAGGCAGCCATCGCTCACCGCAACGTTTTAAATACGAGAGAGAGGGAGAAAAAAAAAAAGGCGTGGGTGGTGGCATGGGGGTGTGTGTGTGAGAAAAGAAGACAGAAAGAGATCATTCAAAAACAAAGGCATACCTTGTACTGGGTCTTCTCCACTGGCAGGCTGACCTCCTTTGCAAAGACGTCGCCCACTCGGTCCAATTTCACTGTCTTGCCCCAATCATCGAAAGTGCCCGTTACAAACACCTCGTTCGCGTTGTAGGGCCTACATGCAATGCACACATCCGACCAGTCAGTGATTCAATGCCCGTGCCACAGGGACTCGAGGGTACTCGAGAGCAGGTCTCGGAAGCCGAGCTCAGGAACCGAGGAACGGGGCCAATTTCACTCACCATTGGAATATGAACGTGCCCATCACTGGATTAATCCAAGTAAAGAATAATAGAGAGAGGGAGAGGGAGAGAGGAACAGGAAATGTTGGGGAGTAGAGAAGACGGGGGTTTGGAGAAGTGACCAAGCTCTCTCAGTGGGGCACAGGCCAACAGGGCCTTTCGATGGAGTTGATAGTGATGCTTGATAGTATAGTTACAGAGAATTAATTATAGAATTTTAATTATGAATTGATTAAATTATTGAGAATATTAAAATACTGAAGCATTAACGTATTAAAGTATTGAAGTATTGAATTATTGAAAGATTTAAATTATTCAAGTCTCTACCATGGATGGCTCCCGAGTCTCAGCTCACCATGACGTGCCCGACTGCAGCAAAGAGAGAAAGGTGATCTGCATGGATAAGTCTACATCAAACAGAATTAGAGTGTCTTGAACTCATAGAACAGGGCAGATCTCCATTCTTTTGAATTATATTCTATTCTCTCTTTTTTTGGCTATGTCGTGTAAAACAAGAATCCAATGTTCCGTTGGATGTATAAGACATGGCTGAAAACGGGGCCAGGATACATCGCCACCAATGCAATGATCATCTACTGTTCTAGAAGACGCCTGGAACATGGAATTTTCTTTTTTCTTTTCTTTCTTTTACATTTACATTTTTTATGTTCTGTACTTCTTTCTTCTGCCTCTAGTAATCTAGTGGATCCCTCGTACAGTACGGAGTAGACTCTCCATGATCGACAAGGTGAAGCTCAGACCAATCTACCCCTCCTCGCATCCTTCTCTCGCCCCCTCTTCACGGCCATTGACTCTTTCTCGGTCTTGAGGGCGAGGAACATCTTTGGTGCAGGGTTCGGGTACAGCTTCCAGTGGCAACAGGTCAGTCAGACAGTCTCAGCTTCACTTTTTTCTTCCTTTTTCTTCTTCTTCTCTCTTTCTTTCCAATGTTTTGCATTTCTTCCCGAGACAAGAAATAAGTAGAAGAGAAGAAGAAAAAGAAAAGAAAAAAAAGGGTGTTAAAAGACATTCTCCAATTAGACCCCAATCTCCACTGTCTGCCCCTCCGTTCTGCGAAACGCGGATCATCTCGCTTTTGCCCAGCCCCGGGTTCCCACTGGTTCTTATGTTGCTCAGTTTCCCACTTTCTTCCTTCCCACACTCTGTCCTCCCTAACGCCCGGAGAGACACAGACTCTTTACTTCTCTTTCTCCAACTTTATCCTGGCCGGAGTCGCAGCCCCTCCGGCCCTTCAATCATGGCGGAAAGCTCGTTCCCCGGTACCAACCCGTTTCTCAGCGGGGTCAACAGAGAGAAATCCCCCGGCATCCAAAAGATCTCGGAGGATGAAGAATTCGAGGTGACGTCACCCACCAATGTGACATTTCGTCAGGCCAACGCCGGTGCGCCATCAGGGAGCACCAACTTTGGAGGCAGTGCGTTTGGTGGAGGGTCACAAGGAGCGTCGTTGTTCAGTCGGAGTCCATTCGAGACGGGGCCCGGATCGGGGCTGGGTCATCCAGAGGAGGACGGGCAGGGTTCGCTCCCGACAGGAATCGCCCAGCAAGGGTTCCCCAACAACTATGCGTTGGGTCGTCGAACCTCGGTGTCGGCCGAATCCTTAAATCCCACCTCGGCGGGCACGGACAGCTGGACGCCTCCGCACCACCCCAAGACGGAGGACCAGCTGGCCCGGCTCAAGACCGCCGTCAGCGGGAATTTCCTCTTCTCCCACCTCGACGACGACCAGTTCAAGACGGTTCTGGATGCCCTCGTCGAGAAACCCATCCCCGCCAAGGACATCAAGGTGATCTCGCAGGGCGACGCCGGAGATTACTTCTATATTGTGGAAAACGGTCACTTCGACATCTACATCCACCCGTCCGGCTCGGTGCAGCCCGGCCCCGATGGCCTGGGTAACAAGGTGGCGACGACGGGGCCTGGAGGCTCCTTCGGTGAGCTGGCCCTGATGTACAACGCCCCGCGGGCCGCGACAGTCTTGTCGCTCGACGCAAAAAGTACTCTCTGGGCTTTGGACCGCATCACCTTCCGCCGCATCCTGATGGACTCGGCTTTCCAGCGCCGTCGCATGTACGAAGCCTTTTTAGAAGAGGTTCCGCTACTCTCCTCCCTCAAGCCCTATGAGCGCTCGAAAATCGCCGATGCCTTGGATACTATCAAGTACCCTGCCAATTCGACCATCATCGCCGAGGGCGACCCCGGCGATGCTTTTTACCTGCTGGAGTCCGGCGAGGCCGAAGCATTCAAGAACGGGGTGTCTGGGTCTGTCAAGGACTATCGCCGAGGCGATTACTTTGGCGAGTTGGCGCTGCTGGACGACAAGCCGCGGGCTGCCAGCATCGTCACCAAGACGGATGTCAAGGTGGCGCGGCTGGGCCGGGACGGGTTCAAGCGACTGCTTGGCCCCGTCGAGGAAATCATGAGACGCGCGGAATATGATCTGGATGCCGCCAAGTCCCCTGTTTCCGCATAAATGTGATATGATACGAATGAATTCGAATTCGAATCCCGGGGAGGGGGAGGGTTGAGCAGAGGAACGCGTTAGAATGTTGCCTACTTCAACTCGGACTTCGTGTTCTGCCAGTTTGCTTGTTGTTTTGTTTCTTTTATTCCCTTTCCTATACCCTCCCTCTATCCCTCTATCTCTTTATCTCTCTCTCTCTCTCTCTCTCTCTCTCTCTCTCCACCTTGCCGCTCCACCGCGTCTCCGCCGACTCTACACTCTTTATGACTACGTGACTGTATCTACCAATCCTGTCTCTTCTATGTGCGGTGCGGTTTGCCTGACACAGGTACCTACTATCGTCCCTGTCATACTATTTTGCTATTCTGAATTGTATCGCTCGATCTGTTCCAATGCGTGCTGCTCTCTTCCTGTCTGTCTAGGTGAATGGTAGGAGGAGCCAATTGACTAGAATGTGATGATGATTAGGTATTTCATCTACAAGATAGGAAATATGCCCGGGTATATATTAGCTATAAATCAGGTATCAAACGATCCGGAATACATCCTTACATCACCGCGCAACTACCAAATCACTTCGCAACACCCACTTCTCGCCCCCTGTCACCTCATTCCCCTCGTGCAGCATGCATTGATCCCCGTGTCGGTGTAATAGCGCCATCCCCGTCTCCGGCGGGACGGATATCGGCGTGGGGTTGGGGTTCGCACGTGTTGGGTCCGGGTAGAAGATGGTTTCGCCGCCATTGCACGAAGTGAGGTAGATGAGCAGAGTCCAGGTTGTGCGAGCGGGTGTGGGTTTGGGAGTTGTCGGGGAGGGAGGGAAGGTTATTGAGTTGGATTCGTCGTCTGATGCGCGTCGATATTTTATTAGTATGTGCACATTGATCGCAAGACTATGTTTTTTTGTTCTGGTAACAACACTTACAATGCTGCCCGAAGAATTGACCTGCCGAGTACCGATAGATGCGAATATTCGGGTTCAGGCCTAACGGCTCCCCGCCCCAGAGCTGGCGCGCCCGTTGCGCGAGTTCAGTAGACATCGCAGGATCGCGACTATCCTCCTCCCTGTCATCGTTATAGTCTTCCTCGGTAAATCGCTCTGTCACCAGTTCTTTCAACGCTGTCCCACTCCACAGCATCTCGGCAAACCGCGCATCCTCGATCTGGAACCGGTCGTTGACCCGCACGGCCTCGTCCTTCTTCGGCTTGCCGGGGGTCGTGGTCAGGGGTAATGACGCGAGAAACGAGACGTAGTTTTTGCACAGCGAGCCCGACAGAAAATTGCGGATCAAATAGATCTGGTCGGTGAGCAGCGGCGTGAGGCTGAGGTCGAGTGCGGGGAGAAGGGGGCGGAGAGGAGGCCAGTCGGGCGCGGTGGGGTTGGAAGGCGCTGTGCGTTGGGGTTTGGAGTCGGTCTTCTTGGGTTTTGGCATGGTGTCTCTTGCTGAATTCTGCTTTTTCAATGTCTGTGGGACGATTCGTGTGTCGAAGAAAGTGGCATGTAGGTGATTGATTTTAGGCCCAACTGCTATCGATAAGATCTCCCCTCGGCGCTGCAACTTGCTCCGCTTCTCCCCCCACAGTGTCGTGCATTCATGTATGATCTAATAGCTCATAGTCGACTTGTCAGAAAATCTACGCTTCTGCCAGACCTTGCATTGTCCCATGGCTTTTGCTGTCAGCTCATCTCTAACTGCTTGGGTACCATTGGCGCCCGGAGGACCGTCGCCTTGCGCCGAATCTGCAGTGGAGGCAAGCCACCGAATATCAGAGGGGTCGACTCCACTTGAAAGCACAGTGTCTGGACAATAATAAAGCTGCGATCCATGGTCGTAGTCAAGTGCTCGAGGTCGTTGCGAGAGCCTGATGTGTTGACCAAAATAAGTAGCAAAAGCGCCCGTCGGTATTGCTCCCAGTAGTCTCTCTTTCCATCGAGTCTGAGACAACCATCTCCAAGACGAAGATCTTTTGGCGCCGATCTCGAACAGAACCGGTGAGGAACCAGGCACCCAAACCAGTCCACGGGTGGATCTGGTCGGAGAGATGGAGCGGGGCGGGAGAGAAAATTTGACCCGTGCTGATCCTCGCGATGCACGGGGGGTTCAGGCCGGGCAATAGCGAAGAAATCAGTTTTCAAGTCCAGAGAAATTGCAAGTTCTCGCTGCTCATCGTTTTGCAAAGAAACATTGATCTCATTGACAATGGCTGAGGTGTAGAAATGCGCAAGCTGGATTACGGCCGCCTGCAGACGCCACCCCGGCAATCGCTCACCGCCCGAGTCAAAGAGAGAACTTCAGCTTTTGCTCTTCTCCCTCTCTTCCCTCAGCACCTGTCATGTCGTCGCAGACCATGACTGCGCCAGCCGTGGGCCATCGACCGCCTGATCCAGGCCCTGAGAGTCCTATATATGACTATGGCTCCCACAACGACGCCTCGCCGTCCCAGCCTGGGAGCGACTCCGCCATGCGCGACATGCAGAATAATTCTGCCCCGTCGACTCCTCCCCAGGGCCTATCCGCCACGAACTCGATCGGAATTAAGACTGAACCGACTGAAGACCAGAGCCTATCGGCCCCGAGTAATCAAAGAGAATCCAACACGCAGTCCGCCGCCAGCGCGCTTCTAGCCCAGCTCCTCGGAAATCAATCTTCGCCGAACTCTGCTCCGGCTTCGACAGCACCACTCGCCGGCCTCCCGAATGAGCGTCAGGATGTTTCTGGAGATGTGAAAATGGATGAGGCGTATTCTCAAATGCTTGACACTATGGGCCCGGATGTGACGACTGCCGATCCGAATTTACAACAGCCTTCGACCGTGGTATCAGGAGGGATGCAGGATATGTCGAATGGAGACTCCTTTGGCGATTCACTTGCCGGGCTCGGTGCCGCTCACCAAGGAGACAGCGCAGGACCTAAAACATCAGATGCAATGGAAGGCCTCTCCGACCCACTCAACTCAAAGTCGAACCCGGAACAGCCCTCACTCCTGCCGCCCTTCGATTTCGCCGCCGCCCCGAAAAATGCGTTCGAGGCCCTTCAGCAGAACGAGCTGCTCACCGCCGCTTATCTCTCACAGGGCGCCGATCTGTCGGCCCTGGGATATCAGGATGGCGCGGCATCGGTTGCGGGCTCAGAACCTCGAATCCAGGCGTTTGCCAAATTAGAGTTTGATGATGGGCATTTCTATGTCAATACCTACTCGTTCATTCTTGGGCGAGATGTTCGGGCCGCGCGCGCTGCCCATCAGCGAGAGATTCAATACCGGCAGGCCGTGCGGAGCTCTCGAGCAAAGAGTTCCAGTGGAGGCAACACCTCGCACACGCCGAACCGGGTTAAACAGGAAGAAAGCGCTGCTATGATGGGAAGCGTTGTCAGTGATCGAGGAGGTATCATGGGTTTCGACCCAGATGTTCCTCCGCATCTTCCGGCCAACATCGATCTCAGTCGGCGGTCCTCAAAATCTTCATATGACGACTCTGTAGTGCCCTTGCACGCAACTCCTGCTCAATTACAGTCGACCACAGACTACAATGCGCTTGCCATGCAGTCTCTTCAAGAAGGCAATGGTGACGCGAAGCCTGTGGATACGCTCGCTTTGCTTCCATCTCCTGACTCCTGTCCTACGATCCCTATCCACCCCCCGACGACAGTCGACGGCAGCGCTGCTGGTCATCGAGGCATTTCCCGCAGGCACGTCCGCATTGCCTACAATTTTGACCGCAATTTGTTCGAGATGGAAGTGATGGGCCGCAATGGAGCGTTCATCGGGGCTGACTGGCTCTCTCCGGGCCAACTTCGCCCGCTACACAGCGGGGATTATATCCAGATAGGTGGCGTGCGCATCAGATTTTTGCTACCTGATGTCCCTATTGGTGAGACAGGAGCCGATCGGATGGAAGCGCAGCTGGCAGAAGAAGAGGACGCCGCTTCGATTGATGCCGAACACGAACTCGATGAGCCTGACAAGGTTGTCAGCGACAGCGCCGAGCCCAAGGATTCTTCCAAGGTTGACCTAACAAGCAAAGAGACCGACGAAGTACCGTCCATCGAAGCTGGAGAACAGCCGGCTCGCCGTCGCGGACCTGGTCGCCCTCCCAAGGATGGGATTATGTCCAAGCGCGAGCGAGCAGAACTCGCCCGGGAACAGAAGATGGCTGCCAAGCGAGAGGCTAATGGAGGTGTCACCCCGCCGCCGAACCGGGGCAAGGCAGGGAAGACGACCACCAAGGAATCCGTTGGCGCTGAGTCGCCCACGCCAAAGCCATCTGAAAAACGCAAGTACACCAAGCGGAAGAAGCCCGATGGCACATCGGTGGATGTTCCTATTCCTTCGACGGAAGGCGGCCAGCTTCCTGCAGAGCAACGGCCCGAGGAATCCATCAAGCCTCCGCCGGTCAAGAAACGCAAGCCGTCACGATCACCATCTCCCAACTATCCCCCGGAGTCCGCTTATTCGCAAGAGGATCTGGCCAAACCTCCTTACAACTACGCTGTGCTCATCTTCGACGCCCTAACAGATGCGGGTACCCCGATGACGCTCAAGCAGATCTACCGCGCGCTGAAGCTCAAGTATCCTTACTTCCGTTTCAAGTGCGAGACCGAGGGTTGGACATCCAGTGTGCGGCATAACCTTAATGGCAACAGCCATCTATTCATGCATGCCGAGCGAGATGGAAAGGGATGGTCATGGCAACTTCGGCCAGGCGCATCGGTCGAGAAGGAAAAGAAGAGGCGCCCGTCGCCTCCTCCGGCGCCGCCCCAGGTGTCGCAGCCTCCGCCCAATGTTCCTCAGCAATATATGCCTCCCATGTCCCACTCGTACGCACCCCCGCCGGTGGCACCAGCCCCAGCGCCCAACCAGCACCAGCACCAGCACTTCCAGTTCCCTTCGATCCCACCGGCCCCCTTTCCAACACCTGCTGCTCCACAACACTCCAGTCCTTATCCACCTCCTTCAACGGCACCTGCTCCCGCACCGACGGTGGCTCCGGCCCCCCCTGCGGCCCCGACCCAGGCTCCGGCTACGACTCCAACTCCCAATCCGGCCTCGAGTGCGACTCCGGCTGCAGCTCCCAAGCCCACCCCTGCTCCTGCCTCCTTTCCCATCCCGAGTACCATCCGCAACAGTCTCCCAGCTGCTTTCGCGCAGACCATTCCCTCAACATACACCTCTCCCTACGCCTCCGATACTCCCGCGCAAGGTGCTCAGGCCCGACCATCACAGACCCCAAGGCCTCCCCAGGGACCGCCGCAGCATCAGTCACCATATCCACCTCAAAAGCCCATTTCGTCTCACCCACCACACATCAACCCGCAACCTCAAGCCTTCCCTCCTCCCGCCGGACCCCCATTCCAACCCAAGCACCAGCCACCCGCGCAGCCCCGGGCGCAGCCGCCTTCTCACCCGCCTCCACAACGGGCCCCACCGTCTCATCATCCGCCACCGCAACAACACCCTCTCCCCGGAGGGCCTCCAACTCATCAACAACCCCAACCGCCTCCCGCTCAGCCAAATTCGGCACCATCTGGACCCTCAGAGTCATCCTCGTTTACTGAACGAGCGAACAAGGCCATCGATGACTTTGAGGCTGTTCTGATGGAGGACTACGAGGACAAGAACTACATCCGAGAGGTGCTCCGAAGTGCGCGCGCTCGTGTTTTGGGGGCTGCCACGGAAAGTTCATTCCCTGGCGGCGAGCCTAAAGATGAGGCCGTCATCATGGACGTTCTTGGCAATCTGGTTGGAAGCCTGAAAGATGAATAGTGGCTTGGAAAGCCATGTGTTTCTTTTCAGTGTGACGGCTTATGAATTTTGTTTTACGGGAGAATCGTTTTGGCTCGGGGAGTTTTTGTTCCAAGCCTGGTGTGTCTATAGCAATAGAAAAGGGGGTTTCAAGGGTGATGGACATCGAATCGTCCAACTTGGTGCCTCGCGGCGCTTGACCGGCCAGGGAAATGGCCCTTCCTCACGACTTTATCGAGTATACGAGTCTATGTTTGTGTTGGTTTCTTTTCTCTCTCTCTCTCTCTCTCTCTCTTTCTTCTTTTCTTGGCCTTGTACTTCGTCCCCTCTGTGTGTGAATCTTAATGATATCCCTCTGTTTTGTCTGACAGGCCCTACATGTGCGCCTGATCTTCTGTCCCCCCCTTTTTGTCCCCCATTTCGTTGGCAGATCCGGCGCATGGCCGCTGCTCTTGGAGGGTTGGTCTTGAGGCTCCCTCCTTCTGTCTTGTTTTATTTGCCGGCGTCTCCTCTGCTTTCGATGGGATGGGTGTCAGTCACCAAAAAAAAAGGAGAAAAGCGCTGCACAATAGACAATACCAATCCACATTGATGGAATATGATTCCTCTGTTCGTCTGTAGACTGAGTGTTTATTAGACTTTCGTATTAAATTTATAGATTTGGAAAAATATATACTCTCTTGTCCGTATATTTACTACCTAATAGGTAAGTAAACCACCGGTCTTCCCGCGGCTATAGATCCAAGTACCTAGGGTATCCTCACCGTGCATCTATGATTTCTGCCTTCCCCGCCCAGTGGAATACAACCAGAATTACACAGAAAACAGAAAAAGGTAAATAATCAGAGAAGAAGGAAAAAAAAAAAGAAGAAGAGGGGCGTGCATATCCACCAGCCCGGACTTTTCCTACCGCGGGGTTGAGGAGGCCGGGGGGGGAGGAAGAAAAAAAAACAGGTCGCGAGGGGAAGGCAAAGAGGGGGTGACGCAGACAAGCCGGTGGAGTGCAGTGAGTCACTTCGTTTTTCCTTGGTCTGATCTGATCTGTCTGTCATCTGCAGCTGGACGGAGTGGGCATGTCAGTGGATATCCTCGGTGAACTAATGTACTGGGAACTAGGATATACAATATGTATAAGTATGGTTCAGGAAAAGGTGCCGGAGGGAGCCGGTGAGACTTGGGGTTAGGGTTCGCCGTTTCAGGGCATGGGGGCTGCGTGGTTTTTATTCTTGTTACATCTTTACTATTTCTTGGGCTGCCAACCTTGAAGATATCTGTGTTTTTAAGTCCTCGGGGCTGAGATTGTCTTAACTCGAGAGAATAACCGTAGATACTGAAAGTGAGGTACTATGTATACATACGCACTTATATATAGTGCTTCACTAGGGTAACAACCGTTATTTCCACGTGAATATATTTCCAGAACTAATCCAGGATCATGGAATGACATATACTAATACTAATAGTATAATAGTAAATATAGCAGGTTATACTTCATTGCGCCAGGTATCTACGCAAGGCCTCTCGTTCCAGTCACAATTGCATGAACACCGCCTTCTCTCCATGGCCATGCATGCAGGGATCCGGACTGGGTTTAGGGGGGCTTAGGTGAGTCACTTGTTGCCCAGAGGACAAGTCAGAGCCCTTGCGTGGTCGCACCGGGTAATCGGGGCGTGTGATCGGAAGTCATTAGGCAGTCATAGAGAATGCTGTATTTATAGTGACTATATACTCTATATTTAATAGATATTACAATAGAAAGACAAGAAAAAAAAAGTATAGTCATATGCAACAAGATAATAATAATAATAATGTAATTATATTAATTATATTAATAAATTATCACCATAAAATCATAAGAGAATCGCAAAGACCCCCCCGGTCGGGCCTTAACGTGGGCCGAGCAACGGGCGGAATGTCAGCACATGGACCGATCACTGGTTCATATTGGAGAAGAAAATTCCTCGGTCTTCAGTTGCGCACCATGGATCCCAAGGGTCTTCAGGAATAACTATCTTTTCGTCATATACTATTGGAATTTTTAGGAGGCAACATCATTCTACGTATAGCAAACCTTAGGCACTCCAGGGCAATTCCAGCGACACGATTAGTCAGTATACAAGTAATGGAAATTGGCGGTGGAGCCACGAGGTCTTTTTTTTTTTTTAAAAAAAAAATTAAAAATTAAAAATTCAATGGTTTTTTTAGGGAACCAGTGACACGGCGTTGCATCACCGGATTCGCCTGAAGGGCCCGGCCAAAATTACATCGTATTGCCGACTTGGCAGGAGAGTAATCCACATTCACCTGCCTACTTCTCGAGAATCGGATGAATGGGTGAATAGAATAAATAATCTAGTAAAATAAGAAGAAGAAGAATATGTCTATTGCCAACAATCAATAGTCAATAATAATTCACAAAATATAATGAGAATGTAACAATAGCTCAAGTATAATTACCGGTGTCTATGAAACATTTCTGCCCCGGTCGAGACCCTGGTATTAATTACCCTGTAACATTACTCTCTGCCCACACAACCCTTTTCCTATTGCCTGTGCTTCTCTTCTTCTCTCCATCTCTCTTCCTCCCCCCCTCCCCTTTTGATTGCCATCTTCTCCCGGTTCAACGAGCTTTTCACTAAGTGTCGTTGCTAACCTCATTCCTCGTGAGGCTCGCCTGTCCGCGAGAAAATAAAAGTTTTCGGGTTAGATCTGGTCGCCTAACGCGTCTTGGGTCTTCTCAACAAATTTCGGTGCAGGGTTGCTCCTATTGTGGTTTTGCCTCCCTATTCCCCGAGAGGTCTTGAGCTCTTCAAGAAACGGTTTACACCCTCAGACCTGATCGTGACCACATACAAAGGGCTTTCTTGCCATTCGTTGACGTTCCTTCACTCTCATTTTCTTGTCTTCTATCCACTGGGTGGTTGAACATTCCTCGATGTCATTCAACTAGAGACGTTCCCTACGACTATATCAGAGCGACGCGCTCGTTGAGCAGCGCTCTCTCTTCCCCCCAGGCTCAGGGCGTGGCGGAGCTGTGGACGGTTCGTCTCCTTGTCTCTAGGACATTCTTCTCTCCCCTCTTGGGTGGATCTGGTTGGTGCTTCTGAGGCCTGTGTGCTGATTCCACGTTACTGGGAACACAGTGACCGTCTACCTCCCCGTCCTGAACTGGTTTTTCTCACCCTCTTCTTCGAGATGCCGTCTTTCTTCGCCCCAGGCCATCATGGCCTGCCTACGCCTCCTCACGTCACCAGTGGTGGTCGCATGGAGGAGCCGTCGTTCTACCCGGTCGGTCATGCGGGATTTCCTCCCCGCTACCACCAGAGCGGCTGTGACTTCATCGAACAGTACTCGCAGTCGGTGTGCTATGCTAAGCCGGCGCCCATGAACCTGCACACCCAGTCGGCACACCTGCTCCGCTCGGGCAGGGATATTAACACCTTGGGCCAGCCCATGTACGGCCCGATGACCACTCTTCCTCCGATCCGGACCAATGTCCAGCTTCCCCCATGGAGAGCGCCATCCCGCCCCAGTACCGCCGACAGGAGATTCCCCCGATGCAGGAGCAGCCGCGCAAGGAAGAGAAGGCGACCGGAGGTGTAGCCGCCCATCTAGATTACGAGATGGACCGCATGTCCGACTTCGTGGCAGAAATGGCCCAGGGAATGTATGATTTGTACACGACCAAGATCACCCTTGCAGATATTGACTTCGCGCGAAGCATCTACCCAGGATCTTCGGTTCCCCCCCAGTTTCGGAAATACGTCTACCAGATCCTGTCTTCAACCCGCCTGCCGAGCTCCACCATCCTCTTGGGCCTCTTCTATTTGTCCAGCCGGATGCGCATGCTGTCGGCCCAACGGGTCTTCCAGACGGGCAGTGGCCAGGTCTACCGCATGTTGACGGTGGCGCTCTTGCTGGGAAGCAAGTTCCTGGATGACAACACCTTCCAGAACAAGTCGTGGTCCGAGGTTAGCAACATTCCCGTCGCCGAGCTGAACCGCATGGAACTGGAGTGGTTGTTCGCCTTTGAGTGGAGGATCCATGACCGCATCTATGATCAGCAAGATGGATTTGCCTCGTGGCGCGCTCACTGGAAGAACTGGCGAGCCAAGGCCACTGCGCGCGCTCAAGAGTCTCGTCAGACTTTGGCGCCCCTTGACACCAATATCGTTCGCAGCCACAGCGTCTCTAAGCCGCTCATGTCTCCCGAGGGCCCCATTCCGCCACAGTACCAGCGCGGCTCTCACATCGAAAACTCGTGGCTCAACCCGACCGCGTCCGAGTACTCGCCTCCGTCGGCACCCCACAGCGGGCCCAATACTCCCGATTACTATTCGGTTGGGCCCTGGGCGTACTCGAACCCGCCGCCGCCGTATTCCCGGGCATGGGTTGCACCTCCACCGCAATACATGCCGCCGGCGCCGCGGTCTCAGCCCCCGTCCTACCATCACACTCCCGCGTACGGCTTGCCCTTCGCGCAGAGCGTCTGGACAGGTCACGGTTCTTCGTGTGGCTGCATGTATTGTGCCAAGCATCTTGAGCACTACATGTGCAATACCGCCTTCCCTTCTCTGCAACCGATTCTTGCAGGCTAGTTGAAAGTCTCTTTCGGACTTTCTTTTTCTATTCTTTCTTGCTCACGACTTCCAATGAAACAGACGACATTTATGGGCTTGGGGCTTGTACCGCCTAGTCGTCCTTGCGTGTTTTGCCGTGTTTTAGATTTTCTTTTTCGACATTTGCGCGATTTGCATGGTTTGAGTTCTTCGATGATACCGTTTTCTTTCATACTCTCGATTTGATTCGACTTTCACGCCTTACTTCATTTTCTGACCCGCCAGCCCTATGAGCAATCGGCATCCTGTGTCACCCGAAAAGTACTTCTGTTCTGCGTCTGCTGGTTCGTGTCGGCAAAGCGAAAAAAAATTCTCAAAATAATCAAAAAAAGAGGAAAAAAAAGCGCTCCAACCCCGCGACATTGGCACGCCCCGGTCAATCCACGATGCACACAGTTCAACCACGTCCACACACTGATGTCATGCTCTTGGCTCGTCGGATCTTTTTCACCCTTCCGGGTGGCCGGAGCCGCAGTCACGACGATCACGAATCCCCAAAAACCGTCCTCGTTGTTTATTACCCATGACATCGGTTCATATCGGCTCATTTTTATTGTTTTGTTATTTCAGGCTTGGCATTTTGTCTGGCGGTTGATTACCCATAGAGTGCTGTTTCGTTTTTCTTTCTGCCTTCTCTTCATGTCGGTACATTATTCCCACTCCCCACGCTACCATTCGTGCCTCGGCGTTAATACTTCTTCTCTTCTCTCTTCTCTTTTTCCCTGACTCTTTTTTTCTTTCTCTTATCGATTCTTTTGCCCCATTGATTCTTCTGATCCTCTTCATCCCTCATTTTATTCATTCTTGTTCCGGTCGACGTCTCAGTCGTTCGTTCTCGATTTACCTTTTCTTCTCTGGTGCTTCTCAAGTCGGATGCGGGTGCATGCTTCGGTGAGTCTGGCGGTTTTATGTCGCCTGGATTCATTGCCGCTCTGCTCCTGGCTTGGGGGATTAATGGTCCCGAGGGAACTGGCCTGTATGTAGTCTATTTGATCTCTTTTGTCCCTAACTCCTCGGCAAGCAAGTGCTTGATTGCCCTCGTCCGGGAGGGTTGGGGAGCCTTTGAAGACAAATAAAATAACAAAAACATTGGCAATTTGTCATTTACTTTCCCCTCTGTGCAGATGTCTTTGTTATGTGGTCCTAATAGGTTTAGGTTCCGGTATCTAGTCTTTCCTTTATCATCACTTAATGATGTCGCCTTGGGGCGGGATCTAACAATCAGACGCAGGAGTACTAAATACTCATAATTCATAGATGTACCACCTACCCGCGACGATGCAATACGATTGTCATCTCCCCCCCTGGTTCTAGGTAGACAGCTACAAGAATATTGCTGTCAATAGTGTCATTTCATTAAACCTAGCTTTCAGAGAAGTATGTATGCGATGAGAGAGGTCTAGTAGCCGTAGTATCTGAGTAAGTTCCGTTTACTCGTGGCCGACCCATAATGAGCCCAATCATCACCCTCCATGTAGTACACTATATAATTTCATGAAAATATTAGCTATGCTTCATGGCAATATTGTATATCCTTAGTGCCATGTCAAGGTATGAAGGTCTCAACTTAATATTATCATACCTTGGTTGTCAACACTGTTATCCACGGCTCTCGGGCTTTCTATGAGGAGTTGCCGTGCCTCCGTAAAACCATAGACCATATGTCCCGAACAAAGCTCATGGTCTATGTCTATAAAAAGAATATAACCAGGTTAGATTTTAGCTTTTTATCTCTCTCTCTCTCTCTCTCTCTCTCTGTTTGTGTGTGTCACCCTCCAAGGTCAATACTCACAATGGAATAGGAAATGGATAAATTCATGAACCAAGTGGTAGCTTAGCCACTCCCTCCAAAAAGAGATATGCCGAAATTTAGAGCTTGCCCCTTCCCAGTGGGCCTTTCTGTTGTCAGGGCCGATGACCATCCATTTTAATGTGCAGTAAAGGCTTTACTGCATACCATGATGTAGGTTTTCCTGACATTTGCAGCAGTGAATGACCTTTCAGCACAGGCATAAAGGTTAGGTTCCCACCATGCATGTTCTTCAAGTCCGGCCTCATAGAGTAAAGGATCTATGACATAGTCAGCGATCTGGGATCCATACGTGATGATATGACTTGAAACCCCTTGACTTAGAATGTCAGGACAGACAAGGGAATATAAGAGTTCAGCATACCCCAAACTTGGAACCCTGCTATGCGGTACTTTCTATATTTAGAAGAGGCCAGTGATTTGACTCTTATGGTTTTTTTTTTTTCCCATCGCTGAGGAGGTCATGTCGCACAAGATGGGCATTTCCGCAAATAATGGTTGTTGGTTTCCTATCACGGGCTTCGAGGTATTCCTTGAGAGATTCGGTTCTTTCTAAAATAGCATCAAGGTCAGCCAAGTACAGAAAAGGCTGGGGGTAATAAAAGTATTGAAGGATCTCACCGTAAACAGTGTGCCAACGTGGTTGATTCACAGCCTTTGACACGCCATTATCTCCCTGGAGAGCGAAAAAAGCTCGCTTGCTCCTTAAATTGTCGTACAAGCTGGCCTTGTTGGCCTCGACAGTTGCCATCAAATTGTAGGCGACATAAACCATTAATGCTGCTTCGCTAAGAGCATCCGAAACCTTGTTGTACACATTGCCTTTCTCTAAGATTCTGAGCCCTGATAGATCGTGCTCTCTGAGATTGCGACAGCTGCGACTGATGATGTTGCCCTCTATGCCAATTGTCCAAATACCAAGCAGGATTGTCAACAGACGAAATATCTGCCATACCCAGCCTCGGCCGGCCATAGTGTGGGTTGGGTTGTTAAGGAAGATATGGGGAGAGATGTGAGGGAGAGAAAGAAGGAGGAATAGCCTTCTCTGTAGAGATATTCCTTTTTTTTTTTTTTTTTTTTTTGTTATGTTATGTCTAGCGATGTGTGTATAATTAATTCAGGGGCTGCCAGGGGCTTAGGCTCTCTTCTATGCCCTGCATGGTAGAACGTTCAGTTTTATATCACACCTAACTTCGGATGGTATCCTCAAATAAAGTCATTTATCTATTATAATAATAGTATGCTAAAGCCTTCAATGATCAAACTTGAGTCAATTGCTCTTGAGTTAGGTATTCGGCATGGTACATATACAGAATTTGTACACTTTGATCACCACCGCCTCCTCGAGTCATTGGGGGCTATATACATACAGTACATTGAAGAATTTTCGAATTTCAATCCAGGTACAGATCAACTGCCCACCATTGACCGATGAGCGATAAATACTCTTTCCTAGTCTTCAAATGAGGTTGACTGTGAAGACACCCCTCTCCTCCTGACTGTATATTCCCGGGAAGGGAAACATGCATAGACCAGCCAGAAGATGAACGGTGCTGGATGAGTGCAGCCCTAAAATAATTGACCGTAAAAATATGCTACTATTACCATGGAAGGAAGCTCCATGCTATCTACTACCAATGCTAGTATGTATCAAAGCGAGCCATATAAAGTGTAGAAGTGTAATGCAGTTGGCAATCAAATCATTGAGAAGTCGTCACATCGTAAAGCAAAAGAGATAAAAAGAGAGAGCATCAGTAGACACTTCCTCGGATACTCTGGTCTTCTCGTTGCTGAGCCTCCAGAGATAACTTTTCTTTTGAGTCTTCCTGCTGGTGGTAACCAGGCTGAGACTGATACTCGGTACTCCACTGTTTTGAAGGTGATTCCTGTGACTCGTCCCCGTCGCCGAGAATATTGGTCATCCGAGACTCAGACTGCGGGACGACCGAGGAGGGATGGTGATGGTGATGGTTGGGATATGGAAGGGCCTGAGAATGGGGGTGCGGCTGGCGGTGGTGATGATGGTGATGATGATGAAAATGATGGTGGTGAGGGAGATGATGCGAACGGGATCTCCGAGATGTTTCGGTGGGATTCGCGCTCATCTCGTCGTCGCCATCGTCTTCAAACTCCTGTGAGGGTGGCGGTGGTTGAGATTGAGGGTGCGGTACCAAAGGGGAGTGAAAATGGGACGCTGATTCAGAGCGTGGGTGTGGGAGGGCCCGAGAACCAGTTGTAGGACCGGAAGATGTGGGTGGCGGAGCATGATGATCTTGGTCATCGCCCTCATCATCGGACGGGGCAAGACTGTTGGCTCCACTCATAGAGCCGCCTCCGTCACGGCCGCCCAGGTGCAGAAGAGCAAATTTCAGACACGCAGAAGATGAGGACGAAGTGGGCGGGTGGAGGAGATAGTCTTCGCTGTCTCGGTTCAGACCATGCAGCTGAGGCCGTTTCGGATGTGATGAAGCGACGGTTGGGCGAGGATCAGTGAAATCGCGCGGCTTCGTGCGGGGACTGACGTCCCCGTCCACCGCATCGGACTGATGGTTGTTTCCTCGTTGACTGGGACAGGGAGTAGTAATCTGGGAGGAAAAGTTCCAGTTTGTTGAGCGAGGGGGTTCTTCGTTAGATTCGGGCGGAACCGAAGAGGAACGAAGAGAAGTCGGTGCAGCTGGCGCATGCTCATGGGGGAGATGATGATGACCATTGCGGTGCGCCATGCCATCAGATGGCTTGCCGAGTGGATGGCCGCTGTCATGACGCATGGATTCTACCAGGCTTGTCCGCAGCGATCGTTTTACATCGGCAGACATGCCGTGCGTGCATCCATCAGGACAGCCTCCCCATTTTCTCCTGATCGGAGCGTGTTCCGATGGCGTGATGGGGGTAGGACCCAGCCCGTTCATGGCGCGCTCGCGGTTTCGCTCAAGGTCCCTCTCCTTGCGTAAATCGGACCAGGTGCGTAGTCGGTTCTGTAGCGCATACTTGCCATTTTCTGGGTTATGCGTCAGGACCACAAACTCGCAGTGGTTGATGTTGCGGAGGTCCTCGAAGTACTCCACGCTCCAATGATACCACTTCATTAGAAAAACTCGCGCCATGAGACCGTGGGTGACAAGTATGCAAACACTCGCAAAGTCCTGTTCACCAAACAGCCGCCAGAGAGATTCGTTGAACCCGCTCACTCGGTCATAGGCATCCGCAGCAGACTCGCCATTAGGGATGCGGTAAAAGAAGTGGCCATAGTCGGCTCGTTCCATCCACATGCGTTCCATCTCTGAAGAACATGGCTGAAAGTTCCCAAAGTCTTGTTCTCGTAGTCGTGGTTCTTCGTAGACCTTGATAGTATGCCGCGGGAATGGCGAAGGAGAGGGAGTATCCGAGGTTAGTGACTCCAAAATGCCCTCGGTGGTCTCCCTCGTCCGACGGTAAGGAGAAGTAAAGAAGTGCAGAGTATCATCGGGCCGAAGCAGGTCCCGTAGTCGGCTGCCTGCCTCCTGTGCTTGACGGTGTCCTTCGGCCGTGAGCTTGACCCGATGATCGGGGATAGTCTGGTGAATTTCGCGGTTCTTGTTTCCCTCAGACTGCGCGTGGCGGACGAGAATAATCATCTAGAGAGTTATAAATTAGCGTTAGCGTCAAATCCAGGGCAGATATCTAGACAGACTTACCCGTGGTTTCCCCATGGTGGAACGTGGGGGAGGGGCACAGCAGTCGACAGCGGAATGCGATCAACCAGGACTGAGGCAGCTGGTCTGCGGTGGTTGAGGCCGATGAGGCTGCAATCCCATTTGAAGAGAAACCCAGAGGGAATGGCGAAAAGGCGAAAAGACGAAAAGAAGAAACAACCAAGAAACAAGTCGACGCCCGGAGATGCACATGGTTGCCGCACGGGCCACCGTACGGGCTTCCCTTCCTCTTCAACCACGCAACGTTGGCCGTTCAGCACGACCATGGAGTCTCTACTGGAGCTGCTAGCTCCGCATCTCGAGACGCCGACTCACGATGCCACCACATCTCGCTACCTCAATCGCCTGTCGACCCTGTCCCTCCAGACCCTCCAATCCACCGAACCCCAGTCGCTCGCGCAATCCTCCCATTCGACCCTTCTCTCCCTCCAAGCATTGTCCAACCGCTCGCACCGGGCCTTTATTACATCTGCCGATAATTTGTCTTCTCTCCGCACATCCATCCCTGGAGTAACCCGCGAGGCAGAGCAACTCCGCAATGCTCTCCCTAAGCTCGACGAGGAGACGGTTGAGTTCTCCACTAAATACAGCAAGATCACCGACAATGCGGCGTTGGAGCGGCGAAAGAAAGCCATGCAACTGGCGCGCAATGTTGACAGACTGTCCGATATTTTGGAACTCCCGAATCTGCTGTCGACAGCCGTGTCTGCCGCTTCCGCGAGCTCAGGCACCACGGGGACGACCTCTACGACCTACTCGTCTGCACTCGACCTTCATGCACATATCAAGCGACTCCAGACCTTATACCCCGATTCACCGTTAATCAAGGATGTGGCATCACAAGCGGAAGATGCGATGAAAGAGATGACAAGTAATCTGATCGTGGGACTCCGATCCCAGAACTTGCGGCTCGCAGCTGGCATGCGAACCGTCGGCTGGCTCCGACGGGTGGCCCCAGACATGGAAACTCTGCAGAGTGATGGCGCGGCCGGGTCAGGCGAAGGAGCATTGGGGGCAATCTTTTTGATCTGCCGATTGGCACACCTGGTGTCAACCCTGGAGGCATTGGAACCGCTCCGCGAGCTTGCCGACCAAGAGACGCAGCGCAGAACTGGTGGCAAGAGCAAATCCGACAACACATGGTCGGATGGTCAGCAGACGGACCGTTATCTGAAGCGGTACATTGAGATTTTCCGCGAGCAAAGCTTTGCCATTGTCTCATTATATAAGAACATCTTTACCTCCGAGCAATCGGAGTCGGAACTTGCCATTTCTGGACTACGGGGAGCAGATGCAAGTGCCAAGGCAAAATCACGCCCATCCCGTCCGGATGATCCTCTACAATGTTTGCCTTCGGCTCTGGCGACATTCCCGATGCATCTTGTGCAGCTGCTCACAGACACCATGCGCGCCTATCTGCCCAATGTTGGGGATCGAAGCTCACGAGAAAGTCTGCTCACTCAACTGCTGTACTGCGCCGCCAGCTTAGGTCGTCTGGGGGGTGACTTTGGCATGATTTTGACTGAGCTGAGTGGGGATGAGGAGGATATTGGCTATGAGTGGGAAGAGGTGATGCGCAAGCACCGGGCGTTGGCCGGACGACTAGAGCAATTGACGAGCCGAGTGGCAGCGCACTAAGACGGATATTCAAATGTTAGATATTCCCTAGGCAAAGACTTTGAAGATATTTATGATATTTAAGATATTCAAGATAATTGACGATCACGGCGCAGTGCCAAGACCCCGATCCACTGACTCCGCCTTTCCCCGACCTCTTTGTATCGGCCTCGTTTCTCCCTTGCACGGTGCATCTTCCGTTCGTTCTGATCATTGAACTGAATTCGACTTCCAAGTGTCCAGTGCTGCTCAACACATATGCGGAACCATGGCCGCACCCGCGTTGTCCACCATGATCGACCCGACCAAACAAGCGGAGTACCCGGTTGTCCTGGGAGAGCGGCTGGCCGCGAACGCAAACCCGAGTCATCTGGTCAACATCAACTACAATTACAAGACCAAGTTGGCAACTCCTCAGCAGCGCTCGACCATCACTCGCTCTGCTCAATCGCTCGACTTCTACGACCTCGCAATCACCGATCAAGCCCCGAACGCCGATCATAGCTTGAGTTATTCATACCATGGCAGCGAGGACCCGGTGGGGGAGCGAAACCTCGTGCTGGTGTTCGACGCCGACCGAAAAGTGTTTGTGTTGGAGCCGGTCTCAACCAAGCTGAACTTCAACCTCCAGTCAGCACCGGGTAAGACCGAGAAGCAGGTCCTGGAACAGTACGAGCAGCTGCGCATCTTCCATGAGGAAGACCCGACCTCGGGAGACGACCGGAATCCAGGCAGCACCAGCGAGGATGAGGGACCGGCCGACGAGAGCAACCCATATGACTTCCGGCACTTCCTCCCCAAGAGTGCCGCCAATGACAAGTCTGCGTCCAACCACACCACCCCAGAACCCCCCACCAGCACAAGCAAGGCCAACACACCCTTGGTGCCGGCCGCGAAGCCCACCCCAAAACTGCAAGCGCCGCCTCAGTCTAAGGCTCAGACGAATCCTCTACGACAGAAGAAAAAGCCTCCAGCGAAGCCTCCGGTCAACAATCCACCTCCTCCGACTCAGCCCACCGAACCGCCTCCCAGTCGCTCTCACCCGCCAGACCACGAGGAGTCTCGCTCATCGCCCTCGGATGCCGGCACAGGCACCGCATCGCAGCAGGCGAACCAATCTCCCATTTCCAATATCATTGTGGACGGAGATCTAATTATCGACATGGGCTCCCCGCCCCCATCACGGCCATCCTTCCGCGTGAACCCAGCATACTTCTCGTCCAATAACACTCCGGCCGATGAGGGTGACGATGGTGATGAGGAAATGGAAGGGTTTCGGTTACCGTCTCCTGTCGGGAAAACTGCTCAGTCTACATCAGCGCCTGCTGCTGCACCCGCTGATGGGGACAATGTGGAGGATGACGATGCCCTTGCGGCAGAAATGGAGGCTGCTTTTGAAGAGAGTGCGCGGGAAGAGGAAGCCCGGAGTCAGCAATATAGTCAGCCCGCAGCCCGCCAATACCCTAGTGACGACGAGAGCGAGGTTAGTGAGGAAGAGTAAATGGGCGTTTCTATTATATTCTTTTTTTTTGATTGCATGTACAAGCGAGGCGCTCGGATATAGATACCAATTGAAGTTTTTCAAGTGATTGCCCTGGACCGAGGAAATATTGCAAGATCGTCATGCAACAGTGGAAGCCAAGTTGTTCCGGTCCGAAAGCTCCCCGTCGCTTCATCTTCGCGTTTCTTCACCTTCGCACTTTCACCAGGGAGCCCCGAGCTACCTTTCTCTCTTTTCGAATTGTGTTCTCAGTGATTGGCTAGGGTTTGTCCTCATAATGCGATGAGAATTCCAAAAATGCTTGATTGGACTTGACAATAGCCGAATACAATACATCCCCTCCCATTCACCTACTCGCCTATTCACACCTATTGACCTATTGAGCGCGCGGGCGCGCTTCACCTATTGTTGCATTGTTGGAGGCCGATGTCGACCTGATAAGAAGTTCTACTTAAAGTAGACTTCTTTCACCTTTCCGACCCTCAACCCACTTTTTCCGCCACCACTCTCCCTCATGGAACCCTCAGCTTCTCCAGCTTCGCGCCGCCGCATTCCCGGCTTGCCCCATCCTGTGCTTGCCGCCGCACAGCAGAAATGGCTCTTCACCGACGAGGAGCTCGAGCGTACCCCGTCGCGCATGGATAAGATCGAGCGAGGAAAAGAGGACTACATTCGGCACCGGGCAGTTGAGTTCATCTGGCAGGCAAGCATGATGCTTAAGATGCCGCCGCAGACCTCGATGACGGCTACAGTGTACATGCACCGGTTCCTCATGCGGTACTCGCTCCTCGGCCAGGATCCGGCGGCGTCGGGCTTGATGCACCCCAAGGTGATTGCGGCGGTGGCCCTGTTTGTCGCATTCAAGGTGGACGAGACGGTGCGACGCATGAAGGACTTTGTGATCGCCTGCTGCCGCGTCGCCTTGAAGCAACCGGACATGATAATCGACGAGCAGTCCAAGGACTATTGGAAATGGCGCGATCTTATCCTGCAGAACGAGAGTGTCATGCTTGAATTCCTTTGCTTCGACCTGCAAATCGAATCCCCCTACCGCATCCTCTGGGACTACGCTCTTTTCCTGAACGTTCATGACAACCGACCCTTGCGCCACGCCGCATACGCCTTTCTCAACGACTCCACCTACACCGTCCTGTGTCTGCAGTTCCCTTCTCGGGTCATCGCCGCCGCAGCTCTGTACGCCGCCGCACGCCATTGTCACGTTGCATTCCCGGACGACGACGAAGGTCGGCCCTGGTGGGAGCAGATCGATGTCCGTCTCGAGGACCTGATCCGCGCCTGCAAATTCATTGTCAAGATCTATGAGCGTGTCCAGCAGAACCTGAGCAAAGGGTATCCCGACTTCGCCCTCTCAGACACCCTTCCAGAAGACCCGACACGCCTCCTTCCTAGTGGCTCCAACCCCGAGGCCAGGCAAACTCTCAGCGCGTCCAATGCACCCTCTCTCGCCACACCCGAGTCTGTCACTCCGAACGGGCGCAAGCGCTCCCGCGAGCCTGACCTCCCTCCTTCCGCCGCCCAAGTCCCAAACCAGCCGCAGCAACAACCCTCTCCTTCCAAGGCGTTGAACGGGGAGCGGTCTCCCAAACGCCAGCGAACTGTTTCGCCCGGCCCCAATGCAACGGTTCCCACCCCCGAACCATCGGGGTCTCGACCGCGCATTCCGTTGAAGGCTATGGAGTCATCCGCGCAACCTACGCCCACCAAGGACCAGAAGCTACCAGATCTCTCGGAGAATGAAAAAGAGAAATCAAGTGCAGAAGAGGGTGAGATCCCTGAGGAAACTCCCGCCGATTCGACCACTGCCTCTGTCTCTGCCTCTGCCCCTGTCCCCACGGCTTCCGATACCGTTGAGCAGGGAAAGCCCGAGCCCGAAAAGGGGAAGACCCTTACTGAGACCGGCACGGAGAACGATCAGGATGAGGGTGCAGGTAGTGAGGAGGGCGAGATTTAGCGGCGAGTCTGGTCTGAAAGAGAAAAGAAAACGAAAACGAAAAAGAAAAACAAGATGCTTTCCCAGGCTGAGAGAATCGCGATGCTGTGGAATTGTAGCATTTTACTGTGGAATTTGCAAACATGGCCATCAATGAACTTAAATGAAATTCCATACTCAGATAATCCCCCCCTTTACTACTTGCCTTTGAAAGTAAACAAAATATAAGAAGAGAAATGCCTTGAAGAGTAGAATGACCACTTCACTTAACACTCCCCCATAGAGAAGGCTACACTGTCAACTTCTCTTAATATATCCCAGCTTTCCTTTCTTTCGCATTGCATTGCTTTTCTTCTCGCCTCGAAATTAATAGATGAAACCAGACGAGCCCACTCTTAAACAAAAACCTACTCAACATCACCTAAGCCAGCCAGCTTAGCCAGTTATAGGGTGTTGGGTCTTGTGCGTCTGTTTGTGGGGGCTCGCAAGAGCTGGGGTATAGATTCCGTGGGCTCATGTCTACTTTCCATTTCTACGTATGGAGCCAAGATATTGACATGCGAAGTAGAGAAGAAATATAGATACCCTCTACGGGGTGGGCTTAATTGGATGCAATGATGCCAGGTTCTAGCACATCAGGATGAAGACCGAAACTCCCGAAAAAAGAATCAGAACCAGAAACAAAAAAAAAAAAAAAAGTCCATAACAAACGCCTTCTTGAACACCGTCTTGTAAACAATCCCACTTTTCAAATGCAGCTTTTTTTTCTTCCTTCAATATCCCTCAGTCATCACGCTCAGTCCCTGGTCCAGCAGACTGCTCGAAGCCACAAAGCTGAAGCCCCCAAAGGGGTCGGCCTCGCCACTAGCCTGGCCCGACAAGCCAGTCGACAAGGCACGGGAGCCGGAATCGGTGCAATAGGGGCCTTTGTTGCCGTGGATTGGGTCGAAATAACCGTCGATGTCCGCAGGGGCGATAGTTGGGCTGAGAGGCATGTGGGTGAAGTCGGCAGAGAAGTTCTCGGCGAGAGCGGGATCGGTGACGACAGGCTGAATCGGAGGGGTGAGGTCGCGGCGCTCGAGGGCAGCCCAGTCGATCTTGCGGAAGAAGCGGTGCTTCTTGATGGTGGTCAGGTCCTTGGGCATGTGGTAGCCGAGGCGTTTGGCGGGGTCTTTGCGCAGCAGGCGGATGAGGAGGTCTTTGGCGTCGGGGCCGAGGAAGTAAGGCAAGACGAGTTTCTGCTTCACGATCTTCTCCTGCAGCTTGGCAGTGTTGTTGGCGCGGAACGGCGGCGATCCCGTGAGCAAATCAATGCCCAGCGCACCCAGCGACCACCAGTCGCAAGCCTTGCCGTACGGCTTACCCTGAACCACCTCAGGCGCCATGTACTCGATTGTGCCGAGGGAGGAGTTGCAGCGGTCGTCGTCGCTCACTGCGATCTTGCTCAGTCCGAAGTCGGTCAGCAGAAGGTGGCCTTTGCGGTCCAGCAGGCAGTTCTCGGGCTTGAGGTCGCGATACAGCACTCCGACATTCTGGTGCAGATGTTCGAGCGCAAGTACCATCTCGGCCATGTAGAACGCCGCCGCGTCTTCGTCGAACATGCGCTCCATGGCCAGATGAGTGAAGAGTTCGCCGCCCTGCGCGTACTCCAGGATCAAATACAGCTTCTCGTGGTCCTGGAAGGCATAAAACAGCTTAACGACAAACGGGTGCCGGTTGACACTCTCCAGAATCGTGCGCTCCGTCTTGGTCTGCTCCACCAGCTTCTTGTGCACGATGAGCGAGGCCTTGCGGAACTGCTTCTGCGCATACAGCTTTCCCGTGACCACATGCCGCACCAGCAACACTGTTCCAAATGAGCCCTTGCCGAGGCAAAGCAGAGGCTCAAAATCGCCCGCAGTCATCTTCCGGCACAGCTTGTTGCGCATGTCGGCGTCAGGACCCGCTACATCTGCAGCAGTGGTCTCGGATTTCTCTTCCTCCGCATCGGCGCTAACGAAGTCATGCTCCAGGGGCACTTCGTAGCTGGTCAAAACCTCAGTATTGTCGCTGTCGGAGTTGACACTCGCATTGCTGGTTACTTCAGAGCAATGTCCATTGGACACAGCGGTCTGGCTGCCATTAAGACTCAGTGAATCGAGCTGGAGCTTCAATGCGCTCACTCCGTGGCCCACGGAGGGCTGCACCAGGGGACTGGCCCGGCTGCCAAGCGAAGTCGTGGGGCGCGATTCGGCCACGCGGGAGCTGGTTGTCGAAAAGTCCGAGTCTTCGTCACCAGAAGCCAGGGGCGTGAAGCCGCGCACGGTCGAGCGAGCCGGATCGGCCTGGGTGGCTTGCTTCTTCTTCTTCTTTCGCCGCTGCGACTTGCCGGCCAGCAGATTCGGGTTGAGCGTCGGCGGCGGAACATTTCCGGTGTTGATCATCCCCGGAACGCCCATGTGCATGTCGAGGCCATGGTGATTGGTCGAGATGTCAATTGAGGGCTGCGCACCATCGGCCTGTGGACTGAACACATCCTCAATGGAGAGGTCATCGCAAGTCCCGGATGAAGCCATGGCGATCGCTGGTAGCTTTGTGAGGAGCGATCGTGTGTGGATGGGAGGTTTAAGTAGAAGCGCCGACGGTAAGCGCTCAAAAAGTCAACTGGTCTATTGATCCCAGCCACCAGGATGACAATGTTTAAAGAACAATCGAGGGGTTGATCTCTTTATTCATAGACTCTATTGACATTCATCTCTCAATTAGCTCTCAGTTTCCTATTGTTCCCGGGGGAAATTATTTGGAGGGGTAAATGCAGAGTCTTCGTCTGACCCTCCCTTCGCCCCACCCATAATATCAGAGGAAAATGAAAAAAAAAAAGATGGAATAGACGTACTTTATTCAATTTAAGCGTGTCGTAGTCCGAATTTGTATTGTCTCGGATCCGACCAGCCTTGGATCGCTCGCGCAGGTTTACCGTCCGCCCTTCTTCAGGACGGACCCAGGACCCCTAGCCAAGTCACCTCGCCGAGCGCGAAGTCGAACGCCAAGGCGGAGGGGGAGAGCGCAGAAAGGGAAAACACGTCGGAAGTACCAGGAGGAGCCAGGTCGCGGTGCGAAAAAGTTGGAATGAGGTTGGCCTGAAAGCCAGGAAGGGAAGTCGAGGCGAGGGATAAGGGCGCAGATAGGCACATAGAGGAACAGCAGGGTCCAGGGTGGACTTAAGTTGAGTTGAGATGACCAGAAGTTTCCCACAGGGAGAGCAATGAAGGAAGGCTGGAAATTCAAAGAAAATCGTCACTTAGCAAATCCGGGGCGCGACTAATCCCAATTCGGTAATCATGTGATCCTCTCGAGGGTTGAGAAGATCGCGGTTACTAATCATTGCTGCCTGAGGTTCTACATCCACGTAGACAGAGTCGCGGCAAAAGATCCACGCTTCTGAAAGTGAACAAGTGCATTTGCCGAGGTATTTTCCATCTAGGGGTCTAAAGGTGTCGGCTGGGTTTTACTCTATTTAAGCTGGAGACAAAAAAACTGCAGGGGCATAGGTAAGCAAAGCAATATGTGATTGGCCTGCATACTGCAGATCCGTCGAGGCAGAAAGTATTCTCTGTAGGTTATTTCCTAAGAGACCCTTCTAAATGCCTGTAACCAAAATGCTTGTAATGGCGGATCCTGCTGGGCAAGCACGCTTATCTTGCATTAAGCCCCCACGGGATAAATGAAAGCGTTGGAGCATTCCAGCTCTGTCCTTTTTCCATCCTCCACACCCCTCAAGCTAATCACTGACACTATGCACCATCGTCTACGGCCCAAAGTGTCAAGTTGCAACCCAACCTCTGAAAATGCCATCGGCTTCTCTTGACACCTTCTTCCAGCCCTTGACAACGTTTTTCTGGGACCAATTCGAAGCGGCTCCTTTCCTGACATTTCTGATCCTCGCTCTTATCCACATAGTCTCAATTCCTGTTGCTATGTCGCTGTTGATACGGTTCTGCCGCCTGAGCGGTTCCCACGGTCCCAGTTCGGGGCTGCGGTGCCGCTCATGTGGAAGCATTGACATTACTGATGCGGGGCCAACGACTATCTTCGAGGGACAAGACGGATTAATTCTTGGGGGTTTGAGGCCACTCAAACTAGGGTGGTGGGTCTAAGAGCGTTATCTGATCAAACGGGATAAACGATGTACCTAAAGAGGGCTTCAGGGCCGGGCACTCCATTTGGGTATAGTAGAGAATTTTGAATAATGAGGCCTAGAAAGAAAAAATACTTGAGTGAGAACAGCAATTATATGGGGAAGCTTCTTTCTTGTTCAAAGATGCGCTTCTCTGCCCTCATCATCGGCCTCCTCATAAGCCTATCCCTCCTCTCGACCAGCGCAGCCCTACCCACCACAGCCGACAAAAAACGATGCCACGGAATTCGTCGTAACACACGCGGCATCCGACTAGCATCTGCTATGTTTATTTTCAAGGTGCCTTGAAAGTAGTTCAAGTTTCAATTGGAATAGCTGTACAGTAACCCAACCCTACTTGAAGCATGAAAAAAGGCACCACGCAGTCCTGTCCTGCATATCCTGCAAATTTCAGCTGCCTGCTATCACCGCCGCGGAACATCATGGTTCTTGAAAAACTCCTGCGATCGAGTAATCTCAACGCCAGATCGCTGAACAAATGCCAGGGCACTGGGCTTCTCCACGAGGACCGTGACGCGCTCGTTACCAAAGTCCACCGTCACAATGCGAGCCACAAACGTCGCCAGCGCCTCGACAGTCTGGAACGAGGTCTCCTCGACTTTCTGTTATATCAAGTTAGCAACCAACCTACTTAAATGCAACAACAGCGCTTTAATCGAGGGAAGAAAGAAGAAACAAACCTCTGCCACAGCCCGCGTCATAGTCTGATAGGTATCAACCACAGTCGACCCCCAAGCCAGCTGTCCCGGACCCTTAAACTCAAGCGAGATAACCACAGCCTGCTTCTCAACGCGCTCATGCGAGTTGACGCCGAGGATGCAGTAGCAGCGAATCCCGTCGATGCGGAACTCCTCCTCCAAAACAACAGGGCACCGCACCGCCGAGTCAATCGCCTCCGCTTCCGCAGAGCGAGCCCGCTGGTGATACCCCCACACAGTGACACAGCGATAAAGCAGCCCGCCATCAGCGCGCAGTAGCGCCTTGGGCAGGTGCAGCTCAACCTCGCACTGGCCGTAGTCCGCAGCAATGGGAGCCGAGTTAACCCAAGCAGCACCAGCACCAGTACTAGCACCAGAGAAGCTAGACCGCGGACTCTGGTGGGTATGAGCCATCCGCCGCACCCCAGCAGCCGTCTCATCCAGCAACCCCAGCCCACAATTCGCAACAATAGCAGCGGTCACGCGCGGATCCTCGCCCAGCGCACTGGCGCGCATATCCTCGCGCCGCGTGCCCTCCACGCTGATGATGCGCTGGAGCGCGTGCTGCTGCTGCAGCGCCATGTTGCGGACGTCGCTCTCGAGGCGCCGGAACAGCTTGCCGTAGTCCAGCGAGAGCGACACGTCATCGGCGGCCGCCGCCGCCACGGCGGACGAGTACGAGAGCTTGAGGGTTGCGGTGCAGGGCTGCTTTTTCTCTGGGCGGTGCCATGGATCTGGGGCGGCGGGGAGCGGGAGCTCGATGCTGCCAAGGCGGACGCTGTCGAGGACGGCGGGGCGGGAGGGGATGTGGAGGTCTAGGAGTTTGTCGGCCATGGTGATCTGTGTGGACCAGAGAATAAAAATCCACCGGAAAAATTGTACGTTGTTGACACTGATTGCAAGAGGTCCACGATGCAGCTCTGACGTAGATGGGGATAACTAGTGACCACCGAGTCTGTTCTCGATGTACAGCATGTAACACGGATCTTCGGCCAAGAATGATATTCAATCTTTTCCTGCGATGGCAATCAAGTGCGCTCCCAATTGACGATCATGACTTCCAATGGTGGGAAATGGCGAAGACAAGCTCGGGAAGTTTTTTGGCGGGGCAGATCATGAGATATGCGCTCTACTCAGCCCCACCCAAGCTATCCGTGGACCACTGTTCACTGTTCTACATTCTACATTCTACCGCAATGCCACGGAGAAATAGCTACCATGTCCCATTTGTCTCTGCATCCGGTATCTGTACAGCCAGGAAGAAGAACGCCATAAGTCAGAAAACCGAGCAAAGCTGTTCAAGTGGCAGAAACACATGCTGTCGAGGTTGCAAACTGTTCATGGGGCTCAACTCAGTGCTCTTCCACTTAACGCCGAAACGGGAACCCTAGAGATGAAAAGCAGTACCGAAGAACCGAAGAATCGAAGAAATTGTGCAAGCTGTGCAGTCTTTAGAAGAAAAGAAAAACCCGGCCAGTGAAGAAATGCTGAAATGAACCCTCGGCAGATGAAAAGATATCATGGCACCATAAAACCAGTGAGACGTCGCGGGTATTTGGAGTAGAGAAAAAGAAATCAAATCAATGGCCTGCTGCAACGTGCAATGGGCGAAGAAACAAAGCATGAATGAAGATGTCCGGGTCGCAGGTTTACCAGTAGCGAGGACGGTCGTAAGCCATGTAGTCACCTCGAGGAGGGGAGCGGGGACGACCATACGACCGGGCGGCCGCGAGGTAGGGGTCATCGTAGTGACGAGGAGGGGGGTGGGGGCCGGGTATCATACGGGTCGTCATAGGGACGACGCGGGGGGGGGGATAATCCTCGATACGAGGCCGTGGGGGAGTCCGGCGTCCATAGTCCGCTCGGTCATAGTAGTCCCGGCGCAGGGGAAGGGGAGACCGTTCACGGTAGTGATTCCGGGGGCTGTAGCCACGAGGCATCCTGCGGTCGTAGTCGTCCATGGGAGGATAGGGCCGACGCGGGGAACGGGCCCGGTGGGCATCCCGGTAACGGTCATCATAGCTCTGGATCTGGAAAATAATGAGACGGGGATTCTCCAATGGGTCCGGCAAACAGCGAGGTTATATCCTTACATCCGCAATGCAGGTCACCCGCGAGCCTTTGAACTCCCGCTGGTCGAGTTTCTCCACGGCCGACTTCAGGTCGGCGGCGGTCTCGAATTCCACAAACCTTGTTCAGATGTCAATTGAATTCCACAAAGCAAGTCCTGGTGGCAGAGGTCCGACGGAAACCTACCCTTTACCCAGTTCACGGCCGGTTTCAGAGTAAACTACGTCCAGTCCAGACTGACGGGCAAAATCTTTGAGGTCCTAGATAATGTGTGGTGAGTCCAGGTCCAGGGAAACAATGAGGTATCCAGAAACTCCAGATCAAGGGCAAAGGGGGGGGGAGGTCCAAGTCCAGTCCAAGGGCTGTATCCAAAATGGCCAGTCATTTGCTATATCTCCCCAGTCTCTGCAAAGTCCACAAAAGGGTTTGCCGGACTAGCGGGAGGGGCAGCGTAAAGCGCAGATCAATGGCTCCAACAATCAAAACCAAAGATCTTGCAAAAGACGCGTTGGAAGGCATGGATAGTTCAAGGACAGTGGTGGCCAAGGACAATAGAATCCAGAGCATCCAGGAGGGGATGTGCGTGGGCTGCTAACCTGCCAACTGGTATCAGGAAGTCCAGAAATTTGCATCCGGAACATGGTACGACGCGGGCGAGGGGCAAGAGAGCGATCCATGGGACCAGGAGTGAAATTCTCCTTGCGTCGTGGACCCCGAGCAAACTGCACAGTAAGCCGCTCGCCTTTGAAGTCGCTGCCATCTGTGGGGAGCGAGGTTGATAAGCGAAAAGTTGATTGTCAAGGTAGGGTTAGGACATACGGAAAGCTAGGTCACACAACCAGAGCATCAGCAAACGAGCATTTAAATAACTGAAAAGGGAGGTATTGCTTACCAGGAACAATATCCCGGGCATCCAGTGCATCCTCGTATTCAATGAAGCCAAAGCCATTCATCAGCTTGATCTCGGTGATTTTGCCAGATCCATGGCTGCCGAAATGTTCCTCGATATCCTGTTTGGTTGCTGTGAGGGCATAATCCAATATTGTTAGCTCATCAATATCCCGGGGCTGTGATGCAATGACAGGGTATATCCAAGGTATCGGTTGCCCCACGGCTGTCTTTTGAAATACAGCTGCTTTGAGGGTAATAGGCCAATGATTGATTTTTCTTGTTTTCGTCTTTTCCTAACAAAAAGAGAAGAATCAAACAAGCAGGCAACCGAGGGCCCATATCCAGGTGTGAGGGGATGGTTGGAGGCGGTCGGACACCAACATACCGTTGCGGGGAAGGTTCCCGAGATAAAGTCTGGTCGACGAGACTTCAGTCATGGTCACGGTCAAGACCACAGCTTAAGGAAACAAATAAAGGAAAATGATTAGGGAGGGAGAAAAGAAGAAGAAGAAAAGAATGGTTCAAAAAGACAAGGCGAGACCCGGACACGAACCGCAAGCGCCTGAGTCCAGGACAGCTACGGGCGCCTGTGAGAGTCCGCGACAGGGCGCTTAATCCCCCAGATGACCGAGTCAGCTAAATCAGGGTAGGCTCAGGCATGCAAGAAGCAAGAAAAAAATCAAATCAAATCAAATCAAATCAAAGAAGTGTAGGAAAGAAAGCACAGACAAGAGACGGAGAAGGGTAGAAGTGAAGGGAAGAAGAAACTGGCGGTGGGAAACCTTGTCGCCTCACTTTTCGATGCACGTGGTCCCACTGTGCGGAGAGAAGAGGCAATTAGTATCCATGGAGAGTCGTCTGAGATCTTGAACCAAGTCAAGTATTGAATTATCTACAGAATAGTCTAGTCAGGAGACATCTACTAAGACTGTCAATATTTTGACAGTCTCCGTGGATGGGTCGATCAAGATCTCCACCGGCTTTCCATGGTTCAATAAGCCCACACCCCATGGGGACTCGGTTCGCCACTGTCAGATGCTGAACTAAATAATTGCTGGTCGCGCTTGGTGGTATTCTTCATAATATATACACATTTGGTTTCTATCTCAGGGCTTTCCCCAAAACTCCTATGTCATCACGTACTTGGGGCCCTCGCCACCCTGGGGTGTCTGCCAGTTGATATCTTGAGTGGGCACCTTGATATCACACGTCTTGCAGTGGATGCAGCTAACCCATTGTTAGTATTGAATTCTTCAGATGGCAGGAGCATCACTTACTTCTGTGAGTTAATCTGGAACCGGACGCCGTGCTGTTTGCTGGTGTCCTCGACGTACTCGTAGACACCGGCAGGACAGAAGCGGTTCTCCACACCCTTGTATTGGGGCCATGCAAGATCCTTGTGCTGGTCCCAGTCTTCGACCTGCAAGTGCACAGGTTGGTCCTCCTCGTGGTTGGTGCCAGTCCGGCTCACACTAGTCAAGATGTCGAAGCTGATTTCGCCGTCCGGCTTGGGGTATTCAATCTTGTTGTACTCGGAGGCAGGCCGAGTGGCCCCGGAATCTGTACCATGGTGGCTCAGGGTCCACGGCACCTTGCCCCGCAGCACGTACGCTTCCAGCCCGGAATAGGCGAGCCCGCCAAAGAATCCTAGCGGGGAGTTGAACGAAGGTCGAATGTTGCGCACCTCATACAGCTCCTTCCAGATAGACGAGTCCCGCAGCCCCTTCTCGTAGTCATAGAGGAACACAGTGCCGTTGTCCTCACCCTGCAGCGCCGCAAATGTCGCTTCGGCAGCCAGCATGCCCGACTTCATTGCGGTGTGAGTACCCTTGATCTTGGGAACGTTCAAGAACCCGGCGGTGTCACCAATCAGGGCACCACCGGGGAACGCGCATTTGGGAATCGACTGAAACCCACCCTCGTTCAAGGCACGGGCGCCGTAGGAAATGCACTTGCCGCCCTCCAGCACATCCTTGAAGAGAGGGTGGTGCTTGAGCTTCTGGAACTCCCCGTATGGTGACAGCCAGGGATTGGGGTAATCCAGGCCCACCACCAAACCGATGCTCACCATGTTGTCCCCAAAGTGGTACATCCAAGCTCCACCGTAGGTATCCTTGGGCAACGGGTAGCCCATCGAATGGACAATCTCACCGGACTGGAACTTCTCCGGCTTGATCTCCCAGATTTCCTTGATCCCCAGCCCATAGGTCTGGGGCTCGCTGTCTCGTCGCAGATCGTATTTCTTGATCACCTGCTTGGACAAACTGCCATGGCAGCCCTCGCCGAGAAGCGTAACACGCGCGTGGAACTCCATGCCCCGCTCAAAGGTGTCCTTGGGTTTCCCATCTCGGCCAATTCCGAGGTCGTTGGTCGCGACACCCTTCACGGAGCCGTCCGACTTGTAAACGACCTCGCTGGCCGCAAACCCGGGGTACACCTCCACCCCAACTTCCTCCGCGCGCTCGCCCAGCCATTTGGTCAATTCGTTGAGACTAATAATGTAGTTTCCGTGGTTGTTCATCTGGGGTGGTGCGGGGAGTGGGAAAGACGAATTTTTGGTGAGAAAGCGCATCTTGTCACCCTTGGCGGGGGTCGCGCCTTCGAAACGGTTGGGGTTGTCTTCGGACAGCCAGTCGGGGATCAGCTCGTTGAGCGCAGTCGGCTGGAGCACATTGCCAGAAACAATGTGGGCTCCCAGCTCACCGGCCTTTTCCAGGAGAAGAACGCGGAACTCGTCGTTGCCTGCTTCATTGGCAAGTTGCTTCAATCGAATGGCAGCGGCAAGACCGGCGGGACCTAGCAAAAAAGACTTTGTTAGGAGAGACAGTCTGAGATGTATAAGATTCCAAAGCACGTACCGCCTCCCACGATGCAGACATCCACCTCGTCGGACTCCCGCTCCACTGAACGAGGATCAAAGTCACCATTCTCATCTGTAAACGTCCTTGATACCGACTGCGAAAAGGCACGATTCTGGCTGAACGGGGAGAAGGGAGCTGTCCGTCGAGCTATCCGCCTCCCGGAGGTCGCAAACGGGCTCGGACTAGCGGCGGGACGGGCGATCGTGGATACGGAGGCTCGTGAGAACCGAGATGAAGAGGCCCGTAATTCACGCCTCAGCAGAGGCAAGACGGCACCTTTAGATGCCATCATGAACGGCAGGGCGATTTAAGACGGAGGGGGTGGTTCTATCGAGCAATGGACATTCTCACGGAGGTAGATGCGGGAGGAAGTGTCGAAATCGGCTCCACGGACTTTTTTTTTTCAAAAACGCCGAAGATACCCGTGGACCCTCGGCTCATGCAACAGGCCAATCAGAGCGGGCGTGATGGGAATCACTTCTCTCTCTTCGGGCGGCTTCACCGAGGGCACTTTCACCCATGGAAATGGTTGTGGCAAAGTTTGTTGTTCACTGGTGAATCTCGAGAATTATATCACCCATTTTATTCTTTATTCCTAGTAGATATTGACAGATATCATCACGAATACTAAATATCATCATCATCATATACTGTGGAGTTCAGGGCGATCACATGGGTCACATGAAGCCATCTGGTCTTGACATCATGGAGAGTCATCTCCAACTGGTGCAGGCTATCTGCCATCAAGCTTAAATTGCCCGCAGCACTGCTAAACTCCTTTTGGGGCTGACGCCCTCGACTCGATTTCGGATTATGGGATGGACAGGAATGTGACGGCCACGGCACTGCGTATGGTATGAAGCATACCGGAATTCCGTAGAAAATGCCATAATACCATGGTCACAATCACAACATACAATATCAATAGATATATTGGTATTGCATATAACATAAAATAAAAGAGAAATGACATAGATCACAATCAGGAAATCAAGAACTACGTAACTGATCGGGAGAGATTCATCCAAAGCCCAAGTGGATCGGGAGGTGACTGGGGCCCCGGCGCCACTGGCAAACCAGTCCAAGACATGGAAACGGCCACCTGTCCTGATGGCGAAGAATCCTGGTATGGATCTTTTTTTTGTTATTTTTGTTGGTTGAGTCGGTGAGATCTGTAAATTCCAGTTTAAAAAAAAAAATAAAAAACCTCGAGAAACCAAACATGTGTGTCCATGATAGTCCCAAAGGTGTGTCGAGGAGAAGAAGAAGGGCGAACGAAAAATTTTTGATCAGTTGCCATCCGCTAAAGCGGCGAGAGAATAGCGTGTCGCGCTGGGAGTGAGTGGCGTGGGTCGATGACGCTGATTGGGCGCGAAGGATGGGCTAGCAGCTGCAGGAGCGACTGGCAAACCAGTCGCTGCAACCGTGGCGTGGAGGATAAAAGCAAGGGCGAATGGGCCACTCAGGGGGGATGGATGGAGGGGCGGTGGATGCCCCTATCAGCGAATCACACCGAGAGATCCCGCTGATTGGTGGTGACAGAGCCGCTAGCGGGGCCCATCTGGGGAGTGATCCATGGGACGGAAGGGCGTGTCGCTGCTTTTTCCCTCCCCTGGGCCGTGACTCAGCACTATATAAAGGCCCAACCTCCCCCCGGATGCTCCTGGGATTCCTGTCTCGGTCTTGGCATCCGGCTGCTGGAACCTCCCTTCTTCCTTCTCAAGTGGCAGAATCACTCTGCCTCTCCCTTTTCACTTCTCTACTAATCAGGTCTTCTTTTTTTTTTTTTTAAAAAAGAAAAAAAAAAGAAGAAAAAAAGACCCGGGAAGAAGCCTTTCCTTTTTTTCATTTTCATATTGGAGAGGAAAAACAGGTCCGTCGGCCTTAACTAAACAACGGAAGCTTGCCTCCCAGCTTCGCCACTCTCTTCAGATCGCGCAGATAGACAATTTCATTCCCAAAAAGAACTGAGGAAATTTCGACAGGGAAAAAAAATTCAAAGGAGGAAAAAAAAAAGCTGTCTGTTCCTTTCCATCTGCCATAATTGTGGTCTCAGAAAACACTTGAGTGTGCTTTTCTTCATCGAATGCGATCGGACTCGTGACCTTCACGTCAGAGCCTTATATTTTCGGGGGAGACATTGACTTGTCCATCTCCCAGCAACACAGCTGGTTCGTCCTCTTCCCCAGCCTCCTCACCGCCCACCAATTTTGTATTTTTTGCACCTCTCCGCTGCCTCACCATCTTCACACCCCTCTTCCCATTTTATCTCTTACCCCTCCTCCCTCCCGCTCCCGTCTTCACGTCACATTCCACATCTTGACGTCTTGACGTCTTCACCCTCTGCTTTCTCTGACTCCCTCTGCAGTTGATCTCTGATTTCCACGTCTGTTTCACGTGCGATTCTGTGATATCATGGACTCGCTCACCACCCACCCCTCAAACGCCACTCAGGCTCGTGCCTTCACCTCTCCTTCCTCGCTTTCCTTCCCGGGTGGTGCTGGAGACCTGACCCCTCCCAACTCTGAGAAAGAGGTCATGGCTCAGGGTGCGACTGGTGCGACTGGTGCGAATGGTCAGCCTGCTGGAGGGAATGCCGTCACTGGCAATGGGGTGACTCCCGCTACTCCGGCGACTCCGGCTGCAACTCCTGGTGCGACCACGGGCAGCAGTGGCATTGTGCCCACCTTGCAGTGAGTATACTCTGGCTGTTCTTCTGGGTCTGACCAGATGGCTGAACCAAAGCTCTTAAGAAACATCGTTGCCACCGTCAATCTGGACTGCCGTCTGGATCTGAAGACCATCGCGCTGCATGCTCGCAATGCCGAGTACAACCCCAAGGTATATTCCACACCTCCCTGAGATTGAGAGCATCAAGGGACCGTGTGGCTGAACTGGTTGTTCCTTGTCTTAGCGTTTCGCTGCCGTTATCATGCGTATCCGTGAGCCCAAGACCACTGCGTTGATCTTCGCCTCGGGCAAGATGGTCGTCACCGGTGCCAAGTCCGAGGATGACTCCAAGCTGGCCTCGCGCAAGTACGCTCGCATCATCCAGAAGCTTGGCTTCAATGCCAAGTTCACGGACTTCAAGATCCAGAACATCGTCGGCTCCTGTGACATCAAGTTCCCCATCCGTCTGGAGGGTCTGGCCAGTCGCCACCACAACTTCAGTTCCTACGAGCCCGAGCTGTTCCCTGGTCTGATCTACCGCATGATGAAGCCCAAGATTGTTCTCCTGATCTTCGTCAGTGGCAAGATTGTCCTGACTGGTGCGAAAGTGCGTGAGGAGATCTACCAGGCCTTTGAGCTGATCTATCCTGTGCTGTCTGGTAGGTGACCTCGAACTGCAATTATGAGAGGTCTTTTGAGCTAATTACCCGCACAGATTTCCGCAAGGTCTGATGACTCCTGACAGATCATTCCGTCGACAAATGTTCTTCGAAATTCACACCTTTGTATTAACATTGCTTTTGCTGCGCGAAGCTTCGAACAGTGCCTCTGCTCCTATGCCTCTGCTCTCGACCTCGCCTTTTTTCCCCCACTTTTCACGATTCTTCATGCAAGCATTGTTGGGCGTTTTAGCGATTCGGTGATCCCCGGGGATTTTCTTTTCACCATTTCGATTGTTTACAACTAGATTGCTGCACACCGCAGTGAGGCGGTTCTGTGCGCTGGTCGAATGGCTGCCTCTTAATTTTTTTTCTTTTTTTTTTTTTTTTACTGGTCTACTGGTCTTATTCATGCTGGACTTGTTCCCCATGGGCCAAAAAAAATGTTGAGCTCTGAGCTTCCATGGTTTCTTCTGGCGAGGGCTGGGAGATTGATGGAACGGGCGTTGGCTGGAGCTACCATTATCGAATGAAAAAGTTGAAGCGAATTCTCTCGTTCTTAGTTTTGTAGAAGTAGTGGAAGTAGTGGATGCCCTGGCGGGGTCTATTTCTAAGCTTTTTAGGCAACGCTGTATCTACATTTTTCCCATCTAGAGGGAACTCCTTGTCTTTGCCAACTCCTCCCTCAAATTCAACTTCCTCTCCCCAGATCGACTTCCGTCCCCATCAAACAGATCCTCTGTGTCGGCCCCTGCCTCCGGCCTGCTCTGCTTTGTCCACGTCCATAGCTCACGCAGTTCGGGCTCCAGCGAGCCCTCGAGCGCATCGACGACCTTGTCACCCAGCACGGGGAAGAACTTGTACGCGTGTCCGCTGCCGCCGGTCGCGAGGAAAAGGCCCTGGTGGGCGGGGTGGTACGACACTATAAAGTCGCCTTTGGGACTGCAAGAATGACGGCAATGTGAGTGACACCGTCGATTTGGGATTTTGTCCTTCTGACTGGGGATGGGGCAGACTTACGTATCCGTGTACCAACACACGCGCGTGTCGGCGAACGGCCGGTCCGCAAACCGCGGCAGCAGCTGCTTCAGCGCCGTGCGGAAGGCATCCTCGCCCTCGAGCGGAACCGGCAGCCCTGCCTCCGGGAGACTGACCTGCATGGTCTCGGCGGACGAGCCGGCACCCGTGCCGGGGACAGCGACAGCGGTCGGGTTGCGGTAGCCGTAGGCATGGCGGGCGATCTTGAGCACGTTGTTGCGCGGCGGGATGATGAAGATGCCCGTGGCGAAGTTGAGGATCGTCGGCAGGTGTGCCAGCTGCTGCTGCTCGGCGTCGCTGATGCGCAGGTATGCGATCGCCTGCCCCGTGGCGACCGCCTTGCCGCGCAGGTCGACCAGCTTCGGTGTCCACGCGCCCGTGGCCAGCACGACTAGGTCGGCTGTGATGCTTGTGCCGTCTGCCAGCGCGACGCCCGTCGCTCGTGTCCCGGTGAAGAGCACGCGCTCGACGACGCCGGTGCAGAAGGTGACTTTGCCCTCACGGTCGAGCTGCTCCTTGGCGAAGCGCACGCTCGCTGCTGCGTTTGACCAGCCGGACCCCCAGTTCACGTACCCGCCCGCGACGTCGAGGTCCGTTCCGTATGCCGGGACCACCTTGAGCACGTCGGCCTTGGTCGGGAGGAACTCGACCTGTTCGCTCTCGATCTGTTTGACGTTGTCGTAGCTCTTGCGCGCATACTCCTGGGCGCTGGCGCTGTCGTGCGGATACACTAGCAGCAGTCCGTTCTGCGTGTACCGTCCCTCGCGGCCCCAGTCGGTCGTGCGCCAGCGCTGAATGGCGGCTGCGGCCAGCTTCGCATATGCGCCGTTGGCATAGTCCGCGCGCACAATGCGCGAGCTGTCGACGGACGAGCCGTGGGGGTTGGGGATGGTGGGCGATGCCTCCAGCAGCGTGACTTGGGAGTTTGGATGCCGCTTGGTCAGTGCAAGAGCGGTTGACACTGGTGAGTAGTTAGTTGGAGGATTTCTCGAAAGTAGCTCATAGTTGATAGCCGTATCAACGGCAGTAGGTGTTGGGTAGTCGCAAATGCCATTGAGCCATAATGGAAACTTCTCGGCATATATTTCTTGGGCTAGTTTCAACTCACATCCAAAGACCCCTCCTCCCACGATCAAAATCTTTGGCGGCAGCGCCATTGTTGCGGCTCTGGGTGTCGAGTGCACTGGAGCGGAATTGGAGAAAGTCGACAAGTCATTTGCCCGATAACGGGGGAGAGACACATCGGATCGGCTCCGACTCCCGACTCCCCGTCCGATTTTCCCGTCTGGGATTCCCTGAGTACGGCCATCATTGGCATGAGGATACACCATACATGGTATTTCTTCTGATCTGGGGATCTCTTCTCTCTGTATTCTTCTGGTTTCTTTGAGGAAAACTCGGGTTCGCATCGCGTGCCAGGATCTCGACAGCTCGAAAAACTCGCTATCAACGCATCAAACTGCCACGCATATTGTGCTATTCACAGAGACTTAGGCAGCGCTGTCTACCCAGATAAGCCATCTCGATGAACACTTCGCGCTTGGCCAGGGTCGCCTGGCGGGCAAAGTGGCCTGTCCCCCTCACCCGTGGAGCCGCCAGCAAAACACCACAACCGCAGAAACCAGAGTACGTGGGCACTATTAAAAAAGAATACTCATCTATGTGATCATCGCTAAAACCGTCTCACAGTGCCCAACCCGTGCCAAGAGGACGAAGGCGGATCAATCCACGTCTACAACCTTTCGAAGACGTCGGACCACCACCAAGCCAGAATGGCATCTCACCACGCGTGCTGACCATCCTCGGCGTAACAGCGCTAGGCATCAGCACGTACTGCGGCCTCTTGTACGCGTCGTACCGACGCGAAGTAACACAAGGCCAGTCCCTGGACGTGCCACAAGACGTGTCAGCCCGGTACAACGAGACAGCCAGCACGTTCGACGCAGACGTCGAAGTCTCCGAGAAAGCAATGCGGCTGGGCGCGAAACGGCTCGATCTCGTCCGCATGGCCCGCGGCGACGTCCTGGAGATCAGCTGCGGCACGGGCCGCAACCTCGACTATTACGAGTTAGGAGAGCGGCGCGGCGTCGACGACAAGGGTCACGCCGCGGTCCGCGGCTGTCGCTCGCTCACGTTTGTCGACCTCAGCCCGCAGATGGTTGCCATCACCCGCCAGAAGTTCGAAAAATTGCATCCGGGCTTCGCCCGCGTCGATTTCCGCGTCCAGGATGCCGCCTCTGTCGAGCCGCCTTCTTTCCCGCGTCCCCGGTCGTCGTCGTCGTCCCCGGCTCCTTGTTATGATACCGTGATCCAGACTATGGGTCTCTGCTCGATCCCGGATCCTGTTGCGGCTCTGCGCCATCTCGGCGCTGTGACGGAGCCGCTGCACGGCCGGATCTTATTGCTGGAGCATGGCCGCTCGCATTATACTTGGTTGAATCGTCTCTTGGATAATCTTGCGCCCTCCCATGCACATAAGCATGGTTGCTGGTGGAACCGCGATATCGGGGCCATTGTGCGCGAAAGTGGGTTGGAGGTTGTTGAGGAGAAGCGCTGGCATTTCGGGACTACCTGGCGGTATGTGTTGCGGCCGAAGAAGACAGTGTAGTTGTGTTTTCTTTTTTTACTTAAATGGGTTTTCTTTTCTGTAACTGTACATATATCTAGAGTGTACGATACTGCATGTGTTTGGTGTTTTCTTTTGTCAAAATATATAAACCCGAGGCGAAATATATATATATCCAATGATTACGAGTTATGGGGACGATTCTCAGTATCGATACCATCAATTAAGCGCTTTATATTATAAGAGAACGATTTCAACTATACACAAAACTAGATGCAAGTGGTGCGACTATGCGGGGAAGTTATGTACCCCCTCTCCACTCAGGCCGGAAGGAAATACCGATGGAATGGCCTTGAAAGCAGGTTGTCATTAAACAATAAGAAACACAAGAAAGGAAAATACGAGTAAACTCGCTAAACAAAAAAAAACCCCCTCTATCCTCTTAAAGGAAAGCGAATGAATTATGATGAATTCGCAAGCCCTCGAGCTATAGATTCATGGATATCTCCCAAGATACCACCGGAGCAAAAAGCCTCCAATCTGAGTTGGCAACGGGCATGCAAGCTGCAGATCTTTGGCAGGGATATTCCGTGTGATGGCGCTTGGCGTTCGCCTGGCAATCCCTGCTTTTATTATAGTCCGGGAGGTATATATACATTTTCTACTGCCGATGTAAACTTGGAGAATTCTATAGGACTATGTATACACGAGGGTCTCTGTAGGCAGTAGCAGGTAATTGCTGCAGTAGTGTGTCGAGGATATATACAGTAGTAAGAAGAGACTAGGAGGACAAGTCCATGCGATCTAGTCTCTATCCAGTAGGACTCCGAGAAGCCCACAAGTAGAATGTGATTGTGTCGGGATCTCTGACCTATGATATACTTACCTCGGTAGAAGAAATTCTGGTTGCAAGATTGCAGCAAGGACCACCCACAACCACTACATATAGAGTGGGGAAGGGGGAAGGACTAGAATCATGCAAGGATCTAAGAAGTCAAGAACGGCAGATGTTGAGTGGGTTGAATTTGTTTGAAACCCGATCTATATGAAACAGCCATCTATATCCAGAAGGGGGGACACCCGAGCGCGACAGTCGGATTCTCAATATCGAAAATCGAAAATCGGCTTAACTTCTTCCGACAATTAGAAGCACCACACTTAATCAGAGTCTGGATCAGGAAAGGCACACAATGCAGGTGCAGGCGACCGCGCCGAACGCCCTGCTTGGTGTGGAGATGCGGAGAATTACGCATGCGCCATTATGTAGGTACGGTGTACTTCGATTATTCCCTATTCCCTATTATCTGCTCCATGGAGATACAGATAGAAGTCATAATACGACTGATCAGATATCTTTCTTCCCTTCGGCCGGCAACAATGGGCCCAGGTTTGGTATTTCCATGGTTGAGGTGGATATCAGGGTGCAAATGGACGATGTCATCCATCGAACGTAGAGACAGCACTGGCCGGGTAACATATGTAGCATGCCCCGGGAATGATCTTCCCCCTCTCTCCAAGTGCCCGCGACGTGCATTGCAGCAATGCCCGTAGCCGGGGACTACACTGGGTAGTCAGTCCCCTTGCTGGATTGCCAAGACATTTTAGAGAAGGTTGGCGCTATGATGTATAGGGGGGTGATCATGTCAATAACAATGCATTTTCGACGATCATATCAATTGTGAATCATCAACCATGGATGTTCATCAGCCTTTCGGGGAGGCTGGGGAGAGGGGGAGGGGGGAAGATGGCATCATATCAACGTCGGTGGATGGGCCAAAGGATCTCTCTCCCCCTCAAGAGATGGCATCACCACTTTGGTGCCGACGTAACTGGCGCAGGGCAAAAACCTAGAAGTATAGAAGTAGTAGTAGTAGGTGGAATGGGTTACTACTTACCTACTGTACTTACTTAGTAGCTGTAGCCATATAGCCCTGGAGAAAATGAGATGGCTAGACAGCAGAAGTGAAGCCATCACACCTGTGGAGAGAGAGCTGTCTCGGACGGCTGCAGTGGCGAGGCTCTGGTTCCTTTTCTCCCCGACACACTACTGTGAGCATCCCTTACTAGCGCATGTATTGGTACCAAAACACCGACTTCTGATCGTTGGTTCATTTGCTCCACTTCTTTTCTTGAGTGGAGTCAGGCTATTGTGCGAAACGGCGACGCTAGGAATCTTTTTTTGGGAACCGGTGTTTTTCGGCCGGGCGTCCCGGGAAGAGAAAAGGATTGATCCCATCAGTGGAAGAGAAATAAGAAAGGAAAAAGAAAAAAAAGATCAGCGGGGTTTCTCGATGATCTTACCAAAACCGAGTGGATATGGGTGTATAGGATGTATACCGTAAGTAGTGTCAAAAGGGTCGGGGAGCGGTCAGCAAAAGACTGGTCACCTATAGCAACCATTGACAGATTGAGTGCAGATGGCATCCCTGCTCGAACACACGTAATGGACGTGTCGAACCGGGAACCACCTTTGGGGCTGTCAAGTCCAATCAGGAGATTGAGAGGTCGGATTATTACGCAGCGCGGGCCATCCTTGAGTCGGTCTCTGCCTGGTATAAGAAAAAAGGCGGATCCTGGGAGCAATCGAAGATGGACCCAAGTTGGGTCAGAGAGCACATGGCGAACTCCACTTCTCTTTTGCCCCCTTCCACCGGTATGCCACTATGGCCAAGGATGGAATGGCAAGATCCCGAGTCTCTTGGAATGGTATGAAAAGTGGGTTCTGGGAATCTTGGATTGTTTTTTTTTTTTTTTTTCACCTTCGCATCTGTCGCATGTCGCATGTCGCATGTCGCATCCCTGCATAGATCTCATTCCTGTGAGGAGAGCGGTGTGCGAGACATCTCGTATGTCTGAGATGCTCCGAGTGAAGATGGGGATAGAAGAAAAACAGTCGAGTGTTTGCCTCGAAAAGAAGGGAAAAATCAGGAAGAAAAATCAGAAAAAATGGCGACCAATCAGATCCACCCCAATTTGAATGGATCATGACCCGCCAGTATTGAACCTGTATTTTTATGGTATTTGGGTATTTTATGGGTATTTTATGACCGAAAATTGAAAAAAAAAAGAAAAAAAAAAGAGTGTGCCATCGTACGGATTCCTCAGGCCCCGGGCAGCTTAGAATCAGCTTCTCGCATCTCAATTCCCGTTTTCTTTCCCCCTTTCCAACGCCTCATCCTCTGAATATTTGATTGTTTGATTGTTTTTATTATTCTTATATTATTATTTTAGTATTTTTTTATTGCTTCTGATTCTCTTCTCTTGTGACTCCTTTTGGATTCGATTCTTTTGGCACTTTCACTTGACTCTCCCTACTCTGGCTTTGTCCTCATTGTTCCCTCCTTTCCGCCCTTCCGCCACTCTCTCAACTATGCCGTATAACACTCGTCGCAAGTCGCTATCCCTTCCGTCCTTGGGTATTCACCTGCCTAATTCCTCGCGCCGCTCTCCGTCCATCTCCAAAGGCTCGCACGCGACTGATGACCTACCGCCCTCGAAGAAAGCTAAGAGGTCGCATGACTCCATCTCACTATCGCCCGAGCCCAGTCATCGCAAGGATGCCATCACAGTGCGCGCCGGCCGCTTCCAGCACACGCCGCCTCCGTCGCCCTTGGATGCCGGGATTGCGCCCAAGATCGACACCGAGGGTATCAATGATGACATCGTCGTCGCAGTGATTGATCAGCTGGAGAAGACGGGGAATCGCCCGCATCTAGTAAAAGAACTGGCAGCGGTTCTGGTCGCGCTGAATGCGAATGTTGCCAAGTATGTGATAATTCCCCGCTGAGAAACTCATGTGCCGTCCTTCTGTCCCTCGGGCTAACCTGATTTCATTACTAGTTCCGTAAATCCAGCTGCGCTCCTCTCGTCGCGTTTGGCTGCTTATATGAAACGCTCATGGACAGCCCTGGCGCCTTGTCCCATCGCCAAGGAACTCATCCCGATCCACCCGCGCAAGGTTTATTACTACCTGACGACTTTCCCCAGTCAGCCTATCCCTGAGAGCTCCGACGAGCTGGTGTCTAGTGTCGATGGCAAGCACATCACACCCAGTGTGTCTAGCGTAGACCAGGATGAGGAGGATGCGATGGCACGGGAACGCGCTCGTCTCAGCCCCAGCCCGGAAGTGGATCTCTCTTCTCCTGATTTTGAGGAAGGGGAGGACGTGGATCTCGACAGTCCCACGGGATCCCGGGACTCTCCGGACCAGTTCCCTGATCCCATTAACCACTCTCGCCTCATGCACTCGAACCGCGCGGTTTCTCCGCCCCTGGAGGGTGATGAGAAGGAGTTCACACAGACGGCCAGCGCCGTTCGGGAACGTGCGTCGGAAGAGAAAGCTAGCCGGATGGACCAGTCGGACCGGAGCCGATCGGTTCTGTCGGAAGGCCTCAGCTCGATGGAAGATCCCGAGAGCACCTCGGAATCCCCCGTCTCCGGAGGATCGCTGTCTCCCTCCCTGCACGGTGATCGTATGTCCGAGGAAGAGTATAGCGACTACTTCTCTCACATGACCACTGCGGACCCGATGCCCCAGGACGTTGATGAGGCCGCCGCTACAGCTCTATTTGGCACTTCGCCTTCGCCTTCGCTCACCTCGGTTGCATCGTCGTTGTCGTCTGGCACGAGCGCCGTCACCGATGTTGGCGTGGAGGGACAGGAGCGTGCGGCTGGCCCCCCAGCTGCGCCGCAGATTAGCCTGCCCGAGGATCCGGATATTGCGCCTGTCTCCACTCTGAAGCGATCTCTTGACATGCTGAACAGCGGCCTCCCTGACGTCGACTTGAAAATGTCTGATCTCACTGAGTCGCACGAGAAGCTCAGCCTGGCCCCTCGTCCCGTCTCCGCAATTGGCTTTGAACCCATTCTGGATTCGTGGAGGGAGCTACAAAATCCGGAGATGGTGGAAGTGGATGAGCTCGACGAGATGTTTGGTGAAATCTAAATTGATTGCGGGCTCTTTCTACATCCTCTGCCTTCGCTAACCTACTCATTCTCTCCTTTTCTCTCCACTCTCGGTCAGCCTCACAAGGCGACCGCTGTTGTTTCATCACCTTTTCTACCTGGCGGCCTTGATCTTTGTACATGTCCCCTTTGGCCGTCCCGCACCTTTTCCCGCGCTTTATCCCCTTTTTCTTTTTGCTAATGCCTCTTTTCATCTTGTACATATATATATTGATGCGTTTGGTCGGGAACTTGCCCTGGATGGGTAGATGGGAGTCTTGTTATGGCCGGTGGCCATGCCCCCCCCCCCCAAGTGGAGGCTCAAAAAGGATGTCTTTGTATGCTTAGCGGTTCTATCCAAAGATTTACTGTTTTTCTTCATGAAATCTCCTCACGGTCGATCCACGGCTCGCCTTTGTACCTTATCTAAGCATTTTGCTGCCAATCAGGAAGGCGGGTGGCTTCTGGCCATACTTTCTCCCCGCCCCTCTCTTGTTTCAACGTTTCGCATCTCCTTTTTCTCATCATCTGGCTATTTGCGGCGCCAAGAAAGATATATATATCGTCTCGATGGATTCGATGCTCATTCCATAGGGCCATATTGCAGATCTCGGCTTCGTGGCGAATCCAGTTTTGTCCTTGGTTTCAGCCCGGACCGAAGCGCATTACTGCGAATTGGAAATTTCCCGGATTGCCTTCATTCATTTCAACTGCAGCCTCGATCCCCCCGCTAGCTCGCTACGATGACAAAGGAAGAGCCGCCTCAACCCCTCCTCCTCCCTCGGAGGGTGTTTCTCGAGACCCCCGGGCAGCGCTGCTAGAACCCGACAGCGCCCTCGCTTTCTCGAATCCGCCTTCGGTCGCGGGCACAACATCAACAGTGGGAGCAAGGAGTGCCAATGCGAATTCTACGCCAGAGACCAAGAAACTCCTCTCGAATGCAAAAGTGGCGATCCCCCGCCAGCGGTCTGGAACTGCCCCGCGCTACAATCGTCGGGTTCCTCGCGCCTGTGAATCCTGCAGACAGCGCAAGACAAAATGCAGTGGCGATACCCCGGTCTGTCGCCAGTGTCGCGAGTTGCGAGTCAGTTGCCAGTATCCTGTTGGATGGAAGGAGAGAACCAAAAGGTAAGCGGGACATCCCTGGCATTCGACTGTCGCTTTCGCCTGCAGAATTCGTAGGATGGAAACTAACGCATGGTTCTCGTACCAGGCAAGTCGACAAGCTTTCTGAGAAGGCCCATGACTACGAAAATTTGTTGAAGGATTTGGGAAATACTGTTGAAGCCCGCACCGCGGACCGTATCAAAAATTTACTGGATAAGGTTCGTTTTCTTTTCTTTTTCTTTTCCCGAGAAAATTACGGCATAACTGACATTCAATCAAAAGTATGGCACGGAGACAGATTACTCGTCTAACAGCGCCCCGTCGCACTCGGTTACTCCTCAGGATGAGCTTCCCGACATAGATGAACCGTCCTCGCCTTCGTCTATTGGGTCGCTGGAGGCGATTGATCGGGTAGAAGAGGACCTTAACCGATCAGAACACACGAGAGCCACGGGGTTTATGGGAAAGAATTCGGAGATCACTTGGATGCAACGGCTGCAGAGGGAGGCAGAACAGCGTGCCCGCGGTGAGCCTGGGCTTTTGGAGCTTGATAAAAGCCAGTACCCCGAGAACGAATTCACCCTTCATGCGGTCAACTATCATCTTGACGATCTTGACATCTCCGTTCCTGGGCCAGTGCAGCTCTATTCAATGCCTTCACGGCAGCTGGCCGACCGGCTTTTTGACGATTATTTGGCTACTGTCCATCCGTTCTTTCCTATCATCAATCGACCTCTTTTTCGCGCACAGTTTCGGACATTCTTCGAAACTGCTGCTCGGCCTGGTGACAAATGGCTGGCCATTTTGAACATGATTTTCGCCATTTCGGCCAAGCACGCTCACCTTATCGACGCCCCATGGCGTGGCGATGACAATGACCACCTGGTGTATTTGACCCGGGCCAGGATTCTGAGCATGAACGGCGACGTTTTGTTCAGTCACCCAGATCTTCAGCAGGTTCAAGTAGAGGGTTTGATTGCCTTCTATCTACTTTCGTCGGATCAAATCAATCGGTAAGTTAGGAGTATTTTCTGCATTGTACTAGGACAAGGCCTGACCGCTTGTACAGGGCTTGGAGGATCTCGTCTCTGGCAGTTCGATCGGCGATTACCCTCGGCATCAATATGAAAAGCAGCAGCCCGTCCACTCCTGCTATCTCTAAAGAGGCTCGTTACCGAGTCTGGTGGTGTCTATATACCTTCGAGCATATGCTGGGTATCATGACCGGCCGGGCTACTTGCATTATGGATGGGGTGTGCACCGCGCCCTTGCCAATCCCCTTCGAAGAAAATCAGCTACAAGAGCCAGCGGCCGCGGAAATTCTCAACGACGCGGTACTTCGGGATGAGCGAATAAACAACGTGATGGCCAGCACATGGGTCCGACATATGCCCCTCAACCCAGCGAACGGCAAGGATGCCACCCATCATTCTCGAGTACGGGACACATCGTGGGTCAAAAATGTACCTGTTAGCTACGGTCTCTGCTATCTCTACTACTGTGACTTGGCCGTCGTCACGCAAGAAATTGTTAACAAAGTATATTCTGTGGATTGCGTGGTTGTGCCATGGGCGCACATCGAGAACCGGATTGGTGAATTGCGCTCTCGCATGGATGTGTGGTACTCGAGTCTCCCGGCCTCGCTCGACTTCTCCAATCAGAATGACGACGGGCCTGATCTGCTTCGTTGCAAGCTGTCTCTGGCCTTGCATTACTACAGCGGGCGGATCACGCTAGGCCGCCCATGTCTTTGCCGGCGCGATGCACGACAGAATGGCCCTAACGAAAAGCCCAGCTTCGGCCACGAGATGGCTGTGGTGGCTCTGGAGTCTGCTTCGCGCATGCTCGATCTGGTCCCGGACGAGCCGAATGCAATTCAACTCTACCAGGTCTGCCCGTGGTGGTGTATTTTACACTATCTCATGCAAGCGGCTACTGTCCTCCTTCTGGAGCTGTCATTTGGCTGCGTCCACATGCCGGAAGAAGAACAAAACTTCTTCGCGCTCTCAAAGAAATCTATCCGCTGGCTGCACTCCATGTCCGAGCATAGCATTGCCTCACGCCGCGCATGGCAGCTCTGCGATCGTGGTCTCCGTCGGCTGGCCACCGGCATGAACCTCGATGTGAGCGATATGCCGTCGCATACTTACCGTCATACGCCCCAGACTACTCTGGCCGACTCCCCAACCGGAATAGGTCGGCCTGGCCAGGCAGAACCATCTGCCCCATCGGGTTTCTGGGGCCCATTACTGAATGAGGCATCTGTGACTGGATTGCAAATGCCCACCACTGCCATTGACCAGTTCACCCCCTCGAGTTACGTCGATATGCCTACCTCAGACCTGATATCCTCTCTGACAGCTGAGGCCCAGGACTCTTATTTCCCGTATGACCCTATTAGCGGGGAATTTATCCGGTCTTTCTTCCCTGCCCAGAACGAGGAAGGATCCTGGAACCAAAACTGAAACGATACACGACGCAAAGAAAAACGAATCTCATTTTCGTCTTGCCTTCTAATGCTTCTAGAACTTTTATTGTTTAACGAGTCTTATACGTTATATGTACCATGTATCGTTTGTGCCTGCAATCTTCATACTGATCTGCAAGATACCTTGTATTCTTCTTGGAAAGGCTTTTTGGTTTCTTTTTATCTTTTTATCTTGTTATATTTTCCTATTTATTCTATTTTCCCTTGTCTTCGGCTATTCTTATGTTTACCTTCATCGTTTCTATACACCATGGATTGAAACGGATTGGAAATACTAGGGTTTTTATGATGGGAATGGGTTGGATAGATGGATTTACGGGGAAACGGTCTCTGGATGGCGGGCACATCCATTGACCCCACGGGGGGACTTGGTTGGGCACAAAACAAACGGCGTATAGGATATGGGATATGGAATTTGCGGGTGAGGGTTTGAATTCCTGTAACAAATTGGACAGAGTCGTCCCTGGTGGCTTGGGAGTTTTGGAGTGTCTTAGTTTACCTGTACCAATTATAAAGGAAAATATTTACTATGCTAGCCAAGCAAAAGAAGATTGTCGTAGGGAGGGAAATTGGAGAAGTGAGGTATAAATATAATTATACACATTTTGCACGAAGCTTCTTCTATAGAGACATTTACATTATGTACACGGATGAGACCAGCCAGGGGAAGAAGGAGGGATAAAGAGTGGGTGGTCTCACCAACCATACACACGGACGCAGCTGTGGGGGTATGCGCTGCCAGGAGAGAGAGGGAGCGAGGGAAAGAGGGAGCGAGGGAAAGAGGGAGCGAGGGAGAAGGACGAAGGAACCATTAAGTAAATCAATTAATCACCCCCCGGAGGAAGTAATCCAGGGATCCTCCCGGACCCGTTGTATAGCCCGTCTCGAGTCGCGAGCTAAGGGGTGGGTAAAGACATGACGGAGGCGCAAGCGCTTCTCATGGCCGGGGACTTCGACGTCGAGTTGGTCGTGGGGCAGATCCAGCCGTAGAAACATCTCGACGCAGAAATCGAGGGTGGCTTCGAGCTCGGAGGCGGGGGGTTGCCGCCGCGAGGAGTTTGGTATTTGAAAATGGATTTGGGGACGGTGGTGGTGTAGCCGATGGGGGTGGGAGGGGAGGAAGAAGAAGAAGACCCGGGCTTCTTTGAAACCTGAGTGGTTTTCTGCTGCTTCTGCTTCTGTTTCTGCTCCTTGGCTGGTGCGGCGGTAAATTCCCTTGTTGGCGGCTTGCGCAATGATGCGGACGGCGTTGAGGGTGGGGAGCACAGCCTTTTTCTGTATTTTGACAAACCACTCCGGATTAAAGCTCGGGTCGCCTTGATTGTTGTTGCGCTCCATGGCAAGTAGAAGGCGCTCCACGCCGCCGTCTTGCTGGCGGAGGCGTTGGGGGGACGGTGGCTCCAGACACCATTTCTCCCATAGTCGCTTGCCGGCAATGCTGCCGTATGAGTCCACGACGGCAGCAAGAAGAAGGTAGAAAGACTCCGGAGGAACGTAGAAGAGCTTCTGGCGCTTGGCAACTGGGAAATTCAACTTCACATGCTTGATCAAGCCGGGGAGGCAGCCTGGGATCGACAAAAACACGCGGTGTAGACGGAGGAGCGCTTTTTGTTGGAAGAGACGCACCCCGCGATGTTTGCCAGTAGGCGTGCTGAACTCTCCATGGAAAATGCGAAGTAAGATGTCCTTGGCGCTTTCAAGGTCGCGAATTTCGCTCTCGTCGGTGGAAATGCCGCTGGCCCTTTTGTGTTGGACGGAGGCATCCAGTTTGATGATTACGGCTGCAAGCGCGGTGACGTTGTCGAACCCCCATGACTTTATCCGGTGGTCCCGCAAGTAGTTGAGCGTAAAGATCACGCGATCCCAGTTTCGCATCGCGATGTGAAGGTTAACCAAAGTTTTCATGGTGTAGAGGGACAGAGGCGTGCTGAGAGAATTGATAACCTCGTTGCAAAGCTCAGGATTCTGTGTGGCCGCCGCAAAGCGAAGGATTGATGGGGCCAGAGACTGGTCGCCATAAGCACTACGGGGAATCGCAGGGCCATCCACATCGTTGGAAAACAGTAACGATTTGCCGAATCCAAACGCGTGAGAGGTAGTGGCCAAGTCGAGCAGTTCAGCAAAAGTAACGTTGGAGACCTGCGGGAGAGACGATTGGTCTAAACTGGGCAGACCAAGCTGTTGAGAGTCGAAGAATTGAATATTTTGGGAATCAGATCGGCCGAGATGGTGGAAGAATGCTTCAATATGGCGCTCTTTACTCGCATCCACGACGCTCTGAAGCCAGGCGTACTCCTGAAAGGCGCGCCCGGACTGCTGTTGCCAGGTATGACACTTGATATTGTATTCCAGCAAGCCCACCATTGCCGCTGTTTCGTCATAGAGCTGTGCTCTCGTCATCTCGCTTAGCTGTTCTTCCGTGACAAGTTCACGTCCCTCCCACGGGGGTGCTAGGTTTTCATGGGATCGTAATACCCGTTCCAAGGAGTGAGGGTCACTCTTTGGTAGTAGACATCCCGATTCAAGGACCCGAACGACATGCCAATTGGTCGTCCGGTGCGTTGGCCGTAATTCGGTATCAGACACGGGAGAATTGATGAGCGAGTTCAGAGGTGCTGACATTTTGAGAAGAGTCGCGGGAGAGTAACCACGGTTTCCAACTCCATTATACGCCTTGTTGGTCAAGCCGTCTCGCAAGGAGACAACCACTTCTGTGCTAATGGTCCTTGTTCCGAGTCCGTTGAAGGGGGGCTTGTCACGGCTGTTAGACAACCGAGGCGGATTCTTGCCCGGGCGACGCCAAGATTGTTCGTTGCTGATATTGGTTTGTTGCACAATATCGAGAACTGGCACCAGGGGCGCCCAACTCTCGGTCTTCCATGCCCGTTTGCTGCCTCGCTTCGTCATCTTCCATGCCAGCCACGCGCCTTGCTTGGTAAATCCATGTTCCACACAGCACCAAAGAATGAACTCGAACCAGATCTCAGGACCAAGCTCGCGAATCCCCATTTTGAATGGGAGGTATGGGGACTTTTCTCCTGCTTCGGCAGCCGCAGCGGCAACAGCGGCTTCGTGTTCCAACCAGGCCGCGTCGGACAGAACACTCATGATGTGAGTGGAAAGCAAATGCAGTCCCGGCGGGCGAAAAGACAGCTCGCTGGGATCCGCGCGAGGGTATTTATACACTCGGTCAGAAATCATGCCCGCATGGTGTAATCGTGCCAGAACTCGGAATACATAGGACATTGCAATCTTCGACTCATTTGGTGGATGATCTGCTGCCGCGAGGATTATAGATCCGAGGGACTGCAGGATTTCCGCCAGATGCCTCTGGGCAAGGTTCTGGGCAGTGGGGCGTAATGTGAGGTCATCAAGGGAAGCGAGATCCGACTTGAGTGGCTTGGGACTCAATCGTTGCAATCTGTTATGTTTCGACGTCAAGTGATTCAGAGAAGCGCCCTCGATGTTCCAATCCAATCCCATCAAAGGCTGTCGGGGTGGCATCAAAGGGACCAGCAGCTGGTAGTTGTCGATGAGACTGTTCAACAGCGCATGGACGGTAGTCCATTGCTTCCTCTTGAAGCCGAGATATGATAAGAGATCCACCTTTCGGTATTTCCTTGCCAAGGACTGCAACTCCATCAAGATATGACTTCGATCGAAATCATCTTTATGCTGCTCAATTGGTCCTGGGTTGTTTGTCGGTTTTATCCGCGATGGAGGCACGCATCTGAGCAAGGCCGGCATCCAATCATCGGGGTTTTCTTTGAATCGTGGATCGAAAGGAGGCAGCGGTCTGCTGTTGTATGAGAGCAGAAACTGGTTCTCGTTTGGATAGCATGTTATGGTGACGGGACGATGGGTCCAGGAGGCCGAGCGGCATAGGAGGAGAGAAGGCCTAGAAGAGATTGGTCTCCGGCCGGAGTGAAGGATACGGCCGGGGCATAAGTGTCTTTCCATGACAAGGCGAATCTCGCACAAGGCGTCTGGAAAGGCACAATCTCAATAGGCGCAAGGTCGGTGTGGCGCATGTCGGATCGGTCATGAAAGGCGCATCCCGGGGAGCCTCTGATGAACCATCGGAGTCATAAGCAAGTATGAAGCGATAATGTGGTTTCCGACGAAGAACTTTGCGAAGAAACGCGACTCCGAAATTCTGAAAATAATGCTGAGTCACCTCCTGCAGCTGGCCAATCAGAGTCAATTTAATGCCTGGTCGATGGTACTCGGGGATGCACGGACTTAAGCAGGCCCAAGAAGTACCCGATACATTTTCTACAGTTCTACTTCTACTATTATTCTTACTATACCACTCGACAAAGTACCGGATATGTATCCAAAAATTCTCTATAACTGATCCAGCAGCCAGAAAGTCCCCCTAATGTAAACTAATTGACATGACATATAGTATAGTTGTACATGAACACAATGCCTTTTGTTTTAAGCCTGCGCAGGCTTGATCTGGCGAGGATGAGTACGCCGGAAGTGCCCTCTCATCGACGACTCCTCACTCAGAAGAGAGCTAGTAGAAGGGGTCGGTCGCGGGTTGGGAAGAATCGAGAAACTAGAAGCCCCCGGTGCAGACGGGAAGGAAGAGCCACCGGCGGGAGAAGGGCCAGTAGGTGCGGCGCCAGGGATGCCACTAGACTGGGGGATAGCCTAGAAACGTTAGCTAAGGATTTTCATACGCAAAAAAAAAAAATAAAATAAAAATAAAAATAAAATAAAAAATAAAGAAAGAAAGAAAGCTGGTCCTTACAGGAGGTCCTGCGACCGCAGAGGGGGCGAGGCACAAAGCGGCAACGATGCCTCCGAAGACAGTAAACTTCATGATGGAAAGTTGGAAGGGATTGAAACAAGAATCAAGGCAGAAAAAGATCGGATCTTGAGTCGTAAACGTAACGCGTCTCGAACGATAGGAAGGAGTAGAAGTAGAAGTGGATAATATTGTAGATGGAAGACGAGGTAGGTGGACAGAGAAAACAGGCCTTTATATACCTCTCTGGAGGCAGGAAGCGAGCAAATAATTTGATCTCTTTTGCTTGTTTCATGTGCGGTCTGAGAGCCCAAGCCATCACCAGCCGAAACATTGTTTGTGTTGAGTGGCTGTCTCCGAAAGTGATAGAGAAGGGATCGACATGATGAATCTGCAAATGACCAGCCTTCACCCAGCAAGACGTAATCACCCGTGGCAGACGCGTCGAATCCAGGGTGATTATTGCAGGGGAAATGGTCTTATTACACGAGCATCTTGTAGATCGGTGGAGGCGACCAGGTCGAATTGGCAATAATGTCTCCCGGGGAGATCCCAGGAAGAAACAAGGGGAGTCTGGAAGCGCGGGCTTGTTTCAAGGGCCAGTGACAGTCTGTACATCTCCTGTCGATTACTCTCCACTTGGTTCTGAGAGAGAGAGGCTGGAGAGGGCATGAAGGCAACCCTTGCTGCAAAGAACCGGGGAACTACGCAAGTCTCGTCTGGTCCAACCTTGAAGTATATCCTTACTGCTTTGGGGTATTGTACATCACACAAGCGCCTCCATTAAAACCCTGGAACCTGGGAAAATAAGGGATCAACATGAACAATCAAAACATAGTCATCACTCGTGAACAATTAATCTCATGCCTCCAACTGTGCGTCGCCACCCAGCTCTTGTTCGACTTCGTCCACCACGAAGCTCTCGTAGTCCTCCAGACCCTTCTGGACGTGCACTTTGAAGCGGATGACATCGTTGAGCATCGTTTCCACGTTGGTGTGCAGTTCCTCCCGCAGAGAGTTGGCTCGTAGTGTCAACTGCTCGTACTCGATGTTGGTGTTCATCTCGCGTTGCTCCATCAACTGGACACTATCACTAAGGGTAGCTCGCATCTTGGCCAACTCCTTCTCCATCTTTTCAATTTGGGCATCCGAGGCCGTCTTTTGCGTCGTGGTGATTTCTTTGCTGCGCTCAAACTCCTCTTCCGCGGCTCGGCGCCGATGTTCCAGTGCCTCGACTTCGCTGCGCTTCTCGTCCATGGCTTCTTTGATATTGTCGAGCAGATTCCGTCGGTCAAGATCATCGTCAACAGCGCGCTTCCTCCGTTCGTTGATCTCCTTGCGCAGCGACTGCAGGCTATTACGAATTGACCCTCGGAGATCCAGATTCAGCACATGTGCTGGGTGATAGCCCGTAAAAGGCTCCGCCAGCAGGCGGTCGCCATCGGAAGAAATCCGGTTGGGGCCGCCGCCTATTTGGCTCGTGGAGAAGTTGTTCTCGTTGATGTTGAGACCGAGCTCGTAGTTTTGGCCTCGAGCATTCTCGGCTGACGTGGGGATCAAGCTCGCTTGGTACCCAAGAGTGTTGTACTCTTTCACGATCTGCTCCAGATCTTCCAATTTCTGGCTTGCCTCCGCCTCTTTCTCCATGACGCGAGCATGGGTCTCTTCTAAGCGAGTCATAGTGTCTTCCAGGCTCTTTTGAAGCCGCTCTCGCTCGGTGTTCATGCGGTCGATATCTTGGATAGTGATGCCCTGGCGATCAACGCTTGCTTGAAGTTCGGCACGCTCAGCTTCGGTCGTCTCAAGGTCGGACTCGGTCTTTTGGATTTCTGTGTCCAGGAACTTGATCCGAGTCTCGTACTTCTCGATCTTCCCTTTGACGTTTTGGTTGTAGTCCTCAAATTTTCTCTTATCATCCTCCAAGATCCGGAAGTGCTTGTCGAGTTTGGCCATGTCCGGGGCGTTCTTCTCCATTTCCTCCATCTGGTCCCTAAGAGCCCGGTTTTCCGATTCTAGCGCTTCCATCTCTTGCACATAGCGTTCGTTGCCTCGGGCAAACTCTTGGGACATGCTCTCAATATGCGGAACCAATCGCTTCTCCGCCGTGTCGTCGTCCTCATCCTCTCCACCTTGTAGCCAATCGTGATAAGCCCCAGTGAGGAAGCGGAAGATGATGCGATCACCTGTGACATCAACTCCTGCTTCGGCACAGGCCTCATCATACTCTCCTAGGACAAAGCGGTCCATCATCTGTGCCAATTGCATCAACCAATGCAGCATACCGAGGAACGTGTACCAATTTTGACCACCAACGGCCGCGATCTGAGATTTGGTGATGCCCTTCTCATAGGGATATCGCAGCTGCTTCAGGATCGGTGGGACCTCCGCATCCATGCTCTTCTGGAACTTATATCCTGGATCAATGCGATGGTAGAGCCACTGGAAGATGTAGTTGAAATCCTTTTGCGTCGGCGAGCGAAGGGTGTTTTGCCCCAAGGAATGCTTCATCTCCAACTCAAAATTATTATGTGTCAAATACTCCAACAATTCCTGCCCAATGCGCGCTTGAAACGAGCGGTCCCGAAGTGGGCGCGGATCCCGGGGAACACCCGCTACAGTCGGGACCTGAGTAAAGAAAGATTGGTGCCCCATAGGACCACCCGTCGATGGTCTTGAAAACACGCTACTCCGGCGCTGCGGGTTTTGCGGAGCAGAACTGGAAGGCAGCGATCCAGGGGCGAAGCTTTGTCGGCCAGCGCTAGCGCCATGGAACATGTTGCTCGAGACAGATCGACGGACCGACGAGAGACCAGCATCGGCGGCAAACGACCCGGATGACGCGCGCGCAAAATTGGGCTGCTGGGGTCTGCTCGCGGAGTTCAGCAGGGAGGTAGAACGGGTGTGCTGGGAGGTAAACGGCGCATTTTGGAATCCGATGGAGCTCGTGCGTTTCAGCGCCGAAGATGGTTGAGGGAGAGATGAGAAGTTTTGCACACTCCCAAGTGTCTAGAAAGGCTTGTTAGATTACATCGCATCTTGCAACGAACAGAGAAGGGCATGTACTTCTCGGGGGCGTCGAATACTGAACAAGCCGGTATCTTGCGACATGGTGAAAAAAAAAGGCCGCGAATGCGGCAATCAACGGTTTATTCTTTTCGCAATAATTCAATCACCAATAACTCCAAACACTGCAAGTCCAAGTCGCGCCGTGCGCCGACAAGCGTTTCGAGGAGGAGGGTTTGTTAGCGGCAGGCACGAGTGTTGGGGTGGAAAGCGAAATGTAAACAAGAGCGTGCCACTCCCGTAAAAGGAAGGCGGTATATATCCGGACAAACAGATCCGCCGACAATCACGAGACTTCGCTCTGGGGAAGCTTGGCAGGCGCAAGTTCCGAGGTCCAACGGGGACTGCCGATGAGGGCGCATCTCTCTCCCCTGCCTCTTTCAGTTTCTCCCACCTCATTCAGTTGACCCTCAATCACCATGGCTCCTCGGGAGGAGCTGATTGCCTCTGCTGTAAGCTTTGCCTCTCGTCTGGATGTTTCCATTTCCGCTTTCGGAGACTGTTGCTAACTGGTGGCTGGCAGGTTACCTGTATGAATCACCGCGGACCCAGGGGGATGAATAGTATCGACTAACTTCAATTAGTCCTCCAAGATGCTTCAGTGGCATCGTCACCCATCGAGAAGAGAGTCGCATTTCTCCAATCAAAGAACCTGACGCAAGAGGAAATTGACCTTGCCTTGTCGCGTGCGGGCGAAGACCCATCTGCTACCGTGGCCACCGGCGCAGCGTCATCACCTTCGTCGCAAGGATACTCATCACAACAAGTTGCTTACCGACCATCAGCGTCACCTCAAGGATATGGATATCCCCCATATGGCCAGTGGCAACCTCCCCCGGAGTAAGTATCGCCTTGCGAGTTCTGTCGGTGGCCAGATAAACTGATGATTGCATGCAAGACCGCCAAAGAGAGACTGGCGCGACTGGTTTATTATGGCAACGGTAGTGGGCGGGGTTGGATATGGACTGTATTTTGTGACCAAGGTATTTCTGAACTCCACATCCTTCTAGCACCCAGACACTGATGAACTGATGCAGCGATATATTACGCCATTGATTGCCCCGCCGACCCCTCCTCAGCTAGAGCAAGACAAGGAAAACATCGACGAGCAATTCTCCCGAGCTTTTGATCTTATCGAACAGCTTTCGACTGATACCGCATCGCTGAAGGCTGCCGAAGAAGCCCGCACCGAGCGCTTGGATGTGGCCCTCAGAGATGTTGAGACTCTTGTTGGAGATCTGAAGACTGCATCGCGCCGGAGAGATGATGAGACTCGACGGATTAGCGACGAAGTCAAGTCATTGAAGGATGCTATCCCGAAGGCCCTGGAAGGTGCGCGGGAAGGCAACGAAAACCGGTTAAAGGAGCTGGGAAGCGAGCTGAAGAGCTTGAAGGTTCTTCTGGGCAACCGACTGAGTAGCGGCGCGAGCCCTGCGACAGGCAGGACTGTGGGTGCCTCGGCTTTGCCTACCGCATCTCGGCCGGCGCCCGAGGAACCCTCGGCTCCTTCCCCCAATCCGAATGGCTTGGCTGCGACCGTGACCTCGGCTGAGCAAGAGCCTACAGCAGCTGCCCCGGCGATCAGCCAGAGCACTAACAGCCCGCTCTCGCAACTCGGTCGGTCTGCTTCCATCCCGGCGTGGCAGATGGCCGCTGCCAACCGGTCCAAGAACTCTTCGCAGTCGAACCCGGCTCCGGCTTCCACTGAAAATGCTGCCGCCACACACAGTGAGCAGACTGCTACAACTGGCTCAAGCTGAGTCGATCATATTGAACTCGACCCTGTATACTTTTTCGCTTCCATGTATTTACCACAATGGATAATTTGCCCCTCGCTTTGTATTGAGAGTACCTTGTTTGAAAACGTCCGTATATTCAGTAGTTTTTCATGGAAAGCAGTAGTTAAAAAACTTGGAAAGCTCGCATTGGCATGGAAGAAATCAACTGAGGAGAGTGAAAGCTGCCGACGGCGATAAGATTACAAAAGCTTGGCTTTTCCAACCTCTAACAACCACCGACTCCGAACCTGGCTGCAACCTAACATCACCGAACACCGCAGCAATGCCTCGATCACCATCGCCCTCTGCCAGCGCAGACCGTCGCAGTCGTCGAAGTCATCATGGCCATTCGCACTCCCATCGCCACCGACACCGCTCGCGTTCGCGCTCTCCGCACCGCTCCGACAGACACAGATCAGACCGCCATCACCGTCGGCACGACCGGCACCGGGACGGGGATCGGCATGGCAGAGAACTCCCGGCTCAGCCTGTTGTACTCCCCTTCCAGGCGCAGGAACTGTCGAGACGCGATCTGGAGGCATACGAGCCCATGTTTGCGATGTACTTGGATATCCAGAAGGGGCTGTTCATTGAAGATTTGAACGAGGAAGAGGTCAAAGGGAGATGGAAGAGCTTTGTGCGCAAATGGTAAGCTTGGAAATTGCCTACCTCCTACTCCCGCGCCATCTCTTTCTGACATCGCAGGAACCGTGGAGAACTTGCTGAGGGATGGTACGATCCATCCACGCTCCACAAGGCGCGTGACAATGCAGCTCAAGAGCAACTGGCTGGCCCCATCCGGGGACGAGAATCGCCGGATTATACACAGGGCAGACAGTTCGCCAGCGAGGACGCACGGGGATCGCCACCCGGAGATGAAGATGAGGACGACGAGTATGGGCCGACTTTACCACATCCAGTCTTGACGAGAGGAGCGCCTCACTCTGGCCCGACGATTCCGAACTTGCAAGACCTCGAACTCAAACGAGGTAAGTCAAAGCTATTGGAATCTATCCACCCTCGACCTACCGCTTATATTCCTACAGAATCGGCCATCGAAGACGCAATTGCTGCACGCGAGGACGCGCAGCAGGAGCGCCGCTCCGAACTCCGTTCGCACAAGGCCGAGATGCGCCACCTGGAAGACGAAATCTCGCCGCGCGCCGAACCGGGCACGCGGGAGAGACAGCTCGAAAAGCGCCGGGAGGCGGCTGCTGCGAATCGCAGCTTTGCGGAGTCCCGACGGGGTGGCTCGCCTACTGACGCGGCCCCCGAAGAAGAGTTGATGGGTGCAGGGGATGACCTATCGGCGTTCAAGAAGGAGAAGGAGCGGGATCAGCGCAAAAAGAATGAGCGCGAGATCCGGCGAGAGGAGATTCTTCGGGCCCGCGCTGCAGAACGCGAGGAACGAGTCCGGAATTATCGACAGAAGGAGGATGAAACGATCGGTTGGCTGCAGGCTCTAGCGAAGCAGCGGTTCGGCTGAGGTGTTAAGCATTGCCAGCATGAACGTTAATTCGATTTATACCCTGACTACAAGCATCTCTTATGGATCTAATAATATAAGAAGATGTGAAGTAGGTTATTCTACACTGAGAGGATTCAACTTTGCCCCCTACGTGACCCCCCGACCCTCTACACCCGCTATAGTGGTAAATCATTGTTTGAAAAGAATGAAGCAAAGATAGATAAAATCGATAATAGTAAAAATAGATTGAAAAGGGGATTAGAAAAAGGATGAAAAAATAGAGATAGAAAAAAATAATAATTAGTTAATTAATTTAGAAAAAATATTAATAAAATAATAGTAATAGTAGTAAAATAGCTATCTATATATAGTTAACGAAGAATAAAACCTAAAAAGGATAGAATCCAGTCAATAAGCCATTTCAATCTAGTTCTTATTCTTTACTAAATCTTTCAAAGCCACCTGAGCGAAGTGTCAGCGGCTTGTTTCGATATCATTCAACGATAGCATCTTTTGCTTTTTTTCCCCAATATTTCTGCCACTGCGACTACCCCTTCCTTCACCTCTTAACATACTTGGTATGAGACCCTTGAACAACGACGGATCTTTTCCCATCCACCTCCTTCGACACCGCCACCGTGGTGAATGCCATCGTCCTCCCGACCTTTCCTGCTTTCCCTTCGATCTCCAGAACATCGCCTTCTTTTGCGGTCGACAGATATGAAACAGACAGATCTGTGCTCACGCCGGTATAGTCCGAGCCGTAAGTTTTGCACGCCAATTGATCGACACGGCGAGGTGCCGACGAGCCTCGGATACATCCGAGAAGTAACTTCGCGTCATCTCCCAGCTCCCAATGCCTCTTCTGTCTTTCTCCCCAATCAGCACGCCAACCAAAAAAAAAAATGAGTATTTCCAGAGCTCTACAGGGCCTCAAGCGCTTCACCACCTGCGACGTATGCAAACCCCACAGCTCCTAACACGCAACACGCAATCTCAATCCACCCAACTAATATCCACTCTCCCACACCATAGATCGGCGATGCCCTCGTCAAACTCAAGCATCCCTATGGGGGCTTCCTAGACGGGCTGCAGATGTACTCCCCAGGCAACGGGACAAGTATTTATGGGCCAGCCATCACAGTGAAGATGGTGGAAACTAAGAGCCCTGGGCCCACGCCGGCGCAGCATTTCGCTGATGCCAATGAAGCTGGCCATATCATGTATATCCAGCAACCGAAGGGATTGCCCTCGGCCTGCTGGGGTGGGCTGATGTCCACGCGCGCGCAGAAGCTGGAGAGTCAGGGGGTGGTGATTGACGGGCGGATGCGGGATGTGCAGGAGCATCGCGAGATGCAGTTTCCGGTAAGTCGGGGGTGACTTCGAGATTTCTTCCTTCTTCTGCATAGAAGACATCTCTGCAAAAATAATGGACTGTGTCCGCTATGAATTCTTGCATCCACTGACACTCATCAGGTGTTTGCTCGCGGCACGTCTGTCCTCGGGTCTAACACTTTTACTCGGGCGTCCGAGATCAATGTGCCCCTGCAGTTCAAGGGCGATCTCTGGGTGTACCCTGATGATATCCTTGTTGGTGATGAGAACGGTGTTGTTGTTGTGCCGCCGCCGCTGGTGCAGCAGGTCGTGGAGCTGTGTCAGGAGAGATGGGAGATCGATGAGAAGACTATGGCTGCTCTGAAAGCCGGGGAGCCGATGGGGCCCACGATTCAGCGGCTGCGCAAGTAATTCCTTTTGTACTATGCAGGGAAAATATAGACTATCGTGGTCCAGAAAATCTTAAGGAGCAAAGTTGGATCGATGAATGTGAATAAGAGATTGTGATAAATGATCTGGGACAGATCTTCATAACATTCAATATAATCCATCTCATTGATCAACCATGCATACTTCGTAATGTCTGTGGCCAGCCTGCTTATTCACACCTTTTCAATCCATGCAACGTCTCTTTTTCTCTCTGGTCCCGCTTCCGATCTGCAGATGTAGGTATTAGCGGCTTCTCAAAATAGCCAACGAAGTCAGACTCACCCCTCCTGTTGAGAAGCTTGCTGAGGCTCCAACGGCTGGCACAGACGATAAAAGGGGCGCTCGAAAACCTGGTTGGTTTCCTCGAGACTCAGACCGGAGGCCTCTGGGACCATAAAGTAAGTGTAAACGATAGCAACCACACAGAATCCCGCGAACAAGACAAAGGCTCCCCATTGATGTAGATTATGTATCATGGAGGGAGTCGCCTTGGTAATGGTAAAATAGAAAAGCCAGTGAAAGCACTGGGACAATGCACCGCCGAAAGAACGGATGCGAGTGGGCCATAGCTCGGCCCCAAAAAGATACGGCAAGCTGTAGAGGCCGATCGCCCAACCCAGAGCATGGGTAAAAATCATAGCAATGGCTCCATCGGACGCTCCCTTGCCCACGGAGTCTGGGTCCTTGAGATAGAAGCCCAGGTAGCCAGCCAAATACGAGTGGGAGACGATCTGGATGGAGACCCCAATCAGCAGAGACTTGCGGCGGCCGATCACGTCCACCAGCACGAGCGACGCAATGATGCAGCAGATGAGCTTGGTCAGGCTGTAGAATCCCGTCGAGTATATCTTGGCGTGGGATCCCTCGATCCCAACCAGTCCAAAGATCGTTGGAAGGTAGTTGGTGATGGCGTTGGCGCCGGACATCTGAGCGAGAATGTAGGATACCAGGGTCAGATTGGGACGGAGCAAGAACGTCTCCCTGATCACTTGCAGCGAGCTGACATTGCCCAGCCCGGAACCTCGGTCCTCAATTTGAGAGACCATGCCATTGAACTCGACTGCCACGTATTCATCATCCGAAGGAAGCCCACGGAGAGGTGTTAGAGCTGCCAGAGACCGTTGATGCTGGTGGTCCATCAGCAGCCAGCGCAGGGAGTCGGCAATAAAAAAAGAAAGACCAATGCTGATAGCGGGGGCAAGGGTCTGCGTAAACCAGGGGACTTAATATTGCAAATCGCTTGAGCCGGAGATGTTGAGGGAACAGCCGTAGATAACAAACACTCCCAGCATCTGGCCCGAGAGCATACAAACATTAAACCACAGCGTCATCAAGCCGCGTGTGGTCTTGGGAGCGATCTCTGCAATGGCCATGGGACAAACGACGAACAATGCCCCGATACCTAGGCCCGCAACAATGCGGCCAACATAAAGAGCAGCTGCGTTGCCGGAGGAAAAGCAGGAGATCAAAGACCCAGCAATGTAAAGCAGTTGGTAGATCCGCATCGACCAGATACGACCGATGCGACCATTCAGCAGGAAAGAGAGAAGCGCCCCAATCCCTGTTCCGAGATTGACGAGAGAGACAATGTTGGAGATGGTGCTGTCATCGAGATGGTATTTTTTATGAAAGGAAGGCAGCTGTGAAATTGCCGCGACGGATCCTTCGTTCCATCCTATGATCAAGGTCAATCTTTATGGGAGATTCCAGAAGACCTACCTACCTTTGGCACACCCACCCAGGGCAAAGGAGCAAACAGCCAAGAATAGATGGCGATTGTAGATGGCCCGAGGGGATTCCTTGATGGCATGAATGTACTCAAGGAGAGAAGTAGTTTGTTTGGCCATGATTGCAGAGCCACGAGCAATGCGATATAGGAATTCCATGAACAAGGGAATATTGTTTCTTACATAGTTTCTGACACAAGACTTGGCTTTCTGTACCCCATACTCCCCATTTCCACTCTATTCACCCCCACACGCCTAGAATCCGGGGATTGACGGCTCATCCGCAGAAATCGGAAGCATCCGACGTCGCTCCGATCGGGGCTCCCTTGTTTTTGAGAGAAATTCTCCGCAGCAATTCCAATCATCCCCAGACTCGATATGTTTGGACAAGAAATTTTCCGCATGCCAATTCGGTCCACTGTGACGCCTGCTGTCGGCAGGCGTTTGATTCAAACCAAAAGACAACACTCCCTTCCAGCGGCTTACTACCGCGGCGGCACCTCGCGGGCCGTGTTCTTCAACCAAAAAGATCTCCCTGCCCACCGGAAAGACTGGGATACCATTTTCCGCGGCGTCATTGGCAGCCCTGATCCATATGGTCGGCAGCTCGATGGACTAGGGGGCGGTATCTCCAGCCTCTCTAAGGTGTGCGTGGTGGGCAAGTCGACGCACCGCGACGCCGACGTGGATTATACCTTTGTTTCATTGGGAATCAAGAATACCAATGTCGACTATTCGAGTAATTGCGGCAACATGATCAGTGCCGTTGGCCCCTTTGCCGTCGACTCACAACTGTTCGCCCTGCAAGAGGAGAGCGCCGGCTCCGCCTCCGTGCGCATCCACAACAGCAACACCGGCAAGATCATTCATTCCTCGTTTCCAGTGGTTGAAGGCGAGGCTGCTTCCAGCGGCGATTTCTCCATTGATGGAGTGGCGGGCACTGCAGCCCGCGTGCAATTGGACTTTATAAACCCGGCAGGCTCTGCCACCGGCCAATTGCTCCCCACCGGCGCCGTCATAGATACAATTGACGGGATTGAGGCCACCTGCATTGATGTTGCCAATCCTTGTGTTTTTGTTCGGGCCGAAGATCTCGGCGTCGAGGGCAATTTGACCCCGGATGAAATCACAGCGAACCCAGACCTTCTCGTGCGTCTGGATTCCATCCGCCGTCAGGCCGGTGTCAAGATGGGTCTGGCTGAGACACCTGCTGCTGTACCAGGTAGTGTACCCAAGATCTGTCTAGTGTCAACGTCCTCGGCATCAAACGAGCGGGCCACAGAGCTGAAGCAGACCTCTGCCGATGTCGACCTCGTTGCTCGAGCACTCTCGGTGGGACAACCACACAAAGCTGTTCCTATCACTGTTGCCTTGGCCCTGGCTGCTGCTGCTCGAGTTCCTGGAAGCACGGTGGCGGATGTGGTAAACAACAAACCTGTCGATGCTGCGGGCATTACAATCGGTCATGCCAGCGGGAATCTGCTAGTCGGCGCTAATTTTGATGCAGATGGTGCACTGAGCTCTGCAACAGTCTTTCGTACCTCTCGGCGTTTGTTTGAAGGTCGGATCTACTATAAAAATGATGGTTAGCTTAGGAATCAACTTGGTCATCTTTTTAACAATGGTTTTTGTGGTAGTTTTTGTGATATCTTTCTAATCTACTTTCTGACTCTATAATCCAGAAGGGCAAGACAGAGGCTACTCGATAGGTGGTTGCAAGTATATCGAGGTAAACACTATCATTTGTCGCTGACGCAAAGTGCAACCAGAGATAGATATTTTGGAACACAAAAAGCCAGTGTGGACAACTCTATGCTAAATCAAGACAAAGGAAAAATTCAAACATCAACATTGGGATAATACACAGGAAAGGCTTCTGCCCAAGTCAAGATAGATGGCATTTGCTCGCCATCAAGTTCAGTGCACTCCCAGCCCTGAAATACTCAATCTGCTCCGGCGTAAAAGTATGGCGTAGCTCTGTCTTCCAGGGTTCTCGCGAGTCTGATGGGGTAATGTGCAGAGTAAGTGGCCGGCCAGGAGACAAAGACGGCAAACCCACAATATCAACGAGATCAGAAGCACGGATCCGATCATAATCAGCCTCCTGGGCAAACGTCAAAGCCAGCATGCCCTGCTTCTTCAGATTGGCCTCGTGGATGCGGGCAAAGCTCTTGGCGATGATAGCCACACCACCGAGATACCGCGGCTGCAGCGCGGCGTGCTCGCGCGAGGAACCCTCGCCGTAATTGTGGTCTGCGATGACGACCCACGGACGGTGCTTGGCTTGATAGTCGCGGGCCGTACCCGGAACGTCGCCGTCGGTGTGGGTCATGGTTGCGGACCGTGTTGACCTTGCCGGACTCGGCGTTGACAGCTCCGATCAATGTGTTGTTCGAAATATTTTCGAGATGGCCGCGGTAGCGGAACCACAGTCCTGCGGGTGTGATGTGATCTGTCGTGCATTTTCCCGTAGTCTTGATCAAGATGAGGCAGTTTTCGTAGTCGTTGCCGTTCCAGGGCGCGAAGGGTGCAAGCTTCGGAAGACGCTCTGAGGAGGGATTGATTTGCGCTGCGAGCTGGCTGCGGTCGCCTGTTGGCGGTGCCTTGTACGAAGAGTCTGAATCTTCGTAGCCTTGTTGGGGAAGGGCATCGCCGGCTGGAGGCACAAATCGGAATTCAGCGCCCGAGGACGTAGGTATCGAGTCGGCACTTGGGTCGAAGGAAAGATCCCCGGAGAAAATCTTGCCCATGACCACTTCGGGTGAGGCAAGAAAGACGTGAGTGGCAGGGTTTGAGTCCAGGTGGCCAGAGGAATTCCGATTGTATGAGGTAATAATGGAGTTTCTAGTTCCATTCCATTCCAGATACATCGGACGAAAAGATACATACCTTGGGCATATCAACTCTATCCCAAGAGCCACAGCACGGACCGCAAGCATTGGGGAGCATTGTAGCCCCGAGTTTCTCGAAGACTTGCAGAATACCGGCTTTCTCCAATGTCTCTCTTGTCTGCAAGCTCCCTGGAGATACCAGCAACGGCATTTTGGGTTTCAAACCCACATCTAATGCCTGTTGCGCCAGGCTCGCAGCGCGACCCATATCCTCGAAAGAAGAATTGGTACAGGATCCAATTAGTCCAGCTGTGAGATTGTCTGGCCATTTATTTTCTGCAACAGCGGACCCAAACTTGGACACTGGGGTCGAAAGGTCAGGTGTGAACGGCCCGTTGATACAGGGTTCTAGAGTTGATAAGTCGATTTGAATGACATGATCATATTCGGCCCCTTCGTCGGCATGGAGTTCAGGGGAAATCCATTCAACAGCTCGGGCCATGTCTGGTTGGCTGTTGGCTCGAAGATAGTCCGCCATCTGTGGCGCATATGGGAAGAGTGACGTTGTGGCGCCAGTCTCTGCACCCATATTGCATACTGTCGCCATTCCTGTTGCAGATAGAGTCTGGGCTCCCGGTCCATAATACTCAATAATTGAACCTGTGCCTCCCTTAACAGATATCATCCCAGCAATGGTGTTGATGATATCCTTAGGGGATGCCCACTTGGATAATTCACCGGTCAGCCGGACCCCGAGCACCTTGGGCGCGGTCAATTCCAAGGGCAGCCCGGCCATCACGTCCACGGCATCCGCACCTCCGACTCCAATGGCAATCATGCCCATGCCTCCTGCATTGGGTGTGTGGGAGTCCGTGCCCACCATCATTCCGCCCGGGAAGGCGTGGTTCTCTAGCACGATCTGATGGATGATACTTGCTCCAGGCTTCCAGAAGCCCATGTTATATTTCTAGCAGGCACTCTCCATAAACTCGTAGACCTCGCGGTGTGTCTCGAGGGCGCTTCAGGCTATCACATCAGAGTTGACCTGTCAGTATACACTGTCAAAAATACCCAAGGAGATAGAGAAGCTTACTGTTTTCGCAATCCACCGACTTTGTGAACAAAGCTGTTCAGGCCCAGGAAATGATTTGGTTCGAGTCGGCCCAATGCCGCTGTTGCAGGGCCCGCTCTGGAAGTAAACCCTCGAGTAGCCCGCTGTAAACGCTTCTGAGCAAGCATTCTGGCCAAATGGCGGGGCGTTGAGTTGTTAGAACCAGCCGTTTGAGGTTCTGCGCGTGGAGATGCAGTCCATGAAGAATGATCCTACACGCCCAGCGTCACCAACTATTGCTTCGACCTTTCGGCATATTGTCCGCACCTCCGGGTTGCAGGGTCTCTTCCGCGGTGTGGTGCCTCGCATTGGCGTCGCAGCTTGGGCGACTATTTGCATGGTGGGATTCGGCGATACTGTAAAGGACTTTGTTGGGCGCAAGTAGAGGTGCATAGAATGAGAAAATCTGCCATAACCGTATTTTTTTTATTGATGTCTCTTAGGACCTTGGTATGTTTCATTTTGTAAATCGAATGTATGCTCTCTGGAGCCCATAGGTCGTGTGAATCAAATTTCAAAGCTTTTATTTAATAATATAAGAAGATGGGAAGTGAGACGCAGAAAATCTGGGAGGATTCAACTTCGCTACCCCTACGTGACCCCTCGACCTTCAATACGCGGTACAAAAGAGAGAAAAGAAAAAGAGAGAAAAGGGATAGTTAACAAAAATAGATTAAAAAAAGGACTAGAAAAAGGATCGGAAAATAGAGATACAAAATTAATAAAATAATAGTAGTAGTAGTGGTAGTAGTAAAACAGCTATCTATATATCTAATAAAGAATAAAACCTCTTCAATAGGATAGCATGTAGTTAGTAAGCCTTTTTAAATCTAAGTTTTCTTCTCTACTATATCTTTCAAAGTCACCTGAGCGAAGCGAAGGTTAGCGAAGGTTAGCAGCTTGTACATTCATGATATCTAGTCTTTTCACTTCTCTACGCACGCCGCCCCAAGTCCAAATCAGCCGCCAACCTCAAATCCCCAGATCCACCGTCCGAACCCAGCCCAAAGAACGGCTTAACAGCAACATCAACAGTCTCCTCAAACAACTTCCCCACAACAGCCTCCTTGAGATCCTCACCCGTCTGCGCGAAATCCGGGAACGCATTCAGCTCGAGCAACCAAACCGACCCAGCACTATCGACGAGGAAATCAACCCCAAACAGCTCAAAGGCATTCGGCAGCGTCTGGAAATGGATCATCATGCCCCGCGCAGCTGCCTCGAAGACCTCACCGGTCACAGCACAGATCTGCTCGAAGATCTGCTCTTTCCAATCTGCGCTCAGACCGGGGACGTGGTGGTCGAGGTTCCAGAACCGGCGCACGCTGCCCTCGTTGGCGCTGCCGCCTTCTTGGAAGCAGGTGTTTGTGAGATGGCGCGCCAGATCTTTTACTTCGTCGTCTTCTTCGTGTGGGGGGCAGTAGGGTTTCGCGGCGAAGAGCGCTAGCAATTCTTTGAATACGTAGACCTTCAGCGCCCCCGTAGCGAGGACGTAGGTGCGGATGTGGAATTTGCGGTTGGCGGAGGATGGAAGCAATAGCGGAGGGTCGATGTAGGGCTGGGCGAGGAAATGGCGGAGCTGCGATGTCACCACGCCGGCGTCGTGTGCGGCGCTGGAGTTGTCTTCGTCTTCGTCCGCGTTCGCCTCGGACCCGCTTTGTTCGTCCGAGTCGCTCACTTCCCATTCCTCGAAAATCTCGCGTAGCTGGTCTTCACTGCTGAAGAGCCGGATGCCTTGTCCTCGATCACTCATGCCCGGTTTGAGGATCCACCACTCTTTCTCGGACTCGGGCCGTGCTTCGTTCTTCGCCAGGCTGTCTCGCAATTCATATGCTTCCAGGAGGGCATCGTCGAGAAACTCGGCATAGTCCAGTTCAAAGTCAAAGGCAGGTTTGAAGTGGTGTCGCAGTGAGCTATCCGGGTGCTTGGAGATCCAGTTGGCCACTGTGTTCGACAGGTAATGTTTGCGGATCAGGGCTTTTCGGATGATATACGCATTCGCAAGAGACGTCGACGGTCTTGACAGGGTATGCTCAAAGTCAAGCCGTTCGTACTCACGGTACTGGAAGACAGGCGCAGACGAGTCCGGGAGGTCATCCACAGAGGATATGCGCTGAATGCGAGCAGCACCTCCCAGTCGACGGGTCAAAGCCCGCTCGACCAGTTCTTGCACGTAGGTATCATCACAGTCCACGATGGAGTATAGAGTAGGCGGCTTATCCGATCTACATTCCCCGTCTATCAGAATGGTCCGGCATATTTCAAGAGAAACCGCGAAGAAAAAGCAATAACGGCAGAAAGGGGGGGGCGTGATATCTATCAGCTAGTCCAGATATCTAAAGTGCATGCCTCATGCCTGCCGGAAAAAGGAAAGAGGAAAATCGTCATATCAAGCCATAAACATGCCAAAAGCTCTACTCACAGCTTGATCTCCCCCGAGATACCCGGCGCATGCATGAAACTCGCCTTGAGGGGCGTAACACTGATCGAAGAGTCAGTTGTGTCAATAAATTATGTGGATCTAGGTTGAACGAACCTGGTCATCTGCTCCTTAACGGCCCAGCCATCATTTCCAGGCGCGCTTTCCTCGACACTTTGATACACATCCTGGAAGTTTGGCGCCCACTTAAAGTGCTTGTGTTGAAGGCGAGGCCGAGGCTTGTCACTGACGCAAAAATTGGAGTCGGCCTTCTTCCCGGCGACCTCGCCTTCATTACGCAGGCGCCGCTCCTGCAGCTCGGGTTCATCAGCGGAGGCAGGGTCCGCGACCTCAAAACAGCTCCCGGATTTCCACAAATTCCGCAGCATCTCGGTGTACAGGACCTTGTTTTGGCTGACACCAGGCTCCAAGGGAACGTTGACGCTGTAGAGATCCACGTCGTTGGCCCAATTCTCGCACAAGTATTCAACCAACCGGACCGAGTGGCGCGAAGCCTCTGCAATAACGACAGGGTCGTGTGTGCGAGAACTGAACGCGTAAGACAGCGCAATTGAGCGTTTCCCACAAATGGCACCCTCCATCGCGGCGCCGATGGTCCCGCTCGACAAGGCAAACAACGCTGTCGTGTTGCGGCCATAATTCGGACCCGACACAACGACGTCAATCGGGCCGCGCTCTTGGAAGTAATGGTACAGGCCGATCTGGACACAGCTTGCCGGCGTCGAGTTGATCAAGATCCATTCGTCGCCATCCTCACTCGGCTCGCCGTTGCTACCCCGCGGCAGGCTGTGTATTGTCCCGTCCTCCTGGTGCAGAGTTCCCGGCCGGAAATAGGTCGGTTTCACGGATGCACCCACCAGGTGCGCTTTACCGATCCATGAGCGCTGCTGGTGCGGAAGGACTACCGAAACTGTATGGCCGGCGGACTGCAGCGAGTGGATGAGGGAATGGACGTACGGCGACGACTGGTTCGACGGGGGACCGTCGTCGTTGGTGACCTATATAAAAATGAGCTTCCATGCCCAATACGGGCTATAGAATCCCCCAAGACTCACCAGGATGTGCATGGGGGGCGAATTGGGTGGGAAAAAGAAGATGGAGGGGAATCGGAAATGGCCCCGCGGCCGGACATTTCGCCATCGGACGCTGTCGCGGATCCACCCTTAGTAGATCTCGGCCCTAGCGAGACCAAGTCTGCGTTGGATGCAATTGAATGCAATAAAATAGCCAGAACTAAAGAACTAAGAAAACAGCCTTGCCTCTAAAAGGATCGTATTGAGATCTACAGTCTATTCGGTCATATGAGCAGTCGAGCTACTAAGTATAGGGTCCTTGCATTCACATCATAGTAAATTAAAACCGTCGCAGATCGCTAGATTCAATCGCCATCCTGGGTCAAATGACTGCGCCGTTTCTGTACTCCACGCGCTTCTGCGCTCTCAAGTCCAGAACCAATCCCGGATTCGTCTCCCTCGACGGGATAGCTTTTGACCAGCGTACTATCAGGCTCCTCCTTCTTGACAACCACCGATTCATCCGAGCTACTGTCTTCTTCTGGCTCCTCCTTGATTAGGTCGCGTGGTTCAGCCTTGATACTCTCGGGTGTTTCCTGGGGCCGCAGCGCCCATGTCAAAAGCAACCAAGTGGCACCGGCAGAAGCCAGGGAAAGCGACCAGAATACGGAGCTGAAAACCACAAAGGAGGTCAGTTTCCACCGGTACATGAAATATCTATTGCTTCTGTTAGCCCATTATGCTCGAGATATCCAATTGCGATCCAGCAGCCTACCTCAACCCCGTGAACTGGGCCCGGAACTCCACCCGAGCAGAGTAGACCTGCATCTTCCCATCGCTTTGGATTTCAAGGCGTAGGCTCTGAGGCAGATTGCGTGCGCCCCGCTGAAACTCCACCTTCTCCATCATAGGTACTTCAAGCATCTCGGCTTCGCGGCGCCAGCCGACCACGTAAAGCGGTAGACGCGCCAAACGTCGAGCCACATCCACCAGCGGCGAGGTGTAGGTCAGGATCGCCGGTCGGCGGGAGTGGGAGAGCCGGTTCAGTGCATTGGTCGAGCCTGGGAGCACGGACGCGGCAGGGCGGGAGAAGAGGGCGAGGTCGACCATGAAGTTGCCGGTGTCGAGGTTGGAGGGCGTACGCGGCAATTCGAGGGTGACAGCGACATCGTAGGGCTGCAGCGACACAAACTTCGAGTCGACGGAGGCGGTTCCCCATGGATGGCCATCGCTGTTGGCAACCGAGTCAGTACTATGGTGTGTGGGTGGTTGTCAAAGCGCGTTCTCCTACCCAAATTGTAGATGCACCTCTCGCTCCAGTCCCACCGTGGGGATGAATCTCAAATAGAACACCCCGTATGCAAAGCCGGAGACTCCAAAGAGGAGCAGTGCGGCGCCGAGAAACAGCAGGGTATTCACGTAGACCCGCAGGGCGGACTTGGAGATCAACGCGCGGAGAGGGGCGAGGAACGCGTCCTGTCGGGTCATTAGCCAGGAATCTCACCCAGAGGAAATAAACTGACCATCACCACCGCCCTTGAAGAGGATGGGCTGTCGTATTCCGACTCATCATCAGCGTATTCTGAGTCGGCCATGATGGTTGACAAGTTGACATGAGGTTCTGTGGAGCAAGCTTGGGTTCCCCACATGCTGAGCATCCTCTATCCACCTTTAACCATGATTTACTTCATTACAATTGCAAATAAATAACAATATCCATTAAAATAACAGAATATTCATTATATAGCAGCACGATATTAAAATATGAATGCAAATAATATGGTATCTCCTCGCATTGTCATAGAACCCCCAGATCAACACTATGCAAGCATACCATATCACTAGTTGACGGTGTTAAGCGGGTATCTAGAAGTCTCCAGAGAAGCAGTCAGAAATTAACATTAGTTAAAGCACAACCAAAACACAAAACTAACCTCCGCACATAAAGCAGACTGAGGCATAATATCCACCAGATCATTCAGACTAGGTCGCGGATCCATAATCTTCCCCTCACAGACCTAGAAAGTTTCCTGGCCAGGATAGACAAGAGGCCCGAGTTCCCCAGTCTCATACATCCAAATGAGTCCCAGAATATTGGTCTTTTGGCGTGGTATTCTGGGGGCCGGGTCTTGCAGGTATTTCTTCAGCTGTTCGATACGTTGCTCGGGCTAGACTTGCTGGGTTCGATTGCGCTATCCACGAAGGATAAATAGACTGAAGAGATGGGTAATATCCATTAGAAGAGAAGTTAGGTAAGTCGTTGTGCAACTTTGAATCTGATCTGAATGAGAGAGACTAACGGCTATAGCTACCCAGGGGGGCATGTTGATGACACTACTAGGAAGGCATTTCACGGCCTTTCAAAACCACAAGCATACATTGCAAGGCACACCATGGGCATAAGTAACACAAGCAACAAGCCGTCAAACTCCAGCTTTTACAATCTTATCATTACAGGGTTGCGGAGAAGCATTCGAACGCGAAAACATCATGAGAAAGAAAAAACCTCGAAAGTCATGCAGACATCGTGACAGGGGAAGAGAGCAAAGAAAAATAAGATAAGATAAGATAATAAGAAATATGCATGCCATCCCCACGGTAAACCCCAGCCCTAACATGAGACAAAAAAAGTAAAAGAAAAGCTGAAACATAAAAGCCATTGCAAGGCCCAGACCCCGTCAAAAGTACATGCAATTAAGAGTGCGGCGCCACATGCGGTGACTGAAGCGTAAAGAAGATTCGTAGAGGGATCGGAGAGGAGAGGAGAGAGATGGGAAATCAGCAAAGCTTAAGCAAGAGGACGGGGGCTCTGCTGTTGGATGTGTTGGAGGAGGGCATCGAAGAGGCGGCCGATCTGAGGTAAGAAATTAGTATCTAGTGAAATAACCAACCCATGAGAGAAAGAACATACCTCCGGAGCCGCTTGGATGAACGGAAGGCGGAAGAAGGAGTAGCTTCGGTTCTGAAGGAGCTCCTGCAGCGTAATAATCAAGCCCCACGGGTGCGGGCGGTGGACGATGAGTCGTTCCAGAAGCACCCGGATGATTTGCTGGCGGATGTCCGAGTCATCCTGCTCAGAATAGTCGACACCGAAGAGACGCAGAATCGCGAAGCTGAAGAAATAGGTGTGACTGTTGGGGTAACGGAGTTGGTTCGCCATGGCGCTCAGCAAGTAATACCGGGCCTCGGGGCGCATGGTTTGTGCGAGCTTCTCCAGGAGGATGGTGTGGGTGGAGTTCTCAAATGCGCTGCGAGTGTTGCTCTTAGGCGTGTGTTCAGCTACCGCTTTCTGCCCAATGTACAAAACAAGGGCGTTGACGAGAACGACATGCACGTTAATGGGGGCATAGAAGAGGCCAGTGTCCTGAATCTCCGAGTTGATCACAGCATCGCACACCTGCTGGATGGCTGCCTCAGACACATTGTCGTGCTGGAGTACGCCATCAACAACGTCCTTGATACCCACGCGCTGCAAAGGAGCAACAACATCGCCTGCAATCTTAGGGATTTCCCGCATCTCTTCAATGCGCTCAACCTTCAAGCCCTCCCGGAAGGGATCAGGCAGCTTGTGGAATGACGAAGGGTAGGCACTGAGAACAAGATTGCGGAGCTGAGCGCAGTGAGCCGGAATTACATTGCAGAAATGGAAGTGGTTCTCAGCCACAAACTCCGGGAAATCGTGGTGGAGAATGAGCAGAATGCGAAGCACACCCTTGTACAAATCCTTGGCGACGTAAGAAATGTTGGCCGCCTTGAGCTGCTCGCCCATGTAGGACAGAAGGGCCTGCATGATCTCGCAGTATGGTGCCCAGCCTGCGCGCTCCGGCATGTTCAGCATGTCGGACATGAAGACCCGGTGGGAAACCAGCGAAAGCCACCCATATACAAAGCTGGGGATGTATCGGGGCTGGAGAGACAGGAACTTGTTGGCCAGAGCAAAGATCATGCCCTGGTGCTGATCGCTGTGCTGAAGCCCATTCATGGAGTACTCGCACAAGATGCTAGAGAACAGCCGGAAGAAAACACGCTGGTTGAACGCTTCCCCTCTCATAACTTGGTGGTTGTTCAGGACAAGGACCAGAATGGACAGGATAGAGTTGAAGTAGGCAGGCTTGCTAGCCTTCACGGCCCCAGTGCTCTCGCCCTGGAACTTGACCAAAAGAATGACAAGTTTGGCGAGGGCATCAATGTAAAGGAAAGCCTCATCAAGGCTACCGTTGGGGTTTTGGGACTCGTGCTCGAACATGCCAACGGAGATGTCGATGCTGAGGCGGAAGAACATAGCCGAGTCCTCTTGGTTGTTCATCACCTGGCGCTGGTGAATATCCTGGAGGAAAGAGTAATAAGTGCGGTCAGTGGCACCGGGAGCCTTGTAGATGCCGATCCACTCGCTGAAGATGTACTCCATTTGGTCACGCTTGGACCGGGTTTGATTGCTGAGAAGAGGGTTGACAACCTCGGGGATGCCGACATCGCGCAGCTTGCGAACAATCTCAATGGCCGGAGTGACACTGCCATCCTCTGCGAGCCACTGGGTCATGGCCTCAAGACTACCGGAGAAGTCTGACCGCAAAGCCGAGGGTTCATCACTGAAAAGAACACGATCCATCAGGTTGTCCAGCAACTCGAGTGCGCTAACATTCTTCTGCAAAATGAGTCGAGTCAGAACCATATCGACGCGACGAATGTCCAGGAGGCCTGCATCGATGAGTGCCACCGTGACTGGCACATTGAACATGTGCTCATCATCAACTTCCGAAAGCAGAGCCCACGTGTACCGTGCGATGAGGGTGGACATATCGCAGAGCTTGGCGAGAAGGTGCACAAGAACCTCAATTTCCAGGGGCACTGGTGACTGAGAGTACAGAGTCGTGCAAATCTTGAGCGAAGTCAGACGTGCGAGTTCCTCGCCATTGGGCGAAACCAGGATGGTGCGCAATGCCTGGTTGTACTCTTGGAGAACAGCGCTGTCTTTGGGAAGGTCCTTGATGTGTTCCTCGGGGGTGTTGCGGGTAGACTGCTGCAGGTCGGAGACGAGAGTTTCCACTCTTTCCCGAGGGGTTTGAGCATCAAGGAAGCCGTTCGTATGAACGGCCATCTGCGAAACTGCATGCTGGGCCTGAGGGGTTCTATGGGGAACAGCGGGCTGCTCAGCCGGAGTGGAAAGGTTGGGAATGGCAGGGTAGGACTCCTGAAGGACATCGGGAAGCTGGCGGCCGGAGTCGGTAGAAACGTTCTGGGGGTGAGCGGTTGCGGGACCCCGGGACTGGCGAGCAAATTCTTCGTAGATCGCCAGCTGTTCTTTGTTGAGGCCACCAGGGGCTTGCCGGTAGGGTTCCGGAATGAATAATCCCCAACGATTCATGGACGGATCAATGAACGGCTCATTAGGCCGAGCGGCATGGTGACGACGGCGTGCCTCCAGCTGGGGCTCGATGACCTTCTCAATCTCGGGAAGAGACTTCTCCTCCGCAGCTTTCTCGACAATTCCACAGGCAGCATCCAGGTTATCATTCACGCACATCAGAATCAGACCCTCGGGCATGGGCTGATCGGAGTACTCTTGCTGGATCATCCGGATGTAATTGGTCATGCTAACCTTGAGCGGCTCTTTGCAGGTAACCAGAGCCAAGCTGCCAGCAAGCTGTCGGACCATGATGCCTGCAGCATGTCGTACCTTTTCCTCATCGGGCTCCATCGCGAAGTCCTTCGACACCAGCTGAACGGTGGAGATGGAGGCAATAGTGACAGAGCGCTCCACGACAGGAGTGATGATCTCGGCAATAGCCCGCTCGACGGCGGTGTGAACAATCTGGCGGAGAATGCTGGGGTCCACCATACTGCTTGCCGATGAGGGGAGGACAAGGATCTTATCAAGGCTGGGGAGGGTCGATATGATGGCAGAGGGCGACAGTCTTTCATTTCGGATGCCCTGGTTTATCGAGGTAAGAGCCATATCATCAAAGGCCTCCAGACCCTCCGGAATGTTGGTGGTCGACAGAGCCTCTTCACCATGGGCTGCACGGTCACGAATGATGATGGAGGGTTCAATCGCCTTGTGGTCAAGATCCAGGTCTTTGCACAAAACCTCAATCTCGAACTTAAGGTTAAGCTTCAGCTCGGCGAAATGGTACAGCTCAAGCAGGAGGCCCAGAATGTCCATCAACCATGGGTTGGGAGGCTTGAACACTGTAGACTTAGTTGCCTGCACCAACACCTTGCAAGTAAATGGAATAGTGACCATGAGGCGCTGGGTATCATAACCCTCCAGGAGCAGGCCCTTGAAGTAGACGTTCTTGTGTTTGACGGGCTTGTCTTTCGCGATAGTCAACGAACCCAGCCAAGCACCCAGGTTCTTGAGATGGCCGCGATCAGTCGACGAATTCAAGGTGGCTTCCGAGTTGAGTAGCTTGGCGACGCTGACATAGGTCTCTCTCAGAACTTCGGCCCACAGAATCTTGTCCCCGATGCGGTCGAGAAGGTCCAAGTAAAGTTGCTGGAAGTTAGGCTGCAACTTTGCGCGCTCCTCCACCAGGTATGAGGCAAACCACTGGTGGTGCTGGTCGCGCAACACGTCTCGCAAATCGCGCAGCTTCTCGTCGATGTTCTGCTCCGAAACATTGTTCAGGACGAAAAGGATCTTGTCTTGGATATCTTCATCCGGTTCTTGGTAAAGCTCCGACCGGAGGGGGGATCCACTTGAACGGAACGGAACTTGCGCGAGGAGCCATCAGCAATCGATGAATCGTCCACATTGCCATTAGTCAAGGTCGAAGCGGCAAGTTCCTCGAATCGCCCGGCCTCTGCATCTCCAAGCTGATTGCCTTCCTCCCCAAGTACTTCCTCGGCCTTCTGGAAGATGGGCGTCCCCTGCAGAGATGGGATCTGCAGGAGCAGATGACAGAAACCGGCCCACTCGGGAAGGCGGTTGATCAACTGTTCGATCGCCTCCACACCAAATTTGTACATCGGGTCGTGCACTTCATGTTCTCTGACGGCCTCGAGAATCATGCCGAGGCCGACCTTCAGTGTAATGCCATCAACCAGACGGAAGTTGATGATGCCGCCAAACATGACCGCGGTCTTTGTCAGAGCCTCCAGCGGGTATTCGTGATAGCAATGGTATTCGTCGATAAGGCCGTGCACCATGCAAGCAAAGAGATCTTGTTCGGTGGAGTCCCGGGACGACTTGTAGTTCCGCATCAACTCCAACATCTCCCTGAGCGAAAGTTCTTCGTGGTACATCTTGCCAAACAGGTCCTGCATCTGCTTGTCAATTGTCTCGGGCAAGGTGTTCCCGTTTTGACCATTGGCGTCGATGACGTCGTCGAACCCTTCGCCGTAGTTGATCAGTCGAGGGTATGTCTGGATACAGATGCGTTGAACGGGTGTGAGGTTTTCACGGTCTCCGACATATTCCTCCAGTACAGACAGGAGCGTGTACACGGTTTTCACGGAGAGGCTGACCATCTGAGGGACAGACTGTTCTTTCCGCTGGACGTGGAGTTCATCATCAGCCTTGATTCTCAAAAATTTCGACAGTAAAGCGCCCATATCGAGTGGTCCCTTCTGGGAGGCATTCCGGACCCACTGCTCGAGGTCAAATGTGCCCATGCGCTGAGAGTAGCAGGCGAGATCGAGAGCAAGTCCATTGGTGAAGCCAAGGAGGTAATCGAGCCAACCGTACGCGGCGGCATGGTCATAAATCGCTGCTGTTGAGGTGGGGTCTTGGGTGAAAGCAGTGAAGAGTTGCTCCGAAACCCACTGTCGGTCTTGCCTCCATGCCCCATGGAGAGCAAGCTGATAGCCCTCTTCTTGCTTGGTAATGAAAACGATGAAAGTCCGCAGCACGAAACTTTGCTGGACGCTAGACCACGGCTGCGGGAGAGCGAGGGCGGAACAGAGAAATACTGGGAGATCGTATTGGAGTACAGCCTTAATCAAGAGCTGGCTTTCAGTGGCAGCCCACGAGGCCTGCGAGAATAGCGCAAGGTCGAAGATGGCTTTCATGGCATCCATAGATCGCAAAGGCGACTTTGCCGCACGCTCACCTTGCACCTTAACAATCTCGGGCGCGTCCTCAAAAAAGTCGGCAGGGAAGGTCGCACGCAAATGGGGGATTTGAGATGCGTCCGTGCGAGCAGCGATAAAAGCCGTCAAGAATGACATTTGCGTGTCACGGTGCTCCCAATCACCGCCCCACAGTCTTTGAACGTCCAGAGAATCCGTAGAGACGGTCGAAAGAAGGCTGTACAGCTTGACAAACTGCTTTGGATCCACCCTGAGACCTTCTCGATCAAAGTTTCGAAACACAATAGGCCAATTAATTTTCCTATCGGCATAGGCGTTCAGGAAGGTCTCCAGTGAGTACTGTTGCCAGTATTGCGACAGAACCATAAACAGAAGAGCACTAGCCAAGTGCTCCTCATTCCAGCTTTCTGGTCCAGCGGCATTGATCACCTCCGCAGCTGATTCCGAGTTTGCTGTCGCTCGCGGTCCCTTGGAGTGGAGCTGTCGCACGAGGGTGAAGCGCGGGTTGACAAAGTTGAACATTTGTAGAGCGGATGAGACCTCAAACGGCATATCCAAGCCCATTTTCTGATATCGCAAGTTTGTTGCGTAAACCAACTTCGCCTTAACATCGTCGGTGAAGTTGCGGGGGGGGTAGAGAATGAATCGTTCGATTGTGATGCCGAGGAAAGTGTTCTGGTAGTCCTTGGTGGTTTCTGAGGGGTTTGCAAGGCTCTGTAGGAAGGGGGCAACGGAGTTTGAGAGGATCGCATCGGCTAATGGAGGACAGAATAGTTAGCGGTAAATACTTTCAACAATAACCAAGAAACCTACCCTTAGCACGAAGATCGGATTTGTTGGTCATCTTGAAGGCCAAAGCAAGTGCAACCTTGACGACAGGGTCGAGACGGAAATGATCCAGGAAGGTCGACAAATCGAAATCGCGAAAGATGTCGCCTTCCGATGTGTCTACCGTCTCGGCAATTTTTTGGGCTTGTTCAGGGTCCGAGGCAACCTTCTGCACCTCCTGGACAAGAAGGGGGTAGTTGCCGGCATTTTCGACGGACTTGTTGACCCCGGGAAAGATTTGAGGCGCATTGCCTGTCAAAAGACGGCGAAAGTATTTGGAAAAGACCTCCATTCCGTTGGATGTAACAAGCTGGATCTACTTCAGTATCTCGCACAGAGAGGTGCAGGGGAGGAGACCGTGCGATACACTTACCTTGTGAATCTGGGCAGCCTTGGTCTCCCACTTTTCCTTGCCTTCTTTTTCTGTAATGGAATCGAGCAGGAGGAAGACCTGCGCGATGGAGATTTTAGTGAGTGAGGATTGACTCGAGTGAGCGGCCGCGGAAGCTGCAGATCCCGGCTTGTCAGAGGCGAAGCCCGTGGGTGAGTTCACGGTTGTTCCGGACGATAGCGGTGAAAAGGCGACGCCTCTCGAAGAGCCCGGCCCACCACCTCCTCCCCCAGTGCCTCCACCACCCGTGATGGGGCCTGTTGCAGAGGCCAAATGGGACCCTGCGGATGGGGTATGAGCCCGAAACTTTGGAGACGAGAGCGACTGGCCCTGTTGTTGCAAGCCAGATTGTAGTGAGGTGAACGGCGAGGGTGCGGGCTTGGGGCTGCCACCGGAAAGTCCCCTGGAGGAACTCAGAACGGCAGAGAAGGAGGACGGCGTAGAGGCCCCCGGGCCTGATTCCAAGCCCCGGGAAGACGGAGGAACGGTGGGGGGAAGGTTGGTCGCGAGGGGAGTCAACCCACGACGAACGCCGGACTGGGACACGGACCGACCCCAGGCACCAATATCAGTCCTGGTCGAAGAAGATTTATCGGTGCCAGAAGCAATCGACGATTGGGCGGAAGGGTGAGGGGGAGGGAAGGTCATCTAGGAGACGCGATCATTTGATCTGGGGGGTCCAAAGACAGATTTTTAAGCGTGACAGGCGCTGTGGACAGATACGATCGATCGTGCCGATCAAAAAAAGGCGCAGGAAGTAATTTCGTGCGTTCAGGAAAGTAAGGGGGGGTAGGCGGAAAAGAAGATGGGGTTGTGGAAGAGGAATGGATGGAGGTCGATGGAACGGAGAGGTTGGAGGGAGGAATGGGTGCCAGGTGCGAGGTGGATAATTGCTGCCTCAGGTGTCCAGAGAGAGCTTTGGGCAGCTAGGCAGCCGACCAAGGGTGAGGAAGAGGACTTTAGGTGAAAGAGAACTGGAGATACTTACTTAAATTGAGGAAATCAGCTTCTTTCAATCCCAACTGCCCTTGTACCTGGCCTGCTTTGCCCTGAGTCTCTTGCTGCTCCCCGCCGAAGACAAGTCACGTGGTCGATCGACCGTGGGTGAGTCAGCTTCTCCCATTTTTCCTAATTTGGATATTGCTTCTTGGTGGTTTGTTGATGCCACCAGTCAACTTGATTCCTCGAAATCCATGGGTCGTTCATGGTAAACATGCTGTCCTCTATGTATACAGTTTCTGTGGGGTTTTGGGCATATTGACATTATCACTTGGAAAAATACATCAACATCCTACTTTATACTGCGGCCATTCCAAAGCTCGCTCCCACTCGGGGACTTCCACCTCGAGCACCGACAGCAGCTCGGCCACGAGGGCCTTTCCAGAGCCTTCAGCCCACCAAAAGTGGTGCCCCAGCTCGTGCAGCAAGACACCCCAGTGCATTAACACCAACAATTGAAAAGGCCGTCGCATGCGCAGTCGATCGACAAAGTCCTTCTTCACATAGAAAAGCCAGGCAAGAATAGGGGCCGGGTGTGGAGAATGGGCAAACTTGGAGAAAAATGATCGTAGAATTTCAATTGTTTCGTGATTTGTGCTCAGCTCCTCGGGGTCAGCAGTGGTGACGGAATGGTTTAGCCGGTCTAGTTGCTCGAGGGCACCGACGGTCTGGGGGTCCAGCTCGGCATTCTGCATCTCCCAGACGCTGGATTTGGAGAATATGCTGGCTTGCAGCCATGATGCACTAATCCGAGAGATATTGCCGGCACCCTGCACGAGCTCGAAGGCTGTCACCATGTTTTCGATCATGGTGAGGTGCTCGCCGCGGAGTCTTGCATTGAGGAGCGGTAGGGCAATGTTGAGGGCGGTGATAATAGCAGAGTAGGCGTAGACAGCGTCACAGTTCTGTGGGGTCAGATGACTGAGTGCGTGTCGGAAAGGTCCAAAGGATAGGTGGTTGTAATGAAGAGCTGAGTCGAGGTATGGCAGTGCCTTATCGGGGTCGGCGGTGATGGCTGTAGTATGCAATGCGGCTAGCGCAAGAATACCATGCATTAAGAACTCATATTTGTAGGCATATTGCGGGATATGGGTCTGCCATTCCTGCATGTCGGTCTGGTCTCCGCACAGGTACTTGTACGTGTCGACTGAGAACCTGTGCATCAACTCGAGGTCCCGAATACTGTACTTCTGTTCCGTGGCCTCGATTGATCTTTCTGGTAGCTCATTACGATCATGAGCCTCAGGCCCCTGTGGCTGCTTCTTGTCGGGAAACCCCTGATGGAGCGAGTCATCAGGCACTGCAGGAGCGGCTGGAGAGTCGGGGGCTGGGTCTTTTGCGATTTTTGCATAAGTGCAGTGGAGATCCCGATAGGTGCAGTTGGAGCACTCTGGGCGTGTCTCATCACACTAGAGAATCAATCAGAATGACTTGTTGGCGCGACCCAACATCGACCTCCGGGGGGGGGGGGGGGGGGTGGGGAGGTTCAAGGAGCCATATACGACTCAGCGGAGGACTCGGCTTATCACAAGTTGTCATACCTTGACACGGCGGACCTTGCACTGTTCACATCCAGTCCGTGACTTTTTATGAGATCGCCGAGCAGGCGCCTTCCTCCGACCTGCTGGCTCTGAAGCCGGATGGGTCTCCATCTCCAGATCGGGTTGACGCTACCAGACTGGCACTTGGATATCCACATTTAGAATGAATCGCTGATCCTGTCCAAATGCATAAGCCACGGACAATTGCATGGACCTACATCAATTTGCCTGGGATTGAGATGGAATCGCTGCGTAGTTGAGTAGGTGACGGACGACAAGGCAGAGAGCGCGAACTCGAACACGAACACGGTGATCAACGGGGGCCATCAACGCCACGATATTACACCCCGATATATTCATGAGCGATTGCGATCACGATCGCGAAGGTTACGAAGAGTAAGAGGTTTGAAAGGGAGTCATTGCTAAATTATTGCTAAAATTTTAAATAAACATATAAACTGCTTTGGAATCCTCACCATATACATCTCGTCTTCGTTTTTTCTCTTTCTCTTCTGTCTATAGAAACCTCGCACAAAAGAACGCCAGGATGTCATTCCAATGCACAGAAATCAGCCCAAGCTGCCCAATCGAAGCAACCGTCTACGGCTACTATCCCAACCTCGGCGCCAACTCCTTCTTCGCCGTCTACTTCGGCGTGGCAGGATTATCCCAGAGCATCTTGGGCATCTACTTCCGAACATGGACATTTCTCACTGCACTGGGGATAGGAACATTCATGGAAATGACCGGATACATAGGCCGAATACTGATGCACGCCAACCCTTGGTCGACAGCAGCGTTCCGACTCCAGATCTTCTGCCTGATCTTAGCACCGACGTTCATCGCCGCCGGCATCTATCTAACACTCAAACACATCATCATCCACGTGGGGCCGCAGTACTCGCGGCTCAACCCCCGACTCTTCACGTGGACTTTCATCGGCTGCGACGCCGGCTCGATTGTGTTGCAGGCTGTGGGTGGTGGCGTGGTGAATTCGGCTGGGAGCGATGTGGCGCGGATGGATGCCGGAAACGATATCATCATCGCGGGTATTTCGTTTCAGGTGGCCACGATGGCCATATGTGGAATCTTAGCTGTGGATTTCATCGTGGCAGCATGGAAGAGTGAGCCGAGTCGAGAGAAGAATCATAATATCGAGTCCTTTATGAGCGTGAACAAATACTCCCGGGCCATGTGGTGGATCTTCGGGGCCGAGATACTGGCCTATACTACCGTCTTGATTCGATGCATATACCGGTAGGGGCGACCATCCTCCCCATATCAGACAATGCCTATCCAAAGGAACGGTGGTTGATACCCGAGACATAACAGGCTCCCAGAAATGGCATGGGGTTGGGGAAATTCGTTGATGCGGAATGAATCGGAATTCCTGACGCTGGATGGCATGTAAGTACGTCACGGAGCTGCGTGTTGGCGATGGCTGACGACCCCAGGATGATTGCCCTGACAGTCCTGGCATTCACCCTTGGGTATCCAGGACTGTGCCTTCGTACTTTGAGGACAGGGCCAAGAACGGGCCATTAGAGAGGCCTTGCTTCAGGGTTCAGGGATATAAGACAACTGGAGGGTAAATGCACGGCAACCATGAGAGAAAGATTCCAAATAAATAGTCTATCTTCCAATGACAGACATCAATGAAAATGCTAGGGCAGGACAAGCTTCCGTAGGAGCCCTGCCACCAAACCAGGGACAATACATCAGACCAAACAAATCACAAGACCGAAGTAGCACCAATCCAAGAAACGCCATTAGAGCCAACCCCAGTCAATGATCAACAAAGGATCAAAAGGAACCCAGCCAGACGGGCCCGAAAAAGACAGTCGCAACGGCAGTTTGGACAAACCGAAGAAAAGAAGGCACACGGAAATTGAAACACGGAAATCCACAAAGTCAAGGCTTCGAGGAAAACCGCGGAAAAATGAGGTAGAATCACACAGTCAAGAATGAAGACAATCGTGTGCACATAAGTCAATACCGATGTCACGGCCGGTCTAACGCCAACGCCCGGGTCCCTAAAACCAGAGATCACCATGAAGAGTGTAAAATTTCCCGCTCAAACACAAAGTAACCGCACTAATCAGTCAGAGATTGACAGTAACAGGCACTCGCGTAGTGTGCCCGGGCCGTATAGGTCTGACTGGAGTCATCGTGATTGACATAGGTGGTGGTTGGCGTGGGTTCGATCTCTTTCACGTTGAACATTTCACCCGAGAGAACTCCGATCTTGTTGTTCTCCATCACCTGCATCTGCTGGCAATAAGGCGCTTCGGCGTCTGCGTAGTCGCGTCGTTCCTCCATTTTGATCCGCCGGGGATAGTCGAGGGTAGGGTCACCGCGTTTGGAGTTGGAATGAGAGCCAGCAGTAATAGCAGCCATGTTGCTATCGGTGGCTGCAGTACTGCTGTCCCCGTTATTCGCTGACGACTGGTTGACATACATGAAAAACTCCAATGTGGTGCTGTTCCACCAACAGAACCAGGGTCTTTCACCGGGTTGAGCAGTCTGCTTGCGGTTTCGTAAATCTCCCACCATCTTGTTGTCTTTGAAGAACGATCGCCCCGACAAAGAGTTGCTTGAGAACGTTTCTTCCGGAACAATGACCAGCTTGTCGAACAAGGCAAAGAAAAACAGGGCAGGGCCCATGCCAACATCGCTTGTATCCACCGCCATGCTTAAGCTTTGTGTGGGGTGAGGAAGGAGCGGTTCTTGTGCACCATATGTAAACGTCGGACTGGGACCGTTGTTTGCAAAGATGATCGAGTGATGACCTTCACGTCCGCCAATATGAACCTCGAAGTCTTTAGGCTCATTCTGGCACGCCCAGGCACGCCGATAATGATGGTCGTCGATACAGAAATCCGAGGAATTGTGGACAACAGAGGGGATCATGAAGTGGCCGGTAGGCACCGTCTTGAGGTTCGGTGGGGTGGTCGTCATCAGGGAGGCATCCAACTGGGGAGACGTTGTTACTGTGCGGACAGGGGGGCCCTGGGTTGACGGAGATTGCTCTGTCTTTTCGGAATCTGCGGCTTTCTTGGTTCCCAAGACGCCGCCGATCACGCCGCCAATACAGCCTCCAATCAGCATCACCGTCCCGACGAGGACTAAAGTCCAAACAGGCAACCCGCAGCATGCGGTCTGCTTGCCTTTGCGCTTCAGCTTTTCCTCAAAGGCCATAACGCCTGTGGTGGGAGCTGGTTCGTCCGCGCCACGTTCATGACTCGGGACAGCTTCCGGAACGAGGGCCCGCGACGAGACTTCTGAGACAGGGGGGTCCCCTGATGCAGGATTTAATTGATGCTCATCTGATGCCGTGGTGGTATCCGCCATGGCCTCGGCCCCTGAAGGCTTGGGAACCGCGCCAGTTGGGTAGCGAGAGTAGGGAGGTAGTGGCTCAGTGTGACCATCGGGCCCAATGATATCACCCACATCATCGTCACGGCGACCAACGGGTGGCTGGTAGGGTGGATTGTGGCCTGGAAACCCGAGCGGGATCGCGGTATCATCCATTCCTTCCTCGACCACATTCTGCGGATACATCGCGTACGGATGCTGGGGGCCACTCGTCTCGCCCAGAGGACGGTCAGCCTGACGAATTGTCGATGAACTCCCCACGCTAGGTGATCGACTGACGCCTACTTGGGGGTACATAGCATATGGATGACTGGGCCCTGTGGCTCCGGTGTAGGGACTGAGGGCACGGGGCATCGAGAAACGGGAGGAGATGCTTTGGTTGCGTTGAATCATCGAGGGGGTGGTGGTGGTAGAGGCGATGGAATTGCGGTTGGCTGAGAAGCCGGCTCCCTTCTGAGGAAGACTTGATCGATGAGCCTCCTCGAGTGAGACCCGGGCTTCATCGGCAAAAGGGTTCTCATTGTCGGCTGTGACCGTGTTGAACGTCTTCGGCTGTTGTTGATTGGAGCGGAGGGTCGTGGAGGAGGCGATGGAAGAAGGACTGGGAGCGCGTTCGATTCGATCGGGATCGATTGCTTCTAATGAGTACTCGTCTGAGAAGACATTGGGATTAGAGGCACGGGAGGAGCGACCGAAGGAATGGCGAGGCATGGCATCGACGGCCTGTCCTTGAGACAGTCGCGGGGTTTGTGAGGATCGTGACGCGGAGCGAGAATGCTCGGATGAGATGTGTCCAGGCATTGTCCCTTGCTACGGCAGCCCTGTCGGGCCACCTCGTTGTTCGGTCAATCCGGTCGCAGGTCGGGCCCTGGATGAGATAAGGGAGAGGAAGTGGACGATGATGAGAAGACAAAAACCGCGTATTCTCTTCACCTGGTTAAATTGGTTGAGGTTCAGAGAGGGGGGAGAGTCGAAGATGGAAATGGATGAGGTGAGATGGGGGGAGGGAGAGAGAGAGAGGAGAGAGATGAGTTTGAGTGTGACGGCGTATTACGGGCGAGGAGGGGGGGCTGTACCAACGATGTAACAGACCATCCCTTGTCTTTTCCCTCCTCTCTCTCTCTCTGTCTCTGTCTCTCTCTCTCTTTGCTATTTATTTTCTCTATGCTTATATGCAATTCGTGTTATTTCTTGATATGCTATTCCAAATTGATTTCTTTTTTTCTTCAACCATACCGTACGATACCAGTCCCTGGAACCCTTGATCTACTCGTTGCGCTATTGTGACTAGGACGACCAACTAGCGACTAGGGTGTCCTCCGGCTGCTCACGGTGGGCCCTTTCTCTTTTTCTCTTTTCCCCCTTCGCCACCAAGTATTTTCGCTGGATCTAGATCTGGATGATTTGGCGTCTTTTCTTTTTGACCGCTTTGAATCTGATTTTTCTTCGGATTGTTCCAAGGTTAGGTACTCTCTTCTTCGCTCGTCCCCAACTCTGAAACCCGCGATACGCTTCGGAACCCGGACTCACTGGGGTCTTGTACATGCAGCATCCCCCAACGGACTCCCGATTTCACCCTGACTCGTCATGGCAATTGTCAGGCCGAGCAGGGTTGAAGATTAGTCGGATATCTCGGCCCAACTACGGGGAGAACGCCCTACTTGTCTCTCTCGTCAGAGGGAACCAGGAATGGGAAACATGTCTATAGACATTTGTTTCTCTCTCGGATCCTCTCCGCCTTATTCCCTGTTCCTTGTTTCCCTGTCTCCCTCTGAATCCAGCAAACCAATGTTCCACGCCTGGGTCACTCGCTAAGAGATCAAGTCGGACATCCGATCCATGGAAGGCATCTGGAAGAAATGGGGCCACTGCCAAGAACGGCGATGAAATTCCCTCCCCAACCAAAACTACCGAGACTCGAAAATCAGGAACTACCTTTCATCCAATCTGATCCCCTTGCCGCGGTCACTATTTGTGCTTATGGTACTTGTACTTATGGTACTTTGAGTCTATCTGCATGCTGATAAGATGTGTCTCATTTCTAACCCATGTCATCATATATGTTTCAGGATATTCGTCCCTTCTGAGGACCCTCTGATCCAATCAGCAATTCTCGGGTTTCTTTTCAACCTCGCTATACAAGGAAAGCCGGCCTCGGTCACGTCCTACTATGTGAAGCATGCAAAGAAATTAACATATAGATCTTACTTATCTCAAGACAAGAAAGATCTCCTAGCCCACAGTTCCATAATGAAAGTGATTATTCAAGTACGAAACTTGATAGAGACCCCAACAAGGATAGACAGATCCGCAATGTCACTATAGTCGAGGCAACCCTCATACCGATCCAGTGTTCCTACAAACTAATGAGATATCTCAAACTCCACAGCGCCTTATACTGACATCGAGGGTTTGTATTAAGATAGAACATGGTTATTTGTCAACGTCTTGGCTTGGTTTCCTACCTGGAAGAAGTAATATCAAGACTCACTAATCTGGGGGAAGTGCACTGATCTCTCGAGATGCTTATTATTGGGATTCTGCACGGGGGGAAAACAGGGCAACCGAACAATAAATAGGCTATCGAACCACGGGTATCAAATTTGCATATTCTTTGTACATTCCCATTCAAGGGTCTCTTCGCAGACTCAGGATGCCAGACAACTTCACCTGCCCTTTCTCCCCCCAGCCGTGTACTCCGCTCTGCACATCTGGCCGAACACGGAGATACCAAGCCCAAGCTCGTCGGTCCAATTCCCGGTGATCTAGGGTCGAGGCCCACGACTGGCAGACCAGATCGATAGCTCGGAGGAGATGACCCACACATTCCTTTTTCTCGTTTTGGACCACAGTAGCAGGTTTAGGTTTAACAGGCTCCGGGGGGTGTTCTTCCGGCTTTGAGAGTGATCGTAGCAGGTATGACCGCGCAGATTGTGCTGTGTAGATGGGGAGCACACTGTGATCTTTGGGCTCTTTTCCAGGAACACTATGATGGGAGTTCCTCATGGCCTCCAAATCCACGCCCCAGAGGGGTGGCATTCGGTGAGCGTCTTCAGGGGTTTCCCGCTGGTTATCTTCGTTGTTGGCAGCAGATGCCGTGTCTGCGCTACGTCCTGTAGCGGCACTTGAAGCTGGTTCACCTTCACGGGGATTATAGTCCCATCGTTTCAGCACCCGGATCTCTCTGCCAAGTACTCTGACGACGGGATGGCCCTCGCCCCAACCTTCCTCTTCGGCGGATTTGCCGCTTTCGATACCAAGACTAACAGCCTTGGAACGGCTGTTGACACTGACCACTGCCTGGGCAAGACTCAATCTACTCGAGATCGGCTGCTCGGGCATTGTGTATTTCAAAACGCACAGGGCAAAGGCAAGGACCAGGGGTGCTCGATTTGTCACGAGAATTGTGTTGCTTAGGTCATCCTCGCTAGCAGACGAGACGGGTAGACTGAGTGCTGACTCAATCTCGTACGGCGTTGAGTCTCCTGTGATATTGGGGCCTTTTCGTCTTTTCTGGGGCGAGGTAGTTGTAGCATCAGTGGGGGATCCCCGTTTCTTGGTGACTCGTTTGGCGGCGTTTAGTACTTGCTTGGCGACTTTGGGGTCATTGAAAATTGTCTGGAGGACTTCAATTTTTCCTTTGGCAATGTATTCTGGACTGATTATGGGTCAGAATGAATCAATATATCTTTCATGGAGACATACTTGGTCAAGTTAGCCTTTTGTAGTTCCAAGGTCTTTCCCATGGCGAGGGCCAGGGGGATCTTGGCATCCTGTGACAAGAACCGCAGAAGATCTTGAACCTGTGCAGCCATAATTTGCAAATCCAATTGTCTTAAATCTCGCCCTGGAGAGTATTGATAGAAGTCAGTTCGTCAACGTCATCGCCGGGGTTAATTCGGTCGTTGTAGGCAGATAACCTGACCGCTCTGTTCACCGCCTCCATAGAGTATCGCATTCCTGTTCGCTAAGTGCTGTTGTCGCAAGCTGGCTGGGATCCCCCCTTTTAAGTTCACCACCCGCATCTATCTTATATTCCTTATTTCCCTACAGATTCGGCTGCATGTTCCCTGCTGCAGTTGCAGCACCCTTGCAACATGCCCGACGAGTCGAATGGGAAGGGGTTCCCCGATCTCTCTGCGAAACTCTCCGCGCTACCCAAGAAATCGCTTTTTGAGCGCCAGAAAGCCGAAGCCGAAGTCAAACGCGCCCGGGAAAAGGCCGAAACCGCCGCGGTATATGAAGATTTTGTCAAGTCATTTGAGGACGACGCACCGACAGGTCCCAGGTCCTCCGATGGACGGCTGAACACATTTGGTAGCAGGGGCGGCGGGGTGGCAGGAGGGCCTGCCAGACGGCATTTCACCAGCTCTGGACCGCGCAATAGTGGTCCCGGCACATTAGGCCCGCCGCCACCATCATTGTCTCGAAAACGAACCCATGAAGGCTTCGCGCCGCTACATCGCAACCGGGACGTCGCGCAAGGTGCCATGGGATTTGAGCATGCGAACCCCAGTTCGTCGAGTGCGACATCCGCGTTTCGCAATACTTCTGAGGAAGTGGAAGACCGGGCAGCCAATGCAAAAGAGGCAGAGAAAGCTGCGGCCAAACCTACGCTATATCTCGCGTCCCTTCCTCCTGGGACATCCCCGCCAGTGATCAAGTCACTCATCCCATCTGCTCTGGCCGTGGACAGCGTGAAGCTTCTCCAACCACAGAGCCAATCTGCTACAGAACGGCGGTCCTCGACCGCCATCGTCACTCTTGCCAGCGACTCCGCAGCCTCAGATATCGACAGCGCCGTGAGCACCCTTCAGAATCGGTATCTTGGCCGGGGCTATTTCTTGTCTATCGCACGACACCTCTCTTCCGCAGCAATCAGCTCAAACATCCCGACTTCTATTGGCTCGTCTACGACCAGTTCCCTTCCTTTCGGTGCGAAGACTGTTCAGCCAAATCTCGGCGGTAACTGGAGTCGTGCTCCACCACCAGGGCCCCATCGTGGAGGTTTCGCACCTCCTAGCTCATATGGACCTAAATATGGTCGAAGTGGGCCGAACTTCGAGGTGGAAGTGAAGACACCGTCCGATATCAAGCAACTGCGGTTAATACATAAGACGCTCGAGAGCCTGCTCAACCACGGGCCTGAATTTGAAGCTTTGCTCATGAGTCGACCAGAGGTGCAGCATGAGGAGAAATGGGCCTGGATCTGGGATGCGCGAAGCCCAGGTGGCGTGTATTATCGGTGGAAATTGTGGCAGATCGTCACCAACCCTCGATCCCGGAGCAGCAAAAAGATCGGGAGCCAAAATCCATCCACCATGTTTGAAGGCGGAGCAATCTGGACTGCCCAGGAAAAAGACCTGAAATTTGAGTATACTACCCGTCTTGACGAGTTTGTGTCGGATGAAGACTACAATTCGTCCGATGAAGATCATTCGGACGGCGAAGACGACCGGCGAAATCTGGGCGGAGCGCCCCCTCCGGATGCTGTGGGCGGACATCCCGATGGACTCGGCTACATGAACCCTCTACAGAAGGCTAAGCTCACACATCTTCTCGCGCGTCTCCCGACAACACATGCCAAACTGCGGCGGGGTGATATCGCACGAGTCACAGCTTTTGCCATTGAACACGCGGGGGCCGGCGCAGACGAGGTCGTAGACCTGATTGTTCTGAATGTGCTCAGCCCTTTGGCCTACACGGGAGCCAACCCACACCGGGAAGTGGAAAAGACAGTCGCAAGCTCGGAAAATGCCGACCGAGAAAATGCACCTTCATCCAAAGAACGATTAGACTTTTCCTCGGCAAAACTTGTCGGTCTCTATGTCATCTCTGACATCCTATCGTCGTCGGCCACTAGCGGGGTGCGCCACGCCTGGCGATACCGGCAGCTCTTCGAGGCAGCGCTCCGCTCACACAAGGTCTTTGAGCAGCTCGGCCGGCTCGAGAAGGACCTTCATTGGGGCCGGCTCAAAGCAGAGAAATGGAAGCGCAGTGTGGGCAGCCTTCTCCATCTGTGGGAAGGGTGGTGTGTCTTTCCACAATCGAGCCAGGAGCATTTCGCTCAGGTCTTTGAAAACCCCCCACTTACCGAAGAGGAGTTGCAGAAGGAGAAAGCGAAGGCGGATGCAGAACGGGCCGCCGGTGCCTTTGCTAAGGGGAAGAGCCGGTGGAAGACCGTGGATGAAGAGGGCGCATCTGCGCAATTTGATCCTGGCCGCCCTGCAAATTACGAGGCGGCGGTGGCCGAGGATGAATCTATGAGTGACATTGACGGTGTGCCGATGGAGGACAGCGACTTGGAAGACCCGGACAGGGAACCCATCGATGAAGAGGTGCCTGAACCTCCACCAAAGCAGCACCCTCAGCCGGCGCCAGAGCAGCCCAACCAGCCCTCTGGGCCGCCAGAATCAGAATCTCGGCGTTCGCGAAGGTCACGGCCCAAAGCTGAGGACATGTTTGCATCAGAATCTGAGTGAGGGTGTTGGGCGTAAACAATTGTACATATAGTATAGCTTGAAAAGGTCCAATGCCACACTGGCCTTGACAAGTGAATGGGTGCCGTGTCATGAAGATATGAAGAGTGTCTTTGTCTACCCACGTAGTTGCAAGTCGATAAGGCAGCCAGGCACCTGTGCCCCACACACGCCCCTCATCAACAAATACCTTCGATCCTCCTACGATACCTTTTTTTTTTCTTCTCATATACCCATCACTTTCCTTGTCATCTATCATTTAAAAAAGAAAAAAATTATCTCAAAATGGCCGGTAAGTCTGACAATCCTGTGGTTTTGTCACGCTTGATCTTCCACCCACCTCGACAAGGAGGATGAAGAGGGGCATTCATTGCAAGGACAAGTGTGTGGAAATGTCGCGCAAGGGAAATGCCAGCACAACAACAAGATAGCGAGATGAGCTGAAAGATGCGGCTTTCCATAATACAATGGCTAATCAATCTTTGCCCCTCTAGACTTCACCGCCATCGCTCGTACGTTGTTTTTCTCCCCCTCTCCTTCAGTCCTTCGCTTTCCAGCAATGCGCCCAACTGCAGCGTTGGTCTCGCGGGGTTTCCCTTTGACTATGTCGGATGTTGCATGGATAGCAGCCAATACATCCATTGTGTCTCATATTCCTATCGTGGATTCTAACTTGCGAGGTGTCATGCAGAGCAGTTCGTCCAGTTCTACTACGAGACCTTCGACACCAACCGCGGGGGTCTGGCTGGTCTCTACGTATGCTCTGCCTTTCCTTCGTTTCTTCCTTATCCTTACCATAAAAAGCAAAGGAGGAATGTGGTTATTGTGAACAGCCGCTAACCTTACATCCTGACCAACAGCGCGACCAGTCCATGCTCACCTTTGAGACCAGCTCGGTCCAGGGTCCCGGAGCCATCACCGAGAAGTTGACCGTTCGTTCCTTCCTTTTTTTTTCTCTCTCTCCCTCTCTCTTTTACGTGCACCACCTAGAAATCGAATGAGTGGGCATTGGGTTATCGGCAACCAACAGTACTAATACACACCCGTCAATCCACAGAGCCTGCCCTTCCAGCAAGTGCGTCACCAGATCGCGACCTTCGACGCCCAACCCTCCAGCGAAGGCGGCATTGTTGTCCTGGTGACTGGTGCCCTCCTGGTATGTATTAAAATACTCATTGGATTGCAACAGTGAACAGTTTTGATCATTAACTCTGCTGCGAAATCCAGGTCGACGAGGAGCAGAAGCCCATGAACTACACCCAGTGCTTCAAGCTGCAGCCCGACGGCGCCGGAAGCTACTTCGTGCTCAACGACGTCTTCCGACTGATCTACGCTGCCTCGTAAACCCCAGAAACTCTTTTTTTTTGTATCGAAGATGAGAGCGCTATGATGCAATGACAGGAATTTTGTGTGTCTGGGGGGTGGAGGGGGCAAATGCGCCAGTACAAAGATAGGTGGATCGCAAAGGTCTTTCTCAGTGGTAGAGATACAGAAGCCCTGGAGAATATGGAATTTAGGCAATTCTTTGGACTTCACAAGCATTCGGTTCTAGCATTGTATGGGATCCCGTTCCCTCTATATAGCTGCGAGACAAGTGAACAATCAACAAGAAAAACCAAAAGTCACATCGACCAATTCTAGAAATCACTGGCTCTGCAGGAGTGGCGTTTCCTCAGAAGGCTGCTCCGCATGCTCGCGCTCGCTCGCCGGAGCTTCGGCTCGTTCTGGGGCTGTTCCATTTGGCGTCCCGTCCTCGTCAGCATGGTGCACGGCCTTGCGCTGGCTCTTCGGACCAAAGTACTCAAAGTAGATCGCCATCACTAGGAGTGTGCCCTGCAAACAGGCCGTGACAACCAGCACGCCCCATATGCTCCAGCCCTGGGCACCCTCGCGCGCCGCGAGACTAGCGGCCCAGATGAGGCTCCCGGGGGTCTGTATGCACATCATTGGGATGCTTAGGCTGCCAACGCAGCGGAGACGGAACGTGGTATAGATCTGTGGGAAGTATTGGATCGACGCGAGGATGGCGGACAGGACGCCGAGGAAGTTGGCCCATGCATGGAGGGCAGTGGGCTGGCGCAGCGCGAAGGCAACAGAGACGATCACTGTAGCGAGCGCGTGCAGCAGGCAGATGGCGGTCACAGCGAGTGCGGTGCGATAGGTGGGTTCATTGGGGGAGGACGAGGAGACCGAGTTGACGGGGTCGGTGGGTGAGGTGGCTCGGGGGAAGTAGATCACGAACAACAACAAACTAAAGACTCGTCAGAAACTTGCATGTCCTCCTCTCTTGTATTTTGAAAAGATCACTCACATCGAAAAGAAACAGAGCCACTGCATGCCCACCTGCATCACCCCCAACAGCCCCGCGAAACACGCGGGTCCACTGATTTCCCGGCAGCATGCGACACCCTGGGAGGTCTTTGGGAACACCAGGATATTGGCAAAAGCTGAGGTGCCGGAGGTTGTTCCCAGGAGGACAAAATAAGGCGAGATGCCGAAGGAGCTGCGGAGGGAAATGATGCGGAAATGCTGTGGGAGGTAGGAGAAAAGGATGCCGATGATGATCAAGCTGGGGCAAGGAATGGGGTCAGTTGCGGGTCTGCTCGGCGGGTCCAGGGAGATCGTACACGGAGAGCACGGGCTGAAAAAAGCCGGGCGAGGCCAGCTCGCGGCAGTATGGATTCAAAGGATCCATAGCCCTAGAAGCTTTTTGTTTTATTGTCAAGTGTGCCTCGGCGGGGGTGGGTAGGTTGAAACAATCTTCGAGCTTCTTTGGGCAGCTAATGGGGATGGAATGCTGAGCTCCCGGACAAAATGTGATCAGGGAGAGCTCTAGGTGATGAGCAGACCAAAGATAATGAAGACTGCCCAATGGGACAGAATCAGGCCAGGCAGGTAGTGTCCAGAAGAGAGACAGAAGGAAAGGGAAAGTTCAGATGAAGTCCCCGCACATAACAAGTACCGCCTGGGCGCTAAGGCTGAGAGGGCTGCACCTTTGACACTATACCCACCCTACCTTCCCTAGGCACATTCAACCATGTGCGTTACACAGAAACACAAAATAAAGTAAAATAAGAAGGAGAAACAAATTCCATATACAAAGCAGTAACCAATGACGCTAATCAGCAGCGCAGTGGATGAATCATGCACTTTGGCCACAGAACCAAGGCAAATTCCCCCACTACGTCACTCGGCATCATCCCTGCCTTTGCTTCTTTGCTTTTCCTTGATGAGCTGTCTCTCTGTCTCTTTTAAACCATTCAGTTCCTTGCTACTGCCAATCTCCCTTTCTGATTTTCTTCGGCATCTTGCTGAATCTCACAATTTGAAAACACTCATCTTGCTGATCTAACTATCACCCCGAGAAAAACACCGCCAGGATGAAGATCCCGTTGGCCACTGGCCTGGTGATTTTCCTCGCCTCTGCTGAAGCTGTGGGAGCTACCAGCTGGTGGAGCAAGGCCAGTTCGTTGTGACCTCGAGCTCTAGATGTGATTGTGGTACTGACCCGCTATAGTTTACAATAAATGGCACGAGACAGAGCTGGAGCGGTGGCTCTCTGATCATGGTATGACCTGTCTTGAATGCCATTTCTGCATAGTCATTTCCATTAACATAGCCCAACAGACATTCCCCACCCGAGTCCTGCCGACCGCAGAGATCTTGAGAATCTAGTCAAGAACAACTGGGACACCAAAGTACAGAAGCCTCTGGGCTCAGCAGCAGACCAGGCCTCGGATCAGCTCCATCATGCCAGGGAATGGGTCTTTGATACGTATGTAGTCTCCTATCATGGCCAAGTGCAGCGAAAGAAGCTCAAGCTAACTCACGATTCAGCTGGTCTGACTCCCAGTTGAAGGCATTCCTGAACCGCCATGGTATCCCAGCTCCTCAGCCCCGCAAGCGGGATGTCCTGATCAAAACCGCGCGCGAGAACTATGAAACCATTGCGAAAAAGGCGGGTGAGACAGCGTCGTACCCCGGCAACTGGTTGTATGAGCAGTGGTCCGAGTCGGAGCTCAAGGAATGGCTCGATGAGCGCGGCTGGCCGGTCCCCCAGCCCACCAACCGGGACAAACTGATCGCTTCGGTGCGCCGCAACTCTCGGCTGGCGAGTATCCAGGCACGCGCCCTCGCCGCGTCGGCGTCGGCTTCTGCGGAGGCGGCCAAGGAGTCACTGAGCGAAGAGCTGTTCCATGCCTGGTCTGACTCGCAGCTGAAGAAGTTCCTCGACAAGCACAACGTCAAGGTGCCCCAGGGCTCGAGGCGCAATGAGCTCATTGCACTCGCCCGGAAGCACCGCGCCTTGCTCGTCGACCAAGCTGAGAGTGCGTCGGCCGCTGCTGCCGAGGCCATTGGTGCTGCCACCACCAGAGCGGGCAATGAATATGCGCGCGCCACCGATGACGTGAAGCTGAAGGCCCAGGATGAATTTGACGCTGCAGTCAAGGTCTGGTCGGACTCTCACCTCAAAGCGTTCCTGGATGCACGAGGCGTCCCTGTTCCTCAGCATGGTCGTCGGGACGAGCTGCTGGCCAAGGTCCGCGCCAACCAGCACAAGGCTGCCAGTGGTTGGAACGAATACAACTTTGATACGTGGGATAAGGAACATCTGCAGTAAGTGAGCACCATTTTCTTTGCGCCATGGTTGTTCTGACGCGTCTCTTCTTCTACTTCCTCAGAAGATACCTGTCTGCCATGAACTCTAAGGCCGCGCAGAAGGCCGATGCCACCCGCGACGATCTGATCAAGCACGCCAAGGACTCCTACCGCAAGGCCTCCAAGGCAGGTGGCGAAAGCTACGCCTCGGCGACCTCGGCCATTGTGACAGCCACCGGCGCCGCCAAGGACAGCACTTTCGACCAGTGGTCGCATTCCGAGCTTAAGAGATACCTCGACTCGTACGGAATCCCCGTGTATCAGGGCTCCAGCATCAATGAACTTCGATCAGCTGCTCGGCGCAATGCCCAGTACTTCAAGTACGGCACCACCACCCCGCAGGATACCATCTACGCCAAGGTAGTGGAGACACTGCAGTGGGCCTTGGATCAGCTGAAGATCGGCGCGTCTAGCGGCCGGGCACAGGGCCAGGAGGCTGCCGAGAAGGTCCGGGAGAAGGTCTCTGGGTCCACCCAGAAGCTCCGCCAGGAGCTGTAAAGTGGTTCTGTCATGCCACTTTGGATGGACTTGATTGTTTTCATATCTTTTAGCAGGCAGTGTTGTGGTAGTGCGTTTCTTCCTGCAATGCTGATTCTTTCTCGGTTACGATGCTTATGACTTTTTGAACTTGGGGGTGGTTTCTTTCAGTTGAGTCTCCTGCTTTTTCCGGGCTTCATTTAGGTCGAGTTGTCAATACTGGGGTTTTTTGCCTAAAATGGGATTTCATTTTTCGACATCAGTAGATGCTGGGGCATTTCTCATAGCTATGTGTCTGTATCGGTGGATGAGGTAGTGGTCACGGTAGATTTCAACTTGGAAATATTGCAATGCAGTCGAAGATAGTTCCAAAACTAGACATGGCTTTTGTTCCATTGGTGTGAAAATGGGTAAATGAATGGCCGAAATCCAACTGTCCACTGCCAGGTTCACTGCTAGGTGATTCCTTTGCTGTTTATTTTTGTTGCTCAACCACGCGGTAGTCCGCGCTTATCATCCCCAGACATTCTTCGTTACGACGCCGGTGCCTCGGGATCACCCTCAGCCACTAGCTTCCCAATGACCAGATATTTCTCAGAGAATCGCTCCTCCCACGACTGCAGATTCTCCAGCTGCTCGGCATCCAGGTCCTTGAGCTCGTCCAGCGGGGCTGACAGGTCCTTGGTCAGCATCTCTTCATCGAAGCTCTGGCACGCCAGGCCGCGGGAGGCATCGCGACCCGCAAAGTTCTCGTAGACTCCGCCCTATTATGCGATGATCAGCGATGCCGTTTTGAATACGTCCAGCCATAGCACATAAACCATAGCACTAGGCCACATCATCAGCCCTATGTCATTCGACGTACCGGGCCGTAAAAACCCCTGCCAGGTGTGACATCAAAGACCCGTCCCCGTACCGCCAGATACACTGGCTGGTTGTCTTCGCCGTTGAACTTGATCAGGGTCTTCGGGGTGTAGGTGCGGAAAACAACAGGAGGCGGGCCGCGCGGGAGCTCGACAGGCGCCTTGGGCCGGAAGTGCCAGTATAGCAGCACAACAAAGAGCGAGGCAATAATGAGGTTGATGGGTGAGGCGATGGTCATCCTAGTTGGAGGGTGGGGAGGCAGGTGTCAGCTGTTGTACGTCAGGCTCTGAGGCGGAGGGGGGAACGAACACTTCGGCCTGTGGCGTGGAGCCCTCTGATTCGGTGGGTTAGCAAGGTTGAACCATGAACCATCCTACCTGACACATACCAGCTGCAGCCATATTGGGATGGAGGGGTGTGAAGGTCTGAAGCAGGGAAGAATGTGGGAGGGTCGGAATCTGCGGAGATGACGTGCCACGTGATGCCTGATGTCTTCTCTATGTACACAATACAGTTCTATATCTTTTAATCTATTTAAAATAGAACCATAATTACTAAACTAACCCCAAGGAAGCATTTCAGATTCTATTTGATAGCTCTCTTGAACCCCAGGATTGAGCTGCTCGGTCTCGGTCTTCCGCTTATTTATAGAAGTGCGAGATGAAACGACGGTTTCCCAACTCCACTCGGATCGCCCCCAATTTAATTGATCCAGTGATGCCATGTGAGGGGCGCTTCGTCTATTCTGTCTGAGGTCATCTTGTTTGTTGTTTCTTTTTCTTCAGCTTTGTCTCTGTCTTGGCCATCCACGGTCGGGATCAAAACCGCCCTTCCCTTTCGCGTATTAAGTCAGGGCGCATAGCTTCCAACCATCTCGGTCTGCGCCTGCTTACTGTCCCTCGCAGATCGCGATGTGGTCCAAGGCGTCCTTCAATAGAACTCAGCGGCCATCGATTGGCAACCCCACCTTGGTGGACAAGACATGGGACGACAGCAAGTATCCCTCACTGTCTGGAGGTCCGCAAGCCCAGAATCTCACCAAAGACTTGCCTGCGCTGCCCAAGTAACTATCCCCCCCCCAAGAAACTTTCACGAAAAACCTGCTAATCTATTTTTCTCTAGTGAGGCTGATCCGTCATTGCAACCCCAACCCGAAGGAAACGTCAACAAGCGATATTCAGACGTCTCGCCCGTGGAATCGCCTGTGCTTGGGCATGAGGCGCGCGACAGCGAAAGCAGTTTCTGTGTCTCGCCCATTCATGAGTCCGAGGAATGGTCCCACCCGCGAGATGACTCCCGACCCTCACCACCACCGACCCCGGTTCCCCCAGAGCCGGCCGATCCTCCTCCGTCGCAAGAAGAGCCTCCCCTACCGCCGCCGCCTCCGCGCCCTGTGAAGCAGCTCCGCTTTTCTCCCACCCCCGAACAACCGACACGCTGGGATGACTTTTCGGGCGAGCCAACCACGAAGAACACTGGCAAGGCAGGCCAGGTGACGCCGCGAGATACCACTTTCCACAAGGCACCCAGCTCACATGCCTCCAACCTGTTCAATTGGGGCCGAGAGCAACTCCAACCCAAAAAGAAACTCGCCGAGGCTCGAAGCCGAATCACCAGTTTCTCTAAGAACGAAGCCCCAGCTCCCAAGGAACCTCGAAGCAGATCATCGTCCCGTGTACGTCCGCTGAATGAGCATCTCGGTAATGCTCAGGCCAATACAGAAGATGCTACAGCACAAATAACCCAAATCAACAACCTTGGTTTTGTCCCGACAGTGGTGACGAGCATCTCGGCCGGCGATTCCAAGCCACTGCCTGCGAGACCAACAACAGAGGATTCGCCCATCCCCCGAGATCAAACAGACCCTAATTTCGACACTGCCATAGCCAACATGATGGTCCCCAACGAGCCCGTGAGTCGGTTTAGTACTACGACCTACACTGCTACGGACGCCGGCAGTCAGAACAACAGTCGGCGAACAAGTGTCAACCTGAAAAGACAGTCTACCGAAGACCTCAACTCCGTCATAGCCCGGCGACGCCCGATCCCTAATTTGATGCCCACCTCGAAAAAGCCTGTGCGGAAACCCACTCCGACCCAGGCGGTGCAGGGACCTGCACCGCCCCCTCAGCCTCCTGCCAACGACCCCCGCCGAACACACACGGGCGCATTGTGATACTCGAGACCAGGCGAGACGAGCTTACGCGGCGCAGATACAATCTAGAGACGGTTATCCATGAGCTGACGCAGGTCATCCAGCCCAGCTCCATTGCTTATGACCTGGCCGCCAAGGCCGAAGTCAAGAAGACCGTCAATAGCATTGAGAACGAGCTCGCGGAGATCAAGAGAGAGGAGCATGAGCTTGGGTTGAAAATCACCCGCGCATGGCGGCGACTGGATGAGAAGGAGAATAACGGTGATGGCAGTGGCCTGTGGGTCAAACGTGTCACTAGTTGATCTTCCCTGTCATCTTTACCGTAGTCGGTTTGTGCCTCATACCTTGGATGACCGTTGTATCTGTTTTTTTTTTTTTTTTTTTTTTTTTTTCTTGTCCAGGGGTTGGAGGCTTTTGTATGATTTGGTCCATGAACCCGTCCTATTTTGTTGATTTCCTAGGGTTTCTTGAAGCGTTCGATTCATAGCAGTTGACATTAATGATATCCTACATTTCAGGGGAATGTTTCCCCCGGTGGCTTCTAGGAATTAATATCAACAAAGAGAAAGTACAAAATAAAGTGGTATAGTTTTCGTGGCTGGACGCTAGGGATGTCCCCGAGCCTGTTATCTCTCTAATGGGACAGATGCCAAGTGCAGCATAGACCACAATAAGCTGATATGGCTAGTAATTGAAACAAAGTGCCACCGGCCTTCCATTTGCATTGAAAGTGGCTCATGTAGATCGTAAAAGAGAAAAAGGCGCCACACTTTAGGCACCTGGATGTGTATTGTTGATGGGGAGCTCGTCTATTTCTTGCCGGACTTCTTGATTCCCTGCTGGCCAGTGTTCAGAGGGCCCTTCTTGCCCTTGGCAGCCTCGGTCATTTCCTTCTTCGCCTTGGCATCTGAAGAGCAAACCCATGTGTTAGTACCTGGCGCGAATGAGATGTGGCTCGACAACGTAACATACCGGCCTTGAGCTTCTCTCGGTGGGCGATGTCATCCTCATCGAGTTCCTTCTTGTCCTTCTTTGCGGACTTGAGGGGCTTCACCTTGCCGCCTGCCCGTGGAAAACATGAGGGGTCAGTTTGGGGTTCTGTTTTGAGGGGTGGTTTGGTTATTGGGGAGTGGCATACCTTCTCTGCTTTGGCCACCCATTTTTGCAGGTATGTATTGAGGTAGCAAGGAACGATTAATCTGGCTTGGAGCAATGGAGTGCCTTGACTGCGGACAGAAAAGTAGAGAAAGAAAGAAGATAAAAAAACCGTCGAGGGGCGCTTATCGCGATACAGCCATTTTGATTACCGCCTTCTATATCGGGCCTGGTACGGAGTCTGCACGGTTGGCAAATGTCCATCCAACCTTCTCTTGCCATCAATTTCTTCTTACCTCGAGGTTGTTCCATCAGAACACCTACACGTCGCTTGTTCAGTCCCAGTCCCTTGAAATATGTGCCTGGAGCGATAATCAAAGTTGCAAGGCTTTGGTGTGAAGGCAGGCCTCTCAAGCCGGTTGGACTTTCAAACATCCCTCTTGCGAATCATTCGCGTTGTTCTCGGAGCTCACGCTAACTGAGCAAATTCATCTGAAGCCTCCGCCAAGGGCCATCTAAAACAAAAAAGAGAGCGAAGCGAAGAAAAAAAAAGAGACAGAAAGAAAAAGGACTTGGGAAAACACCGCTGGGCGGACACTGCTCCACTGGCAGCCGCAGCATTTCGCAAGCATGGCATCGCACCACATGTCGAGGTCTCCGTCGACCCCTTCTGAGGGTGAGATCATCGAATCAGGTTTAGAGACGAAGGCAACTGCGTCACAACCTCCTCTTAATGGCACCCGCGTTGACCGTCCCACCAGAGCTAGTACATCCTCTGCACCCCGATCTCCCGAGTCGTTGAGGGGCAGTAAATCGCCACGCCGGCAGGGATCGAGGACACGGTCCCTCTCGAGATCCCGATCCCGCTCTCCATACCGGGACCACAGGGGGTACCAGCGCAGACGCGACGACGCGTATGATGACTCCGAGAGACGACGCTACGAACCTTCGCGACGTTTTGGCCCGCGGTACGATGACAGATACCAGCACCGCGCTCCTCCTTCGCGCCGACAGCGATCCTACTACGATTATGACCGCGAGGAGGGCTATGGTGGAGGTCTCCGGTACACCGATGACTACGATCGACGCAGAGAGAAGCGGCCGCGAAGCCGTTCGCCATACCGCGAAGTGAGGAAACCCAAGCAGTACTCAAGCGACGAGTTAGATCCACGGACTGAGGGCTCTGCGCCCTCGGCCAAAAGACGCAGGTCCCCCACTGAACAGTTAGTGAACGAGCGAGGAAAGGCCCCGGCCGTCGCTCGAGATTCAAAGCTTGGTGCTAAAACGCGAGACAATCAGGTGCAGCAGGCTCCTTCACATCGCCGCGCTCATTTTGCCGACGAGTATGAATCTAGTGTTGTTTCGCTGGGTTTGGATCGGGTTACTAACGATGCTTTCAGGGCCGATACTCCTACCACAGAACCGGCGGAAGAGCCGCAACCGTCCGAGCCAGTTGACGAAGCAACTGCACTGGAGGCTCGTCGTAAACGCCGTGAAGCCATTCGAGCGAAATACCGAACCCAAGCTACACCATTGCAGTTGAAAGCACTGCATATTGGTGATGGCGATACGGATTCGTCCACGCCCGGTACTGAACCGGCGAGTGCGCAAGACACATCGGGTAGGTGCTTTCAAGGCCAAAACAGTGTCTCAAACAAACTGACGTACTTGTCTGTCTCTATAGATTCTCCACGGCTTTCACCGTCCCAAACTCCACATGAGCAGCCTGGGGAGTCGTTTCCCGGTTTCAAGATTGGAAAAGACACTGACTTGGTCAATTCCGATGGCCCTGTCGACAGCATTGATAAAGACGAGCCCTCTGCTGCCGATTACGATCCCACATTCGATATGAAGCAAGAGCGGGAAAAGCATGGCAGTGTCCAAACCACCAAGGAGGACGTCTCCTCGGCGGCATACGACGAAACCCAGACTGTCAAGCAGGATGTCCTTCTCCCCGATGCTCCCCCTGAGCAAACCGCGCCGCCCAAGGCGTACGACATGTTCGCCGATGACGACGACGACATGTTTGCGGAAGACACTAACGATGCACAACCTGCGCATGCCGCAGCGATGTCGGCCATTCCTCAAGCCAAGGAGCTCGATATCCGCATGATGGACAACTGGGATGATCCCGAAGGCTATTACAATGTACGACTCGGAGAGTTGATCAATGGCCGGTACCACGTTCAGCAGAACCTTGGCAAGGGAATGTTCTCGTCTGTCGTGCGTGCGACCGACTCGAAAACCGGGGGGCTGGTGGCCATCAAGATCATTCGACAAAATGACACGATGCGCAAGGCCGGCATGAAGGAAATTGGGATTTTGGAACAGCTGCACGAAGCGGACCCGGACGACAAGAAGCACATCATCAAATTCGTTCGATACTTTGACCACAAAGGTCACTTGTGCATGGTGTTTGAGAACCTCAGCATGAACCTTCGGGAAGTGCTCAAGAAGTTTGGGCGCGACGTGGGTCTAAACCTGCGGGCGATCCGGGCCTACGCGCAACAGATTTTCCTCGGACTGAGTCTGCTACGCCGGTGTAACGTCCTGCATGCGGATCTGAAACCGGATAATCTGCTGGTCAACGAACAGCGCAACATCCTGAAGGTCTGCGACCTGGGCTCGGCATCGCCGGCCTCGGAGAACGAGATCACCCCGTACCTCGTTAGTCGGTTCTACCGCGCCCCAGAGGTCATTCTAGGCATTCCCTACGATTACGCGATCGACGTGTGGTCCATCGGGTGTACATTGTTTGAGCTGTACACGGGTAAGATCCTGTTCACCGGTCGCAACAACAACCAGATGCTCCACTCGATCATGGAGTGCCGGGGCAAGTACCCGCCCAAACTCCTCCGCCGCGGGTCTCTGGCACACCAGCACTTTGACGACATGTTGAATTTCCACAGCACCGAGGAAGACCGCATTACAGGCCGGCTGGTGACGCGGATTGTGGATTTCAAGAAGCCCACTCGCGACCTGAAGACTCGGCTACTTGGTCAAGGCACGCGCGGAATGTCAGATGGTGACGCCAAAGACTTGACCTTGTTCGTGGATTTCCTCGACCGATGCTTGAGTCTGAATCCGGAGAAGCGGTGCACACCGGCTGAGGCACTGAAGCATCCATTTTTGGCGCGCAAGGTGTAGTGAGCGGGGCCTTTTCTTTTCTCTGGTTAATTCTCTATTATTTCTATGGCATGGATATTTGGTATTCTTTTTCTGGTGTAGAGAATTGGTATCTGGTTTTTAGAGACATGGGTTTCCTGGATTCAATCTATGAATTGAAGTATCAACAGTCATCTACTATCTTTGAGTAGAGATTGAGTATTGGCGTACTCCTACATCTTGACTACTTCAGTCTAGAACGGCGCCAACCATGGATCCTTCCCAGTTCCTCAAGATGTGGGGGCGTATGACGGTGATTCTGGAGGCTGGGATGCTGGCTGCGTGGCCCCAATGAACCCCCGTCGGTGTGGATAGCAGCGGATTGAGAGAGAGAGAGAGAGAGAGGAGATAGTTGTTCTACATAGTGACTCTGGGTACATTATGATTCAACCGTGGTTAGGTGTCCAGCATCGTATCATGATTCATATGGCAGAGACATGAAGATCGCGTTTTCTCTTTTTGAAGTCCAGATACAGGGAGTCTTCTGGAATCCTGGGATGGTTGCCACCGAAAGTCCCTACGATACGATAGTTTAATGCATACATAGTATAGGGGGAGACTGCAAAAGTGTACAATAAGAAATAGCTGGGGAGCGGTGGCAATTCTCCACCGGTTGATGATGCCTCTCACGGAGAACAATGGGATGCGGTGATGTCGAGAACGTGTTTATATTGTGGGTCGTCGATCGGTCTGCGGGTCGCCACCTGCAGGCATCCTACCCATATTCCTTCGACTCTTTGGTCTTTGACTTTCAACAGGATCAGGCAATTTTCAAGGCAAAAAAAAAAAAGAACGGGAAATTGGCTTGGGTGGCGGTAGTATACAGGGGGGTTGGTCGTGAAACCTCCAGGGCTAAGCCAGAATGATGACCTCAGTGATATTTACTGGGTGTACACCACATTCTGCTGTGTCTAAATCAGATTCTATTTCTCTACTCCTCTACTTCTCTACACCTGTAGAGCAATGCAATGCACGTCCAAGGAGAATATAGCGGTGTAGACCGAAGTAACGGCGTGGGACTCAGCTGCATTGCCAATCCTGGGGTGCATGATCGTACCGGCCATGCACCCTTCTCCTTTTTATTTTTTATTTTTATTTTTTAATATTTTTACTTTTTTTTCTAGGGATCAGCTAACGGCATTCTCGAAAAAGATCTGGTGGTCCTGACCTTCTTTCTGGTCAGGGTCATCGAATGGTGTCTCGAATGCGAACCAAATGTGATACATCTGGGGGGGAGTAGGGTGAGTAGAACTCTCTGCATCAGACTATCAGGCAATAGTCGAGTGGGAAAAGAGAACAGGACTGGACCTATAGGACATGAAAGGGAACATGGAACAGCATTTGTTGCCTACCAATGATCCATTAGTTAGCATGTTAGCATGGACATCCCGTGTGACACCCCAAACCCTAACTCCAAGTCTCTCCCAGTGCTCGATGGTCCGACGCCAACCCTGAGACTCTCTCTCAGGGCCCGTGCAGGGATCCACCGATGTTCTCGAAACTTGCAGGACAAATGGCTGGCCATGGTCGCCCTCCCTCATCGCCTCACTTCAAGTGGGTCGGTGGGTCTGTGCGAGAGAAAAGACGGTGAGGCCGAAAGAAATACATAGTGAATAGATACAGTAGAAGAAATAAATCCATACAAATCGATAGAAATATAGAGATACTATGGATGTATATATGCTTATCAAAAAAAAAAAGTATCTATTTCTCAACACTGGAGGGTACAAAATATCTAGAAAAATCCAAGGGGATGTGCTGGCTTCAAGGGGCGTTTGCGGGGCATGCGCTGGCAAGACTCAGGAGGTTCTATTTTTTAATTCTTGCTATTGCCAGCTATTGCCACTCTCTCCGTTTCGCCTCTGCAGTTGATCGGCCGTCCATCAGCCAACCATCAGCCAACCATCACCAGCATGGGTGGAGCCATTGACTGGGGTGGAATTAACTCCTGACCAGCGACAGGCCACGATCAACGGAGTGGCACACCGCTGGGGGTTAATGCCACAGTGTCCGCATCATCGACTTGGTGGAGATGGGAAACCTGCGAACCACGAGGCATCGTATTCTTGGGTTAGATTATTATTATGCTTCTATTATTTTCTCCATGGATTTTTTCGTTATTTCTATCTACCCTCGCCCGGCTTGGTTCTGGCTATTATCATACTCTTTTCTTTTCTCTGTTTATTTGTTTTTTGTTCTTCTTGCTTCTATACTACTCTCCTTTCTCCTTGGTCTCTTCTCTTCCTTCTATCTCTCTCTCTCTCTCTCTCTCTCTCTCTCTCTCTCGCTCTATCAAACCCGACCAGCCCGGATCAAACGGACTTCTCTCCCCCCCCCCTAAACCCTTGGATTGGAATGGACTCCTGAATGCCGTGGACCTTTGGACATTAAAACTTCTGAACATTTGCGAACCGTTTGCTCTTTTTTTTTTTTCTTTTTCTTCAGACCTTGACTTTTCCTCTTGCCATCCGGGAAGAGGATCGTGTGGATCTACTTGAAACCAACAAAAAAAGGGGCCCTCACCATGTTTCATCCGACCATGTTGCCTACGCCCCCCCCCCCCCTCGCCGACGCCCCATTATGCCCCCGAGGATCGCCTGGGATTTATCTTGGCCAACCGGCTGGAGCTCACCGGCATTCTAGGAGTCGGCGCGTATGGAGTCGTTTACACTGCCGTGGACATCCACACGCACGCCCTGTATGCCGTCAAGGCCCTCAACAAGACCGGACTAGATCCCCGCCAGCTTCGATATCAACAACGTGAGATCCGTCTCCACCATCTGGCCTCGCAACATCCCAACGTGGTTTCCCTGGTTCGCATTATGGATTCCGTGGATTGCACCTACGTCGTCATGGAATTCTGCCCGGAGGGAGACCTGTTCTCTAGCATCACCGACAAGGGCCACTTTGTCGGTAATGACCCCCTGGTCAAGCGCGTGTTCCTTCAGCTCCTGGATGCCGTGCAGTTCTGCCATTCCGTCGGGATCTACCACCGGGACCTGAAGCCCGAGAACGTGCTCGTAACAGACCAGGGCATGACGGTCAAGCTTGCCGACTTTGGCCTGGCGACCACGGATTACTTCACCTCGGACTTTGGTTGCGGGTCCACATTCTACATGTCGCCTGGTAAGGCATACTCCCCCTCGAGTTTGGGTCTTGCGCCCCCCCGGCTAACGCTTCCTTCTCCAGAGTGTCAACAATCCAACCCGCGCCCCATGTCCTGCTATGCGTCTGTCGCCAACGACGTCTGGAGCCTGGGTGTCATGCTGGTCAATCTGACGTGCGGTCGCAACCCCTGGAAGCGTGCCTCGCTGGAAGATTCCACATTCCGAGCATACCTCAAGGATCCCTTCTTTCTCAAGTCCATCCTGCCCTTGTCCACGGAGATGGTTTGTATCCTGAGCCGCGTCTTCGAGCGCGACCCTAGCAAGCGGATCACCATCCCGGAGCTGCGCCGGTTGATCCTGGAGTGCCCCCGCTTCACGGAGAACCCCATGGCCCCTTGGGTGCCGGACCAGGTGTCCCCGGCCGACTTTGTGGCCCAGCCCCAGATTCCCTTCTCGGGCCCCGTGGAGTCCCTGCATGCTCAGCCCTCGGGTTCGTCCTCAGACTCGTCGCACTACTCGGATTTCTCCGAGTCTGCCGTGTCCGATGGGTCGGCCCTCACCGAGGACTACACCGACATGAACACTTTGTCGCCTGTGGTGTCCCAGGTCCCGGACTGCAAGGTGGTGTTCCCTCACCCCATCTGTGTGGACCACTCTATCCCCGCGGATGCTTTTATCGGTCCGCCCATTCCGGTCTGCTGAAGTTTCCGCGCCTACTGTTGCTTTATATGTTCTCTCTCTCTCATCTCGCATCCTCATGACCGCCACTTGCATGATTTGACGCCCATTTTACTCTCCTCTGACGAACTGCTTTCTCGCGCCTGGAGTTTTTTGCTTGCATATCGTATATTGGGTCTCCCCGTTCTCGCCCCTTTTCGACGGATTTCCAGGAAAAGCCACGATTTGGTGTTGCCCAAGTTGATCCTCGGACTCTCGGCCACTCTTGTCTTCCGTCGGACATTTTCCACTTTTGGACATATTCTTTTGATTTGTGACTGGCCCGTGCCGGTTGTTTCCGGGCTCCGCAACGATCCATTTGGTGTTTGCAAGGAGTTTTTTTTTCACTTGCGACTCTGGAAATTCTCCACCTTCTACTGTTATAATATTTTCGGCCCACATACCACGAGGATGAAGCCGCTTGGTGATGCCCTTTTTGTTTTCCCGTTGATCCTCTGGTGTGGTAATTACATGGAAATGCCCCTGGGAGGGCTGATGTGTGATTCTCTTGAATGTGACCTGCAAGGTCTCCGATGGGGCGTTATCCAGGACTTACCCTTTTTTTTTTTTTTTTTGTGTTATATTTCCCCGGTGTTTATTCTTATTCTTGTCTTGTTTGGATGTGCTTCGGTGACGATGGGTTATTATGGGTGGTGATCTCGGAATTCTCTTTTTTGTTGTTTTCCTCGCATCCTGTGCATAGACATTGGCGGCATTGGCTGGGCCTTTTTTTTGGGAGGTTTTTGGGTTTCTCTTTGATATGATATGATATGATTGATACCTTGGAGGGATAGGCATGACTGAAAATACATCGATGTTGGTGCGTCCCTGGTCTTTGACCTATATGCACTATTCAACATTGTTTGCTTTTGGTAGTTGTAGGTCTGGTTTTTTGAAACCCTAGATTTAGTCCTCTAGTAGATTCTCTATTAAAACCTCTATCGCTGATGCCTTGTCCTTGTGCAACGTTACTCTGCCAGACATACCTCAAGAGCGCCAACACCTGGAGAAATGTGTCTGGGCACAGTAAATCTATAGAAAATTATGGGCAAGTAGCTATTGTGTCATCGAATAATATATATATATATATAAAAGGGAAGAAGAAAGAGAAGAAGAAAACCTACCTCTGATATATAGCTTTAAACTGATCGAGAACAAAACTGGAGATGTTGCTCCTGCACACCATCGCCCATGTCATGACCAAAACATTACTATGTATTAAACCCCAAAGACAAAATCAACCCTCCCTCCTTCAGGAGCAACAATTAATGGGAAAGAAAGGTTGATCTAATTGTGTTGAGCGGAAAGAAGCACCTTAGATATCCCAAAATCAATCAAAATCTCCATGTATATAACATCGTTGGCAGTATACTATAGAATACACAGACTCCATCTATACTTTGTATCTGTTTGAATATACTATACAAACTGTATACCAGGAAACTTGCCAAGAATCCCAGGCGATTGGTTAGTGCTGTTCTGCTATTCTGCTCTTTCATGCCAGCATTCTTGATTCCGCCGGCTCTTTTGCCGGAGGATGGTGGGCCGTTGAAAGTCCGTGCTCGGTGCTCTCCTAACCTGAGTGATATGCCGAGAACGCTGGCAGATATTCCTGACTGGAGCCAAATTGGGTTTAGGGAGACGACTATTGCGCCGGTATGACTTAAGAGAGCTATGATGGTAAATATGATAATGTCTTTTTATTTAACATGCGGGCCATAGCTATCACAATGATTAAAGGATTGCCCTAAGATACCCCGATAGAGAGAGAGAGAGAGAGAGAGAGAGAGAAACTAGCTTTAGCTTGTATTTGTATAGATATCAAAATAGAACTGTATTTACATATTCCGCCCCCCAGTCACCCGAATCGTCTCCCCATTCACATACGAAAACAGCGGACTCGCCACCCCCAGAATCGCCCGCGCCGCCTCCTCAGGGCTAGCCGGCCGCCGCAACGGGATATCCGGGTACGAATTGGCAGCGGCCTTCTCCTTCTGCTTCTCTTCTTCCGCGCCGACCTTGCTGGCCAGCTGCTTGCCCGGGATGCCTAGCGCGACCTTGGTGCCGTCGGGCGTGGTGATGAACGCGCCGGCTTCCTTGGCGGCCGTCAGACGGGTCGTCACGAACCCGAAGGCAACTGTGTTGGACCGCACGCCGAACGCGGGGCCCCATTCTTTGGCGATGGTGCGTGTTAGTCCCACGACACCGGCTTTGGCGACGGCGTAGTTGGCTTGGCCTCTGTATGGTATTAGTATGGGTGTACCCTAACAGAAAAACATTGGAACTGGAGAATAGAATTGATAGGAAGGGATGTCCAATGTATGAAGAACTTACGCATTGCCGTGGATGCCGCTCGTGCTGCTGATGTTGATAATCACCCGCGGCTCCTGGTCCTTCACTCGGAAATACGGCGCTGCGGCGCGCACCAGTCGGAAGGGTGCTGTGTTGTGCACGGCCAGCATGGTGTCCCATTGCTTATCGGTCATCTATGAAGTGTTAGTCCGAGGTGGTCCATTCTACCTTTGGAATAGGTGTATCGACGATATCGATTGTATATGTTAAGTAAACTCACCTTGTGGATCACCCCATCCCACGTAAACCCAGCATTATTCACAATAATATGGATCTTGCCGCCCCCGAACTCGGCCGCGCTCTCCACCAGCTTCTCAATATACCCCGGTCCCAGAATATCACCGGCAACAGCGCGGGCGCGGCCGGGCTGGGCGCTGTTAATGGCGTCTGCGACGGCAGCTGCCTTATCTATAGCGCGGGAAAGAGATCAGAGGTGAATATGATATGCATATTAATGGTGCAACGGTGGAATGATGGAAAAGAAAAATAAAGGATCCATATCAGACACTTGAAAACAAAAAGGTAGAGTATAGACATACCGCCATCAATATCAGCAATCACTACCTTGGCGCCCTCGTTCGCAAACAGCCGTGCCGTCTCGGCGCCGATGCCTTGCCCGCCGCCGGTGACGATGGCGGTTTGGCCGGCAAGCAGACCGGCGGGGAAGTTGAGGTGCTTGTTGAGCTGGTCGAGACGGTCTGCGGGAGCCATAACGGAAAAATGGTTTAATTGCAATATCGCAAGGAAAGTGAATGAAATTGAGGAGGAAAAGGATGAGGGGGCCGATCTTATAGCTCGGCGATTTGCAGTGCCGAGGCCCGCAGCGACCGAGAATGTGTGGGGTTGCACATCTATGCCGAACAACTGGACTATACAATACAATCCTGAAGAGCAAAATGCAGCGGCATTGGGTTGCAAAATCAACGAAATTGCTCGCTTGCTCTACACAGACATACTAGAATACAAGACAATTCAACCCTCTCACAACCTCGAAACCATGAGACATTACCGAATCTCGTCTCGCACACCTGTCCTGCAGATACAATCCTCCGCCGAAAAAGACCGTAAGAATGCTTCGACGGTTGCTTCGTAGCCTGTCACAATAGGAAGAAGACAGCTGCTTTCCGACGCATCCATATCCGGCATGCCGAGGTGGCGACGAGGGGATGCCCATGGTTGACTGGATGGGTCTTGCGGAGCAGCCGACTCAGTCACTCCTCCTTCACCGTTGACGAACTTGGGCATTTCAAAACCTGCCGTATGAACAACCCCCTTCAGCCCCGACAAAACCTCCCTGCATTGCAGCAGAAGGCCGCGGACGAGGAAATTGCGAATACGTCGGTTCTCGTCGTGGCACATCTCGTAGGAGCCGTAGTGGAGATCGACGCTGTGCTCTGGCCGAGATGCATCAGATGTCGCCTGCGATACCCAGTATTCAAACAGCTGGAGAATGAGGTTCAGGACGGAGATGGCCAGGAGCAGATTGGCGCTGTCTTTGGCGCATTGCCCGCAATGCACGAACATCTGGCACACATTGAACGCGGCCTTGATAGTTTGCAGGCTGTGGTCGAATTGGAAAGGCAGCGCCTCGGCTAGCAGCTGGCTCAACCGGTTCATGTGGAGAAGTTGTAGCTCAACGCACTCGCATGGTACCAGCGTGTATGGCGATGCAACAGAGCCTGCGAGCGACGGACTCGTCATTCCGTCGACTAAGATATCTGCAGACAAAAATGACGGTGTGACTGGTGTGTGAGGATATCCAATACCTGCGGGGAGCACCGCACAGGAATCGGCTCGGTCGATGAACGGCGAGCCATCCAGGGCGGGTAACTGCCCGGAGCATACTGAGGTCTCTAGCGTGGCAACGCTGTCGAGAATTCGTGGGCTTTCCCACAGCCCTGGCTGACCTGGTATCAGACAGACCTATAAGGCGGTCATTAGGAACCAACTCAGGCTTGTGTCTATAACACAGTGGAAAGAAGGAATACTCACATCGTCCTCGATTTTTGGATCACGTCGATGGCCGGCATAGCCCACAGCGACCACAGGCTCTAGATCAAGCACGGGGGCAACGAGCCGACAGCCATGGAACCCGCGCATCGTCGGCTTGTCTTCTTGTAGTTGGCCGAGCTTTCGCAGCGTGGCGCGGTTCTTGCTGCCTTTTGGCTTGCCGGAGCGGTTGGCGAACCCGTACTGGCACTGCAAACCATGTCGCAAACACCGCGTGCACACACTCTTACCCGGTATGTTGCATTTCACCTTGGACTGTCTGCAGTTCTCGCATGCAGTCCGGAGTTTCGGTGCATCGCCCCCGGGATATGGACTGCCATTGGACTCGGGCAGCATTGAGACCAAGTAATTCACGAGATCCGATAGAACTATCTAAAAACCAATCCTTGAACAACAGCCTCGGGCATATGAATCGGGTGACGAAATACCAGGAGAGAATTGTATGATTATCAACATAAGCCAGGCAGGTCAGCGCGCAGCGGCCTTCTCCACCCGCTGTGTATATATAAAAGAAACAAGCGCAAACTTCCAGACCGCCTCGAATGTCACTCTGGCATTCGGATTCCTGTAGCGGCAGCCGCATCAACAGGTCAGCCGCTGTGAAACCCAGTGCTTCCCATCTGATGCACCTCGCATAGGATACCAACTGACCCATGAACAGAAGGGATTCTTCTGACCGAGTAAGAAAAGAGTCTGACCTGACCTGACTTGATTGGGAAATCCACAAGTGGCCCTGCGTTCGCTATGTTGGAGTGCTGAGCGTGATAGGAAGGCCACGCACAGAACGGTGGCTTCAACCCTGGACCCGCCCCGGGGGATCTCAGGTCGCACACCGGGATGCAACACCGTCAATCCCATTTTCTGGGTCTTGGAGAACTTGACGAACCCTACTGCTGACAAGAGCCATCAGAGGGGACACGAGGGATCAAGAGATGCCATGTGAAAGGTAAATGGCTTTGCTACTCGGCTGACCGGATCCAGTCACTGCGCGAATTTCTGTCCACCGCTTCTTTTTTTTATTTCGGTCATTGTTGCACATCCCAGATTGGGTCGTCAGCACACTGCATTCGCCGTGGAAGGTGCCGAGGATCCTTGCGCCACGTACAATACAGCGGGCGAATGTTTCATTCCATGCTACCTCTAACAATGCCACGAGCATGCTGTCCCACCTCCCGGGGGTTGGGGTGTCCAGCCAAACGACTCAGCCGCGTGGAATCTGACAAATCTCGGCGGTCCCGCTGTGCCGATAATCAAATGCCCTCAGCAGTCCAGTTAGATGTGCTACCGCCGCGCACACGACCAGCACGTGGAAGATTTGATGCGAACTCCCAAAAATATCAAATGTCCCGGGCATCAGGCGTTCCGGCACCCGGGCCGCATAGATCCCCGCGCCCAGAATGTACAGGAAGCCCTGGAGGAGCAGCCAAGTCAGCCCGATTTGCTGCCGCATGCGTTCAAAGCCGAAGAGCCGCAGACCATGCAGTACGGGGAACACCGCGGAGAGACCCATCCCGACAAACATGGCTGCCCGAAAGGGTCGCCAGCGTGGCGTCCGGAACCGAGGAAGAATCGAGACGCACACACATCCTGCCCCAATGGAACAGATCATGGTCCAATACAGCCGTTGCAGCGCGGACACACAGTAGAACCCATAGAAGACACTCGGAACAAAGCTGCCCACGATCAGTCCCACGATGCCAATGTAATCGAGGGCGTTCCCAATACGCGCTACCACGGGCGAATGGTTGGAGATTGTGTGGTAGGTCGCAGACATCCCAAGACAAAAAGCTGCTCCGGCGAAGAAACAACAAAAAGCGGCAATGTCCGAATCCGTAGCTGTTTGGTACCGCGGAGCCAGAGAGCGGTAGAGTTGATAAGCCGCGGGCACTGCCATCAAAGATGGCAGCAGATGGGTGTAGATATTGACAGTTTCATTGTGTATATAGCTCAGCGATTGAAATGATACTAGAAACGAGGACGAGGCCGGCCGGTATCCCGTATGAATGTGGCGGTTGTCGCGTTGCCAATGTGGCAGATCATCCCAGTGCAGAAGTCTCTTGACGACTCGAGGAGGCACCTCCAGCACTGTATCTGTGGGTGCCTTCTCTTCTGCCCGCAGGCGTCGCTGGCGAGACATCACATGCACGATGTATGGCAGTTGCACACAGGACAAAGTCGCAACCACACTGGTTAGGTCGAACCAAAGACCAATGCCACGTCAAGAAGAGTAGGGTCTCTGATATGTTTCAATTCAAAGCAAAAATAGAAGATCTACGAACGTTGGGAAGTTGGGGCACCGCGGCGTCACTCCGTTGGGAAGAACCTCGGCTGCAAACGCGACAAACACTGCAAACCCCGACATGACGCAAGTCCTCCCCCGCCAGTCCCTCTTCCAAGCCCGTTGCAATGCAGTCCGGAAAGACGCAGGGGAGCCGGTTACGGCCGGTGGCTGATTCCCTCGAGAGCGTTGGATTTGTGTCCAAGGGGGATAAGAAGTATGTTCGATGCAAGCATGTGCGAGGGCGCCATTGACCTCCGTGCAGGCTGCTCGACCACAAAGCCCAGAAAGACTACTTTGATAAAGTCGTCGACCGATATATGCGATTTTGCGCGCACAACTCTAAGAACCTCGATGCCGCGCTGGCATCCCTCCCGACAAGCCGCTCGAATGATGCGACGTCCAACCCGCCCGCCGCTCAATCCGCCGCGAAAACACCCAAAGGTGTACCACCACCCTCAGCTGAATTGTCGACTCTGCTCCTCTCTCTCCGTAAGCTGCGAGAGGCTGTCCTAGCCACGGCCTCTACGACCCCGGTGGCTTTCTCGCAGCGAGTCCATGTTTTCTCGATCCGCCTGTCGATCCTCGCGCAGCACCCGCCCTCGTATTTTCCTTCCTTGCGATACGTTCTGGACAAGCTGCATTCTGCATCGCACCCACTGCCAGATTTAGAAATCAAAGAGATGATATCGTATCTAATTCTCGACTTTGCATGTCGCCAAGGGGATATGGTAGCCGCTTTTGAATTGCGAGCACGGGCGCGGAAGGAATATGAGTTTCATTCGCAGACCATCGACCAGCTACTGGCCGCATTGATGCACGACAACTGGGTGGTATTCTGGCAGGTGCGCAAGAGCGTGGACTCTTACATGCGCGCCGTAATGAACTGGGCCGTAGATGGGGTCCGCAGACACGCCCTGAAGGCGGTGGGCAGCGCATACCTCAATGTCCATATCAGCTGGATTGTGGGTGGCTGTACAGGGGAAGACGAGGGCTGGACATGGGAGAAGTTGGTTGAGACCGAGAAGCTCGGCTGGCAGAGAGAGGGCGACAAAATTATCATCCGGCGGCCCAAGCAACGACCTCCGCCGAACCCGGAGCCGGCTAAGCCAAGTGCTTGAGGGGCCCTGATTTGCAGCATTTCTCGTGGCGTTGGGTGTCGGAGCTCGCACGTATCATTAATAGGCGGCATCCGTTCATGGAATATCCATTAGGCATAGCCTTCACATTGGCATTTTACAGACAGACAGAATGCAATGGACCACATTCGGTTCATGTTCAATTCGATAGTTATAGCTTGAGGTCTGCGTTTGGCCGGTCTAGGTTGGTTTGCCCCGTGACGGGTTGTTTCGCGATCGTGGCCGCCAGTTGACCCTTCAGTTGAGCGGCACTATCGAAGCAGAGCTCGTAGACGGTCGAAAGGTTGAAGACCAAGCTGCTGAAGGAATGATTGGCAGACACCTGGGACTCCAAGAGCTGGCGGGCCTGGGGAAAAGGGAACAAGTCAGTGGAGTTGAGCAACACCTTGAATACTCGAACATACCTCGTCTAGTTCCCCGGCGTATAGAAGACACACAGCTAGATTCTGGGCGATTAGAGCCCCGTCAGTGCGTGTGAGATCCTGCTGCAGAGTCCGCCACCCAGCAACTGCATCGGTGTAGCGACCCTCTGCCATGCTTAAAAGTGGATGCATCAGACCGGCTTCCTTGGACTCGTTCGAATCGCCAAGGGCATGGCCTGCAGCGTCAAGATCACCAATCCGCACATGCAAGAGCGCCTTCCTAAATTTATTGATGTCTGTCTCCGACCCAGACGCTCGTAAAGTCTCCAGGGAACGTTTGGCTGCATCGAGATCGCCCATCTCTATCAGTGCATTCACGCTTCTCATCCCCAGGTCTGCCAGTCGCTCCCGCCATAATTCCCGGTGTGCTTCACTGGTTTCCAGCCTCATAATCTCCCTTCGTGCCTCCATGCCAATCTCATAGAGCCCACCAATACTTCTGCGGGAGTCACCAAAGCCAATGCTCTGGAGTCGCACCGCTAGCACGCGGAGAGGCCAGGGCACAATGTGACGAAGGTAGGGTTGGTGGACATGATCATGCTTTTGATCGGTATCGGGTGATTGAAGAGAGGAGTCAATGTAATAGAAGGTGGAACTCAAGTCTTCGAGTGCCTTGGACTCCTGTGCCGCCAGGACAGCATTCCCAGATAACTCCAAACACGCAAGGCGCGTGTAAAACAGGGCAAATATTACCTTGATCTCCGTCGGTGAAATTAGAGAAGACGTCAAGATGGCCCCAGCGAAATGAGCCGCAACGAGAAAGCGACCCTCGGCCAGGAGCCTTTCAAGAATCCCGAGAGACGAGGATAGTGGCTCTCCTGGGTCGAGTACAATGAATTGAGAACGCAATGGCGGGGGGATATCGACATGAGAAAGAGGATGGTAGATATTAGGTCGCAGAAGGAACGAGAGGTCTTTCCCCAATGATTGCGGCACATCATCCGGGGCCAGCGGATCTAGTTCGTGAAGCGAGGCTCCAGAGAAGCTGTCACTGACAGCAAGACCCTTTTGCTCAAGCTAGGTGAAGTGGGTAGACTCGAAGATGCGAGCGGACTACACAAAAGTCAGGCTGGCTTGGTAGCAGCATGGGCTAAGGCCAATTGCTCACTCATCTGATGCATCTAAAGGACCCCTGGTGGAGCTCCGAGGTCGTGAAGCTGAAGGGCGGGTCAGTATTGTAAGGCACCATTCATGGTAGAATTTCGATTCCTTACACCTGGAGAGATTGTGATGATGCTTGGCTGACGGCGAATCCATGCTCCAAGACTAAGTGAGAGAAAGGGTTGTATAGGCAAGGCAGAGAGACGAGGCACGAGGCACGATAAGCTATCGATTCTGCCCAAGGCGGTGAGTGCCGGATCTGGCGAGTTGGCGATGAAACACCAATGCAACATGCTGCTAGCCATTCGCTCCCTACTTTTTCTTTTCTTCTTTTCCCCTGATCGTCCGATTTGCTTTGTGGCTCTTGGTATTTAATTGATACACAAATCTCTCAAAATGGGTGCTACCAAGAACAAGTACTCAGTCATCCTACCGACCTACAACGAGCGGAGGAACCTCCCTATCATCACCTGGTTGATCCAGAAGACCTTCAACGACAAGTAAGGACCCCTCATCCCCGCAATTGTGCAAGAGAATTGGAATAGAAACTGATGATGGTTGAACAGCAAACTGGATTGGGAGGTCATTATCGTCGACGATGGATCCCCTGACGGCACCCTCGAGATCGCGAAGCAGCTGCAAAAGCTCTACGGCCCCGAGCACATCGTCCTCAAGCCTCGTGAGGGTAAGCTTGGTCTGGGAACTGCGTATATCCACGGCTTGCACTATGCCACGGGCAACTTCGTCATCATCATGGACGCCGATTTCAGCCACCACCCCAAGTTCATCCCCGAAATGATCCGCATCCAGAAGGAGACCGACGCCGACATCGTCACCGGAACCCGATATGCCAGCCGCGGAGACACCAAGGGCGGCGTTTACGGCTGGGATCTCTTCCGCAAGTTCACGTCGCGCACCGCCAACCTGATTGCCGACGTCATGTTGATGCCCGGCGTGAGCGACTTGACTGGGAGTTTCCGCTTGTACAAGAAGCCGGTGCTGGAGAAGGTCATTACTAGCACGCAGAGCAAGGGTTACAGCTTCCAGATGGAGATGATGGTGCGCGCCAAGGCTATGGGCTACAAGGTTGCTGAGTGTCCTATCACCTTCGTTGATCGTCTCTACGGCGAGAGCAAGTTGGGAGGACACGAGATCGTCGAGTACCTCAAGGGCGTCCTGAGCTTGTGGCTGAATGTTTGAAAAAAAGGACCATTGACTGTTCGGCGTCGGGCGCGTATCGGGTTCGGCTCTTGATTCCAGCCTGGGCGGTTCGTCCGACGCCGTGTGCTTTAATATACCCCCCTATTCCAACTCCGTGTACTCTTGGATGGTGTTTGAATAATTTCGATTTTCTTTTTCGCTTCTCTTGATGTTTATATAGATACAAAATATCCATGGATATTTTGTTGTCTCCCAGAATATTGGCACGGACATTTTCATTGTTTTCCTGTGCTTAAAGGCTTTGGAGATATCGTAGGACACGGACAGCCAGGTCCTCCTGGCCCTCATCCTTGATGTTGTGGCTGGCTCCGGGAACAACGCCACTGTTCTGATCCCATGTTGTGCCTCCAGCCTCGGTCGCTTGCTTCCACCTCTGCAGCAGCTTCTCCTTGTCGACCCACGCGGGGCAGTACTCATCATTGCCCGAATACAAGAATATGACCTTTGTTTGAAGGATACCCCGGGACGCGATGGCCCCAAAGGTCTCCTTCAAACGCTGGTCACTCAAGTCGGAGCTGAAGAGATCATCGTCCGACGGGTTTTCAGGGCTATCCGGGCTGGCGAGGCTCAGGAATCTGCGGGCACTCAGAGGGTTGTCGCCTGGAAGTCCCAGTTGCGCAACCAAGTTCAGTGGGAGCATGGAGTCTCTCTTGTCCTCGGTGTAGGGCTGTCGCCGGGCAGTGCTCACGAGCTGGTCATAAGCACCCCGTGCCTCGTTGGGCTGCGGGGCCAACTTAATCATCTCCAAGATGGCCTGTCGGTCTGAAACCGGTGCTTGGAGGATAGCGCCCTGGATCTCGGGGCGGACCAGATGCTGCAGACCGATATCAAAGTCTCTTTGGGGGAGTGGATTAGGCGAATAGAGGTAGTGAAGGACGTCCTGGCTCCCCGTCGAGTGGCCCATGATGACAATCTTTCCGCTCTCCGACGGCGCACCAGGCAGCCGAGTCGCCTTGAGATTGCGGATATAACGCACGCATTTCCCGATCTCTTCGACATCTCGGTCCAGGCTTCCAACGCCCCATCCGCCGTAGGAGGAGGACAGCAAGGTCGAGAACACCGACCATTGCGTCGGCTCTAGAGCCTCGGCCAGCTTGGACACATATGGGACTGTGCATAATCCATCAGTCAGTCCGCCCACGAAGATCAGGCTGTTCGGTTTGCTGCTCGCGTTAGATGAGGTAAACTCGAAGGTGACGAGCCGCGGAGCCTACAAGGTAGACGGCGGGGTCAGCTCAGATGAGAATGAACGTGTGGTGTTCACGCCATACGTATTCGTGTAGAACTCCGGGGTGGGACCGGTTCGGCTGGGACATAATGGATAGATCGTTGTAATTAGTTGTAAGGAGAGAGAGAGAGAGAGAGAGAGAGAGAGAGGAAGGAAGAAAGAAAACAAGTCAAGGGTGAAGATGGACCAGGAAACGCCAACCGCCGATCCACCGCGGGGCTCCCATGATGTGCTGGTTGTGTTGACCTTGCTACTCCTCAACTTCAAGACTTCTCGAGTTGCTAATCAATTCCATTTTTTCAACCAATGCTCATTCAACTCTTCTCCATTCTCTCTCCCAGTTGTTCAAAATCAACCCGAAGCCCTTCAGAGCGGTGCGTGATACGCGTCGGATCGATGGGGCTGAGGCCAAGGACGCCGATCACCCGGCAAATCCTCGCGTGGACGCTTGCTGAGTGACTCAAACGAGGCTATATAACAATACGATGCTTCCCCGAAATTCCAGGGGCTAGTTATCGTCTCTGTCCTGTCTACAAGATGAAACCGCTTACTAGAACACTCCTTCCACTCCCCATGCGCAGAAGCTGGCAAACCACAATATTTCGACCGATCAACACTGCCAGCTCCCAGTATAGCCAAATATTTCGTCTCCCGGACGGTCGTGCACTCGGATACGCCGACTATGGCAGCCCAACGGGCTACCCAGTGATCTACTGCCACGGCTATCCCTCGTCGCGGCTCGAGGGGTTCATGTTCGATCTTCACGGGACGCTTCACCGCAACCAAATCCGCTTAATTGCGCCAGACCGTCCCGGGTTTGGCCTGTCTACTGTCAAACCTGACCGTCGCATCATGGACTGGCCGGCCGATGTGAAGGTCTTGGCTCAGCACCTGGGCTTGTCGCACTTCGCGGTCCTCGGCTGCTCGGGGGCAGTCCCTATGCACTGGCATGTGCACACGGGCTCCCTCACGAGTTGATGTCCGCAGTAGGCATTTTAGCCGGTGCGGGACCATCACAGGCAGGCCGGCACCAAATGCCATATCTTTACCAGGCCTCGGGGGTTCTGGCGGAGCGCTGGCCGGCTGGGCTCCGGACCATTTTGAGTCTGGTGGTGGGCACGCTGCAGAAAGCAGCGAACACTCGCATAGCAACGCGCTGGCTTGACGACTATTGGGGCAAGAGTTTCCCAGAGAAGCCCCAGAACCTGGCTGTCGAAGAGGTACGGGCCATCTTGCTTCGTATGTTGTTTGATGGTTTTGCGCAGGGTGCGCAGCCCGCGGTGCAAGAGGCGCGACTGTTGTCTCAGGACTGGGGGATACCTTTCGAGGAGGTGGCTTATGACAAAGTCCAGGTGTGGCATGGGGCTCGCGATAAGAACGCGCCGCTGCAGATGATGCAGTGGATGACTGATCGTCTGCCGCACTCAGTGCTGAAAGTGTATGAGAATGACACGCACTTTACGATGGATCAGCACCTGGAGGCAGTTTTGTTGGCGCTGGTTCCAGAGAAAACCAAGGGTTAATGGATTGGTAGGAACTGACATTTGGGATTGAAACAACATCGTGTACATTACTGTAGACTCTGCTCAATGAAGATACCACGCATATAGATTATCCATGCTGGCTTTGGAAATAAATCAAAGGAAAAAATGATGCATGATTTGTAGGGAAAAGGCTTCATATGAAGTTCTAATCTATAAAGAGCTTGCCCTGAGCCACCAAAGTAGCAGGACCAGCAAGCTTGACTTTCTGCACTGCGCAGCCCTCGTCATTCAGAGCCATATCAACAATGATTCGACTGTCCCTCCCCATCTTCAACCCAGCCTGTCCCCGGGGCACCCCCTTTTTAATCTTCAAATACTCATATCAAGAGTGTATTGTCGACTTGGAGCTGGGAAGTCTGGTATAGAAGCAGAGGGCGGTCTAACCCAATCGGGCATGGTGGCATTCCGCATTTGGAGCCCACCTTAGCTTTGCCGATCGCCTCTCTCTCTTCCAGTCCTTGCTTTGGCTTCGCCCTTGAGGCAGACACTCTAAGTGAAATGCCTGCCCGCAGGTCGGCTCGCGCAACGGGTCCTCGGATAGTCTACACCGAGGACCCGTTCCAATCTGCGGGCATTAGCGATGGTTCAGATGGGGAAGCCCGCACCCCAAAAGTGAAAGGAAAACGCGCCAGAAAAGATGATTCTGCATCTGATGAAGAATTTGTCGCTGTCTCGAATGAAGAAGTTGATGATGCGATGGAGGATGATGAGCAAGAGGGAGAAACGGCAGGAAATGATGATGAAGTTTCGGGAGATGGCGACGATATGGAGATTGACGAGATCGGGGGTAATGCGAAAAGAGCTGCGACTTCGCATCCACGATTTCGAAAGCGGCACCGTGATGGCACGGTGGCCATGGCGGCAGACCAAACGCACTCCCGGGGAATCTTCGACCCCAAAGAGCACGTCTCTAAGTCTATGCATTACACCTTGGCATTTGGACCCGACGAACGGGATATGATTGCTGCTATTTACGTGCGCGATCGGTGGACTCGAGGCCTGGACTCGACTTTCCCCTCTCGCTCCTCTCTAGAGCAGGCTTGGGAGGGACCAGACTATCGTTACGGTCCTAACTTCGGTGTTGATCCCGACGATGTCCAGACAGAACGGACGCGTGGATGGAACTGGTACTACGACCGAGATCTCGGAGAGAGGTTCCGGAAACGACAGCGCATCGAAACGATCAAGGAGACAGAGGCACGCCGTGTTTATCTACCTCCGAAGAAAGAGAACCATACCGTTCTTTTGGGTCCGGTTGACAACCAACAGCCTTTCCCCCTGGCCCATCATGAGAGTCTTGACTTTGGTGAAGCCTGGGGAGAAAGAAAAACGAGAGACCCAAGAGATGAAGAGACACATAAGATCCGCGAGGGCTGGATTCTGAATTTGGGACACCGGGTTCTTTGCAAGGCGTGGGCTCCACATCAGGACGGCTTAACACAGTACCTAGCCGCAGTGACGCCCATTACCGATGAGCAGAAAAAGGATTACATTCCTCCTGAAGGGGAGTCTTCGTCATTTCAACCCTCGCAACCCTATCCCAGTGCACTTCAGCTTTGGGAATTCAAAGGTAAAAAGAGTGGGACCTATACAAATACTCTCGACATGAACACCAAACCAAAATTACGACTTGTTTTATGCTCCGACTGGGGAGATATCAGGCGCATCGCTTGGTGTCCAGTTGCTCGAGAGAAGCGCGATGAAGACGAGGAGGAGGCTGAAAAAACCATAGGGCTGCTGGCGGGAGTCTGGGGAGATGGCAAGCTCAGAGTGCTGGACATCAAGGTCCGCCGGGGCTCTGAAGAGACAGAATTCGGTACCTAACACTCTTTTCTGTTTAGAAGTCCTGTTCCCAGCTAGCTGACGCGCTTGGCCCTAGTGAAAGTTCACTCGCCCGTCTTCGAGGCGAAACCGCCCTCGACTGTCTGCACATGTATAGCATGGCTCTCCCCCAGTGACATCGCAGTGGGCTGTGGTAATGGCTTTGTTGCCATCTGGAGCATCGTGCCTTCGTCCGAACCTAACCCTCATCCTTACTTCTATTATCCTGTTCATGAGTCGTTTGTGCTCAACATTGCCTCGGCATACCCGGCGCATCCTCACCTTATCACCACCATTTCCATGGATGGCGAAACGCGTCTTTGGTCTATCATCGACCCTCGGAGTGATAGCGTCTCGACCGTCCGCATGCGGCTTGCCTCTCCCCATCTCAGCTATTCGCCCATGCTTCAATCTTTCTGTGCCAATGACGAGAATGACTTTGCTCGCGTTCTTCCTGTCCGTCGATTCTTCACCAGCAACACGATCGGCAAGCTCCCCAGCAGCATCTCGACTTTGGCGCCATGTAGCTTTTGGCACCCTTTCATCATGTACGGTGGGACTGGCGGTGAAGTCATGGCCACCAACCCATTACGGCGATTGCTCTACCCGAAAGAACAGCTCTGTCAACAAATGTGGTTCACACACGACTGGTCCCAGGGCCCGGTCGGCAGTTCCGGCGTCAGTCGATTCCATGAGGGATACCAAGCCGAAAAACAGAGCCTGGCCCGCAACCTGGTGGGTGAGAATCGGCCAGTAAGTGTTACAATCACAACGATCTACGATGAAGGCACCCACGTTACGGCGTTGGCGTGGAACCCCAACCGCCCGTGTGCCGCGTGGGCCAGCGCAGCGTTGGGGTGTGGCCTGGTGCGAGTGGAGGACCTGGCGATGTAATTGTGCGATGGAATTGCCACCACGACGGTGAATCACCACAATATTGAGACATAATCCCTGATTGCATGGGTTTCTCTAAGAAAAGCAATTAGGCATCGATCATAGTGTGTTGGATGGTGGATCCCCCAGCCACAGGACTATGTCGGGATCGCCATGACAACCCACTTTTTATCCACTTTTCTCGGGGCTTTTGTAGGCGCAAGTTTAATGTTTGACAGCGATCGTGGCTGGATTCTCCCCAGCCTCCAGTAGATCCCAGCCCACCTATTTTTGGCCCAATTGCAGTCCGCGTGGTGGGTGTCAACATGATGTATAGAGCACACTAGACACTCTGCACAGTCTTTGCCTTCTTCACCTTTTAAACCCGCTCTCTGTCACTCGATTGTTGACTACATTCAACTCTTCCATTTCCTTTTCTCGACCACACATACCTTCCTCCATCCTCGATTTGATTCCACGTAACCAAAACTACTAATTTTTCCTTTTCCTCATGCATTTCTCCTCCGCTACGGCCCTGCTGGCCATCTCTTCCCTCGGCGTGACCTATGCCGCACCTGTCGCCAACCCCCAAGAGGATGATCTCGTCCGCCGCAGGGCAGCCTACAGTGTCGTGAACGTCGATGGTGACTCGTCTTCTTCCACCCCGGCCACGCCCGAAGTTGACACGGTGATTGAAACAGTTCAGTCAACTGTGACTGCCCCCGGTGCCGCTCCTCAGCCAGTGACCGTGACCGTGACTGCCACTCCTTCCAGCGGGCGTCCTTCGTCGTCCGTGGCCGCCAGCTCAATCCCGTACTTCTATGACCGCCAGGCCCCGGCTTTGCAAACCAACGTGCCCCAGTCGACCCAGTCTCCCTTTGCATCGTTCGTTCGTCGCGGCCTGACTGCCGCTGGAGATCCGGCTGCCTTTGCTCGCAGCTGGACCAGTTCTGCGGTAGTTCCCCCTGCTTCTAGCATTTCTCTGCCCGCCGCAGCGCCTTCTCTTGCTGCGCGTCAGTTTGAGTACTCATCGGCCCCCGCCAGCTGGCAAGCTCCTGTCCTTGCTCCCTCTCTCGTTCCTCGGGAGTTCGGTGGTCCCTCCTCTAGTCTGAATGTGCCTGTTCCTGCTGTCCAGACGAGCCCCATTGTGGCCCGTGGCTTCGGCAATGCCTTCTCTTCCGGTGTGCCTCAGCGCCCCTCGGCCACCCTTGCAGCGCGCGGCTTCGGTGACTGGTCCCCTGCCGTGCCCGCTATCTCCTCCGCGAGTCCCAGCATGCCCTTCCAGGCTCCCTCTCTCGTGGCCCGAGCCTGGGGTACTCCCGTCGTCCCTAACTTGAGCACGCCCGTCGCCGCCACTCCCCTCGTCGCCCGAGGCTTTGGTGACGCTTCCAGCGCACCCCTCCCCACTTGGGCTGCTGCTTCCGGCGCCAATGCGCCTGGCTCGCCCACTCCTATTGTTCCACGGGCCTTTGGCGGCGAATACTCTTCCAGCATCCCTCTGCCCGCCTCGGCTACCCCCGTGCTCTACTAAAAAGATGCATCTGGACGATTCTTCCGATCGAGGCTTTCTCGGGGAACATGGAGATCACGATATGATTTGACGTGAAATGATGAGATCCTCGATCTACATATTGAAACGAATGAGAAAAACGAAACGACGTGTGACATGCCTGAGTACTTGATTTGCTCAACGGCATGCGACTCTTTTCTTGACGCATATCATCTGGCGGGCGTTTATGGTAGCGATTTTTCTTTTTCAGAAACTCAACTTCCTCATGTGTATTCTTTTGCTTGTGGATATGGGATTGGGGGGTTTTTTAACGTGATCGGGGCGAATTTACATAGATTGGATTTGAACATGCAGGCCCCAGATACAGACAGGCCAGACAGAACAATGAAATAACTGAATGAAATGCTTTCAAAAGCACAATCTTTCTTCTGTAGAATTAAATTGCGTTATCATAAGATAAATGACTTACTTCAGGGGTTAAACCCATCCCCGCCGAATATCTCATCGAAAACAAGTATGTGACGAGGGATCTCAGGGCAAACATGATGCTGACGTAACGCGTGGCTGGGCCGTTGCCCCGAGTGACGCGCCGTAAACAGCTGTCATCCCTCTACTCTTCTGCAACCTCGACTCCCCACGACCTCCAAAGGGTCTTGTATGTTGCGGCTTCGTTCGTGATTGTGTTTTCTTTTGTTTTGCTCTATTATTTCTGCTTGTTCTCTATCACTACCCCCCAAATTGAACGAGCACAGGCTGGCCGAGGCTCGACAACAATGCCTGGAACAGTAGCAGATGGACCGACCGTCTCGATGTCCTGTAAGCCAAGCCCCGCTGGATGCTGAATTAACGAGCTAACAATTTTTTTCTTGTAAGTTGCCAACAATTTTTGGGGCAAGGATGATGCAGGCGTTCAACCTATGCTTGATCGCATGCATGGTTCGAAGAGTACCAGCGACGAACTAAAAGCTTTCTACAATGGTGAGTCGATGCTTTCAGCGATCAACAACCCCATCAGGGGCTAATGCTGTGAAAGTCCGAGCCGCGATCGAAGATGAATACGCGCGAAAGCTCCAGGCGCTCTGTCGCAAATCGCTGGGGTCTTGCGAAACGGGCTCATTGCGTACATCGCTGGATGTGGTCCGTGGAGAAACAGAAGCCATCGCCAAGGCACACTCGGCCATCGCGGGCCAGATGAAGAGTGAGCTGGAAGAGCCCCTCGTGGCTTTTGCCAGCGGGCTGAAGGAGAGACGAAAAATTATCCAGACGGGGATTGAACGGTTGCACAAGACTAAAGTGCAACAGACCCAGGTTGTCAACAAGGTATGTCGCGTGCCTTTTTTGTGTATCCATCTTGAATAACAACTAATGTCTCCAGACTCGGGACCGTTACGAGCAGGACTGTCTTCGCATTAAGGGTTACCTTGCCCAAGGACATATGGTGATGGGTCAGGAGGAACGCAAAAATAAGGCCAAGCTTGAGAAGACCCAAATTCAGCTGGCTTCAAATAGCAATGACTACGAGGCCGCCGTCAAAACCCTCGAGGAAACCACTGGGCGTTGGAATAAGGAATGGAAGTCGGCTTGCGATGTATGTGGACCGCAGGGATTCGTTGAATTTGGTGCTGACATGGTGCAGAAATTCCAAGATTTGGAAGAAGAGCGTCTCGACTTTACGAAGAGCAGTCTTTGGACCTATGCAAACATTGCATCAACTGTTTGTGTCAGCGATGACGCTGTATGTGACTCTTGATCTAACTTTATCAACGATGCTAACGAATGCCACAGTCTTGCGAAAAGATTCGCCTGTCATTGGAGAACTGCGAGGTGGAGAAGGATATCGTCTACTTCATCAAGGAAAGAGGAACCGGCCAAGAGATCCCTGATCCCCCGCGTTTCATCAACTTTTGCCGTGGCGACGTTGACGATGCCGCGTCGGACATGGGTGAAGAAGATGGCTACTCGGTTGCTCAGTTCCAGCGTACTATGAACCCGGCATTCCGCACCTCCTCTCCTCAACCGTCAACCTTTGAGTCCCATAATGACCCCCAGTCCGATCTTGCAGCCCAAATGGGTCATGCTGCGCCTCCTCCGGCGAACAACGCTCAACAACCTGCACCTCTGGACCTCCGGCGAGGCGGCCAGTTGCCTCCTAACTACGACCCTGATCAGCATGGTGAAATCAATGCTGTTCCTCACAACGCCTATCCCGCAGATGGTATGACTATGTTCTGTCGAGCGGGACCGCCGTCCGAACGAAGCTCGGCGACCAGCGCTTACCGCCCATCGAGCCGTGACTCTCAAAGCGAAGTGTCGAATCCCACCTCGATGTCGAGTGTAGAGCCGGTCAATTCGAGACAGTCTCCAACAAAACCCGCACCCTCGAATCCTGCCCCACCGCCAGCCGCTAGCGAGGAGAAGCAAACTCCGAAGAAGCGAACTACCTTCTTCAGCAACAGCCCCTTCCGTCGCAAGAGTCGCCATGAAAAGGAGAGGCCGACTCTTGCTTCGCTGCCCTCCCGCAGCGGTTGGGATTCACCGGCCAAGCAAGCTAGCCCGGCCAAACCCTCTCCAAGCCAGGTTGATCGTCCTTCCGGCAGCCCTGAGCCCGTTGATCCTCGGGCCAACTTCCAGCTGAATGTTGGGAACAATGTCTTCGACGTGGCTTCGCCCGAAAAGAATTCGCTCAAAAAGGGATCGCAGCCGGCCAAGGCGCCCGAGGATGACCTGGATCCGATTGCCCGCGCTCTAGCAGACTTGAAGACCACCAGCAAGCAGTCGGCCAATCGAGTCTCAGCCGACAGATATCACGGCATCCAGACACCCACCCCTTGCGCAACTTCTTCCGCGTATGGCAGCAACTCATCTGCCGCCGCTCCACCACCGGCATACAATGATCCTACTGTGAAGCGCCTTGATGCCCCTCAACCGGCTTTTACCTCCAAGCAGATGCAAAAGACTACCCAGCGATATACTGGTCAGGCCCAGAGCATGCTGCGAGGTGGAAGCAATAACCCTGGCATGGCTGCCAGGGACAGCGGTCCAAGTCAAGATATTCCTCGTGCGCGGTCCCCGGCGCCGGCGGCGAGACGCAGTGCCAGTCCCCAGGTTTCGCCTCGCGTGGACACGCGAATGAGTCAATACAGTGGTGGGAGAGCCAGCCCCAGTCCGTCTACCTATCAGTCGAACAGCATGGGGAGCCGTTACAGCCAGTCTCCGACTCCACGCCGGGCTCAGGACCAGCCCTTCTCTCCCAATGATTACAACAGAAGAGCCTCCCCGGCTGTCTCGCATCGTGCAGTGTCTCCTCAGCCTCAATTCAGGCAGCAGACCCGTCCTTCCAGTGCCGGAGGCATGGAGTTGCAACTGTCTGGCAACCAGATGGAAATGTACGGTGGCGGCAGTCGTGACGGATATGGTTCGCCCCGGCGCGATGGTCGACCCATGTCGTACTATGGTGATGGCGGTGCTCCGCCGATAGGCCGAACCCGAAGCCGCACCCTTGCCGTCGCTGATCCCGGCAGGCAATTCAGTCGTGATGGCCGACCAATTTTGCATTTCGGTAAGAATCTCCCCAACCAAGCATTTTCCTGCTTTTTGTCAATTTTCTAACTCCCATTTCTTTCTCTACAGCTCGTGCAATGTACAGCTACACTGCCGCAATCCCTGAGGAGCTTGGTTTCACCAAAGGCGATGTCCTGGCGGTCCTTCGTCTTCAGGACGACGGATGGTGGGAAGCCGAAGTCACCAACTCGCGTGGCCATCCTGGTCTGGTGCCGAGCAACTACTTGCAGATCATCTAAGATACCCCTTCCTCCCTTTCCTCATCTTCCTCTCTCACGACCCGCCACGACCACTTGCAAATCACCCTTGTCCTGACGGAGTTTTCTTTTCTTGTCCCATGTCCCTCACGTAGATACCATGCCCTTCTCCAAACCCTACTTTGCACATTCACGATCCTTGTTCTCTATCCTCTCTCTCTGTCTCTCTTTTTGCGTGGTGCTTCCTCGTCACGGCTCTTCCGTCGCTCGGTTGCTTGTCTGATGCTTTGATCTTAGGCTTACGGATATGATTCAAGGGCTTTCAGCGTGTCTTGTTGGATGTTGTGATTGTGTCAAATTTGCTCGATGACTTTTCTGACTTTTTCTTTTTCTTTTTCTATTTTTTCTTTTCGGATGGAGATTGGTTCGATCTAAATTGCATGAACAATCTCGAACCATGTACATGGGATGAGTTTCTTTTCTTTTCTAATCTATTTCTTTTTTTCCCCCTCTATTTGACCCTCATTTTAGTGGGAGTAGATCTCTATGAATAGGGCCCACCGAGTATACAACTGGGCCCACCGAGTGAGTACATGAGTACAACTCATCACCATGAGTCTTTTCCTTAAACGTTATATAACTCACAAATAACCCGTAAGCCATCGGCCCCAGATGGTACAGAAAATATTCACGGAGCAAAACTTTCCAAGAAGTTTTCACTCTCGTATCTCGACTCACGATGACCTCAGCTTACTGTACGCCCCAAGGATTCTTCTACCCGTTCCTGAGCGTAGCAGGATTTGATCTCCGTTCCAATAACAGGCATGAAAGCTATCACACTCCCGGGAGGATGCGCGTGAGAAAAAAAAAATCTTATCCAAGGGCGTAATAAAATATTGTGTTTCATTAGGCTTCGCTCCCTGTCTTTTAATGGTCAAGTCCAATCGATGCGTGCAAAATGCTCCTCCGATATTATACTTGTCTATGGGCTGTTCTCATACCTATTGCCCCAGCTGCACCCTTTTCCAACCCCAAAGCGACCCAGTTTCTCTCCCCGGTCAATCAACACAATGCGATCCATCCCCTCCATCAGTTGGACTCTCGTCAGTGGTTCGGCAGCAGTGAACATTCTGGAAAGAAGATTGGCCGCGGCAAATATGAATTCGGCAAGAAATACCAAAACGTCCTGCAACTCAGAAGCCAAATGGATGTTAGAGGAAATCACGACATTTTCGATGCAAGCCTTGACAACAAGCTCACAAACAAAAGGACCCCTCGAGTTGCAGTCAAAACCTCGGATTCCCAGGAAATGATCAATCGCGCCAAGCTTGTGGATTTGGTCGATCCTGTTTATGTTGTCAAACCAATCGATTACTTCAAGGTCCAGAGCCAGTACTTCATGATTATGCCTTACCTTGACCAGACCTTTCGGGATTACATATACTGCCACGGGAGAGGTGGCTCTCGGGTAGTTCTATTCCTGGGCCAATTGATCGAGGGGTTAGCCGCAATGCATCGCCGGGGCGTGAAACATCGCGATATCAAGCTCGATAATGCCATGCTGGACGGCGACAGAGCCAAATGGATTGATTTCGATGAGAGCACAAAGGATCCTACGTCCACCCAACGCATCGGAACACCGGGGTATATACCACCAGGTTGGTATCCTCGTTTTCTTTCTTTCTTCTTTTCTTTTTCCCTGCCTCCAATGCTAATAAGTATGCACCTCTAGAACAGATGGAGGGGTTGAGCTATGACGCCCTTATGGGTTTGAACCCTTTCGCGTCACATACCCTCGATGACCCCAATACCCTCCATAGCCGAGTCTCTACATCCGCAGGGGACATATATTCTATAGGGATGATGATTCTCTATTCGCTACTCGTTCCTGATACCTATTTATGGTTCTGGGAGGCATCGGCGAAGTGGGATACGAGGCAAACGGCTTTCAACAAACTTGCTAAAAATGAGGATTTAGCAGGGGAGGGCAGCCGCAAATTGAAGGAAGTGATAGCTGGATGTATCTGCAGCAAGCCAACGGATCGCTGGACGGTCGATGAACTTTCCGCCCAATTCCAGGCGACGCGTGAATATCGCGACGCTGTGGGATCCCGCTGACCATCGCCTCGGGTTGAAATGACGGCATGAGAAAAGGAAGAGGAATAGAAAAGTGGCGTTAATATTGTATTTTTAAATTATAGACTATTGCTTTTTTATTTACATATAAATAAAAATGTGAGTTGCACGGTTCGTTTTTTAAGTGAAACTCCTTATAACATCGAGCGTTTCTGTTGCGGTACTATTCAACTAATTAAGGGTGGTCTATAAAATAGCTAATAGGCTCTTAAATATGCTTTACGAAAATACATAAATACGTTTATAGCTTATATAGCTAGAGGCAAATTTTGACCTTATCGAGTTATTCAGCAAATTGAAATATATACTATACTAGAGCTGCCTTTAGACTCACTATGAATTATTCGGCCCACTTTTAGTATATGCTCACTGAGCACTCAGGGTTGTTCAGTGATCAGCTCACCTTTCACTCAGTATGCTCAGGGAAGAAGATCAGGTGTGTTAGAATAGCCTCTCCTGTCTATAACCCACTTGTAGCCGTTTATTACTACAATAGAAAGGTCTCTTTGTGGTGCTAAAATATCTCAACCGGGTCAACCCTCCCTTCCCTTCAATATTTAATAAGTCTAAACCCTACCATCAACTCATAGAAATTGCTCGGTAGACTATATAAAAAGAGAGAGAAGTATATTACTACTCTTTGGATTCTTCCGAGCTCCAGTCTCTACAGTTTCTTTTCGTCATTCAGTAAGTCTCCTGCGGCCTTAGTACTTGCCCACGTTCTTTGGCCGAAGCTGTTACTTTGTAAGGTATATCTACTGACAGAGCGATAGTACATGAAAGAACATTTGGTCACATATTATAACCTCGATATATCCGTTGGAGAGAAACCAGTTATGAACGTTGATGGCCTGTATATTGCCCTTCATCGCTATTGGACAAAGGACACAACGCCGTATCGATAACCGGCGCTCCCAGGAAACCGCAGTCTATTCCCAGGAGAATACTGTGGGCTCCCAGGCAAGGGTTCGGGATCATGTAATGAACCGAATCTATTATACTATTCTCTACTTAGATAATTACATAGGAAGCGTTCAAATAGGCATCTTTGGTAACGCAGTCACGGCTAACATCCTAGTTGAATAGTGATGAATAATAACGAAGTCTCTCCGGCGGGTTCTACATTTTTCAACTCACCAGCCTGATTCTAATACCTTACTTCATCACTCTGAGTAGTTTCAAGCGCTATTCTCCTAGTTCCATTTCATGCGGCATCTAGCATCCTTTGATCCCTCGCTTGCACACTATCATTCACTCGTGGTGAAAGGAGCAAAGCCAAACTCCTGTGGGCAAACTCGTCAAGTTCGTCCGAAAGAAGTATACGTTGGTCGTGGGCAGAGAGGCTTGTCCCAGAATTGGTCGCCGGGTCCGGCACGATGCCAACATGCCCAATTGACCCTCGGCTTTCTCCTGGGCTTTATGCCAGCCAAGGAGTCTCACTGATCCATACATCAGCCCTGCGAGTAGGGCTGGTCGCTGCCCCGATCCAGTGCCCCGATCCAGTGGCTGCTCGAGGTGGATCAATCGGCAACATTGCCCACCAAAAGCTATTTGTGTCCCCGCTAAATGCTCCCCACATTTACTCTTCACCTCACCGCAGGTTCAAAACATCGAATTCTGCTGAAATTAGATTTATCCCGAGAGGAGCCAACTTTTACATTAGGTTGATGGAATGTAAGGTGCAGAGCTTCCGAGAACCGATGCAATCAGGTAATGATTTGATGTTTTCGCGGTAATCCCATGGCTAACGCAGACAGTGTGGCGACGAGACGGAACGGTCTGTGGAAAACGGCTCTGCCGGTTAAACTTTGGACCGAACGCACCCCGTACAAAATAAGGGACGTCTCCGTTTAAAATGCGTCCGTCTCTCTGATCCTGCATCGTCCTCTACACACAAACGAGATCTTCCAAATCAACCACTATATTCTCATCTCCCACGAAGATTCAAAATGCATGCTATTCTTCCAATTTTACTGCTCCCGGAACATGTCACGCCCACCCCGTCCAACCTTCCTCTCCTAAAAGCCATCCAGAAGGTCCTGAATGACTCGTATACTGCAACATATTGTACACATCCCGAGATCTTTGGGACCAGTCATCTTCGCATGGCAGATCCGGCACAACTAGCAGATATCATTGGCGCTGACGGCTTCACCATCGTCCTGGTCCGGGTCACATCAGATGGAGCAGATCAACAGCCACAACTCTGCGAAGTGCTTGCAACGGGTAGTGTGAAAGATTTTGGTGAAGGGGAGGTTGAAACATACGCGCAATGGAGCAAGAATCGGAGTGGCAGTGAATGGGAAACTCAGGTGGAAAACCGAGGACGCAGTGGTGGAACGACTGAGCGGAGAGCAGAAGAAGTGCAAAGGTTCGAAGTCACCGCGTTTGCTGTGTCGCCGCACTGTCAGGCTGCTGGGTTGGGCGCCCAAGTGTTAAAGGAGATCAAGTGGTTGGTGGCCAGTGATGCAAACGGTCCGAGGCTGCGAAATATCACTGCAAAGAATACAGCTCTGATCCATGGGCTAGGACTGTCAGGCTCAGCGACCACCATCCCGCTTCAAGGAATTGACCTCAATCGACAGAAGGATATTATAGCAGACGCAAGGATAAGAACGCCGGAACAAAATATCCACGACACAGCCAAATCGAAGTTGGTATTGATGGCTATCAGGGAACTAGGCAACGAGGCATATTATCAAAGAAGAGGTTTCAGCACCGCGTGGAGTGGGACTGTCCCAGTAGGAATGTGGGATTGCAGAAAAGAATGCACTATGGTATATATGGAAATGGACGTGGACTAGACAATCTAAATGCGCTCTCGATCCATGATGTGGTTACAGAATTGGCATCAAAATAGCCATCTTGTCGAGATAGTAACGAGGGTTTGCAAGATGATCGCATAGAATTTTCACACACATTGAAGACAAATCCTTATAGATTACTCGCTGCCACAGCCTTCATTCTCTGGAGAAATGGCTTCTCGGTACTACTGAAACGCCCAGATCTCATCTATGTACGTATGTCAAGCAATATTGTCTACTGGCATATAGACCAATGGCAAACCCCACTTGCATACAATGAATTCGAGTTCTGTGGTGGATAAAGGCGACTCTCGGAAATTTCTTGCCCTCAAAATTCTCGATGCCCAATGCTACGGCGCGAAGAAAGATGTCTTCGAGAGAGAGATTCTCAAGCACCTGAGAGATGGAGACCGTAGACAGCTTGGATACAAACACATTTGTCCCCTCACAGTTTTGGGGCCTGGTTCCCTGAGAGTAGGATCCCGAACGTCGCTCTGGAACCTCGGCGCAGTCCTCTTGGAAGTGTTCTGCACAGTGCGCATGTTCAGTGGGGCCGTTGCTCCCGATGGCCGTTACGAGGCGAAGGAGCATTGAGCTGAGATTGTGGATCTCTTCGGCCCTTTTCCTAGATTGCTGGAGAAGGGGAACCAGGACATTGTTCGGTAGATTCTTGATGATGATGGGAGGGATAAGGATGCAGCTCCTATGAATAGACCGGGGCTGTTGCCTGAGGCCTTTGCGCCGGGTGTGGAACCAGATGTTCGGGAGCGGTTTGTTTCCTTTTTTGATGGCGATGAAAATCAGCCCTGCAGAGCGGGTCTCGGCGGCAGATCTGCTCCGACACCCTTGGCTGGGTGCGCTAAAGTAGTCATGGGAAGGCTGTTTGGATGCCAATGCCATTCTCTACACTTGTCCATGGTCGATGTATACATGTCTAACCAATTATACCAGCGAGATCCCAAGACGTGCAAATAAAGTCATGAAAAATGCTCATTAAAGTTTATATACGAAGGACAACCCCGTCTATTTATAATATACGCCGTAGATACCAGAATCGAGTGCAAGTCCCCCTTACACCCGATGATCTCCTCCATGCACCAAGCTATCCGCTGGCGGCCCATACTCAATCGTGACCTGGTCCGTTCGCCGGATCTCGCCCAGATTGTGGGCCTCGGCCTCGTCGACGGTCTGTAGAATGCTGTCCTGGCTGTCGACAGTGGTGAAGCGCGACTTGCTCTTGCGCGGGCCGGACGAGCGCATGTTGCTGCTCCAGTTCGTCTCGTGCGTGTGCTGCTTGTAACGGTTGCTGGAGGTTTTGAAGGCGCGGCGGCCGAAGATGATTTCGATGAAGGGTTGTAGGGTTGGGATGCAGGAGGCGAGGATGTTGACGTTGGATTCGATGCTGTTGAGAAGAATGTGGTTAGTTCGGTCTGGGAGATATTGGGGATATTCGGATTGCAAAGCTTACCTGGTCCAGATCACGAGGTCTGCCGTGTGGTCTGCATTGGTGGAAACACTATTAGCAATGATTCGTTCGTCTTTGGGTGAGGATGAGAGAATCTCACAGGTAGGATCTGCCTGGTCGGCCAGACCGGGAAGCTGGAGGCATTTCACGACGGCCATGGCAGCAGAACTATGCGCGTAACTCCGTTAGCCACCTGGGTTCAGTTGGTCGAGTATTATACAGAGCGGCACTTACATGGCTGCCATTCCCAAGGCTGCACACAGGGCCAGTCGTTTCCGGAGGGACATGTGCAGTTTGAACACAATGACCGCGGGGTACACACCCAGCAGGATATCGATAAACGCGCAAAGAGCTGCAAGAAATACGATCAGCACTTTTCCTCGCGAAGAGATCGGCTGCCTATCCACACATACCCCCATTAAAGATCGAATAGTTGACCAGGATCCAGGGATCGCGACACTTGGCGCCTTGCTTCATGAGGGATCGATCCCACTGCGCCTTGGGAGGATCACACATGGTCCAAATAATAATCACGGTGATGGCCGACACGACGAAATTGAAATAGGCTAGCCCCCACAAAATGAACCGATGGACCTTGGTCATCTTGAACAGGCGATCGAGCAGAGCCACGATGGCGAGCTTGGGGATACAGAAGGACATGATCCCAAACAGAAAGTTGACGTTGTTGAGCAGCAGGACCGACTTGAGTCTTTCTTCGGGGATGGTCGAGGTGTGTGTCCCATATCCCAGCGAAACATCGACGGTGCACACAATGCTGAAGGTCAGACTTCCGGTCTAAATTTGTCGCGAAAAGAAAACATCCGGTGAGCTTGTTGACTCGATCACTTCAACTTCTGCGATCAATCACTTACCATTCCTACCACGATCAACCAGTCATCTATGCCCGGGTTGCGCAATACCCGCAAGCGAATGAACAATCGCACGATCACCACGGCCAACGCTAGGATGGTCAGCGACCAGAACGCGCCCAGGATGCGCGGTCCTCTGGTTTCGCTGGCATAATCGGAAGCCATGGGGAAGAATATTGTATCGTTTTCCTGAAACACAAAGAAATACAAGGTCGAAAGATCGAAAAATTGAAAGATTGAAAAGAAAAGAAAAGAAAAGAAAAGTTCCAGGGAATGTCGCGACGGCGTAGTCGCAGCAAGTATCAGCCCCTCTGATATTATTCAATGCACGTTCTCAGAACATGCAGTGACCACGAGCTGGAGGGGATATCGGACCAGTCCAAAGGAGTGCAAGAAGAAAGAACTAAAACACATTCTAATTTTTTTTTGTAAGAATTGTCAGAGCTGTCTGCACTGCCAAGGGAAGAGAGGGGACCCCCGTCAGGATCAGCCGTAGTCTGGGGGCCAGCCCCATCGTACCAACGTTGAGCTGCAACGCTTCTTCCCAGTGGCCCAATAGTGTCCCAATTAAGGCGGGCTCACCCGGCCTGGTGCGTGTCGGCGGTCGGTCGACATTCCATTTTAGGGCTTGGTGGATGCCGATCGCCACGCGATAGCACTACCGGGGGATTTTCACTGGAAAGGCTGACACTCTATTAAACTTCGGGAATTGCTATCAGGAATCCATTCCATCCTGGAGTCGGAGTCTAAGTGTCTGGATATCAACCCATGGATTGCCACGCGGTGTTGGTCGCCTTGCCCTAATCAGCTGGTCTTACAGATCGACGATTTTGGCCTCACAAAAAAAAAAAAAAAAAAGAAAAGAAAGTGTCTAATAATGTAAAACCCCCCGTCAATTCCATATTTCCATATCTCTATCCACAGCCGCATTTTCCCTGCAGACTCAAACATGCAGGCATCAGCATCCTTGAATGGAGACCGAACATGATCCACGCCACCGCTTACTCCGAAGACGCACCCCGTGGGGGCCGAAATGGCTTTTGCGTAATCCTGGCCCCCATTGTGCGCACATTGTTACAATGCTGATAGGCCGTTTATCAATAATTCACAACTAGCGCAGCCGACTAGGTCGTAAATCCTTCGAGTCATTTGGTACAGCATTGGCCGATGCGTGGAAGCTTGAATCTACACTTCCCCCGGTTATCTTCCTTCCTGTCCCCTGCACGGTTAAAAAGAAGAAAAGAAAAAAAAAAAGGGGGAGTCAACAGAGTAAACGGGGAAAATCATTAACTTAGGGCCGATCATCCTTGGTCGATCAAGAAAATCCTCCTTTCTGAAACCTTGGGGAAAAGGCAAAAAGGCATTTGTTGACGTCGAAGGGCCAAGATCTCACCTGGCTGACTCGACAACTTTGTCCCACCCCCACCAATATCACCATATAGAAACAATCTCCGCTCTTCTAAACTCCCCTCGACAACTCGATAATCTTACTGTTAGCTATTCCTTACTCAGACAATTCTCACCATGGGTAGCCTCGGAGCTGAATCTCCGAATGGAGCCCCCGCTGTTGATGTTGATGCTCTGGCAGTGTTGCCGAACGCTGCCGAGAAGGTCCCGAGCCTCGTCTCCGAGATTTCCTCTCGGGGGACTGGTATTGCTCTGGATAATGCCAAAGACCGATTGGAACTCCTGGAGACTGCGCGGTCCCTGGTGAGGGCCTTGGAGACGCCCCGGGAGGCTCTCCTGCGGTATTGCTGGAGAGAGGTGATTTGTTTCTGTCTTTGTTTTCTGCAATAGAACCATGGGCTAATAATGTCACAGCCAGCCAGCTTTGCGGCAATTATGTTTACACTGAATTTGGGTGTGTTTGCGCTGCTGCCGGCCACCGGCAGCCCCAAGAAAGCGCAGGAGCTGGCCGAGGCAACCAAAGCCGACCCCAAGCTTCTCTGTGAGTGGCTGTCCTTTTCTCTCTCAAGGGAGTTGTCACATAGTAGACCTGGTTGAGCTAATATTTGTTTAGCCCGTATGTTAAAGCACCTCGCTGCCACCGGCGTCCTGGCTGAGACGGGCCCGGACGAGTATCGCGGAACCAACTTCTCTACCGCAATGGGCGTTGAGCGATTCAGCGATACTTTCCCGGTGTTGTAAGTAACATGCACCATTCGCCTCTGTTAACTCTGGAAAGAGTGGAAAGGCTCATATATCTTTCAGTGCCAACGGACTCAACCCGGCTATTGCAAAGATCCCCGACTTCTTCAAAGAAGCACAGTACCAGAGTCCCAGCAAGCTCACCACGACCCCATTCAATGTGGCCCACGCCACCGACAAGAACTTCTTCGAGTTCCTGAAAGAGCAGCCGCATGTCGTCAAGCAGTTCGCTAACCACATGTCAACCTACCATCTCGGCCGGCCCAGCTGGATGGACTCGGGCTTCTATCCCGTCGAAGAGGGCCTGGTTGCCGACCAAGATATCAAGGGCGACGATGTGCTGCTGATTGATATAGGCGGCAGCACTGGCCATGATCTGTCTGAATTCAGCCGGAAATGGCCCAGTGTCCCCGGTCGACTGATCTTGCAGGATCTGCCCGAAGTGGTGGCTGAGGCCAAGAAGATGGATCTGCCTTCGTCTATTGAGCCTATGCCTTATAATTTCTTCACGGAGCAGCCTGTCAAAGGTATGGATAGACCTTTTGCTTTCTTCTTACCCTTCATGTGTCCAGCATACACTAACACACTACAAGGTGCTCGAGCATACTACATGCACTCGGTCCTGCACGACTGGCCCGATGACGACTGCCGCAAGATTCTTTCTAATATCACGCCTGCCATGAAGCCGGGCTACAGCAAGATCCTGATCAATGAGAACGTCATCCCGGAGACCAACGCCCACTGGGAGACGACCAGTCTGGACTTTGTCATGATGACCGTGAACTCGACCGAGCGCACAGCACGGGACTGGAAAGTGCTGGTTGAGTCGGTTGGGCTGAAGATTGTGAAGATATGGACTGTGCGCCGGGGTGTAGAGAGCTTGATTGAATGCGAGCTGGCTTAATGCCAAGCTTGGGTTACGAGTGAGGTAGATGATATGCTACCTCTATATGTAAATAGCTTTACGTTGTGGATGAGAAATACGGACCATGTTATTTTCAGAATCGTTTCACTTGACTTGGTTGAGATGTCTCCCAACTCGGCCCTATCGTAGAATGACGAAGAATCAAGTCATTCATTTCTAGTTTTGTGTACTTGGACTTTAACCCCCCTCCCTTTTTCTTTCTAACTGTTTTATCTCTCCCATGTATCCAAGTAACTTCTTCCTGCTCTTGTCGATTAACCCTCTCCCAGAATGGCCCCTTGCCCCCAGGAATCTATTACAGAGACCGCGTTGAAGTGGTATGAGGAAGAAGTGAGGGGAGAAGATCTATCCTCGCTATATATCATTCTTGGAATCCTGGGCCCGATTCTATTCCTTGACTTTCCGATATGGTATGTGGTGGGATCAACGGGGGAAAAAGAGAGAACGTCGGAGTATAACGAACTAACCATGTATACTATGGGATGATTATAGTATTTATGGCATTCTTTGGTATGTCCTCCGCCCTCATTTCACTCATTTCCCTCGGCCATAAGATGAACTATCCATTCTTTCTAGCTGCATCATTCCTAGCCTTGACCGGTGCGGTTGCTGCCAAGGGCGCTTTCCCCCTCGCCCGCGACGAGATGATACAGTGAGCGCGGTGCTCCTTCAGCCTGGTAGGAGTTACGCTATGATCTTGGATGCGGCTTGGTTTAATTTATTCATGTATTTTATTTTTGCGAGATACTCACGTTGTCATGATAGATTCGTCTGGCGACAACCCCAAGCCCACACCCCTGCCATCGAACTCCAGTTTCCTCAACCAAGCTTGTCAAGAATACACTCGGAGGGTCTTCCCTCATATCAGGACCCGCCACCCTATTTGGCTTAAGGAAGTGAGGAACTAGGGTCTTTGTTGTGGGCCCTGGTGCTTTGGAACAGAAGCTATCTTTTTTCTTTTGGGATTATACTTCGACACCAGAAGACAAAAGATCAAAATAGCGACAAAAAGTGTATATATATATGAGACAAGACATGCCTCTTTCGCTTGGTTTAACTTTGCTTTATCAACCTTGCTGCTGAGGTCGGCCGTCCATAATGTGAATAATATATAGCAAGCTTGTCACTCATCTCCGAGTATATACAATGACAGCGCAGATCTCTATATTTCCAATTTGGAAAAAAAAAAAAAAAAAAAAAAAAACGATCGATGCAGGTAATTATCAGGTCGGAAACCACTGAAGAAACTATCTATTAGCAATTATGGTACATCCCCTGGTTGAACGAAACCAGCCAGCCCAGGAAGCAGCAAAAACAATATGAACAGCGCATCGAAAGCATATCCAAACCCGCCGGTCTCAATTTGCCGGTGGAAACACAAAAGATAGTAAGCATTGGCAAATAAGGGTATATGAACACAAAAGACATGCTCCTTCGCGGCGAGAATTCAAGTACATGTGGACCCCCAAGAAAGAGTCGTCGTCGCCGCTTATTCGTCGTCGACAAAGGAATTGGCCAGTCGGCCAAAGAACGGCACTTCGAAGTGCTCTAGGGTGTCGACTAGAACAACAAATACCAATTAGTATTCTCTTCAGATAACTGTCGGGGTCTTGCGGATTGTACACACCATCGCGATAGGCATGCAAGCTGAGGAAGCCAATGAGGAAGAAGTCGACGATAAAGAGAGTCCAAGACAAGAAGCTGGACCACGCGAAGACGAGATGGATAATCTATATGGCCTCATGGTTAGAGAGAGCGAACAGCGGCGACGACACAAGCCGAACTTACGAAGATAGCTGTGAACAGCATGCTCGACTGCCACGCATGAAACCTGTTGCATCTAATTAGCATCGGCTTGATCATATCATCCCATCCATCTTATAAGTCCAAGCAAACGTACCGCACATAGTCACTCTTGTGCTCCGTCAGCAACAGAAACACTCCTCCGGCCGGCGGCAGAAGTAAGTACGCCAGCATGGCCTCCACATCCATGCGGATCGGCAGACTTGTCTCAAATGCCCCCAGGCTCACATGCCCACCCTCGATGTCTCGCCCAAAGCCCGTGTTGCCATATCCGCCGCCGACAAAGTGGCCGGGGCTCGGGAGGTCGGCCGACGCCCGGGGCGAGCGGAGGTTCGGAGACTTGACGCGAGGGCCATCCACGGGTGGTGGCGACAGCGCCCGTTCGATCTCGGGGGATTCGTCCTGGTACGGGGCGAAATTCATGGCGTGGGAGATGGGTGTTTTGAACGTGTCGGGGGAACTGGTCTGGCCTTATCTTGCTATCGCGCGCGTGACTGGTGCCTGAGGCCGACTTCTATTATTCGTGTGTTTGTATTTGGATTTCCTTCTTTGGATTTTTTTATCACATCCATGGATACGTTTATAAAGAAAAGAAAATAAGAGAGAAAAAAGAGAAAATACTATCATACACGAAGAAAAATCGCGAAATTCATGATCCATTCAATATCATTATCCATTTTAGGGCTTCCCCCGCCCACGCGCAATTCCACTACCGCGCGCAATCCCACTGGCCGGTCGTCGGGTCGCCGTTGTTGATCCTCGAGTTGCGGCTGTGCGGGAGGTACTTGTGCTAACACTGGGGGTTCGTCTGAGACCAGTGCCACGAGCAGTACCTCTACTAGTCCCACGAGTGCCTCTGGTGGTCGCCGTCCGCCGCCTCTCGTCTTCCTCGGCTTTTCGGGCAGCGGCTTCTCGCTGTTGCTGCAGCGCTTGCTCACGTCGCTCGGCCGCTTGCTGTTTTTGGATCGCTTCATTCTCCATGTTGGCCACATCTTGGGTGGCGCCTTGCCAATCGGGATTGAGAATCAGGCGTTGGTTGTGTTCTGTCTGCGACAGGATGCGGGTCCATGTATTCAACAGAGTCGAGGCCGAAGTGACGGTGCGCGACACGGTCTATCGCAGCAGTGTTAATAAATAGTTTCGGAGAATTGGCTTGCGCGTAACGTACATCCATGTTTCCTTTGGCACGGTCAATGCTGCCCAGGAGACCTTCAATCGCCTCGTTGATGTTCCGCACGCTTTGTAGCTCTGTCTGTAGCGCCACCTCGCGTGCCTCTTGGCGATCAAAAAGAGTATCGCCAGAATCATGGGGAGCACGAGGCTCCGGTGTAGTTTTCTCGTCGGAGGCTCTGGGGGTGAATTTCTGCGCGACGCCCCGCTTCGACGGTGAATCCCAGAGGTCTTCTGTGTCATCATCCGATAGCTGAAGCCTCTCCATCTCCTCGGCTGTACTGCGAGAATCCATGGTTTATGTTGTGACCTCCGCCCGTAGAGTGTCTCGAAAACAACGGTAAGTTGCGGGGAGCATTTGTGGTCAATTCCCAAGGAACCCAAAGATCGCCATGGGCAGAACATCGCCAGGAACGCGGGGCCTCAGCCACCGGGATTTCCGGGCGGTGAGCCCAGGAAGGGGCTGGCGCTAAACATCCCTTCCGCCCTCGCCCTTTCTTCACATCTTCATACCCACTGCTTTGTTTCGTTGCGCATTGATATCCCCTATTGCTTGTTGAGCATTTCGAATATTATTGCGTTCGACGCGAATCCTGCATTGTATCATTCATTTGTACTGTGTGGGGGCGAACTCACCCTTGGTCTGCTTGATCTCTCAACCCTTGACGACCGACATTTCCCTGAGAAAACCACAAAGAAAAACAAAGAAAAGGAAGCTTGTCGCTGGTAACTGGGAGCCGTGGACACTTGTTCGAATCGACTGTCTTATCGAAATATCCGACAACAACCTTGTGGGCGTTGGACCTTGATTCATAATGGCGACCACACCACCACCACCATCACCGTCGGCCCTGCGGGTCCCTGCCGCTCCTCGCCATGGTGCTGGATATGACCAATATTCGCCTTATCCTACTCGGACGTCAGCCAGACTGGCGAATCAACGGGCCAGATCAATTCAGAGAACTCCTTCACCTGGTTTTGCGAATGGCGATGGCCGAGCGGGCTCTCGAGGGTCACCCAAGAAGCAAAGAAAGGTGGAAGTCCCAAAAGCCTCATCGTCGACCGGAGAGTCCTTTCTATCACCGCCTTCACCGCCCTCCACGGCAAATCGGCGGGGTAAAGCTGCGTATTCACTTTCTATGGCTGCCTCTGCCTCTCACTCATCTGATATTCCTATTCCATTTGCTCTATCCTCTGCACATCGCACCTTCAGATCAACTGTGGAGCAAGGTCTTCTTACTCCTGGCAAGACTCCTGCATCTCACAAAAAGTCCATTTGTGATCCTTCGCCTACTTCTCGCAATCTTTTTCCTCCACGATGTCTCAGGGTAAGCCCTCAAATCTTCCTGGCTCTTCCAGAGGCCAGGATATCGAAATCTACACGGACCCTGAGAACCGTCCGTTTGTACTTGGATTGGATGAAAATGACAACCCCTTCCACGACAAGCCTGGCACCTCCAACTCTCAGGCCCCCACGAAGCCCTCGACTCGCTCTCAAAGCCGTACCAAGCCCCATGAAACGGACCGTAAAGATGGGATCTTCTGTGTTTTGTAAGTATTTCCCGCTCTTGCCTACGATATCACATTCTAACTCTTTTGCAGCCGAGGCAAAAAGGTCTTCCGCAAGTTCCACCAGGAGTTGGACACCGAGGCCGACGAAGATGGCGATGACCTGGGCCTGTTTGCTGCCCGTCCTGACCTCCTCGCCGACAACCCCGATCTCGTGAGGGGCAGCCCGTCTCGCTCCGCCAAGCCTCGTGCCCTCTTCGGTGTACAGCGAAAGCACCATAACGCTGCTGAGGAAGATGGCACGGATGAAGAGGACCATGCCATGGCCGAATCGAGCACTCCTACCGCTACAGTTATGGGTCCTCCTGACGCGCCCGCCGCGCCCGCTGCCCCGAGCCCCACTCGCCTTCTGCGCTCCGCTGCTCGGTATGACCAGAACCAGCTCGATGTGACACCTTCTGTCAAGACCCAGGCAAAGAAGCGCATCAGCCCCTTCGACTACTGGCAGCGCAAAAAGCAGAGTCCCGATGAGCAGGCTGACAGCTCACCTGCTTCTGTGAAGCGGGACGCGGACTCAGTGGGGAGTCCTGAAGCCCCCACTGCAAAGAAGACCCGGGGCACTCATTCCAGGGCCGGTGCATCCAGCACCCCCAAGGTCTGAGATGGAGTGCGCCGTTGGCCTTCGGGCCATTCTTCCAAAAAGCAACTGTTCTGAGTTGCATTTCGCATTGTTTTAGCGATTGCTTTTGTGTGTTCTGAGTTTCGTTTCAGCTTGTTTTAACCTGCTTTGCTTTTTTGTTGTTTTGTTTTCAGTATTTTCTCTCTTTCTCACACCAGAGCCTTGGACAGCTGGCTTCCCTCAGTGTGGCGCTCCCAGCAGTGCTTACTGCTGCCTATACCTCCTGTCCTTGTGCCCTGGCTGTGGTTACCATTTGTTTAATGGCTGGGGGCGTTTGTGTTTCTTTTCTTTTCTTGTTCTTTCTTTCTTTCTTTTTTTTTTTACTATAATGACTATGATGTGTCTGCTGGGTTTCCTGGATTGCTTTTCTTACTTTAATCTCTCTTTTTCCCAGTAAACAGGCGTCTCGGGTTCGCATTTGGGGGAATTTAGGGATATCTGGTAACGACCATGCACTGGAAGATAATGGAGTTGATTTGTTTTTTTTTCCTCATGTTGTTTTTTTGCTTTTTTTTTAATGGTTTTCTTTTGATCTTTAGCTGGCTGTGGTAATCCACATTGTTTTCGATGGGCTTGGTCTCTAGGCAACGATCTTCTCGTTCGACCATCCCTAGTTTGAGCTTGGATGGCCATCTGAGGACTAGTCACCTAATTGAATGGTAAATTGGATTGTTCGATCACATCTCTATTTAGCAAACATACCCCATCTCCTTCGCTTTCAATTGTCCTAGAATTCCGTGTTCTTGTCGTATGCATGGTACCTATGTCTACCTAGGTAACCCTCCAGGGCTGTAGCAGAGGATTTCATGCTGGATTCAATCTGCTGCTTTTGAGCAATGATTTCATGCTCAAATAGATAGACACCTGTATTCTCACCTCTCTACTACACATAGATAAGCCATCTCGATTTGAGACCCGCAGCTCTGTGAGTCTGTCGGCGCCAGACAGAGTAAGGCGACACAGCGCAGATACAGTCAGACTTGTACCCTGCAGATCTGGAATATACCTCCTCTGCTCCCCATACTTAAATCCCAGGAATGCTACCTTGTAAGCACCAATCAACCTCAGAAAACTCAAAAGACCACAGACATAAAAATACCATAGACCAGCTATGTGGATTGACAGACTATCAAGTACATTATTCATGTCATCGAATGAAGAAAAACCTGGGATCAGATTCCAATCTTCGATGAACAGACAAAGGGAATTCGTCTCATGCAACCGAGAAAGCTCTAGTTTTGTGTTGGTTGTCGTAACAGCGTTAGGAGAGTATTGTCCCCATCGAGCGAGTTTCAAGTTCAAACGGAGAGAGGGAGAAGGGGGAGAGATCAAGAGGGAATGTGTTAGACCCGTCAAATGATATCCAGTTCATCATCATCGTCCGATACAGCCTGTTTTTCTGAGGGCGTTGCATCGTTGGGACCCCCAAGCTGTCTCGTCCAGCCTCCCGGATACCTTTCGCCGTGATGAAGCGGGTCTTCTTGACGCCGCTACCATGGGGCTTGTCGCCGTCATGGGCACGTTTCTTGGGACTTAAGCGGACGTTGTTGGCTTTTCCGAAACTGGAAAGACTAATACCATTGGTGGATGGTAGAGCCTTGGGCGTTGTGGGCGTGCCCAGGGTCTTCTCCTGGCTTGCATCGGCGGACGGGTTCTCGTTGGCAGTGCGGCTGCGAAGATACTCAGCGCCGACTCCGCCAACGCGGCCAGATACGAGTTTTTGTGTAATATCACGCTCGCGCTGCTGTGTCGCAAGACGCCGACGGAGCCGTTCTTCTTTGTTTTCCATTCCACGGCCCATCATGCCGGCCGCAATGAACGGATCATCACTGGCGTCGATTAGACTCGCTGCCGATTTTCCGGGAGTGGGACTGAAAGAGGTCTGGCTGGAGCCGCGGTTCTTGGGTGCTGGCGCCACGTAATAGAGCGACTGAGACCCCCAGTCGTACTGGGCACCTTCTGGCCTCAGACCATGTCTAGATCCACCACCTCGGCCGTCACCCTTTTTCCCACCCTCGCTGCCAAAGATCCCAGTCCGCTGCCCGGTCCCGCCGCCAGGGCCGAACATCCCGGTTCCGCTGTTGACCCCCATGCGTTGGCCCTGGGTGCGCCGCACCTGGATATCGACATGGAAATCACAATACTCGGTCTTTCGGCCATCCACCCAGGACTGACAAGTTTTACCATCTTTCCTCACAGCCTTGCAAAACCCAATGTCTCGTGAGTATCCGATTTCAAGAACCTTGTCATCGGATGACGACAGAGCCAAACTGAATCGATTGGTGTCTAATTTGTGCTTTGGGGGAGGCATGATCGTGGGGTTCAAGATGGCGATGAGTGTGCCCTCAGAGACCTTGTAGTAACGAGGGAAGGCCGTATCAAATAGAAAAAGGTCGACCGTCCATTTGAGATCAGTTAGCGTCATGACCATATATCGGCTTGTATTGTTGAGGCCATCATCGTAAGGGTCTTGAGGCTTTGCAGAGGCATTCCCCGAATTTTTTACCTCCTTGGGGTCGGACTTGGATGCAACAATTCCAAACACCACAAAATCCCCATCTATCTCTTCTGGGAGCTCAAAAGCGGGTGCCTTGATGGTTCTCAAAAGGTCCGGAATACGGAGGATGGTTTTGTCGCCCAGATTGCGACTCAGGAAAGAATGAGGCAGCACGCGGTTCGATAGATGCAGCGAAGAGTAGGACTCAAATTTCGATGCATCGGGTGCTTTTTTCAGGGGACCAGTTCCTTCGGCTCCACCCCCATGTTGATGGTCCTTCTCTCGTGATGACACCGCCTCCGACTCCGTTGTATGGTTTCGCCTGTGGAGTTGGGACTGCCTATCTTTAGGATCGGCACTGTCCATTCTGCGAACACTCGGAGTCGTTTGGCTGCGATGAAGGCCGGCAGGGCGCGACTGACCAAGGGATCGGAGAATGTCTTCACGACTGAAACTCTCCGGTTGTCGGGCCCTATTTGCGAACGACGGGGGTGAATTTTTTGCTTCGGCGGCAGCTGCTTTGAAAGACTCCATCTCCGAGCTGTCCAACTGAAATCCCGAGCTTCGGTTGGCCTTGACCTTCTCTGCTCGCTCCATGCGAGACTTTTCGGCTTTCTCAGCCGCTCTGCCTTCCGCCATTCGTTCGCTGAAACTTTTGATTCTGCCCGCTCCTCCCCCTCCAGCAGATGAATGAGGCCTTGCGGCGAATAAATCATTAGAGCGGGGCGTCAGACCGTCTCGAGACCCCAGCTGGCTGTTTGGGCGAGGGTCGGCCCTTGAGCTTGGTGGTCGCTTCAGCGACACATCACTACCCTTCCAGCCCTTGTCGATGCCCATCAGATATCTCCGGGGTGACAAAGGGTCTGTGCTGGGCAACTCCTTTCTCGTTGGGGATACCGGAACCTGGACATCATCGGTGTTCGCCTTCCGGCTCGGCCCTTTAGTGCTTCTAGGAGTCGATGTATAGTCCCGAGATCGCGATGAAGAGCTAATAGCAGAAGCCGGGCGTGCGCGCGTGTCCTCGCCATCATCCACATTCGACCCTGATCTGCCGCGGCTCTTTTGGAGTTGTTTCAATTTGAGGCGAGCTTGGATCTCAGCGAGCTGCAACTGTAGTGTCTCTTCGTCTTCTTCGCGGTCGTCCACATCCTCATCCAAGACCTGCTCTGCCTTTGATCGAAAATTCGGCGTCGTGCTTGAGCGTTTCAACGGCGAGGCCGGGTTATTGCGGCGGCGCTGGATGTCCTGGTACTTTCTCCGCCCACCGGGCGAGCTCAACAGAGCTTCCCGAGGCGATTGAGGCGGCCATGCAGTCTCGACCACTTCATATTGTCAATTTCCATGTAATTCTTGTGCCAGGGTGTGACACTCACTGGTGTTGGGTTGAATTCAAGGAATCAAGGGAGTCCACCATGGAGCTTCATTCCCCGCCCACGCCGTTTCACGGGCACCGAAAATGAGGGGAGTCGAGGCTAGAGAATCGACCTGGCAAGAAAATCAAAGAGAAAAAAAGAAAAGAAAAAAGACACCAAAGAGTTAAGGAAGAAGAAAAGAAGGGAAATGCAGAAAGAAATGAAACAAGCAGAATGGGCGTGATGGATCACATCAGGGCCTGATTGGCGGGCGCGTCGCGTCGCGGCTTCCATTTAACCCTGGCGTCTGCTCGTCTCGCCAACCCATTTGCAAACCATGAAGACTCGAGCAACGGCCCCAGAGCAGCCTGAAGCTCAAGCAGCTCAGACGAAAATGCTTGTCTCTGAAAAGCCTACCAAGTCCTTTATTCTCCCGTCTTCCACAAGTGACAATGCGCGGCTACTCACGCTCCCGAACCCGCAGTCGGGAGAACTAGCCCGCTATTTCTTCTGCCCAGATCGCGGTATATTCGAGTTTACAGTGATCGCACCACCAGCTCAGAATGCGCGGAGTATTCTGTTTACTCCTCAAACGCCTCAATCAACCACCGAGGCCGACGCGACGGAGAAGCCCGCCCCTTCGACAAAAGCAACACTTGCGAAAAAGGCCGAATTGCTGGTTGCAACGCCCATAGATGCAATCTTTTTCCTGGTGCCTTTGCTGTCGCCTTCTTCAAAATCAGGTCATTCTCTGTTTCAGCCGCTGGACGACATTATTGACTCGCAAGATGACCTGCCGACGCATTTTCGTCACGTCCTCTACGACGAAACCTTTCGACCGACCCTTCTGGCGCGCGCAGAAGCCATGAGTGAAATCGTGGAAGCGGGTGAAGAAAAGCTGTTCCGATTCGATGAGACGAAGCTCGTCAGGGAGTTGATCGCCAAGGCTGAGCGCATGGCAGAACAAGAGCTGCCGGTGAGCTTGGAAGAACGGTTTATTCGCCAGGCACTAGCAACGCCTTTGATGTCGGTCAAGCGAGAGGATGTTATGACCAGCCAGGAGTCAAATGACGGCGAGTCGAGTTCTAAGGCGGATGAGAGACAAGATTCACCATCCACCATGGCCACAACTGCCACGCCATCGGTATCAACGCCCGCAGGCGAATCGACGCCAGTATCTCAACCATCGGGAGAAGACTCAGATTCCTCGGATCACATCACCCGTTTACTGCGAATCTCCACAGCGCTGTCGTTCATGAAGGAGTCTTACCTTCCAGAGACCCTCTGTGCTCGATTAGATGAGATCTTCGCTTCCCCGGAGAGCCCAATTGATTTCAAGCCGTTGAAAGACCGTCTCAAGCACCTCGCTGATCTCCGCGCAGAGGCCGTGGCATCGCGGGCAATGACCGACTTCAGCCGGAAGCGAAGTTTGGACGATGAAGAGGTGGAGGCACGCGCTGAGAAAAAGCGCCGCAAGGAGGAGGAAGAAAAGAACAAAAAAGCTGCCGAGTCTCGAGGTGTGCGGGACCTGAAGAAGGTCAACACAACTGGCATGAAGAAGATGAGCGACTTCTTCACGAGATCAGCCACCAAGAAAAAGTCTTGAATGCTTCGCGCGGTGGGCAACAACTTGGGTATTTCCCAACGTGGCCGCATGCTGTTCAGAGAATGCCGAGTGCTTTAGCGGCTTTCTAAACCACGCGAACAGCGTGTTCCAGCCGAATACTGTCTCCGCAAATATCTTCGGTCAACGCGGCCTCCAGACCTTTTTGCATGCTTGACAGAGCCTTCCATGGCTATTGCCAGAATGGAGCATGAGATGAAAGAATTTAGGATGCAGGTTGCTTTCGATGTTGACAAACATCTAACTGCATCAGTCCCGCAGCGGTCGGACTCTAAGATTCAGGGATATTTATGACTGGAATGTTGTTTGGACCTGGCGATTCCTCAATCATGGCGGGTCTATCTAGTAGCGCCTTACTGTCGCCCTGGTGGGTTTTTTGAACGTTTGGATTTGGAGATATCATATGCAACCCTACTTGGATGGGCCTTGTATCGAAATAATTTCAATGGTTTAGAGAGAAATTTGGTCAATTGCAGCGCCCGTGATCCTGAATTTTGACAGAAGTTAGTCATAAATCCTCAATCTTTCAAAGGGGTCAACGTACACAAACGAGCCATTGGACGGCTTGCTGATAACCATAGCCTGCTCCAGCTTTTCTGCACTGATATCAGGGAACTTCTTGAGATAGTACTCGTTCCGGAGGGCAGTGGTAACCGCCTCGACCTTGCCCTGTGGCAGCATATGAACGGTGCAGCCACCCCATCCGGCTCCTGTCAGCCGGCTCCCCCAGGTACCAGCACGGCGGGCAATAGAGCAAATATCATCGACCTCGGGGGCACTGCAGTCGTAAGCAGTGCGGCACGACTCCTGAGACTCGTTCAGCAGCTGGCCCAGGTAGTGGATGCGCTTCTCGTCGAGCTGAGCCGCCTTGTTCAGGCATGCCTTGAAATCCAGTACGCGGCGGGCCTCCTTGAAGCAGTGCAGGGCGCGCTGGCGCAGGAGGAAGCGCTCCGCCTGGACGGGGAACGCGGACAGGAAGGTCGACTCCAGCTCTGGAACACTAATCCCCAGCAGCTGTGCCATCTCCTCGCGCGTGTAGCCCTGCTCCTGTGTTAATAGATCCATTGTCGCCTGGATCACCGAGTCGATCTGGTACTCCAGCGGGTCCTGGAGCCGCTCTTCCTTGGTCATCAGCTCGAGTTGGAAGTTGCGGAGGCTGTATCCCAGCGAGCTGTTGTCCTTGGGGAGCGTTAGTCCGTAGTGCTTGGCCAGGATCACTGCGGCCAGTGTGCACTCTGCCACTCGGAGGTTATAGTGGCGCGGCGCGGTGTCGGCCTTGTTCGAGGTGACGAAGCTCTGCGCCATCAGGAAGGTGATTTCGTCAGCGGCTGTTGGAATTGAGACGTGCTCGACTTTGAACTTGGGGAAGAACTGTGTGTAGAGTAGGTAGCCCCGCTTAGAGAAGATGGATGCTGCTTGGTCCATTCTGTTTGAAGTTTCTTCGTGTTAGGACTCCTGTACTTTTTCTTTTTCTAGTATATTCAATACTTGCGTGGATCTTGACTTACCCGCCTGAGTACACCCCAACGGCCCGCTCCGAAACCACAGCCAGATCCAGGAGGTCCTGCTTCGACACATTGTGGTTGTTGGCCTTCATGACGGCCAGGGCACTGGCGCACACGAAGGCCGCACTGCTCGAGATACCTCCGCCTGGGGGCACGTTGCCATCGACCAAAATCTCCATGCTAGCCGGAATGAGCGAGCCATCCGACTTCGTCTTGCGCAGGAATTTCAAGGCACCCAGAAGACCCGCCTTGAAGTAGTTAATCCACTCGTGCTTCTTGGGATCAATCTCGATGTCGGCATCGTGCGGAACGCTGAACTCGCGTGTGGGGAATTTCTCCGGCGTGACATTCGCAATCTTGACGGTGGTCCCGGCGCTGGCGGGGACCACCTTGACGGCCATGATCACGTCAACGCTGACGGCGGTCGGGAGGACATCGTACAGTGAGTAGTCGATGTGTTCGCCGATGATGTTGACGCGGCCGGGACTGCGCGCGACAAAGTCCGGGCGGTGGTTGTACAGCTTCTGGAACTGCGAGACCAGCCCCGTCCATCGCTGCTGGTGTTCCGGTGCGACCGAGATCACGGAGGCATCGTCGGTCGCATAGACCTCCGCGATGGATTCCGTCTGCGGCACGAGCTCCTGCGGGGAAGACATGGCGGGGCAAGGGTTCAATGAGAAATGCGAAAGAGAGGAAAATGAAGACAAGAAAACAGTCAAAATAAAAGAAAGCAAAAGGAAAGCAAAAGGAAAGTAAAATGAAAACGGAAAATAACAATGTAACGGTAGATGGAAGCCCCAGTCTCCGGGTAAATTGAAGAGTGGGGAGTGACGTTTTCGGTGTCCCGTTGTAGTTGGCCCTTTGCGGGGGGCTTTGGCCGTATATTATTGGCACATTTAGCTCTTGTCCGAGACATATTGTATGAATTATATAAATTATATAAATTATATGAGCTATACTAAACTACACATCACATAACTATTGTGGCCCGTACGATTCTTCTATCAAAGCATCCCCACAACTACAATATACTGTTGACACTCTCTATCTTCTCTGCTAAAGTCGATGGTTTGGATTGTAAATATTTTTCAGTATTCAATAGAGATACATTCTACAAAATAACATATATTTTTCTATATAAGCTTAGGGTGACATTGTGGCTAAAAGTTAGTCGGATTGTAGAGATTTCGATTAAAAATGAGTTGTTTCCTATATATTATGACTTGATTACACCAAGAAAGATCTATATTCTTTAATAGTGGTATATTATATAGATTCTATGTATTAGTTCTAGAAAGATATCTTTATCTGAGATATTTAAGTTTAAAGTTATACAATTGCCTGAAATTTGAGGTGCCCGGTTAACTTTTGGACCCCATTGTATATACGCGGCGAGGAAAACCATGTACCTACTTCTTCAGAAACGAAATTGCCAGTTTGTCCCCGGGGAAGGTATGAAACCAATGAGAAGGTCGATCTCGCAGGACAAGAGTCTTTGGCGTCGTACAAGCGTAGAATCCCGGGCCGATTGTCAACGACCTGCCCGTGTTTCCGTGCAACACTTCGGGGATTTTATCCCTCGAGCCCGATAGAGATCGGCAACTGAGCACAGACCCAAGGGAAATGCCGGGGTCCAAACTACCTAAAATGAACATGTTAGATAACAAAGGCCAAGTGACTGATATTCCCTGTATCTGAGGTACTTATTGAGTACCGAGGAAGGCACTACAATTTACTCACAGAGCCAAGTAGTCCCGGTGTACCTGGGGTGCACCTGTACGACCGGAAGGACCAACACGTGGTACGGAAACAGATCAGGTGACTTGGCCGAGGTCGGAGGAGCAGAGGGATCTCGGACCAATCAGCGGGCGGGAATTGCTTGACTCAGAGAGTTGAGTTCAAGTCGATTTCTCCATCTCAAATCGCAGGGCGAAATACTCAATTTTCCTCTCCCGCACTCCCCTCTCCGCTCTTCCCTGTGCTTCGGGCTTGGCTGTCATCCACCATGATGATGCCGCTGAGACCTTCCAAAAGTGCTCTGCGCACAGTTCATCTCCAGAGGCATCTTGCCTCGGGGAAACGGTCCTTCTCAACTTCATTTGTGGCGGCCTCGCCCCATCGCTCTTCTCTTCAGAAGCGTGGACAGAGCACTGCAACGGCTCCTACCTCGTGAGTCTTTCATGTTCTCTGCTTCTGCCAATGTTTCCATCCTGACCTTTCTCTCTGTGCCAGGGATTTTAGGCCTAGGCCGAGTCCGGCTTTCAACCAAGAACCTCACCGCAATGAAATCTCTCCTCTCCAGCACCGCCAGCCGGCCGAGCTCGATGACTCGTATGTGCCATTGTCCCGTTTCCTCCTGTTTGAAATGCTTACCCCCAAGAGACTGAGACTTACTGGGGAAATTTAGAATGGTCGGATTGAGCGGTGGAGAAATCTTCCATGAGATGATGCTTCGCCTGGGTGTGAAGCATGTCTGTAAGTGACACCGTTCAGATTGAGGATTTGGCAAATGCTAATTGGTGGCACTCTAGTCGGTTACCCTGGTGGTGCTATTCTTCCCGTGTTCGATGCTATCTACAACTCAAAACACTTCGACTTCGTCCTCCCCAAGCACGAGCAAGGTGCCGGTCACATGGCTGAGGGCTATGCCCGTGCATCTGGAAAGCCTGGTGTGGTCCTCGTCACCTCCGGTCCTGGTGCAACCAATGTCATCACTCCCATGCAAGATGCTTTGTCTGACGGCACCCCGATGGTGGTTTTCTGCGGTCAGGTTGCGACCAGTGCGATTGGAACCGACTCCTTCCAAGAGGCTGACGTGGTTGGTATCTCCCGGGCATGTACCAAGTGGAATGTGATGGTGAAATCTGTCGGCGAGCTGCCTCGCCGGATTCAAGAGGCGTTTGAGATCGCGACGACAGGTCGTCCCGGTCCGGTTCTGGTCGACTTGCCCAAGGATGTCACTGCCGGCATCCTCCGCAACCCTATCCCCATGCACAGCACCATTCCCTCCCTGCCAAGCGCCGCGACCATGGCCGCCCATGACTTGAGCAAGAAGCAGCTGGAGGCCACCATCAACCGTGTTGCTCGTCTCGTGAATGTTGCCGAGAAGCCCGTCCTTTACGTCGGCCAGGGTCTCCTCGCTCGTCCTGATGGCCCCCAGATTCTGAAGGAGTTCTCGGATAAGGCTTGCATCCCGGTTACTACCACTCTGCAGGGTCTCGGTGGATTCGATGAGACAGATCCCAAGGCCCTGCACATGCTGGGCATGCACGGGTCTGCCTACGCCAACATGGCCATGCAGGAAGCCGATTTGATTATCGCCGTTGGTGCCCGTTTCGACGACCGTGTGACCCTCAACATTCCCAAGTTCGCCCCGCAGGCTAAGCAGGCTGCCGCCGAAGGCCGTGGTGGTATTGTGCACTTTGAGATCATCCCCAAGAACATCAACAAGGTTGTCCAGGCCACCGAGGCCGTTGAGGGTGACTGCGCCGATAACCTCCGTCTGCTGCTGCCCCAGGTCACGCATGTGCCTGAGCGCCCCGAATGGTTCGAGCAGATCAATGACTGGAAGGCCCGTTTCCCCCTGTCGCTCTATGAGCGCCAGACTGATGACGGCCCGATCAAGCCCCAGTCTGTGATCGAGAAGCTCAGTGAGCTTACCGCCCACATGAAGGAGAAGACCATCATTACTACTGGTGTGGGCCAGCACCAGATGTGGGCCGCCCAGCACTTCCGCTGGCGCCACCCACGAACCATGATCACCTCAGGTGGTCTTGGTACTATGGGTTACGGTCTTCCCTCAGCCATTGGTGCTAAGGTGGCCCGTCCCGACTGTCTGGTTGTTGACATTGATGGTGACGCTTCGTTCAACATGACCCTGACCGAGCTCTCCACTGCTGCCCAGTTCAACATTGGTGTCAAGGTTCTTCTCCTCAACAACGAGGAGCAGGGCATGGTGACACAATGGTAAGCCCTGGTTTAATATTTCTTTATTTGAACCTTTATGAATAACAATGTGCTCTAGGCAAAATCTGTTCTACGAGGACCGGTACTCGCACACCCACCAGCAGAACCCCGACTTCGTTCCTCTCGCCCGCTCCATGCGTGTCGCCGCCGAGCGGGTCTCAAGAACTGCAGATGTTGAGAGCAAGCTGAAGTGGCTGATTGAGCAGGATGGCCCTGCCCTGTTGGAGGTCATCACTGACCGCAAAGTTCCTGTCCTCCCCATGGTGCCGACTGGTCTGGGTCTGCACGAGTTCCTGGTCTATGATGAAGGTATGCAAAACCCCGGGTTCTGAGAGAAGAAATGAGCTCCAGCTAACTCAGTTGACTTCTTACCTGACAGCCAAGGAGCAGGAGCGCAAGGCCCTGATGCGGAAGCGGAACGTGGACTTCGAAGTCAACCACCGTGATTAAATGCCCCGAGATGGGTGGCCAACTAAAAAAAGAATGTCCACCTTGACCATCCTCTTGTTTACCGTTGATATCCATGGCGTTTCTCTGGCGTCTTCACCAAACCAAAAGCAACTGGAGGCTAACATCTGTCGACTCGAAGAAAAAGAGAGAAGAAAAAAAAAAAAAAAAGTTATATCACAAAAAAAGGTCTCCGCCTTTTATGTGGGGATATTTGCTTCCAATGTCCCCCTTCTGAACACTGTTATATCACAACCAGGTGGCCTGTCAAGTGAACTGAATTGTGACATTTGATTTTTTTGTTCAGTCCAACTTCTTTCCACATCTCGGGTTTTTCTTTTCTTTATCCTGCCTTGATATTCTCTTTTTTTGTGTATATAATCATTGACCTCTCAAATCCCCTGAGTATGCAGGATACCGGAAATTGCGCTTTCAGGCGCTGCTGAAGCAGAGCAGATAGTAAATAAAAGCAATTCTTTGATGCTCACCTATGTTCCAATGCATGTTTCCGAGACTATTGGTTTTTTCTGCTAACTTGCAGAGTTGCAGTGTCTTTTCAAAATCTTTACCCTTCTTGCCCTCTAGTGTCTTGCTGCCTCTTCGCACCAGTCTTCAGTGGTAACTGCATAATAATTTTAAGGCCTGTTACGGTAGACACTGCATGCAGCCGTTGTATACCTTTGTAGCTGGTTGTTTGAGTATGTTTGACTGGCCATTGTATATGGGTGCCTCTGATCTGCCTAAAAAGAGTCATGGGGATAGCTATGCTGATAGCCATGTCGATATAAAGGCGGAAATGGCCATCGCCCAGCTAAATACCTTTTGCATCATCCCTATCCTCATTCTCATCCTCCTCACCATTCTCTCAGATTCCCTTCATCATATCTTCCTTCTCGGAGACATCTACCAGTCACATTGCATCCGACAGAGCCAATAGATTCTCTCACAAGCAGATTAGCATCATGCCTCCCGGGTAAGTCTTTTCCTATTAAGAGTCGTTGGCATAAAACTGTCCTGAATCATTGCTTATATGAAGGAATACAGTATATGCTATGAATTCGCCAACACGGGAACTTGTAAGTACAAGAATTGCAAGTTTCTCCATGTGAAGGACGACGAACGCGAAAGGACCAAAGCCCCGGACAACCCCAGTCAGACGCCCCAAGCGTCGACAAGTCCTATCGAATTCTGAGAGAGAATTACGAGCATGGAAGGACTTCATTCCTCATGCAACCACCCGGCCGCTTGGAACCGGACTGTCATGGTTCTTCCAGACGGCAAAACAACTGATCAAGATTGATATCGGCATACTGCAAGATGTCATTCAAAGTCTGGCAAGTGAAGGAGGCCTGAGGTGTATGCAGGAGCTGGTTCAACAGAACTTTGAGGCGATGTCCTCTCAGTTGAAGAACACTGTCTTCAATATGCAAGTCTTGCCTTTCCTGGAGACAGTATCTCATCCTGATGTGCTCTGGTCGCTGGTGCTGGAGCAGTCGGTCGGGACCATTTACAACTTCCTGTTCGGCATTGGCGGGGCCAGAGCGGCCCCTCTGCTGAACTACATCTGCGAGATCCTCGAGGCAAGCAAAAGGGATGAATCTGGCGCATGGCGACTAGAAGTATCTCTGCTCGTGTTTTCCCGCATTGTGGATCTCAACTCCACGGCACTCGTCCAGGAAAGCCTTCATACCCAAGCGAAGTGATTCGCAGATGTTTTTGTTTCCATGGAAGCCGATATGCCAGACCTGCTTCATAATGCGCGCGCACATCTGGAACGACTCCTACGTCGTCTGGAGATTGGGAGCTCATTGCTCAAGGATGAGGTGGATCTCCGCTGTCTCTCTCAAGTCGATGTCATCGGCATGACCACAACAGGGCTTTCTTGGAGGATAAATATGCTTCGACGACTGCGATGCAAAGTGGTTATATGCGAAGAGGCTGGTGAGGTTCTCGAGTCGCACCTGCTCGCAGCTTTTCTGCCTTCGGTGGAACATGCGATTCTCATCGGTGATCATCTTCAGCTGCGACCACAGATTCAAAACTTTGACCTTTCCCGGGAAAATCCCCGAGGCGGTGCGCAGTATTCACTCGATGTGTCGCTGTTTGAAAGACTAGTGAAGCCGGGGGACAGCCCTATGGGCTGCGGGCTCCCATTCAGTACACTGTACCCGGAATTGAAAGATTCCTCATCTGTCGAAGAATACCCGGAAGTAGCGGGCATGAGAAAGCGACTGTTCTGGCTGGGTCATCGAATGCCTGAAGGGGATGCATCCAACGCCGATGCGATGTCAACTTCTCACTGGAACAGTTTCGAGATCGACATGAACACGGCACTGGTCAACCATCTAGTTCGACAAGGTCAATACAAGGGCGGGGATATTGCGGTGCTCGCCCCATACTTGGGTCAACTTCACCGACTGAGAGAAAGACTGAGTGGATCCTTTGTAATTGCATTGGGGGACCGTGACCAGAATGATCTGAGCAAAGGAGGCTTTGCGGATGATTCCGACGAGGAATCTGTTGTCAAAACTCCTTTGTTGCATACTCTTCGGGTGGCAACCGTGGACAATTTCCAAGGCGAGGAGGCCAAGGTCGTCGTGATCTCTCTGGTCAGAAGCAGCTCGCGGAGCCAGTGCGGTTTCCTACGCACTTCGAATCGGATCAATGTTCTTTTGTCGAGAGCACAGCATGGCATGTACATCATCGGCAATTCAGAGACCTCGACTCATGTGCCCATGTGGGCTCAAGTTATCGAAATCCTGGACCGGGAGGGAAACATTGGGGAGGCTTTGGAGCTCAAATGTCCTCGTCATCCCGACAGAGCTATTACTGTCTCTGGGCCAGATGACTTCCCACAACTTTCCCCAGAAGCTGGCTGCAATTTGCGCTGCGTACATCGTCTGGCATGCGGCCATGCCTGTGCGCAAAAGTGTCATGCGGACATTCTTCACAACGCTGTTTACTGCCTCGAACCAAAAGCCAGGCCGCTGAAGGGATGCACTCACCTGTGCCCTAAGAAATGTGGTGATGATTGCCCAAAGACTTGCTTGGTCAATGTTTTCAAGGCAGATCGGGTTCTCGAGTGTGGGCATTCAATGCCAAATCTTCCATGTTGGCAAAATCAAGACATCTCGACGGTTCGTTGTCCGGTGAAGGTGAATAAAGTAGTCACAGGGTGCAATCATACTGTCTCGGTGGCGTGCTGGGTGAATGTGGCCTCGGTCGATTATCATTGCAGGGCCGTATGCCGTGCTCCCTTGCCTTGTGGCCATGCATGCAAGAGGCAATGCTTCGAATGTGTCAAAAGAGAGGAGAAAGGAGACCTTCAAATCAATCATGACAGGTGCCAGCAACAGTGTGGCCAAATCTACACTACATGCGCCCATATTTGCACTGCTACATGTCATAGTGACAACAAGACCTGTCCGCCATGTCGTGCCGCCTGCGACGTGTATTGCGTTGCGGCCATTCCAAATGCTCGCGGCTCTGCTATGAGCCTTGCGCCCTTTGTGCGGAAATAAAATGTCTCTCTGCCTGCCCTCATAGTGTGTGCTCAATGCCTTGCGCGGCACCATGCGATCATATTCCATGTTCCAAAAGATGCGACAAAGTGCTTGAATGTGGCCACCAGTGTCCATCACTGTGTGGAGAAAAATGCCCATCCTCGTTCTACTGCCAGATCTGTGGGAACGAGGACATTTTGAGCCATGAAGTCGACTTCATCCTCTGCCAGACTTACCAGGAGATCAAACTGAACGAGAACCCGTGTATATTCCCCGTATGTGGTCATTTTCTGACCATGGAAAGCATGGATGCGCAGATGGACCTGAAACGGTACTATGTTGTCGATGAAGAGGACAGGCCCACTGCCATCAAAACTGCGGCACCCCCCTTCTCTATAGAGGATATAAAAACGTGTGCCACTTGCCGTGGCCCGTTGAGAGATATCGCCAGATACGGCCGGCTGGTTCGTCGCGCGTTGCTTGATGAGTCGACGAGAAAACTGATTCTCTGCCTCAATCAAACATATGTCCCACTTACAAAAGAGCTTCCCAGGCGCGTTCGACAGCTACAAGAGGATAGTTCGAGAAGGTCGTGCTTGTTATCTTTTCCATCAATCTGAGTGATTCGCGAGATAATCTCATCCAGATCATGAAGGGGATGGTTCAGAACGCACACCCCCGGGCGCCAGGCTTCGATTTTGGAACTACAAAGGCAGGTGAATGAGTATTGCAGCAAAGTGCAACCTAAAGAACAGCCCTTCGAAAAGGTTCGCAGCATGGTTGAAACCGCTCGACGACGCCAGAAAACAACAGGCAAAATGGAGTTCGAAGACAATATCCTCCAGACCAAGGGCTTTCTCCAGGGAACAGCCCTCATCCTCCCTCTTGACCTTGCTTTACTGGCCGACTTCTTGTCACTCGCACGGAATGCCGGGTCAACCGGACACCAAGTGTTGGTTCAGTTAGAAGAGGTCCGCAATGGATGCCAACTCCTCATCAACAGTGCTTCTGCACACAATCGACTACCACAGCAGGTGGAGGGCCGTCTTTTTCTGGTACAGCTGTATGCGCTCGCGCGGTCGCATTCCACAATGAAGGTTGGAGAGAAGTTGAGACAGGAAGCTCATAATATTCTTGATGAAGCCAGGCATCTTTGCATGCAATACTCCGGGCAAACACAGGGGTTGGCTGAGGAAATTGACGGCGCTGAAAAGATGCTCTCAGGAGGAACCTTCTACACTGCCGTCACCAACGAGGAGCGCATAGCGGTCATCTCAGCCATGGCGCGCGAATTCCGAGGCACTGGACATTGGTACTATTGCCGCAACGGACATCCATTCACCATCGGAGACTGTGGAGCAGCGATGCAGTTTGAGTATCCGGAGTGCGGCAGCCCTGTAGGAGGCCATGCCACGAGGCTGGCAGAGGGAGTTACCAGGGCAAATGATATGGAGAGAGCTCTGACGGATGAGTTGGAAAGAAACCTGGGAAATCTGGCGCTGTGAGCATTGGAGTGTGAGGTTGTAGGATTAAATTCGAATTAGCGAGGTGAAATGTGAAGAATCCATGGATATTGTGACGTTCTGGGGAACCGTTCCCCCCCCCTCAAAACTGCCCGTCTAAGCGGATCCTCCGATCATCTCCAACACAACTCCTTCGCCTCCCCTCCCCCACGCCCGTCTATGAACCGATGAATTGATTGACCTTCTGTAATTGAGGGCCCCCCTTGCACCATCATCGCATTGCAGGTGCTTACCGCCTACTCTCCCTCCTAACCTCATCCGCGCCCACGATGGCCAGCCCACCGCCCGTCCCCGAGGACCAGACCCGCCTCCTCGAGGAGGCGTTGGGGGTGGTGAGGCAGCAGTCCGGCATGATGCGCAAATGTCTGGAGACGCCGGGGAAGCTTATGGATGCGCTCAAATGCGGGTGAGAGCTCTTCAGGTTCCTAGGCAGCGACAAGTCGGGCGCAATGGGTTCGTGTACTGATTGACGTTGATGGTACAGCTCGACACTTGTCTCCGAATTGCGAACCCCCAGCCTCGGTCCCAAACAGTACTATGAATTGTACATGGCCGTGTTCGATGCGCTGCGACATCTCTCCGTCTACCTGAAAGAAAACCACCCCGTCAACCACCTTGCCGATCTATACGAGCTGGTCCAATATGCCGGCAATATCGTCCCTCGTCTATACCTGATGATTACCGTGGGCACTGTGTATATGTCGGTTGAAGATGCGCCGGTCAAGGAGATTATGAAGGACATGATGGAGATGAGTCGGGGCATCCAGCACCCGACCCGTGGCCTGTTCTTGCGATACTACCTGTCCGGCCAGGCAAGAGATTACCTGCCGACGGGGACTGGTGATGGCCCAGAAGGTAACATGCAGGATTCGATCAACTTCGTTTTGACGAATTTCGTGGAGATGAATAAGCTCTGGGTTCGACTTCAACACCAGGGTCCGTCCCGGGAACGCGAACGCCGGATACAGGAACGCCGCGAGCTGGAACTGCTCGTAGGCAGCAATATTGTCCGACTGAGCCAGTTGGTGGATCTTGAGGGGTACAAATCTGGAATTTTGCAAGCCCTCTTGGAACAAGTCGTGCAATGCCGAGATGTCTTGGCGCAAGAATATCTGCTGGAAGGTACGGCTTGTCCTGGTCATACAATATCCCCGGTCATTTACTGATTTTTTGAAATAGTCATTACAAAGGTCTTCCCAGATGAGTTCCATCTTCACACCCTGGATCTCTTGCTCTCTGCGATTGCTCGACTCAACCCCCATGTCGACCTGAAGAAAATAGTCATTGGGTTGATGGACCGTCTGTCCTCCTATGCAGCTCGGGAAGGAGACTCAACTGCAGAGCCCGAGGTGCGGGGAAAGAGCGAAGAAGAAGCTGTAGCTCGTTTGTTGCAAAAACTCGAGCTTTCCAAGGAATCTAAACAGCCAGAACCTACCGAAGAGGCTGCGATGAGCAGTCCTTCCAAGGAGAATGGCGCCGAGGAACCACCCAAGGATCGCGAAGAGCCATCAGAACCTACCACAGAAGACAAGCAAGCCGCCAACGGGGGCGAGGCGAAACCTGGGATTCCCCCAGAAATCAAGCTATACGATATCTTCCACGACCAGGTGGTCAATCTGATCAAGACCCGCCTGTTACCGATTCAAGATACCATGGCGCTCCTCGTGTCACTCGTCAATCTCGCGCTGAATATTTATCCGGATCGGTTGGAATATGTCGACCAGGTCCTCGACTTTGCAACCCAGAAGACGGCCGAGTACGCCGATCATGCCGACCTTCACTCGGCGCCGACGCAGCAACATATTCTCCACCTTCTCAATGCCCCCCTCCGTTGTTATGTTTCGATCTTCACAGCCTTGGCACTACCACACTATCTACCCCTTTTGACCTCACAGTCGTACCCCACTCGGAGAGCCATTGCAGGAGAGGTGATCCGGACTCTTTTGAAGGACAAGATCCTAATCTCGACTCCGGAGAACCTCGATCGTGTGCTCCAAGTGGCGAAGGTGCTGATCAAGGAGGGTTTGCAACAGTCCACCGGATACCCCGGGGTACAGTCCCAGCGACGCGGGGGAGAGACCGACGAGACAATCGAGGAGCAAGGATGGCTGGCCAGATTAGTACATTTGATCCAGGCGTCGAACAACGACACTCAACTGAAGGTATAGTAGCTCTGGTCGGTCTATTGGGGGTGGGCTAACATAATTGGCAATAGCTTCTTCAAGCAACGCGCAAGGCATACACTGATGGCAACGAGCGCATCCGCTATACCACACCGGCCATTGTGACCGCCTCGATCCGGTTGGCCCGGAAATTGAAGGCGCGTGAGCACTACGATGACAATTGGCAATCACAGTCGTCTGCCCTCTACCGATTCATGCACCAGTGTATCAATAACCTGTACCAACGAGTGAACCCCGGGTGTGCGGACCTGGCGCTTCGATTGTTTGTGATGTGCGGTGAAGTCGCGGACCAGACTGGTTTCGAGGAGGTTAGCTACGAGTTCTTCGCACAGGCGTTCACCATCTATGAGGATGCGATCAGCGATTCGCGCGCCCAGTTCCAGGCTGTCTGCGTCATCGCGGGTGCCCTGCATGGCACCCGTGGCTTCTCCAAGGAGAACTATGATACCCTGATCACGAAGGCCGCGCTGCACGGAAGCAAGCTTCTCAAGAAACCGGACCAGTGCCGCGCGGTGTATCTTGCAAGCCATCTCTGGTGGGTGGTCGAGAACCCGCAACGCGGAGAAGAGGATCCCAAGAATGTAAGGTTTTTTTTTTTCTTCTTCTTTCTGCTGTTACTTCTCTTTGCGTTCAATTCCAAGTTCATCTGTACTAACACGAAAACTCACTAGCTTTACCGCGACGGCAAACGAGTCCTCGAATGTCTCCAGCGTGCCCTCCGCGTGGCAGATGCCTGCATGGACACCGCCGTCTCCGTCGAGCTCTTCGTCGAAATCCTCAACCGCTACGTCTACTATTTCGATCAGCAGAACGAGACCGTCACCACCAAGTACCTCAACGGACTCATCGAGCTCATTCACTCCAACCTACAGACCAGCGAGGACGAGCCTAACCCGAACCTCGACGGGCCCAAGCGTCATTTCCACCGCACGCTGGAGTATATTCGCACTCGGGAGTATGAGGGTGTGGTGACGGAGTCTCGGCAGTAAATGAATTGAGGAAAGTGCGCGCGGCACGCATGTTAGATATCCCTTGCTTGGTTGGTTTGAGTTGTGGGTTTGTTGGAACGTCCGCCGTGGAAAGATGGAAGATAGCGTTGCAGGATATTTGTATCCAAGTACCATTCCCTAATTATAGGTGTCTTTTTTCCTTAGCGGACGTGTTACCGGTAAATTCTACCGCAGTGTAGGGTGCAGATTGTCACCATCGAAGACTACAGGCCCATCACATCACCCAAGTACAACTACAAAATCCAGAACAGAAAAGGACGAAGAAACCTTCGATCATGCAATTGGTCAAGGCCGATGACGGAGGGGATAGACCCGATCTCCCCGGATATCGCTGCATAATGTGAAAAAAAGAGAAGCCCAGTAACTCATACCATACAGACACACACATAAAACCAAACCCGGATGCCCCCGAAGTTCACGTAAGACGTAAAGCGCAGAGACTAATCAACAAAGGACAAGAAATTTCAAACCCCATGTTCAGTTAGCACCGAAGAAAAGAGACACCACCAAGAAGAAAATGTTGGGAGGGCGTGAGAGTATGACGTGAATCCGTGACGCTGCAATAAACAAAAAGAGAACAAGAAAAAAGAAGTCGTCATGCCAGCAAGAGTGGTTCAGCGGAGCAGAACGACCCGAGTTCCGATCTTAGAAAAGGACACGGAAAAGCGAAAGAAGAAAAGTGAACCGCTAATGGAATGGATGATGCATCGCGGGATTACGAAGTCCCGCCGTACAACCCAGTCGGAGGCGAGGAGTACTGTCGGAACACCGACGAAGCGCCAAATCCACCGAATGGCGCCAAGTTGCTCGTCCCGGGAATCGGGCTGCCGATATCACCCGGCACGATGCTGCCCCTATGACCAGGAACCGCGCTGTTGGTATCCGGCTCGAACTTGACATGTCGACCGTTCTCGTTTTCTCTGATCGAGAACGATCCGCCGCCGTTCTGAGGGTTGCCCTCCGTGTCGCAGATATCTAGCATTTCACCCAACGAGATAGAAGGCTCCGCCGAAGGACGCAGCTGTTCTACCTGCTGGAGAACATGATTCACGTCGTGGAAACCGCCGGCGCCTTTCTGCTGGCTCGTCATGTTGAGCTGCTTGCAAGCCTGAATCACCAGGAGACGGATGGTGACGGGTCGAGACGTATGCGGCCGATGATGACCACCGGCTGCAAAAACATTTTCAGCCCAACCACTCCCTGCAAAATGTTAGCACAAGAGCTATAACCCCATATGGAAAAAAGAATGCTCACCAGGAATTCCCCAGGTGGAGGAGCCAGGAAAAGCAGAGTTTGCGAATGGCGCACCCCAAGTATTCCCGCCTACCCCAGAGCCAACCGCAAAGTTGTTTTGCTTGGTTCCTATCAAGATATTAGCCAACTCATTCTGTGATAAATTGCCGAGTCTACTCACCTAGAGGCTCCGTGAACAGTGATGACCCCTGGAAACTAGCTCTCGCTGGCCCCGGGAAGGATCCAGGAGCCGTGGCACCGGGCAATGATTGAGACAGCTTAGATGAATATGGAGCATCGGTATCATCAAGAAGCGCGCTGCTCCCTAGATGAGAGCTCAAGTCATCCACATCTCGCTGTGACGGACCTTGACCATTGACCTGCTGGTCCTGCGAAGTGCTTGACGGGCGATGAATAGGGCTGGGTCGGGTGATCGGGAATGGCTGGGAACCATGTTCAAGCGGGGAGCGATCAAAAGAACTAGACGGTTGTCGTGAATGAGCTTTTGGTAGACCTGCCTGTTGCATCGGGAATGCGCCAGTCGCCCCATGATGTCCGGAGAACGGCAGGCCATGTCCAGGGTCAGGCGGGAATCCCCGGCCCGGTGGCATCGGACGCACGCCGTTAATGCCAGGCGGTGCAGGGATACCGCCAGGTCCATTAAATCCCCGCAAGTGATTCATCATTCCAGAGTTCGGCGAGTACATTTGCAACTCGGGTGGAAGAGACGGTCGTTGACCCATGCCGGGTAGACCTGGAGGGTTGGACGGCAAGCCACCCAGTCCCGAGAATCCAGGAGGGTTTGTCCGACTTAAAGGTGACAGTGGTGCTGAAGGCTGAGGGTGATGTAATGGGGGCGGCTGCTGGTAGCTTTGTCTGCTCCCAATGGTCGACGCCCCCGACTGCCCCATTGAGCGCGGCGAGATAGACGTGGGATGGGACAGATCGGCGCTTGCAGGCTGCGAGTGTGGAGACGAACTGTATGAGCCCTGCTGGGACGGCTGTCGTGTTCTGGCAGGAGTTGACACTTTATGGGCGATGGGACTAGCCACCGAGTAACGCGGAGATTGCAAGGGACCCGAAGGGGCGTGGGACTGCAGGTTTGGCGGAATAGGAACTGGCCCTGGGTGTGGGGGTGGGTATTTCGGTTGAGAGGGAGCTTCGCGCTTCCCACCACGCTCCTTGGCTTCCTGTTCGGCCTTGACTGCCGCCTCTCGGTCCTTCTTCGCTTGCTCCTCGCGCAGCTTGCGCTCTCGCTCCTCCTTGGCCTTCTGTTCTCGGGCTTCGCGCTCCTCCTTTTCCTTGTGCTTGGCTTCCTCGCGTCGCTTCTTCTCTTCCCGTTGCTCACGTTGTTTGCGCTCAGCCTCGGCTTGTCGCTCCCTTTCTTCCTTCAGTCGTCGCTGCTTCTCGGCTTCCTTGCGCACGCGCTCCTCTTCCTGGGCCTTCCGTTCGGCTTCGCGCTTCTTCCGTTGCTCTTCACGCTTTAAGCGCTGTTCCTCAAGCTTCTTCTCCTGCACGGCTTTTGCCGCAGCCTCCTCGGCCGCCTTCTCGGCTTCCCGACGAGCTTTTTCTTCCTCCTTGGCCTGCTTTTGAAGCCGCTTCTTGTCCTTTCGCTTTTGCGCCTCGCGGGCCTTCTTGGCATTGCGCTGCTCATTTCGTGTCTCTTCTTCCATCAGTTCCTCGAGGAGTTGTTTCTGGCGCTGTTCGGCGACCTTTTCTCGATATGCTGTCATAACCCGTTGCTCAAACATCCGGGCAGCAAAGATCTGGAACATTCGCCGCCCTTCTTGCATGCGCTGTTCCTCGGTCATAGCATCCTGCCGTAGCTGTCAGTAACAAAACGACAAAAGGTTGAACTCGAGCGCTAACCATTTCGTCCTCATCGAACTCTTCTTCTTCCTGACTGTCATAGTCTTCTTCATCTTCCTCCTCTTCTTCTTCGTCATCGTACTCCTCATCGTCGAGAGGACCGTGGTTATGACCTCCATGGAAGGATTGGTGGGCAGCAGCTATGCCGTACTGGGTGTCTTCTTCCCGTTGCATTCGGCGCTCGGCCAACTGCTCCATCATATCGATGAAGTGTTTTCCGTCATTTTTGAGAAGATCGTCTGCAACAGTAAGAATACCATCTGGAAGCACAAAAACGAACGAAGAGAGTAAGAATCAGCCAAGCTTCATGATATCAAGCGAGGGTCATCCCACATACCTTTAACGGTCAAGCTGTTTCCGAAAGCAAAGAAATCGGCACGCGCAGCGCGGGCTTCTTCATCTTCGAGCTCGTCTTCACTGTACAGTTCATCGTCCTCTTCTTCCTCTTCCTCCTCCTCCTCTTCTTCCTCCTCGTCGTATTCTTCTTCCAAGTCATCCTCATCCTCGGGAAGCTCCTGAACTCGACCTCGAGACGGGTGGAACTGGCCGTGGGTGCGAGTATGCTGACCAGGTGATCGGAGAGGGGGCTGATACAATCGCGGGGGAGGGATGATGGGTGCCCCTTCGTCGAAGGAGCCTTGGTTGTTGTTCGCGTACTGCTCGAGCTCTTCGTAGTATGCGTCGTACAGAACCTCCAGTTCCTCCTCGATGGCGGTACGTTTTCGGCCACAGACTGTGCAGCTGCAAGAATGCTTTTGCTGCTCTTTCATCTTCTTGAGCACTGCATCCTTCTCCACCTTGACCAGTTGTCGCCGTTCCTCTTCGCCCAGTTCAAACCAGAACGTCCTAATGTTCTCGCGTTCCTCAAGTGATGACTGGTTCCAGATCCCGCCCTCCTTGGTAGGTCGGACTGGGTACCGGCTGACATATGGCAAGGTCGGTGGGGGTGGCGGAGGGTGGGAGAAAGTAGCGGAGGGAGTCGAGAGGGGAGTTGAGCTTCCATCGGCAATGGTGTGAGAACCAGAACGACCTTTCTTATTTTTCTTCTTCTTGGATTTCCCGCCCGCGGCAGTCCCATCCAAATCGGTCATTATCGGTTGGTGGAGGTGGTGATGTGCCCCCACTGATTTGCCATTTGCATAATCGGTACTGGTAGCCATGGGGTGCGATTCGGTGTCATCGAATTCCTGACTTCCATCGTGGGAGTGCTGATCATCAGTCATGGGTAGCTCCGCATCTCCGGGGGTGCGGGGATCGGGGTGTTGCGCGGCGAGACGAGCAGCCTGTTTCTGTCGACGTTTTTGCTTCTTGCGATTCACAGTAGGCCCAGATGCATCGGCTGTCCCGGTGGATGTGCTGGGGCCCCGCGCATGGGCCTCGCCGTTGGTAGCTGGCGTCGGGGTAGCAGGCTCTCGAGTTGCCATGATGGATGAGGATTGAGTTGTAGAAACTGCCTCAGCACCATACTAAGAATCCAGGAGAGAAACGTCAGTCAAGAAGGCAACGCCAGGAGAGGGTGGAGGCGGGGGGGGGACAAAAGTAAGAGGCTAGGCGGAGAGCGGAAGAGTCAAAGAACATACCAACAAAGCTCCGCAGAGTCCCACGCAGGAGCCAACTCAGCAGAGTAATCCCCCCTTTCACGTAAGTACAAAAACAATCGATCGCTTGCTTTGTTGTTTCACTCTCAGAGGGCTTTTGTTGTGGCAAATGGGAGGGGTCGATGAGGGTAAGCGTATGGAGGGGGTTGAAAGGAAGGCCAGGATCCTGGCGGGTCGAGTGTGTTCAGATGCTCGAGACAAGGTGCCAAGGCGCTGGAGGATGGAGGGAAAGAAACAGCCAGGAAGATCCCGGGCCAGCCAGATCGCGAAGTCCTGAAGACGCGGGTCGTATGAGGCACAACTGACTGAATGGCGGATGATGGACGGAGACGATGGCTTTCCTGCTCTCTGGCTGGTTGTCGTGCCGCCGCAACGGGATAGCCGCCGCAAGCGAGATTGGTGCCTAGAGACTCAGGCAGAATGTCACAGTTGTCAGGTGAACCAACCATGCAATGCTATTCTATGAAATTCCGTAGGATAGTGTTTGTATTTAGTCAATCCCGACAGTCTCAAGTGGTCGATCTTTGTGTAGAGGCATCCTGCACGGTGGACCTTGCTGGCGCCGCCATTCACAGATCACGTGGAGTAGCATACCGCCTAATTCTGCTCGATATTGACGTGTGCGGTGTGTCACGTGGTCGTTAGGAAAGTATCCAAATAGGAAGGTATCGGGTCTGCTCCACCATAGGAGAAACTGTGTGAGACAGTCACGGCGCTAAACAAAAATAACAATTGGGAGTAAATCGCTACCAGGAAGAGAGAGTGACGAGAGGAAGACGGAGAAAATATTCTTTGGGAATTTCTATTCTAGTCCCAATGCGCCAGAAATCCTCGTAGCCGGTCTCCCCTTCAACTTATGTACTTCCCTTTAGCCGGCTTGAGTCTTAGATTATTTTTTCCCCTTCTTCTCCTCGACTTCCAAGGCTCTCTAACTCTCTCTCTCTCTCTTTTACATCTATCTTCTTCACGTGGTGATCATTACAGGGATCCTGGGGTTCCCATTCCCTCAGCCCCAGCGCGACCGCCTTCCCCCCCCCCCCCCAACCCTGGCCCCGTCACGTCACTGTTTTGGTGTGTATCTTCAGGCCACCCAGTCTCTCATCGTTGTTGGACCTCTTGGGCGCGAACAGTCTGTGTTTTTGCACAGGGCTGAACTCTTCAAATCTCGCTTCTGTGGTTCTTGCGGACTGAATAGTCCCCTGCCCCCCCCCCCCAACTCCCAATCCAGCTTCCATTACCTTCGGTTTATTTTCAACGATTCTTGAGGATTGCAAAGGCAATCTGGTCTGCCATTGAAGATGGCACAACAGCAGAATGATAATGTGATGCGAAGGTGTGTGTGCATCTTGTTTTGGTCTTGCGATGCCTCGAACTCGCCGTCAACACCTCGAACCCGACCGGAAGAAGGCACCGCCCTCATCTACAGTGCCATTGTTGATGGGATCGGGGCGGTAACTCGTGGTTGCGGCATTTCCTAATACTAACCTGACCCTCTATCTAGGAAGTTGGTCATCATTGGAGACGGTGCTTGTGGAAAAACCAGTTTACTCAGTGTCTTCACCCTTGGCTATTTCCCAACTGTGAGTTCGACCCCTCAGGCACAAGATGCAAGGGACAGGAGAGGCTAATCGATGCTCCAATTATAGCACTATGTTCGTTGACGATCCGATCTGCAGTGAAACGCACGTTTCAACTGACTATTCTGATCATTAGGTGCCGACGGTATTCGAGAACTACGTGACGGATTGTCGAGTCGATGGTCGCTCAGTGCAATTAGCACTTTGGGATACCGCGGGACAAGAAGACTACGAGAGATTACGACCACTGGCCTACTCCAAAGCACATGTTCTTCTGATCGGATTCGCGGTGGACACGCCAGATTCGCTGGCCAACGTGAAGCACAAGGTTCGTCTTGAGGGTTATTTCAAGCTTTTTTCTGTCTTCATCTCTGACATTGTCCGGTATAGTGGATCGAAGAAGCGAACGAACGATGTCCCGGTGTGCCGATTATCCTGGTCGGCCTGAAGAAGGATCTCCGTGAAGACCCGCTGGCGATCGAAGAAATGCGCAAAAAGTCGCTGAAGTTCATCACGACCAAAGAAGGCCACGAGACCGGAACACAAGTTGGAGCGCGCAAATACCTCGAGTGCTCATCCTTGACGGGCGAGGGTGTCGACGACGTCTTCGAGGCGGCCACACGCGCCGCACTCCTCACATTCGACAAGCGCAAAAGCTCATGCTGCGTGGTTCTATAATGACTCGATTTTGTTTTGCCAATCGCCGACATTTTCTGCGTCAGCGCTCCTCTCTCTTCTCGGCTTGGAATTCGACCCACGTTGGTTTGGCTGTCGAATCGACCGCCACGCTTCGTTGTATTATGCATCACTGGCGTTTGGGAGGTTTCTTTCTTGTTTCTGCTTTCTTTTTTTCTTCGAGTGTCCACCCGATCAATTGACCTGGGTACGTCTGCTTTCCAGCACTTTGAACTGTGTCTATTTTCCTCGGGAGTACATTCTTACGTCTTTCCTTTGGGTCACTCCTTTTTTGTTGAACCTCATGCACGTTGCAGCTCGGATTTCTCTCCCTTGTCATGTCGATTCCCCGAAGCGCATTGCGATTCCACTCATTATGATTCCCTTCTTGTCGTGTAGTAATTCCGGTCTTATGTTTTTTATCTTGCGATGGTTTCATACACAGCCCACTTGTTGCCTTTTCAGGGACTATATAATCCACTTCTTCGCCACGATACTATGGCATTCCGATGGGACTTGTGCGCACCATTGCTGAAACATGTAAGATCAAAAAGACCAGTGCCATTTCTTCTTGGACCAAAGAAAAAAAAAATAGACAAATGCATATAGTACATCAGCGCCAAATGATACACAAACCCCCGATTCCCGGGCCACAAGTGTACAATTCACCAATCGATGAGTTCCCCAGCCCGACAAAAGAGCCAACCAGAAATAGAAAGGAGTCAACCTCCCCCTCAAAATCAAGATTTCTTCACCGGCCTCGTCCATTCATGATTCCACCCCTCAGCCGAAGGCGACTCGGTCTGCAGACGGCCATACTCGATGGGGAACAGATCGGTGAAAACGCCCTTCTTGTTCATGGACACGCGGAACAGCTTGCCGCCATCGCCGGCGCCAGTGCGCAGCTCCTCGCACGCGCTCTGCATGCTCTGGTACTGGCGCATCAGCTCGAGCTCCTGGCTGCGGCGCTGCTTGGCCTGCAGGAGGTGCCAGGCGCGGTGGATGGTCCAGTGGCGGAGGTGGCGGTTGCGCGAGAAGCGGAGGGGGCGGGGGGTGATGGGGTGGTGGAGGAAGTAGCGAATCAGGGCTGTTTTTTTGTTGAATTGTTGTTTAGTATATGCGTACCTTTGTGTTCGTGTGGGGGGGAAGGGGATGATGATGATCCCGGGGACATTGGAGAATGGGAATTGAACTCGTTGAACTCTGCTGAGACGTACTAACTCGTCTATCTCCCTGCCATTTGCCCTGCGCTGCTCCCGTCGATGAGAACGGCGCTGATTGTATGACGGCGGTGGTCGGGCCGGGTTGTATTGCTTGCCGGTTCAGGGTCTCGTGGCATACCCGCGAGACAGTCGGGCGGGCGGGAATCAGGGACATGGGGATGCGGAAGACATTCGCAAGAGGTGCGAGCGCCGGTGATAAATACCGCATTGTGGGATCTGTGGAGTGGGAGAGGATGTTGGAGTTGTACGGGGGAATAATTCCTTGACGGCAGAATCTTGGCCGCCTATTTAGCCGCGCGCTTATCGTCGCGTTCCTCGTGCCGTGCAAGTACTCGATTGATTTGTATTCGACTTCGTTCTTTTTTCTCCTTTCTTCTTTTTGTCTATTGTTCTCCAAATGATATTGTGTAGATTGCTTAACAAATTTAAAAAGTCATAAGGCCAGAAATTCAACGATAGATTCACAGATTCAAGCATGTTGCAAGTCGTAAGGCATCACAGTCAAATATGCGCATAGAATGACCGTCCCGCCAAAATCGTCAGAATGCCATCAAGAAACGCCATGGAATGCAATCAACACGCCGAGAATAAGAGGGGAGGGAAACCAAGACAAGACACTATCAAAGGATCTACCGCCTGGCATGCTTTTTCGCTCGGTCATAGTTCAACACTTTACGTCGCCGGTGAGTCTGCGCCAGCTTCCACCGACAGTACAGCACCAGCGCATCTTTCAGCAGCACGAAAACACATCCGCCCACCACACTGCGGCCCCACCGGGTTTGGAGAAGTCCCGAGCGGCCGCGTTCAAGGACAGAGGATGGCGTCGTCCAGGATTTAGGCAGAACATACTTCAACAAGCCACCCACCGAAGCCGAAATGGCCGGGAACACAAGTGCCCCGAGAACGACATCCGCAAGGTTGCCGGTATCATGGATGATTTCGTTCTGTCGCCGCCCAAGCCCCAAGACGGGCCCGTGGTTTTGGTCCGCACCCTGGCCCTGGCCCTGTTCCGCTGGGCCGGGACCATCCTGACCCTCTCCAGCGGGGAGGCCTTGCGCTTCTGCCGGGTCATCCTCGTTGCCCATGCCCACTTGCAACTCCAGGTCGAACTCCATAAGAATCTGTCCATTTGCATTTTCTCCAAACCGGTTCAGGCCCTCGGCCTGATCTTGCTGTTGGGCATCATCTAAAATCTCCTCCGCCGCACGAGGCTGGACCTCGGCAATCCATTTTCTTTCCAACTGGCCAAAGAGCCGGTCATACATTGCGCCATAGAAACTTTTGACGTAGGGAAGGGCGGCGAAGGTCATAGCGGGAGTGGGTGGCCACAGGTCAAAGTCAGCTTCCTGTCCCGGGTTGTGGGCAGCGAAGAAGAGGACGGGGATGGCTGGGAGTAGGCCCTCGGCGTAACGCGTGCGGGAGAAGATCAGCACGAGAGGGATCAGAGGCAATCCGAGATTTAGTCCAGGATTCCATATACCATCCACACTCTCCTCCATTATTTGTTTGGCTTCCTCGGTCCCGAAAACAAGATACATTGAGTAAGCACCATGTGCACAGCATCCCGCCCATACCGTCCCGGCCACGGTGAATACCATGCCCGGCAAGACCAGTCGCCCCGCTATCCGCTCCATCAGGCGAAGAATATCGACAATGTAGCTGCGTGGGCGAGTGACGACAATCTCGGTCTTGCATTGAGGACACACCATCTTTGCACCGGCGCCATTGCCTCTGCGCGACCGCGGGTTCTCTAGGTCTGCAAGCCAGTCTAGCAAACAAGCCTCATGGGCTGTTAAAGCACATGGGCACGGCGACCGCCATTCCGAATTGAGCGGCGACTCCTCCGTCTCGTCTGTATAGCAAATCCAACACTTGCGTGGTTCGTCGTGATTGGAGGTATCAACGGGAACTGAGGGTCGACTGGCGGGCTTGGTGGAGACGTTGGTCACACTTTCTGCACTCTGGGTGGAGGAAGGGCTCTTGTTCAGAAACACCGTCTCGGTATCCTCCATCGATTCAGCCTGGGGCGTTGCGCCGTCGTGCATGGTGGAGCTTCCGTCAAGGTTGGCGGATGTGGAGCCATCAGAGGATCGAGTCCTGCCTGCTGCAGAATAGCCTGGGACAGATGCCATGGTTGCGACGAGTATATCAAGCACCGTCGGTGCGGAGAGAATCGGAATAATCGACTTGAAGCTCAAGAGGTAAAGCCAAGGATAGGGCTCAGCATCTTCCGAGTAGAGGAATGCAGCATGTGGTTCAGGGTAAAAATGATCAGAGGAACTGTTCAGGACTTGGGAACATCCCCTAAATCGTAGACAGCTCCATGCAAGTGGAGGTGCACCGATGAAAGCCTCGGATGCGATTCACGGCTTCGGGGTCACGTGTAATCACGTCAGAGTTGACGGTCACACGGAAAACGCCGAAAACAACCTCGACATCAACACCCTGAAATTTATACTATACCCATAAATAATGGCCATAAATTTGAAGTCACTTGATGGCTGAAAATGGAGAAGCAAAACTATAGAAAAGATAGAGATTCTGAATAAAAAGAACTTTTACTCCCTTTAAGAGGCTTTATTCTCTATTTACTATATTTTTGGGATATATAGGCAATAAGACTATAAGGATATGGATTTTACTCTCTCATATGCCTTCTAAAGTCGTCTGGGCGAGGCGAGGGTCAGTAGGTTGTATGGTGAAGTATCCACCGATGGAAGAGCTGGCCACAGAGGAAAGTATATTTAATGGATTTCTTCCGGGGATATCACACTATGCAAAGATCACTTTAGAAGACATGGTTCTATAATGCTGAGTAGTTCATGCTGCTCCAATTATTCGCAGTGGTACATTGCTAGCTCCTACCGTTTGGAACTCGCCTGCAATTGTGAGAGAAACCTTCCACTCCAGCGTATGAGTGTGCCGGATACTCCACGAAGTAAAAGTGGGGTAGACGGAGGCTCTGGATAGATAGCGCTTTTTCCCGGACGTTAGACCATTGGGATGGAGGAAAAGCTGGAATATACTGCCGAGATCGATCGGCTCATTGCCCTTTCCAATCGATATCACCAATGGGGTCTGGATATCCCTAAAAGCCGTTTCAAGCTTAAAGTCCATAGAAGACAATATTGTGTCGCCGCGGACATTCTCTTTGTCGTAGGTCGGGGCGCGAGCTGAAGTCCGACGCCAAAGGAGTATCTTGAGTTCATGAATATGGACATCCGGTGTGACTTCTTTGACGTTGGTGCTGATCTTATCGCGCTGAGGTACCACATTCAATGTTATGGGAATAGGCGACGGATGATCCAGCTGGAGAACGTGAGGAAAAGTAAATTCGACTTGATAATGGAATTCTGGCACGCTGGATGATCCAAAGGCCTTGAGGGTCTTTTGTTTGAGCGACAGACTCTTATTCTCCATTCCTGGTAGCAGCCGCTGACTCTGGATCTTGCCCTGAGTCCGGGATACCTGCAAGCTGAACAAGTCGGCTTCCTCCACGGGGTACCTTACAGTGACCGGCCAGGTCACGGTGTGAGCTTCAGCCGAGCCACTGCGAATGTATCGCAACTCGGATTTCAGAAAATACTCCACATAGGCCTCGCAGGAGCCAATGGTGCTTTTCCCTGCCGAAATAAAGGATCCAGGCAATACATGGCAAGCAGGATCGTCTTTGTTGAGTGGAAGAAAGCTGGCCTTTTGAATCCGGTTTTGTGTCACCGTGTCGATGGGCTCCGTCGGAATATCAATGGAGAATGGCCAGCTGAGCGACTCGTCGCTACCCTCAGCGAGGTGCAAGGGCCCGCGCGAAATAACATCTAGTTTGTGGTTGATGAGATTCCATTCGCTGCGGTAATGAGTGTACTTGTGTTGACTGTAGGTGCCGGGCCCCTCCTGTTCTGAGATTCGGACCCTTAAGCGACCGATCAGGCCTAGTGTCACGATGGCGTCGGGTGCGACGATCGGCGCGTGGCGCACCACGTTGCCGATGATAGTGTCACCCGGAGAAAACGTCCAACCTGGAGGTGCCGCAACGTCAAATTTGAGGTCTTCGGGTGCTGTGGAAGGTGGCATGCTGTGTCTGTGTAAGTGCAAAGAAGGCGGCCTTGGCTCAGGACAGGTAGAAGTACCCCCGGTGTTACAATCGAGCACGGTGGGGGTGAACGAGTGGATCTGCGAGCCCCAGGAACAGCGCCCATCCGTCATCGTGCCCCGCTGACTCTAGGTTATGGCCCCGCGCTGTTGGGGATGATCATCTCACCTGTATTTTCCAACCCTCCCAAGGTTCGATGAGGCAACCTGTAAATATGTGCCTGTTTGCCAAGGCATGTAAATAATCCGGGGGTGGGAGAATTGTTTATCCGAGATATCCTTCTCCCCGAGGTTTTGAGGTTCCTTTTCTCCCTCCACTCATCTACCTTAGCACAGCCCAGGGTGTTGTTAAGTATGTCCCAGGCTCAGGATCTGCCAGCACACAAGCCTTGCCGTGTCAACCGTGGTGGAATCACACCCTTTTGCCAAAGAACAAGACGCCGAGATTTTCCTTCAACTGGGGTATCACGACCAAAAGATTAGGTTGATGTAGAGGACTCAATCGATGGAAGCTTCAATCTTTGCATTCGAAGCACTTGAGGAACCCAGTTTTGGTCATACATCTCAATGATATGCGGGATACATTCATGTTTCAGGGCTTTGGCGTTCAATCTTCCAGCAAAACTCAAGTATACATCAATGTTCTCACTCACCCAAAAGACAGCACTTATACTATGATACAAATTCGTAGCTCCCCAACGCCAACTTGAAAAGAAAAAAAAAAAAGGCGATGCTACTTCTTCCAAGCATTCTCGATGTTCCCTTCATCTGCGATATGATTGTATGGTCGATCATAACGCTGCTCCACCTCCGCGTTATGCTTCTTCACATCCTCGGGCAAATCTTCTTTCAGGTTCCCCTCCATGTCTGCCATGGGCGATTGCTTCCCATCCTTCAGGGTAGGCTGCGCTTTGTTGGAGGGGACCGGGTGGTTTGGAGCCTGCTCCGTCTCCGAGCTGTGGCCGTCGCCGGATTTGGTGTTGGAGGGGTTTTGCGCGTACGTGCGTCGGGACAGCAAAGTAATGGATGACCGACCGATAGGTTTGAGAGAAAATCGGGCCTGCATTGAGGGCTGGAGTCGTAGGAGGCTGGCCATTATGAAGGGCGGATTTGGTTGAGCCTTGGATTGACAATGCGATAGGGAATAGGAAATCACCCATCGACCCAAGCGATCTTGTGCATACTAAATACTTCTTCACTTATCTCGAAGATCCCGTGGAAATCAGGTTTCCAGCCGTGAAATGGCCCGATATCTCACCAGCTCTGGGCATGACGTAGACGCGCTGTCATACCCGCCAAGAAGTGGATTGAACGCCGATGATTTGAGATCTGCGGAATCAATTCAATGTTGACTGCGATAGCTCCCGCTCTTCGCGTAAGCCGAGAACAACCGTTTTGTGCTCTTTGCTCAGATAATGCGCATCTACAAAAAACCCAGCCAGAAGCCCAACGGCCGCAAAGGCCACATACTAGCGATGGAGTCAGCGATTAGGGCTAACTGCCAAAAACAGCAACTCACCATAATCCACATGGTCCGGAGCGACATATAAAAGGCGTGCCGTGCCGCTAACTTCTGTGTCATGGGGAGCGTCTCAATCAACTCGATGCTGGCGGTGGCACCGCCATCTGCAAGCTGGCTAGCCAGCTTCTCACCCAGAACTCCGACCAGCTTAGGACCTTCTTGTACCATTTGGTTCTGGAATACCACAGCTCCAATTACCACAGACACGGCCGTGGAAAGACTGCGCACAAATCCAATTGTCGCGGTGGCCGTCGCGGTGTTCTCTACGCCAACGATCGCCTGCAATGCCAACAGCGGACCCTCAAAATTGAGACCCACGCCCGCGCCCGAGATAATTTGAAACCCCATAATTTTGCCCCAGTTGGCTGTGTCCTCTAAAATGATGAGGAGCCCGACCCCAAGCGTCAACAGAACCAAGCCGAACCACATGGCAGGTACATATTTGCCAGTTCTCTGAATAAAAATCCCCGTCAGCGCCGCCGAAATGGAAATGGACAGCACAAGCGGCAAGAGATAAACCCCAGACATGATCGGGCTGACGCCGAGCACGGCCTGGAAATAAAGAGGCAGGTAGTACGCCTCGCCCATGAAGATAAACCCATGGCAGAAACAGACCAGGAACGAGGCGACCCCGGACTTGTCTCGAAAAAAGATCAGAGGGATAACCGGGTATTTGACCATCTTCCACTCGTTGACCACGAACAGCCCCACAACCACGACCCCGAATACAATCAGGCACACTACTGTTGCTGAATTCCAGGGATGTGTGGCGCCGCCAAAGTCGAGACCGAGTAGCAGCATGATGGTGCTGCCAATCACGAACACGCAGCCGGACCAATCCACTGCTTTGAGACCATCCCTGATCGGTGTCCGTGGAGTTTCGAGTCTGAGAGTGAACCACAGCAGCACGAAGACGAGGCCCGTGATAGGCACTAAATTGCAGTTAAATCTCTGAAATGGAAGAGAAGGTGTGCCACAGATACATACAGTTGATCCAGAAGCACCAGCGCCAACTGCCATCATATGCCGATATGGTTAGCCATGAACTATACCGCGGTGTCTCCATGAAAGCACCATACTCACGTTGCTCTCTCCGTGAAAATACCCCCAAGCACAGGTGCAACACCACAAGCCAAGGCCCATACCACAGAAATGAGACCAAAATACAAGCCCCGATCTCTCAAGGAGAACAGATCGCTCACACAGATATTCACCAGCGTCAAGAGACCGGCAGACCCTAGTCCTTGCACCGCGCGCCCAAACAAAAGCAGAGCCATAGTATCTCCCACCGAGCAGATTAGGCTGCCCGCAAAGAAGATGACGAGGGCAATCAGCAGCAACGGCTTCCTGCCCCAGATATCCGACACCTTGCCCCAGGCTGGGATGGTCGCCGTGTTGGCCAGGATGTAGGAGCTGCCAATCCATGTGTAGCCGGATTTCGAGTGGAAATGGCCCGCGATAGTGGGCATTGATGTAGTTATGATGGTGACGTCGAGGGCAGCCACAAATACCGCGGCGCATAGCGAAAACATGACGATTGACGTTTCGAGCATGCTGCGACGGGAGGAATCGCCATTTTGTAAGGAAGATGGAACTGTGTGTTGCTGGCTTGTACTGGCCATAGTGACTCAGTGTTTTGCTGCTTTACTTCTTTTTTTGAACATGAAAGAAATCCATATTATATATAGATGGCGTCGTGATCGTAATCGTGTTCGGCATCCCGGGTGGGGCCGGCGATCAACGGGCACACATTTGCTTGCTTGTATTGAAGGAATAGTAAGTAATACATAGATCCACTCCAATCGATTTTTTCCCCGAAAACCGAATCACTAAAAAGTGTAACAAAAAGCTACTGACAAGACTGGGATTCGAACCCAGGTCCCCTGATGGAGATGCGGAAACTGATCAGATCAGTAGTTCAAGTGGGCCTGAACCGCACGCCTTAGACCGCTCGGCCATCTTGCCATAGTTAGGAGAATATTGAAATTTTTCGTTTCAGGAGCCAGTACCAGGGCAAACCAAGCATTTGGCCCCCTACGGCAGCAAAAGCCCTCTGGGCCCTAAGATACCACCAAATAGCAAGCAAGGCACCAGCAGGAAAATGACGAGAAGCGATTAAAAAACCACCATTATCACCACAGACAGAGAGATGAGGTGATTACCGGAGAATTCAAGAAAGACAATTTGGAAAAGAGACTAAGACCAATCCTACGCACCACATATCCAGTTAGGGCACAAAGTTCAGTGGTTAGCATGTTTCGCCATCACCCGAACCCCCTGCGAATCCATCCTTGGCATCGCAACTTGATAATCATGCAAAAACGCAACGTCGCTTGCATCCGTCTCCCAGAGACTCATTTCAAATTTTCGCACCAGTGCCGCCACCACCAGACACAGTTCCGCGCTCGCCAGCTCAACTCCCAAGCATTTCCGGCTTCCCTTATTAAACGCCATTTGGAACTTCCGACGCTCCTGGCCCTCCTCCCCGAGCCAGCGATCGGGGTCAAAGGCAAACGGGTTAGGAAAGACGATCTCGGTCGTGTGTGCGCTCAGAGTAGAGGTACTCATCGGGGTTCCAGCGGGAATCGTATAAGACTTCTGACCCACGGACGAAGAAGAGGCGGTGGCATAGGATGAAGGAGTGTATGTAAATGGCTCAGATACAACACGGGCTGTTCGAATTGTGACGCCGAAGGAGAGCCGGTTCCCTTCTTCGATGACTGCTGACAGGTACGGGAGCTGTTCTAGCTGGGTCCAGCGAGCAGGGCTGGAAACTGTACTGAGCTCTGTGCGTAGCTTGTCGAGAATTGTGGGGTTCGCGATGAGGTGGTAGAAGATGGTGTTCAGCGTGTGGGCGGGCGATTCGGTCCCAGCCAAAACGAGTAAAGCACCTTCCTGCTCGAGTCGCAGCAGGGTCTTTTCCGAGGCCGGTAAGCTCGGGTTATCAAGAACCGAGTCATATACTGATTCTTTCCCTGTTGGGCCTATGGGCTTTTCACTGGTAGCTCCGGATTCTTTGGCTTTCATGATACCGACCAACTCGGCGCGCACTCTCTGTTGAATGTGTTAAAAAAGTCCGAATGGAAAAAAAGGTACATTCCCTCGAAAGCCTTACGTCGAATAGATCCAGCATGTCCATCAGACCAGGGGGCATCATGGGTCTGCTGAGAGAGTGTGGAAGAGATTCCAAAAAGTCGGAGATCCACGGGAGATGCTTGTTCAAATGGATCCCCTGTAGAAGTCGATTGCCGTTATCACGAAGAGTAGCAGCCTTGGTCTCGTCGGCAAGAACATTGCCTTGATGAGCAAAGAGGAAATTAGTGGCAACACTGTTCTTGGTTAGTTGTATGGCATTGCTCATGCGGAATCACAGGACCATACTCATTAGAGAGAGCAAAAAAAGCGTCCGACAAATTCACCGGTGTTTCTGTAGAAGCGTGCTTCCCAATCAATTGGCACAATTGATCAACCTTCTCGGTGATCAAGCGTTCCAGAAACAGAACATTGCGTTTACTGAAAAAGGGCACCAGAGCGTCGCGACGGATTTTATGGAGACTGTGATCCACGGTCGTGCCTACTCCTCCGGGGACTCGAAGGGCTTTGAGTGGGTGGTCATATTTATCCCGACGGGTCATGGACGGTGCATAAATTGTGTTCAAGTAACCGACATCGCTGAGGTGAATCTCATCCGGAGTAATTCGGAGGATGGGGCCTGATAAGACATGACGATATCAATTTGTCGTCCCTGTCTCGGTCTTGTTCATTGTAGATGCCTTGGAACATACCATACTGCTTATGGAGTTCCTGAATCTTGAAAATATACTGGCCAGGCTGAATGGCATCGAAGTAGAACTCATACCACCAGGTCAACGCTGCGAGGCGGGGCCCCGGAATGGAAGCCAGAGGGTGGAAATGGAGTCGCCGAATAGCTTCAGCGACTGTCCATAGCACTATTAAGACCAAAGTGGTCTCGATTATCTGGAGGAGCGCCATAAGGCCTTGCGATTAAGAAAGAGTAATCATTGAAAAACACAAGGATAATGACTGGCTGTTGAATTTAAACACCGGAACATAAGAGTCGAATCAATCGAGTCAGTTGAGTAAGAGTAAGCGGAGGACTCGACGGCCCCGGGGTGTACGAGTCGCAGGATTGACTATGTGGATCCCGAATGCTCCGTCCGCGTGCCAGCTTACAGTTTTGAGTAACACATACATCTAGGAAAATCTATCTCCGCCTGTTTATTTAAATAAGTATTTATGGATTTGATTGCAATGTTCTAAAATGTCTACCGAAACAACATTAGACCCATTGATATTGTTCTTTTGGGTGAATGCTGCTCTACCCAAACGGGACTTTAAAGTCTTGTCTGGTGGAGCATAAACCTGATCTCTTCATTCAACAACACGGCAAGATGGCCGAGCGGTCTAAGGCGTGCGGTTCAGGCCCACTTGAACTACTGATCTGATCAGTTTCCGCATCTCCATCAGGGGACCTGGGTTCGAATCCCAGTCTTGTCAATTGCTTTTTGCTGGTTTATGCTAAATTAGGTATAATTTGTTTTTTAATAAAATGACTTTTTCTGCCGATATGCACATGCTAATCATGCGAGAGAGTCGGGGCTACATCAATAATACTTCTAGGGTTAGGTTCTCGACGTGTCTGCGGATGTCCCCCAACGGGGTATTACATCGTTGATATGCATAGAGTTATTGTAGGGCTTTTAGGTACTAATGAATGGATGACCGCTCAAAGGTAAGATCTAGATTTCCGATATAAAATAAGAAAAAGAAATCATGTCTATCCAAGCTGTATTCCTTCCTGTCATAGCCTCTCGCCTCTTGGAATAAAATATAATAATAAAAAATAATATCTAATCCAATGTTACTCGATTGATCTTCAAAGAGCGTCTTAGGAGAAACCCTGATCTGCTTGCGGACTTGTTCCTCGCCGCTCGGCTACAATTACCTTCATCCCCAGACCAGTGGCCAGCGTCTGCATACATCTGCCGAGGGCTCCATACCCGATTATCCTTGCGTTCTCCTCGCTATATAGTAAATGATCCTTAGCCCTATAAATAACATAGGGCTCGCCGGCTACTCTATCATTAATACAGGCCATGTACTCCTCGAGGAGTCAAGACGTCCAGGAGCGAGTTTGACCATCATCACTACGGTAAGACCTATTCCGCTGGATTATTACTGGTTGCGAGCGTGCCACATAACTTTCATATTCATCGATAAGGAGTCACCCTAGCATATATTTGCGCTGTTTAGAGAAGTTCAGCTACGGTTTGGGGGAATGCCTGCAGATTGACCTCGGCGATGGACTCTATACTTTATCGGCATTATGCATTACCATGTGGCCTGCTGTTTTAAGGAAGTTGAGAGTGAAATGATTGTTTGGTTACGTTCGATGCGCATGGTTGCTGTAAAGCTCGAAGATCCTACCTGGGGAAGTAGGGATTCTCTCTGAGCACCCATCTCGTTCTATGGAACAGGAACGAGACTGTATCCCTGATTTAATATTCAAGGAAGGCTTAGATATGGGAAGAAGTAGCCGGATAATCATAAATTTTATTTGAACAAAAAAGGCCGTCAAGTTGAGGGTGTGAGCCTGTGAGCCTCGCAGGTCAGGCGGCCTTTATTTACAGGATGCAAAATTTTTATAAGATAAAAATTTTGGACTTATAGGGACACACTGCGGAGGCTAAAAAAATGGAAATACTATATATAGCGCTGTGTTTATCGCAGAGGTGGTCTTTTTCTGAGCATTAGTATCCATTCGTTGCCGGCTACAATGCCAGCACCGCTAGGTAGATTTACAACTAGAATATGAGGACCTGTGAAATTGACGCCGAAAATGGCCGCTTTGGAGGCCAGAAACGGCCGCCTTTCCACCCGTAACTTTGGGCCGCGGCGGCCGCACTCTATATAACCCGAAGACCAGGAGGTCCAAGCGCGCTAATTTGAAATTAAAATGGACATGCCCAATGTATTTTCGAGTGGCGGGGAAAGACTGGAACAGTGTGATGGACGTGGCAGATTCGCGTTGGCCTAAGATGCTGGTATCAGAGTCACATAGAGTGGAAGGAAGGTCCCAGGGCCAAGGATTTCCTCAGATTATTGGTCGGGCTCGTGCCGAACCCAACAGATCTATCTTACTTTGAGTGATTTACCCTACTTCGCGATTGATGAAGGAGCCGAACATTCGATACGGGTCGCCATCTAGCTACAATATCTTGTCGAATTCACGCCTGATCTTCCCCGGCAAACGTATGGTGGCGCCTAAATGACAACAAGATCTTCTTTTTCCATTGCGGACAGCTGCAAGCCTGTCCAAGATCAATGCTGGAGGCTCCGTGGATTGCCGTAATAACGATTATTGTCGCAGTGATTGTCAAACAAAGGGAGGGGGTCTTGGCCATGGTCATCGTGCAGCTTCCGAAGAGTCTCTGCGATTACTGAATCTAGCACTCTTCGTCGACTGATCGTGGGTTTTCTTTTTGATGATAAGCGGAGGACATGGACCGGTACAGATAACTTGCATTCGTGGGCCGTTTGGTAGTCATAGTCGGCATTGTTAAGGTCGACAACGAAATAGGAATGCTTGTCGGGGTGAATCGTGACCGCAAGCAAACGAGTGGTGTTATTCCCATGGCGCGCACAGAGGCTATTCTGCACCTCCAAGGTAAATGGACGCATCGATTCTAAATAATCGTTCGGATCAAGAATCCTAGTTGGGGTATCACCCAGTATTCGCATCGTTCCGGTAACATCATCTTCAGGCAACTCGAACAAGACCTCTCGAATTTGGCCCAGGATGCGGTTGCGGATCTGTTGAATTGAGTCGTCCATGGATGGTAAAGGTGTGATTGTGTGGCAATGAATGGGCGTTGCTAACCTCCCCGTGCATATATGGAGAGGATATAAGTCTCGCTTCAATGGAAAGTTCATCATTCTTTGTTGAGCGGGAGGATCAATGTTCTTCCGCGCTTGCCTTCTTTGGGCTGTCCCCAGTCAGCACGAGGAGCGGTGAAGGTTGGTCGCCTTAGTGACAGTGTGGACCCCTCCGTCACACCCAATCGGACCGCATCCCGCCCCAACCAATGCAAGAGCAACAGATCAGCGGCACGCTGATGTCTTCCTTCGATGAAGGCTGAGCCAATCAGAACCTAATAAACATGGGTGATGCAAAATTGAGTGGTGCTATTCGGGTGAGTTCACAGTGCGGCTCTTGCTCAGTTCGAAATAACATCATCCTACCGCCGTCTGTTCACCTCTGTCCCCGCCTTGCCCTGCCTTGCCCCGTCTGTTCATGAATGCAAGTGTATATCAACTTGAGTTACCCCGTTTTCTCTCGGTATCGGTATTTGACTGTCATGCCATGTAGGCCGCGTTCCGCTATTGGTCCGGTTGACTGGCGCGCAGCTAAGCAAAACTGGGTTGTTAGGTCGCGAATTGGGTAGAATCATTTACGGAATATTATTTATCCGCTGACCACGAGATTTTTCAGGAAGCAGGCTGCCGGCCAGCATTCTCAAGCTTCCATAAAATGCAACGCCTACAAGAGAAAAATCGCAGGCTTCGAGATGAACTTCACCGGGAGAGGAAGAAGCATCAAAAGACGCAAGAGGAACTTTCCTAGCAAAGAGAAAGGCATGTTTTAGAATGCAAGATCTGCTATATATAGCCAGATCGCTCGGTGACTATCCTATGTGGGCATATGGTCTGCGAGTTGTGCGCAGGAGATCTTGAAACACCGAAGAGGTGTCCTATCTGTCGAGAGCATTCGCAGGATATATCGGATGCTACCCTTTTGCAGGATAAAGCATTTAACTATATCGTGCTGTAGGTCTAGTTCAATGACTCGAGTTTAAGCACGGAAGCCGTTTTTCTATATTGCTTTCTCCACCGTACCGTAGAGCTATAAAAATATAAAAACAAGAGTGGGTTGCGGTCCAAAACCCTACCTAAAGACGGGATCTTGGATCCTCTAGAGATCAAAAACACACAGGAAGTCCAATAGTAAACGGTCTGCTCCAGATATATACCCGTAATGCGCTCCTGCTGCTTGGCGTCATTAAGCAGCATCAATCCCCAGAGCTGGTACAGTAGGCGGCGATAAAACAGATTTCTTTAGTAGCGACAAGACCCTAGGGACTTGTGAGTCCCAGTAGAGATATTTTCCCACCCGGTCACGGAACGAAGGCCACTCACTGTCGCTGTAGACAACTCCATACGATCGGAGCACGGCCAGAGCTTTCTTGCGCTCCTCCTCGAAGAAACTGGAGTTCGCATCATTATTCGCACGCTGAAGTCGAGTCCTAGACCAGCTCAGGATCATCATCTAGGCCATTAATTCGCTATGGTACCAAGATGTGACCTATGGCTCGAAGACCTTAGACAGACGGGAATCTGCTGTCCCTGCAAGCTTCAGAGTCGGCGGTAATTGTCCGCTACAACACGAAGGAGGTGTTGCTTCTCTGAAAAGGCCTCCACCGTCGGTGGCATGCGGGCATAATAGAACCGTAGCATCTTTAAACGACGACCGCTCACAACACAAACCACCTCTCGGCCTAGAGCACAAGATTCCAAACAACCCGAGATTGCAAGTCATCGGACACAGTCCTCATCAGCCTCGCTGGTTACTCCCTCATCCAGACCCACTGCAGTCGTCAATCCGGTCTCCATTTTTTAGGTGACTGCATGATCATGGGCGGGATTGCGCAGTCGCAGGCCATCTTTGGCCTCGGGATGAAGCATCAGCTGAAACCAGGCGAGACTGCGTTGTTTGCGCTATTGGCGGGTATCAACCCGTGGTGGATTTAAAGATATATCTTCAGAAGCTGGAGAGACTGACGATGACGATAACCGGGTGCTAATACGCCCGACTCCGTATGCCTCGCTTCGCTCGGCCCTATCTGAGGTTGTATCACACAGCCCCGATGCTGTAGATTAGTCTACTACCCCTATTCTCGAGCGTAGACGATTAAGCGTCACCGTGTCCTTGATATTATATCGGCTTAGCTAAAACGCGTGGATCGGCAGTATAGGGAAAGCGAAAACCTAAGAGGGGTATTTACCTAATAAGAGACCTAGCAATATCTTCTATTGTTTAGATTCTATTTAGGGGCCGGGTAAGTATTACGCTTCGGGATCGCTAGATCGATAGGCTTAAGTGTTTTCGGTTTTATTAGTTTAAATAGGATTCTTAAGGTTAAGAGCTTAACGGTGGTAAACGGTAGTAACCGCTCGCTCTAGGCTATTAGGTTCGAACACGAGCCCGAGAGGATCATCGATAAGGTTTTTTTTGCTATTGTATAGTTATAATAAGGCGTAGCACCTATAGCTACTAAGAACTAACCCACGAACTAAGGTAGAGAATATAGATAGGGTAGATATAAAGAAATAGGTCACACGGATAGAGTAGCAAGATAGGTAAGGTAGCGTAGTAAATCAGCGAACTAAGGAGGCTAGGAAGGGTATCGAGGGCAAAAGGACAGAGGGAAAATTCGGGAAATAATAGAATAAGCGAACTACGTTGAGGAAATACTCGATAAAAGAAAATATTAATTAATTCCGTATCGATCGGAATATAAGTAAGTAGTTAGCGAAAATATAAAGCGCTATTTAGGATATAGCTTCCCCTAAAGCCGGGGCGACCTCTTCCCGGCGTTACTTATATAGGTAGAAAGGCGAAAATAATCCTAATAAAGAGCTTAAGGTAGAGGTAAAAAGCCCGGCCGTAGTTTACGACCGAAAAGAAAAAAGGGAGTCGGGTAGGGCTGACGGGGACTCCGATTAGGCGAGACAAATCGCAGGGGCGTAGCAGTGAGTGTAAAGTAGACGGGGTAGAAAGAAAAAAGATAGAGGAAGAAAGGAGGCCAAAAGGAAGGGGAGTTCTTTTATGTGGTGAGGTGACAAGACGGCGTAATAGGGCGTTAAACCGGAAACGGCAAAATTAACCAGAAAAGGGAATTCACAGGTCCTACTATTACAGAATAAAAAGATAGGTCTCACCATGGCCCTGGTATATTAATTTTTAGCAGGAAGAAGATTTGCTGTCTAGGAGAAAAAGAAAGAGATATAAAATAGGAACTGATATAGAATATATAAAATTCCAGCGCAGAAAAAAAATGACAAGACTGGGATTCGAACCCAGGTCCCCTGATGGAGATGCGGAAACTGATACAGAACCAGTGAGTCCAGGTGAGCCTGAACCGCACGCCTTAGACCGCTCGGCCATCTTGCCGTGTTACTGAAACAAACCGCTTTTTAGTGCATAGTAAGCATAGTAAGCAAAACCCCCTTCACTTACTCTAATTAGCAAATCAATATGTCCTACATACATAGCCTTGGAATAACCTACCTGCTAACTAGATGCTTTCTACTTCCCTAATTATGTGCTTGAATATTGATATTAGATCTACCAGCACTTGAAAAATACCGGCTAGTACGCTGTTGCCTTGAAAAATAATTAAAATGAAAAATGTCAGCCTTGATGGTGGAGAAATATAAATCGGAATCTTGCGCTTACAGTGTCATGAACCTTAAGCAAGGCTTAGGAGAAGTCAACTATTTGATCGAATCGGCAATAAGAATCTACTCCAAGTATCAAAGAGCCAAATATACCCAGAAACCCTCAAATATCTTTATCTTGCGCATTCTGTTCATCCCGTCTTTGTTTTTGTTTGTGTTTCAGCGGTTGACCGCCCAGCGCCATCCGCCGCGTGGACACTTTCGGAGTCTCGACTCTTGGAACATTTCAATCCCTCAATCCCCCGCGAAATTCTGTCTTCAGCGACCTCGAATTCAATATTTCATCCGGTCGCTGCTTGACTCTCATCATATCTTAGCCCATCATGACCCTGGCCGAGGAGTTTCGCTCGAGAAACTTCAGTACGTATCACCTTGTGTTCCGACGTTGCGACGTCGATCAGCCCCAGTCTTGCTAATATCGCCATCGCCCAGGCATCTACGGACAATGGTCAGTATACCATGTTGTATCCATTTCCCCAATAATCCCTCCTTCGAACCCGGCCGTGGAGGAAAACCGCAGTTGAAGGATGGCTGCCTAACACCTGGGCGGCACCTGCGACTTCCGAACCCTTGCTTTCGCTCCCCGCAAATAAATGCTCCGGTCTGACAAGGTTATCTCTAGGACGGGTGTGGTAGGCATTGTGCTCTGCTTTGCCCTCGGCATTGCCAACATCTTCACACTACATGCTCTGCGCATCGTGTTTAGTGTTCTCTGCCTGTGAGTTCGACCGCCCGCTGGAAAGTGCGACCAAGTATCCTGACCATATCTAGCTGCTCCGCGTTTGTCCTGATCTTCGTTGAAATCCCCTTCCTCCTCCGCATCTGTCCCACGTCCGGCAAGTTCGATGAGTTCATTCGCCGCTTCACCACCAACTGGATGCGCGCCGCCATGTACACCATCCTGAGCGCTATCCAATGGGCCAGTCTTTGCAGCGGCGCCTCGAGTCTGATTGCTGTTGCGGTGGTGCTCATCATTGCGGCGGCCTTCTATGCGCTGGCCGGCCTTAAGAGCCAGGAGTTTGTCGGTAGCAAGACTCTGGGAGGCCAAGGCATTGCGCAGATGATCGTCTGATGCCTTGACGTCTTAATCGAGACCCTTCCTGCGTGCTCTTTCTACTGGGGCTGGAATGTCTGCTTGTCGGCATATTACCCTGGGCGGTTGATGAAATACCCGATGCTCGATGCCTCCCCAATCGTGATGGGTACCGGGCATTGGAATGCGCCATGATCTCTCTTTATTCTTTCCTTGTCATTCTGTACTTGTATGTCTCCATTTGCTTGGGATGAGCACGCCGAGCATGTCTTTGTTTTCAAAGTCGATGAGCGTTCCTGCAAACATCTTCGGGACTTTCATGTATGGTTAGAGTCCGTGTTAGGTATTATGATTGCTACTCTTTATCTCTGGAGTGACTCGGCCAGCTTGTAATGCCTGTAATGCCTGTTCTGCCGATGGCCATGCATGAATCCATGCTTTCAAGGTTGTCTTGATTGAGATTAACTAAGAGGAATTCATTTGCTCGGCGCTTCTTACTACCACCTCAAGAATCGAGAGTTCCCTATGCTAGTTGCCTAGAGGACTATAATCGAGAATATGCATAAAAACAGCAACATAGACAATCATTTCGGCATATACTGGGTGCATCATAGCACGATATGCACAAAGAAAGACCCGAGTTAGCGCAACAAAAAGAACAGAGACCGAATCCCCCAAAGCTAGCTAGCATATAACAGCATCATGTCCATAATCATTCCCGTATTCAAGCCAGAAGACAAAAGAATCAAACATTAAAGTAGCACAGCGCACTCAAATCAAAAGCAAAAGGCTGGAACTGATTCGTCGTCCCACAAGCCTTATCCCCCTTATCACTGTCATAGTCGTGTCCATTGTACATGAACTGGATTGTGCAGCCCCTCTTACCACCGGGCGGGTTCCAGCACCCAGTAACATTAGTGGGGGAGCTGAGCCCACCCCCAGAGAAGAGGCAGTTGTCACAGACGCTGTCCTTCTGGGTACAGGCTTCGGGGTTGATCTTTTGCCCGTTGGCGTTGAACACCATATTGCTGTTGAAATAGGATCCGCCGCCTTCTCCCTCGCCGCCGGCGCCGCCGGGGTTGGGCACCGTCGTGCCCTCGCACTGCAGCACGAATTGCGAGTTGCCTGATTTATCTTCGGGGCCGTCGCCGCGGCGGGCGAGTGCGTTGTCGGTGGGTGGGATGGCGCTTGCGGCAGTGAGGGTGGTTAGGGTTGTGAGGATGGGGAGGAACTTCATCGTTGGAGAAAGAAGGGTATGTGTGGAATTGATATAGAATGCAGTGGTTGTTTTGCGATTGAATGCAATTGACTCTTTCTGAGAGTCTCCCTTGAGCCGCAAAATGAAGATCTGGGTTGTATTCTTGAAGATGATGAGATGGTTGTTGTCTAAATCTTTCCCCTGGGGTTTTACATGCCCTTTTTATATCTGAAGATGGACAGGAACCGCTAGCTCACCCCACTGCGATCAACACACCGTGCCTGGCCACAAAGCCGGGGGGAGATTTTACGAGCCCTAGCTGCTCTCAGCCAGTAGGGATATCAGGATCTCGAGCATGAGGATGTATATCCGCTTTCATTACTTTACACTAGCATATCCTTAGCCCGATTGCCAGCGTCATCGCTAGCTAGAATCCAAGAGTCGGAGTGAGATCCTCTTGCACATGTAACACATCACGTCGAGATCATCACAGCCCAATGTCTGCCGTATCCCGGTTGCGCGTGGCTTGGGACAGGACGCATGATCCGGGGGGTTACATTTGGCCCCATGGAATTTTAAGAACAGGATGATCCTCAATCGCTGTAGGCATGGTTCAATAAATTTAGATCAAGTTTCTACAATAGATGATCACAGCATATATCAAGTCTCTGAAGAGTGCAAGAATATAGGGCATATACTGTACACATCTGCTACCCTTCTGGTCATAGCTTTGGTTAACCTCCATCCTTCAGGATCTTGCCCTTGAAGCCCTATATGCACAGCAGTGTTTATTATCTCAAGCTGCATATGCATTCTTTTTTTTTTCTTATCCCAATGACAAAATACTGGAGAACTGGGCGCCGAAAAAAAAAAAAAAAAAAATACCCCAAATTCTCTTGCATCATCTCACGATTTGATCGGCACCCGATACAACATAGGACAGGGATCTCGGGGACTATGGCCGGTCGGATTTGATCCACACTGGATCGGTGCTGATCCGTTACTCTATGCATAATCATGATCAACCGTTTGGACGCAATTCATAGGGCAGGGAAAGCATCAGCATGCACCTCCGAGAACTCTCGGCGCATATGATTTGTGAGAAATGTCTCCTCGTGAGGTTAAAGATCGGTGGACTAGAGACCTTCAATTCTCAGCTCGGCAGCAAAGCACTACCGAGTTAGGTATGTCGAACCAACGCATGTTTGAAACTAGTAATTTGCAAGATGCATAACCCTGGCTTGGAGATAACGCATGATTCATGTTGCCCGTCAGTTGGTATATGTTTACCTGCCGAACGTGGTATGCCGACCTGTGTGCTGTACTTCGACTGGATGCACAAGAAGAGTTTGGTTTTTCAAGTCCTGCCGCAGCCTTATCATCAAGCGAGGAGAGAAACAAGATTATCAGATGATGCCGGGATCGGAATTGTGTAACTGATGACGTTAAGCCATCGTGGTTTCTCCCTGATTGGCGTGTCTTCCCCACACGCAACATCCACGGTCCCCGTGGGGGCCGGATCGCCATATATCAACAGTTGTGGCGATCGCACGGACTAGGGTTGTGAGTTTGGGCAGTGTTCTTATTGATTGGTAGGGGTCAAGGCATATAACTGGATAGTGCGAGAGGAGCTGATTATTGTCTGTTGCATGAACCATAGAACCGTGCTGTGATGAAAAAAAAAAAAAAAAACCGATCGGCATTTTCGCTACCATGGACCAGCTACCGGGGGGGGGGGCTGCAAGACAAGGGGGCCAGGATATATCTATCGCATTGAAGCACCTCGGAAGATCAAATGCAACAGCAGATCCCTCTTGGCACATGGGAATTCTTATGCCACTACTACTATTATTTTGCAAGACTAGAGACAATCCTCGCTCTAGACATGTCCTCTACTCAATTTCACGTCACTGAAGAATCCTGGGGCCGCCATTACCGTGCGGTCACCGATAGTAAAGACGGAGGCAAGCGTCACTTCTTCATCGAAAACTCCCAGTTTTCATCCCAAAAGCCCGATATCACTATCCACGACGGGGCCGACATCAATGACTCCGTCATCGGGCTATCCAAGTTCCGGCGCCTTTCATCAGATTGCGATGTCACATTAATCGAGGACGAGCAGACCAATAAGACAGACTGGGTACCTCTGATCAAGAAAGGTCTTGTGTCCGCGAGTTATTCTTTCTATATCCCCATCCAGGGCCAACTAAGCCACCTCGTTTGGAAAAAGACCCGTTCTATGGGCAGCCATTCCAGTCCCTATGCGAACATGAAACTGGTGGACGAGGACAGCCAGAATGTCTTGGCTGTGTTCTCTTCTGATACTTATTCGTTAACCGCGGGTCGTCTGGATATGACCGGGGATTATGGTGAACGGGTTGATCGGATGGTGTTGCTGACTGGTCTTGCGGTGCGAGAACGACAACGACGACAGAATAAGGGTTCTGTACGGGCTCGTCGGGATAGTGTGTTTACGGTTGGGGCTGCGGGTGGTGGTGCTGGTAGTGGCGGTGGTTGCTAGCAGACTGAAAACTCGAGGTAGAGGAATGGGATATTAATTTTAAAATATGGAACTTCAGATGATATCCCGAGCTTTCTTTCTTTCTGTCTATCTTCTATAAACAGAAAAAGCCAAACCTATGATCTCATTGGGAGATAATCAAATACATTACGTTTCCTTAAGATCAAGGCGGTGCCCTGTCATCCTTGTGGAAGTCCTGAATCTTAAGGCGATGTAGGCCAAACAGCAAGAGAAGGCCCTGATATACCAGTCAAGTGTGGCCTGAGTAAACAGGCTGTTTAGTGTAGACACCTAAGGGCAAGTATATACTTGGTCTATGCTGGGATGCTGTCTTGACGTAGAGATCACTTTCCAATCAGTACATAATGAGAAATGATGACCTCTATTAGCCATAAATTATTTAAAGAAAGACATCCTAGAGGCCAAGGACTATCGGTTCACGCATACACACTAGCATGACAATCTGAGGTTTACCCCGCAAATTGATTCTCTGCGGCGGTTATTTACGTAGCGGTCAGCACCGGCCAGAGTGGATCTTCTTTTAGGTCTGCTCACGGGGGTCTACTAACAAAGTTTTCCTAGTCTACTAGTACCTATACTATACTCTAGTCAGGATAAGTGCAACGTGCATATAATGCGGAGAGCTCTCACCGCCTCCACCAGCCAATCCAGCGGCAGTGAATAAGCAAGAGCCTTATCAAGATAGAGGAAGGTGATATCAAGATATCAACGAGACTTAGGGTTCTTAGGGTTAAAAATATCTCTCTCTCTTCGAGTATCTATTTCGGTTTTTCCCAAGATAAGCAAAAATACAAAGGATCCCAGGACCATGGCCGGAAATTGAGGTATGAGGCATTAATTGAATCTCGACCAGTCCATCAATAATAAGGTATTTGCTTATTGGATCCCCGAGAAACAGCGCGGATTATCCCCTCCAACTGATCTCATCGGGGCCTGTAACGCAGTGGCTCAGTGGTGTATGGTCACACCGCTGTAATAAACCGTAATTATCCACTTATAGTAGTGTAACTCATGTCAGGCATGGACAGGTGGGTCTGGCAGAAAGGGCTACATCATCCTCGTTCTGACTCTTCCATTCTGGAATTGCTTCAATTTCTTGGATTCTCTGCCCCCCCCCTTTTTTTTTTTCTTGTATTACTTCTGTCCAATTGACGCTGAACAGATCAATCTGGGTAAGTGTGCTGTGATCTGGTGCAGGCCCCCGACAGTTCCGCCCGTGGTACATTGGTTATGCATGTCACCGTCAGAGTGCCTGCTTCTGCGTTGTCTAGGCATACCCAGACGTGCCTGACTGTCGGCGGCCCACTGCTCCGGCCAAGTCTTGTCTCGCGTCATTTTTTCAGCTGACCAGTTCCCCTCATAGCTTCCTCAATACCTCCACCATGTCAACCCAAACTGCTCCGGTCATCCCCCCCCGACCGGCTCGATCTCCCCAACCGCCCTCATCGATAGACATGCCCATGATCCCCCCACGCCCAAACAACCGAGGAACGGATCGATCAAGTTCCCCAATGCGCGACAGCTATGCCCCATCGCCATTCAATGAATGGAGTGGGCCGAGCATGACCCGGACCGTTTCGAATGATGCGCCACCCCGGCCCCCGAGTGTCACAATACCGTCCCTGGGTGAGGAGGGCATTGAATACGCGGATCTGGATGTGGGGAACCTGTCCGACAGCCATCACCAGACGCCGGCCGAGACTCGCAATGTCAACAGTGAACTCAAGATCCATGCCCCGAGGCCGTCTCTGCCGACGTCGAGTGCAAAGGCCCAGGTGGCGGCGGTCACCCGCACGGATTCTCGGCAGGCCGCAGCAGCAGGCCTTGGTCAGGATCGCTACCCAGCTCATGAGGAGCACGATCGTCCCGGCCGCTCGCTGCACTCTCGGGCCAGTGGCTCGCGGGCCGACTCGACTGCTTCGGACCGCCGACTCTCTGCCCATCTTGGAGATGACCACGGCTTTCGAGTCCCCATGTACCCCAATGCGGGCGATGTCCAGGCGCCCTCGCCAAGCCCGTATCTCGACCAAGGCTCTCAGCGACCGGGCCGCAACCATAACCGCACCCGAAGTGCTCGGGATTCCTCTTTGCCCCCGGGCAGCTATGGCCTGCATGGCCACGGTGTGCAGCACACCGATCAGTTTGAGAAGGCCTGGTATGAGAAACACCCTGACGAATATGCCAAGGAAGAGGGACAGTATGGCCCCGGTGTAGGCACTCCCCGCCCTGATTGGGCTCTGAGCAGTGACGATCTGAACAAAATCGTCAGAACCTCAGCCGCAAGTGGCTCTGGAATTGGTGAGTACCATGATGTAATAATTTTTCTGGACACTCCACTCACATGTCACCAGGCACTTCTCCTGCCATGACGGGCACTCCCGAGGAGGAGGTCGGCTATCTTGCATCGGACGAATATATGCACCGGATGGTTTCTCCGCCGCCGGATGGCCATCATACTTCTCAGCCTGCAGTGGAATCGCCCCTGCGACAGATGAGCTTCCCTGCATCGGAAATACAACCGAAGGATGCACCTGGTTCCTCGTTGCGTCATGGCCGCACCAGCTCACATGGACACCATGAGGGTGAGGTGATTCATGTTGATGACCCGATTCATCATTTGCATCACCCGGATGGATTTACTCCGACTCCAGCACTCGAAGAACATACCCCCGAGGACGAAGAGCCTCCCGAAGAGGAAGAACCAATTCTGGCGGCCGACGAAGTGCGTCCGGAGTCGGCGTATTTGCACCCCGCCATCTCTCCGACTTTTGAGCACCGGGGGAGCTTTGACGAGGACCGCAGTCGCACTCCTAGTGTCTCACATAGCCGCTCGAACAGCCGTTCCGCCAGTGCTCAAGGTGCTAGGCCTTTGCTGACCCGCTGGGACTCGCGGGAGCCGCGCGAAGACATACACACCCCTCTTGAGGATGTGGAGGAGTACGAGCCATTGTTTCCAGAGGAAGAAAAGAAGGAACCTCCTGTCTCGGCCGCCGATCGCTTCAAGAAACGCCCCGACACACTCAAGCACCGTTTCCCTAGTGAAGATATTTGGGAAGATACCCCGAACAGTCTGCAACTCCACGCTACTGTGACCATCCCAGACCTGCCCAAGCATGACTCTGCTGAGACATTTGAGACACCCGAGCAGGAGGCCGCACGGAGGATGCAGACAGATAAGGTCGACTCACACCAAGTGGCCGCTCATATCCTGGAAGGCGAGGGTGCCCGTGAGAAAGCCACGGCTCCTGTGCGACCAGACCTCACGAAGCAGCGGTTCCCCAGCCGTGATATCTGGGAGGATGCTCCCGATAGTCAGCAACTAGTGACCACGGTCGAGCCTGCAGCCGAGGAACTCAAGAGCCCCGAAGTACCCACGAAGCCCATTCTCCCGGCACGCCCGCAGAAACAGCCCCAGTCCACGTCACCGACCGAGAAACGCCAGCCGCCAGTGATTCCCGGCAGACCCAAGCCCCAGATCCCGATTCGGCCTGCTAGACCGAGCTCCAAGCCCTCGGCGGATAATGTGACCCAAGCCCCTTCTGTCGAATCGAAGGAGGCTCCGGCTGTACCCAAGGCGAAGCCCGCGGTACCGGCTCGCCCGAACGGAAGCAAGATCGCCGCATTGAAGGCGGGATTCCTTACCGACCTGAACTCGCGCCTGCAGTTCGGCCCCCAGCAACCCAAGCAGGAGAAGGAGCCCGAGCTGCCGGCCGAAAAGCAGCCTCTCAGCGATGCTCGCAAGGGGAGAGCCCGTGGCCCAGCCCGAAGGAAGCCCGCCGTGGAACCCGCTAAAGCTAAGCTCCCGTCCATCCCCGAGGTTAAGATCACCCAAACCTGGGATGTGTGGCAGATTGGCACAGACGGTGGTTTGGTCGTCGGTGCTGGTGATGTGCTCACCAAGCCTGATCAGCCCTCTGCCGTCCTGACGCAGGTTCCCCCAACTTCCGAGCCGCCCATGGCGTCTCCGCTTGCCAAGAACACTGCAGGCGAGCCCGTCGATCCGACCCTGGAATCTTCTGCTGTTGACGACGTCGCCTCTCCCAGCACGGTCACTGTCTCCCAGGAAGAGTCTCCCCTTGCCCCGGCCTCGACTCTCGAGAGCTCAGAGGGTATTGATTCTGCGTCTGCCACTGAACCCAAGGAGTCTGGGCCATCACCCAAACCGGAGACTGCTGGTATTCCTCAGCCCGGCTTTGAATTCATTCCCGACCCTGACAAGTTAGATGATGCTATCGAGACCATGGCCGCCTCGGCTGATGGCAAGAGGCAATCGGATGGCCAGATCCACGATCAAGAGAATTAGAGCTAGCCTGCGTCGCCCGATACTTGTTTCTGTTATTTCTTACCCTGCCTTTTTTTCATTTTTTTTTTCTTCTACCTTTTCTTCACTTCATGATGTTTGCTTTTTGCTCATGACGAACTCGGATATTGGGGATGAGCGCCGAAGCGCAACAACCGGATCATAACACTTGCCCCCCCCACCTCTTCTTTCAATACTGTTTCGTTTAATCAATGGTTGATCTTCGGATTCTCAAGCCTCTTTGTGGTTCTAGTATTCACTGCTCCGATGCTAGAATTGCACCTTTGTGTTTTGTATTCACACCTCACCCACCCACAACAGCTCAATATATGTGGCTCTCTTTAGGAATATAATCTATAATCCCCCTCGTAAACTATCTCGCTGAACTTTGAAGCCAGATCAGATCAGATCAGCCTACCTCTAGATATTGTCATTGTTAAAACAACCAAGAGCGTTACAAATAGAATATGAGGACCTGTGAATTCGACGCCGAAAATGGCTCCCCTTTGCAGCCCCGTCCAGGCGCCCTCTCTTTTCGTCTCATCTCGCCGGGCGCCTATAAAATGGTTCCCTTTCCTCCCTCCCCTCTCAGTGACTCAAAGTCTCTCTTCATCACCCAGCTCACTCCTCAAATCGACTTTGACAACCTTGTTGTCCGTGACTCCGGATCCTCACCTCGGTTATCCATCCTGGCTTTTCTCGATGGCTCCTGTTCTCGTTCGGTCGGCTCAGGAAGATGAGCACCAATACTGGACCGACCCCATCCTTTGCGAGGAAACTCGAGCCAGACTGGAACATTTCCATCGTTCTGGATGGCTACCGCCAAACTTCAAGCCAAGAACCTTGCTAGGTATTGCCGTTGTCGAACGCTACTGGCGAAAGTGAGTGTGGATATCCTCAGAATCAGGCACCGTGGGTAGGGTCAACTCACGAGAATAGGTATTCCATTCAGTCGAAGGCGGACTATGTGGACTTTCTTCTTTTGGAGGATGAAGCGATCTTTAAGAACTTTTTCGACTGGATATTCAGAACATCACGAGAGAAGAGGCTGCAGTCTTACGATGAGTACTGGCGCCGACTTTGCCAGTATTTCGAATTGTTTGCTCGTCGTGTCAATGAACATGTCCATACACAGATGCGACGAGTACGGGCATTCCTTCCCTGCGTGGAGAGATTAGACTAATGTGGCACAGTTTTTAGACGGTCCCTTCCAGGCCGAGCGCAAGATTCCCCGACGAAGGACAAGAATACTTTAGACGTAGAGGTCTTCTGTGCGATCTACCGTCATCACTGGGTCCATTCGAGGTTTTTTCGTCATGGGAACATGATCGTTCAATTTGCTACAGTGCAGCTATGGTCTGCTATTACCGGAACTCGCCCCGGTGTCTTGCTTCCACAAAATACCTATCTGCCCGACAATTCCTCCCTTGGCAAACGCAAACGAACCCACACGTTTGAAAGTATATTTCATTGAAAGATCTTCCGGACTCAGTCTGCTATCGTGATATTAAACTTTTCTACCTAAAAGATCCTCAAAGCAAACGTGACGTTCTCTGTGCCATAATAGAGTTTCGCAATCTTAAGGGTCGGCCGGAAGGCGCCGATGGGTAAGGAGGCAACTGTACCGCAAACTTACATATCAATTGACCTGACGCTTATGTTTCTTTTCAGAACCAAGTTTTTCATGCACGGTGACTACCAACTGGCATATTGCCCGATCGCTCAGATAATCTCGTTCGCTTTCCTTGACGGGGCTTTTGTCAATACGGAGCTCACGCCAGAGCTCATTTAGCGGCTGAGAGTTCCTAAGCACAGTTCATCCCTTCCTCTTCGGTAGAAACCACAAGTTCTGAACACCCCCATTCTTCGACGCTTTGAGCGCACTCCGTACGGTTACGAACTCCATAAGTCTTTATCGATGACTTATGAATCAAGTCGGCAAGCCCTCAAAGAGTTGGGCCGAGACGCCAAATTTGAAGACGATATAGGGCATTACAACTTTCGCCGTTGGACGGCAAATGAAGTCAATAGTAAGTTTGGTGCGCCGAATTGATGAATTTGATTATCGCCATGGAAGGCGGAGACTTTTTCCCACCGAGGTTGACTAGCAACGTTTAGGGAGTTTCACGAGCCAAGAACGGCAAAGGGTGCTTGGTCAATCGGGCGACGCCGTCTTTGAAAAGCATTATCAATCGCAATTCATTGGATATGATCTACAGCATGTTGTTCTTCTTCGACCGTCTCAGGAAGGCCTACTACGTTTTGCCGGAAGCATGCTCAGGAAAAGGGATATTCACGCCCCGTCTAAGCTTACCGATTCGCACAAGCGTGCCATTTGCCAAAATCCAGATATCCTGCAGCTAAGACGAGAGAAGAGAGAGCTCTATGCAGAGATGCGATCCCTGGCCGGCACTATTAAGAATGCCCGACTTTCCTTTCCGCACCTTTATCAAAAGCACGAGAATGTTAAAAAAGATATCTCTAAACTTCGAAAGAGGTTAGCAACCGACACGCGAGAGGCAGCTAGGAAAGACCATTTCCACAATGCGCCTTGTGTTAGAGATTGATAGACAGATCATGCAACTCCTCGGCAATTCTGATGAAGCTTCTAATGATGCCTCTGGTGGAGAACTTTTACGGGCCTGATACAGAGACCTTCGACGATGATAAGTTACTTACCCGACGCATCCAGGTTACTAAAGACATGGTTGCACTCTTGCAACTTTGCGAACCGAACAGACGAGGCAATCGAGTTAATTGGAATATTGACGATGAATATGGTTTTCTTGACCGGCCAGAAGCATCGCTGTCCCCTAGGGAGGATAGCATGAAATGCGCAGCCGATGTCTGCATCATTTGCTATGGTCTATCGCGTCAATCATCATCGAGCCTTCCTCCGCATAAGTTTCCTTCAAATCGGCTGGATTCGCTTCGTCGTTATTTAATCGATATGCACCTAGTTTATGCACGCGGTGGAATCAGTTGCAATTGGGAAGAGTGTCGCAATGTCCCCCATTTTAGCGAGATCACCGGGTTCTTAGCCCATGCTTACACTGCACACTCATACGATGTCAACCTCAAGTTGTGTCATAATTAAGAAGTGGGAGGCCCAGTATAGACCTTATATCGAACAGCTAGAAACGCGGATTCTCAGGCTCGGGAAAGGCGACCTGGCGCGCGTATCTGATCTTGACAATCCTCAAGTTACTGAGAGGCTGAAAGTTCAGGAGTCCTGTTGGAATTGTGCCGGAAATAAATAGGCTTTCCCCAACGAAGAAAGCTACAAGGGAATTGGCTTGCAGACTTTCTCTCCTGATATAGTATACGCACCCTACGATAACCAACTAGTGTCAGAGTCTGGTAGAGATAAGTCTTTATTTACCTTCCTCTTGCCTAAAGACGACATTTCTTTGCTCGTCTGTTCCATCATCCCCGTGCAAGAAGGAGATTTTCTAGGTGTCTTTTCTGGTAAGATTCGTTTCTCGGAAACCTAGAGTCCCACACACGGTATTCGCAGTCCTATCGACAACCTGTGGTTAGACTATTCTCAAGTTACTGGTACGCTGAACCAAATGCTCGTTTCAGAAACTGGTGGGTCCATAAACGTTCGTATCCAGTGGGATTTGATCCACGATGATGTTGATACAGATAATTGCACCTCCTGGAGAGTTTCGGTGAAAGCTACTAAGCCAATAATACCGTTTGAACCTCTCGTTCGCGAGGCTGCTCAGCAAGAGCAATATGCATTGCACTTATCTTCTGAGCATACAAAGAGAGGCTTTCTCGAACTTTGCGAAACTGACTAAAACTATGTTGAACATCTTGATTACTATTTTTTTTATCGGAGACGGCATTTTGCTGCTCATCTAACATCTTGCCGGGGGCCATTAGAATACGATTAGAGAGCATATTCATTCGCTGGATGGACAGGCGACAACCCAGGAAGCTCAGGACGTTGAAAACAAGATACAGACCCCAGGGACAAAAATCAGATAGCGCATAACTGGCTATAATAATCTTTTTTTTTCGATCTGACGTGGTATTAAAAGATGAATCTTCAAGGCTGAGACGTCATGGGTGAGGTATTAAGGTAAATCCTATATTATTATACGAGGTAGTTTATGTGTCTAGACTAAAGGCTCATGTATATCGGGAGCAGCTGCACGGTGCTCAGTGGGTCCACGTATATTGACACAATTAAGGTTATAAATGGCCAGCGGATGCCCTTCAGAAACCATACTACTTAATCATCGAATTCTGCTGCTTCGAGCTCGTCTTTCGTATCCAATCATCCGAAGCCGTTGAATCCCAAGACCTTCCAACTCAGATTTCTACGATAGTCCTGAAGCGAAATAGGCCAAAGACAAACCCAAAGGATTTACTATCCGTCGGCACCGATACAAGGCCATCACCAAAGTGAGTCATTATTCTGCTAGCCCGAGCGACTGATCACTAACATTCGAATGTCCGAAGTTCCGTCCTTAACCAAGTTGAATATCGATTTTATCTTTCATGAAGTTTATTCCGAGATCTCCCAACTTCAATCTGACAGCATAACCTTCGAGCTTCGTGTACAGCAGGAAAAAAATGAGCTGAAAGAGCAAATGCGAGAAATACGGGAATACATTTGGGCGCTTGAAGCACAAAACCAAACTCTGAGAGAGCAAATTAGCTCTGGGCATCATACGAATAGTACTAAGCCCGACGACCATCAAAATGTGGAATGCCAGCAAGATTGTGCGGATAGCTGAGGGTCTGCTTGAGTTGGGGAACCGATTATGCTACTCCTTTCTCCACCTTGGAGTGGCTCGGTCTCCGCGGCAAGTCAGGACAGACCAGCGAGTCCGGGTGGGCAATTGATCATAGATCGTAGGGATCGTCGCTGATAGTTCCTACGAAGCATCCTAGGAATCAGGAGGTCGAGGGACCGTCTACGGAGTACAACCGTGGCATCCTGTGAAATGTACATTTGCTTTGCGCCTTTCCGCCAGCAAAACTCCGCCTGAAAAGCCGAAGATAACAACTATAATCAATCTGCAAAGAATTTTAAAAAGGCGCGACTTGAGGGGTTTCCAGGAGGCAAAAAAGCGAACGTCCTAGAATTTTCTAGCAGGTTCGTAAACTAATAGATGCCGGGGACGATACGGCTGCGAACAATAGATGTATAGCGCTTCCAGTCGGCGCCATATTTCCTCTTGCACTTCTCTTCGTCACGTCGCTCCCGGTGGATGAGGAGAACACCGAAATAAATCATGAAGAAGTAAGTGAAAATAATCCCCCACCCGCGGACTTCAGGGGTCTGTATTGCCTGTTTCTGTACGTCGCCAGCGCTGTTGATACTTTCAACCATGGTATAGCCAGCAAGTCCAGTGGGCAATGAATACGACCACGACATTAGCCAGTCACCTAAGTAGTTGATATGGCGCGCTAATCCCCACCAGCCGGAAATCATCAACTTGGAGCCACTCGATGTCGGAATGTATTGAATATGCTTCACATGGTGGCCGTCGGGGTCCGTACGGAAACGGTTCTTCTGATTGTTGGCGCCGCGGAAGATCCAGTATCCCACACCGGTAATGGTCAAAGTTAACATAATATCTTTCAAACATAATTCCAATGGGAAAACCGCAAGGTATCTGGTTTGAAGATTGTAGATGAATGGTACCCATACCAGGTGTCCAAATGAAAGCATATAGCCAAATCCATCCATAATCACATCAATGGTGGTTAACACTGCTGGTTCCATGTATAGCGCATCCAGCACATAGAAGGTTTGGAATGCGGCCGAGAGTGCGATAGAGTTGGAGATATAGCCGTATGTTCTGTATTGGCGAGCCACGTTGGACAAGTTCAATATAATCCACCCAAGCAGTCCCGGCCTCATCTCACACCATACATTGATATCAACCGTTCGCGAGGCTTCATCGACAAAAGTGATCGGCAGTTGTATCCGCGGATTCAGCTCCCGGCCTATGAAAAAGTCATACAGAGCATTTCCAGTGTGGCCGCCCGGCGCCAACTCTCTTAGTTCGGGATTGGGTTGACCGGGCTCAGGGACCGAGAAACTTTTTGCATAAACGAAAGTTGCGAGGACTATGCAGATGATCAAATTTGCCGTGATAATCTGCAAGTAGTTGTCCCACAGAAAGACCCATATAACGAAATCAGCACCGTATAAACATGTGCCCAGAGCGAGACCAGAGAGGATCCAAATGGCAGAAGAAAAAGCTAGAACCGGATTAGGCGATACTGTAAGAAGACCATCGATGGGTTCATACCGTTGAACTTGTAGCGAAGCCTTCCTTTGCAGGCCAATTCTGTGCCCTCAACTACCTTGCCAGGTAGAAACACGTACAGGATCAGACTGAGCAAGTAATAGCTCAGCACCCACAGTGTTACTTGTAGGTCAAAAAAAGCATTGAGACCGCCTTGGGGCCAATTAACGTCCTCCTTTAACGTATCGAGGGATAATGTGGATGGATCGAGCAGCGACGGAGCAGGGCAGCCAGACACATCATTGCAGAGAAAAGTGAAGGCATAGATAAGAGTTGAGAGACCGACAATGAATCCAAATGCGCCGAGACTGATGAATGTTAATCTTAGGGATTAAGCAGGCGACCAGGGGATCACATACGGCTTACCACACCCATAGCCCAGCTTCTCCTGGACTGATTTAACTGGTGCCTTGCCAGCTTTGGGAACCTTTCTGAGTTTCATGCTGTGTGTCTTTGTAATCAGGCGTAATATCTCGAGGAGAGCAAAGAACACGGTGGGGGCAACGCAAGGGCGACGAGAGTTGTCACACAGCCGCACTTAACCAGAGAACCCACAAAGGAGGCAAGGAAAAAAAAAAACGAGTGCTGGAGGAGTCTCAATGGCTTGAGAACTACGGGGTTCTATAAATGGTGGTGCGATGACAGCAGGACCGTCTAGGGAAGCTTCCGCGAAGGCGAGCTGGTGGTCCGAGCCGGAAAGGTTGCTGGCCGAGGTGGGACCTTTGATTCTCCACACCAACCTTCGATCAGGGATTGGTTGGAGACTTTTGGGTAGCCACTATAGGGTGGTTCCTGAAGAAATCCCATATGTATTAGCTTAGTCTCCTTTACGGACCGAGGAACAGACTGTCTATAGAGGGGATCTCAACTGTAGGTTATCCGCTCGGCCGTGGATTACGTTACAGGTGGAATGTGAGTGACAAAGTGGTCAGACAACAAGCCGCCCCTTTTTCTTGGCATATCTGGTTTGTTTGCCAGTGAGGAATTTCTAGAACGAACAACCCACACGAGACAATACAAAGGGCTATTTTATGTAAGTATTTACATCGGTATCAGAATACAGCCAAGCACGGCGCCAGGGGCAGCCTTACTATAATAGGTATAGTCTGATGCAAGATGAAGTTCTAAAGCAAATTAAATTGAAAGAAATAGGTGATACTGATTTGGTCGGAACAGAAATGTACGTCCAATCAGGTCCATGGGGAGTAGTCTGAATTGTTATGCCTGTACCCATACAAACTTGTCCGGGTGTGAACATGACTAATCTCGGAGGGGACCAGGAAAAAGCAGGTTGAGCTGTCCCTTGGCGGTGTAAACACAATAGAAAGCGCCCACTGGGACAAACCTGGGCAATCCCATGTCACTGTAATCAATATGCCCACCTTTTCTCGACATCTATTTGTATTAATAAATTTCATTTTTACTCAGCCTGTAAGCTTAGCGACCTGGCATGATCGCCATGGCCACTTTCTTTCTACCGGCTAGAGGTCTGTCCTCCATTTGAAAGCGACAAAAGTCAAAACAGCGCTGTCCGGCCCTTAACCGGAGATATTCCACGGCTGACCGCTTGAGTTCGCAACGAGGTAAGCAAACTCATGTTCGAAGTGGGACTGTTGGATAGCTTCTGTTAATTTGGTTTAACAAGACTGGGATGGAGATCGCGATATATTCCAGGGCGGCATCGTTTGCATACTGGTCCTTGAAAACTTATACTCCAGGAGGGACTGATTCAAGTAGGCTGCTGCAACCACCACCACTCTTATGAGAGGTCATAGCGGGTCGAGATGATGGGCTATCAATCAACCGAAGAACCACCCATTGCGCCGTCCTAGTACACTTGGTCTTTGCTTTAGCTCATGCTACCACTCATCAAGTCGTTTTCCACCATCTGGATAAGCTTCAGATATGCTCCTGCATCATTCGTCAGCTTCCAAGACAAACTGAATTGGAGCTCTTCACTTACCTGCAAGCTTCCATCTATTATCCATCGCTTCGAGAATTCTTTTACAACTTAACAATCCCTTGATGTATAGTTCATCGGCGGACTCGCTAGCCAGCCATGCAGATGTGATCGCGCAGTAATATAGACAATGCAGAACAAGGGGGGAAATAGATTCCATATTTATGTTTGCAGCTTCCTCGAGAGCCGAAGCGAATTCAATAAGGCGAGCGGTAGTGTCCTTTAATGTTTGAAGGGCATGTTGAGTGGTTCCACGGATGAGACTAGCCGACTCTGGGCTCCACTCAGCAGGATGTTGGGAGAATGAGTCGCATGAATGATGGCTGGCAATCTTCGTCAAAGCACTGGGATATGATAAGCCACAAGGTCGCACTGCCAAGGATGTGATGATATCACCTGAAGCAGAGTCCAAGAGAAGTATAGTCCAGGTCCACGCCTATAGATTCGGACAAGATGAGCTCCAGGAGTGACTGGATGGCTCCGCAAATTAGGTTGAAATCGGTCGCTGCGAATTGAACATCGTGGTTTCCATCGTCGCAGTGTCGTATTACACGCCCAAGCAGATTGGCTGATTGTGCCAGTCTTGCGAACCGGCTGAGTTTGACATCAGGTGGCGTTGAGGCGAGCACCCGCTCTGGAGGTCTTATATCCTGGTTACTAGGTTAGTGTATCAAACAATTCGCAAAGAATCTGTGCCTCGGGCTCACCCCATTGTCCCAAGCTGTATCATCCGCAGGAATATATGACATTGCGCTTGGTTCCTGTGTGCATAAGGGCCGCTCATCTAGTCCGAGAGTAACGAACCTTAGACACCTGAAGTTAGTTACTTAAGATCTCAGATACAATACCAAAAAAATACCTGTCAAGTATCAAAACAAGCCACCAAACTCTCTGCTTCTCCTCCCAATCAATCCATGTAAGGGGGTTCTGAGCCGTTTGCGAGGAGGAATGACGGTGAGCCCCGAGCGCAACACCCTGGCGAGCACAGGTCCCAACGGACACGTATGCGGCAGGATAAATTGCATGGCCAATCTCGTAGACAGAAATGAGAAGGCCGGCTTGCAGTGTCCTCAGAGATAAGAATCCTGCGGTTTGTAGATTGGATAGAAAATGCTTTGCAGCAACATAAATTGGTGATGTATCTGCTCTTGCCGAGGTCGGAGTATGGCACAGCAGCTCCATGCAGAGTAGCAGCAATGCTTGATCTGCTAGCTGTGGTTGAGCGGATCTCATTCGAGTCAGCTTCAATCTGCTAATAATCGGCATCCACTTATGAATGCTTCCAAGATAGGTTGAGACAAGCTCATCCATTTGATCTTGATCGCCCAGGAATTTTGAAATGTACTCAGGGATAGCAAAGTCCAGAGTGGTCGCCGAATATTTTAAATGTTGCGCGATCTCGTGATCCAAGAAAGTCGCTTGCATATAGAAGTCAGGAGACTGCTGGCTATCCAGAGCAATCTGACTAAAATTTTCCTCTGGAGACAAAGTTGACTCAGATGAGGAATTTGCAACAATCTGCTCAAGATCTTGAACTCTGGAGCGAAGACGTCTTATCTCGTCTTCATGCGGAATTCCTGAGCGCTCAGAGTAGTTGCATGCCTGGACCAGTCTAATAAGACATGTAGGAATCAGCAAGCTAAGTTGGACGATTTTACTGGATCTCGGGCCCGCTTGCCTCGAACATAGTGAACAGCTCGGTAGACCCTTGTCGCACCGACGTTTCTTCTCTTTGCATCGATCGCATGCCTTGGCGGCCAGTTCAGCGGGGGTGCGGCAAACCGGTCCATCAGACCCGACTATACTTCTCATAAACACTGGTAACTTTCTCGTTGCTAGGCGTGTGAGGTGCGACATGTAGTAAGTCTGAACGAATGAGCGATCCAAGCGGGGAATGCTTAGCCTCGGACGAGTTGGAGTCCATCTTCATGCCTTGGCCCTCAGGCTGCGACTGCAGGCAAAGGGGGTCATGTGACTGCGCACTGTCTAGCCTGGTGAGACGGACAACCCGGCTCTCGACGTTCTCATTCTCCAATCTATCGGAGAACCTATCCATAAATCCCATCATTGTTCAATTTTAATGGGCAATATCTGCCCATCATTATTTCGGCCGTTGTTACTTCATATCCCGACATCCATACTGAAGATCACCGTTCCAGCGGCAGTGGGGCCGCATGCGGCCCCACTGCCGCCCTCTGCATGACGCTTTTGAAGCTTCACATTCCTATAAAGAAGTAAGTTCTGCCCGTCCTTCTCCAGCTGGAAAATTATCATCACCTTCGGACAATTCTTAACGGCCAATCTTTATCATGGGTACAATATGGAGCCAATCATTCCCTCCCTCGCCAGTCTTCACTGAAAAAGAATGCGGAGATCTTTCAGGAAAGGTAAGGTGGCAAAGTTGGTCATAGTCACACAACTCAAGTTGTAGGCGCTGGTTAATTATTATGTAGGTTTTCATCGTGACTGGCGGAGCTTCTGGCGTCGGTCGCGAACTCGTCAAGATATTGTTCTCCAACAACGGAACTGTCTACATCGCCGCACGGTCCGAAGCAAAGGCTCAAGATACTCTCACGTGGTGTCGAGCGGAGCACCCAGGGTCTACAGGCCGGGTCGAATTTCTTTCTCTAGACTTGGATGATCTGACTGGTATCAAAGCCTCTGCCGAGGAGTTCATGTCCAAAGAGACCCGGCTGGATGTCCTGTGGAATAATGCCGGTGTTATGGTACCACCGGCAGGGAGCAAGACAAAACAGGCGAGTTCTGTCGCATCTCTCCAAACATCGACTCCGGGTCTGACAGTAAAATGCAAACAGGGCTATGAGCTACAGCTTGGCACCAATTGCCTAGGTCCTTTTCTGTTCACCCAGAAACTACTCCCTATTCTCACCCGAACGGCCGAAACAGCACCCAAGGGGTCAGTCAGAGTTGCTTGGGCTGGATCATTGGTGACCAATTTGGGTGCCCCGTCTGGTGGGATTGATATGGAAAATATCACATGGTCCAAAAAGGCTGGTAGTCAGGTAGACAAGTACGCGCAGAGCAAAGTTGGGAACCTGTTTTTGGCATCCGAATTCGCCAAGAGAGATAAAGCCCGTGATGTAGTTCACGTGGCGTTCAATCCAGGAAACCTAAAGAGTCCCCTGCAGCGACATATGTCTCGAATCACTGACTCTTTAACTGTGAGCTCTACCTTTCATTAAATCAGTATTGTGGAACTGATACCCATTGAAAGTCCTGGATGCTGCATCATCCTAGATTTGGAGCTTACACGGAACTGTTCGCGGGCCTGTCACCTGAGATAAAGGCCGAGCAAACTGGATCTTATATCATCCCATGGGGAAGAATCTCTGTCCCCAGAAAGGATCTGCTCGAAGCTATGAAAAGCCGAGAAGAAGGCGGACCTGGAACTGCTGCTGCGTTTTGGAGTTGGTGCCAGACTGAAACTGCAAAGTACGATAACTAGCAGTGGATGGAGACTGTGGTGATATATGAATATCGAAAATAGCAAGATCGGAACCCAGATCAATACGAAGTTATTCACATTCATGGGAGGAACCCTCTCCGAAAGGCCATCAACCCTATCCGCAAAGCTGCGCTACGCCTCGTAGCCAAGCAAGCGACGGTGATAAACCGAGGGGCTTATTCTGCGTGATCGAGTATCCTATCACGTACAACATGTAGCAGAGGCCAAATTATCATGAAATCACAATTTCTCGTCCTGTGAAGATATGGAAGAACCGCCTCTTGAATTTGTAAAGCATCATTCGAGATCCCAATTAAAATCCAAAAGCTGCACGGCATCTATGGATGACGAAAAAGGGCCTATTGTACATGGCAACGAAAGTAAACAGGTAAGATTCTCTAATTTTACTCAGTTCAAAAGAAGAGGGAAACACCAAGCCATCAACATCCAGCAAAATTACGCCACCAAGGCCACGGCGAATGCTACGATTGTTGTCGAGAACTTGACAGATGCCTTTCCGGCGGCACCAGTAAAGACAGGGGCAACAGCACTGCTGGTACTTCCCTGGAAAGTGCTGACCGAGGCAGCGGTGGCACCGGTTCTACTCCAGAGGAAAGAAGGAGTACATACCATACCCCACTAAACTGTACCCTTTAACAGACTAGAGTCTTTAGGGCCCCTAAAATCCCTATGTTGAACTCATCCCATAGGGAGATAGCCATCTCTTCGACGTATAGGCCAGGCTATTCGGCGAGGTGGTCACAGAGGGCGTCAAGCATGATAGGAGCGATAATTGGTTGTCGACCGACCGAGACTTGGGGAGATCTGGCAATACCGAATGAACACAAGTCATGTGTATGTTTGTGATAGAGCGCTCACTTCACTGCGCTAATTTTGTCATTGCGATGTAGTGAGACTGTTCTTGCTGTATATCATATGAGTAATCATCTTGCGCTGCCAGAAAGCGACATTTCTAGCCACTTTCTACGTGGCTTGAGTGACTCTAGTTGCTGAGTTGGGAGGAGAGTGAACGAACAATTTCTGCGTCGTGCTCGGTAACATGCTTGATGGTCTCGATTTGTAGGGCCTTGAGCACGGTGGTCGGCCGGCTGAATGTGCCTAGATCGGCGTCGTCGGCATCTGTGGAGCTTTTCTCCGAGTAGCTAGACTATAGCAGGGTATCCGTCACGGTCTTGGAGGAGATGGCGTGGGTAGTTGATCTTTGGACGATAGTGACGTCGTAGCCCTTCTCCAAGCAGTCCTGTCGCGATGTCGTAGCCCAAGGATGTTTTGTTCAATCTAAATTCAAGTCAGCAGCAATCTTTCATGATATAATACTCTATCTCAATTACCGATGGCTTGTCCTCCATCAGGCTGGTGGCCTTGATATCGTACAGTACCCCTCGCAGGATGTCGCGCAAGCCTTCAGATTTAATATCTATGTATGGGGTCACCTCCTCGGAATTCCGGTCTGATAATATCATTAGTATGGATTCAGTCATTTTGTAACGACATTATATACCAACACGTTCACGGACAACGAATGCATATTCAGCACAGTCGTCCAGACAGCCGCTGCTCTTGGTGGGTTCGGCGATCTTGTATTTGCATGCTTCTTTATCCCAGCTATTTCCATATCAGAAAACTTTTTGGAAGTGAGAGGAGACCGAAGTAAGGGAGTTGACCGGGCCACAGAGCTTAGCTAGTGAAATACGTTTCCTTGACTGTCTTGAATCGGGATGTAGACGCCCAACTTCTCAAATGATTGGAAGTCCTCAGGTGTTGTACAGATGGGCTTTTTAACGTCAAACTCATCTGGCCCAGGGAGATTCTCTCGTTCATCGCTTGTAGAAGAAGACTTGTCAGGCTTAGTTGCCACGGAAAGTTCAGCTGAAACACAGTCCAAAACCTCCCGAACCTGGTCGAGCGCGGGGGGCGACTGGTCCCGGCAAACAGGAGTGTTTGGGGGTTCTTGATTGGTAAGGCCAAGCAATTTTTCAAGAAGCATGCCAAAGAGATGCTTCAGATCCTTCGCAATAGCTTGAGATGTAGTCGTTCCCTTCGTCGGGTTATCTGGGGGCGTCAACCCCTGGTTATCGGTAGAGGAAGTCGTTAATGCCATGTTGTGCTCCCAGGCTTGCATATCTGGACTATTCTGAACAGGCGGCGTACTGTTTCCGAGTTAATGGATGCTAATGACAGATGGATAATGTTAGATTTTGATATCAAACAAGGTATCTTTTATAACCTAGGAGGTTGCTCCTCATTTATAACTCGCTCAATGTCTCAACTCAAGTGACAAAGATACGTGATGTAGTCTGCATGAATTGAGGAGGATATCTAGCTCTATGGGACCACTGTCTGGATAGCAATGAAGAGTCCGCACGGGCTTTCTCTAGGTCCAATTGAATGCTGCAGCCTGCACGGGCTTGCCTGTCTGACCAGAGGATCGTTGACGATATTGACCTGCGAAGTAGCTTTTGAGCGACGGCGAAAATACAAATTGACTCGATCCGTAGCTAATTGGGACAAAATAAGTCAAAATGTGACAAATGAAGCTCTCTGAATCACTCAAAAAAGAGTCAAAGTGACTAAAAATAGGACAAAAGTATGCGGGCTAGTCGAAAATGGTACAAAATAAGCTAGTATAGTTCAGATTGGAAAAACCTCGTTGAATAATGCTTAATAGACAGCGACTACTTATATTTCCACCCGGACCACTTTCTCCGGCATTCGAGCATAAAAAAAAAGAGCCCTTTGGCATAAATTCAATTTCCGCAATTAAAAGGAATGCGAGGCTGTGGGTAAGTCGCCTACCTACTATTCTATTAGTTTTAGCGAACCGTGATCACGTGATTGTATCTTGTATTGGGGAGCTAAACCGAAAAAGCAAAACTAACCACATGCGGTAATTCACAGGTCCGCCGTTTACATTCACAATCACCCACTCATTCCACTTATACTCTTTTCGCTTTAGCAGTCATGACCCCAGGATGCTTCTTATTTCTTATCTAATTTATGCTCGCTGGACCCTAGAGGAGCAAAACAAAGTGTGGTTGTAGATCTTGTAGATCCATAGATTCCTGGGTCTCTGTTAGAGTACATGTACATGGGAAGAAACCGTTAGTCTTCTTCGCAAGAGATAAATCACGAAAACTGCAGCGAGAAAGAAAAAAATCTGCAACAGGCTCTCAGTCTTGGGTATTAGGAGTTGGCGACGGGAAGAAGCGAGAAAAGGCCATTGAACATTGAAGGGTCAGCAGTAAGAAAAAAACCCATGGAAACATAATGCAAAGTCAGTTTGTTCTGTGGTGCTGGGGAAAAGACTGGAAGATGCAATCTGGATTATTTTTGTGTTTTTGGATACGTCTTGGGATGAAACGACGACGTACAACGCGATTCGAAAACGACCATGGTCAATAGTCTTTTTCAGCGATGACCAGCATCTCAACTGGCCGGCAGCTTGGCCAGGTCTCCCTTGCCGTCTTTGATCCACTCCGGGTCAATCAGACGCTCACGCTCGGCGTAAAGCTGCTTGTAGGCGCCGCGGATGGTTCCGTCGCTGACATGCACCACCAGGGAGATCTCCTTGGCGGACTTGCCGTGGCCCATCAGGTAGGACGCCATGTAGATGCAGGCCGCGACGATAGATAATGGAGAACGTCCGGCCAAATCGCCCATAGTGGTAACCCGATCCGAGAGTGCAGACGACACACTGGTGACCTGGTACGGCAAATCGAGGAGGTTGCAGAAACGGTTGCACAGATCACTGGGCTTGGTCGAGGTAGTGGCAGTGTAAGTATCATTGGGATCAGGCACACCGCCATTCGACACCACGGCGTTGTTGCGCTCGACGTTCTGCGCGGTGAAGAACTTCTCTAGTGCCTTGTAGATGCGGCCGATCTCCTTTCGCGTGACCTTGGTCACGGCGAAGATTTCGCTGAAAGTGCGCGGGACCTTGCACTGCCGGCATGCAATGAAAATGCATCCGGCGATGATCACATCCTGGGACTTGCCCTTGAAGGCCTTGGCATCGTCCACGACCTTGAACAGATACTTGGCGGTGTCGGCCACATTCTTCTGAATGTTGAAACCATCGCACAGGGCACCGATCTCTTTGTATGCTGCCAGAAGCGCCTTGTTCGCTTTCTCGTTGGACTGTTTGTTCTGGGCCCGATACAGATCGCGGGCCCGACCGGAACCCCCACTTGCAATCGAGGTCTCCAGCTGGTCGCCGTTGAGCAATGGATTCATAGCATCTCCGACACGGGACGGATCGTCATTATTCTGGTCGTCGTTGGAAAACGTTCGCCATTCCGAGTGCAGGTCAATTTCCCGATCGGCCAGCACGAGGCCACAAGAGCCGCAGACCGTCTCGTGGGAGTCGGGGAACTCTAGGTTGGGCGGAACCTCCTTGCATTCAGGGCAAAGGAGGTGGGCAGAGAGGTTCTTCTTCCAGGGAGCCGCCGCGGCGTCACCTCTTGCTACAGGAGGCATAGCCGCCATCTTTTTTGCTTTGCGAATATCCTCGAATCGTTCCTGGCGCCTCTTTGAAAGTTTCTTGGCCGTGACAGGAAGATGGTATTTGCGATTATAATAACGAAGGAACAGTGGCGAATACAGCTTGGCGGCTGCAAGGAAAGAAAGAAAAAGGTCGACCTATCGAGGGCCCCTCGATAGGGACAAGATACTATCTCTAAACTGCCACTTGCAAATGCATGTTAGCCCGATCGCCTAGAATCAAGTTCTTGGCCTGTTAAAGGCAAGGTCGTCGCAGAAGGGGATTTCCCCTGCGACGCCACAGAGAAAGGACTCTTGTCGATCGAGGCTGCCATTACCTTTTCCTCGAGAACGGAACCCTCTCGGCTCTCCAGATCACTCCCCCAGCCGTGAAAGATGCTTGACAAGTCTGCGCTTTCGGGAAGAGAAAGTGAGTCACAGAAACCTCGATGCCTCAGCTTGTCCGACCGCGATGAACCAGTCAAGGCCTCCGTAAGAAAAGTCTCACGAAAAGGGGTCGTAGAACCAGGGCGCTGCCAGGACGAGAGCAACGTCAAGAGTCGAGTTCCAGGGACAGGCTGAAGGAGAAAGACCAAGATCGAGGTCCGGGGGAGATGGTCGAGAGAAGAGGCAAAGGGTGAAGTGAACTCGAAGATGAAGTCGGAGATGACTCATCCCTGACTCAGCGCCAAGCCGCCCTCCGAACAGAAACCGTCGACCCTGGACTTCACGGAACGACGGCACAGATCCCTCCTGTCGAGAATCCCCCTCATTCCCCCATCCACCACCTCCCGTTAAAATGATGTCCCAGTCTCTCAGGGCCTCGGTGAGCCTATTCTTTCATCATGACCTGGGGCTATGGCTAACCTGGAAATATAGCGCACCCTCTTCGCCCGTGCCTCTCGGCAGCAGGTCCCAGTCGCTCGCCGGACCTTCCTGACCTCCGCCGTCCGCCAGGGTATGTATTTACTCTTGAACATTCCGCTATCTAAGCCTGCTTGGATTGAATCGCTTTGGATCCGCATTACTAACCCATCTTGAAATGTAGCCGACCCCGTCCAGGAGCTGTACCTGCGCGAACTCAAGGCCTACAAGCCCACCCCCATCAAGGCCGGTGACGCCGAAGCCCACGTCCAGAAGTTTGCCGTTCCCCAGGCCCCCAAGTCGCCCGAGGAGGCCAACCTCGCTGGCGAGCTGTCCGCCTACGAAAGCCAGGAGGTTGAGGTTGAGGGTCAGGCCGCCGCCGGCGAGGCCGCCCCTGTTGAGCAGAGCTGGTTCGAGGAAGAGGAAGAGGAGGCTGCCGCTGCCCACTAAACTGGGTCTTTCTTTTCTTTCGACAAGGTCTGGGGAAATATGGGGGGCTGGCTCTGGATATGCCTGTGGCGCAACCCCGTGCCGCCTCTCGGGTCCTGAAGCTTGTAAATTAGACCGCCTTTGAAACGCGATTTTTCCTTTTGTCTGCATTCTGCACTCTTCAGCTTGAAGTGCCGTGACCGGTCCAAGGAAGGCTGAGGACTGGGCTGTTTCCTGCCGAGTCTGTCGTAGTGTTGTGTCTCACTGGGTCCATCGTTTTGGTTGTAGAAGCACTCCAGCATGGGCCAGCGCAGTCCTTGATCGTCCCGAATACATCATCTTGGCTTCGATGCCGTGACTACTATCGATTGATACAGGTGTCTGCAAGGCCCGATATTCCGAGCGTTCGGCTGATCAGTCGAATGTTGCTTTTTAGCTTCGAATCCACAGGGTTTCCTAAGCTGTGCCACGACGATATTCGCCGAACAAAACTATGTCGTTTGTGCAGCATCTATACCCGGTTCTCCCCACTTCAGCAGGGGATGCAAGGGAACATTGGCTGCCAAGGGCCCGTGCAATGTGATATTAGCTCCGGGGATCTACGAGGGAACGGCGTAGGGATCTCCGACCCAACGTTATGACCGTTCCACGCCGTGGACGGGGCGGCTATTCAAGCGTCTGATGGGGGAGAAGTCCCCTGCAGAGCAGATGGCGATCGTTGAAGAGGATGTACGATGTTACCGCTCGGTTCAGTCGGGATTTCCATGCATCCTCCTCATCCACCATCCCCACAGACGCTCGCCCATTGAACGAGATCCTGGCCGGGGGATGCTGTGGTCATGGCTGACGTTTCGCAGAAAGAGGGAAAATATGAGTACACAGTGGACATTGGGCGAATCCCCATGACGCAGCCCGTCTATACATTCCAAGCTCCTTGGAGGACATTCTTGCTGAGGAATGGTGCAATACGGAGGTAGCGGGATGCGCGGTTCGCTAATCTTCCGGAGGGGTCACCATTGGCTTGCAATCGGGACTGAGATGCTAACTGTAGTCGCTGACGGTGATACCGAGAGAACTGAGAGAATCTGAGGGATGATATAATTCGAATGAAACCCATGGGATGAGGAAATCGGATGGAGTCGAGTCTCAGGCGTGTCTCACTCTAGTCAGGCCCTCAGGCAAAAAGGAACCAGCAATTATTTCCTAGTGATTTCCCACTATTCCTCAATATATTCCCCAATATATTCTCCAATCTCTCTCGATACTTGCGACTATCGCAATCGTTTAAGAATCATTCCCCCCTTCATCGGCTCCCTCACTTTCGGTCGATCACTTGCTGTTTTGGTGTTTCGCCCTTGAGGCAGCTCTGCGCGTTATCGACAGATCACTGTATTTTGTATGGTTTTAATATTTTTTTTTTCTTTACTTGACTTGTCGCTTTTTGACATCTCTTTTTTTCCTTTTTTGTGCTGGGCGCCTGTTTTCTGACCTTGTGTTTCTCTCCAGAAGAGAGTCTTCGTCTCTTCCTGATTCTCCGAGCCGTGAAACTATCCGCAATTCCGTGCCTTGTTCCAACAACCCCCATGCAGCGCTATTGATCGAATATCGGAACCACCTAGTGTGTGTGCATGGGGCAGCTGGTCTCTCCACCGTCAACCTGCGTGAGCGCCCTGGGGGAAATGTTCACGCTTCGACACTTGTTCCCCCGACAATTTACCTGCTAAGACGATGTCTTCGCCCTCCCCCGAGACAAGCACCTACGCCAACGATGGGAAAGCCTTGCTCTCTCGTGCCGCTAGCTATACCGACCTCCCCAACAAGTCTGTGACTGAATCCCCCTCATCGAGCCTGCGACGAACCTTCTCCGAGCATGCGGTGCCTACCCTGTCCGAATCGCCGACGAAGGAGAGCGTAGCGACCGGGAAAGATATTCTACGACGGACATCTTTGCGCTCCAAGGAGCGACCGCCAGTTTCGCACTTTACACTGTCATCTTCGGAGGATTTGAAAGATACAGAGTCACCGGATGCCCTGCCCCAAACCAGGGCGCCGGAACCCGCCGCTCGCCCATCCAAGAGCCGTTCGATGTCCGGGCGGATAGTCAGCCTCGCGCGGAAACCCTGGGGGTCCTCCTCGCGATCCCCCTCTCCGGCATCCAAAAGACCAAAGCAACAAGAGGTCCAATCCCCAAACCCAAAGAAAGCCGAGACGGCCGCAGATTCAGACTCCCCGCAGCCCTCCCGCAAACGAACTATCCTCTACAAACGGCCACGACGCCCCATGCTGGCTGTTGTCGCGAAGGGTAATAATGAAGAGACTCCTGGCTCGCCGAGCAGTCCCTCCGGCCATTCATTGCGGCACCGTTCTTCGTTGGAGAAATTTGCCGCATCCCTGTCTGTCTCGACTCCAGTCTTGCCCCCAATGCCCAAGGGAGCTGCGGAAACTGCAGCGTCCTTTTCAAACAGTGGTGGGGAGTCATTACGCAAGAAAGACGAACTCTGGGGCATTTTCCGCGGCTTGGAGGCGGATTACCAAAAGTTTGTTCCCATACCCTGGCCTGATGGTGCAGCGACTGACAAAACCAAAGATTCCAATCTAAATCCAGCTCCCTGAAAGCTAATGTCATTCGGTCCTCACTCCTCCCGTTCCTCGGCCGGCATCACCTTCACGCGTCATGCAAGAATCTCAGACCCGAAGACTTGGACCGCCGAGTAAACATCCTCAACAAATGGTGGGTTGGGATGCTGGAAATGCTCAATGGAAAACACAACCAGTCGATCTCTGGCACGGATCGGCCGGTATACCTGGAAGCAGTAGTGGGCATCATGACCCGGCCGGAATGGCGCATCCCGTTTCCCACAGCACATCTCAACAGCGGGCCAGCAGACTCGTTGAAATATGCGTCGACTTCCGTATCTGAAACCTCCGACGGGTCAGGCTCGTCCGGGTCAGATTTCTTGGTTGAATCGATCCACCATAACATTCGGAACATTTTCGTTCAAAACCTCTTGTCGCAAATGGCATTTGTGGTGGAGCGAATGTCCATGCGGCACGCCCCCGCGAGCTTGGTGGCATTCTGTGGGAAAGCTAGCGCGTATGCCTTCTTTTTCTGCCCAGGGGTAGCAGAGACCCTGGTCCGGCTGTGGGGCACGCCATCTGGTATGTTCCGGCGCATATTGGGCGAGTCGGCGGGGGGTCGAAATGGCAATATGCGTCCATATACTCAGGAACTTGCTCTCTGTTTTCCAATGGCTCTACGACCCCTGGCCTTCCACTCGCATGCACCCTTGTTGCGATATCTACGCCGGAAGCCCGATGCGCCCTTGAACACGACGAATATTCCCTGGCACAGTCCATGGATCTCGCGTTGGTGCGGACGAGACACCGATCTTTTCTATGTGTTTGCGAAATACACCCATATCTTATATGCCGAATATCTGCCGCCAGACACTGAGAAAGCCAAGCGGATTCTGGCACCCGGCCTGTTGTTGGTCCATGCACAGCTACTGGTCACCCTCGAGGATACGATTTACAAGCAGTCGGTGCAGCAGATGCCCGAGAACCCCCATGTGGCAGCTGCGATCACTTTCGATGATTTTATCGAGTCGGCAGATGCCTCGGCTTCCTCTCATCCGCTTGGGGGTGGCAGCAATCAACATCGTTCAATGGCGGAGAATCGCTTGGTCATTCTCCTACGTGATTTCCTCTCCGAATCTTCCGCGGAGCCCAATCGAGCACGCCTGTTATATGCCGAGTCTTTTTCTGGGATCATCAAATCTGCGGCCCAGAAGATTTCCCTCTTCGATCACAACGCCTGCTTTCTGTTATGTGATTTCATCGACGAAATCCTACCGATCATCACACGCTACTCCCAGTCCATCGAAACGGAGTTGTTTGACTGGGGCTTTTGGCTTGAGGTTTGTCGACAAATGATGCAAAGCCACAACTCGCTCACTGAAGTGCGGGTGTTTTCTTTCCTCTTCTCTGTCTGGGGTACTTGGACGGCCACCGAGGAGAGGAAGGCCGGTCTCTGCCTAGAATTTCTGCTGCACGAGCCTATATTCTATCATTATTTCAATCACTGGAGTCCCATGGTGCGCGCATACTTCCACCGACTACTGTGTTGGCGAGTGGGTCGGTTCAATGGCGAACCCTCCATGCTGGACTCGTAAGCTTTGTTCCACTTTCCATCTTGCGATCCTATTCCCCTGACCAACCTGCTCTAGAATTATTTACGAGACCCTCGCCGATCGACTCCTGCGCGTCTGGGAGTACTACATTGGCTTTCAATCTAGAGCAGAAGAGGAGCTTACCGCCCCTTTATCTTCGGCTCCTTGCACCCCAGCTCCAGGAAGACGAATCATCATCATCCGATGCGACAACCAACTCTCCCCCGTGAATCTCTTCGTCTCCTTCGACCGAGTCGTCCCACCCGTTCCTCCTGACCAAGTCCCGTCTCACCGGAGAACCGGGTCTGCGGACTCGACCAGCTCTGACGGCCAGCCTGCCAAACGACGATGGGGTCTTCTCCGATCCATGTTTGGCAGTTCCTCAAGTGCCCACTCCAACGATGACCTGGCCAGTAGCAGCAGTAGCTCGGATGATTCCGAGAGCGGCACGACTGACATGACCATCTCACCGGACAGCAAATGCATGGACGAGTGTGAACCAACCCCGAACAACAGCACCGAAGAGCTCCAGCCTAAGACCCCGCACCAGCCCTTTTTCTTCAAGTTCTCCTTGGAATGGATGGACCGGCCGCAGTGGCCCAGCAAAAACAAACGTCTCTTTACTCCTTGTCTCCCTGTTGCGTCCCAACTGCACGTCGAGCACCGTCGTTCTCCCGTCAAGGAACTGGAGGATGGCGCCGCGAACTCCGAACTAGGTGATGGGAGTTTCCCCGAAGAACCCTCTCTGAGTCATGGCCTCTCACCCGAATCTATCCTCGGGGACAACGAGCCGAGGGCCTGCACCACGAAGGACTCGCCGCTCCCGGTCCTGCCATCGAAGCCTGCGCATGACCACCGCGTGGCCAGCAAGTACGCGGGCCGTGCTCTTGCAGAGTGGGCGTATATTGTCTCGGAATGCGACAGCTTCTTCGCTCGACGCCGCGACGAGGGTGTCCCCTCGGACCGCATGGTGGAAACGCCAACGCTGGGGGTGGAAAGCTTCCGCAAATAGACTTTTCGTCGCAGCAACAAGACCTCACCTGAAAAAAGACAGAAAAATTTCCATAGACTCTGCATGACTCCTATAAGGGAGTCTTGTCTGTTTAAAAAAATTTCTTTTCTCCCTTTTGAATCACCTTTTTTTTTCTCTCTCTTTTCTTCACACCGCAACGGTGTACATGGCGGGTTTGGGAGCATTGGGCATTGGCGTTGGAAAGGGGCCTGTGGTTCTTTGTGTCTCTTTTTTTTTTTCTTTCCTTCTTTTCTTTTCATGTCTTTTGTACTCGAGCGAAATACGCGCAGTGGTAATCCTAGTGAGAAGAGAGAAACATGCCTACAGAGAGCGAAGAACCGATACCTTCGAAAAAAGCATTTCTTTCTTCAACTTCATTTTAGTAGGGAGGAAACTATATCATTCTAATCTATGTGGACAGCTGCTGCTCCTCGCAACCTGCCTATTCAGCAGATCCAGCAACACACCCTGCACATCCTCACGTCCCATAAACACCTCGACAATTCTTAGGCCCTCGCCGCGCTGGATGCGCTCGTCCGCCAGCACGGTTTGTAGCTCGCCGCAGGTTCGCGCTGTAAAGGTATTCCCGGCGACGTGGTCTTCGTCCGCGCCGAAGTAATTGAGCGCCTGAGTGTGCCGCCAGAACGGTACGTCGTTGTAAGCCTGCTTGCGGCCGTGGATTACGCGCTCGATGGTGTAGCCGTCATTGTTCAGGATGAAAATGACAATGCGCAGTTTCTCGCGGATCATGACGCTGATTTCCTGTGCTGTCATTTGCAGGCTTCCGTCTCCGATGAACAATATCACCTGGCTATCTGTTTTGGCGCTGGCGCTGGCGCTGGCGTTGAGTTCGCGGTGGGCTAATGCCGCGCCGAGTGTTGCGGGGAGCATGAAGCCAATAGAGAGCCAGGTTACGGCGCCGAAGATGCGCGATTTGGCTGGGAGTCGGAACCCGGAGCCGCCGTGCGAGGCTGTGCCCGTCTCGGTTAGGATGATGTCGCCCTCACGGAAGAGGGGGTTGACCAGGCGGAAGAAGGTTTTCTGGGCGATGAGATCTGTGCTCGGGATGTCGGCCGTGGAGATCTTAGGTTTGGAGGGTAGGCTCTTGGGGCGGGAGATGCGCGAGACATCCAGTGTTTGCAGGACTTGGGAGAGGACGCTGCGCGGCGAGACGTCGTGGTAGGTGTCGTTGCCGATCTGGACGGTGGTCTCGGAGAACGACACCCGCACCGCGGAGGGCGCGATAGTCGAGAACAGGAAGGTGTTAGTGTCACTGTAATGCGGCCCAAGTACTATCACCAGGTCCGCGCCGTCGTAATACTCCTTGGCCTGCGGGTCCCCGTACGCGCCCGCATAGAGCCCGTAGACGTTCGGATGCTGCTCGTTGACGAGGCTCTTGCCGAATATCGAGGTCCAGGTCGGCCAGCCGGTGGTCTGCACGAGGGTATCGATTTGCTCGAGAATATTGAGGGACTCGCTTTCGCCGTCTACAAGGATGAGGGGCCGTTGCGCGCTATAAACTCGGTCCAGCACGCCAGCTACGACTTTAGGCTCATGCGCCGCGCGTGGAGTTTCGGGGACATGAATGGGGGAGTTGAGGTTTGCGGCAGAGACCAGCACGTCGTTCATGTCATGTGGGATCTCGAGGTAGACGGGCCGGCTGTGGACCAGCGCCTGCTGCAAGATCCAGTCGATGCGCTCCGGCGCGGTGGCCGAGTCAGTCAGGTTCGTCTGCGCCGCGGTGATATGCGTTGACATGGCAGCAAAGCGGCGGAAGTCGCCGTCCGAGAAGGTGTGGTGCACAAACGTCCGCGCGCTCTGGACGGCACGCGGGGGCGTGCCGACGATATGGACGACGGGGGTCTTCTCGGCGTAGGCGCCGGCGATCCCATTGAGGGCCGATAGCTCGCCGACGCCAAAGGTAGTAATCACGGCCGCGAGGCCGTTGATGCGTCCATACCCATCGGCAGCGTAGGCGGCGTTGAGCTCGTTGCAGTTGCCCACCCAGTGGAGCCCTGCGGGAGTGACGAAATCCAGCAGGCGCAGGTTGAAATCACCGGGCACGCCGAAGATCGACTGCACGCCCAGTTGGCGCAGCCGTGCAAAGAGGTAATCGGCGAGTTTGATATCTGCAGCAGCCATCGTGGAAAGATTGCAGACGGTGGAAGCATATTGGAGACATTGGAGGCATAGCGGGTATTTATAGATCGGCATCGCCCCGCACCCGACCGATTGGCCGATTTCCGACGATAACCGCGTTCTTTTCTCTCCGCAGCGGAGTCTCGTCCGCAAATCTCGTCATGTCGCGTCTGCCTGCCTGCGAGGCCTGCCGCAAGGCGAAGCTGGCCTGCGACCATAAGCAGCCGGTCTGCACACGCTGTGTAAATTCCAAAGGTATCTGCATCTATCGAACGACGCCATTCAAAAGAAAACGAACCGAGCAGAGGTAAGCCCTTGCCAAGACCCTCTAGGCCTGCAAGACGCTCGAATTTATAAATACATGGAGTTGATGCCCTTGACAGTCACCATTCCCCAGAGCCTTCGCCGTCATTTGGTCCCAGGCGCAACCCATATCCAAATCCCGGGTATCTGGGGTCGTCCAGCCATGCGGCTATCTTCAAGCATATCACGCCAGACGGCGATCATAGCTTGAGCGGTCACTATGCAGGCCATACTACAGGTGCCGAAGTGCCAAATACCCAATGGGATGGCGACAACCACTTGGTGCTACAGGGCGCCGAAGCCCTGCGAAATCTGTTAAGTACATACTCACTACCTGCCCTGAAGGACCTCGTCATCTTCTGGCTGGCACGCGGGGCCAATCTCGCACTGGCAGAGCCATTCGTGGCCGCATGCACCGAGAGTGTGAGCCAGCTCTTTACAACCCATGACGAGAACTGGCATCTAGTGTATGCACGACGTCTACTACAAAATTCTGCCTGCCCGCTACACATAGACAGCACGTCCGACATTCGTGAGTTTGCAGCGCAGTTTCTCGACCACAATACGCGCTGGGAAACACTAGGCATATTCTTTGCAGCTGTCAGTCGAGCCACCATTGACGTGGGACTCTTCCCGGCACTGTATACGACCGAGGAAGCGCAGTACGCGCTGCGCAAGATGTCGACCAAACTCAGCGACTTCGCCCTGGAGATCTCGCTGTCGCTGGATTGCCTGAACGACCTGCAGCTGATTGTGCAGTACGAGAACTTCATCGTGCATTCGTACGTCGACGGAGACCAGAGCTACCACTCATGGCGGAAACTCGGCGATGTCATCTCCTCGACGTTTGCTCTTGGGTACCACGAGAACATCCAAGCTAAACCGGGCATCCCGTTCTTTTTGATGGAGCTGCGCAAGACGGCATTTGCTCGAATTTACTCGGCTGACAAGAACATTGCTATCTTTCTGGGCCGGCCTCCGCGCATGAACAAGCGTTTCTGCCATTTTCAGATCCCCTCGTGTGGACCCCTTTCAGATTCAGGTACGCAGCCACATTCCGAGGACTGGGACTCGGATTCGCGCGTTGGGTATAGGGCTGATACACGCTGGTCGGCACTATGCGCTTCCTTGAAAGAAGAGATCTGGGAATTGCTCCAGGACAAGCATGATGCCGCATGCGCGCAAAAAGCCAGGTATATATCGATGATATTCTCATATCTGTCTATATAATTCTATGAGAAGCTAAGAGATACCAGTGCAATCCAAACCAGAGCAGAAGCACAATGGGAAGCCCTGCCGCCTCAGTTCCGACTGGAAACCCGATTGAAACACTGCCCGCGAGCGCCATTCGAGCGCGACTTTCTGGGTAGCGTGCGGCTCAACCATCTGCACGTCTGCTTTCTGTTGCGTCTACTTCTTCTGAATACCCCGACAGAGCCCGATCCCGTTATTGTTGAGACGGCAGGCCAGATGCTGGCTCTTGTAGTGGAGATCATTCTTCTGAGAGACCAGCTCACGAATTCGGGAACTGGATTGATCTGGAAGGTAATAGATGTCTTACACTTTTTCTTCTCTCTCTCTCTCACTTATTCCTATACCTATATGGAATCGAAAATCTCACCAATAAATAGGTCGCCTACTTCGGCCTCCCCGCTGCCGGAATCCTCCTCCTGGCCCTCCTCAACCCGCACCACCCGCCTCTAAATAGCACGGTCACGGGGCTCCCACGTACAAAGCTCCTCCAAGACCTAAGCGTCTTCGCCGCCGAAGTCCAGATTGGAACTATCGTTCGTCCCGGTGACCCCAACTACGCACTCCTCTCCAAAGCCACACAGACCATCCAGCGGTTCCTAGATTCAGTGCATGCCGAGCCTGCGCCGCAGCTGGCGCCCAATCGTGCCCCTGCTCCTAATACCGCTAATTCTACTTCTACTCCTGATCCTGATCCTGCCTCTGGTCCATCGGCAGTGGCGGCTACACAGGGCACAAGCAGTGAGGACTGGGCGGCGCTGCTGAACCAGGATCTATGGGATTTCGAGGCTGGGTTCTGGCAGAGTCTGGCGGATCATCCGTCGTTGTTGGGTTTGGGGTGTGGGTCTGGGTCTGGGTAGTAGATATCTACTGTGAATTTTCTTTACCTTGGCCGAGCTGGTGCAATCGGTAGCCTGCCTGTTGGGATGGCTCCTTACCTCATAGAGAGGCCTTTATCTCAAGAACTCACACAGGTACTCTAGTTGAAACCCTGGGCTTTGTGACTAACAGATATATGGACATACCGTGTATTTATCTTGGTGGATATTTGTATAAAAATCCAGATATTCCTCTTTACACGTCCCATGTACATATTTCAAGTATCTGAAAGTAGTCAACCGTGGAAGAAATGCAGAAATTCTATTTCTGGCAACACGCCTAACAGCCGAGATCAACGCCGGGGCCAGGCGGCAAAACCATGGTGATAAATACATGGAAGGAAATAGGATGAGTGACAATGATAATATGAACGGCGTAGCAAGAAGGTCAAACAAGACAGAAAAGAAAAGAAAAAGAAAGAAAGAAAAAAAAAAGCAAATCACGCTAAGGTCGATAGGAGAGAGACATGCAAGGCTGGTATATGTGCCCGAGGAGATTTTCAAGAAATGCAACGACACGGATATAAAAGGGGAGGGGGATAGCAAGACCCGGATTCTATCAGAGCAGGGCTGTACAATGCTCGGGAACATGCCATACAAAAATGAAATGCGAGGGAGGAGCCGTCAGGCAGAGAGGGTGAGGAGGAACAAAAGAGGGAAGAAGAGGGGAGAGGTAGAATACATTAGTGAAGCAATTTATCGCTGGCGTGATGGATTATACCGGCAACACGGTCGATCCAATGCTGGGTCAAGGTCCAATTGCCCGTGTTGATGCTGTCGCGGATCGCTGGAAACACCGAGGCGTCGTAGCCGGACCACAGCTCGGGCCCGAAGATGACATGGCGGAATTGGGTACGGTTAGGGATCTGGATATGCTTGTTAGTTGAGTTCCCAATTCAGAGAAAATAACTGAACATGGCAACTTACACCGCCGCCCTCCTCCAGGTCCAAGAGATGCGTATCAAACCAGGCCATTCGCGCGTTGTGGTTGACCCGCTGTGCCGCCATAACATTGCTTTCATACCCGCCTAAGCCCCAGACCGTATCGTGCCAGATCTTGTTCCATGAATGGAACTTCGTTGCGACGCTCTTGAACTCGCCTATGACTTTCACCAGCGGCTTTAGATCCACCTTGGCCTTTTTGGACTTGGCAAATTTATCCAGGTCATGGACCCAGCCATCCAAATAGAAGGCGTATGCTTCCATGTCAAAGGGCAGCATCGGGTTTTCCGAGAGGTCAAGCAACAAAAGCCCCCAGAATTGAGCCAGCAACCCGTGGTACTGGAAGCCCGGGTCACCGAACTGCACCATCCAGTCGTAGGACTCATGGCAACTGTGGTAAGGGTATGGCTCGCCCTCGAATCCAAAGTCGATGCTTGAGGTGCCGGCAATGTCCTGGAATGCGACATAATCGCTACCTGCCCCTAAAGGTTGCAGTTTCTTCTTGTTACCGTTCCAGAGGTCTTTGAGCGTCTCATTGGCAACGGGGTCAGAGAGACGGCCAAGGATCTGCAGCACGGTGCGTTCAAAAACCGGTGATGCCGACACGCGGAAGTCGGGCCCAGAGACGCCAACATCGACATTCAGGTACGCAAAGGCATTCTCCCGAAGAGACTCCGCATTCTTCTCGACGTACTCAGTCGAACCAATCAGGTTATATTCCTCTCCATCCCAACTGACGAATTCGATTGTGCGAAGTGGCCGCCACCCGTAGGTGAGCAACTCGCCAAAGGCTCGCACAAGCTCCAAGAATACCGCAGTGCCGCTTCCAGGATCGACACTGCCAAGGCACCACGAGTCGCGGTGGTTCCCTACGATGATTTTCTTGTCGCGTTCGTCGAGTCCAAGGATCCTCCCGTGGACGTTGTAGATGGGGCGCCGCTCCACTTCATCCTGCAAATTCATCAAGTGCACCTTGGGTGATTTCTGACCGCCCGTCCACCATTCCTTAACGTCGGGCACGCCACCCACCCATTGCTTCGGGACCTTGGACCCGTGGCCCTTGAGAGCCCTGCAGAAGCCGCTGCGCATCGCGCCAGGCGAGCGGAAGGCTGGGGATTTTGGGCAACCCGGGGCTTTTTTCGGGAGACAGTCTCTTCTTCTCTTCTGGGGTCGATGCGAATCCGGGACTAAGGACATCCCCGACGACTTGCGACATTCGACTCACTCCGCCCCTCTGTACGCCATCCGACGGCATATATCGTCCCTTGGGGAAGGCCGGGCCCTTGACAAACCCATCCTGAGCGGGGTCCGTGTAGATGATGCATCCCGCCGCGCCAGCCAGTTCGGCGGCTTTGATCTTCAACGCACGGTCGGACTCAGTGCCATAGTATCGGACGAGAGCGATGGCGCCGTCCAGTGAGACGCCCTGGTCAGCGAGGTGTTGGAAATCCTCGCGAGACCCAAAGTTGGCATACACCAAAGGCCCGGTGACATTACCAGACTTGGAGTGTCCATGGAAGACCGGGGCTGCCTCACCATCTTCCTCGAGGGCCGCCTCCCATGCGAGATTGGGGGGATCGACGATGGCGACTCTCCGGCCGCCCTCACGGGGGTAATTGAGGTACACCTGGAATTCCTCCCGTTCAACTTGATCAAAGCCTGCTCGTTGAAAGTCCTGCTCAATCCAGTTTGCCAGCACGAAGCTCCCTTCGGTGCCGGCAATGTGGGAGAAGTTGGAGACCCGCTTCAAGTTCTCGGCGATATTTGTCTCATTGATGTGGCCCTGAATGAAGTTCTCGACTGAGGATGCACTATAGGATTGGCCCATCATCATGCGATTATTCAGACCGAAGATATCGGAGATAAAGAATACGTAGACCATGGAGACAACTAGCAGTAGCGCAAACAGCCGCAGCATCATGATACATCCATGGCTCCTCAAGTGTTCCCGGGTGCCGCTGAGATTGATGGTGAAGCGGAAAGTGGGAAGAAATCGTTGGAGAGGCCGATGGATGGCGGACAGGGTTCGGGTTAAGCTGGAGAATTGTTTGGAGAAGCGATGGCGTAGACGCGGGCCAGCGCCGGGCGAGGATGAATGAGCGGAGTCATCAACGTCCATCTGATCCACCTCCCTCCGTAGCTCCTCCAGAGACCCCCGGTCCGAAGTTGCGGCGGATGAGGCGATGTCATCGAGACTGGTGCGCGCGGATTCCACTGTCGGGGGCTGGTAGCCCCTGGGAGGAGGCGCATCGTGTCTGAGCAAGCCCTGGCGTTCGGTATCATTTCCCTCACCGAGATCGGAGCGAGAGGAGGATGGTTGACCGGTGGCTTCTTCGTAGGAGGGGATGGGGAGGGATTGGTACTCGAACTTCTCGTCGCCCATGGCGAATGGGGGTCGGCTCCGGAGAGCGGTGGCAGAGGGAGGGAGGCGACACGGAGACCTGACAGGTCATGATCTGATCTAAAAGAAAATCAAAGGAGCGACGTCCGGCATCCCGATGGGCTGGAATGAATGACGAGGGTGAAGTGAGCGGACTGAGGATGGGGGTATTCTGCCTGGGGGGATTGGCGCAGTGACCCACGCTCGGCGCTCGCCACGGGGGCTCGCTGGACCGCGAATTTTAAGGGAACCATGGGGGGATAAGATGACAATAAGATGATTTAATAGATTCATCTGAATTAGAATATATATTTACCTAAGAATATGAAATAGCCAGGAGGGAGTGCGCCGCGACTAAACGTGGACCATTGGTATGGATCGTCTCCGCAACGGAGATTGCCATGCCTTGCAATGGCCATGATCATGAGATACCCCAGGATATTGGGGCCGAAGGACTGAGAATTCACAATCTCCTTGTCCTAGTATATCTCATCCAACCTTGCCCGGTCCTTCCGTGGTGCCCTGGGGTTCCTGAAACCCTCAGCTAAGTTGATCCACCCGAGTGATAGGCTTCGCATCGAACATTCAAGTCGGACAGATGGAGGCAGATGTAGAAACTGAGCAATCGGGATTGCTCGACAGGGCAGAGTCGGACAAGAGTGTAGATCACTCAACAGCAAATGACGAGAAGACCAAAAAGTTGGAGAAAGAAAAAAAGACAGTGACTGATCGTACACGGTAGATCCGAGTACACAGACTCCTTTTCCCTTCATATATCTGGGACCTTCTGCCTGATCTTTCTTTTTTTTTCTTGCTTCTTATTTACTTTGAATCTTGTCTTCACTGCCTCAAGTTCTTTCCTTTTGATCTTCTTTGGTGTTGCGTGCATTCTACACACCTTCCCCTCCCCCACCATGTCTGCTCGTCCCCAGAACATTGGCATCAAGGCCATCGAGGTCTACTTCCCTTCCCAGTGTGTCGACCAGGCCGATCTGGAGAAGTACGATGGCGTCAGTGAAGGAAAATACACCATTGGTTTGGGTCAGACCAAGATGAGCTTCTGTGATGACCGCGAGGGTATGTTTATTTTATTTTATTTTATTTTTTACTCCGTGTGGTGCCCAAGGCGAGCTCCGCTAACCCCTGGCCAGACATTTACTCTATGGCCCTGACCACCCTTTCCTCCCTCATGCGCAAGTACAATGTCGACCCTAAGTCCGTCGGTCGTCTTGAGGTCGGCACCGAGACTCTGCTGGACAAGTCCAAGTCCGTCAAGTCGGTCCTGATGCAGCTGTTTGCCCCGCACGGCAACACCAACATCGAAGGCATTGACACGGTCAACGCCTGCTACGGTGGTACCAACGCCGTCTTCAACAGCATCAACTGGGTTGAGTCGTCCGCCTGGGACGGCCGTGATGCCGTCGTGGTTTGCGGTGACATTGCTCTGTACGCCAAGGGTGCTGCGCGCCCCACTGGTGGTGCCGGCTGTGTGGCCCTGCTCATCGGCCCCGATGCCCCCATTGTCTTCGAGCCCGGTCTGCGCGGCTCTTACATCACCCACGCCTACGACTTCTACAAGCCCGACCTCACCAGCGAGTACCCCGTGGTCGATGGTCAGTTCTCGCTCAAGTGCTACACCGAGGCCGTCGATGCCTGCTACAAGGCCTACGGGTCCCGTGAGCAGACGCTCAAGGCTCAGCAGAACGGTGCCAACGGCACCGACGAGTCCAAGACAGCGCTGGACCGCTTCGACTACATCCTGTACCACGCCCCGACGTGCAAGCTGGTGCAGAAGTCCTACGGTCGTATGCTCTACAATGACTACCTGGCGAACCCAACGCACCCCGCTTTCGCCGAGGTGGCCCCGGAGCTGCGTGACCTGGACTATGAGAAGTCTCTGACCGACAAGGTCGTTGAGAAGACCTTCATGGGTCTGACCAAGAAGCGCTTCGTCGAGCGTGTGCAGCCCGGTCTGCAGGTGGCCACCCAGTGTGGTAACATGTACACGGCTACCGTGTACGCCGGTCTCGCCAGTCTGCTCAGCAACATCACTTTCAGCCCTAGCGAGCCCAAGCGCATCGGTCTCTTCAGCTACGGAAGTGGCCTGGCTAGCTCTATGTTCAGTGCCAACATCGTCGGCGATGTGTCGTACATGGTCGAGAAGCTGGACCTTCAGAACCGCCTCAACGGCCGCACCGTCCTGGCCCCGCAGGCCTACGATGACATGTGCAAGCTGCGCGAGCATGCCCACCTGCAAAAGGGCTTCAAGCCGTCCGGCCAGGTCGAGACGCTGCAGCCCCATGTGTACTACCTGTCCGAGGTCGATGATATGTTCCGCCGCCACTACGAGGTCAAGGCGTAAAGCAGACCCATTATTCGATTTCTTTTGCCGTTGGATATGACTGTTTAGACGGTTCAGAAAGATTCCCCTCGAAGCGTTTCTTTTTCTTGTGTATAGACTCGGGCAAGGATGTACCAAGACCTGTTTATTTTCGATGAATATTACGAGATAACCAAAATCGATTTCTAATAGTTTGGTCTATTTTTTGGCATGAAACACCCTCGAGCGATTCTACTTGCGTAAATTGCCTGCTAATTATGGGGCATTTTCTGTTTCTACTGACGCCGATCTCCCGGCGCGTATCTGAGACTCGATACATCGTAGCCGCCGACTTCTCCCCATCACACTGGCCCACCGTCCATCATTGGACCTCCCCCCTGCTTCAATTCGGGTTTCTCATGGGTCGCGGGTTTCCCCCTTGATCTATGCACCTCTCAGGAACCAGAGCTATTTTTGTATAGCCCCGCCGCGGCGATTCCTGAGGCAAAGGAACTCCTGTTCCCCCCCGGTGCAGGTATCTCCCGCTAATTACCTGGGAATCGCGGACCTAATTGTTGCTGAATTTAGAAGTGTTCGAGGATCTTGCATCAAACTATCCCCGACAAGGCATCTGACGAACTCCCGACGTCGCCGATGCAAAATATAGCAACACTTTAACGCGCGACTGTCCGCTGAAACTGCACTATTCCTCGTCCGGGTCGTTTCAAGTGTGCTGTCGCGCGACCTCCTCAGGCACAATGTCGGCAGTTTCGTGTTTCATCGCGTGGCAGCTCTCTGGATCGGAGACTAGGATCCCAAAAAAAGAACCTGAATCTCCTGGTCGTCACAATAGATTCGCTTCTCCATGTTTCAGGTGTATTTGGATCGGCTTGGGTTCGTCAGTGGGCCCTGTTCGCTTTTCTATATGCATGCTTGGCGGTTTGAGCCTTCTGATCGAGCAACATTTAATATCCAAGCATTCGCCTGCTGGATGATGCTTCGGTTTCTTCACGCGAAGAAGTCTTCACTTTTTGAACGACTTGATTCCATCCTCAACCGTTCTTCGCTCGTTGTTGTCCCCTGTGATATAGACTGTGCGAACTTGGTGGTTTCATCATGTCTCTGGAATTCGCTCGCTATCAGCCAACTACTCCGCCGGACATCCCTGTCGAGGAATACCTGGGGTCTGGCCATAGTCGCAACGCGTCCACGTCCTCCATCTACTCTGGCGAGTCATCCCCGTGGTCCACCGTGACGGGAAACACTAGCCCGAGTACGTCGCCAACCCGCCACCATCATGGTCCGGCTCTTCTACCCAAGATCCGACCCCAGGACGTCGTGATTGAGCCAGTGTCTGCTGGTGGACCCCTTCGTCACCGCCGGGTCCTGTCGAACACCCGGAACCCTCCTGGGTTTGTTCCTTATCCACACAGCCGGCCACCGGTCCAGCGACATGGGATTGAGGCTGCAGACCACTTGACTTTGGTGTCTCCCATCTCGCCGGTGCCAATGACCGGGCAGGGAAGCTACCCAGCCTTATCGTCTCCGGTGACTATCACCCCTCCGCATAAACGCAAGTCGGCCAGGGGCCATTCTCGCTCGGTATCTACCTCGAGCATCGACGAGGCCACTTTGAGTCGGTATGGGTATCCTACCTACCGACAATTGCTCAAATATGTGCCGCAGGTGCAGACACAGACCTCTCCATCCACCCCGGTCACATCAGCACCCCCAAACATCGTTGTGCATCCCTCATACTCGCAACGACCCGCTGCTCAACAAGCTCCCGTGCACGCGCAGCACCCATTGGTAGTACCCATTCCTCCGTACAACTATCATCAGGTGTCGAGCGCACAGCATTCGCCCGTGGCGTTGCTCAGCCCTCAAGAAGATCTTAAATCACCATCCACAAATCTGCTCTCGTACTTGACGGCACCCACACAAGCAATTAACCTGGTTCGCAACGTGAGCGTTGTTCCCACGCGTGGCATGCACGATTATTTCTGGTGGGACATCCGGAATCTGCGCAGCTGGACATCTTTTTCGTTCGCGACGTTCGACTCAATCCACGGACTCACCAAGCTCCTGAAGTTTGAGATCTTCGGGAGCCTTGCTCCTCCCGCAGCAGTGGCCCCGACGCGTCTGGCGCCAGACTCCGAGCCTGCACTGGTGAATCTTATCCGTGATTTGTATGCACCGCGGATCAATGCTGCCCTGGCGGTTTCGCAGGGCTCAGACCATCTTCAACTCTATGCGGCGCCAGACGTGCGCAACACCGGACACAAGAATCACGGGCACCCGCATTTTCTGGCCAACTACATATCCGACACGGAGCGCACGAGTGCTGGCTTGCCGCGCGGCCGATTGGTCGGCATCGTCAAGAGCTTCGACCGCTGGAACTCGGGTATGCGCAATGAGGCGCCGCACCGCCGCGTCGAGTATTTGAATGGGTTGGCCCACCTGCAGCGGTGCATGCGCGAGCACTCATGTCGATACGGCTTCATAATGACGGAGATCGAGCTCGTATGTGTGCGTGCCGGCTGCGACGATGGTGATGATGTCCCATACTTTGGGTACTTGGAAGTTGCCGCCCCGATCCCAACCAAGACAGCCGGCACTCACCCGCGCGCAGCACGCGATGGCCTGCCTCTAGCCACCCCCATCAGTGCCCGGTCGTTCTCCACCTCGTCCTCATCCTCGTCATCATCCTCGTCGTCATCTTCTTTCTCCCACCATGACTCACCGGCCCTTGAGCTAGACCCCGCCGACAACAGTCTTGGAACTCCATTGACCGCAAGCCTGGGGCTGTACTTTCTGCTTATGCTTTCCAAATCCGTTCCTTTGCCCGCCCAGCCCTCCGCCCACCTCAACGTTGGCGGGCCTGGCGCGCTCACGCGCCAGCGCATTCTCGCGGTCCCCAAGGACAAATGGATCCCCGAGCCACAGATCGGAGAGCGTCGCGACGCCAAGCGCGTCCGTGGCTGGGTCTGGCCTCAGGATGCTTGGCACCGTCGGGAGGGCGGCGGTGTTCCTCGCTCGAAACCGGGTGAGCCCAAGCCGAAGAGGTGGCATAAATAATTGCCTGCAACGGGAGGAGGCGTATTATTTTTATGTTGAAGGCGTTGATGCTCGGTGCTTTTGGGTGTTTCTTTTATCTTGGGATTGGTCTTTTCTTTTCTTTTCTTTTCTTTTCTTTTCTTTTCTTTTCTATTCCTGGTGGCAGTTATTGTTTGTCTATTCCCCCTTTCTGTTCAATAATAATGTAATTATTTTGCCAGTGGATTCTTTTCTTTTATTTGGATATCATGTATCTTCTATTATCTTTTTTCTTCTTCCCCTCTTTCTCTATATCCTTCACTAATTTAACCACTGGTCATTGATATCTTATCCCACAATGTTGAGCAGAATACAAAACAGTCCCGGTGGATCCCCCAAGGTCCTCATACTCTGACAGCTCCTGATTGACGGCCCGCACAGTGGGCCCCTGATTGCCGCTTGGGATATTGATCGTGTGTGATGCAAGCAAGCCCTAAGGACCTTGGGGGAGGGAGTACCTCGATAGCCAGCTTATGCTGAGGACATTGCAGGAGGGCGCAGTGTGATGAATTATGGATCATAGAAAAAGGCCCAGTCGTCCGGATCGGCAGGTTGTTTTTGTAAATTATATCTTTTTTTTTTCTCATCATACTCGAGCGAACTTGCCGCGAAAGAGTGGTTATATTTTTTTTCTATATGTTACTGATTGTCGTGCAATTCATTCCTTTGCTATTGAATATAACCCTCATCCAACACCCACGATGCCCTCACCTCCCGAGATTCGTGATGTGATTATCATCGGCGCCGGACCCTGCGGTCTTGGAGTCGCCGCCCGCTTGCATGAAGAGACTCCGTCGGTGATGTTCACGGACGAGGAACACCAGCGCTACCACTGGATCAAGAAGCACAGCGGACGAATGAACCTGGTCCAGGCACGACGCAGCAAGATGAATGGCGTGCGAGCCGAGAAATGGAACGGAAATAGCAGCAGCGGCAGCTGCAAGAATGGATCCTGTGATACAGACAGACACCGAAGAGGCTCGACCGAGTCCGACTCATCGGTGCCGTCGTTGTCATCGTCGACGTCGTCATCATCCTCGGCATCTGTCTCCACGCTTGTCCTGGATGGCTCTGGCGACCGCTGGATGCAGCGCTGGAACAATGCCTTCCGCACACTGGAGATCGAGCAGCTGCGGAGTCCGATGTTCTTTCATGTTGATCCCGGGGACCGCGATGGCATGTTGGCCTACACACAGGAGGTGGGTCGAGAAGAGGATCTGTGGGAGATTTCTGGGTGTGTGGGCAAGGAAATGAGCAAGCATAAGAAGAAGAAGAGACGACAGGGGGGCAAGCAACAGTAAGTGACTTTATTGATTTATTTAGGGCTTATCAACCCTGCTTAAAGGAGAAACCCAGCTAACATCCCATCTCAGAACCATAGGCGAAGTCGAGATCGACGAGCGAGACCGCAAAGACTATTTCTCTCCCTCGACGGGCCTCTTCGCCGACTACTGCTCGTCCATCATCAGACGATACAGCCTCGACGAACCGGGCCAGATTCTGCAGCGCGAGGTCACCGATCTCTCGTACGACTACCTGCCCAAGGGTTCCGATATACCTGCATCCAACTCCAAGATCTTTACTGTCACCACGTCCACAGGTGACAAGTTCTACAGCCGCGCTGTTGTGCTCGCTATCGGTGCCGGCGGTGCCAGCGTGTCCAAGATCTTTCCCTGGAAACCCACGAGTGAGGCTGAGGGCGCGGCGGCGTGTTGCCACAGCATGGAGATCCGGTCGTTTCCCAGCCCTCATGTGCAGAGAAAGATCCAGCGTCGGCAGGAGACCAATGTTGTTGTTGTGGGAGGTGGGCTATCCTCGGCGCAGATTGTTGATATGGCGGTGCGGAAGGGTGTTAGCAAGGTGTGGTTTCTGATGCGGTCAGAACTGAAGGGTATGTTTAGTTTTCTTTGCATGACAAACTTGAGTTCTTCAAGACTAACAGTTATAGTCAAACACTTCGATATCAGTCTGCCGTGGATGGGCAAATTCAAGAACTGGGAGAAAGCAGCGTTTTGGTCTGCAGACACCGACGAAGGTAAGTAAGCCCTGACCCCCGTCACAAGTTATGCTGTCAACCGACTCAACACTCACAACGACGACAACAGAACGTCTAGAAATGATGAAAACCGCCCGTAACGGGGGCAGCATCACACCCCGCTACACGAAAATCGTCAGACAGCACGCCGCGCGCCACCGCGCCTCAATCCACTCTTGCACCGTCATCCAAAGCCACGAGTACAATCCGGACACCCAGACCTGGACACTGACCACCGACCCGCCGATCCCGAATCTGCCGCCTATTGACTACATCTATTTTGCGACGGGGGCGCGCGCCGACATCAGCGAGATGCCGCTGCTGAGCCGCATGCACAACCAGTACCCGATCGAAATCAAGCAGGGTCTGCCCTGTCTCACGGATGATCTAATGTGGCGGCCGGATGTGCCGCTGTTTCTGACGGGCCGGCTAGCAGGTCTGCGATTAGGACCTGGGGCGCCGAATCTCGAGGGCGCGCGACTTGGTGCGGAGCGGGTTGCGTGGGGGATTGAGGAGGTGCTGGAGAAGAAGAAGGATGTTTCTGGGGAGTGTGAGGGCTTTTGTGGACTTGGGAATCGGTATGAGTCGTTAAGATTAGACGACTGGGAGGATTGATTTGCTATATACATACAAACATACATTCATACATGCTTCGCAATAGTCCAGAGATGCATGTACTTCTCTCCTGATGTGCAGATAGCTTGTCGGTTGTACTTCGGACGAGCATAAAGTGAATTCCTGAAGAATTCTCCTAGCTCTTGCTAATTCCCATTTGAATGGACTTTCTCTCCCCATTCCTCCCTGCATTCCCGAATTCTTGAATCCTATATCCCCGATGTGGGATGCGCGAAAAGGGCAAGAATGTATATAATCCCTTGTTGGGCTGCAGAATCCATGCTTTGCTTGTTTTCCCTGATCTATAAAGCACCTTGGTGCCATGGAAATACTTGTTATTGTGAGGTGTTCGAGGAATCGCTGCATCGCACACCATGGCGCCAGCCACAGACTCGGAATTGACGGTTCTTCCAAACAACACTAACAAGACCTGGGTCAAGGATAAGGGCCTCCGGAAACTGAATCTGGGGATTGGGTTGATCTTTTGTTCCGCCGCGACATCGGGGTACAATGCCAGCTTGATCAATGGGCTTCTCGTGCTGCCCGAGTGTAAGATACCCTGATTTGCAGATCCAATCCAAAAACCCCAAAAGATCATTAGGCTAAGAATTGATATAGTCCGCGCGCTCATGGCCGGGCTGAGCCCGAAACTCCTCGGCCTGGTCATCGCCTCCGCTTCCCTGGGCGCCATCATGTCCTACACGCCTGCGTCCTATATCGTCGACATCCTGGGCCGGAAGACGGGGATTGCCATCGGATCGATTCTGACGATCTGCGGCGCCGTGATCCAGGTTGCCGTCCCCAAGCAGTGGGCATTCTTCGGCACTCGAGTCCTCGTTGGAGTTGCCATGGGAGTATCACAAACCGCAGCACCTTTGTTGGCCACCGAGATCGCGCACCCGCGCCAGCGCCAGACCGCTACCGCGCTATACAACTCAACCTGGTGTGCCGGGTCGATTACGTCGGCTGCGGTGACGTTTGCCACCTTGAGTGTGTCTGGCAGCTGGTCGTGGCGGATCGCAAGCTTGTTGCAGATATTCTACCCCATCGCGCAGCTGATCGGCTTGCTATTTTTGCCGGAAAGCCCGAGGTGGCTGGTGTCGAAAAACCGGAAGGATGAGGCGCTGGATATTCTCGCGCGGTACCATGCCAATGGCAAAGCCGATGATGAGCTCGTGCAGCATGAGTTCCAGCAGATCTGCAGTAGCATCGGCGCGGACGCAGACTTCAAGCCCCGGCCCTGGAGTTCTTTTTTCTCTTCGAGGGGCGATATCCATCGTCTGGCGATTTGTATATTGGTGGGATTCATGCAGGAATGGGCGGGCAATGGTATGACCACAACTATGCATATGCTGAACCACTCAGAGCAATCTTCTGACAATTTCAACAGGCATCATCACCTACTACCTTTCGCCTATCTTGACCTCCATCGGCATCTCCAATTCCAGAGACCAAGCAGCCGTCAACGTGAGTCTGCAGGCTTGGAATCTCTGTTTGTCGGCAGCAGGCGCCGTCGCCTCGGAGCGATACGGGCGACGCATCCTGTGGCTGCTAGCAACAGGAGTGATGCTGTTTTTCCTCAGCATCATCACAATTTTCGCCAGCCTCTTCACTGAGCGACACATCACACCCGCGGGCATCGCCGTGGTCCCCATGTTCTTCCTTTTCTTCTCTGCCTTTGACATCGCGTATGCACCGCTGTTTATCGCGTATCCGGCTGAGATTCTCCCGTTCCAACTTCGCGCCAAGGGCCTGGCGATCACGCTCACCATGGATTCAGTGGCATGTTTCTTTAACCAGTATGTCAACCCCGTAGCGTTCACCGCGCTTCAGTGGCGATACTATATCGTCTACGTGGGGTGTCTGGTTGTGTTCTTCATTTTGGTGTATTTCCTGTTCCCGGAGACCAAGGGGAGGTCCCTGGAGGAGGTGTCGATGATTTTTGAGCGGAAGCAGGTGCTCGAGGAGAAGCGTGTTGCGGTGGATTCGGAAAAGAAAGGGGGTATCTTTGCAGTGTGATGGCATTTGGCGGTTTTGTGGGTCATATAGATCTGTAAATTAATATTTGCTGGCAGTTAGGAGGCAGTCGGCTTAGCTGCTAACTGGCTTCTCTTGGAGAGGCATGGTTAGCTCCACATCAGAGTATAATTGACTGAAATATCATCATCGAATTCCATTCATCTGTTGTTTTGTTGAAGAGTGTATACTTGGACGTGGGCCAATCAGCGTGTACGCGATGTTGCTGATTTCTCCCCGCAGCTGGTGCAACACTCGCTCTCTCTCTTTTTCTTCGCTGCCTCGACTGACCTTCAGGTCAGACTTGTGTGTTCGAGCATCCAGCTTTCTCAAGTAGTCAGTGGCCCAGGTAATTCTTAATTATCCCGGCCACTAGTTCGTGGACTGGTCGCAACATGAAGGAACCCCAACCTGCGTTCGACGTGGGCACCCCCGTCGCATCCACCCCCAAGCAGCTCCGCTTCCTGGTGATCGGCGCCGGGTCTCGCGGAAACGCATACAGTCGCGCTGTCACAACCGCAACACCCGGGGTGATTCATGCCGTGGCCGAGCCGCACGAATTCAAGCGGCGCGAATTCGGCCGGAACTATATCTGGGGGCCGGATGGCGTTCCTGGGGATGGACAGGAGTTTGCCGACTGGCGCGAGTGGGCGCAGTGGGAGGTCGAGCGACGGAAAAATCGCCCGACACACGACGACGGTGATGGAACTGCTACGTCGCCAGTTGGCGTGGATGGGGTCTTTGTTTGTACACTGGACGAGACACATGTCGAGATTCTGCAGGCGATCGCACCGCTGCAGCTACACATCCTATGCGAGAAGCCACTGGCTTTATCGCTCGACGACTGTTTGACCATCTACCGAGCGTTGCAGCCACCGCAAGGCGAAGCAAGCCAGCCCTCGCCGCCGTCGACGATCTTCTCAATCGGTCATGTCTTGCGGTACAGCCCACACAACACGCTCCTGCGCAGGCTCTTGCTAGAAGACCGCGTCATCGGAGACATCGTCTCTCTGGAGCACTGCGAGCCCGTGGGCTGGTGGCACTTTGCCCACAGCTACGTGCGCGGCAACTGGCGGCGTGGCACGGCAGCAGGCGACGGGTCGCTGCTCACCAAATCCTGCCACGACATCGACTTCATCCTGTGGCTGCTGTGCTCGCCGCCATCCCTCGAGGCTGCGCGCACCCACGGCCACTCGCCGCACTTCCCGCGCACCATCTCATCGGCCGGGTCGCTTACGCAGTTCCGGCGCGCGCGCAAGCCCGCCGCCGCCGGCTCTGCCACCAACTGTCTCGCCTGTCCCGCCGAGCCCGACTGCGGCTACAGCGCCCGCCGCATCTACCACAGCCGCCACCTGGCCCGCGGCCACACAGCCTGGCCCGTGGATATTGTGTGCCCAGACATTGAAGACGTGTTCCGGGGCGCAGGCGGGCCCGACGCGGCCGAAGAACACCTCCTCGCCCGACTCCGCGAGGACTACGACCGCGCCCACGACCCGGACGACACTATTGCCTCGCGGCCCTGGTACGGCCGCTGTGTCTATGAAGCCGACAACACGGTCTGCGACGACCAAGTCGTCACACTGGCCTGGGACGACGAGCCAACCGCGCCGCACCGCCTCGCCAAGACCGCTTCTTTCCATATGATCGCCCCGACCGAGAAGCAGTGCGAGCGCCGCGGCCGCGTGTATGGCACTGCCGGTGAGATCGCGTACGACAGCCGCTCGATCTCCGTCTATGATTTCCGCTCGGCGCAGACCTCCGTCATTGACGTGCCTCGCCCGCCCCCCGAGGAGACCGAGTCGCATGGCGGCGGCGACTATGGGCTTGCGCGCCAGTTTGTTGCCGCTGTCGATGCTGTGGTTAATGGTGCGCTCGATATCGAGACGGCTCAGGCTCTCTTTGTGGGCTGTACTCTTGAAGAAGCGGTGCGGAGCCATGCCGTGGTGTTTGCGGCGGAGGAGGCGCGCCGCGAGGAGAAGGTCGTGCGGTGGAGTCCGTGGTGGGAGGAGAAATTGAATGCTTCTGCTGCTGGCACGGCATGAACTTGGCGGGCTTTTCTTTTTCTTTTCCAGGTTGTTTCTCTTTTTTCCTTTTTTTTTTTGGGACGATGTGATGAATGCTACGAAGTCATGATTGCAAGGATCTAATCAGGTCATAATTATCTACGCATAAATCCTACTAAGGTACCTCTGAATTGAATGAAACCAGGTAATCCGGTTTGATTCCACGCTATCATATTCGTTTCTAGCTTCGGGTTCATCGTTTCGTCTCTTCTCTCGTATCCGGTGATTTCCCATCCAGCAGGTCACACAAGCTTCTAGGTCTTGACATCGGGCTCCTCGCGGCCAACATACTCCTTGAATTTGAGCAGCGACAGCGCCAGGGCAATGTTATCGGCCAGGTACTCCTGAGCGCTGAGACCGAACTTGGAGCGATCGCTCTCGTAGCGTTCAACGTATAGCCGGATGGTGGCGCCGCTGCTGCCGGTGCCGGACAGACGGACGACGATGCGGCTGCCATCGTCGAACTTGGCGAACAGGCCCTGGTTCTTGGCGACGCTGCCGTCCAGGTCGGTGTAGGCGAAGTTGCCGGCGTCGACGACCTTGCGAGCGGCAATGGTCGAGCCGACGAAGGAGTCGCTGGCGACCAGGTCGGCCAGCGTCTTGACCACCTTGTTGGCACCGTCGCTGTCGACGTCCTCGTAGTCGTAGCGCGTGAAGAAGGTGCGACCGTAGGTCTGCCAGAACTCGTTCTGGATCGAGGCGATGCTGGGCGTCTCGTTGGGCTTCTGCTTGGCCACGCCGGCGATGATGTTCAGCCAAGCAACGATGGCCCACACGCCGTCCTTCTCGCGGATGTGGTTGCTGCCCGTGCCGAAACTCTCCTCACCGCAAATGGAGATCTTCTTGTTGTCGAACAGATTGCAGAAGAACTTCCACCCTGTGGGCACCTCGTAGCTCTGCAGGCCCTGGGCCTCGGCCACGCGGTCGACGGCACCAGCGGTGGGCATGGACCGCGCCAGACCATACACGCCCTGCTTCTGGAACCAGGGGATGAGCTTGGCGTGGTGCGCAATGATAGCCAGGCTATCACCGGGCGAGACAAAGGTGTTGGCGCCGTAGATCATGTTGCGGTCACCGTCACCGTCGCTAGCGGCACCAAAGTGCACGCCATTCTTGTTGACGGCCTCGACCAGCTCGTGTGCGTACACGAGGTTAGGGTCCGGGTGGCCGCCGCCAAAGTCCGGCTTGGGCACGCAGTTCATGGTGCTGCTGGCTGACAGCCCGAGCTCCTTCACGAAAATGTCCGTACCGTACGGGCCCGTCACGCCGTGCATGCCATCAAAGAGCACCTTGAAGTCCTTGTGTGTGCTGAGGAAGTCCTTGATCAGATCAAAGTCGAAGATCTCCTTCATCATGGTCACGTAGTCGGCCGTCGAGTGCACCACCTCGACCTCGAGCGGGCCGTAGCTCTTGGAGCCGATGCTGGAGGTGTCGACATCCGGGATCTCGGCGTATTTGTACGAGGTCAGGGACTTGGACGCCTCGAAGATCTGGTTGGTCACCGTCTCTGGGGCCGGGGCACCGTTGGCCAGGTTGTACTTAATCCCGAAGTCGTTGTCGGGGCCTTCAGCACAAGGGTCAGTCAATCGAACGCCGCGATGGGACTTCAGTGTTTCCGTTCACTCACCACCGGGGTTGTGACTGGCCGTCAGCAGGATTCCACCGGTCGCCTTTCTCACGCGAATGAGGTTGCTGGCAGCCGGGGTACTGAGAATGCCATTCTGCCCGACCAGCAGCTTCTTGACACCGTAGGCGGCACTGATCTTGGCGATCTTCGAGATCACCTCGTTGTTGTAGAAGCGACCATCACCTCCAATGACGAGGAAGGCACCCTCAACACCCTCGGGGATCGACAGGAGAATGCTGGTGATGAAGGATTCGGAGTAGTTGGGCTGCTGGAAGACCTTGACCTTCTTGCGAAGACCAGAGCTAGAAGCGCGGGGTTAGCGGGGCAATTTGACCAGGGGAAGAGAAACCACGTACGTCCCCGGCTTCTGGTCAGCAAAGGGCTGGATAGAGACCGTCTGGACGGACATGATGAGATGGACTGAACTGAAGAAGTGGGGGAGGAAGAAGGGGAAGAACAGGAGGTTCACCGACTGTTGATTAGAGGGGCTTTGGCGTCATGTGTTTATCATCCCACTTTACGCCACTTTTCCAACAATAGCCACTCTATTTCAACGGGCTGTTGAGTTTACTCCCTGAGTATTTGAATGTGTACAACTAAGGTCAATTGGAAAAAAAAATCCGACTCTCAATTCCTCCCAGCTCTCCCCGCAGACGTGGAGGCAACAGATAGTCCATTGCGTATGTTGCCGTGCGACGCAGTCTTGTCGGGATTGCAACAGGACATCCATGGATGTTGACTATGTACCTAGTAAGATAACAGGTGGTAGACGGTCACACGAAGACTATCCATAGTCTACAGTCCCAAAATTCGTCGGGCTAAGCCTAGTGAATAGAGAATCCGTTTCACGCAAACAGCTTCTCCCGATAGAAGCGCATCTCGGCAATACTCTCCAAGATATCGTCGCGAGCCAGATGAACCTCGCGCTTCGGCGGAACCTGCTGCAACAGCTCCTCAGAGCCCCAGCGACGCGCCGCCTCCTTGATGGTACTGACATCCAGGATCCGGTAGTGCAAGTGCTCCAGAACCCGGGCATAGGGCCCGCGCGCCAGAAACGCCTTGTCAGCGTGGACACTGTTCCCGGCCAGCAGGGCGGAGCGCGGCGCAGGCACATACCGCTGGATGTAGGCGAGGAGGGCAGCGGCTGCTGCGGACGGGTCGGTGGTGGAGTCGCGCACGGCGGCTGTGAGGCCCGTGCGGCCGTGGGTGTCGATGCACCACGGCGACATGGTGGTTAGCAACGACTCGGGCTGGTGGATGACGGTTTCGAAGCCGTCGGGCTCGAGGAGATTCAGCTGTGCGTCGGTGATAAAACAGCAAATCTGCAGGATCTGGTCTTTTTCGGCATCGAGGCCCGTCATCTGGATAGGAACTGATGAATATCTGGTCTCTTGATTCTACCAAGGGGAAGCAAGACTGCGCAGAATCATACCTCACAGTCAATCCAGACCAGGGGTTCCGATGAACGTGCGAGCGGCATGGTCTTCGGGTGTGCGAGCACGGATGGCTGCAGATGCTGTCAATTGATTTCTGGATTTGCGGACGCGGGCAGAATCGCTGACTTGGTGGAGAAAGCAACCGCGCGGGCTCCAAATCTTTGGTCTGCTCCAGACGGATACTGACGAGAGGCGAAAACATCGGACCCCCCGAGCAAGCATTTGGGGGTTGGGGAGGTGCAGGAGAAACCCGGTGAACGGATATCAAAGCTGCTTAGAAATGTGACGAAACATACCCAGGTAACCGGGCCTACAACTACAAGACTAGATATCTGAATCTACTATATCCGGTTTTGTTCCTAAACAAGCTGCCCTCGCAGCCACTGTATTTTCCCTTCAAGATGCTGGGGCTGTAAATTGTGGACATGACGGCGTAATCGTAGAAAGGAAAGGGAGGCGCGCGCTGGAAAAAAAAAAAAAACAGACCAACTAAACCTCACAGCTCCTCGTCTTCTTTCTTGGGTGACACGGCAGACTCCTCCGACTTGAGCTTCTCCCCAAACGACTCAGAGCTACCAGTTTTCGCATCACTGGGCCCAGCAGATCCTAGAACCTCGTTGATCCTCCCCGATGATTCGGCAATTCGACGCCGCAGGGCATTTTCATCTTGCCCCGACACACTGGCCCGTTGCTTTTTCAGCGGGCTGCCGAGAAATCCATCTGTCGGGTCCCCAACAGGCTGAGATGGTTCCAAAGGTCCAGCACCCGATGTAGACCCCTTCGGTGGCGTTGTCGATCGCTCAGTTGCAGGAGGCGTAGTACCCGCAACCGGGGTCCCGCTGGAGTTAGCAGAACTGTCTGCGGTAGGCTCGGCGGAGTGTTGACGCTTGAGCTGTGGCATTGTTAATAAGAAGGGAAGGGCGAAGCCCAGCAAGAGAGGGGATTGCCGTGACACTCACCCGAATCTTCCGGACGCCCTCGGCGAGCTCCCCTTGGCGTCGAATATCATCCGGAGACAGGAACCGATCATCATCCTGAGCTTCTTCGTCATCGGCCTTGCCAAGGATGGGATTATCGGTGTCATCGTCATCACTGTCCATATCATTCTCGCCCTTGTTGCCTTTCTGCGCCCGGGTATCATGATCTCGGAAATTCAAGAACCCAACGGTCCCGCCAGGCTTGAGAGGACCCAGATTTGAAAAGTCGGCCTGTAATGATTTTCGCTTGGTAGCGCCGGGAGTGTCCTGCGCTTTGGGGTCTTTCAAGATGCCCATCTTCTGCAGTTGCCCTGTAAATCCATGGGGTTAGAACCTCTCCCAGGTAAGCAAAGAATGGGGCGGTACTCACGTTCGCCGCGATACATGAAAGTAAAAATGGCGTAAGGCTTGTCAGTCGGGTCGATCCCGGTGACTGTCTGCGTGCTGATGGTTTTGGGATCCAGCGATTTGGGCTTCGCGAAGCTAGTGGTATGGTCCACATCGGCATCGCCTCCACCGCTGTTCCCCTGACCCCCCTCCTCATCGTCATCATGTGCGTCGAATTGCGGCGAATACTCGCCTCGCTTAATCTCGCCCGATGCCAGGACCCGGAACAGGGCCACCTTGATCTGGCCGGCGGTTTCGGGAATAGGGTCGTCATCATCCGAGTCGGAAGACAGGTCCTCATCCGAGACGTTTTCCAACGGTGCTTGCTCATCATTGCCGTACCGCATGATACCCTTGGATTTTGCGGGGTTGTTGGCTTCCATTTCCATGGCACTGAGACCCTCGGACTCGCGTTTGGCGCGCCGCTTCTCGATCTTTTGCCGCCTTCGCTCGATCTTGGCCGCGGCATCCTTGCCCTCCAAGTCTAAACCGTTAAGCCAGCGCTCCAGACCGACCTCGCGGAACAGAAATTCACGCTCGGCGATGCCGCCGCCCTCGGATCCCGGCACGCTGACCCAGCGCGAGTTGACCCAGGTTTCTTCGCCGCGTCGCAGCAGTGTCGCCACTTCCTCCTTTTGTCTGCCATCAAAATAAATGTAGGCCGCCACCGTCTCATTCGGCGAGTTGGTCAATGCCTGGTAGGGCGCGACCGCCCCGGTGTATTGGCCGCGTTCACAGGTCTGGCCTGGTAGTCCCCCCCACTACCTTCGGTTTCGGCGAGGGGCAGTCCGGGCTGGGTTTGGGTGTCGAATAGGGTACATCCTGGGCGGGATTCAGGAGGGTGATGGAGATGGCGAAGGTCGACTGCTCCGGCTTGCCCGTTGAGGAGTCGGGGAGTTTGGGTGGGGGCACGGGAATGAAACATGCGATCCTCGAAGCCCGAGACTGGCGTTGGATGGAGTATTCGGAAATTGGCCCATCCGGAGTATGAATGCTCACAGCAAGCCCTTTGAAGCAGGGCATGGCGGTGGTTCAAGTGGGAAGAATTATGGCCGCACCGTGGGGAGACTGCAGGGGAAAAAAAAAGAAAAGACCGCCCCACTCCTTAAAAAAACGAAGATTGTTCCCAATCAGACAGAATAGTAGGGTGAGAGGGACCAAGTCCGACACAGTGATGCACTCAGCTTCTTCTTCTTCTCTCCTCTTTCCTCTTTTTTTAGGGTTGAGTCTTTGAGGTGGATGCGTAGATGGTAAAAGGAAGAGGGAGGCGGTCAGGGTAGTGGAATTCGACTCGTCAGGATTGCCCAGCAGCCCACAGTCACTAGAACCCACTGTAGCTGCTGGTATATGGGGAGGCTGGGGACGATGCTCGCCGCAAGGTCAATCGGCTTCGTAACGGGAAGATCCCGGGGGGTTGCACCTGGCCCCCCCTTCAGACTGCGGGTATCAGGAATCACACAGGACGAAGGTGCCTCATAGAAACCCTTCACGAAAAACCAAAATAGCAGAAGGTCCGGGGTGAAGCTAGGAAGAAGAGTGGGAGACCCCGTTTGGGCAGAGGAGGGGCGGGAGTGGACCAAAACATTCGAACCCCACGTGATACACCTTATTATTGCCCTCCGAGCACTACGTTCTTCTTCCTATCTCTCGACTCCCTCCCAGGACAATTTCCCCTGGAGATGCCCTGTTGTTTCTGCTATTTGATTCCGCACTAATACCACGGTCATTCCAGCTCTAAACCTTTGACTCCTCACACTTCTGACACAACTATCCCACTCTCTCGGGAGAAGTACCCACATCACCTGATTGCCGACCATGGATCAGTGGGAGCTCCAGCGTGGATAGGGTGGATCGAAAAGGTGTTGAGAATTGACCAAAACCGTCTAGCCAGAGCATCCGTGAATTCCACATGTCCAGATCGAAGGCTCAGCTCATATACCGAGTGTTGACTCTTTCGTAGGTGTCCGTACTTGGGCTGAATATGCATATCATTGTCCTGACACCTTAACCCTAGTTTTGTACCCCAGTAACGCGACAGAACTCATCGAAGAACGACACCATATCCAAACGGTCTCCCTCCTTGCATAAACCGAATTTCATCAACTTTCTCTTCTTGCCATTCAAGCGTGTCCCAAACTTATGCCATAAAAGCTTGTCAGTCTCCTCGGAACTCAGGCCAGGGCTGCCTCCTGGTGTTTCGCTTTCAACCATTGTCGCTTGCCACAATTTATCATGAGCGTTTTGGTAACGTAGAATAGCATATTGATCGGCAACCAGCCATGTCATCGTAAACGAATAAACATCTGATTTCACGGGCTTATATTTGAGCCCGTGATATGCCTCTAAGCACCGGAGAGATTAGCTCTTGTACTTCCACGGGGAAGAAAGAAGGTTACCTGGAGGTGATAACCCCTTGTCCCCGGAGCACTGTATTCATTGGACTTCCGTAGATCCACAGCAAAATCCCAATCAATCAAGTAGACTCTCCGGAATCTGATAACCATATTTTCGGGCTTCACATCCCGATGAACAATTCCCATACTGTGAGCGTCCAATAATGCCCCTCCAAAATTCCACATCGCCCAGTCTCTATTGAATCGCTTGTTTTCTGATAGAGCTGTGAGCATATCCAATCCGGCTCTATCCATCACCTGGACCGATTGCTTGTTACCTGGGTCCCAGAATATTTCCAGGTTCCGCAGGATCCAACGACTGCCGATTTCGTCAGCAAGCAGGGACTGATCGACTCCACGACCTCCTTGTGATATCTTCACTGCCACTCGTCGTGGCAGATTGATTTTCAACCCCAGGGCCCTGTTTCGTGGTGTGTCGTAGTACTTCAATTGGCCCATCCAGACTGATCCTTGACCCCCCCCCCCCCCCGCGCCCAATTTCTCCGCGAGTGAGACCGACCCCTGGTTTTGCTTTCCAGGCGGAAAGAGATATTTAGGCCGAGGCACCTGCATGACTTTCTCCGCTAAGTCATAACAATGGGACTTAGGGGGTGCGTTTTCTGCGCGTCGAACAAGCGAAGGCGCGCCATCGAGGGAGTTTCGTGGAACGAATTCATTACCGTCGTCAATCTGGGAAAGGGGGAGGTTCTCTTCTGGGACCGGAATAGAAATGACTTGGAGAACGAGTAAGGAATAAACCCCCCATAATACCAGCCGGAGATAGAAAAGGTGCATGATAGAGGATGATGGATGGGAGGATGGGCGTGAAGCAATCAAGCGAGTAAACAACCTTGATGAAAATGAGTCCCCCGTGGACATTTCTAGAAATTGGAAAAGCAGCTTTGGTTTGAATATTGCCCAGATGTCAATCCGCGATTGACAATGGGGGCCACTCGAGGCCAAGGATATCAATGTATAGAAACAGCTTGAAAGACCAGTGATTCAGCCAATAGGATACACGACAGGCACTAAAACGTGAGACTATATCGAGTGGAGTAACCCCTTGAACCGAAGGATTGAAGGCAAAGACAGAGCCTGAACGGTTTTTTCTAGACCGGTTTCGGCGGGGAGAAATATATGTGTACAATCCCATGGGCTGAGCAGTTTCCCTAACCTATTTTATTCTTTTCGCGTGGTTGACTCCAAGAGATCCTAAAACGAGTTGATTGTGAATTTAGGTGACAATAGCCCTAACTTCATATATGCGGGCGAAAAGCAAGACCCCACCCATTAGCCTCACCATGAATCGTGTGGGCCCCTACACCACTGACTAGTTGTAGTTGCACTCCTTAGTCCCTGGATATTCGATACTTCATGCGGTTTGAACAAGGCTGCATCCTTCCCACCCACACCCTTGATTTAGGGCAGTGGAGACAGTGGGGGCCCTTTCTACTTCAGAGTCCAGCTGCTAAACGAGCATAAAATCCAGGATAGGATATCCCATGGGCATCGAAGGAGGGCCAAGCAAATATTCTATAATTTCGCGTTTACCTTAACGATGTATTTACGTATAGAATACCCCAAAATGACATTCACAACACAAAAAAAAAAAGGCTGAGACATATCGAACAAGTCGTTGGCAAGGCAGAATCCACTAGTACTATGGTTCCTGATATTATAAAAGAGAAGCTAAATCTGTGCCTCTGCCCCCCTTCACCGAGATAAAATTTTGGGGGGTTCTACCTATTGTCATTTTCTTTTCTTATACTATACCAAGAAAAGAAAATCGATACCCACAGTTCAAGCTGCAATGATGTTAACGAATGATAATAGGGATTCGAGTTCAGGAACATAGCAGTGGCAGGAATATGCTATAGTCTGTCAGGAGAAGGGCAATGGAAAAAACCTTCTTGGAAGTATGGGAGCCTTGGGCTAATGCAGCCTACATCAATCCGTGGATAGCTTTGCAATGCTTGCCCCAGGGGTTGATTAGCATCGGTATGAATCGAAGGACTGGTAAGTCCGAGCCGTAACCTTAGCTTGATTTTCAGATTTGCAGTTGTTTCTTCTTTTTTCTCTAGGGTGACAAGTATACACGAATCAGGGTGTGGGGAGCAGGGCGCTGTACCATATTTATGCCATGTGCTGAGACACTCTTCTAAAGTGATAGGCCAGCACAGCGCAAAAGAAATCAAGAAACCGATATCCCCTAGAGAATGGTTCTTTTTTTTTTTTAAAAAAAAAAAAAAAACTTTATTAAATCTCTGAAATGTCAAGATGTCTTTGAAGGATCAGAAACCCAAGAACTCGAGGAATGCTATGAAACGACCGTCGACGACAGTAGACAATATGAAAGAATGTATAACTGGCAGAATAAAAAAAAGTTTTTACTACCTCAGATGAGCTAAATGTCCACGTTTGATTGGAAAATGGTCAATATCAAAAGTAAGTAGAGTGGTATAGAGAGAGGTCCCAGATAGGAAAGTGGAGTGATGTCATCGTGACCAAGGGCGAGTTCCAGCTTTGGCAAGCGCAACCCACGTACCTGCCACTTTCGGCATGTTCTCACGCACTTTCCTCAACATCACCAGGGCTGCCTCGCGTCTGCCTCAACTGCCGACTTCCCACCTCTACTCGACGATGGCTTCCGACATCACCCTGTACACCTGGGCCACGCCCAATGGCATCAAAGCGTCTATCACACTCGAGGAGCTGGGTCTGCCCTACAAAACAGAGGCAATTGACATAAGCACCAACGAGCAGAAGAAAGAGTATGGCCTGTCTGCTGTCTGCGTGGAGACAGACATGACGATTTCTTCATGGCTGATCGTCGCGTTTCGCGCATTAGGTGGTTCCTGAAGGTCAACCCCAACGGTCGTATTCCCGCGCTCCTCGATGGCTCGCAGCGCGTCTTTGAGAGTGGCGCTATTATGCTGTATCTGGCTGATAAGTACGATACCAACCGGAGGATTAGCTACGTGCCCGGCTCGCCCGAGTATGTCGAGCAGCTGTCGTGGCTGATGTTCCAGATGGGTGGACTTGGTCCGATGCAGGGTGAGCATATCCCTCCCCCACCCTCTTTTAATTCCTTGCCTCTTTACTTCGTAGATATACCCACTGATATAAACATCCACTAACTCAATAACAGGCCAAGCAAACCACTTCCGCCTCTTCGCCGGCGCCCGCTCCGACTACGGCATCACCCGCTACCTAGACGAGACAAAGCGCCTCTACTCTGTCCTCGACTCCCGCCTGCAGGAAAGCCCCTATCTAGCCGGACCCAAGTACACCATCGCCGACATTGCAAACTTCTCCTGGGTGCGCGGCGGCCCGCCCGCCCTGGAGATCGATCTGGCCCAGTGGCCGGCGCTGAAGAAATGGGTTGATGGGATCGAGATGCGAGCTGCGGTCCAGAAGGGCGTCGATGTGCCGCAGACGGGTCGCACGCCTGAGCAGCTCGCTGAATTCTTTCGCAGTTGTCGGGAAAGGATTGATGGTCTGGCGAATTCGGATAAGCAGTGAATTACTCCGTGGGACTCTTTGAGGCCTCGCTCTCTCTCTCTCTCTCTCCTTTGTGTAATTTGTTGATACAGAGAGTAGGTGGACAGGAAATCCTGTCTGAAATAACACCATATACCAAGGATATGTATACAATGTCGGCTTCATTGCATTGTCCCCACATACAACCATCTTGAAGCGTATGGATACATTTAAGGATCTACCAGCTCTAATTTATGCTCCGTCTAATGCCCCATAGCCCATTAACTCTCAAATATCCCCCGGCCGGTAGCTCCGCCAAACCTCAAACCCAACCCGCTCGTACCATCCCTCCAGAGCAACCCAATCCACAAAGACGCCCTCAATACCTCGCTGTTTCATATCCTCCATAGCATGACAGAGCAGGGCCAGCCCGATCCCCGACTTGCGATGAGCGGCGTCCACACCCACGCAGCCAATCAAGCCCGTCTGGGGACCGCAGGTTTGAGGAAATGCCCACGTCTTGTTCAGTACCGGCGAAGACGGGCCCAACATCAGCGTCCATCCAACCTGTTCACCACTCGAATCGAACGCTGTCATCACACTGGACGGGTGTTCGCTCGGGTGGAGCTTGACGAACATTTCTACCCAGCCCTGAAGTGCAAAAGAATTAGCTTGAAAGGATAATCCCGCCTCGAAGGAGGATCTGTGGGCATACCGGTTTGTCGGAGAAATTTTTCTTTTGTCCGACGAGACATGCTTCATAGTCTTCTGACCGGAGTGGTGCGAAGCGGAAGCCTTGGTCCCGCGCACGAGCAAGGTACTTCTCTGGTGCCTGGAATTTGCGGATGTCTTGGTACAGGTCAACGGACCGCTCACCCGGGGGGATCAGCCGAAAACCACGATGAATGAAAAAGTCTTGGACGGTCTCGGGAAGGTCGCGAGGCACTCCAGGCCAGAAGCGAGGGAATGAGCTACCCAGTTCCACCCAGTTGAGACCAAATTGAGCCCTGAAATAGGAACGGGTCTCTGTCAGCAAGGCCGTGCCAATCCCCTGTCCTTGATACTTTGGAGCCACTGCAACAACTGCAATGTGGACGGTTTTTGGGTCGCCGTGAGCATTGGTATAGGCAAGACAAAAGCCAACGACTTCTGGCCCAACGCGGGCGACGAAGTGGTGTGCATTCGGCCAAGCCACCAAATAGCGTAGGCTTTCTGCAGGCAGGGTATAGGTCGGTAAGGCCGCTTCCCATGTTCTCACAATTCCATCTAGATCCTTTGTGGCATCAAAGAGTGCGACTGATGCCACGGAATTTCTCGAATCATTTGGCCCAACGGGAAGAGAGCCTTTCGGAGCCCGCATCCCAAACATGATATCGGAAGCCACGGAGAATGCTTCGACGGTTGGTTCATAAGTGGCAATGTACGTCTTAATTTGGGGAACTTCAAGGAAATCGTAGGGGTTGCAAGCAGCAATGGATACCAAAGACCGGGTGCGCCGAGGCAGCTCATGGCCCAGAGTTTCCTGGTAAGACGACTCCCGAGCATTGATCGAGGTAAAGATCACCACATCAGCAACTTCAATGAGACGCCACTGCTCTCCCGTCAGACCGGCCTCTCCATATCGAATCTCGGTGATGGATGGATTGTGGAGCCGAAGGGCATCGAGGTAGGCTGTAGCTTCATATGACCCTTGTCTTCCTAACCCTTCTCCATCCACTGCACCCCCTGCAGGGGTCTTGTCCCCAGGAAAGAGAAATACAATAATCGAATTTCTCGAGAGCGGGAGAGTTCCAGCAGTGTCACGGACGAGGGTGACCGAGTGCGCATAGATATCCTTGGACGTTGCAGCTATTTCGCTGTTGAGCTCATCGAGACCCGCGAGATTGTGTTGTTCCAGTGCCACATCCCAGGTCAAGAATTTATTCTTCACATGAGCCACGCGGCGACAGGCATTTTCTAGGCGGGATTGTGCAATCGTTCCGGATTGAATCGCCTCACAGACCTTTTTGATCGATTCCACTTGAACATGGAAAGTGTGACAGATCATGATACTGTCACTGCCGGCGCACAATGCGAGCACAGAGCCTTGCGCGGTGCCGTACGTAGAACGGATCCCGTCCATCTCCAAACAATCTGTAATCACCATTCCATCATAGGCCATGTCCTTGCGCAGAATCCCCAAGGCATCTGGGGACAATGTCACAGGAAGCTTGTCATCGATACTCGGCAGTGAAATATGAGCGGTCATTACCGTTTCGATACCTTCGGCCACAGCTCGCCGAAATGGTATCAGCTCGCACCGCTCTAATTGATCCCTCGTTTTAGGAATGATAGGCAATCCGTAGTGCGAGTCCACGGCCGTATCGCCATGACCAGGAAAATGCTTCACACTCGGCACAATGTTCTGCTCTCGCAGACCCCGGGCAGCAGCACTCGCAAAACGACCCACAAATTCCGGGTTGTCGCCGGGACTGCGAACTCCAATGACCGGGTTGAGTGGCTCAGAGTTGATATCACACACCGGTGCATAGTTCATATTGACTCCAAAGACGTTGAGAGTCTCGCCGGTGGCCTTTCCTGCCTTGTAGGCCGATTCCGGGTCATGGGTGGCACCGAGAGCCATCGGACCAGGCACCTGGGCGGCTATCGGGGGAGAAATTCGGGTGACCAGCCCATTTTCTTGGTCAATTCCGATGAACAGGGGTCGCTGGTGCCCGGCCAACTTTGCTTCTTGCTGTAGAGCCAGCGTCAAGGCCTTGGGTAATGGAGTTAGTATTTCCACGTAAACGATGGCGGTGTTGGTCGCACCTGGAGTTGTGCAGCATCTTGAAAATTGCGCGAGAAGAGAACGATGCCTCCAATATGGTAATCGTGGATCAAGGTCTTGATTTCGGGGCTGGGCGTGAAGCCATGAAACCCAACCGCAAACAACTGCAATGGTCAGCGAATCAACTATTCTAATTTCAAATTTCACACACATACCTGGCCGACTTGCTTGGGGAGGGACGCCATCGTGGGATGAAGGTGGAGAGCGATAAGAGAGGTGATAGTCGATGGGAGGGGCTTTCCCCGGATCCACTCGCGTTGCATCTTCACTTTGGCGCGTTGGAGATAAGCCGAGGAAAGCACCAAATGTGACTGGAATGCGGGGTCACTCCTGGCTCACTTTCCTTGAACTTCACCTCAACCATGGCCTCCGTGGACTCGGAGAGAACCCCCAACGATGCGCCCAAGAACAATGCCGTAGTGACCGCAGTGTCGGCTCAGGCGCATCCTACTCTCGAGGAGTATGAGCGACTGTTCGGAGTCGATGAGGATGCATATGAGCAGCCTACCACTACCCGGAAAGAATTATGGTCTTACTATCTCTATTACAACGGTGAGTCTGCGCATGAATACCAGACGAAGTAACGGCTACTGACCAGGAGATCGTGAATGGGCAGGGGATAATGGAGTTGGTCCGGGGTCGTATAGTCAAGCCCTGTATGTTGCTCACCAAAGACCCCCTTGCTGAACTACCACTGACCATCCTCGAAGCTTTCAATGGGCACTGAACGGTGCCGGCCACCAGCCCGATACGCAACCCCCCAAGCCCTGTACCGATTCATCGGCCTGCGTAGTCCCTTGGGCCGGGGGCACGCGATCCATCTCCTCCGTGATCTTGATTGCCAACGGTCTTTGCTTCACCTTTATGACGGTGATCTTCGTTTGGCTAGGCAGTGCTGCCGATTATGGGTCATTCGGCCGCTGGCTTCTCTTGGCTTTGACAGTTGTCTGCTGGGCGCTGCAATATGGAATGCTGGCGATTCGCGATCCGAGTCAGTGGCCGGCAGCAATGGGGATGTATGTCGTGGCGTACATCGCCTATGGTGCGACCCTGGTATTTTATGCTGCGGTCTTCCCTCGACTGGCGCGGTATATGCCGCATGTGCGCAAAGCACGAGAAGAGGATCTAAAGGAAGGTAAAATCACTCAGCGGGAGTACGATGCCATCGAGTCATTGGAAAAGAATCACATCAGGTAATTGCGTCTCTATCTACTTTGCTTTTCGATGTCTATACTGAAACTAACTGAATCCTTACAGCAATATCTCGACAGCACATAGCAACATCGGATACCTGCTCACCCTTGTGCTCAATCTGAGTGTTTTAGTTCCGCTTCAGAACAACAATTACTCTAACAACCTGGCGCTATGTTTGACAAATTCATGTGAGTTCTTCTACTCTGATAATACAGTCTGGTTTAACCTCTAAATAGATTGGGTGGTCCTGGGCATCTGGTGGTTCCTCTTCCAGCAGAAGAGACCGGGCCCCAAAGTCCCCAAAGGGTCAAACTATGCCACCATTGGCTTCAAGCAGATTTGGCTCGCCGTCCAAGAAATCCGATCTTTGCCTCAGACCTTTTTGTATTTTGTGGCCTACTTCCTGTTAGCAGATGGCCTCAACACAACCGGTTAGTTCCTTGCTGGATGGTAGCGAACCTTTGTGCTAATCGGTTGCAGGAACGCTGGTCAACATTATCCAGAACAATCAAGTCTCCTTTTCGTTCCTGCAAATCACCTATCTTGGCATCACACAGGCCATCTGCTCGATTGCGTCAACGTTCGGTTTCTGGTATGTGCAGCGATACTTTAAGTTCAAGACCAAGACCATGTTTCTGGTCACCAATTTCTTCAGCGTCTTTATCCCCTTTTGGGGCATGCTGGGGCTATGGACCCCTCGGATTGGATACCACAACCGGGTAAGGATTGAAGCAGAAAAATTAAAGATCGTATGGCTGATGAGCTTTCTAGTGGGAGTTCTATTTCTACAACGTTGTGTTCGGGCTTTTCCAGGCCCCATACTATGCAGTACGCTCCATCCCTTGACCCTGGAAGTCTACCGAAGCATGTCTCGCTAATCTCGGATGTGATGGCAGTATGCCCAAACAATGATCAGCGAGCTCATGCCCCGAGGCTACGACAACATGTTCTTCGCGCTGTTCGGAATTACCAACCGTGCTGTAAGCATTTTTCATGATTATACATTTGTCTTTGTGTCTTCAAGACTAACTCTGTCAGTCCTCTATCATCGGTCCTAATGTCATCCAGGCGATCATCAACGATACCCGCAACAACTGGATGGGATTCCCATTCCTGTTCGCCATCTGCACTGCGGCCATGATCACAATTGGCTTTGTGGATATTGAGAAGGGCCGTGAGGACAGCAGAAATTTTACGGAACAGCGCAAAATGGACCGAGTGGCTGCGGAGACCGGGCTGAGTCCTGATGCGATTGTCAAGGGGAAGGGATCAGTTGGGAATGGAGAGGATGCGGAAGCCAGTGGAGCAGGGAGTTCAGGTCGGCGCACAGGTTGATATTTGCACTATGTCAAATCACTAGCTTTTTGGTTTTTATTATATATTTCCAAACACATTAAGACATTTCTCATGAAGACCGGTCAACTTGCATCACACATAGGACACACATAGGACCAAGGGGGTGTATATCAGACCGCAGAGGCATCATCTTTTCCCGGCTCCGACTGAGCCTGCTGTCTCTTAGCCTTCTGTTCAGCCTTGTGCTCGTTCCTCTTATCAACCTTGTTGCGCCACTCGTCGCCAAAGATGGTGGTCGCCCAGACACACACCCCCGAAACAACCAGGAACAAAGCGCTGATGGTACTAAACCAGCCAACACCAACAGACTCCACAGCGGGGAGCACAAGGCCCGAACCAAGAGCCCCAAAGACATACCGGAACATATAATTACCAGCAACAACCTCCGCACTACGACCACTGGACTGCATCACATCCAGACAGTACGTATTCAGACTGGGGAAACAGAAGAGCTGGGCCACGCCTTGCAGAAACATGGCAAGCACGGGGACAGGAATGCCACCAACGGCCTTCTCAACCGTCCAGCCGTAGACGAGGATACAGCCGGGGATAACGACGCCGAGGAACAACAGACACGACTTCAGCCGGTCTTCGGGCACGCGCACCCCACCGCGCTTGCGGATCCATTTCTTGACGATGTGATCGGCCCAGCGCCCGCCCATGAACGTGCCCACCAGGTACCCGCAGCCCGGCGCGATGTAGAACAGGCCCGACTGGATGGGCGTGGTCAGGTGGAAGCGGGGGTTCAGCACGTATCGGATCGGCGTGAGCAGTGAGTACTGGTTCCATACTAGGGCGCCGGCTCCGAGTCCCGCAAAGAAGAGGTTTGGGTAGGAGAAGAGGAGGATGCCGACGCGCAGGGGTGAGGCCCGGTGCCAGAGGAGCTGGGCCTTTTGGGCGAGTGTTCGCTCGGAGAGCTCGCTTTTGTCGAGGTGCGGGTAGGTCTCAGGGAAGAAGAAGAAGACTAGTAGTGTGCCGCATCCGCCGAGGGCTGTCTGTAGCCAGAATACTACTCGCCAGGAGCAAAAGGTGACGATGACACCCTGCATTCAGGATTAGCTGTTGTGCAATTGTTGGTGTAAGGGGAGGCTGATACATACGCCAAGGAAGGGACCAAATGCCGGCCCGATGAGAGTCCCCGAGAGAAACCATCCCAGGGCTGTGGCTCGAGCCCGCGGCTCATAGATATCGCCAAGGGCCGAGCTGCCTACCACCAGGAACGAGGTTCCTTGAAACGCAGTCAAAACGCGGAAGATATAGTATGCAGGCAGGTTAGGTGCCAGCGCCGTGCCAATACTAAAAGCAAAGAACAGGAATGCGCTGGCCAAAAAGATCTTGGGATACATATTAGCATCAGATAAATTCAACTTGAAACCCTAATTTGGCTCACTGCTCACCGGACGTCGCCCCCACACCTGACTGAAGGGCCCCCAGAACGGAGCTGAGATGCCCATGAATGCCATGTACAGTGCATTGCTGGCGTTGATGACACTGCCGGTCGTATTGTAGGTCTCAGCAACTTCGGGGATTGCCGACAGAATGGACGTTGAAGAAATGGGGGCTAAGAAGGAGCAGAAAGCCAAGACAAATACTATGACCATCTTCCGCAGTGGCGAGAATCGTAGGTATTGTTCGGCGTCGACCTCGTGGAATTCGTCGCTCGTCACGGGCATATCATGGTGCGAGATATGGCTCTGGACGAGGCCGAGGTTATTGGGGTCCGGCAATTGTTGCGACTGAGGCCGTTTCTCCTCTACTTGCTCCCACGGAGAATGTGCCTCCTCGATACTGGAGGATCTGGTTGAGAGTGTCGACGGCATTGTGGGGAGTCTCCGTCGATTGGAGTCCGACAATGTTCTTAATTTATTGTGCCGGGTGAACTTTCAGGTTGTTCTTGTCTCCATGGAAGGCACAAAGCAATGAAATTCCTTCGTAGACACGCGACAGGGCTTTTCACCATCGTTTGCCTGGAGTCATGCTCTCAAATCGTGTCAAGGGAACACTTCAATTGAGATTGGATACAGGAAATGAGTCACAAAGAAAAGAAAATCGAGGGCCGTTCGGCGCTGATTGCCTTTGGCCGAGCATCGGCGGGGAAGAGGACCATCTCCGAATTTCAGCGCCCGACAGCGTCCACCTTGTCAGTTGCGGGCTCCATCTCCCCTGAGCCCAGGATTGTCAGGGTCCAATGATGAAGGGCCGGTGGGAAAACCATTGCCACGGCCGAAACGGAAAAAAACCCGAACCCTGGAAAATGCAAGTTATCGATCTGACAGTTCGCTACTTGAGCCAAGCTGTGGACTGATCCACCAGGGAGGGAACGATTTCTCGATCTCAGCCCTCTGACACAGCCAGTATCAAACACGATCAGACAAATGGGCGAGTTTGGCCCAAGACTGACTGGCGCCTTGAGCAGAGAACGCGCAACACAGCAACGATCGACCCCCCTCTGCCACCATGACGTTATGCGATTTTGACCGCCGCCAACTTCACTTCTTCATCTCCCCACCCCACCACCTCTGTTCGGGGTCGTCGATTGTGATCTCGTCCACGATTCGTTTCCGGTCACTTTCTCGTCCAAAATCAAATCCTAAATAAAATGTCGTCCAAAAAGGAACAGAGCCAGGTCCCCGCCCACAGCAAGGGCTCCTGGTCTAGTTTTCTGAAGGTAGGCGATTGTTCGGAAGGTTGATCGTTGCGGGCGCTGACGAGTCTCTAGTCTATCGCCTCCTTCAACGGGGATCTGTCTTCGTTGACGGCTCCGCCGTTCATCCTCTCCTCCACCTCCCTCACCGAGTATTCTGCCTACTGGGCAGAGCACCCCGCCGTCTTCGTTGCTCCGGCCAAGGAGTCTGATCCGGAGAAGCGTGCCCTCCTGGTCCTCAAGTGGTTTCTCAGCACGCTGCACCAGCAATACTGCAGCCGCAGTGAGAAGCTGGGCAGTGAGAAGAAGCCGCTGAACCCGTTTCTGGGTGAGCTGTTTATCGGCAAATGGCAGGCGGGTCCGGAGGTGGGGGAGACCTCGTTGGTCAGTGAGCAAGTCAGGTGTGTCATAACCATGGTGAATGTATCCCGAAAACTTTTCGGATGCTGAACGACTCTTTTGCAGCCACCATCCTCCTGTCACAGCCTACACGATTTGGAATGAGCAGCATGGGGTCGAGGTGAGCGGATCCCACCCTGCCAAGTTTGATGGAGAACCCATGACTAATTTGAGAGATCGATGGGAGCTGTAGTTGCAAGGATACAACGCCCAGAAGGCTTCGTTCTCGAGCACGATTCAGGTGAAACAGATCGGACACGCCCTGTACACGCTCACTGTGCCCGGGTCTGATGAGAAGGAGCGGTATGTGATCACGCTCCCGAACCTGCACATCGAGTCCCTGATCTACGGCACTCCGTTCGTTGAGCTGGAGAAGACGACCAAGATCGCCAGCAGCAGTGGCTACGTCGCCAAGATCGACTACTCGGGCAAGGGCTGGTTGAGCGGCAAGAAGAATACTTTTACCGCGAGTCTGTACAAGGCTAGCGAGGGTGAAAAGAAGCCGCTGTACACCGTCGATGGCCAGTGGTCGGATTCGTTCACCATTAAGAACGCCCGTACCAAGGACGTCGTCGATCGCTGGGTCGTCAACGAGAACAAGACCACCCCGCTCACCCTGGCACCCCTTGAGCAACAGGACCTGTACGAAAGTCGCCGAGCCTGGAGCGACGTCGCCGCCAACATCCAGGGTGGCGACATGGATGCGGTCTCCGTCCACAAATCGCGCATCGAAAACGCGCAGCGCGAGCTGCGCCGCATCGAAAAGTCCGAGGGGCGCGAGTGGGAGCGCCGCTTCTTCAGCCGCATCGACGAAAAGAGCGACAACCCAGAGGTCCAGCGCCTTGCTAGCTCGGTGGATCTGGTCTTTGAAGCCGACAAGACCGGTGGCATCTGGCGCTTCGATTCCGAGAAAGCCGCCGGTGCTCAGCCGCCCTACCACAAGACCGGTGGCGAGGGTCTGGGCATCACGGAATAAATATATCCTCGGCATACGTTGGGTTGTCTAGACTGAGCTTGGATTTAACATGTTGGAGCTCAAAGTTCAATGTTCGAGTTCTAGCCTTCATCCCATCTCCGCCCCCTGCTTTTGACCTCTGCACCTTGCACCCCATAGAGTTGGCTTTTTTTTGCCCTAGTTTCCGATTGTTCTGTACCGTGTCACGCTATATTTCGATTGTATATAGTTTCGGTCAAGGCCCCTTGCTCGTTGAGTTGCTTGTCTGGCAGCCTGGCCTCTGCGCATCTAATCATATAACCATTTGAGACTGTCTGGTGTTAACAATGTAGGTCAGGATCCATTGCCGTGTCTCGAAACAGGAACCGAAATAGACAAGGAATACAAGTTTCTTCCGCAGTACAGTGTAATGAAGCAACTTGCGCCAATATATAGTCAAATCCTCAGCAGACATGAGTGGTGTATTTGAGTGAAGGCAGCTATCTTATTCGGACCTTCATACCTATCCTAACTATGTACTCCTGATGCAAGTAATAGTATTCCGATCATCAGCCTGACTTCCCCCTAAGGCAGCTGGTCACCTGTTTTATGAGGCCTTCTTTGCCTTCTTCCTAATTAGGAAACTAATTGTTTGCTCCCCTCCCTTATGTCTCTTAAACAGGATCCCCAGCCACGAACCAGGGGCAAGTAGTCTAGTGGGAATTCTGCGTAACATGAGCCCTAGCTCTTTGGAGCTATCGCGAGCTTGGTATACCAAGTTACCGTAGATGAAAGTCCCTGGTTCGAATCCTGGGGGGGTATGGTTCGCCATACCTTCCCGCCCATTTCCTTTTTTTTGTTTACTGATTGTTTGTTTGGATTATGTGTAAAGAAAGCCTTTTGATTTCCCCCTCATTGTTCAAATTATCTTTATCTACGTACCATATAAGTGAACGCGTTTTTGGATACCCTCCTTCCTATTTAGGAAATCGATGTTTTTCTACATTTATTCTTATATTTTTGTTTGGAAAGCTTCTCTTCCTTAGAAGCCAGCTCAGAAAGAATCTATATAGTATGAGATGTCTAGAACTAATTCTTAGCTAGACGTCAGCCTGCTGAAGACTGGGTCCAACATCTACCAGCACTACTATGTAGGTATAAGCCAAATTACGTATCCAGGCTGTGTCATCCCTCTCTCTCCCTTTCTTTTTGATTGCATGGTTTATTTATTTCAACTGGAGGTTTGTTCCCTCTATCCCATAAAAGCTGCAGAAATACTCTAAATCTAGTCAGTCTTTTCCAATTTCTGCTGTTTCCGGCTCTACGATCTACTGCAGCTCTACTTCTCGGCTCTTGTTCCAATACACAATCCAGAGGAATCGATTTTGTATAGGAGCATACATAACTCATCACACTTTTCGCAGCCGGCTACCACTCTACCAGATCCCAGCAAACCCACCCGTCGATATTGCACACAGGAAAAGGAGGGCAAAGGAAGAGCGACAGGAAATGACAACCGAACACATACACACACAAATGACACACCGGACCCGAATGGACACCGTGAGCGAAGAGGAAAGGAGCAAAAGAGAGAAAGGGAGAATTGGTGGATTTAATACAGACCGCGTCATCAGGGGAGCAGTTGGTAGCAAAAAAAAAAAAAAATAGAAAAGGAGATAAAAGAGATAAGAAGAAAAGAAGCCAGAGAACCTTGAAAACACAACAAATGAACACTCCCCCCAAGGTCAAAAATCAAACGGGGAAAACAACAAAACCAGCCAAGCTCCCGGAAGAGAGTAGAGATTACACAGATGTTGAGGAAAAGAAAGATGAAGAGAAATTTTTTGGGTTCTGGCTGTCCTGATCGATAGGATTGATCACTTTCTCCCATCCTGGGAACTGTGGACACAAGCAAAAACCCTTTCAAATCACCCGCAAATGCAACGCCATATGTGTGTGGTGGGAAGGAGGGGAGAACCCATTACCTAGGTGTACTTCCCCTTTAGTGGCCGTAGTTGCCACCCCAGCCACCGCGGCCGCTGTTCCCGTAGTAGTTCCCGAATCCTGCGCCGTAGTTCCCGTAGCCCGAAGCCTGGTGAGACTGGGTAGCCGCACCCTGGTGGCCTCCAAGCCCACCCAGACCGCCGTACTGGGGGTTCAGGTGGGGGTAGCCACCGAAAGCCTGCTGGCCCTGCTGGCCCTGCAGAGGGGGAAGACCGGTCTGAGCCTGAGGCTGGCCAGGGACGCTGTTGGTCGCCGAGCCGGGACGGTTCGCCTGGGCGAGGGACGGGCTAGGTCCGCCAGCCTTGGGGGCCTCGAAACCCTTGGTCTCCTCCGTGGTCACGGGAGGCTGCTGAGCGATGGGCTGGTTCTGACCGAAGCCAGCCTGGGAGCGTCCGAAGACGTCCGACATGCCCGCGCCAAAGGCATTGGCACCTGCCGCGGACTGTTGGCTGTCCGAGGGCTGGGCGGAGCCAGCACGGCCGTAGACCGAGTCGCGACCAGGCATGTTCTGGTTGAAGCTGCCGGCATTCGCAGGAGACGAAGAGTGCTCATACGAGAAGGAGTGGGGCTGACCATACATGCCGCCCTTGCCGGCGTAGGGGCCATACTGGCTACCATAGCCATACTGCGTGCTGTGGGGCATGCCGTAGTGGTCATCGTACCGACGAACGTCATCGTACACCGGACGACTGCGACCATACTGGTGGTTCATTTGGTTCATGTAAGAAGCATACTGGGGGTTGGAGTAGTAAGGGTAGCCGTAGCCGTAGCCGTGCGTGTTCTGACCCGGCATGTGCTGGGCAGTCGGGGTTTGGGTGGCACCGGGCACGGTCGGGTTCGGGGTGTTGTGGCCACTGTTTGTGGCATCAGCAGGGCCGTAGCGGCTAGGGGGCTGCGTGGTGGGAACGTGAGGTTGGGCCTCAGCACCCGAAACCCCGAATCCGGCAGCAGCGCGGGGAGCGGTGGCGTCCTGGGACTGTCCGTAGCTACCATAGTAGTTGTAAGGGAAACGCTGCTGGTCAACAGCGTAGAAAGGCGAGAACTCGCTACCCGTGGTGGCCGTGGGCTGAGCGGGCGCCTGGTTGGCAAACGGCTCCTGGATCTGCGGCTGAGGCTGGCTCACTTGCTGGGTGAAAGGATCGAAGGGTTTCTGGGGCTCGGGATAGCGGGCGAAATCGGTGAAAGAGGACTCGCCGGCCGAAACCTGGGGAACCGGAGGCAGGCCGGGGGCCGGGCGCGAAGCCGTAGCGGTCTCGATCGGGACCTGAGTGGAAGGAGGAAGAGAGGCACGGGGAGCGACAGGGGAGTGTTGGGGAGGCTGAGCACGGGTTTCGGCTTCCTCGCGATTGTCGTCGATGTCGACGGCGTCACCGTTCAATCCCATGCTACCAAACTGCACAGCAGCCCGGTCCACAGCATGGTTCCCAGGCATGACCACAGCTTGCTGCTGCTCCATCACACGGCGCTGGAAACCAGGTGCGCGACCACCCTGCTTGAAAGCGCTGGAGGGGTACGCGGCCGAAGACACACGCGAGGGAGTTGCACCTGCCGCAGCCGAGGCATCAAAGTTGCTGCCCATCGTGCTGGCAGCGGTCGCAGTGGGGGCGGGAGCAGATACGTCGGGAATTTGTTCGAGGTTCGTTTCTGTCAGATCATCCTTGGGAGGGTTCACGCTCGTTGTGGGAACAGCGGGAACAACGGGTTCGGTGGGTTTGGCGACGGGGGTCTTCTGCGAGGCAACAGGCACAGGTACAGGCTCGGGGGCCTTCTTCTGTTCCACGGAGGGCTCGATAGACTTTTCAGGGGCGGTTGGGGGAGGCTTCTTCTGCGGCGGAGGCGGGGCGGGTTTGGCAAAGAGACTGGCCCAGCCCTTCTTTGTGCCCTCGGGAATCACACTGCTCTTGGGCTCAATCGACTCTGAAGTTCCTCCAGTTGTAGTCTCTCCATCGGCCTCTACTGCTGCCTTCGTTGCGACCGGTTCGGTGGCCGCAGCAGGTACGGGGGGCTCTGCAGCAGCACTCGGCGCCGGACGGGTTCCATTTGTATGGGCTCCTGCTCGACCGCCGCGACCGCCACGACCCCGGTCTCCGCGGGCACGTCCACGACCCTCAAATCCACCGCGACCGCGGCCGCCACGCACAGAGGATGCAGTCGTCTCGGTCGGGATACTCTGGACCTCTTTGGCCTTTGGGCGAGTCCGGTCTGTGGTCTTCTTCTTGACTTCTCCCCACTGCGATACATTGCCTGCGAATCGGTCAGTACAGCCCTTGGAACTCGCAGAGATCGGTGACTCCGACTCTGGAGAAGGGATGGGGAGGAGGGGACTCGACCTTCGGTAATGCGCTCAATTGCTTCCTCGAGCTCGCCGTTCGAATCCTCCAGTGCGAAAACCAGGTCTTCATCCTTCCATCCAGGGAACAACTCCTTGAGAGTAGGCAAAATGTCCGAGTATTTCTTCTTCATCTGTCCGATTTCACCCTCCTCAAATGACGGGAGGTCTGAGCTGTCATTTGCAGATCTGCTGCTTCCACCACGGCCACCTCTGGAGCTGAACCCGCCGCGACCACCGCGGGCGGATACTCTGCCCCGAGAGGCTGATGGTCGGCTCTGAAAGTCGGACATGTCAGATGAAGATGGAGATGAAAAAGAGGCGGAATTGGGAAGGAGGTCACGATGTCGCAAGATGGAAGGGAGGGAAAGGATTTAAGGATTTGAGAGTATTTCGAATGAGTACGATGCACCCTCGCCAAAGAGGATCAGCACCACAGGGCACAACGGCCGAATAGAAATCCAGAAACACACGGTGGAAACAAAGAGATCGTTGGGGGAGGAGGAAGAGAGATGGGAATTTGGGAAGGGAGGAGAGCAAAAGCTAACGGATTCTGATGTTCGCAGGGGCTTGGCACTGCCTGGCTTTTAGCGAGTGGCGCCCAGTGCAGTGCAGGGGGAACTGTACGGTCAGATATAGATACAATAGATAATTTAAAAAAATAGGCAAATAGATATAAATATGTTTATATAAATTAATTGTCTATATCTGATTATCTCTTATATCTCTCTTCTCTATATCTTTCCTGGGACGTGCGCCATCTCTACAACTTGGCTTGATGGGCCTTGGTGCCTCACCGCCCAGTCTCCCCACGATTTGCAAGATCGGTGCATCATCGACGCTTGGGACTCACCGACACATCATGAAGGGCACCTCCATTTTTCAGTTCAAGTCGTGGCCCAAGATCCACCAGCCCCTCCCTCGTACACCACGAGAATCTCAGCAGTTGCTCAATGCCTTGACCTCCTCGTTTCGTCGCCAGCTGGATCACGCATATCCAACCTCGGAGTCAGCTCATCATGGTGACCGACCAGCAAATGCAGACTCATCAACACATGCAACCAACCAGCACCTCCAGAGTATCCTTGAGAATCCTCTTTTCCGCATTGTGCCTCCCAAGACCCCTTCTCCCGATCACCATGCTCTGCGCAGCATCGAGGACCAGCGGCGACTGGCGGAAGAGCCGATGGTGGTCTTTGATGAGCTTGTAGCGTCGGGGTCTGTTACTCCGTCGGCCATTACGAGTTGTCTCAAATCACAGCTTCTGCGAACGCGGTCCCGGGCTGACATGAAAATATCCCGGACGGCTGCGAGGATTGTGGATTGGTTCTGGGCCTCTGACGGGACATCGAGGCAAAATCTACTGCGGTCGCGGGCATCCACGACATCATTGACCAAGTTCATGGTGACCGAGGGACTACATGGTACCGTAATCGAATGGCTGAGGATGCTCCTCAGCCAGGATCTTGGGGGACCCAATGGTCGGATCACAGAGGGGCTCGCCCGACAGACCTTTAGCCATTTTCTCATCGACTTTATGGATGCCGAAATTCGACTTGGCCAGGGATTTAGCTCTGCTTTGGATTATTACTTGCGCATCTGTCAAATGCATGCTTCCGCTCAGTCCGCGCACCCGGCGTCGAGAAAGGCGATGCTGCTCGCAGCAGGTGCTCACCTCAGCCGAGTGGCGATGGAGCAGAAAACATCCATCGAACAGGTTTCAGCAGCGGTGTACGATCAATATAGAGAGACAATGTCCTCATTGTCTCCTCGGTCGTTGTTATCGGCTTCTGTCGCGCTCTACCATCCGACCCATCCTGATACGCAGCCATTCCTTCAATTTGTGGAGACTCTTCCCTCACACAAGCTGCAGTCTTGGAATGATGCCAGGCGTGATGCTTTCTTTAAGATCGGGGTTGAGGCGCTTCGAATTTTGATCGAGAAGAACAAAATCCGAGATGCCACGTCTCTGGCTCAGCAGATCCAACAGTTACTGCCGGGCAAGCCAACGTCCACAGCACCCGAAGGATCTCGTGTTTCTCACGTCTCACCTGAGGAGGAATATCTTCTCAACCGCTTGGACTTGGGCCACATGGTGGGCTGATTGTAAGCATGTCACCAGACACTCATGCCCTATCTCACAACGTTGGACGCGATGCACATCACGAGCCCCTGAGGGCTTGTTTTGTATCTTTTTTTGGGTGATCCACCACCGCGGGTACAACTTGACTGCCTACGGGCCGTGTCTTGCGCCACATTACACGCCGTGGATACTTGGCAGAGGCCATTCGTCAGAGCGACGATCGCAACAATCGGCCCCTATGCTCCCAAATTGCGGCAAATGACGATGACTGCGATGACGATGATCTGCTCCGCACCGATGCTCCACTCTCGCTGCGCCATCCGGAAAATAGTCTCCTCCTCTTGGCAATGCTTACATACACCGAGATCTTAGACCTCGGGAGCATCACAATTCCACCTCTGCAAAGATGCATGGCTTGGGAAGTGTGAAAAGAATTGCATCTGCTTTATTTTCTGGGAGGGATTATATGTTTGTACGACGCACGTCACCGCGTGGGAAGGGAGGGAATCCCGCGATGGGTTGGATGTGGTTAGCTTAGTAGTAACCGTCACCGCGAAACCTCAGGTCTCCCTCGACTTCAATTGATTTCTTCTCTTCTCCTTTTCCCTGTAACGCTTCTCTTTAGCCATCACCCTTGTCGCATCGCACTCGCGATCCAATTCCCAAATTCTTTTCTCATCTTCTCGAGACACGTGCCGATATCTGACATCATCGATCATGGCCAGCGAAGTCCCCGTACAGAGTCCTCCCACAGCCGCAGGTACGTCTTCCCCCCCTCCCTCAGAATGCTCTCCCTGGTCAATTAGCCTCAGCGACCACATTGATCTTCTTCATACACGAAGAGAAGGTTCTTAATGGCGGCCGGGGTCGTTCTTCAATCTGGCACACGCTGACTAAGGACATACAGAGGCCGCACAGTTGGTCAGTGAGCGTTCGCATCAAGTTCACAACGCATTGAACACCACCAAGACGGATAGCGATGCTGCTCCTCTCGAGAAGGAAAGGCCCGCGACAAGCGCTGGAGAGCCAGAAGCAGCTAAGCCCGCCTCAGAGACCAACCCGCCTGTGGCGGAGGCCAAGAAAGAGGATCCCCAGACGGGCGAGAAACGCGATATTGATTCGACTGCAGCCCCTGATGCCGAGGACAAGGACAAGTCTGCTTCAGAGAAGCCTGTTGAATCTGATGCCAAAAAGCAGAAGACGGACGAGCCCGCCAAGGAAGCCAATGGTACTGCGCCTGCCGCTGCCGATACCACCAATGGACAACCCAAGAAGGCTGGTCGGCCGAAGAAGGATAAGGTCAAGGATGCTGTGAAGAAAGTCGTTCCAACGGATAGCATTGGGAGCCGCACTCGCAGCCGGACCAAGGCGACGACTTGATAGTCATGTTTCCATGTCTGAGAGAAAAATTGTCAGGTGCAGTCGTGTTATTTTATAACTCTGCTGTGGGTTTCAATGTGTCTCTATTCATATCCAGGGTTTCTGTCGTTGGTCGCCCTATGTGATGGCTTCCATTCGGAGAATACCCAGTCAGCCAGTCTCTCGTGAGGGCGGATTATCTTTCGGGGAAAAGTCACTGTGAACAAAATGCAATTCAAAATGCCATGAGAGCACTAGCAAGTGACTTTTCCTTCCAAAAACCGACAGTACAAGATGACAAGATCACTTGCCTCTGCCCCCAGCTCATGCCCTAAGTAGCGCCCCAAGCGGGCAACCATGTGGGCCGATCATCGGAGGGGCAAATGCCTGACTCACTCTCGGACCGGAACAACCCCCTCCCCGCCCCCGCTATCGTCGAGGGGAAAGTCAGGTCTGTGTCATTGCGATAAAGAAAAGATTATTTATTGCTCTTGCTCTCTTGTTGTTTTCACTTATATTCTCAATTCTGTACATCTCCATCATGACAGGACAGAAGATCTGGTTGCGCGCTGAAACCAAGCCTGCTGAGGCGCGGTCTGCCTGTGAGTCACCGTCTATGTTCAATTGGCGAGTTATCAGTTCGAGAGAATTGCCCGCTAATTTGTTCTATTCATAGTGACTCCCACCACTTGCAAGGCATTGATCGATGCCGGGTACGATGTGACGGTCGAGCGCTCCACACAGCGCATCTTTGATGGTACGGTTTAATTCCTACACCTCCCTATATATATATCTGGACAATGGGCACTGATTCAGATACACAGACGAGGAATTCACCAAGGTATGCCATTGATATCCTTTTCGGGCTTTCTTTGGATTCGAACTCGTTCTAATCAGCGCCAATGGTGATTACAGGTCGGCGCACCCCTCGTCGAGGAAGGATCGTGGGTCAAGGATGCGCCCAAGGACGCCTACATTCTGGGCCTGAAGGAGCTGCCCGAGGATGACTTCCCGCTGGAGCATGTCCACATTTCTTTTGCCCACTGCTACAAGCAGCAGGGCGGCTGGGAGAAGGTTCTGAGCCGGTGGCCTCGCGGAAACGGCACGCTGCTTGACCTGGAATTCCTCACCGACGATGCGGGACGGAGAGTTGCCGGTGAGTTTGTGACCACTTTGAACAGAGACTGTACATTTGGTTTGGATCAACTGACGTATGTTTCTTCTGGTATCTAGCCTTCGGGTACTCGGCCGGCTATGCAGGTAATTACACTTAATCGAGTTTATCTTTTGTGAAGGGAATTCAATACTGAGACTGGCGGCAGGCTCTGCGTTGGCTGTGAAGAACTGGGCGTGGCAATTGACACACCCTGAGGGTGGACCACTGCCTGGTGAAGTTCCTTATGCTAACCAGGATCTTCTGATCGCTTCCGTCAAGGAATCGATCGAGGCCGGCAAGAAGGCTTCGGGCCGGTCCCCGAAGGTGCTTGTCATTGGCGCCGTAAGTTCGATGTTGTCATTGTCGGGAAGTCAGATATATGCTAACACTATTGTAGCTGGGACGTTGTGGCAAGGGCGCTGTGCAGCTGGCCAAGGACGTTGGTGTCCCCGAGTCCGACATCCTGCAGTGGGATATTGAGGAGACCAAGAAGGGTTCGTCATCTACAATGATTTGATCATAACCCAGAACATCTATACTAATGTTTTCCGCAGGTGGTCCCTTCAAGGAGATCGTCGAGGAGGCTGATATCTTCATCAATTGCATTTACCTGTCCGCCAAGATCCCTCCGTTCGTGAACGTCGAGAGCCTGAGTTCCCCCAACCGCACTTTGTCCGTTGTTTGCGACGTCAGCGCCGACACGTAAGTTGACATTGATTTGGAAAGCTTTCCGGGAATGGCTAATGAATGTTCTTCGGGACTTCAGGACCAACCCCAACAACCCCATTCCCATCTACGAAATTACCACCACCTTCGACAAGCCCACCGTGCCTGTCACTCTACCCGCCGGCACCCAGGGCTCGCCTCTGAGCGTGATCAGCATCGACCACCTGCCTTCTCTGCTCCCGCGTGAGAGCTCTGAGATGTTTAGTGAAGCCCTCCTCCCCAGTCTCCTTCAGCTGAAGGACCGATCCAATGCTCGGGTCTGGAAGCAGGCTGAGGACCTGTTCAAGGAGAAGGTTGCCACTCTGCCGGCTTCGGCGCTTGCTTAAACTAGGTGTCAGTCTCCATGGAGTTATTACGACGGGATGAATGAGTTGATGGGGGTATTTATAGAATCGTGTTTTGGACAAGGCATACTACAAAAGTCGCTGCGTGTTCATACATTGTATTTCGGGGCCATATATCCAGGAATATGCACTTGGAAGTTTTGCTGCTTTGCTTTGAGCCAAGCAAGAAATAGACATCTTACTTGCTCCTTGGTCTTTCTATCTGCCGTGCTTCTCACCATCCCACTAATCTTACATACTTTCCCAGTTTGAGGCGTTTGATACGTTTGATGCAAGTCATCTTAATTTTTACCTAGAATTTACTCACCCCTTCCAGTCGCCTTGCTCCCATCTCAAATGGCCGGAACCTAAATCATCTTTGCTTCTCATCACAGTCCTCCCACTATCTCTGGTAGGCTGGTTCCAACTCCTCTCGCCCTATAGGGCTGACCAGGATGGCTGATATCTTTCTTGTAGACACTCAGGTCCACCTTGCTATTCATCCTAACACACACCCGAGTCCCATCATACCACTATCCCCATGGAGCCTGACATCTCAAGGTAGTGATCCTCGCCTCTTGTTACTGCCAAGTGAATTGCTCGTGGAGGTCTTCTGTTATCTTCCGTCCTTGTCAATTACCTTTTCGGCAGTCAACCGCCGACTCCGAGACATCTGGACCCGGCGCTCGGATGTGGTCAATCGCAGGTCTTTGCACGGTTCACGGTTTTTTCGCAACCGGCCATGCACGGTACAGACTAGAGAATTGTGTGAGTTAGTACTCCTGTTGGTTTTTTCTCTCCTCCGAGCTTTCTCCATTCAAATCTAGACACCCCCGACAGCAACGTACTTTTGACCTTACAGACTGTGTCTTTCTCAGATTGGAGAACCGTCTTTTCCACCAACTGTGCAATCTGCGCAATGCACAATGCATCATCAACAGAAAAGCTCGATTCTTCAAAGGTCAACCCGCGTTGGTCGACCCGAAACTCCCGGGCATGCTTCTCACACAGAAGCATATACGCGGTGCATGTTTCCCCTTCATTCGAGCATACTATCAAACCTGGGGTCTTATGAAAGTGGATGCGGCCGAAGTCGAGAAGAGACTCGGGTCGATGACCATGAAACCGCCCGGCACACGCCGCAAGCCCAGATTTGAGGTTGGAGCAGAAGCGTCTGTGGGATGAGAGTGACGAGGAGAAGGTGTAGGCAGTGTAAACATACGTGCCGTCTGCAAGATGTTTTGATAAGACTTGGAAAAAATATGATGCTGTCGTGTCATGTCTATCAGGTAACTCTATTGTAGAAGGATGCCTTCTCTTTGCAACTACTGCATTCTAAACCAGGAACATAGAGTATAGGCCTATCTTAGACCTCCTCTACCTCAACAAGGGATCTATATCTCAGGGGCTCCCCCGGACTATTCCGAGAGAACCACGGTCAGCAACCAAGCTCGATGCGGGGGATCTCTGCACAAGACACCCGAGGACTCCGCGAGCCCATGGCAACAGCTAAGCCCGGACAAATGCTTTGGAGATGAGTGGATACTCTCAGAAACAATCAAGAAATTCGAGGGTGGAGAGGGTTTGCCCCGTTGGGCTGATTTGCGGGTTGAAGAAAGCCCGTTTTTTTCTCCGGGTGTTTGGGCTTCGTTCTCCGCATCAACTCCACTCCCCTTCCCCCCTCTTCTTTTGCCCCCATCCTTTGAGCTTCCTTCGAGAAACCGGAGATTCCTCTGAGCTGTCCACTTCTCTACCGCCGCTCTCCCTTGCACGCCCTGAGGGTCTGACGTGGTTGTTTTTCAGTCAATTGGGCGAACAGCGCCACTGCCCTTGTTGCCGCCCTGACAATGGATGAGATTTGAGATTTACCCTGCCTCGACACCAGCCCGAATCTTCCTTCCCTCCGCTGTTACAAACCTTGATGCAAGAAAGGCCGACCACGGTCGCCGCCTATGCGGCCGGGGCCTCGCTCGCGGCCGTCGCTCTCTTCTACGTGTTCGGTCCGAATTATACCATCGACGGAGACGAGTCCAACGACAGCAACCGCAAGAAGAGCATCGTGGGCCTGTCAAACCTCGCCAATGATTGCTTCATTAATTCGGTGCTGCAGGCCTTGGCCGGGTTGGGGGACCTGCGGGTGTACTTGATCCGGGAGCTGCACCGGCGCGAACTGGATGGGCCAGAAATCTACAACACTGCGCCCGGCCCGGACGAGCTCTCGCGCGGGCAGCGGCCGGACAAGGTGCGGGAATTACAACAAGGATTGATCACGCGGGCGCTGAAGGAGATGCTGGACCGGCTGAACGAGCGGCCCATCTACAAGAAGACCATTTCGGCGCGTGGTTTTATTCAGGCGTTGGAATACGCGTTCCGCACTCGCATCAGTCGCAACCAGCAGGATGCGCAGGAGTTTCTGCAGATTATTCTCGAGCGACTGTGCGATGAATATCACGCTGGTGTCCGCGCCAGGAAGCGCGCGCTCGGCCCCAGAACTGTGCCTGCTGGTCCAGGCTCGGTGGGAGCAGTGCCCGAAGCTAATGCACCGGACAGCCCGGCCGAAGTCGAGGTGCGGATTGATGACGGGTCGGCCAATGGACTGCCGGCCATCATTGACACCAAATTGAGAGAAATTGACAGCGAGTCTGGGTTCCCGTTTGAGGGCAAGCTGGAATCGCAGATCGAGTGCCAATTCTGCCACTATCAGTATAAGCCGAACCAGACAGCGTTTGTCAACTTGACCTTGCAAGTCCCGCAGAAGAGCTCGACCACGCTCAGCGCATGTTTCGACGGCCTCTTGAAGACCGAGTATATCGAGGATTTCCGCTGCGATCGATGTCGCCTACAGCACGCTGTGGATATGAAGAACCAAGAGAGAGCTCGAACACGCTCAAAAAGCGACCGGGAACGGCTGGACATAGAGATCCCACGCATTCGGGGAGCCCTCGAGACGGACCCTGAAGGCGAGCTCGAGGGGGTTACGTTGCCCCCATCCGAGACGGCCCCGAAACGAAGAATTGCGCGACATATGCGGATCGTCGATTTTCCCAAGGTCATTGCCATCCACTTGTCCCGGTCGATCTTTGACCGGAGCAGCTCCACCAAGAATGCGGCCAAGGTGTCCTTCCCCGAGCAACTGCCTCTCGGGGGCATCTTGAACCAGACGTGGTACAAGCTGCTGGGGATCGTATGCCATAAGGGCAGCCATCACAGCGGGCACTACGAGTCGTTCCGACGCAACCATCTGTACCCACCTTTTTCTACACCAGAAGTCTTCAGCTCCTATGCGCAGAGCCGCGCGACGAGTGAGAACCCATCGGCAGCAGCGAGTCCACGGCTGGCACCGCGCAGCAGCCCCGAAGATGTCGGTGGCAGCAGCAGCGTTTCGACGGGCACCTCGTCGGCCTCGCTGTCGGGTGCTTCAGCTTCTGCGTCGCAACTGACCCCTCAATTACCGCGGCCAGCGACGTCCAGCTCACGCCGCTCTATTCAGAGCACTCACTCCCGATCCTCGGCATCTCAACAGACCCTGTCCCCGTCTTCGGGCAGCAACAGCCCCACGACAGACCAGGGTCGCTGGAGTGCTTCGTCGCAATCTTCACGGACCATTCCCCGGCCGTCGCTCGACACCCCCACGGGGGTTGGGGCACGACTCCGACGGCGTCGCAAGGCGAATGACCGGTGGTGGCGCATATCGGACGAAAAGATCAAGGAATGTAAGACCTCCGACGTGCTGGGCATGCAGCGAGAAGTCTACCTCCTGTTCTACGAATTGGAGAAGCCCCATTCGAGCCCCGCAGCTGCCGAGGGGCGTTCGCCGTCCCGTACATAAATACGTGTCCTTCATATGCATTGATCTCTATAGACCTCATCGATCTATCTGGATATATTTACCATCTTTTCCTTGGCTTGTCGAGTAGGGGAATCCTGTGCCCCACGGCGCTGATGTCAGAGCGCATTCCATCAGGAACGTGTAGATCCAAGCGTTGCCAACTTGCCAACGTGCAAGAGGGAACCGGATGATTCCAGCGAAGTGGAGTCGCGGACCACAGGAACCCGAAATGCAGCTGGTTTTGAATGCTGCCGAAGCACGGCGAATGGCTTCGAACCCCAACAAATGGTAATGTAGCTTGGGGAGAAATACTGTCCAGACAGTTGATTCTCGAACACATAGCACCCTTGACCGAGGTAATTCGGAGTGAATGGCAGAGCTACATACATTGCTGGTATCGGCAAAGGAATCGGGCCAGCACGGAGAGACCCGGGATACACAGCTGTTATAATACAATTACCAATATCCCAATATCCCAAGATTAATATTAATATTAATCGTGTCAGTACGGTAACTTGAAATCATCGTGACTTCACCGCGGTTCCAGTTCCACCGCCGGTGAGTTTTGCTCGATGACGCCCCTCCAAAACTTGCCCCTCCTTATTTAACCCGCTTTCGTCACTCCCTATTTTATTGGATCTTTTCCTCACTTCTCTTCTCTGTCTTCACAGATTATTTTTTTTTTAAACCATCGTCACATCTTATCTACCTCTGTACATTCATCATGGGTGTCCTCGAACAGCTCAACCGCAAGGCCGGTGTCATCGTCGGTGACGATGTCCTGCGTCTCTTCGAATACGCCAAGGAGAAGGGCTTTGCTCTCCCGGCTATTGTGAGTCTGCTTGATTGAATATACTATCTTTGTGGATGGTGTACGGGGTACAGCGTACTGACTTTTTCCAGAACGTCACCTCCTCGTCCACTGTCGTCGCTTCTCTCGAGGCTGCCCGCGACCAGAACTGCCCTGTTGTCCTGCAGATCTCGCAGGGCGGTGCCGCTTTCTTCGCTGGCAAGGTAAGTATTTGGTAACCCACCATGGCTATGATCATCTTTCACGCTCTTAGTACTAACATAACCCAGGGCGTGAGCAATGACGGCCAGAAGGCTTCCATCGCCGGCTCCGTTGCCGCTGCCCACTACATCCGCAGCATTGCCCCCGTCTACGGCATCCCCGTTGTCCTCCACACCGACCATTGCGCCAAGAAGCTTTTGCCGTGGCTCGACGGCATGCTCGACGAGGACGAGCGCTACTTCAAGCTCCACGGCGAGCCCCTCTTCTCCAGCCACATGATTGACCTGTCGGAGGAGCCCGTCGACTACAACATCCAGACCACCGCCGCCTACCTGAAACGGGCCGCCCCCATGAAGCAGTGGCTCGAGATGGTAAGTACCCTCTTGCAAGCGGCCATTGGTTGCATGTTCTGACCGTTGTAGGAAATCGGTATTACCGGTGGTGAGGAAGACGGCGTCAACAACGAGGACGTCGACAACAACTCGCTGTACACGCAGCCCGAGGACATCCTGGCTATCCACAACGCGCTGTCGGCTGTCAGCCCGTACTTCTCCATCGCCGCCGGCTTCGGTAACGTGCACGGTGTGTACAAGCCCGGCAACGTGCGTCTGCACCCCGAGCTGCTCCAGAAGCACCAGGCCTACGTCAAGGAGAAGCTCGGCTCCAAAACCGACAAGCCCGTCTTCTTCGTCTTCCACGGTGGTTCCGGCTCGTCCAAGGCCGAGTACAAGGAGGCCATTGGCTACGGTGTCGTCAAGGTCAACGTCGACACCGACATGCAGTACGCCTACCTGTCCGGTGTCCGCGACTACGTGCTTGGCAAGAAGGACTACCTCCTCAAGCCTGTCGGCAACCCCGACGGCGAGGACAAGCCCAACAAGAAGTTCTTCGACCCCCGCGTCTGGGTGCGCGACGGTGAGAAGAGCATGAGCAAGCGTGTGCAAGAGGCCCTGGAGGACTTCAACACTGCTGGCCAGCTGTAAACTCTTCTTTCTTTTCTTCTCTTCAAAGCGGACTTTGTGATCCATCCTGCTGCCAAGAACAAAATTGCGTGAAGGACACGCCCGGGGACGGTTGGCGTACCGGTTGTATGTAGCGATGTATTTCGTCACGTTGTAATGAATGTCCATATCCGGTCATGGTACCATGCAATAGTCCCTATACTCTTTTCTATACTATATTGCCATAGACAATCCCTATCTCCCCCAATGGGGGGAAAGTGTACTCTTCTATTCTTCATCATGAAGAATCCCATGTCCCGGCCACCCCGACGTGTTATATTTGATATCCAGCAGATATCCAAATCGTGGAACAGATCAAGTACACATACCCTCTGCACCAACAACCCCCCCGAGCTCCTCACAGCCCAGCGACTTGACCGTGCCCGGCACAAACACACCGCGGTCCGGATCATGGAGCTCCAACCCGTGCTGCATATGCAAATCACCATACCGAGCCAGACGATCCCCAACCGAAGTGTGGGACACGGTAAACGAGCGAAGCGCGTCCAGAAGCCCCGAGTTCTCCTCGGCCGCACCCGTCGTGCGTTGCGCAAAGACGCGAACCCGGTCTTGGTTGCTCCTCCTGCTGCCAGTACTATGATCTTGCTCGGCCGGTCTCACGGCCACCATTACCACCGAGACCTGGGCATTCTCGCCCCCGCACGCGCTGCCGTGCGCCTGCCGGTTGGCCAGGCCGTCTGCCACGACGAACCCCGTCCACCCCGATCGCCGGGCGAGAATCGCTACGCCATATAGATTCTCTTGGCTGTCGGGGTACGGGCCTTGCGCGGCGACGGATTGTCGCTCGGCGAGCGTTGGGTGCCAGTGTTGGATTGAGGTGTTTGGGAGTGCTTGGTGGAAATGCTGGAGCAGGATTGCTGTACCGGCTTCGCTGAGCTCGGCTAGCGAAACTACCAGTAGCGAATTGTCGGCGGGCGGCAGTCCAGAGGTGCTCATTTGGTGTTGACAAAAGAAAAGAGAAGCAGAGTAGAGTCAAGATAATTGCAATGCTGGCCTGTGGGCGAAGCCTCCTAACACTTAACACTTAACACCTGCTAAGCAACGCTGCTCAGCCTTGCGAGTCTCCAAGAGTCGTGAAATTGACGATATTTCGTGAGTTCGGAACATGCCTCGCTATATAGAAATGTTGGCTAGGGAAAAAAATCACAAGAAAACAATTACCAAGATATATCACATATTATCCACAGATCTTCCGTAGGACTGTACAGCATCATAACGGCTTGGGCCAACCGTCAATATTTCCAAACCAACGCGACCGGTAGATCTCGTCGCCCAAATTGATCTGGCGTCGAGTCCCATTCACAACGAGACTGGTGTGGTTGCCGCGGAAGGTCTTCCACACGGTCTGCACGTAGATATAACTTCCATCGGGCGCAATATTGAAGCTCTTTAGATCCGACTTGGGCAACTCTTGGAAGGTTCCCTCCGTATTATAGCCGTGGCGATCGTTGCTCGTCACCTCGAAGCCGGGCATGTACTTGTCGATCACAGCGTCGTCGTCACTCCATTTCCCGGTCTCGGCATCGAAGAAGTGCAATCCCACATCATCACTGACGATGAACTTGCGCTCATTCGGGATCGGCACGAGATCGTGCGCTCCCGCCCACCAGCCATAGTTGAGACCCCATTCTACCGATTGATCGGAGTAACCCGGGTATTGCCACACCAATGAGTCGTCCGAGACTAACTGCTGAGTTTCGTTGTCCCAGGGGAACGCCCGGATGAGAGGATGGGCGGGTTCATTATCGGAGCCGTCGGCCGCAATGTCGGTTCCTGCCGCCCAAAGCAATTGCTTCTGCTCGTCCCAGATCAAGGCGTGGATGGCACGGATGCCTGTGATGTTTTGCACGATGGGCGGGTCCGGTTCGAGGGGGAGAGCCTTGCTGGTGTTGTAGACGAGAATGCCGAACTCGGGGCGCGAGCCTGTGGTGCCGACCGCGAGAAGATCGTTGGGGAGGGATTCGAGCGTATGCGCGTTCGATAGATACCAATGGTCTCGACAGAGGGCGAAGGTGATTTTCTTGTCGATCCCCGGCGATCCAGGGGTCCGGTTGACGACGACGATGAGGCCACTGTAGACGGCTGCGACGCTGGTGCCGTTGTGCAAGTATTTCAATTCAGTGGCATCGTTGGCGCCGGCGTGGAGACATTTGTGCACGCGATCGGGCAAATCCTGGTCGACATCGTCCCGCTCAAATTTCCATAACACTTTCCCTTCCCGGTCGTGGATTTTGATCAGCGGCGGAGTGCCATACACGCCCGTGATGATCTCGTTCCAAGGTTTCGCCGAATACCGCAGCCGGGGTTGCGGCTCGATGGGTGGGATGAACCACCCCTCGAACGGATCGAAGAGGAAGAAAAACCAAGAAAAGAGCGCACTGAGCATGGTGTCGTCGGAAGAGGATAGGAGTTCCCTCTACCGTGTAGAAGAGGACAGTCTCCAGGGGGAGATGGATTCGAATGGGGGCAAAATTGCTTGACCACATTCGGCCTCGTAGCCGCAAACCGCTTAGTGCCAACACATCTTCGGCCCCGACGCCTTACTGTAAGCATCGCCTTTCACAGCGAACTTCATTTCCATTTACATACCTGCATATATTTATGTATGTACACGACTTTTCAAGCAATTGAGATTCTCTTTCCTGGGACTCTAAGGGCTCGCCAAAACAACCTGTGTGTCACGTGGTACACAGATCCGACTGCCTAATCAGGAAGGAAGTCACCTCCCTCGAAATGGAACTAGTGCCTGTCTAGGCCATAATGTGGAAATTATAAATCCTGTTGAGAAGGCGTAAAGCTCAGGCCATCAGAGTCCTCCTGCCACTGTTAGTTTCACAATGGGCGAAATCTTGCCAGATTGCACTTGCTGAAACATGACTCGATCCAACGTGATCTGGGACTCTGGACCCCCGGGGGTGGGCGGTGAAGAAATTAAGTTTTGGCAGAAAAAATATGTTTTTCTAAATAGATGCCTGAGGCTGGAAACTATCTTCGCCTGGGGTATTCACAAACACCTCAGGCACCAGCCCAAGGCCGTCTCACTCTTGGTTCCTCTTGGTTCCTCTTGTTCCTACATTCCACAGTCCTTGGTCCCGACAATCGCAATGTTCCAGACGATTCCCCACGGGGCGTTTGGTTGGCCTGCCACAGGGCGCATTGCCACCATCTGCCAATGATGCTGAGCAAGATGGGTCGAATGGGCCCCCAACCGTGTCGACGCCACACAAGCTGACTGACGCACTCCTTTTGCAGTTTTTGTCCACGGCCAAGACCGAGTGGACTTCAAAGGCACAAACCGTTAGGCGGTCCTCATTCTAAGAATAACCGGGCCAGGCCTCGTGGGCCCACTTTTTCCCTTTCATTCTTGCTGCTTGTCCTTGTCTCACCAGCTGATCTTTTGACCATATTTTTCAGTCTCAGGCTGGGATTCTTTTTTTTGGCTTCACGTTTTCTTCTTTCTTTCTTCTTTCTGAACTTTCTCATTTGGGGGTATCCTTCGTTTCTCCCCTCCGTGGTCTTCTGACCCCCTTCACCCGGCCCCTCGTTCATGCCGGATTGTCCCTCGTTTTGATCTGCAATTCTGACATGGATCCGCAACGCCTGGGCTTACAGGCCCGGGATAACCCTGAGACGGACGAGTTCCTCAGGCTCATCGCGGATCCCTTTCATTCAGCGGTAGGTTAGAGACTCCGTGGATGAGTCTGGAGACCAACTGACCCTCTTGCGACAGTTCCAACTCAGCGCTGTCTGGGCCTCACTGGGCACCTCGATCGGCGTTTCAATCATCCTCGCCCTCCTCTTCTCCCTCTTCCGCCCTCGTCACTCACTGGTCTATGCGCCCAAAGTCAAGCATGCGGACAAGAGACATACCCCGCCGCCCGTGGGCAAGGGCTTCTTCGCCTGGATCAAGCCGGTGATCTATACTCGGGAACCTCAGTTGATCGACACCGTTGGTCTGGACGCCGCCATCTTTCTGCGCTTCACCAAGATGTGTCGCAATATCTTTATCTTCCTCAGCATCATCGGCTGCCTCGTCATGATTCCCGTCAACATCACCCAGAGCAAAAACCGCGATTCCTCCTCCCAGTTTTCCGCCTTCTACACCATGACTCCCCTCTATGTCACAAATCCCACCGCTATCTGGAGCCAGGTTGTGTGCGCGTGGGCTTTTGATTTTATTATTGCTTTTTTCCTGTGGAGGAACTATCGGGCAGTGCGGGCCCTGCGCCGACAATATTTCGAGAGCTCCGACTACCAACGTAGCATGCATGCCCGAACCCTAATGATTACCGATATTCCACAGCCGGATCGATCTGACGAGGGCATTTTACGATTGAGCGATCAAGTCAACCCCACTGCCGCCTTGCCTCGTGCCTCCATCGGCCGCAACGTGAGGGATCTACCCCGGATCATCAAAGAGCACGAGGAGGCTGTGCGGGAGCTAGAGTCAGTGCTGGCCAAGTACCTGAAGCGTCCCGAGCAGCTGCCCGCCAAACGGCCCACCATGCGCCCACCCCGCAGCCAACGGAGCAAGCATCCTAGCGGTCGGGTGGATGCGATTGACTACCTGACGGTGCGAATTCGCGTTCTCGAGGAAGAAATCAAGCACGGGCGGGCATCGATTGACCGGCGGAATGCCATGCCTTACGGCTTTGCGAGTTGGGAGAGGATCGAGCACGCCCATGCGGTGGCATGGAATTCCCGTCGAAAGCATCCGCAAGGGACGACCGTCCGCTTGGCACCCCGTCCAAGTGATCTGATTTGGGAAAACTTGCCGCTTTCCAAGTCGGCACGCAAGTGGAAGCGGTTCATGAACTTCCTCTGGGTCGCCTTGCTGACACTTGTGTGGATTGTTCCCAACGCCTTGATTGCTGTCTTTTTATCCAACCTCTCGAATTTGGGACTAGTCTGGCCAGCATTTCAGACCTCGCTTTCGGCTGACCCTAACACCTGGGCTGCCGTTCAGGGTATCGCATCGCCGGCGGTCACCTCGCTCGTATATCTGGTGCTGCCGATCATCTTCCGCCGGCTATCCATGCACGGCGGCAGAAAGACCAAGACATCTCGGGAGCGCCATGTGCTGGCCCATCTCTATGGGTTCTTCGTCTTCAATAACCTGGTTGTCTTTTCGCTGTTCTCGGCTGCTTGGACATTTGTTTCGACGGTGATTGAGAAGAGCCACAAAAACAACGAGAACGCCTGGCAGGCTATTTTGGACAGCCAGCTGTACTATCAGTTGATGAGCGCTCTGTGCAACGTGTCTCCCTTCTGGGTTACCTGGCTCTTGCAGCGGAATCTGGGCGCCGCAATCGATTTGGTACAGCTTGTGACCTTGGCTTGGGTCTGGTTCGCCAAAACATTCCTGTCGCCGACTCCTCGCCAGTCCATTGAGTGGACCGCGCCGCCGCCCTTCGATTATGCCAGCTACTACAACTACTTCCTCTTCTATGCGACTGTTGCCTTCTGTTTCGCGACCTTGCAGCCGATCGTCCTGCCCGTCACGGCATTGTATTTCGGGCTTGACGCGTTGCTGAAGAAGTACATGTTGCTATATGTGTTCGTGACCAAGAACGAATCGGGTGGCTCGTTCTGGCGGCCTTTGTTCAACCGGATGGTGTTTGCTGCCATCTTTTCCAATGTGATTGTCGCCTTGGTTGCCAAGGTTCAAGGCACGTGGACCATGGTGTTCTGCGTGGTCCCGCTGCCGTTCCTGATGCTGGGATTCAAATTTTATTGTATGAAAACCTATGACGCGGACTGCGAATACTATAACCGTGCCAATCTGTCGGATGCCGAGGCCCTGGCCCCGGGCAAGCCCGGCAAGAAGGCAGGGGATCGACTCAGTTCCAAGTTCGGACACCCAGCTTTATACAAGCCGCTGATGACGCCCATGGTGCACGCCAAGGCCGCCGCGGTCCTGAAGGAGATTTATCAGGGCCGTCTGGAGTCCAATGACATGGCCGGCGAGTACTCGGATATCGCCATGGACCCGATGCTGGCGTCGCAACCCGGCAAATCTGCCGAGCCCGCACCATTCGAGGTTGTCCCCGAGAACCATCTCGACTTCTCGTACTACAAGGACCGCCCCGACTTCCGCGACGAATTCGGGGGCGGCATCTACGGCCGTCCCGAAGACCTCATCACTGAACGATCGCAGACGCCCCGCAGCACCTTGGGCAGCGAGTGGTCCCCCAGCTCGTCGCGCGCCTCGTCTCCTGCCCCATCTCTACCATCCATGTCTGGTTTGAAAATTCATGAGGGTTACGACGGTTCCCCGGAGGCGGCTGGTCTCGTCCACCCAGCCTTCCGCCCTCCGATCTCGCGCGGCGACAGTGGCGGCTTGTACCAGCACTCGAACGAGAGTGAGACCCGCCTCTTGAGCAATGCCCAGACCCCTGCCTTGTCGGACGTCTCGAACCCGCTGGACCGCTGGCGCGGCGGTGGCTATGGGCCTGTCGACCAGGACGACGATTCTACATATACCTCATACGAACCTTACCGAGCCTCGCGATAAGTGATTTGTGTTATTTTTTTCTTATTCTGCCTGCAATTTGTACATAGATATCGCCCTGCTTTTTCTTTTTCTTCTCTGGTTGGTTTGTCTCGTGTCATTTGGCGATTCTTCAGTCTGTTCGCGCTGGCCTTGAACAGCGTCCAGTGCATACGACATTACGATTTAATCTGGGTAACATGTTGATACTATGGAGATGGCAAACCTCATGGAAAAATAAAACCAAAATAAAAGGTCATCTAACAAGTCGTCTATTGGATTCTCATTATGTATAGTTCTATCATGGCGAACCAGACCTCGCCTCCCTTCCACCTGCCAAAAGTAATTAGGTGGACAAAGAGGCCAAATATATAAAAGGGTTTGGGGAGAAAAAAAAAGGAAAGAAAAGAAAAGAGACATATGCCCGAAAAGAAAAATTATGGGATCCCCCACGAAGCGAGCAACACCTCGTGGAACTCGCCGGCCCGCAAAGCCGCATAGATCTTGCCGATCTGCGAGCCGATCGACTCCTTGCGGATGTTCTCGCCGGAGTCGTAGGTCGGGTGGTCGACCAGCCCGCGGTGCATGGGCACAGCGAGCTTGTCGCGCACAAAGCCGTAAAGTTTCTGCGACGACGAGCACAGGTGCTGGGCTGTGGTGCGGTTCTGGAAGAAGAGCTTGCGGGCCGCGGCGTAGCGCGTCTCGAGGATGCTGGCCGTGATGGTCTTCCATTGCTGGATGGATTTGCCGTCGGCGCGGTCGCCCAGCACGTCGAGGAGCGCGCCCAGCGAGCTCGTGGCGGTGGTCTTGGCACGGTCTGCTAGGTCGCTGGTGCTCAGGCGGGCCCAGTGCGCCATCAGTTCCTCCCAGAGCGCGCTCTGGGCGACACTCACTTGTGCCTCGGCGCCTAAGGCGCGGAGTAAGTCGGCCGTGGCGGCATCGAGGTCGGGGCGGGCGTGCGTGGCAAACTCGATATGTAGCGCGCGCAGATCCAATGCCTGGCAGAGCACGTATAGGTACGTGGCAGACATCAGGCCCAGCACTTCGACAGTGTCGCCGGCGTAGCGGGCGGCGATCAGGGCCAGCGAGTTCAGGCCCTGGTTGTGCATCTCGGCGGACTGCACGTGGTTGCTTACGGGGTGGTTCAGGTAGGCCAGCTCGGACATGTATGCGGCCATGTTGATGTCGACGCCCTTGAAGGCGAACGAGAGACTGGGGTCATCGGCACTCAGGTTGGGTGGCAGTCCCTTGTTGAGCATCGGATTAACAATCTCTGAGCACTGCGAGAAGATCATCTTGCCCAGCATCTGCATGGCCGACATGGTCTTCTCCATGGCCGACGTCACGGACGCCGCCTGAAAGTTGCCACCGTGGTGCACACGCTCTTCATCAGGGTCCAGCAGCGGGTTATCTGTCGTGGAGTTGAGTTCCGTGTGCACCTGCTGCAGCGAGAGTGCCAGGTTCTCCAGCTGCGGGCCGATCCACTGCGTTGACGTGCGTAGTGCATAACGGTCCTGTGCCAAGCCCTCTCGGTCAGGGTGCGCGCCAGCCACGAGCTGCGAGTTGGCCAGGCACTGGAAGATGTTGGCTGCCGACTCGTGCTGGCCTGGGTGCGGCCGTGCCTCGGCAATGAATGGGTGGTAGTTGTGCCGCGTGCCCAGCAGGGCCTCGGTGCCCATGGCCGTTAGCAGCTGCGAGAGGAGCACCAGCTGGTTGGCCTCGAACAGGACCAGTCCCGCCGCACCGCAGCTGAAGGCCGTCCCGTTCAACAGGCCCAGACCCTCTTTAGGCCCGAACTCGAGCGGTGTCAGCCCGGCCTCCGAGAGAGCCTGGTAGGCCGGGATAATGCGGGCGGCCTGCCCCTTTCCGCAGTGCACCATGATATCAGAGTTGCCCTCGAGCGCACCAGCAATGTACGCCAGCGGCGTCAGATCACCGCATGCTGAGATACTGCCTCGCAGCGGCACAACGGGGGTCATATCGTGAGCCAGCAGCGCGAGGATGTTGCGCACCACCTGGATCCGCACGGCGGAGTGCGCCCGCAGAAGAGAATTGCAGCGGATCAGCATGGCCGCCTTGACGGTGGGAATGGGCATGGCATGGCTCTTCAAACTGTCCAGGGGCGAGGCGGCGGCAGCCGTCCCGCGATCCCGAGGCAGCACCACGGCCGAGTTGTGGTGTTGGATCAGCGCCTTCTGCAGCGCGGGGTAGTCGTTGGTGCGGGTGTCGGCGCTGCCCCCGAACCCAGTGGTGACACCGTAGATCACCTCACCCTTGTCGAGTTTCTGGCTGAGCAGCTCCACGCTGCGATTCAGCCGGTCCAACACGCTCTGATTGTCGGTGATGGCGGCCGTGATGTCATGGCTGAATGGCTGTTAGTTGACTGGTCCATTTGACCCCTCTCACCCACGCGGTTCATCAGGGGTGAAGAACACAAATCCAAATAAGATTCACCGTGGCGGGGGTTTTATGAAATAAACAATAGCAGAAGTCAGGAACATACTGGGCGACTGCGACCACCGAGCTCAAGTCTAGAGACTTGCCATCGAGGACAATCTTGCGGTTTTGCTGCAGAATCTCACGGAGCTGCAAACTCGATGACAGCACCGAGTTGGTGTAACCCAGTCCGGACGGACCAAAGCCATTGGGAGTGGAATCTTCACCCATGATCGAACACTCAAAAATATACAAAGAATTAAAGGAGAGAGGGAGAGAGAGGGAAAGAGAGCGGGACGATCAGTGAGATGAGTGAGTGAGAGAGGGGTGGAGGAGGGGTTTAAATGCAGCTCGGGCGACGTAAGGGCGGTTTCTCACCTCCCACGAGAGAGCCAAGGTGGTTCAGATAGTCCTAAATTTTGGGGATGACACTTGCGAAGGCTTGACAGAATAGCAATAGCCACTGTCTGTCGGTACTGCGAGTGGTGGGTTCTTCGATCGCGCCGATCGCTCGAACCGGTGGATCCGAGACTCTCAGCGAGGAAGGCGGTGCATATGCGAGATAGGTTGATTTGATCGTTTGATGGATTTGTTTCTAAAGACGACAAAGAAATGATTTGATATGTGAGAGAAGTTTCGAGAGTCCCAAATGCCTTGAGATCGCGTGTATATCTCCCAGACATGCAGATTCCAACGCAGTCAACATCTACGAGAGAATATAAAATATCACATCACATTGCAAATGCCGATTTACCTCTCGCTACCAAACTGTCAAACTTCGTCACTCAGTCCATCCTTCGGGGGCCGGAGCCACTGGGGCCAAACTCTCGACTGACTCGGGTCGCCCATTTTTCATGAACGTGTTTGTTGCAGAGCAATCCCAATAGTCAGTAGTCAATAGTCAACATTCAATGGCCCACGCATCCTCTCTGATCCACCCATCCACTAGATGCATGGAAATCCACTCATAATACGATCCATAGGTGAGATAGGTGAGATACTTCGGTGTTGCGCGTCGACCGAGGCTACTCACAGCCGCCTGCATGCAATATGTCCAACATTCTGCAAAGACCAGCATGATCCGTCGAGTCCGTCGCATACATCAACCCCATCTTGCATGTTGTACATACTTGCCATGGTTGATAAGATAGAGTCAGGTGACCGGGAGGATCCTCAGCCCTCCAGGATCTCCCCAGGGGATTGTGGGATGTTTTGATCCAGTTGCATCCGAACTTCACTCCGTTTTTTGGGGAGGGGGGAAGACTTGGCAATTGGTGTGGATCAGATCATGCTGATTCATCGCTCTCGTGATCCCTCCAGTGCTTTGACTCGATGGGCCCCGGGTGAGCCTGTGCACCTTCGTGGAACGTCCTTTTGACCCAGAGGCAGAAGTGGAAGAGAGAGAGAGAGAGAGAGAAAGCAGGGGGCAGCTGATTTTCGCATCAAGAGTGTTTTACACGGTGCAAACCACAGCTCCACACGTCCTACCCTCTGGGAATATAGCTCCACCGGATCCTGGAACCACCATGGTCTGGTATTCCATTCTTCCCCCGCAGCTCATCTACCTGGAGAGCTGGGCCGCACGGATCTTTGTACGTGCCTTGGTTTCTTTGCCGACACCTGCTTATCTCCCAAGTTTTGGGTTGCCCTTCTAGCATGTTTGAACCACACTCACCTCTGCGTCCATAGTTTGTCCTCGGCGTCATCACCATTGTCCCCTGGGCTGCCCTCCTCATCTTCGATGCTGTCCTCTACCTCTACCGCATGGTTCTCTGGGAGCTTCCCTGGATTGGCGGTCGTGCCCGTGGCGAGCAGCGCCCGCGCGCCCCAAGTTTGAACGAGCGCCCCGGCGGACAGCGACGCGCTTTTGGGCTGCGCGGGGTCGAGACGGATGCGATCGAGGGGGGTGCTGACACCGTCGGCGAGGAATCTGCAGACGGACCTCGTGAAAGGGACTGGGATGGGTCCAAGGACAAGGAGAATGTAGCTCCGTTTTCTGCGGGATGGAACCCGCCTTTGAGCGGGGAGGCGCATCTGAAAAGCAGAGTCTCGGGGCGGATATGACCATGATGTCTGGCCCTTCCAGGACCACTGGTGTTTATCAGCGATGGTTTGAGGGTCTCGATGGTTCTTGTGTTGTCTGATTTGTTTAGGTGACCATCCTGGGTTCAGGTGCATGGAGTTGATGGGTTAGTTTTCGGTGATACCTGTGTCTTGTGTCAACCGCTGCTATTGTTGTCAGACTCGATAGGAATCATGTCGAGAGTTCTGTTTAAAGATTCCCTCGAGGATATTTTCCTACTTTCCCGGTGGTTACAGCATCAACTATAATCCATCCATGGGAGTCTCCCTAGGAGGTGGTCTTTTCTTTCGTAAAAACCTCTCTCTTTATACTTGCTTTTTTTTCTTTCTTTCTTTCTTTCTTTCTTATTGCCCCCAGCTGTCACCCCACGCCAAGGCCAGTGAGTCAACAGCCATCGGACGGTCCCGCCAAAGTGGAGAGACCCAGCGCAAGCCGCGAAAATTATGACTGCAAGTGCGGAGTTCATGCAGTGTGATCGGGAAAGAGTTCTTCGTGTCTTCCATATCTTTCATTCCCGGTATCTCCCCAGGTAAGTCAGTCGTAGACGCCCTTGACCAGACCATGGCTTATCAGACTAGGTGACTGAGTGCGTGTGCCGCGAAAGAATACTATACCCTGCGATGGCAGCATTCGATCCAAGCTGGGATCTTTGGTCTCCCCGTGCAGGGCTTGCTGCGCTTCTCTTGAGTGTCTGTCTCGCAGTATGGAGATGGACTCGCCCCAGTCGAAACATTCCTGCACAGTTAGACACAACGACCACAGCGGTAGACCTCAAGTCTCCGTCTATCACGCCGCTGGAAGGGTTCGACTGGGAGACGACGGAGCCGTTGCAGTTCCGGCCGTTTCGGGGGAAAGATAAGTATAATCTGACGATGGGTGAGTGTCCTCCAACTTGATATAAAGAATATCGAAAAGCGAGCAAAAGAAAAGAATCACGCTGATCTAGATATTAGCTCTCGAGAACCTGGATCCGTCTGAGCTCATTCCCATGGATAAGACATACAAGGAGCGTCTCGCTCTGCGCAAGTCTCTACTTGAGCAGCACCATGACATCGTAGTCGCCGTCAACAAAACCTCTGCAGAGGAGAAAGGCACTCAAGATGGCGATGAAGACCCGCGCATTCGAGATGCCGTCGGCGAGCTCTACTCGTTCATACTGGGCACATACCTGCCCACTCGCTATCCAAGCATGTTCAGACTACACGAAAGACAAGCACCGAACAGCACTACATCCTCAACTACCAAAACCAACAACACTAACAACACTAACAACACAACCGAGACCATCTTCGAGAACCGCGTAACAGGCGCCACCTGGCCCACCCACCTCCAACAAACCACACCAACGATCCACGCACTCGAGATCCTAGCCCAGACGGTGGACGAAGAATTCCTAGTGCTGTTACCAGACTTCTCACTAGAAACCGAGGAGGAACCCAAATACATCTTGCAAGCCTACGCAACCTGTTTCCCCTCGGGGTTCAATACCCGCGAGAAACTCGGTCTGCGTCTGGCAGACATCCACGGCCCCGTGCCCGGGTATCAAGCGAAACTGGAGCGCAGCATGGACCGGTTCTTTGCGCGGGTTGAGGTCGGGAGGTTTGTGAGGCGGGTGAATTGGAGTGTGACGACGGCGACGGAGCTTTTTGCTGCGTTTGGGGGTACGCATGGACTTGGACTTGGACTTGGGGGATCTGGTGATGGGGAGGCTATTCGGCCTGGGGAGCTGGATTTGAATCAGGTGTGTTTTCTTCCTTTTTCTTCTGTAGAGGCAGTGTATTGACGAAGATATAGACTGTCCTCCGCTGCGAACGCCAGACCTTGCATCGGCTGCCGCGGTCCAAGGCCCTTGTCTTTGCCTTTCACACGTATACGTACCCCGTGCGCCAGATCAAGGATGAGGGTCTGGGCGAGGAGCTGGCTACTGCGATTGACGGGCTGAAGAAGGGGAATGTGCCAGACATGCACTCGTATAAAAAGGGTGATGTGTGGGGAGAGGCTCTGAAGGATTTCCTACGGTCGTAGAAAGACTCATCTCTATATTAATTCCTTGAGCGATGATGACTATGTAACTTTTTTATTGATTCATGATATATTCACTTTATTTTTGACAGCAAGCAGCACTGGGATTATACCATCTAGTGCAGTCGCTCCACCACCTTGAGCAAGTCGGCCGATACACCCATGGCAGTGACATCGCCACCGGCACCGGCACCTTGCACAATCAGCGGGTTGGCGCCGTAGCGCTTGGTGTAGAAGCTGATGATGTTGTCGCTACCCTTGAGGCCGGCAATGGCGCTGTCCTTGTCAAAGTACTGCAGGCCGACCTTGACGGTCTTGGTGGCCACATCGATGCTACCAACGTAGCGCACGACCTTGCCCTGCTTCTCGGCGGCGTCCTTGATGCCAGCCATCTGGGCATCGAATCCGGGCAGACGGCCCATGAACTGGGCGATGCCATCAGCGGAGGAGGGCAGGTCGGCCAGCTCGGCGGGGATGAGTGACTCAATAGGGAAAGCGTCGGGGCGGGCAACCTCCAATCCAGCCAGGCGGGCCAGGATGGTCAGCTTGCGGGCGACGTCCATGCCGTTGAGGTCATCACGCGGGTCGGGCTCGGTGTAGCCCAGCTCCTTGGCCTGAGCGACGACGGTGCTCCACTGGGCCGACGAGGCGCCGGACGCCGGCGCGAACGTGTTGAACAGGAACGACAGCGTGCCGGAGAACACGCCCTCGATGCGCGTCACCTCGTCGCCCGTCGCCACCAGGTCCTTCAGCGTCGACAGCACCGGCAGGCCCGCGCCCACCGTGCTCTCGTGATAGACGAGCGCCTTGCCCTGCGCAGCCGACGCAAAGATCTCCTGCCACAGCGACAGCTCGTCTGAGAAACCCTTCTTGTTCGGCGTCACCACCGACACCCCCTTCTTCAGGAATGCGGGGTATGACCGTGCCAGGTTGATGTCCGACGTGTTGTCCACCAGGATTGCTCGCCCCGGCGCCGATGCGAGGTATGTCGCGATCTCCTCTGCGGGCAGGGCACCCTTCTTGGTCAGCGAGGGTGCCGCCGATGCAGTCGCCCAGTCAGCCACGGGGATCGACGGCGAGTAGGTCGGCGTCGGAGCAAGGAGGGTCTGCGAGGAGCGGGCGAGGAGGACGAGCTGCGGGGCATTGGGGAGGCGCGCGAGCTGCGAAAGGAATGCGGTGCCGACACCGCCGACGCCTGGAAGAAGCCGTTAGCATGTGTGGTCTTCTTTCTACTTTTCACTTTGTTTCTCTCTCCAAGGGCTGCCTACCAACAACGCCGAGATAGATAGGGCTGGCAGCCATAGCGTGGGTCAATGGGAGCAGTGTCTTGGTGGAATCACAATAAACAGTCAAATATCGACTCCAGTGCCGAATATCTGGGTAGGAGACAGATATAGACGACAACAATGGCGAAATTGAGTCACGATGCCCGCCGTGCACCTCATCGAGGGGTCGTGGGGCAGCGAAGATCGGACTTAGTCATCTCGCTGCCTTGGAAATGAGGCGGAAGTGTTTAGTTAACTATTACGATCAAGGCTCTAGTCCTGGAGGTATATTATTCTTATACAGTAAGGTCTGGTTCCTACAGAGAAGAAAATAAATAAGAAAAAGAAAGCCATCATAAAAACATGATAAATATGAAAGTGCACAAATTCTTTGCGAGAAAGTGATGGCGATCTATATTAAACTCAACTAGAGATATACATCAAAGTTAACTCTAATTTTACTGATATTTCTAAAGTAAGAGGATGTTATAGCTAGACTACAAATTCTATCTCGCTATAGAGTCTCAGTCTTCCAAGATTGGTAAGAATATGGTCAAACTGGTCATGTATGGGAAGAAAACACCACAATGGTTTACTCCAAATATTAATTGTCTTCTTTGAGCTCTGTAGAGCCGAATCTAGTCATGGATACCCCTTATTCAAAGCCGTCGAAGCCATAGCAAATTGACTTCCGAATAATTTTGAACAACGCATACCATATAACCTCGAGGAAAGGGCTTGAAAGATCTTAATCATCTTTAGGACCTTTCGCCTTGACCTTACCCCCAGCACAATTAAGACGAGGGGGATTTCCAGAGAAATTGAAAGCCTCGACTATGGCCATGTCAGTCTCAATCCTTCTTTAAAGTAAAAGAATGGAAAGCCTGGGTTAGGAGAACTCACCGGCGTCGTCCGTGGTACCAAGCATGTTGTTCTCATTGAGTGGGTAAGAGTTAAAGGCATATCCGCTGTGATAGAAAGCGTTAGATTGGTCAATTCCATACTGCAGGAGTTGGAAGAAATGCTCTTACTATGCCTGCTCCACCAAATTGTGGTTGATGTTCGCATAGCAGTGGTTCATAAGTATTTCCGCGCTATACCAGGAAGCCGTTCCATCGTCGTGTATGTCGGGGCACATGATACGAAACACGGGCTGTGCCCTCATTTCCTCAGTGTGATCGTCCCAAACTTGGCCAATTGTGTTGATTGAAGCGCTGTCTGTAATGCAGTCCTTGAGATTTGCCAGTGCGGTCGAAGCAAGGCCTAAGGCCAGGAGGGAGATGGAAAGCTTCATGATGAATTTTAGCAATGGGAATAGAAAAAGGAAAGAGGGGCGACTGATCTCGCGGCCTTAGAGAAGTATTTATGTCGACGAAGAGGTCAGGGCGTCGCCCCATGCCCCAGGGGAACTAAAGGCGTTTTGAACGCCTTGGCAGCCCCCGGGTCTCACACAACGTGAATGAGAATTGACAAGAAAATGGGGCCAGCATCAATAATAATAGCAGCGGGGCCCGAATTTTGTGCTGTCTTCGGCCCCAGGAGGCCCCCTTCTCGCTAAAATTTCCATCAGACTACTAGAACTTGGTCGGTGTAGTATGGTCTTAGCCCTGCAGGCCCTAAGATAGGTCCTATCCATGGATATATGCAACTGCAGCACTTCCCTAATTGATGGACTTTTTTGGCCTATTTTGTTTAGTGGCGGGCAGTGGTTTTTAGGGCTAGTTTCATACTCCCCAGATTTCGCAGGGTTGGTATAGAATTAGTTGAAAGAGCTTCATTTGGGGAGATATAGAAATGCTTCAATTCAACCTTGTATCTTGCAGAAGTTTCGAGCTTCACTGCCTACTGTCACTGCTACGTATCGTTATTTGATACTTGGTCTATTTTTTCTTGTGGCTTGAGAGCTGAATCACGAAACTGCCGAGTGCTCTTTAAGATTTCTAATTGTTGATGGCTTTATTAAGGCGGTGCTATGTCATCCGCAGTGCAATAGTTAAATAGAAGTAGCCGAATCGTAGATCTTGACGAATCGTGATTGGATCAACGGAGAACTTGTGAAGATGAGTGGATCTCGAGATGATGTCTTGTCAAGTCATGTGACCATAACTTATGCTCATAGTTCTGGAAGCAACTTGGTCTCTACCGAAACCGAGTCTCTTTCTTCCAACTCCCTTACTCCACAATGCCGCCCACACAAGACTCCCTGTACGGGCAACCCCGAGCCAAAAAGACCCCCAAATCCGAAATGTCTGCCTCGTCCAGCCTCGCCTTCACCTCCCAGCTCTCCTCGCTCATCGCGCAAGACCGCGAAGCACCGACCTCGCGCGGGCGCACCCGCCCATCCAAAACACCCAAGTCCGACATTTTTGCCAAACACAACAAAGGCGCCCTCAAACGCGCCGCCGCCGACCTCAAAGACGATAACCCGCACACCGGACAAAAGCACCAACGCAGCCAGGATATCGGCTCCGTCGACGACGCCACCCTGAACCGCGCGAAGCGGCGCATGGCTGAGAAGGTGCGCATGTACGACGAGCTCAAATCTGGCGTGTACCTTGCCGCCGATAGTGACGAGGATGAAGATGAGCCCGGGCGGCCGGAGAGTCACCTAGCTAGGTTGCGGCGGAAAGAGCGCGAGGGGCTGGTGGATTTCGATCAGAAATGGGCGGACGAGAGACGCAAGAATGGGAAGACTACTTCGGACAGCGACGACGACAACGAGAACGACGATAATGATAATGATAATGACGACAATGCATCCATCATCTCCTACGAAGACGAGCTGGGCCGCTCCCGCCGCGGCACCCGAGCCGCCGCCGCGCGCGCCGCTCGTGCCAAAGCCGAAGACGAAGACCGCAACCAGGGCCGTCTGGGCACAGAGCGGTGGCGGCCCGCCCGCCCCGACAACCTCATCTACGGCGAGGCCATCCAGTCTCAGGCGTTCAACCCGGACGCCAACATCGCCACGCACATGTCGCAGCTGGCGGCTCGTCGTGACCGCTCCCCCACGCCGCCCGAGCGCCAGCACTACGATGCCGACGCTGAGGTGCGCACGCGCGGCACGGGGTTCTATGCGTTTTCGCGCGATGAGGACGAGCGCCAGAGGCAGATGGAAGAGCTTAAGAATGCGCGCGATGAGACGGAGAGTCAACGCAGGAAGTGGCGCGATATTGTTGAGAAGCGGGAACGTGCGCGTGAGATGCGCTGGTTGCAGATTCTTGAGACGCGGAGTGAGAGGCAGGCGTTGGAGTTTTTGAATTCTTTGGGTGTGTCTGGAATGGAGGCGCAGCCTGATGAGTGATACCTCTCTCTCTCTCTTTTACTATTCCTCCCTCCCTCCCTCTCCTTCTTTTCAGCCTTGCATAGATACCCTTTCATGATTCAATGCCCACTACCGTGGCAAGCAGCACAACTGGAGTCAATTGATCTACTCGACTTCCTCCTAGTAGCCACCAGGTCAACTACTAAATAGACATCTAAGTACCCCAGACCCCGGCGAGAGGAGAGAGATATAAACAAGGAAATGCGCAGCAAAAAAACTAACACCAACGCGAAATCCATGCCACCTTTTTTTTTGTATCGTTCATCACGATCATCGCAGCATCAGTCATCAGTCATCAGGCGGGAAACGTATTAATAGAGAGCCAGCTCCTCAATGAAGATCCATCACCAGCTCTTCCATGATATCCAAGAAGCCATCGGCATCTGCGCGCAGAGAATTATTAGAACAGAACAGGATAAGATAGAACAGGATAGAATAGGATAGAGAAAGACGAAATAGAGGACCAGCTCACCGCCACTAGAAGTAAATTTCAGGATCTGGTCTCCCCGCGACGTCTGCGGCAGATTATAGTCTTCGGCGGACATCAGGATCGCGGGCTGCAGGTTGCGCACGAGGACGGTGCGCGCGTCCAGGCGGCGGAGCCAGCCGCGTTTGTCGAGGAGGTGGGTGACGAAGGCGGTCCAGACGGGGGTGCTTATATCCTCTTGTGTTAGTTGAATGTTTTCGAGGATTTAGAAGATATTTGATGCCCTTACTGGTCCATGTCGCCTTGGTGCACTGAGGCTTGTAGTCTGATGGCCCCGGATGCCGTATCGTGGTAAACGCGCAGCGCGTGTCGGTATATGTCGTCGATGATTTGGCTAAAAGGGTTCAGCTTTGTCAATATATCTATACTGTTATATATGTTTTCTGGTGTGAGAACCTACCCCCGAACAGCTCTTCTTCGCCTTCCAGCTCATAGTCCCGGATATTGTTGACGGGATGGCCTGCATCTTGGGAGCGCAGGGCCAGGAACATGCAGTAGAACAGCACCATATCTATCACAAGGTCAGCTCGTCCATTGTTTTCAATGTTTACTACCACCTGTTCTCAGAAAGAAACATACTTTCAATGGTGAGGAATTTAAAAGTAGCCCAGAACACCAGCTGCGTCCCCGAGCGGCGCCGTCGGCACAACTGGAGACAAGACCCTTCACGGAGAATCTCGATCATGTCGAGGGGTAAGCAAAAGTACTCGCTGGGACGGGTGCGGTGGGGCACTTTGCAGAGGATGCGGACGCGGTGGTCTCGTTCTCGCAGGTAGAAGTATACGCGGATGTCGCAGTCGTCGTTGAAGGCTCTGTGTCAGTGTGAGCTATTCTTTTCTGGAAAGTAAGAAATGGATATTGAGGGTTTCGTTAATACATATGAAGGAGCTCTTCATAGCCCTGTTCTCGAAGCCATGGCTTGATTCCGGGATTGGGTTCTCCGTAGCACCCCGATCTATGGATTTAACAGTGAGCAAGAGCACATCGATCTTAAGTTAATAAATACCAGTCGGAATTCATACTTCTCTGATGTCTGCGGGATCGGGGTGCTTGTGTCACAGCTGTTAAACACTTGCTTGGCCCAGTGATACTGGATCGCGTCGCCCGTGGCCGATTGGCTGTTCGTGGTGGCCGTGGCGGCCGTTGCCGTAGTCGACGCTGTTAACGGAGAGCTCGGGGCTTCCGGGACCGATGGCGGGATATCAGAGAAACCGCCGGAGGAGGGCGAAAGAGGCGATTGGGGTGAGAGGTGTGGCGGTCGAGCGCGCTCGTAGGACCGGCGACGCGGCCGCCGATCACTGACCGGACTACTTGGTTCGGTGCTGTTGCCACTCGACGAGGGATTCCGGCCCAGTGACATGCGGCCGAGCCTTGGTGCAAGGCGTTTGTCCTGGGCGGCGAGAAGCGTCTTGATGCCATTGCGGAAGCCGGCTTGGAGAGGGGAGTCGTTGTTTTTGCTGGCGGGCATGAGAAAAAAAAAGACAATCGTATAGTCATAGGTATGGTGACACCTACCCCTTCAGAGAATCTCCCAGTTCCCGAAGAAACGTCTTGTACTTGGCCAAGCGGGTCTCCAGGGAATAATGCGACTCGTCCCAGAAGAAACGGCCCATGGCCAGCCATGTACGTCTGTAGAGCTCGGGGTTATTCCCGCCATCGAGCCGACCAAAGAAATCGACGATATCCTCGAGAGTGTATTTTAAGCTGGCGCGCGCCAATTCCAGATCGGGATGCACGCGGGGCAGATTGCGGCGGTAGCGAGGGTCCTTGACCAGATCGTCCAAGCTGGATAGTGACGAACTGATGGCATACAGATCCGAGATGAGGCCGGTGATCTCCGTCGCATGTTCTGGGAGAGGAGCGCGGAACGTGCTAAAGCCGGCGGCAACGTCCTCTGCGTTCTCGGCAGATGTGCGTAGGGCCATGACAAAGCGTCAAACCGTTGGTCAGGCCATGGGGGGAGCCTGGGTGGATTAGATTGGATTGAACACGAACACGACCTCAGAGAAGTCCGAGGGAGGAACGAGATAGATCAAGTATCAAATGAAGGGTGAAAAGCAAATGCAATCCTCACGTGTGCGGCTCTTTCCATCTCCTTGCGTCGGGCGGGCCCTTGACGTGTTCGCGCGGGAATGGCGGGGCTCAGTGGAGTTTTCTTTTCTTTTTCTTCTTCTCTTCTTTCTCGCAGATGGCGATAGACTTGCATTACCGACCGGAGATAGTCCGTTCTGGCCAGAGAGTCTGACAGGAGAAAAATACTACACCAAATAAAAACAACCCCGGGACGTTGAAGCTTGCATCCACGGTTCACCCCGGAACACCCCCACAGCCCTAAAAGAGAGGGAGAACTCGAATGTATTATCATTTCATACTATCACTCTGATTTCTCTCTGCTAATCTGGACCAGACAGAACCAAAATGGCGAGTATATGCACCAAGGTCGGTACAACAGCAGTCTCTGCGTTTATGTACACGCTTGAGTCCCAGCTGGCGCAGTCACTGCTCTGAGTTCTGCCTTCAAGTGATTTGTAACTAGTTGTTGCATCAGACAACTAGTAAATAGATAAAGACTGGCCCATGCTGATCCACGACTATCGGAATAAGCCTCGATGATCATGGCCCCAGCGCTAGGTCCATAATCTTCACAATCCTCGTCAGAGCACTGTCCCATCCCTGTCATAGCGTGGTAGCGTCAAGGGTCAGCGGTGGGGACATTGATGCCACATTTAGACCGCCGCGACTGTTGATGCGGTGAATAAATGAGCCGGAGGATTTGGTTTCAGATACAATCCACTTGTATCAAGACTTGATCGGTCAGATAGTCCTGAGTCATGACGAGAGAGAGAAGAGTTCCAATTGCGCTTGCATCGAAAGTATACTTCAGGGATGCCTCAGGCCCAACTCCAACGCGTCAACAAAAATCACCCCACGGTTGGGAGCTTGGGCCAAGACCCGGGACTGATACAGAAGAGCTTAAATCAATCAAAGACAGGATGCGGTTCATTAGACTAGTGTACAGCTTGCCCGAGAAATCGGCAGCATCCAGGCCCAACTCTTCTTAAGAGGGAGAGAGGAACCTGGACCGTCAACAGTCACCGTTTCCTATGGAGAAAAGAAACACCCTTCGATACGAACAGTCAAAAAGCAAAGGAAAACCACCGGCATCCCATTCCGTTAAAACAGCCGTGCATAAAACATTCGCACCGAAACCAGGGAGACCATTAGCGAAACCAACACAAACGCCCGGGAGAGAGAGAGAGTCCTGCAATCATGGTGATTACGAGGACTCTTCTTCTTCCTCCTCGGCACTCTTCTATAGTCCCCAGTGGTTAGTGATATACAGAAATGGACAGAAAAGTGGACACAGGTAACTTACGGCTTGGTATGCGGCCTTCTCCGCGTCGTAGCGCTTCTTGTCGGCAGCAGCCTTGTCATCGTAGGGACGGCGCTCCGAGTCGCTCAGGGCCTTCCACTTGTCACCCAGCATCTTGCCGACTTGGCCTGGAGGAAACAGTTAGATACAGATCACGCAATGCGACCGGTCGAAAGTCCGTACCGAACGAGATGCCAGGGTTCTCCTCGCGAACCTTCTCGCGGTTGTCATTGGCGAAGAACATGTAGGCTGAGAGACCGCGCTTGGGCGCGTTGGGGTCTGCAGGACGCGTTAGTTGATGCCCAAAGCAGACAAGACGCGTCAATTGCGCCTAGGAGCATCCAACATACCCTTCTTGCGGCGCTGAACGCGCTCCTTGCCGCCCTTGCGAGTAGTCTTCTCCTTAGGCATGGTTACTGTGTCGACTGGTTAGATCCAAGGAACAGATTGCGATCAGACAGCGACCAAGGCCAATTGCGAGCAACAAGAAACGGAGGGATGGAGAACAAGACGCGATAGCAGTGTCAAGAAATAGAAAAACCAAAAATTTGGGGAGGGAGGGGGGGCATAGGAGAAACATAGCGACGCGTGATTCAAGGCGGCGAGTCGCGCACCCAAACGCGCCCGGTCGCAAGCCTCAGGAATGAATCCAACCAGCCAGACATCTCATGAACTGCGCTAAGTCTCGCCAAATCAATATCAGGGGAATTGATCTGATCGAAAGCGCAGACTTGACGCGATATTCAGATGGTTCATCTGGAGGCGCGACATGAAAAAAGACATTGGGAACGAGGAAAGGAAAAGAAAGCAAGCGAAGATAAGAGAAAGAAGAAAAGAAAGGAAGAAAGAAAGAAAGAAAGGAAAAAAAAAAGAGTGGGAGAAATAAGTTGGGGTGCAGTGTTCATAGTATCAGAGGGAGTATGTACCTTAATCTTTTGTATGGGAGATTTGTAGGGGAGAAAATGGTAAGAAGAATAGTAGGGAGGAGGAAGAGCTGAGGGGGGAGGGCCGTAGTAGTAGCAAGACGGCCGGCTGTGTTGCTGACTGAGGGAATGTATGGGTCACGTATGGGTCAACCCTCTCCCCTTGGGCAAAAGGATAGAATTTATTCTACTTGATTCACTGGTTTTGTTTTTCTTCTGTTTCTTTTATCTTTTATTATCTAAATTTCTTTTCTCTTCCACGTTTCATTTTTTCCCAATTTCCCTCTGATTCAGGGTACTTTCGTCCAAGTTCTACTCTTGAAGTGTAGTATCCCATACCAGAACCATTCCAATACCAGTGGAGAAATACAGCCTTGCTCCATTTTATTAATCAAACCGCGCAGGGACCGAGGGCATGGTCAGAGTCGCGTTTTTGTAATACCACTTTCTGCAGTTCCTAGACAATCTAGAGCAGATACAGTAATCTCAGGCCTTTGAACTACTTAGATTCTGAATTGCTGAGATTGCCCTGGGTGTGTATAAAAAGCCCTCTGTATATGACTCTGTTTGTTTTTAGGGTAAAGGGGCCTTGATGGTTGGTATGCATATCGCGTTGTGTATACAGCCAAGTCGAATGCGTCGCACTCGGAAAACAATATTGAGTCCAAACTAAGTTTTTTTTCTTTTTTTTTTTTATAATGATCGATAGATGTAGAAAAGAACCGATGATTTTCCTCCGGTGTAATAGTGCGCAAACTATTATCATCCCCAGTATGAACAGAGAGAGGGTTGCTCAATCATCAGCGTGGCGTACCCTTTTGGCGTAACCGCCAGTTGAAAACACGGCCACCGGAAATTGAGACTAATCTTTTGTTTAAATTAAAACAAAAATTACTCCACTAGCAGTGACCTTGACAATACTTGATCCCTCGAGCAGGAAAACAAGAAAACAAATCGCTAACATAAGGACCTTATCGCAGTATGATGCTAACCCTATCCGCAGCGCTGGGTCACAAAGTGAGACAGAATGGGACGGTCGGACTGGAAATCGCGTACAAAAGTCAACAGCCCAATCACATCATCAGTAAAGAAAGAGAACAAAAAAAGAGGTCAGGATGACCGTGCTTGGTTTCCATACGAGCAATTATTGTACAGTGCCTCGGGTATACAGCTACATACATACATACATGTACATGGGTTTACTGCTGCACTTATGTATGGATAATATTGATAATTCCCAGGTATCTTGACTAGCGAGTCTGCAGACTCACGCAGTAAATGCGAGGGACTCCTTTGCATCAATTTATAGGCCCCGGGAACTCCCTTGGGAAGACCAACAGGACACTGCAATGCCCGCATGCCGGGTACATCGGGTCCCGCCCAAGTACGCTGGGTACGGAGGTACCAATACACCCGTCCACCTTGTAACATACACACGCTTCCCACCTTTCCGAGAGAGCGTCATCGAGTCCCATTGCGTCGCGTCGGTATCATCGGTGTTCCAACCCGTAATTCTTGGTGTAATGCTGCCAAATTGTGCCTGACTGTTGTTGACTTCTGTTGACCTCTGTATACTGTACACCCATGAATACAATAGACCCGAGGAATCATATCCCTAGGCCAAATAGTGACCTGCACGGCATTTACCCGAGGGCCCTTGCTGCTTGAGCACGGTCGATCGGGACAGAAGTACAACCTCTCCACACCGACATCAGTCTGATGTAGCGGTGGGTCAAGACACGGCCCCGAAAGAGGACCAGAGTTCTCCCCAAAATAGTGCGTGTGATTATCGAGAAAGAATAGCCAGGGATTCGAACGCCAAATAAAACCCATGCCGATGAACTGGGGATATCACGCCGGTGCTCCAGTCTTTGGGTGATTTCCAGATATGCCCAACAGAAAACAACGCGGTCGCGTCCAGTCGTCATAGCATCAGTCGTCGCTCTCATCAAGCACCAAAGCGCGTAGGGTATCGTCGTCGGCCCAGTTTAGTCCACTGCCAACCACAATGGCGCTGGCAATATTTTTCATCGTATCCCATCGCGCCTTGCGCATCTTTTGGTCGGCCTCCAGATCATCGAGCTGCGACGCGAGATTCGCGTCCTCGAGCTTGTCTCTCCACGAGGAATCCTGCTTCGTGATCTCTAAGAGCTGGCGCACCAGTTCCTGGTTCTCTCGGTTGATCTGGAGATTCTCGACTTCCAAATTGGGGAGTTGTTTCATCACCAAGTCATGCGCCGACGACAGATTCTCATGTGCAAGCGCGAGCACATCGCGGCGGTTGACAAGACGAAGAAGCGCACTGTGCGATGGTGGTTTAGTCGTAGGATAAGACTGAGATTGTAGGGGAACATACCGCTCAGCTGGCGTGGTCGCCTTCAGGTGAACCGCTTTGAGGATGGGGTCGGTCATGAGGATCGTGCGAGCGGCTTTCCTCCTGACCGTGTAGGTAGCTCGCGCCTCGAGGAGCTCCCGTTCCGCGATCGCGAGTTGCTCGTCGGCATTTTCGCCGGACAGCGACTCCAGCTCTAGATAAATCGCCGAAATTAGAAGATCTGATCATCAAGCATCAACTTATTGTGATCGCGTACCTTGTTCGAGAACCGCCTTCTCCAGTTGCTGTTCCTGGACTTGGTTGTAGAGCTGGAGGACCAAGGCTTCTTTGTCGGATAGCGTCACAACATCGCGAGAGTCATCCGCAGCATAATCCAGGAGCGTCACCTCCCCGGGGTGCAGGTGAGGCCGCGCCGGGCCATGTTTTGTCGCCATGAACCAAGATCGCGTGGCGGCCGGGCTGTACCTTGTGATATGGCGAGGGCGGGAGGCGGTGGACCCATGAGAGCTTCAATTCGGACACGAGATCTCCTCTCCAACCAGAGCCGCACCCGGTCGGCTTTCCAGGGGCCTTTTCTTGCTGTTGCTTTTATTCCCCGAATCATTTATTATTCCCCGGTCTCCTGGTCCTGGTCTCTCATTCTCGAGTCTTCTGTCTGAAACGCCTGGGCTTCTCCGTTCGCTGGTGAGGGGGAGATGTCGTTGCATATCTACATTGCTCACACCGGTGAGCATCTACTGGCCGACCCAGTCTCTTTTGCCTCGTATGTCTCCCGATCGGATCTTGTTTGCGGTGGACGGTCGCATTCTCTTATGCCGGGGTTACTTCCGTACATTCACCAGCTGACGCCATTCCTCGTTCCCCAGGCCGGATGCTCTGAAGTCATGGATCGTGCGCAATACGTCAATTCCAGCTGCACGGCAGATATTGATGACTGCCCGTGGAAAGAATGTCAAGATCCAAACACTCGCCACTGAAGTAGGTGTCCCGCTACTACATTTGAAGCTGCCCGTAAGCTAACGAGGCGGCCTGGACCTGCTACAGACCGAGATCTTTGTATACGACCGACAATATGTGAGCGAGCCTGCCGATATCGAGCCCCCGGGGCTTCCTCCACCGGAACCATTTCGACCCGCCAGTCCGCCAGCTACCCTGACAGACCAAAATGACTTGCAGGCATGGCGGAACCTGTACATGGCACGACGCACCTGGGCATTAGATATGACCAATCGCTGTGGATCCATCGATAAAAACATCCGGGAACACAATGAACGAACTGATGTCATTAACCGCGCGGTGGGTGTTGCTTTGGAGAATCTAAAGTCGCATGTCGGGAATCTGGAGCATCGGTTCCAAGAGGCCCAGGCGTGGGCGAATAATCTGCTCGATGAACAACGGGCGGCTTTGGATGGTTGGCAGCAGGCTCTGACAACCCTCGAGAATATTCCCGCTCGGAAAGACTTCCCTGTTCTCGGACGTCCATCCACCCCCAAGGTGGACAGAGACCGGCCCACGGGGACGCTTCGTGACTTTGTCGACATGGCCGAGGTTCAAAGAGCAGGATCAGAAGCTGTGACAGCGTCCCCACACTTTGCTGGGCAAGTTCAGGATATCGAGAACGCTGTTAGTGACATTGCCTCGGACACGCAACGCTTGGTAGATGAGGCTCTCCCGTCGCCTGTCGATGGGGTCGACGGATTGCTCGAAGAGGTGGAAGCCCACGCAAAGAAGATTGGGTCCGATTACGAACATGTACTCGGTCTCCCTAACAACCAGAAAACGCTGGCGAATATCTCCCGCCTGGCACTCAATCACACCCAAAATCTGCTCCCGTCACTGGCGGACATCAGCGTGGAGCTGCAGACCGGACTGGAGCTCGCCGTGCGGCGTCGCGGAGCCGCGGAAAAGACCGCGATTCAGCACATGCGCACAATATCTAACATTGAATCCCGCCTAGCCGACGCTCATGCTCGATTGATTAATCTGGACGTGGAGAGCAATGCATTTGACATTATTTATACTGTTTTCCACATGCCCACCGTGTATGGATCGATTTTGATCGAGTCTGTGCGTCGACGAGAATGGAGCGACAAGATCAAAACCGACTCATTGACTTTGGCCGAGGAGATGGCTGTTTTGAGAGACGAGGAGCAGCGTCGGAGGAAGAAGTGGCTGAAAAGTATGGGCGATTTCATCTCCTTTTCGGATTCTACGACCCCAGGGATCGAAGTGAACCTCCAGGGACAGGATGACGAATGGCCCGAGGTCACGCGGAAAGAGACCGAGTCCTACATTGAAGATCTGAGGACCAAGCACTCCCTGACGAATCTAGCGGATGATCTCTCTCTACAACTCAAGGAGTTAGATACCCCAACCCGCCAGCAACGGCGACGAGCGAAGGCTTTCAAGCAAGGGAGTGTATTTGACCTGAGCCGGAGTTCTCTCCTATTACGGGGAGATGATTTGATCCGAAGTCTGCAGGAGGAAAAAACAAAGCTGGAAGAGCGATTGAGGGGCTCTGAAAGTCGTATTCGAAAACTGGAAGACCTTCTCCATCGTCAAAGCCAGCTCAGCCGGCCAGCAAGCGGGAACTTTGGCCCAGACTTCCCCAGCTCCCCTGCATCACCGCATCCCGATGCCCTGTCGCGGCGATCTTCTGTCTCATCGCGGCGAATATCGGTAACACAGCCCCCCGAAGACAAGGCGCTTGCCCAGCGCATAGTCAGCCTCGAAGCCGAGCTGGCGGCCGAAAAGGAGACCGTGCAACGGATTCATAAAGAAGCACATGCCGAGCGGCAGTCCAGCTCTGATAAGTTCCAGGAAGCTCAGTCCACGAAGAAAGATCTGATTGGAAATCTGGAAGCGCGACAGCGCGAATTCGAAGACGAGCGCAGATACCTGGAGACGGAGGTGAAGAAGTTTAAACTTCGCACCGAAGAGATAGAAGAGGAGCTTGATCGGCTTATGGACGGCCGAGACCATGAGAGGCAGGAAGCTGATGAGCGCATCCATCAACTCGAGATTGATCTAGAAAGTGCTCACATTAGTACTGTCGAGGAAGCCCAAAAGGCCAATGATCTAAAAGCGCGCATCCAGGCCCAACAGGAGAAAGAAGGAAATCTTCAAACCAGGGTTGATGAGCTTGAGCGCCTTCAAAATGAATCGGGCCTGAAAGATCATGACAACTACCAGACTCTCCAAGCTGTTTTCATGGGCTTGTCACCTGGGGGCTCTGTGCCTCTCGAGCTTCCTGGTCTTATTAAAGCCATCGAGGTTCTTTCCGAGGGACTGTCTATCCATGCTCGAAGCGCAGAAGCAAATGCATCCCAGGCGATAGCCGAAAACAAGACTCTTGAAGAACGGGTCCAACAACTTGAAACGGAAGCCGAAGTACAGGCGAGGATTCTAGGAGATCGGGAGGCAGATGTGTCTCGACTGACGGAGGAGCTTTCGCAAGAGCAATCGCGATTCAAGGATATCGAAACTGAACTGAGTCAGGAGCGCACTAAGTTCAATTCCTTGCAATCTCAAATAGATGCCGGCCAGAGCGGTTCTGATGCACTACGTGAACGGCTTGCTGAAGAGGAGCAAAAACAATCAAGCCTATCTCAGAAGCTAGACGAAGCTAAATCCCTAGCTCAAAGTTGGAAGAATGAAGCGGCCGAGTGGGAGAGAAAAGCCGGCGCACCTTCGGAGACCGAGCAGCATGCGGTGGCCTGGTTCAAAGCTCGATCATCTAAATCGCACGAGCTTTCGAAGCAGCTTTTCACGCAAGTGGAGAAGCTAGGACGGATGCTGGAGCAGCTGGGCTTTACGGTTATCCAGCAGGATGGACGCCTCATCGTCCAACGAGCTTCCAAAGTCAATGCGTCGTCCAGTCTTGGGGAGAGCCTCAGCCAGTCCGACATTGTGTCTTTGAAACCCGACACAGCGCTTTTGGGCTGGACACAAGCCGAAAATCCGGAGGAAGAGGAGACCCGGTTCTCAGCTTTCATGGAAAGTCTGGCTCAATTCGATGTCGCCCTCTTTGGAGAGGTCATCGTCAAACGCGTCAAGGATATTGAGGTACTGGCTCGAAAGTGGCAGAAAGAAGCCCGAGGCTATCGTGACAAGTATCACCGAGTCCAGAGCGAAGCTCACGACAAGATTGCCTATCGATCCTTCAAAGAAGGAGACCTCGGTCTTTTCCTCCCCACACGGAACCAGGCCATCCGCTCCTGGGCTGCCTTTAACGTCGGTGCGCCGCATTATTTCCTGCGCGAGCAAGACTCCCACAAACTGCACACCCGAGACTGGCTACTGGCCCGCATCACCAAGATCGAAGAACGCGTCGTGGACCTCTCCAAGTCGATGAATGGCGTCGCGCCGGATCGGCGGTCTCTCGGAGACGCCAGTGACGGCGCCTCTCTCGATGACGAGAATCCTTTTGAGCTATCTGACGGTCTGCGCTGGTATCTCCTCGACGCCACAGAGGAAAAGCCCGGCGCGCCCGCCACCCCGGGTATCGCCAAGAGCACCGTCGCCTCAGCGCATGTCGACGCCAAGGGCAGCATCCGGCTCAAACGCCCGGCTGACGAAAGCGCCGTCGCCAAAACGCTCTCCAGAAGCCTCGACAGTCGCCGCAATAGTTCCACCTCCAAACGAGGCACTCCGACCCCCTCGCAGCAAGCCACCGACTCTGCCACAGATCTTGTCCGTCCCGCTGATGCGGACGCCGGCTCGCAGCCGCGAGAGGCTGCTCCGATCTTCGACGAGGTTCGCCGTGACTTGCTCCTCGGCCCGTGAAAAGTAGGAGATGCCAACCACTTCCCGCTTTTCCCGGGTCATGCACTTGCTGGCTAGAAGGCTTATACGTATATTTCTCTCTATCTAGGCCGAGCTGGATCCCGCATCAGCATCGATTCCTCCAGTTACAGGGGACATCACCTCGGCTTCGTCCCCGTCGTCTCGATCGACATCTGGACGCCGTCCCGCGGGTAGATCTCGCCCGTGGGAAAAGCTCTGGTCTCTAGACTACCGACTGGAAGGCGCACAGTAGAAAGACTATTGGGCGTCTTGAATTTCTGGCGTGTTTTGACTTTTTATTTTGTTTTCATTTTTATTTTATTTCCTTTTTTTTTTTTTTTCTAAATCTTCAGCTTCGGGATTGTGCTGGGAAGATATGACCGCGAAGTTGACTTATGTGACTGAGATACCCAACAATGCATACACTTTTGTTTTGGATCTTGTAGCTTGCAAATTTGCGTAGATCAGTTTACAATTCCATATAATCTTCCAGCTGCATTCCATTCATAAGTTTCAGGCTCTCATCTGTGGCTTCTATACAGCCACGGGGTGCTCCCATGTCTACAGAACAACACGAGGGAAGATGAAATGAAATGGAACATAGATAGAGATAAAGATGTTGAGAAAAGGAGTAAATGAAAAGGAGTAAATGAAAAGAAAAGAAAGAAATATGATTCACAGCGGGTTATTGAGTCTTGAAATCATCCATACCCTCAAGGCCACCCACATCGTCCCAGAAGCTGCTAAAATCCACATTCTCCTGCTCGAACATCTGCTGAACCTGCACCATAGCCGACCGTTGGCGCTCCGCGGTGAAGCCGCCGGGCTGCGAACTCTCCCACTGGATCAGCTCGACCCAGCGGAAGAACAAGTCCTCCTTGCCCATGGCGGTCAAACGTTCCTTGAAAGTCAGGATCTGGTCGCGTTGCGCGGACCGCTGGCGGGCAGCGGGAGTGTTTTCATCGCCAACACGCCAGATCAGCCAGCCGTCAGCGTCGGTGTGGACCAGCACGGCAGTCCGGAACTCATCCAGTTGCACGCCATCGCCCTTGCGCGTACGGTCGACCAGGGCATGGGCGCGGATCATGGCAGCGTAGTCGAGGTTCCAGTCGGCGTCGACGAGCAAATATCCGGTCTTGGCGATGCGTTCGGGCGTGACGGCGGCGACGATCTTGTCGCGCATGGCCTCGTCGTCGCGGATCCACGTGTTGCGTTTGAGTTTCTGGCTCCAGCTGCGGTGGCTGCGCCGCACGATGATCTCGCGCTCGCGGAACCCGATGGCGCGCCGCCACCGCACCGGTCCCAGTACGAAGTGGATCGGCCAGGACAGGAACAGTGTCACGAGGAAGTAGTCGATGCATAGGGTCCCTGTTCGGCGGAGGGTAATCTGCGCTTTTTCCGTCCATGATAACGTTGGCGCCACGCTCATCGAGCTCTGTAGCCCGAGTAGAGTTGCCACGAGTGCTGGGTAGACGCTAAAGCCCATGTAGACTCGGAGCACGATCACGACGGCGACTACCGCGTTGACTACCGACGGGACGAGGAATGCTTGCCATTTCTGATCGGTCACTGTCGTGTCGATGTGCACTAGGTATACCTCCTCTGAGGATAGCGGCTCGACGAACGATTTCAAGGCTGCCGGAACCTTGGTGAAGGGTGGAATGGGGCCCGAGGTCGAGCTTGGCGTCGAGGTGCCCGAGCTGGAGATTGTTTTGTCTTTGGACCGTCTCGCGGACTTCGTCATGGTGAAAAAGGGTGTTGGATGGAGAGGAGGAAACGAGTGTTCTTTTTATCGCAGAAAAGACGCCCGTGAGCGGGTCAGCCGAGACGCGCACAGGAGCATCGTCATCGGGAGGCAAAATGCAGTAAAATAAACAAGTCAACTGGATTCTCCACGACCCACTTCTTTTTACCCGCGTTGGGGAATGGTAGCTGGACTTGGTCCCCTTCCCCTTCACTATTGCGAAAGGGAGGGGCGTCGTTTCTTAATTTACTTGTATATTGCGACCATGTCATCTCGTAAACACGCTTCTCTGGCATCTCCTCAGTCGTCCTTCGACCACGCGCAACCCGACTCCAGCTACGAGTTCGACATCGACACCTCCCACTTCCCTACTCCCTCGAAGAAGAATGCGACGCGTCCCCGCCACAATTTCCCCACGAGCAGTCTAGCAGGAGCATATCGAGCTGCCTCGCGCATCCCCATGTCTAACGACGGCCCTCCGCCGGGGTCAACCCTGAGCCCTCGACGCCAGCGCGGCGTGCTCTCCTCACCAGTCTCTGATACCTCCAACCCACCCGAAGAACTCGTCGATGTGTACAGGAGGATCGAGGAAGACGGGACGCTAGCTGATTTCGTCGCGCAAGACGGCGATTGGGCGGCCCAGAGGGAGACGCGGCCGGCGAGCCGGATGAGTCGCGAGTCTTCACGCGCACGAGAGAGAAATACAGCAGGCTCGCAGGATGGCCATATCTTCTCTGACGCAAGCTTCCTCGACGACAATGCAGACCATCCGCCCCGCAGGAGAACTACCGATTATGCCAGGGACGAACAGCGCTTGAGACGCGTCACGGGCAAGGATTCGCCTGTCTTCAGCAGGGCCAATGTCGGAAACCGACCGGCATTGACGGCAGGCAATCTACAAAGACGGGAGGAAGAGGAGGAAGAAGCGCAGCACGTGTCGGAGGACGATGGGAATCGTGGGCCTTCGTTGAACCTCCCTTCGACTTGGGGCAGTCGAGCAACCCGCCACCAAGACTGGTTGAGAAACGTCAGTCGACGCAGTGTGTCCGATCCACAGGAGCAGAAGGAGGCCCCAGGTGATGACTTGGCACCCAAGACGAAACAAGAAAACGACTCAGTCCCGAAATTTCCTCACCTATCTCCCCGTTCCCTCGGCCGCAGCGGTCTTCCTGTGAGGAGCGCTCTTGGAGAGCGCACTGCCAATGCCCATGCCCAAGAGACACAAGAGAATGGCACGAAGGAAAAGCCTGGCTCGGAGCAGAATGCGCTGGGTGAAGGCGAAACCATTCCCAATACACCTATCACTATTCACAAGAACTCGAAATTCAACAAAACAAGCCCCAGACAGCGAGACTCCCAGGATCTGCTGCGGAGATTATCCAGGACCGAGAGCCCCAATCTGGATTCTATCAAGACTCCCGATCAACCGAAGCTCTTTGGAGGGAGGATCTACGACAAGACTCCCAGAGTGACGGGTGCATGGATTGATACCCCTATGACCGAACGGGTCTCCAAAATCCCTAGCCATTTAACTCAGGATATCATTCCTCCGCCAGAGTCAGCAAAAGAAACCGAAAATGCCACGCAACAGTCGAACCCGCCGGTGGAAGCACTGAAACCTAAACCCGAACCCGAAGATGCAAAACTTGTCCAAAACGCACAAAAAGAGTCTTCGCCAGAGTCACAACCTATAAAGCGGGCCAGGCCTCCATTGATTCGACCCAAGCTGCCAAAGAGTGCCCTAGAGACGGTCATGGAGGACGTGAACTCAGGGAAGGAGGAGCTTGATATGGGAGATGACACGATCGAGTCTCTCCAGGCAATTCTGGACGAACCGGCTCTACTCAAAACCGACGAGGAGGAAGAGGCCGAATACGAAAAAGCCGTGCTTGAGAGGTTGAAGATTGCTAGCTCCAATGGAAATGACTCGGTCGATATTGACCGGTTGAATGAGAAGCTGTACTCGCTGGTCAAGAACATCAACGAGGTGAAGAAGGGCCTCAGCAGCCTGGAAGACCATGTTGCCCGAGACGCAGAAGCCGCATCACGGCCGAGCTCACCCAAGAAGAATACCCAGCCAGCACACCTGCACACAGGCGAGACCTGCGAGAGCTGCGGCACGCAATCCGATGGCCGTGTGTACGCCGCAATTCCCCTTCCTCGACTGTGGACCCGCAACTCCGTCTCCCGACGCAGACAGCTCACCAAGCTGGGTTGGTTGACAGTGGTCTCGCTCTCGTGGTATGTCATCGAATGCCTCATGTGCGAGCAATACTGTCATCCTCTCGTCTCCGACACCTGCGACGGCTACTGTCTGCAGCCCGATGCGCCACATTTCCCGTGGGTGACCACGACCATGCTATGGCGTTGGTCGCATCTGTCGACTCTACTGACGCCCGTCTGTACTGTTGCTGTTGCGTTCTTCCGTCTGGTGGCGCAGCTGCTGGGTCTGTGGGATGGCTATGTGGACGAACCACCGCAACTGAAGAATATCGTGGGCGAGATCCGGGTCAACGGCACCCCGGTCTCGTTTCCGTGGCTGTCACCGCCTCCAGCGCAACGTGTCGTGTCTTCACCACAGCAGCAGCCTGTGTGGACTCCTCGTGATGCTCCTCCGCCTCGGTGGGATGATGAGCAGGCGTCGATGGATGATGACGAATACCTTTAGCTGATAAGCACTGGCATTTCTTCTTAATTTCTTTTTTCTTCGCTGTTTTTCTGGGAAAGGCGTGTCATTCGGGATCTCATACAATGTGCTTAGCGAGGGTTTTGGTATTCATTAAAGCATGCATGGATCTATCAAGGCGACTTTATTCTTAATCGGACCGGATATTCAAATATTCTAAGAATTCATAGTACACACCACACACCCTAGCTCATTTATTCATAGAGACTAGGGTGCATGTAGGTGCCAAGGTACCAAGATGATATTGATCATAAAGAATCATGAAGGGAGCACACAGGGTATATCATCGTTTATATCCAATCCCCAATGCAAATTAAACGAGCCAAAAAAAAAAAAAAAACCAAACCACCTCACAGTCGCGCCCTCTCCCACCACTCCTTCTGCAAGAGCATCTCGCCCTCAGAGCGCCAAGCAGCCTGTCGCTGCATACGAGCATCAATCTCCTCATCTGCGACCTCGCACGCCTTATCCAAAGGAATCTCCCGCTCAGTCCGCAACTTGAATTCCACAAACGTCAAGCAACCCGAAGCCGAGACGCGAGCGGCAACCGCATCGCGACAGAACCCCGCGAGGCCCTGAAAGAAGCGGCGGCCGGCGGGCGTAGCGATCATGAGCAGCCCGTGGCAGTGCGGCATGCCCTCGAACTGCTCGGCGACGACGGGCACCCCGGCCTGGTGCATGCGCCGCGCCAGCGCGGCGCCCTCGTCCGCGAGGCCCTCCTCGCCGGTCGAGATGAAGACCGGCGGCGCATCTTTCCAGAGGTCGGCGGGCGCGGCTAACGGCGAGGCGAGTGGGTGCAGGGCTGTGACGGCGTGCGTGTACATGCCCACGCGCGGCGGCGAGACTGGCCAGATGCCGTCGGGCGGGAAGGGGAGCGACGGCACTGGCATTGTTGTCGCGTTATCTTCGTCGGTGCTGGCCTGGGTCGACAGGTCCATGTAGTCGAGGTGTGCGTTGCGGACTATTGATGGCAGCGAGTGTGTCTGGTCGCACCACGGTGAAATACCGGCTACGCCGGCTGGCAGCTCGACTGGTACGTCGGTGCCGTGGAATCGGATGGTTCGTGAGCTGCGCCGCAGGGTCAGCAGCGTCTGTAATAGTACGAGCGAGAGGTTCCCGCCCGCCGAGTCGCCGGCTATGACGATCTTGTTGGCTGGCACGGGCTTGTGTAGCGCGCCCGGCGGCGGGTGAATTAGCGAGAGATAGGCTGTCAGGGCGTCGACCAGCGCCGCCGGGAATGGGTTCTGTGGTGCTAGACGGTACCGAACCGAGAGGACAGGCGCGCCGGTCAAGCGCGAGAGGTGTGCGACAGGGACGCGATGCGTGCATGGGTCCATGACACTAGAGAGTCACGGTTAGCAATGTACCAAACCAGCTTGATCAAACCCCTCTTTTTCCTCCGAAGGAACTCACAAGTATGCACCGCCATGGAAATAGAGGACCGTCATATCAGACGGCGCTTCACTACGCAGCCGGCGGTATTTCTCTTCCTCTGTTAGATCCGGCTGCGGCTTGCGCTTGCCCACGCCACGGCGGTGGCCCGTCCATTCAGCCTCGACGACCGCGATATCGGGGATATCGTAGGTCTCGCCGCCAACTTTGAGATCGTCGATGGCGCGCAGGACGGCCTCACGCACGTCGACCTCGGGTTGCGACAGCGTCACCTTGGACACCCACATGGGCCCCTTGATGCCGGGGTCGCGCATGCTGTTCTTCTGGGTCTTTTCGAGCGGCAGCTCAAATGTAACGAAGGAGCGAATGACCGCGACCGTCAATTCGGTGCGCAGGTCCTGTTTCCCTGACGCGGGGGACATGCCGATGCCATGCAAGAAGATCGTCTTGAGGATCATGGGGATCCGCAATAGCATCGCCTTCAAGAGGCTGATCGAGTGTTTGACTGAGCGCATGGTGAAACACAGGGAGAGTGGCTGGGAGCAGAGTCCCAGAGAAGATGTGTAGTCGCTCGCAATGAGTGAATAGGTGAGTGCTGGAGGTGGACTATATATCGTCAAACAGGATTTGGTGGCGTTCAAGTGCCGAGGTCCATCCATACCGTGGACCCGCTAGGAGGATCTCCCCTCAGATCTTCTATGCTCTTGAGTATTATAGCGGTTTTGACAGAATGGAGATCGTTTTTCATCAATATATCTGTTTATGTATTTTATGTATTTATAAAGAGCGTTGCTGGGGAGGAATATGTTCAGCATCTTCGGTCCTTCGTATACCTCGCGCATGAAACCAAACACCCGAATTGAACCACCCAAAACGCCATGCACCTATAAACAAATGCAATCAGATCAGAACGGCGGTTGGGATTCCCTCGATTGCTCTACGTCAACCGTCTGTTCGGTCTCCGGGCGATCACCCGCCACGCTCGCCTCGGACCCGCGACGAGGATTCAACTCTTTTTGATAAACAGACTGTTCGTCATCCTTGAGACCCGACCCCGAGGGATCCCTCCGAATGAGGAAGTGCTGCACACGAGCATCGTTCGAAGCCATCTGGTTCACAGCCTCTTGGCGACGACCAACCAGGAAACGCGTCGACTCCTCATTGACCTCGCGCAGCCGCTGCTCGAAGCCAGTATTCAGCTGGCCAATCCATGACGCCTGCACGGCGCCCCCGAATAGCGCCAGAAGAATCACGAGCCGTGTGAAGGTGCGGTGGTCGACGACGTGCCGCTGCTGCCCTTGGTGGCGGTTATGCCAGCGCTCCCAGTCCTCCCACGTCGCATTCGCATAGATCGTCGGTCCGTACGGACCCCATTCGGCTGTGGCTTCGGCGGCCGTGTTGTACCGTGTCGGTGTGTAGCTCCACCCCGCACCGGACCGATCGTAGGCGGCTCGTTTGTTGGGATCCGAAAGAATCTCGTGCGCGGCCACCACGATTCGGTAGCGTTGCAGTCGCACTTCTGAGGTCAGTTCTCGGCACAACGGGTGGTCGTGGGAGGGGCGGTCCGGGTGGTAGATCTTGACGAGTTCATAGTATCGGCTCTTCGAGTACGGGGCACCGCGGTGTATGTTGAAGACATCGTAGGGGCTGAATGATGGGGTAGTGGGCCATGAATAATCGTGATTGTAGGTATCTGATGCAGTGGCATAGCTCCTACTGCCACGAGGTGCTTGCAGTCCTTGACCTGGGGATGCGGGCAAACGAGGTGGCGGAACGGTGGCTGACGGACTCAGGAGCTGGAAGCCTCCGCAGCAAAGAATATTGGCTTTCTTAAGCATGGCCGCATGGTTTTTTGTAGAGAGCACGGCCTGAATCCCGGTGCTCTCCTCATGGATTGACTGGTGGAGAGTTGAGCTTCTCCCCTCACTACGATGGGGCCGGCTTCGGAGGAGTCACGTGTGTCGGAGCTTGCCAAATCTCCAGTTCAACTTCACTTCCGCTTCTTCCTTGCTCTTCTCTGCTGGCATTTTGTCATAAAAAAAATGGCCGGTTCTCAGGACGATTATCGTGACCGCAGGCGGCGCTCAGCATCTGGTTCCCGCGACCGAAACCGAGACCGGCGACGAGACGACGATCGCCGCAGCTCTCGTCGAGACAGTCCTCGACGACGAAGTTCCCGCAGCCCCTCTGGGAGGGCTAGTGTTAGAGAGGAGCGTGGCAGGCATCAACGTCAGCGTCGAGAGCACTCGACAAGCTCAGTAGACGAAGACCGCCGGAGACACAGACACCGCAGCCATCGACACCGCGATGGGCGCGATCACGACCGATCGTCACGGAAACGCCGAAGTCCACGACCTCGATCTCGCTCTCGACGGCGGTCGCGCAGTCCACCACGAGCATTACAACGAAAAGGCCCGCTGCCCTCGCAATCCGACGCGTTTAACGCCACGGAAGTGACGCAGTCCTCGGATGCACCGGCGCCAGAAAAACAAAAGCCCAATTTTAATGCGACAGGACGACTTGCGGCCGAGAGCAACTCGGTCCAGGTGGGAGGCGGTGAAACTATTGTCTTGAAATACCACGAGCCTCCGGAGGCTCGCAAGCCGCCCCCTAAGGAACCCTGGCGAATGTACGTGTTCAAGGGCGAGGAGCTATTAGAGGTGGTAGAGCTGGGCGAACGCAGCTGCTGGCTGATCGGCCGTGAGCGCCAGGTGGTAGATTTCCCACTCGATCATCCCAGCTGCTCGAAGCAGCATGCTGCGCTGCAGTTTCGATTCGTTGAGAAACGCAACGAATTCGGTGACCGCATTGGCAAGGTCAAGCCCTATCTCATTGACTTGGAGAGCGCGAATGGGTCTAGTGTCAATGGGGAGCCCGCGCCGGCTGGCCGCTACATGGAGATCATGGATAAGGACGTGCTCCGGTTTGGACTAAGCACTCGGGAATACGTCTTGATGCTGCCTCCCAGCTGAGTTGTGCGTTCCTTCCGTAATAGCAGATGGTGGATCCAGTGAATGATATAAATAAGGGATGAAAAACAACGCCCGGCGGTCATATTACAATTTTTTTCTAAAGAAAATAATATACACGGCCCGCACCTACCAGGGCATCAGATCCAAGCCCAAGAAATTCCTGGTGTCGATGAAAAGTTCAGCCCAGCTGCGTCCGCTTCGCTTCTCTGGCCTTCTCGGTCATTTCCCCCATAGCAGCCTGTGTCTTCCCTTTAACCTCACCCGCCGCCTGCTCTGCCTTTCCCTTACCCTGACCGGCATACTCGGCAGCTTCACCCTTCATATACTCGGACTTGGTCTTGGCCTCCTGCGTCGTGGCACCGATGGCGTCTTTGATCTTGTCGCGGGCTTTTTCTGCAGGAATTGTACATATTAGCATCACCGTTGTGTTATGATCCGACGATCCCTTGTTTTTTTTCCTTCTTCTTTTGCAGCATCGAGTAATTGATCTACCTACCACCCTTGTCGAGACCCTTGACGGCGGCATCAGACACAGTCCGGTCCGCCTTCTTGAGGGTATCCCTGGTTGTCTCGATGGGTCCTTTGTGGAGTCTGGCAGTGCCCGAGATGGATCGAACGGCCAGGATACTCGGACAGAACGGCGTCGCCACTCGGGGTTTCATCGCAGGGACTACGCGTGCAACGAACATGATGTTGAGCCTGGTGTTCAAGTGAGTGTAATCGATATAGCTTGGTTGAAAATATGTAGCGAGTCTTTTGTTCAAGGTAGAAATCTTGTCGAGAGGAATTTGCCTCTTTGGTATTTTATAGTCTCCATCCGACATCGACGTCATCGGCATCGCCTTTGTTACGTCGAGTGACGGTCAGCTCCCGTAAACCACCCATGGTTTGCTGGGGGTTGACAGCTGGCTGTATGTAGATTGGTGCGATATGCCCGAGTTTTGAGGTCATGACTCGAAGGATTCTCTTATTACCGGAATTGGGTGGGTCTTGCGAAATAAGCGATGTAGATGACGAGGGTCTGATTGGTATCCAAGTGGGTCGCGGTGGATCTTGGGGCGGCCAGTTTATGCTTCTTTCTCTCTAAATGATTTCTACAGTATCGACATTGGGGATTAGACCAGAGAGGGCATTCAACTACAAGATGTCTATAACTCTAGCCCTTTCCTACCTCGGTATGTGGACTGGATGTATACTCGTGAGCACGTAACGAGCATTTCGAAGAGCAAAACACCCGAGTGGAAGACTGGACAATCTCATAGACTTTCTCTCATACATTTCATCATGCACTATATCATAAGAGGGTATTGATCGGGGCGCTACAGGATTTCCGCTACTGGCACTACATTTTCTTATGTAATATCTATTTTGACTTATGTCAGATTTTGCAGTGCCCATAGCGGAAAACCTACAGTGCCCCGATCAATACCCTCATAAGATCATAAAATCATACACTGACTTCAGCTCGTTCACACTGCCGGAATGGCCCCCATGAGCAGATCCATTATTATTGTATTAGCCGGCCTTGCGGCTCATGCCTCCCTGATAACTGACAGAAGAAAAGATTTGACGAGTAATGAAAATGTTCCAGAAAGAAAAATTCCGAACTAATTAACCTATAATGGTAATCGTAATAATAAAAGGGGGGTTCTCTCTACCTCCCCAGTTGTGTGCTCGGCCGTTCTTTTCTCTTCCTGACAACCAGGGAATTGTCAATCATGCGGTGCGGCATCTTTGCCCAGCCATGTCTCCTGGTGTTTTTGCTGCTGTGTCTCTCCGGGGCCATTGCAGACACCTCTGAGAAGCCCTATCTCATTCGAACCAAATCATCCACCCCCGTCTCGACCTTTGACGCCTTCATTCAAGAACTGGATGAAGGCCAAGGAAAGCCAGAAATCTTCCCCGATGGCGAGTACCAGAGCTACCAGACCAACCTCACGGAATCACAGGCCGAGGAAATTCGCCAGAAAGATTTTATCCTCTTGGTCTTCCCCGCAGGGATCGCTAATGAGGTAAAGCCGCGAGACCCACAACAGGGGGCTGTGAATGATACATCCGAGGCACCAAGCGAAGGATCCCGTTTGGAGCGACGACAAAGACACACTCCCAGGCAATTGCAATTCGTCTCGTGGAACGGGCTTGGGGAAGCCCCGGATGATTTACGCTATCGACGAGACTCCAGTGACGGTGCGGGGGTGCCGATCTTTGTGATTGACAGCGGCTTTAATATACATCATCCGGTACGTATACTTGGTTCGAATATGTTTTGCTCGCACAGGGGGTTGGCTGACAACAGAGTCGATACAAAACAGGAGCTTGCCCGGCATGGCCGACGAGTGTTTCCCTGGGCGGTCCCTGAAACCGCGATGCCGTCTCAAATGAGAATTGGGGGAAGAATCTGGGATCGTCTTCCGCAGCAGTTTGACACTGACTATGAGGGCCATGGCACAAAAATGGCCGCTCTGGCGGCAGGCACCACGCTGGGAGCGGCTCGGTTTGCGGATCTGCACTTGATCAAAGCCTCAGTGGATTATGACTACCAGGGGAACCGTGGAACTCGCCAGGCCAGAACCTCCTACGAGACATGGCGCCTAGTCTTTCGCTATATCGTCCATGTCTTGCGGGCACAGGCCCAAAATGCAAGAATGAACGGATTCACTCTGAAAGCGATTGTCTCGATCTCGGGAGGTAAGCTTGGAGAAACTCCTGCTGGCTTTCCGGCCAAAAAGACTGAGAGTCCGTTTTCTTTACTTTATAGACCGCGACCGCGTCGACGATGATGAGCAAACAGACCGTGCTTACTGGAGCTTGTTCCAGGACTTTGCGGCTGACCTGAATGAATATGGTGTTCCTCTGGTGGTTGCCGCTGGCAATGATGGCTTGGAAGGGAGAACCCTGGATGATTCATTCTTGACTGCTTTATCCAGGCCCGGCAACAACATTATTCCTATTGGTGGCGTGCAAGCGGATGGAACACTGTGGATTCAAACGACGCCCGATGGGAGGAGATCGAGGATTTCTGCCTATACCGTGTGTACGGATCTCGATACTCTGGACGATCATGGCCGCTACATCTCGCACTATGATAGTGGCACGAGTCCTGCCGCGGCAATTACGGTATGTCATAAATTCTAGTCCCTTCCCCCTTTCCCCCTCTCTTCTAACAAACTAAATGTGGATAGTCGGGCATGCTGGCAACATGGCTGAGTATTGATCTCTGCAATGTCCCCCCTGTCTTCCAAGATGTGGTCGGACGCATCTTCGACCGCTACGGCAATCCCAATGCTGTGGGCATTAAAAATCAATTGGAGAGGGTCTCTTACCAGAAAAACCACCGGAAGGTGCCCCGAGGCACCCCCAGGCTCCCTTACGAACTGCCACTCCGAGTAAACTCCATATACAACTGGGCTCGGGGACGACCAGTTACGGGATAAAAGATCGATTTTCAACAAAGATTTGCATGAATGATTATAATAGACTTTTAGATTAGACCGTTTTGTGTATTCTAGGGGTGCTCTGCGCTCACATACGTCTTCTCTTTGCGTTTGGAATTTTATACCTACCATAGATTCAGAGCGGATCTTGATTGAGGATGAAGTAATTCAAGCTGCGACCAGGCAGCAATGCTTTCAATTTTAATGTGATATGAATACCTCGAAAAGTGTTTCGAAGGATACTGTGTCGAACCTCGTGATATCTTGGGTATCAAACCCAATGGACTACGCTTGTTCATAAGCTATGACCAGTTTTCAGGCCTTCTTCTTTTTACTCTCAATTAATCCTCTTTGTATATGGTTCTTAGGTTCAATAACAGATAATTTCAAAGCCGCCCCACCAAGCCAGCCAAGCCATTCTTATGCAGTAACCCTATAGCCTGACACCGAGGTCTCCTGCAATTTGGCTGCGACAACAGTGTCTCTTGCAGTATGACACGGGACTAAGGGTGATCTCAACTCAGCGCTGAGGCTGCGCTCCCAATACTACAGTACCGCCATATATCCTGACGACCAACTGAGGACGAGCAGGCTGAAATTCTGTCCACTATGCGATTCTTCGACGCCTCAGCTGAGCATATTCCTCCTCTCTCTTCTAACGTGAATTCAGCCATCCCACGGTTTAAAGCCAGCGCAAACAATCTCTTCTCTGCCACTGAATCTGAGGTCATTCATCTTCCTTCAAACCCATCTCTACTCTTCATACAGCCTCACTTACTGAGCTCATCAAGAAAAGAAGCTATCCATCAGTTTCACGTGGTTCATACCATCACGGTCAGGGCTTCTAGCCCTACCAGCGTTGTTATTACCCAGCTCTGCTTTACTGACAATATGCCGACAGAACTATCACCTCCATCCGAGCCTTCGAAATGCCAAACAAAGCCACATCCTCAAGCAAAACCGACAAGCCACAAGATGCAAAATGGGGTATCAAAGGAGTGGTCAAAACTCTGCAACAGCTCTATAATTCGGCAGAGAGCGCCAAGAACAAGATCTTGCGTGATTTGGACGAGACTGTCAGGAGAGGCTTGCAAGAGGAGAAGAAGAATAAGAAGAAGGAAAAGGAAAATGAGCAGTCTTCAAAGAAGACGTAGTGGGTTGACAGGACATGCTGGGCTCAACTCAGCCTGAGTCTGGCTTTCAAGCTTGTGTGCTGTAACTCCACTTACTGCCTGTACAAAGAATATGATATGATCCCCCCGGATACTTCTTAGCGGTGGTTTCTTTCCAGGGAGAAATACTTGATATTTGCTGATTGAAGATTGTCGAGATTCTGGATAGACTAGAAGACTCCTGGAGTACCAAGTCGCCTTCAAGTTCATGAAGAATGCGATATGCCACTCGTCATCAATAAAGACATTAAGGTGGAGATCCTCGAAGGCAAATACAAAGAGGCGAGACCAAACGACTTGAAATTCTAGTTGTGTAGCTATGTTTATTGTGTATCAGATTTGAGCTGTCTAGTTAGGGTTTGCCTTTCCTAGCTCGGCGCAGGCAGACCCACAGGAAGCTGCAAGAACCACCGAAGCCACAGTTCAAACTAAAGAAACAAATCCCGATCTATACAATACCAGGCTGACCCAAGCACCTAAGATGGGTCTTGATAGTGATTATTTATTGTCTTGTCTCTTCCCTATTCCGTCCTCGCGCGAGCCGCCTCTCCAAATAATCCACACAATTATGGGCCCTAGCCAACGAGAAAAAGACCGAAATATACAGTAACTCGTGATTTTGTTGGCTGACAATTTCTGCAGCTGCATCTCGACCAGACCAGATCATGTGATTGTCAATCATTGACTTGCTTTGTCTTTTTCTCTTTAACACGATTGCTCCTGATTTCTGAAGGTTCATATAGCCCTCTCGTTCTCTTTCTCCCTCTAAATTGCTTACAGACTACACCTCTCGCTGTCTATCAACAGTAGCATTCCTGTCAACTCGATCAGATTGAGGAACTCCCTGCGTTTCTTGTGACCCCTCTTCTATTTACGACCTTCGCTCGAACGAATCGCCTCGTCACCAGAACCAGCCAATAGCCAATCTTTTGCATTTGAAGATATGGAGTCCCAAATGTGTTACGACGATGTCGCATGGTAACAATCTGACAATGTGTCCGACAATTGGTTGCTTCAGTTTCTTGATATCGATGTCAAGAAACCGGTTGCGAAATTCATCTGAAGCATGACTCTGGAGATGACCCCGAGTTTACAATTCTTTAAAGGGGGTCTTTCAATATCACCTTACAAATGAAATACACATACAGCGCGACCAATATTCGCTTCTCACAGCCTGGCGCCATTCTTTTTCCTGAGGAGAAAGTCAAGAATGAAGTTGCTGTCATGCGATACCTCTCCGACCAGACGTCAATCCCGGTTCCATTTATTCTTCACTGTGGTACAAGAGAGGATAGCCCCCTCCGCCTGAGCCCTTTCATTATGATGAGCCACATTGAACATACAACAACTATGTATGATGCTCTTAATATACCCGGATGTCCTAATCAGCAGCGGGGATTTCTTGACACAAATATTGATGAACATCAACTTGGGATGCTATATACACAACTAGCCAAGGTCATGCTTGATCTTTGAATCAGGTGGATGATTTCTCTTGGGAAGTGGTCAGCCGCCCATTATCGATGAATATGAATGAGCTTGTGCGTTTAGGGACACGGCCTCGATCAAAGCTCCCGTCTCTAGATGGTACGTTCACGACGGCATCTTTATACATTGAGGCCCTAGCACAGCTCAATATCCAACATTTACTCTACCAGAGGAATGATGCGGTCCAATCTGCAGATGACTGTCGCCGGAAGTTTGTGGCTAGACAGCTGTTTCACAAGCTTGCTAGAGACAAGAAATTGTCTCTTCTATCTAATGAGCATGGTCCATTCAAGCTGTGGTGCGACGACTTCCGGCCAGTTAATGCTCTTCTCAATGAATACCTACATATTGCCGGTGTGGTGGATTGGGAGTTCACCTATGCTGCACCAGTGGAGTTCCCACACGCGCCGCCCTGGTGGCTTTTTATCGAGAAACCCGAGTTCTGGTCTGCGGGGATCGAAGACTGGACCCGAGTATTCGATCGTCGCCTCAAGACATTCCTCACTGCAATGAGACATTGTGAAGATATAGCCGCTCAGCAAGGCCCACCCCGGCTCTCGGATCAGATGCAGCAGAGCTGGGAGAGTGGAGATTTCTGGGTGGCGTATGCAATTCTGCACAGCTTTGCGTTTGACTCGATCTATTGGCAGAAGATTGACCGGCGGTTTTTCGGGCAAACGGAGACGGACGATCCTAGCGAGGCATGGAAAGAGCGATTGGTCTTGTTGAATGACACCCAAAGGAGTGAGATGGAACAGCTGGTGGTGAGGAAGCTTGGAGAGGTGGGATCCGGACGAGTATACTGAAGCATTTCGCCAGGAATTGAATAGAAGGGAAAAGCACAGGAGAAATAGACTCGCGAGACTGAAAACTGAATTGGTACATGATAAGATCTCCTACAAAGGTGGTGATCTAGATAAGATCTCCGTGCTCCGGCTAACGAGTGAGACCAATGGGAAACAACGCCAGAACTGGCTTCTGCTGCTATATCCCTGTAGCAGTGAATGTGATAACTTCAAAAAAAAGTCAGTGTATTATCAGAAGTTTGTACCAACACCGGAGCATAAACGCAGGCAAGTATCTTTTTAGATCTATAATAATGAAGCACATAGCCCGTTTTGGTGGGGGTGACCCCGATTTTGTTGACTTTTTTTCTATTTTTTTTTCTATTTTTTTTTCTATTTTTTTTTCTATTTTTTTTCGCTTGTCTAAGTATATCACATTACAAGAACATGCCATCATTCACATAAGACAGTAAAGTAAGAAGGGGAAAAAAGAACTGAGCAGATGCGGAATCCCAACATCCAAAAGAGGGTCTATACAAGGGAACGCCTCAAAAAGAAGAAGTAGAAAGCCGCCCACCATCCCTATTGATGATAGAAGAACCCAACTAGAACCAGTCCAGATCGGGGATCTTTTCAAGGGATGACGGCAATGCTATCGGAACCACCGGGCCACTTCTTCAGGTTGACATTGCAGCGCTTCTGAGTCCACAGCTGGCCACCAGACAGGAACGCATGGCAGTCGGACTTCAGACCAACCGGGAGAGTGTACTGCACCCAGGCCCCAGTATCACCGTTGGGGTTGTACTTGAGATAGAGCGCGCCAGCAACGTAGGAGCCACCGCTGTTGTCAGCCCACTCGGGCTTGTTGTCATCCTGGTAGGCCAGCGAGACGAAGCCGTGGGCGCCGATAGTGGACCAGACGAAGGTGCTGCTGTTGGGGCGGTCTGTTTTGGAGCATCAGTATAAAGTGTTCTTTTAATCTGATGGTATATACCTCAGATGCCTTAAATGAACAAGGGGAGGTGGGGGGGACATACCCATCTCGCATTCGTCCTTCTGCGGGTTATAGTGTCCAACCCGGGCGGACGTCGCGTTCAGGAACTTGGTGTGCACCTCGACCTTGCAGGGGATGGGTCCCTGTCCCTGGTGGTTGGTATCCTTGAAGAGACGCACGTATTCAGTGTGCGGCTTCAGCGGCGGGCCCGAGGGCTGCGTCGTGGGCGAGTGCTTTATCGTAGTCGCCGGTTGCCAGTTGCGCACGCTCGACGAGGTGCCGGAGGGAGGAAGGGCGGCGGCGAGGCCGCTCAGAGCGCACAGAAGAGTAACACCGGAGAGCTTCATTGTCGAAATGGCCTTGGATCTCTTTTGTTGGATCAAGGGAAAAGGTCCGGACAAGAAAAATATACACAAGTTCAAATGTATTAAACTTGGTAAAAAAAAGACAGGAATGGAAAAGAGAGAGCCCATCATCGCCCTTTCAGCCCTTTATAGTAGTGTTATGGGGGAGTTGGAATAGCCCCCATCAGTCATGGCCCACTTTTGCTGCCATGGCCCCATTGTTCCTTTCGTGGCCCCTGGATTGATGGGGCAATTGAGATATTTGGGTCGCATTTTTATTATTAGAATCTGTCGCTTGCAGTAGAGGCTGATTTGTTGTTGGGGAATGGGTTATACTTAGTACGATATTCACTTTGCTATATCATCGGACAGAGGTCGGGGGTGGTGCCTCAGATCATGATATTGCAGGTGTGGCTTTAAAAATCCAGTATTCTATACAACTTGCAGGGACTATTCCCTTCTTCACAATCCTGAAGCTAAAGCTGAGGGTGAAAAAACGAGGCTGAATGTCGAGTCAGCACTATGTATGTCCCATCTGATTGCGATCGACAAGACAGACATCCGCTTTGACCTGCTGTGCTATTATTATCGGCCAAGAATAACAATGGAATAACCCACCCCATGATCCTTTTGCTAATCGTTTCCCCAGCTTGTCGCCCCAGGATTCTTGGGGTAGTTTTAAGGTCGGGGATGACCGGTACACATCACCAAGACTTCACTTCTACCTATAGGTAGATTACTCGGAATTGCAAAAGTAAACATTAACCCCAATGATAACAAGAGAGTACTTGTTTAATTAATAAAGCCCTAATGCTTCTTCTTTTCTAGCGGTATATGTAGATGCAATGGTTTTCCAAGTCTCCGGGTATCCGACGCTCTCAAACCCTAATGCAACCATCCACAAGGCCAGCGCCAGAGTCGCAACTCATACATGCAATGCAAAACACGTCACAACGTCAAGAAACAAGAGAAAAAGAGAAAAAAAAAAAAAAAAAAAAGACAGGGAAAAAAGGGAAACAATTCGTACAACGGTCTAAAGCCGCACGCCCAGACCTTCATAATTCGGCCGCGGAGGCGAGCTGCTTCTCCGCGCACGCATTCCGTACACCTCCAGCGCCGGAGCAGGTGCATACAACTGTTCTCGATCCTGAATCAGAGGCCCCGACAAGTTCGGATGATATAGTTGGTATGTCGGGACATGGCGCGGGGTTTGAAGCCGACCGGCTTCCTGCAGGCGCTGGCGCGCATCTCGGACGTCGACGCGGTGTCCGCCGAAATGCAGGAGCCGAGCGGGCTCGATCTGCGGATCCCAGCCCGGGTCCGCAGTCTTGAGGCGCTCGTCCACCGAGCCCAGTCGTGGGTGCGCTGGTGCTGGCACGGGGTAGACGACATCGGATTGCAGAGCGCTGCCGACCAGAGGCACCTCTGTGGTCCAGCTGCCGGCACCAGAGAGCGCTTGTTGTTGGGGAATGATTGGTGGTATATTGGCGGCGACTTCGCTGGACAACTGGAAGCTTGGGACTGGCGAGAACCGGGGCGGGTAGCGGACTGGTTCGGTTGCCCAGGACTGGTGTGAGTAGCCGGATGACCCCCGACTCAGTGCTTCAGCTGAGGGACGCTCTGGGGCGTGCACGACAGGTACTTCGGTTGGGGCTGAAGAGAGAGGTAATGCACCTGGCATGATTGCGGAAGGATGTGCGATGGGGGCAAGTCGAGGAACCACAGGAACACTAGGACCAGATGTTCTTTCTGTCGGTCTTCCGCGACGCGGTATAGTAATCGCAATGTCTTCCTCGTATGGCAATGGTGGCGGATATGGGAGAAGTGAAGGGGTGCTTGCGGACAGATCTCGCACAGGGTCAAGCGGACCGGCGAGCGATGTCCGGCGAGACCCAGGCGCAGTATGTAGATCCATCCCGTTCAACGGGTGTCCAAAGAGATCCTGCCCGGGCTCGCTATAGGTTGATCGCGTTAAGGGTTCCGCCATGAGTTCGTGAGATGTCAGCTCATGAGACAGCGGAGATGTAAATGCATGACTCCCTTGACTGTCCAACGACTCGACGGAAGCCTTCATTTGCAAACCAGAAGCTAGACTAGGTCCTCTGGAAATGGGCATCGACGCTGGGCGTCTCAGGGGAGCGTCCGCCTCCAGCATACGTCGAGCAGCCACACTGGCATAGGTGGGTATATTCTCTTTGCTTACCGGCGCAGGGCTTGGAGTAGGCTTCACGGGTTCAGCGGGCGGCTGGGTGTTGCTGGATCGACGAACAGCTGCAAGCGCTTTTTCGGCTGCCGAAGCCAATACCGATGAACTTTCCCCTTCACCTACAGACGTGCGACTCGAAGAGCCTCTCCCCTCGATATTAGATATTTTGACTAGCGGGGCAGCGGGTTTGCCTCTAAACCGACGAGGACCCCTATGCCGCCTTCTCGGGTACCTTTCTCTCCCTGATTTTGCCTTGGAGTGTCGATCAACCACTTGCCAGTCCTGGTCATCTGATGGGGGAGGTGGAGTGCTTGGAGATGCAGGCGATGGGTTGGGCTTCTCGGTAGTCTGGCTCATCTGCGAGAGTGCTGGAGAAATTCGAACAGGACCGTTAGTCTCCGTGTCCGAGTCATACCCGCCTTCCGATTCATAGCCCGCTTTCCGGAAGATAGACGGAGGAAAGAGGTCCAATTTAAAGCGCGGAGGGGGCGTGGCCATTTCCTCGGGAGATTCTGCTCGGGGCGATCCCAGATCATTCCACGTCCAGGTGGACCGACGCGATGGTCCCTCATCTGCCGACGAGTCCGGGATTGACGACGAGGAACTACTCGACCGATCGAAGACAGATCTTTGGTTCCGGACAGACTCCTGCGAGGAACTGGGGGAGAGCCGGTCGATTTCGCTGCTCATACTCTTCATTAACTGCCGCAAGGTCTCTCGTGCCTCCCGGAGGACCAACGGGTGCGCCATAATTGTGGGCTTCTTGGGGAATAGCTCCGCAAGCCGGGAGGCATGGGTTTCAAATTCCCGGTAGTCTCGGACGAGACCGCAGTCCTGGTAGTGAGCCATCTTCTCCTTGGCATTTTCGTATGATGTGCACAAGAACCGGGTGGTGACAATCAACCAGGAGTCATAGAATCCAAGGTCATGTTTGTTCCTAGCCTCCTTGTATTCTTCATCCTTGATCCGGAGTTCATCTCGGCAGAATCCCTGGACTACGCTGTGGATTTTGACCACATCAACGGCCGAGTTGCCACGGTAGATGGAAAAGAAGCCTTCTTGACTGCTTTCAGTCAGTGATTCCGAGAGTTCTGGGACAGGAGACTTGTCTTCGCCATCGGAATGGTGCACGGTAGTATTCATCGGAACAATAGGGTCGGCATCCGAGGTCCGCTCAACCAGCCCATGATGAATAAGAGTCCCCAGGGTGGTATCAAGATCCGCATCCTCTCCCGTTTGAGCACTGGTCAGGATCTCCGCGTTCTCGGCAGACATCGCTGAGCGGCCGAAATTGAGAAGACCCACAGGGACTTGGTGTCCCAGGAACGAGAGAAGGTTGATGAGGTTTAATGCCTGGTAATGCTGCATGCGATAGAGGTCATTCATGATGCTCAGGAACGGCTCCGCAAGCTTCTTATCAGTCAACTGGTATTTCACCCGATATTTCTCGATTGGCTTGCCCGTCGCGTTGAGGCGATGGCCAATAGCATGAATCGCCAGTGGTAGACAATCGTAGTGCTCGACCAGCTCCATAGCCCGAAGAGCCTGCTCCGGAGTGGGGTTTTTGATGCCAAGGTCTTTGTAAAGAAGCTGGCAGGCGTCTTTGGCATGTAGTCGAGGGATCAGGAGGCAATACGGCTCATAGAGCCGCTGCTTTTTGCGCAAGGTCGTATCGATTGAGGTGTAGATGATACTGCAACGCTTGTTCCAGGGCAGAAAATGTCGAAACTCATTTAGCTGATCGTCGTGGTTAAAAGTGATCCCATCAAAGATCAGGAGCCATTCATGTCGCGTCTGGAGCCAATTACGGACAGCGTTTACATACGTCCGGGATTCCTGATATTCGCGGTCTGCGGCCTGTTTGCGGTCAATCAGCATGGCCGCCTGGGCAATCTCCCAGAAGCATTTGTAGGCCGATTCGCGGGATTTGGCATCAATCCAAAATATTCCTCCAGTGTAGCTCTCGCGCTGCTTAAAGACATACTCCCGCGCCAGATGGGTCTTGCCGGAGCCTGGAACACCAGAGATCAGAACAGCCATAGTTCGGTCTGGTCGTGCTTTGGCTTTGAAGAGGCGGTGGTGCAGCACCTCTAGTTCCTTCTTCATCCCATAAAAGGTCGCGTTCGGATGAAAGCCCGGGGGTGCAACGAGCAGAGGCAGTTCCTTAGGGGGCTCGTGGGCGAATGGGAGATGGCCACTGTTGCTGAGCTCTGATGCTGGAGAATTTTGACCATCTGTGGCAGGGCCAGGCGGCAAAGTAAGTACGGAGTGGCCTATGAGGGGAAAGTCAGCAAGTTGCCTGACCATGGAGACGGTGATGCTCAATGAAAAGTGGAATATCAGCTAAATTGACAGACATAAGATGGGAGCCACCCTGAAGTCGAGCACAGCAAGTTAAGATACAATAACAGAATGCGCGATTTTTTGCATCGAAGAATGTTTTCAGACAGAACAATGAAAATAATCAGGAAAGACCTTTGGTTCGGTATCGATGTTGGAATCAACGAAAATCATAGACAAGCGTGAGACATCGTAGCCCAAGCAAAAATCATTCAATGGGCATTCGGCAAAACATCAGGCAGGAGGCTCCTCGATCTCATAGTCCTTCAACGTAACCAAGTCTTGCGGGGCAGGGAGATAGTGTGAGGCCCTACCGGTCAAATCAGGCATGCTTCGACCCGACTCCTCTACTCTTCCTGCAAGGGTCAGTATATGCCGAGGGATTCAGTAGTGAGCAATGTCCAGCATACCGTCATAGAGCTCTCTGGCCCTGGCTTTCTTTTCCAGGGTGCGAGCTTTCTTCTCCTCCACCCAGCGATCCGCAACGACGGTGGGCGCCTGGCGCGAATATCGAAGAATAGCTTCCGCGACCACCTCGTAGCCTGGGGCATTTTCGTCCTCGAACTTGCACATGTGGCTGTGGTCCGCCTCTATCCCCATCCGCTCCACGCCATCCATGTAGGGTGCCGCCGAGGCTTCGTCGACAATGATCTCGCGCGTACCTCGCACATCGGTGGACCGCGTCTCATGGAAGAAGTAGATATGGAATCGGCTCATGATATTGGCAAACAAGCTGTTGATATGCTGCAAGGTCTCGTTATTGGTCCGAAGCGCCTTGACTAGCTGCGGCGACGCCTCCATCACCTTCTTGGGAAGGACTGCGCTACAGATGTTGTGCAGCAGCAAGCCCCATTTGGCGATGTCGGATCCATTATGCGGCGTGCCGAGGAAAAGGATGCCAAAGGTTGACACGTATATGGATCGCAGATGCTCGGTTTTCTCGCTGGAGACGTTGTAGCAGTAGATCAGGGCCCGTTTGACGACCAGCCCTCCCAGCGAATGACAAACAAAGATAATCGGACGATCGGAGCAATCTCGCAACTAAATCAAAACCCATGTGTTAGTGCGCAAATCTTCGGTGGGCAGGACAGAAGGAAAACACAACATACATTGCGGTTGGCGGCGAGATTCGACGCCAGGGTTTCGGCATGACTGACTATCGAATCGCGCGACGTGCCATCGGTGAACGCGGTCACATTGGCGTTGTACCCGTATGTGAGGATGCGCGGGCGCTGGGACGCCAGAATATCGGGGAGCAGGTCGACGGGCCAGAAACAGCCCGACTTGCTGGTCCACGAGTCGTGCGGGTGGCCGTTGAGGCCGTGAACGAGGACGATGTCGACTTTGGGCTCGTCGCGGGGAACGTAGACCTGTGTCAGGCCAAAAGCCTTGATAGGGTGGTCGGACATGTCGTACACCAAACAAGAGCTGTGTTCAAATCAAGGACCGACGGCCATTGTTTTTCGACGTATTTCAACAAAATTGTGAGGAAGATGGGGTGGAGAGGGAGAATGAGAGACAATGAGAGGATTGGAAGACCAGTCGAGGAAAAGTGGGCTTTATAAGCCCCCTCCCCCATCGCAGGTGACTGTTCCCCTGACCCGGGTCATCTGCACCCGGGGGAGACTCAATCCACGGGGAGATCGACAGCGGGCCGTAGGGGGAGGGTTGCAGATACCCCCGATCTGCAGAGCATTATGTGGCGTCACATCTCGCACAGCCCTGCAGGTATGAATCAGCATCATAATAATAGAAAACAATCCAGCCCTGGGACCTCAAGAGAATACAGGCGCCTAGAGTGACTCATAATGTCGCTGTGGAAGGACCTACCTAGGAGGTGAAGAAGTTTAGTGGGGCCATGATAGACCTGGGGGGAGGGGGGAGAGGTCACCACCCCAAATACCCTAATCCGGTAATGTTAGAAGTATTCCGCGGTTTGAAGAGATCGTTTCAAAGTAAGAAAATAGCCCTAAAAAAAGAGTTCCTACAGCAGTCACTGGGATAGTCAAGGTCAATCCAAAATAATCCAAAATAAACAAATAAAGTAAACAAAGATGTGGGTAAGGGCGTTCCATGGTTCTGGTCTGTCAACCGGCCTTAAAAGGCTGAATTGCTCTGGCAAAGTCGGGATACTCTGAGAAAAGATCTAAAGTGACTCATTTGGACAAGAGATGCCATCTAGAATTGAACTCCCATGGAACTAAAAATAAACCCCTGGTAGGACTCCCACTCAACAGGCCTCCATGGTATACTTCCATGGCTTACGTAGATGCATATGCAATGGATTAGAAATTCCCAGTCTTCAGTCATCCTGGTATAGTTTTGAATGTACACCTAATCCCGAAGGATCCTTTCTTTCTTACTTTCTTTTTTTCATGGCATACTAAAAGATCTGTCCTCATCTACCTCCCCCGGAACGCAGGCTTCCGCTTTTCCGCAAAGGCGCGCAACGCCTCGTACCGATCATCTGTCTCGACGACCCCGGCATAGGCGTCATTCTCAGCCACCTCACCCAGTGCGAACCCCTGCACAGCCCGCAGAGCCTGTCTGATGGCAATGGGCCCGCCCTCGCAGATATCCAGCGCCAGTTTAATACTTTCGCGTAGAACCTTCTCGCGCGCCACGCCCTCTTGGGCTGCTTCTTCCGGAAGCACCTCGACCAGGCGGTCGCAGAGCCCAATGAAGTAGGACTCTGGGCCCGACACCCGACGGCCGGTCAGGATGAGGTCTCGCGCGCGCGGCACCCCGATCAACCCGGGCAGACGGTACGTGCCGCCGGCACCTGGGATGATGGCGAGCCGGGTTTCGGGGAGTCCGACTACGCTGGACGAGCCGAACACGCGCAGGTGGGTGCATAGCGCGAGTTCCAGGCCGCCACCGAGGGCCATGGACGAGATTCCGGAGATTGTGGGGATTTGGAGGGCGGCGAGGTCTTTAAAGGTGCCGCGGAGCTTCTCGAGGAATGCTTCTGTCCTGTGAGGATGACGTCGAGGGTTAGATACTGCACCCAAAGATCTGGGGTTGTGTCGTTGGAAAGAAACAAAAGTATCTCACTCGGCCTGGCTCATATTGGCTCGTTCCTTGAGATCTGCGCCTGCGCAGAATGCTGCATCCACATTGCTTGCCACCACCAAAGCTCTGGTAGGCCCATTACCCCCTTCCGCGGCAATGTCATTTACCTGCTTAGAGAGGGTTTCGAGCAGGTGACGCGAGATCGCATTGCGGGCCTGGGGGCGATTCATTTGTAGCACGCGTACATGCCCGGATCCCGGCGCCGGGATCTGCTGGGTTTTTATGACGTCGTCATCGCTCGTACTGAACCGCGCCACGAACACCCGGGAACCTGCGGTCGGTCGAAGGTGGGCGAGGGGAGGGGCAAGGCGGACGAGGCGGGGGGACATGGTCGTTGCCATGATGTAGGGCAATTCAATCGACAACTCCACCAAAAATGAAAAGGCAATACTACAATATTCAGCAAGAAAGGGGTGTGTTGAGGAGAGGAAAAGAGTTAAGTGACGCGGTCCAAATTGCTCGGAGCTCGGGGTGTGGGGAAAGCTCTCCGACGATTACCGAGAGAAAGCAAAGACCGTCTGGGGGGTATCATGTACATGGTAAATCTAGAAATACACTATGCTACAGTCATTGCTGGTACTCCTCCACCTCTGCATCGCTTGGCCATTCCCACGGGGTCCGACTGACGAGGTCGTATGCCTCCTGGATGGACCCCGACGGTACCCGAGCGCCATCGACGGAGCGTCGCTGCAGTCGCTCCAGGAACACCCGGATCGCCACCAGGGTCCGTCGCATCAGCCTTTCGCCGTTCAAATGTTCTTCGGCGGTTTCTTGTAACTGAGCAGCTGACTGGCTCATCCAGTGCAACAAATGCATAAGTCCGTCATCGTCTCCCACAGTTCCCAGAGCTCGAACAAATGCGTGGAGCATAGCAGGTGATGGGGCATGAAGAAGGGTGGGTACACAGATTGCTGAATCGGTCGCATCGTCCACCGTGAAAATACTTCGCTCCGCTAGCCCCGAAGTTCTTGAGGCCGGGAGAACCAGGTGATCGAATTGGCCTTTCAGGACGTGAAGCGCCGTCCGAACCATCGCGTCGAAGTGATCATCCCCGTCGGTCTTCATCACTGGATTGTGAGAAGTCGCTCTTTGCAAAATCCGAACGCTCTCTGCGACAGCTTCAGGGTGCTTGATCGCAGCCTCTATGGCTTTGGTGAAGGCCACACAGAGGGTACAAAACCCTCCATGCCGAGTTCCACATCATGCTCTCTCATCCAACTTAACACTTGAAGAATTTCGTGCCATATGATTATGCGCTGGAAGCTTCGGTTCCGTTGCCGATATGGTTTGCTGAGCCGTTCACGAGTCAAGGCGGAGAGAATATGAGTCCAGGCCGGAGTGCAGGCTGGACGCAACCGGGTCAACTGAATCGCATGCCAGAGGGCTCTTGGGTGCTGAGTCCCTGATTCTTCTTCACCAAGGGCAAACAGCGTTGTTTTGGGGCCGTTCAGTGCCCTGTCAGCCATGATGACTGGAAAGCGATCGGTTGTGAGAGTATCTCTGGCCGTGGCAGTCGATCCGCTAAGTCCGGAATGCACGCACAGGAATCTGATGAACGAAGCAAAAACAAAATCGGGCAGCGCCAGCAAAGGTGCGATATTCGGGGTTTCGTATTCGTGTGGTTGACTCCACACCGTCGACAAAAGTGTGACTTGGTCTTCTGTCAAGTCACTACATCGAAGATAATGCAATCCCGCTTGAAGAGACGGCGCTGATTGGAACAGCAAGGCTAGGAACCTTCGAGATGGCCGAAACCCCTTTGAGAGCATCTGCTCCAGAAATTCCTCTAATGTCGGCGGTTCCGTATGAACATAGATCAAATCGCGCGCAGAAGCTGGCTCGGGATGAACTTCAGGACTGTCGCCTGGTAGAGCATGACTTGTCCGGTCAAATCCGCTCTGAATTGCCTTTCTGCGGTATATCAACTTCTCTGCCATAGCAGCGTAGATGGCACCCTTGGGCGGAAGGTTGTGGTCTTGGTAAGACAAGAAGCAAGCCCAAGCCTCGCGCACCGTTCGTGTCGCGCGAATCCGCGCAACCCAAATTGTGTAATTATTGGGATCGTGCCTGCGTGCAAAAGACACATATTGCGGCCGACGCACCAATGTTCTCGTCTGCACTGTCGGGCTGCGATCTGTGTCCCATCCTGCCAAGATAGCAGATATCTCCTCCCAGACCTGGTGGGAGTAGCCAGCCTCCCTCATCTGTGAAAGCACATGCATAGCCCGACTGACCATTCCCTCATTGCCACGTTGAGCATCAATGCCCAGTTTTGCTTCCTTCCAGGGTGGCCACGACGGCGCCTTGAGTTCGGCAGATTGACGCTCATCAGCGGTCTTCTTGTGAGCTAGCTGAATAGCCACAACCGCTCGATAGCCTTTGCGCGTAACCGGGAGGACCGGTTGATAGGCAGCCATGGCTCGGAGGAGCTCAAATTGAGCTTGTTGCTGGATCGACGTCGAACGAAATGGTGCAATATTGGTTGGTAGTGACAATAACCAAAGGCAACTGTTGAACTTCTCAGTTCTGAATCGATCAGCTCGCTGTGCCCTCAGAACTGTTGCAGACTTGTCCGTATTCGGGGTCGTCAAGAAACGCGCAAAGGCGCGCGCAATGGTGAGGAGTGCGCGAGGCCACACTAGTCGGGCATGACGAATCAAACGAACAACAAAAGTCATACCCGTGGTTGGGTCAATTTTCGGGTGGAAGTTCTCGGGGATGGGGTCTATACGAATCCTATCACCTCCCACAAGGCTTGTGACAGCTGGTAGAGACTTCCCGCTTATGAGATGGAGGGAATAAATGAGAAGCAGTCGAAATGTGTGCGCGCTCAGTCTTTGTTGCTTCAGGAGAAAAAGTGGAATAAAAGGAGGAACACCGGGTGCGTCGGTGCCATGTTGGGCTCTGTAATCTGCCTCCAGCATGAACAATCGCAAGGTAGCTTGGTGGGAATTTTGGCTCTTCAAGACCCACGCCCATGCTGCCACGTCTGCGACCTCGTAGCCCCGTATCTTCAAGTAGTTGTAGTTGTCTGGTCTGAAAACTTCATTCAATGCAATATCCAAGCCATCGGCGTGATTGGTGTTGCCTGTGTGCGAGAGACATGAATCGACAAGTCGTAGGTACTCCCCAAGAATGGTTTGTAGGCAAAGTCGCCCCGGTCGACCTGCTGTTGACCGTGGACCTTGCTGTCTTGAAAGCAAGAGCTTCGAAGCAGGTCGATCCAAGTTAACAAATGATGGATCAACAACTCGAGTCAGTTGATCGTTATTTCCGAGAGGGTGTCCGGTATTTCGAAGTGCCTTCGAGAGGTACTCTGTCGGGGTAGGTCTTGGCTTGTTCTCATCAACTGCTCGAGGAAGCTCTGTCGTGTTTCTTAACGGGTATTGGTCCCTAAACTCTTGCGTCCACGATGTACACGAGTCTCCAGACAAAACTCCATGACAATTGAAATTCTTTTCATCGTCGTCTCGCTCAGGATTTAGGGTGGTGGCAGGGAAGCCGGGAGAACTGATACAAGCTGCGAACTGAAACGGACGTCGAGTGCCTGGTGTCGCATTCCGCGAGCCACCCCATCGGTTTCTGGACACCTTGATATCACGATAAAAGGGCAACTAAGCACCAGTGTATTCTTATTAGCCCATTGCATAACACCACATGTAAAAACTCATACCTTGAGCCAGTGACAACTCCTGAGTAGGTGTGTTGCTCTCAACGACGATACCCCCGAAAGGTTTCGGGCATGATTGAAAACCGATGACATCCATGAAGGTAGTCATGGGAAATTGTCCCACACTCGGATTCTGTCAGTATCCCGGTTTGCGCTCGGCGATGCAGCAGTCAAGTCACCCGTTGCCAAAAACAAAAAAAGCGACAGATGGTTGTCACGTGATAGATCGTCACCTGCGGTTTTCGGGAAAGCGCGCATTCTGCGAGTCCCAACTGCTCTCCTCGTCTGCTGCGAGCAAAACAGGCCTCGCTGTGCCCGGTGTTCTTTGGTGAATTGTTCCTTTGATTGATTGATTATATTGTCTACGCGGACAATACCAGGCCCCCTTTATTCACTCCCCTATTGTGGGGTGGCGTCTATTCACCCCCGTGTTTTGTCCCCTCGCTATTCGCGATTCTCATCCTTTTCAGACTCGGTGCTCGGACTCGCATCCAGATTTATTCGAGTTCCGATACGTCGTTGATCAAACGTCTCCCTCAACACTGCTTCAAGACCCCTGGCCTTGAAATCGCGTCTTCAAAATTTACTCGAATTTTGTGATTCGTAGGCGCCGCCCATCCGCATTGGAGGGAGTCGCGTCAGAAAGTTCCGCGATACTACAACTATGAGCGCCGACGAAGTCGGAGACACAGCTTCGATGTCTACCACCAACGGCGAACCCCACCCTAATTCGGGTGCAATTGCGACGCCCGGTAAAAGAAAGCGCTCGGGCCAGGACGAGAAATCGGGACCAGACTCGAGTTTCTCCGCGTCGCAGGACAAGAACTATCTTCACGAGACTCTCCGAAGCCTGGTTGAGCTCCTTCTCAAGTAAGCTTACTCCTTGATGCGGCTCCTGTCACCGGATTATTGACATTAGCAGGCATGACACCGAACTCCAGCTCCTCTCGTGCCCCTTCCCAACGTCGGCAGCTAAGCCTCGAACCAAACGCGCAAAGGTTTCGGGAGACCAGGAGACTTGCAACATCCAAACCCGGGTCGATGCGAGTCACTACAGCACTCTGCAGGAATTTCTGTCCGATATTGAAAAGGCGTCTGCTGCGGTGATTGAGCGCAACCAGAACCAGGCAAATGGCACCAGAGCTGACGGAGCGCCTCTGACTGAGGTTGTTAACCGTATCGCTGCCTTCAAGAAGCACATGAACAGCCTAGTCGGTCAATCCTTTATCAATCAGACCGACGTCAAGGCGGAGTCACCGGATGATGACGGAGAGGAGCTATCGCAATCAACAGCCATGCATGTGGACGCTCGAGAGGACAAGCAGGCCTTGACTCTCTTTGGGAATCCTTCAAATCCACAACAGTTGTTTTCTAGTCTCCAAAAATCGGTCAAGGTGCCGCTCCAGTCCTCCGACTCGGAGGCACAACACTTTGTCGAAGTGCAGGAGGAACTGCGAGAAACTGCATTGCCCAATGGTATCACGACCACCAAGATTGTTCCCTATAATTTGGAAGCCGCTTCCAAATCACTCAAGAGAACTTTCGGTGAGGTATTTGCTCCACGGCCAGGATTGCCGCAGCTGGAGCCTCCCCGGAGACGAAGCAATCGAAGTACCTCGGCCTGGATCGATCCCTTGGAAACCATCTCAGACACCACGGCGTTTCTGGGCGACCGCAACAACTATTGCCTTGCACCACTTCCCTCAACTGAATGGCTGCAATACGGTGGAGTCACGTCGTCGCCATCATATTGGAGTCGTGTAGAAAAACACCATGCAGAAGGGGATGTCCAGCCAAGGCATGGGGATCCAGCACTCTGGACTCGCCCTGACCACTCTCTTCTGCAGGGTGTCTTCTCGTCATTTGCCCCCTCTTTCGATAGCTCTGGGGCTGTTGTGCAGCTCGATTCGAAGGATCTTGTGTGGTGGGGACGACGAGGCGCGAAACGCCTGCGCACTCTGCTATCCATCCCATATGAGCAAGATGTCGAAATTGAGACCCCAACGGTGCAGCCAGGTAGTATTGGTGAACTTGACGAAAGCACTCTGGAAGAGATGGTCCGATCATTCAACCCTGATGACTTCGCCGAGAACTTTCATCAATCCGGTACAACAGCCACAAATGACCCAGAATCCAAAGATGTTGAAGAGATGCTGAGCGATATTTCTGAGTTGCTCAATACCCTCAGTTCCTTCCAGAGGATTCGCAACCTCGGTCAGCCCGCTCATAACGGCCAGCATTCCGAGCCCAAAGAAACCCCAGCGCCAGACTTTGGCAGTCCCAGCTCACCATCTGACGCAGAGGTGGGTATTTATGACACCCTGAAGTCAAGTCTGGCTGCGCTCATCAGCAATCTCCCGCCTTATGCGGTTGCCAAGTTGGACGGCGACCAGCTGGCAGATTTGAACATCAGTCAAAAGATTTTGGTTGAAAACCCAGATTACAGTGGCACGATGGAAAGAGATGATTATACATTGCACCAGGAACGAGCTGCGGCAATGGTCGCAGCAGCCAATGTCGCAAACCGTACCTCGACCCCATCAGCACCGCGACCCGGAAATTACCAAGGCTCTCAATCCGCCTACAACCAACGTGCATATGCTTCGAATGCGCGGATTCCGCAGCCCCAGGGTGCATTCCAGGTTCCACCGCAGCACGGGCGGCAATCCTCAGCAGGCGCCTATACTCAAGCTTATCCCGGGTATCGTCCGCCGAACACGCCAGTTCAACGGCCTGGCTTTCCCTCCCAGTATTCGCAGGTGAACCCGCAATACAGTCAAGCCAACAATGTCCCTCAGTACCAACGTCCCACTCCCAACGGTTATACGCCCTATTCAGCGCAACCATCTGCCCAGGCTTCACCACAGCCCTACACGCCACGACCTGGACAACTAGGGTCAAACAACGCTGCAACCCAGGGTCGCACGCCCTATGCGAGCACGGGCTCATCTCAGCGATACCAATTCTCAAACCAGACCCCATCACAGGGCACGCTCCCAAATTCGGCTGCTGCCGCGACATATGCTCGCAGTGCCGCTGAGCAGGCTGCATTGATGGATCGCAACAAGGCGCAGTTGGCGGCTCATCAAAGTCGACAGAGCCCCTCGACGCCACAACCGCAGGGTCTTGAGGCTAGCGCCTCGCAAGAAGGCAGTCTCACTCCGGGGAAACAGAACGGGACGCCTGTCCCATCATAGTTCCTGGTGCTTTTGATGCTTCTTTGGATTGAAAATCGCAGAGCAGATTGCGTGTTTCCGCGACCAATTCGTTGTGCCACCAGTTTCTACTTCTTTTCCCTTCTCAACGACTTCACCTTCCCGACGTCTCTTTGTTTCCTCTTCTCGATACTGTGTTCTTAGTGATATCTTATTTGACTTTGGGTTTCGGTTAATTTTTTTCTGGTGTCTACTCGAAAATAACTCAGCGATTGGCGTGGATAGTTTCTCCAAGACGGTTCGGGGCTGGGTGGTCCAAGCTACCGCTGCGATAGCAGTCTACATGCTTTCTTTGTCTTTCTGTTTTTCTGTTTTGCCGGTTCTAGACGAAGATTTCTTTTGCTCTTATTGCAATTCAATCGAGGTGGATGGGTCCAATGGTTTGCAACAAGCCGTGATCCCGGAATCAAATCACATCTACATTATTAAATGGTACACAGTTCAATGACTTCCTCCAATTGTAAGAACCTCCCAAAAACACCGCACGGTTCTTTCCCGGCCGCTATATCCTGCCCTTTGCCCAATACCAGTATAGTTCCTTGGTGTCATTGCCAGGACCGCAACCGCGATCTATCAGGCGATGTTCCGAGTAAAAAAAAAAAAAAAAAAAAAGGCCTTCTCTTCCTTGGTCTTATCCCGGGGCGCCCTTTGTGACTTCTTTTTGTTTGAATTTTGGTTGATTTTCTGTTTATTTGAGAGATTAATGTCATGCTCTCGCATGTAGCCCATGTAATTAAGAAAACTCGTGGCGGTCGACTTGGGCGTAAATAAAGCCTTGCTCGTCCGAGGGGCGTAATGGTTGAAAGAGAAAGATCATGTGTAGAGCAAGTGGATAGAGAGTCACAGAAAAGAAAAAAATTTCGTAAGTCATGGCAGGATGCTATAGTCGAGGTGCAGCACAAGATGTGGAGGTGGGGTGTTAGGGAATGAACATGGCGGAAATGGTCATGAAGCCGAAGTATCTGTCAAGTGTACGTCAGTATCTGTTTGATGGTAACCGAGGGGATGGGGAAAGAGAGAAGATAGGAAGGGCACTCCATACATTGTCGCGCAGCGCCAACCGTCCCTTGAATCTACGAGGGTATCAATGCCGGCAGAGTAATTGGCCGCTATGGCAGCAGCTGCACCGCCCACGACTGTCACGACAACAAGTCTGCCTGAGAACTCTGAGATCATGCTGAATGCCAGAAGGGGTAGTAGTAGCGCGCCAGATGCAATGATGATGGCCATGTAGACGGGCGCAGCTGCGGCAGAGGCGGCCAGTCGCGGAGTAAGAGAGACGAGGTCGGCGTCGTGGTCTAAAAACCGGGTTTCGGCAGCCGCAACAGGGTTGTGCTCTTTCATCCAGGCGCGATAGCTAGTGATGTCTTTTTCAGAAGCGCGGGGAAGAGTCTGGAGGACTTTGCTGTAGGCGCTAAGGGCGTTGTCTGAATTGGGTAGTCAGGAAATGAACATTCATATTATAACTGTATGCGCAAGCAGAGGGGGGGGACACACTGTATTGTTCGGTTTTATGAGTCAAAGCAGCCATCAGATCCATGCGCCGATAATGTAGCGACGAATATACCTGGGACTGGGCGTCGACCCGTCGAGACGCAGGCATGGGCTTGGTGCCTTCTTGCTCCGCTGTGGCAATGCGATGCATCTCCTCGTACTCGTCCAGGGTGTGCAGGTCTTCTTCCATTTGGGAGATTTCATCTTGGAGATGCAGTAACACACGGTGATTGGCGTTCTCGAAGCGTCGGTAAAGTGGAGGGAACCCGTCCTTCTCCTCGATAGGGCGGGTGAGATGGGATGCGAGGAATCCATAGCCCGAGGACACCTGCGCGGCACTCGAGCTCCTTCTCTTCGTCGGCGTGCTGCGATGGAGACTGTCTTCGGGGCTGCTTGGAGGAGACGGCGGCAGTGGTGGCCTGTGGAGAGAAGCAGCATCTCGGGAGGACCCGTAGTGGGTCTCTGGTCGAGACAATTCTAATTGACGTTTCCCTGTAGCGGAGATGTCCGTAGATTGGTTTGCGCCGTACGACCCTAGGGTCGAGGGTTTCTGGGTGGTGAGTTGCTTCCGCGCAATTTGCAACTGGTTCCCCGATGACGCCGCTGGCGATGTTGAGGAGCGCGAGTCGCTTGAGCTTCTAGAACTCGACGCATATACAGGGGACTTCCGAGGGGCGTTGTCCCCAGATATCAAAGTCCCCGGCGGTACGGGACTCGTCCGCGGTTTGGGTGATTGGATCTTAGCAAGAGCCTGTGCCTGGTGCGGGAGGTTTGAGACATCACTATCGCTATCAGAGTCATCGGAGGAGTCATCGTTCTCATCGAGAAATTCGAACACATTAGGCATTGGCTTCGCCGGCTCGGGCTTCTCTGAAACCGCCTGCGGTTTCAGGGCCGGTTTAGACCCATTTGCTGGCGATGGAGCTTTGTCGGTCGATTTGGAGTTGTCAACGGGACCCTGCGCGGATCCGGTGGAGTTGGAAACTGTTGACGACGTTCGTTTCCTTCCATCTTTCTTGATCTTCCTAGTACGCTGACTTTGGAGCGGCATGGTGATTGAAGATGGTCGGAATCACGCGGTTCATACCTCGGTAGAAGAAGTGAAGGGAAGTTCAGGCCATGCCCGCTATCAGAGACACGGATGGACATGGAGGAAATGAGACAATGGATCGAGGGTCGATGACACTCAGGGGAGAAAGAGACGTGCAGATGGAGGGGTTTGGAATCGATCAGGAATCTAGGGGGACACAAGGGTGGAAAACAGCCAGTCTGATGTCTCGAATTTTTCCCCGCGGATTCCTCGCTCAGACATCCTCGATGTATCAGCCCCCAAAAGGTCGGGACCGAGTTGGCGTCAGAGCTGCATGCAATCCGCAGCGAGGGTAGATTGGCGCCTTGATCAGCGCTTGCTGGCCCCGGGGCGCAGGGAAGTTCCCTGATTGTCGTTGGGATTCCCGAGATTCCTGACAGAATGGCAAGGGATCTGACCTCGGGAGAAGGGGGAAAAAGGAAGGGAAAAAAAAAAAAAAAAAAAGGGAGAAAAAGAGAAAGAAAGAAAGAAACTGTTGTCGACTAGCCTGGAACAATCGTGTCCCACATGAACAGAGCAAATTACAGCCGTCGAGAGAATCCGAGGGAATGCGGGCCCAACTCAACCGAGTAAAGTCGCGATGCGCTGGCGATCTCCTTGCGTGGCGGTCTGCGGTGTGTGATGTGATGGTGTATCACCACCAGATGATTCAAAGAGAATATTGCGAGAATGCTATTCTTCTGAATATTCTGAATCTTCCGATTATCCACTCAAAACGAGTGACCCGCTGACATGTCTTGCATTGCAGAATGTTAACCTTGTGCTGGAGAGGTGCCCGGCTACATCGCCAGTCCCACTTTCACCTCCCACCACTCTCACTCCCTCCATGCTTCGGCCATGGCGCGTCAGCGGTGCATTCCGCTTCTATTCATATCGCCCATTGATTCGTAGCGCTCAATTCTTCGATTCGAGTCGCGCCCTGCAGACATCGGTGCCAACAGACCGTGTTCCCCTGCGCAAGCAACTCAAGCAGGATGCCAAGGGCCTCAAGGCACAGAAAAAGCTGCGCAAGGAAGCCGAGGAGGCCTCGAGGCAAAAATGGGAATTAACCGTTGGAGTGGAGATCCACGCACAATTGGACACAGAAACCAAGCTGTTCTCTCGTCAGTCCATTCCCATCGCTGATGAAGGTGGTTTTGGCTCACCCCCGGGAACAGGAGCGGCAACATCTACGAGCGACATCCCCAATTCCAACGTTTCGCTATTCGATTTAGCGTTTCCGGGCAGTCAGCCGGTTCGTGGTGCCCATGGGATTATGGTGTGCGAGGACAAGGACTCATGCGGTACAGGAATTCCAAGCGGCCACCCTCCTCCCGGCCCTGCGCGCTGCCATTGCGCTGAAATGCCAGATTCAGCCCGTCAGCCGGTTTGACCGGAAACACTACTTTTACCAGGATCAGCCGGCGGGGTATCAAATCACACAATACTATGGTCGGTATCAATTTCTTTCTACCGGGGTGAGATCGAACTGACTCGTCGCAGAGCCGTTTGCGCGACATGGCTACGTCGACCTCTTCGACTACGACGGCATTGCCCCAGAAGATGGCGACCGGGTCCGCGTGGACATCAAACAGGTCCAGCTGGAGCAGGATACCGCCAAGTCCCAGGAATACCCGCCCTCGACGCAGCTGCTCGATTTCAACCGCGTGTCCCACCCTCTCATCGAGATCATTACGATGCCGCAAATCCATACCCCCGCAACAGCTGCGGCCTGCGTCCGGAAACTCCAGGCTATCCTACAGTCGTGCGGGGCGGTTACAACGGGAATGGAACTGGGCGGGCTACGGGCGGACGTCAATGTCTCGATTCGGCGCCGGGGCGAAACAGCAGAACTGTGCCAGTACAACGGGGTAAGCGGACTGGGTCAGCGTACCGAGATCAAGAATCTCAGCAGTTTCAAAGCCGTGGAAGACGCCATCATCGCCGAGAAAAACCGGCAGATCGCAGTTCTCGAAAGTGGGGGCGTTGTGGAAGGCGAGACGCGAGGATGGACAATTGGTAGCACGGAGACCCGCAAGCTCCGAGGCAAAGAGGGTGCGGTCGACTACCGTTACATGCCCGACCCAGATATCCCGCCGCTGCGTATCGGCGAAGACTTGATCTCCCAGCTGAGCGGTGATCTCCCAGCCTCACCAGACTCGCTGGTTGCGCTGCTAGTTGGGCCCGAGTACGGTCTCCCGATCGACGATGCCAAACCCTTGATTGAGCTGGACGACGGCGCTCGTTTGGAGTACTACCAGGATGTGGTGGACATCCTTCGTGAGATCCAAGTAGACTCAAACGCCCAAATACACGCCACGCTGGCGCGCATGGCCGGCAACTGGGTTCTGCACGAGCTCGGCGGACTCCTCACCAAGACGGACCGGGCCTGGGACGCGGACATTGTCCCGGCCCAGTCCCTGGCCCACCTCGTGGACCAGCTGCAGCAGAAACGCATCACTGGATCCACAGCCAAGCTGGTGCTGGCCTCGGTCTTTGACGGGGACCGTCGACCGATCCCGCAGCTTTTGGAGGAAGACGGACTGTTGTTGCGGCCGCTTTCGCGCGAGGAGTACGTGGCACTGGCGGAGGCTGCCATCGCCCTGAACCCGCAGATGGTCGAGCAGATCCGCCAGAAGAACCAGCGGGGCAAACTGGGTTGGTTCGTGGGGCAGATGATGCGCACCGGCGAGAAAGGACGGGTCGAAGCGCCCAAGGCAGAAGAAATTCTGCGGGAGTTGATTCTGGAGAAGTAGAATGTTCATAGTAGGCTGTGCCCATGATATGATACCCTTGTACTATATACTAGACTAGATCCGATATTCTGGCAAGCCCTTAGCAGAACAACATACAAATTCCTGAACCTGTGTCCTATAGCTATTGTTCACTTTCAACATAGTCTATACGGACATTCTCCGAGAAACAGCGACAATGGCAGTGGGAGGGGCCCTCGGTGGCCCCAAACGGGGCATCTCTCTTCAACCTGCGCTTAGTGATCGCAGTGTGGAGTATCCGATCAGCCGTGTTCCCTAAGTGCAGTTTTTGGCGATACGACGAGCTCTCGGAGGCCCGGGGAATCATAGGGGGGTGAGACAGGGATATATATAAAGGGGAAGAGTGGAATTCTTTCCCTCAATTTCTTTTTTTTCTTCTCCCTACATCATCCTGACACTCACCCTCTTTTCCAAGGCTCTCTTTGTCGAATTGCCCCTCGGCCCACTTTTTTTCCCAAGCTCTGTTTATCTTATCGCCGATCTGAAGACTGTTTGAAAGAAGCTTGGATTTGACAAGAGAATCGTGGCGACACATCTTGATTGGAATCTACACTTCGACAGACCTGCATCATGACGCAACCATCGACTATTGACTCGCGATTCCTTAGTAACCCCAACCAGCTGGGCGTTGTGGCTGTTGGGTTCAATGGCGGGCAGGTAAGGATACTGGGAGGGGTCCACGGGTGAACTTGGAAGCCGCTGAAACTGTGTGCTCGGTTACTCACGGATGTTCCGCGAACAGTGCAAGAAAGGCGTGGAAGCAGCGCCAATGGCTCTGATCGAGTCCGGGCTCCTGACACAGCTACGCGAGGACCTCGACTACGAGATTCACCATGACGACACGATCCACTACTACGAGAACGACATCCCCGCCGAGGACCCCGACCACCGGGGCATGAAGAAGCCGCGCGCAGTGAGCGCGGTGACGCAGCGATTGAGCCAGCAGGTGTACAGCCACGCCAAGGACGGCAAGTTCGTGCTGACGCTCGGTGGCGATCACTCCATCGCCGTTGGCACCATCTCCGGCACGGCCAAGGCCATCCGCGAGCGACTGGGCCGCGACATGGCCGTGATCTGGGTCGATGCCCATGCTGACATTAACATCCCCGAGATGAGTCCCAGTGGGAACATCCACGGCATGCCCATGGCCTTTTTGACTCGGCTGGCCCGCGGTGACCGGCCCGATGTCTTTGGCTGGCTGCAGGATGAGAATATCGTCAGTACGCGCAAGCTTGTCTACATTGGCCTGCGCGATGTCGACCGCGGTGAGAAGAAGATTCTGCGGGATAATGGCATCAAGGCGTTCAGCATGCACGACATCGACCGGTGTGTTCCTTCCTCTCTGTTTTTCTTCGTTTCATTTCGGCGGTTTGGTAACCAACCTAACTCATGCTACCAGCCACGGCATCGGCCGCGTCGTCGAGATGGCTCTGGCCCACATCGGCAACGACACGCCCATTCACCTGTCGTTCGACGTCGATGCGCTGGACCCGCAGTGGGCTCCGAGCACGGGCACTCCAGTCCGTGGGGGATTGACGCTGCGCGAGGGCGACTTCATTTGCGAGTGTGTGCATCAAACCGGGAACCTGGTTGCCATGGACCTGGTCGAGGTGAACCCCAGTCTGGAGTCGGTGGGCGCGACAGAGACCATCCGGGCGGGGTGCTCACTGGTGCGCAGTGCACTGGGCGATACTCTGTTGTAAGCGATGGAAAGAGAGAGAGATTGTGTGCGTGTGTCTGCGATAGAACCAAAGATAGAGCCAAAATCCGAGATCGATCAAAGTGGAGCTTTCCCAGTCGGGTAGTTTGTATGGCCGCCGATCCCCTGCCCCCCCAATTTCCCCCCCCTCGGATGACACTTCTTGGCCTTTTTTTTTCCCCTGCGTCTACTTCTTATCTTCAGGTTTGCGCGTCTTCGCATATTCGCGTCTTCGCTTTATATTCACACGCCCTTGTGAATGTGCTAGTTTGCACTTCCATCCCAATACCCTCCCGAGCCCGACACTGTGCCTCGAAGCACCCGATGCGCTGTCCCGTCTCGCTCCCATCGGCCTACACCCACCCACATTGAATTCTCCCCCTATTCCACCTGTCTGTGTCTCTGGCTTGGGCGCAATTTGGGATCTCTCGATCGAGTCCCGGCGACAGTCATTAGGCGTTAAAATTGGGCTACCGCACGACCGGCACATATCAAGCGTCAGACCCGCCTCTTGTGGACTGCGAATCACTCAATCTTTCAGCGTACCACCGCTAGAAACATAAAATCTCCTGTCCGGGTTCGAGTCCACCTCCACCATGGCTATCCGCATGCGCCGTGAATCGCGCCGGCGCTACCACTGGCCCGAGCTGCAGCTCAATGTGTGGATCATGGTCGTGCTATCAGGGTCGGCGACATGTCTGGGGATATTTTCATGGTTTATGGCCGTGCAAGCACAAATGCATCTAGGGACACCATGGTATGTCACCAACCCCAGTCCCAACACCCACTCCCTACCAATTATTGGTTATCTTGAATCTCTACTCTATCTCTGCCGTGGACTGGACAATCAACTGACGCAGGTCAAAACCTCTACCAAACAGGCTCTTCCCATACATGGTTGTCACTAGTGCCCTGGGCGTCTTCTTTATCTTCCTCGTCCTTATCCTTGCCGCGCGCCGCTTCTTGCTTCCCGGGATTATCATCATTGGCAGCTTCATCCTGTTCGTGCTATGGCTGACAGGCCTGATCGAGACCTCGCTGCAGCTGTATGGCGTCGTGGGAAATGTCAATGATAACTGCCAGATCTATGTTGTGGAGAATGTGGCGCGGGGGAATAACATGAATACATTGGCGTGGTTGACGCAAAGCACGATTTGTACGTTTCTCCCCCTCCCTTCTTTCTCTTTTTCTTCTTTTTCTCGAGCTAATATCTGCTATAGGCAATTGCTGGAAAACTGCCTTTGCCTTTGAGCTGGTCAACACTGTCTTCTATCTCTGGATGGTGGTAATGTCGTGGCAGGTCAACCGGGATGTGTACTGATCGGTGACGGTGACTACCTGTGTTTTCTTGTATACCCTTTTTTATCTTGATACCATATTTTGCATATAACGTGGCGTTGGGAGGATTAAGCTATATGATAATGACTTGGATATGAATTTTTGGATGGATGTTACTATATGAATTGCATTTGCGTGGAGCTACCTAGGTAGTATATTATTTTGATTTCTGTTGTACTACCCTGTGTCTCTAGTAACTAAATCATCTGTTACTTCTCTTTCACTGATATACTATCAGGGGATATACTGGGATTCATATAAAGAAAATATATACTACAATTCTTAAGCCCTAGCCGGGTTATTTTCAGTAATTCCCGCGTGGACAATCTTACAGACTCGATAGACAGTTATACTACTTATGTTAGAATTAGAAAGACTTGCTTAATGGATATCCTAGTATAGTACTGAAAGTGTAGAGCATGGATTGAGGTCAATATTAGTCGTCATACTTCTGACACTTCCGGATCCTTCTAAAAAAGAATCCCACCCCGACAAGCTACTAACTCAACACATATCTTATTTCCTTGTCATTATCACTGAAAAACTCGGCTTCGATGATATCGATATGCCTCATAGAAGAAGATTGAACCCCTCCGTGCTGGCAGCAGGAGCTGACATCTGCAGTGCCCAACATCCACTCACCCTCTCTACATGGCTCTCTAACTCAGTCGATTGGATATTGGATAGAAATATCACCAGACTCGGGAAAGACTCCTAAAAGATCTACGGGGCTGATAATCTAGAATCATGCACTTGCACTTGAATTTGTCAGAAGAACTTCAGATCACACTGACACAAAAACAAAACAAAAAAAAAAACCGTAGAGATCAATGGATAAATAAGCAAAGGTCAGATCGTGGACCCAAAACATGAAAGAAATGAAAAGCAAAGGCTGCCAGACAAAAAGAAAAACGCCATCGCTATGCCAGAAGTGCATCGCACCTGCACAAACCGGATATCAAAACACGTGGACAAGAAAAAGAACCTTGGAAGAGTGGTGTTGGTGACAAAGAACAAGAAGCCACCTGGGCAATTGGGGAAGCACTATCCATTCTCGGCGGCAGCTTCCTCCTCGGCGGCGGAGTCATAATCACCGTCCTCGAACGCCGCGAGCATCTCTCGTTCCAACTCGTCGTCGTCCTCTGCCGGGTCTTCTGGATAACTCAGTTCCTGGCCGCGACGGGCACCTGCAGCCTCGGCATCAGGCTCCTCGTCGTCCGGACCTGTAGGGCGTGGAAGTTTGGACAGAGGCTCGTCCGCTGCAGAACCGGTCGCCGTTGCGACTTCGCGGAGTCCCGTGCTGCGTTCGTAGGACCGCTTGATTCGCTGCGATAGCCGTGATCCTCGTAGATCCGTCTCATCGCCGTCTTCTCCCGTCAATTCATCGTCTCCTCCTTCTTCACTTCCTTCGCCGCGCTTCCGTTTCTTGCTGGTCATCGTTGACTCCTCGGTCAGTGCCTCGTTGTCGCTTTCACTTTCGTCGTCGCTGCCCAGGAACTCCTTCAGCTCGTCGTGTACTGCGGCTTGCTCGTCCTCGTCGTATCCAATAGGAGATGTTTCGTTGAATCCGGCTGACTTGAACATATCAGGTGTGTTGCCACCCTCGTCCTCGGTCCAGAACGATCCCGTCCCCTCATCCCCGGACGATAACCAGGTTCCCTCCGCAACCTCTTGGGAAGTGGGGGAGATGGGTTCACCACGGTCGTCCGGGTGCACGGGAACCAGATATGGCTCCTCATCCAGGTGTTGCCATTGCACCAGTGAGTCCAGGAGCCACTGCGTCGTGACAATCTTGACATTCGGGTACCGCGTGGCTTCCCGGACCTTTGCCGTGCGGTTGCGGCCAGCCACCAGGTGAGTGGTGCGAATATTGATCTTCGACGCAATCACCACGCCAAAGCTCTTGGCCCATAGAGAGATGTCAGCGTTCTGTGCGTCGCTTCCGAGTGGAAGAACACCCGAAAACACCAACACAACCCTCCCGAGAGCCTGCCGTTTGATTTGCGGCATGATATCTTTCACGTCGGGAACCAGCTTGAGATCCACGTCTTTGTCTTTTGATGGGATCTTCTCTCCCCGCAAGGCCGCCACCCGACCTCCCAGGGCATGAGTCCGTTTCTTGTCATATTCATCAAAAAATTGTGTATGGACCTTTTCAAGCCGATCCTGCAGTTGATAAAGTTCTTGGTCGTGGTCCTCCAGCAGATGATGACGGTGTTTGTTCGGGTCATGGGCTTCGTCCACACTGGAAGAATCCTCGCTACTCTCGGCAACCTCATCCTCCGCATCCAGTTCTTTTTGTTTCTGGAGGAGCGGTCGGTCCTCGACCTGATGCATTATTGTCTCTTCCTGCGCATTGGTCTGTTCCTGAAGCAGCCTCGGGTTGTCACCGCCTCCCATGGTCACGAGCTGCTCCAATGCCGAAACCTCCGTTTCCCCTTCCGCTTTCATAGTCGCGCCATTCACGTGGTGTTCTTTCTTATCCTTCTTCTTCTTCTCCTTCTCCTTCTCTGCAGATGTGGGTAAAGACTTATTCGTCGCGCCGATGTCTTGCTTTTCCGGTAGGAAACTCGAGTTGATGTCACCAATCCCGATGAAGAAATCATACGGAGAGACCTTGATCAGATTAGGGTTCCATCGCCACACGTCGCCGCGGTCATCGATAATAACCACCATCTTGGTGTCGACGGGGAATAGCCGCTGCAAGTTCTTGGCAGTCAGGCTACCACTCTCGTCACGGCTAAGAATACGATCCCCAAAGAGCTTGCGAGTGGGATCAATGATGTCCGCAATATTCTGAGCATAGGCTCGCGTCCCCATGGTGTAGATGTGCAGTTCGAACAGCTCTGCAACATTCTCCAGAAACTGCTCCAGCCCCGGCCGCAGTTTGATATAGTACCAGCACCCACGCATTCCAGGACCGTCGTCGATCAGCTGGAATTGTCGCACATTCTTCAAGGCCTCGTGATTGGGGTTATCCTTGTCCTCCTTCCATTCACCGACGGTTGGGTCGACGGTAGCATGAATGATTGTCTGGTCGAGGTCCACCACGAGAGAGAGACGCCGAGACGCCAGCAGGCGACGTTTTGCATCCTCCTCTACGCGTGCTGCCTCTTTCTCACTGACGGTGAGTGTGGTGTTGTCATGGGTCATCTGGATCGGAGCGCGCATGGAGTCCATGATCTCGGTATTATAGGAAGATCTGTCGACGATTGAGAAGCGATCAGTACGAGTTCATTCTCCAGCACTGCCTGAACAGATACATACTCAGTCATGTCCTTCCCACACTCAGCGCAGAGTCCTCCGAACTGAACCTCGTGCGCGCATGGTTCATCGATTTCGACAATGTCAACCCTGGCGCGAAGTTAGCGGACAGTCATACTTGGGAAGAGAAAAAAGAGTGACACGTACGGCTCATCGATGATATCACCTTTGGTGACTTTCCATTGTACAATCTCTCCATCGACGGTCGATTCAAACCTGGTCGGAAACCGGCGTTGCACCTCGATCTTGTTTCCCAGCCCGTCACCCTCGATGACGGTCGTCTCATAGATATACCAGAAAAGCGCCTCATCTCTCTCAATAGAGTCGCCAGGTTGCTTGAGCAGCGAGGTCACGGTGATCGGGTAATGCAGGCTGGGCGGCAAACGGAGAAGCATGTTTGCGCCCGATTCCGCCGTTCAGGCGAAAAAAATCCCCAAATGGCGGCTCAATGCCTCGCCTAATTTTCCGCCAAGCCCTTTCTTGAAAATTTTCTGCGTGGATTCCACGTACAAAGACTGGGCGCGGAATGGCGTGTGGAGGTGGTCGCGTGCGGGTGTTTAGGTTACGGTGCCATCGCCGGCACACACGACGCGTGGAAATTCAAGTCAAAGAAAAGCTCTCGATGAGAGCATCCAATGTATCAGCAGGTTTCCCCCAGAGTTATATGAGTTTAATAGACCGGGTGAATGAATGCGGCGCCGGGTTGGTTCGCTGGTGGAAAATCGCCACCAGGCGCGGATGGAGACAATTCGTAAGCCAAATACAACCTGGCGCGGGAAGTCAAAGACAAGTCACGCACCCAGGCGGTGGGACCGATCTGAAATTGAAGAAGACTGAAGGTTGAAGATGGAGAAATGCGGTGTGCAGACGATGAAGAGAAGCTCAAAGGCGTGCGGGGACTGCAAAAGGCCGCGAGCTTTGCCCGCTTATGTCATGCTCTCCGCGCGCCAATCCAACTGTGTAGCCTGACAATATCCATGGAGAATCGATTCGAAATCGACATTTTTCTATATTCTAGCCTCTGTCTGCTGGGGATTTCTAGCGCAATAATCTCTTGTGTGAACTCATTGCCAAAGGTTCCCTTTGGTCCAAGATACTCGAAGTGAGGACCGGATTGCATCCATAGCTTCGATCTACACCTGAGCATATACAACCGTAAGGTAGCCTACCAGCTATTGATTCGACTTTTGACTAGTCGTTGATGCATGAACCAACAGGCTTCAGCCAGAGAACAAATACTCATGAATATTACAAGCACCTTAATCAAGCATGGAAATAACCATACAGAGCCAGGAGAGATTGATTCAAGCTAAACAAATGAATGAAATGCAGAATAAATCCAAGCCCCAGAAACAAAAACAAAAAAAACACAGCAATCGGCGGCATCACTGATGCACGAGTCCCGGGTAACCAGTCAGGGATATGAGAAACAACAAAAAAAGAGAGACAGTCTGTTCAAGATGCGTTCGTAGCCACGGACGGATAACAGGATACGCAAAACCCAAAGTCATCCGAGCAAAGCTGCATGTATATACGAAACATCCTCTCGATACTGTCTTCTAACTGTGCGGTAGCTGTAGCTACTATAGTCAGGGACTCGGTTGCACATCAAGACCCTTATTTGGCCTTGGCGAGACCGACCGCGCTGTTGCCTAGGTCGTAGACACTGTACCACTGGCGGAGGAACGAGTCACCCAGGATGGCCAGGGGGCCCACGGGCTCAGGGAAGTCCATGCCCATGAAGCTGGAGATGCAAGAGCCCTGAACCTCCAGGACGTAGTCGTAGGGGCCAATGGTGAAGTTGTGGCCGGCAAGGGTGAAGGTGAGGTCGGGCAGCGAGTCACGCTTGTCACACTCCACGGTGTACTGGCCTGTGAAGCCCTTCTTGGCGCCAATCTCCTTGTTACTTTGGGAAACTGTCAGCAAGATCGGATCATGAATTACGCAGGTATTCAACTTACAGAAGCTCGGCAAGAGTCGAGGGCAGAGCAATGAGGGAAGTACCAGTGTCAAGGATAACACCAGTGTTGTCCAGCTCGGCAACATTGTCGCCCAGGGCGATGGCATTGAAGTCCACCTCCCAGTAGGCCTTGCGACGGAGGGGGATCTTGATCAACTCTCCAGTGTAATGGTTCTTGTCCACGCCGCCAAAGGTAGCCTCGGAGTTATCACCCTCCTTGTTGGCATTGCCCAAGTAAAAGGCAAACAGGGGCTCGTCCAGCAGCTTCTGGTTCAGCATGTTGTAGAAGGGAGGGACCATCTTGTTTACAGAGATGGTGTCGTATCCCAGACCCAGAATACCGTCGAAGCGACCGAAAGCAAAGGCCAGGCCAGGCTCGCTAGTAGCCTCAGCAAAGTCCTGGTTCTTAATCTTCAAGTCGCCAATCTGCAGCACATCCTGAGACACGAAACCGCTCAGGCTACCCGAGCCGTAGCGGATGGAGAACTCGGTGCCGTTCTTCTTGTAGGTGCTCGACGACGACGAGTCATACTTGCTGTGAAGGAAGCAGGCAATGGAGCTGCACTCGGAAGAAGGAACCCACAGGTTCGAGCTTCCGGTATCGAGAACGACCTTGAAGGTCTGAGGGGGAGTCCCGAGGGTGATCTCGGAGTAGTCTGTGAACGGCGATGTCAGCATCATAGTCTCATATAGTCCTGCACAATAGGCAAGCTTCAGAAATCCTTACACTGTGCGTTCAGAAAGTTGTCCACCAGCACGTCGTGGCCCGCGGACGCCTTCAGGGAGGTGTCTTGGAACATGTCGTCGGGCATGTTCGGGCGCCCCATGTACTTCTGGCCCAAAGCGTGCAACTGGGATTCCATGTCATGGTGGTGCTATCTAGGAATTAGCTCACTCCATCTTTCTGGACACATTCACAACGGATGGCCAACTTACCAGCTGCTCGGACAGAGGGACCTTGTTCAGCTTGAGCTTGTGGACCTCGGCCGAGGCACTGCCCAGCAGCACAGAGGCTGTCAGCAGGGCGAATGGCTTCATCCTTCTAATGAACAGAGCTCAGGTTCAAATGGAATCAAGATGGTAAGAGAATGGCCAGGGTGATGATGAGGGGAGATGGAGGAGAGAGAGAGAGAGAAAGAGATAAGAGAGGGATGGCTGGTGGAGCATGACGAAAGCAGCCTGGAGACGGGGGGGACTGCGCTAGTCCCTTTTGGGTCATGGACGGAGTCACACGGAGAGCAGATCATCCGAGAGATTCCTCCTACAACACATCTTCAGATAGTACAACCTAGAGGGGATACAAGAGTGCTCTAGAAGAGTATAGAAGAATTATCCTGATTATGATTATAACTATAGCCATAACTAAAGCCAGAGAACAGCAGGTATAGCCGATGATGCAAGAGCTTCGGTGCCTGTCGTTAGCGCTGACCCGGGCACCCCCTAGCGCCACGGTCCCTGGCAGGCGACCCTAGGCCTCACTAATGTAGGCAACGAGGGACTCTCGATGGATGGATTACTTAGCTACAATATTTTTGATGATCATCTTTCAGGCAAAGAAAAATGTCTTCTCGGTCTGAAAATCAAGTGATCCGGGCTGGATTGGTGTTACTGATCATCGCAGTCACAAGCCCACGGGCGCTTGCTGATCGTACGCCACGATACCTCATGATTCACATTGCAGCTCCAGGGTTATCAAGTCTGTTGAGATGCTACACAAATCTCCCATAGATGAAAGCTCTAGGGACGCACATTACTTCTCGGAATCAAGTGTCATGTAGCACCCTATTATTGATAGTACAACTAATCAAGGACCAAGCATTTGCCCTGGCTTGATGTCCAAGCCCTGTGAACACAGACCCCTGTTTACCGGTAGAAGTCGAGCCTAGAGCCAGAGTTAGACAACCTCGAGATATAAAACAACCAAGGGATACAAAAAAGTGGACGTACCGATCGTCTTCCTGTCCGCTCTTCACCTGTGCCGCGTACGCGTCCTCCAGATCCGACTGAATGATGTTGTAGCGGTTTTTGCGGACAGCCCGCAGACCGGCCTCCTGCATGATCGCGGCAATCACCGCACCGGACAGAGGCTCGTTACGCACGATCAGGGAGTCCAGGTCCACCTCGGGCGACAGCGACATCTTAGATGCGATGGTGGTGAAGATCAGTCGGCGCTCGCGTCGGTCACGCAGATTCGGGAACTCGATCTTTCGGTCCAGACGACCCGGACGCAACAAGGCCGGGTCCAGGGTGTCCGCTCGGTTGGTGGCCATGATGACCTTGACGTTGCTGGTTTGCTCGAAACCATCCATCTGGTTGAGCAATTCGAGCAGAATACGCTGCACTTCGCGATCCGCACCGGTCTGGGCATCGAAACGCTTTGTGGCGATGGCATCGATCTCATCGATGAAGATGATGGCCGGTGAGTTCTCACGCGCCATTCGGAACACGTCCCGGACCATGCGCGGTCCTTCTCCAAGATACTTCTGAACAAACTCTGAGCCGTTGACCCGAATGAAGCTGGCCGTCGTGCTGTTGGCGACGGCCTTGACTAGCATGGTCTTGCCTGTACCGGGGGGCCATACAGCAGGACACCACGGGGAGGGTCGATACCTGTATCGTGGTCAGCCTAAGGTATGTACCACTAAAAGCCATTTCTACCCACCAATTTGTCGGTAGAGGTCGAAATGCGTCAATGGCAGTTCGACCGCTTCTCGAATCTCCTGCTTCTGCATGTCCAATCCACCCACGTCGGCGTATGACACGTCTGGCTTCTCATTTTCACCCAGCATGGCGATCGAAGAGTCCGCTTCCGGGGGGAGGATGTCGACCAGCGCATTGGAGTGACGGTGAAGGGCGACGGAGGATGAAGGCTTCAACTTTTCGCGGTCCAGCGTGGACAGGACCCGGACGACGTAATTAGAGCCGGTCGAACTCTGTACAATGCCAGTGCTGCAAAAAAAAAAAAAAAAAAATCGTAAGCAACGATCTCCCCAAGCTAGAAATCACCAGACGCCATGCATACTTCTGATCGATCGCCTCCATAAACTGCCCGATGACCAGAGGAACACTCTGTATCCGCTTGATCTCCTCCTGTGCTCGCACCAACTCCCTCTTCAAGCTCCTGTATAGATCATGATAGTCAGCTACAAAACCATTTCCTTGCATCATCGCGCTGTGGATCCATGCCTTTGCTCATCCTTGATGTATTCCTCCTGCAGTTGGATGTACCTAAGTCGGAACCGTCAGCACCGACCGACCACTGGATTTGACCACCTTGATCCAACATACTCGAGGTGTCTCTGCAACTTCTTCAGGGTAGCATATTCATCGTTCCCGTCCGTTCCTGTGCCTTCCAAGGATTCCAAGTTGGCAAGGTTGTCCAGTGCACCCGGCTTGGGGAAAGGCGTGACGCTCGCCGGGTTCTCCACGGCAACGTCTCCCATGATGGGCTTTCTGGGTAATGGGTGAAATAAGAAGAGCTAGAGGATTCAAGGGAGATGAATCAATCGACGTGCTCGGGGGAAAGGTTCGTGGAAGGCGTGTGCTACGAAGGGCTTGGAGGCCAGCCGGGGAGCTTTGGATGACAATGGGAGCTCGTTTGATCACGTGATGTATTCGATCATCCGGTGTTTCTCTGTTCTCTTTTCTTCTTTTTTTGTTCGATTCGAGAATAGTTCACACTCAACCATGGCTCGGTTCGATTGTACCCTTCATCACTGCCGATGGCATACAAGTCTGGTTTCGAGAAAGATCCCGGGTCCAGCATCACCAATCCAGCGATGATGTGTGGGCAGAATATATTTCTCCACACAACCCGTCATATTCACTAGCGACTCCCCCTTCACTGAGTACTTGGCCATGCTTGGATGTCCTTTCGAGTGTATCTCTACGTCAGAAAGGGTGATAGCATCCAGTCCCGGGATTGCGTGTTAGTGATTTGTGGTTGGGAAGACGATGCGGTCCAAGGCCATGGATCAGGTCCAACCGAAGCGCAGCATCCCCAGGGAAGAAAGAATGACATATATTAATATTATTAGATTATTAGACTGTGGGGGGCAGAAATCATTCGCCCCATCCCTCTTCTTTCAGCCTTCTAGTCTCTTGCGCAGAGACACAGATACTGGAAAGGAAGATCGGTGGAGCAGGCCCCGGCAGATGAGAGGTGGGACAGTGATTTACCACGATCGAGTCGGATCCTTGCACGGGGGGGAACTGGGTCTGCCCTTGGCTGTTTCTGTCATTTGCAGTTGAGGCTTGTATTATTTATTATTTATTATTTATTATTTATTAGTATTTTTCTGAATATCGGAGGATTGGGCGCACTTTGACCTGATTATCAGACGCTAGCCCCAGGCTGTATATAAGGAGATCCCTCACCCGCTAGGACTTTGGAGACTCATTACCTCTACCGTATTCTTCTTCTTCTTTTTCTCTGCTACCTCTACCAGGGTCGTCCTAGGTCATGACACCGTTTTCATGAGTTTTTCATTCTCATTATTCTCATGATTGACAGTACTACGCCCCAGAGTATACCCAGTCTAACCCGACTTGGCGGAGACCGTTGGAATGGATCTTCATTTATTTCAGAGGGATTTTAATTTCTGTCTCTTTCTCTTTTCTCCTTTTTTTTTTCTCATGAACTCTTTGTTCTCTTCCTTCTTTTTGGTTATTATTATTTCTCTTTCACGGTGGTTGGACATGAGCCTAATGTCGCTGGCCGGAACCCGCCCTACACTAACAGGACACAGCCAACTGGAAATCTTCAAACAAACTCCCCCAAAATTATGGGAGAAACAAATATGCAAAGAAAGAAAATAAACTAAAAGAATTCATCAGAGAAAGAGAACAGAAAAAAAAAGAAGAAAAAAGAAAGAAGGAAAAGAAAAAAGAACTAACCCAAGCGTCACTAATACAGTATTGGGGGAGTACCGGAACCGGCGCCCCCCCCTTCATACTGTACGAAGTCTCTGACTTGTTTCTCTCAGTATTTTTCACCTTTGACTGCCTCCACTTCCCATCCCTAACTGAACGGCTTTTTCCTGTGATTTGGAGGTGTGTTTTTTAATTTCTTTTCTTGGACTCTGATTGATCCATTTTCTTTTCCCCTTCTTCCTTTCCTGCCCCTTTCCCCAGTCTTTTCTCGTTTGTGGCCACGCACACCCCCATTCTTGCCGGTGCCCACTGCGCCTGTCTCCCTTGATTTGTCCTATTTTATGCTTTTATGATTGATGGTCCTGAGCATCCTTAGATGAATTTCTCTTGGTCTAAGACATCGCACTTGACGATCCGCTAATGGTGCCCCAGTTCTCATCTCACCCCCCCCCTTCTTCTTTCTGTCCCCCTTGACGGCCTGCCCGTGTTTGGTGGCCTCAGGCTCCCAACCACGTGATTCTCACCAACACTCCCCCATCTGCGATTCCCGGAGGCCTCAGTCATCCGCTCGCAATTCGGAATTTTAGTGAAGCCTTGTCGGTATGTACCTGATTTCCCCTTTGACCCTCCCCTCCCTTCTGTCCATCCCAACCTTCCACTTTGAAAATGAACCGTTCCCTTCCCCACTGTCTTCCAGACCGTGTCGCGACCGGGGCAGGCGCGCGACCCGGACCCTCAACAATCCAACCTTACGCGTTTTCATGGTTTTGAATCCTCCCATGACCGGACTATATCTCTATACATTGTCATGATGGGAAATAATTGCGTGTTGATGCTACAATATTTCAATGATGGCGCGTGGGTCAGTTGTACGCAGACGCTGACCGGCTCTTCTGGGCAGATGGGTTGGAAAAACCGCTCGACATGAACGCCTGGCTCACCGACGCCTCGAATCTCCCTGGCCAGGATAATGGGGCCTTTCACCCATCCACTATCGACCCCTCTGCCGCTTTCCTCCACACCTCCCCGACTCCCCAGGACCCCAACCAATTCCAGCGCATGTTCAATGGCGTGCCGCGGAATGCCTCACCGGGCTTCCACAACCCAAACCAGGTGATTCCGTCCAAGCGACCACGACCCGAGGATGGGATGCCCATGTCACCGCGCCCAGCACCGGGCGTGACGGGATCGCGCTCCCAAACCCCACACCAGATGCCTTACCCAGGTTATCAGGGGCCAACCAACGGTGCTGCGCAATTCCCTCAACATCCCACCCCGTATCAACATCTTCAGCAAGGAGCGTCGCCCAATGTGACCCAGTCTCCCATCATGCAGGACTTTGACCAGCAGAGCGTTCGCATGGGAACGGCCTCTCCAAGTCCCTTCTCGCCCGCGGGTCCGCATGTTGGTCCTCATATGTCACCGTCGCAGTCGGATCACGGTAGCCGAGTGAACACGCCACAGAACAACTTCATGCCGCAGGGCTTCCCGCAAGGAATGGGCGCTCAATTCCAACCAGGACCGGGGATGACCACGGCAGCCTCCCAACCGTCGATGCAGGCGCCGATGAGTGGCATGCAACAAGTACCTCAAGGATACCATCAAGCATTGGCATCCCAACAGCAACGACTGCATGCCATGCAGATGCAGAACCAGAACCGGCAAATGAATTCCAATCCGGTAATGGCCGGACGGCCGGTTCCTAGCGGCATGAACCCCATGGCAAATCCTCAGCAGATGGCGGCCATGAGGCAAATGCAACAACAGAACATGGCGAAGCCCCCCAATCCAGAAGGATTCATGCGAACCATTCAAAAATTCATGATGTCGCGAAACCTTCACATGGATCCCAATCCGATTGTCAGCGGCCGTCCGATTAACCTGGTTCAATTGTATGCGACGGTCATGAAGATGGGGGGATCGAAGAAGGTTACAGCGATGAATATGTGGCCAGCAGTCGCGGCGCAGATGCAGTTCCCCCAAGTGCAATTTCCCATGGCGGCTCAGGAGATTCGGGAGCACCACCAGCGGAATTTGGCTCCCTACGAACACGCATTCATCGCATCCCAGCAAAAGCAGTATGCAGATCAGATGCAGCAAGGTGGGATGCCGCGACAGCCAAGTGACCCATCGGGGATGCAGTTCCAATCACCCTCGGTGAAGCCCAGTCAAAGCTTCGAGCAGCCCCAGTCACTCGCGCCCTCACCCCAAACCAATACCCCCGTCTCGAACAATGCCCAAGCAAATCCCGCCAACGGATTCGTAACGCCGACTCAGGCTCGAAGCCAAGGCAAGCCAGCCCAGCACGGGCACCGAGCCAGTGTTTCACGCCAATCGCAGTCATCGGTTCCCCCGGCGGACGTTACGGGACAGTTTCCTGCACCTTCCGCATCGCAACCGGGGAAGAACGCCGCACCAACACCTGGCCAGCAACCGGGACAGCCAGATCAACAGTCAGAGCAGCCACTGAAGCGGCCCATTGAGGATTCTTTCAAGCCCACAGTTCTGAAAGAACACCGTCTGCACGGGCCCATCGCTGTCGGTGAAATGTACCAGCTTGGGGAGGATATCACTAGGCTAAAACCTGACGTTCCCAGTTATCTTGAGCTGGGTTTGATTGACATACATGCCCTGACGATGAGCCTCAAGTCTGGAATTCATGCCGAAATTCGTGTGGCTTTGGATACCCTCGCCACCCTCTCCTGTGAGCCGGCGATCCAGCTTGCTCTGGAAAATTGTGATGATCTGGTCGAGAGCTTGATTGACTGTGCCGAAGATCAAGCAGACCTGTTGACTGAACACACCCCGGAGGAATCTGATGTCATGCGTTTACGATCGTACGAAGAGGTCACTCGCGGGTGCCAGTCCGAATTCACATCGCTCACAGACCCTCCCGAGTTTGGAAGCTTGGCCTACGAACTTGACCGGGCCGTGGACCGATTGATTTGCATCGCTACCATTCTGCGCAATTTTTCGTTCAGCGAATCGAATTTTGGGGTGCTAGGAATGCCCTCGGTTACTCAGCTCCTGTCCACCATCTTCTACAACATGGGCACTCGCACCCTGTTTCTGAGAAGCCACCAGAACACGTTGGATTTCATGAAGGATGCAGTGATCTTCATGAGTAACCTGGCTCACGTCCTCCAAATACCCGGGAAAGATGAGGCACTGCATTTGCTAAATTTCCTTCTTGCCTTTGCGCCGTCACCCGTACCTACGGCGACACCTGACAAAGTGATGTTCACTACTTTCAACTCCAACATTCACCGATATACGCCCTCTGCTGTCGATGGTCTCGCTAAACTACTGGCGCGAGATGACCCAAATCGAACTTTTTTCAAGGCTATCTTCTCTGGGGATGGTGCTGCCCCTCCACAGCCAGAGCTGCTCACCCGCACGTTTGGCCTTGCGATTTCCTCGGTGCCTGATAAAAAGCCACTGGCGGTCGCCGACACTCGCAAAGTCTTTTTGATACAAGGCCTTCTGGCCGCTGATGTCTTAACTACTTTTGCCGACGGCTCTCTCGCACAAGCGTGGCTCGAGTCTGTAGATGGTTTTGCAATCCATCTCCTGAGGCTTTCCTGCGCGCTGTGTACGGAACGCATGCCCCAAATTACCATGCGACAACGAGGGGGGCAAACTGAGGCTGATGCCTATGCATTCAACTCGATCATCAACCGTGGATTGGCTATTCTACGCCGGCTCGCTGAAAAAACCAAACAAGCAGACAGTGCCTCCCCCCTCAGGCTTCCTTCGGGGATTCTTCCTCGGAAAGAGAGCCTTCTCGGGGCCTTGCTACTCCCGACTGTCGACCCCGCTGTTGTGCGCCAACTCATTACCTATTCTCGGCTTGCAGAGTGATGCTCGAGTCTTTATATCGGTGACGAATTGTCCGTGGACTCGTTCTTGGGTGAAGGCGTGGGCGCTTTACCCGTAGCCTGTACGACAATTTTGATTTCTGTCATGTCATTTGTATTCATGTCTCCCATAGTCAATTCTTTTGTGTCTGATTTAGGCGCCGGTGGAAAAGGGGAGGGGTTCTGTTTATCTTTCTATCTCTTTGCCTCTTTTTTTCCCCCTTGTGAGATAGCGTCCCGCCTCTTGTTTTGAAGTGTACAATGCTCAAAATACCCTCGACTCATGAGACCAACCATGCATGATGTCTGGAAGGGTACTTTCTGGATTCAAGTATCCAACCCCTCTTGGAGATAGTAGACTATATTGCAAGCGGCCGATATCTAGATGACTGCAGAGTATTACATCTACTCGTTTTCCTTGACCAGCTACAGGACCATTGAAAACTGGAGGAAGATCAACCGTTTCAGGGACAGGACTAAAAAGACCAGACCCATTAAGTCATTGAACATGTACGAGTAGGAGTAGGAATGGTACAAGGGCGCAAGAGAAACAGACCAAAAGGACATGCACGCCAGAAGCCAGAACCAAAGAGAGACAACAAGGCAAACAAAAAAGCATGCAAATAAAGAGAATATAACGAATCACCCCATGAAATTAAAGAATACACCAAGAACAAAAGACAAAAGAGGGGAATCGAGGGGAAAGAAATGGGATATCAGACCGGTACTTTTGTGAGGGGTTTGGCCTGTCTTTTTGGATCTGCTTTTGTTCTTGCTTCCACGCGGACTGAGAGCTTTTCAAGTCTCCCTCAGCCTTCGGAGGTGGATTTGTTCAATGCTTTATTTTTCTGGTCCCAGCCTTTGACCACGACAGTAAGGGGAACGGAAAAAGTCAGGTCATTTAGAAGTTGCGCTCCGTGAGGAATTTCAGAATCTCAGGTTTCCGCCAGCCCTGTATTGATTGATTAGTCTCTGAATCGCCTAGATATATATATATATATATATATAAGCTGTTGTTGAAGCCAGAACATACCTTGACAATGATATGACCTGTCAGTCGGTTGATCGAGACTCCCGGGGTTTTGGATCGAGACTCTGCAGCGTCAATCCCCAGGGTGCGCGACAGATCATTGCGTAGTGCGTCCAGATCGCCCTCGGTCTTCTGAATCTTGGTGAGCTGCTTGGTGCCACCGGCCTTGGTGACCAGATACACAGGTAGCTGGTTGGAGCCGGTTCGGCGCACGAAGTATGGGAGATTATGGAGTTGCAGCGCAGGCTTGGGGGCACTAGGTTTCTTGGTCGGGGCTGGGGGTGGAGTCACTGCTTGTTCTTTCAAAGCTTGTGCTTGACGGCGGAGCTGTGTCAAGAACGTGCGGGTTTGCCGGGTAGGGAGTATGGTCGAGGAGGAGACGGGTCGTTGAGAAGATTGGAGATGGGGGTCTATGTAGACGGGGGGTGAATTAGTGGCTGTTTGGTTTTGTATCCAACCTGGGAGATGGATGAAATGATTCGCTCCCATTGGATTCCACAGAGAGGAAAACTCAGTTATCTCAGATGTAACTTACAGCGTGCCGACATTCTTGTCTGCGGACATAATGTGGATGTGCTACATGATCGAACGGAAGCCACGGAGTGTGAAGTGAGCCGAAGAGGAGTTGTCGTGGACTGCATACGCACGGCCGAGACCGAGGCTGATGGAAGCAGAGACGCCATTGCGCGTCCACAGGAAGCAAGAACGGAAGGGGGAGAGAAAAGACTCGACGGAGTAGCGCAGAGCAGAGCAAAAGCAATCAAAACGAAACGCGCAGGTTTCTCTCGGGTTTCTGCCACCGCCTCCCCAATAGGGCTAGCGTCACACCCGCCCGCACAATCTGCAATTTCTCCAGCGGCGGTTCTTTGTGCTCGTTTTTCGTGTCTCTCTTTTTCCGTTTCTTCTTCTTCACCACACCCGTCATGGCAGCCAACGCCCCTCCCACCGCAGAGACCCTGCTCAGCGGCGCTGCTGCTCATCCTCCCAAGACCGCCGAGGAGATCGCTCACCAGTATGATCTGCTGCCCCGATTGATCCCGTATCTCGACCGTCACCTGGTCTTCCCGCTGCTCGAATTCAGCGCGGGCACCGACGAGGAGGACAAGGAAATCACCCGGGCCAAGTATGAGCTTCTCAAGCACACCAACATGACCGACTATGTCGCCAATCTGTGGAAGGAAATGAACGACTCCGACTCGATTCCCGACGAGTTCGTCAAGAAGCGCGAGGAGGTGCTGGCAAAGCTGCAGCACTACCAGGACCAGAGCGAGAAGATCACCGAGCTGTTGCAGGACGAGGATGTCGTGGGCAACCTGCGCAGCGACAAAGCCGCTAACTTGCGGTTCCTCGAGGAGCAGCACGGCGTCACCAACGAGATGGTCAACAGTTTGTTCGACTATGGCCGATTCCAGTACAGCTGCGGTAGCTACGGCAATGCCGCCGAGCTGCTGTACCAGTTCCGAGTGCTGTCAACCGACAACGACAAGGTGGCCTCTGCCACGTGGGGTAAGCTCGCCTCAGAGATCCTGACCACCAACTGGGAGGGGGCGATGGAGGAAGTGCAGAAGGTGAAGGATTCCATCGAGACGCGCCTGTTCAACAACCCTCTGGGCCAGCTCACCAACCGATCCTGGCTCATTCACTGGTCGCTATTCCCCTTCTTCAACCACGACCCCGCCCGCGATGTCCTGACCGACCTCTTCTTCTCCCCCGCCTACATCAACACCATCCAGACCAGCTGCCCCTGGGTTCTGCGCTACCTTGCCGCCGCCGTCATTACCAACCGCAGCCGCCCGCACAAGCATATGGGCGTCTATCAGAAGCAATTGAAGGACCTGATTCGCGTGGTGCGCCAGGAGGGCTATGAGTACACCGATCCGATTACCGACTTTGTCAAGGCGTTGTATGTCGACTTTGATTTCGAGGAGGCCCAGAAGAAGCTGGGTGAGGCCGAGGACGTGCTACGCAGTGACTTTTTCCTGGTGTCTGCGGCTGACGCCTTCGTCGAGGCTGCCCGTCATCTCATCTCGGAGAGCTACTGCAAGATTCACCAGCGAATCGACATCAAGTTCGTTTGGACCCACGCAACTTGACTTGAGGACATATTTGCTAACCATTTCTCAGGGACCTTTCGACTCGTCTCGGTCTCAGCCAAGACGAGGGTGAGAAGTGGATCGTCAACCTGATCCGCGACACTCGGGTTGATGCCAAGATCGACTACAAGGAGGGTACAGTGATCATGAACCACCCGCCGCAGTCGGTCTACCAGCAAGTTATCGAGAAGACGAAGGGTGCCTTCTTCCGGACACAAGTCCTGAGGTACGTTCTGCCCATCCCCATTAATCATACTTGAATCCAATCACTGACCTTTTGACCCAGCTCGGCCGTCGCAAAATGAATGTTTCATATGAGCTGATGTCGAACCCGCCTTTTGTTCTCGTTTCTTCCTTCTCGTTATGTTCCGTTTGAAAAAACCTCTTTCTGTCTGCCCATTATATTTCCAGTGATCTCACCGTGTCGACACACGGTTTCCTCGAAGGAATGGGATTCCGCGCAGAGTGGCATCCGGCTGGCGTTCTTCGGTGGTCCACCTTTTCTTTCCCAGGCTGTTTTCCAAGTTTCTCTCTTACCTCCTTTAGTCACATATTGCAGTTTCTCGTCCTCTCATCCGTCTCCCTTGGCTTTTCTTTCTTTCGTCCTTTCTTTCTCTTGTGTTGTCAGACATACTGTTTGACTCCTTTGATGTGCCATTGGCCATTTATGACCCTGGAGGTTTTGGAGGGAGGTGGAGGGCCCCAAAAGAAGCCACGAGAGGAGGCATCACACACAATCCTTTCCCTCTTTCCACAACAGCGAGGAGGGAACAAAGAAGAAAAAAGAGACAAAAAACAAAAGATACAGATGGAAAATGACTTTTGTCTAGTTGGCCTCCACACCCTGGGGACTCGGACTGATCTATGCTGTTACGAATGGTCTATAGAGATGAGTGAAGATGATGTCTTTGAATGTCCCGTTTATACCAGTTGTATTTCCATTGCGTATTTTGCCCTTTCCTAGCCTATTCAAGGAGATAGATATAGATTGGGAGTTTGGTACTGCTACTTCTCACAGATCAATCGGGTTCCCGGGTATAATCGCTGGGATAAGTGGGATAGGAAGAAGAGGGCAGTGTCTGTTTGTTCGGTTGCAATTCTACAGCTTTCTATCCACTGCATCCCGCAAAGTTTCTGGTCCTCTTGTCCTGGGTGTCTTGGAGAGGACCGGCTCTCATCCATTGGGATCGAATGTGCCCCAGGGTGGCTTGATGGTCGGAATGCAGTTGGTCCTTGAAATGTGGTGTTTCGGGAGGTTTGTTGAACGAGGAGGAACAGAGAGAATCGGCAGAAACAAACAAGGAGAGGGATAGAGAGATAGAGACTCGTGGATGGCAAACCACAAAACGAGGGTCAGAATGGGATCACAGGATCTCGGCAGCTTTCTTCCTGGGATATTTGCTAGCCGAAAGAATCCTTTATATGGGGAAGGCAAGAAGGCAGGACACTGGAACAGCATGTCACATGCTCATGCCTGGTAAATCCAGGTCCACATGGCTGGAGAGTGCACTCGGGCTGATGGGGTCATCTGGGAAATGCTTTCTCAGCGGCCGCCTCTCGAATCTGGCTCTGTTGGACGCCTGCGGGCGCGGGGTTGATCCACGGGGATGATTTCGTTGATATATGGTTCTGATGACTGCCGCGTGGATCCCTCGCTGCTGGAACTGGAGCTGCTGCTGTGGTGGGTCATCCGGAGAGCTTCCTGTCTCTCGTAATCCCGGGACATGGCTGCGAGATCTTCAATTTGTTCCTGTTGGGCGTGTCAATTGAAGTTCTTGCCATTTTCTCTCTTCTTTTCTCAAAATTCTGTGCAGTAAAATGTACAGAGAGAGAGAGAGAGGCACAGACCCGCGTGATAGGTACTCCGACAATCAGATAACCTTCGCGCCCCTTGGAGCAAAAACCGACATCTGGTTACAGCGGGTTAACCGTGGCGTGTAGCGGGAGCCATGGCCTGATATACCTGGTAGCTATATGGTCTGACGGACGCCGACGGTCCGAGGAAATAATGGATGTGTCCGAGGACAATGTGCCGGGACAGTCCATAGCCCGGGAGCCAGTATTGTTGAACCCGTGACATGGCTGAGGAAGCCAAATATAGAAACGACAAAGAGAAAGAGGAGAAGAGAAAAACCCGGAGGTTAGGGCCAGAAAGCGCAGTTCCCTAGCCCACGCTTGGGATTTGATATTGGTCGAGCCCGATACAAAGAGACCGGATGTGGATGCGTGCTGCGGGACTTTTGATCTCTCTTTTTGCCCTCAAGGACAACACTCAGGGTATTAATAACTCGGTCCTTATCCCGTTCCCGCCCCTTTGGTCTGCAGTCGAAAGCAACCTTCGTCGGGAGGGAGAGAGCGAATGAAACAGGCCTCAGCCCGAGCTGCAGTTCTGTTTTCCTGATCCTTCGACGGAAATGATCTCACAGGTTTGTCTTTCTTCTTTTCTTTATTTTTCTTTTTTTCGCCCGTAGAGACAAGACACCCCACGATCCACAGACTCCTCGATCCCCAAACGGGCAAATGAAATCCAGCCCTGGGTCACGCACTGGAGAAAACCTCCCGGCGAGTCTCCACACAGTACAGGACGGATGGAAGCAAAGGAACGGAGTTTGCCAGAGACACACACGGCATCCGGCTCCTCCTTCCTCTCAGTGCCTCCAGCTGGCGAGGAGGATTCATGCCGGAAGTGTTCGGGGGACAAGAAGAGGACGGCCGCCTCACTTCATCCAACAACGAGGTCCAACCCTTTTGGTTTCTCCATACCAGATTGGACCATCTCACAGACGCGTTGGCCTGCCCTGCATTGCTTCGGCCACTACCGAAGCTGGGCCCACTGTCAAAGTGAGGCTTGCTGGGGTGACGCACCAGTCTCGAATGGAAGACGCTAGGCTTCTCCGAAAAAAATGAACACAGAAAAAAGAAAATTGGGTATTTCTGATTTTGTAGGGGAAAAAGAAAAAGAAAAAAAAAGGAATAGCACAGTATGACTGGTCTTCGAAGGCCTGTCAATGCTTCCATTGCAACCGGTAGGCCTTCACCGCAGTTCTCCGGTCATGCAGCGCCAATTTGGCTCTTGCTGCGCTGGTGTCGTGGCACCACGGATGTTCGTCTTTGATCGCGGGGCCAAGTAAAGCTGCAGGAAGAAGATATGCATCTCTCGCTTTTGGGAGGTGGACCTTGCTCGGCTTGCAAGGGGATGGCGGATGGCTTTCGATCCATGCTGAAACACATGGCCAGGAATCGCATGGGTTCGACTAGAGCGATTTCCTCCCGAGGGTGTTTTTTCATGTAGTGAAACTATCCCGAGGTCCATCTGGCGTTCCTTTTGTCCTGGAAATGAACAGTGGGTGTGTTGTCTAGTCAAGGAGAATTGGAGAGGAGAGAAGTTGGTTCCCAGCAGGAGAGAAAGAGAGAGGGGTTGCTCCAAGACCACGCTACAAAACACATGCTTCATGTATTATTCTCTAGTCTTTTTTTTTTTCTCATAATTCATCCGACATCACAAAATCACACAACTATCTCCCTACTCAGGGGGCACGTAGGGCTGGGCCAGCATGTTGCTGAACTTCTCTAATTTCTCCTTCCCACGCACCTCCTCAACCAACAATGGCATGCGCACGACGTTGAAGTCCTCGTACAGCTCCTCGATTTGCTCGAGGTACTTCTGCTGCATCTTGCGGCGCGCATTGCACTGGTCACAGTTGCTCCCCTGTTTGGGGAACAGCAGCTGGTTGACGACGATGGAATGCGTGTCGATGCCGTAACTGGCCAGCTCCTGGATCATGCGCTCGGTCTCGTAGAGCGACAAGAACTCGGCGATGCATACACACACAAATGTGGTCATGTCCGCGTCCTTGAACTGCGAGTTGACCTCGCTGATTGTCTCGCGCAGCGACTCCATCTTCTGCAGCAGCTCATCCATGTTCTGGCCGCCCGGCAGCCCACCGCGCGCACCCAGGATCGAGTTCAGCATCGGCCCGAACTGGGACGAGAGCTGCGAGAGTTTGGCGAGTGCCTTCTCCAGCACCGTGGGGAATTGGAGGAAGCGGAGCGTGTGGCCGGTCGGCGCGGTGTCGAACACAATCACCTCGTACGAGAGCGACTTGACCTGCTTCAGGACTTCGGCAAAGGACATGGCTTCGTCAACACCGGGGATCTATTTGTCCACGACAGAATCAATATTAGCAATCTTGTAAACCATTCGCCATAACACCAGCGTCGGCACTCACGCTAAACGCCAGGTCCTGCATCATGTTCCCCATGCCCAGTCCGGCCATGGGGTCTTCGCCTTGCCCCTCGCCGCTCGCCAGAAGATCCTGGATGCTCCCGTTGGGGTCGATCTCCATGGCGCTGAGGTTGGTGTAGCCATCGATCAGGCGGGCCTCCTTGCCGAATTTCTGTCCAAAGGCATCGCTCAGGTTGTGGGCGGGGTCGGTCGAGATGAGCAGCACGGACTTGCGCACTTTGGCCAGCTGGATGGCGAGCGAGCACGAGGTAGTGGTTTTCCCCACTCCGCCCTTGCCTCCAACGAAGATCCAACGGAGAGTGTTCTGGTTAAGGATTGACTGAAGCGTTGGCTCCATGTCGAGCTCATCGCTCGGGACCACGGCGGAGGACATTGGGATGGGGTGAAGGTGACGTGGGGGAGGTTTCAAGGAAACAAACGTCAAGACGGAGAAGACGCCCCGCAATATCGAACGTTCCGGAAATCACACAACATCCAAGGGGAAGAATTGGAGGGAGTGATAGTTCTATGCCGCTATGGGTAGAAATAGATTTAGTGAAGATATCGAAATATCTCAGGATTCCCCTCCATGGATTTTGTACCATCCACTGTTTAGCGCGCCAGTGATCAAGCTGGCCTGTTCGCCACCTCAACAATCAACTCCCTACAGTCTCGCAATGTCCAGTCGCGAGAGCACGTCGATCAGTCTACCTGTCGAGCTCTATCATCACATCCTTAGCTACTTCAACGAGTTTGATTTTCAGACGCGGCAGGCCACTCTGGTAGCCTTATCGTCCTCTTCCAAAACGCTACGACGTATCGCACAGCCATATCTGTACACTCACCCCCGAGACCTGGACACCGCCGAGCGACAATGGAAATTCCAGCTGGCCCTACTTGCTGAGCCTCATCGAGCGATCCTAGTGCAGTCCCTGCAGCTGCTCTGGCTTGCCGAAGGTGTGAACAGCGGGTTATTGATCGATATCGTTCGCTCGAGTCCACATCTCAAATCGATGCTCCTCGAGCGCGGGGAGAAATATCGCGATTCGAACAGAATCACATTGCAGGATGTGGAGGATCTGGCCAGTTTGCTGGACGCATGCTCTGAACTCATCTCTTTCCGCTACACAACGATGCTAGCATGGACCTTCGAGGACGCCATGCACGAGGGAGACGACGCCATCAATGGCGAAGTGAGGACTGCACGGCTCGCCCAACGGCTCAATGATACACGCTTTGTATCAGCTGCGCGACGTTTGACGGAATTGTCTTTGCACAACCAAGCCGAATGGATTGCCCAGGCTCTCTTGCCCTTTACCTCATCCAGACTGCAGTCTCTGTGCTTAGGCCCAGACCTTTCGCTTGCATTTGATCGCAATCTTCTTTGCAATTTGGCTGGTCACAGTCCCTTCCTTGAATCCCTCAGGATTCGATCAAGCGTGCGGATCCACGATCTCATCCAGGCGTGCAAGGCATGGGCGCCGACCCTTCGCGTCCTACAGGTCATCCTGGTCAAAGACGATGAAGGGCTTCCAGCGAGGATTACAGGCATCTTCCCAACGATGCCGGTATTACAAGAATTCTATCTGGGCGCGGGGTGCTACACGACGATTGAAGCATTCGGAGCCATTGCCCAAACGCTTGCCGCATCGCCCATCCAATATTTCACAGTTCGAAATCTACAAGGCCTCGTCAATGTAGACGATGAGCTTGCGGCCTCAACGCAACTCAATAACGCAGTCTGCCATCTGGTCCGCTCATGCTCGGAAACGCTGCAAACCCTGGAGCTCAAGCGCGGCGATTCTCAAGTCGGACGCAGTGTGCTGCACGCCTGCCAGGAAGCCCGGAATCTGGTCCGTCTGCTCGTTTCTCCACTGACGGATGTTTCTCCGCTGGAGAATGTCGTGCCCTCTGATCTCGATGACCTTTTACACACATGCCCGGCGCTTTCTCAGATCCCGGCGACGCTACTCGGAATCTCATCGTGTCAGGAGTTGTGGCACGAGCGCAGCAGATCATTAGAGAAGCAGGAAGAAGAGAACAGGAAGAAGGACCAGGGGAATTGGGGTTTGGGCTGTTACAGCCGGTGGAGTAACTGGAGCAATTTGGCGTGCATGCCATAGATGGTATTAGACGATTTTTTTATTTTATTTTATGGACAGTGTAAATAGACGGGAGATTATGAGAATTATCTCGATTCGCAAAGGAACATGAAATTCAAGCGTTTTTAACAAAATCTTCATGAATGTGTAGTTATCACTGCAAGAGGGCAGAACATGGCATCCTCCGCAATCCATCGGTGTCCTCCGATGCCACGCGCCCACACCACGAAAAGGCAGTTCTCCCCTCTCAATTCACTATCTCCTTTACTTACTCTCTCTCTCTCTCTCTCTCTATAGATATATATACATATCTATCTATCTATCTCAGTCTGAATGGAAATCTCCCACCAAGACTCCGAGAGCCGCATCACCAACCGCCTCGCGCTCTTCCAGCACCACCTCACCCACGCCCTGCCCCTCTCCGCACCTCGGCCCACCAAACAACCACCCACCACCACCATGGCCACGCGCGACCCCATTACCTGCCACGTCCTCAACACCCTGACCGGGACTCCCGCTGCCAATCTCCCCGTAACATTGACACTGCTCTCCCCGCCGGCGTCTCCCTCCAGCCCCGTCGCTTTCCACGCAACCACCAACGCCGACGGCCGCGTCGCCAACTGGACGCCCGTGGGCTCAAGTTCGGCCTCGACCTCGGAGACAGTCCCCACACTCCTAGCCTCGCTGCCTGCCGCTGATAGCAAGACGCATTGGGCTGTGCGCTTCGAGGTCGGGCCCTGGTATGAGGCCCAAGGTATCGAGAGTTTCTGGCCTGAGGTCGAGGTCAAGTTTACGGTCAAGGGTCGTGGCCGGGAGGATGAGCCTGGGTGGCGCCATTATCATGTTCCTGTGTTGTTGGGGCCATGGAACTACTCTACGTATCGGGGATCATGAGTAGACTGTTATCTAGTTTTTTTTTTCAAACTACTAAGAGCATTTCTTCCATGGGGACCGTTGTATATAGTTTTTGATGAGATGCGTGGTATAGAAAGCATAGTAGACACTATTTTACACTCACTTGGCTATCATTTTTCTAAAGGTGATTTCACTTCCAGTGTGTTAGTAGAACAAACTCTGTTTGAAAAAATAAAAAAAAAATTGACTATCTAGAAGTGGTAAGACCATAGACTGGGCTAAAGTATTCGAGGCTCTCGAGGTAGTTCCCAATATTATCCAGCTCCAAGGGTTGAATAAACAAGTATTTGAAGTCGTGATTGGAAATAGGAATAATTTAAAGTTCCTGAAGGAAGCTATGCTTCCGCCACTTTCAGCGCTAGGACTAATTCTATAAGGCTGGTTTTATAAGGAACTCGTTAGACTATATTATATAGAACCTGGTTCGTTTAAGATCGTCGATCAAATTCGCTATTGAAAAGAATCCTTATAAGTAAATAGAAAAATAACTTAAAATTATGATATATGCCTTAAACCCAATACTTAATCGTAATATAGCCCACGAGGCTCAAATAGCATATGGAGTACGGTAGATGGAGACACGTTCGAATGGAATAAGGGGGGAACCTCCACACGGGGGGCTGTTTGCAGTCAATGCCCTTGCGTAAACAGTTCCAAGTACCAGTACACTCCTTGAGTTATTCCCATTCCAGTCGTGATCAGTTTTTGGATTTTCTTTGTCTGATCTGATTTTCTGTGAATTGAGTCCAACATGTCTAGAATTTAATCGATACCGAGCCAACATAGAGAGAACGACTCGGAACCAGGGATGTATAGAGTCAGGTGACCCCCTACTGGTTCTGAATACCAGATATTCACGCTGTGGACAGTTCAGTATATCCCACGGTTCCAGGTTATCTCTGGCATTTCTTAGTAATCTCACCAATCACATTGCATAGGAACGAGTCCAATGGCAGCATGGGTTGGATGGATTGCGTCATCGAGTGGAGACTCACCGCATTCCTTGGCCCCGACGCGGGCCCCTGAGTGGCTGCGCTCGCAGATTCTTGCGTCGTCACTGTGATCTCATTATTTGGTGGAATTCTGGTGTAAAACAAAAGTGATCGTAGTGATAATCAGACGAAGATGAATCCTGTCGCATGAGACTGCCCAGATCTGATTTATAGATGTAATCAATTGATTTTAAATGACTTTGAATGTCCTCGGCTGAGGAGCTGTAAGGGCTGCAGCCCGGCTGAGACTTTCACAATTCCTTGAAACTTTGGAAACATTGGAAACATTGGAAACCCCAGACACTTCACGGTTAATTGCACAAAAGTGGTTTACTTTGAGTATTTTTTCTTTCTTTTGCAATTTGCCAGAAAAAAAAAAAGAAAAAAGAAAAGAACGGAAAAGGAAAGAGACAGAACCCGAAACCGAAAAAAGACGCGACAAACCACAAGTTACCCCGGGACGAATGAGAGAAAATCTGGATTTCCACTGAAAATTTCGTGGATGGTACATCTTACCGTACTGTAAAGTACTCATAAAGGCGACCCCCCTAAATCTCCGTCATTCTCCCCTCTACGTCACTCTTGCTCTTTTCATCTTTTTTCTCCTCTTGTTTGCAAGCCACCTTTTCAAGAGACGGACTGATGTCTGCTGCGGTCGCTCCAGTGTCGAGCATCTCGAATACTTTGACTTCATCCATGGATTCGAAAAAGAAAGGTTAGCTTTTTGTGCATTTCGACACATTCCCTTTCAAACATTCTTGGTCTTTTCTTTTTCCTTTTTCTGCCCCATTTCTTTCCCCCTGTCGCGCGTTTATACTAAAGGTTGTTGCGTCCCCCCCCCTTTTGGCTTGGTAATACACGTTTTGATGATCTCACACCTGGCGTCATCGAACTTCCCTCTCCCCCCCCCATTCCACCCTCTCACACCCTATCGCTATGAAGGGCCCAACTACTCGTTCTCAGATCCCCGGTACCTTTGCGCTGTCGCATTTGTTTCAAGTGGCGCGTCTATGCTGACTCGACCTAAAACAGACTCGCAGGCCGCGTCTTCAGAGACCAAGGACCAAAAATCCGACGTAGACACCCAGACCTCGTTGGCGCCTCCTCCCCGACCCGCGGCCGCCACGGCTAATGATACCCCCGACTACTTCAACTCGGTGCATAACCCCTTCTCCCTGGAGCCCAATCCATTTGAGCAATCCTTCGGGGGCAACTCGGGCGAAACCCCTGGCAAGTCCCTGCTGCCGCCGGTCGCGGCGCTCACCTCTCCTGCTTTGCCTGGATCCAATTCCGCCAACGGTTATAACTGGTCCAATTCCCTGCGCTCGGGGCCGTTGAGCCCGGCGATGCTCCCGGGGCCGACTGGCTCGAATGATTACTTCGACAGCATCGGCAGAGGCTTCCCCACCCCGAACGAGTCCTCCCTCCGCACCGGACTGACTCCCGGCGGCGGTGGGTCAATGTTTCCGGCGCCCAGTCCAAACTCACAGGCGTTACTACAGCAACTTCAGAGTGGTGGCGCGACCCCCTCGACGATCGAGTTCCATCGCACCGCCTTGGCTGCAAAGAAGAACAGCGGCAACGCTCCCACGTCGAACCCCAACGAGCAGGATCAAGGGGCGAACGCGACCATGGACACCAAGGGCGCTCAGCCTGCTGCGGCGGATCCCTTCACTCAGCATGATGCCGCTGATGCCGCCAATGGACTGTTTATGTTGGCCAAGGGTGGCCAGACGAACAACATGCAAATGAACCAGATGCAAAACGAGACCCGCGCGGCTGCTGCCCGACGCGTGTCTCAGAACACCAACGGAACCAGTGGCCAAGAACTTAGCGGTGATGGATCGGACCAGGAACCTGCCAGACCCGCCAAGGGTAAGGCAAAGAAGAATGCTCCCAAGGCTGCCACGGCCGCCAACAACCGGCGCAAGGCCGAGGATGCTTCCAAGGGACCTAACAAAAAGGTCAAGATGAATGGACCGAGTAGCGTGGAGTCGCCGTCGGACATGGAGAACTCCGATGACGATGACTTTAAGGGCAAGGTCCCGATGGATCCGAAGAAGATGACTGATGAGGAAAAGCGACGCAATTTCCTGGAGCGGAATCGGTATAGTTGCCTTTCCATATCTTCCTGCGCTAGGTTTCGACCATTGCTAACATTCAATTCTTAGTGTCGCGGCTCTGAAGTGTCGTCAACGAAAGAAGCAATGGCTGGCGAACTTACAGGCCAAGGTCGAGCTCTTCACGACGGAGAATGATGCGCTCACGGCCACTGTGACCCAGCTCCGAGAGGAAATTGTTAACCTCAAGACACTCCTACTGGCGCACAAGGACTGCCCAGTCTCCCAGGCCCAAGGTCTCGGGCCTCTGATGATGAATGGCATGTCCACCGGGTTTGACCCTCACGGGTACAACGTGCCGAACAACATGGGCATGCAGCCCGGTGCACCCATTCCCGCCCAGGGCATGCGCCGCTAAATGCAGCGACATATACGGACTTTTTTTTTCCCCGTTAATCTTTCTTTCTTTTCTCTTGTCAGTCCGGGTATACCCCTATCTTGCTTTGCCACGACACACGGGATACAAGTCCGTTGCTTAGACTCGGCGGTTGCTCTCCTGAGGTTTTTCTTCCCACGCGGTTTTTCTTTTGGCTTCGACTCTACCGAACTTTGGCATGGACAGGTGTTAATGATCCACACGACTCAAAAAAAAAAATTGGGGCTGATTACCGGTGATTTGGAACGGATGAAATTGAGTCTTTTTTTTTTTTTTTCGTTCAAGGGGCGATCAATTCGGCGTACGCGATATGCTTTTCTGATGCTTTTCTTCCGGGTCACTTCTGCTTGTTGCCTGTTCTCTTCTCCCCTGTTATATTCTTTTTATCTCTTCTTCACCCTCATCTCTCTTTTAATTTCCCTCTGATGCTGTTTGTTTTCGAAGGGTTTTCTCTCTTCTTCATTTTGCCCCTTTCGCTTGTCTAATACTTTCAAGGGCCCATGGGTGTATGCTTTTCTTCTTGTCCGGGTTGCTTGTGTCGAAATGTATGATTCCTGGGCGTCTGGGCGGCTTTGGTTTTTTTTTTTTTTTTCTTTTTCTTTTCTTCTCTTGTCTGACTAGTTTCCTTGAAATGGATGCTTGATCGAATTCAGAGGATCTCGAGTGAATGTGTAGTAGTACATGGTGCACAGCACCAGCACAAGTTAACACTCCGTCTTGGAACAGGAACCTGGGGGAAATAAAAAAATATGCGATAGCAGGATGTTAGTCGAGGCAGTTGACATGCTGAAATCTATCTCGATTTGAATGCACCCAGTGTTACAGCAGTATTTGACACCTATAGCAACCTGTCGAAACCCAAGCCAGAAGAGGTCAAAAAGCAACAATTGTATTTGTATGGTACATCGTGTCATCCATTGTACTAATTCAAAGTCTGTGATTATATTTATTCAATATTTACTACTGATTTGATTCTTGAATCTTCAGTAGAAGTATTCCTGGCTTTTATAGGTACTGAGGTACGTAGCGGCCGATAATCGATAAGAGACGCGACTTCAAACAGCCCAAACACGGCAAAGGAGACTCAATTCCTCTCGACATGCTGTAGATGCAATCTGCAACCTTTCTACGGCCCACAATTGCTGATTCTCTGTCAGGCCCAGATGGGCATGGGCCGTTAACACCCTTAGCCTGACTGCGGTCTTTCTCGCCCAACCAAATCCACCACGACAACCACCCACCACAAAACAAACCATCCACGCCGCAAGCAAGAATCAACCCCGACTCGCCCACCGAGGCGGGGGAAACGGGAAACAAAAAAAAAGACCATGTCGGCATCACCCCGGTACCCTAGTCGTCCGCGCCGCATCGACGACGCCCTCTCGCAGCTCATTGACTCCCTGACCCCCGCGCTCCCCATCTCCGCCGTCCAAGACGCCGACGACTATTCCGACGACGAAGAAGCCCTCGCTGCTGCCGAAGAACACCGCCACCATGCCTTGCTCGATCGCGCCTGGCGCGTTCTGGACACCCACGCTGGCACCAACGCCGGAGACCCCGGCTCGCCCGCGGGGCTCGGAGTGCGCCGCGGGAGTTTGGCCGGTGCCGAGAATATCAACAACGCGCCGGATCTGATCAAACGCAAGCTGCGCCGCGAGAATGCCAGCCCGGACAAAGCTGTCCGCTTCTCCAACCTCTACTCCCGTCTCCTGACCCAGCCCGTCCTCTCTCAAAAATGGGGCATCCTATACCTCCTGTACCGCTTGTCGGGCTCGGATGAATCCGCCGTCGCTGATGGCCCGGAGCGCAGTCGTAGCCCCTTGATGGAGGAAGGTCGCCTTCAAAATATGTTGGGGAGAAGCGCTTCGCGTGCTGGGCGAGGTGTCGGAGCTCGAGGGGTCGATTCGGACGATGACGAGGGTCCCGCGATCAGTTCTTCTGCCTCGCATCAGCGGCCTCTGCCAGGGACGAGAATAGAACGGCAGAGTTCGCTGCGCCAGGACTGGGACCGCGAGGGCGTGGACCAGGCGGGGCGTAGCTCGACTGAAAGAGCTGGCAATTTCGACGCAGCCACAAATGATCGGTCAAGTGAGCGTGTTCCGTCCCCACGGCCATCGACAGCGACGCCCACGGCTCCCAGCCGGTCTGCAGAATCGGTTGAGCATGGACTCTTGCGCGACCTGCCGTTTAATCTCCAAGGACTGTCCTCGACGAATGTGCAATTCCAATCCGCCTCGAGTTTGAAGCTCCCACCAAATCTACCAGCCCCGATCATTTCTCTGCTCCATGCGCTGGCGGAACCATGCTTGCTCTACAAGGGGCTGTCGGGGTTTGTGGAGAGTGAAGAAGGCGGGCTGGTGAACCAGAGCTTGCGGGCTGCCATTGCCAATGAGCTGCGGTCGTATCTGAGCTTGGTGGCTACACTTGAAGCAGAAATACGACAGGCGCTGGCCGCAATTGGAGACGCACGCGGGCCGCAGGGCGTTCGGAAGGGCGGCGTCACCTTGAAGCGATGCATGGTCTGGACAAGAGATGCTACAATGGCTCTGCGATTAATGAGTCTGATTGTGGAGGAGGCTCGAAGTAAGTGCAGGCTCTGATTCTTTCTAGTGTTTATTTTGGACATCCCAGACTAATACTAGGTACAGATAAGAAGGGAGGCCAGTTAATATCCTTGATCCATGGCTTCTCATCATCCCATGGTGATCCCTTCGTGGGCGCTTTCGCCGAGAAGCTCCTTGCGCATGTCACCCGTCCCTTTTATGATATGCTACGCCTCTGGATCTACGACGGCGAGCTGTCTGATCCTTACAAGGAATTTTTTGTCGCAGAGCCAGAATTTCGTCCAAGCACTGACCCACGACGAATTGCAACAAGCGTCTGGGAAGACAAATATAAACTAGACGATGACCTAGTTCCCTCGATCATCACACAAGACTTCGCCAAGAAGGTGTTTCTGATTGGGAAGTCATTGAACTTCATCCGGTATGGCTGCGGCGATTCCGGGTGGGTGGAGGCGTATTCCAAGGAGGCCTCCAAGGAGCTGCGATACGGCGACACAGCAAGTCTCGAAACCTCCATCGACGAGGCCTACAAGACAACTATGGCGCGACTGATCTACCTCATGAACGACAAGTTTAAGCTATTCGATCACCTGCACGCACTGAAGAAGTACCTCCTGCTGGGCCAGGGTGATTTTATTGCCCTGTTGATGGAGTCGCTGGCCTCGAACCTCGACCGTCCAGCCAATTCGCAGTATCGACACACACTCACAGCACAGCTGGAGCACGCTATTCGAGCCTCGAATGCGCAGTACGACTCATCGGATGTGCTACGCCGGTTAGATGCCCGGATGCTCGAGCTCAGTCACGGCGAAATCGGGTGGGATTGCTTCACGCTGGAATACAAAATCGACGCCCCTGTCGATGTGATTATTACTCCATGGGCGTCAACCCAATATCTCAAGGTCTTCAATTTCCTTTGGCGCGTGAAGCGTGTCGAGTTCGCGTTGAACAGTACCTGGCGGCGGTGCATGACGGGCGCGCGCGGCGTGCTGGGGAATGTGGACGACAAGCTTGGATCTGACTGGAAGCGTGCGCGCTGTGCCATCGCCGAGATGATCCATTTCGTGTGCCAACTCCAGTATTATATTTTGTTCGAAGTCATCGAATCCAGCTGGGACCAGCTTCAGACGGCCGTTGCGAAACCCGGTTGTACGCTCGACGACCTGATCGAAGCACACACTAAATACCTCAACTCTATTACGCACAAGGGCTTGTTAGGGTCTACGGCCTCTTCCTCGTCGCGGTATGGTACCTCGACCTCGGCTGCGGCCAAACAGCCCGAGGAAAGTTTCCTCAGCCAGCTCCACCAGATCCTTAAGATCATGCTGGCCTACAAAGACGCAGTGGACGGCCTCTACTCCTTCTCCGTGGCCGAGTTCACCCGCCGCCAGGAACTCAGCGCTAAGATCGAAACCCGCACCGCCCAGGGCCGCTGGGGCGTCACAGACCGTGATCTTTTCTCCAGTCGCGCTCCCAGCCGCGGCGCCGCCTCCATGGCCTCCACCCCGGACGTGCGCCCTGCTAGCGCCGGGTTGGATGGCGTTGACATACCCTTCTCGCTCTCAGCCCAGGACCTCGCCGTCGACGACAACATGTTGGCATCACTGCGCGTCCGTCTCCGCGACCTCTCGGTGGACTTTCACTCGCGCCTGAATGTCTTGCTGGGCGACTTGGCCTACCAGCCCGACGTCGATATGCGCTTCCTCGGTGTCGTCATGAACTTCAACGACGTCTACGAGCCTGTTCGTCGGCGTCGTCCCACGGGGCCCAGCTTGCGCGATAAGGAGAAGGAGAGAGAGCGTGAGCGCGCGAAACGAAAGGCTGCCGCCGCCACAGCTGCTGCGGCCGCAACGGGACCGGGAACTGAAGGCCATACACCGAAAGAAGTGCGTCGGGAGATAAAAGAGGCTGGCGTACCGGAGAAAGGGAATGCCAATGGAGCGCGCGCATAGAATTGTTGTGTTTTTTTCTCAAAACATGATACACTAAATGCGACTGACGAGATTTACGATATCTTCTTTCTTCCGGGGTCAACATTTTAGTGTTTTTTTTTTTTTTAATCATAATACCATGTAAAACATATAAAGCAGTGGTGCCGTATCAAATACCGGACAATGCCTGTTTCAATCATTCCACCTAGTGTTTCTATATTTCTCATGAATCGCCCAAGTATACAGACAAGCCGTGATTGGCGTAGAAAAGTAAACGTTCGATCATCCGGCAGAAAAAAAAAAGTGACTGCTCCGCCCAGCTCGACAGCAACAACAACTTCCATTTCAACACCCCCAATTCTGGCTCGAGGAAGCCAGCAAATTCTTGCTGCGAGAAAAGAAAATTGATTGCAAGTTTTTCTATTTTCTTATAAAATTTGCACAATCTGTGCACCCCGGTGCAAAATACCATGGCGAAGCATGGCTCCACGGAGTCGTCGCAGCACGTCCCGGCGTGGAAGAAGCTCGGGCTGAAGCTGAAGTTCGCGAAGGATCCGGTTGAGGAGGAGGGTGGGGCACCGCAGTCTTTGCTTGAACAAGAGGACGGTGTATCGGAGAGCACGGAGACCATGGAGACCAAAAAGCGCAAGAAATCCTCGGTCGATGGCGAGGGGAAGAAGTCTAAGAAACGGCGACATGGCGATGGTTCCGACAACGACGAGAAGATGAAGAAGGAGGAGAAGAAAAAGAAGAAGGGGAAAAGTGAGAAGGACCAGGGAGAGAAGCAGTCAAAGGGAAAGAAGAAGCGTGTTTCTTTTGGGCCGGGTACCAAGGACAAAGACGGCGACGGCGAGAGCGACACGGAAGGCGTTGATCGCACCGATCAAGATCAAGACAATATGGACGTCGACGCACCCAATGGCGTGGATACAGCTGCCGCCGACATAAAAGCAGACGACAAGGAGATCGAGGAAATGAAGAAGCGCAAACGCGAGAAAAAGAAGGAAAGGAAGAGCGGGGCCAACGCTGCTTCGACGAGCTCCCACATCCACGAGTCTCCGATCATGTCGTACCTGAGCCACTACCACCGCGACCGCGCCTCATGGAAATTCCAAAAGAACCGCGAAACCAACCTCTTCAAACACCTCTACTCGCTCGAACATGTCCCCGCCCAATACAATCCCGCTCTTCTGGCCTACATGCAGGGTTTGCGCGGCGACGCGGCAAAATTGCGGTTGCAACAGTCTGCCGAGGAAGTTATCAAGGCTGATATGGATCTTGGTCAAAAATCTGCCGACGAGGAGCCGGACGAACAGGAGAATGGTGCGCGCGCCGAGTACCAGCAGGCTGTGGACAAGTTCCGGGATAGCATTGCTGAGCAAGACACCGAGCTCGGGGCTGATGGGTCCGGAGAAACCTCGACGGGAGATGCGCTGAAGCGTCTGCAGAAGAGGCAGCGAGCTGAACTGGTCTTTTTTGCTGTTGCGGGAACATTGTTCAGTGCAGACAGTGTGAAGAAAGCGAAGTCTTCGCCCAGCCAGTCGGAGCCGGCTAGCAAGAAGAAGCGGAAGAACCGGACGGCTGTTGTTGATATCTCTAGCAGTGAGAGCGACAGCGACAGCGACAGCGACAAGGAAGACGCACCCACCAAGACCTCGCGCAAGGCATCGTCTCCGGACAGCAGCGACGAAAGCACTAGCAGCAGCGGGTCATCAAGCAGTAGCAGTGACAGTGAGAGCGACAGCGACTCGGACGATACATCAGAGAACACGCAAAAGGCTCCAGCGAAGAAGTCCGCGCCAGCAAACAGCAAGAACAGCACTGTTAGCGCCCAAGACAAGACTCCAGATCAAGAAAAGTCTGCTGCAACGAGTGAGTCTGCACCGAAGAAGAAAAAGCAGAAGCGGAAGATCAGAACTGCTCAGATTGAGATCTCGAGCAGCGAGAGTGATAGTGACTGAAAGGGCACGGTGGATTGTCTCAGGGCTGGGCTGATGAGATCAATCATTGATGTTGGGAACTATCATGGAGATATACTTTCTATGCATGGATCTAGCATATCGGACGGTGTACATACTTTGATTCGCCATTGTAGCTATATGGTCAAGTGAATTGCTAGCAACTCGATTACTTTATATTGAGCCATGGTATTCTTACAGCAACCTTTGGAAGCTGCATTGGCTTTGCGGTCGCACCAATCCCTCGAGTTACATTACCTTCATCCCGGATTCTACAGCACAGAAAGTTCATTGTGCCCGGGATCTGGCAATTATGCCTCCGTCGGAGCAGAGTATGGTCCAGGGTGCTTTGAAAGGGGCTGATCGGAATGAAATTCAAATTTAAAATAATGTAGAAACTGGAATCTTTTATTGAAAAGCACCAATTCAGCATTTGAAGTATTGCGTAGAGGCATAGATGAAGGCGGTGAGAGCTCACTCAAGCTGGAGCTGCGCAGGCAGCTCTGGACTGACGCGTGCCAATCCTCCATCCAATTCCCACCCGCCCGAATCTCCTTTCTATCTTTTCTTCTTTCTGGTGATTTTGCTCATAAGCAGATCCTGCCATCATGTCTGGTATCTATCCCTGATCCCCGATGCCGGAGTCGCTCCCATGACTTCATCCCCGACTGACCCTCTTCCGACTCACCAGGCTACGACCGTCATATTACCATCTTCTCCGACCAGGGTCGATTGTACCAAGTCGGTATGTACTTCCAATCCTCTCCTGCTCTGGCCTCGTTTCGTTCTGTGTTCGACCGTCCAGCAGGGTGTGCCGTCACCATGACCGCTGACCCCTCTGCGCTCCCAGAATATGCATTCAAGGCGATCACCTCGGCCAACATCACCTCCATCGGCGTGAGGGGCAAGAACTGCGCGGTGGTGCTCTCTCAGAAGAAAGTTGCCGTAAGCGAACCCCGCCTGAATCCTCTTTTATCGTGCTTCTTCTGATCGGTGCTCGCTCTCCAGGACAAATTGATCGACGCATCCTCCGTTTCACATGTCTTCAGGCTCTCGCCCTCTGTGGGCTGTGTCATGACCGGCTCGATAGCTGATGCCCGGGCCTCGGTCGACCGGGCTCGTGGTGAGGCCGCCGAATTCCGGTACAAGTTCGGATATGAGATGCCGTGCGATGTTCTGGCCAAGCGTCTGGCCAATATCAACCAGGTCTACACACAACGAGTGCGTTCTCCATCTCTAGTCTTTGTAATGAACAGCGACATTTCTGACTTTATGTTTTCTCAGGCCTACATGCGACCACTCGGCGTGGCCATGACGTTGATCTCGGTCGATGACGAGAACGGCCCGCAACTCTACAAGTGTGATCCGGCCGGCTACTATGTCGGGTACAAGGCGACGGCGTCGGGCCCCAAGCAACAGGAGGCATTGAATTACTTGGAGAAGAAGCTGAAGAACAAGGATGCCGCCGAGGGGAGCTGGGACGAGGTTGTGGAGCTGGGCATTACCGCGCTGAGCAATGTGCTGAGCGTCGACTTCAAGAAGCACGAACTAGAGATCGGGATCGTGGGCGGGCCGCAGCCGGACGGCAAGGAGGGAACGAGTACAGGGTTCCGGGCGCTTACTGAGGAGGAGATTGACGAACGGCTGCAGGCCATCGCCGAGAAGGACTGAGGCAATAGACCAGGGATGTTGGGGTCCGGATGTTGAAACCGACGATCCATGAATGACACCTATTTTTTTTTTTCTTTTTTTCTTTTGTTTTGCTATTTCTGTTTTCTCTGCAAGGTTCTCCTGTTCTCGGTAGTGTTGCTGCCCCTGCAAGTTGACACTGGCGGGTGCATCTATTCCCTCGTAGTCGACTAGCTTGATCCTGTCGGCTGTCCAAATATTCGCCACCGACTTCCAGCTGTCACTTGGAATGCGATGGATCACACTGGTTCGTGTCGACGACCAGCAAGGAGGATGTACTGCGTTTCTTCAGCTGTTCGGGGGAGCGCCACAAGTGGCTCAGCGACAGGAAAATGGACTATCCAAGCAGAAAATAGAAAATCAAACAAAAGAAAAACATGCCAGCAAAAGCAAGCCCATCCAATGTGGCTGGAGCTGAACACGATTTCGCTATCGTTTGGGGCTGAAGAACACATCTTCCTTCTTGATATTCCCACAACCACATCTCCCGGTGTGCCCAGGGACGTCTCGATAGAAATTTGATTCGAGAACCCCACGAGCCATGCATCCTTGTCAAAATCCTCACTTCTCCACTCGGATTTGGCCGCAGCCCTCCAATGATGACCACCAGGAGCATATCTTCTCCTGACAAAAAAGCAAAAAAAGAGGATCAAATCGGTGGAGGAACCTAATCTCGAGAAGTTGTCTCCACTGTACCATTCCTGCTCGGGCCCCATTTTTCAGATACACAATCGTCTTTCCTAGTCTGAATCTCCTATACAGCCCACTCTCCCCCACTGACCCTGTTCACAGGGGGTTCCCGGCTCTGCCGTTGACGGTTTCTCGGGAGCTATCGTGTGTGTCTGTGTGGCCCACTCTCTCGCATTGCAGCCCAGCTGGTTGTGCTGGTTCCTGAGGTCGTTTCTTGTCCTGTCGATTGGGTGTAGCTCGCCCACGCCCCGATGATCCTCCCTGACGTCCGGGTCCGCTGTCATGGATAGTCGGCTGTCATGTATGGGGTAATGAGGAGACTAGACCCTTGGTTTTTTTTTTTTTTTTTTTTTTTTTATTCTGTTTTTTTCTACCTAATGTATAAAGACTCTTGCTCGCGCCTTGTTGGGTCCCCATTCTGGTCTATACTTCCATGGGAACAGCAGTTCCTTTGCTCTTCCTTTTGGCACCTCGACTTTTCTTCGTGCCTTTCCTCTCCTTATTCTTTCTTTCTTTTCTTTCCTTTTATACCAATTGGCTTTCTTCTTATTGTGTTGTTTTACAATAATACCTCCCCCCCCCACCTCCTCCGCCCTAATCGACTACCATGGCCGATGGACGTAAGCACTTCGAACCTCGAACCATCTCTATGAAAAATACCAAAAATCATGCTGATTGCCAATTGGGTCCGGACTTGCAGTCAACCAGGCCCGCGCTGTGCGTCTGGCCGAAATCATCAACGACTACCGCACGCTCTTGCTCCACATCTCTCAACAAAACGTCGACGCCGCCCCCGAAGACTACTGGGACGAAGGCTTCGTCGTGCTCCGCGAGTGTCTGGCTGCGGCCCAGGGCTTAATGTCTGCCAACTATCACCCCAGCCCGGTGTCTGGCCAGGGCAATGCCGAGACGGAGAAGGCCGAGTTACAACGGTATAGTTCTTCTTTTTCTTCTTCTTCTTTTCAAAGGGGTATTGGCCAGGCTAACACATTCCGTTGTATACAGTGTTATTCTCGATAGCAGCGCCCGCCGCTTCCAAGCACATAAAATCTACCTTCGCGCCGCCGCCGCCCGACGATGGACGATGACGCGCGCCACGATCTTGAACGGCCCGTCCTCGACACGCCACGCCGCCATGAAGGGCGCTAGCACCTCGCTGCAACAGGAATTGGCGCACATCACCGACCAGCATGTCGTCGCTGACCTGCGAGCCGCCGACCTGCGGGCAGGTCACTGGCTCGACGATGACCCGTCTCTCGATACGATCCGGCGCTGGATTCAGGGCCGGTAATGATGTTACGATACGAAGAATGGCTGTTTCATTATTTCGTTTCATTTTTGTTTTCATTTTTCATTTTCATATCTTTCGAGTCTCCACACTCGGAATGGGCATTTTCGGGAGGGAATTGCATGCTTGCACTAATAGAGAGGGGGCCACGGGATGATCTGGATTCAAGCGCGGGTCGCTTGATTGGCTTATAAAAACAAAGGATGAAAAAATGGCATGGATTGGTTGTGCGTTGATTCCCTTGGTGTGTGGGTAGACTAGCGATTGTTTCATATTTCATATACTTCAATACAGACCTGCTGGGCAGGCAATGGATTCTGGTAAATAGTGAGATGAATACTGCCTCTAGAATGAATAAATAAGTAAATAAAAAAAATTATGAGTAAGTGAGTAAACGATACTCATAACATGTAAGGCACGAACATGCTAAGAAATTAAGATAGATAACCCTAACCCCACAGTAGCCTGACCCGTCGGGCTTCATACGTGTCCACCACACCCCCCCAACTATATAGCCTTGCGTATGCGCTCATGAAAACCCTCGCTTTGTCCATGTCATTGGGCAATTCACTCGGGCCCGGAACCAGACACCTGGGTTCCGAGGCAGACTTGCCAGCTGAAGGATTATGCACACGGCAGGGTCGGGTCCCAAAAGATCCTTCGCCCGTTGCGGTATATAGTCCATGGTTCAATGGGGTCCAAAAACAGAAAGAGGGCCCACAACCCAGCACTACGGATAACCAAGCAAATAATAAGAAAGAAAAGAAGAAGAAGAAAAAGATCAGCATGAACGATGGCCCGTGTACGGTGGGTCCCGGGGCTAAGACGTTAGTCGGGTGAGCGTTATGCCAATCGGCGTGGCGGATACGCATGGGTCGGCTTGAGTTCAGCTGGTGATGGTTGTCTTGATTTTCTGTGTCTGTCACATTCTGCTTTTGCTGGGATTTGTGGATTTGTGCAGAACTTTTTTATATTTGTTGTTTGGTGTCTTCGGTGGCGAAGATCTTGGTAATAGTAATAGTGTCGCCTCAATTTGCAGGTGAAACTAGCTGAAGGGTTGATAGTATTTACGATCGGACCAGGTTGTGGGTCTTCTTTTGTTCTCATTTCTTTTCCCAACGGATGTGCCATGTGTTGACTGTCTCCCGCGCGTTGACCCGAACCGATCAGCTGGGTTCTTCCCTGTGCAATGACTGCATAGTCTGTTTTTGACCCTATGGATTGTTATATAGATTGTGGTATAACCATAATAGCCCAGGTTTCATTATATAGAATTCGGTATTTCCGGTTTACACTCCGAGAAAACCACTAGACCATAATTGCTAGTATATCTTTACTTATACTCGACTTATAAGTAAAGAACCCATTCTAGTATCTGGTTACTGATAGAAAAAAACGTATGGATATTGAGCCATACATATATCTCACTTTGTCCACTTCTTCCCTCGAATCTATAACCTGGCGAGTTTCTACCTCAGCCACCTGTATACTTCACCCGTCGGTATAGCCCGAGTGCATTGAATGTGATCTCTTGATCCTCCCCGTGGCCTCGATAGACCTAATTCCATTTCCTCCATTCGTAAAAAGGGTCATTTGCCCTTACAGTGAAGTACAATGGGTCAGACTCGGGGGTTGGCTTTTATGGTCAGGATAAACTCTGCCGCCTGACAACAACACCAATTAAATCAACTGTGAAATGAGCTTAAAGTAGTCAAGAAATATCCCTTCAACATCCGACTCCCCCATGACCGCAGAATTCCAAATCCCCTTAAACACACCGATCCTGTCTTACCCTGGGCCTGAACTTGCAAACCACCTGGTGAGAAAAAGACACCAACTTGTCTCTTTCATCGAGGCAGCATGACTGATATCTCAGGTTACACCGAGACCCTGCGCAGGTGGAGAGGTCACGCTGCATCTGTCGTGGACTTTGTGCGATCGCCATCTATAAAGCTCGCTTCCCGGGGCCTTGGTAGCGGCGTCAGTGGGTTGTTATTTGCAATTGATTATTTATTATTGCTCACTGCTTATTATTCACTGCTGCCTGCTATTCATTGTGCTTTATCCCAGTCTTATTTGTTGTTTTGTTGAGCCACGCGTAAGCCACCCCCGCTATACTGCAGATTTGATGTCAACGGTACAAAGGCCCCTTAACAATTAGGCTGCGACATTAAGTACCCCGCGATCCGAATCTTCCCCATTGTCATATCATCGACAGCCCTATATCCGCGTGTAATTACCTGCTGAGATCATTTCACAACTGTGGCTTTTCGACTGAGCCTAATCGTCTCATTTGCTGCTGTGGTCTTGCTGGTGGCTGTATTGTTGCCCTCGTCTTACTATTCGCGTCCTCAGCCTGCACCACCTTCGTCCGGAATGAAGACCGTCGCCTATTTTGTCAATTGGGTATGGCTGTCATTTTTTCTTTCTAGGGATTTCATTCTCGACCCTCTTTTTATGCGGCTTGCCACAATACTCATGTCTCGTCCAGGCAATCTACGGCCGCAACTACAACCCGCAAGACCTGCCCGCCGAGAAGCTCACCCATGTGCTGTATGCATTTGGCAATGTTCGCCCAGAAAGTGGAGAAGTGTATGCCCTCCTCCATTGTTTGCATCTCCCTTATCGTATTTCTCTAATGTGAACTCCAGGTACTTGACCGATACCTGGTCCGATATCGAGAAGCACTACAATGGCGACTCGTGGAATGATGTCGGCACCAATGTCTATGGCTGTATCAAGCAGCTCTTCCTGCTCAAGAAGCGCAACCGCAAGCTGAAGGTCCTGCTGTCTATCGGCGGTTGGACCTACTCGGGCAACTTTGCGCAGCCGGCTAGTACGGACCAGGGTCGGGCGCGATTTGCAGACTCGGCGACGCGGCTGGTGCTTGATTTGGGACTTGATGGTGTGTTTATATGTTATCTCTTTTGTTTTCCTTTGCAATTGACTGACATCAACAGGAATTGATATTGATTGGGAGTACCCCAAAGGTAACATCACCTTGACAGGACTCGTAGCACCGCTGGGGTGACAACTAAACCAATGTCCAGATGAACACGAGGCCGAGAACCTGGTTGCTTTGCTCCGACACTGCCGCGAAGTATGTATTTTTGTAATAATTTCATAGGCTCTGCAAAAACTGACCACGTTGACAGTCCCTCGATCGAGCCGCAGGTCCCGACCGCCATTTCTACCTGACCATCGCGTGTCCTGCCGGACCCAGCAACTTTGAGAAACTCAAGCTCTCCGAGATGACGCCGCTGCTGGACTTCTACAACCTGATGTCGTACGACTACGCCGGCAGCTGGGACAGCACGGCAGGCCACCAATCGAATATCTACCCGTCGCATGCCAACCCCTCCTCGACGCCCTACTCGACTGTCGCCGCCCTGAATCACTACATCAACGTCGGCGGCGTGCCCGCGTCCAAGATGGTTGTCGGCATGCCGCTGTACGGCCGCGCCTTCACCAACACCAACGGGCCCGGCACGCCGTTCTCCGGCGTTGGTCCCGGTAGCTGGGAGAATGGCGTCTGGGACTACAAGGCGTTGCCGCGCCCCGGTGCCGGCGAGTATACCGATTCTGAGGCTACCGCGTCCTGGAGCTATGATAGTGGTGCTCGCACAATGGTCTCCTACGACTCTGTCCCCATTGTCCGAATGAAGGCGAGTTTTATTCAGCAGCGCCAGCTCGGTGGGGGCATGTGGTGGGAGACCAGTGGTGACAAGGGTGGTCGGGCGGGCAATCCGTCTGACGGGAGTTTGATTGGCAATTTTGTGGAGGCCGTTGGCGGCGAGGGTGCTTTGGATCAGACGGCTAACGCCGTCAATTACCCGGAGAGCAAGTATGATAACTTGCGGGCGGGCTTCCCGGGTCAGTAGTGACTGACAGGTGAGTGTAGTACTACTACCAGTCTAGTTTATGGCAAGCAATGGCAGATGCCCAAGTTTTTGTAATTTTTTTTTATCCGACAGTTCTGCGGGGCTTCTACCAGAAATGGTTCCACCCACATGCCCCATCAACCGTAACATCAACCATGATATCCTATCACTAAATGATCTGGTCCAGCGGGACTAGACCAGAACTCCGTCACAGAACATCCGGCCCAACGTGGCCCGTTTATTTGGACTCGTCGAAGACGTAGGTGAGGTGGCACTTGCCGCAGTACTGGCGGTTGTGCATGGCGGCCATGAAGACACCGGCACCGCACTAGATGAAGTTAGTCAACGCAATTCTCTTTGTTGAGCCAATGTGATATGGTGATGACATACCTCCGGAGCAGGGCACTCGCGGCGGAGGCGCTCGATCTTGCCGTCGCCGTCCACCTTGTAGTACTTGAGGACGGCGAGCTTGGTCTTCTTGCGCTTGTGCTTGATCTTCTTGGGGGTGGTGTACACCTTCTTCTTGCGCTTCTTGCCACCACCACGCAGGCGCAGCACGAGGTGCAGGGTCGACTCCTTCTGGATGTTGTAGTCCGACAGAGTGCGGCCGTCCTCCAGCTGCTTACCGGCGAAGATCAGGCGCTGCTGGTCGGGGGGGATGCCCTCCTTGTCTGGTGCGGGGTGTCAGGGCATCCATGAAAAAAAAAAAAAAGTTTTCGTGTGGGCGACAAAACTTACCCTGGATCTTAGACTTGACATTGTCAATGGTGTCCGAAGACTCCACCTCAAGGGTGATAGTCTTCCCCGTCAGGGTCTTGACGAAGATTTGCATCTTGATGAAGGCCTGGTGGGTGGTCAGTCAAATGCCCGCAAGTTGCGCCGGCGAGGGCAGTGTGCGCCAGACACAATGCTGAAGGTCGCATTGTGTTCTGAGCACTCGAGCCAAGGGAAGAATATAACTCACCTCGACAAGACTTGTCTTCCTCAACCTTGCAAGATGAAAGAAATTCGCCGTGGACGGGTTCGGCTGGAGATTAAAATCGTTGTGCGGTCACATGATTGGTCCTCAGTCACATGGCGAAATGGTCTGTGGAAATCACATGATATTTTTATTGGGTCTAGCGAGATTTGCCGGAATAAAGATGGCCCGGATTAGGGCAACACCGTAGAGCTTGGCCTCAGGCACTCTATGACATCGCCACCGCGACACCATGGAAACCAGAGCCGCCGATAGCAGATCGAGCAGATCAATTATTTGCTATTGATTGACTGTCAAGGGTGATCACCATGGTGACACGCTAGGAGGGAACGTCCAGTACGTCCAGTACGCGACACAGGAGCAGCGGCGACACTCCTCGCAGACCACCATTGTACACGCCCTTGCAGAGAACAATAAAAAAAAAAACCTCCATTACTCCCGCAAGGCCTCGATCGGAGTCGAGAAATAGAAGAAGAGTCCAAGAGTGGGCAGATGTGGGCCCGCGTTCGTCACCTGTTTCCCAGACTCCCCCAGTAGGCCCGTTGCCATGCCAACATCTCCATTGTTGATAGGCGCGGTTCAATAGATAGATCTTCAATGCTCCAACTTCAAGGCCCAGCCTCTTCATCCATCTTGCTTTCGCGAGACTCTTCCACTTTCTAAATTTCTGCTTCAGTTCTTCTGTTCTTGAACTGTTTGCGCGCTTTTTTTTTCTAGACGCGTCGCGTATTCACGTCCCAGCCTTTTCCGTCCAAGGACCTACCGGTGACTTGAGGCGCTAACTTTCTCACCTTTCTTTTCTTTCTTTCCTTCTCTCACTTTCTCTTTCTCGTTTCTCGTTTTTCAGCGCGTTGGTCTCGATCACCGACTGACACCGCTGCAGGATAATCGTCAATTGGCTGCGTAGCCATGATCTCCGCCGCCACGAACTCGCTGGGTCACGGCCACCGCCGTCAAATTTCCACTCCAGCTCCGTTCGAGGCTGCCCCGACAGTCATGGCCAACATCCCGCAACCCCGCGGACATCGGCGCGGTCAGACAGTGGACTTTGCTTCCTTGAGTCCCCAGATGACCGCCGCCCGACGCAACACGCCCACGACGGTTTCGCAGCTCCGAGACTTCTTCAACGAAAAATCAGGTCACTCACGTCACAGCAACGCTGCCCAGCAGTATCCATCTTACTCCAACCAGGTCGACCGGCCTTTCACCTCAGATCTGCCAACTCAACAGGCTTATTCCTTCCAGTCGGCAGCATCCATGGGGTCCTTCAACCAGGAGCAATTGCAAGCGATCAACGTCCAGGCTGGTGACATGTCTTCTCCCACCTCCTCAATCGCTACGGCTCTCTCACGATCGTCGAGCCAAGACTCTGACACTGCGGCTCTGAAGCAGGCCCTGTACCGAATGCAACAAGAACAGGGCCAGCGCAACCCGCAGGTGTTCGCCAACCAGAGCCAACACCCCGTTGACACAGTGGACTGGGAACTCTTCCCTCAGAACCACATGTCTGCAATCCAGAAGCAACATGCATCGGGGTACACTCGATCGATGCACCCACTCTCTGTTCAACCAGAGTCTCGCTCTGACAAGGCTCAGACCCACAATTCTACTTCGTGTAAGTCCACGATACCTGTTACCCAAGTCGCTTGTGCCCTAACCAATTCTCTAGACAATTCTTCCCTTATTACCCCTGATGCTACCCCCATGAAGAGATCCATTGATTATTCTATGTTCAGCAATGAGCACACCCCCACCAAATCCCACAGCTTCTCGATCCCGCGCACGCCTGTCACTGTCGACATGCAGCGAACCAACTCCCTCCAGGAAGTGCCCAATGTCAGTCCTGTAAATCTCAAGCACCAGATTCCTTCGCCTTCCAACTCCTCATCGGCCTATTTCACTGAGCTCGCCGCCATGCCCTCTGCGGGGTCTTACGGTGTGTCACCACAAAAGATCAATTACCCTGCCACGCCTTCGACCGGCAAGCGTCAAAAGAAAACCGTTTCTCCCGTCTCATCTCCTATCAAACCAAATATTGAGACGCAAGCAGAACCTGCCGATAACGACGACCTCGACGCTCGAGTGAAGGCGTCTGTTCAAGAGACCGGTGTTTCACCTGAGGAGATTGCAAAGTACATTTCTGGTCCCCATGCCGATGGCACATGGGTGTGTCTGTATGAGAAGTGCAATACCCCGTTTGGTCGCAAGGAAAACATCAAGTCCCACATTCAGACCCACCTGGGAGACCGCCCGTACAAGTGCGATGTTTGCGACAAGCGCTTCGTTCGAGGCCATGACCTCAAGCGCCACCTTAAGACTCACAGTGGAAAGAAGCCCTTTGCTTGTGCCTGCAATTCCAGCTTCGCTCGTCAGGATGCCCTGACCCGACACCGCCAGCGCGATATGTGCGTTGGAGGTTTCACTGGCGTTGTTCCCAAGACGACCAAGCGTGGTCGCCCGCCGAAGAAGAACCGCCCCAACATGGAGGCTCGTCAGACCAAGGCAAATCGCACTCGTCAACTCGTGGCTGAAAAGATCGCGTCGGAGACTCCAATCACGACCGAGGATCCCTTCCAAGAGGCGCCTGTGTTCACCTCGCCCAACTACGCTCCGTCCACCTACGCCCCGTCCAACTATGCTCCATCTACCACCCTGTCGTTCACGCCGCCTACCTCTCCCGGATGCAGCATTGACAACCCTGCTTCGCCCAATCAGGCTTACACCTCGCTCACGCCTCAGTTTGAAGATGATATGCTGCCAATGCCATCGCCTCAGATGGCTGACTCTCGAGACGAGCGTGCACTTGCCCAGTTCGAGCCAAACATGGTTCCCGAGTGCTACACACATGAAGGTCTCTACAGCGACCAGGCCCTCTCGCCTCATGACATGTCGTCTCCTCATACTGCCCCCACGCTGGCCGAGTCTTCGGTTGGCTCAGAGATCGACTTCTTCATGTCCCAGGACTCCACTGAAGAACTGCACGACCCATTTGGGCCTCTGACCAACCAAGGCATGCCATTCCTTCCGGGTAACTATCAGTATGTGGACACCTCCGAGTTCGAAACTCCTTCATCGTTCTATCCGGAGAAGAGCTTCCCTAGTCTCCCGCCTCTCGGCGAAGACCCTCTGGCCGACCCGATCGACACCCTTTCCAACGAATTCCTGATCGATCCATGAGTGTACCAACATTAATCTCGGGGTTTCTTCCAAACCCCCTTCCATCCGACTTCATGACACGGCGTTTTCATCTCTTTCCACAAAAAAAAAGCATGACTGATAGATGGTGTGGCCATTGTTTTTCTTCCTGGCGTGACTACATTGCGACGATATGCGACGAGCTTGTACACTTTGATGACCTACGACACACACCTCCGGAGTTGTTCTTTCTGATCTTTCGGCAACGAACCACGACGGCTTGTTCCATGACTTCTTCCTTTCTCTGCACATTCGGGGACTTGACTTTTCAGCGCACATGGCATCGGCTTTTCTGGCGGCGACCAACGGGGATTTGATACGGCTTTGTGGGATTCCAGGGGTGTTCTGGGACTTGCTTTTTTCTTCTTTCTGTTTCTTGTTGTATCACCCCCCTTACCCCTATTGCTCCTATCCCTGCCCCAAAATCTGTTATTTTATTTGTTTTCTATGATGCTCCGAACACCCCCCTTTGACGTGAGATGTTTTTACTGTTTCTATTTTTGCCCATGTTTCAACAAGCATACATTCATAGTCAATCCACTTCCAATCTTGATGTCTATTCCAGCGTTTTTATTGGCTTGGATCCCTTCGAACGCCCGCGGTAGCTCTGCCGTAGTTCACTCTATTTAATAGACTAAAACCCGAGTCCTCTGACAGTCAAATCGGTCGAACCTCTTCTACATCCCAGCGCATCTATGAATGGAATGTTTCAAGCAAATAACACCCTACGAATCAACACAATACCTCAGCTATTCACGCCTCGGTCGCTTTCCAGGTGACCTCAATTCCAATCAGGTGTTCCCCCTTTGTGGCGTAGATATTGCTCTGCGTGGAACCCTTGGGCGCCTTGTCGGCGTAGAACGTTGTGGCATCCCGGTAGGAAAGCTTGCCGTCTTGGACCTGCACAGCGGATCAGCCACACCGTGAATAAGATGCAGGAGAGTCAGTGAGCATACCGTAAACTCGCCGGGAGTGTTGATATGCGGTCCGCAATTGAACACATCGCGCTCAAAGCTGCACGGCCCTTTACTCGATTTCAAGGAGAATGTCTCCTCTGCGAGTAACAAAAGAAACGGGGTGGTTAGTCCAATCAATTAACGCACTATTTGGTGGGGGTGGAACTAACCTGAGATCTTTTCTGCCCGGAATGTCGCGCATGTCCCAGATGCATACCACGTCCCACGGCTGATGATGCACCCTCGCCGTTGGTTGAGCGTTGATACCATCATGTGGCCCCGACCCAAGAATGGGATTCCGGTTGATGTGGGCTCTGGGTAACCATCGGTCGTGGTCTTGGTCGGTTCCTCCTGCGAGTGTTTTGGCGGGTAATGGATGCCGTGCGCTGGGCAGTTGGAGGTTTGGCCATCTGTGACACAGTTAATTTCGCGATCTAGCTCAGAGAATCTTTTTCGGGACGGCGAACCTGGATCAGCGGCAATGAATTTCCCTGTCTGGAGACTCCCTGCGACGTTGAAATAATACCAGATCTCGCTGAGTGCTCGGTGCCGACAACGGACTGTTACGGGGGCACGGTGCTCTTTCTCAAGTGCCTTCTCGATGTCTGCGAGCGCGTATGTCTCACTATTCGACGGCAGAATACCAGCATTGGCCAAGAACTAAACAATCGTCAGAACTGTCCTTTTGTTTGATGAAGGTTGGGCTGTTAGTATTGGACACCCACCTCGAAAGATGGCACCGTCTTGAAAACCTCGACGGTCTTGTCGAAGTAGTCCACCACTTCCTGTTGCGGTATATAATCTTCATAGCACTGAGTTTCCAGTGTGCTGACACAGGTTCCATGCTTGTTCCACTCGTGCTGCCACAAGTTTGGATCGTCACCACGAAAATCCTTCCAGTACTCGCTCATGTAGTCGAGCAGGTCACCCCGACCCGAGTCCACGAGAATTAGGGAGATGTTGCTGTATCTTCGATTGGAATCGCAGAACTGGTCAAATCCTCCACCGCAGTGATCGGGCCTGCCGACGTGTTAACCCCTCGGATTCAATGCAGCGTTTTGTAATTGATGTAGATCTTACCACAGCCCGTGGATGGTCCACGAATCATCCGGGCCCAGGACTGGATCAACGTCCCAGAACTGCGTCTGCATCATCTGGCCGCCGGGGTGGTTGAAACAGCAGGTGTCTTGGCCATGGTACTTGGTCCGACAGCTGATGTCCGACAGAGGACAAGTCGACGATTTCCCGGGCGATGATGGGTGATCGGGCAACGAGGCAATCCCCAGGGAGCCCGCAAGCGTCTTGAGAATCGCCTGGGGGCCAGGGACTCCCAGGAACTGTTGAGCTCCCCACATGCTTATCTCGGGAGCTCGAGCGAAGCCTGACTCCAGCACAAACCAGAAACCCCTGTGGTATCGAACCAAAGGGTTTCTACGGGGAACAAGTATAATGATTGAAGATTTTCAGAGATTGAAGAATCAGAGAAAAAAAAGATGAGAAGGAAAGAGGACGAGTTTACTTGTGGTCACGGGTACGCCCCACATGACGTGGGATCACATTTGTCGATCGCAGGGGGGTATCAACTCTCAACTCTCAACTATCTGTCAATTCTCTGGTCTCATGATTCCCGGGCATTCCTCAGGTCCGTGTGGTCGCAGCCTTGGTTGCCTTAACCTTCTCTTCTTGCTCATGGATTCTCTCCTTCCACAGGCGCAGGACCTCAAAGCCGACCTCCACAGCGATAAGCAGGATGATGATCCACTCGAGTCGCAGTCCGTGGGTTTCGCTGAGACGCTCCCGAAGCACACTGGCAATCTCCTGTGCATAGTCCATCTTTTCGTTCAAGAGCTTAATGCGAATTCCTACATCCAGCGCCCGCCCCACTTGTTCGTAGTATCCTTCCAGGCCAAGCTCATGCCGACTGTCCCAGAAGATGTCGGGGAGAGAATCCGTGAGCTCCGAGTAGAGATTGAGTTGTGCGCGGACACTCAGTAATTGCCCAGTTTTACGGAGAATAAAGTCCCGCGTGAAGGGAAGACGCGAGCCTTGTGATAACAGCGTCGGAATCGCCCGCGTCGACTCGAAATAGTTCGACAGGAGGCTTTCGAGGACGGCCAGCTTGGTGCTTCGAGCTAGCCCCGACGAGAATGCCACTTTGGTCAAAACCGTATCAATAGACTGTTGTAACGCAAGCGGCGCCTCCAGTCCCTGGCTGCCAGTATTAGTTCCCAGGATGATCGTGTCCCCCTTGATAATGCTGTTGTCCCGCTTAGGGTCTTCGACAAACTCGAGATCTTCGGTCTCCAGATCCTCTAAATGGGCATTCTCCGCTGCGGGGAGGAGAGTTCTCGTCGCCAGAAAAGATGTGAACCCTTCGGGAAGAGACCAGGCCACGACGGTGCCCGATGGAAACACAAACACGTCGCCAACTTCGTTCGAAGATAAATCTGCGGTTGAAGGATTCCCCACTCGTCGGATGGACTCGATAGGTACTTGAACATGGACGACCTGTGGATATAGCCCCGTTTCCAAGGGATCTGGCTCGTACCCTTTCTCCTGCAGGATGTCCCGAACTTTGCGTATGTTGAATTGCTCAGCCACGGCGTAGGCAGTTATGGTCTATGATGCGAAGCAGATATTAGCATACGAGTCTTTGCCAGTCCTTCCCAGTCATTTGTACCTTGGTCTGATGTAGTCCCTGCTCCCTGAGCTGGGCTTTGGAAAGAAATCCATCCTTTGATCTTTGCGCCTCTACCGCGACACGCCGCAAGGACGTGGGTGCAGCTGGGGACCTGCCACCTCGCCGCCGCTGTTTCTGTGATTCCGGAAGATGTTCTGTCGAGTCATCGCTTCTGGTCGACGAGTTCTGCTTTAAGTGGGCATTGGACGAAAAGAAATCCTTCCGGCGGGGGAGCTCCAACAGAGGCGAGGCGTGGAGATGCTGATTCTGTGGTCGCTTGAGAAGCCTCAATGTTGCTGGCCTCTTGCATGTCGAGCAGACATATGGCCGGGCGAACATGATGGCGCGAGTCACAAGAGACCTGTGGGACCAGTATGACCATGTCTATTGCAGGTACACGGGGGCCAAAGCTCGGAGACATGTTTCTCCGGCAGCTTAGCCGACCCTCGAGTTGGACCTATAGCATTTTCAACTGTTGGTTCTCCACACCGATACGAAAATTCCTACTGATACGACAACTTTTTTCTTTATTTATCTTCTATTATATACTTAGTATACTAAAATTCAACGAAAATATTGAAGATCGCCTTAATAAGGTATGTAAAGTAGCGAAATACAAAAAAACCCTAAAAATTACTAAATTTACGCGTAAATTCGATATTTCTTATAGTTATCTATTGAGAATAGCTACTACTTCTGTTAATAAAATACTTAATAGTTTGTAAGAAAAAGTAGTTATTCGCTAGATTTAATATCTTAATTTTATAAGTTTTGTCTATAATTAGTATAATTTAAAACTATGTAAATTAGATTATAAAATAGAACGCTATAGTGTAAAGAATATACTTGGCAGGGTATAAGGCCTGTCGATCAGGTAAAGAAAACAAGAGAGAGGAGTAAAGGAAAGCAGTATATCTTTTGCTATCAAGACTGAATCTTTGCTCGCTAGCTGGATACGAGAGTATCAATTTATTATACAATATCTTCGTAACTCCACGTATCATCGATGATATAAACGACTAGGTCTCTGTTGTATATCGTGATCATTCCACTGTAGGGTGGATCAAGCAATAAGTTCTGACTTCCCTTAGGATTATGTGATATCACCTGATTCACCCCTTCCGTTAGTTAGGAATAACCTTATACCTCACTATCTTAGTAGACCCTTTACAATTATCCCCTCTCTCAAAGTTAGGTGGCCTTAACTGACGCGTTTGTTTTATTGCTATAATATAGGCGCGTCGGCGCGGTATCTTTTTGTAGGGGTTTCGTTTGCCTTACTGTCGAGGCAATAAAGAGATTATATAGTTGACCAGCAAACAAAGACGTATCGAATTATATATTCGAGTCTTTGTTTATATTTTCGAGTAGCAACTCTCTTCTTTTTCTTCTTTTTTCTCCTACGCTATACTCGTCGCGTTTTATTATTTGTTTCTTACTACTCCTGCTGCTTCCCGTCTTCTTTCCGTGACTGTTACAATCGTTATACCTTGTCGTCGTCGTTCGGGTCGGTTATCATACCGACCGGCGCGTTCTACTACCCTTTCGCCTATCTTCCTATGGTGTATTAAGTGCTTTCGGACTAAGGTCAAGGCGTACGACTCCAAGTCGCCCTTCGTCGTCGAATATAAACTAGATACGGCGGCTTCGGTTACCTGTCGGCAGTGTTCCGCCCGCAACGCGTCGTGTGACACGGTACGTTCCGCGGTATCTTGTTTTGACTTATACTGATATTCTTTAGGTTATAGAGGGCATAGTTAGGGACGCCTACGATCTGTAGGTGATCCTTAATTGGTTGAATAAGGAATTCCTAGAGCCCCTGGCCAAGGGTACTCCTAAGGAGGGGGAGGAAGAGGAGGCTCCCAGCAACAATACATGGCTACGACTATAAACTAGTTCAGGAGACTAGAAATCCCGATCGACACGGTACTTGGCTGAAAATGGCTGCCATGAAGGACGCGCTCAAAGATTATCAGTTTGTCGTCTTTATGGACGCAGATGCCATTTTTACCTACTCGCATCTTCCGATTGAATGGCTCCTCAACCACTGGGAAATCAGTGACAAAACCCTTATTGCGCTGGCGGAGGACCCTAGCCGGAATGTCCATCTCGACGAAGACGGACAAATTGAGCTGAATACGGGGTTTATGATCGCTCAGTCGAGCAGCCGCACCTTGGAGATGTTTGAGGCTTGGGAATCCTGCCCCGACGGCACCCGGTATAAGGACTGTTCTCGCTGGAAGAAGGAGTGGTCACACGAACAAGATGCATTCTCGGATTATATCCGTCATGACTTTAACCGACCTGAAGACATCAAGGTCATCACCTGCAAGGAGGGCAATCGATTCCCGGGTAATGGACAGGATGAGAGCTGCGAGGGAAGCTTCGTCGAGCACTACTGGCAGGCCAAGGATAAATTGCCTTGGGGCGTGCAGCAATCGATCTGGCAATGGCTTGTTCCCCAGTTAGGCGAGTCATTTCGTCAACACGAAAATGCTTTAGGGATGCCTAAATTAGCTGGTTTGAACCAGACGGGCTCGGAGCAGACTGGCTCGAACAGCGATGGCTCAGATAGCTCTGGATGGAACAATACTGGGTTGAACCAGACGAATGATGCTGGTCCCTAGTCGGCTGAGGATGAAGAAGTAGATGTATAGGGTTGTATTATGAATGATGAGAGGCCTCGCCAATATACTTTTTTGTTTATTCGGTGATGGGATATTTTAGAGATGCCCCTCTCGGGAGATTTGAAACGCGGTTTATGTCAAGACAATTTAGGAGATTAGCTATGATGAAGTGGCTTAGGATCCTAGGTGTCAGGGATATAACATAAAACATACACGATGAGCGGAGGAGATTCGATATGCAGGGCTGAACGCAAGGAAGTTACTGTTCTTTTGTTTCCTCGCCCTACGTCTTGTCTCTACCATTTCTATATAAATGATTTATGGTATTCAGACAGTCACTAAATTAAAAGAATGGTTAAATATTAGTGGAAAGTGAGTTGTGTCATTGTAAAGCCCCAGCAAGGAAGTATGTATGCAGTTGCATTGCGGACAGCAGTTAGATAGTGATGTTGACGTTAAGTTTACTTCGTAATCGATCGAGGGTTGTTTAAGGATCGATTGTAAATCCCCCCCAAAATCAGTGAAATATACTAGCAGGGTCTTCTAGAGAATCAGGTGTGGAAGAGTTAGTACAAGGAAGGTATAACTTCTTATTTCTACTGCGTTTGGTATGTAAGCCCTTACTCAGGTATTCTTAGGCATATGGCAATTTCACTCGGCCCAAAATACCAGTATTCCATGATAAGTCGCATGCCTCATCATGCCCGAGTCCAATACTAACGCGAACGCAGATTAGTCGAGCCGACAGAAGCCCTTCAGGGCCCGAGGCCATCATGAATGTCGCTTAGTCATCGTATCTCCACTCGGCGTCGACGTAGCTAAGGTCCGCTCTCGACGGCTGCAGAACCGCTGCTTGGTTTGTCGCGCATTTCGACCTGCCTGGGAGCTCCAGGTGCTGAAAGGGACTCACCATGAATGCGCCTGGCGCGATAACAGCAAATACCGCCGCCCAGGGCCCTTCGGAACCAGACACGGCTGCTGCGCGTAGCAGATCCCCTGCGAGTACGACCTCGGAGCCGAATCGACAACACCAAAGCGATGACGATGGCTCTAATGCTAGTGAGGAGGGGGAGGAAGAAGATGATAATGATGACGAGGACGAGGACGAGGAGCCCCGTCTCAAATATGCATATCTCACAAAGCACTTGGGATCAGTCTATCGCAACGGGGATGCGACCAGCGCATTCCTCGTGGCAGGAGACAAGATGGTAGGGTTCCCAATCTGAGTTTCTCATAGTCCTGGCTGGCTAATCCTTGTCCTCTAGATTCTTGGAACACACAACGGCAATATAGTAGGTTCTGGACAAGCAGACAGATCGACGGAGCTGACCTTGTCTAGCATGTCATGTCACTGCCTCTACTGCAGCCTCTCCGCGTATACCATGCACACTCTGCCAGTGTAACCTCCATATCGATATCGCCCTTTCCACCACCTTTGCCGAATTTCAAGCCCGAACCCCTCAGCAGGCAGACTGAAGATCATGCCCCTCCGACGCGATCATCTACAAGTACGGGCAGTATGCGTGGTCAGCCAAAGTCAAGTCATTACGCACCTATTTCCCAGACTCCCGCGAACTCGATCTATATCGCAACATCTTCTATCGATGGCAACGTCTGCATCTCGTCGCTTGTAGACCCTAAGGATGTGCTATTGCGAAACTTCGGCCGACCCGTTCAGTCGGTTGCTCTATCGCCAGATTATAAGAATGACAGGACTTTTATTTCAGGTGGCCGGGCAGGTGAATTGATTCTGACCACGGGTGGCCGTGTGGGTGTGACTTCGAACTCCACTACCATGGGAGGCGCGACAGCGACAGCGACGAGCTGGCTAGGGTCTATGGGACTGGGCTCCAACAACGGAAAAGACACCGTATTACACAGTGGAGAAGGCGCCATCAGCACCATCCGGTGGTCACTATCTGGAAAATACGTGACATGGGTCAACGAAGAGGGGATTAAAATCATGCGATCCAACCTGCACCTTGAGTCTTCGGAAACCGAGTTTGCCTGGAAGCGAATCAGTCACATTGATCGTCCCAACGGCCCAGGCTGGGATGAAATGGCTAGTGTCTGGAAAGCGCGTGCGGAGTGGATCGACCAATCTGCACTGGACAACCAGAACACCCTTGATCCTAGTGATAGCGGATCGCCCGACGAGATATCGCCCTCGGCGGCATCAAGCGAGAAGGTTGAGAAACTTGTCGTGGGCTGGGGAGGTACCGTTTGGGTCATTGATGTCTACCCCGAGCGAGCAAGCAAGTCTTCCAAGGGCGAGAGATACGGCTCCGCTGAAGTCGCTACAATGTAAGTCATCTTTGGGTGATTTGCAACCCAGGCGTTAATTTGCGATGCAGTTTGCGAACGGATTGCGTCGTATCTGGCATCTCACTGTACACACCTCGCCTCCTGGTCATTTTGGCGTACCTTGAAGCAGAGGGCGATTCTGTGAGAATCACTAAGAAGGGAACTGGGTTCCGCCATCGACAGAAGGGCTTGGAGCCCGAACTTCGCATCATCAACATAGAAACCAAAGAAGAGCTCAGTGCCGATACGCTCTCTGTCAGTCGTTTTGAAGGCCTGTCTTCATCGGACTATCATCTGAGTGTTTTGCCACCATGGAAGACCCCTGAAGGGCAAGTAATTCAACGTGGGGCTCTGGGAACCCTCGGACACGGGCTCTTGGATGCCACAATGTACCCCGCGCGACTCTTCAGCTCTGGTGCGAGCATCCGCAGCTCCACGAGTAGTGGTGACAAGGGCTCTGGTAGGGTTCCCGCTTCTTTCACATCGAGACATCTCTTCGCCGATGAGCCTCTTCCCAAAGAGGTTCAGGATGTTTCGGCTGCTCTAGGTGCCAAAATCTTCGTTCACAGCCCATTTGACTGTGTGGTTGCCGTGAAGAGGGATCTTTCGGACCGATTGTCATGGTTGGACTCTCGTGGTCAATACGAGGAAGCATGGAACCTTCTCGACGAGCACCCTGAAGCTGCAGGCCCGGCCGCTGATGTGAACGAAGCAGTTCCCGAAATTGCAACCAATTCGCAGACCAGCTTGGGTGAGTTTTTTGCTGATGATCGATCTTCGGTCGTGGCTACTGGCCACCCAAGGGTCTCTGCAGCTGAACAGGAAAAAGCTCGGCTCGGTGAGCTCTGGCTTGAGCAGCTTGTTGGCGAGAAGACCTGGAATGAAGCCGCCCAAGTCTGTGGCAAGGTACTCCGTAGTACTACACGATGGGAGCACTGGGCGGAAGTCTTCATCAGAGAAAACAAACTGGACGAGATCACGCCTTATATTCCAATCGAATTACACCCGCCGCTCTCTTCCACGGTGTACGAGGCTATTCTCAGCCACTATGCCTCCGAGGACCGAACCAAATTCAAAGACTTGGTCGAGACATGGCCCTCTGATTTGTTTGATGCAAATACTGTGACAGAGGTTATCAAACACCAGCTGGGCTTGAACTCAGTGCGCGTTGAATCAGAAGAATGGCAAATCCTCATGGACTGTCTTGCGAAGCTGTATCTGGTCGGTGGCCACTACCGTGAAGCACTGCATTGCTATATTCGACTACAAGATGGGGACGCGGCCATGTCGCTGATCCGGGACCACCACTTGCTGGACGCAGTCTCTGACGACATCCCGGCTTTCATTATGATCCGTGTCTCTAAGAAGCAGATGAAGTCAGCCCCAATCTCGGAGCTTGAAGAAGTCACTGCAGAACCCATTCGGCTTCTCGTGAGCGAAGCATACACGGGCATCGTCCGCCCAGAGACGGTGGTGTCACAGCTCAAGGAGGCCAACCGCCTCCTCTTCCTCTATTTCTATCTTCGTGCCCTCTGGCGGGGTGAATCACTGCCACATGAAGCCTCGAAGCCGCGACGAGGCCGTGGGGTTCATGCTCGGGATGCGGCGAGCAAGCTGGCTGCCGACGAAGGCAAAGCTCTCATTGACAGTTTCGCGGACACCGCGGTTGATGTTTTCGCCGAGTACGACCGGCCCTTGCTGATGGAATTTCTCCAAACGAGCATCTCATATTCGTTCGAAACTGCCACTTCCACCTGTGAACAGCGGCACTTCACTCCAGAATTGATTTATTTGCTGTCCAAAATGGGTCAAACCAAGCGAGCACTGAATCTGATCTTGTCCGATTTAAAGGACGTCTCGCAGGCCATTTCCTTTGCGAAGTCGCAGGACGACCCCGATCTCTGGGAGGACCTGATGGACTACTCGATGGACAAACCCAAGTTCATCCACGGGCTTCTCGTCGAGGCGGGGACGGCTATCGACCCGATCAAGCTCGTGCGCCGCATCCCCAGCGGGCTGGAGATCGAAGGCCTGCGAGATGGCCTCACGCGGTTGATCCGCGAGCACGATCTGCAGGCCAGCATTAGTCAAGGCGCAGCCCGAGTGATGCAAAGTGAAGTTGCACAGGGGATGGATACACTGCGGAGGGGGCAGCGCCGGGGCATCAAGTTCAATATCCTTGAGAACGTGGATGACGATACGCGGGATTCAAATAGGACTCCAACCCACGAGAATCACGCCCAAGATGCAGCGCCCAGCGGATCAAGAAATCCAGCCACGCCTGGTCAGGGAAGATGCGGAGGCTGCCGTGCCCCCTTCCACGCAAACGGTATGTCTTCAAGATCACACTACCCGACTTCAATACTAATCAAAATCAACCAGAACGGGAAATTTTGATCGGCTTCGTCTGCGGCCACGTCTTCCATTTATCCCACTTGCTTCCTGAGACACAGCAGCAAGATCAATCCGCCATAGATGGCGCTGACCGCACCCCCGGGCTGAGTCTCCCTTCAACGAGCCGTCATCATCCACCGCGTCCCGTACAGTCGGTCCCAAGGTGACCACTGCCCGGCTGCTACGAGACCGCATCGGCGACGGGTGTCGTATCTGCGCCGTCACGAGGGATATTGAGTCTCTTGGCGGCGAGGGCGAGGTGTGAAGTCTTTTTCCGCCGACGAATGGAGAGCTCGTACTCCTATTGTCGAGTTGTCTCGTTGCATTTCTCATGTACATGCCGTGTATACGTGTATACGCATTTGTTTTTTTGGAGATACCCCAAAATTTCTTTTTTTGTCCCGCCCCGAGCCTATGGAATATGACTCAAAGGCTAGAAAGTGGCATCGGTTTCCACTTAGACCGGGCCTTGGATCTCGCGCAGATATATGATTCACCCAGTAGGGGACGTTAACCTCGCGTACAAAGCTCCTGCGAATACTCAATCCCGACAACGGGATGCGAGATCACTTGGACGCCTTCGTGGTTGTCACACATACTCTATCTTTTGGGTCTTTGTTCTATATCCAGAAATGCAGACTGCATTGCATGGCATTGCCAGACAGTCTATGGCAGACTAGCATAGCAATTTACACCCGTCGAGTCCGTTGGGTTTTGGACATCATATGATATCACTTTCACCCTCATAATTCCTAGGAATACAATAAGAGCCCCCGGCGCAGTAAAACCTCGAGCAGGGGCACATCGTGTCAAGTAACACTCTCTCCATGATCGATCTCACCCAGGTGTCTCAAATGCTGTCCACATTTCACTGGATGGCCTGACATCAATTTGGAGGGTACGTGCCATGATCTCTTCCAGGAAATATCCAAACGGACCCTGAAGGACATATTATACTCGTCCTGAGATACGAGGAACCAGACCACCTGCTCCTCCAGCTCGTCTACCTTGACGGCGTATTTGATGCGGGCGCTTGCTTGAGCAGTGCACAGCAATTGTCTACTCTCCCGTAGAGACCTTCCAGCTATCCCCAGGCCGGGATAGACCCGAGCAGATGCCAGGTGCGAGCACAACCTATAACCCTTCTTGGCTTCACTCCACAGGCGAGATCGACTCATTCCTCGACATTCTTGGGAGGGACAAGTTCTCGACACCACCGGGCTCCGGCGCGTCATCCTCGTCCGGGAGACGACCGATATTGACGGCAGAGGGAATGTCCAGACCTGCGAGCCATCGTATTCCTCCAACGTCTAGAAAAGGCCGCAACTGGTTTCTGGCTATCGAAGATCTGCAGGAGATGAGGAAACGTGTCGTTCCAAACTAGTGCTACTGAAATTCTGGAAGTCAGCTACAGATCCATGGGTGGATGTATTAGAGCTTGATAAGTCAGTGGGGGCTTAGCCTTTTGGGAGACAGAAGCCTTCGGGTCCTTCCTTGCTCATGCAGGAATGGCCATTCCACCATATGGCCGGCAAACCTGGTAAAGGAAATGCTTCACTCATCATCTGTCAGAGACTGAGACCTCACCGGTTAGAGGCTGATATCTCTAATTTCGAAGCGCTTCACCGAAGGCATCCAGACCGCATGAAGAGTGGTGTTGGAGAGTCCAATGCTTGTCCGAGCAATGCCAGCACCAAGCTCTCCCGGGTTCCGGTCGGGGAATTTCCAAGTTGCAGCAGATCAGCCTCGACATAACAGGCTGTTTAGTATAGATTGCAGTTGAAAATTTGCTTACAGACTACTCGGGCTACTCCCATGGCCCATCTTGAAAGGAAACAAGATTAGATTCTGCAAACGAGGCTGCAACTATGACATGAGGTCATAATTAAGATATGGCTAGAACACAGGTCACCGCATCCCGAGAACGAACGCCGGTCGATCCACATAAAAAGAATATCGAGTATGATTGTCCACCGGAAAACAGGTAACGCTGTGTGACCCTCAGTCAAACAAACATGGGAGCGCTCACAGCAACTCAATGAGGAGCCAGGCGAAGGCACCCACGGCAGACACCTGGAAGGAGATTCCCTTGATGCCAGCCTCATTGGGTGTGCCAGGGGCCGGAGTGCTGCTGGGATGGATCAGCTCACCAGTACTCTTGGAAGAGTGAGTGGCAACTCTGGTCTCCGTCGAGTTGCGAGTGTGGGTCGTGGAGACCGAAACAGGAGTCTCAGTGGTGGAGTTGTAGCTGCCCGAAGTGAAGGGGGGCTTCGAGACGATGGCCGTGGTCAGAGTCGTGGGCACCCTGACCGAAGTACCAACAGAAGTAGTCAACTTTGGGGCAGGGGCAGTCCCGGTAACGGGCACAGGGACAGGGATGGGCAAAGTCTCCACAGGCGAGGTCTCAGCAACGGGCTGAGTTGGTTTCTTGGTGACCGGCACAGGAGGAGTCTCGGTGATAGGCACAGGAGTCTCAGTAACGGCGACGGGGGACTGAGGAACAGACACTGAAGTCTCGGTCACAGGAACAGGAGGCTCAGTGACAGGAATAGGAACAGTCTCCGTAGCGGGAACAGGGGTGGTCTCGGTGGTGCAAGTCTCGAGAATGGTCTCAGTCACCGAAACAGAAACCTCAGTAGGAGTCTCAGTAGTGACGACCGGGGTCGGCTCCTCGGTAGGGCACACCGTCTCGATGTCAGTGAAGGTAACAGTTTCTGGTGACCGGTCAGTTTTTGCACAAGATCAGGAAGACTCCACAAAACATACCATCGCGAGCAAAGAAGGCCTTGGCAAAAGCAGGCAGATGGTCGACTACAGCAATCCCCGATGCATTGTCAGTGCCAGACGTTGACAAGTCCTCGAAGATGGAAGATGACTTACCACCGCGGACGTTGGCAACAGTGTCCTTCTTCTGGTGAGCATGCAGCACATGAGGGTCTATCCAGACACAATAATGTCAGTCCTACTGTATCATGAAACGGATGGTGGGTGATGATTGAACTTACTACAGGCGATGCTCATAGTCAGAAGGACCATGGCGGTCAGAAGGAAGAGCAACTTGCGTGCAGGAGACGCCATTGCAACGGGAGTTGTGGGTGTTGAACGAGTGAACAGTGACTTCTTGAAGCAGGACAAGAGGGTTCGAAGATGATATCGATGGAAAACGAACGAGATGGGGATGGAGCGGATGAGAAGAAGAAGAGGGAGGAGGGAAGAAGGAAAAAAAACACGAAGAAGTAACCAGAAGGAGAGGACATCCCGTGAGGCAGGCACGTGCCGGTGTTGCAGTCCTTAAAAGGAAGGCATGATGGGCTCACAAATACTCAACGATGACTGGGCCACCGTATCATGTTCATTTCTTGGGGCAATTGCTACTGAGCCCTACATTGGTGGACAAACACAGGATACGTCTCAGCCGTGTTGCCAAGAAGAGAGTATTTGTCTTCTATAGGAAATTGGAATCTGTTTACGCAGATGATCGAGAAATTTAGCGAGATTGACAGTGTTTGGCATTGATGAAAGCGGTATGAAGACCACCAGAAAGTGGCCCTGTATGCCTAGATATTAAGTAGAGGAAAATATATATCAGAATTTTTAGCAGAAAACAGTATTTTAAGATTTAGTGATCAAAGCCCTAAGTAGATAGGCGAGATAATATAAAACCTCTAGATACTATCAATGATATATAACCCCTCACTCGGTTGCAGCCTGGCTATCCTTTGAAAGATTAAAAAAAAAAAAAAAAAAAACCTGTTCACAAATCGTCCATAAAACCAGCCGGTAATCAAAAATAGCGTGATACTTGTAGCATCAAACAAGGGCCGAAAATAGTGACTACAAGCAACCACCCGAAGCCACCTACAATGATATAAGATTTATTAAGCAGCCAAGCACGCAGCCTATCCCAAGATTAGTAGAACCTGGGGTCGTGCAAGGTCCAACCCGATCACTCAGCCCTAAACCCAACCACACTCTCTCCCTCCTATATTTCTTTTAAAACTACCAACTCCCAGATCTCACCTCCCAATACCATCCCAATACCATCCCAATACCACCGCCCCAATTTTATGCGGTATTCTAAGCTAACCTCATTAGGCCGACATACGGCACGACCCGGAAAAAGTGGGGAGTTGCCAGACTCCGCTTCCAAGGCACCGGGTTCATGACATCACGGCTTCCAGTATGAGTGCTTACTGGAATATAAACTGGACAATTGGCTTGGGATTTTTTTTTATTTCTTTCGGCTAGTAGGAGAAGAGAAGAAAAAGGAGTGGGAAGAGTAGAGTTTTCTGCTAGTAACCGTCCCAAATGGGGGATATCACCGATTACAAAAATAATGGTATTGCGTTACCACGGATCATGGTCCCGGATCACCCAAACCGGGCGAAAGGCTAGAGTTTCAGGATGATTCAGGACCAAACTCCATCGGCGCGGGACTCGACCGATTGAATCATGAAACGGAGGTAGGATACACCCCCTGACGTCACGAATCCCGGCTCAGTGGTAACTGACAGCGGATGCAAAGACTTCGGTTGATCCTCTCTGCTGGGAATCTTGGGGATTAACCTCTCATGGCAGGGCCAATTCTATAACCATGAATCCCTCGAATGGATAGGATATAACCATTCATGGATGTATAATTAAGAGATAAGAGGCCAGTACCCAATCACCAACCCGAATTTATAGCACGTTTTCTCCCCAATCTCTCTGTAGCAATAGTTCGGCAGTTCGATGTCCCCCCTCAAATCCCATGTTTCTTTTTTTTTTAGGGAAATTCCCCGACACCACTGTTCCAGAGAAGAGAAAAAAAAAAAAAAGAAATTCCATCTGATCCGCTTTCAGGAAAAATGCTCCTTGGGATGCCGAGCCGTGAATTCGCCGGTCCAATGTCTAGCGAGCCCGAGTCAGCGACCCGGCCAATCATCACCTTGTAGTTCTTTTCTGTAGATCCCCCCAATCTCAGGCCAATGCCAGCCCTATGGGCACCTGGTTGCTGATACTGTCGCCCGGGGGTGGAGATGTGAGGTTCTTTTTTGCTACGCAAGCCACTCGATAGGGGATTGTGGTTCCCGGAGATCTGATGTTGGGTTTCTTTCCGTTCTATCCCCAATTGCCAAAGATTCCAACCTTTCTTTTTATTTTTCTTTTCTTCTTCCTCTTCTGTGGCGATGATTAGCACACCCCGCAGGTCTACTGTAGATAGGCATGGGAATTGAATCCACAAAATCACCAAGTACATTGTGACTAAGGTGGTTGATTAGGTGGTTGATTGGGAACCCAGTCCCATCCATTATCTTCAAACTACTCCCTACCTACCCCAGTACACAGATCCTATCTGGATCTAAGGGTGTGCAGGCTGATATACTGTTTACAGATCAACAATAGATCAAAGCGTGGATTGAAATGCTCGGCAGTATGACACAGCACAAAGCGAAAGAGCAGCTGGCATGAAAAACAGCGGCAAGGAAACATTCGGAACGGGGTATCAACTCTCGTGTGCTTCATCCCTCGACCAGATCTTCACCATCCTCAACCTTCCAACAGGCAAAAACCGCACCAGGACCCGCCGACTCATATATCATCGAAGGGAATGACAACGCCGATGAAGAAGATTCAAACCAAAACAAAAAGAAAAGAAAAGAAAAAAAAGAAAAAAAAGAAAAAAAAAACCAGTATAACAACAGGGTATCATTGCCCGGAGACTCGTATATCATCTCCGCATTCAACGCCCTCCAAAGGAGATTTTGGAAAAGAAAAGCAACCGCAGACCCAATGACAAATAGAGGATAAAAGAATAAGAGAAAGAGAAAAAAAAAAGAAAAGTAGAGAAAGAGAAGAAAAGAAATGGATATGCGGATCGAGTGGACAAGGTCGGCGAAACAAGGAAGGAGATTATTTGAATATACCAAACAATCACCACGCCTTGAATCCAGAAATCAGATGGGGAGGGCGTGGTGTAGGTCAACGCGGCGCCATTCTTAATAAGTCAGTTTGATCTCCATAGAAGAGCCACCGGCCTCGGGATCGTGGGCTTCGGAAATATCGGCAATCATATCCTGGCCCTCGGGGAGCTCTCGGACGACGTCGTCATCCACCATGATCCGCAGGCCATTGTGGTTGATGCGTAAGATGCGGACAATGCGTGCCGGGTCGATGTGACGCTTCTCGGATATCTTCTTCATCATATCCCGCACGGAGCGTTCTGATAGGTAAACAGCCCGGTAGAAGTCCTGCGGGTGCTCCTCGGTACCGTTAAAGCGAACATAGAAGCATGCAACTGTTACGAGGTTAGTAACAAAAGAAACCAATCAGTCGGGAGCAAGGAAACCTACTCGGCTTGGGCGGGCGTTCCGCCGGCGGTCGATACGTCGGATCGATATCAACCGCCTCGATAAACCCTGTGGACACATTGGAATCATCGGTTGAAATTTTCGGAACAGTAACTGGGCGCTTTTGTTGATTCGAATTCGAATTGACGGGAGAATGCAGAGACGCATTGCTGCTAGACGGAGAGAGGATCATGTTCTCCATGGACAGGGAGTCGGTCGTATTCTGGCGGCTGATATCCTTGACTTTGGAACTGCTGTCGTTTGGTAATCGCACCGGGTATGAATCGGGATCATCTTGGGCGTCGCCGCGCAGACCGAGAACACTCGTCGTGCGAGTCGATGAGAACATGTCTTGCATCATGGCCAACTTGGCTTGGAGGTCATCCTCCAACGACATCTTCTCTGGCGCGCCATCCTGAGAATCCATTGACCATGTGCGCTTGTGTTTTGATATCTTCATGCGGTCGGTCCCTTTGATCCCAGTCGAAGCATTGTGGCCACGTTTTCGCTTGCCGAAACCGCCACCCGCTTCTGCCTGGGCGATCTGCTGTTTAAGCTTCTCAATCGTCTTCTTGACATGTGCCACATCATTAGATAATTTCCGCTCGGCACCGTGGTCTCGGAAGAGCTTCACTTTGCAATAACACACTTCCGATTCACGAGCTGCGCCTGTGTCGTCTCCCGGAGACAGAATCTCGGTTTTAGCACACAGCCTCACGGGAATGCCCTTCACGCCTTTAGAATGACTAAAGTCGGTCGAAAGGAAATTGAACCGCACTGGGATGGTGCAGTCGGAGGTGCCGGTGACCGGATTAGCGGTCCATGTGACGCAGAAGCCATCAAAGGACGCAGTCTCGACCTGGATCTGGCGATGCTTATATTCCTCGCCGCCGCCTTGGAGAGGATCCACGTATTCGACTGCCACCAATTTCCCGCCTCGGTGGTGCGCCTCACTTAGACCACGACCCTCCTTCCATAATTGCCAGCAGGTGCCTGGTTTGGCGCGTTGCTCTTCTTCGTCGAAAGAGACCCGGATGAATGACCGGTAACGAACCGACTCGGCGCTCATTATGGGTGGAGTTGAATCCGTTACTGTGAGATTATATGCTTGGCCTTTATTCAGATAAGAGACCGGGATTTCCTTTGTATGCTTGACCATTGCAGTCGGGGCTCTCAATAAAACATTATAGCGGAATCTGCAATAAGAGACAGACGATTAGCATCATGTAGAATGAACACAACCTGCCAAGATCAATTTACTTACTTTTCACCTCGAGCATATGACATGCCCGTTGAGATAGGCAACTCGGTAGAGGCCGCCATATTGGTGTTCAATTCGGCTTGTGCTTCGTTGACAGATGAATCATTCATAGACTCATCCATGGCATCGTAGCCCGAGTCCTGGTGCTGCATGAAGGCGCTTGGCGCATATGATGCCTGCGTCGCAAATGGGTTCATAGCCGGCATCTGATACGAGAGAAATTGTGGGTTGAACTGCTCGACGTCGTGGCCTTGCGGGGGATGATCTGGATTCGAAAGAGAGAGCGGAGTAATCATGTTTAATCCCATAGTTGGTGTATGCAAATCTCCCGCTTGGTTGTGGAAAATGGCGCCCATCCCCCCAGAATTGGGCGTATAGATCCCGGGATGTTGGGAAGCAAGCGACATCATCGGGAGCGCTGCGGGGTCCATCCATGATGGCGAAAACCCCAGCTCCTGGAAATTCCTCGGCGTTCGATCGTTGAAAGGTCTCATCCCATTGGCGTCCGCTTTTGAATCGGTGTTGTCCTTCGAAGGGAGCATGGGATCGCCCTCTGTGTTGAGAGTTGCATGCTGCGTAGCTTCACTGGCTCGGCGAGGGACAATATCTGCGAATGTTTGTTGGAAGCGACTGATGAACTCATCATCAGGCTTCTGAGTGTTGTTTCTGTACGGCATAAAGGTTGGGTTAGCAACTACTACCCCCCGAGAAAAGGGAAGGGGTAGAAAACGTACCGGTTACGAAACATGGAGGGCCAAGCTAACGGCGGTCGTGCTCACTCGGTCCACGCAAGGAACGGAGAGGTGTCGGATAAGAGAGAAGGAGACTGCAGTCTAATATGCAACATCTGATCCGCGCTGCGAGAGACCACGAATGCCGGGATATCGCAGCCAGCAGCTCCGGTCGGCTGTGACGCTTGAGGTTCTCACAACCCGGATTTTGGAGTCTCAGAGGTGCTGAGATTGTAGATGGTCGAGGATTCTCCGGAAACCCGAGGGTGAAATATCTCGACGTTTTCGTTTCAGAGGAACTCGATGTCGGTGCAATCGCTAATATAGCTTTTAAGGAATCGTGTCGGAGTTGCTGGGTGGAATTGAGGAGGGGAGTGGATATGGATGGGAAGCAAGTTCGTTGGGTCCCACGGCTTAAATACGTTGAATACGTTCTGAATGCCGTCGCAAGTGAAGTACAAAGAAACGATGAGAAGGGAATCAAGCTCTTGAATGGAGGGTGAAATTGGAGAGAGTGAGAGAGGGGTTGTATGACGAGCCTTAAAGGGGAGGTGGAGGGGCGAAGGGCAAAGAAAAGTGCAGAGACGGTACGGTCCATGAAGCCTCCAATAATGAACGATCTAGGAGATCCAATTAAGTCAAGGGGGTGAGAGCTTTGGAGGGAAAAAAAGTGTCGCCACTGGAAGTGACCCGATAAGGGAACTAGAGGATTACGAAACATCCAGAAAGTACATAGAGCTCCCTTTTTTTTCCCTTTTTTCTGAATCATTTTATTTTCAGTGATCAACATTATTGGTATAGAGAGCATGGGTATGGAGAACGGGACATGGAAACCCTGCGAAGCCAATCCGTGGATATTCGCGGTGGAGAACAGAAGGAAAAAAAAAAAAAAAACATATTGTAACTTACCGTATGATGCGGGTATGCATACATCGGAAGTGTAGAGCTACCACTTCGTATAGTAGAGTGGTAGAAAGAAAAAGAATATCACAAGAATAGAAATTTCTTTCTAGATCCAGATGTCTTCCATTAAGAATGCCCGCGTCAGTCGGCTCAACACGGGATTCCCCCATCTCCAATTTCCACCCCGTGAGTACTGTAGCCCTATCGATTCGATTCGATATACATCAATGCAATGATTAAATCATAACTGGCTGAGCATAGCCACAGGGGCTTCATCTTAGTCGCAATAAAGGAAGGAAAAAACAAAGCCAAATATAAAGAACAACTGTATCCGAAGATTCGAAGTATATCCGCAGAGATAACCAGGCATTTTCCAGCCGCGAAGAAGACACTATGGACGGACAACTCCGGGAATAAACAACCTCGGGACCCTTCAAACGGAGCAGAAGGCATCAGCGTTAACCGCGTTTTTGTTTGGTTCGACCATCCACGTCCGATTGATAGCGCGAAGCCACATCCATTCGGTGGCCGTGTTGCCCATGCTGTTCTTTTCTTGCCAAATCAGATCCTTCGGACTTCTTCATTCCCCATTGTGCTCTCGGGCAGCATCATACGCTAATATCAGGGTGGTCTAGTCTTAACTTAATCTTTTTGATAGTGACTTCTCCATGTTGTTGGGAAAGCTTATTCCAAGTTTGGGATGGAAGATGATACAATATTATGATACTATGATACTATGGGTTGAGGCAAAGACATTAAAATAGCAAAGCTTTTGTCTTTTGTTATTTTAATAAAGTGATATCATCAATTCGGCAATTGGATCAACGGCACATCTCCAGATCTATGGATATCATAGTACATCCACTAGTGTAGGTCATGCCCAGGTGCTCATCGAATGGGGTTATATAAGATCTGGCACTACCAAAGTAGAATCATATTCTGCGGGAGATATCTTTCTCTTGCTTTCTACACCCCTCGATTCCATCATGGATCATATATACATAGACAGCAGTATATGGAAGTAGACAGTGGGACTTCGACTGGCATAATACCGTACCATAACATGATCCAGCTGGCGCTGTGAGTTGCTGGAACGGGATCCCGCCAATAAGAACCCCCAGTTTCCGAAACATATCACATGACTGAAATTACCATACATCCCGTCACAGCCCTATAGATCTACATCCACCTATCCATGGATATTTCGTAGCAATTGGAGCAATGCATTGGTGGAATTTGTTATTTAATACCCAATTCTCGAAGTTATTTCCGACAAGAGAAAGAAAGAGAAGCCACAATGGGGATGGATGTATATCCCCAAGAAAGAAAGGCCAATGTGGTTGGCTGGCTGAGATGCCGGACAATTGTGGCGGTGCTTTACTGACGCATTATTTGCGCTGACCCAAAGATCTCCACATAGCGATTCCTATATTTCAATGAATTAATTCAACATTACAGTATTGACTATTCCTTATGTACTGTAGTCCAACAATCATTCATTCTTTTTTTATCCAGGGGTTACCCCGTTTAGACCAACTGTCTATGAGTTCTATGATCTGTAGACAGGCAAGCTCTGATTCGGGAACTGACGTCAAGGAGAACTTCTCCGATCACGTTACTCGTTACATCTTCGGATTGTTGCGATGGAGAAAGCCACCTCGTCATAGTGCACGTTTGCGGGAAGTCAGACACGAAGAGAATTCAAATTGAAATCATGAGAGATCGCATTATTAGTAGATTCAAATGTAACAAATGTATGGAGTACTCCCCTGGGCAATTGTCACGAGCTATCAGAGGGACCAATTAAATAACTACAGGGTCCAGCGATCGCCCAGTCTCAAACACGTATGTATCTCGACTTGATATACTCGATGTACTGTACTTTACAATCTATCGGGGACAGGTACAGGTACGCAAGGCAGAATTAATGGTTTTTTTTTTATTAAATTCTTAATCGTCTTATTAAGATATGTGCGCAGCAACCAATCTACATACAGAGGCATGCTGATCAGCGGGAACCTCCCTCCCCTCCCTTCGGTGTGGAATCATTCAGGCAACGACACGACAGCTCCCCATGTCGATCAAAACGGTGGCTTTCGACGCCCAGGGGTCCACTCTCCCTGGTGCCACAAATCTCAGGCCAAGGATTTTGGTTTTTTGCCACCCTCGGATTCGAACATCCGATTCTCCCTTCCAGTGTATACATACTGTATGTCTGTAGAAAGAGAAAGCCACATTTGTTTCCAGCTGACGCAGCCACAGAGATCATGTGCGGAGAGGCACGGGCGCAGTGGGTGGAACCACCGGGGCAGGTATGGGTCTGGCGCTTTTGCTACGGCCATACAAGGAATTGAATATGCATTTGGAGGCGTAATTTGAGACACTGTTCTCCAGACCAGACTGTAGAGTTTTTCGTTGGTTGGTTTCGGTGCCTCATCTGTTCAGAAATAAATCACATACATCTATCCCCCCCCAACCCATCTTCCTCGAACAAGGAATCGAAATCGTAACTGGGCCAGATTCTTGATAACATGGACAGGTATCGAATGCAAAGTCGGGTCCCCAATGAGAAGGCGTCGTCGCCCCAGATCAGGTGTGTATTAGTTATATTAGGTAGCCTCTGGTAGTTCTTCAATGTCACTGTCAGTGCTGGATAATCAACGAGAATCCATCAACCCAGGACCCACAAGAGCCGGAGAGCCCGGCAATTTTATAACCCAGGGGTGGTATAAGAGTATGTCTGGAGAATGGTCAGTTTGGAACCTGCTCCAAGTCGCACCAGATGGGGTCATACCCAGAGCCTCCCACAGCATTTCCATAGAATCCCGATTTCCTCCCAAGACTCGTGAGAATTTCAATCCCATCGATCCAGAGGCCCGCTCGTACATAGAAACCAAGCAAGATCTCGCCTCGTCGAGTATCTAACCATGTCAGTTGACTCGTCTACCAAACGACCATTTGCCGGAACTTACCAAGCACAAAATCGTCCACTTTGCCGCCGCGCTTGCCAAAAAGTTGGCTGGTCGCGTCCTCGTAGCAGAATTCAATCCCATCCAAGGCGTAACCATGATAGATCTTGATCGAGGTCAACAGTTTGGTCTTGATGAAGGCGCACTCCAGCAGCAGTTGCTCGGGCTCACTGCCTTCCATCGTCGACTGCCCCAATTTCCCGCTTTTGTAGCCGGACTGGCCTTTGGGTAGCTTGACCAACGAGTACTTGGACTTCAAGTGACCCGTGTCTTCGACTGTATAGCTACCCAATGCACCCGACACAATCACCAAGCGGATCTTCTTTTTCTTCTCCTTTTCGCTGCCAAACACCCGCTGGCGGAGCTCGCTCTCCGTCACCGTGATTTGCTTCGGGAGCCCATTGATGCTCGACTCGGTGTTCAAGTATTCGACAAAATTGTGACAGAAGTTTTCACCCTCCGCATAGAGCTCCATGAACGCAATCCCCGACGATGCGGTGAACAGAACCTTACCATGCTCCACGGGCCACACCTGGACGCTGTCGTCGGAACTTGCCGAGGCGTCACTGGGCAGCCGGAAGCAGGGATGGAATCGGAAGCGCAGCGCATCGAGTCGGTGCCAGCCACACTCATCGTTGGGTAAACACACTTTCAGCCCCTGGGCTTTGGTGCGGGTGCAGAAGGGCTCTCTGGTAAGGAATGAACGGTTGAAACGCACATAATCACGCAGCATGATTCCTGATTCTTGGTGAGGGCATCCGAAGAGATGGCCGACTTCATGGAGGTGAGCACCGATGCCGAGATTTGCCGACTCCCAGTTAGAGCCCGCTTCGCCAGAGTCATTGGCGACATGATTCGTATCCGTCCGTGTGCAGTCGGAAAGTGCGTCCACCACTTCTTCCAGACATGACGGATAGCTTTGAAGACTGTGGGACCCGAAGATCGCCATCTTGATATCATCGCCAGCCGAGCCCAGTGCCGCATGACCGGTGATAGTCTGTGCCTCTGTGTCCCAATGGGAATCCAAGAGGAGAACCGAGACATACTGTTTCTGGCCAGGTTGCGGCCGAAAATGCTGCTGGACTGCTTCCTTGGCGATCGTGAACAAGCCATCCTTGTTGGTGGCACTGCTGGATTGTTGGGCGATTTTCAATTCCCGCAGTTCGGCCACTGTCTTCTCCGAGCGAACGATGTGAATCTTTGCCTCATTGCGCATTTGACCTGAGGCGGCATCGCGCCGACTGAGGCTGCCCGACTGCCACTCCTCCTCGAACCGGAAGCAACGGCGGCCGAAGTTGTTGCGGAACATCTGCTCCCCCGTAAATGCCTGCCACAGATATGATGCCATCCGGTATTTTCGAATTGCCATGTCCAGCCCATTGCCTTCTCGTGCTGCTCTCTCGGGCACCGCATCGTACGTGCCGTCCGAGTCCTTCCCGAGCAAAATTACGAGTTGCAGTGGTGGCGAATTGACCAACGGGAGATAGTTGACGCAAATCCATGCTGAGTGAATGGCCGGATGTGCACTCCCAGATGACAACTTGGGTGAGACAAAGTCGAAGCGTAGGCGATTGGGACCGGGAACTAAATGAACAAGGGCTTTGAAATGTGATGCCGTGACTGGCCAAGCAAGTGACGGGAAGTTATCTTGGTGGTGGTAAACCGTGACATTTCCGTCCAGCGGGTGATGTCGTGGGTCTCCGATCTGACCATATACAAGGAGCACTTTTTGATGTACCTGGAACCGAGTCAGCACATGGCCATTTTTCCCCGTCATTAACTTTAGGCCAACCATACCCATGCACTGTCGGCAATGGACACGATTTTCGGGGCATATGGTGAACTGGGGGTGTGGGAGCGATATGCCCCATTAATGGAGGAGGAACTGCTGCCCTATAAGCCCGATGATCAGTATTGGACTCCACGGCGATCCACTCGGGAGAAGAGCATACAATGACACTGTTACGCTGTGAATGGGTTGGAAAAGGTCCTGATCGTTGGGGTGGAACGGGGGTACTGGCTGTACTGGCGCCATTGGAATTGGATTCGGTCAATGAGGGCAAGTTGGGAGAGGAAGCGGTTGGTTTGATGGATGAGGGCGGAGTGACGGAGCTGTAGGAGGTGTCGATCGTCGAGGATGATTTCCCCAAGACCATTTCCACATTATGCGCGTTCTTGGAGTCGGGCTTGTGGATGCTGGCCTTGGAACGGCGCCGAAGCTGCTTGAAGAAGGGCATGACGAGGAGAGCACACACAGAAGAAGCCAGGGACTTCTCACCAGGAGAAGATGGCAGGGAGAAGAGAAGAGAGAGAAGAGAGAGGCGAGAGAGGGAGAGGGAGCAGCAACCGCGTTGGGGGCAGGAACAAGGAGAGCGACCGTTTGCGGGTGACGGGAGTGTCCCCGCCAGGAACCCAGAAATTTGGGGGGAAGGGATCGGGGAGAAGAAATGATCAAAGATCGTAATCACATTGAAAAGCACATAGAAATAAGGGGAAAGGAGAAAAAGAAGAAGACAAAGAAAGGATACCAGTTTGGGGCTCCCATTACGTGGCTACGAATGGTTTTTCTCTGAACGTCGCAATGTTTCACCTGTGGAGATCGTCCTATTTCTGAACTTTTCCCCTTTGGCTTGTCTCTGATCTATCTCGATTTCTTAATTTGCTTGGTTTTTGGTTTCTTCCGATCGTATGCTGTGAAACCCGGTATGGTACAGCCCTCTGCTATGCTGCATTGTCGGATCTTCGCTATAGATCTCCCCCTTGCCAAGTACTGCATCCTATGCTGGAGATAGATGCAGGCACATGTTGTTTCCCGTTCAACGGTTTGTGTCCGACCTTACCTGGAGGTCTCTCTCTCTCTATATCTATCGATGGAATGGACTCCGATCCGTCCTGATCGCAATCTCATCCAATAACCCCATTAGGACGATCCTCTCGGGATGGAGTATGAGCTGCCATAGTGGAGTCTCCTGCATACCGATGGGTTTCCACGGGAGCCAATCCCCCAGAGAACTGGTCCAACCGGAATCTGACAGAGAGAGAGAGAGAGAGTTCTTTGCTGGATCTTCTATGACCAGAGGGGGACGCCCCGGCTGAAAAGATGATCTTTGCATCAAGTGGAGACTGAGGAACAACGCCGCCCGGGGGCTGGTAAACACGCCAGGGCAGTCGATACATCGATTCTGGGGGTTCAGGGGAGCACGGCCAAAGGAAGTGCTAAGGTAGTGTCCAAAGAGTCTCCAGCGTAGAAACACAAAATTCATGGGATATTTGAGAAAGAATGGAAGATCCAGTAGCTGTCGTATGGGGATTATCGTCTTCTCCAGAGAGAATCTGCTGTAAATTGCATATTTTGCTACGAATTCTGTAATCCTATATTTTTTTTTTCTACTTTTTTACTTCTGTGATTCTTTAATTCATGGATTCTTCATTATATTCACTATATTCTTAATTTTCATCTCCCTTAATTCTCCCATTGTCAGCTCAACTGCTGGCCAACCCGCTCTTTGCTCCGTTCGGCTCCACTCCCCATCGGGCCTCCCTTCTTTCCCACCTTCAAGACACTCCCCCGAGGTCTTGTCTTTCCCTCGGATTTTTTTTTCTTTTCTTTTCTTGTTCAGCTGGCCATCATGACCCTCTCCCAGCCTGGTTCAGCGGAGAAGACCATCCGCAAAATCGATATTGCCCAAGTGAGTGAGACAGATGACCCATGAAAAAAAAAATGAAAGAAACGCCCGGGAAAGAAATGAGCAATCCTGAAACTGGAGGTTTCCACCCTGGATCAGGCTCTCATTCTTTCAGAGGACCTTGTATATTGCTACAGGTGGATTTGAGTGCACTTGTGGACACTGCTAACCCTCGACTTCTTTTTCTAGGTGTCCCTCAGTCTACAGGACCGGTTGGGCCTCGCCAAACTCAAGTACCAACATGGGCGTCTGCATGGGTTGGGCTTGACTCAAGATAGCCGACTCGGTATTGATAGTGACAAGCCCTCCGACTCGTCGTCCGAGTTCTCTCGCAGCCGCTGCGAGACCCCCTTCACCTCCCCACCCCTTCGGGCCTCGACCTACTCCAAGGAACTCCCTCGATCCGCCCGCAACAAACATGCCGTTACCTTCAACTCCCGACTGATGCTGCCGATGCTGCCGGCCAATCGCAAGCGACTCCGGTCCGACTCGGACTCTGAGCGTCCGGCGAAGGCCCCCCGGGTCTCATGGAAGAGTTCCTACCAGCTGCCAGAATCGTCACCGGCAATCAACCGTCATCCTCCGCCCCGTCCGAGGCACGTCCCGTTTATGTCTGAGGCAACCATCCCGGAGCTGTCTTCTCCCGCATACCATGGGCCGTCGGACGAGGAAAATGACCCGGACCTGCCCCTGCACAGTTTTCAGAACATGAGCTCCATGGTTGGGTCCTCGCCTCCACGCACCCCTCCACCGAAGCACTCACGGCTGGCACGATCCGATCATGCCTTGAAGCACGAGGACGGCGCAGACCTGCTGCTGTATCTGGCCAACTCCCCTACTCCAGCTCGGGTGGCATCCCAAGCACAGGCCTTCCCCCGTCAACCCCACCCAGCCAGCATGCTGTGATGCCATCATTGACCCCCACACCCGGTGCGGGAGGATTCCCCAATTTTGGCACTCCAAATCAGCAGTTCAACTTTGCTGATTTTGTGAATGTCACTCCGAGTCCAGCCCAGCCTGCCTGGGGCAACCGCACTCCTGGTAATCCTTCTCGGACTCCTCTGGCAACCAAGGAAGCCCGCAAGCGCTTGAACTTTGACAGCCTGGCTCCTCCCAACACCTCGAGCCCCCGAGTTCCTGGAAAGGACTCGGGCTTGGCCTTGCAACTTGGGGGTGAACTGCGGCCATGAGTCCCGTGCTGCTCTTGTCATTGCTTCCTATTCTTAGTCCATTGATGTTCTATCCCTTTTCACCCCCAACCCTGTTATGATGCCCCTTATGATCATGTTCTGTACACATTGTCTGTGTTCATTTCCTATGTAATCTGCCTGCTGTCAGTAAGAACCCCCTGTTTATTCAGGCACCATCTTGACAGTCAAGGGCATTTCCTCATCTGCATTCACCGGCGTTTACCTTGCCCCTTTGAGTGTTTCGCATTGCCTTGCATCCCTCTTTTCCTTTGTTTGAGCAAGAACTATTTTATCTAACATGTTCTGCCTTTGCACCTTGTCTTGCCTTCTTGCCTTTTTTCTCTTTTTCACATGATACTCTTCTCCCCAATGCTGTTGATGAACAGACTAGGTAATCCCATGGAGTCGAGTTCCAAAAGGCATCTTTTGTGATCTCACATGGCAGGAAGTACCACTGTACCTACTATCTCTACCTTTTCTACAAATTCCGTGTATCAAGTCGCTCCCTTTCACTTCATGTTGTCTGACTGTAGATGTAGATTGCTTCTTGAATAATATTCATACTGGTGTTCATGTGTTGCTATACATAGTATATGCTGTTGATTATTATGAGTCTTCACTACTAGCACAATCATGGGCTGAACAAGGCATACCTCGGTAATATCGCCATCCCATCACCCCTCATCGCGTGTTTCGTGTTTCGCGTCACTTTCGCGTTGGCGCTACTGCAGAGCCAGCCAATCAACCATCAGAAGTGGAGACACATATATGACATCATTTTCATCGATCGAAATGACTAAACATCTTCCAAATTGGGTGAAGATGAAATTATTTTGGTGCCTGAGGCTTGAATATCAAGAGAACTAAACCCCAAGAACCTGCAGCTGGGAACCTTGCAATTCTCACTCCTCCTGCCAGCCCAGCTGTTCCTGTTTCCCTGGGCCCTCCTCTACTTTTGCTCGCTCACCCTGCTTTTCCCATAACAGTGCAAGGTAATCTGATGAGCTTGCCTCGTCGATCGACTTGTCCTCGCGGACTTTAAGAAACCGCGGAAACCGCAGACTCAGGCCCCGCTCTTCGCTGACCAACCCAATGGCAGCGGGGTATGTCGGGCTTAGTGTGATGTCTGCAAAGGCCATCTCCCACACTTCCTGCGGCTCGAACCATACGTCCGGTGCTCCATAGTACTCGACGTAGCTGGGCCGCGCGATGACGTTCGCGCTGCCCTCGGTGTATTTGTCCCGGTTGGCTTGGTAGAACTTGTCTGTAAACCCTGACATGCACTTTGTCACGGCTTCCAACGCCCCTGTTTCGGGATTGCGCACGGCCAGCAGGATCGGGGACCACCATTTCGCTTTGCGCCCGTTGCCGTGCCAGCCTGCCACCGGGATGAGGTCTAGTGTCTCGGATGATGTGCTGTAGTCTTTCTTCACTTTCAACCAGGACTCAAGTCGCTTGTCGGGTTCGTAGGTCGAGAGGAGTGCCTTGCGTCGGCCGCCCTTTTCCTTCTCTTTGGGCGCGGTGTTGTCCTTGGGGTCTGAAGATGGCTCGACTGGAATGACTTGTTCGGTGGTATCAGCGTCAGCAGGAATTGGGTTGGCATTGGGCCTCGATGCATTGTCGAGGACCTTGACCATGATTCCTTCGCACTTGGCATCTGTCGCGCCCTTGAAGAACTCGAGTACTGTCTCGGAATCTGCAGATGTCGCATCAAGACTCTTGACCCACGTGAATCGGTTGGGAATCTCGACAAAGAGGCTGCGGAGAAGTTCGCGCCGTTCGCGAAACGGCCGGTCCAGCAGTGACTCGCCGTTGAGGTACATCAGGTCAAATGCAAACAGACACACATTGACTGTGATGGCACCGATGTCGACATTCTTCTTTGCCCGGTTGGTGAGAACCTGGAATGGCTGAAGATCGCCTGTCTCATGATCCACGGCAACCACCTCCCCCTCCAAGATAAAGCTAGAGACGCTCTCTCCCCGGATTTGAGGCACCAGAGACACAAGATCTGGGTACTTCTCGGTCATGAGTTCGAGGTGGCGGGAGAAGATGGATACCTTCCCTTGGTCGTCGCAGTGGACCTGCGCCCGTTGCCCGTCATACTTGTACTCGCAGCTGAAATGCCTGCCTTGAAGCTTCGTGAGCATCTCCGAAAGGTCGCGGGTAATGCTGCCCAACATCGGCCTCAATGGAATGTGCAGCGCCAGGCCACACCGCACTAAAAGCTCTTCCGTGACCCCGATCTCTAGTAAGCATGGTACCAGATCGTTGTAATTTGGGTGTCTGGCATAAGACGCCTTCATTATCTCCTCCGCATTGCTATAGAGTTCGGCTAGCTCATCCTTTTTCAGACGCGCTAGGGCGGGGTGTGGCTGAATCGCAAACTCAGCATCCGGAGGTTTGGAGTAGAGGAAGGCTCGCGCAAGAGCGATAAGCATGGTTGTTTTGACAGCGCCAATCCGCAGATTCTGGACCAGAGTTCGAACAATATATCGGCTCTCCTCGGCGCCCCGCGTATCCTGTAACAGCTTCTCGACGATGCGTTGTTTGTTCTCCTGACTCCCCGAGCCTTTACTCATGGCAATCTTCATTAGTGATTGATACACTCCTTTTATCTTGAGCGGCTTCGGCTTGACCAGAGTGAAGGCCTGGCGTTTTTTAGCTTCGAAGGCGACATCACCTGCATCTCCATGTCTGTCATACAGGGTTTTGAGCCCTTGATTGTCAAGGCCGTAGATCTTTTTCAGGGCCTTAGAGATAGCGGAGCCTCCCAAGCCTAGTTCCAACTCATCGTATGGCGGAGAAATGGAGTTGGTTGCCAGCCACACCGCTGGAAGGAGGCTCGACGGGTCCCCCTCTATCAGAACCCGAAGGAAATTTACCAGCGTATCGACAATCCTGATTCGACTGGTGGTGGCGTTGGCAAGCACAAAGGCCCTCGTCAGCAAGGCGTAGGAAGCATCGCCGCCCTCGGTGGCCCAATGCGACCGCAGCTCTGCTACAAATTTACCCGCGTCAAAGGTCTGGGGGCTTTGATCAAAGGGAACAGTTTGCGATATTGTATCCTCTGTGCCTGCAGAGGATTGCAAAGATAGTGTGTTCTTCTTCGGCGTCACCGGCGCCACTGGAGTTGGTTCTGGCGGTATTGGAAGTGCTGACGTAGATACATCCGTGTTGGGAGTCGCTATCGTTGGCTGTGGATTTTCTGAGCTTGAAGCATGGGCATTGGCTTCTTGATCCCACTCGGCCTGGAGCTTGCGCGCAAGAGCTTCATCCGAGAGGGTCTGCTCGGTGACGTCGGTCTCGGCGGTCTGTCGGGTCGTTTGACCCCTGAAGAAGGACTCAATACTGCGCGTCTGCGATGAATCTCCATTGCGCTTGCGCTTTTTAGCCGGGCTGGACATGGTAGATGGGCGCAAGTGGCCGTTGCATGTTGCCACTGCGTTGTGTCGGAAAGGCGGAGATCAACATTCGCGACACCTTGCGCTCCCGCAATTATTTCCCTCCGCAACCATGGCGCCTCCCACGTCGCTGCCGTCGCATGAGCGGGCTCGTGTTGAAGATTATTTGAATGATAAGATCCAGGTCTCTGCTGATCTCGAGAGTTTGGATTCGCTACTCTCCAGTCTACGTGCGCAACAGGAGCTCCAACGGAAGCAGGTACCGCCCCTCTGCCATTTTGTTTCCAGCTCGATCGTTCCTTTTTCATGCCGTATTACTCACTCGGCATTTCACAAATTAGCTAGTAGACGCCCATGAAGTCCTCTCGAATGCGACCAAAGCCTCCAATGACCATGCCAAAGCCACTCGGGAGCGAGCCGAGGCATTCGCCGCAGAGCAGGCCGATATCGACCGGCGATTGAAAGCCATTACGCAGTCAGAGACAAGCGATGAAGCGGTGCGGCGACTTGAAACGAGCATGGAGAGGCTCCGGCGGCTTGAGATCTCCAAAGGATATGTGGAGCTGCTCAAGGAGGCAGAGGAATTGAGGTAACGGAGCACTGACCCATACCACTTGCAACCCCAGACACTGAGACCCTCCTGCAGCAAGGATGCCCTCACAAATATTGCCTCTGAACCTCGAACCGCTCTGAAACCGTATTCTCGCCTGCGCAATATCGTGCTGTCGTTGAAAGAGGCCCAACCTGCCGCCGAAGGAGCAGCGCCCCACCTCGTTGACTATACGGAGAAGCTGGCGACGGCACTGAGACAGCAGATGAAGACGTTCTTTGGCAGTCGGCTGCACAAAACCCTCGAACAGCTGAAGTGGCCGACACGCGAGTTGAACATCACCGATACACTACTGGCTGAATGGAGACAGGATGTGGAACTCCTGATCGATTTGCAGACGCCGTAGGGACACCCTTGTCTGTCTCCATGGTTTCTGCTCTGACAGTGATTATATAGGGAACTTCAAAGTCGTGATGCTTTACCTTCAGGCCAGGGCCTGGAGCCGCCGGTCCTATTTCCATTGGAAACCATGGTGCATCCGCTGGACCTCAGATTCAAGTATCACTTTAGTGGCGACAAGCCAACCAATCGACTTGACAAGGTAATGACACATTGAGTTCACAGGGAAGAAGCATTCTAACCAGCAATTCTAGCCTGAGTATTTCCTGTCCCACATCATGGACCTTATCAACCAACACGGCGGGTTTTTCGCTTCATATCTTCAGCCGATTCTGGACGAAAAGGCACAGCTTATCGGGCCGAGCTTGGACTGGAACTTTTATAATGCATTGCATGCTTTCATCACAGCATTACTGCCGATACTTAGGCAGAAAGTTCGTTCGTTCCTCCCTCAGATCTCGGACTACCCTCAATTGCTCAGCCATTTCATCCATGAGTTGATGAACTTCGACAACGAGATTCGGGAAACCTGGAATTACCTGCCCGATCCTTATGCGGATGATAATTGGAAGGGTATAACCTGGGAAGTCCTGACGAAACAGGGCTGGTACGATCGCTGGCTTCAGGTTGAGAAGGATTTTGCCCTGTCTCGGTACAAGGATATCATCGACACTCCAGAAAGTGGACACATTGACTATGACGGCATGGAACTTACAGCAACCAAGCCGACCAAAGCAGCCATTCGCGTGAACGACCTCCTCGAAACCATCACTGAGCGATATCAGCCGCTCTTGTCTTTTAGTCAGAAGCTTCGGTTCCTTATTGACATTCAAATCACCATATTCGATCAATTTCATGAGCGTCTCTACTCTGCCTTGGAGGCCTACCTCGCCATGACTTCCACACTGGGTCGCACAGTACAGGGGGCGGACGGACAAGCCAGTGTGGAGGGTGTGGCGGGTCTTGAACGACTCTGCCGGGTCTTTGGGAGCGCCGAATACCTGGAAAAGAAGATGGAAGATTGGAGTAATGACATCTTTTTTGTTGAGCTCTGGTCGGAGCTTCAAGAACGGATCCAGCAGAACCGAGAGGGTGGCCGAAACGTGGCCGGGACGATGTCCGTCGCGGAGGTGGCATCGCGCACATCCCCAGCTGTCTCGAATAGCTTGGAAGTTCACAACCAAACCTCCTCCTCAGACGGCGCTCTTTTCGATGAAACCGCATCGGCTTACCGGCGACTACGACTACGGTCCGAAACTATCATCACCTCCACCATGAGCTCCAATACCCTATCAGCCCTGAAGCCTTACTCTCGCGTTTCCACCTGGGCGACGTTGTCCACTCCCTCGACGGCGGGCTCCCCGCTATCTCCGTCCTCTGACCTTTCACATGCCATGAGCACCTTGTCCACTCAACTCCCTTTCCTCTCTCGTGCCTTGGGAATTGCCCCTCTTCGACGCGTCTCGCGCCAGCTGCTTCTCTCCATCCAGACCTACATCTGGGACAACGTCGTGATTAAGAATACCTTCTCTCCTACCGGAGCCGCCCAATTAGCGAGCGACATCGATCACTTGTGCCATGTGGTCGACTCTGCGCTGGGTACCGCGGGCCACGCGGGTGATTCGCTGCGGATCATGAAACGACTCAACGAGGGCCTGTGTCTTCTAGGGTTGAGCGCATCACCTCAAGAGCAAGCTGATCTTGGGTCGGCACTCGGGTTGTGGGATGTGGAGAAGAGGCTATTCAAGGATAACGAGAGTGCCCGAGAGGTCCTTGCTGAGCTGGAGATCGATACATTGACCGAGACCGAGGCGCGGTTGGTGTTGGAACGGCGGGTGGAGATCGGCAGCTAGATGCCTGTGTGGATAAGTCTCCGAGTTCTATACTCACAACCAGAAAGAATATACTCTGTTACTCAGTTTCTGGAGGGACACATTGTATTATTCCACCACAGCCTTCTACCTCTACTTCTCTTGGTTAAGTGACTCCCTCATCTCCCCGGGCAAACAGCGCATCAAACATTTCTACATTTTCAAAACGAGTTCACTCGAAGACAACATAGCCCATGTATTGGTTTCTACATACCGGCCAGATCCTCTATGCCCAACCGGTTCTATCTGTGCAAGTATCTAAAACCATAAATAACATCAAAGGAGCTCAGACAGACCCCAGTCTATAACTAGGCATGCTTCCCAAGCCTCTTCTGAGGAACCACCGGGGTACTTCCCTTCAATTCCGCGAAGACGCGCGGCCCAACCTCCTCAATAGCCCGGACTAGCGACTCGACCGTTTCCCTGCTGGTCAAGACGTTAACCACGCACCGGAAGAACTTGCCGTTGCCAACGCCCTCGTCGTCGTCGCTCGGAGGCGCAAAGTCCACCATGAACCCCTTGGGCACGATCGCATGCGTCGCCTGCTCCGTAACCTTGCTGTTCAGCTTTCCGCGCTGCGTCTCGTCCGACACGCTGCCGCGGGGGTACAACATTTGCTTGCCGGGAGCGTAGTAGAAGCACACCTGCAGGCATGGGGGCGGGTTCTCGCTGACGAGGACAAAGTCCGGGTGTTGCGAGACGATGGTGGCCAAGTGCGCGGCCACATCGCAGGCCGTGTCGATCTGCGCCGCATAGCCTTGGGTTCCGTAGTACGTCCACCCCAGGAAGAGTTTCAGCGAATCGGCCCGCCGGCCACATTGCAGCGTTAGATCGGCCAGATCCCACACCTCGGGCGAATCGGCCTCCAGCTCTGACTCGGGCTGCCCGTCGCCGTTGGCTGCTGATGCTGTTTCTTCGCTGTGAAACAGATACCCCGCGGGCAGCGTATTGGCGCGGTGGAACTGGCGCATGTCCGAGGCCAGCAGGAACGAGCAGGTCACCGGCACGCCGAGCATCTTGTGCGGGTTGATGGCGATACTGTTAGCCTTTTCGGCACCAGCCAGCTTGTGCTTCTGTCGCTGCGAGAAGACAAACGAGCCGCCCCAGGACCCGTCGACGTGGAGCCACAGGTTGTATTTTTGGCAGATGGCTGCGACTTCGTTAAAGGGGTCGAACGACCCCATGACCGTCGTGCCCGCCGTGGCATTGACATAGAACGGTGTTCGGCCCTCGTCCTGGGCCTTTTGGACGAGTTTCTCCAGTTCCGCGGGGATCATGCGGCCTTGTGAATCAATGGGCACGGGCCAGACAGCGCTGCTACCAAACCCGAGCATCTGCGCCGCCTTCTCCACGCTGTAGTGCCCATGGGCGCTGGTGAAGAGCACAAACCGGTACCCTTCGTTGCCGTTCTTCTTCGTGTTCGGGTAAAGATTGTTGCGCGCGATCACAATGGACGTGGTATTCGAGGCTGAACCGCCTTGCACCGAGATGCCGCCGGCACGAGGACCCGTAAGCCCGAACAGCGCCGCCAATTGCTGCCCGGTGTACTTCTCAATCACAGTCAAGGCCGGCGACACCTGGTACACGTGGACGTTGGTGTTCAAAGTGGCCAGGATCAGCTCGGCTGCCACGCCGGGGGCATTGGTTGTCGCATACAGCTTGTCCAAGAAGCCCTGGTGCCAGGTGTTGACCGAGTAGCGCAGGACCTTCTGCAGGACTTCAATCAGGCCATCCTGCTGTCTTCCGGTCTCGGGTACCTCGAGCTGCAGGATATCCCGCAGCTCCTCGGGCTTCTTGTAATCTATCAGGGCTGTTCCGGCTCGGCTATGCCCGTTGACGCCATTCTTGTGCTGGGAGTCACTGGCAGGGCTCTCGTCGGCGGCCCGAATGAAAGGAATGAGTAGATTTTCTACTGCCTTCAGAAGCTGCAATGGCGAGAAATTGGCGGGTTAGATGTCGCATTGGAGAGGGTTGAGAAACCACTCACAGTCTGGACTTCGTCGGCGCGGGACATGACGTATATATATACAAGTGGGCACTGTACACTATGAACAAAGAAAAAGAACTATATCCACAAAGAAAAGGAAAAGAGTGAGGCGCAGATGGGCAGTTGGATGCAATTGGGGCAGATTGAGGGAAGAAAAGAAGAAAAAGTTCCCAGGATTCGATGGCGAAACTCCCGCACCGCTTGACATCATTCGGGGCAGTGGGGATGGCCTCATCTGATGCCAACATATATCCTTCTTGACCTCCGGATGATCCTCGGCAATGGCTCAAGTATATCTTGATTTCGACTATACATGCAATTAATACATTTAATGCATCCAATTGCCATAGCCTGAGCAACGCACCCTGCTGGATTTACTCGTCCATTTCAGTGCTTTTCCCTCGCCGCTTTTAAGCATCCACGTGACCCACAGATCAACTCACCGGTGTCACGTGGCAACTGTCTCTCATAGAGACATCATATAGGCATGATCTAGACATGGCATACAGATTGGACACTGCTAATATTCAAATAGAACCAGGAGTTAGGACAGTCGAATGCAAAATCTCTGAGATATGTGGAAAAAAGAGAGAGAAGAAATTCAAATTAGGATATCAAATCAGGCTTCAGGCAGTTCAAGTATCTAAAGAGAATGCAATATGTAGTGCTATTTGAGAAATAGGTACTTCATCTTGAAGCACGTTGATAGAAAGTTATGCTTTTTTTTGACTATTTCCATCCTACATCCTCTCAAGATTTAACCGGCTGCTTCCCCGATTCACTCTCCTTAGCAGCAAACCGGGCCCGTGCCAGTTCAATCTTCGATTTAGGTCGTTCTCCGCCGTCCGCCTGCAGTTGGCGATCGATGCCCTTGGCACGAGCAGACCACTCGCCCCGGCGCCGTTTGAACAGATCCATCGACCAATTCCTCCAGACAGCCCGTCCCACAAAGGAGTCGCGGAGAACCATCTCGTCCTGCGCCAGTTCCTGTGCCATTCGCTCCTTGACGAAGAAAATGTCCTTAGTAGCTGACCAAAGCGCATCGACCACGTGGGACCCGCTGTTGTCCAGCGCGAGCTCTTTGAGGTGGCCTTGGAATCGGGTTGTGAGTTGTCGCCGAATTTGGGGTGTGGAGGTCGAAGAAGTCAGCGCCTGTTGTAGCACGCGAGATGTCGTGGATTCTCGGGCGAGGCCGAGAATTGTGTCGGATGTTTGTGCGAGGAGGCTGCTGTACACGAGTTCGCTGAGTGGGCCCGGTACCGTAAGCATCGCCTGCACCAGCAGAGAGCTATGTAGTTTCTCCGCTGCAGATGCAGAGGCACTACCGGCCGGCGCTTTCTGCTTGCGCTCCTTCTTCTCGCTCTCACCCTCATCCTGTTCGTTCTGCTTATCCTGGTTCTCGGTTTCTGGTGCAGGTTCCCCCGACGATCCGTTCAGTTTGAGCATCTGCTGTAACCGAATAATGGGGTCCTCGTCATAAGCCCCCTTCAGTGCCTGGGCAAGAGGCCTCGTGTCGACGCCACGAGCCATGCACCGCTCAATCAACGTTTTGGGCACAATGAGCCGTGACCTCTCAATTAGCCCCGGAACTTCGGGGATGATAAGGTCCATGGCATTCTGCAAATCGTCCTTTCCTAGTCGCTCCAGTGTTCGCAAAACCACGTAACCTGCAGTACTGTTCCGGGAAAGAGATCCGATTCGATCGCGGATGTTGTTCTTGTACAGGTTTTTGAACGCTTTCCCGGGCATGTAGCGCACCATAGTCTCCAACAAGCGTGAACCGATCGGGTCGTAGAGCAGGCCACGGATAAAAGTTGCGCTTTCAGTGCCCTCCTCCAGCGACTCATCGGGAACCAGCCTCCGCAGAATCGATTTCGGATCTTTAGCGCTGGATTTGCCGAAGTGTGAGAGCTCCAGGAACAACATCACCTGGAGCACGGGATTCCCCACGGGGTGCGTAGCCAAAGCACGGAGATACGTGTCGTCGAGTCCCGAAACCATATCACCCATGAGCTTTTTCAAGGCGGGCTCGAATGACTCTGGGACGCTGCGCTTTTGCTGGGTGGATTTTTCCTCCTGCGCGCCGGCTGCGGGGACACCCAGTCGTTCCTTTTTGCGACTCGCGATTACCGAGTCCGTCGATGAAACATCCATCGGCTCACCCGCGAGAACAAGCAGAAGTACTCGGATGGTATGTGACGCAAATCGTTCGGTCAACAAGTACCCCCAGTTCCCTTCCAATTCCTCTAGGACCGCCATGAACATGTCCGCGAGCGACAGATCCGGCTCGGCCTCCCCGTCGTCATCAGTCGATTTCTTAGTGTGGGATTTCGGTGTCTTCTGCATGACGGCCGGAGCGGCGTGAATGAAAAGCGTCTCACAACAATGGCTGGCGAACCGGTGCTGCACGAGATGCAGGAAGTGGCCGAGGAACTTGCTGAACATCCGACGGATCTGCCGCATATCGGACATGGAGAGCAGTTTCTCCAGTAGCCGAGAGCAGCCTTGGCTACAGGCGATCTTCAATTCCTTGCCATTGGCTTCCTGGTATACACCGTCGACGAATAAACTTCTCTCTTCGGCGTCCTGAAACTGGTTCAGTTCGAGCATTTCGTTGGCGCGTGAAAAGTACTCTTGCTCCTCGGCATCGAGAAGACCATAAAAGGGCATGTCGCCGGAGCCCCCATGATCCTGCTCGTCCTCCGCAGCTTCTGGCTCGAAGGGAATGTAATCGGCATTTTGTTCGTATGGCTCGGTTTCGTCGGAGGGCTTCATGCGTTTCGCGACGGGTTCGTCATTCACTCCATCGATTTTCCGTTTCGATTCATCTTTAACCTTTTGCTCCGCTCGACGGCCTCTCTTTTGCTTTTCACGGGGCATGGCGACAGGGTGTGGGAGAAAGAGGCCGTTGCTGGGGGGTTTTTTTTTGCGATAAGCGGTGGCCCAAGCGTCTGTTTGTTAGGTTTGCATAACCTGGTGCCCTCAGGCAGCCAACTATAATCTTCCCAAGGCTATATAAGCTTATTTGATCGAGTTTTCTACCTATACATCAGGGCATTTCTGAAACGATTCGTGGAAGTTGTCTTGCCAAACCTCTTGAAAGACATTTAGAGTTGTCTGAAGACTTTTTAAAACTCGTTTTATCATGCTACTAGGTACATTATCATATTGCATACACTCTCGTATTATACAGGCCAATTTCCCTTACGCCGCAGAGTAAATCGCAGACACATGTCGCCCGCACTCAACCCGCTGTTCCATGCTCACAGTACGATTGCCCACTCTGCCCTTGTGGCGAGGCATAATTTGCAACCGCGCCTCTGCCTCTTTGCTCTTACGCTCGGGCGGTGCATTGATGTAGCTTGGCTTGGACAAGTTGCTTCGCTTGCCTGTCCCCAGCTGGAAATTTTCGTTTCCACCCCACCAAAGCACATCGTAGCCCCAATCCTGAGAATTATCCAGCGACTCCGTGGTGGAAGCGCTGAGATGGGTGTGGTTGTCCATCACCGCCGAGACATGGGTCGTCCCAACCGATATGGTACGGAGACGGATTGGGGCGACTTGCTTCGTTTTTTCGTCGTATTCACCTACGCCGCTGAGCATCTTCACTTTAGTGGGCGAATCTTGCAGATGAATCCATCGCCCATTGCCGAGAGTGCCCCAAATGCCCCGGCCGCAGGCCCATGTATCTGCCGTTACATGGCCTAGATCGCGCACGTCGGCAGCCTCTTCCCCAGGTCCCACGACTCGCGTGGCGTCGACGGTGAAAAAAGTGTTGGCACCACCGGCGGCAATACCAGTAATCTTAGGCAGGTAGGTATTCCCTTTGTACAGCTGGCTCAATGGAAGTAGAAAAGGGGTATCCTTGGAAGGGAACTCGGGCTCGAATTCCACCCCCAACTGCCCGAAAGAGTTATCGCCAAAACCGAAAAGACGGCCATCTTTGCTAAGTGCGAGTGAGTGGTAATCGCCAGAGGCAATTTGTGTGATCTTAGCCCCCTTCAGAACTGAAATTTCATGGCAAGTGTCTACTGGCCCGCTGGGCCGGGTTGACCATGTTAAACCGGGGACACCGAGTTGGCCGAGAGACGGATAATTATCGGTGGAGGCAGCAGCAGAAAAGACTCGGCCAGAGCTGGTGAGTAACAGTACATGCTCCTGCCCGCTGCTGACCGCAGTGACCCTTTCCCCGAGCTTCAGCCCCGGCTTCAGTATGCGGTAGCTCATTTTGGCTTGCCCGGCCCAGAAAGGTACCCAGGAGCTTTCCCGCGCTTTGGGGCCAGCTGCCTGGTCCTGTTTAGATATTGGCAACGAGTAGACTGTCCCACCCGAGGATAATGCAACGATTCGGTTTTCGGACATTGAAAGCGAGACAAGATTCTTGCCAGTCAAGGTTGTGGTTGGTTTGAAGTCGTGCTCCGAGAATCCTTTGCCCCATTGGACCAGGTCTCCATTCTCGGTGATTGCAGCGCCCGACTTCTCGTCCACCTTGAAATCCTTCAGCACCTGGCCGTCGAAGTATTTGAATCGCCGCGGAACCTTGATGTTGATGTCTTTCGAGTCGGGGTCCGTGACACGATAGACATTCGAACCCCATATATAGACTCCAGGACTCTTCAAGCTCCTCTTCTCCTGCACGAACTGAGACCGAAGGTCATTGACGTCGATGGTTTCCTTAGTCCCCGAACTATCCACCCACATCTCTTTCCAGTTGTCGATACCATATGTGTAGCCCAGAAATACAGCAGTGCCAGCAACTGCAAAGCCAAGCGAGTTGCGAAACCAGTGGGACGAGGAGCTTGGCTTCTGCGACGTGCCGCTCGCAAACCGCCGTGGTGGGTTAAGAGAGTGGCGAAACGGGAACCTGGCAGGACAAAAAAGAGGACCGAGCTGTTTCGCCGGAAGGCGCACCCGAGTTTTCAACATGATCGATGGTTGCTTAGCCCTCAGGGCATGTCGAGGACAGACCGAGAAGTTGACCGGGGAAGCTCGTGGTTTGCGTCAGACCCAAGGCGGACGTGGGAGGCAGAATGGAGGGGAGTTGACCACCTCGCAGTTTCCATCTCATCTTCCCCGAGAAACCCGTGTTCACCGAGCCCGGAGGGCGATATGAGCTGGAAATTACCATCTGATTAATTTCTGCGGCGCTGATTGCACCATGCTTTCCACCAAGCAGCAGCGAGCGCGCCGCCAAACCGCGCCGTCTGGGCCACCGCGCAAGCCAACCGCCCATGAAACCGAGAAGAACCCCGAAGCCCAGACAAAGGAGCCATCAAATTTGCTGCAATGGAGCGTTCCGAGTTGGAATAATGAGCTTGAGTTCTCGCAATGGCTCAATGGCGTCAAGGATGATTTGATCGAAGAGAGCTACGACGAATACCAGTATGTGCCATCGAGATGGATAGATCCGGAATGACTCGGCTGATTGAGACCCTTCTACACCAGGAACTGCCTAGATGAACTTCAACATTCCAAAGAACACATTGACGAAATCCTGATGAGCACCTTGACCCTCCTCGATGACTTGTCCAGCCTATCTGAATCATTTAAATCGGTCGAGACGCAGACGTCGCACTTCGAGAAACAATGCGAGGGGCTACTGACGGCCCAGGAACGGGATTCAAAACTTGCAAAAGGCATTCAGAATAACCTTCACTACTATGACTTCTTGGACCCAGCATCCCGGCGTCTTAATGCCCCTGGGGCTGGAAACACCGTTCGCGACCCGGAGTTCTCGGACATGTTGAGACGCCTTGATGTGTGTCTAGATTACATGGAGACACATGTGAGTAGCAGAAAACTGATACAGTTGTCTTGAGTTGAGCTAACTATCACCGCAGTCGGAGCAAAAGGAGGCGGAGGTTTACCGCGCCAGATATCGGTTGCTCCTCACGCGTGCTCTTACACTTATACGCGGGAATTTCGTGTCTAATCTCCGGGAGATTTACCAAAGTGTCGCCAAGAAGGTTTCGGACCAGTCCTTGAATGATACAGCCCTGTCGGCCCTTCTTTATGCCAAATTTCGAGTCGGGGCGCCCGAATTGAAGCAAATTGGAGTAGAGATTCAGAAGAGAGCCGTACCCCCGCTCAACGCCGACCAAAGCAATGAAGCCGAATACCAAAGCTTGATGGATGAATTACACACCAATTATTCCACGACCCGGGCACGGCTCATTTTCCCGCTCGCTCGCAAAAAGCTGAATGAGATCACGCAAGCTCCTAGTTCATCCACCGACCTGGTTGAGTTTGCTCGGACTAGCATTAGCTACATTCGAGGGTTGTGTTTGGACGAATATGACTTGTGGGGCGAGTGGTTTCATGGCCAGGGAGGCCTCTATGACTTCCTCGAAACACTATGCGAGCCGCTCTATGACCACCTGCGCCCTCGGATCATCCACGAGACCAGTATTATCAAGCTCTGTCAACTTTGCACACTACTCCAGACTCGCTACTTCTTCGATCCAGAGGAAGAACCGGAGCCAGCCGAAACAAACCACCTGGACTTTTCCATCTTGATCCAGCCCGCTCTGCAGGATGTCCAGACCCGACTTGTTTTCCGCGCCCAGGCGTTTTTGCGTGATGAAATCGAAAGATACAAGCCTCGTCCTGAAGACATTGACTATCCTATGCGCAATCGACAAGTATCTCTTACTGTCACAGATACCCAGATTTCAGGTAAAAAGGATATTTCTGTCAGCACAGCGGCCGACAAAACCTCTCCCAAACCAGTCGAGGAAGCCACCGATTTGACACAGGAGAAAGACGGAAAGTGGGATTTTGATACACAGACGGCGCTGAAAGGATGGTATCCGACCCTGCGAAAAGCTATCTGGCTTCTCAGCCGGATATATCGCCTAGTGAATGTAAGAGCTTCCTTTCCGCCAGTCTGGGTCCTCATTGCATGCTAACTTTTGTGCTTAAGTCCACCGTCTTTGATGATCTCGCTCATCAAATTGTCCACCAAACCACTACTTCTCTCCACAACGCCAGCAATCTCATTGCCAGCAAATCCACGCCGGCAGACGGCCAACTCTTCCTCATGGGCCACCTCCTGATTTTGAAACAACAAATCGTCGCTTTTGACATCGAATATGTCGCCCCAGAGGTCTCTTTTGATTTCTCCGGCGTATCCAGTACCTTCTGGGAACTGCGCGAACGCGGCGGGCTCTTCAACCCCCGCAATCTGATGCGCCTCGTCGGCCACGGCCTTCTCCCCCGAGTCGTGGAGAACATGCTTGACGCGAAGGTCGAGCTGGACGGCCGCCTTCGCACTGTTATCAACGACTTTATCAACGCTTTCGCGGCCCGCATGACCGCGTCTCTACCGGCCAAGTTCGTCGATACCCGTAACCTACAGCACGGCGAGCTCATCCATCCCTCCTGCCGCACGATCGAGAAAGAAGTCCCTGGTCTGCGGTCCATTCTGAACGAGTACATCGACGACACTCGTATGAAAGAGACTCTTGTTGGCGCGGTGCAGGACCGCACTATCCAGATATACGAGGATTTCTTTGACAAATACACATCTTCTGGGAAGGGCAAGGGTCAACCCATTAGCAGGAAGGGCAAGGGCCGCGACGATGACGTCTGGGACGTCGAAACCTTCGCCGAGTGGTGTGAGGGTGTCTTCCGCGTTGGCGTTGCTGGCTTCCAGGCGGAGAGCCCGGATCTTGCCCAGGTCGATGATGATCTTTTGAGTAGAAGCTCTTAAGAGGTTGCAAAGACTACCCCGGTCTTGGCTCGTGGCCGACTCTCTTATTGTGTGCCTTTTGCCTCTTGTTTCCTGTATTTCTAGCATAGATACCATATGGAAGGCAGCTCGTCAGTTCAATGAGACGAGCAAAAGACGAGTAAAAGGACCACAGTTCTACTCCAAATTTTAGAACATAAAGTATATATATCGCCTGAAACTAACTATCCTTTAATATCATCCCTGTTAGACTCCGCAACCCGAACACAAGAATGTACATTAGGTCATAAAAGGAACCTTGTAAAACAAACCCACGCCCAATCCATCACAAGAAAAAAAAAAGCAAAAGAACAAAGATCCTCAAGACCTCGCAGGGGTATGTTGATGCAGACGAGAAACATGAAAAATATTGTGTGGACCAAAATTTCCATCAAGGAAATCGCTCAGTAAACATCGCGGATCTTGGAGTACAGCTCCGTATCGAGGAAGTTATAGGTAGGATCGGATTCACAGAACGGGTGGCGTGTAAGCAGGGTTCCAGCAGTGGGACGCTCCGAGGAATTTCTGTCGGACGAGTTAGAGAAGAGAACCAGGACCAAAGGGAGAAAAAGAAGAAAGCCGCTAAAGATGAAGGAGGAGACATTGCAAACATACATTGTAAAGCAGTCATACATGAAGCCCAAAGAGATCGGGTCAATTTTCATGGAGACGTCCTCCGGGATGGGAGGGGCTTGGTTGAGGCTGCCCAGCTTGAAGATGGCGCCGATGGCTTCCTCCTTGCTCCAAGGTCGGCGACCCGCGAACATCTCCAGCACTACACAGCCAAGAGACCAAATATCGACCTTGGCGCTGTAACCCTGGCCCTGGGACTGGATGACCTCCGGGGCCATCCAGAAGACCGAGCCCTGCATTGAGTTGGTCGAGTCGTTTCCGTAGATGTCGTCAGTTTTCTTGGAGATACCAAAGTCAGAAATCTTGCACGTTCCATCCAGGTCCAGCAAGATGTTGTCGGCCTTGAGATCACGGTGGAGAATCCCTTTGTCATGGAGATATGCCAATCCGCTGAGAACCTGCCGTGTCAGGGATTTGACGACGCTTTCCTCGAATTTACCATGTTTGCGAAGACAGCTGCCGATTGAACCACCGGAAATATATTCCAGATAGATCGAAATAGAGAACTCGCCTCGCTCGCAACCAAGATACTGGACGATGTTGGGGTGTTCAAGGTGCTGCATTGTGTCGATCTCTTGGTTTAGGGCAGACACCATTTCCTTGACGCGGTCCTTGTCCGCTCCCGCGATTCTCGGGTTAATTTCCACTTGTTTCACTGCCAACACCTCACCATTATCTGCGTTGATGCCCAGATACACTCGCCCGTAGGTCCCTTTGCCGATGAGCTGACCACGAATGATGCGGAAAGTAGTTTGTCGCTGAGGAACAGGTTCATTTGAAGCCATTTGATTGTTACCCTGCGGAATAGGATCGAGCTGGCTGAGCCGACTGCCTGGCTTGGGACTGATCTGCATGATCTTGGCGCCAAACATCTTAGTACTCTTTCGCCGCAGGAGATCCCCGGATTTCTGTGGACCGTTAGAGCTGACGCTCTTGGTCCTATGGGCTTGGTTCGCTTGGTTGGCAACTTGTCGAATAGATCTCATCCGCTGGAGTCCACCACTGCGGTTAAGGTTGCGTTGAGCAACGTTATCGGCTTTCTGAGTTCTTATGGTTGATGCATCGGCCCCGTGAGAATCACCGGACTTTGGTGGAGGCTGGGGTGGGAGAGGTGGAAGAGGTGGAAGAGGCGGAAGAGGCGAAGCTCCCTGTTTGGTTTTAATGGTTGGATCCTGCTCCGTGTTGGCCTTGTTGGGCGACGGAGGTTCGTCCAGATAGGGAGCATCCAGGTCGACATTGGGGAAGAAATGATCGAGGCGGTTAATCACGCCTTCAACAGCTGGTCGGCTGGCCCAGATATCTTCTCGAGCGAATGATCCCCTCCGTTCAGGCGTATCATCAGGCGATTCTGACCCGTAGAACGTGCCGGAAAACGGTTCTTTGCCATCAGACGCCTCTCCGCCAGGACTATGTGCCGAGGACCCGGCACGGTTATCGCCGGCACTAGTGGGAGTTCCGAAGCGAACAGTACGCTCCCGTCGCAATCGGTTCGCTGTGTCCACACTCAAAGTTGGTTTCTCTGATTTTGGTTCGGGGCCAGGATCAGCCGGCTGAGCTGGAGTTTTCGCCAAGGGCTTTGCGAAGAGACCATCGTCGGAGGAATCACCGTCCGAATCTTCCTGAAGATTGGGAGATCGCTGGAATGAAACCTCGTTTTCTTCAAACTCGAACTCCGGTCCGACCGATTTGCGGGATTGCGCAGCTGACCTCTTTGACGGCCCACGAGAGACAGCCTTGGCCGGTAATTTCTGACCATTTTGTTCTGTAGCAGAAATGGAAGCACCCCCTGAAGATTCTAGGAATGAGAATGAAGATATCAGCAAGTGAAACTTGAGCGTAGAGACGGTGATTTGTGCCAGGCCTTACCTATGGTAGTCTTACTCGAGGCCGTTCCAACAGAATCAAGTGTATGTGGCCGTTCGGACTCGGAGCTTGCGCTATCGCGGTTGGAAGGCGTCGAAGGAACTGGCACCGACGATGCTGGCGTGCCGATGGCGCTTGTGATCCGGCCAACACTAGCAAGTGCGGCTCCGAGGCCGTGTGTCTGGATAGTCGGCGGAGCTCGAGGGCGTTCACGATCACCTGGTCGTTTGCTGAGGGAATTGACCTTGGTTAAAGTGCTAGACTCGTGCGGGGCAATCGGTGGTTTGCGAAGAGGCACAAGCGAATTCTTTTCTTCGTAAGGTGAGATACGTCGATCATCGAAATCAATGACACCGCCCCGCCTGTAGCCAGTTTCGCCATAGGCGTCTTTCCTATCCTGCTCTGTGGATGGGGAGAACCGGTTGACACGGTAGGCCTTTTGTTTTCGCTCAACCTCTCGTAAATAATCCTCATGACGAGCAGACAACCCTGCTTTTTCGGAGTCGGTTGGGTGGCTTGAGTTCTGAGCGCTGTCTGCGAGACCTGCATTCGCGTTGGCAGCTTTCAGTGTCGGCTGCCGAGAGCCCAGCAGGGGCAAGTCGGGTTTGATCTGGGTGTGAGGAGATATCCTGCTCAGGGCATCCTCATCCAACGGTTTTCTGTGAACTTGATGATGTGTGGCCGTGGGAGATGTGGCCGGTTTATCAGGGATCGAAACACCAAGACCATCGAATCGGGGAAGATGCGGGAGGGTCGGATGCGCGACGGTCCCTCGCACAAGTAGCTTGAGAGAGCCGTACGGGTCTGATTTGTTCCGGCGTGATAGCGCCAATGTGGTATCGGTCATGGGTTCTTCATGTTCGCTTTGACCGGGTTCCGTGAGGAAGATTTGGGCACTAGCCCAGTCGGAGATTCCAAGGATTTGACAAATCCCTGCTCGTAGACTTGCAACCGTTTCCATGTCAGAAATGTCGAGCAAGCGGAAATTCAAGCCGTCCATGGTCACAAAGACCCATTTCTTTCTCTTCGCAGACTGTTTCCGCTCGAGCTTTTCATGGTCTGACATGGACGCAGACGATGGACGCTCGCCCACGGACATGTCACTCGAATTGAAGGCGGGTTTCGAATATGGCAGATATGAGGCACTTGGGCGCATCTCAGGGCTATCAGGCGAGTCCAGGTGCAGCTCTTCAGGTGAGGGGTGACTCGAGTCATTCGGCTTGGGCTGCTTTCTCTTGAAAAGAGTAAAAAACCCTTTGTTGTGCTCTTTCGGAAAAGATGAAGCATTTTCTCCACTCCATTGGCGGCCTGATGTGTCCTGGGGCGAAGGACGGGCGCCCTCTTGGCCTTGCCGACGGGGGTCATAATATCGGCCCGTTAGAGTGCCTCCCCGCCCAACGCCTGAAATCGATCCGGTGCTGTTTTCCCGAGAATGCTCATGTCTCATTGTCAGATCCCCCGTAGATGAAGACGTCAGGCCTGGGTATGAGGGAGTGACGTGTTGGGTCGCTGGACTGCCACTCTTTGGACTATCTTCATGTGGACGAAGAGATGCGCCAGGGAAAGTGCCATTGTCACTGGAGATGGAGGGGCTTTGGCGTCGATGGTCGCTGAGCGCTGCCAAGGCCGTTCGCGAGATATCGGATCGAACCCAAGTCGGCGAGTTTCGCGAGGGGGAATTATGTATGGGAGAGTCATGACCAGGGGGGATTGGCGCAGTCACCGAGCGATTTTTCGCGTTTTGCTTCTGACTGTAGTCGGATGATAGTGACTGTACCGCCGCAAGTTGGTCGGGGCTCACGTCAGTTTGGCCAGGGATAGGACCAGCCGAACGGGGCTCTAGAGTCTGAGTCGAGTAATGTCCCGGGCCACCATCTGGCGGAAACGGGGATGACGGCAGTTGCGCATCTCCCCACATGGGAGTGGAATTGGAGGAGTCCTCCGTGTCGTCGTGGATTTGGCGGATCAATTTGCGCATGCGTTTGCCCTCATCCCGTTCACGGCGTTCACGGACTTGATCCCATTTGTCTCCATTGCGAGTACACTCCTTGGCCAATTGGGGATATACAACCTGGTGCCATTTACCCAGATTCCCACGTCCTCCGGACATGAGGCCCAGTTCGAGAAATTCGATGCCTTCGATCTCCAAGGTTTTGAACGATTCCTGCCAATCTCGAGAAAACCCATTCTTGGCAAGCCACAGGAGAACTCGATCGAGTGGCCACTGAACTGCGGCTTCGTTGGGCGACAGCCCACCCAAGGAAGCGCCGCTGGCATTGTGACGATGACTCGATGACTTGTTGATATCGATTGCTTGGTTGATAGGCTGTGACTGGTGATTGTCGGTGATCAGCTCGTGGACATTGTTGCGAAGAGCGTGCTCATTTGCCTGGTTCAAGACCGGTCGTTTTCTATCATAGGCGGTGGAGTGGGCATAGGGATCGTAAGGAACTCGTCCGTGTGACTCGAACAAAGGCGGGATACCGACGCCAATCGTGTCATTTCCGGGGATGTAAGTTGCGGATGTCAGGGGCTGGGATTCGTTCGGAGGTGGGGGGATGTAAGTTGCCGATGTCAGAGGCTGGGAGCTATTTGGAGGAGGCGGCGGGATAATCGACAGAGGAGCAGGCGGCCGGCCGTGTGCAAAGTGCTGGTTTTGGGGGTGTGCCGGTGCAACAAGTGGAGGGGGCGGAGGGGGAAAGCCTGTAGCCAGTGTCTGCCAACTTTGCTGCCATCCCGTGGGGACTCCATATCCCGTCGCCGGAGGTGGTCTGGGTGGCGGCGGTGGTACACCGGTCTGCGCTTGTGTCGGCTGGTATCGAGGAGGCGGCGGCGGGAGGTTGATAGGATGTGACTGAGAGGGCGGGGGGCCGGAAGATACTGTTGTTGTCGTCCGTCCATCGCGATAGATTAGGTCAAATCGGAGATGCTGCGATCGTACGTGCGACACTCCAAGACAATGTCCAAGCGTAGAAGTCCAATTCGTTTCAAGTGTCCGCCCTCACAGCATCGTGTCCAAGATCCAGCGCTGACAGATCATCCATTAAACGGATGATCGTCGAGGTTGGCTCTGCTATCGACAGCTCGGGAATAATCACGCCACCAGCTCGGGGATGGTCATGGTCGTTTCCAAGGCGTCCGGGAAAGATCTCACGGGTGGTGCGCAACGAACCGTAATGACCAGAGATAAAGGACACCACGAGAAGGCACCCAAGTTGAGGATAAGAGACTGGGGGAACGATGCTGAAAAAGCACCGTGTCAGTTGTCTGCAGCAAGATTGCAGGGGCGATCCCCTCCGATTGTCCAATCTGGGCACGGCGGTGCCGACCGAGGATTCCAGCCTCAGGCTCCTTGCGTCGGAGAATCTCTGAGGCCAACGAGAGAGGCCACCACGTCGACTAGGAGACTCGAAACACGGAGACAGGGACGGAAAGTGAGCGATGTTTTTGGCACCCAAAAGGAAGTGAATATTGAGGCCTGAAGGGGGGGGGTCACGTGCAGATCGCGAGGGCCGTGTCTCACAGGGGGGAGACTCTGCAGAGCCCTACGAAGTTCCAACTACCATCCCTTCTCTTACAAGATGCTTTGAAATTGCTCGATTTCAAATGGAGTTGAGATTGAGCCGTGGTGGATATGATGCGTCGGGATTAAGTTAAAACAATATGGGGGCGTCGCAGATCCCTCGCCCCTCCGGAAATAAACGCTCAACAGGCAAAGAAACAAAGAAAACCGATCGCCAGGGCTCGGATGATTCGAGTAAGTTTGCATGATCCTCCTTATTTGTTGCGTGACGCCGCGGCCTCTGCAGTCAGTTTCAATCCAGCGGGAGCGTCCTCGCGAGGCATGTACAACTCCACCAGCTGTCCGCCATGTCAGCATAACAATTCAGACTGGCGGGTGTGGGGCATCACTTACCCGAAGGCTCGGAGAAGAGCAGAATTCCTGGTCGGCAAACAGCTTGTTCAGCTCGTCGCGGGTCTTGATTCGGTATCCCTTGTATCCATCTTTGGCCCCGAACACTGGGGGGATGTTGGCAAAGTCCCAGGGTTGGATGTCATTGTACTGCGCCTCCCAGCCGTGGATGTACCGCTCGATGGTGTAGCCCTCGTTGCAGATCACGAAACTAGACACATGTGTCAGCGCCTGGTGGCAGAAAGACCTGGAATCAGAACAACTTACATGATAGGGTTCAGCTTGTTTCGAAGCATCGTGCTTAGCTCCTGGACAGTCAGCTGGATGCTACCATCGCCGACAAAGAGGATAGTGCGGCGGTCATTCTGCTCTTTGGCGGCGATTGCGGCACCCTGGCAGGCCCCAACGGAGTAGCCGATGCTACCCCACAGGACTTGGCTGATGGCGGTGACATTCGCCGGGAAGCGAGTGTCCCAGATCCCAAAGTTGGCGGTGCCAGTCTCCGTGATGACCACATCCCTCTCTCTCAACCACTGGCCAACCGTGGGCCACAGCCAAGCATGGGTGATGGTCTGGTTCGTCGAGGCTCGCTCGCTCTCCGGCAGGATGTTGGTAATTTGAGGAACGGTACCAGGGCTCAGCGTGCCCATTCGCTGGACAACCTTTCGCAGGACGCCCTTCATGTTGGTGTCGGGATACTCCGAGTAGCGCACCCGTACAAAGGTGCTGTGGAAGTCGATGGTGTTCAGCTGTCCAATGCGATAGGTAAATCCGGTGGTGTTGAAATCCGACTTGATGGCCCCAATACTGAGGATGAGGTCAGACGATTCAATGATCTCGCTGACGCCCGGGTTGGACCCATTGCCAGCATAAACTCCTCCAAAGTTCTTGTGTGTCTCATTCACGGCGCCTTTGCCCATGGGAGCCACAAAGGTGGGCAAGCCCGAGGCCTCCACCAAGCCCCGCACCTCCTCCAGCGCGCGGTGACGAATGGCACAGGCGTCGACCAGAATGACAGGGTTCTTGGCGGCCTCGAGATACTTCAGGACGACATCCACCACGTAGTCCTCCTTCTCTGGATCATTGACTGGCAGGTTGAGGTCAATTGGCTTCTTCAGGCGATCACCGTTAACCTTGGCGGAGACCATGTCGGTCGGCAGGGTGATGTAGACCGGACGGCTACGAATCCAGCACTCCCGGATAGCGCTGTCGATCAGAGTCGCGGCATCATGGGGATCATTAAGTCGCGCCGTATAGCAAGAGATTTGCCCGCTCATCTTATCGAAAACGGTGAAATCGCCATTGCCCAGAGTGTGGTGCAGCAGCATCCCATCCTTCTGGGACTTGGTTGTGGGCTGGCCAACGATGTGGACGATGGGGACAAATTCGGAGTATGCACCGGCGATGGCGTTGAGAGCCGACAGCTCACCAACCCCGAAGGTGGTCACCAAAGCACCGATGCCATTCACACGGGCATATCCATCAGCAGCGTAACCTAATCATCGATGCGTAGCTTCAGCATCCCAGTCCCATCACTTGGCACCTGGATGAGGGCAACCTTACCAGCATTCAACTCATTGCAATTGCCCACCCAGTTGAGGTTGCACTTGGACAGATAGTCCAAGGCCGAGAGATTGTAATCGCCCGGCACACCATGCACAGCACGAACGCCGACCTCGTGCAGACGCCGGAACAGGTACTCAGCAACGTCGATGGGGTTCTCGAGCTCCCGCGTAGCAATGTCGGTCGACACCATGGCGACGGATCAGCCTAAGGGAGATAGATGGAAAAAGAAGCGTGAGAGGAAGGGAAGGGGGGAGAATTCAAAGGGAAGAAAAGGGAGAAGAGGAAGAGAAGTTGCACAACAAAAAGACGGGACTTTCCTGGACTACGTCATGATGGAGCGTTGATGTCATGCGAGTACAGCGACAATGCCATTTGATCTGCCTCAAAATTGAGGATTGTTATAGAGCGATCTTGAAGATTGAGAATTATCTCTCGTAATTTCTACTGTAATATCTAATAGTATCGAGTCTAATCATATCGAGTGATCTACCAAAAAGAAAGAAAAGAAGCTCGCGGGATCGACATCAAGGCAGATGAGCGCTAAAATCCACACAAAAATCCCGACCCCACCTGACCGCATCTCGAGCCACAACTTCTCTGCTTCCATGGGAAAACGCGCAATGGGTAGCTCGGGCCAACCGTCCAAGCGAAGAAAGGCAAGGACTGTCTGATGGAGCCCTGAAGATGGTCTGGTCGACTAACCTGGCGAATCAACAGGGTGGTGAGCAATGGCGCAAGCAAGTCAGTCGAGTCGCCATTGACACCGGCGATTCGGGGGTTTTTGTGACTTGCGACATGGGCAGAGAAGGGAAATGCATGGCTGAGGCAGTGGATGTGTTCTCTCAGGTTGGTCGATACTGATGTTCAATAATTACTTCCTGGGATTCACTAGTTGATTCGTTGTCAGAGTATCGAGTCAGGTCAGCCTGAAGATAAAGAAGAAGACGCCGACTCGGATGATGGCGACATTGAGGCGCAAATCCGCAAAGAACTCGAGGGCCTGAACCCTAGCAAAGAAAAATCCCGTCCGATCCAAGCCGTTCGCATGGAGATGCCATGTGGTGCGTTTTCCCTCTCCCTCCTGTGCGGAAAAAGAGAGAATCCTCGCTAATCCCTGGCCAGTGACATTTGTACGACTCGACAAATCCATAGAGCCCGTGCAGCTGGTCCACCGTTTGTGTTCCGAAGCACAGGCCCATCCAGAGACCAAGCGGAGCCGATGGATCAAACGCATGACCCCGGTCACCTCCATCCGAAAGACTCTGAGTGTAGATCTAGGAGCCTTTGCCCGAGAGATCCTCCAGCCGCACTTCCATTCTGGGGGGCCACCGAAAAAGGTGGGTTCAAGATCGCGACTGATGGGGCCAGAGATCCGATCCTGCATCGCGCCGAGGAATGCAGACCAACTGGAGGTACATTTGCTGACCGGAACCTGTAATGGATGTAGTATGCGATCCGACCTACAGTACGCAGCAATGAGAAATTCAACCGGGATGTCATCATCAAGGCGGTGGCCGATGTAGTTGGCCCTGAGCACCCAGTGGACTTGAAGAATTACGATCTTATCATCCTGGTCGATGTCATCCAGGTCAGTTTCGGAGATCGGCAGGTTGTTGGTACGAGGGCTAATGGAAATGCAGAATGTTATCGGCATGAGTGTGGTGGGCAGCGATTATGATCAACTTAAGCGGTTCAACTTGGCCGAGATCTACGAGCCAACGCCGAAGCCTCAGCCCAAGGATTCTAAGTCATAGTACATCTATGCACACTGGGGTTGTTTTCCAGTATTTTCTTCCTTTGTATCATTGACCACGGGCCCATCCGTGGCCCGTTCGTGGACAAGGGTTGCCCTAATGGCAACGGCTGATGCAACGGCTGTCCCGCCCGGGAGTATTTGTGTATCAAAAATAGAAGATCGGCCTCGGTACACACGGATCAGGAACCCACTCCGATCCGGGGTCCGGGAGCTGTCAACCAAGCGAGCCAAAGTCTGTAGATAGAAAATAGGGACTCGCGTGGAGTCTCATGTGGAGCAATCGCAAGACATCTGGATTGGATATTGCGCAAGAATATTTCCAATATGAATAAATGTAAACATGAAGAGAAAGGAAAGATCTGAAGAATTCAAGAACTAAATCCAACCGACCCACTTCGGTAAGGTGCGGCTCTGATTGGCCTGAGGCTCGGGGCATTGCTGAGAGTGGGAGTGTTAGGCGAAGCATCTTTCGTCGTCTCCGCTCGTGCCGTCTCTCTCGCGTAGCAAAACCTACTCAGGGCAATGGAGAGACTTATGCCGCGTTCTGGTTGGCATATTGTTCTTGTCGAATCCACTGGGTTACGCGATCTCCTTTGGTGTGTGGGCAGTGACGATGTCACCTAGTCTTTTACCAGGGCGTTCCATTGCATCCCGAAGCTTTGCGAGATGCGCCTCCTTTCTGGATGGTTTCTCCCCAGCACGGCTGGAATTCTTATAAATTCCTTGCCATCATGCAACATTTCGACCGGAAAGCGTGGCCGGCCATCCCATCCCTCGGAGGGACAGACAATCCTATGGGTTCCTCACATCGCGGCTCTTCTAGTGAATTGGATGAGTCCCAAAGGCTGAAGGTGGTTCTCTCGCTATTGTTCCCCCCAACGGTCCGCATCCAACATACACGGCGACTTCCCAGTCATATCCACCCTTTACGGCTGCTCAGACTGTCGAATGGGGCCTGTTTGTTGCTGAAGAGCTCCCCGTCATCACATACTGCTCTTCTTCGATGGGAGCGATCCTTTCTCGAAACTGAAGCTCGGTTCCTGGCTCTCCTGGGCCATAGTGCCAATCCATGCATTCCGCAACTCTATCACTATGATCCTCACGGGGGAATTCTAGGGTCTGCGTATCTCCTCCGCCAATATGTGACGGGAGTCAGCCTGCTCGAGATGGAAACAAGGCTCTCCGTGGAGCAACGAAAGGGGATTGATCGTCATCTGGGATTTCTAGTCCGCGCCATTGGGCAACATGTTTCCCGTGGCTTTGGATCTCTGCAACAGGTGGCACGCGGGGCCGGCAAGCGTTCCTGGCGGGAGGCATTTTGTATTCTATTTGAAGGCGTTCTCCGCGACGCCGAGGATATGTTCATCCATCTCCCTTATTCCGAGATTCGGCACGAACTTGCTCGCTTGGCCCCGGCTCTCGAGGAAGTGACGCTCCCACGACTGGTAGTCGTGGACTTCGGTCGACCGGCTCATGTCTTGCTGGATGAGGAGTCAAAACAGTTGTCGGGCGTCGTGGACTTTAGCAGTGCTTTCTGGGGTGATTTGTTGATGGCCGAAATCTTGGAGAGACCCTCGCATGCGGCGTTGGAAGGGGCCGGGATGTCTTTGTCCAAAACCACCAAGGAAGGCGCCCGGGTATTGTTGTATGTGGTTCGACTTTCATGCTTCTTGGAGAGGATTAACCCAGTCTGCCTAGATATACCTGCTACCGATTGGTTTCCCAAATCGCCGTTCAATATTATCGCCGCGATGAAACGAGCGAATTCGATGCGCGGAGGCGCCTGATGTCTAGCATAGCCGCTATGACGGCTCTGGATGGGTAGTTGGTGGAGCAACTAGATCTGAAGTGTTTACTTTCTCCCGTTTACTTCGCGTGGAGCCCGCGGTATACCTCATTGCCTGGGATTCGGAGCCCTTTCTTCGCCACCGGAATGGCTTCGTTTCCTCAGTGCATAGACTTGAACAAACTTACGTTGATCAGAAGAAGCACATTACAAATACATTAAACAATAGGTCTATAGAAGTATAGATGTTTACAAGCTACGTGGTTTGGCTGTCCCCCCAGGTGGGGCTGAGCTCTCCATGTCGTCAGTTCTCTCATTCCGCGGCTCCCCACCTTCTTCCTCTTCCTGGCAACCCTTTCTCTCTCTCTTTCTCTCTCCCTATTCCCCTTGCCACGGCTGGAAATGGCTCAGTTCCTGCGAGGCAAGCAGGCCGGTATTCAGAAGGACTTGTCCGAGGGCCTGTCCCCCGACTTGTTCCTCCTCGACGATGTATGGTCTTGGCATCCCAGGCATCCTCTTTCTTTCGAATCGCAACTGATCTTTTCTTCAGTTTGCACGATGTGGTGTGAACTCGCAGATTAGTGCCATTGCTTATGATCCCATTCAATCCCTGGTCGCAGTCGGCACCAGTGATACCCAGTTCGGAAGTGGTCAGATTTATGTCTTTGGGCAACGGCGGGTGTCGGTCGTCTTCGAATTCCCGCGCAAGGCATCAGCGCGTTTCCTTCAATTCTGCGCCGACAAGCTCGTCAGTATCGACTCCAAGAATGAAATCAGCATCTATTCCATTGAGACCCGGCGCATGCAAATCTCCTATGCCCCCCTGGCCAGGTTACTGCTTTGTTGACCGACCCGAGCTTGGACTATGCGTTTATTGGCATGTCAAATGGTTTGTTGATTGTCCACACCGCCATGAAGCCAAGACTATACCCCCACTGACCTCCTCGCAGGCGATGTGATCGCATACGACCTCGATCGACAGTCGTTGACGCCGTTCAAGATCCCCAACCTGTGGCTCGAGCGCAACCCGCGGGCGCGCTTTTCCCCGGTGGTATCGCTGGCGTTTTCCACCCGGGACATTGGCAAAGTGATGGTTGGCTACCCAGAAGGAGCCGTGGTGTTTTCGTTCAAGCAAAATCTGGCGCAAAAGTACTTTATCTATGAGATCCCCCCGGCGCCACCGGTGGGGACTCCGACACCCCGGGCCGCGATGTGCGCAGACCCAAACTGACCGACGCGATCTGGCATCCGAACGGTCATTTCGTTTTGACGGTCCACGAAGACACGAGCTTGGTGCTTTGGGATTCCAAGGATGGCCGCAAGCTTCATGCCAGAACAATTCACGCTACCAATGTTGATGACCCAGGCTCCTTGAGGGGAACTGGTGGACTCAAAGACCCTATCACCAAAGTTGCTTGGTGTGCCAAAGACAACCCTGATGACACGGGTCTGATGGTTGCTGGCGGCCAACCCGCAGGTGACCCAAATAAGGGCCTCACTTTCCTGGATATGGGCCCGACGCCCAATTACCAAACATCGTCATGGCAAATGCTGTCGAGTTACTTCGAGAGATCGCGGCGAGAGATTCACCTCTCAGTCCCACCGGGTGCGCATGTGGTTAACTTTTGTCTCATTCCGCGCTCCTCGCCCTACTTTGCCGGCGCCCATGATCCCATTGCGTTGCTTGCCGTGCTCTCGTCCGGTGAGCTGGTCACCATGAGCTTTCCCAGTGGTCATGCGATTACCCCGACCAACATGCTTCATCCCTATCTGACCCTGGTTCATCCTTTTGTGAACAAGGCTACAATAACCCCCGTTGATCGTTCAGTGTGGCTCGGCCTGAAGGAACGCAGATTGCAGGGACCTAAATTTCTCACAGGTGGCGCAGAGGCGAAAAACGCGCTCAAACGCTTTGAGAACCGTAACATCGTGTCAACCGCACATGCGGATGGAACCATCCGTCTTTGGGATTGTGGACATGACGATGAGATTGAGAACGGCGAGGTGATCCAAGTGGACCTGGCCCGCGCCGTGGGCCGAGTTTCCAATGTCGAGGTGACTGAAATGTCGCTCGCAGGTGGATCAGGTGAATTGTCCGTTGGCCTCCGAACTGGGGAGCTTGTTATTTTCCGATACGGGAATAACGGCACATATGGACAAGAGGAACCCCCTGGTACTAATCAAGGGCCTGGGAGGCTGACTCCGATTACACACCGGACGGATCCCGGTCTTAAACAGGGACTCCTTCCCCTAACACTGCTGGACATGAAGCAGGGTCCGGTGACAGCTATCAGCCACAGCCAGGTCGGTTTTGTTGCTGCCGGTTTTGAGGGTGGCAGCTTGGTGATTATCGACCTGCGCGGTCCTGCAATCATTCACACCGCGCACCTGTCGGAGTTCATCAAGGCCCCCAAGCGTGGCAGCTTCCTCAAGTCGCGCACTGTGGAAGAGGCCCCCGCTGAATGGCCGACCAGCATTGAGTTCGGGGTGATGACTTTGGAAGGCGAAGGTGCGAGGCCCCCACGCCGAGAGCAACACGTTTGTTGATGCTGATCTGACCTTATCTAGACTACTCAAGCATATGCTGTTTTGTCGGTACCAGCCGAGGAAATGTGGCTACCTTCAAGGTTCTCCCAGCATCCAATGGCACCTACACCGCCGCTTATGCCGGTTCATCGGCAATCGATGACAAAGTCATCAAAGTCATCCCTATCGACGCCGAATCCGGTGGTCTGGCGCTGGCCACGCCCGGTGCGGTGGGAGGCTTAAGAAACGGGATGAAGGTCAATGGTGTTGTGGTTGCCGTGACTATTGCTGGCTGTCGCATCTTCAAACCCGCGACGTCCAAAGGTGCACACAAATCCTGGGATGACTGTCTCTGTGACTCAGCCGCAGTTGTCAAGTCGGAGGGCCGTGGCTATAGCCTGGTTGGGCTGTTCGGTGATGGCAATGCTCGGGCATTCTCTATCCCCGCTCTCAGAGACATCGGCTGTACCAAGATCAACCATATTGCGGATATGCGGCGCCTGTCAGAAGCACGCATCACCCCAACGGGCAGTGTACTGACATGGGTCGGTCCCTCTGAGATCGGGGTTTTCAATGTCTGGGGCACTGGTAGCGGGCTGTATGTATTCAACACCACAAATGGCGAGAGGGCACCGCTGACTTTTCTCGCAGACATCCTTCGCAGGATCGCCTGTACAATCCCGAAGCTGTGATCCCCCAACGACCGACCATCACTAACATCCAGTGGATCTCTGGCACTCAATACGTCACGCCTGCTGACATGGATGTTTTAAGTACGTGAACCTTTTGTTTATACCCTATGCATCCTTATCTCACATGTGAATGCAGTTGGTGGCTCAAACCGACCACCGTCCAAGCGGATGCTCGAGCAGAGGAAGCTTGATGAGCAAGAACGCCGAAATGCCCCGAGGGAAAGCCACGCCCCGCCCCCCCAACAAGGAAACCAGGACGGCTACTGGGGGTACATGTCGCGACAAGTCCAGGAGCGCACCGAGCGGCTTGGGATTGTGGGAGATAGCATGGACCGACTGGAGGAGAACAGCAGCAACTTTGCCAGCGATGTCGGCAAGTATGTGCAGACGCAGAAGAGAAAGGCGGTCTTCGGCGGTAAGTACCTGAATCTTGGGCTTGCTCAGACGTGGCTGATGGTGTTGTCTAGCGCTGGGATCGAAGTTTGGCCTCTAGGCTACTTCATGGGGCTGTTCTCCTCCCCCCCCCCCCCTTTCTAGGCGCCTATCATACATTACGATTTGCGACGCCAACTCCGGCGTTCTTCGGCTTTTCCCCTGCCTTTTTTGTCTCACTCAGTACAAGATCCCCGACCACGCGACATGTAGCTTCTGCCGTGGTCCTGCGAAGGCGACAGAACGTTAAAATGACATAGGAAAATCAAATAAAAACTATGATCAAATGCGTGGTCAAATGTAGGATAGAACAACGAAAATCGGCCAGCTAATACAAGCAACGGCAAATATAAACACTTAGAGTAAGGCAGACATCTAAAGCCGAATCATCGTCGGGCTGGTGGGTAAGTGTCTAGCCAGAACGGTTCTGGTGTGAGAGAAGAGAAACGAGCAAAGACCGGAGCGAGACACTTCTCTCCACTGTCATATCGGGCAGAGCAGAATCGCAAAGGCCCCAGGGGAGCATGGCCACCACTCAAGTCCATCGACTCGGCCAGGAATTGAAGATCGGTAAGCCGTGTAGAGTGAGCCTTGTGCCGATCTCCCCCCGATCTAACGTCGATAAGTGGATCAGGTCTTTGAGCCGCAGATCATCACACTTTCTGCACTTCTGCGAGTGCGGGATTCTTCCATCGGGAAAGAAATCGTCCCTGGCGCGTCCGACACGCGAACCAAATCGCTCGCCCTCGAGTTGCCTTCACTTGGCCGGTTCGTGAGTCGCGTGGGCCAAAATATACAGTCTGTCAAGAGTCGGCTATGGAAAGGCATCATTCCTCTATCGGAGCAGCGATGGCTCGAGAAAGGACTCAATGAACCGGCCCAGTTTGACATGGCCTGTCAACACGTGTCCGCTGTGCTCGCCGCATTTGAGTATCTCAACCAACCGCCGGTCGCGAAGAGTCTCCGTGACGCTTTCAAGCTCGTTTGGAAGCATTGGAGCCAAGCTGCGCTGCGTGCGCCGCTGCCAAAAACCCGCTGTTCGACCTGTCGAATATTATAGCAATGGCGGACTATGCGATTTGGCTGGACATGCATGTGTACCACGGTCGCAATGCGCCCTTGCCTGGACTGCGAGGGTCGGCACTGCGGACGCCTGATTTTGTTCAGCGGCAAAGACTGTACGTGGAGAGATTGAGGCAGTTGACGCGCCTCGCCATCTACGAGAGCACCGCGGGTGGCCGTGGAGACTTGCCCTATACCCTGCACCAGACGGCTCTTGACCAGATTGCCAGCCAAAACCAGTTGCGGAGGGAGCTTCGTGGTAAACCTCTAGAGCTAGTGCCGAGAGAGGCCTTGGATTGTGAACGGGCTTGCCAGAATTGAACATCAACACTTAGCCCTGTCGCCCATCCGGGGATACGGTCTGGTTATCTACCGTCTCACGCACTCGCAGAGCAATACAGAATGGCCGGCCTTTGTAGAGAAGCTGGAGGCGCATGTCGCGGACTGGGGAAGAGGACAAACTGGCTGCAAGGCGATCCAGCCCTATTTGAAGCTGCATTGGCTGGATGGAGAGGCCCTCGGAATCTCCGAAGGCGATTGTGAGGCTGCTAGAAAGTGAGTTATGCCTCTCTTGCATTACATTGGACTCGGCCTAAATTTACTGGAAATTTTTACCAGACACTTTCACGAGCCGACTCTAGCCTCATTTGATTATCGAGACCAGATCCACGACGGCTGTGTCACTTCATACACAAACAAGTCATATTCAGCCGCCACCGATATGGTGCCTACCCGGCGACTTTGCTGGCTTTGTTCTTACAATTGACGCTACATATAAGGTCGAAAAGAGCCACCAGGAATCAGAAGCATCACCCGAATATCCTGGCCAGATGCGCATTCTTGTGAATTTGGTCTGGGGTGACCTCCATGCTCTACTCAGAACTCAAAGCTCTTCACTCGAAAGCCTGTGGCCTCTTGCTCGGGAGCATCCCAACTATGTCTACGTTGGTCCCACGGTGCCGTTGCAGTTATGCAGTTAAAGGGCTGGAGACTGCAGAATAAGTTGCGGAATGTGCTCCTACGACAAGTGGTTGACTATGCGCTGCGCAATAAGAATAAGAACTCATCTTCCTCTGTCATCCCGAACCCATCGCCTGATATAACATTTAGCAATGGAATATCCTTGGGACTCGCCAAACCCTAGATGCATCCAACTCTCACGCTCAAAATAGAGAAATTTTGGATAAACCCCAATCCTAGAAGTCGATTTCATCATACTAGAAGTAGAGAGATATCCGTGCGTCCTCAAAGGGCAGAGACCTTTAGGGACCCAAACAAAATATCGACCATGACATTTGGCATGACTATACAATTCATTCCATGACACAAGAAACCAGACATTCCTGGGCTGGATCGTCATGGGAGAAAATTCATGTAGGCGTGTATACACTTCTACAGTTTCGCCAGGCATGTGAAATCCTCGACATACCAACCAAGAACCCGCCCTGTAGAGGCAGTCGGTTGGAATTTTGGATTATGTGAATTCTATGTCATAACCTAATCCAGTTCCAATTGTATGGGAACTGGTCAGAAACTGACCTTGATGTCATAAACGTTGCGTCCCGGCTGTGTCGTCAAAAAGCATTCAGAAAGTAGAGAAGATAGAACAGAGATCAAAGATTAGCACCACGTCCGGTCCAGCCCAGATTTAGTGCACCATCACCTCGGGTTGGGCATGGGGAGCGGGTTTGCTGGCCGACTCGTCCTTCTGTTCCGAGTCGTCGCCCATCTCCACATCTTCGTCGCCCTCGCCGGCCTCATCCTCATCCAGCTCATCGTCATCATCGCTGCTTTCCGCCTCCAGATCCTCACTTTCAGCATCGGAGACCTCTTCCTCTTCCTTACCAGCGGTTCCCTCAGCACCTTCCATGTCCTGGTCTTCGCCCTCATTGCCCTTGTCGGCATCTTGGAGCTCCTTGACGAGAGCAGCCTCTAGCTCGGCTTCTTCCGCACCGTAGGCATTGCTGTCATCTTCCAGGTTGTCAGCCTCGGGCTGGTCAGGCGGGTATTCCGCGGGAGCTTCGGCATCGGAGTCCCTATCAGACGAACAAGGGTTAGCAAATCATTCCGCAACGGATTTTGATGCGAAAGATGTACCATTTGATGGCAAAGCGAGTCACACGGGGCTTCTCCGCCAGGACATTCCGGCGGATACGCTCGATAACGGGCTTCGCGGGCGGGTCGGCCACCAGCTCCTCAGAGTCGTACTCATTGTTCACGTAGTAACCCACGCGGACAAACTCGCGGCCATCGTAGCTGCATGTGAGGAGAATGACGGTGACGCCCAGAATCTCCGAAGTAGGGATGCGCCTCAGATCGGGCGCCCCGGCCTCGAAGATAAACTTGTTGACACCAACTGGGATGGGACCGACCAGCAGCGAGTCGAGTTCCTGGTCATACTCCGATCTAGGCTGGTCAGCGATGGCAACCCCACAGAAGTGTGGCTGCGTGGACTTACGAGGTGGCGGACCCGACATAGGTCAGTTTCCACTCCAAATCTAGAGAACGGTGAGTTGAGTTCGAGGAGTACAATCTAGCCAGAGAACCCATACCTTTCTGGAGTTGTTCCAGACACTCAAAAGTGATTTCAAACTGGTAGGGTGCCGTGAAGGTGGCCGGGTTGTTGAGGATTTTGCAACCGAGAAGAGAGACGACCGACATGGTGATAACGATGTATGCGTGGGGTATGTACTTGAGGGGTGTGGTGAAATGAGAGATGTGGAAGAGCAGATGGTCCAAAAGAGTCAAGTAGGAAGGCAGCAGAGAGTACTCGAGTAAAGGAGAAAGAGAAGGATAGGAAAAGAAAATAAACAGGTCGAGCGCAAGGAATGCGTCGAGGGCTGCGCTGCCCGCATGCGAGGAGACGCGCCTTCGCGTCCCTCGCATCCTCACCGCCCGGCACGTGACGGCGTCTCATTCACCGGCATCTCAGACCTGCAGCTTGCGCTTTTTCAATTGCACCTTTCTCGCTCTTTGTGCCGTGATCGGTGTTTTACTTTCTCTTTTGGGTTGAATTTCCCTTTGTTTCCCGTTTTGTTTCTTTCCCTTTTCTTCGTGCCATCGCCCTATCCACGCCAAAAAACCCTGCCTGCCTCTCCCGCGGTCTGCCTTCATTACGACATCTCTTGATGGCGGACGAGGCCGAGCAGGCCTTCTTCCAGGCCCAAGTCATGAATGCCGATGTGGCAGACTCTGTCCCCGAGGGTCAAGGCGCACATAACTCAGACTCAGATGAATATGATCCTTCCAAGACCCTGGAAGATCAATTCCCGGACCCAGTGGATCCCCAGCAGAATCAAGAAATGCCGTCGGAGACCGTGGCAACGGACCCATCTCCCAACCCAACCGCTGCCCCAGACATGCCTGCGGGCTATGACACTCCCGATCCTTCCCAGACCCCCTCCCGTGCTGCGTCTCAGACGTCCACGCCGCTGCCCCCGTCTGGGGCTTTGATGCAGCCCAAGACCAGAACGATCGGGGGATTTGTGGTTGAGGATGATGACGAGGATGAAAAGGGTGATGCGGACTACGAGCCGCCGGCGGTGCTTGGGGTTGATGACACTAATGCGATGCCTGTGACCATGTCTGAAGATCCAAGTTCAGGAAATGCAAATCAAAACACTTCCACCCCCGATGTATCACACCCCGCTGTGCCGGGCCCTGCCAGCGCGCAAGATGTTGCAAATAGTTCTTATTCTCCTGTTCCTGTTCCTAATATTGATGCTTCCTCTGTCCCTGGTTCCGCTCAGTGGGCTCCGCAGGATTTTCGATCCGGGAGTTTGCAGACCAGTACCGCCCCTACTCCTATGCCTGAATCGCCTTCGGCCTCCCGAGGTCGTCTGCCCCATGACCGGGTTGGGATTCTGCAAGATCGCATTGATGAGGATCCCCGGGGGGATATCCCTGCGTGGCTGGAGTTGATTGCCGAGCATCGAAACCGCAACAGACTGGACAATGCGCGCGAGACCTATGAGCGCTTTTTGAAGGTGTTCCCCATGGCGGTAAGCTCGTGCCACTACACTCATACTGTGAAGACCTAAGACCACTAACGGAATCCATTCCAGGCTGACCAGTGGGTGGCATATGCTAACATGGAGTCGGAGGTCAACGAACTCTTCCGTCTGGAGCAGATCTTCAGCCGAACCCTTCTGACCATCCCCAGTGTCCAGCTATGGTCGGTGTATTTGGATTATGTGCGTCGTCGGAACCCTTTGACGACCGACACCAGCGGGCAATCGAGGCGAGTTATCTCATCGGCCTATGATCTCGCCCTGCAGTACGTCGGGATAGACAAGGACAGTGGAGAAATCTGGTCAGACTATGTTGAGTTCGTCCGGTCCGGTCCGGGCAATGTCGGAGGCTCTGGATGGCAAGACCAGCAGAAGATGGACCTGCTCCGGAAGGCCTACCAGCGAGCCATTTGTGTTCCGACCCAGGCCATCAACGCCCTCTGGAAGGATTATGATCAATTCGAGATGGGTCTCAATAAGCTCACCGTAAACGCCAATTTTCTCTCCCTTGAAATATCGCCGTGCTGACTGTTATGTTTCAGGGTCGCAAGTTTCTCCAGGAACAGTCGCCGTCGTATATGACGGCACGCAGCTCTTTCACAGAATTGCAGAACATCACCCGGGATCTGGTTCGTACCTCGCTCCCACAGTTGCCCCCTGTGCCGGGCGCAGAGGGAGACGTGGAATTTTCCCAACAAGTGGACATCTGGAAACGCTGGATCGCTTGGGAAAAGGAGGACCCCTTGGTTCTTAAAGAAGACGACCTAGCTGCCTTCAAGGGCCGCGTGGGGTACGTCTACAAGCAGGCACTCATGGCCTTGCGATTTTTACCTGAGACCTGGTTCGAGGCGGCGGAATTCTGTTTCATGAACAACATGGAGAGCGAGGGCAACGACTTCTTGAAGCAGGGTATCGAGGCAAACCCAGAGAGCTGCCTACTCTCCTTCAAGCTCGCGGATCGATTGGAGGTTACCTCGGACTCGGAACAAGATGCTTCCAAGCGAGCGGCCAAAGTACGGGAGCCTTATGACAAGCTTCTGGATTCTCTTTACGATTTGATCAACCAGGCCCGCACTCGAGAGTCTCAGGATGTTGCACGAATCGAGGAGACGTTTGCGCAGCAAAAACCCGACACCCAGCAGAACGAGGACGATGACGACGCCACCAGCGAAACAAAGGAGATGGAAGCGGCCAAGAAAGCACAGATTGATGCCGTTCGACAAGCCCATTCAATCCAGATAACCATTCTTTCCAAAACCATCTCCTTTGGCTGGATCGCCCTCATGCGAGCGATGCGCCGTATCCAAGGCAAAGGAAAGCCCGGAGAGCTGGCGGGCTCACGACAGATCTTTGCGGAGTCCCGCAAAAGAGGCCGTATCACCAGCGACGTGTACATCGCCAGTGCTCTCATGGAGTACCATTGCTACAAGGACCCCGCAGCAACCAAGATCTTTGAACGCGGCGCAAAACTCTTCCCTGAGGATGAGAATTTCGCGCTCGAGTACCTGAAACATCTGATTGACATCAACGACATTATCAGTAAGCAACACCAAGCCTGAACCCCAGTCGACCACGTTTACTAACATTCCACTCAGATGCCCGAGCTGTCTTCGAGACCACCGTCCGACGGTTGGCAGCCAATCCTGAGAACGTGCACAAGGCTAAGCCGATTTTCGCCTTCTTGCACGAATATGAATCTCGGTACGGCGACCTGATCCAAGTGATCAACCTGGAAAGCCGAATGCGCGAACTCTACCCCGAAGATCCTGCGTTGGATCAATTTGCACACCGTTACTCTGCCCCGTCCTTTGACCCGGTGGCTGTTCGGCCCATCCTCTCCCCCTCGCAAACGAGGCCCAAGACTGCGTTTGCTGGAGCTCCTGCAGAGTCCCGCGGCACTCCTACACCAAGATACTTGGAAGCTTCCACCAGTTCACCAAAGAGACCGTTCCCCTCCGACGATTTTGACGATGATGCCAACCGCCCACGCAAGTTCGCTCGCGCCGAGTCCCCGCTCAAGACCGCGCAAAGTCGACGGGACCCGCCGAAGCGAGGACAGCCACTCAACGGCCAAACTACTCAATACAAACCGCAAGGTTCTCCGGCGCCCTTGCCTCGTGATGTCGTTCATCTGCTAAGCATCATCCCCCCGGCATCCGCCTACAACATCTCTCGCCTGTCTCCCGAGAAGATGATTGACCTCCTCCGCCGTGTCGACATCCCGACGTCCACGTCTCAGATCCCTCTCCCGGCGAATGTGCGTGGACTCGGGGCAGCTCAAAATCCTGCTTTGGGGGTCAACCCCTACACTGGTAAATGAACCGCCTGCCATGTTCTCTATCCACTGTACTGACATTATGAAATTCTTAGGTTCCTACCGCTGAGATGATCCCCCTACTCGTGTACTATCTCAATGCTCGTCACCCTTTTTTTTTCTTTCTCATTTTAAAGGCGTACACATACTACGATTTCCAACCATTTTCTTGTCTCGGTGGGCTTTGGGTTAATGGGATCTGGGGCTTCCTGTCTTCAAACCCCGTTGCATCTGGCGTCGAATATGGGCATTCTTCTGGCAAACCCGGCTTCTCTGTACAGTTCTTGGTATCCGTCCATAGTCTGGGAAACCATCCACCATGTTGTCTCCACTAAATTGTGATTGCACTGTCCACGTCGATGCCTTGACGATGTCGCGTTGCCTTAGACCCTTTTAGGGGCAATTGTTTACTGTGGAATATTTAAAGGCCTCCTCTCACCCTCCTCTCGTATCTCCACGTCCATTTCTAGTTACATCCACGCCTATTCGACATCACCTTGGTCGTGCTTTCACGTCGATTCTTTCCGAAAGTGAGTTGACACAAGAGAGACCCAATTTCCAAGTGTTGAGCTGTGTGTCCCTTAGCACACTTCTATCGAACTGACCAAAAAGGTGTGGGCTAATACATGAAAAAGATACCCTTAGTACATACTCTCCTTCACCATGCCTCTGCCTCGGGACTGGTCCCCAAGTCGGAAGAATCCCATTCGACCACCTCCTGGCCACCTTGAAGTGTTGAGAGCCAGTGACCGGGAGTTGGGAGCTCTTCGTCTAGAGGACATCAAGCCTGCGGACATCACGTATGACAATGCAGGCAAACCGGCTTACTTCAGGACAGACATCTGCAAGAGTGTTGATCTGGAATGCCGGGCCTACTTTGACAGCTCACGGCCTTCTTCCCCTCCCCCGGATCCACGTGTAATTATAACATGAAAAAAAGAAGCATCGCTTGGTGCTAACTGTCTCTAGACCTGACCCCACCGGCTCCTATCAAGCGGGTTGGTTTCAACACCTCTGGCAAAGAGATCCCTATGGTGGTGAATTCTTTTCCTATTCTTAAATTTCCCACCAAGCCAATCTGGCAATATGAGGTGAGACTTTGCTCTTCTTTCCCTCTTTAGCTCTTTAGGGGTTATGTAAACCCTAAGCCCTAGAGACTCAGCTAGGACAACAAACTAACGTGCCATAGATCTCAGTGCTGCACAATGGGAAGCCGGAGACCAACAAGCGGCCTATCAGGATGTGCTGGAATCATGATTTGAGGAAGATCAATATTCCTGATGCAATCTGGGACGGCCACAAAATTGCCTGGTAGGTTTTTATTTTATAGTTATAGTTCCATCTCGGTTCAATGACAATAACTAAGGAATATATGCGATATAGGTCATTCACGGAACATTCAACCTTCGACGAGATCCTCCACGTCACGAAGCACCCAAAGGCCGAAAGGGATGATGCCAGGCTGGATCCAACAATCCAAGGCGAAGGTCACGCAGAGATCTCTGGCCCTTGGCTTGAAAAAGTACAATATTACCTGCACTTTCCTGGTTTGCCCGTGGGCAAGATGCAGACCGGCAAATCCGTCGAGATTGTTTATCCGTTGGAGTTCTTGACGATCAAGGGTCTTCAGCCTTACCCACACATGCTTGACGGCATGCAGACCAAACAGATGATCCAGTTCTGTGCCACGAAGCCACCCCAGCGCCTGGCCGATGTCAAGCTAGCTAAAAAGTTCCTCCGCCACGATGAGGACCCTACGCTGAAGTCGCACGGCATGGTTGTCGGCCCTGATATGATCAAAACCAATGCTCGTCTGCTTCCAAACCCTCAGCTCCAGTTTGCCAACAAAATGATCAACCCGGGTGTCAACGGACGGTGGATCTCCGGGGCGTCATCTTCTTGCAGCCCAACAGCGTGCCTCTCCGGTCCTGGGGTGTTGGGTATCTCGCCGACAACCGGAATTCAGTTACTCTGGAGCAGACTAAGCGGTGGCTCGACATGATGGTCAACATTTACAAGATGCACGGTGGTAAGATCCAAGCGCGTCCGATCATTGTCAGGCTTGACGGCGATATTGGAATTGCTTGCAAGGTCCTCTACGACGAAACAGCCAAAAAGAACGGCGAGCCGCAGCTGCTTTTTGTGATGGTACCAAATATGGTGGAAGTCGTGTACACGCGGATCAAGAAATCGGTTGACTGCCGATTCGGAGTCCCCTCTCAGGTCCTTCAGGCCGCTCAATGCATTGCCAACTGGCCTCAGTACCACACGAATGTCTTGATGAAGGTCAACGCGAAGCTGGGAGGAGTCACGGATCGTACTGTGTCCTCTCGGCCGGGAACCTCGCTCCGCCCCATGGGAATGATCATTGGAGCAGATGTCACTCACCCAGCGCCGGGTGTTTGGACGCCGTCTCTGGCAGCGATGTCCGTCTCGGCGGACGCTCATGACACCCGGTACATGGGCAACTGTAAAACCAACGGCAACAAGAACAACGAGATCATCGGCTATCATGAAATCGCCGATATTCTGATCCTCCTCTTCCGCGAGTGGATCAAGACCACAGGAGGGGGGAAACCGCCCAAGTTCATTTACTACTTCCGTGATGGAGTGTCTCACTCTGAGTACCATGGAATCCTCAACAGCGAAATTCCCGCTATCAAAAGGGCCCTTGCCCTTGCGGCCAACATCACTAGCTGGGAGGGAAAAATGTGCGTGGTCATGGCCAACAAACGCCATCACCTCCGTGCCATCTCAACATGACAGAGCCCGGCAGACTTCCGGAGAATCAAATCCAGGATTCCAATGGCAACCCCTTGCCAGGAACCCTGATCGACCGCGATGTGTGCAGTCCGCACAACTGGAACTTCTTCCTGTACTCGCACATCGTGTTGCAGGGCACTGCACGCCCTGTCCACTACCACGTGCTCGCGGACGAGATGAACCACAAGGCGGATGAGCTTGAGGGCATGATCTACGAGCACAGCTACCAGTACTGCCGGTCCAGCACCTCCGTGTCAATCCACCCGGCCATCTACTACGCTCATCTGATTTTCATCCGTGCTCGTCACCACGAAGATGTTTCCCACACTACTGCAGGGCCTCAGAGTGGCCGCAGCCTCGCTCGGAATCGGCCCATGCCCGAGCATATCAAGAACCAGAACGTTCAGGTCCTTCTTCCCATTGAGGGTGGCAGGAACCGCTTGGCCACGAAGATGTGGTATGTTTGAAACATGGAGAAAATTCGAAAAAAAAGTCGGCCTTTCGACGCATACCCTTGTGAGCTACGCTGTCATTGTTTCCCACGGATGTCGAGTCCTAGGGCCGTGTACGCTTCGGGATGACTTCGGTATCCTTTGTCGACACTGTTTGGTCTTGCACCTTCTGTACTTGAGATTGATCATTGTGTCTTTGTCTTTGGGTTGCTTGGTTGGACGATCAGACCTGCGACGGCTGTCAAGATGACCTCGCGCATCAGAATGTTAATCTCGCTCCCCCGACCCGCATACAGTGAATAATGTCACCTAGCAGCAATACAAAGGTTGTCCACATTGCAAGATCCGTAGACACGTAGAAAAGTCAAGTAGAACCTAAGATTCATAAGACTAGCCTGGTAAGAATCTCACATTTTCCGCCATTGCGACTAGACTCTTCACGCGGAATCTCCAGCCCCTCGGAATTTTAGATACAAAATGAAAGAAGGGATAATAGCATCAAGGGAAATAAGCCCCCGAGGGCTGGAGGCTTCAGAACAACAGTGACCTTGAACACAGGTGGACACAAAGTAGTGTCCTGAGAATCATGGGGTCATAGATTTTCAAATGAACGTACACATAGAATAGGGAAGAATAGTTGGATTAGAACTGAAAAGCAATAAACGAGGACCTAAGAAAAAGGCCAGCCAAAGAATGGTATGGTACAGGTGAGTGATATGGTGACAAGGCAGATAAACCGGGGGGGGGATAAGAAAGTCAAAAGTAAAAAAAAAAAAAAATGGAAAAACAATGGAGTTGTCCAGAACAGCCTAGTTCAGGGCGTGTCCCAGATAAATCCAATTCTTGCAGTTGTGTACAATTCCTGAAGTTCATTTCTGTCGTGTGGGCCAACCTTTCCAGGAGGCAGGCTGGAAATGAGTCTGGAGATAAGAAAGCGGACGACGGGACAGAAGAACAAAGTTCGAGTCAGTTCGCAGAAACATATCAGGCCGTTCCATTGGGCATGGAGAGGGTTTCGGTCTCGCCCATACTATCACCCATACCGGCTCCATCAAGAGACTTGGAAGCATTGGCAGGGTCTTTGGTTCCTTCCCCTGTAGCGGATTGTTCTCCGTCTCCATCAACGTTGAAGTTGGGCATCTCGAGCGCCAAACCACTGTTTTTCTTGGCTTTCTTCTTGCTGGGTTCCGAGCCAACCTTTATGGCACCAGGTCCAGTGGGCGGAGCCGGACGTTTCTGAGGACTGGAAGTAGGGCCTGAGATGCTCGAAAAGGGAATCTTGCCCGATGCTGGAAGACGGGGCCGGGCAGCCATGGGTCTCTGCTTGGGCGGAAGTTCGAGGTCTTCCACAAGTGGCTCATCGCTATTGGAATCTAATTTGCTTTTGAAAAACGCCTGTACTAGCCCGATCTGGTCAGACAGGTTCTCCACCGTGATACGTGGATACGGTGGCGGCGGCGGGAAGAGCGCGACTGCTTGGGAGGTACTGGAGAAAACAAAACGTTAATGGGAATGTTCCTTGGAAAGAAACGCATCATAAAAGCATACCTAATGTTCTGCGACTGAGACGTTTTGTCGATGCGGTTCTGAAGCAGATGCAGCGGCACGCTCAGGGTGGAGAGACCGAACTCCCGATCCAGCCCCAATTCCTTGAACCCGAAGAAATCCTCGTCGATATCTTCCGCGAAATCACCACCAACAAATTGCTCACTTCCATCGGCAAACGCGTGGGAGCCGTCGTCGCCGGTATCAGTTAGAGCAGGGCGGAGAAGTTCAACAAGGAGCGACTTTAAACGCTCATGGGCAGTGGAGAGCTTGGTCCCCAAACGATCGATGTCATCCTTCATGTAGGATTCAAGTTCATCGATGTGAATCCCAACGGAAGAAAGAGTGTGAAGAACGATTTCCGGCTCGGTGTAGGCAGGCTTCCAGTCCGTGGGCGAAGAGGCTGGTTCTTGAGACTCGGTTGCTGGAACTTTGGGGGCTTCCATGTAAGATTTGATTGTTTCACCGATCTTTTGGAAGAAGTCCGATGCCACATCGGTAACGGCATCAAGAGCACCCGGCTGGTACTCCTCGAAACCCGTATGGTAAAACACTTTGGCAACTGAGCGTTGCAACGCTGCTCGGCAGACCCAAGGAGCAATGATGGGGCCGTTGTCATTCATGACATGGGGCGGAGCGTCGTGCTCTGCAAATGGCTCGGGCTGATACTTTTGAAATTGATTTTGGTACATCTAGAGACGATCAGCCATGGTCAGGAGTTAACATAATGTTAGAAGCGAGAGGCATACCTGAGATTGAAGCTGCATTTGCTTCACAATTCCGATCTTTGAGCACACCTTCCGCGTTTCTTGCATCTGTCGCATGTTCGAATCCATCTTCCTGGAGAGCTTACTGTCCGGTTGGATGAAGGAACCTTGTGGGAGAACTCGTAGAAATTCCTCCGACGCATCGACAACATTGCCTTCTGCATCTTCCCTCCAGGCAAGCCGATCGGGAAGATCAGGGACGCCCGACATGACATCGTAGTAGTAAGGAACCATTCTATCTTCCTCTACTTCAATACCTTCTGCGAGGGTCTCACCAGCACCTTTGGGTTCCATTGCCTGAGATTCGGCGTCATGCACTTTGTCTGCTTCAATGGTGGCCTGTTTCTGATGTCGAAGCCAGCGCCGCATGCCTGCTTTCGTGCGAAGCAAGGCTGGCTCTTCAGCATTGAGTTTATCACCCTTGAGGAGACGGTGGCGTTCCGCCGCAATTAGAGCCCGGTCCTTTTTAGTCACCTGCTTCCACACATTGTATTCCAGATCGTCCAAATCAACCCCGGGCACAGACAGGGCACTGAGAGCCGTGGTCGACGTCGTCGGACCGTCAATTTCCATCGCATCCAACTGGCTGGCTGCGACACCCGCTCCTATACCCGCAGGTTCAGAGGGGGTGTGAGATCCCGGGGGTGGCGTAGAGAATCCATTTTGGGTTGACTCCATAGCAGTATCGGAGTCTGCACGCACGGGGGCCGGTGGTTGCGCCGAGGCTGCCCCTGAGGGGCCTTCGGAGCCACTGGGCGTGTTGCGAGAGGGGGCGGCGCCTTTTTTGGAAGCAGATTTGCCAGGAGCTTTCCGGCCTCTGGAGGACATGATGGGCTCATCATCGCTCTCTTCAGCGCCGTCGAGCTCTGCAAGTTGGAGTCGACGTTCCTCGGCCTCCACCTCGGCGCGGTCTCGGATGACAATGTCGGGGATGAGAGGAACAAGCTTGTCGGTCTCTTTCCGCATGTAGAGCGCATGTTTGCGCAAGAAATGTTCGGGATTGGTATTGTATTTCAGGCAGTTCGACCAGATCAGGGTAAGGTCGTCAACAAAATCCTGCTTGGATTTGTACTGCAGACCTTTGAGCTTTTTCGTCATCGTGCCAAGGTCCATAGGATGCTTGATAACTGTTTATGAATCAGCACAAATACAAAAATTGGCAAATGGGCGTTTTGCGAGCAATGAGAGGGGGTTCGCACTTGAATAGTAGTCTGGCGCATCGCGCTTGTTAACTCGGGTCAAGAAAGCAGTTGAGTGCTCGGTCATTGCTTTCAGTTCACTCAGGACCTTTTCGGCCGCTTCATAGAGCTCCTCCTGGCCAATCTTCTCCTCACTGGCCCACTTGCTGCGGTTCTTGCGGACTTCACTCAGCAGGCTTCGAAGCTCAGCATCCGACGCCTGCACCATATCACGTTTCTTGTCAATCCGGGCGATCAGGTTCTTCAATGTTAGACTGGAAGCCCCGAGGTTAGTATTGCTCAGGGAGCTGTAGCCAGTGGAACCGCCAGTAGCATTGTTCGCGCCGGTGGCAGCTTGACCAGAAATCTCCGCTTCGACCTGTCGTTCAGACTCTTCCAATCGCTGTTGATCCAGCATGGCGTCTCGGTCATTTTCAAGGGTGTAAAACAGCGTGTGGAAACTCCTCTTGGCGGCCTCCTCCGTCGCTTTTTTGTCCTCCTCGAGTTGTTTGCGAATCTCTTCTAGGCTTTCTTTCTTCGAATCCTTCGCACCGTCCACATTAGCCGATGCGGCGGTACTGGGTCGGTGTTCAGGTACTGCCGCGCCACTGGCCTCTTGCGCGGGCGCGGGCAACTTGGGTTTCTGAGGCGACTCGGCTGTCTCCCCCGTCTCCTCTTCTTCATCCTCGTCATAGTCATCGTAATCGTCATCATCGAGCTTTCGCGCGGACTTGCGGGGGGCAGTGGAGGGGGCGGCGCGTCGACGCGTTCGGACTGACTATCGGGCTGCTCAACCTCGGCGGTCACATCCGCCGAGTCGTCCGCGGTGTAGTGGCCAGAAAAAAGCGCATTGATTTTCGGTTCACTGGAGCGATACAGCTCACGAAATTGGGCAATGCGCGGATCTTCCTCGACGGCGAGATCAAGCTCCGAAATGAGGCTAGGGTTGGGCCCGTCGGTAGGAACTTGGGGGGTGCGCGAGCCAGATAAAGTCTTGACTAGGCCATTGACCGGGCGCGGGGAATCCTGCATCTCATCAGGAGGGCGAATATTGCCCGGGGGCCAGGCGTGATGGCCGAGCGACATGGTCGCTCAAAACCCCGGTTTTGGGGCGGGCAAGACTCGAATCTCCACGGTTAGGATGATAGGCCGCCAGAGCACGACAACAGAGGTTTAGAGGGAGCCAAAGGCATAGAGAGATACTAGACACTCGACACAAATAAGTGACGATGTCAGAAAGGCCAAAACAGATGGCTGCGTGGCGAGGTTCGATGGCGAAGACAAGGGCTTTTCTGTAGGGGAAGATTCTCGGAGACGGGGATGGACAGGCGCAAAGGCGGAGAGGCCCGGCAGATAATGACTGGAGTATGCGATGGGATGCTGTTGTCGCTCTTGATGTCTTCGTGAATTCTGGACTCAATTCGCGGATGAATAGTGACTCATATATAGAAAGAATATGTAAATGTTCCTTTTGGGGGGGTGGATTGTAGAATCACAAAATTCACTGTGTCGATGCGATTGTTCTTAGTTGTCTCCTACGCAGAGAGCTCCCTCCGCAAATGACGCACCAGCCAGCCGCTGGGGGCCGGACCACACCCGATCATCTCAACCTACACTCTTGAGGTCTTCTGGCACTCCATCACTTTTTCTCAAGTCTTCACCATGCGGATCCGCTATCCTTTCGCCGGTAAGTCCTTCTGACATGCCCCTTCTACCTAGCTGGCTGATGACTGACACCGCTCTCTGCTAGGTGCTTTTCTCTTCCTACTCATCTTAGCTGGCTACATCGGCCTTCTCCCACACAGCACTGCTTCCACCATTCCTACTCAGCTACAACCAAATGACAAATTCCTTCACCTATTCGTCTTTTTCCTGCTCTCCCTTACCTTCTACTGGATTGTGGACACTTCGCGCCGGCGCGCGCTACACTTGACTCTGCTGGTCTGCACGCTTGGGCTCGGCCTCGGCTCTGAATTGCTACAGAGTTTCCTCCCCAATGATCGGCCCTTTGATCCATTTGACATTGTTGCCAATGGTGTCGGCAGCCTGGGTGCTATTGGCATCTGTGGCTGGTATCATCGCCGCATGATCGACCGGCGCCGGAAGAACCGCTTTGGATTGATGGAGGGATCTCCCGATGATGTTGAGCTAGGAGTCGGAGTCGGGGGCGATGATTCCCGCGAGTCAGAAGGACTTGGTCCTCAGGAGTCTGGAGTGATGACGCTGGAGCAGGAAGTGGATAATTGGGATGAGAATGCCGTTGACAACTGGGACACCGAGGATGGTCCCGGACCTGAGTCTCATTCGGCTCCTCCCGCCTACCATGAGGGTCGCAAACCCAGTTCTAGCAGTGGGCAGGAGTCTGGGGAAGCAAAGCGGAGCGATTAATGGCATGTATGCCTGGAAAACGAACTCATGACATGACGTCCAGACTGTTTTTCACATCCCTCCATCTTATGAATATGGTTTCATGCATCGTCCGTTTTGATGTTGACTTGGTACCAACTGCGGGCCATATTTTTCTTGTTTTCTTTTCTTTTCTTTTTTTTGGTCATTCTCAGCTGGAGTGAGCGAACTCTTGTGGAAATGTTTCTTGTCTCGGGGTTTATAGTTTGACTGCTCTTGAAGGAGCTGGGAGTTGGGCCCAGAGACTGTACAGCTATATGCTCTAATGACAACCCATTGTCCCAATCATGGAGTTCTCCAAGCACATGGTAATTTCCACATGTCTGAAGTCAGAGAAATTAGAGCCTAGGGATTTGGGAACCTTGAAATCATTCAGAAGCCCCCCTTTGAACAGGGGATATTCAGCTGTTCAAGAGTCAGCCAGGCTACAATCCATGGCCGATCTACTATTATACAGCAATTCTAATGGGCAATGGACATAACCAACCGCATTGAAAGAAAAAAAATCAAATCAAATCAAATCAAATCAAACGTGCAAACAGGGGGTATTCATAAATGACGAGGATATGTCAAAAGGGAGGCCAGCGGGTCAACAGAAGCATCCACGGATAGAAGGTAAAATGCAGGCAGACATGTCACAAGAAACAAAACACCGGATGCTATGGTATGATGCAGCAGAACGTCCAGTCATAATCAAGAAAGAAAAAGGCATTGCCATGGTTTCCCAGGCATCATTCATTATCCGAGACTTCAGGTGTACCAGACCAACTTCTGGTCGGGGTGGGAGGTCGGATCGAGGTGGTTTGCAGCTCAGACTTGGAGGGGGGATATAGTCGGCCTGATCGCTCAACTTGGCCACTTTCGCAGACCGTTCGTCGGCATGACTTCCGTTAGGAGACTCGGTAATCTTGCCCAGCTTCCGATCGCTCTGTTCCCGAAGCACCTCGTAGATGAACTGCATCTGCATCTCGTTGTATACCATCATCATCCGTTGCTCGCGCATCTGATTGACGGTGTCGAAGACAGGATCTTGCTCAGGATCCGTCACCTTCAACAGCTCGCCGGACTCGAGCTCGCGGAGGAGGTGGTCCAGCGCGATAAAGGTCCCCGTCCGGCCAACGCCCGCACTGCAGTGTACCACGCGCGGGTTGTCCCGACGGCATTTCGAAGCCGACAGCGTGATCAACTCGAGAAGGGCATCACGGTCACCCCCTTCAGGTTTGGAATAATCCGCCCAGCCAGCAAACAGGAAATGCCAGACGATCTTCGACTCCGATCCAATTGTCAATTCCAGCTTGCGAATCTCGGACCGGGACTTGGCATCAAAGGTCGATTCCAACAGTGTGACCTTGCCCAAGGGGTCATTTTCAGTCTCCTCATGCCGATCATGATTATCGTTCACGAAAGGGTCCAACTCATCAGGCGACAGAACCAATGACGCTTGCTCGGTGTCCAACGGGAAGTATTGGGCGCATTTCTCCCGGCCCGCCTCAAAAGTTTGAGTGAGCATAACGATAACGCCAACATCCTTGCTTTCATGGAAAACCATGTGCCAAAAATGAGAGAAATGTCCGAGTTTCGGGCCCTGCTCATTGTTAGCAAAGCGGGGTTGCACGATTTGATCTCTCCTAGTTGAGCCACGTACCTGGGTAGCAATATAACTTCTCTCCTCCTCGGTGATTGTGTCTTTCAAGGTAATCGGGGAGGCGTTAATGAAATCGCACTCGCCGTCGGGTACCCGAAGATGGATCCGGCAGTTGGCCCACGCCTGGACGTTGAGATACCGATTCCTCGCCTTGACCTTCGGATCGGCTTCCAAGGCCCATGGGTGAGTGGGGTCGTCAGACAACATACCCTCCGCCAGGCGCGTTCTTTGCATCCACTCCAGGTCTTCAAACTTGTCATGGATCTCTGTTTGCACATGGTTCTAGATCAGTCTCATATCTCCCAAGTGGGTTTAGAGAATGCGATCCGGTGCGGACACATTCCATACTAACCAGTGACCGATTGGCAGAGAAATGGCGGGACGTTCTCCGTATTCCCATACTCCAACCTCGGGTTGTCCTGGTCGCCACTTCGCACATCGAGAGCGGCGTCGTTGTCCTCCGGTGGACCGCGCTTAACTGTCTGGACATTCGTGTCGATCTTGATGGAGGGATGCGCCATCTTGGCCGTAGCGATTCGCTGAAACTCTCGAACCTTGCCGATCACACCGCGTGCTTTCCTCGAGACCGCTCTCCCCGGGGAACGCTTCTTAGAGCGATGCGGGGGAGGGATCTCGGGAGACGGGGATCGTGACGGCTCAGTATTAAAATCCTTGACGAGAGTGTCGGCAAGGCCTGCCGTAACCGACGGTGGAGAAATTTGTAGCAACGATAGATCGGGACAGCTATAAAAGCTGTCCCGAGAAGATGTGTCCAGGGCCAGATTTCTGACGAACGCGGGGCCAACGGGGGTCGAGCGAATGGAAGAAGAGCGTCGCAATAAACCGGGCGAACCTCGTATCATCTACCAAACCACCACGGTCGAGTGATAGAGAGAAGGACAGAGAACTCGTGGGGTTGGAAATTGCCGAGAAACCAAGCGGAAGGATCAGGATAGGTGGAGGGGCAAAGAACGTTGGGGGAAAAGATGCGTAAGAAAGACCCGAGGAGAGGAGAGAAAGAAACAAGACGAAGGAATGGGTCTAAATGGTAGGAACAAGAGGCAGGAAAGTAGGAAGATGACGATGAAGAGAGAGAACAGCACATACAGAGAGAGACCAAATGCATTCGCCACTTCTTCAGCTGCGAGCGGAAATCGCCCTCAGGGGATTCCCGACTCTTGTCTTTTGTTTCTTCTTTTTTGTTTCTAACTGTTGACTCTTTATTTCTTTCGTTTTTTTCATTCATTTCTTTATTCTCTTGGTCCTCCAGCTTTTTTTTGGGCGGGGATTAGCCACAGGCATACAATAAACCCGCGTGTTGATCGCGGGGAATCGCGCATTTCCCTCTCGTCAACACAGCTGGTTTCGGATGACGGTCTCTTCTCGCTTCTCCCTCGGGTCATGATCCCTCGTCCACGCGAAATGGTCTCCCAGGCTCAAGTGGTTGACCGTGCTGCAACGGTCCAAACTGCCTCGGTGTCGCGTCACTCTCACTCGGGTCGCCATCGTTCGGGTCGTTCGCATCACGGTGGCTCGCACTCGTCCCCAAATGACTTCCCTATCTTCACGTACACCGGCGATACGGAGATCGTAATCCGTGCTGGATCACAAGAGAAGCGTTACCTTCTCCATAGACTAATATTGGCGCAATGCTCCGGGTTTTTCGAGGCGAGCACGAACGAGGACTGGTCGCGCCAGCCCGCCTTGGGCCCGTCCAAAGCCGAGGGAACCTTGTCGCGAGTGAGCGAAGATGATTCCCTGTCCAATGGATCGACGCTGGTACCGTCCGATCATGGAGCGCTGCCGCTGCGACCTGGAGAAAAGAGACGCTGGCGCTATGAACTAGACTGGGAGAATCGTGCCGCGGATGAAGAACCCATTCTGGTACAAAAGGTACGTTATTTTCTCATTGCCAGAACAAAACCACGTGGCTAATATCCATGGCTATGAGCAGCAACCAAGCTCCTTACCAGTGTTCAGCGGCGATCCAACCCCATTTCCACCCACGAGAACCAAGCCGTCCAATGCACAAGCAGGCTTTTTCCGATCTATGGCAAACCTAGCGGGGGTGCAGTCGGTGGCCCATCTGCCACCGACACAGGGTATAGACCATGATGCCGCGGTCGAGCCCTTAATCCGCGACTATGACAATCTCCTATGCTTGTTCTATAACCATTCCCCGATCCTCAACAGCGTCAACATCGCCTCTGCTTATACCGAGTGCAAGTCCCTCCTTGCATTAGCAGACATGTATGACGCACTTCCGGTGACAGGCCCGCGCGTCGATCACCACCTCCTAGGCTTCGGGTCGCGCCTCTTCAAGCAAATCGCCAAATACCCGCCGAGCTACTTGAAACTGGGGTATCTCGCCCGCAGCCGGGTGATCTTCTCAGAGGCACTGATCCACGTTGTTGGCCAGTGGCCTGCCGCACTGCCTAACCTGCGCAATGCTTCATACTCGCCGTTGCCAGACTCGGTTCTCGACCTCATCGAAGATAAATTCGAGGATCTCGAAGACCTCAAGGCTCGAGTCGAGTCCAAGCTGTTTCGTTTATCGCTTACAACTTCACGCGGCGAACGGGTTGGCCCTTCCAACGCGTACTTGGACTGGCTAGCCGTCTCCTTATTCCGCCAGTGGCTGATCGAGAGCACTACGCCGCCACCTACTTCGATTCTCAAGAATTCATCCTCGACGCCGAACACCGGGTCCTCGCAGTCTGCCTCGGGCCCTCACAGTGCAAGCTCGTCTAGACCAACTGCACCGCCAGATCCTGCTGCTCGCGTCTATCGGTTGATCGGGTCGCCTTCAACGCATGCCTACCTCCCCCATGACGAACTGAAACGTTTTCTCAAGCTCCATCCCACACCCTCGTCAGACTCCGTGTACACTCGCGAAACCCTTAAACGGTTCGAACGAAAGATGGATGAGATTAAACGGCTGGCCCGTGAGATCGTCAAGCCCCTGATGCGAAACTTCCTCGAACTCGAATTGAAAAGCGGCCCCGACCAAGCCGTGGGCACTGGCGTGTCCCGTCGCGACGGTACTGTCGCCGGTGGATTACCCTATTTGACTTGCACTCGGATCGAAGATGCCGATTTGCCCTGGAAATGAGCACGGCAAGATCATTGTATTCGCCCATCAGGAAGCACCCCGGGATGTTTTTTGCTCCTTTCTCTGGCCACTCCGTGTTCAAGTTTGTACCCCGAAATTTGTTGCGTTTCTTGTCTGCTTCTTTTGGGCTGCTGGCCTTGCCCAAGTGAAGAAAGACTGGTTGTATTATCCTTGCCATTTGCCCCCCCCCCCCCCCCCCCGATGATGTGATGTCCATCTGATTGACGTTCTGTGTCCGACTCATGTGTCAACGAAGTCATGAATGATTTTATGCTGTGCTCTTTCTGTTGTTGCTGCGTTCGAATACTCCTTAATACCCTGTCAGTCTCACGATGTTGGCACTCATGCGAACCGCCAGGACTTACCAATGTTTCCCCCAAATATGTTGCTTGATCCCATGCGCTTTTCGGAGCAGAGGTTCACAGAATCTCCTCTCCCATAGTAGTTGCGATAAATCATTGGTCTTACAGATTCCACTTGACTTTTGGTTATATACGTACACTTCCAAAAATGCCATCTATTGTACATTGGCAGATACTCTTCGTGAGATGCTTCAGAGATCAGGCTCTATCCGGTTAATTTTTCCCACCGATCGTCTCCACGCCATCCATCCAAGGCCGCAGGACTTCGGGTACGACCACCACGCCGCGCTGCGGGTCCCATCCATTCTCGAGAATAGCCGCCAGGACGCGTGGAACCGCCATGGCGGTGCCGTTGACCGTGTGCGGGAACCGCGAGTCCTTAGCTGCATCGCGCACGCGAGTCGCCAGCCGTCGGCTCTGGTAGTCCGTGCAGATAGAGGCAGAAGTTACCTCACCCCACGCCGGCTCCAGATGCTGGGCTGCGGGGTCTACAGAGGATGAAGAAGACGTAGAAGCCGGGCGGAAGCGGGAAGGAAACAGCGCCTCGATATCACGCTTGCGGCTCGCGCTGGCACCCAGATCCGTCGTGGGCATCTCCAAGACCCGACAAGGGATACGAAGGGCGGTCAAGATCTCGGTTTGAATCTCCAGGAGCTCGGCAAAGAGTCCGTCCGCGGTTAGTGTGGCTGCCGGGGCGGCCTTTTCCTCGGTTGCGACATAATCGGCCCATCCGAACAGTTCGACCTTGGTGAACTCGTGGACTCGGTAAAGACCCTTGGTGTCAACGCCGCGGGAGCCCGCCTCGGCGCGGTAACATCGGCTGGCTCCGACCAGCTTGATGGGGAGGTCGGCAGGGTCAACGTCACGGCCGGCGTACATGGCTGCCAGCGGGATCTCGGCCGTGCCAGTAAGCGAGCGTTGTGGTTTACTTTGACGGTCGCGCTCGTTTTGCTCAATTGACCAGATCTGCTGCTCGTTGTGTTGGTCGCGTGGTTGGAAGCCGCACGCCTCGGCAATGTAGGAATAGACCACCGACGGCGGAGCGACAGTCCTCCACCCACGGCGCCGTGCCACACCCAGCGCGTACTGGATCAATGCTTGCTCCAGCATCGCCCCTTCATTGACCAGAAAATACCACCCCCATCCTGTTGTCGTGGCCGAACTTGCAAAGTCGATGAGCCTCAGCTCTGTCCCAATGGTCACATGCGACCGCGCCTGGAGCTCTGCTGGCGACTGTTGCGTCCAGTTTGGGGGTGCTTGCGGGTCGAAGTTGAGGTAATGGACGAGGCGGGGATCGTCTCCGACGGGAGTCTCCGCGGAGGAGAGGTTGGGAAGGGACAATGCCAGTCGGTGAATGTCCTCGTCGCACATTGTTTTGCGAGTCGCCATTGCTTGTGAATCCTGCTTCAGCTGCTGTGCTTCAGACTTGAGCTCTGCTAATTGTTGAGTGATGCGGTTGTCTTCGTCCTTGCTCGCATCCTTTCGAAGCGCGATGGACAGCTCCGCAACCGTTTTCTCTAATTGTTTGACGCGGGAGCGCGGTTTTTTCAAATCGTGATCGAGTTGCTTCGATTCCTCTGTTAGCGATTGGATTCTTGACGGGTACTGTGCGTGCGCCGCGTAGTTCCGATCTCGACAGTTCTGGGCGTAAAGGTCGGCATTTTGGCGAATGTGTTTGACGTCGGGCATGGGCTTCGGCGCTGTCGCGGGTCGCAGAACGTCATGGCTGCGCCGACTCAAGGAGAATTGGCGTGAGGGAGTCAGTCCCAGGCGAGGGGACAATCTGCAATTGAAGCAGACATGAGAGAACGCCATGGAGGGTGTCGGGAAGAGAGAAAGGCGGGTGAGCCTGGCAGCCAAGGCCTTTCCGCGTGGGCCCAACTGTGGAGGTGTCGATGCTGGGGGGATGGGCACGTCTCGCAATATTTACTCCCTGACTCCAAGATGACTCTAACATTTATAAGACGCTTTTCGGTGTATCTTTATCGTAATGGACTGCTGATTTCTCATATTTCTCCAGTTATCCATGTTCAACTCCTCTGGTCCGAACTATATATATCGTCCGGAGTATGCCCAGTTCTCGCAAAGCAACACAAAAACTGAACTATGTTCTGTTCATATCTTAAACCAGTCCAATCCCCAATTTCTGCTTTTTGATTCGGGCACCCACCCCTGCCAGGGTCAAGATGGCGGCCACCACCACCGGTCCCAACGAAATATGGATTGCAATCAGGTTGTACGTGGTCTGGGTCGCCGCCACGACAGTCGCCATCTCCAGCAGTAGCAGAACATAGCCGGTCCAGCGGTGGTATTTGTAGATTCGCTTGCCAGCGTCAACACTCCCAAGGATAGCCAGAGGGAAGAAGAACTGGACCACTCCGGCCAAAGCTTGCAACACGACGGAGATGTACGTGGTCAGGCCCAAGATGCCGTGCGGAGAAATTAATCGCGCACTGCTGCCCTTTTTCACCTCGATGGTTATGAAGCCAGACACGAATAATAGCGTACTGATTAGTTGGATGGCGGCGTGGAGACGGGCCCCGCGAGTCTTTTGCCGCTGAGTGACGGTGGGCTGGAGGATCAGAGAGCTTTGGACTTGAAGAAAAACGGCCGAAATGCTTAGCAGCTTCGACACCATTACATGAATGGCATGTTAGCGAAATGGCTCGTAGATTGTCGCGAGAAAATGGTGCGTTCTTACCGGATGAGCCGTGAAGAGAGAAAGTGGCTGGGATAGAATGCCCGACCAGACAAGGGCCGCCAGCTGGTTGTGTCACTCATCAGCTCGAGGAATTGGGGGTGACACGATATCCTTGCAGCTGGAAAACACCACTCACCATCCAAATCCCGACTTGAGCCACACTTGCCGTGCCTGTGACGAGGTTGCGAAGAATGTTGTCGTCGGGTTTCTGCGACGCATCTCCAGGACGGCCCAGCAAGGGCTCGTCCTCGGGCTCAACTCTCTCTGAATGGTTCTGAGGAATGTCTGAGGTCGATGTCATGGTGGATGAAGAAAAGAACGTGGGTCTGAAAGAATTGCGAGGGCATTTTATTTATGCAAGCAAATTGGCAAGCTGCCCACACCGACAGGATCCCCCGCCATCTGACTACTTCCAACTACTTACGACGCATGATCTGACTACACTCTGACTCCCTGATGGTCCCTCGATTGCAAGGAACTGGCGTGATCGGCATCTCCAATGACGACTGGATCCATGTGGAACCCCAGTCCGCGCAGGCGGATTGCCAATCGAGGAATCGGGGTTGTTCTACGGTGGACTACATTCAGATATGCGTGATGAACACGAAGAAATACTGCATTTACGATAGTACTAACGAGATAATTGAGACGACATCCTCTACGGGATTTCTCCTACCATCGCCACAGAAATTCCGATATATCCGTGGGATCCTATGGATCAACAAGTCAGCAATGTGTGCAGAAGGTGCCCGTCTTGATAGGGGCAGGGTCATCCAACGTGAGGCGAGCCATGCCGCGGGTGATGCATTCAAGCTGCCGGGCAACTTCGGCCGACTGTCCTGGTTCGGCCTTGAGGATGTTGTTCTGCTCCTCCACGGCGGTCTTGAAGGCATTGCAGTGATCCACAAAGCTAGTTTCGAGGGGATTCGAACCAGCCAGACTCACCCGGCGGGCCTCGCTGGGCCCATTTAGCTTGATCTGCTCCAGCCGGCAGGTGAGGTCGTCCATGGCAGCGATGACTTCGGTGCGTTGCTCGGGGTAGCTCCGGAGAATGTGGCTTTGTTCCTGAAGACGGGCCATGATGGTGTTTCGTTCTCGCGCCAACGAGCTGAAAGACGAGTCGGAAGAAGAGTTATCCATGAAAGGTATCGATATCTATCAGTGGACCTCAGGGAGTCTTACCTGGGCTTGGTTGGGAATGAGCCAAGGTGAAAAAAAAAAAACACTAGAGGAACCGGATGGAACGGAGGTGCTTGATGCTTCTCTCGAGCCGGTGGACTTGGGGGAAAATATACCTGACGGTGCAGCGGAGATGCAGACAAGTTCCATCGAATCACTCAAAGATCAAAGCCGCCTTGTCTTTGGCTTATCTTGGACAATGTCTTTGAAACAATGTTGTTTCGAAGGAAACACAAAGGCGAGTTCTTTGTTCTTGGACACAATGCTCTTTGTCTGCTAGAGATATGTCTCTGATGATTCTGGGTGAGACAAACCTTGTCCCAAGGGGAAGAAGCCTTTGTTCACTTTCATTGCAGGATATCTCCAAGAAACCAAATCGACTATGAAACATCTACAAAAGACTGGGATAAGAGCAACAAAAAAAAGAAGAAAGAATCAACACCACGGCATCTTCCATACAGCACTCTCTTCGCCCGATCCTAACCGACCAAACACCACTTCTGCCCCCAGATGCGCCGAGTCCAAGTTCATCACGATGTTGAACAAAGAACTGCTTCGCGAGGATGTGTGTCGACTTGGGTCTTCTTGGCAGGAGATCGCCTGTGGAGCATTGTATGCATCCGAGAAAATATGGTCTCGCAGGAGAGTCGTTGTGATAGCCTCGCCCTCGACACCTTTCTGGATCAGTTTCTGTGTCAAGTGCCCTAAGCGTTCTAGACGAACAGGTGATCCCGATAGCCACAGAGGCTCGTCGACATAGCGGTTCTCGATAAAGTGGTTTGTGTGTCCGATCAGCCCGGACGAATCTTGGGAAAGATGTTTATCTCCCACCGGCGATAGTTCCAGTCCCAATGCCGTCGTACTGTCAGCTACCAGGATATGCTGGGCAGAGGCCACGCCACCCAAGGACTCGAGTGTTTGTACAGCGTGAGCCACCGAAGTACTCTCCAAACACAACCGGAGAGCAACGTGAATTGGGAGCTTGCTGCTGTCCATCGGCTTGGCCCGGATGGCATTGAGACAGGTGCCGACGCCGGCGGTATTGAACCCAATTTTGCCGACAATGCCTGCCTAATATTCAAAGAGAATCAGTTTAGTATCTCATTGTGGATTGGGTTCAAAACCTGGCCACCTAACTGAGTCGCAACAACTCACCTCAGTTACCATATAGATGGTCGGCTTCCCGACCTGCTCAATTGACACCATGGCAAGATTCTTCTTCACAGCTGCGGTCCAGTCCCAGTTCTGCGACAGAACCCGGGATTTACTACTTTTCTGCCAGCATAATGCTGTGCAGCCGTCCGAGAACTTGCCTAGGGCAATCTCGCTCCGGCAGTTGAGCGCCACCACATCTGCCACATCAAGCCCAGCGCCCTCCGAAATCCCCTCCATCTCGACAAGGAGATGTGGAGTTAACCTACTAAGAGTTGGTAGAAATTCCCTGGCAACATTGCGCACATCTTGCCAGGATAATTGTGACGTGTGTTGGAACATGGTGCCGTAGATGGTGATTTGGCTGCGGATCTGATCCTGTAAAGCGCGGCCATGCTGGAGACCAATCTGATGAAATATGGTAATGAGAAAAGTTCCTGTAAAAGCATGAAGTGGAAACTGTTATACGGTACCTCATGTGAGCTGCCCCTGAGGGTCAGCCGAATAGGCTCGTTGTTCATGTTGAACTTAGGGTTTGATGACCACGCAGATACTAGGCGCCCAAACCAGGCCGAGAAATATTGAGACTTATGACGGTAGGCATACTAGGGTTTATGAATAATTCCACCTTGCACGAGCCTCGCCTCGCCAACTTGCTGAACCGACCTGCCCCTCTCAGTTGGAGACATGCGGGGATAAGTTCGATAAGCATCCGACTCCAACTTGGGGTCTACGAGGCGCCATTCATTCACCAGGACATGATACTTTGGTGTTATTTGATTTGATTTTAGACATTTCATTATTGGAGCCAAGCTTATAGATCCATTTTCTCAATGCATCCACAAATAGATCCCGGCAGACTCTACCCACTGCGTATCAGGCGCCGAAACAGTTCCCCCAAGTAGTAGGCAGACTGCTTTGGGTGTCGAGTCTTCTCTTCTGATTCAAAGTCAATAAACATGCTGCCAAAACGATCCGAATACCCGGCGACCCATTCTATAGATGCATTAGTTTCAAGTCGAAGTTTTGAGGACTTTACTTACCCCAGTTATAACAACGAACCTCTCCATGTTTATGGCAGGTCGGTTCTTCATGGGATTTGGAATAGCCCTCATTTCCAGCTCTCAATGCATTGGCGAGATCTCGCCTGTTCATCTACGCGGCCGCATGGTCGGCTTTTTTGGCGCATGTTTTCAGATCGGAAGTCTCGCAATCACAGGCGCCATGATCGGTCTCTCTAACCTGCCCAAGAACCAATGCTGGCGAATTCCGTTGATACTCGAGGCCGTATTTCCTGCAGTTGTCTGCCTTATCATCTACTTCTGGATTCCAGAATCGCCTCGCTCCTATGTCATGCAGGGCAAGCGGGAAAGAGCTAAACAGGTCGTGGCCAAGTACCACACTACTAGCACTGATATCAACGAGCCTAGCGTTGACATTGTGGTGACTCAGATGGAAGAATCTCTCGAGAATGACCGAGCTGACTACCGGTCCTTCTGGGACTATCGGGTGTTCTTCACCAAGGTAGCTCGCTTCCGGCTGCTCGTGCTGGTCCTGTATTCGATTTTTCAGCAATGGAACGGCGGGGGCATTATTACATACTATGTAAGTGGTTTTGGCTTCTATTTACTAGAGCCTGTCATTTAGCTTGCCCTAGATGGTCCCCGCATTGGAGACGGTTGGTATCAAAGGCACAATGCAGCAGCTGGGCATCACCCTCGGCTCTACTGCACCCTACTTTTTCTTCACAGCCATCGGCTCGCTCCTCGTTGACAAGTTTCGTCAGCGAACCTTGATCTTCGCATGCCTAGTCAGCATGATGATCTTTCAAACTGCTACAACCATTACCTCTTGGTAATACAGCCTCACAAGCAACTAAGCTGCGGCAGCGCTGACACTCCTTTGGATCTTTTTGTATCAGACTTTTTCGGCGTTGCTCATTGCGACCATGCACAACCTCTACCCGGTGGATGCCCATGACCAGTTTGCTAAAGATATCGCGGATGAGCCCTTGGAAACCGACAAGGCCGAGTACCGCTATGCTGGCACGACCGATTTCCCGGGGACAAAGGTCTTCCCAATTCTGAATGATTATCTTCAACCCGACGCACAAACTTGGTTGGAGTTTTCGATCAAGTCCATTCTTGAGATTGTTCCCGATGCACCTTTATCAACAGAAATTTGTACGATCGGCGAAATCGTTCTCGTGCTTGCACAACAGATCCCATACCATATCATCATCCATCACAGATGAAGCTCGCGTGGGTAATGGAGGCACTTACAGCTTCCCCCAAATTTATTACGGGGCCATACTCCAGCGTAAGTTAGGTTAAAAACTTGGATGAATATTCAGTTCCCGACTGACTGGATTCATAGGGCCGATATATACGCGGTCAGAGATTCAAAGAGTCGCTTCGAGATGCGTACGATGGTACATCAACCACCCTCTCCCTACCGTAAATATTTTCGTACCTTGTCTTCTAGGTCCAAATAGCGTTTTTCTTTTTCACAGCAATGGCCAAACCTCATGGCCTTTTACGATCAGGTATCCTCGGGACATATTTCCCTCATGATCCCACTTACGCCATTTGGACTATGCTAGATGCCTTTGAAGAGCGACCTATGCCTTGGGATCCTCCGTTTGCTGGCGAGCGAGATCAAAGAATTATTGCTGCAGCTCAATGCATTTGCTGGGGCGGGACCGAGCTATTCAAGCACGTTCTTTCCCCGGATCCAGAGGACCCAAGCTGGGAGAACGATCTATTGTGCTTCGGTGAACATTAACTTTCTCTTAAAAGATGGCATTCCTGGAAAGACAGATTTACCAAGGTTGAAGAAAGTACTGAATTAGACGAGGAGTGTATAAATGTTGCTCGAAAAGCAGCGGCTTTGATAGGGGCAATTCAAGCGAGCTTGACATTCTACATAGATTTCAGTAATACTCTTCTTTTTCCTCCGAAGAATCACCCGGTGTTATATCATGCTGCTTTCTATTGCCTATGCAGATGGCTAAGCGAAATGAATGAAACGAGTCGGTCCCGACAAACCTGTGCCTACCCGTCGGAGGGATATTTGTTCTGTTGCACCGTTTACAGCTTCCATCTCCCGTGGCCGCGTGGAAGGTCATGGAAAAAGATTTTTTTTCTTTAGCGTCTTAGAATTTTAAAGGCATTTTAGCTGATCTGGCGAGTCATCCATGGATGAAGGATATGAAGGTTTACTTGGTCAGTGACATCAGATGACAACTTCAGCCCTAAGCTTGACCTTATCCCAGGTCTTTGTACTTGAGCTTTTTGTTTCTCATCGCTGATTGATTTTCTCCGAGATTGCCACTGGTCTGAAATGTAATTCAATCTCACAGGTCCCCTACATGTCTGCAGCGTCGTACAAACAGATCAGGCACCGACTCCGATGCCGGTTCCCTCGGACTTTTTCACTTTGTGGGCACAAGTCTGCCATTTCTTTTGCACCGTGTCGGCTTATTGTCTTTCCACAAAGCCAATGGAGTGCTTTAAATGAACCCAAAATGGTCAACGGGCTCCTTGCAGTCTGTGGTGTCACTAAGGGCTCGTTGCGTTCTCTGCAGCCCTAATCCGGTATCTCTTGAGATAACTTGGCGGTAACGTCAAGGGAATGAAAGAGAAAGCGAATCGAGCTTGATGGATGTGCAGTGAAATTAAGCATCTTACTTTGAGCATCCGCACAGCCGTATTTGACTCCGAATGAGACTTGGACTATACTGTCGTCTGTCCCAAGCACAGGCGCATAGATCTCGGGTTATTCCCTATCACAATCCCTTGCCAGTTGTTATTTAGTCGAGATACAGGATCCGCCTACACCAATGACGTTATAATGGCCAGAGGTCGGAGATTTCAGAGACTGGCTCTGATTGTCCTTCGGTGCATCGAAACTTTTTCGATTTGCCACGAAGAGATATGCTCAAGCATGGCAAAGGCAAAATGAGAGGTCGAGTAGGCCACATCAACTTTATTTTCGTGTAATCTCCTGGCTTGCCTCATTATTCTCATGGGGGGAAGCAATGGCTTCCCGTGGCAACAAGCCCGAATGATCTCTTCACTTCTACCCCATGAAGACGTACCCCATGGCCCACACAGCACACAGCCTATAGCACTAGTGATATTGATCTCTGCTCCCTGATCAGCGCACGGCCATACGGACTGAGACGGGACTGGGTGCACCTCCCATGCGCCGCGACTAGATTTCTTCCCGCCCTGCACGTCCGGTTGTGCGGACGGTACAAGGACGACATGGTGTCACCGTCGAGCTTCCAATGAGCGGTGGCTGTCAAAAGACTCATAGCTATCACGAGACCAATACCACTCGACGAGGCAAACGGGCTCTGGCTGCGCAGGAACCTCGTCCATACTTCATCTGAGAGGCACAAATGACGGGATTGGGGAACTATCGGACCGTTGAAGCGTGTCTTGCCATCTCCCTCGCTTTCCAGGATTGGAATCCCTCTTGTCTTGGGATGTTTCGCGGTATCACACCGGTGTTGTTGTTGGGTATTCGGGGCGCATGTTTCTCTTTTAGCGAAAGCCCAGTGACGTTGAAGAGAATCGTACTGTGATATAATCGAATGATTTCCCTCTATGGCCCTGGGGGGTTTTTTCTCACTGTTCGTTCTTGTCTGCCACTCATGTGTTGCCATTTCTAATGGTCTTGAGCTCTTTTTTTTTTTTTTTTTCTCTCGTGCTAGCTCGCTCGCTCCCTTTTCGTGTGTTTTCCCTTCAATCCTTTGATATATCTTTGGGTCACAAGAACGGCGAGAAAGCCCCGTGGGTCCATTCTTTTGGTCGCTGCAGACCTCTGGTACATACGCTTTTTTGATATACTGTGGCTGGTTGTCGACGTTGGGCCATCAAATCCACAAAATCAGGCTCACAAGGAGTTTTCGTCTCTGTGACGCCACCGCCGATTTTTCTTTTTGCATGCGAGATGACCCCGAAGGCAGACACCATGATTCCCGAAGTCCAAGGAATCAAGTACGATGAATCCGAAATGGCCCTCTTTCATGCAAAGCTGTCCTACCATTCCACAATCGACGAACGCATGGCCTCCCAGGACACGAACCTCGCGTCAATCTCAGAGCAGCAGGCACGAATCCTCAAACGGTGGGAAATGTTGAAGCAGGCCGAAAAGGAAATGGCCGACAAGGGGAAAAGCCTGCCACCGGGAGACAAGAAGCAGCTGGCGCAATATGAATGGAGGTACAAACAACTGGAGAAACTGGTCACTAAGACCCCGGGGGGATAGAAAATGATCAAAAGTGACTTTTGTTTTCGGTCTTTTGAAATTGCTGGGTTGCATCCAACTGGCATTGCGGGCGTTGGTTTAGATCCCAGGGAGCACGCGGCGCGACGAGGCGCCCGACAAACGTGGAATTGATCTCGGCAGAGCCCTCTTTTTCTTCCATTGTCCATACTTTGAATGCCATTTCCTTGCTCTACTGCTTCATTCGGAAGAATTCAAGGAATTCCCGTCTGCCGTGGACTCGAACGGCCGTTGCACAGGCAAGACAGCAGTCCGGCCAACATTGCAACTGTAACTGAAGTGACATGTCCTCGGTACTGAGACCAGAGAAGCTCGAGAAACTGCCTCATTGAGCTTCTGATGTGATGTATGCTATGACTCTGTGGCACCCTAGTTGCATGGTGCTTCGAATATCGCCTCGAATTCCAGGCATTCATCTCGTTGGCATCCCTTTTTTTTCCCCGACCTCTTTCTCTCTGTCTCTTCGTCGGAAAACATTCATCGGAGACCTCCGACCATGTGGGGCGATAGGTGAATTCCGAAAAGCACTCCGAAAGGCTTCACCTCGGCATTCGATGCGGAGTCCACTTGACATGAGGATGTGGAGGGGGGTTTCTTATCGCCATATTTAAGGTGCCCCTCTCTGCACTCGAATCTCCCATCTGCCAATCTTCACCCCCCTCTCTCTTTCTCTCACTCTTCCTTCAATCATTCCAATTCATCATGCAGCAAGTTCCCATCGACGAAATCGACCAGGTGTTTGCGCACACCACCAATTTGGCCTCGTGCAACCTCAACAGCAAGGTGTTGGCTTGCTCCAATGACTATTTCGCTTCCGCCTCCAATCTCTTAACCCCAACACCCGCAATCTCACGTCCTGGGGTATTTGTCCACACCGGTGCCTGGTATGATGGATGGGAGACGCGACGCCACAACCCCGAACCCTATGACTGGGTGGTGATCAAGCTAGGCGTCTCTGCAGCCGCCATTCAGGGTATCGAGGTCGACACGGCCCATTTTAAGGGCAACTACGGAGAGAAGGCGGAGCTGCAGGCGACATACGCACCTGAGGGCAGCGGCATCACAGACGATCAAATCGCCAGCCCTAGCTATGGTGGCTGGACAACACTGCTGCCAGCGTCGCCATGCGGGCCCTCGCAGCGCCATGGGTGGAAGCTTCCAAGTGTTGCGGCCCCGTACACCCACGTGCGCCTGCTGATGTATCCCGACGGCGGTTTTGCCCGCTTACGCCTGTACGGTCATGCTATCCCGCCATCCGCCCCGGCCGTCGCGGCCAACCAGGCGCCCATTGAAGAGCTCTCATCCGCGCTCCTGGGCGGTCTATCCCTTGCCGCCTCCGATCAACACTTCACCCCAGCCTCGAACATCCTCCTGCCCGGCCGCGGCAAGGACATGGGAGACGGATGGGAGACGGCTCGCTCGCGCGGCGCCGGTCACGTAGACTGGACTGTTGTCAAGCTGGGCTTGCCGGGGTCCGTGGCCCAGGTCATCGTTGACACCAAAGACTTCCGCGGCAACTTCCCGCGTGCCGTGCGAGTCCACGGCTTGGTTGCTGGGTCCGCGGGCGCTGGTGTCCCCCCGGCTGACCACCCGGGCTGGGTCGAGATCGTCAAAGGCGATCAGCGTTGCCAGGCAGACACCGAGCACGTCTTTGGGCCAGCGGATTTGGCTGCCGGGGGTGAGGACACCCGAGTGTTCACACACGTGAAGCTCACCCTGGTGCCGGATGGCGGTGTCAAGCGCTTCCGGATCCTTGGCCGGAGAGCATAAACGTAGTAGGTAGAAGAAACCTGTACATAGCCCAATCTATCTACTACTGCTGTGATATTTCTGATTTGATTTACGGTTTCAGGCATGCTCCCTAGAGTCCGTGAAGGGCAACAAGCTACTCAAAGCCTGGTTATAAGTCTTGTAAATCATGAATCTCATTTGTATTCAGAAAAGTCAGGATCAAGACGAAGCCCCGGTAAATTTCCAATATTTGCCAAACATAACAATGAATGAAGTCAAACCACTGTACAGATATCAAGAGTCAAGAGCATCATTATCGCATTCGTCACCATCGTGGACCATCGAGTCCAACTGCCCGAGTTTCCAATGTGTGAGGTACGAGAGAAAAAGAAAACAAATTACAGAAAGCCAAACATGACAACCCAAAAGACGCCGCATCCCTTCTATCGTGGCGCCAACATGTGCAGGGTATAATTCAGGACATGAAATCATCTCTTCTCGCCTGTCGGGGTCTCCGAGCGTCGGATCTCCGAGCCTGATGACGATAAACTGGTAGGGGTACCGGCGTCAGGGCCCAAACTACCCCTCGAACCCTTTTCGCGAATTGCGAGGCGAGTCCGGGGATGCGATGGCACGGGGGCGAGGTACGTGTCCAGCAGTTCGCTCAAGATAGGCGAGCGTACTGGTTTGGGAAGGTAGTTATTCATGCCGGCCTCGAGGCATTTCTCGCGGTCGCCTTCAATGGCACTCGCGGTCATGGCAATGACAAGTACCTCGTTCACATTCGGATCGGGATCCCGTCGGAGTTCGCGGGTCGCGTTGTATCCATCGAGGGTGGGCATCATGACATCCATCAGCACGACATGGAACGGGTTGCCTTCTTTCGATTTCGCGCGCAGAGCATCCACGGCTTGCTTCCCATCGCTATATGCTTCACACTGGAGACCGAGGCCAGTCACGAATTTGACCGCGATCTTTTGATTGATCGGGTTGTCTTCCGCAATGCACACTCGGATCTGGTCGCGTGGGATTTGGGTGAGGTCTCGTGCCGTGGGCCGAGGAGCCTCTTTGCTCTCTGCTTGGCTCAGATCTTGCGACCATGGGGTCTTGACGGCCGTCTTCTTGGGCGCTTTGTTAAAGACCAAGTGAAACGTGACTGTGGTCCCCACCCCTGAGGCCGAGTCCAGCCAAATGGCACCGCCAAGCACATCTTCAATGATGGCCTTGCAAATGCTTAATCCAAGTCCACTTCCACCGTAAGACCGTTCTGTGGACGGATCGGCTTGGGAAAAGGGGCGGAAGAGACGCGCTTTCTGCTCTTCTGGAATCCCGATCCCAGTGTCGGCTACGGAGCATTCCAGGCGAACCCGTCCTTTGCCTTCGCGCCCCACCCTCGCCTTGACTGTGATGGAGCCATTGGGCGTGAACTTGTAGCTATTGCTGAGAAGATTCATGAATATCTGGTGCAAACGGACTGGGTCCCCGAGGACAACAAGCTCCGACGGGACGCGCTCCAAGTCTTCAATGGTATCCAGGCCGCGGTCACGATGCGTGTAGCGAAGTGCGCGAATCACTTCGGAGATCGTCTCCTTCAAGTTGAGCGGGACAGTGGAGATCTTCATCTTCCCAGCTTCTAGCTTTGAGAAATCCAGGATGTCGTTGATGAGAGTGAGCAGGGTGTCTGCGCATACGCGAATGGATTCAACATATTCGTCCTGCTCTCTGTCCAACTGCGTGCCTTTCAGGAGTTCAGAAAGGCCAATTACGCCGTTCATCGGAGTTCGTAGGTCGTGGGAAATGTTGGCGAGGAAGATTGACTTGGCCCTTGCTGCATCTTCTTTGAGTTTGACATTATGCTTGGCTTCTGCCTCGGCAACCTTCGCTTTCTGCTCTGCCTCACGCGCCTGTGCGAGTGCACGACGTTGAGATTCGATCATTGAAGCATTCTTCGCACTGACCTTGCGGATTTCACGGAAGAGCAGTGCGTTGGACAGCGAAATACCAATCTGGTTGCAAAGTAGGTGCAGCACGACCACATTGCGTTGTGTGAACCAATTGGGCTTCCCTTCCAGGTGGATAACTCCAAGGAGATGGTCTGCCTGTACCACTGGAAGTGCGATTACAGACCGGCCCAGCGGGAAGTTGGCCTGATAGGCCTCGCTCGCGTTGGAAAAACGCTCATCTTCAAGCACGTTGTGGACGAGAACTTCCTCCTTGGTACGCATGACATAGTGCGTGATATGCTGGGCCATCCGACCCTCCATCTCTGTGAATGGTAGTCCATCGGTGTACGACTTTTGACCCTTTTCGGCATCACCCGCCGCGGCAACGGCAAAACCCTGCTCGTCAAAGTCCGTAGCAATAACGGCAAAGTCTGAGCCATTGCAGGATTCCAGAATAATCTCAAGCATTTTCGTGAAAAGCTTGTCAATTTGGAGCTCGGACGACATAACTTGGCTGGATTCGAGTATGCTCGACAAGTCGATGATATCTGCCCTAGTATTAGCACAATTCTTTAAGAAAGCCGGGGTTAAAAAGTTCTTACCTAGCCCGACCCCGGATATGTCCATCGAACGCTCCCCGGCGGTGACAGCGTTCTGCTGAATCCAGTGTTGTCGCCTCTCATTCTCCTCGATCTGTTGAGGAATGACAATCTCTTCTTGCGCGGTTTCGCGACTAATCTCCAATAGTGAATCAACAGTCTGGCAGCCGACATCAACTGTTTTGGCTGACGTTGCTGTCTTGAGCAACCATTCATGTTTCTCTGCAATTTGCACTGCTTTGCCACTGGCGCCAATAGAATGCCACGCGGCAATGGCGTCCTCCATGACCGCACGAGCAGCCCTCTTTGCCCCACGTCTAACCAAAAACTCGCCCTGCATCTCAAGCGCCAGTGCTTCTTCAAGGAACCATCCATGGATCTGACAATGATCAGTTGCAGCCTCGAATGCCTGAATTGCGGCACTGTAATCATTTCGGACCTCGTAGATAAGAGCCTCCAGCAGTAAAGACCACATGCCATAATTTGCGTCGGAGGCGCTGCGAGCAAAGTCTATTTCCGCTTTGTACTGGAGTATTATTTCCAAATTGCCGTCAAGATAGCCCTGGGCAGGATAGTCATTGTGAAGCGTAAGGAGCGAGACTGCCAGATAGAAGTAGATCGCGTAGGAGACGCGAACGGACCAGAGTCTGTATGTCGTCTCCAGCAATTGAGTGCCAACCTGGATCGCTTTGGTATGGTGGCCGTACAAGAAAAGAGGGATCATGGCGAGTCCCCAATAGATGTCTCGAGGTCGATCGGCATTACTGGAATTGGCATCCAAGAATTCCATGTATTCTTCTGTCTTGTGATCCTCGTCCGACATGACGCCTTCGGGCAATCGGAAATCTGTCTTGCCTTGGAGGGCCCTTGCAACTTGTCTGGACATGCTCGTTAGTACAAATAAAGCAAAGCCTCGGGGCAGGTAATGGCCTATAAATCTTGAGATGCAGATACATACCGGACTGCGATTAAACTTGCACCACCGCGCGTATCTCTCGTCCAGAACGGGATGTCTTCAGGGGCCTCGCTGCAAAATAATTCCAACTGGCTCATATCTTGTCCTAAGTAAAGTCGAGTCATGGCCATTGAAGAGATGCTGATCAGGGTGATATAGGGGTCACCCATTGAAAAAGAAGCCTCCAGCGAGGCCTCCAGCGCGGGCAAGGTCGACGCCATAGGAACACGCAAGTGGCTGATGTAGAAATTATGGACAATAGAGCCCCTACTTTGGGTCCATAGTTCAGGGCAGTGTTCCAAGAGCGACAGAGACAAGTCGCTCAGCTTGGTACCAAACTGAAGGTCTTTGAAGCGGCCCAAGGCGATCATCGCAAGGTGAGAACAACCTATCGCGATTTGTGTGAATCCTCCTCTAAAGATGTGAATGTTCATCATCTCGATAGCCATCCGATAGAAGGTCAATGCATCATCCCAGTATGTGACAGCCATTGCCTCCGCCATTACCGCTCCGATTGTAACGATGTTTGGGTATTTGCAGATGGGCTTCTGAGCGATAGACCCCAAATCGGCTGCTTCGAGGTATGACTTGAGCTTGAGGTAGGCCGCATCGCATTCCTCAAAGGTGGTTGGCTGACGAAGATGAACCCCAAGTTCATCCAGGCAGGTCAATAACGATTCCATCGAGCGATGGTGGTCGCCGATCTGAGCAAATATCTTTGCTTTGACGATCCAGGCTCTTGACTTGCTGACTGCGTCTTTGCTGTGTGCAAAGACCTCATCAATCCATTTCAGTGCATGTTCACTCTGTCCCTGAGACCAGGACATTTCGGCTGTCGCAATAAATAGCCGCATGGTTTCATCGTAATAGACATCGGATTGCCGGTCATCCCACGGGTTTTCCTGAAGCAGAGCGATGCAATGGCGGAAGTACCAGAGGGCAGTTGGGCGGGCGCCGGACTGGGCAGCTGTCTGGCCAGCATCCCACAAAATCTGTCGGTATTCTAGCCTTTTGCTAACGCGGGACTTGATAGTGGTTGATGCCAGTGCCACATGCTGAGCCATTGAGTAGCGACTGCGGTGGTCGTGGTAATACTTCATCAATACCTGCGAGATAATGAAATGCATCTTTTCCACATCCCGGCCCTCGCTCAAGGAAAGAGAGGCTTGTGCCAGTCGATCATTTCCAAACCTATAGTAAACATTAGCCTGAGGACATATATTATAGAAATATCGGTTATCTTGGGGACGGACTTGAACTCATCGTCGGTCTTGCCAGGGTTCAAAAGATTGGCCTGAACCAGGTACTGCAAGCCAACAACAATATCGCCTTCCGATTGCCGCCTCAATGTAATATCAGATGGCGTGGATTTCAAGTCCTCGTCGCGGAGCGCATAAAGGAATTCACTTGTCAAAAGCTTCTGCACCAACGAGAAGGAAAACGGGCTCCCCAGTAGTGCGCCCCAGACCATGATCACCCTAGCGGCGGGAGGGATTTCCTGCAGACGTCTGGTGAGAAAACCAAGTCCAAGGCCTTCACCATAGACAGGAGCCACAAATTCGGTAAAGATCCGGTCGAGGTCAAACATCCACTTCGAGTCCTTCCATGAATACCAGATGCAATTTTTCCCGGTAGCAGGTTTCAAGCATCACGCGCACATAGAAAGGATTTCCGTGACTTTTCTCCTGAATCACAGCCGAGAGGGGGGTGAGCGTTGGATTGGGTTCTTGATGCATCGACGTCGCCACAAACTCCATAATATCATCCTCCCCTAGGGGCTCTAGCGTAATACGCGTGATCATGAAGTTATCTGCCTCGAACAGTGACCTCACATTGTCAGAGGCGATCTCGTCTTTGCGGCTTGTGAGTACCAGCGCGCAGGGCAACCTGGCTCGAATGATTTCCAGAACCAAGTCTAAAGTTTCATCGTCGGCATATTCGAGATCGTCGAGGCAGACGGTGATCAGTCTGAACTGGCAAAGGGTTCTCAGTATCTCGATGAATGTCTCCATCAGTCGCATGTTCTTCGAGGCGGCATTCGACAAAAAGAACTCCACTGAAGTTTGACCCTGATCCAACCAAGGGAGATTGAGCCGCTTGGCGGGATCGCTGCTAGCAGGGGTCTGTTTGAAGAGATGCTGGGCAACGGAGCTCTTCGGGGAAGGAGGCTTGTATTTCGAGCCAGGAGACATCAATTGTTCCGGGAGCTCTAACACTTTGTGTAGAGTTGCCCACATGGGCCGCAAAGCCAGCCGCACACTATCATGATATTCGGTCGTCACATCCCTCTCGGAGAAAATCTGGCGCAAAAGACTGGCGAGAATTTTAGCAAAAGGTTCGAATGGGACCCGTTTGGCTTTGTCCAGGCGCGTGATGGCTATGTATCCGATTTTGCGGATGCTTGGTTGCACCCGATTGAGAAGATCTGTCTTCCCAATCCCGGCTGCTCCACTGATTGTGATTACTTCGGTGCGCCCGGCGCGGTGGGACTTGAATGTCGCCTTCGCTTTTCCCACCGGGTTCGATGACTCTGAGTGGCTGTACAAATTGGCCCCCGCCGAGGGATGGCTCTCTCGATCCGTGTTGTAAGACGAACGAGAATGCGATGGGCTTTTCATTTTGCTCGATGCCGTGACGGTGGGAGCAGAGCCAGCAATGTCTTGAGACGGCCCATGCTTTGGAGTGGAAAATGCCGTTTCGGTACTCTGAACAGAGTCCTGGGTGTTGGCATGCCCGAGGTGATAGCTGGTCGCATTGGAGCCGGACCTGGGAGGCAGATGGAAAGAGCCGGAATCACTGGAAGCAGAGGCAAGCTCGAGGCTGTCCACCCGACCATCGGAGATAGACGAGGTGGAGGCAAGAGCGTGAGCTGTACTGGGGCTCTGGGCCAACGCTTTGGCAAAGGCAGATGCCTGGCGTTTGTGGACTTTCTCGACCACACTGATAATCTGGTCATATTCCTTTTGCCGGCCGAACATTTGGGAGGGAAGCGTAAAGAACGAAGATATGTCCCGCTGCGCAATCTGGAAGTTATTGAGAGCGTCGCTATCACCGTCCCCAAGTAGTTGGGCAATCTGCGACAAGTCTCTTTTCACAGATGAGATGGTGTGATACCGGTCATGAACAACTTTTTGGGTCATTTTCTGGACCACCGCTGAAAGAGGATCCGGAATATCCATTCTTTTCGCGGAGACTGGAGTCAGTTTCCTGCCCAGGACGTTTTGGACGACTTCCACTGGATCACTCCCTTCAAAGGGCAGTTTTCCTACCAGCATAGACCAAAAGAAGAGGCCTAAAGCGTAGATATCTGTGCGACTATCCGGCTCCGTGGGCATTCTCCCGGTCTGCTCTGGGGCGATGAACTGCAGTTTGTACTTTGCCCCCAGCTCGCGCGACACAGATGACCATCCCTCGCTCAGAACGTTGTCAAATGACCGAGCACCGTTTCCAATATTGGCCAGTTTCACCGCGCCACTCTCGGCGCAGAAGTGAAAGGCATCCCCTCTTATTTCCCCGTGTACAGTTTTGAGTCCATAATGCAGGATCTCCAAGCAGTCGCAGGCTCCAATCGCAAAGTCAAAGAAGGCCGGCAGAGGAACTTGCTCACCGGGGGTCATGTTATTGCCCTCGCTCTTGGCTCCGGCTGCAAACGAGGCAGGGCCGAACGTGACCAAGTCTCGTAACTGGTCATGACCCGGCGACTCAAAGATCGCAACCAAGAGGGTCCCCGCATCCTCTGAATCTGGCAGCAGGCGGACCAAGTCAATAGGTCGAATGGTATGGTTGCAATCTGGATCTGACGACTGCACAATCGACCGCAACATATGAAATTCCCGCTCCAACCGTACAACATTGGTGGAAATGCGGGCGATGACTGGCATCCATATTTGTTCCTGATCGCCCCGAGAGAGCGACAGCTCGCTGCTCGTTTCACTCACGCTTGTCCTTCGAGTTAAATGCCGAGCGGGTCGAATGTCAGTGCGTGGCGAGTTGCGAGTTAGGCTTGACGGTCCGGAAGAGGTTGGGCCCGAGGAGGTTGCGAGAGGGGTGGAGAGGTCAGAATCGATCGCATGGCGAAACCCTGAGAGATGCCAGTGGTTGTAGGTCGAATGGAATGGCTCAACCGCCTGATCCCAGGTGTAGCCGGGCAACTGGCCTAGGCGTTCGAACAACCGAGCGGGTGGCAGCGGCAGATCTTCGCTGAAAAGATTGCTCTCCTCCATCTCAGCGGGTGAAATCATCCATACCACGCCTGGTCATCGACTGCTCTCCCCGGGCGTTATCGTGGATCAGATGAGTGGGGGGCGCGGACCAGATGGGATCGCGGGACATGGAGGGAGCGCAAGCGGGCAAGGGCGGAATGATCCTGCGCGACAGCACAGATCCACAGCGTGAAAGTCTCCGCGGGATATAATACAGGCAGATAGGCTGTCACGGGGACATGAAATAGAGAGGGGGCCCAGAGTTCTCCCAATAGTCACGGTCGTTCCCGGGTAGTTTTGGATCGACGAAATCCTTCACACTCCCGGGAACGCCAAGGTTGTCTCCTGGAGTGCCTGAGGCAGTAGGACTTAGTCATCCCTCACCGTCTCCCAGCTGCCGATGGACTGACCCAACCAGGGTATTGGCATGTTGCAATGAATATATTAGACATGGAATCAAACTGATATGCTAGTTGTTTTAGAGAGATATTCTAATCCAAATGGATCTCTGGTGACTGAGGTTTAATAAGAGGTAGTCCAATTGTAAACATTTCGGTGTGAGATATACTTCGGGGGGTTCAAGCTGTATCTGTAACAAAATAAACCAAGGGATTTCAATATCGACGGGGGAAGAAATGGCCATGACGACAGTCGTGGGTGTCAGCAATATCAGCGATAGTACCTAGGTAACGTATATAATCTTGGAATGATTGCTGACACAACAATAAGCTCGTGGTCAGCAAAAATAAACATAAATAAGAATAAATATTGGGTAAATCTCCCTGGTATTAATTTAAATGAATTGATTTTTCATCAGAAAAAGGGAAGGGATCCATCCGCCTCTTTTTTTCCATGCACCGTCATATCAGCTGAGCCTACCAAGTTTCTCATGGAGGCCCCCATCGAGCTGATCATACGCCACTGAGCCCCATAGATCTCCATTTTGTCCACGAATCCGCTTTTTCTAGAGGGGTTGGACTTGGCCGATTTTGGATTTTGAAAAAATGTATCTATGGAAGACAGAAATATCTTTGTAAATAATGAGAGAAAGAGATCAATCATAGATCCATAGACATGCACAAGAACAATCCCTATAGAGGATCTAGGCCAACCAGGTGATGACAAGTTAAGCCTTGGATATATAAACCCTAAAGAGAGGAAGAGAAAACGTCTTTTTTTTCTTTAATATTTTTTTTATCGTGTTTTCTGTTTCTCTTGTGATTATTTGAGTTCAAATATGAGCTCTAATAGCATTATATCGTACCTTCTTTATTCTTCAATGTTCTACCTAGGTAGTATTATCATTATATTTTGGTTCATAATAATTACAATTATCACTTCGAGGTCTTTTGCACTGTGCCCGGGGCTACGTCATAACCCCCGGAGACGGCCCATCGCCCAGAATCCACTTTTTCCCTTCGTTCATCCACTCCCAGCGCGATCCAAGCAGACGGTGGGCGGGTACTGACGCCAGTTCCAGCTTCGAGGGCTTGTTCCCTTAATCCCGAATCTCCTCTCCCCCCCCAAAAACTACACACGCTCATACACCAGTTGAACCCCCCCCCCCCCCCCAGTTCTGTCTTCCGTCTCTATACACCGCCTGAAACCTTGTTCCTCTCTATTTCTCCCTACCCTACCCTCTCTCGGTGGGATTCAAATTCAACACTCGTACGACTACACGGTCTTCTTCCTATAATCCCTTATCCTGGGTCATTCCATCCTTTCACTTCCACGTTACTTGTCCGTGACAGTGACCTCGAGATATGATTGCTTCCCTCTGGTTCCTGCGCACTTAATTTGGCTTAGGAGGATTTGATTGCCTTGTCCCATCTTGGATAGGAGTGAAAAGATGGGGGACGCGCATCGCAGGAGGAGTCCTCCATTTCCTTCACCAACCGAGACCGTGTCGCCTGTTGCAGTGCCCCAGCCTTACCACCTTCACCCACGATCGCCGTCCAGTTACCGCACCCCCCGCGACCACGATCAGGATGGAAGTAAATTCATGGATGAAATCACACAGGCGGTGGATGGTCTCTCAAAACAGGGTGGAATGCCTCCATTATCGCGCGGGGACTCGGCAGAGCAGGTGGTTGGTCTGACCCCGGTCACCGAGGATTCTCGCTTTCGAAGCCAGACACACGATGATCAAGGGCGGAGTTCACAAACCCTCAAAGAATTACGAAGGCAGATGGAGGAGTTGCTCGTGTACCAACAGATGCAGCAACACCAATCGTCCCACACTGCTCATCTTGCGAGCCAGTCAACCGAAACCCCACGAAAAAGACGGTTATCGAACACATCCCTTCCTGACGTTCCACCTGCAACGGCACCGCTCGCGTCAGGTTTGATGGGATCGGGGGGAACCATCAAAGGGGATGCTGTATCTCCTGGTCACACATCGAGTCAGACCCCGTCCTATCCCTTCCCGAAGATGCGAAACCAGATCACTAGTGCTACTCGGGCGGGACCCGAGCAACCGGCTCGCCAGGAACAGTTTCGGTTGAAACTGCCGTCTGAGAAGCTCAAAGCCTCCCAACCCTCGACCCAGCCTGTTGAGTTCTCCGCCCACAAGGGTTCCGATTCGAACCCGGCCTTTTTACCTTCTCAGCAGAAGAGCGTCATCGAAGATCCCACATTTATTAGTCCAAATCTTTACGACCTGACACTGAAGTTGAATGCGGACCCGGGTCTCGAAGCATGGTGGTCCAACCTGGTTGATATCCTGCAAGCGCACTATGGCGCAGAGCGTGTGTCGCTGGCCGTTCCGGGAGATGTAACTGATTTAGAGAATGTGCCATGGGGTCAGAAGGCTGTGTTTAACCGGGATGGGAGCGCCTCGCTGGAGACCACCCGTGCCAACCTTGGCCATGCTTTTCCCGTGGAGGACTCCGGCAGCCACAAAAACGGTGAAGTGACCCAAAGGACGCACGACCCACCGACTTTCCATGCCAAAACCCCTGGCTCAGTCTCTTCGCCCAGTCGGCCGTCTCTAATATCACGTCACTCGTTCGCAGGCTTCGGCAAGGAGAAAAAGCACGTCCATATTGTTGGCGAGTCTGCGCCAAACGAAGCGACCGTGTCAGGGAGTAGCCAACGACAATCAGCAGTTCGACCTGAGGACAACGACCTCGTCAACACGCCTCAAATCAGTGTGCGGCAAGCGGTTTTCCCGATAACGCGTCCGTTAGAGGTGGAGCCCGATCCGCTAATCAAGCGAACGGGCGTGGTCAGGCTATTTACACGCACTCGCCCGGTCATTTTAACCCGGGACTATTCAGCTGATCTGAAAACGTTGCAGCAATGGCGAGACCCTGCCAAAAGCCCACCGGAGTCGATTCAGGTCACTCCCAATGCTGATGGTCCTGAGGGACCTGCCAAGTCTGCGACAGGGGCTCCTAGGCAAGCAACACATTTTTCGAGTTTGAGCGCGTGTGGATTGCACGTATTCGATGAGTACGAGCAAATGCCGCAGTCCCCATGGTCTCAATCCCCGGCTCCGTCGCCAGCCCCTCGCACTCATGCCGACCAGAACCCTTTCTTCACAAACCACACAGTTGACGAAGGGGCCTTCTCGAAGAACCCCCCGGCGCATGACTACTCCAATACCCACCCATTGGAGGCCATTGGGATCGACCAGTCCAAAACGGTGGTTCATATTCCGCTTTTACATGGTGGACACTCGAACCAGACTTCTCCATCCACACTGAGATTTCCTGTTGCTATTGTCTCCCTGTTGTCGACAATCGTGCCCTACCCTTCTAATCTAAGACAGTCACTGGCACACCTCATGCCACACCTGACGACATCCTTTTGTTTGGCCCAACATTACAGCCAACTCGAGCGACAGGTGACAAGCAAGGTGGAAACTCCTCGCTATGGCCAATTACTCGGTCTGGGTGGAACTTTTTCAGATGCGAGCAGCGAGCTCGAGCTCGTCGCAGGACTCAGTGGACATGTCAGCTACTCTGTCGGCGATGAACACTCGATGTCTGCACATGCTAGTGCCGCAAGCCCCAGTGCTCCCTCATCTACCAAATGTAGTCCTGCTATCTCCGGCGTCGGGACACCCGGTTTTGACCTCGGGCATGTTGGGTTGAGCTCGGCACATCAGTCACCGGGCTGGACGTCCCGAGCTCCAGGTGATGCTGCGGACAGCTACTTTAACGTGAAGCAGTCCAAGGGGGTGCGTGAAAATGTCTCGCAATATCGCCAGCGGATTTCCAAGGCGAAGGTGAACCCGGCGGTGTCATCAACACCAACGTCTCCGGGCAGGGTGGTTGGAAAACCGGCTTCTTCCGAAGAGAGCAATCTACAGGACCCAACCCTGGTGGTCGCATCTCCATTGCATGAGGCAAGATTGCCAGCCGTTCTGTCCCCCGCTCAGCAATCGTCTCGCCAGGCATCGACCAACTCCTTATACGCCCAGCTCCAACGGGAGCTACCACGTCCCTTCTCCGATACCATTGCACAACTGATGCTTAACTCGATCCCTTTGCACCTTTTCCTGGCAAAACCACAAAGTGGCGAAGTGATATGGACCAACGCCAAATTTGATGCGTACCGGAGAAGCCAGCCTCAGGAGCAGAAGCTGCGCGACCCCTGGCAGAACATCCACATGAGCGAGCGAGATCATGTCTCCAGTGAATGGGCCCATGCCCTGCGGACCGGCTCTCAATTCACGGAACGAGTGCGTGTCAAGAGATTCAACGACGAATCTGCGTATCGCTGGTTCATTTTTCGAGCGAACCCGTTGTTATCGTCGACTGGAGAAGTGCTATATTGGATTGGTTCTTTCCTTGATATTCACGAGCAGCACATTGCCGAATTGAAGGCAACCCAAGAGCGCGAGAAGTTCGCCACGGATGCCAAATATCGGGCGTTCTCGAATTCCATCCCGCAGGTTGTTTTCGAGGCGACCGAGAACCGCGGCTTGATATTTGTCAACGAGCAATGGAATCTGTACACGGGGCAGAATCTTGATGAGGCACTCAACCTTGGATTCGCAAAACATGTTCACCCAGATGACCTCGAAAAATGTGGCGGATTGGCATTCACAGCGAAGGCAAATCCCACCGGTGCCCAAATTACGGAATTTGTCAAGGCTTCCGTTGACAGTTCGCGAGAGCACCCGTCTCTCGAAAGACACGGTGTTGCATTTGCACTCGATGAACTCGTGAAGCGTGGTGTTGCTTCCCTGCAAAAGGACGAAAATGGACGTGTTTTCTATTCCACAGAGATTCGCCTGAGTTCACGCGGAGGTGATTTTCGGTGGCATTTGGTCCGCCTGGTCCGTGTTGAAACGAGCAGTTTTGGAAGCGAAGAAGCATCCTGGTACGGCACATGCACCGATATCAACGACCGAAAAAACCTGGAGAGGGAGCTCAACAAGGCAATGCAACAACTCAACACTCAGATGGAATCTAAAACAAAATTCTTCAGCAACATGTCCCACGAAATCAGGACACCACTCAACGGAATCTTGGGCACCATACCGTTCATTCTCGACACGCAGCTCGACAGCGACCAAAGGCGAATGCTCGATACCATTCAGAACAGTTCCACTAACCTCCGTGAACTGGTTGATAACATACTCGACGTCTCCCGGGTCGAGGCGGGTAAGATGTCGATGGTCAACTCCTGGTTCCATGTTCGGTCGATGATTGAAGATGTTATCGACACCGTTGCATCTCGAGCAATTGACAAGGGCCTGGAAATCAATTATCTGATGGCCGCGGATGTGCCGTCTATGATGATTGGCGACCGTTTCAGAATTCGCCAAGTCCTGATTAACCTCGTCGGAAACGCAGTCAAGTTCACGGCACAGGGTGAAATCTACATCTGTTGCAATCTGTCTCACGATGCCTCTGCTACAGTCAAAGAAACGGAGGTATTCCTGAACTTCGATGTCGTGGATACCGGTAAAGGGTTTAGCTCTCAGGATGCGGAGCGTCTCATGCAACGCTTCAGTCAGCTAGGAGAAAGCGCGTCGCAACAGCACGCTGGCAGTGGCCTGGGACTGTTCTTGTCTAAGCAGCTGGTGGAAATGCATGGTGGAAAGCTCACCCCCAGCAGTAAAGAAGGCCAAGGTGCCAAGTTTTCTTTCTACGTCAAGGTTGATGCCCCCCCTGCTCCATCGCCATCCGAAAGGCCCCAGCTACTTCGACAGGCCTCGTCCGCCTCTAGAAGGCCCCCCACGTCTCGGACGACGTCCTACCAGAAGACACCGGGTGTGCCGCCACGAGACATCGATTCTAAGCATCGGGGCGCCGGTCTGTTACCTGGCTCCGACTCTCCAGTCGCACACTCACCGGCTTATGGGGATCCCGTGTCACGTTCTGTGTCGAAAGGTCTTTACCCACCTTCTGCTTCATCTTCCGCTCTCCCGACTCCCGACATTGGGACTGTGGACTTGCCACCAGCGTTCGATCAACCAAGCGAGATTGGCCAATCCAATGCACGATTGCAGCCAAGCGGGCTTACGCCATCTGGTGCAGCTGTATCAGACCCGTCTGCCCGTCTCACTCCGCCAATGTCTCAGGCTACCGCATCGGCGAGCAAGGATCCAACAGGGCCCACAAGCGTCCCATCACAAGGTCCATTCTCGATTGTAATTCTTTGCCCACTTGACAATGCGCGAAAGGCTACCGAGCAACATATAACACAGGTCGTGCCCCATGAGATCCCTTTTAAGGTTACGACACTACCGGACGTCGATGAGTGGAAGGATATGATGCAACCCGGCTTGAACGCACCTTGCACACATCTCGTGCTCAACCTCCCAACGACAGATGATATTCTCGAGGTCATCCAACATGTGGCAGACTCTGACGTCACTCCTGCTCCTGTCGTTGTCATTATCTCGGACTTGTATCAGAAACGCCAAATCAGCACGCGGGTCAAAGAGTTGGCGGCCACCGGGAAACAAGTGTTCATTGTGCCGAAGCCCGTTAAGCCCTCTGCGTTTTCGACTATCTTTGATCCTGATAGCAAGCGCGAGCTCAGCAAGGATCGCAACCAAGACATGGCACGAGAAATCAACAACAACTTCAAGACAGTGTCCAAAATGGTCAAGGAGGTCCTGGGAAACAAAGGATATCGAATCCTCCTGGTGGAGGATGATGAGACCAATCGTGATGTATGATTCCTGATTGCATGGCTTGCTTTGATGCCCGTTCGCGCTAACTCGAAATCAGGTCATGTTGAAATATCTTGACAAGATCAAGTTGATGTCGGAGACCGCGTCGAATGGACAGGAATGTACGAACATGGTGTTTTCCAAGGAGCCAGGGTATTATTCTCTCATCATTGTAAGTTGTGTTGCTTCATCCCCACTTGGTCCTTTCCCGATTCGAGTGGCTCACCCAGCCATCAGTGCGATATCCAAATGCCCGTCAAAAATGGATACGATACTTGCCGAGACGTTCGTGCCTGGGAACAGAAAAACCATTATCCCCAGATTCCGATCATGGCTTTGTCGGCCAACGCGATGACGGATCAAATCGAAGATGCGGCTCGTGCAGGTTTCAACGACTATGTCACCAAGCCCATCAGGCATAACGAGCTAGGCAAGATGATGATGGGGCTCCTTGACCCTAGTAGCCGTCCTCTCCTGCTCCTTCGAGACCGCCTCAATGCTGAAAACGACAACCCCACTTCTACTCGCCGCTAGACAACGTGTCTAGTCTGCTGCTCTATTCTGCTTTCTTTCCTCTTCTCAACCCCTGCTTTCGAGGTTGTCTACTCTTTTCACGTGGGTCGATATTGTTCGCCACTGGTTCTCGCATTCGTTCATTCGCACGCGTCCCTTTTTCTTGAACATGAAATTGAGCGGATTCCCGGTTTTGCTATCGATTCTCTCTCAGTGGAACTTGGATGGAAATGCGAATGACCGCACATTTACCCTCCCCAGTGTACCACTCACCCCCCCCCCCCCCCCCCCTCTTGCCCATTCTATTTGCCCGTGCATCCTTTGCTTGTTCTCTGCACATTCAGCATTTGCATTGGTATTGAGCCGTTGACACAATTTTCCCAGCATTCACGGGTCAGAGGGTTCTTGCTACTTGTATCATTGACATCCTTCACCGAGTTTTGTTTTATATCCTTTTTTGTTTTCTTCTCTGAAGCCATCCCAGTCTCATGTGCATGGCGTCAGGGCTCGGATGGTTCCGTCTGGCGAGACTGGACTCGGTTTGTGATTCTTTTCTTTTCTTGATTGTGATACCAAATTACGAGCGGTAACGATACTCTTATATATTTCTCTTCTGAATCTGTATTTATTCTCCACTAATTCAACCTTGTCGCTTTGATCTTGTTGGCATTGGGGGTTGTTACCCTGGTCGCTATATACTCTTTGACCTAAATAGATTCACCCTGCAGGATCATGGCATACCACATCCACGCAGTTGGGATCTCGGTGACTATAGGAAAGTCATAGCACTATCGACGTGACTAAACCAAAGAAAGGTCGTCCCAAAAGGGGGTTTCATCGTGCATGTATGCCATGAGTGCTCAGAGATGACTCGAAATAATCGTTGGGAACAGAAACGGGCCGTCAGGCATCAAGGGCATCGAGCTATGCAAGGCGCAAATCATGTCAATCCTGGGCGAACACACTTCACCATGGACATCCTGCAACCTCACTTGGGGGGCCAATGCTCTACAAAACCGATCACTTCATTTGCAAGTCGTTGTCCCTACCAGGTACAAGGATGAAGGATCCGAGTGATATCCAAGAGATTCAATAGGTCTTCCCATAGGTCTTCCCATAGGTCTTCCCATGGGTATTTGGCACATCTCCAAGATCCTACCCGTGGAGCCGGAAAGGGTAAAAAGGGTATGAGTTGGTCGCGGCCATCATCCAGTCATGGCGCTGCATGTGGCGGTGAGAGAAGAGAAGAAAAAGAAAAAAAAAGAGAGAATCCCCGCCTCGACCCCACCTGGATCGGAAAGAAAAATAGAAAAGAAAACGGCCATGTAATCTCAGTGATCGTCTCCCTAAAAAAGAGGGCCAAAAAAAGAGTCAAAGAACTTGCGTGGGACGACGAACCGAGGTGTTTCCTTTCAACAGGCCAGTGCTAGAAGCATGAAGAGTTGGAGAAGTTGCAAACTGCCAAGAGTAGAAACATAGATATAGCCATTCCCATGGAATAGATGCCAATCATGGAGGGGCGGATCCCAATCGGTTGGTGCTGCCCGATGCTCCGAACAGATTGGGACTTTTCGCGTCAGGTCTCGGACAAATGGCTTGTGCCATACTTCTTGAATCGAAGGGGAAAGCTGGGGAATTATTTGAATCTCCCGAGCATATTGATGGTGCCCTTCTCAGATTGTGCAAGTCATCTGCAATTGAGGCCCACGTTGACGGCGCCTAGGGCGATTGTGCGAGGCCTCTCGGAGTTCTGGCTAACAGAGCTGGGATCAGCATTCAGAACCTGCGCCCCCTCTCTGTCTCTCTTGCCATTCGATCTGGCCCCATCGCACAGAAGGGTCGCACGGTTTCCCCCTTTCTCTTAGGCTCCTGGCACCTTGGGAGACGGGGACATCCCTGGGATTTGGCGTCGAGTCATGGCCGAGGGATGTCCAAACATCCATCATGCGTGTGACTTGATCGTTCTGTCCCGTTCTTTGATTTGAAGTCTTTGAGTTCCTGATGATGTCAGGCCGTGAGACGCGGCTTCTTTCCTCCCGAAATGCCTCGGAAGTAAACCCGGTGGATACACCCCCTTCATTCGTGATTTCATGGCTCATGAGCACTCATGTTCATGAAATCGTTCTGGTCACTAATGATCCTGTCAGTTGATCAATTCTTGGGAATAATAAGGGGTTGGTGATTGGGAGGGGTGTAATGCTAACTGTGAAGTTCCGGGCATGCTGCGAATTAACTCGATCGACGCAACTTCCACTTCCTACAACCACTGAATCTCGCTTGTAAAAAAAAAAGAGAGAGAGAGAGAGAGAAGGACTTTTCGTTATGGGAACCATGGGACTGGGGACTGGAAGAAAAGATATGAGTAAAACAGAGGGCAAAAGGAAGAAGAAAGCAGAGGGGACACCCATATTTATATCTCGCGCTTTCCGCTCCACCAGACCCTTCGGTTCTCACCATGCAACTCGGCTTTGGACTATTTCTCCAAAGATTCCCGTCTCCACCTGATCAGAAGGTCAGACCAGAATCCTGGGAGGAGTTTACGTAGACCAAGACGGGTCCAGAAAGCGCAAAGCCACGAAACAGGAAGCCCTAGTTGAGGATGGAACTCGACACAACCGGTCTTTTCCACTCGGAGCGGGGTCAGGGCGGCCCAGGAGGCGAATCGGCGGGCAGAAACGGCGACCGAGATGCAGATGGACCCCGGAGATAGACGAGGGGGTGGGAGTCAATGGCTCCGATGGTCCAATGGCTCTTTCGCCCTCCCACCCTTGCCATCCTCGCCTCCGCCGACGAAGAAACCCCGCCGGATGGAAGACTCTCCGGTGATACCTATAAAATCCCTCGTTGGGACTGAGAGAGTCTGGTTCCCTCCTTCTTCTCTTTTTATTTTTCTTCGTGGACTTTCGTTTGCATTGTTTCGCAAGTCCTCATCTTGACCCACCTGCTATATATATACATTAGCACTCTATCCTATTGGAAGGACATTGATCTCTTCTATAACATCATTCTTCTTTTGTCTCAAGACCACATCGTCCGCTTGTTGGCTTTTCCCTTGCACGTCCTCAACATGGCCACCCAACGTCACTACTATCAGCCTGCCGCTCACCCTATCAATGTGCCCTCGAAGACCCCGGCTCCAGCAAGTCTCTATCCCATCTCGCGGGTAGCGGGCTCCCCGCCGGATCTGTCAGACGCCAGCACCACCGCTGGCAGCCGCACCTCGGGCGGACTCACTTTCAGCTCCGCTGGTGCGAGTGGAGATTATGACCAGAGTTCGGCGTCGTACTCTGGCGTTGACGTCGTCGATGTTTTGAGCAACCGCATGCAAGATGCATTTGACCCAACACCGTTGGATAAGGGGCTGGCTCGACAGGCGCAAACGTGAGTCTCCCATGGCGATGGGCATCGTTGCCAATTCCAGGCCAACTTGGCGATCAGCGTCCATTGAGGGCGTATTCTCGACTGTCTCAGCTGCATTACATCAAGGGAGCAGACAGGGCATGATAGATCAAATTGGAGTATGCTGACAGTTTGTCCATCAGTTCTGGCCAGCTGAATGCGAAGCAGCAAGAACTGCTCGAACTGCAAGCTCTCGCACAGCGGCGCTTGAAGGGTGTCCGTGCCAACTTCGCTGAGGGCCTCAAGACAGCCAGAGAGACAAAACGCGATCTGGAATGGACGCAAAAGCGCGTCAGGTAAGCTCCCTTTATATGAACCCCCACCCTCCCATGGATGATGGACGTCGGAAGTTCCGCTCCGCTCCGCGTACCAGGGCTTCCGCTCCGCCGACGAGCTTGGCACGTGCACGGCGATCAGCGTGCCTGCGCCGCTAGCGCCGATCGAGGCAGTTTCCAGAAGGCTAACGAACGCTATAAAAATAGCACCCTCAAGACCAAGGCCGAGAAGGCCCACCCGGATGAATATCGTCGGGCCGCGAAGAAGTACACCTTTGACGACTACTGAGTGGACGATCTCTCTTTCTCTTGTAGCTTGTTTATGACTGAAATGACTTCGGATAAAATCGGGATGGATGAAACTGGGACCGGGTTGGCTCTTTTCTGGGTTGAGGTTGGCGTGTTTCTGCTGCGTCTTGCGTATATATAATCTCCCTGTGTCGTTAGTGGTTTGTATGTATCACGATTTCTGTGGAGGCCCACGGGTTGCTTGAATGGTGTTTGTTATACAAGTGTCTTTTTTTAGGCGAGAAATTGTCCCCGTCAACTCTGATACGCCCACGAACCCGGTGGGATAACAGGTACATATCAAGATAATCCTTGCCCATTTGAGTGTTCATTCAACATGGTACTGTCATGTTAATGGGCTGTGTTATGGTTAGGGCTGAATTGGTAGACTTAGGGTATCTGCACTTGGTGGAGACCGGGTGACATATCCATATCTATCAGATGGAGGCAGTTGTGGAGACTGGGGCCGATACAACAAAGCTGCAGTTGGAACAGAAGAATATCTAAACCAGATGGTATGGACTCAAAAATCGCCTCTATGTACATCCTCTACGTAAAGGTTTGTTCTTCCTCGATAGCTCGGTTGATCACCCGGACAAAACGGCCCACCTTGTCAATATCTTGTTTCGCCGTTTCGATACCCAACAAAACCTTCTTGATGCCAACACTGAGGCGGCCATCATCGGCCAAACCGCCCACATCTTCCAGAGCTTGCGCAATTTCCCGCGCATCGAAAGCGCCGGATTGATCCATGATATGCCGCAGCTCTCCGAAAGACTTGACGTTCGGGACCATGATGTCAGAGTTGAAAGAGTTGTAAACGTCCAGCTGTTTCATCAGGGCTCTCTCAGTGGTCGTAGCCAGGACCAGCAGACGCCGCCCGTGCGTGGGCTGTTTCTGGAGGAAAACCATGAGCGCCTGCAGCACACTGTTGCTGAAGCGAGGCCCAATAGGCACCCAGTCGATGATGCGCTCGATGTTATCGACCACCACAATACTTGTTCGACTCTTGTAGGCACTATCAAAGACTCGGCTGATGTGCTGGATTTTGGCCGGCTCGCTGAAGCCCACCATGTCTTCGGGGCTGATCAGCTTGATGAAAGGGAAGCCAGAATCAATAGCAATTCGTGCCGCCAGGGCCGTCTTGCCACTGCCCGTGGGGCCGTGCAGGAGCACGGAGAAGAGAGGTGTGGACTCGGCTTGTCCGACCTGCTTGATGAACAACTCTCCTTCGCGCAGGATGTCATTGATCGTGTCAGAGTAATGGATGACGCCGTACTGAATGCGACTGGAAAGCTCTTCCTCCGACACACCAAAGGCAGGCTTGACTTCATCAAGAGCCTGATGGAAATCAGATCGGTTGACCTTCATGTTCACCACGTCATCGTTGATACTGGCCATGGTGCCGACCTTGACATGCCGCGAGAATGCGAAGGACGAAGCAGACTTGACCAGACCAGCGATCTCGGCTCCCGAGAAATTCTTCGTCAGGTGCGCCATTTCAACCAAGTCGACATCGGTGTCCATGACGTTGTTGGTGCGCATCTTTTCGGTGTGAATTTTGAGAATCTGGCTTCTACCCTTCTCATCCGGCAGTGAAATCTCCATGTGCACCTCCAGACGCCCCGGACGCAATAATGCCTCGTCAATCATATCCAACCGGTTGGTCATACCAATCAGCAGGATGTTGTTGAGTTGGTCGACACCATCCAACTTTGACAACAGCTGGTTGACCACGCTATCTCCAACACCAGTACCACCGCTCGCTCCGCTGCCACGCTGCTTGCACACCGCATCCAACTCGTCGAAAATGATGATATGAAGTCCACTCTCGTCACCCTTTTCCTTGTACTCTTTCTCGGCATCCGCGAACATCTTTCGAATGTTCTCTTCAGACTGACCCACATACTTGTTCAAAACCTCCGGGCCGTTGATGATCTTGGGTTCCCTGGCATTGAGCATCTTCCCTATTTGCCGCGCAATGAGGGTTTTACCAGTTCCAGGGGGGCCGTAGAGCAAGAGACCCTTCACGTGCTGAATTCCCAGTTTTTCCACCAGACCTGGTGGGAAAATTCGGGATGCAAAGGCACGACGGAAGATGGTACTGAACTCGGAGTCCAGGCCACCAATGCCCATGTCCTCGAACTTGAAGCCGGGCTGGATGATGGAGTTGGTTGCCGGACGACGGTTGGATGGTTTGACATTTATACCGGTTTGACTGTCCTTGTAGAAGTTCAACTGGGTGTGCTGTGTGAGGATGCCCCTCGCGATGGGGTCGGTTTCGACATGTCCAGCGGTGAGGTCGACTTTCTCCGCGGTCAGGTCCACCCGCTGGACCGTCTTGACGACCAGCAAAAGCGGAATGCTCTTATAATCCATCAGGATCCGTTGTCCAGGCGAGAACAATTGATTGTCAAAGTTCTGACAATGTTAGCGATGCTGATCATAACATGACAGTAGTAGTAGTGGAGACATACTCGGAACACGGCATGTGCCAATTCATCTTGATCATACGGGGTTTCCACGCGCTTCTTCGTAGAAGCAAAGCTAACTTCGATATCCGCCGAGCCGAGATAAGCCTGTCCGCCCTGGCTGAACGGATCATACAGCTGTACTTTGACCGCGTCTCTTAAGCCAATATTGGCCCATGTCCGCTGAGGATCTGACATGCTGATATATCCTGGCGGGAATCCTTCGAGTGGGTGGGCAGAGAAGACGAAGAGATCATTAATAAGGAGCAGGACGTCGGTGCCGTCCCGCGTGGGTGGGATATCCTGTGGTGACACCGCCACGCTGTTTGAGTTAGCATGACCAGTACGAATGCATCCAGGAAGGAGGCAAAACGGAACTTACAGATTGCCAAAGGTATAGTTGTCGTTCGGGCTCTTGCTTGGATGAAGGGTCCATATCGGGCCTCCACCTGGCCTCCCTCCGGCCGGCACTCTGGCTGCCATTTGTTGAGGGGATTTCCCCGGCGGCAGAGGAGGACCTCCATATCCCCTTAAAGCAGTAGATGCGTCAGCCATTGGTACATCGCCGTCGTAGGCGGGGGCGGCGTATCCTCCACTGGCTATGGGGCTGTGGCCGGGAGCATACCGTGGCGGTCCTTGGTTGGGATGAGGGTAGCCTTGTGGAGTCGGGCGGCCACCGTCTTGCCTCGAACCAAACGGACCGGGCATAGAGGGAAGATTGCTTCGGTTGAACATGGTGAATTGAGTAAGTGTCTGGGAGGTGAAGTGGTGGGAGAGTGAGATCACACAGCCACTGTGTCTTGAAACGAGCAGGCAGCGAAAATAAAACTGCCTAGGAGTTCAGTGGGTCCTCGCTCAATCAGTGATTCGAAGCGGTTGCGGTGAATGTAAACAGCGAAATAAAGAGAACACGAGCAACGTGGGAAAGACGAGGTTGAAGCTGGGAAGTTCGTCCGGGGGGAGTTTGGCCACCCCAACCAGGCGGTGGGGGCTTTTATCGATAACAACCACCGCTTTTGCCACAACCGCTGTCATCGCCAACATGCCTCTGTATGTATCATCTCTCGGCTGACATACTGGTTGCTAATTTCGTGGCAGTCATCTCCTGGGCAAAAAATCATGGAACGTCTACAACCCCGAAAACATCGCCCGCGTCCAGCGCGACGAGGCACAGGCCAAAGCCCGCGAGGAGGAGGATGAACGTCGCATGCAAGAGATTGATGCCGAACGCAGGATTCAGATTCTCCGCGGAGAACGCCCGCCGATTCCTCCACCGCCACCGCTTCCTCAGTCAACCGAGACGGCTCTGCGACGGGAACGAACTAATGCAGACGGTATTGGGGCTATTCGAAAAAGACGGCGTCTGGCCGGGGAGGATGATACCGATCGTGATATTCGGATCGCGCAGGAGGATGCGGCACAGACTTATTTTAGTCGCGAGAAGTCCGCTCTAACGACTCGCCGGGGCAGCGGCGAGATGCAAGCACCTCTTATGGACAGCGCCGGCCACATCAACTTGTTTCCAGCCACCAGCGCCAATCGCAAGGTGGAGAAGAATGTGGAGGCTGAAGCAGAAACAGCAAGACAGGAGCGCAGCTACGAGGATCAATATACAATGCGGTTTTCAAATGCTGCAGGATTCAAGCAAAGCGCGGGCCGGAACCCATGGTATTCATCCGCAGCCCAGGATGCTAGTGCCTCGGATTCTATGCCCCAGAAAGATGTGTGGGGTAATGAGGATCCAATGCGAAAGGAAAGGGAAAGGACTCGTCTTGATATGAACGATCCTCTCGCGGCCATGAAGCGTGGGGTTCGGCAGTTGAAAGCCACTGAGCAGCAGCGGAAACAGTGGAATGAAGAGAAGCAAAAGGAGCTCGAAGTACTGGCTACAGAGGAGAGGCACTCGAGATCGAGCTATCGACGCAGACGGTCGCCACCGGTGGGCAGGTTGGAGGATTTTCAGCTTGATGCTTTGCCCAATAAACATCGCGAGGGTCACGATCGAAGGAGCTCCCGACATCATCGACACCGGGATCGAAGTCGAAGCCGCGATCGTTCAATTCGACGGACCTCTCACAAAACCTCGCATCGCCATCGTCATCACAGGGAATCTCACAGTGACACTCGGCGATCATCTAAGTCTTGAAGCTAACCCTGAAACAATAAAACAATAAAAAAAAAACATATCGATGGCTGTTGCAGGCGGAATAAAGGGATAGCTTCTCCTTCAATACCCCCTGTCGTCCAATACCATATAGCCAAGTCATATGTGATTTTGCTCTGGGTATAATATTGTCTGCCAAAGTATCTATAGAGCAGGTCTTCCAGTTCCGAAACAACTGGAAACACCGAGTTAGATGAATAAGAAGACTAGGAAAGAGGCGAAGAAAGACATTGCAATTCTCCATAAGATCCTCATTGAAGACCCCAGCGTTGGTTGCCTTTCTCCTGGGAACTTCCTTCCCACTCAATACTGATGTTCAACAACCGCGAGCCCTTTTCCTTCTTCTGGTAGCCCACCTTGCCTGTGATAGACTGTCCCTTCTTCAGAGGTTGCGGAGACTTTTTGCCATGGTCGATGAGCAGAACACCCTGCTGCCAATGCGTTTCGGGTCCATCAGGCCCAGTTGTGAAAGCCACAATACCCCTCTTCTGCATCTCCGAAGGAACAGCATTGTCGGGCACCACAGAGTCTCTCGAAGGCATGAAAAAAATGTCAAACCAGATTGCCCATCCATCGAGGGCATCAATATCCTCTTTCAGAGTGACCTGGAAGTCCTTCAGAAAGGTCAATTCATCGACGGTGATGGTGTGCAGTGGGAGTGACAGGAACACGGCTGACTCTGCTGCAATCGTGGTGGGTTGGATACTGCGAACAAGAGCGTCGTCGTAGATGTTGAGAAACATGCTGGTCATCTTGAAGCCATAGACCTCGTTCCAGAAGGAAATGTGGGATGCAATGAAGTCGGGATCCGTGAAAGGTGCGATCCGGAGCGTCGCGTGCGACGGAACCATGAGGCCATCGGGGGCCAGGTAGCGATCTCGGGCGTAGATCACCGAATCAAACATGGCTTCAAATAGCAGCGCATAGCCCATCCACTCGGAAATAATGATGTCGACCTGCTCTACCGGAAGAGCCACCTCTTCAATCTTGCCGCGGATACATCTGATCCCCAGAGGTTAGTATGATTGGGGCCATATGCAATGACTTCAATGGAAAGCAGGATCCTTACGTGATCACATCGCCCAGGCCATTATCATATACGATTTCCTTGGCCCGATCAATGATGTTGGAGTTGTCCACGGCGATCACCTTCTTTGCGCCGGCCTTCGCGCAGAACATGGACAGAATCCCGGTTCCACAGCCCACATCGAGGACCACCTTGTCCTTGAAGATATGCTTGTTGTCATACACAAAATCCCGGTAAGAATCAGTGCGGATGCTATCCTTCAGCATCGACTCATGGATCGCTTCACAAACACATTAGCACAAAATCCAGGGTGAAGTATGCAAGGCTTGGGACCTACCGTTATAAGCATACGAAGAGAAATAATCGGCATCGGCTTCTTGGATTCGATCGGTCGGCTTCCTCGCAGTACCATGGGCAGATGAGGTGGACCCGAGTTTCTCGTCTTCCTGAGACAACTGGTCCTCCATAGATTTCTGCACGGCGAGCCTGTACTCAGAAAATTGATTCTGGAGTCGTTCCAAGTCCTCCTGGAGTTCAAGGACGCGTCGCTCTGCCTCACTCCCAGGAACTGAGTCGTCTCCATGGTCCTCGAGTATGTCGTCCAAACTATACAGCAAGGCGTCATCCTCGAGAGTGGGCTTGAGGTAGGCATCGTCGGCGAACTTTGCTTTCGTCGAAACATCGGGGGTCTTGTTCCCCGCCTTCACCTGGGACCGAACATAGTTGACCAGTTTGATCATATCCAGGAATTCCAGATCTGCAATTGCCACAGCCCAGGTCAGACACACAATGGCTCCATTTTCCAGCTCGAGGGTCACATACCAAGTTCTTTCTGAATCTTCGGCAGGTCGAAATGGTGGTTTTCTTTGCTATCCTTCAACATGGAACGTACATCCGGAAAGACTTCCTCAGAAAATAGTCCCACGACGGGCTGCGAGTCATCTTCTGGCTCAACATCTTCCCAACCCTCCTCGTTGCTTGTATCTGAATCGTCAGAAATGGACCGCGAGTCAGCGGGAGCCTCATTGGTGTGGGGATCAAGACGGGTGGAAGAAGACATGGCGCAATTACAATTGAAGCCAGTAACCAAGTAAGGAAAAAAAGAAGAAGAAGAAGCAAAAGAAAAGAATCGTAGTGGAGGGGCATGTCCTCCGATAGGAAAAAATTCCTTTATCAGGCGGTGGCCTCAGGCTGCCAACGGTTGCCCCGCCGTTTGTTTATTGCCAGTGGACCTTGCTCGACGCTCTCTTTTCGCAACACCTTCAGTGGCGATGGCTTTCTTATTCAACCGCGGCCGGTCGCGGTCACCAGCCGAGATTGTTCGGTCATCCAAAGAATTATTATCCAGGATCCACGAGTCCCCTAATACCCCCAAGGTTGGATCAGCCGACCCAAATTCCCTGGCACGAACATTAACGGATTGAGAGCCCAGGTTGAAGAGGAGCTGGCGAAACAGCTCAGTCAAATGAAGGTGATTGTACAAGGCACACAAGGTTAGTCCACCGTTTTGGTTCAACTCAACAGGATTGACAAGATCACTCTGGATCAGAGGTCAACACGTCGCCCGATCAGGTCCACGCGCTCGTTCAAGCCGCGATTCACGAGGATCTACTATATGATCTCTCCCAGAGTATTCACCTGCTTCCATTTGAAGCCCGAAAAGATACGCAGACGATATTTTCCCATATTCTCCGATTCCGGCCCACCTCATACGCGAATGACAAGGATCCCCCCGTCATTTCGTACCTGGTCCACCACCGACCCGAGATTATCGTGGAGTTATGTCGAGGCTACTCTCACGGTCAAAGTGCCATGCCCTGTGGAGTCATCTTACGAGAAGCCCTCAAGTTCGACGTGATCACGGCGATCGTGCTATACGACCAGTCGGGGCCCGGGGAGCCAGCCGTCCGACTGTCAGAGCTGAAACCAAGTCTCGTGCAAAAGGGAGACGGGGTGTTCTGGAACTTCTTTGACTGGGTCGACAAGAGCAATTTTGAAGTGAGCGCCGATGCGTTCACGACATTCCGGGTAAGGTTCCTTTGGGGGCGGAAAGGATGGCCGTCGATCATTACTGACGCCGCTACAGGAGATCTTGACCCGTCATAAAAGTCTCGTGACGGCATACCTCGCCACTAATTTTGACCTGTTCTTTGGGCGATTCAATGGCACCCTCGTGCAATCAGACTCGTACGTGACCAAGCGGCAGAGCATCAAACTCCTGGGGGAAATCCTGCTGGACCGTGCGAATTACAATGTCATGATGGCTTATGTGGAGAGCGGGGAGAACCTCAAGCTGTGCATGAAGCTGCTCCGAGATGACCGCAAGATGGTGCAGTACGAAGGCTTTCATGTTTTCAAGGTATTCGTTGCCAACCCGAATAAATCCGTGGCCGTCCAGCGGATTCTCATCAACAACCGCGACCGGCTCCTGAGATTCTTGCCCAAGTTCCTGGAGGACCGAACCGATGACGACCAATTTACCGATGAGAAGAGTTTCCTGGTACGCCAAATCGAATTATTGCCCAAGGAGCCTGTGGAGCGGGCTCGGCCTACGCGCGAGTCGCAGTCCGGGATCAACCCGACGGCGATGGCTTGAACTGGATCCGAGGCTGGGCCGCTGGATCGCAATGACTGTTTTATGCTCTGATGAATGATATCACTTCTTGGTATAGCCTAGGTGGTTTTGACTGGCGTTGGAGATGCCTCGAAAGGCCCATGAATTTGGACCATGGAGTTTTCAGGGGGTTTGTTTACGAATTTCCACTGTCCCGGTATTCATACCTCCTGCGGTATATTCCTGACTCGTAGTCCATTCTCTTCTCGTAGCTGACGGTGAGCTTTCATGGTGCATATCCAGGCTGACACGCGTTATATGACACTGTACTAATTTAAGCGCACTTAGCGTGCTCCACACGGGACTCCTGATCTGTTTATTGCGTGGCCCAAACAAGACCCTGGGATAGGAGCAATGATCTCCAGGATCGCCCAGGATCTTCCAGCCGTCTTTTCTTGTCAGGGGGGCAGATTTGCGTTGAATTCGCAGAGAGACGCGACAATCGAGAGAAAAGATACCGAGGCGTGGAATGGGAAAAAAGGCGTTGGACCGACTCCACACCTTCTCCGACTGTCCCCCCCTAATTTTAATTTCTCTCCGACCCTGACGAAATCCACCTCGGCCATGCCGTCCGCAATCTTGTCGCTCCTTGGTGCTTTTTTCGCCTCTTAGGTCTCTCATTACCAATTCGCCGCCTTGATCCAACCCCCCTCTCTCCCCTCCTCGACGACCTGTTCCTGTCGCTCGTTTCGCGAACATCCCTCCTTCAACATTGACAAGTCATGCCGGGATAATGGTGGATGGTTTGGCATCGTTAACGCCTGGGCGGTCGCAGTCCCGGTCGATTCAGGCGCCCTTGGAAGACGTTCGCCCTGTCTCATTACCCACGCCCAACGCGCCACTCGCCCCTGATGGTCGGTCCCTCAGCGCGAGCGCTGCCTCGAGCCCTCGCGACTCCCAGCCTACGTTCCATGCGAAGGAACCCGGGTTGATGCCGTCTACACTTATGGGAACTGGGAGCCGAATGGCACGCGCCGAGGGCGGCTATTCTGGATCCAGGCCGGCTTCGGTGCGCAGCGTTCCTAGCATTGTTATAGACCACACGGGCACTCGTCCCAGTTCGCGACCTGGTTCGCGTCCGGGATCGCGATGGTCAGAACGAAAATGGGGGGTTTCAGAAAGAAGTCAAGCGAGTTGGAAAGGAAGATTCAGTCCGAGTCACCTCCACCCGTGCCGCCAATCGACTCGCCATTCAATGGGATCAGCATGGACATTCCCACGGGCTCTCTGGATGGCCTTGGGCACACCATGAAATTCTCGAGTCGCGGGAGCCTCATCAAAGACAAATCGAAAAAGCCACATCGTGTTCAGGAGGCCAATCCGAAGTCCGAACCACATCTCGAGGAAGAATCTGAAGGTCAGGACGCTGAATCAACACCCGCCCCCTCGATCTCGACGGGCCCCAATGATGCGGAGAATGCCACGCCGAAGGCGACCCCGCGGCCCGTCCGAACACAAAGCACCCTTCGCCCAAGACAAACCATTCTTCCGAACCGGGCCATCTCGGCGGACGAGGACATGCTGTCGCGACGAGTTCGCCTGATGTACGAAAAGGGGGAGGACAATATCACGGACTCCGAGGTAGCGAACGCAATGACTTTGGAGAACAGCGTGCTCTGGGAGGAGAACGCGGCTTCTGATTCAGGAGTCCCACAAACGCTCGCCCCCGAGTCCAACGGGACGGAAACGCGGCAACGGGCCTCGTCCGAGGTAGAGCGCACCAGAATGAAGAGAGAGACCCAGGAGCTAGCGGGAGGCATCGAGTATTGGCAGAATGTGGGCGCAGGAGAGGTGGACCGCTACGGTTTCATCCATGCCCCTGCGGCGAACTCTCCGGATCGTACGGAGCCTAATCCCATACAACGCGTGACGACGAGTCTTCTCCTGGCCTCGGAAACCCCGCGGCGAAAGCGTTCAATTCGGCCCCCGTCTGCCCTGGCTAGCAATCGCTCTTTTACGGCGCGTTCTCCAACTCGCAAGTTATCCCAGAACTCCATGGGCGCCCGGCCATCGTCATCACAAAGCGCACACAGCACGCCCCTGCGACGCTCAGGGTCCCGCTTACGTTCTGCGGCAAACCACCTTCCCCACAACCGAGACCGCAAATTTAAAGATGAAGCGGGTGATATGCTCACTCTCCCATTCGAGGCTGTTAATGGCGAGGGAGAAAACCACTCTCCCTCGCGCGCCATGCGCAAAAAGGAATGGGAACGCGAAGATAAATGGACCAAGATGGCTAAACCCATCAAGAAAAACAACCATGGGGGAGGAATGACCTTTGAATTCGATACAAAAAGCACCAAGCTTATCGAGCGCACCTGGAAAGGCATTCCGGATCGATGGCGGGCGACAGCTTGGTACTCCTTTCTTGAAACCAGTGCAAAAAGGCACCCAGGCAGTCCATCCGAGGAACAGCTCATTGAAGCCTTTCGCAAGTACCAATACATCTCGTCGCCGGATGATGTCCAGATCGATATTGACGTGCCACGAACCATCACTAGCCACATCATGTTCCGACGACGTTATCGGGGCGGGCAACGATTGTTATTCCGTGTGCTTCACGCTATGTCTCTGTATTTCCCAGAGACTGGCTATGTCCAAGGCATGGCGGCTCTCGCGGCCACGCTCCTCGCATATTATGACGAGGACCACGCGTTCATCATGCTCGCCCGGCTGTGGCAGCTACGTGGTCTGGGGGAGTTATACAAATCCGGCTTTGCTGGTCTCATGGAGGCTTTGGCCGACTTCGAACGGGAATGGCTGGCGGGAGGCGAGGTCGCCACCAAACTGGTACGTCAATTGAGTTGACTTTCTTCGGGGGACGTTGCTAACTGGTTGTATTGCAGAATGAAGTTGGAGTCCCACCTACCGCGTACGGCACTCGCTGGTACCTCACTCTTTTCAACTATTCCATTCCTTTCCCGGCTCAGCTTCGGGTATGGGATGTGTTTATGCTCCTTGGGGACGCTGAAAACATCATGGCCCGGCCGACAACATCGTCTGGGAAGAACGGCAAGGAAGAAGCCCCTGCGAGCTCGTTTGGCCAAGGCCTAGATGTCCTCCATGCCACATCCGCCGCTCTCATTGATGGTATGCGAGAGATCATTCTCGAGTCCGACTTTGAAAATATCATGAAAGTTCTCACTAGCTGGGTTCCGATCAAGGACGTCGAGTTGTTCATGCGAGTCGCCAAGGCCGAATGGAAAGTCCATCGGCGCCGAAGATCACCCTAACTATCATTCCCATCCTCTTGTTGGTATATTATTATTCCTGCCACTAATCCTCGCCCTACTGTCATGATGGGTGCATGATACCCTAGTGACCGCCTTCCTTATTCCATAATGCCTCCTTTCGGCGCGTTTGATTGTCTATCAACGGTCACTCCCACTTTTTCCAAGCTTCTCTGGACTACCCGCGCACTCTTAATCCTAATAACGGTTTTCCATCTTATTCTCACTGCACATTCCTTGGCTGGTTTCTTTTTCACTGCTACTCCCCTCCCCCCTCCATGCTTGACCCTCATGGCAGTTGATTACTTCATGATACCTATTCCTTTTGCTTATCCATTTCTCTGTTTCTCGGTTCTTGCCTGTGTTCAGGTCTCGTGTACATGACAGTTGAAAGTTGGCACTCCGTGTCCTTGTCTCTGGGCGAGTTCACGAGGCTCGCGAAGTATGATAGACTTTGATACACATTCCTGTCACGCTTCTATTGATGTACCCGCAGCCAGGAGTCTATATATACTGGAGAGTGGAACAGGTTACTCTTGATACCCTCGAATTGAGACTTTGTTGGTTTGGAGTTTGCCGTGACAGAGAACAGCGAGAACAACCGTATCACGTTTTGTGTGACAAATTTCCAAGCTTCTCAATCATCTGTTGCTTTTAACTCAGTAGCCCCTTTCCGCCCTTGGAGCCCAAGTTGCCCTTGCTGACGTAGGTGTCTCTCAGCCACTGCATAGCTCGAGGGTCCAGGCCACGTTGCTGAACATATACCTCTTCGATGTTGGCCACGGTATCCAGTCCGACAGTGTCCATCATCATACATGGGCCCTTAGAAGCTTGGAACCAGCTTTTGAACATGGCATCAATGGTATGGCCGTCGCTAACCCCATCGGCCATGACCAACAGACATTCTCTTTTAATAGAAGCCCAGATTCGATTGAAGATCAAGCCAGTGGAGTCGACCTTGGCATGCGCAGGCTGAAAACCGGCGGCGCTGGCCTTTTCCATCAAAAAGGGGAAAGATGGCTGGATCCGTGTAACCGCAGGACATGAGCTCGTAGTAAGTCTGCTCAGGCGGCATATAGTAATGGCCATTGCAGATGCGGTAGTTCTTCTCGGTTTTGACGATCATCTGGCTAGTACGTAGCGACGACGAGTTCGAGGCAATGACGCAGTCTGGCGGCGCGAATTGATCGATTTGGGCTAGTAGCTCGATCTTCAGGTCCAGTTTCTCGGGAATGGCTTCAATGACCATCCAGGCGTTCTGTACGGCGTCCTGTAACGACGCCGTAACTTTGACCTCGCCGGGAGTGGTGCCCAGTCGCGCTGCTTGTTGTTCCTTGTTGGCTTTTATGAAATCCAATGCACCGTCGTAATTGTCGGCCGACTTCTCGCAGAGCAACACGACGTACCCGGCGGCCGCCCACATCATCGTGATCCGTCGGCCCATGACCCCGGCGCCCACCACGGCGATGGGGCGGGTGGTTGTATCGGGGGAGTCCACGGAGAAGAAGGCATAATAGTTGAAAGACAGATCAGGCGAGATGAAGCAGGATGGTCAGCTCGTGTGGGTAAAATACAATGTAGGTGGACAGGCCTTGGTTGTTGGAGTGACTGGCTGCCAATGATGCGATGATGATAGAATGAACTCACCTTACATCCGGAGCCGATGATCTAACAGTGAGAACAGCGGTGACTGAGTCGCTGGATCGGCTCGAACATGAAAAGAAAAAAAGGTACTGTGGCGGTCCTCGTAAGAAATCTCAAAGTTAGGCCAAGGCGATGACCTTCACCAGAGACCAGAGTTAGGGCTTCGAGCATCGTCGTCTCACTCGCGCATTATTGCATTATTCTATTACGGCGATGTAAATTTACCTGTCTGCTTATAGACTGGTTATCGCGGTTTTATTTTGATCTTTATTTTGTTCATTTAGTTAGTTATCATTCTTTGTCTGAGCAATCCCAGTCTAGAAATCCTTATGTATATTCTGAAGATATCTCTGCACAAGAATTGACCAACGCACCTAGTTTCCCACCTATTCTATTGACTGTACTTGTAAATCCACTTGCCATGATCTCAATAAAACCCAAAAGATCAAGCCTCGGGCCTGTCAGAAATCCACCACTCAGCCCGCAAAGTATATATCCATGGATATACACCCCCACGCTTACAAGTTAAGCCCGTGATACCCCTCATGCCAAGCACCCCCAATGCTGATCTCTTCAATCTTGTCCGGGGTAATTGGCTCCAATTTCCCCGGGGAAGACTAGGTACAAATACCCGCGGCATGACCATGCTCCTCTCTCCCTCTCTTCATTTCGTGTACTACAATGTCTCACTCAATCCACCCTCCAGAAAAGGTCTCCGTTGGTCAGCTCCAGGCTTCTCAAACCTCACAGTCTACACAGTCTAGCGCGATGGAACGTCAACATGATGAAAAGATCACCGACCGAGAATCAGCCAGGGTTGACATTCCGGAATTTCCATCTATCGATGAAAAGACCGTTCTTCGAAAGATGGACATTCGCTTAATCCCCATGCTGAGTATTCTGTATTTGCTTGCATTTCTGGACCGCGGGAACATTGGAAACGCCAAGATCGAGGGGCTCTTGGACGATTTACACATGTCTGGGCCTCAGTATAACTGGACCTGTACGGAAAGCTCTCCATTGTTACGGTCTTGGGTTACAGTCTATTGACCGAATACTGGTGTTTAGTGACGGTTTTCTTCTTTACCTATTGCGTCTTCGAGCTGCCCAGCAATCTGCTTCTCAAGAAGCTAAGACCATCGCGTTGGCTGCCACTGATTATGATTGCTTGGGGCATTGTCATGGTAGGTCATTGACAGCATTTACGGATGTCAAGAAGCCAGGCTGACCGGGTTACAAAGACCCTGATGGGGGTGGTCCATAATTACACAGGGCTGCTGGCGACTCGCCTCTTCCTGGGGATAGCTGGTATGTATTTTTCCCCCGCCATTATTCCCTCGATCTTTCTACATACTGATAGAAGTTAGAGGCTGGGTTGTACCCTGGTGTTGCCTACTACATCACCCTGTGGTATCCACGACACCGGGCACAGTATAGACAAGCATTATTCTTCAGCGCGGCAAGTATTGCGGGGGCTTTCTCTGGTATTTTGGCATATGGGATCGCGGTAAGTTGCTGTCCTTTTATTGACCATGAGAATAATCGTTTAATTTGACGAGAATGTCTAGAAGATGGACGGAGTGGGCGGCTACGCCGGCTGGCGTTGGATATTCATCTTAGAAGGACTGTTGACTGTCGTTGTTGCCCTTGTTGCGCCCTTTGCCATTCACGACTGCCCTGAAACCGCCACTTTTTTAACTGATGCCGAGCGCCAGTTTGTGATCCACAGTCTAAGAACCCAACATTCATCCGATTCACGGGAAATGGTTCAAGACCAGACCAAATTTCACTTTCGTTATGTGATTGAAGCATTTACAGACTGGCAGATATACGCAGGGCTATTTAGTAAGTGTATGGACCTCTTTCCCCGTGAAAGCAAAACCTATCCGCATGCTAACCGCGGGGACATTAAGTGTACTGGGGCATCACTTGTCCTCTTTATGGGATCTCTCTTTTCCTTCCGTCCATTATCAAGGACTTGGGGTATACATCCTCCACGGCTCAGCTGCTGACTGTAAGCATCTTGAGTTGGCATTGGCCTGAAATGTATGGCCCTCGACCCTAATGCCCTATCAATAGGTACCGATTTACATCGTGGCAGCGATTGTCGCCGTGTTCGCGGCCTGGGTATCCGATCGCCGCAAGCAACGGTCTCCCTTCATTTTGTTCTTTATGGCCATGATAGCCATTGGGTTTATCATCTGCCTGGCATCAAGTGGTCGCGGAGTGCCTGGTGTCGTATACTTTGGAGTCTTTGTGGCCGTCGTCGGTAAGCCTGGCATTTGCGCTGTTGTTGAGGAGCGTTTCTGACAAGAGCGCCTAGGAATATACCCTGCCTTTCCAGGGAATGTGACATGGGTCAGTGTCAATCTAGCGGGTGACTATAAACGAGCTGCTGGAATGGCCATTTACATCGGGCTAGGAAACTTGGCGGGAGGTGAGCTTTTGGCCAACTATCGATGGGAAACGGATGGTTGACGTGTTTTCAATGTAACAGCAATGGCATCGAACTTTTATCGCGCTCAGGATGCACCACAATACATCCTTGGTCATGCTCTCGAGCTGGCATTTGTTGTCGTCGGCATGATTGCCACGGTTATTATGCGGTTCACCTACCAATGTATTAATCGAAAGCGAGACAGTCTTGACTTGTCACAGTACTCCTCTGACCCAGACTCACTCGGCGATCGCTCCCCTTTCTTTCGATACATGTTATGAGAGCCAAGCATTGCTAGCAAAAAGAGGTCCTCTCGCGGAAGCCCCTTGGGGTCAACTTCTGTTGGCAACCTTTACTATTGTGGGAAAGAAATATTCATTTTTGAGGACCGTGTGCAGCTGATTGAGGAGGCCGTGGTCAATGCAAAGCCAATAGATAATATCAGATGGAGTATATACGTTCATTTCGAGGTCAGCCCCGAGAAGCAAAGCCCTGGGAATGTATGGCAGGTACTATTAGTCTTCTTGCCAATACTTTACCCAAGCTCTTGGCCGACTTGGAGAGTGAAAACCAGCAATAACTGACATACTTCTGACGCTTGATACAACGTAGCTAAGCTCCTCAAGAATATCAACCACACCCAACCGTTAATATGAAGACGAAAGGAAGGATTAATCAATCAACATCAAAACTACATGATTCCTTCTGGTTACTCAATTATCAGTCTAAGTCTTGCCCGTCGACACAGTTGGGTCACATTTTCAGAGAAGCTTGTTTCCCACATATAGAACCATCAGGCGTCATACAAATCAGGCACCATCGAGAAAGCATAATCTAGACGTACTCCATATCGCCATCTAAGCACAGACAAGCCTGCTTTTGCTGATCACCGGTCTGGTGAAAGATTGAAAACTAATGGTGCCACATGTACTAATGGGAATTCAGAGGAATCGAAGCTAGCGAGGTAAGAAGCGATCCAGCGCCTTGAGAAATGGGTTTGAGGCCCCTTCCAGTAACAACAGAACATTTGGTATCAATACAAGGATGGTGAGAAATTGGAGACCATTAACATGATAAGAGTCAACCCTCAACGCCCATTCGTAGAGCTATTGTCGCATGTTCCTGTCATACAGACATCAATTTGTGAATGGGCGAGGGATTTGCCGCTAAGAAACCAACCGAGACATCGAGAGCATCACCCGGTCAGAAATTGTCTTTATCGATGCGAGCTGTCCCACTCGAGTGAGTGCTCATGCCTATATCTTGCGATAGATGTGACGCATCATCGGCATCCGGTGGGGCCTCAATTTGGGATTTTTCGTGCTGTTCAGGAATATCCTGGCCCTGATTCCGGGGCTTGTGCTTGACCTGAACCCTGCTGGCGGTAGATTTGCGCAAAGATCCTTTTGGACTAGGATCACGAAGAGGCTGCATTGTTTCTGTGGCGTGAGTTGAAGTTGAACCTTGTAATCGTTGGAAAACATCATGATCCGCTGCAGGGGAGTCGTGGGAGCTGGACACGTCGCTTTGGTCTCCGGAGGAACTGGTGCCAGTCAAAGTCTGTCGCGAGCATTCACTCGATTTAGCGCCCATTTCCGAAGAGCGAGATGATGGGGGAGGGACTGGGTCGTGTAAGATTTGGGGTTTTCTTTTTCGACCTGGGGAGCTTTCACGTTTCTCTGACCGAAGGTAGGATTGTGCATTTGGCGCCGGCCCGGGCTCCTGCTGGCCTTTTGTCAATGACGCTGAGGGGTTTTTTTGACCCGGAGGAACATAGTGGTGGAAAGAGAGAGAGGGGGACGACCGGCGCGGACGAGTCTCCTGTCGGGCTGCGGTGCTTTGGGACGAATGTGGTACGGGGGGACCAAAAGCGGCCCTGGAGAGGCCATACTGGGAAGGCTGGGCAATGAACGTGTTGGGGGAAACCAAGCGAAGATCCCGGGGCAACTCTCCTGGAAGTGCTAGACATGGCTGTGACGAAGTTGGCGGTGGAAGCGTCGTGGGCAATCCTGGACCAGAAAACGACTGCGGCTGCGCTGGAACAGGGACTGTAGCTGTTCGGGGGGTTGCGACAGGTGCTGCTGGGTCATCTCCAGCGAGAATTGGGAGTTGTCTCCCCCACTCATACTCGTAAAGATGAATGGAATCATTTGCGGCGGAACACCGGCACGCAAAGATTCCACCAGCATCGCTTGCTCCACTTTGCGTCGCTCCAATTTCAACGTCTCTTGAAGGGACCTTTCCTCCTCCTGTACCCGTCGATCTTCCTCCGCCTTGGCCTGAAGCCAATTCTGCATTCTCTCCGCGTGCCATTCGAACGGAGCCGCGGGGAGGGGAGTCGAGGTTCTCCCTGGCGCCGATCGAGTCACGCCAGGTGGCGGAGGGAGTTCTCTCGGGGAGGGGTCCATCGAGTCGAATAGATCAGATCAAGTGATTTTAGTGACCATTTAGCGCGGAAAAACCTGCTATGAAGATATTGAGGATTCATATAGCTCTTGCGCTTCGTAGTTGTAGGGGTGAAGAGTGAGTATGATTTTGCGCTATGTTCTGGAAAGAGAGAGGGAGAATGAGTGAGTGTATGAGAGGAAAAGGAGGTTGGCCATGACAGTCTCCTTCTCGGGGAGGAAAAAAGTGAGGGATCCAACGGGCTCACTACCAGAAGGCAGCCCAGTTATTACTCGAATAGGAAATAGAGACCTACTCGTCCAGGTCGCACTCTAATTGGCTGCCACGAGGACGGGGAGAAGCACGTGATGTCGTTGGCTGGCAGATGGTCAACCTGAGGCACCGAGAGACTTGAATTGAATCGCCATGGAGATCCCGGCCAGGCTTGGAAAAAGAAAGAAAGAAAAAGAAGCGGGCGAATCTCTATGTATAGGGAAAAGGATATTTGGGGCCAACATTTTTTGAATTCCGACCCGACCCTGTACATGGGGCCAACTAGGAGGCAAATACGCAATCTATCAAAAGCGGGTATTTTTGGACAAAGACTGTCGTAGTTAGAGAATATGTGAGAGATCCACTGGGGCAACCAGAGAAACTTGGGTGTTGAAGAAGACCATCAAAACAACAAAAAACATAGCAAGAAATGGACCGCGTCTGGTTGCCCAGAAGGGGGTGGGCCGCCCCCTGTTGGGTGACAGGAAAACCGATCCATGCCGGATCAGGAAATTGTGATGTTGCTAGGAAGAGAACTATCCTTCAAAAGGAGTTAGTTGATTCTCCTAAAAATAGTGATGTCATTCTATCTGGATTGAAGGGGACTGGAAACGGATCTATTCAAGTGTCATAGTAAACATGCCTAGTCAAGCTTTTCATAAATAGTACGGCCATCGCCGAGTGAAAGGGGGAAAAAAAGGAAAGAAAAGGAAAAGAAAAGAAGTGACTCTCTAAACCGACAACTAAATGTATATATGCTTTGCTTAGGGTTGCACACTCGAGCAAGAAGGGGTATACAAAACTTGCTTGTATTTCTATCTACCCGTTAGCCAATTCGAATAGCTGTGGCCCGATATATCAATCGTGATAGTAATGAAGATAATCAATATCCACCCTAACAAATGCTTATCTCCGCGGGAGTCACGCCACGATCGTGGGGTGAGCTAAGCGAGATCAAATCCTTATCAGCCAGAGAGATACAAGATGTCCCTTTGGACAGTGTCCAAGCCTCAATAAAATCAATCAATTGCTCGCCAAACCCCATGGCGGTCCCCGGCAATGCGACCAGAAAAGGACATCTTGAGGTTACAAGCCAGGCTACGCCGGACATTGAGGACAATGCAGAAACAACAACACCCGACGTCTATCGTCCGGCAAAATGGCAAAGCACCGTAACTATCGTGGGCTGTGTAAGTACTCTTGTCGGATTGGCTTGACCCATGGCTCATCCATGTCTCCAGTACATCGCCAATTTCAGCGACGGATTTCAAAACTCCCTGGCCAACCCGACCAATGTCATTTTCAAGAAGCTGTTAGGGCCGAGGGGCTACACGTCTGAAATGAAATCTCGAATTAGCAACTCCCTCATTATCGGAGCCATTCTGGGGATTGTCGTGTTCGGGTACACCTCGGATATGTTCTCACGCCGTGGCGGACTACTTTTCACCTCCTCTCTAGTCGCCATAGGCACTTTGATGTCGACATTGGCCTTGCAAGTGCACCCATCCCACAACATGCTGTGGTACTTTGTGATAGTTCGAGGAATCACTGGGTTTGGCGTTGGGGGAGAGTACCCTCCTAGCGCTGCAGCAGGCATCGAAGAGTCGAACGATGTGAGTTATCTGTCTCATTTTTTTTTATTTCTTCCTTCTTTTCTCACAACTGCAGTTTGTGAAAAAATATCGAGGTCCACTTTTTGTGTCCTTCACTACGCTGATGGCCACTCTCGCGGGCCCCATCTTGATGATCATCTACTTGATCTGCCTCATTGCGAGCGACAATAACCTCACCATCACCTTCCATGCCATCTACTCGATTGCGACCATTCTGCCTATAACCATCATCCTCCTTCGCCTTTTCATGGCAGACTCATCGCTGTTTCATTATTCAAACCTTACCCGCCAGCGGCGGTCGATACGAATCTACCTGCTTCTTGCTCGTCGATACTGGTGGCGCATCCTCACCATCTCGGTGGCCTTTTTCCTGTATGATTTTATCAACTTTCCCAACAGCATCATGTCAAGCACCATTATTTCCTCGCTGGTTCAAGACCACCACATCCGTGTCACGGCCATCTGGCAAGTTATCCTCGCCGTTCTCCCTGTCCCCGGAGTTGTCGTTGGTGCCTGGCTTACCAATGTAATCGGACGTCGAAAAACCGGCATGGTCGGCTTTGCAGGGTATGTTGTCTTAGGATTTATCATTGGCGGAACATACGACAAACTTTCACAACATATTGCGGCTTTCGTCGTGCTATATGGCCTGCTACAGGCATGTGGGCACATGGGGCCGGGTGCCACCATCGGGTTGACTTCTTCCGAGTCCTTTCCCACGGCCATGCGGAGTATGGGCTACGGTATTGCCACGGCCTTTGGCCGAACCGGTGCGGCAGTGGGCACGCAATGCTTCACTCCGCTTCAGGACCGAGCAGGAAACAGCTCAACTTTTTACGTGGCTGGTGGGGTGGCCGTGCTAGGAATATTGGTCTACTCTCTATTGCCAGAGAGTGGGGAAATTGATCTGGAGAAGGAAGACCAAGACCTCAAGGAATACTTGCTGCAGCATGGGTTTACAATAGACGCCAAGAGCTAGATGTTTTGGTTATTGTCTGGTTGTTCTTTGCTAGAAATCGACTTTTCTGTCTTTTCTTTTTCTTCTTCTTTTACCTTCATCAAATCCTGCCCTAAGCAGGATTTCTATACTCTGTTATCGTCTGTATATCTCGTTTGACTCATACAGCCTGGTCAAGGCCCAGATAAATAATATATAGTGTCATTTGTAGCACCGCTGGCGTATGGTTTGACCTGCTTCGGCCAGCAACAAAATCTCTGATGCAATCAAATCTAGATATATACTCATCAACGATTTTCCTGTTCGAAGATTTTCCTACACAGGCTCACTTTTTCTTTGTTTTCATGCTCTATCGGGTATCAAATAGAAAACAATAGCGGCCAATCAAGCCATTTGCTCACCACGCCATCCAGGAGTCATGTTTGGTGAACGCTGGAAGTACCGGGAAGCGATTGAACACAGTTTCCTTTTACTGCCCTTTTGAATTAGCCCCCCCACCCCCTAGGATGAAAATTACCTATACCCTCATACTCCTTAGAAGCCTTCCTCCACGAATAGGCTGAAGGAAATTTATATGGATATGCATTTTGTGCTAACCAGGACCACCCTTGACCGAGAGCCTTTCGACGGGTACAAAATTGAGTGAAGTCTATCAACCTTGGTTCTGGGACATGAGGCTGACTTGCATCACCCCAAAAATGACTGTCTGCGTTGGGTGTGCCGAGGCATGCAACATGGATCCTTCAGGGCTCCGTATCTCATTTGTCTTTCGTGCGCGCCGAAGACAGCCGACACAACCATCTCCTCAAGAATAGATCTCTTGGTCGGGTGCCAATATTGAGAGCGGGGATAGAAACCATGTTGCGCGCTGAGGGAATTTGTCCAGTGGGTTTGGCCCCTTCAGGCTGAATAATGAAGCAATGTAATTGCACCATCTATAGCTGCCAAGGTGACTAGGGTGATTCTCATAACACCACTGGCCCCAGCAGTGGTGATTAAGCGCCCTATTAAGTTCTGGTCTTGCGTTAGGCGAGGTCCGATAGTTGACCCCACCACAAAGTTGTTTTGTCAAACTTTGTCACTTCGCAGGTTGACCTCTTGAGACTGAGGTAACAAAACAAATACCAACTGTACAACTATAGAGTCGACTATATATACAGGTAGGTTACATTTCTCACAGATTAGTAAATCCTTGACCAGAGACATGCCAGAGCTCGCGTCTTGATTTATGACCAGCAGTGGGATAGCGGCCCCTGCCTAGTGATCGACATTGCATCCGGGGCACCGGGAGGTATTCACCCAGGAACACACCCTCCCAAAAGACAAGCTGTCATTATTCATTCAACGTTCTGCCATCCCGCAGTGGGGGGAGTTAGTTAACTCAGTTCATCCAATGATCCTGACGATTATGTAGATTGTTCGCGGAACGTAACCGGGGCCCAAAAATTGAGGCATGGGGGCCAAATCGACAAAGGATTGCGGGACCAACCCCTCAATTCCATTTATTCAGTAATTTTGGGTGGTGCTCGACAGTGCTCCTGGTGCGTCTTGGGTATTCAACAGGAACTATTCAGTTGCTGGTGATTGCCAGAAGCAGCCTGGTTAAGGTTGGAGGTTGGAGGGAGATGTCGGGTGTTCATTTAGCATTGCTGCCAAGCACCTGCATGCAAAAGCCCTAATCCATTGAGATGTCAGTTAAAGTTTAGCGATCGACTTGCAGATGGTACTATTTGATTCCTTCGATAGGGGCCAAACATGAACACGAGAAGAGGAACATCTTCTACTCGCGTAGAGAGTGGATCCCACCACTTGGCTCATGATCCCCCCCCCGCATGGGGGCTGATGAGATAGAATATCATAAATATCGGGCGGCACCTGCTCGAGGCACTGGGAATTTTGTCTATCCAATTGATCATTTGATTATCTTGAGAAATTCCTATAGAGAACATTCTTTACACCCATAACCATGGCCGAAGTTGACCTCCCCTCCCAGATCAAGGCTACTATCAAGTGAGTATCGTCTTTCTGCATTCTCTCCATACCTTGATCCTTCCCCCACATGTGAAATGCCACTGGATCATTCACTAACGGTCTCCCCGAATAGAGAGCCTCACTCAGTTGTCAACCGTCTGAACACGGCTCGCATTCCCCTCTGCCTCCCCCCCTCGGTAAAGACCCCGATCTATTACACTCTCGGGTTTGCACGATGGGCGGAGATTTATTTGGGATTGGAAGAGGTGTGGCATAGTCAGATTGGTGACCCCGCCGACTGGACTGATCTCAGCGATGATCCCAAGGCCTATGCGAGTGATCAAGACCGCGTGCAGGCTGTTCTGCGCAAGATCTGCCTCCCAGAGCTTCTGCGCACGAGGCGCCTGGAAGGCGACTTTGCTGCTCTGAAGGCTTTGGATCCTACCATTGCCAACCTGGACCTGGCCAAGGAGAACGTTGGCACGCAGTTCCGAAGCTACATCAAGGAGCACATCCCGACCAAGCCGCATCTGCTTGTGGCATATATTTGGATTATGTACCAGGCTCTGTTTAATGGCGGTCGCTTTATCCGCATGCAGCTCCTGAAGGCTGGCCCGGACTTCTGGGGCTTGACCGAGAAGGAGATGGACCCGACTGCCTTCCCGTCGCCGCTGTCGTTCTGGTGCGTGGAGGAGGCCGATGTGGTCCAGGCTGAATTCCGAAACCGTGTTGTCAAGGCAGACAACTTGTTGACCGAGACTGAGCGACAGGAGATTCTCCAGGAATCGCTGGAGATTTTCCGTCGCTGTGAGCTCATCACCCACCAACTTGACGAGGACGTTGCCGCTGGACTGAAGGCTGCGAATTAGGCGACCTTTGAAATTGGAAGGCCACGTTGAGTTGGAACCTTGATACTTCAGACTACGTGTTTATATTTATGATTTGTTTAGAAAGATGGGCCAAGAGGCCTGCGAGACTCACGATATGTACAGAAACTAGAACAGACTATGCAGTATTTGAATGACTGTAACATTTCCCTGATTGATCACTATCCTCTCATACTCAAGCCATGTGCTGTGAATCATTCCCTGATGCCACAATCATCTGCTCCTTTTTATCCCGTCAAAATGTAGGATTGTATCGACTGCCAGCGATGGGCTCTATTAGCCGCCTAGTTAACTTGGAGACCACCGGCGTGGGTCTCAGGTCCACAGCAGCCGACCTTGTAGTCCTGAAGTGATGATTCATTGCACGCTGGAGTATCCGACTGTGCTCATTGTCAGTCCTGGGCGTAAAGCGGAATGTGTAGAGAAGAGGGAATCGATCGTCGAGGAGCCCCGATATCTGATCTCGACACTTCATGGCATCGCGATCGGATTGCAGCATGGAAGTCGTGATATGGCCAAGTTCCAAGGCATCCAAGCATGGGAAGGTAATATCTGTAGATTCATGGGCAAGGTCATGGAGCTCCAAGTCTGCCATAAGTTTCACATCATACAGACGCGGGCAGTGACGAGCTAGAGACACAAGGGACCCAATGGAGAGTTTTGCAGCAAATGGAAAGTTCAAAGTAGTCAGATACTTCCACCGAGATGCCAACGTCTCCAGCAATCCATCCGTGAAGCCATGGTCACATTGGCAAGTATCCCCCAATTCAAATTTCCGAAGCTCGGGGCAGTTTGCAGCGAGCTTCAGGAATGTGTTGGTGATCACAGTTGTATGATCGCTCTCGAAAACGATATCTTCCATGCGCGAACAGGATGATAGGGTGCCAAGAACGTGGTCTCCGGGGTGCAAAGACGGATTGGTCTGGTTAAGAGAGACTCCTTGCAAATTCACTAGTTTTGGTAAGAGAAATCTCAGTACCTTGTCTTCTGCCGCAATGTCCAGGTACCGTAGCGCCGGAAACAGGCGAGTCTGGGGGAGTTCATTCGCAATTCGAGCTATCGTTTCCCAGCGTAGTGGTATATCCTGTCCCAGACTGAGCATTTCGAGATTTGGACGAAGAATTATGCGATGGAAAATTCCTTCGTCTATAACCGACCGCCAGCCGATGAGTAGTTCTAGATGAGTGATAGATGGCACGCTCTCGAGGAAGTTCGCGAAATCTATACTAGTTAGGAACTTGCCCGTTTCCTCCTCATCGAGGAGGCGATTATCCAGTGAAAAATATCTGAGCGAGGGTGCCTGCATCTGAATTCTGATGAGCAACTGCCAAACCTCCAATTACCAGGCTACTTCCTTACCTTGACTTGCTCGAGAAACCATCTGCTATAATACCCCCCAAAGAGCTCCAGACCAACAAGATTGCGTGATAGAAACTGCGCCATATCCTTTTCCTTCATGTTTTCACTTCCCAAGTCAACAATAACGGACCTAGCATTTGGGAATGTGAATATTTTCGCTTTCAGAAGTTGAAAAATCGAAGCTGGCTCATGCGGATTTACATCGATCTCGATATCCAGGTATCTCACTTTGCTAGTGTACCTATTGAAAGCAATCAGTTTGGAACCTTTACTTGATGAGAAAACATTTGAATGAACGGACCACCCCCGTCGTTGGTGTGAGCAACGAGACAGACCCTGTAATGGGGCCGTTAGTGATCTAGATCCACCGCGATAGAATCCTCGCCACAGCCACTAGAACGAGATTTTCCAGACATTAGTATGTTACGTGAAACAAAATTGACCCGATTCTTGCGTACGTTGGTTGCCTCATTCGCCCAAAGAGAATTGACTTGGGCAGCAGCAAGTAAGGTCTTAGAGTCAACATGCTGAAGCACATTGGCTAAGATTTCTGCCACATTCAATGGTCTTGGTTGTCTTTGCTCATGCTGGGTATTGCAAGAGGCCATTCTGAGTGAGAGGACGGTGGGGGAATCTTTGTCGGCGATGTTGAAGCCTTGGCGGGGTACATAGGCGCCGCTTAGAAAATCCCCATATATAAACATTCAACTGAAAGACTGGACCTTTTCACTATGGAGAGATTTCCTATAGATGATATCCAAATAAAAACATTTCACTTGAAATAATTTTATATGTGTACGCAATTTACGGCACTCGAATTCTGTCGCCTCATTCATGGATGAACGTGATCAGCACATATCTGACTACTCAGATGCATTACTGACCTGGTTCCACTCCAATAGGTTTCTTTTTGATGTGAAAACAAAATATTCTCAGATTGATGGCTTGAAAATGGGATTCTACAAGCTCAACCTCTGGCCTATTCAAAGATTGCTGTCTGGGTTGTTTAGAGCTAATCCTAGGTCCCTTACGAGCCATCATCATATCTTATTCCACGAAAGAACGATCTACAAATTAGGTCCGGTTGACTCTTCAACTCCTGTTGACCGCTTATTATGGAATCTGATACCCGGGCTACCTGAGGAGCGCGCTCGATCTCGCCAATTCTACCGTGTCCTATGCTTTGCCCAATATACACAGTTCCAAGCGTAGGAGACGAACCACGACCTGCCTATTACTTGTAAGAGTGGAGCAATATACCGTGCCAAGTCCATTTCTCCAGAAATGTCGCGCGACCCTGGATTCCTGAACGGCTGAACCGAGGGCGGGGACCGGGCACTCCGCATGACGAGATATCAGGCGTGAAATAACTACAGTTATTGATGGGCCAAAATTGCCCTAACAATCAAGTCTATAGATTAAATTGTGCAGTATATGAGGCATGACAGATAAAAAGGATGTGGGGAACTGGAGTTCTCTATAGATGTGTTTTATTATAAATCAGCTCTCAAACGTTGAAGACTCGCAGATATAGTACAGGTGGTCACGAATTCGGCATCGGAGTGGGAAGGAAGCCCATACCTGGTCATCTATCTCTCCTGGTCTGTGCCACATAAGTTGCAAGGATGAAATGATGAAATACCATGCTCCTAAGCGGCCCGAAAGTAGCGAGGTAAAAAGACAGGGGAAAGAAAAGAAAAGAAAACTACCTTTCCATTATGTTAACAGTGTCCGTGATGATAATTCCTATAGGATATTTCTACTGCTTTGTCGTACATCCTCCCATAGGCAACGGGCTGGAGCTTCGTGCAACGTGAATATATTCCAAGGAAACGAGCTGAGCCGCTGATGAATAACGTCCCAATTGTACAGTCCCAACTTACCGCAGGTGTCGGCAATCAATGGAGATAGCCAGTGATGATCTCCGGGTTTAAAAATGTATTCCACTAACGACCAGAATCCACAAGACTAGTGATAAGTTGGGGCCTGATGCTGTGACGCAAAAAGCTTGTAAGGCGTTTCCCAGATATTCAGAAAGATTGGGGCAGCTTTATTCATCACGGGTCGGGTAGTAATGTGGTCATGAATGCCAACATTACGAGAACTGCCACGCCGCCCAAGTGCCCACCGGGTGTGGTGGGGGTTTGCCTGAAAGGCGAGGTCTCGACGAGACGATAAAGAAGCGCCAGAAGTGTCTCGGTGTAGTCTAAAGGATTAAGCTGGGTACTTTGTCCCGCTCTGCTTCGTTGAGAAGCCTAGAAAAACCCACCAGATGTAACATGAGTGGTATCCAGGAGACACATCTAGAAAGCGGCTGGCTGCTTCCATCGGGCTGGCAAAGGACCGGATGAATAGGCACTTCCTCACCTCGGAACAGAGGACGCGTGTCATTTTGTATTGACAGCTCAATATTAAGTCTATTGATTATTAGATAAAGTCTATAGCGCATCATTTATACGCAGAGGGTGTCAAAGCCGAGGCCAGGTAAATGAAAGTTGGGAAAATAAGTACTTTCACCTACCTTAACGGCTTTAATACTAGGGCACGGTTTTCTTGCTTTAGCCTAGAGATCCCGCCTTGTAGCTGAATCATGCGATAGAGACCGTGGAGATGTTATTGAGTACGGCAGCAAATAGCCGCAACCACGAAAAATGATATAATCAGTACTTTGTCTGGCAGAAAATCCCCCTAACTAATATTTATATAAGTAGAAGGCGATAAAAAAAGGACTCCTATTATATAATTATCTTTATATTAGTATTGGAACTACCGTATAAAGGTAAAAGATAGAAAGACCTGCCTTGAAATATATAGAAAAGAAAAAGAAAAGAAAAAAAAACCCGCCTACCTTCCTATTTTTTAGGATTATTTTTTTGGTTTTTCTATATAAATTATTAGTATACTTTACCTAAAAAAAGAATTATATAATACTTACTATATTTTATTTTCGCGAAGCTATAGTAGGCGGTTCTTACGACAGGGGGGTTTATTATTATCTAAGATCTTGATAATCTTAGGCTTCGGCTTACCGACAATAAGGTTACACGTACGAGCTTTTTGCTTTAGATAAACGGCCTTAACTAATAATAGTAAAAGCAGCTATCATAGTAAAAATTAGAGTAATAGAAACGGCCGAAATCTTATTCAAAGAAGTCTAAAGCTATATATAGTTTTGTCTTTCTCTATTGTCTCGCACGGAATAAGAGAATACGTGATCTGGCTACTTATAATTTCTATACATACCGCCGAAGTATCTTGGTATCCGGATATATTCTGGAAAAGGCCTCGGAGACCCACAGATGAAAATAGCGGTTAAGATGGATAGTTATAGAGATATTCAATAAAGGCGGAGCTCAAAGCGGCCAGAATCAATATATGGCCTCTATCATTTTTCGTGATTGCGGCTATTTGCTGCTGTAGTTTAGAGAGGTGCCTAAGAATTCTACCAGCACCTTGCTCACCGCCTTGCCCTATTGTGTAGATAGCTTTATATCTTCTTCTCTCACCACTATCAGACATCTATCTCTTATCTTCTCTTCTGATCGCAGTCTAGTGCCCGACTTCTCTTCCCTCCTCCGTCATCAGATGTACCGGCCCAGTTGTATGTTGGTGATATGCTTGCTGGTAGATGACGAGGCTGACCATAGCAGCTATAGCGCTGTCATAGACAGAAAAGGGGCCTGGTAGCTCAATTTTGACCAAAGAATACGCTTGGGAGATATGATGAAGAGTTTTAGTGAATTTTGTTGATTTTCGCCGAGAGAAGTCAATATAAGATGCGGATATAGCCAGAGTACTATGGAAGTCTGGATTCTTGGTACTCAACGATGCTGCATGGCTTGGATGATGGTGCTCTGACTTACATGCCTCATCTACTAGAATGCAGTTCACCTAAGTAGACTTGATAATATCGAACTTTGCACAGAACTGGGCGGAAACAGTGCATCACGGGTATCAAAGAACCTTATAGTCTTAATGTCAGGCACGAGGGCAAATAGAGAGATACACATGGAGAATCTAGATAGCATACACCGATGCATGAGCGCCGTAGACTCGGAACCGAGCTGTTTCGGTCAATCTATCATACAATGCCCCAACACGATCAGCAAACTTGACCTCCATCTCTTAACCCTTGGTGCCTTTCGCCTGGCCCTTTCCAGTTCCACAGCCGCCATGGTCGGGGACACCTCGGTCCATGCACGCGAGGTTCTGGTCGGGCGTCAACTTCTCATAGAAATCTCTCTTGTCGCAAGTCATGCGTTTATCGGGCTTCCCAATATGGTGTTTGTCTTCGTCAGGAAGGACCCAGCACCAATTTCCCCCATCATAGGGTTGCACATCGAGGATTGGATCTCCATTCCCAATGTCATCGGTGGGATTGCAGGCGGCCCAGATCATATGGCCATGTTCCTGGCTGCACCCAGGAGAAAAGTCACCTGGGGAGGCGTCACTCGGGATCCAAACCGATCCCGCATAATACCCGCCGCCGATATAACCGCCACCTTTCCCCACTGCCGACACCTCTGCCTCCTCCACCACTGCTTCCTCCACTGCTGCCCCCGCTGCCACTTCGACCACCACTCCCGCCACCACTGCTCCCACCGCCGTGTCCGCCACCGCCGCCACGCCGTGGCTCTAACTGGGGAAGTGGGGAATCTAGGTAGCATATTCAGGAGTTAGTATATGACCTCAAGGTCTCAGGGGGGCCAAAGGGGCCACTCACCGATCACAGCGGCACTAGCCACCATGGCAGAAGCACAGATGAGAAGACCGAGGTTGAGCTTCATGGCGAAGCAATGATTAGACCAAAAAAAATTAAAAATTAAAAAAGAACAGAAAAGAATTGAGATGATTAGTTGAGATGATTAGGGGAACAGTCTTGAGGAACACCAGGGAGATAAAAGGATTTATACCCCAAGATGTTCGGGGTGTGAGGTTTAGCTGTGCTAGAACCCTGGCCCCCAAGGATTGTCAACCATGTATCCACCTGGGCACTCCTCGCGCGACAGAATTTTACAAGACTGCACTATCGTACTTGCGGCCTCTACAGTATGCTGCTTATAGCCTCCATCGGTATCCGTACCGTCCTCGGCCGTTTGTTGGCTGTACAGTTGGTGGCAGTGGGTCCATCTCCTTAAGCCCATTTAATTTAGCAAAGAATTCCTTGGCCACCAGGCGGAAAACAGGGCGCACGAAAAGAAAGGACCGAGCATTCAGGACTTCCCACGGCGATCAAAGTCTATCTCATAAAGGGGCAAGTGTGGTAGTGTATCGATGGGGGTGATTGGCTCAGAAGGAAAGCTCTCTTCCAATCTATCTGCTGCAATAGTCCTAGGAAGCTAATATTGGATATAGACATATGTGTTGTCCAGCTAGCTTTTCATGAAGATGAACAAGATATCTTGAATGGATAGGCTAGGCATTCAGAAAAGTAGAATTTCTAACTTTGATGAGGTATACTAAGAGGAAGGGAAGGGGTTGATGAGATATTTAGAATGGCATCCCTTCTAGAGAAGCGGGGGAGTCTTGCGAGTAAGAGTCGTTTCACCAACACGCCTATCCAAGCGAAGTGATATTGAAGAGGACCTTGGTTCTATAGGGATTACAAAGATACTATGTGGTTTAGTGTGGACCCATTGCAGGTATATAAGCCTCGGGCATCGCAATCTTATCCAGTCAGGCATTCTTCTTGATACTTCCCCAGTCTCCTTTGGGATAGCGTCTTCCCTAACGATCCCCTTATCCCATTTGTTATATATAAAGAGGAAATGACCACCAGAGCCGCAACACGACTGAAAACACAGCAACCAAAATTTATTCATTCGTGCTCATAACAGGAAGCTTTGAACTAAAGACGACGCGGAGCCCTTGGGAGAAAATCGAGCGAGTTCTTTTTAATTTTTTTTTTTTAAAAAAAGAAAAGAAACAAAAAACAACCGGGCAATGTAAAGATAGAGGCATGGGTGCTCGAACACCGCACGGCATCGCTGCTTCTCATAATCCATCTCGAGAATACTGAACACATCTCCCACTTTTACCTATTACGCAACACCCGAGGGATTCGAGGCTGCCCACCGGTCCTTGTTGACCTTTATCTTGACCACGCCCTTGAGGATCGGCGCAAACTGATCAACAATCTCCATATCCTTCGGAGTAGTCTCAAAAAGCTCCATGTCAAAGCGTGAAAACTGCACAGCAAGGATGGAATAGAGCATTAGGTATGCAAGACTACAAGCAGTAGGCAGTTAGTATAGTTTCTTAGAGCTGAAATGGACGGAGGAAAAGAGACCCACTTTTTTGCAATGCACTGGCGGCGTCCTCTACTGAATGCGACGTTCCATTTCTCCAGATCCTGGCTGTCGCTTCCCATCCATCGCTCTGGAAGAAACTCATTGGGGCTGGGGAAGATTTCTTCGTTCAACTCCACCACGGGATGCACCATGGATATTCTTGTCTGGGATAGAGTTAGCGGGCGCGTCTATCCACGGATGCAGTGGGCTGGTACGTGGGACTTACTCCTCCGGGGATATGGTAGCCTCCAATATCCACACCGTTCTTGGGAACTCGGCGGGGCAGGAAGCCTGGCACCGTATTACTTAGGCGGAGGCATTCCTTCACAACTGCCGTCTAGGACAAAAGAAGACCTATCAGAGCCCAAGATATCTGCAGACTTCACGAGGCCAGCATGGAACTTACTAGGTAGGGCAAAGCCATGATCTTTCGATGATCTAAATCTCTGATAAAGGGCTGTGCCTCAACTAGCTCGGCTTCCAGCTTGGCCTTGACACGAGGGTTGCGCAGCAAGGCGTAAGTACCAAAAGAGAGCACATAGCTAGTGGCCTCCATGCCGGCTATGATGTAGTTCAGGAGGTCATCAAAGAGCTGCTCGGGACGGAGATCTTCTCCACGTTTGCGTCTAGCCGTCACCATGAGATCGAAATAAGTACTCCGGCCCTCGATGGGCTTTCCCAAGTCATGGGCTGCGATGGTCTCATTCAACCACCCCTCAAAAAGCTACGTGGGGGTCAGACGTGACATCTTCGTGAACAGGGTAAATCCTTCGGTGAGCAACTAACCTCCTGCAATGATCGCAGCCCTGGCTGGAGCTTGTCAACCACAAAAGTGGGGAACGAGTCGATAATCCAATTGATGACAGGATAGTACAGCCCTGTGAAGAGATCAGTACGAGAAGAAATTTGAAGATCAATGAATATGTACTCGGCCAAGTGATAGCGGTGAACCGATCGATACTGCGCATGAAAGAGTGGTAATGGTCAGCGTCTGGAGATGATTCAATCAGCCCCAGCGACCTGCCGAACAAAAGATGCGATGCCATATCGGCCTAGGAGAAAGTCCCAGATATCTGTGAGTATATCCCCCTTGTAACTTTAGACAGAGCGACTTACCGCAATGGCACGGTAAACCCGCTGGATGACTGTTGGCCTGTTTTCCCTTCCCTGGCGCGCTACCGACTCCATTGCCTTGTCGAGCACCAACGACAGGGTAGGCCCTTCGTTATCGGCGGCCTGCTTTGAAAATAGTGGGCTGACAATGCTACGATATTGCTTGTGTTCCGCAGGATCAGTGATGGTAAGAATCGAGCCGTCGACTCCAAGCCCCTTGTAAAGCTCGTGGTCTTTGTGGTAGTCCATTCCTGTGTTGTAAATCCTGACATAAAGAGTCAATAATAGATTCTGAACGCTGAATTTGGCGATCACTGTACGTATGGTAGTAGTTTGGATCGCCGATATGAACATGGTTGGTACCAATGCGAACAACTGGGGAGTCTGAACCACGCGCTGTTAAAATAAAATAGCTCGAGGGTGATACATGGTAACGACTAACTATATCTCTTGTGCATCGGGATATACTTCTTGAAAAGGCCCTCGCCGATGATGTTATGGTAGGCCTCGTACAGATGGGTCGCCGCTGCAAGTGTGGGTCCTGGGATTCCACTCAATGGGTGGAAGTAGACTCGCTTGGTATATTTGCAAAATAAATACAAGGAGATTGCACCCAGTAGCAATCCTGGTGCTCGATCCATTGTATTACCGCGCATTTCGGGTAGAACTTCGTCGCAAGGACCGGGGAAGACCCAGGTTGAGTTGATAACGTCCATCTTGGTTGACAAGATAGACCAGTTTGGGCTAGTGAATGTGTATGATATGGCAGATATCAACAGATGCCTCGTGTGGAAAGATCCAAAGTGAACTAGATCCAGATGATAAGGATGAAACTTGAACGAATTTATATGTCCAAGGTGCGAGGTGTGGGTAAATAACAAGCTTGGGCAAAGATCCCTAAGACTGCAAAATCCCAATTTGGGACGCATGAAAAATACGGGGTGTCTCTCTAGTTACAGGACAGCATAACTTGTATTAACGGAAATCAAACCTCAACCTTACGGACTAGACCAAGATGTACATAGCATAAGTAGAACCCACAAGCTGATCTTCTGTATACGTTTCCAAGGCCTCGGCCGATCGCCAAGGATGCCGATGCAACGTGTCCAGCTGACTATGAATATCGATTCCATTTTAGCACTTCAATGACCCGGTATTGCATATGTGTCACCGCATCTTAGACCAGATCAATTACCCCGGCACATTCGAGGGCTTGATCGACATTCTCGCAGGTCGTAAAGCGCGCTGGCAAGAGGGCAAATGTGCAGAATATCGGTGTAGAGATGAGAGATTACTCAATGGCCTTTGTAGTAGAAGTGACATTTTAGTTATTTACCAAAAACGATCCGGGAGTGCGCATATATATGACGAACAAGTATGCATTGCGTAGTTTAGGCAGCGTGGCGGTAGATAGCTGAAAGACATCGAATTAAGTCAACCCAAGTCCTCCACGTAGTGTTTTCACGGTACGAAAATAAAATTCAGGTAGTCTTCCAGGCTTTGCACATCTGCAAGCCCTCCACACCATCCGACATGTTGATCCGGACGGATAACCACAACTGACCCTCCCGGCTCCATTCCAGCAGCCTCATAAGATTTGTCCATATCACAGTAGATCTGGTTACTGCCTTGCTCCTTTGTCCACTTAGCAGGGTAAAAGGTTTTGGTGAGGTCTCCCTGCACTGCCGCTGACCTGCTTGCACGGTGAACCACAAGGAGATCCAATACTCTAGATGAAAGAGGCAAAACGCGCTCCTCAATCTTTTGTAGCGCCATTCCAAACCCGTTAAACCTGTCTAGCTCTTTTTGCTGTGTGATGTCGCCCACAAAAACGACAATATGGAATTTACCGTCTGTCTGGCATAGAGAGAGTATCGAGGAAGGCTTTCCAGTAACATGATCAGACACAGCCAGCTCGGGGAAACGTCTGCCAGGGGCTACACAATCGAGTATTTTCGGTGCCTTCTGCGGAGTCGCCGTCAGGAAGGAGTCTTGGTAGTCGGCTGAGAAGCCCTGTAGAAACGGCTCAAGCTCAAGACTGCGCTGCTGCATCCAGGCTGGCTCCGACCCTTCCGTCGACATGGTGTCAACGAGACCTAAGTGAAAGCGGTCGGTACTGATGAGAGTCTCGGCAACCGGACGCCGCTCAGTTTCGAAAGTTGATAAAACTTTCGGGTTCAGTTCTTTCTTCACAACACCAGCAAGCTTCCATCCGAGATTGTAAGAGTCCCTGAATCGCAAACATCAACGTTACCAGCTCTTTTATCCCTTTTCTATTGCAAAAAATGAGAGAAAAGGGCCTTACTGCATGCTGACGTTCATTCCCAGGCCGACGAGGGGAGAGTGATTGTGCACAGCGTCCCCAACAAGGAATATACGATTGTTCTTGCTCATACCACTGCTTAGGTGGTGACCAATCGTATAGCTAGACCACCTTAATTAAAAACGGCAGTAAGTATAGAGATTTCTTCAAAAAGCCCTTGTAAACCTTGGCTTACCATTCGCAATGCTTCACCGTTATCTAACGTATTCATTAGCTATATAAAAAGCCCCAAGAACTTTCCTCAATACTCACAATGTACGGTCTCAGGAGGTGTCGCAATCTTTGGATGATCAAATCCTGGGTGACTGATTCCTTAGGGACCCCCTCTTCGTCGGCTCGATTCAATTGAACATAGAAACGGGTCAAGCCGCGCTCGCGATGGAGGAAAAAGAGCCCTCGCCCTCCGAAAGTGTTGACCGTTGTACAGGTGCGAATACTACCCGTTTTGCATAAGATTAATTTTGCGCTCCAAAGCTCAAGTTACCTAAGCTGGTTAACTCACTCGGGGAAGTCCGATTCGACGACAAGATCGGCCACAGCCCACACAGATCGAGTTTGGGCCCCCTCCATGCTGAATCCCAGTTGGTTCCTCATCCAGGACCGGGCTCCATCGGCACCAATCACATATTTGGCTCGAATGACCTCCTCGGGGGACCAGTGTGTACTGCCATGGAGCTCCTTCGCCTGGTTTCGCAGAGTAAGCACGCACGGATGGGCGTCTGGATCATCCACCTCGCCTTCCTTGATATAGAGGCTTGTAGGTGCTGTTTCATACTCGGGCTGAACAAGAGAGCCCTCGAGATGATGCTTCATAATTTTCTCGATGACGCCTTGCTGCAAGAGTCCCGGGGAATATCTAGTACCGTATGTAGTCAGCCCTTAAGCCCCCGTCTGTAAACTAGCGCTCTAAGGTTCTTACTTTGTACGGAAAGATGTGGGAGAGTCTGAGTGAGGAATTTTCTCAAAATTGCCCTTGGCGTCTCGACTCCAGGCTGCCCAGCTTGTGATCGGCTCCCATAGCCTGGCTACTTCCTGCACAAAGCCAAAGCTCTCGAATATCTCCATGGATCGAGGGTTGATTCTGGAATCCCAGTCCGTCGACGTTAGTCCCCAAAGCTGGACATTCTGCGTGAGGAATAGCGAAGGAATAACACTCACCCATCTGCTCCACCGAGCCGAAGTCTATATGGACGTTGCTCAACGATGCGCGTCTTGATTCCGCACTTTGCCATCCAAGTGGCGGCAATCAAGCTGACCGTCGCTCATCGTCAGCTGCACCTTACCATATAGATCATCGAAAAACGTCACGAGTGATAGACGAACACCTACCCTGCGGGACCCTAGCGAGCAACTCAGTAGATATCCCAGACATGAGCGGCCTGGGGAATAACTTACTGCTCCGACTACCAACACATCCACTGTCGACTCGGTCCTAGTCATTCTCGTTGTTTCTCAGTAAGGAACCTCGGTTTCAATATTTTTGTTTTCTTTCATAAGTCGACAATTAGACTTTTTAGAACAAATCAGATTTCTTGTTGCTTAGGATGATAGACAATCTCTTGTTGGCGTATGGAGAGGTGTGATATGGGGGCATTGTCAATTTAATGGAATGGGTTGACGGCCATAATGAAGATCTTCTAAAGACAACGAAACTACGGATTTCTGCACCTAGATTGAAAGATAAATACCATACTTAATTCAGGTATCTGGTTGGTCTTGCATGATAAATTACCTTACAATTCAAACTGCAGTACCTAATAATGTACTGCAAAATGAACCATGTTTAGCTAGCTGATCAACCTCCATGGCTGGTTGAGGCCAGGGTTTCGCTTGCAGGGCTGTGTAACGTGAGGCTGCCAAGAGAGTCCATCGGTAGCTACGATGCGGAGGTCGATATGCAAAGTCCTAAGCAGGCGCACTTGGCTTGTTGACTCTGTTGCAATGCCTCCCCTGTGTTTCTTCCTATCACAACGCAGCCATCTCCTAAAGGTGAACCCACGCCTGTAATAAAAGAAGAACAGAAAAGAAGAAGCGGTGTAGATACAACAACACGAAAAGATATGTACTATGTGCGCATGCAGAGGTTGTCATTATTGAAGATATACGCCCTAATAACCACTTGAGAAGTGATTTTTATGACTAGTATCTCCATCTTCTTCTATCCCCCCCCCTTTTTTATCAACAGCATATACTAATTCGCAGGAATTTCACTGTATACTTCGATGCACTTGCTCAGTTGCTTTTGGCTCTATTGACCCTACCTGGCCTTGGACAAAAGTCAAGTCCAGGGTCAAGGAGGCCTTATTCCATAGAAAGGACATTGTGACGAGCTGACTCACTGCTGTTTACAGCAAGAGATTGACGGTATATCATCCCGATTGTAGCTAATTAAAGGTCTAGAAGCAAGCAAAGACCATGAAAAAGCTATGTAATATTGAAAAGAATAGGAGAACGTATATATCTCCAATAGATTACTAGGGATATATGAATAGGTTGGTCTGCGTAAGACTTTTAATATGGACCGACGAACATAATTGAACCCCTCGCTACGTAGGTTACCTTAGGCACAGAAAATGAATATAAAGGAAGAAGTGATCAAGGAATGGCTAATCATAGGATCGCACATCCACTGGCCGCTGTCCCATCAGGATCGGCGCTTTTCCTCTCCTCTTCCCATTGTTCAACTCGATGGAGAGCTCTATTAACTCGCGTCTTCAGATCCGTAAAGTCTTCCAGCCCAACGCTAAGCCGCACAATATGTCTCGGAATGCCATGAGAGGCAGCCCAATCGCCTTCCCTGGCATGCGCCAAGAGAGAGTAAGGGATAGCAATGGAGGCGTTTGTGCCGATTGTCGGACCCTTCCAAACATCCAGTGTGTCGTAAAAAACTTCCGCACTCCCAGGGTTTCGAAAAACCACGCTGAGGAGGAACCCGTAGCCACCATTTTCGCGGCGATAGCGCTCATATATCGGCGCACTAGACACCGTAGTTGGGTGGTTGACGTATTCCACCGAGGAATGAGTGGTGAGTAGGTTGGCGATTCTCAATGTGCTTTCATTGCACCTGTGCACCCGCTCTACAAAGTCACGGCTATTTTTGGCCATGGTCATTGCATCTGGAGGGAAGTATAAGTCCTCATATGAGTTGCTCAACAGCGAGTGAAGCTTATCATAATGCTGGGAGGCTGGATTGACCATGAGGCTATATACTATCAGTAAGTTTTGACCGCGCAAACTATATGGTGGGTGCATACCTTCCTCCCATCACATTGCCTCCTCCACTGAATATTTTCGTTAAGCTAGTGACTGTCACATCGACATAAGGCATAATGTCCATGTTGACCGATGTCGCAAGCGTGTCGTCACACACAACAATAAAGCGAAACTTGTTGGCAAGATCACGGATGTGAAGCAGATCCGGCGTGGAGAGCTGGGGATTCGACGGTATCTCACAAAAGAGGACTGTGATTTTCGTTCCCGAGGCCAACGAGGACTTCAACTCATCCAGTTCATCTGTAGTACCATGTCCATACATAGTGAATCGGTTGAAGCCGCTCGTCCGTACACTGTGGGGAGTACCTGCATACGGCCATCTTGAACCAAGAGTTAGCATTGCCATCAGTCTGAGAATAAGTCAGTTTTGCAGCCTACCCGTAAACAACGGCTCCAGAATCCTCTTCCGACTGAGCAAGACTCCGCGCAACGGCGCTAATTGCAGCCATTCCGGTGGGGTAGAGAAAAACATCCTCCGGTCTCAAGGGCTTTTGGTTGAATTGTGCGGACCTTGCCAGCACTGCCAGTCGGGATCTAATCTCAAATTTCTCCTTCGTAGCCGAATCAACCCAGTCCGGAAGAGTCATTCCATTCAAGTCAGATCTTGGGCCAGCCGTGCAGAACTGAGGATCTTCGCATTCTGAATCCATGAAAGGAAATTGCGCAAGGGAAAAATACGGCATGGCGACTGGAAATTCCATCTCCAAACTTCTCCCATGACTCCAGCACTTCTTCTTCGTTGCTTTCGTGGTATACCACAACGGAAAAATTAGCCCACTTGGGCATTTCTCGGATAGGAGCACAGGGCAAAACGAATCGAGCCGTGAAAACAGGGAGCATCGGGTCCTTTTTTTGCAGCCTCAACGCGAGGCGATTCGCAGCGTCCCGCGATGGAAAGACCTTGCATGTCATGTTGGCGGGGCTTTTAAATCTTTCCATAACCACATCTTGCAAGGCTTCAACGCGATTATGTATGGAAAATCTATGAGCTTAGTTGTTAGACAGACAGTCTCTCCATACGCGATAGCGGTTGAGCCATATTGTACCTTGGGTACATGGTTTGTATCTGGATTAGAGCCCATTCTTCCTCCGCGTTGCAGGCCAAGACCGATCCCCATGTGGGCATTGAGACGCTGATAGCCTGAGTTTCTCTTGGTCAGTACATTGACGACATTTGAGCGGCTAATCAACGTACATGGGCATCATTGGGCGGCTGGGGAGACCCAAATGGCAGTGCGTGGGAATCGACAGAGCCTACTTTAGGCCCTTGTGAAGAGACCGCTAGTCCAATATTACCCATTGCAATATCTCAAATGTTCTTGAGTGTCTGATATAGGGCGTTTTCAAAGAGTACTACTTGTGAGTGGGAGTTGGCTGAGCTTGCGGTTGGTTCTAGCCTGGGGGGGGGGGGGTGACGAGGAAACCTAGCATTGACAATATTAGGTTTTATTGAGCTAGTAGCTCTTAATTAAAGAATGTAATATTTTCCCACCTTAATTTCTGGGGGAAAGAATCAAATCTGGTCTGGACTTTGCCGTATCGACCTTGGTCATAGCCTAAGAGTATCGGAATTCTCACATCTAGGTCGTATTTTACGGTCATCCGGCATTCTATTCAAGCAAAACCGAAGATTATTACACAGTATAATGCTTATTACAATTCACCAGCAATGAATTACCTAAACGTCAGGCGCTGAAATATAACATGATGGTCAACACGCATCATACATTCAAAACACGGAGTGAGGGAATAAAAGCAAGTTTTTGCGCTAGTTTGCTGCAAGAATTGAATCGCGGAATAGATCTGCCTTTAGAAACATGCAGCCTCGTAGAGCATTCAGCTCGCCCCGAAATCACATCCGCCAGCAGCCCCTTAGTCTCAAAAATACATACAAATAGTTAGAAGCACTTAACTACGCAAGCATTGACTGACTGGTCACATATCATGACAAATATATCTCGCTGTTGAGTACCTCATATCCTGCAGGCTGCAACAGCTTAGGGTGTATAGGTGTATCCCATACATTGGCCTTGGCTGAATAGTATATAGATCATTAATCGGACACCCCAGAGCCAGGTTATATTATGAAACCTACCAATCCATATCTAACTCCCGAATCGCACGACTGCTACAGGCAGACGCCCTGGATCAATGGAAAGAGCTATATTCATTGCAGACCTCCAGCATGAGCCGGGAAAATCCCCTACTCTTGCATTCCATAACATTGAGAACTGCGCAGAGATTTTGGGGTATCACTATCTCTCTGGGCTTGCGAAGGAACGCGATGCCGGGGATGACCAGACATATACCAAGGCATCGGCCAAAGGGCACAAGCTTGCTGTCAAGGTCGCGGACATTGTCAACGACCGTGGGACGGCCGCCTCGATGAGAATTACGGGCAGCGGTTTGGTGGGAGGGTCACCATGCGAGGGACATGCACGCCGCACCGAAGGCATCACCTGGTTTGAGAAGACTCAATTTCACTTCCAGGACCAGGAAGACAATGCCGACACCTTTACATCCACCCACTACCTGCATTTCTCAAGCCCAGTGGCCCAGATAGTCCCTGGGTTGCCAGCTGCGAAAGGTCAGGGCCACCCTTCCTTGCAAGACATAACCGTCGTCTCCGGAATGTGTCTCTTCTCTTCTAAGATACTTCAAGCCAGCATGCCACCGGGGCAAGCTTGCGATGTCAGCAAGATACAGCATGCTGCGCCCACGCTTTACGAAATTGAATATCTCGCCCGCGCTGCACCTGCAATTGCCGACCTCACCAAACTCTTCTCTACTAATAATCGACACAATGGCTCTCTGGATATTTGTGTGGACGTTCCTAGCTTTCACTATTACCAATCCATGGAGAAGCGCCTAGGGGAGGGTTCCTGCACCTTTTCGGGGGCATTGCAGTGGATGACTGCCGTCAAGATTCGCCATCAGCAGATGTCGCAAGTATTTGGCCGTTACATTGACTACGAACTGTCGCGTCGGCCAGGCACAATGCCACAATGCAGCATTCAGGTGTCACCTTCCGGGAATCTAGTATGTGATTTGATCTGTCAAGCGCTGGCAGATGGAGTCCTTCCTAGCTTGGATCCCGTTTTGCGCACCTTGAATGCCAAAGACTCCACCTGGTCGCGGTTCTACGACCTGGTGCCGGAGAAGGAGAAGCCCACAGACTTTTGCGCCCTCGGCTATCTGTTCTACGTGTACCAGGTTATGAGACCGGCTTTGGAGAACACGGCCACCACTCTGTGCAAAGAATGCGGCCCACCCAACAATCGAACGAGGCTACTTGTTAGCATTGATGATGCGGTCGAGCGACGAATTTACTCTCGCGCACAGAAGCTCCTGAAAAAGGGGCGAGCACTGCCTCAGAGTCCCGTTGCGTGTAATCTGCTCGAGGTTTATCTCAGCCGGCGAGTGTTCATCAACCAGAACCAAGCCGGGTCGAATCTCTATCTCGATGACCCATCCCCCGAGGCTCCGGCACTGAAGCCGACCAAAGGCCTTAGAGCGAATGGCGAACATAAATCTTGGGACGCACAGGAGTATGCGGTCCCGCTGGATCCATTCGATGTGGTTGGAGCGCTGTACGGATCTCGCGCAGCGGATGTGCTGGAAGACCTGTTTACGGAAGTAGGGCTGCGCTCGTAAATGGCGCACTAGCTGCACGACTATAGCGGGTGTGTTTCTAGCGGAATGTTACTCGGTCGTTAGTCGAGCTACTGAATACCCAGCCAGTTACGGAAACCATCGTATCAACTAGTAATATTGAGGTGCCGAGAGGCATGCTGGGCATCCCTAGTAACTATATGCATATGTATGTATATCCATGGATGTTTAGGGATGTGCCCACTAAGCGAGGACCTGTTTACCTACCGTGGCTCCGTAATGTACACGTGTTGAAGGGCGATCTGAGGGCCGCATCGGTCAACCTGCACGTTGCATAGTTCTAGGATGTCAATTATTAACATGCCGAATATGTTGGTCTAGAATCGTGCGCAGGAAAAAGGGATACTTGCTGAGAACCCAGAGATCGGCCGATTTCCCATGCTCCACAGCATTGACGATCTTAGCCGAGTCCCATTACACGGCTCACTTTGCGTAGCATACCCTCGTTCATCAGATCTGGCCCGCGCATCGTACGTACCACAAACATCGTATTGGTGATTAGTGACCCCCCCTCCATGAACCTCTTTCAGGCAAGGAGTTTCAATGGTTTCATAGAGACTGGGGAAGCTGTTACTGCACGATGGATCGGGCCGCGAAGGTTCAGCCCCCCACTGTTATGCAAGATCATCATTGCCTTCTTTGGGATACGGCCATTTCGACACCGCTCAGTAGATCGGTCGCTCGAGAGAGATGTTCGCAATGATCTTCGCCCGGGCATCGTTTGATTTGATTTCATTTTTATTATTTTAATCGAAATTTCGGCCCAATCTCACCGTATCTGAATAACTCCCAGCCATCTCCCATGTCTCGGGAAGGAGGCAGGGCTATGTATGAGATCATTGGTAATAAATCCCACCCACCGGTAGGTCAATACCCATTGTATGCACACATAGATTGCTGCCACGGAAAACTCAAGTACCAAGTTCACGTCCTATGGTTCGTTACACGAAAATAGTTTCGTTTTTAATGTGTCACCCGCTCGGGATGAGCCCTTACGTCCATGGATGCTTGGCTCGAGCTCTGCTTAGTTATCCGGCGACTTGTTTAACTAGTTAGTTATGTGAGAAGTCAGTTGAAAGATAGATGATCTGCAACTTATTGAAGTCAAGGGGGTGGATGGGATTCGGCAATTTGGAATGAGCTGTGGTAGCGTTCAAGATCAATGTTGTAATCCTTCATCTTAGATTCTCAATCCAGTCAGATCTTTGTTTCGAGGGTTGCCGGCCAAGTTCTCGTAGATCCTACCGGCCCTGTTCGATGGTAACGCTCTAGGAGCAGCTTTGCCGGCGTCATGGATTCAATTGAGGCCGAATTCCAACCGCCCTCCACGGCCAGTGAGCTTCAACAACGCCTTTCTCTTCTCCCTTTCACACCGAGCGGCGTCAATCTGGTCTTGAACACAATCGGATTGGTAACGGTCTCCCTGCTGAGTAATTTTGCCATTCGACAGCTGGTCTCTTTAGCATGGTGGAGAAATGTCAAATCGATGCAGTTGCTGGCTCAATTCTACTCCGACGAAGATGGCGAAGCAACCACAGAATCGGTCAGGGATTCTTCCACGCGTCGGATTCCTTGGCTGGCAGTGTTCTTTGCTACACTTGGGGCCTGTGTATCAGGTACCCAGGTTTGGTTTTCGGCATGGAATTGGGATGATGTGCCAATTGAGGTTTTGTTGCAGGCCGCAATTTGGGTGAGAAGTCGATTCACCCGGGTTCAATCTTTTGCTCGACATCCAATCTGACTTCATACCCCGGCAGATCCTCCTGGCCCTGCAGTGTTGCGTCCTACTCCGGCAGCTGCCACACCCCATGCCATATTGCATTGGATTGCGAGCTTCAGCGAGTTGTGTGGTGGTAGTCATCGTCCTTTCTGTTCAGCTGTGTGGAAACTCCAGGACCAATCCCGTCGACACACTACGAATGCCCGGCGCTGCTCTCCAGATTGCCCTCGTCGTCTGTGTCGCCTGTTTGAATCTGTCGATACCACGTCGCCCAGATGTCTTTCGAAACGGAAATCAAGTTGACCGGGAAAATACAGCATCCTTCTTGAAGTGGGTGAGCTTTAGCTGGGCGGAAACACTGTTGAAAATATCCAAGAAGTCTCCATTGCAGATGAGTGATCTACCAGAGCTCTCCTACAGCTTGCGCACGGAATGTGGTGTGGGTGCCTGCCGCCAGATGAGTGAAAACAACAACGCAGGGGCCCGAGGAGTGTGGATAATGATCCTGAGATCGCAAAGTCGGCACTTGATCTGCCAAGCAGTCGTCGCCGTAGCCTTGTCAGTGCTCAGCTTCGTTCCTCAGTTTTCCTTGATGCAAATCCTCGCCGGGCTGGAGGATCGTCAGAAAGGAGAGGGTGATGAAATTCGCCTGTGGAAGTTTGTCATCCTGCTGGGCCTGTCATCGGTCGTGGTGGCGATATTGGAGATGATCAAGTACTGGATTTCATACAACAAGCTCACCGTCGGGGTACAAGAGCTGCTGACGGTGGCGATCTTTGATAAGGCAGTCCGACTGAATGCAGGCCGAACTTCCAATGAAGACGAATCCCCGGGCAGTGACTCCGTACAGAATCCGGTCAACACAGCTGCGATCGATGCGAAGAACGTGGCGGACTTTCTTTGCTGGTGCTTTCAACTCTACGAGACACCGCTGAAACTCACTATTGCCTCGGTTTTTCTTTTCAAGCTGCTTGGCTTGAACGGTCTGTTTGCCTGTGTCGTTGTGGTTTCCATCATGGGCTTCGCCAACTCGTTCACTGCGACCAAGTACAACGAAAGTCAGGACAGACTGATGGGAGACCGCGATCACAAACTGGCAATGATTACCGAAATACTGCGAGGTATTCAGCATGTCAAGTTCTGTGCCCTGGAAGACCGGTGGGAAAAGAGAATCCACGTCCTGCGAGAGGATGAAATGCGCTCGCTATGGTCCACCTACCTGTGGCAGATGCTCATGTTCACCTTGTGCTTCCTGGGCCCGATCGTGCTCTCTGCAACTTCCTTGACTGTGTACGCCGTGGCCAATGGTAAACTCTCCCCCACTACGGCCTTCACTACGGTGGCCGTGTTGAACTCGATCGAGATGTCCCTGTCGCTTCTGCCCGATGTCATGGCAATGTTTGGAAGCGCCTCTGTCAGTATTCAGCGCATCAGCACATTCTTTGCCGCGCCAGATCATTCTTCGAGCGTTGTCTCTTCAAATAGCGTCGAATTCCAAGACGCAGCAATCGCGTGGCCGGGGTCTGCTACCGACCAGCAAGATGCGAATCTAAAAGGGTTGACTCTGCAATTTCCTCCTAATTCTTTAAGTATCATCAGTGGCCCCACAGGAGCAGGAAAGAGTCTGCTTCTCGCTGCAATCCTCGGTGAATGTGATATTCTCGCTGGAAGTGTCCACGCACCAGCACCTGTTCGATTGGGGGAGCAGGTTTCGTCAGGGATTGCCTACGTTCCCCAAGTCCCCTGGATCGAGCGAGGAACAATCAAGAATAACATCCTCTTCGGAGCCCATTTCAACGCAAGTCGCTATTCCAAGGTTCTCTTTGCATGCGCTTTGGGTAAAGATTTGGAGCAGCTCCCCCAGGGTGACTCGACCGAAATTGGCACCAACGGAGCAAACTTGAGCGGAGGGCAGAAATGGCGTGTGTGTCTTGCTCGGGCATTGTATAGTTCAGCGCACACCCTGATTCTTGACGACATTCTCAGTGCCGTCGATGTCCATACCCGGGTCCACTTGTATCGCCACGCCTTGATAGGAGAAATGGCACAAGACAGAACTCGAATCCTAGTGACCCATCACATTGATCTCTGTCTGCCCCAAGCCAAATATTTGGTCCGGCTCCGGGAGGGGTCTGCTGAAGGGATGTTTGTGGATGGTGTTCCCGGTCATGAAATACGCGAATTGAGTACCATCGAAGTTGGCGATGCGGACGGCCTGCCCGATTTCAACCAACAAATCGACCATATCGAACTTCCTACTATAGCTGATGACAAAGCGCGCGAAGAAATGGCCTGGGAAGTGTGCAAGTCGTACGTGAGCCGAGGTGGCCGATCGTCTGACTGGATACTGATGATCGTGTCGTTTCTTGGGTACAGTGTGCTCATGTTGGGCCGAGTAAGTCGAGTGCTGGTTTGAAAATGCGACGGACATCGCTAACTGCTTCCTCAGGCTGCTTGGGTACAATTCTGGACAAACCAGACCAGCAACCCAGAGAGTATCCCGGGCGATTCCACAGGAAGTCATCATGGCTTGCTGTATTATCTTTCCATCTACTTAGGACTATCAGCCGTGGCATGCATTATTGGAACGCTTCGATGCTACTTGATTGTCCGCATTTCATATCGTGCTTCCCAAAAGCTCTTCAATCAGATGCTCCACACGATTCTTCGGGCGCCTCTGCAATGGCACAGTACCACGCCATTTGGTCGCATCTTGAATCGATTTTCATCCGACCTCAGCGTGCTCGATTCCAGACTGACAGCGGATCTGCGCAGTACGCTTGACCTCGCAACGGAGGTTGCCATGTCCATGGTTGCCGGGGTGTTCGTAAATCCCCAGATCATGCTGGTTGCCGCCGCACTGGTGGCTCTGTATCTGCATTACGCGAGGCAGTACCTCAAGGCAGCGAGGCAGTTGAAGCGATTCGAGAGCTCAGCTAAAAGCCCTATTCTTGGTCAATTTGATTCCTCTATTGCAGGACTTTCGGTAATCCGAGCATTCGGCCGCGTGGAAGAGTACCGAGAGTTCTTTCGCGACAAAGTCGATTGCCACGCCCGTGCAATGTGGCATCTCTTGTTGTTGAATCGGTGGCTGGCGTTCCGCAACAGCATGATCGGTGCCGTGTTCTCTGCCTCCTCGACCGCGTTGATTGTGTCGTTGGGAAATGTCGATGCTGCCGCCGCGGGATTTGCAATCACCTTTACCATGCAGATGTCCACCATCATGGGGCTAGCTATCGGGTACTATGCCAGTCTTGAGAATGACATGAACAGCGTGGAGCGGATTGTGGACTATTCCCGAGTCGAAAAAGAAAACTATAAAGGCCTCAAGGCTCCTGCAGCGTGGCCCACTGAGGGAAGGCTTGAAGTCTCGGATTTGGTGGTCCACCATGCTCCTCATTTACCGCCTGTGCTGCAGCAAGTCAACTTTTCCATTCCGGGGAGTATGCGAGTAGGCGTGGTCGGACGCACTGGCGCTGGAAAATCGTCGCTTGTGCAGGCCTTATTTCGGATCCTCGAGGCCGACCAGGGCCAAATCTCGGTGGATGGAATCGACATTTCCCAAATCAGGCTGCAGGATCTCCGGAGTCGGATCGCCGTCATTCCCCAGAGCCCGGTCATCTTCCGCGGGTCCATCCGATCCAACTTGGACCCTTTCAATGACTACCAAGAAAGGGAGCTGGTGCATGCATTGGACAGTGTGGGGTGGCTACCAGAGCTTGAGTTTGCAGAGGCTGGCACACCCTCCCCACTGGAGCGAACCGTGACGGAGGGCGGTAACAATTTATCTTCAGGTCAGCGACAGCTGCTGTGCATTGCCCGGGAGATCGTCCACAAACCAAAAATCTTGGTCTTGGATGAGGCGACATCGGCGGTGGATAAGAGTACAGATCAGCTCATTCAACAATCAGTGCGATCTGCTTTTCGCAGGGGCGAAACGACGCTAGTGGTCATTGCCCATCGGTTGAGTACAGTGGCTGACTTTGACCGGATTCTCGTGCTCGATGCCGGCCAAGTTGCTGAGTTCGGAAGTCCGCAGGAGCTACTTGGCCGGGAAAATGGCATGTTCCGCGAAATGGTTGAACAGGATTCCGAAAAGAAGACGCTCAAAGAGATCATCAAAAGTGGTTAATCTGTGGAGGTGGAATGATTGTCGAGTTTTCTGCATACTAAGAGCTTGGAATGCAGATATTGGAGAGGAATCCCCTGATACCGTCCCGACCTAAGCCCTAATAATATCATGATTTTCGCCGGTGGTAAATTCACATAGAGACTTGATTAGAAGGCTCTTAGGACCTAGTCCTTCCTTGGTTTGGTTGGAACTAAACCATCTGTCTCATCGTCTTGACTTTGATGCTTCAAACCGTTCATTGAAGATTTACAATGGTGCAAGCGGCTGCAAAGAGAGGTAGAGTCATAAGATTATCTAGAATCGCTGCTTGGGTCTTCTTTGGGTATTCTTGAATACTGAGACTTACAGACGGTCATCTTGACGCTGTCGACATACTTAGCAAATCTTGACGTTCGTTGTCAACTATACAGGGGAGCTCGATGCATCGACAGTTGGAATATATATTTTCCAGAGTCAGCTCCAAAAATACGAAGAGGGCCTTGATTTTCATCGGGCACGTAAGCTTTGTGCATACCAAAGCTTATTGCGGTTCTATGTTCTTTCTCAGATCTTCATTGTCTAATAAGTGCGAATAGCATTTCAGCTGTAACCGGCCACCAACTGGTTTCCACCGCGTACTGTTCCTGCGTTTCGCACTAGACACTCGCTGAACAGCGGCAGCTTTAGTCAACAACGAAGGAGGTTATTTGAATCGCCTAGATCCGGAAAATCATTTTCAGTTTGGTAGCACGGGGCTTAGTATCGCAAGAGGGGTATATTCCACAGAAGGGGACGGTCCAGTCTGGGGCTAGAAAGAAGCCGAATCAGGAAACCAGGATTCGAGGGAAAATATGTAGATGAATAGATAACAAGGTATACTTGAGAGCTTACAAGTGATCAGCCAACTTGTCTATCTCATCAACATCATCGGCAAACCGCAGCGCCATTGCGATGCCTGCAGTGTGACCAACATGCTTGAGAATCGTAATAATCCACTTCCGAGTCTCACTTCTTGTCACGGGGGATTTGCCCACTGTGTAAAGAGACCAGACCACCATGTAGCCACGCGATACACTGACACGGGCAGGGAGATCGAGGTACAGATCAAGGTCAGGTGCTGACGATACAACCCCTAAAGCCTGCGGAACAGTGGCTAGCATATCATCTCCTAGAGTTGATAAAATTTGGAAAGTCTCGTGGAGTTTCGTCATTATTTGCGCCCGGTGGACCGGTGTGATATTCGCGTCGAGAATCCTGTTCATGAGATGGAATAACACTTCGCAGACAACCACTTGGAGCATTCGAGAGTTATTCCAGACGCGGATTGCCCAGGGGGTCATGTATAAATCAATGCGGCCGTCATAAATAAGAACTGGGTCTCCACGGATCTCTCGAGTGGTTGTATATGGTTCGTGTTGGGTGAAGAGCCCAAGAACATGTTGAAAGTCTTGCTGAAGCACAATGCCTTCTTCCACGAGGCTGAGCACGGATTCCATTCCTTTCGTTTTTGAAACATTCGAGAGAAGATTAACACACCGAGTGGCTAGCACTCCTAGGAGCCAGAACCCACTCGAGGCGTCGGCGTGTTTGGTTGCCTCTTCTTGCATTTCTAGCATATCCTTCGGGAAAGGCTGAAGGGTATGAATACAGCCCGCCGTCATGTCAGCACGCACTTGATTAAACATGAAAATGGCCGCCGAGCGAGAGAATTGGCTTTTGCCCCGGGGAAACCACCAGGGTGGCAGCTCCCTGGATATGTCGATACCATATCTCAAAATCCGACACATGTTCGAATAAGCCCAGCGCGATCAGCGCCATCAAGGTGCTATCCTTATGAGCCTCGGTCGGCGACGCCAAGGCCATGTTCACATTATCGATCGCTTCCCAGTATTTTGCGCGCGCGACCGTCGCGAGCTCCGGATGTTGAGCGTTGGCTAACGACTCAAGTCCGACAGCTGCCATGCTGGCCATGAGGGTTGGTTGCTCGCCATCGGTACTATAAATCGCCGGCACACAGTTGAGATATCCAAGCGACGGGGACGTGCCACCGATAACCAAATGGTAGAGGAAATAGTTGACGCCTATCTCATCCACACTGGGGCACAGGCTGTGGGTAGGAGGCAAGCCAGGGGGGTACCAGGCGGGGTACCAGGGGGCGTCCGCGGGGGCGTCCTGGGCACAAGGGCAGTAGAGGTCGAAGGGGCTGTCTCTGCACGGTTTGCTTTAAACCGCATAATGGTATGACTTGTTTGATCCCGGAAGACCAGTTCCCATTCATCTCGGTACCCAGGGCATTGGTCGTGTGCACGAATACACTGGCCACAATGAGGATACTGCTGGTCACACTATCCAGATCACGATTAGCATTGGACTCGTCCTTTTCCTTTCTTTTTTCCGGCGAAGAAGAGAGACCTTGAACATAAGAGGGAAGAGCAGGCACAAAACTCACCCTTCGCTTGATAGCCCGGCACTTGCCACAATTCCTCGACGGCCGAGAGGATGGCATCACTACGGTCACAAAAAAAGAGAGGGTTTATCGGAGACGAAATGTGGGGCGAGGAAACTCTCTGCTGCTCACACAGTATGCTGCGTCTCTCCCGTTGGTAGACATCAAAGGCAAAAAGAAAAGGAGGTGGAACGGGTCAGCGCTACGCTACGCAACGGAGTTGCAGAAAGGCTTAACCTAAAGAAGCACTCCCATCCAACGGGATGTTTGCATATAAAGAAATAAAGCAATAGGGCTGATTCTTCTTCCCCCTCAGCCTCAGGGGCAAATTGTCGAAAACTACGTAGGTTGAGTTTGGGGGCCATTGTTCAGCCAAGCGGCTGTGTATCCATGGATAGTGTGTGTGCTAATGGCCTCCACGAGCTAGGCCTACTAAGTATAGCCACGGCCCCTAATTAGGGGCATTGGGGGCTAAGTTTATCGTTGGCCCCTTTTTTTTTTTTTTTGTTAACTTTCCTCAATTTTTTTTTTAGAGTCACTCCACAAGATCAGCACTCACATAACCCGGTGAAGAATCGCTTGACTAAAGGCCACGAGTCGCTGTTTGACCCACGGTCATTGGCCGGATAGTGCCAGCCCTATACACGTTGTTCTTCCGCACTAGTACTTTTCGGGAATTCAAGATGCTTGTCCAGTCAACGGCGAGATTCGACATAAGCCTGTCTTACAGGATGAGATAACGAGGGAAAGAGAGGGAAAAAAAAAATTCTGTATCATAGAATTATAAAAGGATAGAGATAACCCTGTTCTTTTCTTTTTTCCAGACTACCACGACCCTTTTCTCGACACTCGTCCCATCAATTTTTATACTTCTCATTACTTCTTGCCCAACGAATCTATTACTACCCAATGGCCTCTCAACCGGGTACTGTGACTTACGCTGATGGAGTCGCTATTCTTCAGCTCATCATATTCCCATTCGTCACTGCTGCTGGGATTTTCATCTGGCGTCGAACCGGCTGGAGGGTCGGCAGCAAGATTTGGCGATACCCCGTCACCCTTTCTCTTATCCGGATCGCTGGCAGCATTTGTTCGTTGATCAGCATCAACCATGACTCGAAAAATGTGGAGATTGCCAGAATCGTGTGCGAGATGATCGGCATTGCACCCCTGCTACTGACCTACGTCGGATTGTTGCGACAAATGTGAGTTGGTAGCCGCGGAAGCCCTAAATTCTTGCCGGATGTGGGCTAACGAGTATCTCTTCACCAGCGATGCGGACGGAAGACTGCCTCTCCGGTATCTCAACGTGCTGAGCATCGTCTGCATTATTGGTCTGATCCTCGGCATCGCGGGAGTCAGTAGCACCAGTGGCGACAATACAGCCGATGGATTTCATGCAAGTGCGATCGTCAAGGCATCCATGGGGATTTTCCTCGCTGTTTTCGCCATTATCGCTCTCACGGCCAGTTGGCTATTCCTCCAGCTCCATGGGGCATTGCGGCAATTCCAGAAGAAGCTGTTCCTCGCCCTTGTTCTCTCTTTCCCCTTCTTGCTCGTCCGGGTAGTGTACTCGGCGATGAGCGATTATTCCAATAACCGCCACTTTGACGTTTACTACGGCAACACTACCATTTACCTCTGCATGAACGTGCTGGAGGAGATCGTTGCCATGGTGATCACCGTGGTGCTTGGGATGTCCGCTGTCCTTTCAAGGGACTTCATCCAGCCCACCTCCGTGCCGATGGACTCGGAGCCGAAGTATGATCATGCTTAAAGGGGTGCTATGCAGTTGAGCGATAGCCTTTTTTTTTAAGGACTACTTGGGTATGCTGGAGAATTACTAGAGAATCATCTTTTTTTTTGTCTTTATTCTTTACTGTTTTTGTATACAACTAGCGAAGATTTACAGTTATGAAATGTATGTGAAAAAGTTCTGGTCACCTCATTTGAACATGGCGTTGCGTTTCAATGCCTAAATGCTTAATATCAAATTGTCCGCGAGATTGCAGAAGCTTCTCACGAGGATTTGGACTGGTACCGAAGTTTCGCTTTAATCGGGACGCTAAACCTAAATATATCTTTTCTGGTAACTGGTAGAGATGGAGCTAACGCATCCATGGATCCTCTAGTCACCTCATCGCCCCCCTGACCCCCAACCGGGTGGAGGCACTCGAATGCTTGGTAGCGCTTATTCTTGCAGGATTGTTTGAGGCACTCAAGCTTACCAGTTTTCACGCTAAAATCCATAGCAGATACGGTCTAGGTCGACTTCCTCCCCATTTTGAATAGTCCTCGTTTCGGACCCCACCGTACACACTCTTCTTTTCTCCACTCAAATGCTGCTTACTCTGGTCAGTGCCCGAAGGCGAGGGTGAACGAGATGCATGAATGTCTCGCTTAAAATACAATTACTCCAGGCGAGAACCCATATGGAGATCCGCACCCATTCTTTGTGAGGCATAAAAAAAGGGGGCGATAAAGGGGGAAAAAAAGGAACGGTTCGCATTCTGATTTAGGCCTGAAGCTTTCTTTGGGCACAGAATTCATTTCTCTCTTCATGATCTTGTTTATCCATGTAGACTGGACTTAAGAACTAGCTTTTTTTTTTTTTTTTTTTTTTTCCCACTCGCCATAGCAATGGTAGAAGAAGAATACTATATTATAGATGCGAAAGGTTTAAAATACAAAAAAAGTGTCATCTTTTAGGCATCTAAAAAGAACCAAAGCTACACACCACTGGTAAAGGAGAAATGGAACATAAGAAAATCGGCCCTACAGGCTGACAACACCGAGTCATCCAGGAACAATTAGCTGTCGAGAACCGTGTTGGGCTCGGGAACAGTCAGGCGGATGAGATAAGAGCTAATGGCGCGGCTCGTCTCTCCATACTGGAAATAGGAAGTATGTCCATCTCCCTTTCGCGTCAGGAGAGTGCTGTTGCTGATCTGCTGTTGAAGACCATTCGCCGAAATGTACGACGTGGATGGATCATATTGTGCGTTGGTCAGGAGGATACGAGGAGTGCCATGGATGTTGGCGGTATGCTCCTTGTTCTGCTGGGGGAAAGGCCACCCAATACACTGATTCGATGAATCGGCGGTACTCCCGGTATGAGGCGTAAGGGCGGCCGTCAGCTGCTGCTTGTACTTGACATCCGCGAGAGAGTTTTTGGGATGAGCCCAATCGCCACAATGGATCATAGTGCTCTGAAACGAATTCGACGAGGGACCTTCTGCGAGCGAGGTAGACAGTAGAGTCGCATTTCCTTCTTTCGCCTGCAACAGTGCAAAAGCAAAGTCGGTCCAAGATGTCTCAAATTGACCAACTCCATATTTGAACCACAGCCACTTGCCGGAATTCTCCTGCAACTCTTCGCCGGTCACATTCTCGCGACAAGTGCCGCTGATCTTGCACCCAGGCGCAGGAATGGGCTTTTTGTTTCCCTGCGCCACGAGCTCATCGAATAGATGAAGGGGGTCGGTGTCCTTGAGTGGGCAAGTCGAGTTCAAAACACACCATTCCGAAAATCGAACCAGTTCAGTCTCGTAAGCGGATGCCTTGGCCATTAGATCGGCAGTAGGAGTCACACTGTGGTCCATGTTCCCATCCAAAGCCATTGCTCGGATATTGTGAGGGTAAAGCTCCGCGTACATGGCGCCGATCAAGGTTCCGTACGAAAGGCCGAGATAGTTGAGTTTACCGTCTCCCAGGGCTGCACGAATCGCTTCCAGATCCTTCGCAACACTGACGGAATCCATGTGCTTCACCAAAGACCCAGACTTCTTCAAGCAGCTCTCCCCAAGTGACTTGTACTTCTTGACCAGTGCATCAAGCCCCGAGTTGGTGGTGGGATAGGGCGACACCCGCTCGTTATAGATATCCGGGTCACATTTGATGGGGGAGCTGAGGCCAACACCTCGCGGATCAAGACCAATAATGTCGAAATATTCATAGAGGACCGGGAAGGCTTCCTTTGCGGCCATCACGTACATGGTCGCATTATATCCCGGTCCGCCAGGGTTGAAGAATAAGCTGCCCAGTTTTTTAGACTGGTTCGTTGCTTTGAAACGGAGCATTCCAAGGGTGACATTTTCGCCAGACGGTTTGTTCCAGTCGATTGGAACACTCAACTCTCCACGGTCGAACTCAGCCGTCACCTTTTTCCAAGTAATGGGTCCAGTGGAGGGAGTTTGGCCTGCATGAGCAATGCCCAAGAGGGTGGAAAGTACCAGGGTTGAAGAGAATAACCGTGATAAAAACATGACTCAGGTGATTTCTTTTGGGTTGATGCTGTTTCACTTATAGAAACGGGGAAAAGGACGTATTTATGATAACCCAAGGCTGACACAAAGCTTACCTAGAGCCTAATTTGCCCCGAATTTTGGACTAATCCATACCTAGTAAGCAAGATGTAAAATAGGTAGGATAGGCTTTGACCCATGGGTTGCTATTTTGGACTACACCCCGGAAGACCCACAGTAAGCCCCAAGAAATTGAGAGATCGGTAAAATAATTCCCTCATTTTTGAGACCCCTTTTAGTCATATGCCTCCTGCCTTTGCCTCGCAGAGCCTAACTTAAGGACCCACTGTAGTCTGGTAGAATGGAGGCCGGGTTTGTGCTTGATTACAGAAAGAAAAAAAAAAACCGCCGGAGTGGGTCGACTGCAGGTGATTTTAAAAAGCACAACTGAGCCACTTTTTTAGTAGTACAAAGCTTATATTTTAATTTGTTCTATTTTAGTTTCCCAATCCTGTTTAATTTCAACTCAAGTAATAATCTTATAAGAAAAAAGAATTGTATATGATACGTAGGACGCCGCTGCTTACCACAAAACATATAGGAAAAAAGGTCTTACGTATTAGGACACCTTCTAGTAGCAGGGAATTCTGTGGGTATCGGTGTTACGCACTGGTCACCTATGGATGTTAGCTGGAACCTGAAGGTATACTTCTCTTAAGATACTAAGACACGTGGGTCTTTCTAGTTATACTAGAAGGCTAAGGGTCTTCTAGTACCAACGATATCCGGCCTCGTAACTGTACTGTTGCCTTATTCGTTAGGCCTTATATAGGCTCGGGTCTGTTGAGGTATCGAGGAACGATTAAGGTGAGGAGTGCTTAGTGATAGAAGTACCGAAGGTGCTTCACCACTAAAGGGGTTGTCTTGAGAGGATTATAGTATAAACGAGACAATCTGAGTTAAACTGGTAACTGAGGTTGATAATATGAGTTAAACGCGAAGAGCTAGATACACGATGAATGAGTGTCCTTATATATCCTTCGCCGAATATTCTATGCCCTTGTTTATGGTATACTATATACGGGTATGTAGTAGTCCTACTAATATACTATCCGATATACTATTCTTTAGCAACGGATCGTGGTATATTACTACGTGATCTATACCCCTATTATCTTATATTATTACTGCGGGGTTGGTTAGCTCTGGTTTTCTCCTATACCCCTATTAGCGCGAGTGAGGTAGCTTGGTTCGTAATATCTTATCTCCCTCTCTTTTAGATTTTTATCCTCAAAAAGTCCTTAAATTCTCGGTGTGACCCTTTTAGATACGTTCCTACAATATTGTTCCGTTATATCCCCCCGTACTACCGTTAAACCGAAGCGTAATAAGTACGCTGATAACGCTCGTTTAGGTAATAGGATTAAACGAACTAGTTACCCTATAGATTTCCTATACGATTATTGTCTTATTCGCGGAAAGTGTTATATTATAAGTCTTTTCGTGAAGAGTAAAAAGTGTTCGACTTATGCTTGTCGCGGGTATACTTATAAGAGGAGTTTCTATATAGATAAGGAGTGGGATGATTTATAATAAAATAAACGAAAGTTAGCGTCTGATCTCGAGGAGGCCCAAAAGTAATTTCTTTAGTATTTATAAAAGATAAATAAAGCGATAGCGAAGGTCCTTCGTCTCTAAAAATATCAATAATTTCTTAAGGAACGTGATAGTCGGATATTAGATTACGACTAGTTAATATTGGATCGGTTAAATAAAGAGGATCCCTTTACCGTTAAGGAGTTTCGTGATTTTGATCGGTTAGCGAAGTAGTAGGAGATTCGTTAATTAGCTACTACGTTAGGGGATACTAGTCTAATAAGAATAACTTAGTCTCTAGATTAGATGCCTCCTGGCTTTTGGGGCGTCGAGGCCGCGATTGCTGAAGGAAATTTCGATCTATCTACTAGTGAAACTATCGAACTAGCTAGGAGTAACCTATTAGGTACTTAATAGGTTCCTATATATTTTTAGCGGTATTATATCCTTTCTATTTGATAAGGTAATAAGGCTTGTCGCTGATACGTTTATTATCTAGAACTTCTTCGACTTTATATTCGTTTTCGGTTTCTTCCTCAATCCCTATATTAGTAGCGAGTTCGGCGTTTTCTGGTGCGGGTTCGAGTAGCGAGATATAAAAAACTAGATAGATGCGTCGTATACTATTAGGTAGATCTAAGAGATATATGACTAGTCCCTTTTTTCTTTTAATAGTGAATAGTCTAATTCTTAAGTGATCGAGTTTGTTGCTGGGTCGTTTAGTCTTAATATTTCGATATAGAAGATACACTTTCTCCCCCTTTTTTAGGTTAGGTCCCTCTTGGTGGCGTTGGTTATAATATTTTTTTATACGGAGGTTAATAAATTCGATATCTCTAGATAGCTATAAGTATAGCTGCTTAAGTCCTATAGCTAAAAGGTTGGCTGATTCTGCGATTATTTATTTGCTGATTAGTTCGCCGATGATTATGGGATTATACCCGTAATTTGCGAAAAATGGCGTCTCGTTGGTTGTTAAGTTTATTACGTTATTATATACGAGTTATATTATTAGTAATAATCCTGCCTAGTTATTCTGCTGATAGTTAACGTGGTATCTTAGGTATTACTTAAGGGTTTAGTTAACCCTTTCTGTCTATCCGTTGGTCTACGGGTGGTATACAGTAGAGAGTCTATGCTTAATATCTATAAGGTCCGCGAATAATTACTATATATTCGATGTGAATAGCTTGTCTCTGTTAGACGTGATTTTGCTTAGTATATTATGGTTCGCGAAGATATAGCGAAGTAGTATATTCGCTATTTAGGTCGCGTTAATCCGTTTAGTTATTAGGATTATATAAACGTATTTAGTTAGTCTATCGATCATAACTATAATTATGTTATATCCGTCCGAGTCTGGTAGCTTCGTGATGAAGTCTATGGTGATCTATTCCTAAGGTCTTATAGGGGTTTCTGCGGATTGTAATCTTCTATATTGTATATATCTTACTGGTTTATTTCGTTGATATATATTGTATTGTCGAGTATAGTATATGATTTTTTGTCTTATATTCGGAAAGTAGAAATTACGTGAGATCTGTTCTATGGTTTTCTTAGTTCCTATATACCTATATATAGGTATATCGTGGTGACGTTTAATAACCTCTTCTCGTAGTAATATTAGAATATATATCAATCTATATATATATACGAGTCCGGTTTTATCTATTGTTAACTTGTTGTTTTCCGCTGAATCCTTAAGTAAATCTTGTATTGTTTAGTCGTTAGTAGTGGCTTCTCGGAGCTGTCTTAATAGTTTATCGTCCTTAAGTTTAATAGTTACTACGAGGATTTATTTATTATAGCCGATTGATCTGTCCTCGTTTTGTTTAAGGATCGCTAGGTCTACTACTTTGGTATTAAGTTCGTAATCTGGTCGTCGGCTTAACGCGTCGGTTTAGTTGTTCTCTGTTCCTTTATAGTGAATGATTCTAAAATTATATTATATAAGGATTTTAGCCTATCGTGTTTGTTATCGAGTAAGTATTTTAGTTATCGTGAAGAATATAAGGTTCTTATAGTTTATTTTAACTGTGACTATATATTTAGCTCCTTTTAGGTATAGTCTCTAGACTTAGAATACTGATACTATAGCTAATAATTCCTTATTGTGAATATCGTAGTTAAGCTCTGCTGCGATTATCTTCCTTAACTAAAACGCGATTAGTTGAGGCTTGTTATTATCGCCTAGTTAGGTTAATTGTGCGTCTAATACGTAGTCTGATATATCCGTTTTAATTATAACTAGTTTCTTGTAGTCGAATACTACGAGGATCGCGTCTTTCTTAAAGAGTTCTTTGAGGTCTTGGAATGATTTTTCTGCTGCGTTATCCTACACGAAGTTTTCTTCTTTTTTCGTGAATCGGTAGAGTCCTATTATAATATATATATAGTTTAGGATTATTCGTCGGTAGTAGTTAACGAGTCTAAGGAACTTCTAGATATCCTTAATGTTACGTGGCGTTGGCTATTTGTGAATGTTTTTAACTTTCTCTCTTTCTATACTAAACCCTTTAGTGTTAATAATATATTTTAGGAACCCTATTTCTTGGATATAGAATTCGTATTTCTTAAGTTTGAGAAATATTTTAGCTTCTCTAAGTTTCTAAAGCATTTTCTTGTTATATTTGACGTGGTCTTCGAGGGTCTTAGAGAATACTAAGATATTATCTAAATAGACTATAATAAAGGTATCGAGATATTTGTCTAATATAGTATAGGCGAATCGCTAAAAGGATATTAGTGCGTTAGTGAGGCCGAAGGGTATAACTATATATTCGAAGTATCCGAATTTAGTCCTGAATACTATTTTCTACTCGTGGCCTGTACTGATCCTAATACGATGATATGCGTCGGTAATATCGTATTTCGTAAAGTATTTTACTCCCTAGATCCGATCTTAGATCTTGTGAATTAAAGGTAATAGGTATCGGTTCTTGATAGTAATCGAATTTAGATATCGATAATCCACGTAAAGACGTAGACTTCTATCCTTCTTTAGAACGAATAGGATCGGGTATCCTACTAACGAAGTTAATTTACGGATATAATCTTTTTTTAGGTTTTCGTTAATATATTCTTTTAGTATCTAAGACTCCTTCTCGGATAGCTAGTAAATTAGCTTAATAATAGGTTCTTTGCCCTTTACTATATTAATCTTATGGTCGAATAGGCCGTGCTCTAGTAGTACCCTATTTATTAGTTTCGTAAAAACATCCTTAAAGTCTTAATATTTTTTCGGGATTCGTGGTTTCTCGTTAGTGGTATAGACCTACTTTATTTCGTGCCCGATTATAACGTAGTCTCGTAGTTTATTATCTATTATATCTAGTAATTGCTTAGTAATCGTGATAACGTTAATATTGTATATCTACGTTTTGTTTTTCTAGTATTGTCCTATAATCTTACCTCTAGGACTTCCT